AAGTAGGTTATCTATCTACTTTTAGATTCTTAGTTATTAAAGCCTTTTAGTTGGATTAGATTCTTTAAGGGTTCTTATATAAGACTATATTCTTTAGCCTAGTTAATATTAATAAAATACTCTCCTTTAGTATTGCTATTAATTATTATATATATTAGAATTTCTTTCTTATTCTAGTTTAGGGTAATTAGTAATATAATTAGGTTAGAGTATCGGATTTCTTTATTAATAGTAGTTCTTTAAATAATAGTAGTGGATAGATAGATTATATAGGTTATATTAGTCTAGTTATGATTTAGACTAGGCTTACTCCTTTTAGTAATTTATTATATAAGGAACGATTAGATAGTAGGGATTAGAAGTATTATTCTAATAAGATAGTATACTAGTATTCTAGGGAAGTAGGTCTTTCTATATAAGTAAAGTATATTCGTATAGAATATTAATCAGGATATAGATAGTCTTATACAAGATAACCTTTAACTCTATAACGGAAGTATTTACTACAGTCTTAGTAAATCAGGCGGTTCAAAGTTAAATCTATAGGGTTAAAAGTAGATATAGATATTAAGATAGAAGAACTATTCCTTACTATATAGAAGTCTAGGTAGTTGTTCTAAGTAGAGAATAAGTTATAAACTTATATCTATATTAATACTAGTTATACAATAGGGGATTAGGTTACTCTATTATAGTATATATATTGGTTTTTAAGCTTCTAGAGGAAAGCTATAAACTAGTAGTATTTATAGGTTAAGGACTTATTATAGAGAAGTATTCTATAGAGTTCTTAGTTAATAGTTTATTCTAGTAATATAGGTAAGGTTTTCTTAGATATCTCTTCTTTAAGTATAAGGTATTAGAATTTAGTAAAGAACTAATTAAATTCCTTATTAATCTATTAGAATTGGAAAAGTTTATCTTAGGTATTACTTATATAATTAGGATTACTAAAAATATTTTTAAGAATACTTAGGATTTCTCTATAGTCGGATAAGATATAACTTCTATTCTAGATATAGGATAAGATCTAGATATATAGGATTCCTTTAAGCTGATTTATTATATATAATATTTAGCTTATTGGGGTTAGAAATCGGTTAAGGTTTATAGTTAATTTTTCTTGAATCTAGGATATAAATTAGTGGAGGTCCTTATAATCTTTACTAAATATATAAGGGTCTAGGAAGTATTTAGAAAGAATAGAGAAGTAGGTAGTATAGGAATCAGATAGTAGAGATATTCCTAATACTAGAGTTAATAATCTTTTAGTAAATACTTTAAGAACTAGGCTTATATAAAAAATATTTATAATAGGGGTAGTAGTTATTAGGACTTAATTATACTCTTAGTAGATAGATTCTAGTTTATAGGTATATTCTAAAAGGTTTTCTTAAGCTTGTACTAGTTTTTCTTCTTAGTACTTAAAGATACTATTTTTCTTAGATAGTTTATTATAGATTTATATAAGTTCTTCTTTAATCTAGATAATTTCCTAGATTAGACAGGTAATCTCTTATTAAGCAATATAGTATTATTAGTGGTGTAGGTAGATCAGTTTTCTAACCTTCTTAGGGTATTTATATACTTATCTATAGTATATAAATTAGGCTTTAGGGTTTGTATTATAGTATTTAGTATAGGTTTTAAGATTTTTAGGTAGGAATAATAGTAGGGGAGCCTCTATAGGCTCCGGTGACTAGTCTATGGTTAACAGGTAGTCTAACTCCTAATATAGGGGTAGAAGCTACATAGTATCAGGGTATAGCAGGTAGTTATATATCAGGAGCTAGTAGGCTAGCTCGTACAGTAAGCAAGGGATCAGAAGTAGTTGTATTGCAGATAGGCTACAGGACAGAAGGTTAACCAAGACGTAGCTTAAAGAGCTACGTCAAACAGGAATAGGAAGTTCTGATAGTCTCAGGGGTCACGTGATAACAGGAACAGGGATCCTCTCGTACGAGGATCCACACCGTAACAGACTTATTAAAAGATTTAGCTAGTAAGTATTAGACTCATGACCATCGAAAAACTATAGCCTGACGTTTCATAGATGAGATATGCTAGCCTGCAAGACATACAAGAAAGCCTCTCTCGAAATCCAGAGCGCCATTCTTCCAAACCCAGACTTGTGTTATTTGAGATTTGTCGTCAGGACCAGGCGCTTAGTCGCGCATCTGGTCATCGTCGTCGCTGGTGCCACCCTGGTAGTCCTCGTCATCCTCGGAGTCCTCTAGGCTAGGAGCATCAAATCTCAATAGATTCAATTGTTCATTAAATCAAAATTAATTAGGTACATTCTTTTTGCAAATGAAAAGATCGCTAGTCAGTGGCAACTTTTTAAAGCTAATTCTTGTATAGCAGTCAAGCAGAAGCTAGCGGCGAGGGGGTGAGCACTAGAATAGAAAGGGAAAGCCAAGAATCGCCAGACATTATCCGGTATATAGGTCTTTATCAATAAATAAACATTTGAAGGTTGCACGTACCTATATCTTACCTGGCCTGTAATTGCCGATTTCACTCACTTGAAGTTTCTTTCTTCTTCAAGTTACCGAGCCACTTCCAACTTGAAGGTCACTGGGCAGTTTACAATCTTCTCAACGTGGCAAATATTTCAGGTTGCACCCTATCAGCCGACAAGGCTTTTGGCCCGCATTGGAATTCAGGATTGTGATTCAACCTTCGACTTTGACTTTACCCTTACTTTTGAACAAGCTGTGCTGAGCATCATTCCGGCGGCATGCTTTATACCAACAGCAGCTTGGAGGCTGGGGTGGCTCCTTAAACAATCCACAAAAGTCACCTCCGGCTCGCCATCAAACAATCCTCAACATTGCTTCTTTCCTCGCACACATTGTCCTCCGCACGCTGTGGGCAATCACCCCACAGTATCGAACAAGAGTTACAATCACCTCTGTCTCTATTTCACTTGTATATTGCTTGTGGGCGCTTGCACCGTCTTGGATGGAGCATAGAAAATCCGTCGCACCTTCCAATATTATATGTTTCTACCTCGCTTGCAGCATATTATTTGATGCAGCACAGGCACAAACACTGTGGTTGAGAGACAATTTACACGTTTATGCTGGTGCATTCATAGCAATGTTGGCGATTCGCTTTCTGCTTCTCATCGCAGAGCTCCAAGAGAAACAGAAGTGTCTTACCCCCCCCCCCCATTTTCAACCTACCCCGCCTAAGGTATTGGCGGAAAGACTTGGCTGCCATAACGTTGATGAGCACTGATACGCAGACCATCTGCAGTAACCTACTCCGCCTTGATGCGCTATTCGGCCCTTCAATAGAAGTGGGACTCGCCTTATTTCTTCTAGGGAGACAGGTACAACTGGCGTGTTTGGCATCAGCTGGCTGTGCTTTAGCAGCGGCGGCCCTTGGTTACATCATTGCCAGTAGATCGCCATCGCGCCAGAAGAAATGGAATGAAGTGGTCCAAGACCGCGTTGCAACGACAGCGTCGGTTCTCAGATCAGTTCAAAGTGTGAAGTTACTCGGTATATCCCCCTTTGTTCAAAGACAAATAGGTGATCTACGTGACCTGGAGTTCAAGCGGGCTCGAGGAGCCCGCATAATGATGATGTAGAGAAAAATTGTCGTTGTGTATTTGTGAGAAATGAGAAGTTGGCAGAGCAATAGCTTACCAGTTAGTTAAATCTAGAGGAAACATACCGCATATCGTCGAGCCAGTGCTCATCTAAGCCACCTTTACCCTTTTCACCATGATAAAAGGAAGCGGAGCGGTTACATCAGTACAATCATTTACCATCCTCGCCCTGGTCGGTCTCATAACTGAGCCGATTCAAGTCTTCGTACATGGAATCGGGCAGCTGTAGGTTGCTTTAAGCGAATCCAGGACTATTTTCTGTTGCCGTGGCTTGAAAATGGCCTCGATAGCCATGATAGTACGCATGACCAAATAGTCGTCAAAATAAAAGGAACTGTCGCGCAAAAGGACAGCATGATTCCACTGCTCACAGTATCTATCAATGCGTGATGCAGCATTCAAGTACCTCGGACCAACGAAACCAGTCTTGACTGACGTGACGATGAATATTTCCCCTGGAACTCTCACAACTGCAACGGGCTCTACTGGCCCCGGGAAAACTTCCTTTCTTAAAGGCCTCATAGGAATATTACCCTGTGTTACTGGCTCTCACAATACGTCTGTGACAATTGCCTACTGCGCACAGAGATAGTAGGATTGTGGGAACATCTCAAAACTTACTCTCAAAACCCACTGGATCTCCTGGCAAGCGACGCAAATTTCACACTTGGTGAATGGCAACTCATGAGCTTAGCAAGAGCGCTTGTCCGCAAGACTAGCACTAAGATCCTTGCTCTGGATGAGATCAGTGGCAGCGTGGATGTCGAGATAGAAGGATTGATGTTCCAAGTCATTCGAGATCACTTCAAAGATGCTGCGGTAATTGTAGTGACTCATAGGTTGAGATGCATTCAAGATTTTGATAAAGTTCTGATCATGAAGGACGGTCAAATTGTGGAGACGGGGGGGTCCGGCACATTTACTCACTGTTCCAAGTTTGTTTAAGGACCTTTGGGACGAGCAGTAGTCTGCTACCTCGAGGCTTTTTCTTCCTTCTTCGTCATCTTATTAATTCTCTCTTCTTTTTCATAAGAAAATCGAGAGAACAAATCAAATAAAAGCGCCGTAATGACAGTTCTGCATACTTACCATAGAAGGCTTATTGAGTTTGTATTTGGCACATATGGATACCATTCCGCACAGATGGCCACTTATAGAAAAAAGTTTAGAATGTCATTTCCATTCCGTAAAAGAATCCGAATAATACTAGAGTGCATTGATCGATCAACATTCCCCGCAATGTTAGCCTCGGCCCATCCTCGTACCACACTGCTAGATGATATCCCCAGAGAACCAAATCCATTGTCTCTCTTCTATGTAGCTACCAAATCGATAATCTACATTACGAATATCTGAAGAACATCATACCTTCATAATCATCATGGGCCAGAATCAAAATCAGAAGAACGAGGCCACCACCGAAAATGAAAGTGACTTCCCCGACCTCCCACCTTTCCCCAACGATGTCCCGACTGCACCTCTTCTCCAACTATCACTACAGAAACTACTAGCAGGAGATTCCACAGAGCTAGACCGATTGTTCCAGGCATCCGTTGATATCGGATTCTTCTATCTAGATATCCGGGACTGTGACCTCGGAGCATCTCTACAAAAAGATGCAGATAGTCTATTCGACGTTGGAAAGACGTTATTCGAGCTAAGCCTCGAAGAGAAGAAGAAGTATGACTTCAGCGCCCAGAACTCATACTTCGGGTATAAAGGGCAAGGAGTATCTGTAGTAGATAAACAAGGGAACCTGGACCGAAACGAATTCTACAATGTACGTCAATCTTCTTACAACCTTGCCCCAGTTACATAAATACACAAACAAACAAAACTAACGATATCAAGGCCTCAAAGGATGACATCCTTAACATCTCAGACCCTCTCCCAGCCCCAGAAATCCTCCAAACAAACAGATCCCTCCTAAAGTCATTCATGACATCCTCCCACAAAATAGTCACCCTCCTCCTCACCATTCTCAACGTAAAACTCGGCCTGCAACCAAATACCCTCCCATCACTGCACCGTCTAACATCGAAAAGCGGCGACCAAGTCCGCTGGATAAAAGCACCTGTTCAACCCCTCTCAGATAGCCGAGTAGCACTGGGCCAACACACGGATTTCGGCTCTGTAACCGTTCTCCTGAATAGAGTTGGCGGGCTTCAGGTTCAAATGCCTATCACCGGTGAATGGGTATATGTGCGTCCGTTACCAGGACGAGCAATTATTAATCTTGGAGATGCGATGGTTAAGTTTACCAATGGGCTTTTGCGGTCCAATATTCATCGGGTTAATGCACCGCCGGGTTTGCAGGCGGGGGTCACGAGGTATAGTCTTGTTTACTTTGCGAGGCCGGAGGATGATGTTGTTTTGAGGAGGTTGGATGGGGAAGGGATTCCAGGGTTGGGTGTTGGAGAGGTTGAGGAGGAGATTTGTAGTAAGGAGTGGATTATTAGGAGGGCTTTGGGGAGGAGGGTTGATTTGGGGAGGGAGATTGATTATGAGAAGTCTGCTGGGACGGAGGAGATGAGTAGGAGGATTAAGGCTTGATCAAATGTTCGAGTTGGGGGTTTTTTACTTCTTTTTGAGTTCGAGTAATGAGACTTAATTTGAATATTCAATATTGGACTATCTTTCGGAAGACCTATGATCTATCTATATTCTACAAAGTTAAAGTGAGGTAGTAGGTGTGCAATCATCAGTTTCATTGCATACAAGCCCTATCATAGACAATATCGTGGTATAATATAACATTCAAAGAATTACAAGCGCCGCTCCAACCTCATACCGAGATGAAAAACGGTCCTAAACTTCAAAAATCTCTCCCATCCCCACACCAGCTCCCTCGGCACCAGCACGACTATCAACTAGATCCAGGCGCCACCCATTCCAGTCGCGCAACTTACCCTTAATATCACGGACCCATTGAACACGCTGACGGCCCTCTTCTTCAGCCTGTGCGCGCCGGAACTCAGTCTCATCAAACTCATCATCGAGGTTCTCTTCAGATAGAAGTTCAAGACTGCCCCGTGTACCAGGAACGTTGGGATGAGGTGGGTTTGAGGAGCCAGCGCGGGCGCGATTGGGATTATTGCCACTGCCTGTGAATGCAGCGAAGCCACTAGATAGGACTGTCGAGAAAGAGGAGTGTTGTTGCTGATGCGCCATGCTGCGACGGCGAGCGTGGTCTGGGCGACCGCCAACGAGATCGACGTCGTCAAAGGCATTGGCGGCTGTATCGCCTGCTGGGTACTCGGGGTTCTCTTCGAATGGTTGACCCGCTAATTCTTGACGTTTCTCTTCCCATACACCACGGCGGAGGTCAAATACTTCTCCTTCTAGTTCGCGGATACGGCGCTCCAGACGTTGGCGCTCTTCATCTTCCAGTTCGTCGATAGCGTCGTCGTCTGCACCTCCGGCGTTTTGTTTGCGCATGCGATCACGCTCTTCGCGAAGGCGGAGGTTCTCGTTCTCGATGCTCGCGAGTTTCTTGCGCAGTACGGCTGTCTCTTTATCTGATTTCTCAGTTTCGCGGAGCCGGGTTTGGTGGCGGGTTTCTGATTCTTTGTGCAGATTGCCCATTGCCTGGAGTTTCTTGTCCAGTGTTTCAATCTTCTTTTCTGCCTCTGTTTTCTCATTCTTATGATCTTCAATCTCGCGCTGCAGGCTCTTGATCAAAGCCTCTGTAGAAGTCTTATCAACTCCTTCTTTCACAGCTTTCTCTGAAGCTCTTGTCAATGCCTGCTTCGAGTCGGCCAGTTCACGCTGGGATTTCTCAAGTGCAGCCTGTGATTTGGACACCTTCTCCTCCAATGCCACTATCTGGGTCTCGTGTGCATTGTTCGAAGATGACTGGGAATTGATTTGAGCGCGCAAATTAGAAATCTCTAATTCCATTTCTTCAATGGTAGCCGATTTAGACTCTAGCTGGCGCACAAGGTCGGCTGGCGGTGACTCTGACTGCCCCGGCGTACTATTGTTGCGATGTGATCGTGATTGAAGCTGTGAGTTTTGTCGTTGAAGCGAGGCAATTTCCTCTTTCTGTAGTAGGGCATGAGTACATGCCACAACATTTGATCTTAAAACGGAAATCTTCCACATACCAAGGTCTCTATGCTGGCGACTTTCTCCTCCGCCTCCTTCAATTTCTCCCTCAATTCCGCGCCATCAACATTAGCTTCTCGGAGGTCCTCCAACTGATCCTCTGTCTTGCGCCAGCGTGTCGTCGCGTCACCTAATTCCTTCTCAAACCATTTGTTCTCTTTCTCTAGTTCCTCAATGCGCGTCGACTGTTTACGGAATACCTCATGCACAGAGTCTCCGTCCCCAGTTAAGGGCGGCAGAGATCCGGGGGGTGATTTGAGCGCTGGCGAAGGAGAATGGCTTCCTTGCGAGACGGATGTCTTACGGAAAGATGATGAGCGCATCTTCGACTGGATAGATAGCGATGGCTGGCGACCATGCCCTGCTCGAGGTGTATCAAGACGAGCAGGTTGCGCTTCGGCCTCGGGATCGGGAGAGGTAGGTGCCGGGGGCATGGGCTCGACAGGGGATTCCGTAGTAGCATCTTGCTGTTTGTTCGATTCCTCCTCCTTGATTTCTGGCTCTGGCACCGGTGCAGACTCGGCTGGTGTTTCTGTGGTTGCAGACGTGTCTTCCTGTTTCTCCTCGGCGGGGCTGTCTACTAGAGGTTCCTCTGTTGTTTCCGCAGCAGCCTCGGCCTCGGCTTCAGGCTCGTTGGAAGCCTCGGCGGTCTTTGCACCATCGTCTGTGGATGGTGAGGCTTTCTTGTTGGCCTTTTTCTTTTGTTTCTGGAGCTGGGCCACCTGGAACAACATTGGATGTTAGGGATAAAGGACGGTTAACTGCCATGTATGGGTTGAACGCACTCTTTTCTTGGCCGCAGCCAGCTTCTCGGCTTTGATGCGCTCCTCCTCGTCGGCCATGGCAGATGATAGTCGAGTGGATTGCAATGGCGTAGGTGGTGGGGAAGACTCGAAATGGCTAGGGAGAATGGACAGCTTTCCCCATCTGACGCACGGGCCACATGATTGTATACTGCGGGCATGTACGGGGGTCCATAGCGATCATCAGAAAAAACCCCCTTTGGCCATAGATAACCTTTTACTGTCTACTTCAACGCTACCTCTACTGTAAGATTTACATCGATAGAAAACTAAGTGGAGAGCGGAAAGACGAGCGGAAAGACGCATGAAAAGACACATGAAAAGTCAAATCAAGATATCATTAGGCAATATTAACACGAATAGAAGTAGAAAAAAGAACATCATTAGCTGGGCGTCTTCAGTATCAATCTTGCCACTGACGCCTCTTGTGGTTAAAAAGTATGCAGGTTGAATTGCGCCACAAGTCCGTTGAATATACCATCTTAACGCCGCCAGCTTGAATAAACACAGGGTCAGGTGAAAGAACCAAAAAAACCAAAAAAAAATCTCCGATCAACGGATGGCAACTTAGAAGAGAAACAAAACCCGAGAATGTAAACTCAAAAAGTAAAAAAAACGATGGAATTAAACTTCCATCGTGTCCATCATTTCCTCGCTCATAGCACGTACGCGGCCCTTGCTGCCCGAGCGAGATCGTAGCTCCTCGTCACTGAGCATATATTGGTCATCATCCTCTTCATCCTCATCGATGTCGGTACGACGAAGCGATGATTCAGCCCGACTGCCAAGCCAATACCGGGCGCGCTTGCTAGAACTGAGGTCCGGAGTGAGGTAACCGTCATCAAAGGTCCGCTTGCCGGTCGGAGTAGTTACATCCTCATCTGGTGTATGGCTCAGAATTGGAATGGCGCGAAGATATAGATAGCAGACGCGTTTGCGTAGGGGGTTGAAAAAGAAATAGTGCAAGCTCCAGATCGCTCCGTCGTCTCCATCTGCGGGATCTTCCTCCGGGGAATACGAATATACCGAGGATTCCTTCAAAGACATGTGTTCATCCATAAGTCTCCACATCCGCGGACCCCAGGAAGGGGCTCCGGCTCCGGCACTATATGAACCTGAGAGAGTCGCAGGGGATGATGGGGAGAGGTCGGCAGAATCACGTGGTCGCAAGTTATACAGGGTTGAATTGACAGTGTTCATAACACGCTTCAGGTGCCGCTCTCGACGAAAATCGGTTGGGCGGAGAACATTTGAGAAGTCGTAATCTGGATGGCTGGCATTTAGAGTCGCGATGAGGTAGGCGAAAGTCCGACGACTTGAATGATCGCTCAGGGGGCCGAATGGACTCGATCGTGACAGATTCAATGATTCAGCAGCGTCGTGGGCATTGGGAGGAGATAGGGATGCGGAAAATCGAAGAATTGACTCGTATTGGGCTTCGAGAGATTGCTCGATGTGGTTGTAAAGCTTTCGATCGGATCGGGCAGCCTTAGTCGTATACAGGTCGCATCCCCCAACAATATGACAATCGGCGGTGTCAAAGTTCAAAGAACCTGTGACATCTTCTAACTCGGGAAGTGGAAGGAACTAAATGATGAAAATATCCGTGAGTATTTGACACAATAAATCTGATAGATGGGATACGGTTGGGGGGCGGTAGTCGATCAGGTCACCGTGGCGACACATCTAGGGGGAATCATCAACCAACCTTCATACTGAAGACGTGAGGTATCAAGTCTCAGGGTTTGGGATTAAGTCCGATGATGAAGTGTTGACTTCTTGCCAGTATATGCCGACTCAAAGGTAGATAGGGAAAGAGATGGGAGATAGCGCGGAATTGGTCGCGCCGGAGACGGAGATGAGATGCCGATCGGCGAATACCTGCAAGCAGAGATATCAAAGAAGGAGAGTGATGACGAGTAGAAAGACCAGTAGAAAGATCTTTCAAAAGACGAGTAGAAAGACGAGTAGTAAGAAGGTCTATCCTCCGCTTCTTTATGCTCTTTCTCGTGCCTGATGAGTTGTTAAGAGGGGGGGGGGGGATTGCTTGCGACCGGGCCAGTCACGTGGACCCAGGTAAGGCCATCATGAGCCAGTGAGATCCCGCACTGACCTCACGCTGGTGTTATCAGTTCTTGGTTCCCTGGTTCCTTGGCTGGAGTATCAGTCATCATAGCCCAATTCGGTCCAGGTTGCGGGCCACGTCTTCTGAGTCCTGAATCGGCATTTGGTATTCGCATCAGTAAATCAAAAAAAAGAATAAACCGCTATAAGAACAATTGAGACAAAAATAAAATAAACACCCTTTCGCCTCCTAATATAGAAAAAAAGAAAGAAGAAAAAAGAATCACTCGAGGTCACTACATGATCTTTGTGACGACATCTTCCTCAACCTGGGGCAGAAGAGCATTAGCCCGATTGCGCCGGGAAAGGTGGGGGGAGTAAAAGACAACAAGGGGGATGGGAATAACAAAGTCACTGTTTCAAAACATCAAAGCATGCAGTAGACACAATGATAACCCACTATAGGTTGTCTGGCAAGGGGATAGGGTATGCAACAAGTAAAACCATCAGGGGTAGAACTCACCTCCATATCTTCCAGGCTGTCCTGTTGACTGATGCACCGAAGAACATTCTTCTTGCTACTCTCTTGCATTTCTCCAGCCAGTAATAGTTCATCCAAGATGAAGTAGGCCTTTTGGAAATTGAAGATGATATCCAGCTCACACACATTCCCGTAGTATTTGTCCATTTGTTCCACGTATCGGTGCACCACCTCCAGGGTGATCAATTCGTTATCGGTCGAGGAGCATCCGGCGATGAAGAAAAGCGAGGCATAGCGACGATAAACCACTTTGGAATCTGTAGTGTAATCCCTGTTAGCTTGATTTCTTCTGCGAAAGAGCTCTGAGCCCGGAGTGCGGAGCGGAGTGGAAAGCCACCTTTGTACTCAAGGAAATTGCACATCCGTGTACGACGGGACAGCACGAGTTGGGTTACATCTTTGATGATCTTGGCCTTCTCCTTGGGAGAGAGGGTGGTGAACCATTTGGCAAGACGCTAATGAAGTCAGAAAGAAGAAGGAGAAAAAGTCAGTCGGCTTTAATGAGGGACGGGAATGAGGGTGGGCCACGAAAAAAGAGGAGACCTACCACTTTGCCCTGGCGGGACAGGAGAATCAAATAGCTAGTTGAGAAGTCAGCGATTAATTCGGTCTCTATTCACCTGTTGTCGAACTTACCTGATAGGCATGATGGTGGGGGTTTGTAATGAGGGTAAAGGGATGGGGAGAAGGGGGCTTCGAAACCCGTGGCGGATCCGAGCTCTGGACAAATTATTCACGAGTGGTGGAGCTGATGGTAGACGTGCCCCGCTGAGCCCTAACTGGAAGGGAAAACAAACACAAATGATGATTCGATCAAGGAGCTGAAGAAGCGTCGATTGAAAACAATGAAGGATTGATTCGAGGGATTCTGAGGCTGATGAAACTGATGTTCTGCGCACGGTTCGTGAATGAGTCAACTTGGGATATCCGTGGTTAAGCTGGGGTATACTAGCACTAACATACATGGCCTGTCACCTACTAGGCAGCTTATTAAAGTTACTGCTACTACTCTTAATCTAATTGAGTAAAAGGATAATTATGCTTCTGATATTACGATATCTTGCATTACATTCGATAGAAAAGAGATCTAAAGCCCAAAATTGAAACCAGTAGGTATTATTAATGACATTGTAGAAGCATAGCCCAATGCGCCACTGCCAGGATAACCCAGATCGCAAAAAGGTGATGAAAAGAAAAGAAATTAAAAAGAGTAAGTAATAGTACTAAAAACAAAACATTCGTGTTCCATTTTCAGGTGTGGTGGGCTGGCGAGAAAAAGTTGTCCATAGTCAAGGATCCCTATTCTCTCCAACACCCATCTCCAAGCTGTCAACGCAATATCCGTTGCATATCATGCCCATAAACTCATGGCCATCATAATTATCGTGTCAACCGGTGCGCAGTCATTCTCATTCGAGAATAACAGCTCTTGTCTAGCCTTGAAAGCATATTGCCGTCCCAGCTTAGACCTGAGCCATGCTGGGTCGTCCACCAGCAGTGCGGCGAGATCCGCTACGACCGCGCAGGTTTACATTGGATGCGCGAGAGGAGAAGATCGAGACAACAGTCGACGCCATATATCCAGCCCAGGCGAACCACAAGAAGGCAGTAACGGCCTGAGCCTCCCGACAACGCTTGGATCGGTTATGGGAACCATTGGTAATTTCGTTGTGAAGGGTATATGACTATATCCGGAATTAGCTTGCTGATCCTGCAAAATTGGGTTTGGGAGATTTTTGGTTGTTGTGGTTGTCAAGAATGTAAGTACATACCGAGTTACTGCAGGAGTGCGCCCCCAGCTTTGCGGCAAGCGCGATGGCCGCGCAGAAGAAGAAAATGTTGTTGAGGACATCAACGATGATCACGAGGATTGGGTGGAAGGCCCAGGTATCGCTGATCGAAGCAGGGATCAGGTAGAAGAGTGAAAGCATCGAGAATGCCGACAGGAACATGGTATAGTTGACGGAACTGGGGTTACCGGCGAAGGCCTCGTTGATCATGTTACCGACGAGGGACATGATGAGGAGAGTCCATACGAACTGTTCGAGGTTGTTAGCGATTTGGAGATCGTGAGTGGAATAGAATCAAAATTCTTGATCATGGTTATCGTACCTCCCACACACGCAGACCCATCTGAACAACCCGCAAACCCATGGTGCCTGGTTTTCGAGAAAATTAAGAATAGATTGGATGATCGTATTAAGGTGCTTGGAGGTCGTGGGGGCGAAGATGAAGAGTCGCAAGAGGGGTATTAAGTCTTACAGCCGTTATAGGAACTCCAGACAGGGATACTGCAGTGATTTAGGGATGGGCCAGGTTAATAAAGCACGGATAGGCCGGAGACTATGAATGACGATATAGAAAGCATAAGCTCCCGACTCGCTACGTCATGCATTCGACGCGTCCGGGAGCTGGCGGCTGGACTCGAGGAACAGGAAATCTGGAGTGAAGGAAATTTTCTGTTTCATGAATTTGGATCAATGACTAAATGAGTTGTCTTCTTTTTCCTTTTATTACTTCTTTCGACTTGGATCCATAGAATCGAGGTGACAGTCAACCCCACAGTGAAGGGAAATGCGGGTAACCAGACCCTGCACAGCTCTGGTATTGATCTTCAGGCCAACCCGGTTCCGCCCTTTCCATTTCTACTTTATGTAGAACAGGGTTGATTCTCTAGGTAGAAATATAATTACAAATGTCTCTTATTTACAGCCGTTACAATGTTCCATATTCTGAAACAGTCCAAATAAAAAGACTAGATCTATTCTATATACAATAAGCGCTGCCTAGGTGGCCGCCTACATTCCCCCTGCATCAGTGTTCAAGTTTGACATGAGACCTCCGGACATCCAATCTTAACTTAACAACCACAACAAACGGGCATTAGAACGCGTAATTTGCCGGAAATTTCACCAGCACATCCAACCTCCTTTAGGCCTTCTTCTTTTCATTGCTCATCAACCACTATTCTACACTACGTCTTCATTAGGAGTTCATATAAGCGGCATGGGCTCAAGGCTTCCCATCTTAAAGCTTTATTACATTCGTAATATCATGGAGAGCCAGTCTTTCATCACAGATGAGGCAAAAGGGCAGCCATGCATTACAGCCCAAACGCGGGGTATTCTGCATAGGTATCTTGATGCCCTCCGGCCAAAACACCCATTTTCTTAAAGTGTCACTTCCAGGGGTTTATTACCCAGTTTTCACGTAAATATTCTTTAATTGCGAATTGATTTCGCAAGTAGAGTCACAGAATGACGCCAGATCAATTCGCAAAATTGTCTGATTACTTGAGGAACCAAGTGACTTCGACTTTTCCTCTAGAAATTCGGCCATCATCTATCGCAAGGGCAAAAAATGGCTTATTCTCAACTAGCGCTATTGGCGAGGGCGAGGAAATATTCCGATCTGACCCTTTAATCGCTTGTGTTGATGATGGGAAGCACGATAAAGTTTGCGATTATTGCTTCGCATATAGTCTAAGCGCAATACTGCCCACTGGTCATTTTCGTGAGACCTTTGAAGGGAAGGAGCCTTTCAAAGTATGCAGTAGATGCAAAGTTTGCTACTATTGTTCCAAAGTAGGTTGATTCATTGATCTTGAAAGCTCTGTTTCTCCAATTCTGACTTGTTTGAATAGAATTGCCAATTAAACGCCTGGAGGCGCTACCATCGGCATGAGTGTCCCCTTCTGAGCGAGAAAAAGGACATGTATGCTAGGACGCGATCCCTATACAGGCTGATAAGTATGCAAAAGGCCAGCTTGATAGATTCCGAGAAATGGGATGCTTTCAAACACCTCGAGACCCATCACGCACAGCACCTCAAAGGCGCCAATTCTGCAGAGATAGTAAATGCCTGTATATCTGCAGGAATTAGCACAGATATGAGTATCTTAGAGGTTCAGAGGATCTACTGCGCTGTATGCTACCGATAAGATCTGAAGGTGTTGCAAGCATGATTTAACATGTCTTAGATACTCACGAACTCCATGTGTATCAAATCAGCAGAGGGATCCGCACCAGTTCTCGGTACGACACTTGATATTGCTGGTTCCTTCATGAACCATTCATGTAATCCCACGGCCTTCGTATTTTTCGAAGGGAGACAGATGCGAGTCCGAACCTTGCGCCCACTGCGTGCTGGAGAGGAGATTACTCAATCATATGTGGAGCTGTCTTCTTCTATTTTCCTTCGAAAGAAAATAATCGAAAATGACTACTTTTTCAAGTGTCTCTGTAAGTATAGCTATCTATCAAAACTCTACGTGACAAAATATTTATTGAATTTTCAGGTCTGAGATGCGAAGATGAAATGAAAGAGCTCCAGGAAAAGGCTCTGCATGACACTCAGTGGTTAGTCAAGCTCGAGAATGCCCAGCAACGCTTATTAGAGCTTGCAAACAGTGCAGTTGGCCACTACAATCAAACGGGCATACATATGGAGCTGGGAAAGCTAGAGGAAGATGCCAAAAATATCATTTGCGAGCCATTTCCAAATGGTGTATGGCCGAATGGCATGCCGCCTCTGGCTTCGGTTCATAGGACCTTCGCTAAAATTTGCAAAAGTAACAATAATGTCCCAGGGGCACTGCGTTACTCCTTCAAAGATTCACTCACTCAGCAAGATCGCGTGGGCGGCCTTTGGGTTCATTCTTTATTTGATATAATCCAAATTATATCGTTGACTGTTATCTTGCCGGACCAACATCTGATTTTCAAGGAAAACAACCTATTTAGCAAAGATGATTGCTGGAATGTCCTTCATGGTTATCTAGGCGAGCTGAAGCGGGCTGCGACCCTAACCTTTGGATCAGACTCTATCTATACGAGATCTATTGCAGATTGGTATTCGAAAGCTATGCTTTCTGTCGACCCGCCGCGTCCTGGAACTCGAAGTTTTAAGGCTGTTTATGGTTTATCTCAAAAAAAGTTGCTTAAATGGGCAGGGATCGAGGAAAGCAGAGGAATTGATATATTTGTGATGTGAGGCATTTGAGAATTGAGTGCTAAACCTTGGAAATTCATGCAATATTCTAAGGTTACGGTAGTATGTAAATATGACCTCGGACGATAACTGATTCTTGGTGTTACAAGCTTGTTGGTCCTTCCGAAGGACTTCTCCGAATTAAGTAGCAAGAGTATGGAGTTATAGCTGATTTCGAGGATTATTGTATCATATGTATGCCTAGGTGTAGCTTTTTATACACTCTAAGCGGACAATGTCTGTGTAGATACTTCCCCATCCTGAACAACGCAAACAATTGGCTTATCATGATGTGGCCGATGGAACTGTAAAGATGACGAGAGGGATACACAAGAAAATATAGCTTCTATTTAAACCCGGAGTTAAGATAAGTCCAGTACTATATAAAACTTGAATATATCTTTAATAGGTGGAAATCCATGAGCTTGAGGGTACATTGGTACATCTGACCCCACCTTGATAGAAAAGCGGGGAAATGGCACGAGGATCTCCAGCTCCGAACAGCTTTCCCTAGCTTATGACTCTAGCCAGTTATCATCCTAGCTAGTTCAAGGCTCCATCGCCCCATCATAATACCCATATCTAACCAAATCATAATCATGTCCGAAGAACACACAATCCACAACTCAGACTGGGAGTCTGCGTCATCCTCAGATTCAAAAGGTGATCAAATTCCCCGATTCCCGATCATCAAACACCGATCGACCACAAGATTAATATAATAACATGAAAACAGACCTCGGAAATACAGCCCAATCGACGAAAGACTTTCACATGTTAGAAAAAACAGATGACGATGGCCTCGATGGCCTCGATGTCCCCGATGATTCAGAATGGGAGCTCGTGGATGTAAACGATGGATCATGGGATCTTGATCACGGAACTAGTTTGCATTTCGATGTCACGATGGGATGGGGACAGTGGAAGCACACATTATGTTCGGTCGATTATACGAATAGAGTGAAGCTACGAGATGAACGAGATGAGAGTGAAGGGAATGAGGCAGATGATGAAAGTAAGAGTGCTACTGGCAGTGATAGTGACGATCATCCGGAGCGACGAAATGACTAGACCAGGCTAGGTCAGGCTAGGCTAGGCTAGATATGAATGATGAAACGACATGTATGCATATGAGATGACGTTGAAGTTCAGATAAATTGGAAATAGGATAAGAATGAGCTAGAATGGCTAGTCGTGAAGGCACCTGGATCATTAGGTATTAAACATGTAACATGTTTGTAGAAAAAGAGATGTCTGTTCCTTTCCTATTCCGGCTTGAAAGGGCTCTGCACGGATCCATACCTAGCATATGATTAGTTTGTTTTGCCTGAGAAAGATACCAATAAGTTAAAAGGAAGAATTAACATACCCTTGAGGACACTCGTATCCAAGCCCAGCACTACCACTCCGCATATAACAGATCTTGGCTTTCTGACACGCAAAAGTTTTACAAACAGGACTCTTAACACTCAATTTTCCTTGCAAAGCATTCTGAACAGTAACAAGATCCAGATCATCCTCCATAGCCTCAGTAACACGATGCCAGAAAGTGGCATTCAACGGGGCTCGCTTGTTCCACCCCGCAGCTGGCCCATAAGTATCACGAGTAGAATACTCAAACTCAAACGTTGGCCCCGTTTCAGTCAGCGCCGAATACTCGGAAACATTACTGAAAAAGGTATATGCTTCGTAAACGTTAAAGTCGCCCGTGTCGAGCTCGTACATTCGAAAGCCACTGTTCAGATTCGTCAACGGTGTCACGCTGGGCATGACCCAGCCAGTCGCAAGTGCCGTTTCGGAAGATTTGACACTTGCATTATTGGCGTAGTAGATCATAAATTGGTCTTCGTGGTTATGGCCCCAGAAGGTATTGGCGATAACATGTGGTGAATAGCGGTCTATTATTTGGTAGAAGAAGTTGGTTGGATTGGGTAGTGGGTTGTAGCCGTCCCAGCCGCTGAGGACGTGGCCGATTATCCAGACGCGTTCAGCTGCGTCTTCGGCTTTCTGGAGCTCGTTTGTCATCCAGGTTAACATGCCTGAGTTATCGGGGTTGGTGGTGTTGATGAAATTGAGGATGTTAGCTCGGTACCAGAAATCTGTGTAGGTGTTAGCAATGAGCTATGAAATAGTATATCTTTTGATAATGTACCAGTATTTATCGAGATGATTCTCAATCCATAGTGTGTTTTGATAGAATAGCCACCATAGTGTATACCAGCCTCTTCAGCAGTTTGTTCACTGATCCAACACTCGTGCTGCCATAGACCAGCGACATGCTTATAGTTCCAAGTTGACTGTTCACCCAGCCGTCCTTGAAGACTATGGGGCGAATCGATATTGGACGGAGCCGAGTCATGGTTCCCAAGAGTAACGAAGACAGGTCCCGTGAGATACTTCTTGAACATCTCAAATATACTGGTCTCAGTATACTCGAGATACTCATGCGAAATCTGTTTCTCGGGATCATGCGCCTGCAAGTCTCCAGTATACAAAGTCCATGCCAGCTGCTCATCGCAGGAACCCTTCCCAGTACCAGTCAATGGCTCCACAGCCTGTAAAGCAGCAAGAGCAAGGTCATACGGAGTATCGCACTTGAAATGTCCGTAAGGCGATGCAGGAAGGAAGACATTATGTTTTGAAAGCGCATTATGGTTATCCTTGCGACAGCATAGACCCGACGAGCAATTCGCTTCAGAGCCAACTCCATACCGCGCATCCAGATGAAGATCCGACATGTGAAGAACCTTGACCCGTTCCCCACTTGCCTTGGGAGCTTGAGCATTTGCAGGCTTTGGTTTGGTGAAAAGGACCGAAACATCCAGTGGCAGAGTATTAGGCTGAGGACAGAAACCTTTCTGAAGAGAATGGCAGATATACTGGCCATCGAGACCTTCGACATCTGCGTTGGCAAGAACCTGGGTCCAGATTGCGCCGAACGCATTTGCAGCATACTGTTCGTCACATTTCCTGTGGGAGGCAAACCTGAAGAGTTTGCACATTTTAATCATTGCAGCGGGAACCAGTGTTGGAGTAAAGAGGGCAGCCTGTTTGGCTGCAACAAGCGCCTTCTTGCATTTGTCACATTGACTTTCAGAACCACGGTGTTTGATGATACGGGAGATATAGGTAGATATCACTTCAACAAAATCATTGGCATCGACCGGCGATATGTCCCCATGTGCAATGGGGAAGATCGGCTCGTCTGCGTTCTCGGGTATAGCGTTGGGGTTTGTCAGTTCAAGTGGGAAAGCATAGTTCAGAACTGGATCATAGATGATAGGTTGGGGCTCTTTGGTTGGTAGAGCTGGCGAGTCGTAGTACGAGCTACAGAGTTCAATCTTGTCAGTGGATTCGACAATTGGGTGTAAGGGTGCGTACGCAAAGGCAGAGGTTGGGAACCCGGGTGCAGCGACGTAGTATGGGTCTCCGGGCAGTGAGAGTGCTCTGGTGTTTACCAGCAGAATGAAAGTGATCAGAATGGAAAACATGTTGATTGGCGTTTGGGATTGATGAGGAAATCGGAACTGGATGAAAGAAATAACTGAAGGATAAAAATGATAAATAAAAGAGTGTAGGTAATAGCCTGGAGTGAGAGAGAGCGAGGTGTTTATCAAAACAATCGATGAATTAGGAACCGCCGATAACTACACGTGGGTTGTCGAGGACTCGACAATTGATGAAGCACAAGCATATTAGCTAGAATGAACTTCATGAATTCCAGAAATAAAGGAATGCTCTATCTTACTCTCCAAAGCATGGTAATGTAGAACGCCATGCCCGTAGAGCTTCATTGTGCCTCAGGCTCAGTATACACAAGTCATCGAATAACCAGCCCTAATTCTCAGGTACATAGTATATTATCAATAAATAGTTGATCGACATCTCCATCATTCTACAGTCTTTCCTGAAGTAAATCTGGATGATGGTGATGGGAAAAGATCATGATTCTGTATGCGCATTTTGTTGTGGGGAAATTACAATCACCAAATGCCAGCGCGGAAAAAGCCCTCTAACACATCAACCAGATTCATCCTCCTCGATCTCTATTTCTCCTTCCTTCTTCAGCTACCAGTAAGGGTGTTTACTTAAACACTAAAGATAATGAATCGCATATCAATTGAATCGAGTTATGGAAGCAGATATTCCGTTGCCTTCATTCGTCTTTTTTCTACCTAGCTTGTAGGCTTTTACTTTCTGACAAAGAGCCGACTTACTCAAAATCTTCTTCATACCCACACTACACTATCTCTATGGCCAAAAAGGGTATTGACAAGTAATAAGAAGGGCCCTCATGGTGATTTCGCTCATCGGATTAAGCAGATCTACAGTGCTACTGCGAGGACGAGATTTCATTCGTCTCTAAATCATGATGTCATCCACAAGATTGGGGAATTAACTGACCTGATCATCGTTGGTCATCGCTACTCCACAATTTAATCGGTTGTCCGGGATTTCCAAGATCCAATGTCCTACCTGAACAGGATCTATGGAGGGTTACTACAAAAGTCAATGACGCACAGGGGTTGCATTAAAGTTAGAAACCTTCGACCGTTCTACAAAACACGGGGAATAAAAGATTGAAAATTCCAAGTGGTGACTTGGGAGGATGTATTATTCTTCAATGCTCTATCATTATATATATTATTTGTATTATCCCGAGAATTCTGCACCAGCAGTTAAATAATCCTTTCATCTCGTTAAATTCGCCATAAATCAATATGCCCGTCCACCCTTCGCTAGAAGAATCAACCTTCGACGCGGACCTGCGCGATCGACACTTGATATACGATTACGCAGCACAGGACAGTAAGGGCAACGCAGAAAAATGGCGATACGAGATGTGGTTCCAGAACGAAGATCGCATCAACTATGCTATCCACGGTGGACCGATGGCAGGACGAATCAACTACCAAACGGCCGATTACCAATGCATTCGACCGGGAGAATTATGGCAATGCAACTGGCTCGAGGAGACGGGTACCATATGCTCGCTTGTTTATGATATCCCGCGGCGCAAGATAACTACCTTGCTGGGGTTCTCAAAGGGTCATTGGGAACAAGCACAAGAGGCGCATGGCGATAAGCGGAATCCAAAGGATTTGGAGCGGTGGCGTAGACTTGCTAAGCTCGGGATCCAGACTGATCGACATATGTTGAGCGAACAGGCGGATATTCTGGAGGATTTCCGGGGACCGGGAGATTTGAAGCCTGTTGACAAGAGCTGGGTGACTTTGTAAATAGTACCACGGGGTGAACGGGAGGTCGAGATGTCGAGGCGATGATTGGAATGGTATGCTCGGGAATCGATCGACGGATTGACAATGAGACTGTCGGTGTGTTTTGGTGTATGATTAATCCACGTGATGCCATTAGACACATCTGGCCTGTTGAAAGGTCCCGTTTTTGTCGATGAGGAATGCATTGTTGGACGATGACCAAATTGGATTCTGTCCCAATGCATTCAGTTGAGATGATCAGTTCCGATGTCAACAGTCAAAAGTGATATGAGTAGTCTGAATCTGAAAGACACGGTCGGGTAAAATGGATGCTGATATATCAGCTAAAAGAGATAAGCCATAGACTGTCCATTATGAACAGTCCCCAAAGCTTCAAAATCAATCATGATCTTTTGATGACCCGGTCGGTGGGCCCTGAGGTGCCTGAAGACAAACCAGCTCGATTTGGATACCGTCTGGGCTGAGTGGTGGAATGCCATTGAGACATGGAGCACGGCTGACAATTCCCACCGCAACCTGAGTGGCTTGCTTGGCATCGGTCGTATCATCGAGATACCATACTTGCCAAGGATGATAACCTGACCCTGGTTTCATAATAGTAACCTCTCGTGAGGGGAACTCTTCATATGCAAAGTCTGGAGAAAATAGATTAGATTTAGGACAACAAACGTGATGAATGCTGGCAGCATCAAGACAAGGACATACCCTGCACAGGGATAGCAGCGACATCAAACACATGCGGGCCGCACTCCTCTAGATCCGGCTGATCGATCAGGAACTCATTCATAACCGTCGCTAAAGGTTGACTATAGTATGTCTTCGAGGTGACCAGATCAAAAATCTTTTGCTGAAGAGTGGTTTTGATATTATGAGAACATTGAGGTCCCCAGATACCATCACATCCATTGTTACCACCGGACGGCGTGCCAGTCAAATTTCCCACACGTAAGGCGATCTCAGAAGTCATGTTTGTCTCGATAGCATTCGGGTTCACATTGTGATTCTTATACCCTAGCCAGAACGCGGTTTTTGCCATGGGGCCATCGCCTTTGCCGTACCGACTGGAGTCGAAGGAGTAGAATAGGGTGATGGGGTCGGAGAAAAGAGGGGAGAAATCGAAAGGTACGGCGACTTGGGCGAGGGCGTCGATACAGCCGAGGGTCCAGAAGCTGCAGAACTGGGCCGAGCTAGGTTGGAGTAGTCCCAACGCGAGGATTAACACCCAGGGCCGGGTAAGCCCTCCAAGCCCCAGAAAAGCCATTGTGAGACTGAAAGAAGGAAGATGATTATCGGCGGATTAAAAGCGACCGTGAAAGGTCCTCGTTCAATTAGTCAATTCGCGACAATGACACGACAGTCACTAGTCAAAGCACTGAGTGCCCGGGGTCATCGTCTGCAGTGGGCCGTGATGGAAACACAACACCGGAATTTCGCGCCGAATAAAAGAGCCGAAGTAGTGAAGGGGACGAGGAAGAAGAGAGAAGGAAAAGCATCAAATGATAATCAAAAACGGTCAAACCAGATGAGCAGGGCCAAGACTCATTTCAGACCGGAATCCAGGGAAAACAGCCCCCGCAGCACTAGGGAACTCAAGCGGATGTTTGACCCTGGGCTAACCGACCAGTGTGGTTCCTCGTAGCAACCAGTTAGGCGTCTGGAATCCGGGAAGAGTGGAGCCGGTGCTTTGGTAAAGGAAGGGAAGAAGGGGAAAAAAAAGAAAGAAAAGAAAAGAAAATAAGGGTCTTGAGAATTGTGGATAAGAGGGAAATGAACTAACCAGCCCCAGTCCGAGTTTAGTACAAGATGAGAGAAATGGGCTGGGAGAATACAGTGGAAGTAGTAGGGTACGAGGGTCCAAAGAGAGAACGGGGTTTAACATCACATCATGCCGCATGAAAATGTACAGATAAATAAATAGATTAATTAAATCCAATAATTGTTCCGGGGCATTCCCATTAATGGCCGGTGAAACAGGGTGTTGGATACAGAGGGGGGAGATACATGACTAGAGGCTCTCCGAGTCAGAGATTGTGGTTGTATCTCCCAAGTAACTACATCCTGCATAGTCTGCTCATCTGCTTGGAATCTTTCGTATCTATTTCCTTTTTCTCTTCCTCTTCTACTTCGCATTTCCTCTCTCTCTCTCTCTCTCTCCAAGAAAACGCGCTAATTCCCGGTCCCCGCATGATTACTGAAACAGGCAAAATCAGACGGTGATCCAAGTCAGGGTTGCAGAGCTCAGCAGGAACCAGCCACTCACAGCAGATCCTTCGGGATAAGGAGGGTCTAAAATGTCCTAGGTCCGCATTATCTCGGGTTCGTGTAGGACCCTTGTTGTGGCCCCCCCCACCTCCTGTTAGTGGCGCTATTGAACCCTGCTTTCGGTGGACAAGCTAAGGCTCTTGGCCATCTCTGACTGGCTTGAGATCCCTAATCTGTGTACACACTCTCTGTTAGTGTGGAAATTGATATCGGTCAGCTTTTGGTCCTTTTTGTCGAAGGAACAGAGAAACAGAAAATTGATGAAAACTAAATATGGGAGACAATTAAATCAAATAAAAATAGAATGTTATTTTCACCGAGCAAACTCGGCAATATTCCAGAGTGCGCCAACCTCGGACCATGAAATCTCTTTTTTTTTTTTCTGCTCGATGCCCCAGTACATCCAAGCGAACGGAGACAATTCTTCTTGGCAGATTAGGCCTGTTCTCTCTCGTTACACCTAGGTGTGAGTTCAATGTACTCCGTATCCGTAAATATTCACCCTATCTGTGGTCTGCCTCCCGACTCCCCCGTCGCGGAGCGGAGTCCGCTGCAGTATCAGATCTGAGACGTTGATCATTCGGGAAGTCTCCTGTCAATCATTCAAAGTCGAGATGTGCCCGTGAAGCGCAAATCCTTCTGACGTAAGAGACTGGAGTACATACTAGTTATAATGTACGCTCGATCGGCGCATTCCGCCAGAGAGCCCTTCGCATACCCGCCCTGCGTCATAACTGGGACTGGTCAGACCATCGGATCCCTCATTGGCAGGACACAAATGCTCGGTACCTGTGAACACCGGGGCATGTACCTCACAACTGGACTGCATTTGGAGTCCACTCATTGGCTCTGCTCGCCCTGGTCGGTACTGGGAAGTGGGTACATCTTGGCAGCTGGGTTTTCGATGTCAAGGCTCCATCTTCACCGATAGGATCTCGTAACAACACCCACTTTAGGCAACACATGCTCTGTTAGCATTACAGTATTGGGAGTTGGTGAGATATGAGATCCCCAAATTTCGAAATCATAAAAAAATTCCTTGATTCGTTGGTATCATTACGTATTATGTGTAATCTTATGATTTTGGTCCTATCGCCAATCCCTGGGAACAAACAGCCGAATCGAGAACACAAGACACAAAAGTAAGACTAAAAATTATGGAAAGAACACAAGATAGAAGAGTAAACAAAGAAAAAAAAATCCAGAAACAATAACCAGCAACCATATCATGACCCGAAACTCTTAGCTCGTTCCATCAATATTGCTTTGGACTCATTGATCGATTGGGCCAACTGCCGCAGACGATCTCTTTCTCGCGCCAGGTTCTCATCAGCCACCGCAGTAATCAGTCGAAGCGATTGAGTCTCCACAATCTCATTATCACTCAATTTTGAGAGAGGGTCATGAACCTCCAAATGTTGCTGGGCACTCAAAACCTTCGTAACAGCTTTGATCAATGGCATGATGTGAGGTATATTATGGGTTAACCAGGATGCATTCTCAGGACTGGCACCTTGATGGTTCCAAATAATATCCATAGCCGCGGCTCGTTGGGTAAAGGTATGCTCACCACCTGGTGGCACGGCCAAGCGTTCTGTATCCCAGTTGATGGATGGTATTATGAGTCTTTGATGCTTCCATCCTTCATACTGGTCCAATTCAACTGCTGTCATGCGTTCTTTCGCGAAGGCTTCAGTGTCATGTCTGTGTGGCGTCGAGGCTGTGCCACTCATCATTGATAATCTTCCACCACTTTCAATAGCATTTGCTAGGCTGCGCAGTTTTACTGCGGTGCTTTCCAAAGTATCATGTCCTTGTGGAATTGGGAGAAAGAAAGGAACGGCGTTAGATGTGAGAAGCGCAACCTCTTCCTGACGCTCAGCGTGAGTCTGAGTTGTATCTTGTTCCGGTTGCATATTTTCCATGTTCAAGTGAGATTCCATACTATGGTTATCCGATTCCATGGAGTGTGGGCGTCTTTTGCAGGGATTGAGTATGCACAATTCCTGGAGTGGCTTAGCGCGTATATTCGCCGGGTGAGTCCTGAGATACAAACCCTTTGTCGTGGTAATTCTGTTTCTGTTGGCCCCTTCAAACCTGTATGGTGTATCTTTGATGAAGCCTGAGAGAATGGTTGCTGGATGAAGTCAAAGTAGGTAAGCGGTGGACTGTTTAATGCAGACATAACCTTCGAGTTTGAAAAGAGGTTAACGCCTTCCTATTTGGGACGCGTTGCTTCGAGTCTAGGATGCCCCAGGCCATACAGTCAGGTGACCTTACCCCGGATGTGACGATTGGAATGCCAGAGGAGATGACCATACATCAATCACGATTGAGGTAGGAGGAACGGTTTCTTGATGTTTGGGAGAGGTGTTGAAGAAGGTTTGGGAGAGGGAGGAAGGCTTCTATATGTTTTTTGTTGTTATTATTCATTACATATATCAGGAAATAAAGAATTAATCGATTCAAAAGTAGAAAATAATTGGTAGATATTGTACAGTTCCCATCATGGCTTTTCAGTAACTAGGCCAACTCATATGATACAGAGATAGGAAAACAAGCGCAAAAAATGCAGGCGATATTGACCAAGTACAGAGACTGTCCTTTTCAAGCAAAACCAGATCACCGAAATCAAATGTTGTCATGGGAGAGTGTCCGTTGATGCCCAGAACGCCGTAACTCCACGCTGAAAAAGAAAGACAAAATATGCAAGTATATGCGTTTCAAAATAAATCATAGTTCAAAAGTCGTCGGGAACCCTTGACTTATTTATCATCGTCGTCACGGAAGGTATGGGCGTTTGTCTGCAGCAACACGCGCTTGAGAGGCCCATCAAGACCCAATGCCTCGCGGTCTCGCCGCATGGCTTCCAGAACACCAACAATCCCACCACTGCGCAAACGTTCAAGAACCACATTCATTCCCTCCTTGCTTTTAAGGACCGCGTCACGGGTGCGACTCACACCGATGAGCTCAATGGTTCGCTGGATACCAGCAGTAGATAGTGAAGAGAAGAAGCCTCGCTTGGGAGCTTCATCTTCCGCTTCGGCGTGATCAGCTTTCTTCCGGCCAAGCAGTTTACCCTGACCGAGTCGGGACTTGAAAGTCACCGTTGTACGGACGGTAGTCTGCTCCGTTTTCTGTTCCATTGATAATCCATCAAGGGCGCGAGACTCATTTTCAGAAGCAAGACGCTGGTATCGTTGCTTTTCCACGACACTAAGGATGCCGGTCCACTCCATGTTTCGTGATTCGGTCTCCATCCAGCCCTCATGGGGATCAACAACAGTGGTTTCAAGGATATAGCTTTGGCCGGAACTATCGGAGCCACCCATTCCTTTAGGGAGAAGTTTCAAGATTCCAGCCGGAACTTTGGACTTTTTAAGGAGTAGACGAATGGTATGGAGACGTTGGGTTTCCGGATCGATGTAGCGATCGATCACATCGGTTGTAAGGACATGGCGCGAGTAAGGATTTGGGTAGCGGAGGAAATAGGCTAGGGAAACAGCGGGAAAGGAGTAGTCATAGGTGAATTTGTTTTCGAAGAACTTCATGATGGCGGTGGAGTCGATGGCGAGGAAGGCATTAGGGGGGTTGTCTGATCCGTGACTTTTTACTCTGGAAGGCAAAGGAAGCTGCATCCTGTGGGGCATCGGATCAACTAGACGGGCCGAGCCATTGTACGCCTATCAAAGGGCCGGGATAATTAATGGTGATGTATCCATGATCATAATGGAGCAATAGTACAGGAATGGCACATGTGCACATGATTTTTCCGGTTTGAGGGGTACTGCTCCTACCAAGTTTGGTTACTTGCGTTTATTGCATTATCCATGGCTGATCCAGGCTTGGGGATTACAGGCGCACACGAGCACTCGTGTGCTTCCTATGGCTTCCGGACCTCGGTTAAAAAGATAAGCAGTTCGGCCTGAGGTATCTACATTTACCACGTATCTCTACTCTGAATTGGATACGTTTTCGAGTTCATCAAGAAGATGTTGAGATGATCAAGAGCCAGAGATAATAAGGCTACTTTGATATGTTTCCCCGCGACGAACGTTAATCTGCTTTTTGGATTTGTGTGAGTATACCAGATTGAAATCGGCCAATCAGATAAGATTATCCGTCGGGGCATCAGCCCCAAGGGCCGGCGCTATGTATTGTGTCTGAGCGCAAAGACATGACGCCTAAGTTTAGCTATTTTAGCTATTTTAACCGACAACTGGCATCACCTTTCACCGCATATTACCTGGGTCCCTAGATATGCCCACAAGACAATATGGTTATAAGTTTAGATCAAGATTGTTATCATATCCTCGAAACTATGATACTGATGAGATGATTGAACCATAATATTTTCATTTTTAAGACCCGATGATATGATAGACGATACTGTATGGCATAAAATATCTCTGCCTACTTCGAAAGTGATAATTCTGAATTAGCGGTCCAGAGCTGCTTTCGCATTCAGGTTTCTGCGAAAAATTTGATAGTTTCATCTCCAATTTTCAAAAAGATCATAACTGGTGGCTGGAAAGAAAGCATAACTTATTTCAAAAAAAAGCTCAGTTGAGATTACTGCAGAAAGCTGGGATATCGAAGCGCTCATTATTATACTCAGGGCTATTTATGGACAGTACTATCATGTACCCCGAGTATTGAGTTTGGAGATGCTTGCCAAAGTTGCTGTCGTAGCAGACTGTTATGGATGCAAAGAAATTCTGGGTTTGTTGAAAGATACTTGGATTGAGAAAATAGAAAAGCTGACACCCACGACGGCTCTTCGGGATTCCATTTTATGGCTACGGATTTCCTGGTTCTTTCAACTCCCTTCCCAATTCACATTATCGACTTCCATTATCATGCCACAGAGCGAAGGTTGGATTGATACTTCGGGGTTACCGGTTCCAAAAATGTCATAGGTGAGCTCTGGTAGAAGGATTTTCCGAGGTGCTTCAAAACTAATGAAACTAATGAAATTGTAGATTCAATTGATTAAACATAGGGATGTGGCCATCAACAATCTTATTGCCCTTCTCCATGAAACATGTTATGCTTTTTTACATGGCTCTCGGGGCTGTTGTCTTAAATGTCGCTCATTCATGGATGGGGCTCTTACTATTCACATGCAGTCAGTAAACCTGCTTTTATCGAGGCCTAAGACTCCTTTCCCCAAAGTGACAAAGATCTTGTGCAGGCGGTAGTTGCATTCAAATCGCCAATATGGAACAAGTCCTCGAATTATTCAGGGGGTTATAGATCCAACTATGAGCATAGACCCAACTATGAGCATACCTGCCCCGATTATTCCTTAAGATCCATATTCACGATGTCAAACTACTCCCTTGACGGTCTGGAACTGAATCAAGCAGCTGCTTGACGATTTGAGGCTTTCGAGGCGCCTTCGAAGTGGTCATTTATTTTTGATTGGAAATTCGGCCATGGTTGGATTCCAACTGTCCTATGAGCCACCCTGCTTTATAATTCTTGTTCTTTTACAAATTGAAGGAACGTAGCGTGTGAGTGATCAACTTGAACGTGTGTGATGATGATGATGGAAGAAAGTTAACTATGCTGAGTCTACCGTAATGGGTGGCTGCCTGAGGTTATGTACTATGTCGCATGAATTCATTGAATTGGATAATTCTTGCATGTAATATCATGGATTCACACAGTACTAGTAATTCTCATTTTGCTATGTAACCCTTCGTATCCCTTCTGTGCTTGTAAACTTTCTACAGAACCATGAAGTAGGAATTTGCCTAATATCGACATTGCCCGGTGCCAGCATGGACGTAACACTTAAGCGACACAGCCAGTCTTGCAAACATCTAGCTTTATTGGTACCTCATTTATACAAAGCCCCAAGATATGAAACAATGCGCTACACAATCAACCAGCGATTCCCCTGCCAAATCCTAGTACATCGCAGCTTACACTTACCGAGTACTCATCGCCTCAAAGCTTAATTGAATAATGGTTCAGAAGACAGTTACAATCTATTTGAGTTTCGTTTGGATGGATGGATCCCCATATTCAAACTTCGAACAGTCAATCCCCGTGCGGCTTACGCGGCAGCTTGCCCATCTAGAACAACCACCACCCACCGAGAAGGTCACAGCCAAAAGACCCAGAACGACCTGTGGAGACTCGACAATGATCTTCCAGCTTATTTTCCCACCGGCTTTTCAAAGCTCGAATGGGCAGTTGCGAGAGTTTGGCCCTATTTTGGGGCCATTTCGAAACCTTCTATTGTATTCCTGGCCTGGTACCAGACCCCATGTGTGATTTGGTTCCTTTGTTCCTGTCTGTATCCTTGGGATACGTCATCGTTTCCAAAAAAATTTCAATTTTCATTGAGCATATTTTTGAGATAGCCCTTTGAATTCAGCGCCAAGAAGGTCTAGGTATTACATCACTTGTGTGCGCGGGTGGTTCTAGACCTCCCCCCCACTAACGGCTTCTCCCCACCTTAACGTCGCATGCACAGATCCACAACTTAATATTCTTTATCGTTCTAGATTTCAACTTATGTGTTGCGTTTCTGTAGATTTCGAACTTCTTACTTCAATTGGAATAGCTAATAGTCAAATAGTGTGGCAGCATGTATTACCTGCCAACTATTGTTCTCTAACTCAGTGCATGTGGCGACTGAAAATTTCTTCTTTTCTTGTATATGAAAAATCTGATAGACCTGCCAAGGACCCGTCAATCCCAAGGTCAAACCAAACCCCTCACCTCGCCACCTCAAGTCGGAGGATCTCCATCTCCAACTGGAGCCTTCCGACAATCTCACAACGTCCCCAGGACCTAATTTTAGCGACAGGCGAGACCCATGCCCGGAGACCGGAGAGAACCGTCGTTCCTGTCTGTGCCTGTTTAGTTAACCAAACTTTCTGTCGACCGAGAAGGGCACATTCTTTTTCCAAGAGAAAGAACCCTGGAAAGAATTCAGCCTAGCAAAGGTACCCGACAAATGATTCGTAGAATCCAACGCCATGTTCGAGAAATTTCTTTGTGAACTGAACCTAACCAAGTCCCGCGGCCAGGTCCCGGCAAAGTCAACCGCGATTCATTCCTGGTTCCGAAGTGATTGCTTGGTTCCGTTGGAGGCGACTCAATGTAAAAGGACCAGTAACTACGTAGGAACAGCTTATGTCACTGTCGCCTCTGGAATGAACGAACGAGAGCTCGTTCCATCTAGCGAGTTGGGGGGATATTGAAATTCTAGAAACTCTATTGAAACGTGGTACTCCGCGTAAGGCGATGACAAAGGTATTCGAGAACATCCACGCGAGATCCACAATATAACCTTATTGTTAACCGTTCATCCGTAGTCTGGAATAACGGATCATGATGGCAAATCTGCTAATATTGGCAAAGGTATCGGTAGAGACTACCGGCTCCACCATGGAGGATAAATAGGTCCTTGATCGCAGCTATCTCAGTTCTTTTTTTCTTTCAACCAGTCCAGTCTTTCCATTCTCTATCCTTTTATTCTTTATTCTTTTGTGTCTTTTGACACCGACATTCTCTTGTCTTTGCTCTTTGGGATTCCTACAATCCTTGACAGACAACTTTCATCAAAGTCAATCAATCTCTTTTGACTATCACTTTCACTTTGAATTTCAATTGAACAATCTTCTTTGAATTTCCAAAACAAACAATCAAAATGTTCTTCTCCAACATCGTCATCTCCGGCCTCCTCGCCGCCACCGCAGCTGCCATGCCTGCCCCCCACGCTGCCCGCAGCAACCCCACAAGCACAGCATCCGCCTCATCCTCCTCCTCCACAGGAGGCGGTCTCCAAATCGTCAACAACATGGACTCAACCGTCTACCTCTGGACCACCTCAGACTCCTCAGGTGACATGCAATCCATCAACAGCGGCGGAGGCACCCACTCCGAGAGCTGGGAGACCAACTCCAACGGCGGCGGTATCTCAATTAAGCTGTCTACTTCCGAGAGCGAGGACAGCGTCCTCCAATTCGAGTACACCCAGGAGACCGATGATACCCTTTACTGGGATTTGTCCTCTATCAACCTTGACTCGAGCTCGGACTTCATTACTTCCGGCTTTGCTGTGACTATTAGCGATGACTCTTGTGTTACTGCTAGCTGCTCTGCTGGTGACTCTAACTGCCTTGCGTCTTACCAGCAGCCTGATGATGTTGATACCAACTCTTGCTCTACTTCTGCCACTTATACTCTTACTTTGGGCTAAGTTAGTTGAGCTAGATTGGGACTTTTTGTTTTTTACTTCTCTTCTCCTTTGGAGAAAGACTTTCTTTAAGACTGGATTATCATACATTCTCTTATCTATTCACTCAGCGATTTTCGTGGATAAGAGACCCTTGCATGCTGGCTATGCTACGGTGGATTTTTATAGAAATGTTCTTATAGACTAGACTATAGATATAGACTTCTGGATTTACAGAAAGAAAATTAAAAATTTTGACACAAACATTATCTTCTACCTGTAAATTTTATTAATCCTAATTTTCTTCGGGATTTCTTATGATGCAATCGCGGATAAAATATGAGGCATTAGTGGCGAGGTTAAGTGTTTGGTACGAACGTACATGGACCATGGTAGCATCGTTGCCACGCCGAGCCACGCCGAACTTCAACCTTTAAGGTATCACAATGGGAGCGTTGAGATGGCACTTGACGGAGTTAACTGGGTAAAGGGCTTTAAGATATGATAAGGCATTCAGGTTTACTTCAAATTAGGGAACATAATGTGCAGCCCTCGAAAGGAAAGTTATATCCAAATCCAAGCATTATATAGACAGAAAGAGATGATAATTTGGGGGTATTTAGGGGTATTCTAACAACAGCGTAAATCGGGCGTCCCTTGTACAATTTCCTGTTTCCATCATCAACACATTCACCAAGAACGAATTAGTATTATACAAGAGCTGCCGCGCCAATTTTCCAGTGGTATAATCAAGAAAAGTAAAAGAGAAGATAGGACATATGACCAAGTAGATGTGTGACCAAAGAACTGGAGTGCAATGCCAATGTTTGCTTTTTGGATAGGGGTTCAGATCTACTCGTTGGAGATAGTCTTCTCGCCCTCGGAAGAGGCAGCAGCGGGGAGAACCAGAGGCTCAGTGATTTCCTTTCTCATGGGCTCCATGCGGGGGCTAGTACGCTCGAAGTACTTGTGCATATCGCCTTCAAGGATGCTCTCATCAACGTCGAAGATATCGGAGCTGGTCTCGGACTCAGTATTGCGGGAAGCCATAGCGGACTCCCATTCGGCACGGAACTCCTCCACCTTCATCTTGTAGTCAAGAGCGGCATCGTAGTGCTTGCCCTTACCGGTCCAGCGCTCGTAGAGAGACAAGTGCTTGGGGTGAACGGCAGGACCGTGGTAGTCCTCCTCACGGCCAAGACGGATGTAGTGCCAGCGGCGCTCCTGCTCGCGGAGATCCAGCCCGGTGGTATCGGGGAGGAAGAGCCAGGTAACGAGAGCACCGAGAAGACCGAACCAAGGCACAACGTAGAAGCGCTGCTGGGTGGTGGTGTAGGAACCGACGATGGCGATGATCAGAGCACCAAGCTTACCGAAGGCAGCGGAGATACCGTGGGCAGTACCACGAACGGCAGTGGGGAAGACCTCAGCGGCAACCAGGAAGGTGATACAGTTGGGACCGAACTGGTTGAAGAAAGAGGATAGGAAGTACATAGCCTGGAAAGAGTGGATGTTCTCGGGAGCCATGTAGTAGTCGAGCTTGAAGCAGGGGATAACGAAAAGAATGAAGCACATCATGAAACCGATGATCTGAGCCCACTTACGACCGTAGAGCTTGTTGTCCACGGTCCACATGGCGCCATAGTAGCCAGCCATCTCGACGGCAACGTTGGCGAGAGTCCAGGACCAGCTGGTCATGACAGAGCTGTCACCAGGGGCAATGACAGCGATGAAACCACTCTGGAAAAGCTTGTTACCGTAGAAAAAGACGTCGTTGGCGAACCATCCACCGGCGGTGGCGATGAGACGAGGAGTGAAGTACTTGAAGGTCAACTTGAGAGACTCGGTATCGTATCCAGTAACGGAGGACTTCTTCTTCTGGGCCTCGAGTTGCTTACTGGCAGCACGCATGTGGTAGGTACGGTAGTAGACCAGCCACAGGGTACCGACAGCGGGGATAGCGAAAGAGACACGGTAGACCCACTGGGTGGTGACCTTGGAGAAACCATCACGGTGACCGCCGTTGAAGATGATGAGGAGAAGCATGAGAATGACCTGGTTGGCAGCTTGGCCCCAACCTTGCATGGTGAAGGCACCGACAACGGAACGACCACGGTGGAGACGATCATGGGAGGTGGTGACCTTACCAGATCCGTATCCGTTCTCCATACCGATGGTGGCAGTCATGGGGTATTCACCACCGACACCAATGGAGTAGAAGAAGAGAGACCAAGCATAACAGATAACCCAACCGTTCTCAGTGAGACCCCAAGCGGCAGTCAGCATGAGAAGACCGACGAACATGATAACAGCATCTTGAATAAGACCCCAACGACGACCGATGCTGTTTTCCAATGTCAGTTCAATCCAATTTCCTCGTTCGTAAAAGGAGGAGGGGTTCGGGGCCCTTACGCATCACCAAGATAACCAACGAGAATTTGACCAACCATGATACCAGCGACCTCGAGGTAGTTGACAGCGGCGACCCAGTTCTTGTTGCAAGTGGTACCCTTCCAACAATCCTTGTAAGTGACATCCAACATGCTGGTGACGTTACTGATGGAGAAGAGGACGTAACTATAGACAGAAGAGGAGCATATTGTTAGCATTTGAATCCATCGATTAAACTGCCATTGAATTGACAGAATCTGATATTGATATTGATGACTTACCCCTCCAGACCCAGACCTGCACCAGGCAGGATAAAGTTGCGGAAGTAGTAACTAATGGGGGAGAGAGGATCCTCCTTGATCATCTCCCAGAGCCACTGGCGCTCCTTCTTCATCTCATCGCGGTCCTGTCGCATACAGAAGCCAATACGTTGACCAACGGGCAGATCAGCCCAGTACTGGCCATCGGGGGTGTAACTATCGGCGGGACGGATGATTTCATCGAAGGCAGCCTTCTCATTAATCTCCATCTCCTCATAGTGGTACAAGATCTCCTTGGGAGTCTCCATTGCCATTGTGAAAAGGCAGGACTAAAACCCGATGGGTTTGTCCGAAGATGAATTGAAAGGGTTGGTTTTGTTGGAAGAGAGAGCGACACAGAAAAAGAGAGGGAAAGAGGCGATCAGCACATATTTATCCTGACACGCGAGGGCCACGCTTGGCGATTTCATAGAAAGAGGGAAAGATCCAACCGCACTAGGCCGGTCAATCTGGAGCCACGAGTTTAGAGGGTCAGAACGGGTAGACCTATCGCGTGCATGGGTGGGAGCACGATTCTCGACAGAAGTGGAGCCGGGCAATCTCCCTTTTCAGCGTTAGTTTGGGTTACTTTTGGGTACATTTGGACCGATGACAACTTGGTTTGTCACTGGTAGCCAATTACTGGTTAATCCAGTGTCTGGTCAAGCTGCCATGCATGTTGCCGCGCAGTGGCAAGCCCACCCCTTCTAGAATAATAATATAAAAAAGAAAAAAGGGAAAGGAAAACTACGCGCATAGAATGGAGAATTCTGCGACAGGGAAGTTTTAGCCCCCGGTCTACTCCGTCCTTCCCATCCATATAGCTTAGAATGGATTGGATGATCTGTTTCATATGGAAAATCGAAATCAAAACCAAAAAAAATCGCGGGATTGACCGTTGTAGTGACGAAATCTCGTCTTTTTTGACCACTCTATACCATTTTACTCTCTCTATCCAAGAAACAAGCATGAACAAGCAAACCAAGACTAGAAGGCGTTACTTGGCTCTCCAAGGATAATGCTTAGCTACGCGAGATGAGCAGAAGAGGTGCTGAAGGTACATCATATGCGGTACATGTGCACGAGGCTTCATCTCGTTCATTTGGAGGGGGAATTTACTCTCCAGAACGTTTGAAAGTACATAGACTTCTATGCACCAATCAGAACTGTCCATTCCACCCCGTGCTCGATTTAAAGCTTATCAGTCAGCCGCGGGATCCACTTTACCCGGCCAGGCCATCCAACCCTCTCCTGACCAATCAAATACCTCCATTGACCCATTTCCCCCATCCCCGACACTTGATTCCCCCCGACTCGCAAACCTCCATTCACGCACATGGGGCAATCACGCCTGGGGGACTGGAGTTGTCCCTACATCTCAAGTGCTCTCTCTCTCTAAAGTTCAGCCCCACCAATGTCACGGAGTCCCCGCTTGATCCAGGTCCACCTGCAACTCAATGCACTACAATGCACCACGCGACACGAGACTCGTTTAATGAAGCACCCGGTTGAACGCGTTGGATGATACCAATCTATGGAACCACTTCGGAGTACTGCGCACACGACCGAGATTAGCACTGACTACTGGGATCATACTACTTCGTTAGGGTTCTATATATGGATCTCGCAATCCAGCTATCGGAGAAACCTTGGAATATAACGATGCGCTGGGGCCAAGCTGACCTAGGCATGCCGAGCAATTAACTACATTCCCCGGAGCCATACAATTCCCATGTCCACGGCCAGGTGCTGTGAAACATCTATCTCTCAAAGATGATTGGCCCACTCATAAAAACTAGTATCGATTATCCCCGACGCCCAAGAACCAGTAAGCCTCGGGCGCAGGACACCAACAGCCACCCAGGTACAGATACCAGGTTCCATGAACTAGTGCATAGTGTAGGATCGCTTAGATCCAGAGAACGATCACACGCATGCAACAATCCAACCCTGGAGGGTATAGTTCCAACAACCTACTATAATACGTGACAAGGCGCTCAAAATAGCCCCAGCAAGAACGCTGTCCCCACCGTGTCATGCAGGAACGTGCTCCCGATCGCCGCGTCGGCTGATCTAAAGGATCGACTAAAGCCTCACCGAGAAAAAAAGAGAGAAAAAGAGAGAGAAAAAGTTGAACAGGATCCTCATTTCGGCTCGGCATATGCCGATTGGACACGCGGTGCCTATGACCGTTGCCTCCTGCCACTTGCCGCAACGATTATCTCGGATCCCAATATGACTGTACTGATCATCGAGATCATCCTACCGGCGGCGACTTTATCCCTTCAAACGAACTTCAGTTTGCCACTAATTCACGGCTCACGTCTCTCGCTTTTACTCTCATTGTTCCCGGCATCTCTACGATGCAGGAACGTCCACGCTAAAGTGCCGGTGCTTCCGACGCAAGGCCTTCCATCAATGTTCTAGAATATCAGCTATTCTGGCGCTAAAAGCGCTGCGCTATGTCCTTCGTGTGGATGTTCGTGGCCTCGGGTCCGGGCAACGATTGCATACGAGTGGGCCTGGGAATACATTGGCTGATCAATGTGGCTTGTTCAATTTGAATTTGCCCTATCCTTTATACGGAATAGTCCGTATGGATATGCACCTCAGTGCCCATTGGGTTAGTAGACCATCCAGTCGGCCAGGGCGCATTTTATATGTGAAAACTTTGCACTCCTTTAAATATCAGCCAATGAATCGATAATGCACTACATCGGACCTGGGCTACCGTGGAATAGTCCAGTTATTGGTATACAGGGTTGCCTCGCTTCAATGCTCTCGTAACGACTGGTTCTTAACCTGTTCACCTTCCTGTCCATGGCTTTACTCCTGGCTCCCCGACTTAGGAAAGAGCGACTGTTCTACGTAGCCAATTTAGGGCAACTGCCGCGTTCACGGTCCAAGCTCCCCACCTGGCTCCTTCCTCGCGAACTTAGAAACTTCTTTCTGTATCTCGCGGCCTCTTCCCATTTATGCGTGGCATATATCCCAATCATGACAATAGCGTATCACAGCATTTTACCCTAATCGCCATGCCTTGACACTACTGTTCTAAGTTATTCCAAGTTCACCGGCAATCCACGTAGATAACCTTGGAAGTATACCGACCCGACACTCATTATGGACAACCTAGACACGGCCTAAGCCTGTTTCGAAAAGAACCATAAACAACAATTCACGCCTTTCCCTTATACATTCAGAATGAAAATATGGCACCCATACTCAAGAGAATCAATCCGCTACCCGCCCTCCAAGTTTCCTTCCCTTCCTAGTTTCTTACATCGTGTAATTGATTTACTATACCCAGCCCATCATCGATAACTTGAATCGCACAATCAACCAATTGCTTCACCTTTCCCCAAGACCCAATGATACCTCTAATTATGCAGCTTCAATCTCGACGTCGCCTTCTAAAATGGATCCGTTCCTGCCTTGCGCTCTATGTCGGAAGAGATTTCTCTCATCGCGCGCTGGAGTACTTAGGTATCGACGCCTATCACTTAGATATTGATTCCGGGACAACTTCAAGTGAATTAACTTCTTACTTTCATCTAAACATCTCATTCCCTCGCTGTGAGGATATGGATCCTGGTAATTCCGAGAGGAGCATACTCGCAAACTTCAATACTACGAGACCGGGATCTGGATCGGCCTTCTCAAACCACTTACTTTGGGCATTTACACATTATGGTTTTGAGGGAGATGAAGAGTTGAAAAGTCGTGTTATTGATTCTGAGTGGGTCTAAACTTGAACCCTGTGCTTTATATGCGACTGTCATATTATTTAAGTTGACTTTTATACTAGTGCTATAGTATACAGAGGTTGGAGATTGGACAGGTAAGTATATGACTATATGCTTGATTTTTTTTTCCCGTATATACTAAAGAGATAGTATAGAAAAATGAATGCTAACTTACATCACATCTATCAGATCTTTGAATAATGAAAATGACCGCTTTTCGCGACTACCCAGCTTTTGGTTCGAGCGAAAGCGAAGATTCTTAAATGACTCTCTAAGTCATGCGATAACAATAGCTGAAGTGTCTCGATGTAACAAAAACCAGCCCGATATGAGCGAAATAGCAGTCCTTCTTGAGGAAATCCAGGATGGAATGAAAGAACAAAAAAAGAAACTGAAAAGCATGGCTAAGTCTGAAAGGTTGACAAGATTTCACCACATATTACCGGTATGTACTAGAATTTTTGGTGGGATTGTACTAATATCTATGGAAAACATCATTAGAGATTGGTTCAAATTTTCGATTATAGGGGACATTGTCGCCTTCTCTATGGATACTTTGATGGCCGGAGATTGAAAATTCAGTATACTGAGGTCTTGGATTTTTCATCGGTAGCTATTATTAATCTGACCGATAAGAGGTTTATAGATGTGGTTGATCCAACGAGGTATCATGAGATGATGGATAAATTTTTGAGATGGGCGTGGCCAATCGTTGAAGGGGATACGGGGAAGCATATGCTTGTAGATTGATACTGGCTGGCTTTTGAGATCGTTCGATTCGATCAAGGAAAGTGCAATCAGTCATGGATTGTACTTTAGGGCATGTAAAAGTATTTATTATTGTCACTGGTATATTATGATGCTTTCTCGGTGTCTCTTAGGTGATTTATTCTGTCTCGTCAAATTAAGGGAATATTTGAAGTTTTGTGGAGAATGCGAGTGGGAACAGATATTGGGAATGGCAATGAGTATTACCAGAGTTGTGTTGGTCCTAGGAATATTATAAATCTTTGATTCCCTAAAGTACTGCCTAGAGTTGGTACTTGGTAAAGCACGATGAATCACCACCGTGGGCATATTACCGAGGGGCTCCTACGAAACTGTTCGTCTAGATTACTAGGTAATAGACAAGGACCAAAAAATAATAACCAAAACCAAGAATAAAACGCTCAGTCTATTGACCCAATTGCTCATGCAGACCAAACATGCGATAAATATAGCATCGAAATTCGTGTTCCAGTTCACCACGCGTCAGGGGGGTATTTAACCAGCCTAACCAAAATGGTAAAGTGTCTGCTTCCCCTTCTTCTTTTTACCCTTGCTACCACTTGGGCCTGAATCGTCCTCAATACCTGTATCGGCTGGTGAAGCAAGCCCCGAAGAAGGATTAGAGCTCCAAGCAGTTGGGGCAGGTCCACGACGATCATCCCAGCGGACATAGCCTCGAGTCTTACCTGCCATCAGCACATTAGGCTTGGCAGCTGCAGGGAGAGATGGGAAGGCATCCGCGCTGTTTTTAGTGGGTGGGGCACGGGGTGCTGTGGAAGGAGTTGAATAGGAACGACCTGGGCCGGTAGAAAGGGTTGGACGGGCAGCAGGTGGGGCAGCAGGGGCTGCCCATGGTGTAGCAGCGGTGGCTTGTGATCGACGGGAAGGTCCAGCAGAGGCGGCGAGGGGAGGGAAAGGATTCGAAGATCCGGAGGGAAGACCACCGCTGCGGCCGACGGCGGAGCGGGAGGACTGGGCGGTAGATGATTTTAAGCGCAGGACACGCTTGCCGCCAGTGTTCACGCTCGCTGGGGACATTCCAGGCAGAGCAGGGTAGTCTTCGTTAATGGCGCGCCAGTCATTCCAGGCTTGTAAGAGACCGGTGCGCTTAGAATTATCCTCATAGATCTCAGCAAGCTCCTTGATGAGCTTTCCTAATTCAGAGCTGGCTGTGTCGAATAGGGAAAAGAAGGCGTCGATGAGTTCAGTGGCTGAAATTGAGGAGGTGCGGTAGCTCGAAACTCTAGTACGGAACTCTGACAGCTTTTTGGCATCGTTACGGAGAAGATTGGACGCTCGCTCTACCACGGCTGTGTGTCGGAGTTTTCGTGCTTGGTCTTCGGGGCCAAGAGACTCCTGGTTAGCAGCGAGACCCAGATTTTCAAGCTCTGCCGTGGGAGGGGGTCGAGAGCGCGGAGTAGATGACGAGACTGGTGTTGCACCACCTGATCGAGGTGGCGCTTGCACTGTTTGCGTATCGTTTCTGGTGAGTTGACCGCCAAAACTACGTGTGGAAACTGATTGGGAACTTTGAATGGCCATCTGTCGTTGGTAGGCTAGTTCAGCTCGTGTTAATGGCTGCGCACTAGAGGCTGGTAATGGCTCCGCATTGGGGTCTCGTCCTCGGCCAGCGCCACGGCGTTGTTGGCGTTGTGGTTGATAAGGGCTACGAATGTTATCAAACTCAGAAAGATCGACTAGCCGTGCATCTCGACGGATATCCTTCGAGACGCCATTTGGATGTGACTCCAGCTGGTGTCCCTTAAGATCCATTTGTGATTCAAAAACAACGAACTTCTTCTCCAAACATTCCGTGTCAAGGCATATGAAATGGTCGCGTCCGAAGTGTTCTTCGAGGGCATTATAGTCGATGTAGTATTGTTGCTGACGATTGGCATTTCGTCTATCGCAAATGTGGCAGCGTTCATGGCGATCGCGGCAGTGGGTATAAAGTTCGTCGTCGCCGTAGAATCTCTGGTGACAGAAACCACACTCGGGGTGTCCCTTGAAACCGCTCTGGTCGATGGCACCTGGCTTGTCGTCGCCGTACTTTTCATGTTTTCGCAACTCGTCCCTTGTGAAAAGAGTGTGTTCGTGGGTGAAGACCTTCTTATTTCGGGTGCAGAGGTCACTAAGGGACCATTTCCATTAGTGACTGTGACTCGTAAAATCAAGTTGATAGGAAGCATGAAAACTCACCACATGACTTTGTTATGTTTACTCTTTACATGCCGATGTAAGTCTGGCCAACCTAGACAAGCGACATCGCAGTCTTCGTCCGGACAGTTGTACCGAAGTAGCAAAACTGTATCCTCATAAATATCGTCATTTTCATATTGAATACCAAGATTATCATCGGCTCGAGCAAAGTCTTTTTTCTGAAAGTCTTCAAATCGTCGCACGGGGTCATCAGTGAATATCACGTAGTTCGATTCGGTCTATCGTCAGAAACGTTAGCGCTTGCGATTCCATAATATCGTGAGCGAACTCGGCGAGATCGGATCGGGAAGGAAGTAATAAAAGGCCACGATAGCCACCACACTTACACGACAATGTGCGCAGCCCCGGTTCTTGTATAAGGCGCGAAGTCGGAGGGCACAAATGTGACACGTTCGGTGATTACACGGAGAAACAGAGGTATGCTCAACCGGTGACGCACAAATGAAGCACACCTCCCCATCGTCGGCATCGTCCGTGGCGGCTGGGAGAGATTTGGATCCGACCGTCGCAGTAGCTGGCGCAGTCGATTTATCGGTATCCTGAGCTCCGTCCTGGCCTTGTGCCTTGTCGCGACCTCCCGATCCCTTGCCTCCTCGGCCCCGAGGCTTGGATCCTCTGCTGGCGTTGGCTCCTGCGGTCTGTGGCCCATTCGTCTGGCCAGAGGGGGCAGCCCCTCCGCGGCCGCGTCGGCGGCCACCACGACCCCGGCTTGAGGACTCTGGGGCAGCGGGCACGTTGTCGGCCATATGGAGAAAATCGAGAATAAAACACAGATAAAGATTAAGAGGTCAATGGCAAAAAAATCTTCAGCTCTGGAGCTCGAGGTGTTGGGTGGTGGGGGATGGGAAAAAAACTTGTGTCGCTGACTGATCCTTTCCGTGGCCTATGAATGGTTTATGGAGATGTAGCCGCATCCTTAGCTTTAACATAATGCATAAGGGGGATATGGCTCTCGAAAGCTTTACCAGCTCATCTATTCCCATACATATTCATAGGTGTATCTATATCTTTGTTTCTCATTGATTCTCCATCCACTTATCAAATTTACTGTGTGCAAGAAGGGCCGAGGACTTATGGACTGGTATCTATATGAAATCGGATCGGCTATTCCTGACCTACAAGATTTTACTGTCTTATAATCGTATTGCTTACCAAAAGCATTATATTAGAGGAAGCTAGAGTAAGGCTGGGGCTATTTGGAAGTAATGATGTATCTTCTCACTTTTATACTATTGCACCACCAGCGTAATGATACTCTACTACCTACAAATCCAATGGCCATTAAAGCACCCATAAATCCAGTTTCGATATCATACATCCCTTAGTTATCATCTCCAACTTGAACTTTACCTTTTACAACCCTATGAATAAGTTCCCCAGGTCCTTACCCCAATTAAGCTTCCTCCACGGGATTTTGCATATTCAAAGTGGAGAAAGCGCAATTGCCTGATTGGGAAGGGCCGCCTCCGCAACACTTTCCAGTAGGCATGAACAGTCGAGATGGACACGTAGTGGATGCACATGAATGTGGCAGAAGGTCAAAAAATAGTCGAGCTCCATAACCTATGTGAATATGAGTATCGATTTCCTAAATTTCGAAAGATCAATTTTGCCTCTTGTCGTTGAGGTTATTGCACACTACATATATACACTAATAAGACAAAGTGATCTAACTTTTGTCTCACGACTTCCCATTTTCCTTTTTTCAAATACTTATCTTATATAGTCAAATAACACGAAACAAAGCTCCTATTATTTTGTTTGATCTAACAAATGTGTGCACCCAAACTTTGGAGGTTCTGTGTTGATGAGATCAGTTTCCAAGGTTTTGTGGTCGCGCCGCATCCACCACACAAATGCCAGTGGTGCCTGTCTTATGTAGGTTGCTCGATGTGAACATCAAATATAGTAAAGTCTCCACTAATATGCTGAGGACAAGTGAACTAGCGCGGATAATTCCGAATCAATTAGTCCACTTTTGTATACGGTAGCAGCGACAACAGAGTCTCCGTAGAATACGTTGAATATGCGGAACTGCCGTATAGGGAACCCTCCGCATACATTGACACACTGGGGGATGCACATCAATAACCGGCCAGCAATCCCAAACAAACTATTTAACTGTGGAAATTTCCTCATATTTTGCTAATTCCCATATCTCATCGATTCCATTAATATAGCTGAAAGCCCACCAGTCTATCCCTTCAACACAGACCCACAGCCAGTATCATAGTGATTTCAACTTGAAACATCCTCTAAATGGCGGAACCACCTATTAAAAATGGCCTCTTTTGCCATTCGAACAACACATACGCAGGAGAAAGCAGTGTTATGAAAATGTTCTCGCTCAAAGGGAAGACTGCAATCGTCACCGGCGCAGGAGCCGGGATTGGTCTAAGTGTCGCCCACGGCCTCGCAGAAGCTGGCGCGAACGTCGCAATCTGGTACAACTCCAACAAAAAGGCAGTTGACGAAGCTGCTAATATTGAAAAGACTTATGGTGTCGCCTGTATGTCAATCCCCCTTGATACATGTACAGGCCCAGGGCTATGGCGAATTACTGTTACTGACTACCTCTTAGGCCGAGCATACCAAGTCAACATCAAAGGACTGAAAGACGTTGAAGAGGCCGTGGAAAAATGTGTCCGTGAGCTTAATGGCCGTCTAGATATCTTCATTGCCAACTCTGGAATTCCTTGGACAAAGGGTGCAATGGTCGATGCACCCATTGATCACTACTCCGATGTAGTTCAAACAGATTTAGATGGTGTCTTCTACTGTGCGAGAGCCGCTGCTTCTCACTGGAGACGCCAGAAGACAGAGAAGACAGATATCTTTGGCAATGCCTTGAACGGATTTACATACGGCAGTTTTGTTGCCACTGCTTCGATGAGTGGTCACATCGTCAATGTTCCTCAGTTGCAAGCCGCATACAATGCGGCTAAAGCTGGAGTTATTCATCTCTGTAAGTTGAACATATGGGCGATTTATGAGGATTACAAAAAATAAATACTAACCATCGTTAGGCAAATCACTGGCTGTGGAATGGGTTCGATTTGCCCGCGCTAATACAGTTTCACCTGGCTACATCGCAACTGAGATCTCTACTTTTATTCCTGACGAGACGAAGGATATTTGGAAGGGTAAGATCCCAATGGGCCGCGAAGGATTACCGCAGGAGCTTAAGGGAGCTTTCCTGTACCTTGCATCTGATGCCTCTAGTTATACAACTGGATCAGATCTGATTGTTGATGGAGGCTACACCTTGCCATGAGATGATGATATTTGCATTTTCTTTTGGCCTGGTTAGTATATACACATATAGTCATACATCGATAGCATAGAAAAGTTTAAACATGTGCGGATCTAGAGTGGTTCATTATTCATGCCTCCAATTATGCCAAAATCAAAATCGAAGTTATCGAATATACCCAAAGTCGATTTCGGGTCGAAAAAATCTATGTCGTGTGGGTAGTGTTGTGTTCCTTCGACCCCTTGCCGTGCTTCTTCATGTAATATAGGATTGTCTTCATATAAATTTAGCTCAAAATCACGTTGAAGGGACAAGTCAGAAGTGTCTTACCTCTCACAGAGTCTGCACTATTTCTTCTAGGCGTAGGATTCCGCAGACGAAAACATTCATCAGATGTCTTCTCCTCACTATCCGTCGGGGAATTTTCTCCTTTATGAATAAGACGTTCTCCTAAGTCTGCCATGAGGGAGGCAGAATGAAAAGTATTCCCCAATTCTCGTAGAATATGGCAGTTAGTTATAAGATGTCTCCGAGCTCTTTGTTGGAGAATCTGCGTCTTGCTTTGCTGTAGACTGTGATACATTACCCGCAAAGATAGAGCCACTGAATATGGAATGATCGGGGACGAGCATAATTTCCCATAAAATTCATCTCCCACGATATAAGTTATTCTCTCTGCCGAGAAACGCTGACGCAGTTTGGCTTCCGATGTTGGGAAGACCCCATCTGGACTTGCTGAGCGACAGGCCAGAATGGCGGTTGCATGATATAGAACTTCTATGGTAGCTGGAGCTACATTTAGAACTTGATTCGAATATTCATTCTCCGTTATTTGAGAAGAAATATGAAAAGACATACCTATGAAATGCAATGGAATATCTGATGTGTCGACTTCTTGCAATAAATCTTCAAATGGCGGGAACTCTTCTTTCCACGTCGAGTTCACGGCGGGCTGATAAAGCTCTATGACTCGTTCAAGCACGAAGATAGTACGCAGTAAGAGCTGAAAGCAACTATCCTGCGCAGCTATAGATGACAATATGTCGCGATTTGTATCTCGTCGATGGAACTGCATGGGCCTTCCTAGAAATGCCGCGGTGAGGATGTCGAGAGCGTAAAGACAGCAAAATATTCTAGTGAGCGTTTGTTCCCGTTGAATCGATGATGGACAGTGGTGATGTATGCCAATAGTATAAGTATGGCAGATTGCACGAGATAAAAGCTCCGCCGATTCTTGTCGATTTCCCGAGAACTGTGTGAATAAAGAAGCTAATGAAAAAGCTTGAATGAGGACCAATTTGTCCTTGGCTAGACCTAACGCGACGGAGGCATTAATGGCGTCCAAAAGACTGCGGGAGAAATCAAAAGATGAATCGACTGTGGGTAACCGAAGATAGGGCTTCGCATCTTGATGTAAAGCAGCTGCGATGCATATTGATTGAGAGAGGATGATTTTCTCTGGAGATTTCGTAGCCATGTTTTCGTACGTTTCGAGATCCAGAACGGGGAATATGGGATTTATGTTTGTGAGATAGATGCGTAGAAGCACCTTCATATCATCCGGAGCTGGCAAGACCCCCAAGCATTGACTTTCCAAGTGTGGTAGGATAACCGAAGATAAGAAAGGGTCTAGGCAAGACATTAGACTTGATGTAGGCTTCTTAGCTTCTAGTTGAGTGTATGCATTCTTTGCTGATAACCAGACACCAACATCCCCATGCCGCCTATTTGCTCTGGAACTTGATGCCGGACTTGCCGCAACGAGAAATGCACCTTCTGGGTCAAGGTCACCAACAAACCACGCTTCGCCATCAATACTAGCACCCGGAGAAAGGTGATGATCATTCTCCTGGGCAGTGCTCGTAGAGCTTATTGGACTAATGGTTATGCCATCTTGTATACTGGCTAACGGTGATGATGTATTTCTTGCTGGAGAACATTCTTGTTCATGTGGCTGAGTTTCAATCCCAAGCTGTCGAGAAGCACTTGTGCCATGGGTACAACGTCGTTTCCGCCGGCGACATTGCACACAAGCTCGGTGTACCTTTCTGCGATTCCGAGGGAAGCCATCCGCATCACTGGCAATAAATCTGAGTGGCCTTTGTCGATTTCGCATTTTAGAACCACGATATTTCTATTGGTGCGCGGTGTCAGAAGCGCAGTCGGCTTGGCGCATCTTCATATTCTGCCCCGCAGTCAATGTGCCACGATAAGATCCCTGACTAACAATTCAGCCGAACCGAACCCTAATTCGACATTATATTCTCGCATACCGTTTAGTAGAAGAATCTGCAGACTCTACGAAAGTATTGAACCACTTGGGCCTTTGCCAATTATTGACTGTAAGTAGGTCCATTGTATTAAGGACCATGTTGGATAGGGAAAGTATAATGTTCTCTATTGACTCGCGTGGTGAGAAGGATATTGCGAGGGACAGACCGTCCCGAATTTACAGTACCAACATAGCTGAGTTAAAAAATTGAGATGCAATTGCTAATAATGATACCCGCTTAGGGGTTGCTCCAACTCCCGCTGGAGGGCAAGAAGCATAATCTGACGATGAAGTTGAATAAAAATTGAAGCGCCGAAGAGTCCTAGAGCCTTCATAGGCGAAGGAATTGAATGAATCACGCCAGCATCCCCATGCATTGCAGAATGAACAGAAAAAAGCAAACAAGGCTCGGAGAAATGAAAGGTTCAGAGTCGTTAAGTCCGAAGACGATGTGATCCAATGTTGTATCGGAGTTAGTAACATACCAAAGACTATTCATCAGGATTGTACAGGTTTTGATTGAGAATCTTGGTCATGGTGAACATATGCACGCGATCTTGTTTGAATACTGCACGCATGGCGTCGTCGCAGCGAATTTGCCGCCGATCACTGGGGTCCTGGAGTTCATTTTCTCGGATGTATTGCCAGACCCTCTTAACTGTTTGGGGCCGCGAGAGCTGCTGTTCAAGCAAGTGAGTAAAAGGCTAGGGCCTAATAGCATGGAGTGGGACATACCGTGATCTCACCACCAAAGAGTGAAGATAGGGCAGGTGAGAGATTGAGTGGTTTCTATCAAATATTAGATCCATGTTGAAATCTAGGAGAGCATATAAGCTTCTTACGTGGAAACCACCCGTCCGAACGACCTCTTTCTTGGTGTCTGAACCTGACTCAATATCCGAATCATCCTCCGCTTTAACCTTTTTCGAGGTTTTGGCTTTGCTCCTCTTCTTTGCTGGGGCTGCCCGACGTGAACTTCCTCCCCGCGTTGGTCGCGCTCGCAAGTTCTCTTCCGCTTGGAGCTTCGCGGCGAACAGCGCATCCGCATCGACATCGGTATCTGGCTTGCGCTTTTTGGCTGGGGGAGGGGATGTACTTCGATTGGATGCTTCATCGCTATCGGTATGGCGTTTGACGGGGGACGAGGATGGGGGCGGTGATCGTACGGTAGAGGCAGCTTCATCATCGTGGCCATTGCTGACCGGTTGTTCGGGCGACTCGCCGACACCGTTTTTCTCTGCGTAGAGATCGAACCGTTCCATTATTAGCTGCTTAATAGCAGTCTACGCATTGTCACGTCAATAATCATCCTTCAACCTCGTTGTACTTTTTTGTCGTCCGAGCTCGATGGGAGAAAAAAAACTCACCTTCTGAGGAGTGAGGTCATAGCCGACTTCTTCCTGTAGGCCCTTGCGGATGCGCTTCTCGGAGATCGTATTGAGATCGCTTTTAGCCAATATGGAGTCAATGATTTCGGTAAACCGATCGCGCATATCGGATGAAACTATTGCGACAGGTTAGAGACAACCCTGCGACAGCTTCAGAGATCCCGACAACGGCGCCGGGGCAACGCCGAGGTAACTTACGCGACATGGCCTCGGCGGGTCAATGGTGCGAATCGCGTTTGGAATTGTATTAGAGTATCGCCAATGAGATGGATAGAAATATAATTGGAAGCTCCGCGAATTTCAGCAGAAGAGATCCCGATTGCGTAATGTGTTGAAAGGTACTTTAGAGCTGGTCAGGTGGGTATAGTCGTACTGGCGCTTAAGCCCGGGCGGTGGTGGAGGGGGAGAGAAGAAGGGCAGGAACGGGTTATGCCGAAAGGGCGGCCAAGACAAAAGATGTCTTCCACGTATTGATCCGCAGAATATAGGATGGAAAGAGCTTTGTATCTTGTATAAATTGAAGTTTGGCGATCAAAAATAGACGTATAAAAAAGCTGTTCTAAAAGAGGAACAAAGTGATGCAGAAGACCCCGCTGTAGCTCTCCGTTGTACATTGGTTCCAATCTAACGTACATACCGATCACGGGGATGACGGGGAGATCACGGGAAACTGACCACGTGACCACCCTTAGTCAGCTCGCACAAAGAACCCGCTTGGCACGAAGATTTGTGGATTTGTGGATTTGTGTTTCTGGCCGAAAATCTCCCTTGAAGTCCCCCGAATTCACCACTTCTTGTTGTCCGACTGTCGCCTAGAGATCAACACATCATGGCGCCCAGTTTCGATACTTTGTCCGAGCAGGACCTCCATGAGGAGGAAGATGAGGAGATTGATTTCTCCGGTGCGTGTGCAGAAACTTTTCCCGATCGCCCCTCCTCTCTGCTTCTAACCATGTGTTTTCAGACCTGAAGGAACAGCTGGACGTGAAACTCGACGAAGGATTAGACACTTTTGTCGTTATCGATGGACTCCCCGTTGTCCCCGAAGCATCGCGTCAAAAACTTATCAAGTTCTTGTTGAGGAAACTCGTCACTGTCGGCGAAACCTCCGAAGATGCTGTTTTCATGCCCGTGTCCGATAAGGGTGAGACTGAAGGGTGCGTACTCCGATGGAACGATGAGACGATTTGCATTTGCGACTGGGGTGGAACAATCAACAATCTAACTAGGGATCTTCTTCTAATCTAGATTCGCCTTCGTTGAGTACGAGACCCCCGAGCAAGCCGTGGCTGCCGTTAAGCAACTGCACGGTGTTCCCCTGGACAAGAAGCACACCCTTTCAGTGAATAAGTTGATGGATATTGAGCGCTACGGTCGCGAAGGACGAATTGAGGAGGAATATGTTGCCCCCGAGCTGGAGCCGTTCAAGGAGAAGGAGCACCTGCGCTCGTGGATGGGAGACTCCAACGCCCGTGACCAGTTCGCCCTGTACCGAAACGATAAAGTTGGTGTTTTCTGGAACAACAAGTCTAACCCCCCCGAGAACATCGTCGATCGCGCACACTGGACACAACTCTTCGTCCAATGGTCCCCCAAGGGTACCTTCCTCGCCTCCGTCCACCCCCAAGGTGTCCAGCTTTGGGGTGGCGCTTCCTTCTCCAAGCAGAAACAGTTCCCTCACCCTTTCGTCCAACTTGTCGAATTCTCACCCCTTGAGGGTTACCTGACTACATGGTCTGCTCGCCCAATCCAGGTCGAGGAAGGCCAACCTATCCTGACTTACGAGGAGGATGGTAAGAACATCATCGTTTGGGATATCGAGACTGGAAAACCTCTCCGATCCTTCGTTTCTCACGACCTTGCTGCACCCGTTGAGGATGAGGCTGAGGTTCAACCCAAGAAGAAGGTGCAGTGGCCCGCTTTCAAGTGGTCTTCGGATGAGAAGTACGTTGCACGTATGCTCCAGGGCCAATCCATCTCTATTTACGAGCTCCCCAACATGAACCTTCTGGGTCGTACTTCAGTGAAGATTGAGGGCGTGAACGACTTCGAGTGGTCTCCAGCTACTGTTACCCGAGAGGGTATCAAACAGTACGAACAGTTGCTGTGCTTCTGGACCCCCGAAATTGGCAGCAACCCAGCTCGTGTGGGTATGATGAGCGTTCCTTCTAAGGAGGTCGTTCGTACTCGTAACCTTTTCAATGTCTCAGATGTCAAGCTGCACTGGCAATCACAAGGTGCCTACGTCTGCGTTAAGGTTGACCGTCACTCCAAGTCCAAGAAATCCATGGCCACCAACCTGGAAATTTTCCGTGTCAAGGAGAAGGGTGTTCCCGTTGAAGTTGTGGACAGTCTTAAGGACACTGTCATTAACTTTGCCTGGGAACCTAATGGATCCCGATTTGTTCTCATCACCACTGGCGAATCCGCCTCCGGTGTCGCTGTTCCCCCCAAGACTTCCGTTTCTTTCTTTGCGACCGAGAAGAAGGGTAGCACCGCCGGTAACTTCAAGCTTGTGCGCACAGTCGAGAAGAAGAACAGCAATGGAATCTACTGGTCTCCCAAGGGCCGTTTTGTTGTTGTAGCCACAGTCCACTCTCAGTCCAGCTTCGAGATCGATTTCTGGGATTTGGACTTTGAGGGTGAGAAGATTGAGGCTGAGAAGGATCTTGCTGCCAACTTGCAGTTGATGAAGACCAATGAGCACTACGGTGTCACAGATATTGAGTGGGATTCTACAGGTCGCTACGTTGTTAGCAGTGCTAGTGTCTGGACTCATTCGGTAAGAAACAAAAATTTCTTTCTAATCCACAATATTATATGTCATATGCTAATTCATTCAATAGATGGAGAATGGTTGGAACCTGCACACATTCGCCGGTCAAACCCTGTCCGAGAACCCCACCGAGAAATTTAAGCAGTTCCTCTGGCGACCACGCCCCCCGACCCTGCTCAGCAAGGAGGAGCAGAAGCAAGTCCGCAAGAACCTGCGCGAATACTCCAAAGAGTTCGATGAGGAGGACCGTTACGCCGTCGACATTGCCAACACTGCTGTGGTCGAGACACGTAAGCGTGTCCTCAACGAGTGGGTTGCCTGGATGCGTCTGGAGAAGGAGCTCGCAGCCGAGGAGAGGGAGGCTTTTGGCTTGCCCGACGATGCCGATTCACCCCAAGCGGCCAAGGATGCCCCAGTCGGTGTCGAGGACAAGGGAGATACCGTCGTGGAAGAAATTGTGGAGGAGATCATCGAAGAGACCGAGGAGGTCATTGGTTGATAACATATCCTTGCTTTTTTCGCCATTCCCTTTTCATTTCGCATATAATGTGTTTCCGTTTCTCTTTTCCTAAGTATTACTTTCCGGCGTCCCCTCTTCGCTTGAGGCCCGGGTTTCTGCCCCCCATGTGTTTTGGTCCTGTTGTTATGTAGCAAGGACAGGGGCATCCCAAAAATCTGAGATAGATTGAGCTATACGTGTACGTTAAAGCTCACTGATGTGCAATGTGGATAAGCATGAGAAATGCCTACGAAAGAATCTAACTGTCGCCATTTCCCGTTTATAAGTTTTTTCTTCTCTATTTCTTTCCCTAGTTTTATGTGTAAGGACCCATAGTTATCCATACAACTCCAAGGGCTAGTAACATGATCTGTATTTCTGACTCAACGCGTCCTTGCAAATTGGCAACCCCGACACTTGGGCGAGTCACAGTCGTCGCGGCAGATGCAGATGTCGCAGATGTCTTTGCTGTCGTAGACGTTGTAGCAGACGCAGTTTCGGTTGAGCTCGTATGGGATGGATTGCTAGGCAAAACATTCTTTTTGAAGTATTCGTCATGATCACCGACCACGTTCCCAACTGGCGTATATTCACACACTACATACCAGCCTTGTGCCCGAGAGCTCCCATCTGCAGTCCTCGGCCCCAGAACATCTCGTTTGGCCTTCAGAAAATCCTCTGTATATCCGCAATTCACTGCCGCACACCCGACCTCCAATGTTGACTTCCAGACTAGCTGTGTGAAGTGGCCGGTTGCCTCGGTAAATCCAGTTGGCTTGTTGAAGTTGTATAACTCCCCTTCATTGCCCCATGCTTCTACTGCAGCAGAAGCGTTTGGGTACCCAAAGGCAATATTCTCACCATAGGGTCCATCCTGATCCAGAATCAGATTCAGTCATGGTAATGGTGCGTGTTTTCTGTTGGTACTTACCGAATGTTTCCAGATACAAGTCTCGGCCCAGTCGCGAGCGTACTTTGTCAGTGTCTCATTCCACACTAATCCAGTTGCTTCATGGGCGTCACGATACCCATTACTCACTTGGAGAACGGTGTCCTCGAAGACGGGGGCAGAGGTGTATGATGCTGGAGTGGGGACTGTGGGGGCTCAATAACAGTAGTTGCTGCTGCTTGGACGGTAGCCATAACTGTGACATATACAATATCTCCAGCGAGAACATTGATAGGCAGGCATCCGATGAGAAAATGAAGTAATAGTGTTGAAGTATAGTGTGATTTCATGGTTATCAGACTTGTGATGCTGATGTTCTAGAAAATCCTTGAGTCAAGGAAAAATGAAAAACAAAAACAAAAGGAAATCGACTTAAAGGGATTAAGCACTCATTGCTCAATCACTGCATCATTCAAGTATTTTGAGAATGTACTCTTTTGTTTCCCCAGTTTCAGATCCGTGAAAAAGGCTTCAAACCGCAAAGAGCGTCCAGGCAAAACACAACTGCGCCGTCATTGAATGAATCTAGCAATTGTTTCGAGAGCGCCACAAGACAAATTTAATATTCTCAGAGTTATGATATGCCCAGATAATCGGCGCTAAAGCTTTCAGCTTTCATCGAAACTGCTGTTTCTACAAGAAACTCTCAACGCGTCATGGCCAATGATGCCTGAGACAATTACTGGGGGCTATTAGGCTACTTCCCGTGCAGAATAAGAGAGTTTCTAATTTCGGAAATGTGCTCTCACGAAGAGATGCAGCTATATTCGGCTTTGACTGGGATTCAGTGGTCTTGACTTGCAGACTATTGGCTTGGGAGGTCTGGATAGTGTTTCAGACGAACGGGGATGTTCCAGTACGCGCCGGCGATCTAAGTTCAAATCCCCTTTTAGTATACACAATTACGCGTAGTAGGGTTATATTATGATTGACAATTGATGCTCGACTTTTTTAAAAATGATCAAGAACCTAGATTGATCTCATATGGAAATATACAGTATCCCGATTTTGAGCGTGGAAAGTTGACACTGGGATTGGTTAGTGCCACGCCTGTTCTGGCGATACGTCTTTTGTGAACGCACTTTGCTATTATTCACACGCATGAAATCTTCTATATGAGATTATGTAGTGTGAGTCTATATGACTAGTGTCCAGGTAAGTATTTCCCCTGTTCATACTCAGCTCGCCAAAGGCGAAATATGGAACAATATGGCTTGTATTAGCTACGCTCTTCTTAGTAATAAATACATAGGTAAAACCTCATTAGAAAAAGTGGAATCATGCCCCTATTCTTTTCAAATGCTGGTGTCGCTAGTAACTTTGTATGAATAAATACTAGTAGTACATAATTGATCAACATGAAGAGCTAAGCCTATAGTAACTCCAGAGAGACTGCGAGTCCCTTGAAGTCGGAGATAAAAGTATCCACAAGATCCATCCAGAAATGAAAAATCACATCGAGCGTAAATAGAATAGGTATAATAAAGTAGACATAGGACATAGGTAGCATGCGAGAATTGACTCCCCATAAGTGCCCAGCACAGAAATAATGCCCCGCTAGTCGTGTCACCTCGGCTGAGTATTCATAATCTATGTAAAAGCTTTGGGAGATATCACTTGGCTCCGCGAGCGGGTGTCTCCGGCTGGCACTGGAGACACCAAAAAGTTACTGGGATATTCCTCTCTTTTGGCTATGAAGTTTAACCACCAGCTGGCCTATCCTACTCCACAGACTTTTATTCAGTCCATTAATGAGACGGTACACTCCCTGCCTACTGCTATCGATGTTAGGAACCCATTTACCCCTTACCGGATCAAATCCCCACTGCACCGCAAATTGCGGACGAGGGAATCTAGGATTAGTTGGCATTTCTGCAAATGGCGGCATCACTTCCGGGTAACGAAACATCCTTTTACCTGTGCCAACATAAAGTGAGATCGGGGCCTCAGGGGAAGACCCAACAAAAAACATATGTCGTAGCCAGGGTCCATTCAGCCTTTCTAAATTCAGACCAGCTGCTCCATCGTCTTCGAGAACACAGCAGGGTATACTCGTCCATTTATCGAGCATGAACACCTTATCATGAGCACAAAGGTCTACTCCTTTCATGTTGACCTCCACAGCAATAATCTTTGAGTATCTCACAGTACCATCTGCGTTACGAAAGGCTTCATAACCCATTAAATAGTTTACTGGAGCAGTATAACTATTCACGTCACTTCCCATCAATTCCAGCATGTCGCCATGAAGTATGGTCATCATACTAGCTCCTGTATCATCTACAAATTTCATTTCCACCTCAGGCAATGGGTAGCCGTAGATATCCTTTGTAGCATTACGATTTTCCGGGGAATGAATACTTTTGTCGAGCCGAAGGATAATATTCATCTACCACAGCAAGGATAAGTCAGTCAGAGCTTCTATTAATTCAAGGTTCAATTTCGACTTTTGGTATATCCATACTTCAGGTATTAGGCGAGCATTATTCGACGGTGAAACATATTTTCTGGCCAACTTTCGATTGTTGATAAATGGAAATATCTAAGGTTATTCAAATCAATTATATTAGAATATGATCTTATATAGAGATATAGTATAGGCCCCGGGGTAGAACCTGAGGTAAATAGTACTAGTAGTCAGAATTGAATTTGAGCTTCAGTTCGTATAAACTTGAATACTACTATATTAGCTTACCCCTTCAACCCCCGCCATCTCCTCGGTTTTCTTTCGTATTTAATTCCCCAAAGTCTTGCCAATTGAATGGCGAAGGTCCAAAAATCATTTTGCCTTGACACCAGTAGGTAGCATAATCATTCCATTTAAGTTCGCCGCTTTCATAAGCTGCCATAATTGCCTTGACATTCGGTAGCTCCCCATTTGGATCCTTTTTGCTCTCCAAATAAGTAGTTATTCCTTCAAGATCCGCTAGACGTTGAATCACCCCCCAACTCTTTCCAGGGTGTTCTTTCATTGCCTCTCTGGTATTTTAAAACCTAATTGTTAGAATTGAGTATAGATAAAGTTCATTGAGTAGATTGAAACCCACACCTGTAATCCCTTTGCCTTTTCCAACTGCTCAAGCTTGGTCTTGAATGTTTTCTTTGCGTATCCCGCCTTGATCCGTTCTTCGCATCTTTTGATTCGACCAACATAATCGTCGCGTTCAAAATCAACATCATCGGAAATGCGAATCGTTTCAAGTTTGTTAGGTTTTTGACGTTTATTTTGACGTCTGTCCTTTGGATGCAACGTCTGTTTATTACGCTTTCTAGTAGGTGAAGAGAGCATATTGTCTAGTGTGTACGAGTCTAGGCTGATTTTGCATATGATAGTGACTGTACTGGACTCGGTCAGTAGTATAATATAGGTATGTATAACCTTTAACTTCCCTAGGTATATAAATTCATTTAACATCAGCAACCAGTGCTGTTCTAGGCCTCAATTTATACCTGATGACACTTGACAAACTATTTGACACAACAAAGAACTTCTGTATTTACCTATAGTATATGTATAGTTTGTCAAATACTAGTATCGATTGTGTTCAAGTTCCATTGAAGCACTGACAGCGCTTGTAACCGTGCACGGTCGAATATAACAATCCTTTCAAGCTGTACGTTCAATGTTTATTTACATCTGGTTTCCTCCGAGGAAGTCAAAGAACAAGTAAATCAGAAATGGTGAGGCCGAGAAAAGGAACGTCAGATTTTTAATTGATTTCTTTATCCGAATACCCATGGCCGCGTAAGAAATCCTTTTGATCAAAGACAAACCTTGGAATGATCATTTGTCTTCTGACCCTCAATTTGCGACACGTATCCGAAGAAATTGAAAGGAAAAAATGAGACAAAGACCTACGCATCCTGTATGTAGATCAATCTGTAGATACAGGATATGAAACTTAACGCCTAAATGTGTATCTATAGAAATTGCCCCAGAGGCTTTCAAAGAACGTAATTTCAGTATATAATATGCATTCGATTATATGAAAGACACGAAAATTCTCCAAAGCATCATCAGTGAGTCTCTACGGCGGTTCTGAAGGCATTATGCCCCATCCCGTATCCCACTGGAAGAGCGCAAGCCCCTCCCCAAGCAAGCTGCCAAGAAAATCTGCATCTTCGATTAAACAGAATGAAGGATTTACCAGTGACTCTCAATTCCACGTAAGCGGCTCATCGGAAAGAAGCAGACCTTCGATGTCTTCCGTAATCGATGCCTCATCAACAAGACTGAGCACCGCCATGCTTCTGGATGCAAGCGACACCAAGGCTCTTCCCACCAATGGCTCTAAGCAATCTGCACATAGAGAAGCTTCATTCTATCGTTCACCTATGGCTCGAAAAAACTGTATACGTTGAGGGAAGACTGTAACATCTAGGTGACTGTTTCTTCTGACTGAGGCCAATCTCGTGAGGCACAACACGCCTCTAGGGTAATGATGGCGGCTTCGAATAGAACGTGGACCCCGTGCCAAGGATAGAGCACTCGGCGGGGGTTACCTTGTCCTATTAGTCCGAGTCTTCTATGAGAACTAAGTAGGACTCAAGTGCCATTTGTCTGCCCTCTGGGATTCGTGTGCGTAAACGTGGTGTTGGTCGATGAATCCGTGCGATCAGCTGGAGCTCTGCAGCCCTGCCACTGGCAGGTGGAGTGTGGTGTAAACATTTGAATTTTACGTAGGTACTTAGATCGGAATCATTCCATGGACTTGAAGGCAGTGTTCTTGTACTTCAATGAATGGCGGTAGATAGTATATACTGTTAATGATATAAGTACACCAGGACTCGTAACGTTCATGCCAAAACTCATTTTTCTATATATCATGTTTCGCTATGCAATCCTTCAAAGGTTGAGGTTATCATGCAATGTTCAATGTTTACATCAAACTGCATCCAATGCCATACATGGCTCGTTCCACATCTCGTTTGACGTGGTACCAATCAGCTCGACGCTCCGCAAATTCATAAACTTCCTCGACGCGCCAGACGCCCTGGAAGCGGTCTGCATCGGCGATAAGAGTCGCCAACTCCTTCGCATCGGATGGGTCAATCAGATAGATCTGTGCGAGTTCGCGGAAGGCTTTGAAATATAAGAGAAGTTCGTTATTCCTAAGAGTCTGAACAAACTTGAAGTAGTGATTCATGTCGCTATATTCTAATTAGTTCTTGATCGCTAGACATGTTATTTTATTCTGAATTCTTACCTGATGAGCTTCAAGGATCCCTCGACGCTGATCCGTTGACGCTTAAGATGCTTGCATAATGCGGTGAATAACCGTAATCCGACCTCCTGGTTGAACACATCTAATGTGCTTTTATCGGTACTCCCAACAAGCATCTGTGTATGAGATGACACCACATCTATCACGGCCGTCGCAGCTTCACTTAAGCCGACATCCATAATCTGGCGGTGTGGGTCTGACGAGACTTCTGGGTTGAAATCAGTAGCAAGCTGCCGCGTGGCGAGGATATAGTCTACTTCTTCCATGAGAACGTCGATTCCCTTGTTCAGTCCAGCCGCAACCCGCTCATCGAGCATCTGCTCAAACCTTTTCTTTTCCTTCACCGCGGGATCGATGAAATCGTTGCGGTCAGTGAGACCGGTGGCGATCAATTCTTGCTCATAAAAGACGTCAATCATCTGCAAGATCAGATCTCCGACATTGACCAATTCCAAGAAAGTCACAAGAGGCTCCACCCCCGATTGATCACGGTCGTCTTGTTCGCGGGGCCGATAGTTCGAGAGATGATCAACGGCTTTATCAAACCCGATAAGCACATGTTGATGGCCTAGAATACGCAGCAAAGTCACAAATATCGCTTCGCACTGATGTTTCGCAGCTTTTCCATAATTCCCACCCAGCCTCACAAATTGCGCGGCGCGTTCAAGACTGGATTTAGCGGAATGTACAAGACTAAGTGCGATTTCGATACTGAACAATGATCGAATGCCTTCCATCTTGGATTTCATGATGAGAGCTTTGGCTGCCAATTCTGTCGTCGGTGCCTCCTCGGTGGGCTTTGGGGAGGAAGGAGACATTGTAGAAAACCGGTTGGTATTCTTCGAAGTACCGTCGTCATTGTTCTCGGCATCCGATTTGGAATCCTCGTTCGACTTGCTTGAAAAACTGGGTAAGATATTGACTGGCATCATGATCACTTTTTTGAACGAAGTGAGGAAATCCCGCTTATCAGCTTGTCGATTGACATTCGACATTAAAAACGATTCGGTCGAGGCTGCCTGTTCTGAAAGTTGACGATCCCAGTCGCTAACTGTGGTCTCGCAGCCCTTGTGGAAGAAGTCAAGCTCCTCTGCTAGGTAAAGATCTATATGCGGCTCGTATATTTTTGTGACAACGGTGTCTAGATACTGGTCGAACGTATCTCCGGAGTTTCGTATTGGAAGCAAGGTCTGGGAGAGATTCATACATTGTATGAATGTGACAGAAATTGCAGTGAGGTAAGACTCCTTGTTGATACGATGCAATTCATCGAAGATGGCTGTCAAAAATGGAAAAAGAACGTCTTGTCCCACTTTCTGCATGAAAGGCAATGCCACTTCCAACTCGGAAGAGAATACTCGGTTGATAGTCGTAATTTCTTCATTATAGGCGACGCTTAGACGTGTGAAGAAGGCCTGTGTATGTTGAATCTTGAATTTCCCAGTTATACCATCAATGCAATCCGCCAAACTCCCAAGCTCCGATTTTCGAGTGACTAGATGGTTGTGATGTATAAATAGCTCTAGTGCTGAGTTGCCGCCGTTTAGAGCGAATAAAATGTGAGCATATTTGCGCATAAGACCGTCAATGTCGTCTGTCTCGTATCCGTTTCTGAATTCGTTCAATGCAGCGGCTTCAAACATAGACACAGCACCTTCTAGGCGATCCACTCTTTCCTCCCAACCCGTTGTCATATCGCATTTTGAAAATGCCAAAAGTTGAGAAAGTAGTTTTGCCTGAAACTGGGGGTTTTTGTACTTGGTGAAAACTAGATTATCGGTGGTTGGCCCATGCTTCGCAATATCGTTGTATAAAGGTGCCAATGCAGCGTGGATTTTCCCATACTCCTGACGAGCTTCACCTCGTATAGATCTAACCTGTTCCAAAATCACTAGATCGGGGTCAATAGCTTCGTTCTCCAGGGGCTCAAGTTGTGTCGCCCCTTTCCCAAGCTCTATCTTATCGAACCCATCGGATATAGCATTGACCCCAGAACCAGGAGGTTTCTCAATTGAGATAGTAGGTACTGTACCACTAGCCTTTTCTTCGGCATCCTGCTCTTCAACCACTTCCATATTGGCGACGGTGCCGTATATCCTCTCCGCATGTTTGCGTGCGTCGGATTCATCCCAGCATCCGATTCGCTTCAATCGTTGGACCCATCGAGTATCGTCATATGCCATTTCATGGAGGAGCTTGCAGGAACTCGCCGCTCGAATCAGGTCGACCGGATCTAAATAATCGAGAATCGAAGACACGATCTCTGCACAATGTCAGCGTGCGCCTTATCGGCCAATCATCCATGCAGCGTACCTGCAGGCAGTGAGGATCGCGAGATCTCTTCGAGTGACGCCATGCGCAGCGAAGCCAAAACATCTCTGCGAGGCTTGGCTGGCGCCGTCGCTTTCTTCCCGTTCGGCATCTCTGTTTTCTGGAATCTTCATCGAGAGTGGGCCAGAGTGTTCGCGGGGTGTGCCTTGGGGTCGGAGACGCTGCTTTTGAGTCTCGAAGCCACCCAAGCCCCCAATGTTAAGATTTTATAATTGTAATGGGTGCAGAATAAACTCAAGTCGGGTGTAACAGCTTGAGAAGGGAAAAGAAAATAAAAAAGGCCACAACGTATCGGGGCGCGTGAGGATCAGCCCGGTTCAAGCGCCGATCAGCCTGGCAGGGTCCACCCCACCGCCCCTTAGTTACGATTGGCAAAATCTAGCGGTGAAAGACTATCGCAGTATTAGCCAGTTGCCTAGTGGATATAACAATATTTGAATAGATGCTGAATCTTATTGGGTATATTTGCTTAGGTGGACTCTTTTTTTTTCGAAACCTATATAAGACGCTGAAATGTGTATTCCAAGCAGATATACAAATATGGCCTACTATGTGCAACCGGACCAAATAGTAACTGTTTTTGAACTATATCAATCAATTAATACATTGATAGAACACCATGCCAGCACTGCCCTGTCAATAATGCCACACCTACTTTTCGAATAATTTAATATGGCGTATTTCCTAAGGTTTCGTATTTATCAATGCCGATAGTTCCCTTAGTCATACCTTCATTAATAGTATCAATGTATCAATCAGACGTGTCGCTTCGGAGCTGGGCGCTATCTGCGGAGGACTCGGAATCAGAATCAGAATCAATCACAATTGGGCTCTGAGAGGGGTCCTCAACAAGCTGCTCCTGTGAGTCTTGCATGATCTCATCTCGGTGAAGTTGAGTCAGGCCTTGCGGGTTCTGAGAGTTATATGAGCCTATCGATTCACCGTCGCTTTCAATTGCGCCTTGAATTTCCTGGTCGATTCGGGCCATTTGCACTGGAAACTCGTCTTGCAACTTCTTGAGCCAGCTGTAAAGAGATTCATCATTTATTTTGCCGTCGCGGGCAATGAGGAGCTGTTCGCGTAGAGATAGCAGAACCTTTCTTCTTCGCGCGATTCCTATAGCCCGAGAATCATGATTTCGGCATTGAGAGATACTATCCAATGTCTCAGAAACATCATTGGCAACCTCAAGGACACTAGGAGGAAGATCGACTAGCTTAGCAAGTGTAATTCCATAACGGCGAACTGGTACGGGTCCCTCGGTAATGCGGTACAACATAGTCATTTTGGATGCATCTGAAGCGATCTCAGCAGCCAAGTGCAGATTAACGACCCCGGCTCGCTCAGACAAAATACGCGCTAGGTCGTGGAAATGCGTGGCAAACCATACAAACGCATTGCTGGCAAGAAGCGCTTCTGCTAAAGCAATAGCAATAGCAAGCCCATCATTTGTGCTTGTTCCTCGGCCCAGCTCGTCAACTAGCACCATACCTTGTCGCTGGATATTCCTTAGTATGAAGGCCATATCGCGCATTTCTGCCGCAAATGTTGAGACATTTGCATCGAGGTCGTCTGTTGTCGCTATACGAGCAAAGAGCTGGTGCACTATTGGGAAAGATGCATATTGCGCTGGAACAAAACAACCGATTTGGGCCATGACCGTTATCAAAGCTAGAGACCGAATGTATGTTGATTTACCGCTCATGTTGCAACCTGTGATAATTTGGAATCGGGACTGAGGCGTTGCGTAGGCATCGTTTGGGATAAATTTGTTTGTGTGAATCTGTTCTCTAATAGGGTGACGCCCACTCTTGATGGCTAGGGTATTGGTCAGTTCCGGACGAATATAATCGTGTTTGGTTGTTAATTGGGCAAATGCTGATAGCATATCAAGCATGGCGATGGCTTCACTGATTCTGAAAAGCCCTGAGACCTCCACGCAAATATCACGGAGAAGCTGCTGAATGGTATGGTCACTGAGGTTGATGACTTCATTGTGGGCGTCTACAATCTTTTGGTTTAGCTTCACCAGATCGAGCGTTTGGCATTCAATCCGATTCTTTTTGCGGTATATGTTGATAAAAACCTCCGGAAGGGATCCAATTTCATCACTGGATATCCAAATATAATATTGTCTTGCAGAGTCATATTTGAGATCCAAGGTCAGGTCATGTGTATCTACAGGTATTAGCAACGGGGGCTTTGCTGTGAGGTCTCAACAATTACCTCCCAACTTTGCCACATGCTCAACAGCATCGGCGTTAGCTTCTTTGTATGTCTGTCTAGCAACATCAAGGAGGCTGTTCACGCCAGCCTAACCTTTAGTCAGTTATAGTCAATAAAAGAGTCTTTCGATCGCTGATTCTACCTTCACACAGTATATTCTCTGATTACGAAGATCCAGAGGCTTGCTTTGATAGACGACTTGGTCATTCAACACTTCTTCGATGATCTGCTCAACGGAACGATGCCCTGCAGGATAGCATAGCTAGACAGATCAGCTTGGAAAGAGGTTTGCGAGGGTAAATTTCGTGTACCTCACGAATAGTCATAAGCAGATCACTTTCTGCCGCGCCCAAGGCTTGATAGACCTTTTTGATGGAACATATAAAGGTCTTGAGCATGATTACATTGTTGACAGATTGTTCGACATATTGAACGGTCTGTTTTCTTGGGACAAGAATAATCTGAGTTGTGAGTTAGTATAGATTCATCTTGAGAGCAACAGATACCAACCGAACTCAAAACCTTATCAGCATCAACGAGACCCTTCAAGGCTTGCCGTACGGACGTGGACATATCTTGCTTGGTTGAAAGATCTTCTACCGCATTGTATCTGGCGGTCAGTTTGACTCTCTGAATAGAAGGCTGAAGGATGGTTGATCGGAGTAGCCTGGCCCCCATCGGTGTCAATGTATCATTCAGTAACCCATAAAGGCTATCTCGAGATTTTGCATTGTGGAGGTTTTGAATTAACTCCAGTGAGACAATCGTCTGTAAATCAATAGTCATAGACCCTTCAGACGGCTCGAATTTTATCCTGAGAGAGTGGGAGACAAAGACACGTTGGAGCTCTGATTCAACGTATTTTGAGACCTGCACTTAAATTATTCAAGTTCATATGCGTTCGAGTCTAAGGAAGCAAAGACATACCGCAGCGAAACAACAGGCCGCAAAATAGTTCCCACCCAAAGTCACCTTCAATGAGTCAGCCTCGTCGGGGAATGCCAGCCGATCCAAATACTCGTGTCCAGCTTTGTCTGACCAGTACCGGCGGTCCAGGAACGTAAATATCGGATCTGGTAGGTTTTCTTGAATAATGAAGCGTAGCTTCGAATCCGGGGCTGTGTTCATGAACAGGATCTCATTTGGCTCAAATACGCCGATCTTTGTAACAGCCTTCACATATGTTGGGCTATCACACATTTGACACAATACCACTTCAGCTGTGGCCAAATTTATAAATGCCAGACCCACAGTCGTTGAAATTCCGCGAGATTCGCTGACGGCGCAAACAATGTCCTGGGCTGCGACACTAGTCGCTGTAGCGGCTGGCTTCACTGCTCCGCGGGGTCGACTTGTAGTGGTCAGAGAGGTCAATGGAACAAACGAGCTTATTGATGACCCTCGTCGAGACGAAGGCATCGTGTTGAGATGAAAGGATAAAAAAACAGACTGGAAGGTGAATTGTGTAGTAGGTAGAGGGAGGAATTAAGAAAGCAAAGTTCTCGACCTACGCAATATTAAACAGCGCATATCTGCCCCGGGGTCTATATATCTCCTTCCTATAACTCCACAAAAACATGTATCTCTACTATGCGACGAGGCTTCCCCAATTTGGTTCAATATCTACTCATCTCCCAGTGCACAATTTTATCTCTATAACAATTCAACTCCGAGTCCAAAAGATCGGTCTATTTTCTCATGGTTACTGTAGTTCAGTCCCACACCCGCCCCACATGGCGATAAGATAAGCTCGACGACATCAAATTTTCTTTTCTTCTTCAACTCCCACAACGAAACAGACAATGGCGACTCTTCTCCCCCCGCCCAGCAAGCGCCAAAAGCTTGCCGTGGCCGAAAAGGCCAGAGAGCAACAGGAGCTTCAGAGCATCCCCAGCGATCTCGGTAGTGTCCGTGTGCAGTTTTTTGACCAGGCTACTGGCAATGCCACCGGGCCCGCAGTCTCCGTCCCCGTGGCCGATGCGAACGTTAAGAACCTCGAAACACTTTTGAACACATTGCAAGGAAATGTATGACTTTGTCGTGATTTGCAAAATTTTAATGAACTTCCAAAAAATCTAACAATGGCCCATTAGGACGACGATGACCGAGTCCCGTACCGCTTCACCCACCAGTCCGACAAGGAAGGACAGACCTTTGACATCCCTGCTAATTTGTACCACTCGCTACTTCAACCCGGTATAAAAACAACCGAGGATACGATTTCTCTTCTTTACACCCCGCAAGCTGTGTTCAGAGTCAAGGCAGTCTCCCGCTGCGCGGCCTCCATTGCTGGCCATGGAGAAGCCATTCTCGCAACCTCCTTCTCGCCCGTTTCCTCTTCAACCATGGTCTCTGGAAGTGGTGACTCAACCGCCCGTATCTGGGATTGCGATACAGGGACTCCGCTTCACACACTGAAGGGTCATACCAGCTGGGTGTTGGCGGTCGCCTACTCACCCAATGGAGCGATCATCGCGACCGGTAGTATGGATAATTCAGTGCGAGTGTGGGACGCAAAGAAGGGTCAGGCCCTTGGTGGTCCAATGAAGGGCCATTCGAAATGGATTACCAGTCTGGCCTGGGAACCATATCACTTGCAGGAATCCGGACGGCCGCGCGTTGCATCCTCGTCCAAGGATTCGACTGTTCGCGTGTGGGATGTTGTGTCGAGACACAGTGATGTTGTCTTGACTGGTCATAGGAGCTCTGTTACTTGTGTGCGATGGGGTGGTACTGGTCAAATCTATACCGCATCTCACGATAAGACCATTAAAATTTGGAACCCCAAGGATGGCTCGCTCATTCAGACCTTATCCGCGCATGCCCATCGCGTTAACCATCTCGCTCTTTCGACGGATTTTGCCTTGCGCACTTCCTACCATGATCACACTGGCAAGGTTCCTGCGTCGGAAGCCGAGAAGGTTGCCGCTGCAAAGAAACGGTTTGAAACGGCTGCTACAGTGAACAATAAGATTGTCGAACGACTGGTTTCTGCTAGTGATGACTTTACCATGTACTTGTGGGAGCCATCTAGCTCGAACAAGCCTGTCGCCCGACTTCTGGGCCACCAGAAAGAGGTCAACTATGTCACTTTCTCGCCAGACATGTCGTATATTGCTTCGGCTGGATTTGATAACCATGTCAAGTTATGGAATGGACGTGATGGAAAGTAAGTGACGACTACTCTGGTTTGTTTCCAAAAGATTTGATCGCTAACGTGTGCTCTTAGATTCATTAATACTTTCCGTGGACATGTTGGTGCTGTCTATCAATGTTGCTTCTCCGCCGATTCGCGTCTCCTCGTTTCCTCTTCTAAAGATACAACTCTAAAGATTTGGGACGTACGCACAGGAAAATTGTCTATGGATTTACCCGGCCATAAAGACGAAGTCTTTGCCGTCGACTGGAGTCCCGATGGCCAAAAAGTTGGTAGCGGTGGTAAGGATAAGGCCATTCGCATTTGGCGCAACTAGAAAAAAGTATACAAATTATAGATACCCATTTCTTGACATAGACATCGACCATATTACAAAAATTTATTCAAAGTGTGTCATTAAATTTCCTGTCCTGTCATACTATCCTCTCTAGTGACCATAGACCAAAAAGGGTACATAATGTACAGAGAGCCATGCTTAATTTTCAACAAACAATCACAACGCTAGCAATGGAGTATAACTATAATGGAAAAACAGATCGCTTAAATGTACTGCCAAGCAGGAACATCACCCTTGTAAGTAAGGGCCATGGCGGAGAAACCAATGCAGTCAGCAACATTGCCAGAAGGCACGGTAGCATTCTGCATAGCAGCAAACACCTGGTAGCGATTGTCTTCGGTGGGGCAAGCCATGAAGCCCTGGGCACCCCAGCCCTTGAAAGAGTAGTGAGACCAAGGATTGCCAGGCTCATAGAACAGACCACCGACAGCAGAGCCGGCAGGAATGCTGGCAGAGTGAGCCTGAGTGAAGCTCAGGGCACCAGTAGGGTCAACGTAGACCTGTTGGCCACCGGGTACTTCGACGTCCTGTAATTAGAGTATTAGCTTTCTGTCGGGTTATGATGTTCCTGCTTTTGTCCCACCATATATCATGACGTGAATGATAGGGCTGTGTCACATACCATAGCATTGCCACCTGCAGCAAAGACGGTCTGGTTGCCAGAGGGGCAAACGATACCATCAACACTAGGACAGTATGATGAGGTGCTGCCACCGAGCCAGAACTTCTGACCAGCAGCGTTCATCTGCGCGTAGTGGATAGGAGAGCCGGAATGAATAGCCATAACGCCGAAGTTTGGTGGGTTGGATGCCGGGGCAGTAGGAGCAGGAGCTGGTGCGGCAGCTGCCAGCAGGGGGAGAGCGATAGAAGCAATGACGGCCTTCATGTTGAAATTTGGAGGGGTAGGATAGAAAGGGTTGATTGTTTGAACCAAGTGGTTTAAGATAGATAGGATAGGATGGATTGGATGAGGATGAATAGAATATTTTTTGCATTGGTGCATACGGCAACGCCCTTATATAACCAGCCACAACAAACCTTGTAAGCATTCTTCCATACTACATAGCAAGGGCATCGGACACCCCGCATGCAAAAAAAGGGTCCACCATATTGAGTCCCAAGTAACCAAAATCGATGACGGATAATAGAGCTCTGCAAAGTCGGCCACACCCGATTTAGCGGGGTCACCGAGTGGCGAAGATTATTGGCTATGACTGAGACAAAATCATGTTAGACTCGTTGTTAGGCATCATCAATGCTCTAAAAAAAATCTTTTGTGGCTCGTTTCCTAGCCGAGCAACCGAATGTTTCTCCCTAAACCTCGAGAGGGTATAGTGCAGGTTCTTTGAAGGTGTGGCCGTGCACTTTCGAGTGAGACAAACCGATCGCATGCCAAGGAGAATAAACCGGGAAAAATCATGAGAAAATGCGGATCCACGTTATCCCGTGGTTGATATGCTAGTACGAACACGAGTGGGAGAGCCGTGGTGCCGCTGATCTGCAGTCCATGTCTCACTCTATTCTTGTATGCTATTATTATCGCGATGTTGAATGCTCCCTTCGCCGAGGCAATTGTCCTCAGGCAACAGAAATACGAGATTAGATCGATACGCCAATTCAATGCTACCTACCATGTAACCGAGTTGCTCAAGACTACTCAAGACCCACAACTTGGACTTGGTGCATGGCGCTTGTTTCTCCCAGTCTGCATGCCCAGTCTTGTGCATTCAGGCACGCTACCCGAGATATTTAGCGTCGCTACATCGGGTGCGTGAATAACCGCTGAAAGATACCCCGAAAACTCTTCTCGTCTAAACCTTTCATGAATTTATCGACATATACAAGATCTATCGGCCGGTTTGTTAACATACTGAAATAGTCATGGTTGATAAATGAAGTTGTCGGTCGGGTTTACGTCCGTAACATTGCTGATGCGGTGCTTACGAGAATGCCAAAGCGAATGAATGCACTCACTGTGGACTTGTTCTCTTAGTTCACTGCGTACATGTGGCTGAAGGGGAAACAAATCAAAGCCATCCTCTTCGTGCATCCGCGAGGTGGGTCTCTCCACTTCAAGTTGTTAGTAGGGTCAGCAGAAAGCATGGTGTCTTCCTACATCGACGATGTATGTGTAGGGTCACATCATAAATTGCGCTCGGAGAATTGTCATACTTCAAGACATATCCACCATGTGGATGATACTAGCTAGGATCTCCTGGCAAACTTTAATCCTAACTGGATGATGTACCCTGCAAGTTAACGCCACTGATGCCACTTCTGAATATAGGGTTCAACTTCCAAAGCTCACTAGTAGTATACTAGTGTGGCCAAAGATGACGATAAGCCCTGTACATGAGCAGAGTGAATCATGCAGATATGTGATAGCACTGTCTTGGATAATATTCAATTTGCAACGCCTGCAACAGTTCTTATGTCATATTCTCGTCTCAGAATGACAGGGTGGCATACTACCTACTTACAGAACGCTGAAAAGTTTGGCTTTTTAGCCAAGTGAAATCTCACACTGCAGGCAGGTTGACTTTGTCTCAACTTGAATCCGTCTGCACTGGTAATATACATGCACATCATTCAATAATTTCACTGAAAATAGATACTTTGCTCAGATTTTCCGTTTACTAGCAGTAAATCTGAATTGATTGTGTTTGGTAACAACCTTAAAAGTCCTGTGAATTAGCCTGGGGATAAAATTCGCCAGTTCAAGCAAATACTCGAGAGTCATACAGCAAATAAAGTATATCAACCAACCCCTCTCATTCACGGAACTCAAGATACCACCGAAGCAAGTAAGCCGCCAATTTCTCACTCACAATCCCTGAATTGCCTCCTTCTTCAAATCTACCGTCGCGTCTAAGGTAGGCATCTCCCGATTTCGACAACACAAGCACCAAGCCGTACAATGAGAAGCAGACAGTGGCATGATAGCACTAGTCCTCTCACCCTTTTTCGTGATCCTCGGTTTCATACAACATCCACAATCAAAAGCACAACACCCTCTATACTGACGACATAAATACTCATCTCGATGATGTTGGGCTCTCTTCGACTTTCTCAGATCCTCTCTAATCCACGCACCACTCGGCTGACGAGATGGAAGACCCTTGAACTTTAACCACAATTCCCTCCCCTCAAGCAAAACACTCTTACGTTTCTCTTGTGTGTTCAGTGAGTGCCTCCTATCCGCACTAGCTTGGTATAGAGCACTGGCTTCTGTAGAGCGATCGCCATGTTCTATTAGATATATCTCGCGTTGTTGAAGCTCACGGAGAGTGAAAATGATATTTTCTTTATCGGTAAGGAATTCAAGTTGTTTTTGCCGATCCTCTTCTGAGGTGGTTTGTTTTGCGATTGTGTTTGTGAGAGTGAGGGGCCAGTGTGAGATCCATTCTGTTTGGTAGAGGATAGTCTCGAGGATTTCGAAAAGGTCGACGCCGCAGCTCTGAGATTTTTCTGCCAGGAATGAGGAGAAGCTGTAGAATGTATTCGTGATGAACAGAAATATTAAAAATGCTAAGGCTAGGCAGATGAGTAAGTACCAGAGGCCTATGGCTAGTTGGTAGCCGAGTGCGCCGACGATTGTCATTGTTGATTTAAATAGCGATAACCGTAATATAATCTATATGATTTTGTAGAAGCGATGAAGAGAGGTGAAGAAGCTCATGCGGAAGATAAGATTTTTTTTGTGTCGTCATCGAATACTGTGAAGGCTTTGTGGCTCCGATCCAGAAATGGATCATTGAAGTGACTATGACTCGGACATGTTTCCATATGAAAATTCCAAGGTTCACACCCAATTTGTGCGCCTACCTTTTTCGAGATTGCTTTGAATATTTCACTATATGTTTTAACCAACTGGTATTAATTGGGTAGCATCATTATGATGAATTCCGAGAGAATGTACTTCAAGTTGCAGAAATCCAGAGTCTCTCCGTACGCACACTAGATCACGATAGAGGTCTCTAGACAGTGTCTTCAAGTTGAAGGCTCTGGCTGGCGGTTGGCGCTCGTCAAAGATACCTACGTAGGCACACGAGTTCTTGATTTCTTTACGAAGCCAGCCGAAATAAGAATTCGTGAATTAAACCAATAGAAGAGAGAAATATGTATATACGACCGGTTGGTCCGACTTCCGAGGTATATAAACATGACCGAAGTCAACATGGAAAATAATCGAGAGGAAAAACAAGCCAAAGACTCCCCTCCTAGCACCGAGCCGTGTAGCAATATAAAGCCTCCCAATAATAGAAAAGAAAAGTTTAAAGAATAAAGCTTGATAGAGGCCGCCTAAAACACCAGAAAGCCAACGCGCCCCCTTTTTAATTGTCCCCACGTCTTGATCCAACCCAAGCAAAAAGAAAGAAGCAAAAAAGAACCTAGAACTTAACCTACCCAACTTTCTTGTGGATATGGAAGCTGATTCTGCATTAGGCGGGAATTGGTTTCATGTCGAAGCAAAAATGATTTTCTGCCACCCATCTAGAGGATCACTTTTTATGCCGTTTCTAATAGTCGCCTTCGTCATCGTCTTCACCGTCACCGCCGCGACCACGAGGACCTTTCACCCCGTCCTTTCGGATTGGGATCTTGATACCCTGCAGTGCGAAGCATTTGCTTAATTGGGTGCTCTCAATGACACCTGGGAATTTTTTCGCGGAGAAAACTTGGAAAGGCTCACTGAAAACAGAGGCTAGAACTGGCGCAGTGCCGTGGTTGATTACCGGGGCACCGTTGCTAGACTCCGTAGACTGAGTGCCCACATTGACGAAGCTCATTTTAAGTCTATTGGAAATTAGCAAAAGTTGTGTTATGATCAGGAAAGCGAAGAAGAATAATTACCGGAAGGTTCCCTCTGTTCGTACACTCAAGTCTTGTAGAATGAACCATACACCAATCTTGTTGTCTGGGTCGGTCAATCGGAAGGCACTGGCACTCAGGCTTCCAATCAAGTTTCGAGTGAACATCCCTCCTGGTCCACCTGTCACGGGTGCAGGTGACATGGCCGGTGGAACTTGAGCATTAGGCGGGTATCCATATTGAGGATAGCCCATGGCTTGGCCGTACGCGTTTGGATATTGCATTTGTTGGTTGCCGTAATAGTTATTGACGGGAGGATATGGGACTGGTTGGCCATATGCGTTTTGAGCATATGGCGGATAGGTAGGAGACATGTTCTGAGGGGGAGGTGGGTATGAGGAGGACATGGCTGTTGAGATTGAGGGAGATGTTGCGGAGTGTTTTACGAGATTGACTTCATTGGAGCCTTCAGCATTCCATAGGTCCACTGTGAGGACGTAAAATGAAGTATCAATTTCACTGAAAGAAGGTATTAGATGAGGCCATACTCCAAGGGGGTATTTGGGTAGGCTTACTTGATATCAATCTCTTTGTTTGTTTGCGCATCTCGCACGATCAGTCGGATGCATGGTGGCGGAGTAATTGGTCTTCGATCCTGTAAAAGAATGATCGCATTAGACAAAGAAGCACACATAAAAGCAAAAAGAGGTAGAAGAGGTCTCTCAGGCATGAAATTGCAGTGTATATATTCGAGGGACGAGATTCCACGTACCTTGTCACCAAATCCACACATACGAGCCCGAATAGGCTGTTGTACAACTTCCAAAGACCAAAGACGACCATCGTGCATAGTAGTTATAGGCGCAAGGTGCTCGGAAGTGCGTAGCGGACCAGAGCCCGGGGTAGGATATGCGGCGGACGGGGCAGAGATGCGGTCCATTGAGAGAGGAGGAGGCGGCGGTGGCACCGGATGGGCCCTTTCCTGCTCAACAGCGTACATGGTTCGTGCAGGCAATGAACCGAGGGCCACGCTCACGATCGTAAGGACGGGTCCCTTATTTTATGTCTCTTCGGGAGAAACAATTATGGTGGACCCTTTTTTAAATTTGTTTCGAGGCGGGACGACAAAAGGTGGCATGCGACCCCGCTAGAGAATCCACACGTCAGAGTTGAAGCATCGACTTCCCGGGGTTGGGGCGGTCGCGGAGCGGGAGGGGAAGAAGATTATGGGATCTCTTTTCTTGCAGCAGAATGGATAGGGGGAAGAGGTTGAAAGACGGGAAGAAAGGAATTCAAGATACCAAGAGAAAGATCGAAGGTACGAAATAGGACAAGAATGGAGGGGAAGTGTAGAGTGACGTTCTCGAAGCAGACTTTGGTTGCAGTGTTCGCAGTGAAAGATCCGCGCAGGAACCTAGAACCAGCTCAGTGCACGATTGCGGCCATTAGCTAAGCGGGGGTGGACCGGCAGAATTGAACAGTCGAAGGTTACATTTTTAGATTTCTTTGATCTTTCCTTACTTTTTGGTAGATTTTTATTGGAAAAAACATGATTTGAGTATAATAATTGATGACAGAAGGGACTTATAAGTGGGAATGTTTCTGGAATATACTCGGTGGTGCTAGCTAATACCTTTATGCTCTCTTGCAAGGACCCCGTGATGCTAACAAAAGCATAGTAGATCCCGGAGCATATCTTCATGTTCACGCCACCTTTGACATTCAATGAAGATAATACATAATGTCTGCCTTTGATAGACCTCTTTCAGATTTTCTATCAATTTACCATATCTCTAGATCTCCCTCCACCTACGTCAAAAGCTCACACACCTCTCCCCAGATAAGAATAAAGATGCAGGCGGAGAGGAAGGCGGTCAGCCCTGTCACCATCTGGTCTGCCACCATCACCCAAAGACCAGACGGTCGGGTTCCCTCAACAACCCCGGTCCCGACGAATCGTCGTCCTCCATTGGCTCCATATCAACTTGATGTAACCGCGATCTTGCAGGGGCTTTTTTTCACGCCATGAGCTTCTTCGCTCTTCACTACAGATTCTTCAAGAGATTTTTTTCTGTCCAATCACCTCCCCATTCCCTGCTGTCATCGCCGTTTGCGGAAATCTGTCCCACTCGGTGGGTCTCCCAACCAGACTCGATGACACTGAAAAACTTAGAAAATCTCACTGGAAGAGAATTGGTCCAAGCTATTAGTTATTCCAGTTCGACAATTTGCCAGTACACCTCGGCTAATTCTCGGGGCCGTGCACGCTTCTCGGAGATTAGGGGAGTATAACGTCCCGCTGCAGAGGTCGGTCGTACAGATGAATCCTAGTATTACAGGGGTTGCTAAATGTTGGAGTCGTGCGATACGTACTTCCCGGAGGCCCCCTATACTCTGTACTAAAAGACAAAACAGTTTCTCGGGTCTTTGCATGGGGTTGATGGGGATAAGGCTGTCGGGCCCTGTCCCGGAACCACTACTCGGCGGCCCATGTTTTAGTAGGCGCCTCCAGTCCCAAGGACTTTCTATGAACCTCGTTCATCTGCCCAGTGGTACGCACTATCAGGGGCGATGCGGGGAGGCATTTTCCGAGAATCATCATGCGCGTTGGAGCCTCATCCCTTAGCGCCGTTGATCTTCCTGCCCGTCCCAGGATGTGCCATGTATTCGATCATGGCGTCGCGTTCAAGCCAAATTGAAACCTATATCTTCAAGCGTGCTAAACTAACAGTGCGAAATTTCAGTTTCAGTTTTCATCCCAGTATTGACGAACCTCCTTGTAATTGAAAGATTTCCGCTATTACACTGCATTGTTGGTGCCCTGCCGCCATAGTAGAAAGGGGGCCAAAAGGGGCACCCCCAGAAAAATACTACTCCAGCCATCAAGTACACAGCAGATGATGTATCGACTTCAAAGAGATTGTATCCTTTCTTCACCTTTGACCATTTTTTTGGTCTTCTTCGTCATCAATGAGGCGTCTATTAACTATTGCCACTTGCCGCAGGCTAGCCACGCGTCCATGAGCAATCTAAAGGCCAAAAAGTCGGCACCCGTTATGGATTTTGTTTTTACAGAATGTAGAGAATCGACGTATTTTGTAGTTTGGAAATGAACCACTGGGCTGAACCCACCACATCCGATATTCAGGGGTCAGCACCAAATGAGCCAACCCCTTGCAGTGGTATCTCCCTTATCTCCCTATCAACCATGTGTGATAAGCCCAAGCTCATGGTAACTTCCAGAAAAGCAACAACTCAGGATCCGTGAGTGGTGAATGAGCCCACGGTCGTCGTCAGCAGTCGTCAGCTGATCTGCGTGCCCCTGAATATCCATGAAATCCAGACTCTGCAAAGATTGGGAAAATGCGTTGCACGGGGAGATCTTGTACGCCCATGTTGTGTACGTTATGTGTGAGCCAACAAGTTTATGTTCATGGGAAACTTGAAGATAGATGGGGATTCTATAGTTAGAAATCAGGCCTCCCTCAATATTACTAAAAAGTGGGGGGTAAAGTCAAGCCGTTATGAAAGCCAACTTGAAGACTTGGCACCTAGTTAGTGCACTGTCTTTGTTTGTAATCGAACAGTGAGTTGGCCAACCGGGGTCAACCAGCGGTGACTATACCTCGGGACCATGCAGCCCAATAATCGACCGATATGGCGAGACATGCATATTCAAGATTTGATCTTGACCTGCATCAAGCCATAGCCTAAAGATAGTTTGCCCTCTCCGGTGACGCCCTGATGACCTCAATAGGCGTGCCATGCGTTTTCTAGTGCTTGTCCTCGGACTGAGAGAACAGCCTCATTGATGGGTGATTGGCTCGGGTCTGGGGCGATTCGATGATACCCCGCACAGAGCACACCATATACATTCATTCGAGCCAGCTACTATGCACGCTAAACCATATCAGGTATGGACATTGACTCACTTTGGAGATGAAAGAATGAATGAACAAGCGGAAGGTCGGGATTCAATATGGGAATATTCGGAGTGTGGAAAGTAAATGGTTGAACCTTGGAAGTCATAGTGATTTTGCTATCCGATCGCAATACCTCGGGGATTATTATGTGACCTATATCAAAGGCTGTAATCCGGTGCATCTATTTAAATCCATACTATATTGGTGATATTCGACATCACGGAGTACATTCGTTTGAAGCGGGCATGTACGAGTACGAACAATACTATCTTCCCCTATACAGTATCACTACTGAGTGTTATTCGCCATCAAGATGCCTCTGTTGGGTCTATCTGATCTTATTGGGGATTTGCGAATGTGGGTCATTTGATCCACATGGGCCGAGCTAGCGGTGTACATACGGGGTACTTTCCGGGATATTCCACAGCCATAATATTTCAAATTAATAGTTAATCCTTGTATATTCAAAGTTAAGTCGGGACCTAAGCAAACAAGTTCCCCCAATCCCCTGAATCTACCATGGTTGCTTTGATGTTTTGATGATTTCTCGACAAGCACTGCCACGTCAGAAGTTCTTGGTCACACTACGCAAAGGAACTAGCTAAATAGAGGTCCTATCATAGTACCGTTCATATTCAATATGAATCCTCATGACGCCATTCAAGTAAACACTTACGAGCAACCTTTCCCGCTCGGCTCTCGCCTCTCGACTATCCGGCGATCGTTAAGAGTGTGAGATTCAAAGTTTTCGCGTACATATGGGGTGGTCCGGGCTCATCATGGGAGCGGTAGATGGCGTGCTTAGTGTTGACTAGCTCCGAGCTCAAGTCTACACTAACATTGAACTATATGCGAGAAACTTGACTCGACGCCATGCAAAATAGGGCTTACCATTCTCTCTCAACTGACATCACATCGTTCCCCACCCTCTATGGAGGGTGCTGATGTGCATTAGGGCCTTTCTCACGCGAAAGGCACTTGTCATGTTGTGATCGGGATGCAACCATGCGAGATTGAATGCTTTGTCTCGTGGAAGTCCCCCTGCCGCAAAGTATTTGAAGCCATAGAATTCCTGCCGTTTCCCGGGGATGGCATTCCAGCTTGGACTGTGGTGTATCTCCAAGAGTCTAGCCTTTTGTCTTCAATAGTATATTACTGGTTCTAGTCCTCGCCTTGTTGAGATACTACCAGGCTTAGATTGCAATTCTGTTTATTCCCCGGATCGACATACCTAAACAATTACCTTGAGCACCGTGGTACCTTCGGGTCAATCCTCATCCACGGTTATGTTCGCTCGCGCCTTCGTGGCACTTGCTTTGGTGGCTTCAGTTTTGATTTCACCTAGCAATGCTGTCACATACACTCCTTTGAAGCCCCCATCATATCCGTTGGCAGTGCGGAGTCCATATTTATCAGGTAAGCGCTGATCATTACTCGGTACTTCGCGAGTTCATTGAGTGACAAGGTTGGGCTAACATTCCGATCACTAGCGTGGATCCCTGGCAATGTGGTTGAGTCGCTTCCCTCCAACAACGCGCAATTCTGGGCAGGCAATACTTTAGTCTGGTCTGTGATTGCTCGTGTGGATGAAACTACCTATAATTTGTTTGGCGTGGCCAGCCCCAACGACGGAACTGAATCAGGAACTGTAACTGCGGCTACCTACACCTCAACACATTCCACCTTCACGGTGACAGCCGGATCTCGAAGCTTCACGTTAGACTTTTTCTCGCCTGTTTCGCCCAAGAATTATCTGCGCCAGTCTCTGCCTTTCTCATATTTAACAGTGACGGTCGCTGCAGGCGATTCGAGCTCCATTCAAATCTACTCCGACATAAGCGGGGGCTGGACGGGCCAGTCTAGCGATTCCACCTGGAGCTACTCTACCAGTGGATCGACGGGCGTATTCCAGATCGAGGCGGTCGGGCAGGCGACCTATTCACAAAACAGTGATGGTCAAGCGTTGTGGGGTAGCGCCGTCTACGCCACCCGTCCTTCCGACAGTAGCACACTCTCCACTCAATCCGGCCCGCGGGTCACCGTTCGCGAGCAGTTTGTTGACAATGGCACCCTTTCAGGGAACCATGCTGACTGGACCTCGGGAGCTGTCGTGGGATTTGCTCATGATCTCGGGACGATATCAGATGAATCCGCCGTCACCTTTGCGATCGGCCACGTGCGAGAGGAGTCTATCAATTTCCTCGGCGCCGCGCAAACAGGCTATTACCGTGCCAAATATGCCGATACCGTCGATGCCGTTACTTACTTCCTCGACGACTACGATGACGCCAATTCCGAATCGACCGACTTCGATGACTTGATCTCCGACACTGGCTCGTCGAGCTTTGGATCGAATTACTCTGATATTCTCGCTCTCTCTGTGCGCCAAGTTTATGGTGGTACAGAGCTGACGATACCCAACGAGTCACTGGATACGAGCGAAATCCGTGCCTTCATTAAGGAGATCTCCAGCGATGGAAACATCAACACCGTCGATGTCATATATGCGACCTTCCCAATTTTCTATATCCTGAGTCCCGCATACCTCAAGTTGCTCATTGCCCCTGTCTTCGAGTATATGGCCACCGACGCGTACTCGGAAAACTACGCGGTTCACGATCTCGGAGCGAACTATCCCAATGCAACAGGCCATGTATCCTCCGGGGAGAGCATGCCCATAGAGGAAAGTGGCAATATCATCTTCCTGACTTATGCGTACCAGCTAGCCAGTGGCGAAACCGACTTATACGACACATACTCCTCGCAAATAAAGACCTACGCGACCTACCTGGAAAACAATGGTCTATATCCTGCTTCACAGTTGTCTCTTAATGATGCCCTCGGAGAACTAGCCAATCAGACCAACCTCGCCGTCAAAGCCGCAGTCGGTCTCGCAACATACGGCAAATTGGCAGATGATACATCATACATTACCACCGGCAGGGACTGGGCAGACAAAATCTGGACAGACCATCTAGGCACCGACGCAGCCGGAACACGCTTCCTGATCCAATACGATATCACACCCTGGTTCCTCGTCTACAACCACTATCCAGACGTGCTATTCGGACTAGATGTCTTCCCAGACGAGGCATACAACGCAACATCAGACTTCTACCCAACCGTCCGTCAAGATGCCGGTATTCCTCTCGATGGCTCTCTAGAATGGGGTCAAACGAACTGGCAAGGCTTTGGTGCTGCTACCGTCAGCGGCGAGGCGCGCGATATCTTCATTAACGACATTTGGGCCTACATCTCAAATGGTCTGAACACTGCTCCTTTCTCAGATAAATACTGGACTTCATCCGGTAGTGGCTATACAGCTGGCGAATCTGATTCGTTCCGGGCGCGACCTACGCTAGGTAGCCATTTTGCATTGGCGGCTTTGTCTGGTGCGAATACATGGTCCACTTGAACAAGTTTATTTTACCTAATTATATTTATTTGTGGATAATTGCATTGGCATTGCAAAGAAGCAATGGTTTATAATTCGTCTTGTTGGTTACCTATTGGTTCTTGCCTTTTTGTCCATTATTGGAGTAGGTCTCGAGCATATAAATGTGTTATATCCATGCATTAATCTATTTAGACTTCAAGATACCATGTAATGACACTTTTCTTATTCAGTAAATATGCTGACATAAAGATGGCCTGAGGTTGAGACATCTTGCTCGTGAACACCACTCACGTTCATTTCCATTCGAGCATGGGATGTCATACAGTCATATTATCAGTACCCGTAGTGGGGAAGTAACCCCACCGCATCCCCCAATAAAGACACTAACCTCGGTGAACTTGCCGGCCCTGATTTATCCCGCGGACTTGCTCTTCTGATCTTCCTAAAGAATTGATCATTTGGAGTCCCCCAAAAATACCAGGCTCATCATGGCAGACATCGAGGATTATCCCCTCGAAAGGCCCTTGTCAGTCAGTGGAGACCGACATGCTTCGGATGTGGAGCAAAGTATCGAGGATGTATCGCCGACCGATTCAAGGCCACACGAGTCAAAGAAAACGAAGCTATGTGTCTTGATCGGGTCTGGTATCCTCCAGCTACCAATTTGGGGTATGCATGAAGAGAAAAGAGATAGACTTCTACCCTGACTGACTCGTCGAGAATAGGCTTTGCGATGAGTTACGGTGTGCTTCAGGAGTACTATTTCGATAATTGGACATTCGAAGGATCTCGCACAATTACTGGTGTTATAGGGACGACTGCAAATGGCGTTATGTATCTATCCATGCCGTTTCTTTTTGCCATATTCACTCGACGATGGGCCCATCGGCGCCAATTAGCAGCTGTCTGTGGCACCGTGATCGCGTGCCTCAGTTTCTTTTTATCCTCTTACAGCAAGACAGTATGGCATCTGCTCGCGACGCAAGGTATTGCGTCAGCCCTGGGCTGTGCTCTTATCTACAGCCCAACTACACTCTCCCTAGGAGAATGGTATAGTAACAGCAACCGCGCGTTGGCGTATGGAATTGTCCTCTCGTGCAAAAATATTGTCGGTACTAGCTGTCCGTTTCTGATCCGCGGTCTCATTGATGCCTATGGCTTTCGGACGACCATGGCAGTGTGGACTGGAATTGTGGGTTGCTTAAGTCTCTTCGCCATCTTCTTAATACCAACCCATCCATCGAAAGTCTCAAGCAACCAAACGCGAGCACGAAGAATCCCCTGGACCTTCCTCAAACACCGATCAATATATTTTTACAGCGTAGCTATTATCTTTCAGAGCTCAGGATACGGCATCCCGCAGACTTATCTGACTACCTATGCCCGAAACGTTGCCATGTTGTCCCAAACAACGGGCACATTGATGGTGGCCGTCTTCAATGCGCCCGGGATCATCGCTTCTTCTTTCTTTGGGTGGCTCAGCGATAACAACCGAATCAAACTATCTGTACAGGTTGTAGCCGCCATTCCACCTCTCGCCTGTGGTCTTTTTACCTTTCTCTTTTGGGGCCTTGCTATTGAGGGTGCCTCTGCCATGCTCATCGTGTTCTCAATAACTTTCGGATTTTTCTCTAGTGGCTATAGCGCCACCTGGGGTGGTATGCTTAAACAAATGGAAATAGAATCCGCAGAAAGAAACGAAGCTATTGATCCTGGCATGCTATATGGCCTTCTCAATGGTGTTAGAGGAATTGGTTATGCGAGTGGCGGTATTGCTGGTGTTGGGCTACTAAACTCTGGATTCGTCTCAACTAGTCATCGTTTCGCATATGGCACCACTTATGGACCATTAATTCTATTTACTGGGCTTTCTTCGATCCTTGGGGGCTGGGTCATTTTATGGAGGTGGAATCCAGCGACCAGGCTCTTGTCAACCCTATGGACGACTTGAGGAATTTGGGTGGCTCCAATATGTGCTACATAGCAACTACAAATTCATTATTTCAAATCAAAGAGAGCAACTTCGGATTGAAACTAGGGTCACCCTAGTTCAAATGTTGATAAGAATTACCATGAATACAAATTATACTTGTAATGATCGCGATTGGACCTTCATCGAGCAAAGGAACCCACCAACCCCTCATCTTGATTTCGGTGTTCCTGCCGGTGACGGTATGATTATGATTGGTCAGTACATGCTTCTCCATCGTTTATGATACAATCTGACACAAGTACTCACATGCGTGAGCTTGACTTAAAAACTCCAACGATCGTATGGTATTGATTTCGCCACTAGTTCCTTCCATATCGCGATGGGCACTCCCGGTGAATGGTTTGGCCCGGCTACTATAAAGACCCACAGGCCCTTATTATTCTCTGTTTTAGCTTGAAGAAATACATGATATCCTTTCCCCTATGACACATGAGAAGTACTTTCCTTGAATTACTCAACGAAAGTGAGGGTAAAAATTAAGAAACGAAATTAAGGAAAGGAAAGAAAACAAGACACAAAAATGGCCGACGAGAAGCTTGTTCATTTCTTTGACCTATACTCGGACCAATCAGGTGCGCAACTCTACCTTTCCAACGAGACACCATCCCCATTTTAGGTAAATAAATAGGAAATAACAGTTGCTCACCACTACTTCAGGTTCTTCAAAATCATGGTCACCCAATACGCTAAAAACTAGAGTCGTGCTCAACTTCAAGGGCATTCCCTACACCCAAAGTTGGCACTCTTACCCAGACATCAAGCCTCTCATTTCCAGCTTCGGCGTTCCACCCAATGAAAAAGGCAGACCATATACACTCCCAGCAATTAAGCATAGCTCCGTTACTTCCCATCCCAGTGGTGTCGCCATGGATTCCCAACTGATCGCTCTTCATCTCGACAAGGTGTATCCCTCCCCACCGCTATTCCCATCCGGCAACGCGAGCTATGCGCTGTTCGTAGCCGTGAGCCAATTTGTTACTCGCTTGGAACCTGGGTTCCGCCCATTCATTATTCCTCGGGTTCCAGACCACTTAGACCCGCGAGGCGCGAAGTACTTCCACGAGACGCGGGCTGCTGCCCTTGGGAAGCCATTGTCGCAGGTGCGACCGACAGACCAGGCGACCATTGAAAGCAAGTGGGAGCTAGTTGAGAGTGAGGCTGCCCCGTTGCTGAAGATGTTAAAGGGCACGAACGGCAAGAAGGGCCCCTTCTTTGAGGGCGAGCAAGCCGGGTATGCGGATTTGGTACTTGCTACTGCTTTCGCGTTTATTCAGCGTTTTGATAAGGAGCTTCATGAAAGGTTCCTCGGCTTGGGGGATGGCGAGTTCAAAGCTCTCTATCAAGCTGTATTGCCTTGGCTGGAGGGGCAAGGGGAGGAGAAGGATTGGCCAGTCACAGAGACAATCTCCTAATGTGATCCGACCTGATGCTCATATCCATGAATATTTACCCTTCTCTTTCTAACTCTTAAGAATAACACCCATTCTATGAAACTCTGTAGCGCATTTCATTGGTTTACTGCGCGTATTCCTGCGTGAAAGTGCGTATATTCCACTACTAGTATGCAAGAGATGCGATCAGCCTCCCTGAGCTCCTCTTTTAATTATAGTTACAACATTCATTAAAATGCCGGTGCCTTTGTTCCCCTTCAAGTTGCTCTTTGAAATGGATTGTTGCTATTAACTCACGATATCATAAGAAAACATAGGGTGGTTCAATTGATCCTGATTAATTGAATATAGTCAAGTATTAAAAACATCATTTTTTCACTATTTTTACGCGGTTTCAGGTTCGTAATATTCCAAAATAGCCGAATATGAACAAGATCGATTATGGTACCGTTCCTCTTGATACCTAAGGGTACCGTGGAAGATGATCTTTGAAGAGACCCCTTACTTGGTGCAGACTACATTTCCTTTATCCTATATATAATCGGTTATTACTAGCTCAATTCACATTCCGGACGAACTAGGCTCAACTTACGACAATCTGGTGAGATTGGCAGCATTGTGGGTAGGTTCCCCCTGGGCATTTAGAGCCATTTCCAGCGGGCTTACATCCCTTTCCGACCGATTGGATGAAGAAAAAACTGAAGGGAACAGTAGACTGGCAGCACCATGAGTTTCCAGACGCGGTGTTAGGACAAATCTGACTTCTTGCTTCAATATCTTCGGCTGGGGCAGCAACCGCGAGGGTAGCAATGGCAATAGTAGTAAGAATATTCTTCACGAGCATGATGAAGATTTGATTCCAAGCGATGTTTCTTTGTATGATAACAGTAGATGTAATTTGATCTAGAAATGGAGATTGTGCTGGGAGGAATGTCGTCCTTTTATAACTTTTGCTATAGCCTCGTACCCGGAGACATAACTACTTGAAGATATCTAGATCACTTCAGTCAATCGTTAATGAATCATTGATCGTGGTTGATTTGCTTGGTATTGGGATAGGATAGATCCTTGGCGTCTTTTCCGCGTGGCGAAATGCCCATCATCAGAACACTAGTCGTACGAAGCTCTTGTGGTACGATGCGATATATAACTTAGGCTGGGGCTCGATTATAGTCCAGATCCCGCTTGGCCTAAAGCTACCGTGGATTTTCTTTTGTGATGAAAAGTGAACCTTGGAAGTAGCTATCTCTGCCGATGTATACGATCTAGAATATAAGGGAGTTTAGCTGATTGGTTAACCCACTCTCAAATGCCCCACTTCCCCAGAGTCCCATGACGCACAGAATCTTGAATTCCATCTTCTCCCTCTCTTTTAGCTGAACAAGAAAATAGATGGTTCTTTATTTCCACCTCACGTTAAGGTAAGTTCTCTCGTATTCACGATTGGCTTAAGGCAGGGTCTCGACCCGTGCATTACCTTGGGTTGATATGCATCACGAATTGAGAGGGCTAGGTATTGTGTGGCATTACAGCAAAGCTGCCCCATAGCTAAGACTAAACGATATCTAGGACTTGGTTGTAGTGGCCCATAACAATCAATTAGACTCACTAGGCCTTTTTATCTGAAGAAATCAGATCTATGCTCATATACCCTCTATATCTGAAATAAACGTAAAATAGCAGTTTGGTTCCAAGTTTGCTAGGCTAGATTCGTGCAAGCGCAACCAGAATCTTGAATCGCTTAGAGTTTAGAAGCTTTGTGGACCACTTTTAAGAAATAACATTGGCCAAATTTGTTGATACCATGGGAATCTTGGAGGCTTGCATACTATATTACCGTCAATATTAACAGACTTTCGTTGTGCTTGAACCTTGGAAACACCCCGAAGGTAGTAGTAGACGCAAGCTACTGAAGATTGGCAGGTATTAAAGTGTAGCGATGGAGTCGAACCCCTTTAAGTATAACAAGCATGCATGGGAAACTTATGAGCGCTATTGCCGGAGGAGGGGCAACTATGGGATTCAATTTTTGAAATAACTCACCAGCAAGGGCTCCTAGATGTTAAGAGACTGGCTGCTATATAAGCCGAGAAGCAGTCCTAGATTCTTGGATCTAGAATCCTTGGCTTTTGCCCCAATGATGAGCGGCTGTAACATGGAATGTTCCCTATTAGCACGTCCGTATAACAGTACCGAAATTTAGATGTACAATAGTATGGAGGACCTAGGTTAATAAAATACTCAGTCCTTTGTAAAAACTTTCGTTGTAACTGTTTGAATGGTTAAGAGTATATGGGACTGCGCTTAAGTTCAAGTTGCGCTCCACGACTAAGACACTCATATTGGAAGTTTTGAGTCTCCTTACGCTTCTCGTTCGCTTCATTCCATTCCCCATACACACCCTTCATACCCAGCGCGGCGAGACCGATACTGGCCGTATCAATCGTGTTCGCTTTAATGGGCTCCTTGCGCGTCTCATCAGGCGTGATCCCGCCATCTTCCAGATGATTTATGCAATGCTTGCGTTTATCCACTGAGTCGTAGACTTTGTATGCGGCGAGGACAGTTGCCACAGGGTCTAGCCCAGAGGTTAACAGTATATCACAATTCATTTGCTTTGTCTTCTCTTTCAACTGAGCTATCTCCTAAATCGGAATCAAACTCGAAGTACGAGCAGTAATCCTTAGGGTACCCATTCAAACAACGTGATCGAGCCAGATCTGAAGAGCCTTGTTCGTGCCCGCAATCATCTTTGGGATGGCTGTTTTCTTCTATATCCCAATCCGAATACCCGTCAGAGTGACAATTTTAATCCCTGTATGGCGGTCGCAAGGAGAATAGCTTTCCCAATGGTCGGATCAATCATCCCTGGGTCAACCTCGAGGTCTTCTCTCGTAATCACGCTCTTCACGGTCTAGAGAACGTGCTCCACGACGCCGGTCATCTGAGACACTCTGATTGCGTTTCCTAGACCTGTGACGGTCATCGTTGTAGTCATGTCCCCGTGCCTGAGATCGCGAGCGGCCATATCGATCATAGAGTTCCTTTCCCGCGAATGCTATCACACCTGCCGCAGCAGCCTTTTTAAGATTGCTCGACCTGCGGCTCCCACCAGCTCGACTCCGGAGCTCAGCTATCTCTTCACGGCTGGGGGCACCTTCATGTAGGCCAGGAAGTGTAGTATCCATGATATGGTGATGTTGAGGCTTGCTTGGATCCTTATTCACCAATCCATTGGTGAAAGCTGCCGACATCACCTGCTTCCCTTTGTCTCCCCTCCATTCTCCGGGTTGCTTGCGCGTTCGGAAGGCCTCTGCAGCCCCGGCGGCTAAAAGTGGGAGAGCTGCATGCATTAAGAGCTGTTCACCTTTGTCGCGTAAGAAGCTACTATGGCCTTGATTACGGTCACTGTCATTCCGTTCTTCATCGGACTCGCTGTCCTCGCGGCCTTGATCACGGCTACGATACCTGTCTTGATGGCCACTGCCTCTAGAGGCCCCACCTGTGGACTTGCGACGATTTTGATGGCGGGATGAGCGGCTGGATTCGGATGAAGAAGAACCGCTGTCGGGCTGTTGATAATCTACGGGGCTTTCTGTTAGTACAACATTCTGTAAAATATTAGTCCAAATTTGAATGACTCACGATGACCCTCGTATGGGCGAGACGAGCGCCGCTGGGAACGACTTTCTGGGTAATAGGAGGATTCCCCACCAACTGACGATGCTCGACGTCGAAATTGGTCTGCTGGACGGCGTGCCTGACGTGAGCCATATTCACGTTGTGTGGCACGTCGCCGATTATCGGGGTGTTCATCATAATAATCTGCTGCATATCCATAGTCGCGACCATGGCCTTCGCCATAGCGGCGGTCGTCGTAGTACGACATTGCGTTTCAGCGGAAGCGGGGGAGGTGACGTCGTTCGAAGAACAAGTATCCACAGGAGACAAAGCGTTCGGTTTTCTTGATGTTAAATATGAGAATATAGCAGGCGCATATTCTTCAGGTCGTCTTGTTCCAGAGCCAGCTGTGGGGGTTCATATGAAAGCCAAGAACAAAGATTCCGCTCTCAAAGGAAATGTTTAATTTATATCAGCCATATAAACTGGCGATGACGTCGTGTCAGCCCGGTGCGTGCAGGATCATCCCTTCTTGACATCTGTCGATTCGCTATGCTCGTGTTTGTGTATGTGCGCAAACCTGAGTTCTATTAAAATGACGTCACCCTGCATTGGATAGTGCAAAAAATTATCAATATTCCCTAACCTCCGTCATATATGCTTAGCTCATTCATACGGTCAGATCTAAATTTCAGTAGTCTGTACTTCGTCAGTTGTGCTACATGCCATGATTAACTCTAGGCTTGAATATCGGCATGTGTTATGAGCTGAGGAACAGTCATGGATCTTCTACCACAGTCGAGCTTCGTTGTTTCCAGCTGAATATATCCCTGCAAGAACAATAGGCGAGCTGATATACTATGTGATCTGCCGGTCATTGGTCTAGACCGGCGTACTGTTCGTCCAGGTGGGGCGGAATTTTAGCGAAAGGGGCATGCGGGGCCTTCTTGCCCAGGCATAGGAGACGATAGCGCCCCGCGGGAAACAACCCCTCAGCCATATAAAAAGTCTTTGCTGCCCACCTGGGCAGTATACCATTATTTGTATTGTAATCTCTATACAGATAGAAAAACAAGTGGAAAAATGCTTTGATTATCGAATGCAAAAAGTATCCAGTCCTCTTTCTCATTCGCTATCGTATGCAGATTATCTATCATCTCTGAATTGTGTCATTCTACTTATCTTATTCCTGCCATTAGCATTGTACTCACATGTCTAAAGGGTCATAAGAATCCTTGTTCAAAAGCTTTGTGAGAGGATACTTTACTCTGGAATTCTTCAAGGGAAAGAGTTGAAGTGGAAGTATTTATCTAAGAATCGGTCATAAGCAAATCTGTCACATATTGCAAAAGCTAAAGATGTGATACATAAGAAGAATCGACATTTGCATCACGAGACAGGGGCGGTGGAGTTGGAGCTTGAGCGTACTCCAAGTTTTACCAATTTTCGATCCTGCAAGTCAGAGGGGTGTCAACTTGAATTCTTACATATTCATGCGTACATGATTTGGTTCGGAAAAAGCAAGAGTAAAGTCACTGGCTCACCTGAAAGCCTCCAAAAATCGCCACGATCTCATCATTTGAACCTACTCGCATAGATTTCTCAGGGTTCCACCACTTGCCACTAGTACCAGCCCAGCTTTGTACTGCAGCTTCGTCATTGTCTGTTACCAGGCCAATAGTGTGAAAGGCCGCATATCCATTCTTTTGGTCTTGAACCCCTTCAAACTTCGGCCATGGAGATCCAACGTAACTTGTTTTCCAGGAATCCTATATCCAAGTTGTGTATCTGGGATATTGGATCCATGGATTAAATCAAAGCCTGATATGTATGTGTCTTCATCTTCAACGAACACAGAAACCGCAATTTTCAAAACTGGATAAGAGACAGGAATTGTCTGGGTTTCTATAAAACAGATTGATGAAACTCACCGAGACAATCGAGGGACTCTGATGGTCCAAAGGTTTGAGCTTCTATCGTCAGCCGTGCTTCCTTAATCTGAAATCACTTTTGTAAATGTTTATAACTAACCGTTTTTCAAATTTGCTATTGGTTTCCGCCATGCACATATTGCACAGCGAGATTCAAAAACCTGCATTTTAATCGACAATCGACAACTGAGAATAGGATACTCGGGTTTTGCTATAAAAAAGAGAAGTCAAAGATTCTCTGGGTTGATTGTATCTTTTGAATCGTCATTGAACAGCTGCGGCGGCTAAGTGACCGTGGTCAGCTCTTGCAAAATATCGCGTTACACCCACCTTGGAACTCCGAGTCGGATATGGACTCATCAGCGTTGCATCATCCGAGCCTAGGCCATGCACTCAAGTAGTATTAACCCCCTGACCGCCAAGGAGTTGAAACCCTTGAAATCTAGTAGATTTGAGTTCCTATTTATCACGGGTACTCCCGCTGGATTTGTTTGATATAGTTACTAACAATTTTACCACAAACTACTAGTACTGCAGGTGCATAGGTACCCACCAGTTTCACCTACCTTTCGTATTGCAAGATTTAATTATCCATTAATGCAGGAATGTATTGAAAACTCTTCTGTTTCAAGTCAAATGATAATACTTGTTGGAGAAGTGTTCATAGTAGTATGATCATCTTGGATGTACGCGATTCAGACAACTTGAAGAATAGCAGGAAAGTTTCAACAAAACAACATTGGAATTCATCGAATAATCTAGATCAAGCTCCTCTTTCTCCCCTGCCAACTTGAAGTGTATAAAAGCTCCCCTTCACTGTAGATATATGTAGAATCTATTAGGGTTTCCATTTCTCTTTCTCTCCAGTTCCTTCTCCCGCGCACGTACCCGCTTGCTATGTTCCTTAGAGAACCGCTTCTGGGTCTTCCCCTCGTTTTTAGATCGATCTTAAACTTCTTTAGTCGTCAACTCAGTAGTGAGACCTATTGTTGACTCGGTATCGGAAGGCTTTTTATGCTTCACCCAATCAAACATTTTCAGTGTGTATATTATAAAGTAGTGCTAGGTACACCCGTAGATTACCACTACTAAACACATATTGTCAGTCATCGTGTAGAGGAATAAGATCTGTAGGCTAGACACACTTCTTTCGGGTGGTTTGTGGTACTGTGATAGAGGTCTCAAGTCTTGAGCTGAGATTGAAGGTGCTATTCTCATGGGGCCGGAAACTTGGAAGCGGGGGAGACGATATTGGTGGGCCCAGAGCCGCATGATGTCTCACGGCAGCGTGACTTTAGGTGACTGTGAAGATCTTTGCCACTTCTGGTATCTCTTATGGCTTTCAAATATACTTCCTACGTTGTGTTGATTGGTACTATGTTATAATCTTATTAAGTCAAGGATTCAGTTCAAGGGAAAGATTGAAAGATGGTCAATGAAACTTCGTTCTCTGCTCTTCTATTCGTGGTATATAGTAAACAAAATCCATAACTCGTTCAACAGTAAATTCAACGCAAAGCACTGGTTTGTGCATCTCAACATGAGATTCCGGTATTATGTTCCCAATGACTGTTTTTGTTCTTTTGATATTATTATGCTTTTTGCTTTCCCGTTCAACTTTACTCAATAGCGGATTGAGAGTTACCGCCGGTAACGGGGTTCAGCTTAGGATCCCACTTGAACTTGAAGTCATCACCAAGCTCTTTGCGGATAGCTGTCCAGACAGCCTCCTTAACATTCTTGAACACACCGAAGTTGGCGGGGTTCTCCTCATCATTCTCACCACCCTGGAAGACACCAGTGCGGACAAGACAGGTGTTCCAGCCATACATGTTACCACCGACGATATCGGAGGCGGGGTTGTCACCAACCATGTAAATGTTCTTGGGCAGCTTCTTCTCGCCGTGCAGATCCTCCATCCAGTCGGCCATAACCTCGTCGGCGTAGATGTAGGTAGCGCGCTCGGGCTTACCGTACAGAACACGCTCGAGGTCGTTACCGGATGTAGCCTTGTACATGGCCTCAACACCGAGACGGAAGGCACCCAGGTGCAGACGTGGGGGTCCCTTGTGCTCGGTGGGGCAGAGCAGATCACCCTGTGAGAAGTAGATGGGGATGTGCTTGTGTTCCTTGGGGTTCTTGGTGCGGGTCAGGAGGTATCCGTCTTCGGACATGAGGAGATCGTTGATGATCTGGAAGTCGGTCATTTGGTCCCATGATTCGGCGAAGCAGAGAATGGCGTCGAATTTGAACTTGGAGAAGTCGCGGGGCTTGGCGTGCTCCTTGTCCCATTCGGTGAATCGACCCTGGGGAGAAATCGTAGGGTCCCAGGCAACAATGTCCTTGGGGTGAATGACATTCTTGAATCCGTATTGCTCAGCAACGTCACGGATCTTGTAGCCCTCACCACCGAGAACCAACACATTGTCGTAGTACTCAGAAAGAGCCTGCATGGGGGTGTGAGACTGAATGAACTGGTCGAGGTGGACGGGGTGGTCAAGAATCTCGGACAGCTGTTCAGTCCGAGCCTGCTCGGTCTTACCACCGCCGTTGGTCAAAAGAATGTAAGGGAATGTGATGCCTATTAGGATTTGTTATCGTTAGTGAGCCGATCTTTGATCTTTTTGGTCACTTATATTAACTTACCAAGCTCGTTGTCACCGTTCAGCATCTTCATGACTTCGCGACCCTCCTGAATGTAGTTGTTTCCGTGAACCAGCACACCGTCAATGTCGAAGGCAAAAGCCATGTTCTTCACGGCAGCCACCTTCTCGGGAGAAAGATCTTGCACCTGCGAAGCCATGATATCCTTGCTGATAACGCTAGGGCGGGAGGCACGAGACAGACGCGAGCTTCGCGACATGCGCGGTGAGCGGGGAATAGGGAGAGAAGTTCCAAAGGAGTTGCGAGAGCCACGGCGGTCCCTTGTGGAAGGACCCAAGCTGAGGTGATGCATCATGGCGGAGGTACCGCTCATTGAGCTGCGAGTAGCAGGAATCTCAATAGTCTCGCCATCCTGGGTAGGGATAGCGATGCTTGTACCATCAAGTGGGGAGCGAGCGGCCTGCACATCGCCAGCACGAGCTTCGCCGGGAGGGGCGGATTCAACACCCAGATCAGCGTCAGAGAAACGAGTCATGTTGGGCAATGTGTGTTGTTAGAAGAATCCGTTGGAAGGTTGAACTATTTGAAGAGTCGACAGAAAAATGGGGTACAGATGGAGTATATGTATGGGAAAGGATTTTGGCAGTGTTTAATAGACCCCTCAAAAATGGGTCACGGAGCAGAGTACCGAAGAACAGTATTCAGCCGATGACGACCTAGGACCCGTTTTATAAAAGATGACGCGCTGATCGGTTCCCGTAAGAAGTAGTCCCGGTTTTACGAGATGTGAATGGTGGATCCATAAATTTTTTTGGGCTTCATGTTTTCATTATACGGCCAACGTCCGTTCAAACGCCCGATTGTCTCAACATAGACTAACTAGGCCAGTTCAAGACCACTCAAGACAAATAAAAAAAATGGGGGAATGTATAGTGACGTGGCATTGAGCATCCCGATCATCTTTGAATGGAAGTCCGAGAACAACAACATGGAATGCATATGGGGAAATAATTTTTTGAACGTTTTATAAAATGTTGACGTCACCCGAAACCTTGAGATCTAAAGAAAGCAATGTACATGTACAAGTAAGGATAGTGGGATGTTAGATTAAGCTTGCTGCTGGCCACTCGGGCAAGTTTCCCCTCATAGAGAACTTTGACCGCTATAGTTCTCTTTCCTTGCCTATAACCTCTATTTTATTATTGCATCCTGCGTTTGAGGTCTTCAACTTTTTACAATATTAGAGTGAAAATCATCACGATTTGACCCCTCCAAAAGTCCCTGATAATCAATTTCGATGACGTAGCAATACACGCCAATAATCGCCCATGCATTCGACCTCTGCTTCCCAATCCTCCGGGTTTACCCATTGCGGGCTAACCGGAAAGGAGACGTTTTTGTGGATATCGGTGGATTTCAGATCCACCACACCACCCGTGAGGTGGATAAAGGGGGCGTCGGAGATGTAACATGCGGGCTCCCGCAAGTTGCAAGCAATGCAGGGCGTATACACGCGATGAAGAGATTTCAATATAGTCAATATATACAGGAAAAGAGAGTTCTTCTCTTTGGTGTCTCGGCATGGTTCAGATGGTTCCCGAAGCCTTCGGTGGCGTTGAAGGGTCAAAGCCATCCCGAAACAAAATCCCTAGGGCTCGGTATGTTAGATGAGTGTTCAATCTAGAAGCGAGGTGATTGGATGATCTGGAGGTCTGTTCCCGTCTCCATCGCCGTCCATGATGACATAATGCCGACGATGCCGACCAATGTACGTGCAGCTTTGACCAAGTTTAAGGGGGAAGGGAACAATCGGACGTTTTCGGGTGCCTTACCATCCGGGTTTAATGTTTTCCCGGGGCTTGGGCGCTTCTGATGTTGGGCTAGCCCAGACAGTTTTGGTTCGTTTCGTGGATTCTCGGGTCCCTCATTCCTTATACAGCGCGCGGTGACTCTCTTTCATCCCTAATCAGAAAATCGTCAAAATAAAATGGAAATTTAAATTAAATTAAATTCGAATAAATGTTCTGTTGAAATTCCAAAAATATCAAAAAAATCTAGATTTCCAAAACAAACCCCTTTTTCAAAAAAGAAAATAATAATAACAATAATAAAAAGTTAGCAGAGAACGCCACAACTCAGATCCATCTCTACGGAGTACGTAGACATCAAAACCCGCGACTAGGTATACATTCAATACAGTGTAGATTAGATAGTCCCCTTTTTACATATGCCATATTGCAATCCTGCACATGCTTGACCCCCACCACACAGGCCCTTTATCGCTTTATCGCGGTCCGAAATTGTGCATTCGCGCAACACTTTGACCCCACTACCCCTCCCCTCCTTGACCAAGATTTCTATAGCGCTACTGATGTTGCTAGGCCTCGGAAAAGCATTCTGCATGCACGATCAACGTGAAATGAAAGCAATTAAATCCCGCATGTTGTAATTAGTCAAGGGCTGGTTTTTCGGTTCCTAAGTAGATCCGGCGTCAAAAGCACGCCGAATACTTGATAGAGTTTGCGTCACCGCTGGACCATTGGCTCTTAGGCTTCAGTCTATTGGACGCCCCAGCCGTGTTGCCTATGCACTGATTACTTAGTGCTATAGATCGCCGTGGTTTCTCCGTGGATACCACGATTCAACCGTCGTGCACTGCCGGGCTGGACTAGATAATCCACTACAACTCGCTACGGAGTGGTCTCCTCCGTGAAAGGATGCACTATGTTACTAAGTGAAACGGACGTCCCTGAAAATACCTCGGTGTGAATTGGAATGGAAACTTGAATTCAATCATTTACTACCATGACTCTCATGTGGGTAAAGTGGTGCACCAACGCGTGGTATGGTCTGCGCCATAGCTGGAGCGACTGGTGCTCTCAACTTGAGAGACTTTTTTCCGTGATCTAGGTCATGGAAGAAAACGACCTGAACAGTAATATCGTCGCGTGCATATCGGGAAAACGGAGAGCCAAGAGCAAGTCGCCCTGCGATTAACTCGTGGTTGTTCCCACCGAGAGAATTGCGAGTCAAATGTACTGCTGCATTCTTATCTTCAATGGTCGTCCGCTCCTCTATGAACCTCTCCTGTCCGTTTTTCTGAAGCAGGTCAAAATCAAGAGGTTTATCTGTCTGTGTAGACTGATGGCTCTTTCCTGTTTCTCCATTTGGAGATCCTAGCCATTTGCCCACTAACCCGACTGCCTGTCCGTTGGACAAACTATCCCACAATCCATCGCTTGCCATGATCAAGAAAGACGGTTTACTAGGATCAATCTTCGTACTGGTCACTACAGGCTCTGCAGTGATGTACGGTGGCGTTTGAACATCATATCTAGGCGTTAAGGGTGCGGGTCCGTAGAACCGTTCTTGCATCTCTTTTTGGAACTCCAAAGACCACTTCCACCGACTGTCACCGAAAGCGCGAGATACCATCAGGCCTAATACCCGTCCGTCTTTGACCATAGTATCTTCATTGGGATGTTCTTTCTGCAGTCTTGCAATTTCCTCTTCGTTGCTTCCCGTTTGATCAACCGATAAAGGAATAGCTTCCCAACTGCCATCATGTCTTTGTTGACCCAGCACAGCTCTAGAGTCGCCGGTACAGGCCACATGCAGTGTGCCTGTGCTAGAGTCGTAAAGTGATAGTAAAGCGCATGACCCTGCAAACGCGGGCTCCATTTTCCTAACTCTTTCCTGTAGTGGTTCATTGCTTCGAGATGCTTCCTCAGCTGTCTTAAAAATTGAGACATCGAGGTTCGAAAACGCTTCTACAAGTGCTCGCTGGACCATGTCTTGTGGCAGGCCCTCCCCGCCAGGAGGAGATTCAAGCCGCTCTAGACTATGTCGCACATATGGCAGAAGTTTATGTTTCAGAAGCTCTGCCGTTTGCCAGCCTGCATGCCCGTCAAAAACGGCCCAGGCCATCCATTGCTCCCCATCCTTGAGCGGGGATGGTAGCTGGCCATGAAAGAAGCGATCCTCACAGGGACTGTTAGAGGCCACTTGAGTGCCTTCGTACTTCTTGACACCAGGCACGGTATGAACAGCCTTCGAATAGGCATTTTGTGTAATTATCTGGGTCACTTCGTTTTTTGAAAGGCTTGGCTCAAAAGACAGTTGGTCAGTCGGGGAACTATCTAATCGCGGCACCTTGTGGCTGTCCCGAGAAGACGATGCCCACCAAAAAGCCGGGGCACTGATCACGCCTCCAATAATGATGTTTCTAGTCCGGTTCGGTGCGTTTGTCTTTGATGTGTAGAAACATCTGGCTGACGTGGTCACACGACCAAGGCGCGGCCGAGCCCGAGCGCCCGCTAAGATGGAGGAGAACATGGAACTCAGAGATCGGTGTTCAGCAAAGTGGAACGCCTGGTTTTTTGATCTTCTAGATTTTTTGGAACAATATTTCTGCTGATCCTTCCGGAATTGCGAAAAAGGTACAAGATACAAACAGCTAAACGCCTGAATCAAGGGGTAGCCAGGATCAACAGGTAGGAGGTTTTAGCGTAGTAGTGAGTTAAAGATCGGGTCCGAGAAATTTCATCACACAGTGCCCGGGCGCTGATGGGACGATTCTCACTTATATATAGTACTTTGTTGTAAGAGGAAGTCAGGAGAAGGATGATGTTCTTATTAGCTACCTAACAGTGAAGGTCTAGACATAACCCAGTCACGTGGATCGCCAACATGCCTTATCGACACTCCCGGCGATAACAAAACTAACACCAAGTGGGCCACAACTCCTGGCTGAGATCTAAATGTGAGAGGCCCCGCGGTCGAATCGCGGCTTGGGCCCTCCTTTTTCTTCTTTTTTCTTTCAGTTTCCTATCGCTACAGCAATGGTCTGTAATACAATTAATATTCGGTTATTATATGACAAGGCTGAGGCTGGATGTTTAAAAGACTGGAGCAAAACGGCCAAGCGTCACATAATGTTCCCGATCATGATATGTACTTAGAAAGATTAATACTAGTAACATCTTAAAAATTCGAGTATCACTAACCAAATAATGGAATCATGAAAGAATATGATGCAAACAACATTGAAGCATAGACCTATACCAGAAAAAAAAACACTTCCATGGCTTTTAGGTAAGAGTCTTGGGCATTATGCGAGTGCAATCACTACCTGTAATGTATGACGTGGACCTTGGTTGGAAGTGATTGTAAATCCGTAAGATATAACTTAGTAGATCCTAAATAAAATTCCAGAAGTTCAATTGCAGGCTCTGTGCTCTAAACAAAGACGCCCTCCACCCTCTCTTATAGAGTGTAGATGAAATCAGGACGCTTATCACCGAGCTCTTCAATTTCGCGTTGGTCCAAGCCTTCGATCAATTTATCTCGGTCGCCACGGCGTCGTTTAGCATTCTCTCGTCGCAACAGGAAATACTGCACGATCGAGCCGCCAAACAAAAACAAAACCAGATAAGACAGAACAACGCCGTGCCCAGGATAATAGCGTGGAGCATCCGCATCACGGTAGATGTTGGAGGAGACGATGCCGTTAAGATTTCCCCAGCCAATAATGAATCCCAAAGAAACACCACGCTTGTACACTCCTATTTGATAGTTAGTCATCTGACCTATATTGAAACCAGTTTTGAATTGGTTACATACCCTCAATGTTGTTACTTGCCCATGAGATCGTATTGGCGATTCCCGGGTAAATCCCCATCGCACCAAGGAATGTTCCTGCATACCGACCGCCGGGCGACTCGCATCCCAGTAGCATAGCAAAGCCCACAATTCCGAGCATGGAAGTTGCGATATTGCAAAGTCCTCGCTGTCTTGTACGATCTGCAATGAAACCAATACTGATAGTCAGGATAGCGGCGGCGGCATAAGGGGGCACACTCAGGAGCTGTGCGCGAATGGAGCTGTAGCCTATATCATAAAAATCAGTTTCTGCGAGGATCTATACATAATAGCTCAAAGGATGGTATTTACCCTGCAAACTCAAGTTAGTATTGGAGTATTCAGTAGCCAGAAACCAAGGGATAGACTTACTAGTTCACTAATGATCGTCGGCACAAACAGGGAGAAAGCATATAGCGAGCCATCCGCTCCCATATAGATAATAGCACCGAGCCAAGTCTTCCAGTCTTTCACACTTGCCCAGAAGTAGGACATTTTAAACTCTTCATGCTCAGCACTTGACTGCTGATCTAGAGCGAGACGACGAATAACACGAGCTCGATCCTGCTCGGACAGAAATTTGGCTTGATCGGGGAAATCATAGACACACCAGAAGGAGGCTACACCAATGACGACTGTAGCCAATCCCTCAAGGATGAAGATCCAAGACCACCCTTTTTTGCCTCCAATGCCATCCATCTTGGAAATAGCGGCTGCCAACAGCCCACCAAAAGAGCCGGCTAATGCGGCTGCGGAGAAAAAGATTGCCATGCGAACACCAAACTCGGAGCGCTTGTACCAGCATGATAAGAAATAGCTTACTCCTGGGAAGAGTCCAGCTTCACTTAGACCCAAGAACCAGCGTACAGCCATTAGTCCAGCATAATTGTGAACGAGACCCATTAGCGTCATGCAGATGCCCTATTTAATTGTAGCAAAAGGTTAGAATCAAAGAAATTCCTTGAGCGATTGTAGCTCAAAAAACAAAGGAGAATGGGTATTTACCCAGGAAATCATGATGATTGGAATGAAGATGCTCGGGCGCAAGCGCTTGAGCAGAATATTCGTCAAGGGCTCAAAAACCGAGTACGAAACGAAGAAGATTGTTAGAGTCGCATTGTACTGGGGGCCTGACATGCCCAAGTCTTTGCTCAGACCATCAATTTTGGCATTGCCGATATTTGTTCTGCATTAAGTCAGATCTGAGGTTTTCTTTGTCGCAACAGGGGGCGCAAGCAAACCTATCGAGAAACGAAGCTAAGTATAGTAAACTGAGCCAGGGAACAAGTCGGATATCGAGCTTCCATAATAGCTTCCGATCCTATTATTTCTCAAAGAAATATTATTAGTCTCTGAAGAAATCACTCTGAATCCGGTCTCCGGGTAGATAATCACATACAATTTTCGCACGTTCTTCGTCACTGAGTCCCGCGTCAGGGTCCTCGAGCCTCAAAAGCTTCTCTGCATTGGCATTCAAAACTTTTTCTGGATCTGAAACATGCGAGACGTTCTCCAGGCTTGGCTTGTCCGTTGACTCAGCCATCTTGTTCAACGCTTGGCGAACTTGATCTTTTGTAGTTTCTTTCCCTCCCTTACCGGTAGATGCGCATGTCATGCAAGGAACAAGGAAGAACTGCACGGGACCGAAGCGGGGTATAAATAGTGAAAGAAACGGGATTTACGAGCGGACCAGCGGTCGGCGGGCTAGCGGAGCGGGGGAATAAGTTACTGTATGTCTGTGAGTGAGCTGAATAATGCTCTTCAGTGCCAAGGGGTTAGAAGCTTACACCAATCAAAGGAGACGGATTTTGCGTCTGCATAGGAAGTTTATTGGAGAAAAACTGGAGAAAAACTGGCGCAGGGTCACGTTCTATCCCAGTTCATCAATGATCGGCATTGCAAAAGTCTGATCTACGTGGGGGATACCCGATCAGGGGTCTACGGAATGAATGTTCGGTGGTGGCAACCAAATGCCGAGGGGAGGTATAATTTAAAGGAAGATCTAGCTTTAGACCTGCATAACTCGTATTGGAATTGACAAATCGATATGTATATTGTATATTTCAATGTATATAGTGGGACATCTGGAGTATACCATTGTGCTGACCTTTTCTCATCCCGCGACTCAATTCTGGGGGATTTGCGTTCGTGGGGATCGGGGAGAACTTCGGAACTTGATTGGTCTCCACGTTTTTATTGCGGGGGGCCGACTCCGTTTTACTGTACTTCGGGATTCTACACAGCGAATAACGGGTAGCCGTTCTATTGAAGCTTGGCTTGTTTATGCCGATATTGAACTGGAATATGGAACCGTGGGGATTTGTGTAATTTCCGAAAATCGGATGATGTTCTTTGAATATCTGAAAACTGAGGGACAGGATGAAAATTCCCCGGCGCGAAAAAGATGCGAGCACAAATAGGCTGCATGCACTCTGGCTACTAGCTATTACTAAAGGCGGAAGTTGTGGTAGGGTCAGAGCAAGGGTCTGCGTGGAAGCAGACACTTTCAGGCCCGAATTCGGAATCCTTGCAAAGCTCCTCGTAGGCCCACAGGGCTAGCTTGATGGAGGGGAAATGAAACACTCGCTGCTTCTTCTTGGCAATACAATCGACATATTGCTTACAAGGGAGCTTCTTTTTCAGCTTCCAGAAAGCCTGATGAGCTTCTTCAATGCGACCTTGCAAAAGAAGACAGCGAGTCGCCTTTTTGTCTTCGATCGTCTTCTGAAGTTTTCCAGAGATCGGATAAGTAGGGGTCTCCAGGAATCGAACAGTCACTCCCTCTGGGAGTGAAGTATCGGTTTCATTGACAATCATTTCCGCAAATCGCAGAGTACTCTCTCCAGTCAGAAAAGTGACCATCGCACTTTCATAACCAGTGATTGGGGTGGTATTCATCAGGGACGCTGCGAAAACTTGACCACCCCGCACCCAAGATAGCACTTCTGTAAGAGTAGAGTCGGAAGGAAATCCCTCGATGATCACGGTTCGCTGGGTGGGAGCAGAGGCTTCATGAGAAGGAATGTAACGAATGCCGTAGTTTAGTAACAAGTTATCTTCCATCGGAACTTTCCACAGACGTGAGGTGTTTTTGCCAGCCTGGACCAACTCTTTGATCGACGAAAAGGGACTGGCACCCGCCATGCGCCATAGTAGTTCTGAAGACATTTCCTTCTCGTCCACACGCGTGTTCTCCTCGTTTTGGGTCAGATATTTGGTATCTATGGCTTGGTCGATGATCAAATTCTTTTCACGCGTCAGTGGGGTTTAACAATATAGGAATGTCATTTTCGTGATGAGCCAACCTCGTTGTTGTCGCAGGGATCAGAAGAAACGTAAAGCGAGATGGTTCTGTAGAGTGTCGTCAGATAGTGTACTCTCTTATGATAAATTGCTGGGTATACTAACCTTTTTGGTTCAAGGGCAACCAGATCCGGAGCCTCGTCTAACAAAGACGAGTTATGCCTGGCGAGAACCTTGGCGGGGTGATTGTTGTCTAAGCCAAATAACGCAACAATGTCCTTTGCTGGGTCGCGAGAATAATCCAAACCGTATCTGGGCTTGAGCCCGGCCTTATCCGACATGCTGAAGATGGGTTCAAGGGCTTCAAAGGACTGTGGAGAATGGAAACCAAAAGGTGTTAAGATGGGACGAAGTGGAGTTGAGATGAAGTCGGTGAAGGTTTCTTAAGGTTTGAATATGTGGGTTGAAGGTGATTTGTGATGTGAACAGAGTCCAAGATGGAGAAATGGGTGATCAATCTACATGAGTGAATTATATTGGTCTTATCTAGGCCAGGTAGACTCGAGAACAAATATTGATTGAATAGCAAAAGCAGTTGCAGAATAAATAAAATCGCTTTCCAAAATAGTCATAGATCACTTGAATCCTGGTTCTCTCACTTGAACATCAATGTGGATGGCAGGACTGGACACGTGAGTTGCTGTGGACGTTGATGCCTCGGGGGTCCCTTTATAGCCTCAAGTGAAGGTACTCACGCACACCTCTACCCGAAGAATTCACCACTAGCCAATGCAACCCACGGAAGATTTTCTTCCCAGCATCGCTGCATTAGCTGCCGAGCATCTTGGATCTGAGAACACAAGGTCAGTTGAGTTGTTCTGAGGGGGATTAAGTATTGAGGTCATTTACCTGTTTCATGCCTGACTTTTCTAGGACCAAGAACCGATTGAGGATCTTTGATCGCTGAGAATGGTCTCTGGATTCACAGCCAGCAGTGAACAATGGGAGCAGTGAGCAAACTTCAGTAGAGGCACCGAGTCTCATGCGCCCGAGGGCTTCTACAAGCTGTCGAAGAGCTTCTTTGACTGGGAAGGAGTCTGATGATGATCCTAATACGCGACGATGGAGATGAATCAGCCCTGCACATCGAAAAGCCTCTTCGGTGGCCATCATTTCTTGGCCTTCGATGCCTATATGGTGATTGGGATCAGCATGAACACGATCGCTCAAGCCATCCATGTCGCCTAAGACGGCCTGGGCCTCAAGCACCATATCCGCAGATGGATGCCACCCCGGTCGGAAATGACCCAGCTCGTCAAATCGCTGATTATCGCACTCCTGGACCAGCTTCGCCAACCGAATAAGGAAGAATCCAGTACGAGCTGAAAACCCCGTGAAGCAATCCACGGTGAATTCATCATAGTTGCCTGGACCCGAGCAAGCTGCCAAGACAGAGTGGTATAACATCAACGGTCGGCCAGCTTGACGACATGACAATGCACCAACAGTGTCGATATATCCTAGCCATCGGGCAAAGAATGCACCAATCCTATTACCAGGTCGAGCGATACGGTCACTTCGCGCAAGGAATAAATCACGTGCCAATTTCAAGTGACTCTGCCAGGTGATAGGAACTTCAAACGTCCCCGGAGAAACGATCTTCAGCGACAATAGCAGAATTGCGGTGGCCAGATGGCTATCTGTAATCTCCTCATGCGTCGCTTCCAATGCGACACGTAATGTGGGGAATACATTCCTGACCCAGTGCGCAATACGATTGGACGGTTCGGGGTGTCCTAAATACCGCGCACGATGACTGGCCGAATATGCTAACAATAAATTGAGCAAATTAGGGTCACCAATTGCCACTACAATCCACATACAAGGTTAGTTCAATATTCTTGATTAAAAAACCCCACCATTCCCCCTTTGTGACAAAATTTCAGGATTAACTTACTTGACGGTAGGACCGACATGAACGGGTTATTGTCGCAGTCATGAGGCACCAACATTCGAGATGTATGGTTGATGAAATGATGAAAATACATCAAATTGATTGGATTCTCCAGCAGAGTCGGTGGGAGCGGGGAGAGATACCTCGGAATATTGATTGAGACTGGAGATGCATAATACCCGCCATACTCAGTATTTTGAGGGACTGATGGCGTAGGGTAGGATTTGGGAGACGATTCTTCGGATCTCCCACGAGAGCTGATCACATCAAGAGCGGAATTGACATCAATTGCGGCGTGGTCATTGTTTGAGGCTAGATCTCGGTCTGGTCGCCCACAGTCCAACCCATAATTATCGGTTACGCTCGTGAGATATGCTTGCCATTTGCTCTGAGCAGAAACTGATTCACGTGTGGCCTGGTGATCTTCTTTTCCATCGTTGGGTATTGCATCTATATGATTGAACAATGCCATCCCATCATGACCGACAGGCGAACTAGTATTACTTGGAGCAATTGATGAACCAAACATGAATGCCGATATACCCCCGGGATTTGGAACATTTGAATTTCCATGATCGTCTTTCGGTGCCCCATTCAGCCCATGTCCGATACTGTGCTCATCTATCATGGTCCTTGGTGGTTGACTCTCATTTTCATTGGGGGAATGATTCGTGTCATCCACCGTGTTGCGAAGAAAAGATACAGGCTGAGACACAGAATTTGAATGAAAAGGAAATGCCGATAGAGACCGGAGTCCCACACCTTGATCAGCGGCAGGCGAAAATGCACCATGAAACGTTGGTCCAAACGGATACTGTGCCAAAGAGCCCGACGAAACTGGAGTTAGCGGCGAATGCTCTGGCCAAGTAGATGAAAATTGAATGCCAGCCTGATCCGGCGAGCCTACACCTTCCGATACAGAATGGGGCTTTTGGGAGTCAAAGAGTCCAAGGTGGCCCGGAGTATCTGGGGAGATGGAGCCCATATCGCTAGTATGAACATTCACAAAAGCATCTACAGGATTACTCGTCGCCGGCATAGACATCGAAGTAGAGTCCATATTGTTCGTTGGTGTGGAGTCAGAGAAGGAAATAATTGTGCCACCATATCCACTTGATTGGGATATAGGTGAGTCGACGGAAGCTCGTTTTGTCCGGCCACCCCAATTGAGGCGGACACTATAGTCACATGCCTCACCTTGCCGTTGACAGTTGAGACACGAAGGCTTCTCTTCGCCACTGTAAGTAAAACAATCAGTGAGACCCAAATGACCTAAGATTCGGTGATCACTTACCATTTTACTTTACGAGATTTGCACGGCCTACATGATTCGGTTAATTGGTTATTTCATGACGAGAAGCTTCATCAACTCAAGGATAATGACTTACCAACAGCCCTTTCGGCTTCTTCGCTTAGGCTCCGGCGCACCGGGCCTCCGAGGACGAGGCATCGCACCTCAGGGAATAGATCAATAGATCAATACCCAAATCCGATGTGATAGGGGCAGCAGTTTCCGAAAGAAAAACTGATAGATGACTATTGGCAGCTGTCATCCAGCAGCAAGGCCGCTTTGGAAGACCTGTCGAGTGCCGTTCACAGGGCAAAGCAGGCGCGGTTGGATCACTTTCTACGTCGAGAGTTGTGTTGACCCCAAGTGGCGACAAAACGATAGTCGACCAAGCACCCACACCTAGTAGACGCGCACATCGAGGTGTGGGAGGGAGATGTGCCCAAAAAAGATCAAGTTACTGCTGTAAATACAGCACTGGGAGATTCGGTGTCGTGTAGATGCAGCACCAAGAATTATAGGGTTATGATGATCTTGACGATCACAAAACGTGGCACAATCTGGGGAATTCCGGGGTAATGGCCCACTTCAACACTTGACACTCTTTCCCATGTGCTCACACAGGAGATCAGCTTTTGTACGAAATAAGAAAGAACAAGCAGGATGCGAAAATATTAATCCTCGAGAAAGATGCGAGAAAGTGTGGGGAAAGCCCACGATAAGGCTGACTCAGACGGTGATCGGATTAACCCGCGGTCCGACACGGGATGCCGCGGGATACCGGTCACGTGGCGACGTCATAGGGGCCCTCGGGCCCCGATCTGGCTGGATTTCCAAGGTTACCCTTGATCTCCCGAAGTTCTGCCAGTCGTGGAGAAGGGTCATAATTTATCTTTTACCAGCCTGTCCCTGCTTCTCGGAACCTCATTCAACTCCGACATGTCCGAGTCACTCATTAAGCACCATCCCCTGCAGCGACTAACAAGTCCATCCAGGGGAATCTCTGCTTTGGTTCATGTAAGACATTATTTGAAGCGGTCTGACACTAGGCTGTTTGCCAAACTTATATACATGTATCGTGTCTAATTATCATATCCAATTGACATAGTTGGGTGGCCTGGCGAGTTTCCTGTGGTCTTTCAAATAGTATGTCACCCCCGAGTGATTTCTCGTGTGGATCTATTACATGTCCGACAACCGTGGAAGACTAATAAAAACCAATAGTATGCATGAAAATCCTAATAGGGCGTGGGTCTTCCTGAGAATTCATTTCCACTTATCTCATTTGGGGAAATCATAGAGATACTAATGGAACCAGAAACGAGGCATATGGCTGGCACTTCCAGTACTTGACCGTCATTGGTCTGACATTGTCTACATTGACTTTTCTCGTTGCCTTGGTAGCAGATATCACTCTATCGCGGCGTCTCTTTTTATTCAAGAACCTATTATCAGTATGCAGTGCTCCAATGGAGGTATTGATTAGTGTCCTTTACTGGGGGCTTCGGTTGGTCAGTAAATTAAACATTTCCAGGAATCTGACAACGAACTAATGAAGCCATTTAGATTGATGAGCGCCTGGTTCTACCTGATTGGGCCTTCATTCCACTTCACGCAGGTTTGTCGAAATGCAATCTCGTATTAGGCGGTTCCACAATACTAACACGGCCCCATCAGATATTAGCTTTCATGCAATCCCGTCCGTCGTGATGTTGATAGACTTGCTCTTTCTGTCTCCACCATGGACCATCACTGTCCTACCCTCCTTGGCTATTTCCGGAAGCATAGCTTTTGTCTACTGGTTCTGGGTAGAGCATTGCTTCTCATTCAATGGGTTCTATCCATACCCCATTATGGGAGAACTGCCAACCCCTGGTCGAATTGGACTTTTCACAATGAGTGCTATTGTTATGGCTTTGAATACAGTCACGCTCAAATGGTTCTACGGCCGAGTCAATGGCTTTGGTGTTTATATTCCGGCACAGTCGCGGCCTGGCAATATTAAGCGAAAGGACGGTCTTTAAGTTACGGGGCACAGGCTACACGATTGGTCACCTTTTCGGGAGTTTTCATGCGAGGCGATCTAACCGAAATCAAATTTAATATCGATATGCATGGAGCTGTGGGAATCTTTCAACTTTGACAATCGAGTTTAGTCTTTTATCGAGCTGTTTTTTGGTCTTGCAAGACTGCATATTTCACATTCGAGCTGTATGAGTGGTGATTGCATTGCGGGGTCTTTTTTAAACGCTTTTGGCCGTTCCATGATGTATAGTATGTTCGGGGTTTGTTCCATATCGTTCAACATGATGTAACCAAATAGTTGAACGGATATGTTGTATATAAACATTTACAGCTCGCGAAGTATCTGTACAAATTTCAAACTCCCAATTATGTGTACTCAGAATTTTCACGTATATCATATTGGTGATCTATCGATGTTCATGGGTCTGTAGTACATAAGGTATCGACTCAAGGGCTTAGAAATTTCTCCAACTGTACCTTCAAAGTTTGAAGCAACTGCAAGTATTCACTACCTAGGTAGCCATTTTCGATTTTTGTGTATTTTTGCCAACTTGAAGTTGTACTCATACTAGAGCCTGGGTTCGAACTTGATTTTTTTTCCGTTTCCTGGCATCATGATAAAGATACTATAGGTATCCATATTCTAGAATACTAGTAAACCCAAGTTGGAACCTGGGACGAGATTAGTACTTATTTGAAGATATTCCTCCATTATCATATCAATTAAATAAGCTTCACAGATCGATGCGACCGAAAAAGTCCAGTCATTTTTGTTAAACGCTAGTATAAAATGTATAATATAGGTAGCCCAGCTGGTATGCAATCCGCCGCTCAATTCCAGATGCCGCCAAGGACGCTGACATAAGGATTCTCCACTCCGGCTCTGCGCTCTGGATTGCTAGAAACATCAGTCTCTTGTCACACCTTCAATTTCGATCACTTGCCCAGCTGCCTCTATTATCACCATGTCAGCACGCTCGGTACTTGGTGGTCGACTGACCTCGACCTCTATTGGCTCTCTCGCCGCCCCTTCCCCATGGATGGCTTCCCAACAGGTCGCACGCCTGTACTCAACCGCCGTCCGTCCGTCGCCGACTACCGCGTCCAAGCTCGCTATCCAGCGTCATGTTCAGCCCATTTCTCCAGCCCTAGACCGTTCCACCAAGCGCATGCAGTCAACAACTTCCGCACAAGATGAAGTAAAGCTCGACTGGAATTCCTTCTTCAAGCTCCGTGCTTCCCGCCGTCGCTACTCCTTGGCCTCTTCCGTTGCGAGCTCCCTCGTGAGCACTACCGCTGGTGTGCAGATTTTGTCAGCTCAGGATTTGGAATCTTTGGGCGCTCAGGTTATGGGCCTGGACCCCTTCGTGGTTCTGGGATTGGCAACAGCTGCTTGTGGTGCTGTCGGGTGGCTCCTGGGCCCAGTTGTCGGCAATGGCATCTGGGGTATGGTTCACCGAAAATACAAACCATCCGTTGCAACTGTAAGGAATCCAATCTAGTCTGTTCACTGATGGGATTGGGATGAATGACTAACTCTCCATCGCGTTTCACAGAAAGAGAAAGAATTCTTCGATCGCATTCGCAGATTCCGTGTTGACCCTTCGACAAACTCGATCGCCAACCCCGTCCCAGATTACTACGGCGAGAAAATCGGCAGCGTGCAAGGATACAGGCAGTGGCTTAAGGACCAGCGCGCCTACAACCGAAAGCGCCGCAACTTCATTGCTTAAATTTCCATTTCTAAGTCATTTACTACTGCAAATTTGTGTGTATACCGTTGATCCTGCTTGCGATGCTCGCAGATTCTTGACCAAATACTGGTCGCATTATTTTCTTTCTGGATACGGATTGGTGTTTACTGCTTTTTCTTTTCCCATCTCATTAGCGGTCTGGGCGAGTTGGGTATTACATTTGTATTTCAAAATGGCCTTTGATAGCACCGTTAACCACCATTACAATCAAGCTGATCTAAAATTTATTGAATTTGAAGCATCTAGTTCAATATTCATATTTACGCTACCATTGCATCGATAGCGAAATGCTCATAGCCTTGGATATTCTGCGAATGATGAACTGTGCTATGATTGATGAAAGCTGCCGCGATCTAACATGCAAGTAACACATACAGCCAAGACACCTTGGGAGAAAGCATTACAACTTCGACGAAGAATTGGCCTTGGGCTTTCGACCAGTATCCACCTCAGTCCACCACGGCAGATGTGCAGGCAAGCTTTGATCCAGATTTGCCCGGAAGTTTGGCTTACGTTTCTCGAAGAACGCTGTGACGCCTTCTGTTTGATCTCTGTAGACGAATTTCGATTAATATTCGCACATCACACGGATTGAGACGGATATCTACATACTCTGATCGGAACATGTGGTAAATGTTTTTCGATTCTATCAAGTGTGCCATTTCAGGCGAACCGGCATCATGCCATATCATGGCGCGATTGAGATAGGATGCTGTAGGGCTGACATTTTCGGCAATCTCGATCGCTAATTCGAGGGCTCGAGGCAATACCTGAGAAGGCTCGGGCATGATTTCATTGAACAAATCACCAAAGTGCTTTACTGTAGGTGGGAAAACTGCACCGGTACTAAGCAAGTAGCTAGCGTTTGAGTGGCCGATCAAACGAGTGAGGAAAAATGACGAGCATGCTTCCATTGTGATTCCACGGCGAGCAAACACGAATCCATATTTCCCTTTCTCATAGCCAATCCTAGTCGTTGTTAGCTAGATATTTGCAAGAATACTCTCAAATGCTTACCGAATAGCCGTGGGAAGGGTCATAGTCATGCCTACGCCAACTGCCGAGCCCTGCATGGCTGCGATAGTGGGTTTCCGGCATCGATGGATAGCGAGAGAAACACGTCCACCTCTGAGCTTGTTAATAGTGTTTGAGCAGCGATGTTCTCAAGGTATACGTACCCGTCACGATGATCAGCCGGTCTCTCTTGACCAAGGTGGCGGTTGAATCCTATATCCAAGTCTGCGCCAGCGCAGAATGTCTTACCAGCACCTGTTAAAATAATCACCTTGACACGCTCGTCGGCATCAAATAGAGGGAAGAGCTTCTCAAAGTCTTCCATCATTCCACCCGTGAAGGCATTGTGTTTGGTGGGCCGATTCAGTGTAACAACCACAACTGGAGTCGCCTCTGGTGCCCCTTCTGGGTGATGTTTAACAATGATATCACCCGAGGTTGAAATAGTTTCATACGAGACTGGGAGTCCCAGAGGGGCGGGGTCAAATATCATTTTGGTATAGTAGTTAAGGTCTTAGGATAATTGTGTCGGTTGGATTGTTAGAATTTGAATCTGACGATCAATTGAAAAGAGAAAGGCCGATCGGTTCAATATATGGAGCCTTGACATGCACAGTCTTATGCACTTGAGTTCTTTGATTAGTGATCATTCCTATCTGTTATCGGTTCCTGGTCTATGCATGACCTCGGTTCGGCGTAGTTGTTTTGCGGGGAAAGGATACGTGGTGAGTGGGGTCTAGTCCTTTCCTCGGACAAATTGCAGAGTATAAATGGAAAAAGAAAATATAGCTGACCTGATGAATGGAGCATAAAAATTCTGAGTCAGTTTCTAAAGGGAATGGTCTCGATCATTAATATGTACATACGTTTAGTCGAGAGAATCGGAGCTTCGGTAATGCTTTCGACCTTGGAGTGCGAATATTTTCCTGTAAGAGCTTCAGGATTATGCAAGAATGCCTTGATTGAGAGAAGCTTGTTGATACAGCCGAGAACTAGAAAGCTCTTTGCCAATATCCAATTCTAGAGAAGCAAGAAGTGCTTGGAAACCAGGGTTTACTATTCCGTATACTGTGAAAAGTCTGCAGGGCTGAAGACAACACAGTATGTACAGGAATGGTTCATGGAATGCAGGGACTGGGGTACCATTCGCTCTCGAGAAATCGCCCCTGATATTGATACACATATTGACATCCAATGATCTTACAATCTGCTACAGATAAACGAGCGTCTGAGGTAATGGAGGCAACATGTTCTCCTTTTGTCGATGGGTTCATGACCTCATCGATGCTTGGCATGAAAAAAGATTTCAGTGTCACCTGGACATGACAGACACGACATCCGCAACCACATTAACATCACCTGCCCTCTTGTCATTGACTTCCAAGGTTTTCAATTGATATTTTGGATCGCCCACTTTCCCCGATTTTCCATTCGGACGCAGATCAGCAAGCAATTTGAGGGTCATAAGGCGGAACTAAATTTGCCGTACCCCTTCCCCCACTTTCCTGCCGAGCTTCATCTCCCCTCGATCTTTTTCTTACTACACATCAAAATGAGCGGCCGAAATATCTCATATGGGCGCGGCGGCGCTGGTAAGTCAATCAGCTTCACCCCGAATAAAATGAATTGAATCTAACCTTTATTTTTTATAGGCAACATTTCCCGCCAACAGTCCGCAACTACACCTAAGGATCTCGTCACCCCTACAATCAAACAGGAGGTCTATACCACCGGCCGCGGAGGATCCGGCAATATGGTCCAAAATAACCCCGATAGACCAGAGATTGCGCGAGAGAGTCAAGATGTGGAATCGCCTCCACTGAGAGCACAGCAGATGCCCCATCACACTGGACGAGGTATGTAGATACACGTGCCCACAAAGCTAGAAGCACGGAAGCTTATTACGGACTACAGGAGGCGTGGCCAATGCCTATATTCCTACAGCGGAAGAAGAAGAACGAGCTCGTCTACAAGAGGCTGAACTTATGCGTGTGCGCACGAATGATAGAGACCGCATCAAGGAAGTCGAACATGAACGTCAGGAACTAAGAAAAGAGTCTCCGGCTGCTTGATCGCATCGGAAATACGATAGACATTATGACTGACAAAGGGCATGGAAAGGGCATCATTCTTGTTGCCTGACAGTATTCCCGGTCTTGCCCTTCTGTCGCATATATCTGATTGGATCCCTGAGAGAGACAGGAAGTACTGCAGGCAGTACTGCGGTCATACGAAGCTCTTTCGAGACTTGATTTCCCTGGTTTTGAACTTCTTCTCTTTTTTTTTTTTTTGCTTTCCATCCTGGGCTTACATATACGGCTCATCATATTTCATTATTATCCCATTCCCGGCTCGACTATCCACACGCCGCGCGGAATGATGGGTATTTTGGAATACTTTTACAAAAGGGATTGGCGCTCGGAGTCGGAATGGATGCTGGGCTTTAGGACCTTCGAATTTCAGTTGGCGGTTCTTTTCGGCTGTTGTGATTGAACATCTGGTTAAATTTTTATCTCAGACACATAGAACACTCTAGAATTCGATTTCTATCCTTATCAAAACGCTCTCATGGATCATTATATACAGTAAACGCGCCCGTAAAGCTATTGACCCACGGGATGCATGTGGAGAACCGATTAACATGTCGATGCGAAGAATCAGTCTCTGAATTAGGTTTGGGTATGTCGTATCGGGCGCACGATGCGGTAGCAGTGCGCTATAGGAAGTACAGTATCAGCCAGAGAGATGCCTTATCATCAATCATTGGGAAAGCCATAGATCCTTGTCAACCGCTCCGGCTGCCCAGGTGACAGACTTGATGTTCGTGTAGGTCTATGAGGAGATGTGGTTCGCGATTTTGGTGCGCAAGATGTTTCTTCAGCATCACATTATTCGTCGGGTAAAAACCAGCCCATAGCATCTGCAGGCCACGCGATCAAGTCGCGCCATTCTGGCTCAAGTTCATCCACGATCTCTTTGAGAAGGCGGATTCCCCAGTCACCCATCCACCACGAATCTCGTAAATGGTGCAGCACAACAGCATAGTGGGCTAGTATAACTAGTGCAAAGGGGTTGCGCTCAGCAACCAGTTCGGGATATCGAACCGGGATGTGGAAGCACCAGCAGAAAGCAAAATCTTTTGGCTCTCCACCATTCATCAGTTGCTCCAATGAGTTGCTGAGATGCAAGATAGTTTCGTTGAAGGTTTCCTTCTCGTGGCTCGAGTCACGGAGGGCTTCGGTCTCATTCCGTCGCTGAAGAGATGAAATCACCAACCTCGACATGTTTGGCATTCTCGGCCTTGTTTCATCAGGCCGAACTAGCGAATACAGCTCGCCGGTTGTCACACGCTCCAGGGTCATTACCATGGCACCTACAAGCCAGCGTGTAAGTTGGAATACTTCTAGGAATTCATCTAGAATATCAGGTCGTTCTTCGTCTTCCACGTCGTCGTCTATCAGGCAATATGCAAATGAAAATACCATCAAGACACCACATAGTGCGAAATGGGCATCACATTGGGAATCGGTGAATTCTTGGGTACCGCTGATGTTGATTCCTGCTAATGCGAGGCCTTGGTGTTCGCGAGCAGCAGCTAGATATCGCCATTTGCGCTCCGGGCTGGTGCTTGTTCCCGCCACATGCAGCGCCGATAAGGCCAAAAGTCCGTGGCGTAGAGATGGAAATCGTAATGATAAGCGTGGAATGACGGTTTGCCATAATGATTCGGCTGCATGGTCCCGAGCCATAGATCTATATGTTGTTGTGCACCAGTGCATCATCAATTCGAGATCTTGCAAGCCGAGTGTTTCCTCCATATCAGACGACAAGTTAGTTTGGGGTGGTGGTGTCTTCGTGGAGATCTCAGCCGGGTCTGGCATCAAGTCAGTCATAATTGGCAAAGAGTCGGAGGACATAGATGTGGTCGTTGATGAGACACTCGAAGCAATCGAGGCTGAACGAGCCTTTGTATCAAGGCGTGTTAGACGAGGGCGACCGAGTTGTTGGCTTAGGACCATTTTTTGATCGATGCAGTTGTGATAGCTCGGTTCGGAGCACTAGATGTGGCGACTGTCAGAGATTCCATTTGATAATTTAATTTTCCATTTTATCTTTGCTCTTTGCTCTTCCCTTTTTTCTCGCGCAAGGCGGGGGTGATCAGGATGCATGGAGCTATGGGCGCCACGGAATCTCACGAGGATCCGAAAGGGAGGGGAGGTGTGAGAAATCACAAACGCCGGCCAATACCGGTAAGTGTCGAACATATTTGAAAATGCATACCTGATATTCTCTCTGCAAACTTTCCCGTCGAAGGCGCTTCTTTGACCAGCTAGGCATAATGCTGCCCAGATATTAAGGGATATTGATGTGCTTTGCTTTGGATATCAACAGGCTGTCAGAGCGCTCTCCTCAAGCGACATATATAAGAGAAGAAATTCAGTTCGCATGAGCGAAGCCAAGATTTAGGACGAGCAAGTAAGAAAAAAAAAAGAAAAAGGATCTTGGCCCCAAACAAATCCTGTCTACATGCTGTGGTGGGGGAGCAGGCCAACAGAATACTACGACAATGTACGGAGTATTGATTGAACAATCCTTGATAGTGGAAACCGGGAGAGCCATTCACGACGAGAAAAGGAGACAAAAACAAAAGCAAGACCTCCCAAATCGGAAAATGCAGCTTCAAATCGACAAGTGACATAATCGGGTTCTCCACTCTACATTGCGGGTTTTCGCCCTTTGCCTTCTGCAAGCTCCGGCAGGTTGCAAGTTGCGTGCCATGTACAGCTGATCTGGCACCAATGAAACATCCGTTCATGAAATCCATGTCTTGATCAACATACTCCACTGCAGACCCACGAGCAAACCATTGGCAATGAACCCGCCTAGAAAAGTCCATTCAGAATCCTAGTTCGCGGGTGCAGCTCGGTTTTTTTCACTCCTACACCCTTTTTCCATCTCCACTGAGGCCCGCGGGGGCCAAAACGGCAGCGCGTCTTGCCGCATCGCGATTAGGCCGACTGGGGGATCCACAAAGACCCCACCGGGTGACATCCCAATCGCATCTTATAGGCCGAGTCTATCCGCATTAAGTGTATCGCTGAGCCATGCGTTTTCCAAAACGGGGCAAACGCAACATGGTCCATGCATGTTACGAGCAATCGATAGGTGACGAGCGGAAGATGCTTTGCTCCACAAAGGGAGGTCTTCCCATTCATCCCCTGGTTGCATGGAAGATGTACTTTCGTGTTTGTGATCTACATGCGATATACACACGGCGATTTTTCGAGGAAATCACGCGGAGTACACGGGGTACACTGTCTTCTGCCTCGGCAGTCCTTACCGGTAGATGATTGCCTACTATTTACAGTTACAGTTTTTTTTCTCTTGTCCGTACTCCGTACTCCGTAATACGAATATTTATATGAATGAGGGGTTCTTCTATTTCCCCAGGCATCAATATTCAAAAATAAGAAAACTCTTTTTTTAGGCACTTTTGACTTTATTCTCGAATACATCTAGACGTTTCTTTCTGCCCGGTCGCATGGTGCTTGGATCCTGTTGGGGTTGCGTCACTGACGTGCGCCACGTCTCTCGGGGCTTCATAACCGATGCCCCTGCTTTTGCCAGATATAGCTAGATGCGATCATACCCAACAGTTAGGCGTTCTCCGAGATTGAATTTGATTTTGGGGGTCGCAGTGGAACCGAATGATGCTTTCCTTAATGTGAAAACCTGAAACTCCCACGTCAAATCCCACTTCTACGGGCTACGGCCCCATTTATTAACTTAATGTGGCATGCGGCCCGTGTATTGATCAAAGCCAATACTACGCGAGCCAGGACGTGTCGCTACAAGGCTCTATAATGCGATCTAGGTACGCCTGTGGAGTGCGAATCCTACTGTGGTGTGGAGAGCCTCGCCGATTGTGCCGTTACTTGTTTGGGGATATGCACATCTTATAACTCTTCCCGAGTGCATAATTTCTAAATTAATTTCATCTCAAGTGGTCCATGCTCCCTCGGATCGGCGCCTAGTTCTACGGAGCACAGGTTGAAATTAACCCCCAGCCCCCGGGTCTGGATGCCGTGATCCGTGCGTCCATGTGCTACTGCTGCTCGCTAAGTAACGTTGCCGTGTTAGGCTATACGCTCGTGAGCTTTCAGTGGCTCACCGGCATCGGTGTGGTCTGACCTAGCACCTTTAATCTTGGAGATCATAAAATCACAAGTTTATTATCATGAGCTAGTTTAGTCTCGCAGATAACGAAAAGTACCCGGGCACAAGAGTCTGCAAGTGGGCACTCATGATCGTTGAGGGCGGTTTACTTCATACACATACATATTGATGTCGGACCTCGGGGCCGACGGGTGCCAACAGTTCGGTAGACCGCAAAGCAAAATATGGGCGCAAATCACATTAGATGCACATCACGGCCCCAGTGGTCACATCCGACATTCCCGGCATCCAATTGCAGCATGAATGACCCTACTATTGGTCGCCTTTGAGTTCGGTGCTGGGATTACGAAAATCCTCATTTTTTAGCATTCGTGTAATGGAAAGAAAAGGGCGCATAAGGCTTCAATTCAAATATTGAAAGGTTGCCTAAGCACAGTCACATTCTGTAGGAAGAGCCTGATGATCGCCCCACAGCCTGCCATTTTCAGAAAATGGGCATATATCATAGATCATCACCCCCAGGGCTTCGAACGGTGCCGACGGTCGATTATAGAAGCACGCAATATAGCCTTATAAGCTAGAGCCTTCAGGAATGCGACCAAAGCAGGAATTAGCGAGAAATGGTAGGCCTAGTGGCGGTATCGGCTGCACGAGACATCACTTATTGCCCAAAGTAGTTGTTGCACACCGGAAGAGCGGTATGTCAAGGGTTGAAACGATTATCGAGTCTTGGAAAATGACGCGTCCTTTAACACAAGAAGGATTCAACGATTGGACAGACCGGAAAGGATATCATGCCAAGGGTCAGGAGTGAGCCTCCAGAACTGATTTCCCTCGACTGTGCCCGAGTCGGTAGATGTTGACGTGGGTTCTTATCCGAATCGCCCTGTAATCTTCTCTCGATCGGGTAGTAAGTGCGCCATTTGGCTAGTTTAGACTTGCAGATCACCCCACTGAATTTATCTGCTATTTAATTATAGGCGTAATATTCTTCTCAACAAAATGCTGTGGGGATAAGCCTGTCGGACGTACTAGTAGCCGCTGGGAATAATTAAGCATATACTTTTAAAAGCTAATGTTTGAGTAAATTGAACCTTGAGTTATTTATTTGGTTCTTCAGCAACAGCCACCTGGGCATCTCAGTATCCCCAGTGACCCAGGGCCATTACTAATCTCTACATAAAATCAATTCTCGAGCCATTCTTTCTATAACCTCTTAGCTACATGTACCATTAACTGCATTTCCATCGGTTTTTCAAGGTTGGTAGATATATTATGTTGAGTATTAGTTTTATTGTTCTTTGCTACTTCTGACTGGCTAACGTATTAACAAAATCTTCGACTTGGAGCTGCTATAGTTTCAAGTTGCTCCCAGCTCGGGGTAGCCAAATTAGTGTCCGTGGCATAGCTATTATCTGTCGACATACCGGTGGAAAGTTTTAGCAGAAGATACGTTGTTTCAAGATATGGATGTTTTATGTATCATCATATTGTAAGTGGCGGAGAAAATTGTGTCTGCTGGCAACGACGTAAAAGGTGCGAAGCTACGAAATGTTGTTAATTCTAAGCTACCATGAATTTCATGTTCTAGACTGCTAAGTGCTGAGAATGACCCCTAGTCAAAGAACTTGAACAAATTCGCTGAATGGCAACATCCAAAGACTTCAAGATACAATGCAATGGTATTACAAATTCATGCTTAAACTGAACTAAATCGGGCGTGACGATGTGGCTGTTATTCTTTCGTCCAAATTGATTTCTCGGCCATAAATGCTGCTTAGAACAGCACTTCAGTATACGCTGTTGAGTTGGATAATACCCAATCTCGAATACGGCTGCTGCGATAGTCAAGCGGGGACTGAGAAGAAGCATCTTCCTTTGCTTGGTCACTTGGTGCCAGTCCAGATCTTTCACCTCCCTCTACAGCATTTTGAGACTTTGCTTGGGCATGAACATTTCCCATGCAAGTGAGATTAAGTGATCTCTTTTGTATTAGACCCAGCACTAAGTCCTCAAGTCGATTGATACGATCTTTCATGTCGCCATTTCCTTGGGAGTGTGCAGGCAAGGCATGTACCTGAGGGTATATACACGAAACTCCATGGCCACGATTTAAGCAGCGACTGAAAGACTTAAGTCGATCACATCGCAGTCTATCTTTAGAGTTAGCGTATAAACCTGTAGGTATCTATGATGTGTTATGAATATAACGCCGGAGTGAAAAGGGGTGGGAGGAAGAGATGGCGAGGTTCTGCGAAAATTGCAAGCTAAAACTGGAGATCTTCAAGAGAGCCAATTTGAGATTCGCCAATGGGATTGCTTACTTGCGTCGACGACAGGTATTGTGGCTTTGCTGGAGCTTGTTTCGCCTCGACGGCAGCGGCAAAAGTTCGATCATGATCATCCCGCGAGCGACTTGTGCTTGAAGGCCCAAACGATTATTTAAGTGTAATATAACAACCTAGCATTTTGTGCATTGATGAAGGCTATTTATTTCAATGAGAAATATTCAAAGGTCATATGAGAACGTCCCTAGGCGGGTTTTCGGACATAACGCGGAGGATCGTCTATCGTCCGAATTCTTAACACCGGCCAATCATACTACAGTACTGGAGCTAGCGGGTACATAGTCATGTTGAGAGCACTGCGGAACAATGAAGAACAAAGGAAAAGAAAAGAGGCTCGGGTTAAATCTGCGTCGATCCCATGCGACTAGAGTCACACAGTTATAAGAGCAATTAGGCAGCCGTTGATATGGACAGAGAATAGGGAGTAGAGAGGGCGCAGCGCTTAATTCACAAAGTCCAAATCTTGAAATTATTAGCTTTTCACGATAAAGGAATCGCACTCCGCGGTCATAACTAATAAGCCATTCCGAATCGAGGAGGCTTTCCTGTATACTATATCTTCACCAAGCTCGGTCGATCAAGGGTAACCTCCGATCGATTTTTTTTAAAAAGCCAACAGACGGGCATTTGTTAAATACCTCTTTCTCTCTATCTTGATTTGCAAAATTACCACATAATTAATCAACACTCCTCAATTGTTCGGGGATCTCATTCTCAATTCAATGTCAACATTATCAAAAACAGATATTGAAATGGAGTCACAGCCACTGGACAACGTCACCTGTGATCCCGAGCTGGCTCGGGACAAGGTAATTGAAAATGAGGAAGACTTCATCAAGGCTGACTGGAATGGTCCTAGCGACCCAGCAAACCCTCGGAATTGGTCATCAGGCAAGAAACTCGTCCAAGTCATGCTAGTCAGTGGGTTCACACTCTACTCGTAAGTAAATTGGTTCAATTCTTCTTTACGACGATCTCTATCTAAAGAAAAACAAATGAACAGGAATCTTGCCGCTGTAATGTTTGCCCCAGGTGCTCAAGATCTCGTGGAGGAGTTTGGTATCGCAAGCAAAACTGTGGCCTATATGACAGTCACGATTTATCTCCTGGGGTTTTGTATAGGACCACTTGTTCTATCTTCACTATCAGAAACATACGGTCGATTGATTGTCTATCATATTTGCAATCTGTTCTATATCGGGTTTACGGTAGGATGTGCTTTGAGCACTGATACGGGAATGTTCTTGGCCTTTCGTTTGCTGGCTGGTATTGCTGCATCTTCCCCAATGTCCATCGGGGGTGGCACAATTGCCGATCTCCATGTTGAAGCTGAGAGGGGAAAAGCGATGGCAATATTTGGTATGGGTCCTCTTCTTGGTCCGGTTAGTAGTATCACCATGGCGTACTTGATGAATGCTCTTGTTCTAACATATTGCAGGTCATTGGTCCTGTTATTGGCGGATTTGTTTCACAGTATATCGGCTGGCGCTGGACATTTTGGTTAAACCTCATTTTTGTGAGTGATATACATGTTCTAGCTTCATATCAGTCTCTAATAGCCACTTCCTTATAGTCATGTACCATATCTCTGGTTGCTGTGGCGTTCCTGAGGGAGACCTACCAGCCAATACTTCTCGATCGCAAAGCCGCTCGTCTACGTAAAGAGACGGGAAAGCCCGCGCTATATCCCCGGATTTCGACCAACCCAGGACTCGCGCCTTCACAAGTTCTCAGGCACTCTATGATGCGACGTACCAAGATGATATTTCTATCGCCGATCGTATTTTTGATCTCAATATACTGCGCCTTCATGTTCGGTTTGCTCTATCTCCTCTTCACAACATTTCCAAGTGTTTTTGAGGAGACTTACGGCTGGGGCCCAGGAATATCTGGACTTGCATACCTTGGACTTGGTATAGGCATGATATTTAGCATACCTCTATTCGGTCTGCTTAGCGACAATTTATTGAAACAGCCACGTGGAGGCACAGTTTCCCGCCCTGAGCTTCGCCTAATTTTGATGATGTGGTGTTCACCATTAGTCCCTGTTGGCTTTATCTGGTATGGCTGGAGCGCTAGATTTCAAACACATTGGATCATTCCTATCCTTGGAACTGGCTGTATTGGAATTAGTGCATTTTTGATTATGATGCCGGCACAACTATATCTCGTGGATTCATTCGGGACTGAAGCGAGTGCTTCAGCTCTAGCTGCTAATACTGTTTTGCGAAGTCTATTTGCTGCATTTCTTCCTCTGGCAGGATCCTCCATGTACGATCGGTTGGGTCTGGGGTGGGGGAACACATTGCTTGGATTCATTGCTCTTGCCTTTGTCCCAGTTCCCTGGTTGTTCTTCAAATATGGCGAATATTTGAGAGCTCGCTTTCCAGTGAACTACTAACGTTCCCGGTCATACCATAAATCTTTGATCTGTGTATTGATCGCTGGAACTCTTTTCGGCCATCTTTACCACATAAATATAGGAAGTCACCAAAAGGTTGTTGATCTGGGTACGGCGGGTGTTTCAAGTTAGCGCCTTATATGGGTAAACCTGAGGGCCTGCGCAGGGTTCTTACCACATGCAGCCTGGAATGAATCATCTTCTATGACTCAAAACCCACACTCTTAATTTGAACAAAAATGTGAACTTCCCTTTTATATATTACACTTCGCTTTAAATTTCTAATGGCTAGATATTTCACTCTCAGGTCATGGCTTCAGACCTGCTCAGGCCTCTCGCGGTGTTTTGCAGCCACGCAGACAGTCAACGCTATATCAAAAACATCAGGAATCTCGGCGATGCGTGGCGAAGCCTTGCAGAACAGCCTATTCCTGAGTGTGACAAACACTCGATCGTTGCTGAAACCACCTTTGATTTCACCTTGAAATTAATAGACAGTCCGAAAGAACAATCTCAGTCTAGCCAAGCGGCTATTGAGATGCTAACCACTGAGTCTAATCTGTCTACTTCATCCGCCCACTATTCCAGGCCAACCGGTCGCCCTCGACACTATCGTATCTTTGCTGACTATGGCACGGATTTCATTTAGCGAGACCCGAATGATGTTACACCAGAAGAGGGGTGCAGTCATTTAGACGCAGATGAAGCACTCGCTCCTTACCCTCTATCTGTCTTGAAGTTATATTATGCCTGGGTAGACACTTATACCGAGAACGTCAAAGAAAGACGTGAATAAACCCAGGATCATTATGCACCAGTATTCACCGTTTCTGAGGAGATGGCTTGGAATGTGGCTGGGTACTTGTTGGCATGGCGTATTGTCATGGCACCTGATGTTGGGCGGCTCGAGTTTGAAGCTGGTGATTCAAAATATGTACTGGAGAAAGGCAAGGAAATAAGTGTAACTCTAGCTTTTCTGCAAGACCAGGCTGATTATCTAGCCAAGGGTTCGGTGTAGTAGTCAGTCATAGCTATCCATATCTTTGTTGCCATTCTTACCTAAGATTCTTGCATTGTATCGATTCCCCCGTTCAAGTTGTTGATAGTTCTTTCCCCTTTATTTCTCGGCCCGCATGAAAGCGACAGCGGCTAAGGTGGGGTTGCAGCGGAAAATATGGGACGTAGAGTGATCTGGGCTATAGCGGGACACCACACCGATAAAGCTACTATCGCCCACTATCGCTAAACCCCCGCCTTCAGCTACCCGTAAACTGTAACATCGACTCCAACTTCTCTTCTACAACTATTTCATATCCAAAATGGCACCTATCAACCCCCCTGTCTCAGCGCAAGAGCTTGAGATTCTTTCAACAAAGGCGATTGCAGCGAAAGCGTCCGCCTACTGTCCTTACTCTAAGTTCCGCGTCGGCGCGTGTATTCTTACCACGTCGGGCGAATTTGTGGTTGGCGCCAATGTCGAAAATGCCGCATACCCAGTAGGAACGTGTGCAGAGCGAGTCGCATTCGGTACTGCAGTTGTGAGTTAAATCCCTTTTCTAGTCTGGTTGACTTTGTCTCGACCTTTGCATAAAAACTGATTATGAAATCTATAGGTGGCGGGACATAAAGATTTCAAAGCGCTTGCTGTTGCTACAGACATTAGGCCAGCGGCTTCGCCCTGTGGAATGTGTCGGCAATTGTACGCTTTCGTCTTTTCCGTTCCTTGTTAATACTTAGCTGACATTGTTTAGTATTCGCGAGTTTACCGGTCCTTCATTCCCAGTGTACATGTATGATGTTGATGGATCATATGTTGTCAAAACGATGGATGAGGCACGTCATTCCTTCTGATTCATTAAAGCTATAACCATTATTGACCTGACGACTCATACAGCTGCTACCGGATTCTTTTGGTCCTGATAACTTGCCCCATTGAGCCTTGGAACCCGCAATCTCAAGAACGCTGGGTAGGATCTAGAATAGACCTGTTGACAAGCTTCTTACACGCAGCCCTTCCAGTTTGACTCTCCGGGGAGCCTTGGCTTGCCGATCTGGCTCTTCAACAGTACCTAACGTATGTACTGCCCAGCCTTGTACATCCATTTGATATGAATGCAATAATGGAATTGAAGAATTAATCAATCCATGGTAAGAAACGGCTATTCTCTTCCATACTTAATGCCTTTCCATTCCCATAAAAATTCAGCATCGTCAACTAGGTTATCCTCATCACGTGCATGAGGTATAAGCTTGTTAATTCCATAGACTTGCTTCAATTTATAATTCTCAGACTGAATAATCTCTCTCAATCTGTTGACCTACGTATCGAAATTCTCAGTTACCCTTTTTGTATCACAAAATGGTCAAGTACTTCAGGCTATGCGGTAGACTGTCCGCTAGCATGCCTCTCGCTCACGTCGTACACCTGGCAAAGTATCCCAAAAGGCCGGTTCCGAGACTCAGAGGCCTTGAAAAATTCGCGTGCATCGGTGGGGCGTGGGCAACGAACTGTTATCCTGGTGCTCGATGTGATAGCCCTGCTCCATTTTATCAATTTTTGGACGCGTCGCTCTCGGATGGTTGGAAGTGGTCGCAGCGATTTCCCCACCGGAACGAAATCTTGGCTTACTTCGCTTACGTTGATTCTAAGGTGAACATAAGCCAAGAATATGATTTTGAGGTCAGTGTCACCAAAGCTGAGTTCGATGAGAATGAATCAATATGGAATATAGATGTCAGCGATGGGAGAACTTTATCGGCACGATGGCTCGTACCAGCGGTCGGCTTTGCCTCTCATATCTCAATTCCTGATATTCAAGGACTGGGAAAATTTCAAGGCGCAGTCATTCATACCGGGGCTTGGCCAAGCTCTGGGTATAACCTCAAGGATAAGAAAGTTGCTGTCATCGGAACAGGAACTTCCGCAAATCAGGTTATTCGGGAGATTGAGCCACGCGTTTCATCTATGACTGTCTACCAGAGAAGTCCGGCCATCGTCTTGCCACAGTCACCCACGGTTCCTGAAAGCACAACAAGCTCTTTTTCTCTATCAGAAGATGAGAAAATGACATTTGCTGCAAAGTCGCTTTCCACGTTTACAGGGTTTGACTACCAGTTCCTTAGCCCACACGCTGTCCCAGCAGGGAGTCCGCAGAGGCTCCGGTATTATGATCACGTTTACAAAAAGGGCGGATGGAAATCTGTTTTTTTCCAATTTTGAAGATTTCTGGTATGATATTTCCGTCAATCAAGATGTATATTCGTTTTGGGCAGAGATAAATCGTGCCAAAATCCGTGACCCGGTGAAGCGTGATTTGCTTATTCCGAAATTGCCGAAAGAACCAATGGGTGTGCAATGACCATGCCTGGCTGACAATTACTATGAGACTTCTAACCTTCCTCATGTTGATCTGGTAGATGTCACGAAAAATCCGCTGGAACATATCACGACAAGCGGGATTCAATCTTGCGGCAAACATCGCGAATACGACGTGATTATTTTGGCCACAGGATCCAAGCCCTCCGCTAGCGGACTTGTGGGATTGAACATCACAGGAAGAAACGGTGTAGACCTGGAAACCGCCTCGCAAAATTCAAAGAAATCTTGCTTGGGTATGACCGTTCCTGGCTTCCCTAACATATTCTATCTCAACGGCCCCGGAGCCCCAACCGCCCGCGTAAATGCTCCTACGATTATAGAGCAGGAAAGCCAATGGATAGTATCTACACTTGGATAACTCCGCAAGCACAATATAACGAGCTGTGAGCCAACCGCTAGTGCGGTTAGCAGCTGGCGTCAAGAAGTCGAGTCACAATGGTGAAAGTCCCTGGATATGGCAAAACACTTGTTAGAAGATCCAGTTCAAGCTGGCAACACTGGCACTACGGAGCTCACATGGTAATTCACTAAAAATAACCTTTCTTCTGATCTCTCTGCTAATGGTCTTAGGGTACGTGAGATTGTTGAATATGGCATTAAATTGAAGGAATGCCAGCCGCCAAAGTTGCTAGGATTTGATGTTTCTCGGGATACCTATCAGACCCCAAGGGGATTATTAGTCGAAGGCCTTGCCAATTTGTGAGAGGCCGTGCATTTTTAGCCTTCTGTCAAAAAGGTATGACACAGATTGCTTGCCTCATTCAAATCTTGAGACTCATACTTGCTACTTAAACCGTGTTCACTTTCACGCATCTTGTCGCTAGAACGTTGTCATCAAATAACGTGATAATGAGGGAATCTTTTTCTTTTCTTTTCTTTTCTCTTTCTTTTTTGAAGAGAGAGAAAAAATGCGTTACCCTCGACAACCAGCCCTTCTGAGGGCATTTCTAACGCGGCAGCGGCCATTATGAGTCTACTCACAGGCCCGTCTGGCGTGTTTACGCAGTAACCCCTCTATGCCTAGTTCTTCCCCCAATCCCTCAAATGAGGCCTAGTCATTCTTGAACATTAGTCTATGTGGAAATAATCCACAGTACTATCATCTGAGCTTGCTTGCCAACACCTAAATGCCTAAGGTTGATTGGCAACAGATAAGTGGGCATGGAAATGGACAGATGGACAGTAGAAGAGAAGAGAGAAGAGAGGCGCTACAGGTATAGTTTTCAGATACAAAAAAAAGAAAAGATGGCTTCATTCATCGATCAATATACGAAATTTAGTGGCAGTATGACTATCATGATGGTGAATGGGACAAACAAAGGCCCTGGGGGCTTGACTATCGTATGGGTATTATAAGGCTAAAATCAGCACAGCAGGAACGACCGCCAATGTGATCACACCTAACCCCTTTCCAATGCGTGGGCTAGCTGAGCCTGAGTCCTTCTTCGTCCCTGGTACACCATCCTTGCCTGATGTAATCTCAACGATATCGTCTTCGGCTTCAATGTCCCAACTAAGCTTCGCCAACGAAATTTCGTCGTTATCAATGTCGAAGACTGTGTAAATCATACTGATGAAGTTGGCGCCTAAAACTATGCTTCCTTCATCTTGATAATCCTTATTCTCACAGATGGTAAAATAGCACGTCTCATTATCCGAAGTCCATTCATAGTCATCCTGAAAGTACCTGTCTTTGCTAACAAACTCCCACAGGGGGAATTGTAATTCCAATCCGCCGAATTTAAACTCTATTGTTGAGTTTTCACTTATTGCGTTACAAGTGAAGTTCACTTGCCCCCAGTCATCCGCAACAGAGGTGTTACCTATCTGGGAATTCAGGGCCTCAGCCACTGACTTTGGGACATAGGTCATTCCGAAATCAATGTCAAATACCGCATCCAGGGGAAATTCCTTGGATGCCGCGGACGTCTCGTTGATTGAGATCCCATCCATATTGATACGGAAAGCTTTAAAAAGATCTGAACCGTTGACTATGGGGAAAGTGTGTAGAGAGCCGTTGTACTGGGCCTTGTTCACGCCGCCGAACAGAACCATGTCGTTATAGAGACTGAAAGCCGGTGAGTTGATGGCACCGGTATCAGCCAATGCCTGAGTCAAGGAGGTGGAAGACGCATTTCCGTAACCAAGACCTAAAACGTCTAAATAAGTTTAGGTTAGTTATTATACCACCCGCGTATCGATAGGCCAAACATACTACCAGTATAATCATCATTAGTGATGATTCCCATTTTCATATCATCAATCTTGACCCCGCCAATTGACAAAACATCCGTCACGAAGTCACCGGTTGCCATCGACCCGGTGTCATTATATGCAAATTTGCCCTCGAGCTTCTTGGCAGTTGTCGAGGCTGTTCGGTTGTAGGATCCGTCCCCACCACAACTGTCATCACTGTAAAGCTCACACTCCCCAGCGCCCACACCATTAAGCCAACAGACATTGCTCCAAGTATTGAAGTAGGCTATGAATTGCTGAGGCGGAGTGCCGAATGTCATGTTTGCGCGGTAGCCGGCGTACTGAAAACTGTAGTTAGCCTCCAAGTCATTCTTAGTCTGAGCGCTAAACCTACATTAATGTCTTCATCTTCAAGACCGATTTTAATTGTCTTTGACCGCTTGTAAATCTCCCGAGAAGTATCTCGTTCGCGTACCATTGGCACTGCGAGTACCGCCGGACTGTCTCTCTTTTCCAAAGTCAATGCATTGGATAAGGCTACACCAGCCAAGCCAAGCAGCCAAGCCGACCCACTGCGCATGGTGATAGACGCTTAAAGGGTGGAATAAGATCTGATAAAAGAGAATGGGGCTGAAGGTGAGGACGAAGAAAAAGATTTCACCCCTATCTCCTGGTAGGGCCCTATATTTAAAAGCCCACCAGGAGGGACAAAGGCGTATCAGACCCTGGTCACAAAATGCGAAAATGGTTTAGTGAGGGTTTTAGCGGCCGCAGAAAATCCACCACGAAAAGAAATTCTACTGAACTAGAAAAATTGCCCCAAATTCAATTTTGAATGGTTTTTTCATCTTAAACTTCCAATGACCGGCATCACACCCGAAACTCAACTACGGTGAGTGGCAGCCAGAAAGCATAACATGATGTTTTCTAACAAACCCTCAATTTTGACCTCAATAATAGAAGGGTCTTCGTTACATGATTTGGCCCCCAGGACCCGATACTTAGCCTCTCTTGGCAGGGTCCATCGATGCCCAAAGTGAACTAGCGGGGAGAAGGAGCCGCTGTGTTATCTTAAATATCTCTTCAAGTACTATGAGTCAGGAGTCGCACAGTCCCTTCAATTTGAAGCCTCATGGCAATCTCTGGTGAGTCATCTGTTGCCTTCAGCGCCGTCTTGGATGCCTAATCGTCGCCTTTGCTGTCCCTGTTGCGATTGCAGCTCAGTAGGCTGAATCTTCAAGATCCTTGCGCGGATGATGGACGAGTCTAACATTGAGTCTTATTGTAAGTGGTTGTGTTAGTCTGTGGGTGTCGGTATGTAACGTAGTGGACTCCATTGTTGTACACTCGCGTCTCCGTTCTCCGTTCTCCATACTTAGGCTTAGCCCCAAAACATCTTGTCTAATAATGCAACTTGAAGTCTCTTCGGAGTCTAATCGTGCAGTCTCGATAATTTTGGACTGGCTATATTATAATTACTCGCGCTGTATCCCATGACTCTATAGAGGGTCGTCGTTCCTGAATGCTGCAGGTCCTTTGTCTGTCATCCCAACTCCAATTCAATTTCACTATTTCCGGTCTGGGTTTATAATATTTCATCAAATATGCAATAATTTTGACGCGAATAGTTCAATAATTGGCCCGATCCTCCTCGTGAACCATAGTTTTATCTTTCAATGGTTGGAACAGCCAAGCTTTTTCAATCTTGCGGTTGACGTACAAGATGTCCATGGGATCCATATTTCTTGTATTAACGCCGAACTCGGATGCGCCACTATCTGCCGTTTTTTCTTCCAATGGCCACCAGTAACATCTTAATTCGGAAAGGTAATTTCAGCCAAGTCATCAAGATCCATAAACCATAAACCGAAGAGACTTACACGCAGCCGCAATTCTCGCAGAAATTGAAGGAGATCTCTTTATCTCCCCAAATGTATTGAGAGAGTTTGGCGCCTTCTTTGTTGTCAAATTTGATTTCATTCACTTTGTAGTAACCCCAAGCGGCTGCGTAGCGCCGACAGATTGTACATTGACATTCGTTGATTTCCTCTGGTACACGAGGCAGGATTACCGTGATAGCGCCACAATGGCAAGTGGATTTAAGGGGTTTGTCCGCCATCTTAATCGAAATGTCAGGCCAGAGAAGGTTACGTAGAACAAACAGGGTTGAGCTGGGCACAGGGACTGGGGTTCTAGTGGCACTTTCAAGACAAGGGTATTTTGTTATGGAGGAGGGAAACGGGAAGTCATCGGCAGTCAGAAGGTCCGACACACGGGGGACCGGGAACCGTGCCCTTCACTGAGCGGCTTACATGTAGGAACTCCGAACTCCGAAATTTATCTAGACTAAGCATATTCAATCTTACGTCTTTCAATAATCAATTAATATTTTCGCTGCACCATATTTCTCATGTAGGTTGACGTAGCCTTTAACATAAAGTATACAGGAGGCAATTTTCAATGTATGCCACGGGTGTAACATCTTCAAGTTGCTCCACTGTACGCATATCAGTACTTTTAGCTGGGGTGGGGTATTATCTCTGTCTTGTATTCGATGTCGACGGTGTAGTATAACTACATGGAGGAGACTCGGGGCGGGCATGTTTGTACTGTTTGACTATGTTGTTTGGTTTGAAGCTCCAAGGAATTCAGTTGACTGCCTCTATAGGCACGCGATGGAGTGATTAGTATTTTATCTGCTCCAATAAACCATGGAAGACACCTGCTCGTGCGAGATCGCCCAGGGAGAGATAAAGGGGTTTTGGGGGTCAACGGAAAATATAGCCAGAGTGAAAAGGCGCACCCTCTGTTCTTGACCCTGAAGATATGGCTTCACAGGGAAGAGAATGTTTGAAAAATTGGTGAAGCAAAAACATCCTATCCCCGCTATCCTAGTTGTGTATGAGGTTAAAAAAAAGAGATGGGTTAAGGAGTGGAACTTGAAACAGGTATGCCGCCGGAGATTGCCGTATCTCCGTCAAAATGCTTCGCATAACTCCATGTACAGGTAACAGATGAGTTGGCAATGACCTGAGTTATACACGACTTCGAGATATTGTGCGCATAAATTTAAGTTATTTCCATATTCCTTGAAAATAGCATAAATCTCCCAAAGTTAAGGAGTTTACCTATGCAGTGGGATTTATCCACTGATGTTCATAAGGCTACGGTGAAAACTGATTCAGCGGCCCACTTTTATCCTCCGAAACGTATTTACATTGGCTACACCAACTGTTTGGTGGATCCCTGAATCATTGCCTCCGCTTTGTATGGATCGTGCAGTGGTTAGATCCGTCAACATGGAAAAGATGCAAGATGCTTTGCCCTACGGAGCCCCTAACGGATAATGATTTCTGGAAAGATCTGACGATTGGATGGACTTTAAATTGATCTGTCATTCTCTCTAAGCTTACCTGCGATTTTAGTTCATAAGTGCCTTGCCTTTCCCTTTCTTCGTTCTTTCTAATATCTTTTAATACCTTCTTACGGAAATCGCCTGCACGTTCCTTCAATGTTGTCTGATTAATTTCGCCTTCCCTCATTACCGGACCTGTCTCAATCTCCGGCACTTTTTCTTTTCCCTCTCCATTTCTTCTTCGTCTCTTTTCAGTTCAAGTATGGGTTCGCAACAGCAGCAAGAGAGTGTCACGACCCTCTCGGTGGACAATCATGATGAAAAAGCCGACAGGGAGCTCGACCTCGAAAAACAGCCTACGAATAAACCAATTACAAATGCAGCCTCAGCTCTACCACTATACCCCGAGACAGACCTGAGTCGCGGACTCGTTGGATGGGATGGGCAAGATGATCCTGCAAATCCTCAAAACTTTGCCGGTTCCAAGAAATGGGCCTTGCTCGGTCTCATCAGCGCATTCACATTTGTATCACCACTTGCATCTAGCATGTTCTCACCCGCTGTCGTCTATGTTGGGGAAGATTTCAATGAGTCAAACGAGACAATTCTCTCCATGAGTGTCAGCATCTATTTAATCGGATACACTGTGAGTTCCTCCTAAGCTTTCCTTATCTTCCCACTGGATGAAAACCAGCTAATAATATAATTTCTGTATGGTAGGTTGGGCCACTCTTCCTGGCCCCCTTGAGCGAGATTTATGGTCGCCGGGTAGTTCTGAGTAGTGCTAATTGGTTCTTTGTCGTTTGGCAAATTGGCTGTGCTCTTGCCAAAAACATCGAAACTCTCATTGTCTGTCGTCTATTTGCAGGTATAGGAGGATCCGCCTGTGTAACCCTTGGTGCTGGAGTGGTTGCAGACTTGTTTCCTCGAGAGTCTCGCGGACGAGCAACTTCGATCTGGAGTATGGGCCCATTGATAGGTCCTGTCATAGGACCCATTGCTGGCGGCTTTCTGGGGGAGCAAGTCAGCTGGCAGTGGGTTTTCTGGCTTTTGCTCATTCTTGGTGGGTCTATGCAGGCAGGGATTGAAGTTCTTAACAAGGAAACATACGCCCCCGTTATCATCAAGTGGAAGGTTCAAGAGCTGTCCAAGGAACTTGATCGCACTGATCTGATCAGTGCGTATGATGTTGGCAAGGAGCCACAATCTACCAAGCAAATCCTAAAACGAAGTCTGCTTCGCCCTGCGTTGCTAATTTGCAAATCCCCAATCGTGATGGCTCTCTGCTTGTATATGGTAGGCTTCGTAAAGAATATCCACATCACACACATTCGCATCTTGCTAACGGAATATATAGTCTCTAGTATACGGCCTTTTATACCTTTTCTTCACAACGATTTCCACCGTTTTCACCAGTACCTATGGATTCAGTGTTGGCGTGTCGGGACTTGCGTATCTAGGAATCGGCCTAGGTTTTGCAGTAGGCCTTTTAATTATGGGTCTGACCAATGATCGTATGGTTGCAAGGCTCACTGCTCAGAACGGCGGCAAGTTCGAGCCTGAAATGCGCATGCCAACTATGATCATTTTTGCCTGCATTATACCAATCAGTTTCTTTTGGTACGGTTGGACTGCTGATAAGCACGTCTTCTGGATTGTTCCCATCATTGGCATGTTTCCATTCGGCGTTGGCATGATGGGAGTATTCATGCCTATCCAGACATACGTGATTGATTGCTATCCGGCTTATGCGGCTTCGGCTAATGCGGCATTGACGGCAACACGATCGCTTGTCGGTGCTCTTCTACCTCTTGCTGGGCCATCCATGTTTGATTCATTGGGTCTTGGATGGGGCAATTCATTACTCGGATTCCTGGCGCTCGCGTTTGTCCCCATTCCAATCATCTTCATCAAATTTGGAAAGAATATTCGAGAGAGGTGGCCTGTCGATCTGGAAGGCAAAAAGATTTGAGAAAGAGAATGGGATAAAATCCTCATATAGAGCTCAAAGGGTTTTCAACTTTTGAGCATAGCACAGCTTTCTGATTTGACGCTATAGAATACCTGAAGTAACGTGTACAAAATTCCAAGAGTTGCATGAGAAAAATATACATGTTTTTCATGAAAATATAGATACGTTAATAATCAATTAATTGAAATCGTTCAAATAAAACTGCGCTGAATACTGGGATTATTTGACATTATCTTTATCACGATATTGTAAATACTATTGAACTCACATCAACCCCGGTCATCAGTTGTGGGAAACGACTTATAAACTCTGGAGTAACACCCCATCCTTCCTCTTTCATGAAAAGCTCAAGGAATGCCGGTTTAATGCATATCTCATTCCTGCTGTCTCGCTCCAATATCTTGACACCCCAAGGCCACCGAATTTTCACACAGCAACTAAGCAGCCCAAACAAAGATTCCTGATCCATCTTATAAATCTGCCATTGACGAATTACGTTTAGCCTTACCTTTGGCCACGGAATCAAGCTCAATGCAATAGGGTGTGGGGTGGTCATTTGATCCTCGGTGGGTCGGAAGCATTTGGGAATTTGCTCATAGGTCTCTGGACTAGGTACCACGATCCAGCGGGAAAAGTGATACATTACCCAGCCCATCGCTAGTCTTTCGGGATCCCGAACGGGTCGCTGCTCTATCCGCAGGTGTATCATATTTGCGAGCATATTTGCATGGTCACCATATAAGATCGAGAGAGGCGATGGTAGAGTGTCGGGACATGATGCTACTTGCTCTGGATAGGCAAACCACGCACAGTATAAGGTCTTTGGATCCGAGAAGTCATCAGAGTAGATAGGTGGTTTATCCCAACCTGATTCAGCGCTTGTTAAGGGTCTTGGGCGTGTTGGCAAAGTGGAGGATGTAGCAGTTGGAGAAGTGTTCAGATTTGGGATCCCTTCTGGAGTTGTCTGAGGTATCAATTCAGTAGCAATAAATCCTGGTGATGGCCATAAATTTGAGTTGCCAGGCCCCTGTGTCTCTTTATCCCAGGAAGTCACGAGATGTCTCAGGGATGTTTCACGCGCCACATGAGTATCGTTCTGTTTAGAGAGATCTGTAATTATCTGGAGGAGCTCCTGGACGCCATTTTCATTATGGTATTGTTCGCAATGGGCCACTTTCTCCTCGAGATTTGCCTGATATCGCAACTTTTTATCTCGGAGATTCTGTTGAGCACGCCGATCGCGTAGACGTTTCTTTTCTGTGGCAGATATTTCTGCCATTATGGGAGCCAGATCGACTTTGAAAGTAACTTAGATCGCGTAATCAACTATACGTAGCTAATACACGTAATATGTAGGAATTGACCGGGATGTGTGACAAGCGGTGAAGCATGCAAATGCTGGAAGCACACAAGGATCATGTGGTGCGGAGTAGAGACGATCGCCGGGTGACGAATTAATCCGAGGTGGTTCATCCCAACGAAGCTGCCATCGACAGAACTCTATACTGTGCAAAGTGGGTACATCTTCATTTTTTTTTTTTTTTTTTCCAGCCATTCTGGGTGTGAACTATATTATTTATATAAAGTTGTATCATTTCCTAATAGCCAGGTATCTTTATAGAGCCTTTTATATCTAGTGTGAATACAGCCTTGGAAAGCATATCCTATGGATTCTAATACTATACATTAGGTAGTAACATCGTAACAGAGGTGTAGAATTTTGTTTCCTTTTCAATGTTCTTTTCAAACTTGAATGCGTTTATTTTCTTCTGCAATAAGCACTGGCAATATCGAGACATGACAAATGAATTAACGCCTTTCCGTTTGTATGGTCATTCATCATGATAAGATGATTATACCTCAATATCCAGTCTCTCTGATATACACTGCGAGTCCCTCGACAACAGTTGCAACCTCTGTCGATGTCACTCTATCAATTATATGGGCGACAACAATGGCCAAGTAGTTCAATGAATTGCACTGCAATAAGAATCGGAATGGCTAGGTCTTATGTTTCTGGCCCATATGCTTTGGCTGTCGGCACGAATTGCCATGTAACGTTCCCCGTCAATATGAAACCCATTAAACAGCAAATAGTACAGGAAATAACTTGCCAGCTCATTTTGAATTTCGTGTGTAATAAGAAGGAGTGTAAAACGTTTGGAGAGTTTGGGAAGTAGTAGGAGAGTAGGCTGCTTTAATAATTCCATAGAATTCATATGTACCTTTATAGACAAAATAAGTTGCTATGAATTGGGGTGTCTTTTTAACCTTGCCTATTTAACCGACAACAGCCTTTCCAGTCAGTCGCCTTCATAGTACATCTAGAGACGAGACGAGTAGAATTGCGGGGACGCCGCGGGCTTGGGTGCGGATAAGGCCGATTACATAAACCCGTCGAGAGCTGTCGGTCCCGACCTCGGAGGTTCGAGCTTCCAATGAATATTTCCGTTGAAGCTCGGCTGCGGCAACACGTTCAAACGACAAGCTACGATGCTACTGCGATCGCTACGGAGAGCCCGGTCAATCAAGCCGGTGCCCTTAAAGCTCACTCGCTTTGTATCCTCCGCGCCACTCATCCGTATCCAGAAAGGCACATTTTACCGACTCTATCCCAGCCAGGAAGATGGCGCAACCAATCCTCCTCTATATCCAGATCTCTCCTTCACTCTTCCCTCCAAAAGCGAGCCATTGAAAGATGGGCGACCGAATCTGCAGCATTGGGCTGTGGTAGGTACATCTAGCCGCACCGATTTGTTGGACGTTCTCCGAGGACAGCATATTTGTCTCCCAGCTACCGCGCGATCCTATCCCTACCTTCTTACTGATGAGATTGCCGCCAAAGATCCACAATTGCGCTATGTTGGAAATGCTATTCAGTACATTGGGTTCAGTGGGGAAGGTTCTGGTGCTATTGGGGGTACCCGGGGCGCATATTTGAGTGCTCGTTATGAGAGTCTACGAGAGGAGACTGATTGGACGGTGAAGCAATTCCTCCGTGGCCAGACATCGCTTAATCCGTTAGAAGGGGAGGAACATGGAACCGTCAATGACGAAGCCCTTCTGAAGACGGTCATCACAGACCTGCATTTATCGGATTTACTCGACATGCCCGTTGCGAACCTTAGCAATGGACAGACTCGACGTGCCCGCATTGCGAAAGCGCTCCTCAAGAAACCGGAGCTTCTACTCCTAGATGAGCCTTTTAGTATGCAAGAGCCTCTCTATATTGGGAATAAAGTACAATGGCTAACTATTGGTGTCTTTTAGTGGGATTGGACCCGGCAACAGTTCGGAGTATCTCCGCTTTGCTTTATCGACTAGCTGAAAAATCGTCCCCTCGTTTGATCCTCGCTTTGCGCCCACAGGATGCAATCCCAGAATGGATAAGTGATGTTATGGTTGTGGGGCATCACAATAAAATCCTTCAGCAAGGCTCACGATCTGAGTTAGATCGATCGCTTTCAGTATGGAAAAGATTGACGCAAGGAAATGTGACGATCCGATCGGTGGAGAAAGACGATAAAGATATATATCGTCAAGCCCAGTCAAACCTCAAGGCTGGAAACCTTGATCGACAGCTTATTCACGACCTTACTACCAATGAAGCCAGGCAGCCCTCAAAGGCCTATAACGCCCAGCTAGAAGGAGAGGCATTGATTGAAATGGACGGTGTCCGTGTTCAGTATGGCGATAAAGCTGTGTTGGGTGATTGGAGCCAACAAGTAAACAATGAGACTAAAGACGGCCTACATTGGCGTTTACGTCGAGGTCAGCGGTGGGCGATTCTTGGAGCGAACGGTTCAGGTAAAACAACACTACTGGCGCTCATCACATCCGACCACCCGCAAGCATACTCCTTACCTATCAAGATATTTGGCCGCTCCCGTCTTCCGGAAGCAGGCCAGCCTGGCATTTCTATATTCGATCTTCAATCTCGCTTAGGTCACTCATCTCCCGAGATTCATGCATTCTTCCCTCGCCAATTGACGATAAGAGCCGCCATCGAGTCTGCGTTTGCAGAGACATTCTTGTCCAAACCGCAGCTCAATTATGATCGAGACCTCGATATTAGTGCAGCTTTGCGATTTTTCAAAGCAGAGCTAGATCCAAATGCCGACCTGGCAAGTGCACAAGAGCCTCCTAGTATCACAACCGACTCTAACATGTTCCCTAAACTCCGAACTGGCAAATCTACTGGCCAGCAGGAACCTTATATACCATCTGATTTCGATATCGAGTATGCCGACAATACGACATTTGGTCAACTCACTACCGCACAACAGCGTATTGTGCTTTTCCTAAGAGCTCTGATCCATAACCCAGACATTGTGATTCTGGATGAACCATTCTCGGGCTTGAGTGCTTCTCAACGTGACAAGTGTCTACACTACATTGATCACGGCGACACCACATCCCCACTCGGATCTTCCTCGGATGAAGAAGCTCCACGATATGGTGGCCTGTCAGAAAGACAGGCGCTTGTTCTCATCAGTCACGTTAAGGAAGAAATCCCCGATAGCGTACGGCACTACATGCGTTTACCGTCAGATGCGGGTGATGGCGCCGAGCCCTTGGACTTCCGATTCGGTTTGCTCCAGCCGACTAGTATCCTTAGCGACGCGAAGGTATGGGATCTTGCCTGGTCGCCACCGTCTGAGCTTGAACAGGGCGGTAAAAAAGCTTCCGAACATCGCGGATCCGAGTCTGTTATAGACGCTTACGACTGGGTTTCGATATAATGATCTCGTCTCTTGCATATAGACCCACAATTGTAAATTATTATATTTGATATGGAATTGATCAAATTGGAAATTGATGAACTGAATGATTCATGTCAAAGCGGCGGCGAGTAAAACTTTCGAACTCATGGTACGCATTTGGTGAAGTGTTGCCTTGAAATATGACAAGCAGGTAGGAGAAACAAGCTTGAAGATCAATACTCAACTTGTGCTTGATTCGATAAACCGGTTGTTCGGCAAGCTGCTAGCAACCCCGGAGCTTGATACCCCGCCTGCGGGGATTGTGGATACATTGAACGGAAAGTGAGTCTCCGTCATCGTCTAACCCATAACATACAGTCTATATCAATTGGGGATAACCCCTGCTCAAGCTTCATTTCATTGGTGTCAAAAAATAATCTCTACCATCAAGTCAGCCTCCTTGACTCCTCCAATTCAGAATGTCCATTCCTCCTCCATCCTGTGACATCCTAGTAATAGGCAGCGGGAATGCTGGATTTAGTGCCGCTTTATCCGCCGCTCAAGCTGATCCCAGAGCCAATGTAATTATTATCGACAAATGTCCCTCAGCATGGGCTGGAGGGAATTCTTATTTCACCGCTGGAGCGTTTCGCACAGCACACAATGGTCTCTCCGACCTTCTTCCAATAGTGAACAATACAACCACTGAACAAGCTTCTCACATTGACATGTCTGTCTACTCAGAGAATGACTTCATGAATGATCTTAAGCGCATGACAGGTGGACGCACCGACCCAGGGCTATCAAAAGTTCTAGTCCGAGACTCCCGGGCTGCAATTGGTTGGCTGGCAAAGAATGGCATCCGCTTCCAGCTCTCATTCAACCGACAGGCATACGAAGTGGATGGCCGCATCAAATTTTGGGGTGGCCTTGCGCTGAAAACTCAAGATGGTGGTAAGGGGTTGATAGAAGACCATCTCGTCGCAGCGAAGAAGCATGGAATTCGTCTGTATTTCGATACCCCGGCTACAAAGCTACTCACAGACCCTACCACCGGCGCTGTCACTGGCGCGGAAGTTCTTCTTCGCTCTTCATCTGAAGCTTCCCGACGATATACCATTCGAGCTACTGCGATTATCCTCGCAGCAGGAGGCTTTGAGGCGAATGCCCAGTTACGAGCGCAGTATCTTGGCCCAGGCTGGGACGCTGCGCACGTCCGTGGGACCCCTTATAATACTGGAGACCTTCTATTAAGCGCCCAGCGCGATGTTTCCGCCAAGGCTGTGGGCAACTGGTCTGGCTGCCATTGTGTAGCTTGGGATGCTGACTCGCCCGCACATGCGGGGGACCGTGGCGTATCGAACGAGTTTACAAAATCCGGGTATCCGCTTGGGATTATGGTGAATCGAGACGGGAAACGCTTCGTGGATGAAGGATTTGATATGCGTAATTACACATATGCCATGATTGGGCGACGAATCCTTGCACAGCCTGGGCAAGTTGCGTTTCAGATTTGGGATGCACGGACGACAGATTGGCTGCGAAGTGAAGAGTATCGTCCCGAAGTTACTCGGCATTTAACAGGGTCAACAATCGAAGAGTTGGCAGATGCATGTATGGGTGCCGGATTGACGAGTAAACAGCAATTCCTTGATACCCTTGCAGAGTACAATGGTGCTACAAGGGAGGGGAGTAGGAAATGGGATCCAGCTGTGAAGGATGGATTGGCGACCGTTGAGTTGGGAGTTCCTAAGTCCAATTGGGCGCTGCCCATTAACAAGGGACCCTATTTGGCTGTCAAGGTTACTTCGGGAATTACTTTTACGTTTGGAGGGCTGGCTGTTAATCCGGAGACAGCAGCTGTTCTCTCGGAGACGACTGGCCAGGAATTACCAGGTTTGTATAGTGTTGGTGAAATGCTGGGTGGTCTCTTTCATGATAATTATCCTGGTGGGAGTGGATTGACGTCTGGAACTGTGTTTGGCTATCGGGCAGGAAAGACGGCCGCTGGGATTGTTGCCAGGAATAGAAGACCAGAGTCGATGCTTTAGTGTCTTATATCTTAGAAGCTGAACTATGCATAGAGTCCAAAATCAAAATATAGCCCTATGAATACTTAACCTATCATAAAACCCACCAGATTCCAATTTTCCCTGGATTTGAACACTGTAAAACTTCTTTGAGGTAAAAGACTTGTCTACCATAACAGGACTAATTTTCAGCAATAATAAAATCTAACGGGTTCTCTAAAAACCCTACTATACTGAACATTAATTATATAGATATTAACAAATGAACTGAATCTTCACAAAATTAAAGTGAATATATTCACGACTTCTGTTGTGATGCATACAAATAGAAATTGGGGAATCGCGCTTATCACATCTTTAACGTTCTTATCAAGCTTATCGTGACGTTGGTGGAGGCTGCTTCCTACGCCTCTTCTCCTCCCTTCTCTTTTCACGTGTCCCACTTTTCTACATTATAGCTGTTGAACACGCACAATAATGGACAATGTCCGCGCTCTTTACAAAAATGATGTCGATTTCGAGGCTCTTGCCTTGCAATCTCCTGAGTTCGCTCAGCAGTAAGTGTGGAACAAACAGCAAGCCACGGAAGTGGTCAAAAATACTAATAAATACTTAGTCTGAAACAAAAAAAACATGTCGACTTCAATGACCCTGCCACGGTCAGGTAATCCATGAATAGAGCTTTCTGTGTCCGTGAATTGGATCTGACCATTATACAGACAGTTGACTATCAGTCTGCTGCAACGAGACTTTGGCCTCGAAGTGAAGCTGCCGGAGGATCGGCTATGCCCTCCAGTCAGTTCAGAACATATCAATATCTACTATAGCGATCATTGCTGATGTTCGATTCTAGGTGCCAAATAGGTACGTTCACTAGCTTGAGAATCACAAGGTGATACTGATCGTCTAGATTGAATTATATCATTTGGCTTCAAGATCTTCTTGACTCTACAACCGGGTCTATTGATAGGAGGGTTGACATGAAAAAAGATCGAACGGGCCTCGATATGTATGCTATCACGGGCCATGACTCTCGAACTCTGAGGCTAACGAAAAATGGCTTCCAGTGGAACCGGATGCTGCAGTATCTATCCTCTTTTAGGCTGCAAAACTCGACTGGGGTGGAAGTTTCTGGCGACCGGTAAGAGAACAAGTTTCTTCTCTGCTTTATTCATTCATTTTTACCGGGCAACAAATAAATGGCTGACGATCTACAGATATTGACGAATGTAACGTCCGAAGCGCTCAAGATAACGTGAAATTGAATGAGCTCGAATCACGAATTCGGATTCTTCAAACAGACCCCAGCGATTCCTTTTTCCCTCTAGCTAAGTTCCAAGAGCAACGGTAATGGAGATTTTGTACCTAGGAAATTTTGAGAATATTCTATACTAATGTTGGAATAGCATTGACTTTACAATGTGCAATCCGCCTTTTTATGCATCGCAAGAAGAAATGGCTACATCTGCGGAGGGGAAAGCACAAGCCCCCAACTCTGTATGGCATCCGTGGACTGTAAATAATGACGACACGATGCTGACTTCATAGACATGTACGGGCGCTAAGGTGGAGATGATCACACCTGGTGGTGAATCGGCCTTCGTGACACGCATGATTGACGACAGCCTTCAAACCCGAGACCAGATTCAGTGGTACACCTCAATGCTTGGCAAGTTGAGCAGTGTGACTGCAGTGGTCGATACGCTGATGAAGCGTGAAAACCGAAACTACGCGGTTACAGAGTTTGTCCAGGGTAATAAAACAAAGCGATGGGCCGTTGCTTGGTCATGGAGTGACATGCGACCCTCAATGGTACGTTCTTCTCTTGGTATATGATGAAGCCATGTCTAACATTTGATGCAAAGAGCATCGCACGAGGAATCCCAGGATTTCCTAGGCATTTGCTACCTTTCCCGTCCGAATTTTCTTTTGACTTACCCGTGGAAACAACTTTTTCCAATGTTGTCGATGCCATGAATAAGGATTTGAGCTCTCTATCCTGGTCTTGGACCTGGGACAAAAACCTCAGTGCAGGTATTGGGTTTGCGTCGGAAAGTGTCTGGTCTCGACAGGCGCGCCGCAAGGCAAAGCTCGCAGAACAACAAGGGTCAACGAGTAAGCCAGCGTCGAACTCGAAGGAAACAGAACTGGGGGTTCGAGTGCAGTTGAGCCTTGCCCGTGCAAAAGATTCGGAAGCACACGAAATCAAAGTCCTGATTAGCTGGATCCAAGGAACGGACCATGTGCTATTCGAGAGCTTCTGCGGAATGTTGAAGAGGAAACTGGGAACCAGGTAAATTCGTCTCACTAAATTAGCCAAATCGATACTTTTGTACCCATTCCAACCCTAGAAATGACATGAACATCATTTACTTTTCGGCCTGTATCGGACTTTCCGGGTAGATTGTGGGTCTTCCCGGACTCACTTCTGGACGCCGAGCGACCTCGGGCTTGTGACGTCCCTCGGAACAAGGGAATTAAAACGGCGGGTATCTCCTCATCGCTCACAACTTTCATCCACGCCATCATGTCGAAACTTTCCGCTAGTCTTAAGTCATTGATCAATGCGCCTGCTGCTAGGCCAAACACAGTGCCAGCGCCCGCCAATATTGCATCTATCTACTCCAAGATCCAGCAAACCGCCCAGGCCCAAAATGTCTCCCATCCATCATGGATCGCGCTATCGGTCAGTTGCCAAAGAACAGGGCTAACAAAAATCATACAATGGAATTTAAGCACATGAATTAACACTTCATTCAGACCGCAGCTACAATGACCATGAACTCCCCCGAATCCCTCGCCATCCTCTACCAAGTGGCCAGCTCCACATCCCCCAATAAAGTCGAGACCGCCGAACTAATGCGCGAAGTGGGATTAAAGTGCATAAGTTTTAACGGAATCCCACGTTCAATCAACTGCCTCAATTCGTTTAAGGCTAGCCTCCCCGAAGCCGTTAGCACCGAGCTATCACGAACACCCACTCGCGCCCCGAACCCCGCAAACATTACCTCAATCAGCGAACGAGGCCAAGCCCTATGGGACTCAATATATCGACCCTTTGATAAGAAACTATACAATAAGCTTGCAGACTCACATCCCGATTTACCAGTCCATATCCTGCACAGTAACTACGGTGCTTTGCTTTCTGACCCCGCACGGACAACGGGTGCCTCGGCCGGTCGTGTTTTGACATCTATTGTGGCTGTGGCTTGTCTTCGCGCGCAGACTGGTGTTGGACCTCAGGTTCTTTCGCATATTTTTGGTCTTAGGAAGGCTATTGAGGATGGAAGCTGGGCTAGTGATGTTGAGAGTGAGGAGGGTGCTCGCTGGTTGGCTAGTGATGAGGGTAATACTTGGATTTTGAATAGCGTGGATGCTATTGTTGAGAGTATTAGCCAGGGTTCTGGATCGAATTTCGCGCCTGGAAAGGCTAAGCTGTAAATTCTCATGATACCCACGGATTTTGTACTGGAATGTATATATTATGAAATTGACTGAAATTTACAATTCCCTTTCAAAGGCCTTCAAGTCTGCAGCGTGGCGTGCCTATAGTGTAGTGTGTGCCTGCTTTCACACCCCTAGTATAGCATGATTGAGACTTTGAGCATGCTAGTAGGGTGGCATATTGTAGAGCAGCAAATAATGGCTGAATCATGATATAAATTGATGATTCACTGATATGCTCAAGATAACGCAGAACAACTTATGCAGGTAAGGGTCATTACTCGTCATAATCAAATGCACAGAAAAGCCCTGCGAATCAAACAGCTGGAGCTTCCCAAGAGTCTCTAGTAATCCGCATCAGAGCTGACTGTTTGTGTGGGAAGCTGACTTCTCCCTCCTTGTGGAAACCAGCCTCCTGGAGGTATTTAATGAGCCTGGAGATTTGGGTTAGCCTTTGCTTCAAGAAATGGATTCAAAAGAGACTCACTTAATGTTATCGACTCGAGGTTCCAAGACAACTGACTCCGTCCTCATGTCTGTTAGGAAACAATGATGCACCAGAGCGGTTAACCAGATGGCTACTCGGTGTGGCCCTCTGAACTCCTGCTCCCCAACAAGAAGGTGAATACCTCGGTCATAATTTTCCACCCTGCCCATTAAACGACCCAATGGATCCTCTTTCACCCAGTAGATTTCAAAGTACCCAAATGGCTTTCCATCCCACGATCCGATGACTGGGAAGCTGTGCTGACTTGTCAAATTGTTTAACAGGTGCTTCTCTTGCACTTCTCGGGGTCCTCCAACTCCCCACATAGCTTCGACTCGAGGGTCATTCATCCACTTGTGCAGCGTGTCAAGATCAGAAGGAATATCTTGAGATAGGTGCTGTTCCACACTGGTCACTGATGAAGTGACGGGGCGAGTCGGTGTAGAGGACCGTCCATCAATCAATCCGCTGGCAGTTGACTTTGATTTTGTCATGGGGACAAATGGGACTCTGAAAGAGAGGTATTGCTTTACGCTAGGTATATAGCGTACATAGAAAACTTCGCCTTGATGAGGCGGTTTGGGGCGAACGGGATGCCGTACCCCATTGGTAAACCTATATTGTGTCGGAGCCGGCGGATAATATGTTGGCAAATGGCTCGCTGATGTGAATGGCCCCGCTGATGTAAACGATCCCACGTTGGGGGAATGGAAGGTCACCTCACCGGGCGGCAATGTATTCGAAGCCGGTAGTCCATCCCGAGCGGGTGAGGCCGGGCGAGACTGAAAGGGGGTAATAGAAGGCGACGCGGAAGCTCCTCGCGGTGTAAGCGTGAAGAGGAACAAACGAGGATCCAACTGCCAGAAGCTCCGGCGACTGACATACATGTTTGACCAGCCACTTGAGTCGCGTGTTTCTATTGGCTGTAGCCCGACAGAAGAATCTTCGCTTGAAATTAAGCCCATGCGCTCTAGCTTTTGAAGAAGATTTCGGCCCTTGAATATACCCTCTCGTCTGATATTAACTCGCCATTCACCCTTGGGGCGTCCGTCATGCGGGGTCGCACCGCACGCCGCTGTTTCAAGGTGCAGGTCTGGCTCGGGCTCATGGAAGTACCACCATAAAGTCGCCCAGAGCATCATAGCGATATGTCTTGTAGGAGATGAGGCTGACTTGAATTCGCTTGATGGCGGGTTAACTATGTATGAGATATAGAGACAATCCCGACGTAATGTGGGGGTGGTGAAGCGAGTGATGTTCGCATCATCGCTGTATGCCATGCGACTCTCCGACTCAAGTTTTGCTGTTACATCTTCATCTTTTGGAAGCTTTTCGCTGTGGATGATGATCGTCCAGCCTGGCGGAAAAGTGGAGTTATGGAGGTTCAAATCGTTGGATTTGAAGGTGACCCCACCAAAGACGGGGGACACAGTGAACGTGAGACCATTTGGCAGATGGCAGGTGTTATTACGCATTATGATGGGATGATGATTGTCTAAGGACTTCCAAAAAATGAAGACCTAAGGCAAACAAGGGATTGTAAGAAAACAAGATCCGATCCTTGCAGACAGTGCGAAACGGTTGATTTGGAGGTGGTCAAGTGCTTAAGTGTTGGCAATGACGCAGACACCCGCTATCATGCCACAAATGTCTCCGGTGGAACACTTCCATACAGCCCACCCCTTTTGGTCAGCATCATGATATAGATGGACCATAACTGGATCTAGATGAGTCTGAGATGCGGAGATTCATCACCGTGGACCTCAAAGTGTTTGAGCGCGCTGAAATGTGTAGTAACATCTAAATTATGATTGGGTGTGGGGTTGGGTTGACTCGCTAAGGGCGCGTTTAGTCAAAATAAAAAGCTTAAGCTTTGGCATTTGGCATTTGGGTTTGAGCTTGGATTTTCAAGGTCGTGGGTTTTGTCCTTTTTTCTCACTTTTTTTCAATGCCAGGGTCCCGCGGAGAAAAATGAATAACATCTTTAAAAATACATTCTTATCTTCCAAGGTTCATCTTAGCCTGCATACACTTGCCTTGCTAGCCCAGAAAGGTGGAGTTTAAACACGTAAACTACCGGCTACAAGTACCAATCAGTACAAGGGTGCCATAGCCTCTTGATATGACTTGCAGATCTTCTACGGAATCGCCGATCACGATAACTGTGCCGAAGGCGATAGCGGCAGGAAAAGACCCGGTGTTGGGCCATAATACCGTCTAGCCTTATCAATGTTTAGGGTATGGACGAGGCGGGTCGGTGCGGGCTCATCACTGCGGTTCCCGCCGAACTAATAGTCCAAATTTTCACCGAAGGCAGAGTTTCGCATCTACTGGTCTAAATGGGAAAAAGTGGACCAGTACCAGTCTGAGGTGGGGTTTCAATGGCAGCCTCATAAAGCGTACAGGAATCCCTCCGAATCGCGCAATTGGGGCTAGGTGTTGAGAAAGATTTTCAGAATTCTCAATTGGAATATTCCAGCTGCAATATTCCGCCATGAGCCATCTCCAGGAGACGAATAATGCACCTGTAACGGAGGAAGTAACCCAGGTTGATCATGAATCTAAGACCGGGGTATACACAACGACCAAGGACGAGTCGAAGAATGAATACGGACCGACCAAACGGCAAAGTCAGATTACCATCTTAAGTTGTGTATGTTGACCTATTGCCTCTTGAAAAGCCTAGCAAAGGAAGCTCATGGGATCATTAACTAATCTGGTTCTTTCAAGGCTTTGGCATACTTCAGCGATGGAATCCAAAACGGCCTCGCAAATCCCACGAATGTGATTTTCAAGGGATTGCTTGGCTCATCGGAATTCTCATCGGATATGAAAACACGAATCAGCAATTCTCTGCTTGTTGGTGCCATTATTGGTACCGTTGTGTTTGGATACACTTCTGATATGTTCTCTCGCAAGGGTGGGCTATTGATCACCGCCTCAATAGTTGCGATTGGAACTCTGATGTCGACGGTCGCACTCTCAGTTAATCCTTCCCAAAACATGCTATGGTATTTTGTTGTCGTGCGTGGTATTGCTGGATTTGGAGTAGGAGGCGAGTATGCTCCAGGCGCGGCTGCTGGTATTGAAGAAATGGAGAGTGTAAGTGCTGTGGAAACCCTTGGTCGTTGATGACAAGAAACTGATTCTTTTTTAGATAATGCCCAAATGGCGCGGTCCGGTCTATGCATGCTGCAATACATTGATGGCCACATTGGCGAGCCCAATATTGATGATCATCTACTTGATTTGTCTCGTTGCCAGCGATAATAACCTCACGGTCACATTTCACGCTATGTACTCTATTGCGACGATTTTGCCCTTGATTATTGTTGGCCTCCGTTTCTTCATGGCTGATTCAACGCTGTTCTATCGGTCCAATTTGAAAAAGCAACAATTTACGATGCGCATCTATATGCTACTATTCCGCCGATATTGGTGGCGCATATTCACAACCTCATTCGCCTTTTTCCTATATGACTTTATCAACTTCCCGAATAGTATCATGTCGAGTTCCATTATTGCGTCTCTGGTGAAAGATGGTGACATTCGCCGCACAGCTATTTGGCAAGTCATTTTAGCTGTCTTGCCCGTCCCTGGCGTTCTAGTCGGTGCCTGGCTGACCAACGTTATTGGCCGACGTAACACTGGTATCCTGGGATTTGCGGGATATATGGTCATGGGCTTCATTATTGGCGGGACGTACAACAAATTGTCTCAGAATATTGCTGCCTTTGTTGTTCTCTATGGACTCTTGCAGGCTTTGGGTCATATGGGACCGGGTTGTTCGATTGGATTAATTTCCACTGAGAGTTTCCCCACCGCAATTCGAGGTATGGGGTATGGAATCGCATTGGCTTTTGGCAGAACGGGAGCAGCAGTTGGAACCCAATGTTTCACTCCATTAGAAGATGCCGCTGGAAACAGTGCAACGTTCTATCTGGCTGGCGGAGTCGCAGTGGTGGGTATCCTTGTATACTGTCTGTTGCCCGAGACCAGTAAATTCGATCTCGAAAAGGAGGACAGACTTTTGGAGGAGTTCCTTGCTGAGCATGGATACCATATTGGAAAATAGATCACTATGACCTTCCTCGGATATTCTATCACATGATGCAGTCACTCATTTGCTTAAAATGATTTTGTAGGCCCAAAACTCTTTTCGGAGTTTCACTTAAACATTGTTAGCAAGTTAGAACAGAGGTAATTAGGATCGTCCGCACTTGACGTTTCGGGGGCAGTGTTGGGCCTTTGGCTGTGTCGTCTTAGGAAAGATTAGTCACCGGGTAAATGCGACCGCTGGCGCGTACTACGTAAACGGGGTCCCTTCCTCTACTGACAACGTCAACTTTCTCCACACCCCCCAACTTGACAGTCTCTCTCTCGCTGGCCGAGTCTCGCGCTTTCAACGTCGCCCCTCTCACTCATTACACGTGCGACTATATCCAATGTTAATTCCGACATAAAATTCCGACTCCGACCGTTTCAAGGCATCAAGCTATGTTTCTTTGAGGATTAGCGCCGACCTACTACCAACCTAACATGACGTCTCACCTTGAAAATCGCGAACACCGCGTCTCAGTTGGCTCATCGATCCCCCTTGCCGACCTCGAGTCTAGCTCAACCTCCAGGAGCACCGAACATACTTCCCGCTGGAACGGGTTCTCACAGTTTCATCCATCGAATATACTCGCCAACCCACATGCCGCCCAGGGGTCGCAGGACGACTGGCTAGCCGCTGCAGAAGACTTATGGGTTAGGTTAACAATTACGTTGACCCCCAGCTTCCTACAAAAGTATGTTGGGGCTGAGCCGCCTCAGACTACAAAGCTCCATGCGATCGCTGCGCTTGACGGCCTGCGAGGCTGGGCCTGTCTCCTGGTCTTTAATTTTCACTTCCTCTTCGCATACACGTGGAAAGTCGCCGTTGGGTGGGGGTTTGCGGGGGAGAATTGGGGAATCCACCAACTGCCCTTTATTCACCTTTTAATATCTGGGCATATTATGGTGTCCATCTTTTTCGTCATTTCGGGCTATGTCCTATCCTACAAGCCCTTGAAGACCATTCGGGCCGGGGCTTTCGATCAAACCTTTACAGTACTGGCCTCCTCAACTTTTAGACGTGCCCTCCGCCTGTATATCCCATCCATTGTCGGTCTTGCTTGCGTCTTCCTCGCCGTTCGACTTGGCGCTTACAACTACTCTTGGGGTGTGATAAAGGAGGGTCGCACCATTGTCGGGACAAATGAACAGCATCCCCCAATCTACAAATCTGCCTGGATCCAATCGTGGGATTGGTACTATACTGTGGCACATCTAATGAATCCCTTTGAATGGGGCCTATACTACAACAACTACAATCCCCATCTCTGGACCATTCCAGTTGAATTCCGCAGCTCGCTCGTTCTATTCCTCGCAATTCTAGCAACTTCACGCCTGGTTTCTTCCGTGCGTATGGCCCTTATCGCAAGTTTGACTTGGTTCTGCATGCGATACGGCAGATGGGATGTTGTCATGTTCCTTGTGGGTATGCAAATGGCTGAGCTTGATCTGATCAACGGGACCTGGGAGCGACCGAAGATTCCCTCTTCAACAACAGCAAGCGATAACCTACACATTCGCTTCCCCCCCGCTGGCGGCAAAGTATTTCTCACCATTTCTCGCCAGCGATTGTGGATAGGTCTCTTCATCGTCGGTCTTTACATCGGGTCATGCCCCAATCTTGGGTTCAGATGGACGCCAGGCTACAAATGGCTCTGGCATATCACACCTTGGACATACCCGGAGCCCCACCGATTTCCCCAAACTGTCGGTGCAGCCTTGATTGTCTTTAGTATCAATCACTCCCCCGATATCCAGAAAATTTTCACAACTCCCATTTCCCAATACCTCGGCAAGATTTCTTACGCCTTTTACATCGTCCACGGGCCCATACTTCACTCATTTGGATACTCACTGATGCCCAATATCTGGTCCGTTACGGGCAAAGAGACCGATTTCCAATATTGTCTTGGATTCTTGATTGGTTGGGTTATCTGCTTGCCAATTTGTATCTGGATCGGTGATGTATTCTGGCGCGTAGTTGATATCCCCAGCGTCAAGTTCGCTCGATGGCTCGAGGACAAACTCATTTCGAAGAGCGCTTCGGCATTTGCAAAATAAGTCGAGTTGCACCAAGCTCGCAGTTCTACAAGGCGGAGTTAGCGAGCCTGTTTTTAGCTAGCTGAATAGAATCATAAATAAAGATACTTTGTTAGTGACAACAATTGCACTGAGCCATAGAGCTCATCAACTGCTTCTTCCTATTAATCTTGTAACCAACCTTGGACGCTTGTATTATTATACCTATGCCTAGTGGCCGAGCCATACCGAACGCCTGCGAGACTAACACAGCAACTTTCATTAGAGTATGAAATCTCACGGCAACCTGCTTATCAACAAGATCTATAATCCCAAGAACGTTAAGCCACCAGTTCCGACCGACGTTAATAAAGTCGATTCGTGTATAGAACAGTTTATTAGGCAGGAATATTAATGTTATTCCCTAGAAGATAGCAAGCCAAAGCCCTCGAGCTGAGAGACAGTACAGCTTCAAACAACCCATAAATAAACATAGTCGGCGAATAAAATTGAGAAAACTCCTTATTAGTTTAATACATGGCCATACTACAGTAAAATATATAGAGCCCTAGCAGCCCTAGACAACTATAGGTTGCATATACAATTATATACCTAGCCAGTCTTGAAAGAAAGGGGTAGGCGCAGGAGTAGACGTAGGAGAAGGAGAAAGATTTATAGCTATACGTACAGCGATATAATAGCAATATAATTAAATTGTTATTATGTTGTTTATTGTATATTCAAGTTCTTAACTACATGAACCAGAAATTGTAATGTGGTGGTATACTCACGGTTTCGGAACCCGCATCGGGAACAGTAGAGACATTTTATACATTCTGGAAGTTTTCAAAGTCTAAATGTCCATGGGTCGGGGATCATATACATAGTACTAGACCTATTCCAACCACTTCACCTAGTAATCACAACTTTTCTCAATTCTACAGCTCCCATAATTCTTCCTTCCTTCACACACTTTATACTTCGGAAGCCTCAAATGGTTGAATCTCTCTGATACTTTACATATCATACCTCTATACACTACTTTCTCTGAGCTCAATATCTCACTTTTTCTGATTTCCTTCTCTTACAATGCCTTCACCAAGCAAGGGTCATAAGCCCAATCGTCCTTCAATTTCTCTTGAAGCTGCCTTCGCTGGTCTTGACATCTCACAAAGCCGTTCTGTGCCATACACCCCCCGAAGCTTCATCTTCATCTTGGACAATCAATTCGCAAAATGATGAAGTCTACCCTCCGCTTGGACTATGGCACTATATCTGGCTCTGTTCGTGGAATCGAAACCAAATTCACCATCACACAAGACGAGGCTTACGATTACAAAATTGCGCATGATGATTTCGACCCCGATATTGTCTTTCCCCAGATGATGCAGGTTGCAGATCAACTCCAAGATATCCTACAATCGAGCTTGAGCTCTGAACAAGAAACCGCTTGTGAAAAACATATTCTGGAATGCCTGACCCGTATGGTTTATGGATCGAACATGATTGAGCATGCTGGTGCAGGCCTGGAGATTACCTGGAAGTTATGCATGAAGGTTTTTAAGGGCGAGCCCGTGCTTGAGGATATTGGGGAGCGCGATGAGGAGTACCTCCACCTTAAGCAGTAGCTTATGCGCTCCAAGGTTTCTATAAGCACGGCTGCAGTCCTCCGCAGTCGCCGTGAAATTATCCAGCATGCAAAAGCCGCCGCTTTCATGATAACCGAGTGCTATCTACATGACAAGGAACTATCCCAAGAAATTATCCTTGAAACCCATCGGATTTTGTGCTACAAGGTCGACGCCGAAAGTGCACCGTGGGAAACTTATAGCGGTGCTTTTCGTTCTGTGGATGTCAGTGCAGGGTTTCACACATTTCCACCCCCAAAACTTATCCCATCCAAGATGAAAGATATGATCCACCAACTAGACTCTGATCTTAAGCAAGCTTGTCAATCTGGGGATATCGGTCCTGTGATGCTTTCTGCAAAATACACTCATATCTTTGTCAACATCCACCCGTTTCTTGATGGAAATGGTCGTCTCTGCCGTCTAATCTTGAACACGATGCTTCTGAAATACGGCAGCTTTATTATCTCGCTAGGGGGGTACGGGAAGGGCCGCCAAATTTACAATGAGGTTGCAGCCAACGAAAGTACTCTGGAAGATACTTATGATGGGCGTGAAGAGGAGAAAAAGCCAGTTATGCACAAAGAACTGGCAAGTCTGGTCTTGTCGCACGCAAAGTTGAGCCTAGGGAAGCTGATTAAGGCTATTTCTAAATGATGGCGGTTTTTTTCCTTATGACATTTTCCAGGGTTTGACATTTTTCGATTGTCTGGTTTCAGTTTATCTATCTATTCGGCGATTATCCACCAGTCAGTACACACAAATTGACACTGTTACTCTCTTTCACCAAATGTTGTAGCTTGAGCCATTTCAATACATTGATTTGTGGCTTCGTATATGCAAGACTTCTGGTATTCCTCCTTTTTTTTTTCAAATTGCCGAGATAATTATTTGGACATGAAATCGAATTTCGCGTTTTCGCCTAAGCAGAACAAATTGTATTCGCCGTGTATGGTGCACGGAAGTGAACTGGCTCCGGACCGAAGATTTTCGGCTCGGCAACGTTCGCCTGTGTTTGATTCTTTGGACTCGAGAAGACAGTGCAGTGTTCCACAGGAGTTATTATGTTATTCGTCTTAGCGAGATACGTACCGTAACGTACGAGCGATGTCTGCAGCATTTCACGTTACCAGGTGCTTTTGATGGGATGGCATGGGTCCACCCATATGAAGATCTGGAATCCAATATGATAGGCGATCAGATGAGGCCTCATCAGTTACTAGCCTACGCCTCGGAATGCTTATGTCTATTTATGCCTAAAGTCTCGGTTCTTTGTATATATCACTCAAACGAGATCTTCATTGATTATAGCTGAAGAAATACAATGTGATCAAATGCTCTTCCAGCGAGGTGAATTCTGCAAAATACAATATATTTAGATGTAGATACGATTCGTGGCAAATTCAAGTTGTCTATCTGATCATGCTAGGAACAACGGGCACTTTCCATGGACATGAATACTGTCAAGCGGAGCCTCATCTCATCCATGAGTCGGGAATTGTGCAAGACTCGGCATTGGAGTCGGCAGAAAGTGGCCTGTGCACGGCAATGCCAAGTCCTTAATTATCGGAACTGAGATGTGGATGTGGGGCATTCAGTCACTTTCAACTACCAACATCATGCAAATCAAAGCTTCCAGTTGTTTGGCTCGTGGCCAGCCAGGTGTGCTACACCATATAGTTCGTCAAACCGTACCTATTCGAAGCCAGTTGAGCTATTTAATCCCAAAACAATCCACTAATCTCTCCAAATCCTTGATAGAATCCCCGTCTTCTCGCGTTCGAACATACCCGAGGTTCTCGTCGGAAACCACACACCTTAATCTTTGTCGGCGGATTGGGCGACGGTCTCGGCACAGTAGAATATCTTGCTGATCTCGCAGAAGCTTTTGAATCAACCGAATGGACAATATTCAACTTAAACCTGAGCTGCTCCCTCGGGGGCTGGGGAATGGGCCGCCTCGGCCAGGACATTGATGAAATCGCCGCATGTGTGCAATATGTTCGAGAATACAAGGAGCCATTTTACGGTACCGGAAAAATCATTCTTATGGGTTCTTCAACGGGCTGCCAAGATGTTATGCATTATATCAGTTGCCCGAATCCACGACCGGCACATCCTATTTTTGATCGCGAGTGGATGCCCATTGTACGCCCACCTGTTGATGGAACCATTATGCAGGCCCCCGTGTCGGATCGTGAAGGTATTCTTTACGTTTTAGAACAAGGGACCGAACGAAATACACCCGAAGAAATGCGTGGGATCTATGACAATGCAGTTGAAAATGCAAAGAACAATACATATGAAAAGGGCGAGGGGGTAGATACCGTGGTGCCTTTATCAGTCACTGGAAGGATTGGATATGGTAACTTTACGCCGCTTAGCAGTCGACGATTTCTAAGCTTGACTAGTCCTGATAGTCCTGAAAATCCAGAGGAAGATGATCTCTTCAGCTCGGATCTTAGTGACCAACGCCTTGCTGAGACATTTGGAATGGTTGGGGAAAGAGGTTTGCTAAAGGGAAAACTCTTGTCATTGTACTCGGGTCGCGATCAGTCTGTTCCTCCATGGGTTCATAAAGGCGCGTTGATGAACCGATGGGAAAATGCCATTGATGCTGGAGGAAAGGAATTCTGGGATCCACGGAGTTTAGTCATTCCCAATGCCTCACACCAACTGAGTGATCCCGATCAAGCGGAGCCAAGACGGATTCTGCTGCAAAGAGTGACTGGATTCATATACGACACTCAACGATCTACACCATGATGTACCTCTACAATTGTACTACCCTAAATAGATCTTATACAAAATAGATTTCCGGTTCAGAGCTGGCTCTCCAATGAAGAACTATCCACTTTATCTCATTATTATTCATTCGTCAAAGTTTCAACTCTAAACAATCGCTTCATTATCATCGTCAATGTCGGTGGCCATACTCAATCTGCTCACCAGGCCAGGACTTCCTTCTGTGGACCACAGCTAAGTCCCTTGCAGAACATCTCATCCTTCTCGCTAACTTGTGCATTGTCCTTTGGCTTTTGCTTCGCTGACCAAATCTCGCCCCCTTCTTTCTTCTCCCGTTCAAAGTGCTCGGTGACAACATCACGAACGGTGCTTTGGAAGAAGAGAGGTGCCTTCTCGTATTTGGGATGTAGTTGGCCACTTGTAAACACGTTTCGATCCAGATTCCTTTGAGCATTGGCGCAGAGCACTTTGTCTTCTCTCATCACACGTTCGTACATGTCGGCAATCTGGTAGAAGTCTTCATCGGAGGAGTTTCTATTCTTGTATATCTCGTACGCCATCTTCGAGCTGTCGGCACTTTGTGGGAGGAATTTCTGAATCATGATGAAATGGGGTCTGTTTAAGTTAGAACCTTTTGCTTATCTGAGATAGTAGAGGAAAATAAGTTGGGGACCACATACGAGACAACCATAGCCGTCATAGGGAAGTAATAAGTGCTCGCGGTATAGAGACCCTTAGCGATTTGTTCCGATGTCGAGACACAGTGATGCTGGATGTGACCGTCCTTTAGATCGCTGTCGAAGGATTCGAGGTTCAGGAACTCAGGGATATCAGGATGTGTTGTAGGGCAGTGATAACATTCATTGAAGTTGTCCGCGAGAATCTTCCAATTATAATGACCATCCAGCTCATAGGCGTGGTGATGATCATAATCATCGAAGTTATATGCCTTGTAGCGGTCTTGCTTATCGACGTTTTCGAAGTGTTCCTCCCACGGAACCTCAGGCACATCTTTCGAATCAAGATTGACCCAGATAAAGCCATTCACATCGACCCGGACATGAATCTTGAAGAGTCCATTTTGTTCCTTATCAAACGAATCTAGATCTTTGTACCCGGGCGCCTTCGCAAGCTTTCCATTCAAACCGTACGACCAACCGTGGTACCGACAGGATAAGATCTTGGAGTTTCCAGACCCCTCCTTTTCCACGACTGGGTACGCACGATGTCTGCAAACATTGTGGAAGGCATTGACGTTTCCTTCCCGATCACGAGTGATGATGAAGTTGAAACCCGCAATTTCGTAACGAAGCCAGTCACCTGTTTCCTTGAGGCGGGAGCTATGTGTGAGAAATAACCATCTTCTAGAGAATATGGCACGACGCTCGAGCTGGTACATCTCCGGGGATGTGTACCATGATGCTGGTAAGGCACGAACTGGGGTTTCTTTTACTTCATCGGAAGCAGGCTTGCTGTCGAAGCCGAAATAATGCAATAGTTTCATAGTCATATTTAGGTATTGTGATAGAAAATAAATCAATTTCGAATGATCCAACACTTTAAACAATACTTAAGGGCCATTCTTATATTCCCTTGTCTCTTTTTTAGGGTCTGATCTATGTTGCTCATGGCCGGTCAGGTGCTCAACGGGAGTAGATGAATGGAGTAATCGAACCCCCGGGGAACCAGGGAGGCGGGTCGGGTTGCCGATATCAGAACATGAACCCATGTGATCCAGTGTTTCTCATCCCGCCACTATCAGTATTTTGACACGTATATGAGCAGGATTTTGGTCAGCCGATCTATAACATTGTATTCATTTGCCTATTATGCATCAGCAATACATCCATGTATTGCTCTAGTATAGGGTTGGGATACATTCGTGGGTGCATGATAGTCCCGCTACTTATCTATGCATGGGGATCACAATCCTTCCACAGCACAAACATTGCGGGAGAGGATAAGTTTGTCCTCTTATCATTGAAAGATGACTCGTCTGTCCCAAGGCATCTTTTTGTATATACTTTACATCCACCTACCTAGGCATAATTTGGTTCTACCATTCCAAAGACTAGATGCAAACTTGAAATAGATGGGAACACATCGTACCTCGCCCCTTGAAATTTATCGTAGCAAGAGCGCTGTATTTCATCGCCCCTAATCCTCCGAAATTTTGCAATCGGCTCTTACTACCGGTATATGTGATCTCATATTATTGCGATACGACATGATATCATTGATAGTCATGATTATTTCCCCCCATCAGTAGACTTTTCCCGCACTCCAAAATTTCATAAACTACTCCCTTGGGGTATAATATACGCCTAATATGCTTTGAAACCTTAAAACATCAGGCATCGATAGCTCATTTACATTTGAGTGTCTAATGATCTTCTAATTTTTTATATCATACAAAGTAACTGCAAATAATCTTCTTGAAAATGAGACTTCAAATTGATATTTTACTTTACAATACTATGTGGACAAAGTTTAACATCCCCGCATACCACTGACACTCTTGTTTGATTGCCCAATCAGATGTAGAGAAAGCCGTATCATGCTACCTATATGCACACAGATCGGCAGGAGATATCAAACCGAACTTGAAGTGGTACTGCAACCCGATAGGTAAACCCGGAATTATACACATGTAGTATAAGGTTCGTCGGGACAGCCTGAGGAGCATTGAAACCCCTTTCAAGTTGTAGCCAAGTTGTCCCCAGACTCGGAGTCTATATTATATTTAATATGGGGACAACACCGTGACCTTGCAAGTACTATATGCTTTTACTAGCTCTGCTCCAAAGTCTCTAAGTGAAAAAGGAAAGTTCAATTCAAAAATGGTCATTGCCTTCAAGTTAAGTTACCGTGTGGAATCTTCATATGTAATAAATATGTGATTAGTAAAAGCTCTTCTCCAATTCTTCTCTAAACTACCATATGGCGGTGGATCTAATTTCCAAAAACGGTCCAGTCACCCTGTCCCCAACTCGACTTCAGAGTCCAGTGTTTAACCTTCCACAGGCCATCTGCAGAATCATTAACGAGCTCCACCCAATACAATGAGCCCGCAAGTAGTGGCTCAGAGCCTGGCTTCATACCCTCTCCCCCACGATAATGTTGGGCAAGGGCAGAGCATGTCACTTGAGCTTTCGAGTCTCCATCCATAATGTTGATACGAATGTTGCTGAGGAAGTGGTTGGTGTCCATCTTGGCGATATTGACGTAGCATTCGCTCATGATAGCCTCGAGACCATTCATAATGGTACCATTGATATCAAAGACAGCATCGATGGTGAAAGCTGATTTAAAGAGAGCCTCATCGGCTGTGTCAAGACCAATGACGCAGCGGTAGAGGGCATCGGCGACTGCATCGCGGCCGCTGAGGGGAGGAGAGAGGGAAACTGGAAGTGCTGGAATAGACATTTTGAGGATTTAACTGTCACTTGATAAGAAAGGATTTCAAGTTGTGTTTTTTGGACACTACAGGTGTGATCTTGGCCTGGTTCCCAATGGTAGGTGGTTTGGATCTGGTTTCTGATATCTGATGTGCTCGACTGAAGTGAAGAAGAATGATATTATATGTTGACCTGGAAAGAAAGCCGCTTTTATGACTCCCCTGAAATTTTAGTATCGCTTTCTTATTCCAATATATATTATTCTTTTATCAATTGAGAGTATTCATTCCAATGCACATGCTCGGATTGGCTCATACCTCCTATTTGAGACCCACGATGTTGTAGGGCCGTCTCTTATCTCCGGGTGTGTCCACGGAGTTACGGGGGGTTATCGGTCCAAACAAGGCCCGAGAGGAGAAGGTATGGTGGACTTTTTTGCAATACTTTTCGTTTTCATTTGCTATTTAATCTTAGCCAGATATTTGAATGATTCTATTGCCTTGACAGCCGTGCTAGTACAATTGCCAGCTTCATAAACAAGCTTTCTGCCATGCCCTAAATCCGTTGATAAGTAAATGGTTAGTACTCATGTGCAGTAAAAACCAAATCCTCGGCCCTACTAGTAAAATGAACCTTCACGATTGCCTTCCAATGTGAAGATATGTAAAATCCTTTCAAAAAAGGCCTTTAAATAGTTATATACTACGATTCTCATCGGTCTTAATATGTGTCAGCACCAAGAACTATATCTGATAACCAAATGTTCAGGGCTGAAGTGCACATTGGCGCGGTCCCGGACCGCGATGTGGGGGCTCCACGCAGGCCTATGCCCTCGAAGATGTCGAAGAATCCCATGAAGTTACATACTTGTCATGCTGGCACATTGCTTAAAGGAAAATACAAATTCATGAGACTTCATAATACGATCTGGGATACAGACAACTTGAAGGAATTTAATTTATATTTCGCCGTGCAGAATGATGTACAATTGACGCATCCATTTAAAAGCATCAAGGTATGCATATTTAGTTCTAAGCGGAAACACCCTTAATGTGGTAGCTCTTGAGCTTTGTGAAACCATCGAATGCTCGAGGTCCAAGAGTGCATCCAAGACCAGAAGTCTTCCATCCTGTCCAGGCAAGATCCTTTCGACGGTGTTAGTTATGGAGGGCGTACAGTAGAAGGTAGGAGAGAAACTTACTGGAGCAGGGTAGTCACAACGGTTGATGAAAACAGTGCCGGCCTCGATATCGTCAATCAACTTTTCACCAGCGGCGATATCCTTTGTCCACACGCTAGCAGTCAAGCCATAGTCACTGTCGTTCATCAATGACACGGCCTCCTCATCGCTAGATACCTTCATGATTGGCATCACAGGTCCGAAGGTTTCTTCTTTCATGGTCACCATGGAGTGGTTAACATTAGTCAGAACAACTGGAGCCAGCCAGTTGCCCTTTCCTGCTGTTTGGGCCAGAGAGAATGTGGCATTTTCTGGGGTCGCGTTGACGGCACCCTTAGCCAAGGCATCGTCTATGTGAGATTGAATCTTCTCCTTAGCCGGGGCGGATATTACAGGACCAGTAGTTGAGGTCTCATTGAGTGGATCGCCCAGCTTATAACTGTAGAGAAATGGTCAGTAATCTTCGGTGTGGGGCTAGAGAAGGAGTAAGGAGACTCAAAACGTACGACTTGAGTTCTTCTTGCACGGCTTGCACAAAATCATCGTAAACCTTTTCGTGGACATAAACACGTTCAACAGAGCAGCAGCTCTGTCCAGAGTTGAATACTGCACCATCAACAAGATTCTCCGCAACATCTTTCACGTCAACATCGGGGCGAACATAAGCAGGGTCCTTGCCACCAAGCTCCAGATGAACAGGCTTGACCTGGCCAGCAGTAGCCTGGCGTAATCTAATTCCACCAATGGTAGATCCAGTGAATGAAATGGACTGAATCTCAGGAAGCTGAGCGACTTGGTCAAGAACATCCAAACTACCAATGTGAACAACCTGGAGCACGTTGGCAGGCAAGCCAGCCTCAGTGAAGATCTCAAGCAGTCTGTTACCAAACAAGGGAACTTGTGGAGATGGGCGGAGAATAACGCTGTTTCCGGCCAGAAGTGCGGGAATCAAGGCGTTAACTGTAGTAAGGTATGGGTACTATGAGCAAGTTAGCCTTGACAAGTTCTTCGCTTGTCTGGTGACAAATTCTTACGTTCCAAGCCCCGGCAATCAAGATCGGACCGACTGGCACCTTCTTGACTGAGCGCTTGAAGTTTGCCTCTGGCTTTCCGGGAAGATCCTCAAGGCATCCCTCCGCAATATCGATCATGTGCTCAGAACGAAGGATCGCGGTCTTGATTTCACCTGCGCAGTATCGGATAGGTCTTCCCATTTGCGTAGTAACTTCCCTGGCCAGCACATCGATTCGAGACGAAATGATTTCTAATGCGCGGCGAACGATTTGTTTCTTGTTATCAAGGGAGAGGGTTCGGTAGGATTTGAATGCTTCCTTCGAGGCGGCCGCAATCTTGGATGCTTCGGCGAGGGAGGTGCCTGCGTGTTCAAAGATCACCTCATGGGTGGCAGGGTTGACGGTGCGGACTTGATTGGACATGTTGATAGTATTGCAGTTCAATTAGTGTTATGAAGAAGGGAAACGGAGATGTTAGTTGACGGAGTTTCGTGAGTGGCAAGAGGGGCAGGCCCGGTTTTATGACCTGTAGCATGCTTATCGCGGTCTTTCCCCGCGGTCCCGCTCTTATCAGCTTCTACGTATCTTCCAGAGTTGGAGTTTAATTGCATTCTGATACGAGCTAAGTACTCCATGCAGTGGTCTAGTGTACAAATGAAACAGGAAAATGAAACCAACTGGGTTAATTTGATTTCAACAAATGGGAATTACCATAAACTTAGTGGTTACAGATTGCCCCATTCCACATCGACGCCCCGCTACTATTACATAGTCCTTGAAGCCACTGTTTCGTGAAGAACCTATTCCGTGGGAATTTTTTTTATAAATACTTTACCCTGTTCTCTGGAATTTTAGAGAATCTTTTCCTTTTTTTCAAGATTTAGATCATATCAAAAGCTCTACCTGGGTGATACGGTAAAGGTACCAATTTGGTGAGCGCGCTTAGCCCCACCACGCGGACCGCGGCCTAACAGTTCGTAGCTATGACCTATCCAAGGTGGCTGGCTATCTATAACCTTAATTGATCTTGAACATAGCATTGAACTATTTTTGTCATCTTCACACTCCATCTTTCCAAACTGTGATGATATATTGCATTAAAAATGCCGGTTCGCAGAGATTGCTACGAAGCTTTAAATTGCGAAAGGACATGAGAGACGACTTATATCAGCTATGAAGAAACGCCATTGACGAGCCCTTCGTGCGCATCAGCTGGAGGAAGCAGAATCCAGTCTCGTACACCACCCTTCCAATCCGCAATACGACCCTCGCGGACTCTTACAGTCACCACCCGTACATCACTATCAATTGACATACTAGGACGGCGGGCGTTCACGTCCCGTTGCTCTTGTTGCTGCTGACCAAAGAGATTGATCTCTTCTTCTTCAAATGTGTTGTTTTCTAGATGACGCTCCTTGCACCAGGACTCCTCGTCAGATCCAAGCTCCAGAAAACGGGCTTCGCCAGTGATGGTAGTGGAGATGCTGGAGAGAGCACTGGTGTTGAGATTGAGGAGCAAGCTCGCCAGTGACGACCGGGTCGCGGCGGGTGGGGGAGAACCCTCACGCTCGCCATGCGGATTCAGGGTGCGAGTTGGTGGGCGATGGGACACCCAATCATGGACTAGCAAAGAAACGCGCGGGTTGTTAAGAAGATGGTTGGTTTTTCTGGACGCGGGGTTGGTGGTCATGATGATCGTTGGGTAGGCATCGAATGGAGTCGAGGGGAGATAGGTATATGACATGAGAGATATATGCGGGGTCAGATTATCGCATGTTGCGAGATGGAGCTAATTGATACCGTAAGATATTGTTCTTGCTTCTTGCATAATGGACAATAGAAGGGGAAAGTGAAGAGGAGCGTAATTCGAGGTCACATACGAAGCGGGAGTTCTTCAGACAAGAGATCACCTCCGTAGGTAAAGAAGAGGCCTCATGTTGATGAGTCGCAGTGGCCGAAGCCTCATAGGATAGGGGAGGATTGATGGAGTCAGCCATATGGACGTATTCAATGTTGAATATCTATTTTGGCACTTGCTGATAGGAACAGCCAAAGAGGATCGAGACAAATGGCGGGATCTGCCTGGGCGGTGGGCTGATATCGACGTCATCCATGATTGGTCCTAAGGCGGGGCAGATCGCTGAATAAGCCGTATTATTATTTTTGACGGGCAGAATTTTAGTTGTGATCTACTCCCACTTAAGCTGAGGATCTCTCGAATTTTCAGAGATTCTGCTCATTTAACCGGCATCATGTCGCAGCAACTGACGACAGTGCTTACAACGACTCTCACACTCATTAATCAGTTCCAAGAAACCCTTTCGCCTCCTTCATTGGCACAGTCGACCCAGCCGCCTTCCAAAGATGGAAAAGCCCTGCCCCTCCTTACAGCTTCTTCGAGCGCCTTGAAGGCCCAAGTTACCAAACTGTCCCTTCTCGCTATCAGCACTCCGTTTACCCATTCCGCTATCGTCAATGTGCTGCGTGCCTGCAATGACTCCGTGCTCCCCTCGCTGTTGACGGCGACCCTTCTCGTGAACCCCGCCGAATACACGACCGCATTTCACACTGAGGTTTTGGTGCTGAGCAAAGGAATTTTAACCGAATTTGCTACCTTGGTCAAATGCGTCAAGGCGATCTCCGAAAACAAAGATCAGACCAAGAAACAGAACCCCGGTAAAAAGGAGGCTGAGCTACCGAAAACTGAAAAGGATTCTATCACAAGTGCAACCGGTCGTGTATGGGATGCATGCGATGCCCTTACTCACATTGCGACCAATGGAGTTGTGGGATTCATCACTCATCGTGTCGAGCAGTGGAGGGATTTGGTACAAGACGCTGTGGACGAACTTGAAAACTGGGACCCGGAGGAGGACGACGACGACTTCTTTGATGATATCCTAGGGGATGATGCGGGCGAAAAGAGTGACGGCGCGGAATCGGATAAAGATTCCGACAAAGACACTGAGGCTCTAGCAGAACACAAAAAATCATCTCTTCGATTCCTGAAGCCCATCCTCCAGGTCTACCCCGCTATTATCAAGAATCGATTTAAGACTATCCAGGATGAGGCCTTCACTGCCTCGGGTGATGTCGCCCGTTTGGAAAAGCTGCTTTTGCACTTGAAAAGCATTCCTGATCAGGTAGATGAGGCTGCCGGGGCATTATATGAAGACGACATTGACTTATCTGTGAAATTCTTATTGAAGACTCAAAAGAAAGCTTCTCAGGCGGTCGAGTCAGCCAAACTCCCTCTAGACTCCAACGATGCCAAGTCAGATGGAACGACGGGAGATAAGTTCTCCGTGTGGTCAAGCACTTGGTCCAAGGTCATGGATGAAGTCGCCAAGTCAATTCGTCCCGGCTCTACAGAGTCAGAACAATAGATCTATATACATCTCAAATAACGAATCAATGCTGTCTTGTTCGAAATAGATAATTACGAAACTTGAAGCTCTAATACAGACCCGAAAGATGAAATGTGTAGATTTATCTAGAGCAGGGCCGTTTCAAGTTATACATATTCAGAGTTTCGCCGGCGATCCGTCCCTCTTCGCATCGCCTCCGGCTTTTTTAGCTCTGCGTAGCGGCGCAGGGACATGATCGACCCAATCTGAATCGATAGTCTTCTTCTGGATGGCATTTTTCTTACTCCAAGCCGCTCTGAAACTCTCCTCTTCATCGCGCCATCGCCGCAGCTCTGGTCCAACCCAACAAACAGCCGCATCGGCGCACTCATTCACAGCCTCCTGGGCAAGCAAGTGGCCGAAGTTCTCAAGGAAGACTTCTTGCACACGACCTGCTGCGGCACCACCACTCCCACCGAGCCCAACGCCTGTATTAGAAAGCTTTTCGGCGCGCATATGAGGCAAGCACATATCCGATTTTCCAGCAAATATATAAAGTACGCTCGGTCTTAAATACGGTAGCTGCGCAAAAATCCGCGCAGGCTCCGGTCTGTAGAAAGGGTGAGAGTCAGGATGGTTTGCGTCGAGGTCTGGATGTGTCACGCGGTTGACGGGCTTGTCACTGCCCGGAACATGATTGTAATTTGGTCGAGAAAAAGTGAATACTTCTTGATGCAGGGTAGTGCGCAGAGTTACTGGTGGGTTGTTTGGGTCGATTTTGGCTTTGCTATCCAGAGGGTGGGTGGCAGTGGGGAGGTCGCGTAGACCGTATTTTACCCATCTATCAAGTACACGGGGATCCCAGGCTTGATAGAAAGGGCTGCGGTTGAATCCTTCCGCGGCTTCTTTACGCGAGGGCCATATTTCCTTGCGATAAGTAGAAAGCTGAGTGGTTTTTGCGATGACACGCTTGTTCTCCTCGCGACTGAAGCCATCAAGCTGTGTGGAATGGGGTTGCACTACAGGATCCAGGAGAACCAGTGTGTGTAACAGACGGGGGTGTATCAAGCTTAGTTGTGTACTATAGAGCTAGATGTAAGTAATTGACCAACGACTGGTCACAGAAATGCTGTACTTACAGATGCGCGCCGCCAAAACTGTGCCCAATGCCGATGATGGGCCGTGGCATTTCAGCAGCTTTGACATTGACTAAATGAAGCAGATCACGGGGGTGATCAAACCAGCTCGCTATAATGGTTTTAGTATCACTATCACGTCTGATTGGGGGAGCATTCCATACGATCGTTTCCAAGCGCGCTTTCGTTGATCACGCCGCTTTCTCCTTGATGGGCTACGTCGGCCATCCAAATGCTGCGTATACGGAACCCAGCATCCTTAGCACGCGCATGGATTTCTTCCCAAAGTGGTTCATATAATTCCTATAGTCCATGTTAATATGATGCATAGCAATCCGTCAGAGAATTGAAATCAATCTAGCATGACGTTCAGGCGCCGACTCGGAGCCGTGTATAACGGTCGGCAGTATGCTAAGAGCTAAGGCTTAGACTTGAATCTTACCTTGGGAAAACCATTGGCATGAGCTGCAAGGATAGTTACATCTCCTGGCTGTGGTTGTGGATTATCAAGCGGAATATACTGCTTTACCGCTAGGTTTAAGGATTGGACCCGATCGTCCGCTATAGCCCCGGGATATTCGCGGACGTGCTGGCAAGGCACTACATGCTCGACTATGCGAAATGGAGAGGATGACATGGTAGATATGGTGGAAGTGAAAGGATGAATGTAAAAGAAATATCTATAGTATGTGATTTTCCAAGGTTGTTCCCCGCGGGGAGTATTGGTTGTTCATTGAACCGAGGCTCCTTCAGCACCGAGTGGCATTGCGACTCAGCTGAACTGCCGAGTCCCACTCCGCCGCGGCTCCCTATGCCTAGGCACAACACGAATGACTGACAACATGGGCATCGTCGCGAGCCACGAAATTAAAATGCTTGAAATTGAAGATAAATTATTTTTTGGTATCGTTATTACCTTGAAGCCTCCTTATACATAGCCAAAGACTACCCAATGTAGAAAGGCTGTACATAGTCAAGTTCAAATTGGCGAGTATAGTACAACTTGTTAGCAAGTTCGTTATATCTCAAAACTGGGCCATCCTTCTTCAAGTTGGTAATTACCGGTAGATGACCATCCATTCGTTGATTGAAGACAGTTCTGAGATTGTTCGCTTTCTCCCTTATCGGAGGAATTGTAATAGATAGGTACAATAACTGGTTTTTGGTACAAATATACAAGATACAAAGGCTTTCTTCAGGTTTGCTCACCGCACAAGACCCTAAAACCACTTCGACTCTCGACTTTTTCTCTCTCGATCGCGGGCGATCCTTTTTTGGGCTAGGAAATAACCACATCCAGCACCAGCAAAGTACCCACCGAGATGGGCCGCGTGATCCATCTTCATGAGTCGGGACAAGGGGAAAACTTGCAGGAATCGAGCAGGAGTAACCATACTCAACACTTCGGTGCCAATCAAGCAGGCCAGAAATACCCAGCCCTGAGTCCAAATGATGTTGCGTAGCTCATGAGGAAGGATCCACATAGTAATTTTATCACTGGTGAAAAATGTCAGCGAGAAATTAAGAACAAAGGTGATAAGGTGGAAACATGAAACATACTCAAAGTGATACATGCACCATGCAGCAACAATGCCACTGGTGGCGGCACTGGCACCGAGAGAGGTTGTCCCAAGGGCTCCTATTAAAACGCTGCGGGACAGGGATAGCAGGGATCCGGCTGCTCCAGATGCGAAATAGATAGCAAGGAAATTTCCGCGACCAAGCTCATCGTGCACTATGATTTTGTCAGCTAGTTGATTTCAACACGAAAGAGTTGATGCTCCTTACCCCGAGTTCCCATTAGGCCCAGCACCATCATGTTTGTAGCGAGATGTCTCCATGTTTGATGGCTGAAGGTGCTGCCAATGATGCTAAGTGCGCTAGGGTAGAATGGAACGATGACAAAGAATCGGTTGAGAAGGCGCCACGAGGGTGGAATATACTTCCACATAATAGTGACTGCCACATTAGCGCCAATAATAGCTCCAACTGTCGCTGCTGCGGGGGGAACAGTGGGCCAAAGACGGTCCTGTCTGGAAGGGGCCTCGTAGTTCTGCGCAAATACGTAACAGAGACCAAAGACACCGAGAGTGAGCAGTATGGAGGGTAACAAGCGCTGGGTCTGGATTCGAGAGGACAATTAGTTTTGAAAATTGAGTACGGTTAGGATTTGTGGATGTTAAAAATACCGTAGTTATATTAGCATCCTCAGGCGAATTCTGGGTGGCAGCAATATGATGTTTCTGAACCCAAGCGAGAAGCGGCCGTTCATTAGGGTCCGCCCGCGGACGCGCTGTGAAGATAAATGAGCATAACTCCCAGAACCCAATCATGAGAAGTACATACCCTCCGTTAAAGCCGACTCTTGGTATTGCTGCAACTCTGTATTTCCTTCGAACTGGCGTTGCAGTCTTTCGCGTTCCTCATGTTCACCATCTAACCACGCTTGTCGCTTGAGCTCTTGTTCCTTCAAAAGTCGCTTTTCATTCTTCTCGCGTGCTTCTTTAAGAACACTCTTGCCGTAGACGGAATTGTTTTCGCCAAGCTCGGCCTCGTACGATCCGCTCTGTGGCTTATAAAGACCCAATTGCTCAGCACGCCGCACAAGCTTCTGTTCCGCCTCTTGCTCTTCCCGGTCAATACGAGCCATGATCGCAGCATCCTCATCAACGGGGTATTTCACGCGAAGCCATTGCAATGCGGCGTCGAGTTGGGACTGAGTAACGGAGCGAGTGATCTCGACCGGGAGATCTAAATCAAGTGTACCCTCCAGCCTCCGAGCATGCAAGACTGCCAGAGTGCGATTGGCTAATCCGGTGGGAATTGATGTGGCGAAAATATCTTTGATTTCGGCATCGGACAGGGTCTTTGCGCCGGGTAGATTGCCGTTTGTCTTTCGGGGCTGCTTGCGGGCAGCGGTAGTTCGTTTTGATCTTGTCTGGAAGGGGGTAGGTGCGGAGCGTTGTAGGGAGGAGAGCAGCGGTAGGCGACTGGGCCGTGAGAGGGTGCCGAAAGAGCTAGACAAGCGTAGGGGCTTTACTTTGCTGAGCGAATCGTATGATTGTGGGCGAAGGTCGCGACTCCAAGCGCGGGAAATCACTGTTGGCAGCGCACCCGAGGACCGGAACCCCGAGCATGGGCTCTGCCATGCAATTCCAACCACATTGGCCATGGGGCAGGAGCTGGCGCACGACGCCGGAATTATCTGCGAATGCAGATTATTTGTACGGGAATATACAAATGTAGATAGAGTCGAGAGTATATCTTGGCGGTGATTCTTGGATAAACCGGTGATCGGGTTAATCCGTACCCGGCTCCAGAACAATTGTATGGACCAATTCATCTCCAACAAAGTTGATAAAGCTCTCTTTGCTATCAATGCTGCATGATTGGGCCATATGATTTCAGATTATATCAAATGGCCACCAAGTTTCAGGAATATATAGAGCGCTTCCGGATGAATATTCAAAAGTTCAAATAAATCACAAAATGCGAAGTATTTGTACAAGAACCCAGAATCATTTAGCTACTATCTAAAGTAGGCACTCAAGCCAGAGATTCAATCGGAAAATCCAATAGCGATTTTAAATTGGTATAAACGGTCGGTTACGAATCTCAGAGGTATGATTGCTTACATATACCTATCTGGGAATATTCATATATATGCATGAAAAATTAACACCTTAGATCGGGTCAGCAACGTTTCATTGAGACATTTCCAACTTGAAGGTTACACATATAAATTCCGTAAAAAACAACAGACTAATTATATAAGGGTCTTTGCTATTGCCTTTTCACAAGATATGTTATATCAGTATGTTCAATCTTTTATATTATTCTCGTATATGATCAGCTGGATCCAAAGCGCATCAAGCTAGAAGCATTAAAAGGAGAATCACGGGCATATGAATTGATACCACGGCCATCTTGCTCAATGATCGTGTTCATATGACATCGCTCGATGGTATTTGAATTCGTGTTGACAAGTATTCGTTACCAATGATGTACCCTGACGCCCTGGAGAACTGAGGGGTTCATTCAATCGTGAAGTGTCAACTTGTCAGAATTTCTCTGCTTAAAATGACGTATTTGTATGTCTCCCCTGCACGAATTATCAACAGCTGAGCAACCAATATACAGGATAGGCTATATAGTAGGTCATCAGGATGCTAGGTCTGTTGTATATCACAGGGAGTTGGTTGTATAGATCTCTCTCTGGTTTCTGAGAAGTGATGTGAAAGCCTTGTTATCAGATTGAGGCTTGTATGAAGTATGCTTTGCTTTATTATAATATTTGTGAGATGTCACAGGCCCATCTTGCGCCGAGGCCAAGCCAATGAATCTGCCCAACGAGGATTAGCTGGCTGCAGGTTGTGCAGGAGTTCAGAAACCAAGGCTCGACCCGAGCCCTCAGCCCACCACCACTGGCCATTTAACTCCCCAAGGAGTACACCAAAGTGCATGAGAATCAGGAGAGCTAAGGGCTGACGACGCCGGACATTGTCCACGAACTCTTTGTCCATCGCAGCCACCCAGGCGAGAACGCTGCCGGGACTTCCAGAATGGGTGTACATTGTGAAGCAGTGGAGAAGATGGGAAATCACATCTTGGTTGATACGATGTTGCTCTGTATCAATGCTGGCTAGTGTCTCATCATTCAGTGTGGCCAGTCGATCCAAGGCCACTTGGGTTTCATCATCTATACTTAGGCCGTCGCTTCTGAGGTCCTTTTCGCTCGGATACATTTTGAGTTTGATCCAGGACTGGCCAACACTAATGATGTTCTTAACTCCCTGTAGAAGCTCAAAAATAACGACGATGTTTTCGGTCATATTCGAGTTCTCCCCACGCACAGCTGTTACCCGCGGCAAAGCAATACCGAACACGGTTGTGATAATAGATTGCGCCAGCACAGCATCACAATTCTGTTCAGTCAGATTATCGATAGATGCTCGGAATGGGGCAAACGTGAGGTTATGATGCTGTAGAGCCGTATCCATATACACGAAAGACGCTGGCGGATCTAGTGTCGCGGCAATATGCAATGATGCCAGCGCTAGGATACCGTTCATGAGAAAATCAAACTGTAGGGCAAGTTGCGGGACCTGAATCTGCCATACATCCATTTCAGGTTCGCTGGTACTGACACTTCGGCACGTGCTTGTCGCGAATCGATGCATCAATTCCACATCCCGCACTCCCGATATGGCGGCGGGGCCGGTTGCCGGGCTGCCTGGAGCTAGAGATCGCGGAGTGGCAGGGCCCCTTTCTCTCGGCGGTACCGGCAATGTCACAGTCGGCCGGCCATGGCCTGGTGGATCTCTTGGTGGAGCTTTCACAAAGGAACATTCAAGTTCACGGGAAATGCAATTTGAGCAAGGGGGACCCGATTCATCGCACTGCGGCCGTTAGGATTGCCGATTGCGAGTAGCGAGGGATACGCCCACTAACCTTCACGCGACGCCTTTTACATTGGTCGCATCCATTCCGGCTTTTGGTATGTGTCCGACGAGGAGGCATGGTGAGGCCGGATGGCAATTGGGACCATAATCCATGGATGCGATGCTCGAAATAAGGCAAGGCTAGTCACGTGTCATACCACTCGGCACGTCGGATTTATTTCTCTTTTCCCTTTCCCGGAGCTCGATATTCATGATGAGATGAGACATCGGTGGATTCCAAGGTTTGAGGAATAAAAATTAATATCTCGAGTACCAAGCATCATAGAGGTCCCCCTGTTGTCTTGCGCTCTTAATTCTCGCCATCTTTGAAGAATCCCAGGACAAGGATGATGTTCCCAGGTATAGAATGTTGGAGTGACACCCAATGTCACGGTATATATTAGTTCGGAGGATCCGGCGGGGAGGGTTTGTTTAAATACATTAAACAACAGGGGCAGAACCCCCGGGCCCACGCAAATTGACCTACTACAGTATATCTCAAGCGGATCATCCCAAGTTTGTCACCTGCGCAGTTGTGGGTCCTAGCCCTGGAGGAGAGGCGAGAACGAAAACGAAAACGATGAGCGTAACACCTTCCAGCAGATGCAGTCAAAAATATACAGTTGACAACTGGAACCCACAATCTTGGAAGCTTATCAGTCTCCTCTGTGCATTGAAGTTTTAGAGGCAAGAGACAACATGGGGATCCGAGAAATGAACCTTGATAAGAAAACCAGCTCACTTCACTTTCCATGGTTGCCTTCCTCTTCAATACACCTGTGGACTACACTCACACCGACTCGCATACATTGCCGAAGGTTATCGAGCTGTCAAGTATTCGATTGGATTTTTATGACCTCTAATACTTCATGGGGTAGATCTGACCTCGAGTCATAGTACTTTGTCAACCAAAATGAGACTTCATCTCTCAAGGTGTGTAGGCAAATTGTCCTGACTTCGGCTCACTCTGAGAACCAATTTTTGTCATAGCATCACACCTGGAGCTCACAGATTGACAGCGTCACGTTAATAATGTCTCAAGGATACCCACCGCACTTCGCCAGACATGGAAACCTCACTTCGAGCTACGCTTCAAGAAAACGCTCGCATACCAGGGTGAGAAGCCCCGCACTTTTGTCTTCACGCCTAGGCATGAAATCAAACATTCCAAATAAATCTGCCAAACCAGTGACCAATCGAGCCACTGCATTCGATCTGTCCCGGTTTGAACGGCTTCATTTGAATAATGCAGGGACGACCACTCAATCAGTGATGGATCAGGAAGTCTCATCGGATCGTCCTCAGTTTGCAAGACCTGACTCGAACGTTGCAGTCACGAATCCTCGCCGGGGGATCGATCGGATTACAGCATCTAACTTATCTCGATTTGCGTTAAACTCGCCCTCCAGGACCTATCTCCCCTTACCAGATGATCTTGTAACAGAATTAAATCGCAAAAATGCCGCCATCAGAAATTCCTACGACCTAAGGACAATTGCCCGTGATATTTTGATAGCAGCAGACAAGCACCCAACTTGCGCAGGGCTCAATAGCCATTTGATACCCCTCCGCGACAACATTGATGCCGTCAAATATTCATCTGACTTATCAACTATTCGATGGGACATCATTGATCCTGAAATTCTGGTGTCAATTGAGCCAAGCGCTCAGCGGCCAGTCACACCTCCAAGAACGCCTGTATCAAAGGGCATATGCCATTCTCCAGCTCTCGATTATGAACCCGAGCCACAAGTGGTATTTCAATCGCCGCCAAGTCTTGCTCTTGAAAGAAACGCAAGTAACGCAGACATTGAGCAAGTTGATGATGATATGCCCGAGCCAGTGGTGATTCAAATCCCACCAACATCCACACGTGGACCAATAAAGAGTACAAGAAGCACAAGTGTTGACGTGGTCATTTCTCCTCGTCAGGAATTTCAATGCGAATGGGCGAATTGCCACCATGTCCTTTCTGACATTTGGAGCTTTCGACTTCATGTGGCGAAGCATCATGTTTTGGTGAACTACACATGTGGATGGGCCAACTGTGAATGTGACCTATGTTTGTCTGGCTTGGATTTGTGGGATCATGTGGAGAAAGCTCATATTGAATTACCTGAATAGATTCATTCCACGTATGCTGGATCTTTGGGGGCCATTTCCTGTGCAATGTACCATGACTGGTACGTTGACAAGCTATGTGTGAACAGAAAGTCTTATTGACTTGACTTGCCTGAGGAGTTTCGTTTCAGTTTCATGTACTCTTTTTTAGGCGAAGAAAAATGTATCCTTCATGTAGGAAAGGCGAGATGATTATTAGATGACATCTAATCGTTTAAATCTATGGCTTGTGAGCATTAAGTCAATATTTTTGATAGGCATTATAAATCAGATTCTATGAACAGTCAAGGGTATTGAACATGATGCGATGCAAAAGGTCATTAGTGTATCTATGCAAATTTGAAGCGCGGTATGTGTAGCCACAGCTAGGGCAATGGCGGCGCAGGAATGGGTTCAAAGCCTTTCTGACCAGGCAAGCGGTTTTCCACAATTACCTGTAAGCCCGGGCGACCACAAAATCCATCGTGACCTGCAATGCGGTGGATGACCTGGAAAGACCCACCGCCATTCTGACGGTCATCAGCGATCCATACGGTCTCAGGCACGCTTTGCCCAGGGACTTCTGTACGTCGAGGATTGTCCCATGGCATGCCGACAAGATGATTGCCAATATTGTGGATTGTGGAATAGAGTTTTTCAAAGCGTTTCGTGATTCCCAGCCAGAACAATGTACGACTGTCATACGCCACTCGGATAAAAGGATTCATGTAAATTCCTGTATCAACAATATCATCCACTTTGATCGGATGATCTTGAATGTCGGCGTGAATGAGGCAACATTCAGACGAGTCCCAGAATAAATCAGAGGCTGACCGGAATCGAGCAGGTGAGAAGCTTTCGGGTAGTGGACTTTGGAAATATTTGGCATCAAATGCGACCATACCTCCCCAACAGCTGCGGACGCGGACTGCATCCTTGCCTGCCTGAACATCTCTGCGACTTTCGCCACCGCCTGCAGTAGTGAACCAAGGGTAGAAGGGCAGACCCATGCTGTATCCTTGAAGGTCTCGAGTTGCATATGTATCGTAGAATTTGAATGGGTTGTCAAAGTCGACAGCGCACGCAGCGCGGTATTTGGCACGACCGTCTGTATCAACATTTGTAGAGAAGAGTAATTGGAGAGCGTCGATGGGATCGAACATAATATCGTTCAAGTACAACAGCTTGTCATAGCGGACATCGGGGTCGGCTTCAAGAGGTTCCAGCGCTTTGTTGCGCACCTGAGCTAAGTATTCGATACGCTTGACCCGATTGTCGCCCCCTGGAACGATAACTGTCGATAGACTTTGAGGATCCAAGTGTTCTTCGAAAATAATGGACTTGCGACAAGTGAGCTGCTTTTCGAATCCGCGAAGAGCGCTTACTCCTTCGGCGCCACTGTCATTTTCGTAAATGCTCACGAAGACGTTGTCGTCACCTAACATATCGATCAATTGTAAAAGTTGTGTAGCCCATCCTCCTCCCGCGAGTTCGCCGCTGCGATCGTATAAACTGGCGGCGATAAACACCTTTTCGTTTCGAGGATTCCCACGGCCAGCCTTGTTCGTTCTCTGAGCCAGTGATCGCAAAGTGGTATAATGAGGAGGTGGGCGAGAATAGGAAGGATTAAATATCGCGGTGAGGATTAGGAGAGCTAGAATGATGCCCCAAAAAACGTGGATGTAATAAAAAAATCGGCGGCGGAGGTAGAATCGCGGTAAGCATGGCGGGCGCAAGTGGGTTGCGACCACGCGCCGTGAGCGTGGCTGTCGGCGAGGTGGGCCAGCGAAAACTGTAGGAAATAACTGCTGTAGCCAGGTGGTTCTGCGGCGTCCGAGCCGAGAGACTCGCGGCGCCTGGGCCTCAAAATCCCCGTCGTCTAGGTTGTAAGTGCCTTCGGAGTAGGAAGAGGAGCGCGACACAAGCTCATACCCGTCTGGATAAACGGAACGAGGAGACATTACGGGTCTTGAGGTGCCCCCGATCAGCCCATTGTTTGAGCGATTTTTCTCTCTTTTTTTTTCAAATGGCTGAGTGATCTCTGGTAGTCATTATGCGTAATGATTCTGTGAAACCCCCTAATGAGTGGCGGAGTAATTGAAGGTTGGGGTTATAAAGTTTGCCGCCTGCAAATTCGGGAACCAAGCTTCGGCTTACATCATTTATACCCACGATGGCGATCTACAGCCTCAGCTGCCAGTAATGGCTAAACCCCCTTTAACTCAGCCGCGTCCAGGATTTTGGATCTTCATATTCGTTGGGGCAAAGGGATTAGGAGTGGTGAAGCTCAAAAAATTGGGTTCGGAATTTGAATATCTCAATTTCTTTGGAGGTATTTAGATATTTGCCTAAGTGTTTTGGTATTCTTTTTTTCTATGGAGCCTCCTCCTTACTACAGCTCTCTAGAGTCAATCTCTTAAACTTAATGGGGGAGAGGGAAAGAACACAAATAACAACCAAACACAACAACTTGTCGGAGCCCTCGCTTAAGGCTACACGTCACTTTGTTTGCCCTTTAGGAAGCGGATGGCAGAGTAAGGCAGGGCGCACAGAACCTGCCAGACCATCCACATAAAGTCCCCTGTGGGTCCCTTGGCGTATTTCAAGGGTCTCGGTGATATCTCCGCAGCGGTAAGAATAGTGTTGACCAATGGGGCGGGATAATTTTCCCGAAGATATTCAACCACAAGATCATGTCCATTTGTGATTCCACCTAGTTTGAATGTCATTTGTTAGATCGTTTCAAAATTGTTATGAAATTGAAATGTCAATCTGCACATGTGGTCATATGTGGTGGAGATCGTATCAGGTGGAGAAATCAGGCAACAACAAGAAATGGGGGCTAAAAAAAACTCATGCGTACCGCACATCCACAAATTGCCATCCCTCGTAACGCGGACTGAATCGTCCCAAATCTTCACGTCTGGAAAACTTTTCTTCAATCCTGGAATTAAAAATCGGGGTGCTGTCACTATTTTGTCTGTTGCTATACCTGCATGGGCAATAACCAATGCACCAGTACAGATACTTAATATCGTCACATTAGCTGCATTATGTTGACGTAAAAAGTCAAGGTATTCTTTGGCTGGTGGCATGCGGTTAGGCGAGGGTCCAGGAACATAAATCACGTCCAGTTTCCCAGGGGCCACCTCTAGGTCTGTCGGGACGTGCGTGATCGGAATGGATGTCTGCGATGTAAGATCTAGGCGTGCTGTTGGGCCACCTAGGGAGATGTAGGAAATCTTGCAGGGTTTTCCAAGATCGATGAGAGGTTTCGGAAGACCAAGCTCTGTGAGATACGCTGGAGATGTCATGTATAGGAGATCAATAGCAGATAGGTCGAGAAGCTGAACAGTATCGACCAGAAGAACACCAATATGCACTTGCTTTGAAGTCATTTTGTGCGGTTGAAATGCGGTATATGCTTAGCTAGAGACGCAAACTTGAATGTGTCGAAACTTGATTGTCGTAGAACACAGCAATGAAGCAAGTACCAAACTGGTTATTGTACTTCAAATTTGAAACCGGTTTTCTTATCCGATCTAGAGAATCAAAGTGAGTCTACTGCTTTTATGTTAACCAAGACGAAGAAACTGCTGTGGCGTTATGCTGAATATCATGATCATCAAGAGCTTCAAGTTTGGAAGGTTCCAGTCAGAAAAGACACGCGGTCAGCGAATAATAAGCAGTGTTAATCTGCGCAATCTAACGCAGCTGACCTGAATATTTGGCCAAGTGTGATACAGCTCTATACTTACGTAGGTTTCGCATTGCCAGTTTATGAATACAAGTGCCTGTATCTTGATGAATGTCACACAATCACCGCATGGTCGAGATAGTTTAACTAGTTGATACATAGAACTAGCGGTCAAGAGATTTGCTACCCAAAAAGCGAAGTGATCCCAGTATCTGGTTTGTTATTTATGGCAAAGTCATTCCGACATGAATGTCATTGGTGAGTTATTGTCCTTCAAGTAAAAACCAGTTCCTTGACGGCTCTATCCGTTGGGTGGGATCTTTTTGTGTGTTCACGGAGCTTGGACCTTTATCAAAAACTAGACCAGGAACTCAGTCTCGTGTCGACTGTTGTAGACGTTAGTCCCAAATAGTAAGTCTGACAATGACTATAAAAGGAAGGCTAGTGACAAGTACATCCCCGGGATTATTGGAGAATTTTGTATTCGAGGGGACACAGACCCAAAAAAGTCGAAGCTAGCAGCAGGATTTATCCCAGTCCGATTCGAGTGTTAGATGTCATATCCAACAAATCTAACAAGTTTAGTCACTTTGACAACCTGACCGCTGCACCTATACTAAAGAATGCCCCACTTAAATCTATTGCGGCTCTTTTATAGTAAGGAAATGCCCGTTATTACTCGGAGTGAAGGACCGAAAAGTATGCATGTACACGTGCATGAGCGTAACAGGCGTGATATGTGTCGTAGATCCACTGGCACTAGAAGACGACTTCAAAATCTCAGTAATGACGCATAGCCTCAAGAATACAGTTTGTTTTCGATGAAAAAAAAAAAAAAGAAAGAAATCAAATGTATTGTATGATCTCATTCTATTCGAGGCTCTTCGCCATCAATTTCATTATGAGAGCCGCGGAAGCGGATCACGATTCCGGGACTGAACAGAAAAAATTGCATGTGTTACTTTCTGTTACTTTCAAACAAACAACAGTAGAAGTTTTCACGAATGTGGTTGAACGAAAATTAAAGATGAGTAAGTTTTAGTAAAAAAGGTCAGGAGTTATGAGAAGTATTGGGGATCTGACGAGGTGGGTCCACGGGTCTAAAGTCTGGAGACGGCGATATGAAAGTCGAAGACAATCTAGTAAGATTTCGCTCGAAATATGTAGTTGTTCTGGGCTAGATTGAGCATCTTCAAGGTTTCAAATATCTTACTGCAGGGGGAAGTACGATGTGCGCATCCATACGAAGCCCGTGCAACAAACTGTCACCGCCAGTCATTCCGTCCATTTGCTGTACTCGTTTGTAATCTGACTAGAGCTTAGGGGTACTGCACATAAAGCAAGTCAAGGACAGCATGTAATTCTGAGTTTTAATTAATGATCAATTCATTGGACATCGCAACTAGTACATAACGTAATAAAATCTGTAGACAAATTCGAAACTCCTGCTCTGTCTCTTTAGCAACTTTTCGCTCCCAGAGACCTATGCGGCTATTGGGATCGAATTTTTTTACGATCACTCCTAATTATTCGCTGTAATTATCATAATCACGAGTTATTAGCGCTGAAATGGGCATGGGGACAAATAGTCGATTATACCTCATGCCTACATGAGGAAAATCCTGGTAGCCTCGATGATCTGCGGATCGCCATGCACTATTGAAAAGTGGCTAATTCTTAGCTGCATATATCACCTATGATCGCCTTTTCTTTTGCGTAAGTCTTGGATCTGGGTACTATTTACACAAATAATGGGTCACCACGGAAGTACTCCGCACGAATGGCGGTGAAAATATGATACCATGTTTCAATGATCTGCAAGCCGGGCTATCCCATCCGATCCAGCTGCTCTTGGGTTCACAATCTCCCCTTCACAGGGACTGCAACACGCCCAATTAGGATACTCGCTAATACCAGGGCTAGCATGTAGGGAGTTTGCTTCAGGCCATTGTATTTACGAAGCCACAATCTCGAAGGAAGTGCGGGAAAAATTATTTAAAAAAGAAATATCAGTTCCTAAGATGTTAGCTATGAACACTCCTTCAATGTTACGATCGCATTTTTCCTCGGGGGGATCATTTGATCAATTTTACATAGAAAGTTAGCGGCATCTATTTAGTCTTTGAATTTTAGCTTCGAGTCCATCTCTGTAAGGTAGGAAACTGCGATCATCCACGAGGGATCGACTTGCCGAAACGAATTACGGAGAGCTGCATACAGCTTCGCGCCAAGGGAAAAGAGTTGGTATATTAAATATTAGTGAATATACACAGGATCACGAATCACGATTTCCTTGACGTAGTACTGAACCGTACAAACCTCAAGTAGTCCCGAGGTTTATGGTGGAGCCGAGTCGAGGCCGAATGAACCTACTTATTTACAGGCCCACAGCTCCACACCCCTCCACTGGTTCGTCGTTCATCGTTCATCCATGTACTTAATTGGAAAGAGAAAGCATACAACACATCTGAGATCTTGAGAAAGTGGAGAAGTACCCCTCTTTTACAAAGCAAAATGTGACTGATTGCTATTCTGAATGCCATTTTGAAGTCTCGATTTGGCACTTTCAGCTCCATAATATCAAATTCAGGCAGAGTGGGGGGTTAGTCCATTTTTTGGCGTCAACTTTCTGCAATATTATCACATCCCTAGTCCGAAGACTAAATCGATCACTCCCGCGATGAGACAAGAGGAAGGGATTGAATCCCATAAAAATACCGGCACAGCGAGCGCAAGGGACTAGGCTAACTCGCGTCGGCCCTCCCGTCGGCCCCTCGTTCGGAATACGGCGAGCCCGACGAGGATGAGAAATCCAAATGATCAAATAGACCAATGGAAATAAGAAAATGCCAGAGAACTTCTGTGTGGAATCACCCATGTCATATCTTGATTCAAGTCAAGTTTACCATGATTTTCGCGACCCAGGTCCTCGGGAAGCGCCAATGCATATGTGGTGGGTACTGCTGCACTAGGGCGACGCAAACCTTGATTCAGTCATCCTTCCAAAGTGAAGACTAGGCGCTAATCTATCGATTTCACTACAAATGCCTTGCTCACATGATGAAAATCATGGGAAAGGTCTTGGGTCATAGGTTGGTAACGGTGGATCGATTCCGAAGACGGAAAGACGGGAAGAACAGTAGTGAATTGTATTCAGATAGAGTAAATGATTTGAGATTCATATTTCAGATAAAAGGCACTTAATTATTCCCTTGCTCCCCCACCTTCCTTGACTTCTTCCTTCCCCTCGCCTAGTACATACCGTGGTAAGTCCCAGGTCACGCGCCTCGCTTTCCAATCGCTCTTGAACCGAGCATCTCATAACCTGTAGCTAACCCTCTCCCGAATTTAGAACAAGGAAACATGATGGCAAACGCATCCCATGTCGAGGTCTACCAGAGCCTTAGCTCCACATGGAGCTTCTCTGACGAAAATCAAAAGCTCTGGTGGCACAGTACCGCACCCATGTTTGCACACATGCTCCAATCAGCAAATTACGATTTAAGCAGCCAGCAACATCATCTGGAGACTTATAAGAACGCAATCATACCCATGCTTGGTGCATACCCAATTAATGATCGCCCTCGCTGGATGAGCATACTCACGCGATATGGAAACCCATTCGAGCTCTGTCTCAACTGCTCAAACGACGTTGTCAGCTACACATATGAGCCGATCTCCATAACCACGGGAACATCGGCAGATCCGTTTAACACAAATGCAATTTGGGAAGCTCTGCACTACTTGAGCGATGTTCAAAAGGATATCAACCTTGAATGGTTCCGCCATTTCAAAGAAGCACTCACACTTAACTCCGAGGAATCGGCCTCTCTGTTAGAGAGCAACATTGTTGGAGACCAAATAAAGACACAGAACAAACTAGCCATGGAGCTTAAGGACGATCATTTCGTCGTCAAGACCTTCATGTACCCTGCGTTAAAATCGCTTGCTACGAATAAATCAATCCACGACCTTATATTTGAAGCAAGCCATGACTTGGCCCGCTCATATCCTAGCATTTCGACACCCCTGAAGGTCTTAGAAGAATATTTGAAATCTCGAGCTCCCAACAGTACGGTCATGCCTCGCCTACTATCTTGTGACTTAGTCGAGCCATCACAGTCCCGGATCAAAATTTACCTCATGGAGCACATGGTCACCCTCACAACTTTGGAAGATTTGTGGACCCTTGGAGGCCGAAGAAACGACCAATCTACTCTAGAAGGACTGGAGGCTTTGAGGAAATTATGGGATCATATCAATTTACCATCCAAGTTTTGCTCTTACCCGGCTGGATATCTGTCTATGGATGATCCTGTTAATGAACAGCTGCCCTTGATGGCTGACTTTACACTTCATCCAAATGAGGCTGTTCCCGAGCCTAGGATCTATTTCCAGACGTTTGGCAGACGAGACGCGAAGCTGACCAAAGGTTTGATCTCATTCTTTGAGCGGCAAGGATGGAATAAGATTGCGCAGTCTTATGAAAATGACCTGCGCTCCTGGTAGTAAGTCAAATTTGCGGAACTTGTGTTCCCTTTCCAAACCTTTCCTCTCTTTCAACCCCTGCTGTTTGACTGTTTAAAGTTTGAACCTCACTAATATTATTCGCAGTCCATGGGCAAACCACAGACATTTGAATAAAATCCATACGCTAGTCTCTTTCTCTTACAAAGACAATACGCCCGAAGTAAGCGTATATCTGCAATCATTTGAGACTGGTGAATGGGAGATTTGTAAGTATTTCTATCATCTCGATAGTGTGGAAGGCAAAAGCTAACAAAAATCACAGCCAAGTTTGTCGGAGCCTCTAATCTCTAGTTAAAGTTAGGTAATTGGGAGTTGGAGTTCTTTAGGTTATGCACTACATTCCTTTCGAGAGAGATTCCATAAGTCTACTATACTATGTATATTCTGGGATTGGTTCAGGACAATAAATTTCTATATTCATCTCTGAGTATCTCTGGTCGAAGACGGAATCTCTGAGATGTATTACCTCGTGATTGCCTAAGTGTTATATGGCGACCACAAGGATATTCCTCTGTATGGTCAGGTCAAGCTAATTTTGAGTTCCAAAGGCGTATGTAGGTCGAGTGAATATTTTCCAAATAATTTCATTGGCTATCTTTTCTAGCTTTTGTTCGGTCGTTTCAATTGATTAGAGTACTGCAATGCATTCAATTTCCACATCCGTGTTGAGTGGTAGTGTTTTAACCGCAACGCATCTATAATCAAGTGGTTGTTAGTACCGTCGCCATAGTCCAATCAAGGAGAGAAGATAATTGAAGATATGCCAGCTCCCTCGCTGGCACACCGCATATTAACGCAAGGGATAGACGATCAAAGCTGACTCACGTTCGGCATGGCTTCACATCGCCCCAATATTGCATGTATACAGAGTTCATTTCGGCAAAGTCGTCCATATTGGACAAGAATACGTTGACCTTGACTACCTTGGTAATATCGGTGCCTGCCTCTTCAAGGATGTGTGTGAGGTTCTTAATGCATTGGTGCTAAAGCAAGGTATTTTCTGCGTTAGCCGTTGCAGGTCCCTCAGAGCTTATTATGCCTCGGTGCATGAGATAGATCAACTCACAGTGTGGGCCTTGACATCTCCATCAATGAGCTTTCCAGTAGTGGGGTCCATTGGGACAGCGCCTGAGCAGTATACAACGCCATTGGCGATAATGGCCTGGGAGTAGATACCCGGGAGGGGCTTGGGAGCCTTATCAGTCAAAACGGCGGTCTTGGTAGACATTTTGGTGAGTCTTGAGTATTTAGTATTGTATGTAGAAATATCAAGTAATGATTATTCGGCCAGATTCAACCACCGGAGAGCGAACCAGGTAAATAAATGAAAGGTTCATCCCACGTTCGGAGGAACACCGAGATTGCAAATGCCCCTCATATCTCATTATGGAGCTTTGAAGTTCCAAGGTTGCTAATGCTAGGTTTTGCAACTATCGAGGGGATCCAGCCACCCCCGCATGGCGCATCCCACCTTCCACGTGGGGGCATGCGCGGGAGGGGTTTCGTGATCGTGATTTACGAGGGAATAGTATATTACTATAGCAAGTGCTCGCACGAATTCGCATTTGTGACTCTTGTCTCTTTCACCCCGCATCCTCCCCCTGCCGCATATCGCCATGTCTAACGTTCCCGGTGTAACACAACCTCCTTACCCGCTTCATGAGTCCGTTCGGGACCTGTTGCACCCCGAGTATGCTGCCTTCTACAACGAATATGTCAAGAATAACCAGCAAGTACATTTGCAGCCCGTAGCTGCATCTCGCACTGGCGGGGTCTTGATTCCTGGCGCTGGGCCAATGCTAGAGGTTGGCAAGACTCAGGATATCACTATTCAGCGACGGGAGACCGAAGGTCCCCCGATTGCCATCCGAGCCTTCACACCCGAGGGAGATGCACCAGCTGGCGGATGGCCAGTAATGCTTTACTTCCACGGTGGTGGTTGGGTTCTGGGCAACATTGACACTGAAAATGTGGTGTGCTCGAACCTCTGCGTTCGCGGCAACTGCGTGGTAGTGACTGTCGATTATCGGTGAGTTTCTTGGCGCTCGTCATTCAGTGATCTGCTATTTTGCACACAGCACACATCTCAAAGAGAACAGAAATGGCTAATAGATTTCGAAATCAGTCTTGCTCCTGAAGATCCTTTCCCTGCTGCAGTTCACGACTCCTGGGAGGCTTTGTTGTGGTTGGTGGCGGATGGCCCCGCCGCGCTGTCAATCGACATGTCCAAAATTGCAACGGGTGGATCCTCGGCCGGTGGTAACCTCGCTGCCATTATGACCCACAAGGCCCTGAACCTTTCGCCCCCTGTCAAGTTCTCGGCTCAACTGCTCTCCGTCCCTGTCACAGATAACACAGCCACCGTCGAGAACAATGACTCCTATCGTCGATACGAACACACTCCTGCTTTGCCTGCGCCGAAAATGATCTGGTATCGCAACCACTACCTGCCGAAGGAAGAGGATCGGAAAAACCCCGAGGCTAGCCCCTTGTTTTACAAAAAGAACTGGGCCCAGCTCCCTCCAGCTCTGGTAATGGTTGGCGAACTGGATGTGTTACGAAGTGAGGGCGAGCAATATGCTGAGAAGCTTCAGAAGGCTGGCGTGCCTGTAGATCTCCAGGTCATGACGGGTATGCCTCATCCATTCCTCGCAATGGATGGCGTCCTCTCTGAAGGCAAGAGATGTATTACACTGATGTGCGATGCTTTACAAAAAGCCTTCTGGAGCTCATAGAAAGAAATATTGTGTTTAATAGATTTTTAACCGTATGGAATACCAGTATGGATTTCATCCTTTGATCTCTGCATGACTCGTTGTCTAGCCTTCCTCCTCCTTTCCCTCGAAACCGAGAGCCTTGCGATTCAATCAATCCAATCCTTTAAACACCTCCTCAAACTTCAGCTCGTTCCATCGGACATTGGGCTTGAGGCCGGCGAACTTCCAGACACCGTCGATCTTCTGATAATAGTGCTCGTTGGTAGCATGCGAGTGGCCCCTCAGCTTCACTTCTTGCAAATCCACATCGGTATAGACCTGATGAGCTGCACGCAGCTGGTGATGACCGATGACTTCGGTGTCGGAGATCCTCTCCCACCAGGTCTGGCCAAGCAAGTGCTGCGTTTTGATGGTGGCATCTCCCAAAAAGCCGGGGTGGGTGACCATGGCCATATATTCATCTGCTGGCATATCATCCCATCTTTTGAGTCCAATTTTAGTGTAATCCACCTATGCATTTCACATTAGTTTCAGGTAGATGGGTCACCGAGGCGCGAAATTCCCTACCGTCAGAGTAGGAGCAATGATGCTTCGAAGACGATCCCAGTCCTAAGCGAGTCATTAGTACACAATTATCGCTATCACAGGTGAAGTACAAACCTTGGCATCATAGCTATCCGCCCAGTCGAAAACGAGCTTCGAGAGCACCAAATAGTCTGCGATAGTTTAGCGACAGCACTCAGAGAGTATATGATGGGTTCAAATTACCCTGGAAGCTGATATTAAGATCAGGCTCTGTGCTATTCTTCACAGCAGGAGACATTTTGAGTTTATTGGGCAGCGTATGGGATGAATTTGGTGATGCAAGACGCGGGGAAGTAGTCAGATGGCTATATTTGGGTGTTCTATAGCAACTACAATTCCATAGTCCACATGTCCGGATGCGTCACTAGTACCATAGATCATAAAGATCTGATAGATACAAAGGAATGCAACGGGAACCTATTGATGTGACATGCTGTGGGAGCCACCTCACGTACAAAGACCTTCCGCATGCGGCAGCCAGCCCACTAATTTTTCTCCCATTTCTGCGAAAATCGATTTTAAATCCTGAAAGGGAAAGCCTTTTCCTACTTGGATACTTCACTGGTTAATTTGCTGTACTGGGTTTAGTGGATATTATAACATGCGTTGTTGACCATTCTCACTACGAGTCCATACACAATATGACCAGGTCGAGAGTTTGGCCGCTTTCAGATAGATTCATTCTGCATCTTGATCCCTTCCCAGCAATAGCATAAAACAAAATGCGGAAATTATTAGTTTTCCAATATATTCTACCTTCTGCCGCTCTCACTAGACTTTTGATCGTTTCCTCCTCTTGAAATTCCTCTTCAACCTACATCTAGATCATCACCATGGTTGTTCCAAACCCCAACATCGCTCCTGCTGAGCTCGCAGGCAAAGTTGCCCTAGTTACTGGAGGCAGCCGCGGCATCGGCTCTGGTATTGCACTTGAGCTGGCCAAGAAGGGTGCCTCGGTAGCCATCAACTATGCCAGGGATCCTCACTCTGCCGAGAAGATGGTGAAAGAAATCGAGAGCCTCGGAAGATCCGCAGCCGCCTTCCAAGCCGACCTGACTCAAGTCAGTGCCATCGAGACTCTGTTCCAACAAGTCGTCGAACACTTCGGCCAACTGGACATCGTTGTCTCCAACTCCGGAACCGAGAAGTTCGTCTCGCTAGCCGATACCACCCTCGAAGACTTCAATGAAGTATTCGATCTGAACACTCGCGCCCAGTTCTTCGTCGCCAAGTACGCTTACCAGTACATTCAACCTGGTGGACGGGTCGTGCTCATGTCCTCTATCGCTGCGGGTGTGGGTGTTCCAGGCCACTCACTGTACGCCGGAAGTAAGAGTGCGATCGAGGGATTCACCCGTTGTTTCGCGGCTGATTTCGGTAAGAAGAGGTGCACGGTTAATGCGATTGCACCTGCTGGAGTTAAGAGTGAGATGTGGTTGAAGAACTCATGGCGCTATGCTCCTGGCTGTGACCAGAACTCTTCAATCGAGGATATTGAGCAGGCTCTCGCGAATGGTAGCCCCTTGAAGCGGTGCGGTGTCCCGGCGGACATTGGTCGCGTTGTGGCATTCCTGGCCAGCCCAGCAGGGGAATGGATCAACGGTGAGTTGCGGAATGTAACAGTATGAAACTTTCAAAATGTCGGCTAATTGTTTCAGGTCAAATCCTGCCTCTGAATGGTGGTGCAAATATTTGATCGCAAAATACTAGATTGAACTTATTGCCCGGTCGTTGAATGTTTTAGTTTGCAGTCGAGTGCGACGAAGAATTAGGTGTCTACTGGGATCAGGGCATTCATCGAGTTGCACTAAATTGCAAAAGACGTTTCCAGAATTGCGATTTAGGACTTCAAACATTATGAATCGCTATTTTTAAACTAGGATTTGTCGTTAGATCAGTTATCTGGAGAATGAAGTGTTATTTATACACCTAATTAATCCCCGAGCATGATCGTCTCAATAGTAAATCATTTGAACTCTCCAGGTTTTTCCAGGCAGTCAACAGGAACTTGAATAATATAGACCATCAAAAATATGTACATTTTATGTCATAAAGGCATTAAAGAAGATTTCTCTTCGTCTCCCCACCCTGCTTATATTCCTTTTCTTATACTATGATAGTATTTAAGCCCGCAAGATTGATTCCATGAAGCCAATCTTTAGGCGACTCTTCAATCTCGGCTATAACGGCAAGTGAGATGACGAGGGTAATGAGCATAATCTATATAGCGACACGGTATTAGGATATAGATCCGTAGAATGCGTTTAGTGAAGAAGTGTTTACTTACTAAACCAAATAATATCCCAACAAAATTTAACTCCCATCCTCCGGCATGAACCTTTCCACGAGCGATCGCATTTTGCTGCCTCCAGAATCGATATGCGCCGATGAGCGCCACGATAATAGCCACGCAGTAGCAGGTAACGGACAGCGGGATGCCGACCTGGTAGAATCTCAAGCGGTCTCCGTCCGTCGGAGATTCTTGGAGACGGAACAGCTGTGCGATCACAACCCCTTGCATGGCAATGACAACTGACGTTCGGATATAAGCGAGGAATGTTCTTTCTAGAGCTATATAAATAATATCAACTATTAGTATCATACTGGGGTCTTTCTTGAATTGGGCGATTGATGGCAGTATTCCTTACCAAAGTGGTCCCGATTACTTTTCTGCGACACGGTCAGAGTGACATGGTGTGTCCAAGACCGACAAAACCGATACCACAGCCCTGTTGTTTTGCGGACATTGCGCGAGCGCTGTGTAGTCATACGTGATATCGTTCGGCGGGTAGTAACTCGATACTCATCCCCAGATGAAGCCGAGAGGGAAGAATAATCCAGCTCGTTGTCTTCGTGGGTTTGAATTTGATGGAGCTCAAGGGCTTCGCGGTCATCCGCCCGGGAATTGTGATTGTCATTGCGCGGGGATGACGGTCGGGGCTCCCTCACGACCGCGGTGGACGGTGGTTCTGGGGTAGGTATTCTATTCAATTCAGCCATGTTTGGTAACGATGACTCCGAGCATCGAATGTCCTCATGGCAGGTTTCGTTATGGGCTGGGAAAGGTCAAAGCAGGTTTTTCGTGGAGGTCCGGGGCCTGTCTTTGCGTAAGAGGATTAATCGGCGATTTGTTCCCCGGATCGGTTGGAGCCGAACTGCCATTGCGGTGCTTGTTCCCGCCTTACACCGTAAACTTGAACACCATATAACCGCAAACGGTGCCTGGACCCCCCGGGTTCCTGGTGAAGTACAACTGGCCAAGCGGAACTATAGCGGAAGTAAGCTTTAACTTCAATCTTATAAACATTAAATATGCTTAATTCTGTTCAAAGCAGTATTATTGGCGCAGATAATAAGAGCCATCAGGAACCACTATGGCGCAATTCATGGGGATTGGAAGAAGAGACATCTGATTGGCTGATATTGAAGGGCTCTCCGAGACTATACCAAATGCAGGGACTGGCGTTTGTGTGGAGATCGAAAAGGGGTACGGATATATGCCAACGCAGTTATTATTCAGATACTAGGAGCTCTTACAAAGAAAGATCTTATAATAACTGAAACCACAGACGGTGATAGACCTACTCCGAGTCTTATAGCTATAGACCGCGACTTTTAAACGTCAAATGGTAACAAACATCTTCCAATACCTAGATACTTCATACTAATGCAAGTACTCGTATCTATGCAAGTCACAATTCATGGCCTTTAGCACGGCCCTGGGAAACCATTGGCCATTCATACTCCAGATGGTCATAATTTGCTTTTTCCATCCCGAATATACGAAAGCTTTGATAGTATCTCCTCAGTACGAAATCTTGCCATGAGATCACAACGATCCGCAACAAGGATGCGCTACTACGAAGGTGGGTTACAATGACATGTTACAAAGATGCACCTTTCAAACACTGTTTCGAAAATCTTTGAGCATGAAGGAATAAGATCTTCGAGTTCAAATTCTCATTTCCGTCTCGAGCCGTCTCTAGATAATAATTGGTAGACAATTCGGCACTAGCTAGCACTTCAAGGGCCGCCCCAATCCGTCTCGTACGTAGGAAACTCTGCCGACGTAAGTATGGGGTAGCGACCAAGGCTAAGGATTTGGCTCTGTAACTGGGGGCGTATTTTGAGTATCTCAGTGCGATCGAAAGTGAATTTTCCGTACGAATACGGATCTTCGGCAGCGGGCGAGTGCCAAGGGGGCCCCCGGGTCTAGTCGGTTATGATGGCCCACTTACATTACTCTAGAAGTTTGGCTCAGAGTGGATTAAAAGCGGTTGAATTTTCCAATATCGCGAAAAATCATGAAAAGGGTCGTTCTTGAGGTCCACAGTTGCGGATCTGCGCTGGAAAACTGCGCTCGGGGCCATAAAAACTTACAGGTCAACAACTTCCGGGACAAGCTAGTTTGGGGCTAAGGGTTATTTAGAGGGATATACGTCAGCTCCAAACTGTGAAATGTCCCATTGAGTGATTTGCTAGTCCATGTTTGGTGATCTGGCGCGCGGCTTCCCTCATTCTTTGATCTCACGAATCGGCGTGGTCTCGTGGCCCGGTAATAATTGCTGCTTATCCTCCCTCGTTATCCGCTAGAATCCGAAACTCCACAGCCATGTTCTCGTCCAGTTCCAGAATAGATCTCCCTGATCCACTTGGAGAACAAGCCTTTTTACCAAATTGAATCTTTTCTCCTACCCAATGCTATGAAGCGGAGCTTGGGTCCCGTTACTGTGGCTCCAACGGCTCCTGTTCGCGCCTCTGAATCCTAGCGCCTCGTTCATATTGGCTACTAAATCGTTTTAATTTCGCAATTATTACAGAAAGCCTCTAGCCTGTAACTATGGACGCCGTAGAAAGTGTTGACGTTGATGTCCATTGCACCCCACAGCTGAATGGGTTTTCAAATATCTCACTGCTCTCTTATCTTATTCTAGTTCGCACTTATTTCACAAATATCCTTCTTTAAAGTTTGTGCCAGTGGCCAGTATACTCACTGCCAAACTTGAATGCGGCTCTCTTGAGTCCAATCGTTTTTCACTCTCTCAATTCATAATGGCTCGCTGGCTCATCCTTGCACTGGCTATATATGGCGTGGCTGCCCAGAATGAATTCGCATTTGACGACAATGACTACGTTCAATACAAGACTGTCAGTATCGGTTCCTCAATCATATCCATCATAGGCAGTGTTGGCCCGACTTCTGGAGAAATATGTATTCTGACAGCTCCCGCAGCTTCCCAACTATCGGATAACAAAATGGGATATCACCTACCATGATCGATCTCAGGTTGCACCCGGTTACTGGTTCACTGCGCCGTACTGGATTTACGGCGGCGATAAAGAGACAAATCAGTGGAGGCCTTATCAGATTGGACCTCACATCTTTGACGAAGACGGGGTTCGTGCCTCCATCCCTTGCGTTCCTTCCTTTCTGTCCCCCTCTTTTATTCCCTGGCGCAAACCATAATTTCATTGGTGTATGCTAATTGAAGCTTTGAAGACCCTCGTGTGGGCAGGATCCGCCGAATTCGACAATGCCCCCGTATACGATTTTCGAGCCGTTGATTTGCCTGATGCGGATGGGAGCATGAAACCACACTTATCTTGGATGCGATGGCATCTACCTGAGGAAATGGACACCGACGGCGTATCTACAATATACGATCAACATTACCAGCCCACAAAGTCATGGTCTCTCCCAGCCAATGATGTAGACACCCACGACTTGACCATCAAATACTCACGCAATGCTCTGGAGATCCATATTCGACACGAAGAGCTCGATCTGGGCGATTTTGGTCGACCAGACATAAGGCAAGATATTCTAACCTGTGGATTCACCGATACAGACCTCGTCACTGGGGAGGTATTATTCGATTGGAGAAGCACCAATAAAGTCAAGCTGAACGAAAGTTACAGATCGCTACCAGAAGACGAGCACCCCAATCCAGACTATATGCATGCAAACGCCATCGACAAAAATGATGCTGGTGACTATCTACTCTCCGGTCGACACACTGGTACAATCTATCTCATCGACGGCAAAGACGGCCACATTATTTGGCATCTTGGTGGCAAGGAAAATGATTTTGAAAAAGACTTTGACTTCTTTGGACAGCACGACAGCCGATTCATCAGCGTCAACTCCACTCATATGGTGATTTCCCTCTTCAATAACGGGGCTTTCGATGAGCATTATCACCAGAAACCTTCATCCGCCATGTACATCCAACTCGATGTGGTGAACATGACTGCCACCCTTTTAAACCAGTATTTCCGACCTGATGGCGAGGTCACTGATCGCCGTGGAAACATGCAAACTCTTCCAAATGGAAACGTGCTTGCAGGCTGGTCTTGGGATGGCTATGTGTCCGAATACTCCCACGACGGAGAACTGTTGATGGAGGCCAAATTTGCATCCGATCGACACGACACCTACCGCTCATATAAATTTCCATGGACTGGTCGCCCTATGTACCCACCTACCCTTCTATCTGAAGCATACGGTGTCAACGGGTCCGAACTTTCAACTGTCTTCCATGTTAGTTGGAACGGAGCCACCGATATTGCATTCTGGCGGTTCTATGCTCGCCACAGTAACTCGGCTCCCAAACGGGAAATTGGCCTAGTGTCAAAGGAAGGATTCGAGACCAGCTTTATCGCTCGCGGATATATGGACTGGGTTTCTGTTGAAGCATTGGACAGCGAAATGAACACTATAGGAGAATCGCAAGATTCTCGAACCTCCGCCCCGGGTTACTGGGCACCCAAGGCACCGCTGCCCGAACCTAATAATCCCGAGACAGCCGTTACGACCACCCGACCCTTACAGGTGACCCATGAAATTGGAGGATCGATTGTCAGCTTCTTGACCGGACTTGTTGTCAGTGGCGCCTTTTGTGCTGTGGTGGTATACCGGAGAGCTATCTATTGTTTTGTCCTGACCTCCGTTGCAAAAGTGATCCCAGGAGACTATACACGGCTTTGGTCAGGGGACTCGGACGACTTGGAAGGTAACCATGAGTTCAAAACCCTCAATTCAACAGACTCAGACATAGACTGAGACTCTGACTCCAGGGCCCTGACCGCAACTTCTCATTTTTCCTTTGTTACTGTATAACACATCACATGCACATATGTTGCAAAGCTTGGGCGTTTTGGGTGTACAATACTTTTCATTTTGCATACTTTGCATCTATCCATTCGTTTGAATAATTCATTTTACCTTTTTCAACGACGTAAGATAAAGACTTTACTGTGTCCCTAACCCCGATAGTATTCAGAGGAACTTTAGCCCAAAAACCAAAGTGATCGTAGTTTCATCTCGTTTAAGTTATTTGATCTTCGATAATTCCGAGAGTGAACCTTGGAAGCTTGAGTGCTTATCGCCGATAAAGCCGATTCCACTTAAGGTTTAGCGTATCTGGGAAATTCTCGTGATTTCGCGATTTCGCGATCGCATTGCAACAAGTCAAAGAAGCCACCTTAGGCAGTGGCACACAATGCGGCCTTATTCCTCCAATGTGCGTGGGCTCTTCGGGCCTTCGGCCACCCATAGACAACCCATCCAACCATGCGTCCGAATCCTCGAAGCCCAATCCCTCCGATTTCAAAGCTCGTCTTCCAGCAATGGCGGTCAGTCCAAGCGTTCTACTCGCCTCAATTATACGTCCGACCGTCGCCGAAAATCAAGATCACAGCCTTCAGCTCTGAAATTAGAAGTTGGGGTGGACTCGCTTGGACAACCAGCCGAAATTGTCGTTGTGCCAGACAGGAAAAATCAAACCCTGAAGCTTCGTGATAAGTATCAAGTTGCACCGAAGGGAAATCCATCTGTCTCGATCTCTTCGATACTGGAGGATCTGGACGACGAGGCATCAGATCTGAGCATGGAAGTCGTTCATGCGAGACTAGAAGAGAACCGTCGGGCATACCAAGCAAACCAGAAATTGGCCATCTCAAATTGGGAGGAACTCCGATCGACTTTGGCGTCATCATTCACATCCGAGCAGCTGTCTAGCTACCTTACCAGTTTCGACTACACTGAATCGGCTCCTGGGGGTGATGCGGGGAGGTGGCGGCCGGAGAGTTTGGTGTCTTTTCAAAATACCGAATGGCAAGAGAGCGTACGGAACCTCAGGGGCAAAACAATGCTGGCAGAGCGCATTATTCGTGACTGCTGGAAAATTTCTCTTATGAATGAAGTTGGACAGTTGGATTTGTACCTGCCCCTTTCATCAATCAAGTTGCTTCTGAACGCGAAGCACTTCTCATTTGATCAGTTGGCAACCCTGCACAAGTCCGGCATCGACATCACGCAGTCCTTGGGCTTGGTGAGAATTACTGGACCCGAGAACGCTTGCGATTCGATTCATGAAATTATTAAAGACGCTACTACTCGTATTAGAGAAGAGAATGTGGCGATAGACCTCGCGACTTGCGGTCCCCGTTTGACACCACGATTCCTGGATTGGGTGTCTCAAACATACAACATTGCCATAGACCAATCGCCTTCCAAGGATTTGTTGAAAATATTCTACCTCACTGAAAACAAGGATGGCGCTGAGAATGCGCGAAGAACCTTGGGCATTGCCCTCCATGCGACCACCCCAACAAACCGGCCATTTTCCACATATCTCCCCGCTAGTGAACCAGCGAACGTTTATAGCCATGTTCCCGGCTCTGCCAGCACCTGGTTTGACCGTCAGGCATTATGGTTCCGATGGGCCATGCCTGCCGCCCAGACTAGTGCCCCTGAAATCCGAACTCCCCACTTCGATGGCCATCAGACCAGACTCTCCGATGAGCTCCTTAAAGTACTGCAGAGCCCTAATAAGACAAAGATCAATTCTCCGACCGGTCTTACCGTCCATGAATCAATATCCGCCGCTGTTGGAAAGTGTCTGTTTGGTCAAAAGCCAACTTTCGATGAGAAAACTCTCAGCGCTACCCAACTTGGTAAACTTTACTTGCCACGAACATTCGTGACTGACATACCTCGAATGAGGCCTTTCTTGGACACGCTTGAGCCAATTTCCCATGGGGATGGAGAGCGGATTCACAATTTACGACTACTGCCCTCGCCCGGTGTTGCTGGTACCCTCCCAGAGCTAGACGTGCAGTTTGTATCCAAGCCTACGGAAACCTCGGTGGAACTTGAGCTCCAAAAGGTCAAGATCATTCTTCACACAAACAGTGTTGATTATCTTCTTCCTGAGAATGGTCTTGATCTACGCTTCACCCATACCGTCTACATCGAAGCTTCAGCTGAGACAATTACCGACCCGGCTGAATATGCAAAGTTCATACAAAGTATCGAACAACCCTTGCAAGACACTTTCATCCCCAAATCAAACGCCACAGACTCCTGGCGCTCGCATCTCCACTCTGCATCCCTCCCTCTATTCGGGCGCATTAATTTACCCCGAAAATTTACTCAACCTCAATCGTTGAACGCCGACCCTCCTGTCAATTCTAATGAGTTGCTGGCCAATGAAGAATCGCAAGACGGCTCGACAGCGGAATACATGTTTCCACCAATTGCCAGCATTGAAGGAACAACTGTGCGACAGTATGAATTTGACGGCAGACAGGTGAACCACCGTTTCTATGACAATGGTCCATTCCTTGCAACCCAAATGAATGAGATCACGTTGAATATGGACCTGCCTACAGCATCTGGCAATCCTGGAGACGTGAGCTCGAACGAGTCTATCGAGCGCGAGTTTCATTCGTTCTACAACGCTGCTTGTGAGATGGCATTTGGACTGCACAAGCCAAAAAACGCGTGAGCGCATTGTTGATGGGGCAGAGCCCCTTTGTGGCTCAGCATTGTACAATATTTTCATCATCGAGTATATAGATGACCCTACTCGAGGGGCTGTATAATATCTTCTGCATATAAAAAGAAACATACAAAACTACCAAAATACTGCTTGTTCCTGTATTAGTAACGATAATTCATAGGACCTAATCTATATCATGATGGGTTACGCAACCATCTCCAGTATATTCAAATGTGGTCGTCAGAATTAGAGTGCCTCACAAAAAGCCCTTAACGGACCTTTTGCTTGAATTAGAATGTAATTATTCTCTTCTAGAAAAGTGGGTGACCGTGGGTCCTTCAAGTTCACTTCTAAGTGTCTTTCGACTCCGGAAATGTCATTCCCCGAATCTAGACCTTCTATAGGGAGGGGGAGAGACCACGCGCGATCCACTCAGTCTATTTGGTCGAAATATCGCTTCTCCAGATAATGTCTCTAAATAATCTTGTGCCGCACTTGAAATGGCTGGTTTCAGTTTAAGAATAACAAGAAAGGCGTGGCGATCAACAACTTTCTCAATAGTGATCAATAAGAACTTTCGGCCCAAGCTTAATTAGGTAGGCCGAGCCACCGAGTGGATCGCCGTTTCAGTTGATAAACTAGTCTGCATCATGTTTGGTTAAATAAATTCCCCTAGAATTAAGTGTTTGCTCATCATCGGAGTTTCGTCGGACATACTATGGAAAAGTATAGTAGTGTTGGATTCGATAAACACAATATAATGGACCCAAATCTTGAAGATAAATCAATAGATAAGGATTGATAAAGGGTATGTAGAGAGTTTGACCAGTACCAAAAAGTGGAAACCAGAAGGTTTGAGGTCAAAATCCAAAAATCTATCTAGGGTTTCGCTGAAACAACCGAGACAGGTGCTGATCGAGGAACCGGTATGTGTTTTGACGATCAGCGGCCCACCCGTCCTGATATCATGACTATTTATTGGCAGACGCAGCAGTTTGATTATCGGACACTTTGCACTTAAAGGTATTGATCTTCACGAGCCGCATATCTACTCAAGTTCAAACAAAGCCAAGCATGGTCTCCGTCAATCTCCTATGTACTTGTGGACATTGCCCACGATTCCTGATACCTATATAATAAGTCAGCGTTGCTCAAGTACGATGTCCGCACTCCACTACTACCAGTCTTTCGTTTACCATCCAGTTTGTGTTTTCATTTTTCATTTCGTTTGAGTTCTCTTACTTTGATCTACTGCTGGCTCAGTTGACTTTTTCTTTCCTTGTTCTCTATCTACTCAGAATGCCGCTTCATGGATTCATCCTAGCCGCCGTTGCGTTGCTAGGTGTCACTGCCAGAGCTGCAGGCGTCTCGGGTACTGCATTTGGATTCGCAACAGGCACTACTGGTGGCGGTGATGCGACAGCTGCTTCCCCTAGTGATATCTCTGAGCTCACGTCGTGGTTGACAGACAGCACGCCCCGAGTTATTCTGATCGACAAGGAATTCAATTACTTGGAGAGTCAGGGAAAATGTACTGATTGCAAATGCTGCATTCCTTCGTCCAACACCTGCGGAAGCTCTGGTCAGAATGCGATCGACAACTCTGACTGGTGCAGTGACTATCCTACGACTACTTGCACTTACGACAAGGCAGCCATTGAGGGTATCAATGTGGCCTCGAACAAGTCGATTGTTGGTGTAGGTAGTGCGGGTGTCATTCGAGGCAAAGGATTGCGGATGGAGAATGGTGTCAGCAACATCATTATCCAAAACATTCACATTACCGAGTTGAACCCGCAATACATTTGGGGTGGTGATGCCATTACCCTCGACGGCACTGATAAGATTTGGATTGATCATGTCAAGATTTCTCTTATTGGTCGCCAGATGTTTGTGGCCGGTTACGAAGCCTGTAAGATTCTACAAAGCTGTTTGATATTATGTATTTCATGAGACTAACGTTGTGTTTTTTTTCTCTGTAGCTGGAAGTGTTACAATCTCGAATAGCGAATTTGATGGTCAGACTAGCTGGTCGGCAACTTGTGACGGGCACCACTACTGGACTGTGTAAGTGAAACTCACTTACATATAATTCATATCCAAGCTCCGTAACTAACATTATATCTTCTAATCTAGTCTGGGATACGGTAAGAACGACAAGGTGACTTTCACCGGCAACTATATCCACCATACATCCGGCCGCTCGCCCAAGCTCGAGTTCAACAGCTACTGGCACGCCTACAACAACTACTGGTACAACAACACCGGCCACGCCTTTGATGTCGGTGAAGGCACCAATGCCCTTATCGAAGGCAACGTCTTTTCCGGAGTCGACACGCCCTTCCTAGCTGATAGCACTCCCGGAGAAACCTTCGCCGTGACCTCTAGCGACAAATCCACCTGTGATTCCGCACTCGGCCGTACCTGTGCTGCCAACACTCTGATCTCATCCGGAAGTCTTTCAGCTAGTGATGAGTCCGTATTGAAGAACTGGCCAAGCGGGGAGACTGGAATCTCGGTCATGAGCGCAAGTCAAGTGAAGTCTTCTGTTCTTTCCAATGCTGGTATCGGTAAAGTGAGCAGTGGATCATCTTCAAAGCGCCAGGCTCAACCTGCCCCTTCTGTCCTTGCGCTTTCTCAGGCAGGGCCTGGTGCCACTTCACGCGGTGCTCCCCACAAGTGGACTTGGAAGACTGTTGGAGTTAGGCCCACTCAGTCCCCACAGCCCGGTCAGCTTCCTCCTCAGGGACCCCCTAAGGGCGGCTCCTTTGGTTTCGGATTCTAAGCGAGTCGGTTAAATACCGCGCTTGGGACCTGCGGTGCTATATAATTCCGAATCTTTGGGCCCGTTGATTGCTCTGGTGTTCACAATTCAGAGCCCCTATTTACTTATTGTGTGTCGTATGATTGTATTAGAGCTATGGACTGGCCTAATGATTTAGATTATGTTCGATTGGTGTGCCTTTTGGCTTTCTATTGTTTGTAATTATTGGAAACCAGGTGAATTCTGGTAGAGTTCTTTGGTTGACTATGTACATCATGTGGCTTTTTCCATAGTAGATCATATACAGACCGAAATGGCGGCTTGTCCTTTGATATTCCATCTCAGTACTCTCCATCAACCAAATCACGATAAAATACTTTCTTGGGCATTGCTATGTTTCCCAAAGAGCGATCAATGGCGACTTTTTGTAAATTTCAACAAATTGACATGTAAATGCAATGTTTGAGAATCATGACCGCAGGTTCAGCGCCTTTCTGGCATTTTTGCACTGCATTCACCCAATGATTCTCGAGATATCCCAGGATACCACGATGTCTGGCAGAGATTGGATTTAACAATCTCAGTAGTGCAGACCCCGTATTTTTAAGCCTATGCAACCATATGAAGATGAAGAACGTCAGGAAATTTGGGTTTTTTGTTTGTGAGAGAGGCCTTAAACGCCTCGTTCAAGCGAAAAGTCAATCACCCAGTATACATCCACTGAGCGGAGTTTGGTGAGATGAAAGCTTGCTGAAAATCATGAAAGTCTTCCATGTATAAATGATCCTTTGGCTTTTGGTCTTCTGAATACGAACAAGGACCAATTGTGAAGCCAACCTCTGGATCTACCGGAAGCCAATTGGAGGACCTCCGCGTAGATCCATCGGGCATTTCCAAGATCGCTGGATCGGAGTCTTCATCTTGCATCTCTTGGGTGTGACAGTCGGCCATCCAGTTGAAGGTCATCGAACTATGCGAGGCCGAGTTTACATCCGAAGCGCCATCAGAGATTGGGGAAGCGCGAATCTCCTCTCGCTCTTTCTCAGTATCCCAATTATTGTATGATGTGGGTTGACTCATTTCGGTTGCGCTGGATAGGTCCGATACGGGCGAGCCTGGGAATGTGGATATCGGTACGGCATTGTTTGGTGGTGTCATGAATAAAGCTCTTTCTGCTGCCACGCGCGAGAATATTTGTTGTGGGTCTGTGTCGTTGGGATGTTGGAAGGAGTTCATAAATTGGTGGTTTTGACCATCCCAGAAGCTATGGAAAGTGTCCTATTAGCCATTTGTCCCAGTCGGTCCACTTAACATTGTAGAATTTACCTTGCCACGTTTAGATTATCTTCTTTCCCAATTATGGGCGCCAAGCTTGAATTGTTCCAGAGCTGCCAACTTTGGGCATCCTTGGAGGGATTCATAGCCTCTTTGTCATTCCATTCTTGATTTTGCAAAGCCCATAAATCTGATTCAGTCTGGTAACTGAATCCATCGTCGGGGAAATTCTGGGCTTTGAAGAGCAAATCTTGAGCATCGGAAGGGTGAACATCGGCCGATGGCCATTGCCCGGTAGCGTATGGGAAGTTGGTCGTACTCATTTGGTCGGATCTGTCTGTTTGGTTTAGGAATTGACGAATGGTTTATTAGGACCAAATGTGGATTAGAAACTGCTCAATAGCAAGTCCCAGTTATGAAATGAAAAACTAGAAATGAACCGACTCGGAATATCCGAACTGGCGTTTGTATTCACAGCTTTCGAACAACCGGCACTTCAAAGAATTCAAAGATTTCCCCAGAGAAAAAAAGAATGAAAATAAAATTTCCCCGCAAAACCGGGGCATCCTGGTTCACTTAAAAAGAATTTGCGGAGAAAAAGCATTAGCGACAGTACAAAGCTCGAAGCGAGCTAGGAAGCTCCGACATGACGAGTCGGTAAATTGATTTAAACCGTAGAACAAAGGCTGCTTGGACCTCGCTGCACGCACCGCATGATCCAGCAATTTAACCGATTCCACAACTTTCTCCCCAGATTATCGTCGCCATTGGGCGGATCGGTCCGAGTAGATGAGGGAGCCAATCGGCAAGTTTCAATACGCTTCGGCAATATGTCCACTCTCGTCATCTCTATTAACCGACCTGCCCCGCTGGGGAGATGGTGGGAGAATTTTGAAACATTCCCCGGATTCTTTGGATGAACTCAGTTGATCTCGCATGGAGCCACTGCATCGCCATCGCTTACGCAAGGTACGATGTTTTCTCATCCCAAACGGTTGATTTCCCCTGATGATTGCGTTGCCGATCAACGCCGTGCTGGTCTGGTGATGAGCGGAATAATTCATACCCCTCCGCCACAGTATGTAGTACTAATATTTCAGTACGACATCTGGAGCATACGATTTACGATGAAGCCAGTCACGGGGATATACAGATGCGTACCTATGCCTCATTTACTCAAAGAAATCTTCCACTAGTGGCACGCTGGACCTTTAGTGCTTGCGAAAGTAATCATAAATCATTAAGTAAAGCTTTATATGGTCTAAGGATCTATATTAAAGGCTCAAGCCGTGGCGCTGGACTCCGATTCGTCATCATTTTTGGGAGCTTTTCTCCGACGAAGCAGATATTGCAAGGAAAGTCCAGATGCTTGCAACCACGAGACACCAGCCAGGACACAAATCGCCGTCAAACCGTTCAGGTACCTGGGCGCATCTTCTGTGCGGAAGATCTGAGAACCGGAAATTCCGGCGCAGTTGGCAGCCATGACAACAAGACTGAAGTAAATTGTTAGCATGCATTGTATATACTCGATAATTCAGAAGTGTATCACTTACGCCATGGCGACGCTTCGTTCCTGAGGAGTCTGACAGTAGGTGGATAGCCAACCCACATTAAGAATACTATTTTGAGGTTAGCTTTTATCCCTTCTCTTCCTGAAACTGTATTTTCATGACTGAGATAAACTTACTGCATACTGCAGTAGGAGACGTTCGCGATGGTGAGTACACCATACTTGTGCCATTTCCCAGATCCGTACGGTTGCGTACGCAGACACACATAGGAGATCACATTCCAGGTAATAGAGATCACAACAAAAGGCCCGCGGTGACCGAAGAAGTCGCTAATATTAATTAGTCTTGGTCGCATATTTGTCAAAAAGATGATTTGAACTCACGAGAAGAAAGACAAGATAGTTAACCACACAATACCGCAGTAAACACCCACAGATGCCAGTGCATTAGCCTTCACGGAACTGAACCCAATCAACTTTATCATAGATGGAGTATACTGTGTCAATCCCTGGAGACCAGACATAGCCACAAGGGTCAGCAGAACGTGCTGCATAATGCGTGGCTGTTTAACAGTCTTCCAGATATCAGAGCCGGAGATCTGGATATGCCCACGAGCCTTGCGGGGATCATCCAACAAAACCCGGTTGCGAATAATATGCGACTCTCGCTCGGTGAAATAACTCCAGCGACCGAAGGCGATCAATGGGCGGCCATCACCAGCTTTAGGTGGAATGAGAAGTGTGAAAACAACGCCGATGAATAAGGTGATCACTCCCTCGACTAGACACAGATGTCAGAAACTTGAATACGTTTCCATGTCGAATCAACTCATAGGTACTTACTGAGGAAGATCCATCGCCATCCTTCCAATCCACCAGTACCACTTAATTTCAGCACACCCGCAGAAATCAAGCTGGAAGTAGCAGCAGCAAACATCTGACCATAGAAGAAAAAGGTAGTCCGGAGACTAGTTTCTTCCTTCTTATACCAAGTTGAAAGATAATAAAGGGCACCTATGCGACAATTATTAGCTACCTGGGCGGCTGGAATCATCAGGTAAAAAATATCAGGCTACATACCAGGAATAAATCCGCCTTCACACAAACCTAGTAAGAAGCGAGTTACCAAGTATGCTGGGTACGATTTCACAAAGGCCTGGAAGGTAGCAACCAGACCCCAAGCAAACAATTGGCCTGAAAGCCAGACACGGGGTCCGAGGCGTTGCATAATTATATTGGAGGGGATCTCGGACAGAACAATTCCCGCAGATAAGAGCTGAGTACCGATGTTGACTTGATTTGTTGTGATTCCGAGATCTTCGGTGATGGTCGAGGTGAGTACGGCACTGATATTGCCCCGATCGAGTTGGAGGGAGAAAAAAGCGAGCGCAAGAGTTGGTATTAAAATGAAATCGACCCTTTTGAGAAAAAGAAAAGTTAGCTGATAAGATTCTAGATAAATTTTTTTTCTTCCCTGTGAAGTTCCAATGGTAAGCATACTTGCGTCGAACGGCTGCCTCTTCAACGTCCCAATCCTTGATAATACCATGTTCAACCTCGCTTTGAGGAGAGTCAACAACATGTTGATTAACTCCATTTTTTTCATTGATGATATCTTCATCATAGGCCTTGCCTTCTGATGAACTTAGCGTCATTGTGAAGCGAAGGGGATCTGAAAAGTGGGCTCAAAGAACAATTTTGTGCTTCTAGATAGCTTCATGAGATTTTTTTTCAGTGGAAAAGCAAGACGCTTTATACGCTTGATACGAAAACAAATTTTCCGATCGTTTATCGGAGTTACGTATGTTCTAACGTCTGCGGTGCATCTAGATCCAGTTCCGAGGCCACATTGGCAGGTGTTGACTGTCGCGACAGGACGGGTAGATATGGCGCAATTATGGCGCCCTTGACGAGCATTGGACCCAGTTTTCTTGTACTTGTATGGTTATTCTCATAGCCGATTCTTTATCTGTTTGAGTCTTTGTGATTGCTGGGTTTTCCGAGGAAAGAAGTCAGATGCGATCGAGGACATTTGTTATCCTTGTCTTCTTGAGTACGTAGAGGGGTCGGTGCTGCTACTATGCGACATTTGTCCTCGCAGTTGCGGATCTGCATTATGGACTTTTGCGCCCCTCATTATTTTCTTTCTTGGAGGATTCTTGGCTATTGTTCTTATCTTATCGTTATATGCCCAAAATGTTATTTTTAAGAAATATTTTAAACTATGCGAAATTTTCATCGGACTCTTTTATACCCAGGAGTCCCATGATAAACCGTATCGTGTTGTTAATGGGTCTTGGGGCCCTTCCGCCTCAATAACGTATCCTAAATCACACCAGTTAAAGGATACTTGAGGTTGCTGGTCGTAAAAGACATCATATTGCTCATCCAGAGCATCACGCAGGGTACGAATGGACCCCTCGGGGTGTAGAACCTTCCACGGCTCAATGCAAGTATTACCTTGGCAAGATTTCAGAATGAGTAACAGCGTATCAAGACGGCTTATAGCCTGTGAAAGACTTCGACCCAAAATACGAGGCTCGTCTTGGATATTTCGTGATTCGCTTGGATATAAATTGTGCAGTTGATATGGATCAGTCTAGACACTCCGGTTAGCGCTTGGCGAAAACGAGGTGATGAGTGGAGCTTTGTCTTACCGAGAGGTCATACAGTTCGTGCTCGTTGGTGCACCACACAGAGTAGTAGAGGTTGTAACCAGGTCCTAATAGCCGAACCGACTTATACGTATTGTTCGGTGCAAAGGTGGAGCCGCCAGCTAAGAAATTCACGAATAAGCACTCTCGTCTCGGGTTAAAATAAAGTATGAACCCAACTTACTAATGTGGCTGAAATCCCCTTCAAGGACTCCACGACCCCAGTACTCGACAGTCACATGTTCGTGTCGTGTTCCCGTGAATTCGGGTGTAACAGGAATTGCCGTTCCATCGAAATCAGACCGATGTGGAATGCCCGCTAGGTGAAAGATAGTCGGGGCAAGGTCAATATGCGTCGTGACAGAATCCTGGGCGAAGCCCTCAGGTACTCCAGGGCCGCGAATGAATAATGGGACGCGAATATCTTCTTCGAAGCCGCACGTCTTGCCAGGCGGGAGACGGTGCTGTCCAATATGGAATCCGTTGTCCGAGGTGTAAATGATATATGTGTTGTCCAGCTGGTCGCTCTCTTCCAAACGAGTGACAAGGGTGTCCACAAGCTCATCCACACCTTGCAGGGCCTGCAATCGGGAGCGATAAAAGTAATCGCCGTAGTCCACGACCGTTTGATTTTGTTGCGGCAGCTCTCGAATCCAGCTGGCTCCACTCGGCTGTTTATTTCTTCATTAGACCTTATCGACCCTTGTAATAAGAATAACTTGTAACATACCTCATCTGGATTAAAATTTGCGGTGCGAGGCACCTTGACATCCTGGAATAGATGTTTGTGTCTGTCAAGTGGGATTGGCGCACCCATGGTTATTCCTTTGCTCCTATTCTCAATATTCGTTGGATCTACGTTGGAGTGAGGCGCCGCGGGAGCAACAGTTACAAAGAAAGGTCGATCTCCTTCTAGTGCATCTTCCAGGAATCCCAGAGCTTTTCGTGTAATGACATCTGTTGTGTGTTCGCCCTCGTAGCTGACCGGGTCGTCGTGATTGCGTTGATAGGTGGAATTTAAGTAGGAGTAGGTGAATGGGTCGAGCAAGAAATCTGAACCATTGAACCCATTTACATGCGGGCTATGGTAGTTGTCTACTGTATGCGCATTGAAGAGCTTTCCAGTATAGTAAGTATCATAGCCTGCCTCCTGCAGCCAGACGGGCAAGAAGTTATCGTTAAACCCCCGGTCCACAAATTTGGGATATCCGCCTTCAAGTTGGGACGATTAGCAACAGTCACTTCTAATTTCTCCATTTCCCCTAGAATATAACTCACCATACGGCGGGTGGACATCTGTGACATTTGTATTATGTGCCTGGCGCCCGGTCCACAGGCTAACCCGGGAGGGACAGCACAGTGCGGTTGTCACGAAATGATTATGGAAGGAAGTTCCTTTGTCGCGAACATGTCGTAGAATATGTGGTGTATATGAAATTGAGTCAAGCTGTAGATCCTGGTCATCGGCAATCACAAACAAAAAGTTTGGCGGTTTTGACGTCGGTCGCGACGTCATGCTAAGAGCGGACTGAAGAACATTCTGCACATTTTGGAGATTGAATCCATTCTCGATAACTGCGCCCTCGACAGTCACAGCAAGACCGGCGATGATCGCGAAAAGCTTCATCTTTCACAATGGTAGTCTAGAAGAGATGAACAAAAGAAATCAGTCGGGAAGATCATCGAAATTGCGAATGTTATGGCAAATGCCGATCAAAGAGCCCTGCGTGCCGAGCGTGCTTGTGCGGAGCTCGGTCGGCAATGTGGGGAGCTGAAAATTGAATGATGCCATCGTTAGTTCCAATGGCATAACAATGGATCCACTCTGAATCGCTACAGAATTATTTTTCATTGTCTTGTGAAAAGTGACTCGGCAAATATTTACTGACGAATGTTGTGTAATGTTACACCGAAAGTCAGTTCCAACATCATGGGATCATTAATCATAGAGAGCCGCAAGTGGATTGATTTCATTGTCTATTGGAAGCAGCAAAAGCAAAGATCTATGCATCAAGCTCCTACTATTTTCATGTACTGTACAACGTTGCGGCCCCACTTAGATTGCGTGCTTCCCATGGAAGATGAGATCAGTACATGGCAATCTCGCCATATCATAGATTCCATGCGGAGTACTCCGTAGTCGAGGTTAATGTAAGGAGGGCTCGCATCGCCTACGCAAACCACACTAATTTGCCCCAGGGCCTTCTCTGACTGAAATGAGAATTCAATATTGATAATAATACATACACTCGTAGACTAAAACATGCCCAACGCCCCCCACAGAAACTCAAGGTATTATTCTATCAACATACAAAGTCTTCGCTCCAAGATACTTTCACAGGGCCAAACCTGTCCCTTTACGAGTCCATCGGTATAGGGCCAAAACCGCTTTACGACGATGACGGATCTCGCTGGGGTTGATAGGCCGACCGCGAGCCTGGGCCACAGCACTACGCATGACTTGCCGAAAGCTGCGTTGATACTCGGTGTTCAAGGTCACCACACAGGATTCAGTGGCCCGGATCATGGTCTCGCACGCGTTCAGAATACCCTCTCCTGCTTCCTTCTGCAAACGCTCCACGATGAGAAGTAAAAGGAAGCTACCTTGGAGTAGCTGGATACCGAAAAAGTATGGCATGAAGCTGATGTCTGGGTCGAAGCGAAGGATCTGTTGTACCGAGTCCGCAGCTTCCAGCGCGTGCGAGATGGTGGATGCAAAGGCTGGAGAGGATGTCCAGAAATCCTTGTCCTCGATGAGGGAGACTGGGTCCCACTTTCCGACTAGAAGAATGTGGAGAACATGCACTAGGTAAGATGAGTAGGCTATAACCGTTTGAGTATGCCATGAATAGGCCTGGGATAATTGTGGGTCTGCGGGCTGGTCGGACTTGGAGGGAAAGACCCCTGCAGTTGATAGAGAAGCTTCAGGGTTGGCAGCTGTGGCCGCAGCAAATGTAGTCAAACTGGCCTTGTAGATCTCCAGCTGTCGCACCACTTCCCCCATCTGTACTTCCCATGCCTCTTTGCCTTGTAGACGCAGACCGAGTGTTGGATGATTTCTGGCTTGGTTCAAATCAATCAGTTCTCCGGTGATGGTCATAAGTGGTAGGAAGAATCCAAGGATGGAATGATCATGACAAGCAAAGTTTGGGAAAACACGGCGCTTGTTCCGGTCGCCTGATCGGATACACTGGGGTCCATCAGGGCGAGGACTATTGCTGTGAATGTTCCCGGCCTGCCAAGAACCCTCGTCGAGTGGTAATAAGAGATCTTCGCTCTCGGCATCGAGAAGCGCGAGCGGCCGATTGTAGCAAAGTGCCAAATGTCGATCCATGATATACAAGAGCCACCAGGTACGCCGACGCTCTTCACGATACTCTTCTGTGACAGTAAAATTGTTGTTCGGGTCATGTCTCTCGTCACAAACACAGTTCAAGCTCGGTCGCGATGGATTGGAATAGTCAAAGGCAGGGCCACCGGGGGAACTCGCCCAGCCTGCCAAAGTGTAACCAAAGGAAGGGCTAGATCCGTCACTTTGACCGTCAATATTCGGTACGACTTCGACCTCCTGGTTGAGTTTCAATTCTCGAGCTAGAGTAAAAGCTGCATGCCACCTGTAGTATCATCGTCAGTCATCGGTCAAAGGAAATTCGGAACATGGGAAAGAATAGACAAACACGAAAACGCTTACCATCGCATACTAGCAGCCTTCTGTTCGCTCGATGAAATAATGGATGCAATATGAATATATGTGACCACATCATCAAGTGAGCCTGCTGGCCCAACAAGGCCCTTATCATCGCCCACGCCTTCAAACGGGTGATGGGCCGGCGGCGCTGGGAACTCTTGAGAGCCATTGGCATTCTCCATCGGCTCTTGGTCTTTGAAAGACACGTGTATCAGTGGTCGGAGCAAGCGTATTGTTAAAGCGCAAAGAAATTGACAAATTTTGCGTCGCTGTAACGGAGAGATGGACAAGGAGAAGGCTCGGTCATCCACGGCCGCAACCCAAAGCATACTCGCCAACAAGGCAGGACTGCTCGGTCGCGGATGCTCGGTGTTAAGAAATGAGGCCTTTCGTAGAACATAGCAATGGATATGGTGACAAACCGGATGCATGTGAGTCGAGAAGGCGCTGGTGAAATAAAGCTCAAGCAGATCGCACACCAAGCGACGAGGGAGATTGGATTCTAAGTACGGCATTATAGGTTCCAGCACAGGATACTTCAGAGCTGACTTTGGACCGGGCGTATGATTTTGGTTGGGAACGTTCGGTCCTGGTATCGATCGCACTGGCGGAGGTCTTGGAGGGTGGTGGTTGGCCATATCGACTGGGTTGCTTACACCCATTAATGAAGGTAACGACCCATCGCCTCCGCTCAACCCATTTAACCCACTTATAATCTCATAAGAATCTGGCGACAAATGAGCAGCTGACAGCCATTCCTCCGTGGTATTTCGTTCGGGTGCTTCCTGCACGGAGCGATTCGCATCGGCTGCAGGGTGAGCGCCGTCAACTAGACTAGGCGCAGAAAGGCTGAATTCATTAGGAGTCGGCGATCGCTCCTGAAAGGCAGATTCCGAAGAGCTTTGCTGCTGAGGCGACGATGCCGGCTGTTTAGGAGCTTTAGTATCTCCATTGGATTCTCTCCTAGTATAGTTCGAGGTAGACGTGGATGCATCCGGCCCATGCGGCAACTTTGCTCGCGCAATTCGGCCTCTTTTTCGGCGCTCACGGGTAAACTCGCACCTAATGTCACCGCGCAGGCATCGTGAGCAGGGGAAAGCCCGGTCGCATCGCACTCGGCGAGTGTGGCAAGAATCGCATGCGACTCGATTGCGGCGCCATCGTCGTTTGCCATTCGGGAGGTCAACTGCACCGGGAGTCGCAGACTGCAGGTCCCCGGACTGGTCATCCATGTCCGGGATTAATTCCAGGTCGTCATTGGGAAAAGATGTTGGGGGATAAGAGAAAATGAAAGAGTTCGGGGCCGAGAGAAGCACGAAGCTAAAGCGCGGGGAAATTCCCAAGATTTGTGGAGTGCATGTCTTAGTGCGGCGACCAATCACATATGCCGGGGGTTTGTCGGAGGGTTTGCGCTGCCCGAAGCGCTTGCACTAGTCCCCATGGTTCACTGTTGAACTGGTAACATGTGTATGCAGCATCTGAAACCTTGGGAAGAGACCAGTTAGATTTCACAAGCCTAAGACAAACCGGACGATCTTTCTATTCCTAGACGAGAGGCTTAAATTTAAACCATGCCGATAGTCAACGGGCGCAGGCAATAACTATCGTTTGGGCATCAACATTTGTAGCTGTAGAACATGTAGAATTAATACTATCTATTATGAAGTAAATGGCGATATCTCCTTGGAGATACTCAAAGTGATTATTTTTGCAAAGCCTTCTTGTACCGCTCTAATGCGCGCTCACGGCTGGCGGCATGGTCCACGATGGGTCGGGGGTAGCCGTTTTTCTCAGCGATTGACCCAGATCCTCGTTCATAGGGGTCGTGGATAGCTTTGCCGGTTACATCTCGTAGTTCCGGCACCCATTGCCGAATGTATTCTCCGTCTGGATCGAAACGCTCGCTTTGTCGGAGGGGATTAAAGATTCGAAAGTAGGGCTGCGGATCAACGCCTGTACTAGAACCAAATCCCCACCCTCCATGGTTCGACGCAAAATCTCCGTCAACCAGGTTTTCCATGAAATGGCGCTCTCCGCGACGCCAGTCAATCAAGAGGTCCTTGGACAAGAAGGATGAGACCACCATTCGGGTTCGGTTGTGCATCCATTTTGAATGGCTGAGTTGACGCATCGCAGCGTCCACAATAGGAAATCCAGTTTTTCCATCGCACCACGCTTGAAATTGGTCTGAATCGTATTCCCACTCAATATTGGTGTGTTCTGGCTTGAAACACTTGTTCATACTATTGTCGCTTTGGTTAGTTTGAATTCATTTCTTACTGGGGGGGTCGGACTTACCAAATAAAAGGCCAATGCGCAAGGACGTGCTTATAGAAATCACGCCAGGCAACCTCACTGATCCAAGTAATGTAACCCTGGTCATATCGGTCTAATTGATTATTGTTTACTGCCTTCGCAGCTACAACCGCGGTTCGCGTGCTGAGAGCTCCCGATGCAAAGTAAGGGCTGAGGATAGATGTATGTTGGCTAGCCATGATGTTGCGTTTTTCCTCATATTGGCGGCCCTTCTCTTCCAAAAACTTCTCTAGCCTCTGGAAAGCCTCGTGTTCACCAGCTGGATATAGCTTCTGCAGTCGCTTTTCTTCCTCTTTAGCAAGCTTCTTGCTCTCTGGCACAGCAGGAAGTTCGCAATCAAACAGGCTTGTGAAGTTTTGTCGCGCATTGCCAGGATTGGAACCAGGCTCATCTGATAGTTCCAAGTAGTCGGGGTTTTCTTTCAAGAAAGCCAGCCATGACCGATACCAGGGTGTGTATACGGCATATTGTTTGCCTTGCTGGGTGCTCAAGGCTCCGGGCGGGACAACACATGTGTCATGTGAAGGAGTAAAATCAATGTTGTTCTTAGCACACAAATGCACAAGTTTGGCATCACGACGTAGCTCATCTACTTCATATTCCATATTCGCACAAAGATGATTGGCCTCCCACTTTTGTAGCAATTCCACAACACGACCTGGGATGTGCTTCCTGTGCGCCTGTGTTTCCATATGGAGCGGGATATCAAGTTCGGCAAGGTCTCGCTGAAGCCGTTCCAGGGTGCGCAAAGTGAAATCCACCCGCGCCGGGCTGATAAGATGAGCCGTCAGATCTTCCGACGACAAAATATAGAGGCAAATCAAGGGCACCTGGTTGTCTTGCGCAATCTCAAAAGCCTTGCGTAAGGCCCGATTATCGTGTAGACGCAGGTCACTCCTAAACCAATGAACCACTGCTTTGCCTATTTGTGTGGAGTTGCGACTCTCTGCAGTTTCGCTACACGCATTCTCCAAAGTCGTAATAGGGCGTTCGAGGGTTCCATCATTGTAGGCCTGACAGCGCTCATTTCCCATTTCAGGAGGATAGAAGTCGCGTAAGACAATGCCAAAATCCTCGGTCTCTTGAGCTTTTGGATGCGGCATCTTCAGGTCGGCCTTTCGCTCTTTTTTGCGAGGTGGTTCAGGGGCTCCGGCATCGTGTTCGGCGTCCGACCCGGAGCTATCGTGTTTGGATACTTTTCGTTTGCTAGGTGCCATTGAAGCTGTGAGGCTATGGAATCGGGGTGAAATGCAAGGGCGAAAAGGGGAAATGAGACGTGGTAGAACAAAAACTTGCGAGCGCATCACTTAGATGTTTGTTTGAAGAAGCATTGTGTCCTTTTAAGCTCTAAGAATGCACAGGATGTCATCGATCGAGAACGATCGAGATTCCTGACGTCATTCGATCTAGAATCGTAACAGCCTCAAATCTTGATAATTTCTTTACGGATTCCATGGCGTAGGTAGGTGACCTGAGACTGAAATCAAGGGATACAATGGAACAGAATTTATTTTGACATTCGATTGACAAGATTTCCCAATAGGTAACAGAGTTGGCTTCATTTTCACAGTCAAATCTGTAAATATGGGAAAGATCGGCACATGACGGCTCCCGTGACATCGAATCTTAGTCATCTTCGTGAAGAAGACATTAGTACATACACCACACAGCATATGGCCTCTTTGAATTTTCGGGATCTTCATGGATGGCCGTGGGCATGAGTTACATAGGTATATACAACCACACCTAAACGGAAAGACCCATTCCAAGGTTTCAGGGGGGACAGGGCTTACGGCTTAACCCCTTATTCTCCGGGGAATTATACCGATTTTTGGTAAGAGGGCCAATTACAGAGTACTCCAATCAGAATGCGAATAGCGAAGAAACGATGGGGATTGCCTGCAGCCTCACTCACCTTGATCTTGGGTGAAAATTGCTAGTGCAATCAGGGGGTGGGGCCTGGAATCCTTCCAGCCGTGAGTGCGGAGTACGGCGCTCATCATACAGTCTTATGTATGGAATACTGTTTGTGTCCGTGATGGAGTAATGTTCAGACTATTCAGGGCCTAGAGTACTCCAGGGGTTCGTACTTTGTCTATGTCATCGTAACGACGATAGCCATCGTTTGTGGAGGATCTACGCTGGGGTACTAAGACATGCATACATTCTGGAACACGTAGATCTTCCGGACATTGTCTCCATCACTTCTCCGGCCCAATTAAACATACATCATACATTAGAATAATTTGATGTGTCCATTCAACAATACAGCGGAGATAGTTCATTTTTACCAGTGCGCATCTCGTACTGCTTGACAGCTGCCCATGGATCATCCATGGGTGTCTTACACTATGGATCTCTCTTTCCCCGCAAACATCCACTTAGAGATTCTCTTCCTGCTCGAGATCAACTCTTCACCCATGGAACCACTCTCGAATCCAGCCGTCATAACGCTTGGACTCTAGCTAAAAAGCTCAAATTTTGATTTCTTTCCTCGAATCGCATGAGTCATTTACTTCCGTTATGCTTGCTTCCTGCATACCTACTTTTCCATTGCCTTGAAGGCTTTTCATAAGTCGGGACTCCGCTCCATACTTCGTCCGCTACTCCCCCCCGCTTGTTCGCCCCGCGGAGAAGGATTATGGAGCACAACAAAGTTTCCAAATTTTGAAGACGCACGTTCAACGGTCTGATCGCAATATGATCAATAGCTCCAAATTTTGCCGATCGGATCATTCATCTCCCCAATACGAAGGAACCTTATTGAAGATCGGCAGTCACGACCGCCTCCCCTCCCGCGCAAGGGCATTCCTATTGAACTCTTATTATTCCCCTTGATTTCGTCCGGGGTAGAAATTTTTATTCTTACCCTGCCATCATTTACACTCTTTGAGTGATGTCCTGATGTCCACCCTTCGCTCATGTCGACTGACCACGCCTCCGTCGCGGATGCAGAGGCTTTAGTTGATACTTTGGCCACGGAAAATGTTGTCGACACACATATATTCGCTGCCTTTGCCGCAATCGCTTGGTACAATGCTATCGAACTCATCGTCCTATGCTTTGTATCCTTCAAGCGGCGCCGTGGCTGCTATTTTTGGAGTCTGCTCATCTCATCCATCGCCATCATCCCCCACTGCCTGGGCTATTTCTTACTCCTCTTACCGACCGGCGTCTCGAGCTATCTATGCATCACCCTGATTGTCTTCAGTTGGATCCCCATGGTTACTGGACAGTCACTGGTACTATGGTCGCGTCTCCATCTGGTACTGCAGAATACCAAAGTGCTATGGGGTGTACTATGTATGATCATCGTTGACGCGATATGCCTCCAAATCCCAATTGGCGTATTGCTATACGGGGCCGTGGGAAACCATGAGACCTTCGCACGTGGATATAATATCATGGAGCGGATTCAACTCGTCGGATTTTGTCTCCAGGAACTCATAATATCTGGTATCTACGTGTGGGAGACTGGCAAGCTGCTAAAGCTACGACCACAGGGTCGACCCCATGGGATCCTTTACCAGTTACTCATCATCAACATCATTATCCTTATCCTCGACGTCGCCATCGTTGCCATTGAGTACGTCGGCTTTTATGCCATACAAGTTATGTTCAAACCGGTGGCGTACAGCATCAAGCTCAAGCTTGAATACGCGATCCTTGGAAAACTAGTAGCCATCGCTCGGGGTGGTTCATATGAGAGTGAACTACCTTCAAGTTCACAAGGGATCATTTCATTCCCCTCCTCCTCTCAGGAACCACCATCAGAATCTCGTCGAGATTTTCGCCGCCAATATAGCCTTCCTTGGTTCATGGATAACTCGCATACCTCGAGTCTCTCATCTTCCAGAATTTGACAGATTGCACAAAGTGCAACTCTGTTATGGAAATTTTAAACACACACAAAGAGAGCCAATCAGAGCCCCTTCATGTAGGGGATTATTCCCCAAAGTGATATTCTACATGTGATATCCATACTATTCAAATGTAAAGTACAATTGTTTCAGCAATAACCGCGTTATGTCCAATAAAAAAGCTAGACTCACAATATTCGAATGTCTTAAATCAACGAAGATCTCCAGATGATACAGAGTTAGCACCGGCTTGTAGCACTAATACGCTTCCAAACACCTTATTATCGGGCTGCACCATCACTGATGCAGTGGCGCCTAGCGCCTGACGAGCGCCAGCGCCTACAATTTCATCAGGGTTCAACTCGATAATTGATGCATCTGCGCCACTGCTACGTCCAACGACAACGATGTTACCATGTTTGTTAAAGCCCTTGTTTAACTCTTCTCGCACGGCAGTAAGAGCTACCTGGGCAGGATCGCTGATAGTATCCTGTACCGGCGAAGACTGGAAGATAACACGTTCTTGCAGATCCCTAGGAACGGAATCACGAAGAGTTTCAAAGAAAGCGAAATCCGATGATTCGGACAAAGTGCCCTTGGGTGAGTCTGATCGGGAAGAGCATAGCTGAATAACAGTTGCAGTGACTTGGTCATTCTGAGCCAGCTGCAGAACAAAACGAAGTGCGAAACGGTCATCGTTGCCGCCGAAGAAAGGGAAAACAAGATGGTGAGAGCGGTTTCCTTTCGGTGGACGGGACCAGGCGCTTGCTTGAATGCCCAAATCGCTCGGGGAACGCTGCATTGATGGCTTTTTGACGGGTCCATCGGTGTTGTGATCAATCAAAATGCCCACATTTCCAGATATTCCATCCAGGACATTTGAGACGAAGGCGGCATATTCGCCATTCATGAAACGGTTCATTGGGTCGACGTCAAGACCATTTTGACGGTCTGCCAGAGTACCGGTCTCGCTCCATGGTAGGAGAAGTAGATCAGATGAATCTTGACGGGCCATGTTGACGACTGTATCAGCGTATGAATGTTCGGGGACCACAGATACACCAGCCATAAGAGAAATATCATGCCACTCGCCGAAAGCACGGAATGTGTTGATTACTGGGTCCCAAAGGGCAGAGTCTCTGGCTGATACCTTCATGACACTGGAGTCACGATCTGTCAATTCCATGAGTCGCACACCATGAACACGTAGAGCAGTTGCCTCATCATAATCTTGCCCAGTGGGCTCTTCGACAGTTTGTTCACTTGGCTTCGGTGCCTTTGATGGATGTGTCCGAGGCGTCGAGAGGGCAGCTCCACGGGTCGGAGTTAAGAGGGCTGCCAAAGTACAGAGTCCAGAAAGGCCATCAAGGCGGAGATAGACAAGAAGCTTCCGTACAGGCACGGTCTTCAGCTGATCCTTCACGGCGGCAACGCTGTCTGAGCGAGATTCCTGCGGTAGTGGATTGTCGTTCCAATCGATCTCGCCACGTCGCCAACGCGCAACCTTAACCTGATACCAATTGGGATAAAGTGATACAGTCAAGGGTGTGGTCATGAATGTTGTAACGAGGGCCATGACAACAAACATTGTAAATGTTCGTGTACTTAGAATCTTGGCTTGAAGACCAATGTTCTATAGGTTTTCAATCAGCATCGGGCTCAACGAAACCCCGAATGAAACAACAACAAGAGCAAGAACTCACCAGAACAATCAATTCCACCAGTCCCTTACAGCTCATCAGAACGCCAATAGAGAAACTTTCACGCCATAACATGCCGCACCAGCGAGACGCAAGAGCACCCCCGGTAACCTTAGCAATGAAGGCAATGGCAATGATTCCAACAACGTATCCCCATACTAACCCATTGTCCAGTAGTCCCAGGTTGGTACTAAGTCCAGACAACGCAAAGTAAAGCGGCAAAAAGATAATAGCAACCAGGTCCTCGATTTTCTCCGCCACTTTGATGGCAAAGCCCCCTTCATGGGGACACATTAGGCCCACAACAAACCCTCCGAAAATGGCATGGATTCCAATAACTTGCGTGAAGAAAGCTGATGCCAGAGCAATCAACAAAGTCATCATCACAACAGATTGGCTGGGGCCTTTCTGTATGCTTCCCGTGCGCTCAAGAAAGCGAATGAAAAGTGGTCGAAAAATAAAAGTCAGGAATAGCACATACGCGACCGCCACCAAGAGGACATAGAGTGCGGTGATGCCGCTATTGGCATTCACTAGGGCCACGCAAAGGGCAAGAAGAATCCAGCCAACTACATCATTTCCGACACCGGCTGATAGCACAATGACACCAACTTCGGTTCCGAGGAGCTTCAGTTCTGTCAAAATACGGCAGAGCACGGGGAAGGCTGTGATAGCCATGGCAATACCGATGAAAAGTAAAAAGGTACCAAAGTCGACGGGAACGGTACCTGGGTCGTTCTGGAACTGGTTGTAGAGTCCATATGAGATGGCACAGCCCAGTCCAAATGGTAATATCATTCCCAGTGCCGAGACACTAGCTGCCACGCGCCAGTTCTTGATGAGGAAGCGCAGGTCTGTTTCTAAGCCGACGAGGAATAAGAACAGAATGATTCCTAGATTCGCCATCACGCTAAGAGCTTGAAGACTCTGGGTGGGGAATATTGTCTCGGTGAACCTGTCATGGTACATATCAGCTTCGGACTAGAAGAAAATGTACATATGGTAGACAGTCTATATGGCCATGCGCGGACAAAAGTCTCGTCTCAACTTGGAGACTTACTTTGGAATGCGCCCAAAGCAACTTGGACCCAACAGAATACCAACGATGATCTCGGCGATCACAGTAGGTTGGCGAAGCTTGGACAACGGCCAGTGGATCAGACGGCAAAAAATGATAATTATGCCTGCCTAAACGAACATTGTAAGCAAAAGGCCGCCGATGAAACCGAAGCTGTAAAGTAAATTACCTGGATAATGAACATGACAATAGGATTTGAGGAATCATAGTGAGATGGATTTCCTCCCTGGAGGATTCCCTGTGCAGTGGCCCGAGCTGTACTAGTAGCCGTAGCTGTCGTTGTACTCGTCGCCATGGTGGAAGAGGTGGCAGCAACACTCACCAAAACAGCACGGATGGAGGGGAAGATAAAAGAGCTCTGGAGTTGAGGGGTTTAAGTTAGAGCTCCGCCTTCCTGTCGTCCACGTTTTCTTTCGCCCAGGATTCCCCCAAAGTACCGGATGCTGACACGGAGAAGTCACTGGCCAATCATTTATTTGCCTCTGGCTGATCCCCACATGAAATCCCGCGCGGCCAAGCTTAGCGTGGATTAACGGAAATTCGGGGGACAAACAAAGAATCTCGGCGGTAAGAGATGTTATTTGTGGTGTGAAGCTTTAAATGTGATGTTATCTTTGCTCTCTTTAATTTTCTTTCTCTTTGCTTTTAAATTTTGAAATAATTAGTGATTTGATATAGATCTATGCTTGATGTCAGTATTATGCATTGGCCTCGCCTTACCGATTATCTAAGCTGACTGGCTTATCCAGATCGTACAATCTTGAGATTTGGTTGGTCAGAAGCCTCCTCCAGATCATTATGCCCAGGCCGGGGGTGCTCGTGGGTACATCATATGATAGAGCACCTAATCGCCGTGTTCTCGTCCGGGTACTATACACCTGCCAGTGGGCATCGATATTAACATTGGCATTCGCTTGAGGGAATTATTCACTTCTTGGAAACTACTCAAGGAAAGGTTTAGGTCTGAGATTTCGTATTACCATCAGGTGGGCCCCGAAAAAATATATCCATATAATGAGCTTTTCCAAAACCTTCAGATGTTCAAGTTCAAGCTCAAGATCAAGCTCAACTTGAAATTGAACGTGAAATTGAATTTGTATCAGCATTATGATGGTTAATACTAGGTAATATTTAGTAATTCGGTGTAGGTCAAAAGCTCCAGGGCTGCAGTCAACGTTTACTACTACTAGTAGTACTAGTAGACACGGATCACTGGCACTAGGTATTCAAGTTTTATTCAACTTGAAGCTGATAACCGAGACCCTCCAAAATTCAAGTTGAGGACTCGGAGGAAGACACCTGCACATCCATCCATGGATGTACGATCATGATCTTGTAAAGGCTTCGAGGCCCGTGGACTTGGAAAGTTTTAAGGCTTAGTATGTACCTTAGCACAAAGGAACGAAAACGAAGACGCGCAGACATTTAAGCAGTCTTTTACCTAGTTCAAAGGGATTCCACGGACCCGCCATTTGAACATGCAATGTACTATGTAACAGACTTCGTTACTTGGATACCCCGCCTAGAATACCTGATTGTTGAGCACAAGCGCTAAATTTCATCAATCATTAGCTATGCGAGACATTTATGGCGTGGAAAGTATCCTTTTCAATCACAAGGGTCTATCTTGGTAGTTATCAAATTGATTTCGAGTGCTTCCTCAGGGGCAACTTCGAAGGGAGGCAGTCTCACTTGCTGCCTCTATTTTCTTGATCCCATGACCGCGAATTCCAAAAGACGTTGATAATTGCTCACAAAGTAAAGATGAATTTACAATTTTTCTCATATTTTAGTACTTCTGCAGGTGTCGACGGGTTGCTAATCAGATAGATGCTCACATCCGCTAGCATTAGCCTCTACACACAAATAAATCAAAGAACGAAAACTGATGATTTCCAGGCCATCCTGGCCCCTTGTTCTAGTTTATTTAAAAGCCCCTAACAAAGAAACATTTTGATAGTCATATATGTAAAATTTGGATCACAGCCTTGAAGGAATGGATAGAAAAGTAACCTTGCGGAGTGGATCAAGTGCATCCTCATCCGCTGTTCATGCATATCTCGATAGGCCGATCCTACCCATGAAAAAAACCAAACGAGGAATAAAGACGAGTTTGACAACTTCACCCTTAAAAATAATTATGCATTTTTAATAGTGCAGCCTGACAGCAGACCCCTGAAGACATTACCAATCGAAGTGGATCACAGTATTGAAAAACAAGGACCCATTGATGTGTAGCCAGCAAAAATAGCACCGAATTTTTTTTTAAACATTGAGCCAGTGAAGGCCGAGTGGCTTTTGAAAGCCAATAGGAACAGTTCCAGGCCAATCAAGAGTCAGGATTCTGTAGATCGAAGCTCGATAGAAGGAAGTGTAGGCGGGATTCGCTGATAGCCGCGTTTTTTAACTCCGGGACGGGACAGTGTCGGCATGTCGGTGCTCCGTTCCACCGACTTTCCCGCAGTTATCGGTTGGCGCGTCCATGCCGTGGTTCGTGGCTATGGTCCATAGAAAAGTTAACAACGACTATGAGGGGCTCGGGTGAGTAATCCTCCGGATTAAATATGCATCAAAATCGGTCAAAGCGCTCCGTTTCCGTGCCCGTTGGCGAATGGCAAATACAAATGAAGTAATTTTGAACATGGATCTAGACCGGATTGACCCTTTATATGATGCTGTCCCCGCACGTAGTTTCGTAGTGCTCAATATTTTCCCATTAATCTTGGGGCTTTTATCCACGGGGATATCTAGCCCAATATGGAGAAAGAAGCTAACACGATGGAGAGAGATGACTCCTCCATCGAGTTCATGCCTATCACCCAACGAACCGCCACCATTATCGAAGATGAAAGAGAAATTCAGCAGCTGGCAAATATCGCCTCCAGTAAGCTTGGTCGCACCCTGTCGGCCTCAGCAAGCAAAGGCGACCCTCGATTAGATCCCTCAAGCCCTGATTTCGATCACTATCGATGGGCTCAAACCGTGCTGGGGCAAATGCACGAGGAGGGAATTGAGGCGCCTCAGCAAGGTATCGTGTTCAAAGACTTGTCAATTAGTGGATCGGGAGCAGCAATTCAATATCAAGAAACTGTGACATCGTCCATTACTGTTCCCTTTCGCGCTGCTACAAGAGCTGCAACTGGTCGTTCCGTTCCACCTCGCCGCATTCTACAGAGCTTCGATGGCTTACTGCAGAGTGGCGAGCTTCTTCTTGTCCTGGGACGTCCTGGCAGTGGATGTACTACATTCTTGAAGACTATTACTGGTCATTTGGGAGGGTTGACAATGGATCCCAATAGTACAATTCATTATCAAGGTATTTCGTTTGAGGACATGATCAAATATCATCGTGGCGAAGTGGCGTACAACAAAGAGGTATGTCAACTCTTATCTTCATTATTTCTTATCCACTTCGAGATAGAAAGAAACTTTTTGATATCAACTCGTAACTAACTTCAAATTGCTAGGTCGACCTTCACTTTCCTCACCTGACCGTGGGCCAGACCCTTTCTTTCGCCGCCCAATCCCGAGCCCCCCATAAACGACTCGAGGGAATGAGCAGGACTGAATTCTGCGAGACCCTTGTCAAAGTCGTCATGTCTGTTTTTGGCCTAACCCACACCTTCAATACCAAAGTGGGCAACAATTTCGTCCGCGGTGTCAGTGGTGGTGAGCGAAAGCGAGTTAGCATCGCTGAAATGTTCTTGAGCCGTTGCCGTCTCGGAGCCTGGGACAACAGCACCCGTGGTTTAGACGCTGCATCAGCTCTAAAGTTTGTCCGATCTCAGAGACTTGCAGCAGACATGGGCAAATCTTGCCATGCCATCGCTGCCTACCAAGCATCCCAATCTATGTACGATTTGTTTGACAAGGTCGTCGTGCTTTACGAGGGACACCAAATCTACTACGGTCCTCGTGAAGGGGCTGTTCCTTTCTTTGAAGCCCAAGGCTGGGTGCGACCTGAGCGTCAAGTTTCAGGAGACTTCCTGACAGCTATCACCAATCCTAACGAGCGTATTGCCCGCGCTGGTATGGAAGGGAAAGTACCTCGCTCAGCGAAGGAGTTTTCTGAATACTGGAAAAAGAGCCCTGAATATGAAGCTTTGCGCAGTCAGATCTTAACCTATGAGCGGGACTACTCGCCCAGCGGCGACTCTGCCAAAAAGTTCCAACTGAGCCATCAAGAACAACAGGCTCGCCATACCCGTACCCGCAGTCCTTACCTTATTTCTATCCCTATGCAGATTCGTCTCTGTACCGTTCGAGCTTACCAGGGAATGCTGAATGACCTTCCTACCGCCATGTCCCCGCTTGTGGTACAGTTGATTCTATCTTTGATTATCGGTTCCGTCTTCTACAACACCCCCGACACATCAGCCTACTTCTTCCAAAAGGGTGGTGTCTGTTACTTTGCCGTCCTCATGAATGCCCTGCTTACGATCAATGAAATTCTCCAATTGTACGCTCAACGTTCCATAGTGGAAAAACAAGCTGGCTATGCATTCGTTCACCCATTCACCGAGGCCTTGGCTAGCATCATCATCGACCTACCTATCAAACTCGTTCGAATCTCCATTTTCAGTATCGTGCTATACTTCCTGGCTAATCTACGCCGCGAACCTGGCAACTTCTTCGTCTTCTACCTCTTCCTGGTATTCGCTGTTCTGACCATGTCCGGATTATTCCGCAGTCTGGGAGCTCTCACAAAATCAGTGGGTCAAGCGATGGCAATGGCAGGTGTTTTGGTTCTATGTATCGTCATCTACACTGGATTCACCTTGCCACAACCTTATATGCACCCCTGGTTCTCCTGGATTCGTTGGATCAACCCGATTTTCTACGTCTTCGAGGCTCTCATCGCGAATGAATTCCACGGCAAGAATTATGATTGTTCTTCCAAGATTCCTAGCTACGGTACCGGTGACAATTTCATTTGCTCTGCTGTTGGCTCGGTGGCAGGTCAGGATTTCGTGAGTGGCGACGTATTCATCGCTGAAAACTACGGATATTACTACTCTCATGTGTGGCGCAACTTTGGAATCTTGATTGCTTTCATGATCTTTTTCAATGCCGTTTATTTGGTTGCCACTGAGTTTATCTCTCGCGATACATCGAAAGCCGAGGCATTGGTATTCAGACCTGGACATGCGCCGCAGTATCTGAAAGAAAGTCTCGATTCCGAGAATGGAGCTGCCGATCTTACCAAGCTCGAATTGCAACCGACAAATGACACTATTCGTCTCCCTCAACAAACTGATGTATTCTCCTGGAAAGGTCTCAACTATGATATCCCCGTTAAGGAGGGTACCCGGAGATTGCTTGATGATGTGAATGGCTGGGTGAAGCCGGGAACATTGACCGCATTGATGGGTGTTTCTGGAGCTGGAAAGACAACGCTTCTTGATGTTCTCGCGCAGAGAGTTTCAATTGGTGTGGTTACCGGAGATGCCTTTGTGAATGGAAAGCTCCCTGCCACCAACTTCCCTCGGCGAACCGGTTACGTCCAGCAGCAGGACCTTCATATGGATACTACCACTGTTCGTGAGGCTCTTCGATTCAGTGCAATTCTTCGACAACCAAGAGCCGTATCCAAGCAAGAAAAGTACGAATATGTCGAGCAGGTCATCAAGGTGTTAGGTATGGAGGACTTTGCAGAAGCGGTCGTAGGATCCCTCGGAGAAGGTCTCAATGTTGAACAGCGCAAGCTTCTTAGCATTGGAGTTGAACTCGCAGCCAAGCCAACCCTTTTGATTTTCCTCGACGAGCCGACCAGTGGTCTCGACTCTCAAAGCTCCTGGACAATTTGTCAATTCCTGAGACGCCTGGCAGACCACGGCCAAGCGGTCCTTGCAACCATCCATCAGCCCAGCGCAACTTTGTTCCAGACATTCGACCGTCTTCTATTCCTAGCTAAAGGAGGTAGAACTGTCTACTTCGGTGACGTTGGAAAGGAATCTGCCTCCCTCTTGAACTACTTCGAGCGCAACGGAGCTCGTTCATGTGAAACACTTGAAAACCCCGCCGAGTACATCCTTGACATGGTGGCTGGAGACGGATGCCCCGGTGTAGACTGGGTTAAAGCCTGGAAAGAAAGCCCAGAAGCGCAGGAAGTTATCGCCGAGGTTGACCGTCTTCATTCTCCCAAAATCTCAGGAGAAACATCTTCTACCCACTCCAGCGAGTATGCCGATGATGACAATACCGAGTTTGCTATGCCTATTTCGACTCAACTTTGGGTTGTTCTTGGCCGTTGCTTCCAAGGTTATTTCCGTCGACCAGACTACATCTACTCCAAGTTTATTCTGGGTATTGTGTCTGGTCTCTTCATTGGTTTCAGTTTCTATGCCGCGGACAGCTCTGTACAGGGTTTCCAAAACGCACTCTTCGGTATCTTCTTGCTTTGCACTATCTTCAATACAATGGCCAATGCCATCATGCCGAATGTGGTAGCACAGCGATCCCTGTATGAGGTTCGCGAACGTCCATCACGAACCTACTCATGGACTGTCTTCATCATCTCCCAGATTCTAGTCGAGGTTCCCTGGCAATTCGCTCTCGGTGTCTGTTCCTGGGCATCCTTCTACTGGGCTGTCTTCGGAACAGGACAAACCTCCCAGCAGACTGTGATCGTGCTGTTGTTCATTTGCCAATTCTTCATGTACGCAGCTAGCATGGCCCAATTCGTGGTCTGTTCCATCCCCGAACCTACTCTCGCCGCCATGATCGCCACCCTCATGTTCGGTCTCTCCTTCGTCTTCAACGGAGTCATGCAACCACCCGGTGACCTACCCCGTTTCTGGATCTTCATGTACCGAGTTTCTCCATTCACCTACTACATTGCTGGTATCGCGGGTACAGCACTACATGGGCGCGATGTTCAGTGTAGCAGCGTTGAACTCAATGTCTTTGACCCGCCATCAAACATGACATGTGGCGATTACATGTCCAAGTACCTAGAGGTCGCGAGCGGAGCAATTTACAACCCGGACGCCACGTCGAACTGTCAATACTGCAGCATGGCAAGCGCGGATGATTACCTCGCTACCCGAGAAATCTACTACGGTGACAGGTGGCGCGATTATGGTATTTTCTGGTGCTACTTTGTTTTCAACATTTTTGGCGCAATTGTTTTGTACTATCTGTTCCGAGTCAGGACCTCCAAGGCCAAGGTTGCTCGGGGATAGATTTGATTCCCAGGTTGGTTGGATTTTTTTGAATTTTTTGTACATGATGTGATTCCACGAGTATCTTGTTGTATATAAGATTGTTAGTAGCGATGAAGAAAATAATTAATAATTAAGAAATCAGAAATAAGAAATAAACAAATACTCCAAAATGATTCGTCTGAAGTAATCGATCCGAATACGAGTAGTTTAAAGGAAGATCGTTCGCTGATCCGATCCTCGATGGTTCCCGAGCTGGTACATACCTGGGGGCGACAAAAGCCGGTTTTCAAAGACATTGGTTCAATTGTTCGCATAATTGGGCTCCACTTAGTGTCTCCTAGGCATCCTAGCCGAGTTTTCCTATATTTAGGACTAATCTGATTGATTCCGAACTGTGCAATACGTTTTCAAGGTAGATTTGATCTGTGTATGCAATTTTAATAAGTATCAAGTGGATGTATCAAGCTTCAGGTCAATCTATCTGCTGAGCTTGGGTGATCGGCGACCGTTTAAACAACCCAAGTGGGCCCCGCATGTTTGAACTTGATTGTTGATTGTTGATTGCGCCGAATTGCGCAACGATCGAAAGAGATCGGTCCCTGTAGCCCAGCCCAATCCCCCTTACAGAATCAAGAAACACATATACGGCGTACAATGACGATATTAGACAGTCATCCATGGATACTCAGATCTTACATTACTACCTTGTGCAATTGAACCGGCCAGGACCGGGTTATTATCATCCTTGGACTAAGCCAAGTCGTGATTAGGGGAAATTGGCTTATTGCACTAGATCAAATCAACTGGAATTCTTTTTTATCCGACGGGATCCGACCACTAAAGAAGCCCCATTCATTCATTACTTTTACATTAGTCTTTGTTTGTGCACGTTCTCAACATTCCACTTCATTCCAGATTCTCCACTGGTCGTTTCACTCGTTTCAAGGTTTCTTCCCAACCTGCAGCCTGCTGCAACTCTTCAACCACCTTCAGGTCAATTTTCAATATGGCCGACCAAAAACAAGGCTGGTACGCGATCTATTCTAAGAAAAAAAAGAAAAAGCACATACTAACCCCTCGCTTCTTAGGTGGCAGTCACATTACCGATGGGTTATCATGGTCATTGTGTTAGTGCTTGGGTTCGGACTAGTAGCTTGGTTTGGTGTTTGGTTACGACGTCGTCACGATCTTAAAAGAGGCCGATTACTTGGACCAGGACAAGTTTATGGAAATCCCCTCGTTGCGCCTCCGAATAAAGGACCCAATACACTTCAATCGCGTTCGGGGGCTTTGAATGCGCCTTCCGTCTCTGCGGTGCCGACGCCGCAAGCCCGCAGTTTACCGCCGCCTTCGATTGCCAGCAGTTCTCGGACTTCTCGGACGAATGTGCAGCCTAAACCTCAGACTGCTACGACGAATGAACCACGAGTACAAGGACAGACGCCGGGACAACAAAGCGCGGCTGCGAGTGTGCAGTTTTCGTCGGAAACGAGGGAGGTTTCTCAGACATGAGTAAATTGCGGTGGTCGCATTTATTTATTTTCAACGTTGTTATCTTCTTTGTTGTGATTGGTTGTTTGGCCTGTTTTTGATTTGCATTTTCTTGGAGTTTGGGGTCGCAAAATGATCTTTTTTCACTCTCATTTACGAGTTCAATGTTGCTTGGGTGTGGTCAGCTTGGATCTGTGTTTGCATATGGCCTTGATTCCCTTTTCTTTGTTTCTTTTAGATGCAACGCACATAGACTCTTTGTCGGATCAATTATATGGACTGGTCATGATTTCATCTATATATACACTTTTCTCTACTACGATACACTGATGCTAACAATTTTGATATCCTGTGTTGGCTTCTCTTTGAACGTCGTGGTCTTCTCGATCTTGTGAATGATATCGAAACCTTGCACGGCTCGGCCAAAGATGGTATGTTTGTTGTCTAACCACGGAGTCTTCTCTGTCGTGACGAAGAACTGACTTCCGTTGGTATTGGGACCGGCATTGGCCATAGATAAGGTATATGGTTTATCATGTCGCAGGCTGGAGAACTCGTCGGGGAATTCACCACCCCAAATGGATTCACCGCCGGTTCCATCACCCTGAGGATCACCACCTTGAATCATAAATTTGGGGATGACACGGTGGAAGATCGTATTGTTGTAATATCCCTGTCGGGCGTGGGTGACGAAGTTCTCCACAGTCCGAGGAGCAGCGGATGGGAACAGGCGCAGATGGATGTCGCCCATTGTCGTATGTAGAACAGCTGATGTACCGCTTTCGCTGGCTTTGGTAGGGCCACTATCAGACGCACCGGCAGCCTGGTTGGGTTTCTCGTTTTGCACATCTCGTGATGATTTGGAAATATCGATATCATTGGTGAACATGTAGAAGCGGACCTTGCCAAATCCAGTGCTAAGAAGGATCGCATCCCGCTCTTCGGCTTCTTGAAGCAGTGGGTTACTACTAGCAGCCATGGAAACGGTGACGACGCCCTTCTTTTGTGGTTGGCCTTGGTAAAGGGCGAGGTTTAGGGCTCTGAATGGCTCGTCGCGGCCGTAAACTCGAACCACGCGATTCGTATAGGTGTTGATGCACTTGATGCCGTACAAGGAACCGTAAAGCAAGAAGTGTCCGGATTCATCGAAAGAAACATTGACCTTATCACGGACGGACTGATCTTCCAACTCCCGCTCCACTCCCAAACGTCGTCCAAATTCCACCTCGTCGAGCTGATAAGGCGATGTTCCAGCCTGTTGCATCTCCACCAAAGTAGCTATTGACTCGTCGTAGGTGCGGTAAAGCTTTCCTGTCGCAAACTCAAAGACGCGCACTTGACGATCTGGGAAAGAGACAGTAGCAAATTGCTCACCCGATGGGGAAATAGTGATAGCCGTGGCAGTGGATTTCGCTTTCTTAAATGCGAAAAGGTTTGTGGACGATTTGAGCTCAAAAACATTGTCGGGCTTTTCAAAGGATCCATCTCCCGCTCTCCAGTATTCAATCATGCCAGATTCATCCGCAGATACCACACAGTCATACAAATTGTTGAAGGCCAATGACACCACAGGACTCCTGTGGATTGTTTTCACCGTGTGCAAGGGTTCGGGGTTTTCGCCTCGTCCGTCAAATATTTGGATTGTGTTATTGGACTGGTCTGTCACGGCGAGCAGTGGTAGAGACGCTCCGCGGCGATGGACCCAGCAAACACATCGGGGTACAAAATCCAGTGTGAACATGGACAATAGATCTGTAGTCAATTAGTCAATAATCGTACTTAAGAGGACCTAGTAGCAGAAACAGAGCGGCCCACCGAAAGTAATGACATCAAAGATCTTCACAGTCTTGTCCGCTCCCGCTGTCGCAAAGCTGCGCCCATCTGCGCTCACGCTAGTACTATTGATCTCACTCGAGTGGGCACGGAATTCCTTCACGAATTCGATACCCTCAGCCATCTTTTTCCAGAACTTCACAAAGCCATCAATAGAGCTAGTGATGACGAAATCGGTAACCGGTGTAACTGTTACAAATGACAATTGCTCCTTGTGCATGAGGGACTTGGAGTAGCGCGGGGATTCGGGCAGTGCCTTCACATAGACTTTCTCGAAGGGGAGCTTGCGACGTTTCTTCTTCGGGGCTGCTTCGGTAGGCAGCGCGGGGCCGAAATCATCGTCCGAGGAGGAACCGTCATCTGCTTGTCGTGGTCAGTATTCATCATTGTTCATTGGAATTTGCGGAAGCTCGGAGGAGCTGCGTACGGACCGTTGTCATTGGCGTCAACGGCAGAGTGTGGGCGCTTGGCCGCGGGGGGAGCAGCATTTTCTTCGGTGCCCGCCATTTTGAAAATCAGGGGCCAGCTTCAATTTGAGATGTGTAGGCCAAAGGAACTGCGATAAAGTCAAGGTCAAGGGAGAGAAAGTCGGAGAAGATAGCGGGCGGTGGAAGAAGCACCCAATTGGAAGAGCAGAAGCTCGGGCCACCCAACTTTTCTCCTTTCCCTCCTCCCCCACTGTTGACGAACCCATTGCTTCCTCACCCTTTTAGTCGCTTGGATCAGTTGAGTCAATCGTTTACTCTACACTGATCAATATGGTATGTCTCCGTTAGGAAATGTCCTATTTTATATCACATGCATTCTATAGACATATCAGGGCTAATACATCTCTAGGCGTCATTCGGCAATCCCACACAGATCTTTGGCGACGATGTGATCGAGGAGAAGGGAGAAAATGCTCGTCTGTCAGCATTCGTTGGTGCCATCGCAGTTGGTGACCTTGTGAAGAGCACTTTGGGTCCCAAGGGAATGGATAAGATTCTGCAGTCTGCGTATGTGGGGGAATCCAAAATCGATATACTTTCTTGATCATTGCGGGCGGGAATTTATATGCTGACTATGATTGTGGAAAAACAGATCAAGCGGAGAGATTCTCGTAACCAACGACGGTGCCACCATTTTGAAATCGATTGCTCTCGATAACGCGGCGGCGAAGGTGTTGGTCAACATTTCTAAGGTTCAGGACGATGAAGTGGGTGATGGAACAACATCTGTCACCGTGCTGGCTGCTGAGCTGCTGCGCGAGGCAGAGAAGCTGGTCAGCGCCAAGATCCACCCCCAGACCATCATTGAGGGCTACCGGATAGCCAGCCGTGCTGCTCTTGCTGCTCTCGATAACGTTGCCGTCGACCGGAGCCAGGACCCTGAGGCCTTCCGCAAGGACCTTCACTCCATCGCCAAAACCACCCTCAGCTCCAAGGTTCTGGCACAAGATCGTGAACACTTCGCTCGATTGGCCTGTGAGGCCGTCCTCCGTCTCAAGGGATCCACCGATCTCAGCCACATCCAGATCATCAAGAAGGCCGGTGGCAAGCTTAGTGACTCGTACTTGGATGAGGGTTTCATTTTGGATAAGAAGATCGGTGTCAACCAGCCCAAGCGGTTGGAGAACGCTAAGATTCTGGTTGCCAACACTGCCATGGATACAGACAAGGTGAAGATTTTCGGAGCTCGCGTCAAGGTCGAGTCGACTGGCAAGCTGGCCGACCTGGAGAAGGCCGAGCGAGAGAAGATGCGTGCCAAGGTTGAGCGCATCAAGGCCCACGGTATCAACTGTTTCGTCAACCGACAACTGATCTACAACTGGCCCGAGCAGCTGTTCACCGAGGCTGGAATTATGTCTATTGAGCACGCCGACTTCGACGGCATTGAGCGTCTCGCACTGGTTACCGGTGGTGAGATCGCCTCCACTTTCGACCACCCCGACCAAGTGAAGCTGGGCTCCTGTGATCTGATCGAGGAGGTTATTATTGGTGAAGATACTTTGATCAAGTTCTCCGGTGTGGCTGCTGGCCAAGCCTGCACCATTGTGCTGCGTGGTGCTACCGAGCAGTTGCTGGATGAAGCCGAGCGTTCCCTTCACGATGCCCTTGCTGTCCTCTCCCAGACTGTCAAGGACCCTCGCATCACCCTTGGTGGTGGCTGTGCTGAGATGGTGATGGCTAAGGCTGTTGAGCAGGCTGCCCAGAACACCACTGGCAAGAAGCAGTTGGCTGTGGACTCATTTGCCCATGCTCTCAAGCAATTGCCCACTATTCTGGCTGACAATGCTGGTTTGGATTCGAGCGACTTGGTGACTCGTCTGCGACAGGCGATCAACAACGGCATGACTAGCTCTGGTCTGGATTTGTTGACTCCTGGCGGTGGTATTGCGGATATGCGTGAACTCGGTGTGGTGGAGGCTTACAAGCTGAAGAAGGCAGTGGTTTCATCTGCCTCAGAGGCTGCTGAGGTAAGATCATATTCCGTTGCAATTTTTCTAATCAACGATTTATGAAGACACATACTAACATGTTTTTCTCTTACTACAGCTTCTTCTGCGTGTAGACAACATTATCCGTTCTGCTCCTCGTCAACGAAACCGAATGTAATCATGATATGCAATGGGTGACGACACTTGTATCTTTCTCAAGGCTTAGGATCCTTATACAAAAAAAAGCACAAATTCTCTATTATAGATACAAATTTTGTATATGTTGGTAGTACACATATATATCTTTTATTTAAGTACAGACCTACAAACCTGGAAGAACATGCTTGATACTTGATACCGAGTAGTAGGCTTCACGATCTGTTGGGTGCCTTGGTGCCTTGATGCCTGGATGTCTTATTGCCTATAATGTCAGGTGTCAACTAGCACTAGCCTCAATGCAACCCCAGGCTTGGACCCTGCGGACCCTGCGGATCATCAACATTTGGTAGTTCCAGTTGCCAATCCTGTAAATATTTACCTGCCGGCCTAATAAGGTACATAGATGCCTCGTGATACCCTCGGTGCTTATTGCCCCCAGGTCATTCTCATGCAGCGCACCAGTAAGCGGAAGCCTAATTTTGAGATCTACATTGGCCCTTCCTGGGTTCGGATTAGCGGGGAATTTGAGTATTGAGTGGGGTGATCTACTGGGATGATGCAGGTGACATATAAAATAATCTCAATGTAAACATCAAGCAAGCCATGGGATCTTGCTCCGAGTCAAGCCCTCTATTTGACTACACCATGCCAGGTCCCTTGAGCACTCAGTCTCCTTAAGCGAGGAGGCATGCCAAGTCCGCTGGTCTCATGCAGGCTCCGCCCACAGAGTGAAGGAAATGTACCCGTCATCGGGGTATTTTTAGCAGCATCAATTAGACGGATCGTGAATTTCCTAAGGTTGTGAACCGCTGACCCCTTAAAATACTGGATTTGCCTATTTTTACTGTTCCTGAGAATGGTTAATCCTAGAATGAACCCCAACATCATCCCCACTCTGAACCAACAACCCAGCTGTGTCCATAGTATACATGAGTACAATGTCGCAACTTTTCCCTGGTGCTTTAATCATAATTAAACTCAGGATTTGCCTCCCTTAAGCCCCACTGACCCAAGGCACTTTGCACCTGTCAAACCACAAAGGGTACACTAAGCCGACTCTAGACTCTTCTTCACTTTCATCCTTCTTCTTCTCCCCCCACTTTCTTCCCGGTCAACGATCCTCGTCGCAACCCTCTCTCCCTTCGCTTCTCATTTCGTTTCGATGTCTGTATCTATTTCGACGTCATGATCCTTTCTAAATGGATTCCTACCCTTTTGGGTGGCCTTCTGGCTACCCAAGGCGCGCTAGCCATCACCCTCAATGTCGAGGATCCAGGTCAGTAACCCGCATTCCAGAGCAGAGCTATCTCACTCCCCCACCCACATGGTGTAGATCCTCGCGCCGCGTGGACTAACATGGCACCGCTACATTCCAGACTCAATAAAATCAGCTGCCAAAACAGTCGCTTCCGGCATGATCACCTACTACAATAACCGCAATGAAAAGGCCATTCCCGGAAAATTAGACGACACATGGTGGGAGGGTGGTTCGATGTGCATGATCCTCATCCAGTACTGGTTTTTGACCGGTGACACCCAGTTCAACAACGCCGTCCAAGATGGCATGTACTGGCAGCAGGGCGACGATAACTTTTTCCCATCCAACTACAGTCAGTATCTAGGCAACGATGACCAGGTTTTCTGGGGATTAGCAGCCATCACTGCTGCTGAACTGAATTATCCCGAACGTTCCGGTCAGCCGTCGTGGCTTTCTTTAGCCCAAGGTGTTTTCAATACACAAGTGCCCCGCTGGGATACCAGTAGCTGTCATGGTGGCATGCGCTGGCAGATTTGGCCATATCAGTCTGGCTACCAGACTAAGAATGCGATTTCTAACGGTGGGTTATTCCAATTGGCTGCGCGACTTGCTCTTTTCACCAATAATGAGACATATGCAACCTGGGCTGAACGGATCTGGGATTGGAGTGCGAGCACTCCCCTTCTAAGGGAAACTTGGGTCATTGCTGATAGTACGAGCTGCGAAAGCCAATGTACCGATCATGGCGATTATCAGTGGACATACAACTATGGGACGTACATTAGCGGCGCGGCCTACATGTACAACTACGTATGTTTTACGCTAGGCAAATATGGCTCATGAAATCGCAAATAAATAGCTAACAATATTGCAGACAAGCGGGACTCAGAAATGGAAAGACGGTATTGTTGGCTTACTTGGGGTTTCAGACCAATTCTACCCGACAGGCAAGACCTACGACAACGCCGATGGTAATATCCTATCCGAATTCACTTGTGAGCCCTCTGGAAAATGCGATCGGAACCAAATCACCTTTAAAGCCTATTTCTCTTCTTGGCTTGCATTCATGACCACAATCGTACCCGGCACCTCGGATTTGGTGATGCCAAAACTGAAGACCTCAGCACAGGCTGCTGCCCTGGCCTGCACTGGTCTCTCCGATGGTTCTCATTGCGGAACGAAGTGGTACACACAAAGCTGGGATGGTACCGACGGGCTAGAGCAGCAAATGGCTGTATTGGGAATTTTCAATTCGCTTCTGGTGCCGTTCAAGAATAAGGCGCCTTTCACCTCTGATACTGGTGGTACCTCAAAAAGCAATCCCAGTGCTGGTACGAATAGCTCCGATGTGATTCCTCAAATACACCCGGTCACTACGGCGGATCGGGCTGGCGCCGGTATCTTGACGGCTGTGTTTGTTGCTGGCTGGGGTTTGGCCATCACATGGATGGTTCGAGGCGGGTGAAAAGCCCCCCTCTTTTTTTTTGTATTTATTGCCTTCTTGGCACATTGTGACTTTTTTTTCTCTTCTCGGGTGTATGTGCCAGTACTTGTGTAAGAATATCTTTTTAGTGAATCTTTTAATGTTAAAAGATAGCCTCAGGCTCAGGCCCACCGAATAGTTCACTTATACTCCATGTGTTATGCGTAGGTGATGTGTACTTGAATGTCAGAATATCCCAATGTGATTATGGGAACTCTGAATTTAGTCACTCATGTTCAATATGAAGCTTTGAGAGACAAATGTATGCAGATTAGTAGTTAGTATACGAGCTCGCACTTCCTACTATGCGAAGTACGTGGATTCTAGCCTCGAAGTTTCAAAGGCTCATCTGTACTCATAAGATCCTCACTAGCGATAGATTTGGCACCTCGTCAAAAGACCGGCCTTTGAACGGATTGATTCTAACTGGCTAAGTCATGGGGTAAGCATGTATTTTTGTAAACACTTTCCACAATTTGCCCCGCACTTTTGCCTAGGATACGGCGCTATTACGGAAACAAGAGATGATCTTCACTTCATTGGAAATGTGTACTTATAGCTCAAAACCCCCATGCAATTCTAAGAATTTTTACCATCTGGCCACTTCCCATTTCTTATTACTACAATTCATTATCGTCATATCTTCTACTAGTCTGTTGATTACCAAAAAGAAAGCCGCATACTCAATTAAAATGGCCCATATACACGACTACGAAGCCCGCGAAGTTTATAGTCCTCTCGGCAAGCTCGTTCCAACCATCCTTGATGAGCTTACTGCAAATGCACCGGACAGGGTTCGGTGAACTGTCCATGTCTCAAATCGGATATGAATTTGGGATGCGGTCAATAACATACCGGAAGCTTGCCAATGCCGTCAATGGGATAACAAAATGGATCATCGAAAATTTGGGCCCGTGTCTAGACTTCGAGACCATTTCATACATCGGGCCTAACGATATGGGCCATAGTATTATCACTCTAGCTGCAATCAATGCCGGGTATAAGTGCTTGCTTACATCCCATCTCTATGGCATTGTCGGGCAAGTCCGCCTTATGAAGAAAACTGGATGCAAGAATCTCTTCGTCTCATCCTTGTCAGACACCGATGTGCCAAATGTCCTTGTCGCCGAGCATGGGTATCTATGCTTATGGACTCTTCCGCCTATCATTGACCTCGTTGATAATGAACAAGACTTCCCGTATACCAAGAGCTTTGAGGAGGGTAAAAATGACCCTATGCCTGTGTTCTTCATACTTCTTGCACGACAGGCTTTCCTAGACCAATTATTTACTCTTTTGAGTGGGGAGTAGCTGTCGGTCAACAATGATATCCAGCACCAATGCCAGAATACGAAGCTATAGAAGAGATGCCCATGCATAACAGAGGTAATGTCACCAATTTACCCCCTTTTCATATGGGATTTTTCCTAGCTGGCTTCTTTGGCCCGCTCTATACTGGCTCTATTATCATTTATACACCAAGCACAATGCCACCGACAACAAAGACAATTGCGCATGTCGCCCAACACGTCCCAGTCGACATTATCTCCGTTATGCCAAGCACTGTAGAGGATATTGGCTTGGACACCAATCTACAGCATATATGTCTGAATTCGGGAATCAAAACCATTTGTTGGGCAGGAGGGCCAGTATCTCAATATGCCGGATCCAAAGCTGCAAAACTCTTCAAGATACTCACTACAATCGGCTCCAGTGAGTCCGGCGTATGGAATACAATTTACTGGAAGGTAGATGCGGGGTCTGATCCGTTCACATTTAAGGGAATGTGCTTTCATCCGGACGATAATATCGAATTTCGTGATCAGGGAGATGGTTTATATCTTGTTGTTATTGTGAGACATCCAGATCCAAAGAAAAAGCAGCCGGTCTTTTGTCTTCTTCCCGATGAAAATTAATACATTACCAAAGATCTATTTCGACGGCCCTCGGGTTCCGGAGCAGAGAGTATATGGTTCTTTCATGGTCGGGCCGACGACACGCAAATCTTCCCATCGGGGTCTACGTGGCATCCGAGCTCTACTGAAGAACGAGTCTTGGCAGAACATCGAGATCTGTTTGAGAAAGTCCTCATGACAGTTTCAGAACCCAACGTAGTGGTCTTGGTAGAGCCCAGTGCTTCGCTTCGTCAACAGCTGGATCAGGTTCAACAGAGTGAACATAGGGATGCACCGAATGAACTGCAGAGCACAATTCTGGATCTATTTTGGCCTACTATGGAGGATTTGCACAGGACTGACAAAAAGCGATTCATCTTCACCGATGCTGACCGCCCAATGCCCCGGACTGCGAAAGGAACTGTGCAGCGCAAGCTTACGATCACGCAATATGAAGATAAGACTCAGGCAGCGTAAGGTCCTCCCAATTGTGAAACAATGCAGAATTTCGAACCATGGAAGCTACAAGAGAGCGGTATATATTCCAGAGCCACAAATACAAGACTGTGATTCTAGGCGTTGACAAGGTCACACTGGGTTATCAAATTTCCACTGAAACTTGAACTCTCTCGTTATCAATGATATTTCTTAATACTTCTACTCCCGCCAGAGTGAGTCATTGGAGAAGGCAATTATAATTATCCCTCGGCTCCGGATACCTGTAACCACTCAGAACTCTTTGAACCAATTCATAAACAAAAACATCATAAGGTAATACAGACAGTGACTTCCTGTCAAATGAGGGGTTATGTATGGGTGGCCTTGTTTGTGTGCGAATGAGCCCTGGAAGATGAACAATACTGCACATGGCATACAGTGCCAGTGGTGCAGATTAGTAAAACACAACCCTGGCCTATTGAAATGTAATGAATACTCCCAGCCTCAATAGAAAGTCGAAGGAGACCTTGGAAGTTGATCACTAGATAAAGATACATTACACAGCGTAAGGATGTTAACATTTGCTGTGGACCGAAGGGGTATATGAGGGATAAACTTGAAGAAGCCTTGCCAGTGGTCCTTTTCTTTTGAAGTTACAATAAAGGGTCTCTCATGGCTTCCCTCGGGTCCAACAGGCACTTAAAAAAGGGGGTGGTATCTACTACTAGTACTATATATTGCTTTTCCAACACTGAATATGTATTACTAGTAGTACGATTAGAGGTCTGTTACAACAAGGATCAACTTATACGCTGACCGATTTCAAGTTGTATCAGTCAATTCTCTGATACGCTTACAAGGGTGTCCCGACTAGAAAATAAATAATACATGAAAGACCCAACCCGATTGCTATATCACCTGCATTTATTGGGAACTGATTGAAAAACCTTGGAAAGGGTGGTGAGGATTGTTAGAGGCGTAGCCTCGGGAGTTTGAAATATGGACTATATATTGTACAATGTATTTCCAGTCAACTTGATGGAAATGTTGTCACCAGAGTGTGATAATAGGTAGAAAACTTCATTTCCAGATCTTGAAGAACATTCCACACTCTGAAATTTGTATATCTACTAGTACTAGGTATGTGATGGTGGCTGTGTTGGATTTGTATTGATGTATTCCGACTGAAGCATGGTGGCTTGGATATACTATAGCATAAAGCTGTGGAAACGATCTAAAAGGCTAGACTGTTCGAATCGGACGGAAAGTGCTTCACATGTATTTAACCCCCGGGGTACATGTCCCATACAAAAAGGGGGCTTTTTTCGGGGTTTTCGAAACAATTTGCGTACCCTTGATGGCGCGGCCCCCTAGCTGATTCGATGTTACCATACCCATACACATAATACCGCAGGCGCTAGGTAATGCGCCCCGAATTTGTGAAGGACGGGACAGGAGTGTCAGGGATAGTGCTGTATTGTACCTGAGTATTACACACAATGCATCTGCCTTTTGATCTTCAACTTTCTTCTTGTTTCTCTTTTTCCCCCTTTCGTCTTTCAGACTTGCATCTTGCATCGATTTGTCGACGCCTCCCCTATATATCCATATCCCTCCGGTCCCTTTCTCAAGGATAGGGTCTTTGCTATCTCTCTGTTTGTGCGGATTCCTATCTCCGAGCTATCCCATTGTCCAACTGTGGGTGGGGGATGATCCGCTATCCGAATTCTTGCCTCTGCTCCACATCCTACGTCCCTTCGAATTGTCCATCTAGCCTCCCTCAATAGCGACCCAGCACACATCTCGATCGTCCTTATACAACCCGCTCGCCGCTTTTTGTAATTTCGACCTGTTCGCAGTGCTGAAGTTTCCACAATGCGGTGGCGGCTGCCGGGCGCCCGTTCGACACTTCCCGCCAGCGTCGCCCTTCTTCTCCTCCCAGTCCTGGTTGTTCCGCAGCAACACCCAGAACCCCATACCTCTGCATCTCATGTCTCTATACCAATAGTGGCAGATGGATCAGTATCGAATTCAAAATACACGGCCTCTGCGGCCGTGCCTCCCATCGTGAAATCCAACGATGCGAGCGCCCTGGCAACTCTGGCTCTGGCGGGCTCCGGCCGCGCCGTTCGAGCCCCTCCCATCCAGGCTAGCAGTACTGCTGCTGGTCTGGCATCGCAGCTTCATGCGCGGTCCTTGCAGGACTGGGAGGTCGAGGACTTTGTCCTGTTGGCGACCGTTGACGGAACCATTCACGCTCGTGACCGCAAGACCGGCTCCCATCGCTGGGCTTTAGAAGTCCCCAGCAGTCCTGTGGTCGAGAGCATCTATCACCGCGCCAATCGAACGAGTTTCGACGATACCCAACCTGAAGATGATTTCCTCTGGATTGTGGAACCCAGCCAAGATGGCAGCCTGTACATCTATAGCCCAGGCCCAGAGGCAGGGCTCCAGAAGCTTGGATTGACCGTCAAGCAGCTGGTAGACCAAACCCCATACTCCGGCATTGAACCTGCAGTCACCTACACCGCTCGAAAAGAAACGACTTTATACACCATCGATGCCCGCACTGGAAGTATCTTGCGAGTTTTCAGCTCTCGGGGACCATTTACATCCGGCCAGGAATGCCGCAAAGTAGATGGCCAGGATATTGATTCTGAGGAGTGTGAAACGACATCGGGTACATTAGTCCTTGGCCGTGTCGAGTACGCTGTGGCGATTCAAAACACTGAAACTGGAGACCAGATTTGTACTTTGAAGTACTCTGAATGGGCCCCCAATAACCGAGATATGGACCTCCAGAGTCAATACTTCCGAACCATGGACCAGAGCCATGTGTACAGCATGCACGATGGGGTTGTCCTAGGCTTTGACCATTCTCGGATGGACCGACCTCGCTATACCCAACGCTTCCCCTCTCCGGTCGCCCGGGTTTTCGATATCGTGCGGCCAACCAACAAGGAATCTCCTGACGGTTCAACTCCACTTGTGCTGTTGTCACAACCCTTGCAGCCTCCAGACCCCGACTACGGTACACTAGAGGATGGTCGAGACATGCGAGTTTTTATTGACTCGACAGATGCTGGTGGATGGTATGCCCTGTCAGAAGAAACCTACCCTTTGGTCACTGGCCGTGCTTCCATGGCACAATGTTACGACAAGGACTTTTTTCGTAGAGGACATTCCTTGATGAGCTTGAACCCACACCAACAGCGCGATGCCTTGGCTGGCGTACACTCATTAAACGGCCCACAGTTACGCCCATCCATCCCACGACTTGGTAGCTCTTCTACGAGCGAGCTGACCAATGACACTCCGCACGATGTTCTTCGCAGCCCGTCAGAGTTGGCACTCCCACCCGCCCTGCGTAACAGTGCCATTATCCGAAAGAGTTGGGATAACGCACTCGACATTGTCGTTACCCTCATCCTCCTCTTTATTGGTACTTTCATTTACTTCAACTCGCATCATATTCGAGATCTTGCCAAGCAAAAGTTGGACATTAAAAACATTATCAGCTCCAATGACAAAACGCCACTTTCCACCCCAGCTACTCCTATTGTCGGCACTTCCCCTTCTTTCACCAACCCTTCTCGGACGGTGCCGGACGTTACTGTCGACGTTGATTTATTGGACTCAAATATGGACGGCGAATCTACGCCCAGGCAATCTCGAGACCAAAGCACCCCACCGTCGGGCAAAACGACCCGCTTCAAGACAAACGAGTCTGGAGATGACGAGGAAGGAGCCTTGGACCCTGAGAAACCGAAGAAGAAAGGCCGTGCCCGTGGTACACGGGGTGGCAAGAGTCACAGGCGGCGGAAGAAGCCCGGTGCCGAGAGCGATGCCGCTGACCAGGCTGACCAGGTGGTTGAGCAGGTTAACCGTATGGTACCACAACCTCGACTCGAACCAGATATTCAATTGACTCGTACTGTTTCGAATGAAATGACGCAAGTAGATAATGTCGTTCGCATTGGACGGCTTGAAGTCTTCACTGATGTTGTCCTTGGACATGGCAGCCACGGTACTGTGGTCTATCGCGGTAAATTTGATGGCCGGAATGTGGCAATCAAACGTATGTTGATGGAATTTTATGATATTGCCTCTCATGAAGTCGGGCTACTACAAGAAAGCGATGACCATCACAACGTCATCCGTTATTTCTGTCGCGAACAGGCGGCTGGGTTTTTGTACATTGGTCTTGAACTCTGCCCTGCATCTCTTCAAGATGTTATTGAACGCCCAACTCAACATCCTGAGTTGGTTCAGGGTGGCTTGGATATGCCGGATGTGCTGCGTCAGATAACTCAAGGAGTTCGATATCTGCATTCTCTCAAGATTGTGCATCGGGATCTGAAGCCTCAGAATATTCTAGTGGCCACCCCTCGAGGTCGAACTGCTACACGAGCGATCCGACTCCTTATCTCAGACTTTGGTCTGTGCAAGAAACTGGATGACAATCAGAGCTCTTTCCGTGCTACGACTGCGCATGCCGCTGGGACTTCTGGCTGGCGAGCCCCGGAGCTACTCGTTGATGATGATACCGGCCCCCTTAGTCTTGCGTCTCAACATACTGAATCATCTGAGCCGGCTGTTGTAGACCCCCAGACCAATCGCCGTGCGACCCGCGCTATCGACATCTTCTCCTTGGGCTGCGTTTTCTACTACGTTTTAACCCGCGGTAGCCATCCATTCGACAAGAACGGCAAATTTATGCGAGAAGCCAATATTGTAAAAGGCCAATTTGATTTGCAAGAACTGGATCGCTTGGGAGACTATGCCTTTGAGGCGGATGATTTGATTCGCTCTATGTTGTCTCTAGACCCACGCCGACGGTATGTCATTTCTCCATCTTTCTCAATATTTCTGCTCCTCATACTAATCTAAAATCTCTCCCCATAGACCTGATGCAAGCACCGTTTTGATGCATCCATTCTTTTGGCCACCATCTGATAGACTAAGCTTTCTATGTGATGTCTCTGATCACTTTGAGTTTGAGCCGCGTGATCCACCATCGGATGCTCTTCTCTACTTAGAGTCTGTAGCGCCCGATGTGATTGGACCGGACAATGACTTCTTGCGTCTGCTTCCCCGCGACTTCAAGGATAACCTGGGCAAGCAGCGCAAATATACCGGCTCCCGCTTGTTAGATTTGTTGCGTGCTCTTCGTAATAAGCGCAACCATTACAACGATATGCCAGAAAACCTCAAGAGCCATATTGGTGGCTTGCCAGAAGGATATCTCAACTTCTGGACAGTACGCTTCCCCAGTCTCTTGATGAGTTGCCATTGGGTGATCACAGAGTTACAATTGACAGGAATCGATCGATTTCAACGCTACTTCACTCCGCCGGAGTGAGTGGCCACGTACGAGTAAACGATCTTTACAACATTTATGGGAAAATTTTAAATTTGCTTTATCTATCAAATAACAATCATACTCGCTTGAATGCACCCCATTCCGTACTATTTATTGCCTTTGCTTCTGTGACTGTGTTTATCTTGCACACATCGCCTCACAAGCCTTTGTAGAGTACAGTAGTTGATGAGCGCGATTCGGGACGAGTTAAAAATGACAGTGAAAACGTGGAAGGAACACGAGTTCCAACTAGGAACATTTGAAGCTTCCTTCAACATCTTTCGATTTGTCTGTACTGGCGAGGGGCATACGCGCTATCTCCGCACAAACACCGAGCCGATAAGCGGCCTGCGGTATCAGGCATAAACGTTCGCGTCTCTCTTTCACTTTTCGCGCATCTCCGTTTGCTCGGATCTTGATCCTCATTTCCATTGCTCTCACCTGGTGAGATGACGATCTTACCCTCCATCCTACCCTCCATCCAGGCTTGCACAAGAGTTCAATAGCTTGGCATCTTATTTATTCCTCTGCGATCCAATTGACCCCCCTCATCCTACTTTGTTTCGGCGCACCCGCGACAATGGTTTTCCTCCGACTTGAGGTTCGAGTCTACCCAAGAGAATCCGGCCAAAATGGAGGTATCTTCAATGCTGTCCTCGGAAAGAGGCCAGAAAATGAAGATTCAAACGGACCAAAGAAGACTTATGCAGGATTTCTCTTGACCCTCAAGACTCCAGAGGACTACACAATGGGTGATCTATCTTATTTGATCAAAGAAAAATGGCAAGCCCTGCGCCCGGAAGCCGAGTAAGTGATGCAATTCCCAACGCTTCGGTGGAGGTGGTTTTTAATCAATATTTTGAACATATAGGCAACTTGTGATCAAGAAGCTACTCGATGACACAATGCCCTCGATTGACCTTGAAGTTGGAATGAGTGTTGCCGATGTGTTCGTTGATCGCGGCAAAGCTCTTGCAGATGGCCACGATCAGCGTGGCATTGTGCGCGTAGTTCAGAAGCCCAACGACTCATACGCCCCTGTGCGATTTCCCTCGGTAGTTCAGGATTTTGAGGGTGCCAGCGAAGCCTACGCTCGAAAAAAGGCCAAGAGACCCCTCGGCAAAGCATTCTCACCAATCCCTGAACATCCTCACGATACCCCAATTTCTTCGGTCGAAATCCCCCGCAAACCCCTCGATAAAATCTCTCCCACTTCCCCTCTTCCTGTCACCAATGGCGAAAGTCCAGCCGTCACTTCTCCTAGCCCACGAGAGGGATCTCGTAAGCGCAAACAAAGCAGCCCAGAAAGAGACACACCAGCCAAGGAAGCCCGGGTGGAAAAGGAAGCGCAGTCCAACGACACAACCCCTCCACTTCGAAAGTCCACACGCATTTCCAGTTTTGCCAGTCCAAATCGAAGGCTATCCTACAGCCAACCAGCCGAAAATGGGCTGGGACTAGGTATTACAGGTAGTGCGAAGGCTAATAAAATTGCACCTTCAAACTCGTCACCTCAGCTCCCACCTGTCCCTCAAAGCATTTTGTCAAAATCCTCCAAGAATACACACGCCAACCCCAATCGCCGCATTTCTTTTGCCGAAAGTGCTACACCACCCGCTAATGGTCATCCGAATAAGAAGCCGGCCTCAATCTCTGCTTCTGCTTCGCGTCAAAAAGAGAAAAATTCCATTCCACCCAGTAGCCAGAGCGTGGTCCCGACCAGCAGCCAAGCATCAAACATCCAATATCCACCGGGTGTTGACCCAGAAAAGATTCGGCGGTTGACTGAAGAGCGCCTTCAACAAGAACGGTCCAAAGACGAGGCCAGGCAATTGCGAAACGATCCCAAGGCAGATAAATCCCTGCTAGTATTGGCACAAAGGATATGCTATCTTCTGGACCGCCCGAAAAAGAGCCTCAAGTTTGAAGATAATCAGAAGCTTAAGACCCTTCTGAATGAATTCAAAGATAGGAAGGACAAGCTTGCCCAGTCAGCACAACCTGAAAATAATGGGAAGAATAAAGGAATTCAGGAAAGTGAAGATGATAGTGAATCCAGCGAGGAAGAATCCAACAGTAGCGGGGATGAGATATCTGACAGTGAGGAAAGCTCAAGTAGCGAGGAGGAAGGCTCGAACAGTGAAGGAAGCGAGGAGACGGATGATGAGGACAATGAGACCGAGACCAACAAGAACAGTAATATCTTTGATGTGGAAGCAGTCGAGTCGACACCGGCTAAAAATGATGCTGGCACCAAGCAGAAAGATTCACCTATACAGATCTCCGACAGTTCTGATTCTGATGATCAAGAAATGGGTGGTCTAGACCTTGCCCCAGCCAATGTACAAGACAAGCAAGCTTCGGAATCGGAACATGACAATGGCACTAGCAGCGAAGATGACGAGGGATCTTCACGTGTCTCTGGCAACGCTGATTCTGAGGATCAAGAAATGGTTGATGCTACTTTCGCTCCAGTCAATGGTCAAATTGAGAACCCAATTTCGGAACCCAGACAAGATGACGTTGCTGTCAGTGAGAATGAAGAGGGATCTTCGCGTGTCTCCGGCAACCCTGATTCCGAAGATCAAGAGGTGGTTGATCCTACCCCCGCTCCAGTCAATGATAAAAACGAGAAGCCAATTTCGGGATCCGAACAAGATGGTGATTATGGCAGCGAGGATGAAGATGAAGATTCAAGCGTTTCTGGAAGCTCTGATTCCAAAGATCAAGAATTGATCGATCCTCCTCCCGCTTCAGCCAACGGACAAACCGAGAAGCCAATTTCGCAATCTGAACAAAAAGAGGCTGCCGGCTCCAATAGCCAAGAAGATTCTGAACCTACTTCCGACATTCCTGGTCCTCATGACCATGACAGCAGCGTAGACCGCGCAATCCTGAACAATGTCAAGAATCCGGTTCTGAAATCTGGAGACGATTCAATCCCGGTGGAAGGTGAACAGGAAACTGAGCCTGAGAAGAAGTCTCAGGCCCGTGCAAACCAGTCAGAAGATGAAGATCAGTCTTCAGAAGAGGAGTCTGAGTCTGATTCTGATTCTGATTCTGACTTGGATCCTAACTTGACGTACGTGACATCTTCTTTACTCTGGAACCCAATCAGAACCACTAACGCGATTAAAGCTTTCATCCGCTCCCTGGCGAATCCCCTGCAAAGTCAACGAAGTCAACCCCGATAAAGCAGGAGCCTCCTGCTCCAACCCGGGCAACTTTGAAAACACTCTTGCAGGATCGGATAGCTAAACAAGCAGCACGCCAAGCCGAGCAACAAAAGTCTTTTGCCAAACCGGCTCCTACTACCTCTGCACCGAAGAGGCATAACGACATCTTCGAATCTTACGACAGCTCGGAAAGCGATACCAGCGATGGAGACGTCCTACCGAACGGAAATACAGGGCGCCTCTTCCAAAAGAGACCTTCAAATCATTGATATGATTGAACAAATTCAGAGATTCGACCTCGGAATCTCGGTGTGCATTTTGACTCGAAGCGATGTATTTTGATATCCTATTTGTTTGATTATGTGAACAGACGCGGTACCTCGTGCTATGTATGAATATTGAAGGCGCCAAATGTACACTTAGTAGCTAATGTTTTTGTTCGGTGCCTGAAAATTTCAAGAAATGTTCAAATGTTGCCAGACTTAAAATGTTATGACGCATATACGCCTAGGTGTCTAATAACATGTGTATTCTGCGTTCCAGAGCACGGAAGCTGATTTGAGAGCACCTTGGTCTATTTAGCTTGGCTTGAATCTGAGATGTACAATCCATACAAGATGCTTTCTTAGGAACGAAATCATGCGACTAGATCGCGCAAATTCGTCATGATCGTCCCCGGGTCCGGGATCAGCCGTAAGGGGGTATCCCATCATGTACTAACCTTGATTGCGGGCAGGGTACTTTTTTGTGGACAGCTGGCATGACCCACACATTATGTAAAAGAAACCATTCACATCATAGGGCAAGCGAGAGAAATGCAATGGCAACTCGCAGCTGGCAACTCTTTCGAAGCAACGATTGGTACCACCTCTCCCGTGGGATCTCAGCTACAGATGCAGTGGAACAAGAAAGTCCTCGATGATAGGTAGATCACCGGAAAACCTGAAAGAGTGGAGCGATTTGTAATGTCGATCAAGAATATGATCCACCCTTATGCATGAACAAGAACCTGTTGTCCGGACAAGCTGTCAACCTGTCGCTTCTGGGGTGCCAAAAGTTCCCCTATATCTATGGTTCAGTTCTTTAATTTGTGACCCGGCATTTGAGCATGCAATTGGAACATGGCAAAAGCTTTCCAGATTGTTTGGAGTTGTCTGGCACCCTCTTAAAGCATCTTATTAGCATAATTGACGAATTGTTCATGCAGAATAGTGGAGCTGAAATCCTGGGCCAACACCATAAGCAGCCTATAGAACAGCCCCTTCTGCATGAGACTAAGAATTGTCGATCGCCACCTGCAAATTCTGTAATATGAAGAGGCTGGAAGCAATAATTTCGTCATTTTTCAATTTCACTTCTGCAGTCTTGAGTAAATCGCATCAATTTCCCTCACTTTGGGGGGAAGAAACAGCTCCGCTACATGAATCCTAATGGTGCGAACAGAAACTCCCCAATTATCCCCATCAGTTTTGTATCCCATATTGGAAAATTCTCATCTCTGCTGTCTTCCTTCGTCTTCTTTTTGATTTTCGATCACGCTCTCAACATGTCGCGTCCAAATGGGAATGACATTGAGCGCAACAATGCAGATGCCTCTTCAAGTTCCCCCTGGTACGAACGGGGCGATCCCCCGCCAGACGAATATACTTCCCTTATGCCGAGACCAGCCTCGGAGGACGATCATTGGGCAAGGATAGAGGATCAGATTAAGTCTTTCGATAAATCGAGGACAAAATCTTTACTCATCGAGTCCTGGGAGCTGTTGAAGGACACAGTACCTGTGATTTTCGGATATACATTGCAAATGAGTTTGCAAACGTCGACCGCGATAATTATTGGTCAATCGTCTCCCATAAATTTGGCTGTTGCTGCCTTTTCTCAGATGTTTGCTTTGGTTACTGGGTGGATGATTGCTCTTGGTGGAACTACGGCCCTTGATACGATCGCTTCATCTACGTTTACGGGAAGTGGGAACAAGCATGATCTGGGAATTTTACTTCAACGGGCGCTTTTTGTGCTGTCGGGCTTCTTTATCCCTGTTGCTGTTCTCTGGACCTTTTCAGAGCCTATATTTTTAGCTCTAGGCCAAGGCGCTGAGCTATCGCGCCTTAGCGCGCAGTATCTTACTGTTTTAATTCCTGGTGGATTGGGATACATCTTTTTCGAGGTTACGAAGAAATATCTTCAAGCTCAAGGTAGGAGGCCGTTTCGTCTTGTCTAGCCTATCAGGAAATACAATACTAATAGCATGATATCACAGGAATCATGCGCGCCGGAACCTACGTTATGATGATCGTCTTACCATGCCACTGTCTGATGACCTACACATTCTGCTATACACTTGAATATGGACTTCTGGGCGCTCCCCTCGCCTCCAACATCTCATACTGGTTCGCTTTTGTGCTGTTGGTTTTATACGCCAAATTCATTGACGGCTCCGATTGCTGGGGAGGATGGTCACGAGCAGCCTTCGAAAATATATGGACATTTGCACAGCTTTCTCTCCTTGGAATTCTACACATCGGAACAGAGTGGTGGGCATTCGAAATTGTGGCACTCGCCGCAGGTCGCCTGGGAACAACTTCTCTAGCAGCACAGAGTGTCATAATGACTGCCGATTCAGTTCTCAACACCATACCCTTTGGTCTGGGAATAGCAACATCATCCCGTATCGGCAATCTACTCGGTGCGCGCAGTGCAAAAGGAGCTGCGCGCACCGCCCACATCTCCGTCCTCCTGGCTATTTTCCTGGGAACCTTAGTCCTTGCAGTGTTGCTGGGTAGCAGGGACCATTTTGCGAAAATCTTCAACCGCGACCAGCAAGTAGTGAGCCTTGTATCTGAGATTATGCCCTTTGTTGCTCTTTTCCAGATCGCAGACGGCATGAATGGAAGCTGTGGTGGTAGCTTGCGTGGTATGGGCCGGCAGCATGTAGGTGCCGTTGTAAATGTCTTTAGCTATTACATCTTTGCGCTACCGCTAGGTATTTACCTTGCTTTCCATGGTTGGGGGCTGAAAGGGCTTTGGATTGGCCAATGTGTGGCATTGTATTGCGTTGGACTTGTGCAGTGGTTTTTGGTTGCTCGGAGTAATTGGGAGAATGAGATTAGCAATGCATTTAAGCGGATGGATGCGCAGGATGTCCTTGAGAGTGACTATCCTTCATACTACCAAGCTGGGGAGGAAGAATAGATGGGTAGCTAGGGAAGCACTGCATGCTTTTGAGGTCAAAAGCGTCCCCGTGTTTTTACTATAGTAGGTATTATTATTATTATCATAGCTTTTGTACAGGTAGTAGGATTTCTGACTGAATATGTCTCGGTGCATCTTTGCCACCTTTTTAATTATTATCATCTCATTCTTTGGGTTGCGTACAGGATCTGTTTTACAAGTGAATAACTTATGTACACCATGAGAAGTACGTACATATGCAGCTGTATCATTAACAATATTCCATCAAGGTTCAAGAGGGTAGATTCCAAATGAAATCTAAAGCACCACCTTCACACATTGGGAATTGGCCACTATTGCTTATGCCGAAAGGTGCCATTGATGGATCAAAAGGCAACGAGAGCCAATCGTCTCCAATATCGTTAAATGATGGCATCAGACCCATATCCGGGGGCAGGTCTTGAGTAATTGGAGTGCCCGTTTCATTGGTGCGATCACCCATATCAGGCCATGCAGGAGGTCCCATTGATGAGCGACGTGTAGCGCCTCGGCTATTCTTAATAGCTTTAGAGGATGCTAGCAGATTACGTCGCAGGCGAGAGACATGCACATCCAAAAGAGTTGCGTAGCGAGTACTCAGGTGAACATCATCCAGCGCGTTCGATTTTAATGCGTTGATGCTTTTCTCTAAAACTTCAAGTGATTCTCGTAAGGTCGCTTCTCGGGTACCTAGACTGAGGGCCTTCATTAAGAATATGGAAGCGCTAGTGATGCGCAGAACGATTCGAACTGGAGAATACCGAAGTGCACCCGTTTCTGCAAGTTGAGTGACCTTTCGCAAGATCTGACAACAACCATCAATAACTTCTTGAATATATTCATAATCGGTCGAGTCGATTGTCGTTGGACGCATATCTTCAAAATTGGGGTCGGAATCTGCTATAGCACGTTCTACAACGGCTTGCATCCCGACCGAATGAGTGTACACGCGGACGAAGTGATACTCGATGAATAGATCATTGTAGAAGGATTTATCGAGAACATGGGGTTGCAGGTATTTGTCTTTCCATTGATTAAGCAGGGGCCGAAAATGGTCGAGTAGTCCAACATAACGGCCGCTGTGTAGCTGCTGGCGCGCAAATTTAGCAGATGGAAAGAACATGTCGGTTACTGATTGCGCTAGTTTTGTTAGCTCAATCCACGAATCCATGAATATCAGCCAGGTACTACCTGGCTGACTTAATCCCCGAGGCTTTCGTCCACCTAGGACTGCATGATTTAAAGACTGAGGAATCGGTGACATGCAGCCAATGCGCCATGCAAGTTGGTTTATATACACATAGAGCAGCCGTTGGACCCGCTGCCGCCTCAGTGCAATCTGTTCTCTCCACTGTGCATCATCATCTGTGCAGTCACTCTCCTCCGTTTCGAAAATGCCCAGCTCATGAGAAAGAGAGAGTGCGCACCCTAGTAGCATCCACGACATTTGGTCGGACCTTCTTGAAGGTTCAATCATATCGTCTAGCCACCTATTGGCAGATGAACCGTGAGGGTCAGTATTGTCGGTTTGTTTGGGCTCCGAGGAGATCAAGTCATCGTCCCAACCGTCTGTTTCAGGGGGGAAATGCAGCGAGCGAGGGTGCCACTCGGCCATCAAGAGTAATGCCTCAACTGTACCGAGACTTCGAACCTTGGACTTTGTCGACTTTTCCTGGCCAAATATTAATCGCATGGTTAATTGCTGGCAATGTTGCCATAGACGGTGGTGGATAAAGAAATTTCTCGACTCGCCACCGGCGCCTGGCAAAATGTGATACCGAGAAGAGATCATGAGAATAGTAGAGCATAATACCGGCTCTCGGGTGATGAGGAGGAAATGGTTTTGGTGATTGGAGTAGAAGTCGGTTAGGATAGGAGATAGACAGGACATGTTTTTGAAGAAGCTATATCCACCTAGGTCAGCACAGAAAATAAGTAACTGGGGAGGATCCGAGGCATCTTTCAAACATACAGATCAATGAGTGTGACGGCTTCTCGAGCAGTGAACCAACCCATCTTGACAAATCGACAAGCTTCCCAAACTCCCAGCGTTCTCTGCTTTGCCTCCACTAACATTTCAGGTCGTTTAGTTCTTGGAATAGGTTCAAAAGGCATGGGGCTTGCATAATTCCGAGCGCCACGCTCGTTATGACTGAAACTGCCATTATTCAATCCCGGGCCCACGGAGGGACTAGATTCGTGCTGCATATCTTCTTCTTGATTTTGAGCCGTGGCTGCTTCGAATAGAATATTAAGGGCATCGTTTCCACTGGCAACCACTGTCCGCATCATGGAGTTGACCAAGCTTGAATTTGAATGATGTCGATGCTCCTGCTGATCTTGAGGTGATATATGATTGCGGTGATTATATGGCTCCGCGCTGGCTCTTGGGCCGATATGAGTGCCATGATCATGTTGTAGGGAAGGGGAATGTCCGCTGAGAGGCCATCCAGACTGAAAGGGACTGGAACCGGGAAATTGTGAAGGTGACTGGTCGGGCTGGACAACCCTTTTTTTCGATGCTTCAGGCGTCGCATGCGATACAATCGACTCTGACCCCGGGGATATTTGTTCATCGCCTTCTTCGATTGAACGACCTGCATATGACCAGTTAGCGCCCGTAAGTACAAGGGTTGAAGGATTTGACACCAACTTACCACGTTTTCGGGACCTTTCCCAGGCGCGTTTCTCCGGGAAGACACATTCCCTCATTTCTCTGCGACATCGCGCGCAAGGTGGGCCGATCGGTAGGCCATCTGAACCTGCACCCAAATCGCACTTAGCCTTCCGTTGCCGACAGGGAATGCATGCCTTGTATGTCCGTTGATAAGACCGATCCGGGCGGGGTGGCCTTGCATCCATAACCAACCGTGACGGTCCGAATATGGCCGGTGAATCAGGAGATCGTGATTAGCAATACGGAATGCCGTGAGAGCTGCCTGAAAGTGGATGTTTTGAGGGGGAAATCGCGGAGATAGAGGCGGGCCACCATTAACCGACGCTTTCCGCACAAGACGATACGTGATAAGTCGATAAGGCGATAAGAATCTAATCTTTGCTTATCTACGCTTATCGACATTGCTTTGAACCACGAAGTATGCAAGACTTGCTCGTCTACATAATTGATGGAAGAACTTTGAATTTTGATATGAACCATCATAAACAAACCATAATAAATAGTAGAAGAATTATAAATACAGGTATCAAATCAATACATCTGAACAGCAACAAGTCAAACGCAATAGAAACAAACACAAACGACGTCAGACATTTGAACTGTCAAAACATAACCAACCCAGAATAATTAGACATATAAACCGAGGTATAAGCATCCAAAGAAACTTGAGAGAATTTCCAATTACTTTCCTCCCAGACCCAAAGCGTCTGTCAGCCCACCGAGACCCAATCCACTGACCAACTTATCTAAGCCCAGTCCACCAAGGATGCCATTCAAAAGGCCACCCAAACCAAGACCATCCAATAGGCGACCGACCAAGGTCAACACACCGTTCAACAAAAGTCCAACTGCAGCGATGATCTGGAACAGTGGCTCAGACAGAAGACCCCAAAGGGGGCTGAGCTTCTTCTTGGCGTGAGGCATATCAGCAATGAGCCTCTTACCATTATCGATGGTCTTAACCACGGTCTCGGTCAGAGTCTTTAGTAAATCGGCAAGCTGGCTTTCTTCTTGAGTAGCATCACGAGAAGAGGCGCGAGCCTTGGCAGTTGCTGCAATGCGGCCGTCGGGGTCGAGGGCACGAATAGCACCATTGCATTCCTGGAGAATTTGACCACCTTGTTCGAGCAAAGGCTTAACATCCTTCACCAATTTCTCCTCGTCAAGCTCGTCCTTTGGAGTGCGATCGGCCTTCTCAATTTTCTGAGAAAGGAATAAAAAGTTAGTATAGGTCGAATATAATAAATGTTGGGGATGTGATGTGCGATATGCTAACGTACCTGGATGATCATGTCACAGACGGGCTTGACCTTGTCCAAGGTCTGGTTGAGGATGGAGATCATTTTCTCGGCCAGCTGGCGGTCGTGCTCAGCTTTAGCTTGAGCGTCCTGCTCTTCGGGAGATGGGCCTTCTTCTTCCACCTCTTCCTCGACTTCCTCGGGAATATGCTCCAGCAAAGTACATTCGCCAATCTTGTTGCCTTCGTTGTCAACAACGTATCCATTATCGTCGATTGACTTTCCAACCAAGGTCGCCAAGTTTCCAGAAGTCAGTTTGCCAATAAGGTTGCCATCGGCATCACGCACTTCTCCTTCCTTGTTGACCTTGCGACCAGACATCGGGTTGACATCCCGAGCCTTCTCCTCCGGCTCCCATCGCTCAGCCTTGCCAATGGTGTTGCCATTCTTATCGAGAACATCACCATCTTCGTCCACCTTGCGACCGAGGAGGCGCTTAGCATCGCCCTCGACCAGACGTCCGATTATACGACCGGCATCAATGACAACACCATCCTTTCCAACCTCAGCATTTTCAAATCCGAAGAAAGGGCCCTCGGCCTTTTGTTGCTCCGATCCAGGAATGAGCTCGGCGCGTCCAATAACCTGGCCATTATCACCCCATACTTGACCTTTGCCATCGACCTTGCGGCCAGCGAGACGCTTGTCGCCTTCGACAATGCGTCCAACAATAGCGCCAGTGGCCGGGTCAACGACATTGCCAGACTTGTTGACGACCTTTCCTTCAAGGATTGACAGATCTTCCTCAGCGGGCGCTTCCTCCTCTTGGGGCTCATAAGGCTCGGCGCGACCCTTCACATTGCCATACTTGTCGGTAATCTCACCGTCCTCATCAACAGCACGGCCACGGAGTCTCTTAGCATCACCTTCGATAAGCTTGCCAACGATAGCTCCATCTTCATCCTCGACGAAGCCGTCTTTGGTGACAACGAGGCTTTCTAGGCCGGCAAATGGGCCCTCGGGCTTATTCTCGAGCTCCTCCTCGGGGATCAGTTCCACGCGACCAACAACCTTCTTGCCATCGTAGATCTCGCCGTCTTCGATTTTCTTGCCGGCGAGTTCTTTGGGATTTCCTTCGACAACACGGGCGATGGGGAAACCTTCTGATCCAATGACCCATCCGGCCTTGTTGCATGTGAGGCCATTGAGAGCAGAAAGGTCGGTAACAGACTCTTCCTCGGGCTCAGGCTCAGGCTCATCTAGTCGCTCGGCACGTCCGATAACAGATCCATGTCGATCAAGAATTTCACCGTCCTCATCCACACCACGGCCAAGAAGCTTCTTCGCATCACCTTCAATCAGCTTTCCGACGCGGGTTTGATTCTCGTCCTCGATGTAGCCTTCTTGGCCAACAACGAGACCTTCAAGGCCAGCGAAAGGTCCCTCTTCATCTTTGTCATCTTCGACAGGGAGGGCCTTCACCTTTCCAATGACATTGCCGCGGTTATCCCAGAATTGGCCCTGGTCGTCAAGAGTAGCGCCAAGTCGTGACAGTTTCTTGGGGTCGCCTTCAACGACCTCGCCGACAGGCTTTCCGGTATCCTCGTCAATGACATATCCGCGCTTGTTGCACTTGAGTCCTTCTAGTGTGTCAAGCTCTGGAATACGCTCAGACGCCTCTTCAACTGCGTCTTCCGCGGCTTCCTCAACATTTTCGGCGATGTCCTCCACGTTGTCCTCGATACCATCACCAGTCTCATCGGTGGTATTTTTGATATCATCAGTTGCCTCTCCGACTGCGTCATTGACGTTGTCGACGGCTTCATTAGCAGTATCCTCAACGTCATTAACATTGACATTAGAGTCTTCGTCTTCGACCGTTGACTTGGCTTGGTCGACCTCCTCAGGCACAGCATCTTCGGCTTGATCGGCAACACCATCAACCAGACCGTCTTGTGCATCTTCGAATTCGTCGTCGACTTCTTCCTTTGCGCCATTAACCTGGTCGGTGGCATCATCGACGGAATCTTCAATGTTCGCTTTTTGCTCTTCAATGGGGAGGAGCTCGGCACGACCGATAGCATCGCCTTCATCGTCAACAATCTCGCCTTCATCATTGAGGGTGTAGCCGATGAGATCTTCGGGGTCGCCTTCGACAATTTTGCCCACAATCTGACCGGCTGAGTTCTTAATCACGCCGCCATCAGACACAGGCAAACCTTCAAGCTGAGCAAGATCGGTGACAAGATCTTGAACCTCGCCAAGCTTGGATTCGGCATCGTCGGGGATATTCTGAGCTTGTTCAGCAACATCGTTGAGAACATCGACCCGGCCAATCAGGTCACCCTCCTCATCGATAATTTCACCATCTTCGCCGACTGTCTGGCCAACGAGGTCTTCAGGATCACCTTCCACGACTTCACCCAGAGGGTCGCCCTTCTTGCCAAAGATCTTTCCACCATCTCCGACTTGAAGACCCTTGAGAATAGACAGATCAAGCGGAATGTCCTGAGAAACAGACTTTGCGCCGTTCTGAACAGTGTCCTTCACTTTTCCAGCGAAGCCTTTAGCATGACCGGCAAATCCACTCGATGGAGCGGCAGATCCAGATGCTTGAGAGACAGCATCGTCGGGAGGAGATTTGGGACGGCGCTGCTCAGAAGAAATAGCCTTATTCTTGGATTTTGGCGAGGGGGTTTCAGGGATAGATTGATCGTCGAAGTCGTCTTGGATGGGCTTTGGGTCTTTTGTTGCGAGCTTGCGAGTGCCTGACTTCTTCACGGACTTGGGACTTTCAGTGACGCTGGGCTTGGAGGCGGTACTGGAGCCGGAACCCTTGCGTAATTTTGCGGGGGTTCCAGCCTTGGAACCAAGCTTGGGAGGTGCTTTACTCACTGCAGGGGAAGACATGGTGGGCTGCAGTTGAACTTCAGGTGGTTGGCGTTAAAAATTGGGGGTTTTTGAACAAAAGAATATTCGAATAAAAAAGGTAGAAAGTAGACGAGTAGCTCAAGCGGTATAGGGCTGAATAAAGTGACGTCGTAAACTTCGTATCTTCGGAGTTGAATAGAAAATTGTAAATATACAGTAGCCTCAGGACCGATATGTAGAGTTCGGAACTAATGCAAAAGATATAAAAGATGAAAGAGGAACAGAAAATTCCAAAGAGATGCTTTTAAAGTAACTTCAGGTGTTTAAATGAAATATCTGAGATTCTGATATCATTGATCGTGAACCAGGCAAGCTATATACCTTGCAACAATATCTAGGCACAGGATGAAAATATGATACTACGTCATTGGTGTTGATATCATACTTCAGCCTACCCCAACTACCCAATACCTGTTGTGCGAAGATAGATCGATTCAAACCTTCTCCAGGGTGCACGGGGCAAATATGCAATATAGAGGGGTGGGTGCCGGTTCCAAAGAATAGCCGTTGGTGTGGATTTTTTGTATTGCTGTTTGCCTCACAATTGTGGACCTGTCAGCTCATTTTGGCTGGAAACGTGTATCCAAAGGGTCGATCCCTGTGTCCAGCCAGAAGATTGACGAATCAGCTTGTGGATCTAGCGTGACTGTTGAGTGTACATAGCAGGATGTGGGGTACGGTCTTACATGACGCGGAGGGGCTAGTTTGCTTGAACAGTGGCACCGACTGCCTCTTTACAGTTACAGTTTCTTTTTTTCATATTAGTTTCACATTTGACGTTCGTCTCCGCGTTATACTAATTCTATGCCGAAGTGGATTACACATCGACCATCAACTTTATCCGGTTAGAAATAAGTCTAGACATGTGCGATCGATTTCCCTTTTCATAGTAATACATTATTTAATTTTTTTGCGAGGAATCTATTTGACTTTTCAAAATGCATTCCATGATTTGTATTGATAGGTATGATGCATTGGCTTCCTGGATACGATGACAGGGGAAAATTCTCCATATTAAGCGATGACTGGTCATGGGGCAGCGACGAGCCATGGAAACAACCTTGGAAGTTGGCCACCATATTTAAATAAAACATAAGTGAACGAATCAGAATCCAGAATTGGCGCGCTCATTATATTGCTCCTGCAGTGTAATTTGCCTCCCACGGCACTGTCAGGCTGTCAATATTTTCGTGTGCCTGGGTTGTGGCTGATGAATCCAAACTTCAAAGTTGGTTGGTTGACTCGTCAGCCTCGACGTCGTGCAGTATGCAGACTTGATAAAGCCAGAGACAATCGTGGATCATCATTACATCAGAGTTCGAATTGCGAGATACGATAATCCTTGGACAGTGCAACGGTACACCGGATATAGTCTTTTGGTCTACTCATCGATGTTTGACAAGGGCATCTAGAGAATTTAACTTTTAAAGAAGCATCGTCTGGCTATGATGATCATGATTCGAGGCAAATGCATTTATATTTGTCTATTCAGTAAAAAAGGGCAAATTGTTGTGAAAGATTTCCAAAGATTATACAGATAGGGCTGGGGGACTGGGGCTACCATGTGGCTGATGTCTTGATAGAAGAAACTTGGCAGAGCAAACACATGTACCAGATCGCTCTCATAAGGTCCCCCGTTGAACGCCACATGAGTGGAGAAAAAAACGAAGCACAGAGCGCACCAAAGCGACCGGGTCTCGGCCGGATGAGATCATGATCGATCGGGCGCTTCATCATTTTAATCTATTTGAGTGGAGCCTTCAGCCACGCAAGTCATCTTCCGCAACAACTGATATCATCGATAAGAAATTCAAGGCATATGCTCTTGGCCGGTCGCATCATCCTTTCGCCGGTCCTTGTTGTTGATTTCTATCAAATTGCCGGGTTATGAGCAAGGAAATCGCCTTTGCTTTTATAGTAGAACGTGGCACGGCCGACCCGAGACCGTTTAGAGAGGGGCCACCGAGAAAATCCCCGACTGTCCCCGCCGAATCTAAGTTTGGCCCTAGTGTCAACGGTGTACCCAAAGCAAGTTTTCTGGGTCACGACACATGGGGCCCTCCACCCTTGCAATGAACCAGAACCTGATTTGCTTAGTCAAACTGTCAACCAGGCGGATGTATACACTAAGTCCTTGTCAAGCTTGTAAGGTGTGGTACTGAAAGTTCTAGGCTCTTGAACCTTGAAATTAAAAAAAATGAACATATTCATGTAACTATGAATATCACAAAATGGTCTAAAATCCTGACAGGGAGGATTTGGTGTCTTATCAGGTTTCTATATCAGCATTGTTATATCTACCATGATGCACGCGACAACCATGGAACGTGTTTGGACGATCTATTAACATTCACAGTTTACAACAATCCGATTTCAAGCTGACATCGTTTCCTCCATCGACTAACACACTCCTGTTTCTCTCCTGGGTGGAAGCCGCAACGTCGAGACCTGGATTGCCGGTGAAGAAATTAACGGGCTTAAGACCAACAACCATCTTTTCCGACGGCATGACAGGCCAATCTTCGATTCTAGGGTTATGGGTCGAGCCAAAAGTGTGCCAAATAACAATATCCTTATTTCGAACCAAGGATTCCCCCGTCCCAGCACGTCTTTGAATAGCAGTAGCAATTCCATCACCGCCGGTTGACTGCATGGTATGGTTACCAGATGGAAAGTTCTCTTCATCATTGTAACGGGTAACCCAAACTGCGTGTTTTCCAAACTCGGAGCGCTTGGCATGGTATGAGTCCGGGTGTGCCAGCAGCATTTGGCTGTACGCGGGCAGCAACTTGAAGCCAACGGGGGTTCCAGTCACTGGATTGATGACGCTTTCGTTGATAATTTTGAATGTGCGGTTAGTTGTGAAGTCCAGATCTAATCCTCCCTCATTCTCAACAACGGAAGAGCGCGTCACGTATCCGACACCAAAAGGGTTTTCGTAAGAGTTTATCTGAGCATACGATTTGCCAGTTTGATCAAAGTCAGGTGCATCAACAGGTATGGCGTGCGATTCTTCGATTTGCAAGGAATTTTCGTAGCCATCGATTGCAGGGTCCATGCGAAGAGAGAACAAGTGCTGGTGGTAAGGAGCCAGAACACCTGGAGCGACGATGGTACCATAGGGTACATTGTCACCAATATTAATTGGGCAAGTCGAAAGGATGCCAGTAGCACGAACTTCATAATGAATTGATGCATCTTGGCCGAAATGAAAAGCGAAAATATACTCGTAGTTACTGACAGTAATGATGGTCTGCAAAACGAGGATCCGCGAGCGCGTCACAACAGCATTTTTGGTCCGGAAATTCGTGTGCTTCCACAATATCCCGTCATCTTGTTCATGACAGCATATCACGTTAGGGAGCTTTAGTGGGACTCCTGAAGTAGTAGTGTGCCAGCCATAAAAATACTTAATATGGCCCAAACAGTCGCAACCCAGACGTAAATTATTTGCATTGATACCAGCTCCATCATTACCCAGATCAAATGCTGCTTTGCGAGGGTATGGGGTACGAGGGTCCCCATATGGTACAAACATTTCTGCAAGGGAAATCCGGTAAAAGAGACTGCGGTCTTCGTAGCGAATATCATGGAGAGTGATGCCTTCCCGATAGTTAAACCCGATATGCATGGACCATTTCTCCCATTGTAAATGATTTCCCTTTGTCTTGAACGAAGGACCTTCAGGCTGCAAGACTTGATACGGCTTAGTGGTTGTCCGAAGCGAAGGCCTCAATCCAGGGCTGTATTCAACCTCTGCTCCGTGAATCTTGCGGCGGTCAAATGGCTTTGGCTCTTTATGAATGCGCTCTTCGGGACTGGAAGGCAATTGGTAGATTTTGGTGACTTTCAATTCCTCTGACACTTCTGCGCATACATCCAGTGGGTAGGCGTAGTAGTTGGCGTCAATGTCATCTACTAAGCGCATATAAAACCAGCACTAGAGAGCGACCCGATCAGTTTCTTGAAGCAAGACACAGGGGCATGTATATGTATTACCATGCTGGTCCTCTGTGACATGTCTTTCGTACCATCTGTCGCGTACGCCCATGCCTCGACAATAACCCTAGCGCTGTCCGGTAGTTGAAGGTGACCGATTTGCTCTTGAACCCCTTTGTCTGCAAGACACGCGTTCTCAACGGCTTGCATATAATCAGAGTCAATATAAGGATGCTTTCCGACAAGATGCTCGTTCTTGAGGATAACGGAGTGGTCGAGATTGACCCAGAGCTCAACGAACTTATTCTCTTCGTCCACGAGAATAGATACTTGAACACGAGCAATTCTTTCAGGTCTCTTATAGGTATTGTTTGTTTTGTTTTTCAAAAATGGAACCATCTCCACCTTAGCAGGCTCCTTCAAAGTAACCACTCGGAAGCTGGGAGTTACTCCTGGGAATCCATTTCGTACAATATCTGCAGCCTGAAGGATTTAACATGAGTGTGGGGTCATAACAGCCTTTTTGTGTTCTGGCATACCTTTGCAATCTCTCTTGGAGTTAAAGGGTCAAAGGGGTGACTGGGCGACATGGCTATTGCAGACGACTGGGGTCCCGAAGGCCGGAATTAAATGATTTTATCCTTGAGATCTCTTAACCGATGTTAAAGACAGCGCTTTAATAGTCAATTAGGGCCCCGATAAGGATTATTTGGGAAATTCCAATATGTTCCCAAAGGTTAGTTTTACGCGAAAGCGTTCCTGTGGTGTTTCGATGCTGTCCATACAGATATAGTTTCCAGGCCCACTTCCGTGAAGGTAAGGATTAACCGGGTGGTACTAAATGTACTTGGGTGTACCCAGTTATACATAGGCCTAACCAGAACCCCCGCGCGGAACCTCTACAAGTATACGGAGAACCCCACCTATTACTTATTATGCATCCATGCCGGATATTCGCTAAATCACAAGAATGGCCGGTTCAACGTTATACTGCCTTAGGCCTTTGCTTTACAGGTTGTCAATAAATGTAAATCGAGCAATAATAGCCAGATCTTTACGGGATGGCTGCCAGATTTCAGCGGCTAATGGATCGCGATCGAGACTTGGAAGTACGAACATGATTTCACTGATAAGATCTAGCTTGAAACATCTTATTTCAAAAAAAAAATGTGAGATAAGATATAAAAACAGCAACGGAGAAAGTATGTGAGGTTTCAAATAAGCAAATCAAAGAAGTAAACATCGCCGAAACGCAATCTTCGGCTTTACTTTCATGCTGTCGAGTATCTCTACCACACGAAGTAAATATAGTCAATGTTCCCCTAAGAATGGCTTTGAAGAACACTTTGTCCGGTGTATTGCCAACTGTGGAGATAAACTCGAAGTACTATCTGAACGAGCTAAGGGCGGGACTCCACAAATGTGATTTCACACTTTCGCTTTCTTCTTTGTCTATTAAGAAGAGCGATAATTTCGATAGATGATTGTCTATTCATTTGGCACATTTATGGCATTCTGCTGAGTCGATGGCACTTTGTGATTGTTCCGAGACTTTATGGCTTTGTTTGGTCGTTCAAAATAACCCCTTTGTAGCCGACTTAGACAATCATGATGCCTTTCAAGATTATAATTCAAGAAATATAAAATTTGAACTTTTCTCCATGTGCTGGAATATAAAACCTTCAAATTCAGTGCGACATGATGTTTGCTGCTCATAAAAATCTTTCAAAACCCGTGGACATCGACACATAAAACCTCTAAGCACCTACTCATATGCCAACAGCCGTGCAATCGCCGATTATTTACCCATATCGAGATTCCCATCTGTCAAATTGTCGAGACTCTGTAGCTTGGGTTTGATTGACTGCCTGTATTGCCGCGCATCAAGCGAGGAAAGTCAAACTCGTGGTAGAGAGCTTGTCCATCTGGCTCCTCAACCCCCTCCTGAAAATTCGCCCCCTCTTGTTATTAGACCTCAGAGTGTACGAGCATGGGAATCCTATGAGGCAGATGGAAGACAACTGCGATTATGGGTCTCAAATGAGGCAAATCAGCATTCTTGCCCTAGTAGCCCGTCAACGCTAACATTCGCCGATGTGGAGGGTACATTCGCAGAGCCTCTTGAAAGACAAGAAGGTGTGGATGTCGATGACCCCCAGGGACAACTGCGGGAGTTTTGGTATTCTGATAGGTTAACTAACAGCGACGAATCTGAGTCTAATTTTCGGTGGATTCAATTCAATCGTGGTACCTTTCTGTGGTCTGGTTATATTGCGGCAGGTATGATCACATTGGCAATTATCAAACGAGCTGCCAGGATACATCCTCCGATTTCTGAAGTCTCTTAAGCCATTTACCAGCGGGACCTTATTATCGATACTCTTCGACAAATTTCCGTTTGAATATTTCAAATACTGACACTCGCCTGTTCCTTTATCGACCGCTATATGACATTCATCACGCATTGCAATGACCAAATATAAATAGAATAACTTGGAGTCATGGCACAGCGCAGTATGACGCTATTTTGGATACTAGCATTGGTAAGACAGTTGCATATTTGGTTTTAGGAGCCTGGCCACGTGGTACTCGACGCATCTCTCAGATTATCACCTCCTCTGACACATTAGGAGCCGGTATTCTACGCTTCGACATTGAGGCAGTTGAGAGAACCTAGAGGTTTGTACGAGAGGTAGTTTTGCTATGGGTATACGAATAGTACTGACAAACTGGTTCATACTAGGATTTGAGATTTGAGGTTTGCTTTTGCTGATGTTCGAGTTGTTAAATGTTGTCATTTATATCAATGCCCGTTCGCCATTTCTATACGGGAGATTTTCAAGGTATTGGTTGCGTTGTCTTCTATGAATAGAATTCTCATCGTTTAACTATTTCTTCTAAACGTAATCGTCCACGGGTTTACCAAACTGGCCACCCCCGAATCGATGTTTGTATTTAATTGCATTTTCCTTGACTCGGCGAAACACTGGTATGTAGAACCTCACTAGTAATAACATTTCAAAGGCCAAATGTGAAGCTGATAGGTACGTATATGTAGGTATTGAAACTTTCTTATCGACATGAACTATTTAAAAGCCCCTTGACAAAGGTAATATATCTGTTATAATGCCACAAGCTAAAACCACATGCAAAAAAAAACGAAATCCACTCAATTTTGCAAGAATCAGACATATTTCTGTGGTCGTTTCATCGACTTCCACTGAACAAGACTTGCTCCAATAAGAGACAAAGTTGCAGCAGCCACAGCTACATAAAATGTTTGCATAACAGCGCGGTTGTATGCATATAAAACGACCGGGAGAGCTTCTGGTGAGAATCTGTGTGACAGATGTGATGCTCCAGCGTCGACCACAGCTTGTGGACTCACCATTGGGGCGTATTTGGTGACGCTTGCCACAAGGCGATTCTGGAAGACATTCTGCGCAATGGAAATGAACAAAGAGCCGCTCAAGCTTTGGGCGAATGTGATTACCGCAATTCCGATTGGAATGTCCCTAGAAGGCAAAACGGTCTGTAGGCAATTAATGCACTGTTGAAAACCTACCCCTGCTCCAACCCCTATTAGAATTTGATATCCGACCCACTTGCCGATTTTTGTGTGAACCTTGAACGTTGTACAAAGTGCTGATCCGATGGTGAGAAGGGTACTGCCCAGGAACATGAATGGTGTGTAGTACCCCAGAATATTTACAAGTACACCTCCTACTGCTGAGAAGATGATCATTGACACCACCATTGGAAGGTTGTTGATTCCGGATTCAGATGCTGAGGCTTGTTCAATAGCCTGAAACCATATCGGGAGCTATGAAAAAATATTAGCCAAGTTACCATACTATAAATGGAAGATTATTACTCACATAATATCCAAAGACAAAGAATGAGCCGCCGAAAAACATGGCATGGATAACAGCACCGATGACGTTGCGGTTAGTCAAAATATGAGGGGGAACAGTAGCCTCTTCCTGTTTAATATATTGAACATAGCACCAAATGAAGGAAAATATTACGAAAAGCACAAATAGCACAATAATGCGCACATTCGACCATTCATACTTTGTGCCACCCCACTGCAATCCCAAAAGAACCGAAATGATAGCAGGAATGAACACGAGTATTCCAATAGGATCCATTTGCTTGAATTTGTTCATCTTCCCCGACTTCATTCTGCGTGTGCTCTTTGGGTTCCGAAAGAAAGTCGTGATGAAAACCCCTGTGATCGCGCCAAGTGGGATATTGATATAGAAACACCATCGCCAACTTGCATGGTCTGTTAATAGTCCACCAATCCTATGAGGAATTAGCCTTGAAACGTTCCATATCCCATGTTTAAACTTTGTGTCCCTACAATGGCCCAGTCACAGTTGCAATCCCTCCCATGCTCCCAATAATGCCAAAATAAAGAGCGCGTCGGTGGACCGGTACACTATTTGCGAGTACCAACAGGGCACCGGGTGCCAGCCCACCCGAACCGATCCCAGCAATGGCCCTCCCGAAAATGAGTCCCTGTGAAGTCTTCGTTGCAGCACATGCCAAGGATCCGATCTCGAATATCGCAAGGGCGATTATGTACGTCCATTTGGTTGAATAGTATGTGTATATCTTGCCGAAGGGAAGGGTGACCGCGCAGGAGGTGAGGAGATAAGCACTTGCGTACCAGGATATGTCTTCGAGAGAGTTGAATTGCTCTGTTATTTTCGGTACTGCTGTCGCGAGTATTGTGTTATCCTAAAGATGTTAGATAGAAAGATTCCTCGGGATGCTAGGAACAACTTTGGAACCTACCAGAGCTGTACAAAATGCTTGCAAGCATAATCCTATTAGAATAGGAATGAATTTGACAAGTGGTGGATACTCTGTATTTTCATCATCACTTATAACACTGCCGTCGGACTCTTTAAGTGGAATGTCGTCTCGACTTTCAACAAAGCCATCATGACAATCTATCTTCACTGGATTATCGGCCATGAAATTTCGAAGCTGTCTGCCACAGTCAGGAATAAACCCTTTGACAGACTAGTGGCTTGAGATGCTTGGGAATGATATCTTTGGTGGAGTGAAAGACTGATGGCGGCTGGATTAGTGTTAGAGCTTAAAGGCTTGGCTAGAGATTCGGGATTAATTGTTTTATAGAACTACTACGCTGAGCTTGATTGTAACCTATAAGCCCAAGCAAGGGGGTACAGGAGCTTTCGAGGCGCGCGGGAGCTTTATCGAGCATTCCAATGGCATCAAGTATGCGGTAGCTCCATCACAAAAGAAACCGTACAACCAAGCAGAGAACGCATGCTTCACCCGTGATTGCGTCGCTTTTAGAGGATCTTCTTGTATCACTAACCTCTGAAATCCATGGAAAATGATGATATTGGAGCCCCAATTTCATATTATTGTCTTTCATACTAGTTCAAATGTTCCCAGTACATGATTTTCAACTCGCTCCGTGCCTACATTCCAAGCCGGGAAGGAGATAAAAGACCAGCCTCACGAGACTTTATATGCTCAACTCTAAATTGGGTATTCCAGGTGTCCGCGGAGATTAATTCATTTCACATCGCCAGCCTCCATGCATAATTATCCGCGGGGCCCTGATATTCTCATCCGAGCACTGGAGCTCGGAGAGCGTCATCCATGTACCATGTGCATGTGTTTACTTAAGGAGATCTGGAGCACTAAAAGATATTTATCTTAGGATAACTTGAAGTCGAGATGTCTATCGCAACTAATATTCAAGATCATAACATGTGAGTTATCATGATAGGTTTCTTGATAGAAAACATTGAATATCAACAAACTAGTCTTTAGTGAAGGGATGGCCATCAATACAGATGACTAGCTGCTTGAGTAGTATGACGCAATCTTGCAAAGAAAAAGTACATTTCCTGAGGCCGAATAAAGGGGATTCCAGCGTTGGAATGGATTAGGTTGGATTTTCGTCGTTCTTTCCCTTTTCAATCTCACCGAGACTTGGAAGACTCGGACTTCCAAGGTTGTGCAGTCAAATATTCACGAAGTCGTATAATGTGAATGCTAAATCCCACTCGGGCAAGTCCGAGTTACCCTTCAATGGCTAAGTATCAGGTAGACTAGTATGTTGTTAGTGATCTCTATATGAACCAGAAATAGTTCACGGTATGTAAAGGCACGTAAATCATGATTTTGATTTTTACAGCCACTTCTACTATGATACATGAACAGATCTATGGCTATCGCAACGAGACTTTGAGCGAGAAGTCGACAATACCTGTGCCCTGGTGAATAGAGCTGGTGGACAAGATATCCACATCTGGACAGGTATACGCCGCTGCGTTCTCCTCTGTCAGACCCCCACTAACCTCAATCAAGAACGAGCGCTGCTTCCCCGCCCATTCTGACTTGAGTTGCTTTGCTGCCTCGCGGACACCATCTGGCGTGAAATTATCCAACATAATCACATCAGCGCCAGCTCCAATCGCAGCGTTAGCCTCCTCAATACTGCGACACTCTACCTCCACCTTGGTCGCAAATCCACCCGCCGACTTGGCAGCTTGCACCGCGCGCGGAATGGCAGCAGCAATGGATACAATGTCATTAGGATCAGCGACGCCCCCATCAGCCGCGGCGCGGTTATTCGCACAGGCCCAGACGTGGTTATCCTTCAGCATTGTCATATGACTCAAGTCGTGGCGGTGGGGGTCCGCGCCACCGATCAAAATGCCGTATTTCTCGACGACTCGAAATCCGGGTGTGGTCTTTCTTGTACCAGCAAGAGTACCCTGCCAACCCTGAGCACGTAGAGCAGCAAGCATAGACGCGCTTTTGGTGGCGATTCCAGAACAACGGGCGAGGATGTTGAGGGCGACACGCTCGCCGAGGAGGATTTTGCGGACGGGACCGCGGACGGTCGCGCAGTGATGGATCGGGTCTAAAGAGAGAGGTTGGCCTTCCTTAATGTGCCATTCGATGCTAATGTATGACTCTTGGTTAGTTCCCCGGAAGATTCGGTATCATTGGAGAATGTTTATGAACGTACGTGCATCCGAGCTGGGAGAACACCTCGTCGACAAATGGTGCACCAGCGATAATGCCCTATGGAACCTTGGTATTAGTACACATATTTCAGTCTTCTGATAAGGATTCGAATGGGACGTTGTGCGTGTTATTCTGGAATTTACCTTGCTCTTGCCTAATAACCGTGCTTCACCTTCCGACTCGCCGACGACGAAACCACCATAGTCCAGACTGGGGCAATCCTCTTCCAACCATGACGAAATCAGGTTCTTATAGTTGTTTGGCAATAAATGCCGCACATCACCGTATGTGGCAGCCATTGTAGAGTCCTTTGTTCAAAGCAAGCCGAATCTTGGAAGGTGGGGGAGATCTGCGGGATTGATGGCTGCTTGATTTCTCCCCGCGGGGTCGGGTGGTTTCGGGGATCACGTGGCGCTTTGTATACGCTTCCAAGGTTCAATTTCAACGAGGATTTTATCAGCGGTAAATATAGTGGCCAACTTGAAGATGGGGCATATTGGATCGTTTGAGCTTCCCTCGAATGGAGGACGTGGTCAAACATGACTTGAACATACATGCCAAGCGAGATTAAATATTGATTTGGCGTGCAGCTTGCTCCACACCTTATTTTTGACAACCCTTTTTTATCTGCTTCTTTGAATACTTCTTATTCTTCATAGTACTCACTTTTATTGTTCCCCTTTCTTATTTCGCTCCCAGATCTCTTTACAGACAAGGCTCTAGGCACATACAAATATCCAATCATGATTCGTCGAGTCCGGGCCGTCTCGGCCCGCACTCAGTGCGTCATCCAGGGTCTGGCCTTGCGATAAATCGTGAGCTTCAATTCAACTTGATCAACCTCACAACAACCCCATCCACGCCTTCGTTCATATCAGGCTTCAAAATATGTCCGCCGAAAGCCCTGGTCCTAAGCAATCGGGCTTCAAGTCCTTCTTTACCAATGCCCTCCGTCCTAAAAAATCCCGTCAAACCCTCCGCAAAGGTGGTAGTCGGTCCATGACCGACCTGCGACTATCATCCACGCGACCTAGCACTAGTGCCGATGAACCTATACCTCCAATGCCTGACTTAGCCCCTCTACAGGCACACCGTGCCAAATACCAGCATACACATGCGAATTTAGATACGCAACTCGGCGAACGTCGCGATTATACAACAATCATCCATACCCTGGGCGTGCTGGAGCCAGATGATACCTACGGACCTGCAGATATCAACAATGAATACCGCGATCCGGGCGAAGGAGACATTGCCAAACTCTCGCCACAACTCTGGGCCCAAATAGCATCTTATCTAAACCCACGCGACGCAGCTTGTCTCGCCATATCGACAATAACCCTCTACAGACGCCTTGGCCCTCGTTACTTCCTCACCCTCGAGGCACCGAAGAATGCTCAACACAAATTAGACTTCCTCGTTTCCATCGATCAAACCCTACCCCACCACCTCCTTTGTTTTCCCTGTGCCCTCTATCATCGTCGCACGTCAGAAGGCTCAGAACGCCTCAAACCCGCCCACATCATCAATCCGCTCTTCGTCTGCCCCGAAGCTACGAACTCCCTCAACCCACCACCCAGACACCGCATAACCCACGGTCGCTCTCTACCATTTTCCTTTGTACAACTTATTCTTCGCGCTCACCGCTTCGGTCCTTCATACGGCATCCCCGTTGACTCAATGGGTCGTCGCTGGTCCCGCGATGGCTGGTCACATACCACCCGCTACCTTATTCACGACGGTCGCCTCCTAATGCGTGTAATCAGCCAAACATTTGCAGAGCCAGATCTCCCTAGGTCCGCACAGCGAATTCTCCTCCACTCGCGCGAGGACTATTGGCCATATTTCTCGGCCTGTGCGCACTGGCGCGATGGCGAGTTAATGCCCGCTTGTCGCTGTGCATTGGATCATGTTCCCAGCCGTCGCAACTCAGGTGGACTGCAAGATCTAGAAAACAAAGTGAAAGATAAATGGACGGGAAAACGGTTTGATCCAAATGCATTGACAAGCCTATGTGGGTTCTGTAAACCCATGAGGCGATGCCCCGAGTGTCCGTCGGAGTATTTGCTTGAGGTGAAGCTTTCTGAGGATCGAACTGATATGCGCGGCGGAGTGGTTTTTCGACAGGCGATTGTTGTTACAAGGTGGACTGATTTGGGCGATGGGACAAGTCCGTCGGGCATTGAGTGGGCGTCTGTTAATGGGTTTTCTGACAAGTATGATTCTTTTACCCATCCTAATTATGCCAAAAGAGGAATTGCTAGTATCTTTGAGTCCGCCTTTACTGCGGATACTTTGCCTGGGCAAAGGATGATCTCAATGAATCCCAAAAAGAAGAAGTTGGGAGAACAGGGCCATGAGTGGTATTAGACATGATTTTTGGGAAGTAATTGGATATGGATGAAGATTTATGAATCTGATAGGCTAGTACCGGATGGATGTTATAGACAAAAGCTTGGATATGTGTTTCGTTTACGCCAAATCTTGGGCTCTAATCTCCACATTATTGGCGGAGTTCTTAAGCCGAGTTTGAGCTCCAATTTGAGGACATTGATTTTGGAGTTAGGAGTTAAGGAGACATCGGAATTGCTATGGTAGTCAAGTGTCTAGTCAAAATTGAAGATTCGATATATGTCGGTGCCAAATGGCATACCTAGACTTGAAATTCTGCCACTATCTTTTTTCTCCATCAAATCGCCCATTGGCGAATCCTGTACACAAATAAAGTTGCTCTAGGCTGGGTGCGACCAAGGTTGGTAATAGTATCTTCTTTATTCTACCCCAGCGAATGGATACTAATCACAGGCTCGGATAATGCAATAGTAGTGTAATTTCATAAGAATTCGTAATTCGAGACGCTAAATAACAAGGAATCAATCCTTCATTGATTCACGTCATCCATGAATTTCCTTTCGCATTGCTTCTTTCACAATAGCCCCGCACATCTTCGCATATGGATTGGTTTGCACCGCAAGCTGTTGAGCAACTTTATTCCCATATCTCCCCCCGAAGAAGAAATCGCGACTGGCCATCTCTTCGATCTGGTCAGGCTCAAGCTTCGCTAAGCTGTCTGGAAGTGTACGTTCTGTTTTATCTCCAAGTATTTCTTTCTGCATCCGCGCCGCTTTCAATAAAAGATATCCCCGATGTGTATGGGCATCTGCCAGTAAACGAGCTTGTACTGATGATACCGAATCGGCTGGGGAAACTGGCGTGGCGAGAGTGATTGCTTTGCTTAGGTCCGCAAATATCTTGGAAGAGATATCTGCGGTTTTGGGTGTGAACAAAGCATCGTCGAGCATACGTAAAGCTTGCGCTCGATTGATATATGCCGAAGGATACGTTGAATATTGGCTAAGAAGAGAGTCGAATTTCTGGATAGCTGCTTTCACGGTATCATGGCTTGGAGTTTCTTGTAGCTGCCGGACGATCTCTACCTCGCGTTCTTTTAATGAAATGAGATCTTCTGGTGAAATATGCACGGCGGCTGGCCACGCGGGTAATGTCGAATCAATTGTGACACCAGATGAGGGTGAGGATTCTGCGTCAAACAGAGCTTGGAGAACGGCCGCATCGTTTGAGGATAATGATGGGCGGGTAGTTGTAACCGAAGCCATAATGTTTGTGATATTGCTGCTATTGTGGCGGAAATGGTAAAGGTGTAGAATAAAGTCCAGAGTAGAGGAGAAAATAATTTTTAAAAATATTATTGAGAAAGCGAAGTAGATTTCGAGAGATGGCTTCCAAGGTTTTCTTGAGGGCGGCTCTTACTATCTGTGTCATTCACATCATCTAAGCTTCCGGCCCGGCTGTTGGCGGATATTTCAGGGAATTTTAGGATGCGGCCACAGCCGAGACAGGCTTAGGGATGAGCACTAATGACGAGCAAGAGTTTACAGATATCCGCAGCAAATACGGTGCGGCTAATAGAGGCGTTCTGAATGGATAATATAAATGAGATCTTAAAGTGGCGTCGTTAAATATACCACACTCCCTCTGAGCATTCGAACCTTGATCATCTCCTCTACCTCACTCATCTGAACCTACTTTCCCGCCACTGTTCAAGATACAAAACAACATTCAGAACACAAGATCACAAAACAGACAAAATGGCCCCTTCTGCTATTTCAAGCAGTCCACCCGCCTCTACAGCAAACGGTACCTCTCCCTTTGCCAGCTATCGTGGATATGATCATGTCCACTGGTATGTTGGCAACGCCAAGCAAGCTGCAAGCTACTACATCACTCGCATGGGCTTCAAGCGTATCGCCTACAAGGGCCTCGAGACTGGAAGCCGTACTACCTGCTCCCATGTTATTCGCAACGGTGACATTACCTTCATCTTAACCTCCCCACTCCGCTCCTTGGATCAAGCTGGTCGCTATACCCAAGAAGAACAAGACACCCTCCGTGAGATTCACCACCACCTTGAGCAGCATGGTGATGCAGTGAAGGATGTCGCCTTCGAGGTAGATGATGTAGAAGCGTTGTACTCTGCTGCTGTCAAAAATGGTGCCAAGTCTGTCTCAGAGCCTTCCATCATCAAGGATGAAGGAGGTCACGTCAAAGTTGCAACCATTCAAACATACGGTCAGACGACACATACAATCATTGAGCGCAATCAATATCATGGTTCTTTCCTTCCTGGATATCGTCTGGAGGAAGTGGAGGATCCACTTGCCAAGTTCTTGCCCGGCGTGAAGCTTAACCGTATCGATCACTGCGTTGGAAACCAAGACTGGGATGAGATGGATAAGATTTGCGAATAGTAAGTCGCTCACTTTAGTCGAGAGACTGCAAGATACTAACATCCACCTAGTTACGAGAAGGCCCTTGGCTTCCACCGCTTTTGGTCCGTTGATGACAGTCAGATTTGCACGTAAGTAAATATAATGTGGCTGCCATACTGTCCGAAGCTAACAACCTCAACAGCGAATTCTCTGCTTTGAAGAGTATCGTCATGTCATCACCAAATGAAATGGTGAAGATGCCCATCAACGAGCCCGCCAAGGGAAAGAAGCAGTCTCAAATCGAGGAGTACGTGGACTTCTATAATGGAGCCGGTGTTCAACATATCGCCCTTCAGACCGACGACATCATCCGGGATATCACCAACCTCAAGGCACGGGGTGTGGAGTTCATCAAGGTCCCTGAAACATATTACACCGATTTGCAGGTGCGACTGAAGAAGTCTAAGCTAGTTCTGAAGGAAGATTTTGAGACGATCCGAAGCTTGGATATTTTGATTGACTTTGACGAGGGTGGTTATTTGCTCCAGCTCTTTACCAAGGTATGTTGGCGGCCGCTTTTCCTGAGATTAAGAGAAAAGGTACTAATTACGAATAGCATGTTATGGATCGACCTACTGTATTCCTTGAGATTATTCAGCGCCACAACTTCTCTGGCTTTGGAGCTGGAAACTTCAAGTCGCTATTTGAGGCTATCGAGCGTGAACAGGATCTTCGAGGAAATCTGGTTTGAGTGGAATGAAATTCAAAAATACGATGGATAATATCATGCGTTTGATTCAGTGGTGGGTTCCTTGAGGACCGATATGATACCTTCAATATGACACTTGAGGTCAATAGGGATATTTGTATTTTAGCGATTTTCAATGCATTTTAGAAAGTATTATTTAAATCCGGCACATAGAGTTTATCGGTAAATGGTAAATTGAATTGCCGTTGCCTGTCTGCGTTAGGACTCAAGAATCGACCAATATGCTTACTGATGGTCATTCTACCCTGTCTTTACACTTTCTTTACAGCCTGCGAATTTGAAGATCGGCACGTCTGCATCCCGAAAAGGCCTGGGGAGAGCTCGAGGGGGATGATCATTTGGGGGGCCAAAACGAAAATTGAAGTATGTGAGGCATTTTAAATCGTGGAATGCTGAGCTGGACCAAGCTCGTTAGGACTCTTCAATTGTCCATTCAGTAATACAAGTACAGCATGAGGCTTTGAATAGAGTTGAGTTTAATATGTGACTTTCAAGTTATATTCGGGCGACGTAACCAAAAACAAAGAATTCCGATCATGATAATAATGTCCGACGGGTATTTCAAACAGGAGGTGCGTGTTCAATGAGTAAAAAATCGCGTGTAGATAACAACGGTCGTCAAGATCAACCATAATGACGCCAAGGGGTTTTAAGCTGCAAGCCCCAAAATTTAGCGCAAAGCCTCTGCACGGGCTTTCAAATCCCTGTTGAAGACTTCATAGTCAGCCTGCATCTTTTTGCCAAACACTGATGGGCTGAAAAGGAACGATAGGAATCCCTTCGATGTCTCTGACTGAGTGAAAATGGTTCCTGTGCCGTCCTCTGTAGGCTGAATGTGGAATTTATGCAAGCCGGCAATGGTGAAGACTGGCGGGCCTTGCCACGAGAACAAGCTCTCGGTATTTTCCTATATTTTGTTTAGTATTATTATCAGGGACCCCTGTCGATATCCGATGGGGATTTTCATACAAGCACTTTTGCGACAAACTTGAATCCCTCGATGTTAACTTGGATCTTGTCTTCTGTTGCGAGAGAGGAGCCGGTCTTCTCGGTCTCCTGGACTTCAATGCCCTTGATCCACTCCGTGTGCCATTCTGGGTAGGTTGAGAAATCAAGCAGCTGGAAGTTGCAGGGATGAGTATAGTGTCTTCATCTTGGCTTGACGGAGGATATAGTTGCTTACAATCTCTCGCACCTTGGCAGGTGGGGCAGCGATCTCGATCTTACTCTCGTTGAAAGGCATATTTACAATATGATGTTGATGGATGAAGGAGTTAGGAATGAGAGCTTGCCTGTGGAGTAAAGGGGGACTGCAGGAATGAGGTGCGTGCGTGTAAGCTGTTATCCAGGCTGGAAATCATTAGCCCCACAATGAAGAGTTGGAAAAGCTTTTTGGGTGCTGCAGAGTGGGTTCATCGTGGTTTCGATGGAATGTGCCTGTAAGGAGAAGCTGCAACAACCAATTAGAGTGATAGCCCGGTATTTCCATAAATCTGATTGTGCATATGCATATTTAAACCAATATTTCCAATTTATCCATGAAGTTTTAGTGTAAAACTCTCGGCTTATCAATAAATAACCGGTGGGAGTCTCGACGAGTCTTTGTTCTCCGTTCGCACCACAGAGATCGTGGTATACATCACCCAAAGAAAACGAATGCACGATCGTATGAATTTCGGAAACTGACATGTCTGATCACAAAGCCTTCTTTAAAAATGGACGATTTACGAAGTCTTACTACAACCGCATTGATTACGATCAATTGGATCTGCACATGTCGATGTGTATGCCAAGGAGCTTGGAGACCCAAAAGGCGGCCAAACTGTAGCGGGACAAGCGCCAAGTGGAGAAAGTCCAGGAACAAAAAGAACAACAATCCTTCTACTCTACGATTGTTCTCACCCTTTCAACAGCATTATGCCCCCCATTAGCTGGCTATAAAGGCTTTTCAAATCCGCACAGCCTGTGACCTACTCGAGGTGCCCACCAACGACTTTCACGCCTTCAAAATATCCAAGGGACAACACAAAGGCGGCCTTGATCCTCAAAATGTCCGGCGCCATCGACTCCATAGCTACAGGCTCGCAGTTCTTCCCAGAAGACGTACATCTGTCGCGCTACCCCGGTCGCCAATCTCGAATCCCCGAAGAATGGCATCCCTCCTCCCTCCGTCCTGGCCGACGCGATAGCGATACCCCCTCCGCAACATCCACCGACTCTGCACCCGCCGAAACCGACCTTTCAAACTACCCAAATGGCAGCAAATCGCTTTCTGGCATATCATTACGCGCATTTCTCCTTGGCACATCCCTCGGCCTTGCAAGCGCTGTGACGCTTTTCCTCACCATCTTTACAAACACAGGTTTCTGGCGTGTACCCTTCTTCATCGCCTCCCTGAGCCTCTTCCATTTCCTCGAATTCTACGTCACAGCAACATACAATACAAGTGCGGCAGATGTGACCGCATTCTTGTTATCAAGTAATGGATGGGCATATAATGTCGCCCACGGCGCAGCCATGGTGGAATGTATTGTCGCGCACTACTTCTGGCCTGGCCAATCTGCCCTCGGCAAAATGATTGCTGTGACGGTGCCATTTTATGGACCGGCCGTCTCGCCCCTTCTGATTCTGGGATTGGGTCTTGTATTGCTGGGCCAGGTCGTCAGGACTTTTGCGATGGCGCAGGCGGCAAGTAACTTTAATCATCATGTGCAGTCGGAGCATAGGCAGGGCCATGTGCTTGTTACGCATGGACTGTATCAGTTTCTTCGGCATCCGAGCTATTTTGGGTTCTTTTGGTGGGGTCTTGGGACACAGTTGGTGCTGGGCAATGTAGTATGTTTTGTTGGGTATTCGCTGGTTTTGTGGAAGTTCTTTTACACAAGAATCGAACGTATGTCTTTTGTTTCTCCTTCTTTCTTTCTCTTGATTTACTAACACCGTTGTTTTTAGGCGAAGAGGCATTTTTAATCCGATTCTTTGGAGCTGAATATGTGCAGTTCAAGGAGAAGACTCCCGTTGGCATACCTTTCATTCGTTGATATAATCACACAACTAGATATATATGCAGCATCTTCATCAATCGGCAGACTTGCAGCGGTCTCATCTCATATCCCTGTATTTTTTGGTAGAGCTATGCACCGGCTACGGTTGATCACGGTAGCCGAACGCTTTCTTGGTTAAGGATCATACTAATCCTGCAGTAAAATCGCTTGATGATATTTCCAAGGCACAAAAATTTGCTGATTGCGTCAAAAACGTAAATATCAAACTCAGCAGTTCCGCATCGCTCACGCTCAGTTCTGGTAGTCGTACTCTCGAGGGCATTGCTATAACATGCCAAATTTGTCTGACTACTATATGCCTACGTGTGAACTCGCTAATTGGTATTTTGACCATGTGAAATGGTGTCTGGTTGACTTCGATGGTTGATGGAAACATTTGAAGCGGGTGATAAGCTCAATGTTCCTAATACTTAATGTTTTGCTGTTGAAAGCCTGATGTTTCATTGGGACCCTTTCCCGGCTCCCTTCCAGCTCCTCACTTCTCTCACATCAACCTCACCGCACCACCTTTCCGCCAGAAAGCTTGAGGTTGCTTTGAGTTGCCCCCATTCCCTTTTCTTCTTCTGCTTCTTCCTCCCCTTCTACTCAACCTTTTGTCCCATTTCGTTGTCCCACACGACTTTGCACACCATAGCCAGATTCATCACTTAAGAAGACCTGGGTGCTCTACTTTTCTGCTTCTACCCCCTCGAAGACTCACTTCTTAGAGATCTTCTCTTTCAATCAACCACAACTACTCCGAGAGGTAAGTTCTCAGAAATCAAATCGACGATGGTGCCAGCCGGTTCCCCAAGGCAGCCCAGGATGGAATGGAACACTGCAAAGCGGCAAGTTCTATGTTGCTTGTTCCGATTCTTTTCCGATAAACATGCCTTTCCTGCTATCTTCTCGGAGATATTTCGAGATCAGCTCGAGCAACGAGGCATCTCTGGAAATGTCACTTTCCCAGTACTTCACACTCAATGGTATTGGATGCGACAAAATGGCAATTCTGTCTGGTATCATGTCCATATGGACACCCAATTTCAACCAGATGGTGAATGGGAGCCAATTATCAGAACCATTAAGCAAGCTGCGGATAGATTGGGCATTTCTCTTTCCCAGAAAGCGCAAGACGAAACGGACACCTCAAAGTTCGGGGGCCTGGATCGTGAGACGGGAATGAAAGAGTACCTGGAATCAATCATGCTTGTGGTAAGTAAAATGTGTATCAATAAGGCTAGATGGCAACTCTAACCGAAGATGCCTGTCATGATAGAAAAGGAGAGGTGAAATACCACCCTTACCTCTCGGCTCAAGTTTGAAAATGGAGAGCCCCGAGCCGCTGTCCGATTTCCCAACACGTGCCCCAGAGCCACACACAGAGCAAGAATTGGACCTTGACGAGATGCGTTGCGATGAGCCAAATTCAGACCCTGCACCCGAAAATTTCATAGCCCTCGTTAATGGCAATGGCAAGATATGTTTTTGGTGCTGGGAGGAAGGAAAGAGCTGTTCACAATCTTATCCAGACTTGCTAAACAATCCAACTTCGACTATGCAGGAAGATCCGGGGTACATCAATACTCTTATCGACCTGGATTCTTCAACAATTGATAACAACGTGTCACAACCTAGCCCCTCGAGAGTGGATGCACCAGGGCCTATCAATAAAAACAAAGGCCTCCCTGGACAATGCTCACCACGTGAATTGCCGCCTCTATTGTTTCGATGGTCAAATACTCGCTCCCAGGGAACAAATTCAAATAGCATGTTTCGTGCAGGGATGTTCTCATTAGGCAACACTACACCCTTCGATCCTGCCGCAATTCCCGAAAATAAGTTCTTGAAACTGTTCATCAACCATGTGACTAAATCGAAAGTCCTTTCACCTTTTATTTCAACATGTCGACTTCCTTTGACACCGATTCACAGAGCCTTTCGACATAGGAAAAGAGCAACGGTGACGATCATTGATCCCTCAAAGATAAACAACGTGATTGTGAAAGCGTCCACTCTTGTTCCCCTCACAGCCACAAAAACACCCCGATGGGAGGGGCTAGGGGAGTATCTCGTCTGGAAAGAAATCCCCAAATCTGCCATGATATGTAGATTCAAAATATCTCGTCTTCAAAAGATTGCGAGGGAGTTCCCAGATATTGCCGCCTTCCTCCAGTTGGACCTGATCAGAAGCAGCAAGTTTGTTGAGAGACAATTGTATGTTAAGCTTGCCCAAAACGTCAAAGCTATTTCCAATCCCGGAAGAACCCTTGAAAGACTTATGTCACTTCTCAACGTGCCAGCACAATACCAGCAAATTGTGGCAGAAATATTTGAGTCGGCCTGGACAGCAGAACCTTTCAACAGATTCGATGACGATTTCCCTGAAGACAGAGAGAATGAAGAGCGTGATCGATTCTACAAAGGGGAACCGGAATTTGATCCTGACTATCACTCTCCAGAGACGGAGAGCGCAAGCGATGATGATGATGATGATGATGCCCAATCAGAAAGCCGGCATGATACGGATAGCGAGCCTGAAGTTCGCTGCCCTCGGTTTGACACACCAAGCGAAGCATGGTCTACTTGTGATAGCTTGGACGACGATGCCGATCAGTTGGGATTGATGCCTGGACAGGATATTGTGGGAGATTTTGAATTATTTACTCCATCGGCTAAGGACCCGCATATCCCTGTTTCAAGAATCACTACGCCGATTCCACTTGTTTTCTACAGGCCCGATCCGGTGACGAACTGGGAAACGGATGGGGGAGCCAGTTGGCCTCCTTCCGAGCACTACGCATAGATACGGACTTGAGTTGACGTGCTGATATGGTCGCCTTTTTTTAGACGAGCGACGTCGGGTATGAGAACGAGTATCATCCGCTGTTCAATGTACGGTGCAACTTCCTTCTTAATGACCCCACTCTACAGGACCAGATATGCAGACAATGGAATAATTAACCTAGAACGGATCTTAGTGTTAGCTGTTACGCATAAGATAAGGAATATTTTGAAGTAGTCTATTGGAGAATAAAATTGTACATGTAAAATGACAATCCCTTCACTAGCGAGATCTATTTCCACTGTAGGATCCCCCTAATTTTCTCCTCTTTTTCCTCTTTCGTCCTTATTATTTCTATTTCTTTTCTATCTGAATGAAACTGTAATAATAAAGCTGGCAGCAATTCTCAACTTTATACATCTGGCCGCGCTGTGTCGTCATTGGCCTGTTTGGTTTGTTTGCACGACCTCGGTTATCCGCGGTGCTTCCCCCCCGCAAACTGTCCGAGGAGTAATGGAGACAAGAAAGGATCCCTTTTAATAATAAGACCAGAACATGGATACCGAACCCCGAGATTTCAAACGCTCCCTTTCTTTTATTCTCGTAATCCATACCCTCTCCTCCTTTCCCCATTGACCATGGCGTTACCGAGGGCCCAACGAGCATTGCCACGACTGTTCCGCCGTCACTATTCGGGGGCACCGTCTCCCAAAGCAAAGCTCAACTTGCCAATCGACTACAAATCTACTCCTCTTCTCTATCACACACCATCCGCTTTATCGGGCGTCACCGATTTCCCCGCCGCAGCCACCAGCAAACGCCTGAATTACTTTCAAGCCATTAACTCGGCCCTACGTACCGCTCTTTCAACCTCAGACAAAGTGCTTCTATTTGGAGAAGATGTCGCTTTCGGAGGTGTTTTTCGTTGCTCAATGGATCTTCAAACCGAGTTTGGATCAGATCGTGTCTTTAATACACCCTTAACAGAGCAAGGGATTGCAGGATTTGCCATCGGAGCAGCCGCTGAAGGGATGAAGCCTGTGGCCGAGATTCAGTTTGCCGACTACGTTTTCCCCGCATTCGATCAGATTATCAATGAAGCAGCCAAATTCCGATACAGGGAAGGTGGTACCGGGATTAATGTTGGAGGTTTGGTCATTCGGATGCCGTGTGGCGCTGTTGGCCATGGTGCACTGTAGGCATTGTCTCTTGGGCATTTTCCATATTCCCCATTTCTAACACATCTCTCAATCTAGATATCATTCACAATCGCCCGAATCACTTTTTGCACATGTCCCTGGTGTTCGCGTCGTGGTACCCCGATCGCCCTCACAGGCCAAAGGATTACTCTTATCTTCCATTTTCCAACATAACGATCCCGTCATTTTTATGGAGCCAAAGATCCTGTATCGAGCAGCTGTGGAGTATGTACCAAATGAGTACTACACAATTCCACTCAGTAAGGCGGAGGTTATCAAGCCTGGTAGAGACTTAACTGTTATCTCATACGGCCAACCATTATATATGTGCTCAGCCGCCATCTCTGCTCTCGAAAAAGCTATGCCTGGAGTTAATGTGGAGTTGATCGATCTTCGGACCATATATCCATGGGATCGCCAAACCATCCTAGAGAGCGTACGAAAGACGGGAAGGGCAATTGTGGTACATGAGAGTATGATCAATTATGGTGTTGGTGCCGAGGTCGCGGCCACAATACAACAGGACGCGTTCCTTCGATTGGAAGCTCCAGTTAAAAGGGTAGCTGGCTGGAGTACTCATACGGGTTTAACATATGAACAGTTCATATTACCAGATGTCGCAAGTAAGTCGATGAGATTTGCCCCTGTAATGTTCTTGTTTGCTAATATATGGTTATCTTCTTCCTCCTTAGGGATCTATGATGCGATGAAACAAACTTTGGAGTATTGAATGTTGGCTTGAATGGACTATCGTCTGAGACTTCATTGTCCCAATATTTCTCTCTGTCATTTTCACTCCGCATAAAAGTTCAAGGGTGTAGCATTTTAAATAACCATTTAAACCACCTCGACATCAATAGCGGCGGTAATACGCCGCATGCTGTATCGAATAATGATGAAAATATTCATTTATTTACCGACCCATCCAGCCTCCATCCACTGTTAAAATCTCTCCGCTCACATAGAGGCTTGCTCGGCTAGCAAGATAAACAACGGACCCCTTAAAATCATCTGCATTTCCCCACCTTCCGGCAGGGATGCGCTCCAGAATACTCGCTGCTCGGTCCTTGTCCTGGATCAACGCAGTATTCATATCCGTAGCCACATATCCCGGAGCAATCGCATTAACGTTGATTCCGCTCGAGGCCCATTGGTTCGACAATGCCTTTGTGAGCTGTGCCACGCCACCCTTTGCGGCTGCGTAAGCTGGAACATTGAGACCCCCTTGAAAGGAGACAAGGGAAGCAACATTGATAATGCTCCCACGTTGCCCATATGCATTAGGGGTACGGGTAAGCATATATGCACCAACATCGCGACATAGTGTAAAGACAGTAGTCAGATTGACTTGTAAAACCTAGATCAATGACAATGTAAGCTTCCACCCAAAATCACCTGAAATCAGGTATGACCATACCTCATCCCAGTCCTCCTGTGGGAAAACATGGCTCGGATGCCGCCGCTGAATACCAGCGCAATTGAGTAGTATATCGATATCATGTCCATCTGCCAATACACTAGAGACGAGGGTAGAGATTGAACTTTGTGATGAGAGGTCTGCGACGCAGATGGTTGCTTTTCTACCTAATCCTTCAATCTCAGATTTAGTGGCTTGATTGCTAGTGTCTCTCTGCATAAGAAATTAAAATTAATGTCTGAAATATGACTTTTCTTCCTCCAAAATTTAAGACTTACCTGAATTAAAATAATATTAGCACCGGCCTCGGCAAGTGCAATGGCCATGGCTTGCCCTATTCCACGGGTCCCGCCCGTAACGAGGGCTGTTCTCCCTGAAAGGTTAAAAAGGTTCATAGTCATTCCGTGACGCTGGTTGTGGATTTAATTCCTGAGTAGCATATGCGGGGAGAAGCCCGGGATTTATATGGCACGCTTTGTACCCCCACGTCTAGGTACCCCACCTCTACTAGATAGTTGGGGTGTTCCAACTTCAGCTGGGAAGGCTGGTCTATGTTACGCCTTCCTATAGATTCGGCTTTTACTGGTAGCAGCGGGGATCAAAACATGAGTCATATAAATAGTGTGCTTTCAGCCATCGTACTAAGTCAGGCTGCTGTATGTTCAACGCCTTTAATTTAAATAAATAGTTCCATGTATGCTGCAAGGAATTGGAACCCATTCAAGAAGGACTTCAAGATCACTTATCCGCTGAGTGCCACATAATTTTAGGCAGAATATTGAATAAAATCTTATTAACATTTAATTATATGCCGTAAATGCTCAAATGATATTCTAAGAATCTACCACTCCCGAATTGAACCATCTTCTCCGTAGAACTCCTTGGGTTGCCAGGGCTCACTGTCCTTGCTAATCTTGCGGACCAAATCCTCGTCAATCTCAATACCAATACCTGGCTTCGTTGGAGCTCCAACAAATCCCTCTGTGATCTCAAATACAGATTTGTCCACCAAATAGCTGTTCAAGTCAATATCGCCAGCTTCCACATTATAGTGCATACCCAGCGACATCTCCTGGATCACAAAGTTGGGTGTTGAGACAGCAATTTGAAGAGAAGCAGCAAGAGCGATAGGCCCAAGGGGACAATGAGGAGCAATAGCCACATCATAGGTCTCAGCCAAAGTGGCAATGCGCTTTGTCTCAGAGATACCACCGGCATGGGCAATATCAGGCTGCAAAACATCGACTGATGAATCCTCCAAGAATCTTTTCACGTCCCATCTTGTATAAAGGCGCTCTCCGAAGGCAATAGGAATGGTGGTAGAGTTCGATAATTGTTTGATCGCCTCGGGGTGTTCGCAGAGCAAGGGCTCTTCAATAAAGAGAGGCTGGTAAGGCTCCAGTGCCTTGGCTAATTGTTTGGCCATTGGGCGGTGCAAGCGACCGTGGAAATCTAAGCCTACGTCGAGGCCAAGGCTCTTCACTTGCTTAAGGCGCTCGACGCAAGATTGTAGGACGGCTGGGGAATCAAGCCAATTGACGTCTTCTGTGGCGTTCATTTTAACACATTTGAGACCCTGAGCGATTCTTGCCTTACTATTTTGTCTTTTTGTCAGAAAGAGCAATTGGAAGTTTTTATATTTGGCATCGACTTACGCTGCCACTTCAACATCGCTCGGTCGGTCTCCTCCGATCCAAGCATACACCTGCACCTTGTTGCGGACCTTGCCACCTAACAGCTGGTATACTGGCACACCCAGGCGACGGCCCTTCAAATCCCAAAGTGCGATATCGATTCCGGACATGGCTGACATGAAGACCGGACCTCCGCGGTAGAAGCCAAGGCGCCATATTGTCTGCCAAATATGCTCGATGTCACTGTTCAAAATGTTAGCGTCAGCCAAGATAGCCAGGGCAACGTGACATACTCAGCCTCGTAGCCCACAATCCGAGTAATGATCTCATTCAAAGCTCCTTCGACAGCTAGAGAGTGGCCCTCAAGTGTGCCCTCGCCCCAGCCAAATTGGCCTTCCTCGTCTGTGATTTTCACGAACAGCCAGCGAGGCTTCACGCGGAAATATTCAATGGATTTGATTTTGACCATGGCGACGATAAATGATAAACTGTCTGTTGAGAAAGATTAGATTGAAAGCGTCAAGCTGATCCTGAGGGGAGCGGGGTATCATTTATGAAATCGCGACGCGCATTGAGACCCCCATGCTGTATCCCACGTTCTCCACGCCGGCAACACAGTCTCGGGTAAAGTCCGGGGTTGAAGCTCCCCCGCACCCCCACGCAAGTGTGGACGATTTAGATTATTGGTGGAAGAATTGCACAGCACCCGAGGTGTTTTGTGCTCTCTCTGCAGATCTCAGAGTCTTAGGCTTGTCTGCATAGTTGTCTCTCCCATTGTTGGCAATTACGAGCAATTAAAAAGAAGTACCTATCTAAACATGGCATGAATTCACCCATCTGTATATAATTGTTTCTAAATACTGGCTTTCAGTACAAATATCTGAAGTTAACATTCTCCTTGTCCGTAAGATCGCTGAATGCAGATCGATCAAGTTCCAGTTGTCTCGTATAGTCCGAATCGCCGCCTGGAACAACACCTTGCGCCTGGTCGCGCCGCCGATTTTCCCATGCAAGTGCAAATCCCAGTACCACGATTAGGGCAATTTCCACGAAATTTGCCACGATCATTGACCATATTCCAAGTGAATATCCGGGAGCCTGCTCAGACTTGTAGAAAAATGGGCCAGCAATATTTCCCGCACATACTCCGAGGAAAATCATTGCATTGGTGATCACTTTTTTAGTATGACCCGCAATATTACCAGTCAGAATAGAAAGAATGATCACAAATGAGGCATTGTAGGACCCTGTCAGGTAATAACAAATCAATCGGCCCACTTGGTTTGATTGTGGTACGTAGTGCAGGCCAAATGAACCGGCCAGGGTCGGGAGCACAAAGACAACAGCGACAATACATCGATTGTTTCGAGGCAGGCGATCATTGACAAAGACAGCGAGAAGGATCATAAAGGAGATAAACGCGCCATATGGAATTTGCATCAAAGAGGTGACCACTGTGATCTAGTTAGCTGTGGATCTTCTTCGAGTTAAGCATGGGCACGCACATGTTGAGAATCCAAACCCGTGTATGATGAGGGTACCGAAATTCGAAATACCACCATTGGGAATGTTGCCAGAGAAACCTAACAAGAAAAATATCCACACCTTCCAGTCCAGAACTGCTTCAAGAATTTGGTGGGGCTTGAGATTCTTGTTTTCAATACCTGTCTGATTATCGCGCAGTCGCTCCACTGCCAGTCTCTTTTCGCGATTTGACAATTGAGGAGCAGTGACCGGAGAGTCAGGTAGGAAGATGATCATCACAATGCCCCAAGTAGCACAGAGAGCGCCGATTATCAAAAATTCGTATTTCCATGACGGGAGAGCACCCTTAATTTGCCCAATCCCGTAGCCAAGGAGACCGCCTATAGCTATGCCGAAACCATTCGCAGTGTACCATAAACCAATCCGAATGGGCTGTTCTCTTCGGGTATACCACATACTCGTAATTAACATGAAAGCAGGATCACTGTTTGTGTAAGACAATATTCCCTGAAGAGGCCATGAGAATGAAGACGCACCTGCAAGCCTCAGCGGCACCTGATATGACGCGTAGTACGGCAAGCTGTGTAAAGTTCTTTGCGGCAGCTGTATTATACTCATTATTAGTCAAAGGATTAAAAATCCCATATACGAAATTGAGATTTTACCTTGAAGCATAAGGAAAAAGCCCCAGAGAAAGATGTTGACTCCCAAGTATTTTCCGATCGGGAATCTTTGCATTAGCAGGTTTGTTGGAAATGACCAGAACAGGAAGCCAAAATAAAAAATGCTCGAAAGCCATGAATATTCATTGCCGGAAAGGCCCAAATCAGTTTCAATACCGAAGATAGCAGCGTAAGAGAGCGTCGTTTTGTCAATCTGTTTTGTTAGCCCATATTTTCATGAGATTGAATTAAGGTCAATATCATACATAATAAAATGCGTAGCAAACAGACAAGAACGGTAAAATCATGAGGTCAATCTTCCACACGAGTTTTCGTTCCTCTTCAGGCTCGAATGTTTCATGCATATCGTCCAGGTTATCAAACAAGGCTAATGCTGTGTCGCCATTGTGAATCTTCCCTGTGTCGGTCGTCATTCCCGGTTCTTCGACATGAAAGCTTGAAGGCTTTGGAGGCGGTTCCGAGCCATCGAGATGAGATGCGGCCATGTCGATGATGTATAGGTGCACTAGCGATGGAAAGGTGGTGTGAATGTGGGTGATAAGTAGAAGGCATCCAACATCATCAAAAACGAAAGGTATTCTAAATTCAATATCAATCTCGAACAAGGGGGCTTACTTCCCCGCTCCCCGGATTCTCCGTTTTTGATGGATGGGTGGGTCAATGGTGTGTTGATCCTACCCATCCCAGTCCTTGGCTGATGCAGCAGGAAGCACGGTACCCCCACGCCTTGTCGGAAGTAGCCCGCCCCTAAAGAGCGGGGGCGACCGTGGTAGCTCTCAGAGCGTGGGGAAAATATAGCAGTACGGAAACGCGTCCCATACTGCTTTTGTCGTCGGAGAAGTTCAAGGAGTCCTCTGCAAGGCAAGTTATAACAATGACAATCAAGGGGGACGATATCAGGCAGCATAGCGACCGAAAGTCCTGCTGGGTCGTTATTCATGGCGGCGTCTACGATGTGACAGGTATGTATTATTTCAGAGAACAACGGGTTGTCATTTTCTTGAAGACTAACCTTGTTACAGACTTCTTGGATTCGCACCCAGGTGGTGCAAATGTGATTCTCCGCTGCGCTGGCAAGGACGCAACAGATGATTTTGAGTCGGTACACTCGACAGAACTTCTAACGGAGGCGCTTCCATCAAGCGCCCTTCAAGGTCATATTGACCCAGCCGAGTTGGATGCTCTCAGCAACGCGACAGAAACCCCAAGGGAGTCTATCCCTCAGTCAGACGATGGGGCACCTCCATCATTGAACACACTAATCAATCTTCATGATTTCGAAAAAGTCGCTCAACAGTTCCTACCTGCCAATGCGTGGGCGTACTACTCGTCAGCAGCCGATGACGAATTCAGTAAGAAAATGAATGCTTACGCATATCAGAAGATCGCGTTGCGTCCGCGTATTTTGCGCAGAATCCAAGCAGTGGATACGACAACATCCATTCTTGGGCACAAAGTATCTCTGCCAGTTTATATGTCTCCTGTTGGCATTGCAAAGTTTGCCCACCCAGATGGTGAATGCGCCTTGGCTGCAGCTGCGGGGAAGGAAGGGCTGGTGCAAGTTCTAGCGAACAGCGCTAGCTTCCCCATTGAGCGAGTAATGGAAGAACGCACATCGCCTAACCAACCGCTGTTTGCACAATTGTACGTCAACAAAGATATCAGCAAATCGGTTGATTTAGTAAAAAGGGCTGTTAAGGCCGGGGCTCAGTCAATCTGGATCACCGTTGACTCTCCGGTAGTTGGCAAGCGAGAGATGGATGAGCGAATGAATTTGAGCTTCACAGTAAGAAAAGCTCTGCTAATAACCCCTAAAATTGGATCGAATAGCCGACTTATCTATCTTCAATAGACACAGGATAGCGATGCAAAAGGCCAAGGCGTTGCCAAGGTTGCCGCCAGCTCAATTTCACCATTTATCGATTGGAGTATACTCTCTTGGATCCGAGATTTGACTGACCTCCCAATCGTGATTAAAGGCATTCAATGTGCTGAGGATGCTGTCATTGCTTACGAGCACGGGGTTCAAGGGATAGTTCTATCTAACCATGGAGGTCGTTCTCAAGACACGTAAGCTTTGGCCCGTTGAAGCCATATTTTAATTTCATTGACATGGCTGACCACCTATACGTGTATAGAGCACAATCGCCACTTCTGACTCTTCTGGAAATACGCAAGTTTGCTCCGGCTATATTAAATAGCAAAATGCAGATATTCATTGACGGTGGGATCCGTCGAGGAACAGATGTTCTCAAAGCTATCGCCCTCGGCGCAACCGCTGTTGGCCTCGGTCGACCATTTCTTTACAGTCTTTCAGCCGGGTATGGCGAGAACGGTGTACGGCGGATGTTGGAAATTTTACGGCATGAGATTGAGTCAAATATGATATTTCTTGGAGCTACCAGTCTTCAAGAACTGCGCCCAGAGATGATCAATGCTGCTCGGCTGGAGCGTGATATGATTGGATCAGTCAAGCTATAAGAGAAACCTCGTGAAAACATTGAAAATAAACGAGACCAATATTAATTTCTGTACTCCACCTGGTAAAATCAAGCTAGCAGTAGAGGTTTGAAGCCTCAAAAGTAGCGCCCAATCTCTTAGCCCGAGAGAAATAAGCTTGCTTTCAGTATTTCGGAGATCGCCTATGTCTAATCGTTATGCCTGTTCGCCTTCTCGTGGACATTGAAATGTTGTGCTAATGGTGCCCCCACATCCACGGACATTCACCGATCTCACTGTGCGGGGAAGCGGTCCACCCCCACATGGGTAAACTCGACCCCACGTCCGGTTGGGATTTACCCAGGTGAAAGTCTGCAAGCTTCCGTCAGGCACAGAGAAAAAAGATTCCCCAGTTAATAGACCTCCTTCATTCTAAGATCCACACCTTTCTTCTTCATCCCATACAGCACCATGTCGGAGCAAATTGACGTTCTTCTATACGGCCTAGGAGCGTAAGAACTCACTGTCTCCCACCAAACTTTCATGGATACCGATTGCTAACAACCTTCCAGCATTGGCTCCTTCTACGCGTTCATTCTGTCTCGCTCCGAAAATGTGCGACTGACGGTTGTTGCTCGATCTAACTATGATGCTGTTTCCACAAAAGTGATTATCACACCATCCGAAATTGATTGTCATCTGTCTAATCACGGCCATTAGGGGATTACGATTCAAAGTGAAAATCACGGAGATCATACATTTCGCCCGTATAAAGGTCAGTTTGGAGGCTTAATATGAAGAATTGACTTAAATAACCGTGACTACAGTTGTCAAAATCCCCGCGGAAGCACCACCAGCAGACTATATTGTGTGCGCCCATAAAGCAATCGACCAGGACAAAGCAGCGGCCGAATTAAGTCCAGTTGTGCAGCCGGGTCGGACCACTATTGTTATCATCCAGAATGGAGTGGGTAATGAAGAAACATATCTGAGACAATATCCCGAAAACTCAATTATCTCATGTGTGGTAAGTAGGCTATATGGGAAATATTTGCAACAAAGCTGACCATCAAAGACCTGGGTCGGTGCCAGTCAGCCCACTCCCGGACTAATCAAGCACACCAAATCCGAAGATGCGCAAATCGGCCTTTTCTTCAACCCTAAAGTGAACGCCGGCACCGAGCAAGAACGCCTCAAGAGATTTGCCGACCTCCTTGAGTACGGCAAGACCCGATTCCAAGTTTTGGAGGATATACAGCGACAAAGATGGGAAAAGGTTGTATGGAACGTTGCCTGGAACTCTATCACTGCTCTTACACTGATCGACACCCAAACTTGGCTGCACTCTTCAGAGAACGCCGAGCCCTTCACTCGTCAGTTAATGAGGGAGGTTATTCAAATTGCTCGTGGCTGTGGGGTCATGTTGAATGATAGCCTGGTGGATGAGCTTATGGACAAAATCAACGCTATGCCTGGCATTGGAAGTAGCATGCAAACTGATTGCAAGAACGGACGTCCTATGGAGATTGATGTTATTCTTGGTTTCCCTGTGCAAAAATCACGGGAGCTAGGTATCTCGGCTCCATATCTTGAAACACTTCATGTACTTTTACGCGCGGTGGATGGCCGAATCCGAGCAGCCTTGTAGAGGTGATTGTGTTGTTCTATATGGATAAGAGGGGAATCGTGCAATAATTACTTTCAATTATTCTAGTCAGTACCTAATGACCTGCATCAATTGGCTGTTCATTTTCACTTTAGAATATTCGAGTTGTATCCACTGCGCGATGGTAGCACGTGGTCTTTACTATACTAGCCTTTCGCAGCTGGGAGTCTCCAGGGCTTCTTCTGTCACCGAATATTTGCCATCATCCCTTTTGCGTCATTTGTCCCCTTGCACTCGCAAATATTGACCCAGAGAAAAAAGATGTATTAGAAATTGGAAGAGGAGCCAATCCTCTTGTTTGGATTTGAGTTGCTCTTTCTTTCCCGTATGAAACAAGTTCATGTGAATGGAAGTTTTGGCCAAAGCTGGTTGGCTCATTAAATATCAAGTCTTATTCCATGTTTATGTCCAAAAATGCTTAAATGAGGTATATGTAACAGGAGCTCAGTAAATAGCTCAATGCAAGCTCCACAACAATAAACCCCGTTGCGCCATCTTTTGCAATCCGGCCGAGGTTCTGACAGGACCATATCAAAGCTAGAGCCCGCTAGCCTTGTAGACTGATCTATGCTCTACAGACGCCGAGATTCCCCAATACATACAGGTATCATTAATGCCACGCGAGGTTAAAGGGGGAAAATAAAAACAAATAAAAGAAGAAAAGATCATTATCGTGAGGCGTTGAGGTAGATTCGTTGATGCTTAGGCTTCAGGTGTGTGGCCAGGCATCTCTTGTAGTTGGATAGATGTAGACTTTGCATGGTCATCGGATTCAACGGCTTTCTGGTCCGGTTCTTCATCCACAGCAAATCGCCAGCGACCGTCTGGACTCAGAAACATTCGAAAGGCATAGCGTTTCCCCAACTCACCGAGATTATTACGTCGTTGAACGTTAGTCCAAGTATGAGTGCCCTGGAAATCGCCCAGCATTCGACTATGGGCAATCCATGGTACAACAGCACCGATTGAACGCGGCATTCTTGGGCCTCGGAATCGGCCTCGGCGTGTGCCAAAGACAAGCAAAATGATGAGAGTGTCGAAGCCAATGATCATCAAAGCGATCGCCAGGGAGGGAATAGATGGCATCATGTACCAAGTGCTTTGGATGACAATCGGATTGGTGGCTTGAGATTCGTGCCCCGCAGGGTCGAGGTAAAGATGACGCCAAATGGAGAAATATGTACTGTAAACCCATTGATACACATGCCGAGTCAAGTCAATGAGGCGCACAGCTTCCAGAGAGTCGAAGTCCGGATCTTCGCGCTGGTAAAGACGAGCAACAAGAAAGCCGGCCCAATCGTATGAAGAGATGTTATACGTTCCGTTTATGGCAGTTGTGTTTCCCACATAGCTATCAGGAATAGCAGCAAAAACTTTATTGAACTGGCCCAAGCTAACGGTCGCGTTCTCATACATGGAGCCTTCGGTGATAGACGTGTGATTAAGAGGCGTATGTTTCTTGATCTGGCCCCTTTCGTCAAATGTGGTTGAGTAGTTTTGTAAGGCTACCCGAGGCTCGCAGTGGACGGCAATTGTGTTAGAATCGGTGATCGGGCTATCAGCAAGATAATCCCAGCGCCCAACCACTAAGACCGTGGATGTCTGGCAGACAGTGGTGCCATTCATATCATCAGGCGAAAGGAAATGAATAGACAGTGCAATACCCTCGTCCTTACTCTGGGATGGCATGGCCGCCGAACATTCGATTGACGAGTTCTCAAACGTAGTATACCGCCAATAGTCCTGTCCGGAGGACTCGTTGCGAAAGAGACCTTCCTCGGGGGTTAATGCTTTACATTCCATGTCAGCACCAATGCCCAGAATATCTGCTCCGTACATCGCGTCCGATTTATGACCATGAACATGCACGGGCACAAATGACCGATTAGAGCTCGTCCAGGGAAGCATGGGAACACCACTCATAATGCTAGTTTGTATTAGATCGTACTCAGTGAACTCGGCCGCAAAGTCGCTTCGCTGGAAAACAGACTGGCTATAGTTCATGGTTAGATCAGTTGTTGGGAGAGAAGATGTTTTCAACTCCTGAGTGAACAAGCCGCCAGCAACAACGGTTAACACCATATTAACCACGCATGCCAAGGAGACTAGACCAAGCAAAATATGCTTATCACGAACACATTTGAACAATATCGCAGCGGGGCTTTGCGATGCGTAGTTGAGTGTTAGAGAATCACGAGCCGAAGCCATTCCTCTTTGAAGGTGAACCCAAGGCTCCAGGACACTAAGGTTTCGATGAATCGATGTGCACAGGGATCCAACGGAGGACGCCACAACGGAAGGAAGAAAAGAAAGGACGACTTGTAAAGAGCTCGAGCCAGATTGTGTTAAATGGCGTAGCCGACCGTCGCGTTGAAGAGAGGAAACCACAAGGCCCATCATTATAATAACTCCTGCTAGTAAAAGAAATTCAACGAGGAAAAAAGGGACGACTAGAAAATGAGGCATTGGGTCGACCCGGGTTCGTGTATCCGCTTCAAGCTGTACCGGCGACCCATCTTCAGCCAATATCTCCAGTCGGTCACCGGATGGACCGGGACGCCAATAACAGCGGGCTTTTCGGAACAAACGATTGAGTTGACGAGTAGAAAACTGATGAAAATCGGTGTTGGGGTCGGCTAAAATGTTTAAAGGGTGGAAAACATCGGCGGCAATACTGCACATAGCTCCAATGGAGCCAGGGTCACTTTTAAGAAATGTCTCGCGAAACCTGTATAAGAAAAGCAGATAAAATGCAGTGACGGCAGCGACAGCTAGGATGAACTCTGAAGTGAATGCGGCAAAAGTAACGATTGCAATGGCGACTCGGTTGGAGGAACTGGTTGCAGAGATGATGGTGGGATTATGGTCAGGGTCGAAAAGACGCCCAAGAGTGAGAATAAATGTTTGCTTCACGTCACGGCGAATGCGAGACTGGAATTCAAATTTTGTCATGACCGTAGCGCTGTCCAAGACAATAAGAGGTTCGAGGTCACCTAATTCTTCGCTAATAACGGGTAATTCGGTGACTATGCGGGCTCCAGTGGTTTGATTTTCGCGAATAAATAGCATATCGCTAGTGTACGGAGAGTGAGTCGACAACAGGGCTTGGAAGTGGATGATGTTGAACTCTTTTGCAGTCACTGAGCGGGTCGTGGCCGGGTGTATTTGAACCGAAGTAATGGAGCTGTTGGAATGCATCGTAACCTTCGCTTGGGCTTTATAATAGTTGATGTCACAGGCAAAGGCATCGGGAGAAGCTGCATAGTGCAGATCGGAGGAATTGGTGTTGGTGGCGTTGACAGCTATCATCATACCATAGATATCGTAGGGATCACATCCGGTAGTTGTGAAGGCGTGTGTCCGGTTCGGATACTCGGACGCTGCGGATTGAGCAATGACCGGTTCCCAGTAGCGAATCTGGAGGTAGTCAGTCTCTGGAAAGAAGATGTTATCGTATTGGAAGTTCAATCGACAGGAAGATGAGCTGTTAACATCATCCTGAATATCGACACCCGTCGCGTTCCATGAGATGGTAGGATAGCCAGAGCTAGATGTGGCCTTGTTGATATTGACTGATGTAAGGGAATCCTCCACAGGAACATCAATGCACACCAGGTCAGTCCAGTATATTATCTGGTCCATTGTCCACAATGCGTCTTTCTCGATAGTCTCGTCGGGGATCTCGACCGGCGGGATCGCATAATCTGTAGATCGCGTGCGTTGAACTTTTTCACTTGATGATATGGCCGAATCCAAAGTGCTGTTACTTTGTGTTGACATCCAGCTGGCTTGACTGTCGAGATCAACTAATGTGGGCCAACTCTTCACTTCCGCGTGGTGGATCACATCGACTCCACGAAGTTCAAAGAGCGTACTTGATAAGGCAGGCAATATCATCCGAATTGAAAGTGTGACCATAGAAACCCAAAGAACTACCCAATGGCGACGACGCGCGGCATTTATCGGAGTCAGGATCGTTTGTCCAAAGTTGTAATTGATAAAAAGCACATTGGCTGCGGCACCAGCCGGTTGTGAGAGTTGGAAATAGGGTTCGAGTCGGAGTACATCGAAGTCGGCCACGGTCCAGACCATGAGCAGTAGGAGCGAGATGATGATGGGCAAATAATTGTATAAGAAGGATTGCAGTGAGGTGACATCGTCGGTATCGTTGAAGAAAACGAGGCCGCCTTTTCGATTGCTATACTGCCGGAGACCCTCCAAAGTCAGGAACATGGCACATGTCAAGCATACAAGTCCAGCCAGGAATGGTGGACGTAACGCAAAGGGTCTCCAGCCCTTTTGGCGGCCGTTGGGACCTCGCGGATGGAATGGCGCAATGAACGCTGGGAAAATGTCAGCATGGCCGCGGGGGAGTCGGTTCTTGTGAATGGTGCGCTACAAAGGGAAGAAGTCGCATATAGAGATAATGAGATCTGTGCGATCGAGATTGACTTACCCTTCCATGGTGACCAGAACCGCCGAGGCGTCGTGCCACCGTCAACGGACATGCTGGACTAAAGCCCAGGAAGGCAGAGTGCGAAGGGGATCGCAGAGCATTGCCAAAGATGCTCCAAACGGACTATAGTCGACAAAGCCAGAAGGTCAAGGTTGGTCGAGAAGTGGTCGGGGACATGACGCACTAAGATAAGGTACGGAAGTGAGGAGTTCGGAAGATGCGCGAAGGGGAGACATTGGAATTTAGTTGGACGCGTGTGCGCCCCACCTCAAAACCACTTGTAGTGGGTTCTGACATGTACGCTTAGACAGTTGCGATTTAGTTAGCAAACCTTATATAACTATGGTGATTATCATCAGTTATATCGTGATTTAAAAACTTTGGGCTATATGCATAGTGTCATTCATGTTCTGTGAGGACGTTTAACGTGCCAAAAACGTGGGATTTGGAGAAACATGACGGAAAGTCCGACCTGATCCAGTTCCTGGCAAAAACAAGGTTCCAATCCAGGCGGGAAGACTCTTGGCATTTCCAAAAAAGTGACGTGTGAGTGGATATATGAGGTTTTCATTGCTTGAAGACCACCTGGAAGTCCACAGCGATAAACTACGTGATGCATACTATACGATACATAACAGAGACGGAGAGAAGTTGAAGTTGAATTTTTTCAAGTCCCAACTTGAATAATAGACATTTCAACGTACACATATTTGAAAAATCCATGCCCCATTTGGTTAACATTAACAGATTATGGCAAGTCTCCTATACAGATGCAGAATGTGCACATATATTCATCCTCGACAAAAATCTGCCCAATGCAATCTATGAAGCCTGCATATCCCTCAAATTGAGCAGAAATATCGTGCTTACTGGGTGGCCTCAGCCTGCACAACCTCGGCGCGAGCCTCAGCTGCTTTCGCGTTCTCCACATCGCCATGCTCCATGGCAATTGTGCTGCGAGTGTGGACCCGGGTCTTCCAAGCGGGAGTTCCCAAGTATTTGATACCGTTGGGGTCTTCAAACATGGCTTCCGTCTCTTCCAAAGTCTTACCCGCTGTCTCGGGGAAGATGAAGTAGACGTGGATGAACATGGCCGCGTTGAATACTCCGAACAAAATATACGTTTTCCAGGTGATGTTGGCAAAGGCCGATGGAGTAAACAGACCAAGAGCTGTGTTGAAAGCCCAATTGCCTGATGTGGCCATGGAGACTCCCTTACTACGCAGACGCAATGGGAACAGCTCGGGTGGGTATGTCCATGAAACTGGACCCCATGTGGGAGCATATGAGGCAACAAACAAATATGTGCAGGCAATAAGACCCTTTGAGGCTGCGCCAGTCACGGACATTGACAGCTCGGGCGTCGTACGTTGATCCACCGGGATAATTGTTGCGTTGTTACCTAGAATACCGGCGTTCGCGAACATGAACACGCACATAAAGAACGCACCCACCAGCATAGTTGGACGACGACCCCAGCGATCTTGCCAGAAAAGAGCAGGTAGGGTCATAACGACGTTGATGATGTACTCAACAGACGAGGAAAGCAAGGCTGCGTTTCCTGTGTACCCAGCCATGCCAAACACATAACTGATATAATACACTAAAAGGGGGGTGCAAATTAGCCCACACTCAACGTTGAATATACCACTACTAGCATTTCTTGGCCATAGGCAAGGCACACGAAATACTAGGGGTGCAAACAAGAGTCCGCAGGGTGTTCTAGGATTACTCACTCATCACGTTCATTCCCGTCAGCTGAGACCAAATTTGGGTGAAAAGCCCAATCAAGGTTCGATTGAGCATTTTAGGGTGGAATAAATCAAAGTAGGTGACATTTCCGAAGGTTCGCTCTAGCTCACACATATCCCGGATATCTTGCAATTCAATTGCGACGAATGGGTGGTCGCGGTCACCCTTCCCATGAACAAGCGCAAGTACCTCGTGTGCTTCTTCCCAACGATCCATACGAGCCAGCCAACGCGGAGATTCGGGCAACAACATCATGGCAAAGAACAGAGCAACAGCCGGGATCATTTGCAGACCCCAGGGGATTCGCCAAGCCGCCGCGCTATAGTCAGAAGAGGTTTTGCCTCCAACAAAGGAGCAGCCATATGAGATACTGTCTCGCATTAGAACACCAGAGTCGACAGCAAAAGTTCCAAGACGGGCCTAATTTTGACTTACTAGTACATGATCAGAATACCCCAGGTAATAGCCCACTGCTGCAAACCGACAAATCGACCACGCTTCGAAGGAGGCGATAATTCGGAAATGTAGACAGGAACCTGCGCTGACTCGATTCCGACGGCCAACCCGTTAATGACACGACCTACACAAAGCATGGCTATATTTTGGGCAGCACAAATCAAAGTAGAGCCAATAATCCTAGGTTATGAGAGCATGTTAACATAGATCATTTTCGAAGGCAAATCATGGCGAAGATAGCCTTGGAAATACTCACCAGATAAGACAACCCAACATGATGGAATATTTACGTCCAAGACGATCAGAGATAAAACCAGAGATCAAGGCACCCAGCCAGGAGCCAGCGGCCATAGAAGCAGTGACACCACCCTGTCGCAACGAAGACAGACCACTACAATCGTCGGCGTCATTAAATGGCGGGCCCTGAGGCCCCTCATTGAAATAACAAAGGTAGGAATTCTCAGACAGCTGAGCAGACATCGACGAGATGTCAAAGCCAAAGAGACCGCCGCCGACGACGGCGACGGAAGCAATCACATAGATGTTCCCGACAACCATGATCAACCTGGAGGAAATAGAACCACCTAAACAAGAGATTTCCTGACTTCCAGCCAGGGGGGCTGTGGGGACGATCTTATAATAAAATACCCATCTCTGTCACAGGACGCAGGATTCGAGGGTACCACTGTTTCGAGGAACGGTTGCACTGGCCATTATTAACTTGAACTTAAATTGAAGGGTTAACTGTTCAATTACCTGTAAGTGAGCTCCACTCGCGCTCGCTTGACCACACATATCTTGTTCTAGTCTACAAAAATACGACCTAGCAAAGTGGAGGGAGGGGCCAGGAGCTCCGAAATGGCCAATCCACGACTCGAAATCCGGTGCAACTGACACTGGGCTCTCCCCATGGGGGAAAAGCTCGGAAGTATTGTGGATCTTTGTTGGGATTGGAAAGAACTTGTACATTATTTTTCCACGGGTCGCCATTCTGATTGATTGACACATCCCAATGATATTTTTCTTTTGTTATTCATATCCATGTCAGCATGCACCCCGTACCCCGTACCCACCCACCGTCCCTGTTTCCCCGCGTCAGGGGCCAAATGGTTTCCCATCTGGAGATCCATTGCATCTACTCTTCTTCCTACGCAACGACAGGTGATTATTTAGGGCATTTTCCGTCCAAGCAAGCAAACTTTCATAACTCTTGTTTCATGACGATCAAGCAACGCAATGAAAAGCTTGGTTTACGGCTGTGGCGTCGGCGCTCACCTTCGCTTTGGCTTGGCCGAGATTAGATATCCCGCTTTACCTCCCTATTTTACGTAGGTGGCCTAAGCCCATCGCACCATTCATTAGCTGTTTGTTGGTTTTCATTGATCATCTGCTCTTGGCACCACTCAAGCACTTTCAGGCAATATACCCCTTCTCTAGTGGCCCCCGCAACATCCAATCCGAGTTCTTGGTGGCGTCTCGGGTGTCACCTGGAAAGGAGCGATCGACATGGCTTCGGCCTTGAATTCTGGTTACAGTTCGGCGATGGGATGTAAACCCGAACCCGGCTGCCGGATAATACATTATACATGACGACGGGGGCCTGAACGCGACTTTCCAGCGAGCTTCCGATTTACCCGTGTTGTTGTTTGTGTTGGAGGACAAAGGCAGCATACGTATCGAAGACTCAGATGGCCTCGGTGTCCCATGGGGATGAACTCGCTGACATGGGGTTTTGCGGAGAGACCCACATCCCCAGGAAAACATGATCACTCATGATCACTTTCTGTCTGCCAGTATTGGTCGGAGCGCGCGGCCGAATGTCATTCATTGCTTGCATTCCATGGAGCATGTACGATTCATCTGAGAATATCACTGGCTCGATTCAAGGAAAGACTTACGCACGCAATGCGGGGTGCGCAATCGTTTTATTGGCCATTTAGGACGTGGGCACGCGTACCCGGGCCAAACATCTCGGCCCTAGCATCCCACGCAATGGGACCAAATGTCTGTGTGGTAAGACCGGTGCGTGTACTCGATCATAAGAGCCCGGAATTTGCTAATTTGACTTCGGTGCATAGTACTTTATACATTTAGTGTTGTTAATAATATGACAGGAATTCAAGTTTGCATTAGTTACGACGGGTTCTCTCTCGAAATCTAGTATGCTCCAAATTTTGCCGAAGCGCTAGGGCGGAAATGCAATAAATTAATTCTCTAATTCAGCCTTGCAACTACTATGTATTCAATTGGGGGCCAAGTTTCGATAGACATGGGTAGCCTGGGTCAAGCAGCCCGCTGGAACCTCAATGGTGTATCCACCCAAACGAAGTATGTGTGAAAGGTGTACATACGGGGAATCTTTAGTACATAACACGGATCGTTTACTTGATTCCTTCCTCTTTTCGCCTCAAACTTGGCACTCTATTTCTCCATTGGCTCAAGTGGGAGTATACGTCATTCTTCTTTTCTCCCCTCTGGCTCACATAAGATATACTATTCGCATTGTCATAACCGAATGTTCGAGTTTGAATCCTTTATAATTCCGAACATTTCAAAATATACGTGGGGCATTTGTACCCAACTTGAATGTAGCCCGACACTTTACAACAGCGACAGCATCCATCGCGAGAACTTCAAGTTGAATAGTAATGAACGGCAGCCCTGGAAGTCGAAAGTAATTTACAACGACCAGGATTGCCAATGGTGAGTTGAAAGTCATTAAAATCGTAAAAGATAACCTTTTACAAATGGCTTCATAGAGCAATCTTCTAGGAAGTCTTTTTTTTTCAAATTTCGTCAGACCCCTCGGTGCTAAATGTTGCCAAGAATGCGAGAAGGAGAATATTTAATATCCAACGCCAATTCTTTATCAAATCCGGAGTATTCAAGGCAACTAGTATCTTTAAGGGAACATTTGAAGTTGAAGTGTTCTCTGCCCAGCTGAACACCAGCAGTGGGCCTTGGCATTCCAGACAGAAGAACCAGAATATAGGGAGAGGACCTTGGAAGAAAAATATTTACTACTATACGAGAATGGATTCTGGTTAATTACATAATGCCGTCGAAGACCCGAGAAACATACTCTTTTTGTTTTTGATCATCTCTCTATCGGTGTTCCTCGGCCTTCTTCACGACAACAATGTTATACGGCAGTATCACCGATCTCCCGCATGGGACTGAGAAGTACAGCCGAGGCAAACCACCACGCCTCGACCCCTCAAGTAGACCATTGCAAACAATACATTATCCCCGCACTTTTAACACGAAACATCACCAGGAAACGCGACACCAACTTTGATGAATTTGCTTATCTTATTGAATCCTTCAATATGCAGTCTGTTATTTTCAAAGGTCCTTTACATGTAGCCCTTGAGGAACGCCCACGTCCCCAGATTCAAGATGCGACAGACGTGATCCTGAAAGTCAGGTACACGGCCTTATGCGGCAGGTAGGTTATTTGTATGATCTCACCAACTACATAATAATGGACTCACATTTTTAAAGTGAACTTCATGTTTTTCGAGGCCACCAACCCTCAAAGAGTGGGTTCATTATGGGTCATGAATTCACAGGCGAGGTCGTGGAGACAGGTGACCAAGTGAAGACTTTTAAGAAAGGAGAGAAGGTGGTGTCACCATTTACTGTCAGCTGTGGAGACTGTTACTATTGCGCGCGAGGCTTCTCTTCTCGCTGTGCGCGAGGTCAACTATACGGATCAGTGATCTTGGATGGTGGTCAGGCAGAGTATGTCCGTGTGCCTCTAGCGGATTCTACTTTATTTCATGCCCCCGCGGCCATCGATGAGAAGAAGTTGGTTTTGATGGCAGATATCTTCCCAACTGGGTATTTTGCAGCTTCGAACGGGTTTAAGTCACTGAACCCGACAGATGTTCAGGACAGTACGGTCCTCTTGTTCGGATGTGGGCCCGTGGGTATTTGTGCTTTAGTGAGCGCGCTCGAGCACCGACCTAAGAAGTTGATTGCAATCGATAGCGTACCGGCTCGTCTCGAACTTGCAAGAAGTTTGGGCGCAGAGCCTTGGAACTTCCAAGAAGATGAGTCGGGGCTTCGGGAGAGGGTCAAGGAACTGACTGATGGCCGTGGCGCCGACATTGTCATTGAAGTTGTGGGACACAGCAGCGCGTTACGCATGGGATTTGAAATGTTGCGCCCATGGGGTGTTTTATCCAGTGTGGGAGTACACAACGGCGAGATTCCATGGACTGGCAATGAGGCCTATGGAAAGAATCTGCGTATCCAGATGGGACGCTGCCCTGTGCGAAGTGAGTATATTTATGTGACCTTTCTTTAGGCTTATGCGGGCGACTAATTTTGCAGGCATCTTCCCTGAAGCTATGGATCTTCTGGCTAAGAAGCAAGATGTGCTTGAGTGAGTATTCGATCTCGTTCAACGGTGGCTTCCTACTATCTTGTGTTATCTCAGCTAACAGCAGACAGCTTTATGGCCGAAGATATACGACCACTTTCTCAAGCCGTTCAGGCGTAAGTTCTCATTCCTTATCATTTGAATAAATTCACTGACATATAGTAGATATGACGATTTCAACAATATGCGCTGCCAGAAAGTCATCTTTGAGGCAGATAAATGATAAAATGTGGGGGTTTGAGTACTGCAGGCTATGAAGTGAAATTTAGTAGTTCCATCTCGGTAGTCTTCAAGTTTTATTGACATACTTGAATAGTATTTTCACTTGTTTTCATAAAGTTGAAGACCAACTGGCACATGTTATGGCTTCTGTTGAGCCGCTAGACTTCCCCGCAGAGTATTCCCCTTAGGCCTCGCTCCCGCTCCTGGCTCAGTTGAAATTGAACCCTGATATTCTTCGAACCTTCAAAGAAAATATTGTCACCCCGAACGACTTCTCATTATATTCTCACATATCTCGCATTCTGCGCCTAACAGTATTCAATATGACGATGTGGAAAATTTATGCCTGGGCTCTAGCGACCGTGGGATTTTCTTCAGCGGAGAACAGGATCGTCTCTCTCTTCATCCCCGACGCCGATCCCCAGCCTCTAGCTGTCTCAATTGTCGGAGAAGTGTGTTTGTGCTGAATCATAGTGGGTTATTAAAGGGACTCACATGGTATATAGGGCGCTGGTACCACAACATACAGCATCAACTGTCCGCCTGGTACCGATGGCTCCGACTGTGGGATGGGAGCGGGCCTGTGGCTCACCGCAGGAGCGACGACAACGGACTATAGGTTGAGCGATTATGGACAGCAAGTGTAAGAGTTCCCTATTTGCATTTATCCGAATTTTCGACCAAGAGACTGCACTGAACAATCCATCTCACTAACTTGCCCTCACGAGTAGACCTTATAGCATTGTCTGCTCCTTTGGCGGAACCACAACTGCGGTCTGCACGGAAATATTAGCTTCGTTTGGTGGGAGCAAGCCTTACATAACCGAATCAGTCACTTTTGCTCAAAGCGAGATCCAACACTTGCCTGTGACGATCACTGCTGGCCCTGGAAGTGTGTCCTCTAGATCAACCACGACTAATACAACTGATGTGACCAGCACGAGTGATGCGTCGAGCGAAACTAGCAAAACTAGCAAAAGCCCAAGTACTAAAAATACCGAATCCTCGGTGCCAACAAAATATTCTGTAGCCGGAGCCTCTCAAACGAGTGTGCGGGGGTTCCTCAGATAACCAGAAACGCCTATTTTGCTTTTGGGGGCGCTGCTGCTGTGTTGGCTGCAAGTACCTGGTGAAAAAGCCCGTCTCTGCTAATATGGATACATTTGAGTTATTTTCTCATGTCACTCAGCCTATGCTTCCAGCACAAGGATATCCCACGCACAATAATATGCAGCTTGCATTCTGTAGAATCGAGTCGCAATTAATTGAACAATAATTTCCCCGACATCGCTATCTCACGCCTAATATCAAGAAGAATCGGATAAATATGATGAGTTCTAGATCTCATGATCAGATTCTGTATCGAGGGTGGCGTATGAAAGGATCGGAGAACTCCCGATAATCATACGATCTATGCAGCGAGCTCCCCACCCGCGCCTGGGGCGAAACGGGGATTTATAGCAACTTCCATGCGCTATGCATGCATCACGACCCAATTTCTCATATATTCCAAATCTAGACCAAGAGGATTACAGGGATCCTGCATCGCATACGTTGTGGTAGTATATTCGGTATACCATCACGGAACCGCAGCAGGGATTAACACCTGTACAATCCCAGACTATACATGCAATTGAAACAAGTTTTTCAGATCAGAAAGAGGGGAAATATGGACATTGACATGACTGCATCGTTCTATCTTGCGACTTTTTTCTTCTGATCCGCAATTACTATCACAAAAAGTGCCATACTACGCAAAATGCCCCGGACCATTACGACTCTGCTGCTGTTCGCTTGAGACGAATCTCCAAACCCTCAGCGCCAGCCGGGAGATCTGCCCCGTCATCATTGCCATCAAAGTACAGCCGCCAGATTCCGCGCCCCTGTACCATTCCCAATTCAGCCTTGGCTTCATCCTCTGCCTCATCCTCCGGAAGACGCACCGCCAACCAGCCTTCCCACCCCTCCATTGTGACGTACTGCTCATCTGTCGTGCAGTCAAAGGGTCCACATACATGTCCCTCAGAATCCGGACGGCCGCCCCAGCGCATTTCATGCGTCTTCGCGTCTCTAAATACCCAGCGTAGCGTGGGCGCTTTCTCTCCACTGATAGTGACGATACCAGACATGTTATCGGGGGTGAAATCGGGATGTTTGTAGAAACCACCGTTGAATGGGACCATCGTTGGTGTTGGATTCTTGGTGATGTAAAGCTAGAGAGGGCATCAAACCCATAGTTAGCCATTGCAATGTATGAAGATCATGTCTCACGGAGACTGACTTTGCCATCCAGACCCACTTGGACCCGTCCATTGTGAACTTGTTGGCGCATTTTCGGTGTCCCCTGTGTAAGGGCACATATGGCTACTAAATGTCCACGTTGTTTTCGTGCTTCGTTGCTCCGGGCCTCTTCTTGATCTCGACTCCCCTGGGTTGCTTGATTCAAACCAATCATTGTTGGAAGCATGGCTCCCATCATGATTATTCCGAATACCATTGCGAATTTACGATCGGGGCTTCATGTACATCGACGCAGAGTCGATAGTAATGGACGTCTTGTGTAGGCAAAAAGGCGGGGACTGTACAGCTAAGACATACAGATGGGACGGCCTTTAGTTACATCGGACGAGAGGATGTATGGATGCTGGGGTCTGAATAGATGAGTGGAGACAATTTGATCTGAGATTTGATGACAGGCTTGATAACAGCCTTGACCCCGATGAATCATATGATCGAATCTGCAGCTAAGTCAGGGTGCTTCCGACAAGCAGGGGTTGGACGGTGAAAGTTCCGAAAAGATACATATCGCAGGGTTTTCACAGATGGGCGAGCGAGAGGTTGAAAAAGACCCATCAAGTCGAATCAATCGCTCCTTTTTTCATTCTCTCAGACCATCATCATCTAACTCTTTCTGCATATACTTCCAACCCGCCCTTCCGAGTCTTTAATTCGCCAATATCTCCCTGTACCTTACAAAATGTCTGAACCTGTCAGCAGGTATTTCTTCCCTCTTCCATTTATACTTTTCCCCGGTCCTTCATCAAAGCCACTCTGAACTAGTACTTGGGAGATTCCCTTGTACGCCATCTTCCCTTATATTCATGTTCAAAACCAAGTCCCAGCGGATCAAAGAGAAGCAGAAGCAGAAGCAACGACCATATTCAATCCCATCTGGAGTGGGCTACAGTAGCACACAAAACTCGTCTTCGTCAACCTTGCCAGTTCAGTATCCAACATCTCCGGATAAGTCGATGAACTCATCGTCATCCCTGCCCATGGGGTCCAAGAACGACGACAGCGTTCCACTGCAGCCTGTTGTGACGGGTTCATCAGAGACTACACCTCCTACTCCTGCCCAGCCAGCTCGAGCCAGTCTTCCCAATTCCAAGTCTGTGGCTAAATCGGCAACCGTCACTGATGCCCCTCCTGATCCCCCAGGCCCCATCTCCGCTCAACCCGCGGTCGTTGCTTCTACGCCTTCTCAATCGGGCTCTGCTGTCCCTATCAGATCCAAGCCTGCACCTATTGACCCGGCAAAGAAGGGTGATACCGGGCCTAATGCTAACCTTTCTTCTCTCGTTGATAGCATTCCCTCTGAGGCTCGCCCCGTCGGTGGCCGCCGCGGTAAATCTGACGACGAGATGAACGGTGCTACTCGAGGCGGCGAACTGGTTGCCGGTAATACCGGCGGTATCACCACTGCCGGTATGCAGCTCCCGGGCAAGCTTCTGAATGAGGACGAGAAGAGTGCCTTGAAAATCAAAGTTCACCTCAATCTTCATGCCAAAGTCCGTCTGGACTTGGATGCACAGATTTACGGAGATGTGGTGATTGGCCTGATGTAAATATTGAGCATCATGAAATTTTGAAAGGAAGCTTTTGGAAGGAAGGTCGTCTCCCGAACACCAATTGTGCTATTTTCTATCTGTGTCTAGTCGTTGTGACAATTTACTGAATGTGCTTCTCGTGTTTAAGAATGTACATACATGCCGAGGCTGCGAGCCAACTGAGTTACCAGGAGAATAACTGCGTTCAAATGTTTGAAGCTTCAAATGAAAATCGGGAGACATTGGTTTCCGGTTCCTTTCCCGATATCATGATAAATACAACTGGTTGTTTTAGGACTAGATCTCGGTAGTATGCGGGGAAGGTTTGCCGAGTTTAAGCTCTTAAAATTACATCCGACCAAATTTTTTATTTTCCCCGCTATCGGGACGTGTCTACAGAGCCCTGGAGTATAGCATCGATGTGCCATTCGGGGGCAGCCATGCCCGCGCGAGGTTATATTAGTACGTAAAAGGTATAGTTAACTAGTTAGAGAGGGACTTTATGGGCACCTGGGCACTAAGGCTAGTCCGGAGAGTCTAGAACACCATTTTTTTTAGAAATGACAAAACAAAAATAGTTAAAAATGTAGATCCCAATAGACGGATCAAGAATAGAGACGATAATCATCTCAATAGTGACTAGTTTACTAAGAAAGGGTCTTTTCGGTGAGAAGAGTTCTCAAGGTCACAGGGACATTCCTGGTCACAAGATCATGAAGCGCAAGAAACGGATATGATTTGCGGGCAATCTCGGTCCCACACAGGGGAAAACCGGAGCTCGGTCGGGAATGACGAAAACACTGAAACTCGGGATTGTCAATGCCAGTTTCCCCCGCGGCAACTTGGTTCAATCGACTACTTAGACCGGTTTGTACCCCAGCTGTTGATGGTTCTTGACGTTATAATTTTCCCGCTCCACTTTCTCTCTTCTGCCTTGATGATTCCTTGCCACCAATAAACCAAGAGACTTATAAAACAAAAAGTTCAACCGCAACCTTCTTCCTCCTCAATTGATTCCTACTCCTCATCTACCCCTCCCCCAGGTGCCAACTATCCGACCCACCCCGCCATTCTATACGCCCAATCTCTCAATCACTCCCAATTCCTTAGACCCAAAAAAGAGCTATCCCCCAAAATAATTTCACAATGGCAAACACCGGAAACGCACCTCCTGTCGGCCAGGAGAACATTAACACCGATATCGTCACTCTCTCCCGCTTCTTGACGGAGGAGCAGACCAAGCACCCCGAAGCTTCAGGAGACTTCACCCTTCTGTGCCATGCCTTGCAATTTTCCTTCAAGTCCATCGCCTACTACATCCGTCGCGCCTCCCTAATTAATCTTACGGGTCTTGCCGGTTCGTCCAACACAACAGGTGACGACCAAAAGAAGCTCGACGTCATCGGAAATGACATCTTCATATCTGCCATGAAGGGCTCAGGAAAGTGCCGCATTCTAGTCTCAGAGGAAGAGGAGGATGTTATCAAATTTGATGAACACCCCGATGCCCGCTACGCAGTCGTCTGTGACCCCATCGACGGTTCCTCCAACCTGGATGCCGGTGTCTCGGTTGGTACCATCTTCGGTATCTTCCAATTGCCCGACGAGCTCCTCGGCGCAAACAAGACCGTCGGACCTGAAGCTCTCCTTCACCCCGGAACTAGCCTTGTCGCCTCCGGCTTCACCATGTACGGTGCCTCTGCTCAATTGGTCATCACCATGCGTGGTGGCGGTGTGAACGGCTTCACCCTCGAAAACTCCCTGGGCGAGTTCATCCTTACCCACCCCAACATGATCCTTCCTGCCAAGCGCTCCATCTACTCTGTCAACGAGGGTAACTCCAAGTACTGGGATGAGTGGTGCAACCAGTACTTCCACTCTCTTAAGTACCCTGCCGAGGGCGAGAAGCCTTACAGTGCTCGTTATATCGGTTCCATGGTTGCTGATGCTTATCGTACTCTGCTGTACGGTGGTATCTTCGCTTATCCCGCGGACTCCAAGAGCCCCAAGGGTAAGCTCCGTATTCTGTACGAGTGCGCGCCTATGGCTATGTTGTTCGAGAATGCGGGTGGTCTGGCTGTGAACTCTCGTATGGAGCGATTAATGGAGGTTGTCCCTGAGCATATCCACGATAAGAGTGGTGTGTTCCTTGGCTCTAAGGATGAGGTGCAGAAGGTCATTGATATGTACAACAAGTACAACAAATAAGCGGTGAAATCTTTTTAAACAATTTTTGAAATCTTAAACTTTTAATTCTTGGACATAATTTGAATTCTTTATTGGCCTAGATTCGAGTTCATCACGGTGTAGCGTTGCTTAGAGGTAGTTCTAGATGTGGCTGTATGACCTTTCGGTAGCTATGTACTCCACCTGAACAGAAAGACCATGGTGAATTCTGTCCAAGCTGGAGGATATCGGTTTTGGTCTCTGGTCACGCTCATTGAAGAGGTTCAGCTGCCGGAGATGCCTTCCAAATGGCAACATACATCCATGAAGTATGGCGAATCAAAATCGCATATACTCGTCGGGTCTAAGAGGGAAGGATTAATGGCGATTATTATCAGAGTCAGCTAACGAAGAGCGTTTGGAGGATTTGAGCGGAAGATTGTAGTCAAGGTCTTCAGAGTCCGACTCAAGAAGGTCAAGGACGTTCTCGGTTTTTGATGCTTTCGAAAACGCTTTAGCGGTTCCAGGGTAGGTCTCTGCGTCAATCGAACGGTAGGTAACAGGAGGTTTGACGAGCTTGCTATTCCTTATGCGGTCTTTCCAGGGCCCATTTGAGCGACTCTCATCCAGAGTGATGTGGGGTTGATTCAACGAGGTTGTCGTCGGAGGCTCTTCGCGATTTTTGTTGATAGGTTTTGAGCTGGTGGAGCTTGAGCGATGACGTATTGGGAGATCGCGTTCAGTGCTATTTGTCATTGCGGGTGGAATAATATTCTTACTTGCAGTCTTTCGAGATTATGGTGTGATAGATCTCGAACTGCTGCAACACTTGAAGAATTAGTTAGGATGCTTCTCACTGGATGTCTTACCTATGTCGCAAATACGCGGTTAGAGCCGAAGACGCGTGTTAGATCACGTGGTAACAAAGGCCTATCGACTATGTATGGTTAGTTAGTAACTATAACGGTCAAAATAACTTAATTGGTAAAAGTCTGGTTTCTAGCTGTACTTATACATAGGAGATTACTAATAAACGCAGAGATAAGTCCTAGTAGTTTGAAATGCTCCCAGCGTACTAGCTGTTAGCTGTTTACCTCTCACCGGTCGTCCTAGGACTGACAAGATAGGGTCTCAGTCGGGAGGATCACCAAAATAGGATATCTATCCGACCAATCCCCAACATTGCCAACCTTCCCCCTCACGGAACTAGACCAGGGTGAATCGCGTTAGGATGCTCGGGACAAAGGAAAGTGTAAACTACAATTCAAAACGGTACCCTTGCCAAATTAGGCCGATGTACCGCTCTTCCCCAGCGATTATGGAACTAGATCCTGGCGTTGAGACGATCCGATGATTGGACAGTCAATAACTACCAAATCTGGGGGCTCCGCCAAATCTCCACGAAGTTGAATATATAAAGCCCTGCTGGAAGTATGGCTTTGAAGAAACACAACCAAAAGTATCTCTGTCTGCCATCTGTGGAACTTCTTCTACACAATACTACAGAGTGGGCCTGACTTGTATAATGAACAGACTTGCTTCACCTAAATGCCTTCGATGCCCGACCTTCCAGGCAGCTAAATGTGCAGGAACGACCAAACGACTATTGAAGACAGAAACAACACCGCTTACTCGGAAAGACAAGCAAGAGGGTGATATTTCCTCTGTGTTTTCAACTTTCTCGGGTAGAAAGAGCGCACCCTTGCCAGACCGGTTCCGAGAGTTGAAGAAAAATTTGACTGTTGGGTTCGAAGAGGAAATTCAAAATTCATGGGATGAGCTTGTGGAGACTCTGAAGGTGCGGACTGAAGAGGTTGCTACCAAGCGAGAGTCGGTATGTTTCAGTTGAGTTTACCAATCGAAGATGGCAAATCTAATGGAGACAGATTATTCCTCAATTAGACTTTGACGATATTCAACTTGGAAATGTATCGATTGCTGATGTCAATGCAATTCGACGGACTGGTGTTGCTGTCATCAGAGGAGTTGTGCCAAAAAAGAATGCCGAGGCTCTTCTCACTGATCTTCGACAATATTTGAAGGCGCATACCTTTAAAGGCTTCCCAGCTGAGGCGAAAGAAAAGGTATTTGACCTACATTCAGTTTTATGTAGACGTTCCCTCTCCATTAACTTCCACTCAGGTCATTTATGAATCGTATTGGAGCCCTTCTCAGGTGAAAGCACGGTCGCACCCCAACATGCTTGCTACACAATCTTGGATGAATCAACTATATTCCGCTGCACCGAACCAGAAGAGTGAGTAACGGCCGAGGCATATAGTATTGTCTTAAGATTTTACATCACTATCAAGAGAACTTACATGACATAGTCGATCTTTCGGTCCCCTTGACCTACTGTGACCGCGTCCAAATCCGCCCACCCGGCGATAAACATTTCGGACTTCCTCCTCACGTTGATGGCGGAGGCGTTGAGCGATGGGAGGATCAATCTTACAACCATGTCTACCGCAAGATCTTCCAAGGAAAGGTACGATTGAAAATTCTGCGGTGTGGATTTCAACGCGGACAACTAACACAATACGCAGTGGGAAGAATACAACCCATGGGATCTGACTGGCCGTCTGGATGCAAACATGAATATGTATGAAGCCCCGGGGGGCTGTTCCGTTTTCCGAGCATTCCAAAGCTGGCTCGGTTTATCTCGTCATGGGCCCCGGCAAGGTAAACAAAGTTGATATGGATTGCAAATAAAATCAAATGCTAATGATTTCGTTCAATAAGGTACCCTCGTCGTGCATCCTATTCTGCAGCCAACTACTGCCTATTGGATGCTTCGACCTTTCTTCAAACCTACTCGCAAGGATTCTCTCGATGGATGGAAGTTCTCTCTTGACGACGAAGAGGGAAAACTGTATCTGCACGGTGCAAATCCAGGAACAGCACAAGAACATACACCCGACCTTCATCCTCACTTGAGGCTCCAGGAGACTATGATTCCGTACCCTACAGTCGAGCCAGGTGACACAGGTAAGAGTGATTTTCATTTGATAAATGAGCAAAGGCTAACAGTGAACCAGTGTTTTGGAGTGCTGATACTATTCACGGCACCGAGACTATCAACACGGGAGACAACGATGCATGTGTATTCTACATTCCATCGGTTCCTTTGACCCCGAATAATGCTGTAAGTCATTCTGCAAGTTCTAAGGAGTATCTTCTTTGTTGGACAAACTGACCGTAAATAGCAATACGTCGCCCAGCAACGTAATGCCTTCTTGAAGGGGGTTCCTCCTCCCGACTTCCCTGGTGGCTTGGGTGAGACGGAACATTTTGACAGAGCTACTGTTAACGATATTCAATCTGAAGCTGGAAGAATGGCCATGGGACTGAGCCCCGTCAATCTGAATGGCAAGAAAAGCAGGCTCGAGAAGGAGATCAACAACATTTTAGGGCATGAATAGTGACTGTATCTGAAGTTGGGTTTTTGTCAAATAATAGTTTTATCTTACATTTTTACAAACAAATTAACTGCGAATTTGAATATCTCCCGCAACATAGTGAACAAAGCCCATTAGTTAGAATTTCTTAGCATCGGAAAAACTTCCCACTCAAAATAGAACAATGTATATGCTTGAGTACGAGAAATAGAATGACGAGTATAGACGGGTGTAGTTGGGCAAGGCTGTAGACAAAGATACATGCATTACTACAGACCAACTTAGCACTATCCAGCTGCAAATCTAACAATTTCACGGTATGATAAAAAAAAAAATAGAGCTACCATCTTCCGCGCCATGATAACTTGCTGAATCGCAATTCTCTGATAAACAGGCTTCTCAATTCAAGGCCTCGAATGTCGAGCTTACCGCGAACAATTCAATTAAGGCGAATGTTGTCAATTGCTTAGATACCGGTTTCTCCATGCAGATCGCTGGAACCTGGCGATGTCTCGGCAGACTAGACTAGACTATGCAGAGCCAATCAGGCAGTCGGAGTCCTCCTAGTCCAGTGCATATACCCTTGCAACTTCATCCAAAAAATTCTAAATGATGCCGATACCCGAGCAGAACTTCCTCTAATCTAGTCATCGGCGGATAATATCTCTGTCACTATACTGCACGCAAGGCCTTTCGCCCGAGTAGCCTATATGATGCCCCTCGAATCTTGGATCTCACCATATTTTCCTCATTCGTGTTCCGTGGGTTTATTCAAGGTGCTAGCATAACTTGATTGGTATCTGTGGCGTGCATATCCAACTGCACCATGCGTACTGGGATTGTCGCAATTCGGCATCGTGTCTGAGTTAGAAATGCCGATATCAAGATGGCGAAATTCAACCAATAATATTTTATCAATTGATACGGATGAATATGTATGTGAACCACGGTTCAAAGCGGAGAATATTGGCGATGAAGATGCTTGATGGTTGAGCCAGGAAAATGAATCGGCCAGATCACCAAGTCCGGCGATCTCAACGGGTATCAACCATGATCGCCAATCGGCACCAACTTCTCAAGTCCCTGATCCAGCGAACTCAATCACGATTTTCTCCAATCGTTCTTCTCCTTTCCCCAATTTTGCTATCTCATTTACCGTTTATGTCCGGGGTTTCTTCCTGATGCGTCGGCCGGATCTCCATCTCAAAAACGGTCTCTGATATCGCTTTTCCCCCCCACAACCTCATTGGCCATTGGTTTGCGTGCTTTCTTGCATTTCGTCCACGAGTCCTTCCTCTTGGAGTATGTTTCTCTGGTTCTGGTGTTCAATGTTGGTTGTGGAGAACGATGATCGACAGTTCATGCACGTTTCTCCAAACCTATTCCAAGGTAAACTCTTCCAGACCAGGCATACGATCTGCATCTGACCTGGTCCCTGTTTCTTCCCCATGGGCGTCCCTAGATACGAGGCCTCTGCCGATGTTGAAACGTGACGATCTTGTGGGGCTGGAACATTGAATTCCCTCGGCTCAAGCGTCTGGAACTCGACCATTCAACTAGATAAGCAATGATGCTGTGGCAATCACATCATGTCTGGATCCCAAACCAACGAGCCTAGTTCGACAGCTCGTCGATCATGAGTGTAAATCATCATCTTTGGCAAAGGCCTCTCTCCAAACTCATACCCTGTCAGAAAGGTATAAGAACCCCCTCCAGTCCATCCATCTTTTTCTCATCAATAACGATCAACTCTCTTCTGAATACATTCTCTTGAATATCTTTCGACTTCCTTCTTTACTTGCAAATTCTATCTTTACATCTCCAATTTTACTTTCCACAATGAAGTTCATCGCTGCTTCTCTCGCTATCGCCCTGTCGGGAACTGCCATGGCTGCTCCCCTCAAGTCCAATGGGACTTATGCCTTTCCCACACCTTCAGGCCTTCCCAGTCCTTCGCGCACTCCCAGCGGTGCTCCTAGTGGTACTCCAGGTGTTGCGTCGAGCAGTGCTCCGTTCCCTGGCTCTTTCGCTCCCTCTGGAACCAGACAGCCTCTGCCATCTGGAACCCCATTGGGTTCTATCCCGAACTCTCTGCTCCCTGACAATGTGAAGCGCAGTGGATCTCTGACCATTCCCACCGATCTGTCTTCTCTCGGTTCTGATGTCGAGTCTGCTCTCGGTGCTCTTGCCTCCGCCGGTGCCCAGAAGCGTGATGGCTCTCTCGCCATTCCTACCGAACTGTCTTCTCTTGGTTCTGATGTCGAGTCCGCTCTTGGCGCTCTGGCTTCTGCCGGTGCACAGAAGCGTGACGGATCTATTGCTATTCCTACCGATCTGTCTTCCCTCGGCTCCGATCTCGAGTCTGCTCTTGGCGCTCTTTCATCCGCTGGTGCTCAGAAGCGCGATGGTTCTCTTGCCATCCCTACTGATCTGTCTTCATTGGGATCCGATGTTGAGGCCGCCCTTGGCGCCCTTTCCTCTGCAGGCGCTCAGAAGCGTGGCTTTACACCTAAGGCCATTCCCACCCCCTCTGTGACTCCATCTGCTGTTCCCTCTAGCGTCCCTTTCAGCATTCCTAGCGGCACTCCCCTCGCTGGATCGAGCGTGCCTCTCGCCTCTGGATCCCTGACTCCCTCCTCCACTCAGGCTCAGGCTTCCTCTACTGGCCTGTCGTTCCTCGGATTCCCCTTGGCCTAAATTTCCTGGATAAGATCAGGAAGTCTGTTCAAGGCCTCGCTGTTCAATGGAGTGGTGATATGAGTTGATCTGTTCACTGCGATTTGAGAGCAATGGGTCACTTTCGGGCTCCGTCCTCTCGTTTATTTGCTTATATGTTTTTATTATGATTGTCCTTCACTGAGTGATAGAGTGTATTGTTGGTACACGACTGGCGCTAGAAATTTATGATTTATTTATACTTTGAAATCTTCATTCAGATTGGAAAATTAAAAGTAGTGCTCATTATAAAATGAGTCGTCTTATGAAAGACAAATAATTTCAATCAAGCTCCCGCTTTAAGCATCCTGAAATCGCTTCATCGGACCATAGCGTGAAGTGAAACTTCGCAATGAAGAGCCCCAAAAGTATAGAGGGATAGCAAAAAGAATACTTACAACCTGTATGGCTGTCATTTCTCCAAAAACTGGGGCTGGTCCTTGTCGTTCAATCCAATCTGCTGCATATAGTGATAAAAGCATGCCTATCGTATTACGAATCACAAATATAATCACCAATGCCTCACCCGTTACCTGTTATGGGAGTTAGCTTTCCGGCGGCATTTAGAGAAAAGTCATGTATCCTTAAAGGCTTACCGGCTTATAAGAGTCCAATGAGTATGTCACTGCAACATTCGAGATAGCTGCGACGCCAAATGCCTGCATGGCGTATCCAACCGCAGGTCCAATCCAATGGGTCTTGTGCGCGACACACAATCCAAAAATTAAGATACCGGCGGGTCCAACAGTTCCAGGAATTATAATAGCCGGTAGACGATACTCTGGCATACGAACTCCCCCGTGCTTGATTGTACTGCGATTAGAGATAATATCGATCAATCGACCACCTAGGTAGAAAGCGAGAAGGCATCCAATAAATCCAGACAGAGATAGAAGTCCGAGGTCACCAAGCTCCCAGTTGTACGGAGGCTGTAGGAAAGTGCGAGAAGAAGTCAACTGAACCACAATATTCCTATACTTGAGTTAGCGTCGGTCTGGCTTTCTAATGGCTGAACCAGGGGGTCACAAACCATCCGACCGAAATACCAATGGTCAATGAACACCATATAAGTGGTGGATAGGCAGCATTGGCCAATATATCCAATAGTGCTTGCAAAAAGGAAGCATCGCGGTTGAATCCAAGTGTCAAAGACATCCACTGCCATTGTGATCGCTTGGCCCCGTCGTTAGAACGCTTGATGTAAGATGTTTCGCGAATGGTGAAAATAGCCACCACCCAAAGTATCCCGACAGCAATCGCAAGGAAATAACACATCCAACGCCAATTCTGCTCTTGCACAAGATAGGCATTGATCAAAGGACCAACAAATAGACCCGCTGTCATCGCAAGATGGAAGAACATCATGTAGTGGCCTCGATCCTTGGCCGCGACCATATCAGCTACAACAGCAGGGACAGTGGCATCTGCTGCGGCGGCTGCGAATCCCGATAAAATGCGAGAAGCAAGCAGCTCTCTGTAGCTAGTACACTGACTAGACCAGACGTTCATCATGCAGAGCAGCACCATCGCTATCAAGTAGACAGGGCGTTTTCCGATCACTCGCATAAGTGGAACCCAGAATATATTCCCAACACCGAATAGAAAAACATTGAAACACACCAGCTGTCCCGCCTGAGTTTGTGTGACATGAAACTCCTTAATTATAGCTTGTGTGGCGACGGTGAAATTACTCGAATTCACATTGGCTAAGAACGTAAAGAAGCAAATAGTTAGGTAGGTGATAAGTCTTGGTGTTTGAGGCCAGTTCTAGGCGATATGTTAGCACCGACCGACTCTACAATCTTGAACAACGGATATTCCACTTCATACCTGTGGATTGTTCACGTCTTCTACCGGAGCTGACGATTTCATGTCCACGGAGTACCCGCGCTCATCGGCGGGCATATTCTCCATATGGCTCGAGTCAGGGGCCTGAGCCTTTCTATCTGTCATGTCGAATCAAGTTGCGTCTGGTCAGTTCACTGTGTTGGATATTGAGGGGGATGAAGATTGGAAGAGAACCTCAGAGACCAAGCGGAGACGGTGTTGAAGAGGGCCACGGCACTTCTTCGGCGGCAGATTTACCCCAGCAAGCACTTCCCCACAATTTCGCAATTAATACGGGGTACGTATGATAGGGATTCTTGTAAGAACCAGCCTTATTGGACCCTCAGGGGTGAAGGGAAGGATTGGATTGTTCGGCATATCCGAGAAAGCTCGGAAGTGGAGACAGGCGATCTCCACCCGCCGAGATTTCTTGTGGGATGAATGAAAGGTGCACATACGGTTTACTGCTGCTTAGATACAGAAAATGAGGGCTTAAGTTGAGGGAATTTGCATAACACAAGTTTTGATATAGGATCTCAGTTACTTTAGTGGTTTAAATAGCTACATCTAGAATATGTACATGGACCCATAGAATACTATATTGGCGAGATTCCAAGGTTAATATTACTACTAGTGTCTGAACAGATTCGGATTTTCCGATTTTATTCTTTGCCCACACCCGATTAACCTGTGTATCTTTCTTGACTTACAGTTACGATTTCGTATGTAAATTCGAGTAGAATAATTGGGGAATCTATGCTTGAATACCCAGGCAGTTTTTAACTTGAACTGGAACTGCCGATATGCCTATGCGATTAATAATTCAAAAGTATTTGAATGCTATGCGTTGAACCATGAACTAGGTTAATTTGGGATATCCGAGGTGCATAAATAAATGCATTATAACCTTTTACGGTTCAAAACTAGTATAGATGTATGCGTGCTACTTCTGTAACTTTATCTACTACGTACATACTACATATAGTAGTACTGATTCCAGGGATCAGCTATTCTAAGGTTGTTCAAGTTCGAACCCCCAACTTGAACTTGAAGGCTTTGTACCTTCAGCGCTATAAATGTGTGCTATGCACCTCGAAATACTGTATCGGAGATATAATTCCGACTTCAAGTTTGGGACGGTTCATTTGGGATGCTCGGCACCTGGGCATCAGAATCTTGGAACGATTTCACTATCATGATGTCTTACAGCTGGGTAAACATAAAAATGTACATAGTAGCTAGGTGAGATTTGCGCCAACAGAGGCATTCGAAACCCCTAGCCTAAACACTGGCAAGCATGAGATATTGATCAAGAACAAGATAAGACCCTTGGAATAGCAAAATCAAATCAAAGAGAAAATCGGATAATCCAAAATCATATACAGCAACTTTATATTCGCGATCAGCTCGGTCGGAAATGAAGAGCCGGAGATAGACTCGGTGAACGATAAGCGGGCGGTCGCGCTTTCTCCAACTCGAGAGCTTCGATCTCCGTTTGGTCTCCGCTCCCGCTGCCATTAGAGCTTTCTCCTCCCTATCTCCTCATTTTACACCTATTCTTCGTGTGTTCCAACCCAACACCTCAGTCTTGTCACAATGGGTCTTTTCAAGGGGCTTTTAAAGGCTACTGCCGCCGGCAGCGTTGTCTCGGTCGGTGTCTTCTTCGGTGCCACGCGCAATGACGTCTTCCGAGGCATGGACGCCTCTGATCCGATTTTCCAACACGCCCTCTTCAAAAAGTTCAATCCCGAAAATAACCCTACTCTGCATGACATGTGCGTGCGACGCGTTCCTCTTGACAAGATCAAGCCCGAGCTGCTGGAGAAGAACAGCAAACTGACTGAGGCTTTCTGTGCTGGTGTCTGGGGTGGCCTGGGTAAGTTCAATTGACCCGCCGTTGCATTTGAATTTCTTTCTTTTTCCCGTTGAGGTTGCTTATAGTATTGTTTTCCGACAATATAGGCTACATGGCCCAACGCGCTTGGTTCGCCAATAAGTACCAGGGCCCCGAAACCGCTACCCACCTGTGGTCCCGCCAGGAACTCCTCGAAAGCAAATACGAGGTCGGCACTCTGATTACCGATCACTTCGAAGTCGTCGAGAAGACCGATGATCATATCACAGTCCGTTGCGGCGATACCCCTCGCCATCCCGATGTTCGTCCTTCCGACGGTCTCTTTGAGATTGGCGCGGTGATCAAGCAGGAGGAAGGCGTGGCTGAATTCACCTTGAAGAGTTGCTTCTATCAGGGTCTGGGCAAATCTGAGGCTGCTCCCATGGGTCCCGTTATGGTCTGGCTGCACCAACAATACACTAAACTGTGGATGGAGACCGGCATTCTGAAGAACTGTGTGCAATAAGGGTTTGCGGGTTATAACAACTTGTGCTTCGCATGTAATAACCAGTGTAAATAACTAATGGTCTACGACTAAGCGACAGGGATCTCTTAATGAAAAGAAGCAAAAAGGGCCTGCTTCGCCCGGTTCCACCACGAATCCCCAATACATGATAACCTTTAACAATTCTCAACAGATGAGACCTCACTTGACACTAGGAAATCAGTGTCCCCCTTCAATCATTCCTCTTACTCCTGAATCTTATCAGAGGAGTCCAGGGCTGGGTCCAACTCTGGATCACTGGTCAAAGTGACAGCTAGGATAGTAGGGATTCCAACAACGAGGGATCCCATACAAAGCCCCCAGTCCATTGCAAATTGAGTCATAGCTGGCTTTCCTAGAGCATTGACACGCCATGACATGGCACCACCAGTACTCTGAAATGTCTTATATGCACCGACAAGTATTGCAGTCGCAGCAGGGGAATTGGATTGAGCACCCATCAGCCAGTAGCAGAAAGACTGCCAGAACGCGTCATATGCTCCATAAAATATGTAGAGAAACATCGGGCCGACGGAAGTATGGCTCTCCGTATAATCGATATCCTGTTTGAGACCCTGCCTCATGCGATGGTCAGACCATTTCTGAAATGCATATCCACCACCCCAAATCGCCATTCCGGTCACAAACAAGAAAAGCCAAGCCACACGAGCACGCATTTGCCTGTTTAGGCCGGGCATGTCCAGAATGAGCCCCATAATCAGGCCGCCTAGCATTTGTGCAATCCAGTACAGAGCGCCATTGAGGGAACGCGTCCGAATGTCGAAAGTCATGCCGTTCACCACATTTTGCTGGTAGGAGTAGAAGACATTGGCTGAGAAAAACAGAGGCAGCATGCATAGCACACGCCAGTTTGTGATAGTACGCACAGCGAAGCTCATTGTTTGTTTCCAGGTCTTTTTCTCTTCGGGGGTTGCTTGCAGTTGGGCAACTCGAACTGAGGCTGGAGGACAGATGAAGACGCCGAGGAGCCAACCAACTGCCATGACAATTAAGAGAGCAATATACGTCGCATTGGAAACTGTTCCGCTTGTAGAATGGTAGTTCAGTCCAAAACTGGCCAAAGATCCCAGACCGCCGCCGAGATTGAAGATGATCCAAAATACTGCAATAGCGCGGCCCTTTTGTGATTCAGGCACATAAGTTGTCATGATGGCACCCTGCGCTACCCATAGGAAGGATGCGCCAACACCGAGTATAGCGCCGGATGCAATGACGAATGCCCCATTGTTGGTTGCTGTTTAATCAAGAGCAAACAATATTAATGCACATATCACCAACTGGGAAAGGGGCAAACCTACAGTTGAAGCACAATAGACTGCCCGAGTATAATGGGTATGTCCATCCACCAAGAAGGAGACAAACCCGGGGGCCGACTCGATTGAAAATCGGTCCAACAACAAACAACGCAGTTCCTGCGGTCGCTGCCAACAGAGCAACCGTCGCGTTGGCAGCAACAGTTTGATCTACTTGGCCGGAGCCTCCCAGTCCAGTGAGGGCATTGTACATCTAGAATTAAAGTCAGCTGATGGTACGACTGGGCTGTTAGCACAGGGGTAGTGCGCCCGCTTCGCATGCGGGAGGTCCTGGGTTCAATTCCCAGATAGTCCATCTTTTTGCTCCTCAAATATTATTTTTGGTCATCGGGGAACTTACTCCGGGACAGCAGAAGCAGATAAAACTGATCAACAAGATCTGAAACCAGCTATGCGTATATATCTGATCCATGATTGATCTTTTAGGCTCCTGGTCAACAGCGCTATCTCCTGCGATCATTCCGTCCTCCATGGTCGCCATTGTGTTTCAAATGCAGATAAACCTATCTTAGATCCCTCAATGCGACTAAGTGAGAGTGAAAAATATTTTAAGAACTAGAGTCAATGGTGGAGAAATGCCTGAACAGACCCTTATGATAGACGAGCCCGCTTATTGTGACACTAGCGATATCCGCAGCTATAGATATGGCAAGTGGGGGCACGTAACAACTTGAAAGCCATAGATACCGTGACACCCCGATGAGTTCCCGATTGGCCATGGGCGATACGATCAAACGGAATAGCAAATCGCATCTCGACGGGAGGACGAACGTTCTTCACTCTCCACATCAAGTAATTTCTGGGGAAACTTACCCCCACACCTTGTCGCGTGTTTGGGGGACCAACCGCAGTTAAACCCACCCGAATACCACCACACTGGGGCCTCATTGCGACTCTGTCTAGTAACGTGGACTTGGCCCGATAAGGTTCAGCTCCCTACTCCTCCACATCGGAATAGATCCGAGCGCTGGCGAGCGGCATCAAGCGACAAAAATGGACGACTCTCGGACTTTGTGAATCGGCAAACTTGAAGGTAAAAGCTGGCTAGTGTCGGCCTTGAGACTTGGCGACTTTCTAACGGCTGTCCCCGCAGGTCTTCGCAATTTCTTTCGTTTGAGACAACTTTATCACCCAGTGATACTACTATTGCTGATAAAGGAGACTGGTGAACCTTGATGCTCCCCAGGTTCGAGTTCACTTTGAGTTACAAGCCGATCAGGTTCAATCCTGAAGAACTTCGCCAGTATGGATCTCGACAACCTAGCAAAACTACAAACTGAAGGGGTTAACCCCCGGACGACAAACATTGATCGCGTGTCAACGTTGGAAATGTGCACTGTGATCAATGGTGACGACCACTTTGTGGCGGAGAGTATTGTACCGTGTCTGCCCGTAATCGCGGATGCGATCGATGCGATGACAACGCGTGTTCGTCAAGGCGGCCGGATCGTTTATGTAGGCGCTGGAACCAGTGGGAGGTCAGTCAACCCGGAATGGATATTACTGCCACAAAAAAGAAATATGGCTAACAGCAAGTATTCATAGACTCGGTGTTCTCGATGCTTCAGAAATTCCACCTACATTTGCCGCTCCTCGATCTCAGTTTATTGGTTTGATAGCGGGTGGAGACGCCGCCATTCGACAAGCTCAAGAGGGCGCCGAGGATAGTGACAAAGCTGGAGAAGAAGATCTAGCTGGTCTCAACCTTGACCCGAAGCTTGATAGTGTTATTGGAATTGCTAGCTCCGGCCGTACCCCATATGTCCTTGGCTGTCTAGCATTTGCGAAAAAGCTGAAATGTCTCACCATTGGTGTTGTATGCACTTCGCCATCGGCTATGGGTCTCTCCGGAAATGTCGACTACTTGGTTGCTCCTCTTCCTGGCGCAGAGGTTGTGACTGGAAGCACCAGGCTCAAAGCTGGAACAGCAACCAAAATGGTTCTCAATATGCTGAGTACAGGAACAATGATCCGAACCGGCAAGACTTATGGGAATATGGTAAGGGAAGCTTTCCTCTTAGTACATAGATTGCGATTAACATATTATGGTAGATGGTCGATCTTAAAGCATCAAATCTCAAACTTGAACAACGATCTCGAAATATTTTGCGTCGCGCCAGTCCAAAATGTCGTTCCTTATTAGAGTTTCAGCTCGACGCACTCTTGGAGAAATGTAACCGCAGCGTCAAGCTTGCAATTCTTGTTGCGGAGACCAGTGAATCGGTTGAGAAATGTCAAGAACTTTTGGCCTTGGCGGGCGGAGTTCTTAGTGAGGCCTTGCTCACGAGTTTCCCTCATATCTCACGGATTTCAAAAGACCAACGTCGATTTGTACTCTGCATTGATGGTGGAGGCAGCAAGTGTGCGGCTGTGATAGTCGACGAATCGGATGCTCTAGGCTATGGATCTGCTGGGCCGTGCAATCTGTATGTGATCTGCATTTCTTGATGAGCCCAAAAGCTAACCTTTAAACAGCACGGATAATGCTAGCAACGTTGATTTAATAATTTCCACTATCATCGAAGCTACTACAGATGCCCTAAAAGATCATATACCCGACGTGAACAATCTGACGGGGTTCCACCGCAAGGAACTTCTTCAATCATGTTTTCGAAGAGTATGGATTGGCTTAGCTGGTATGGATCGAAGTGGTCTGTATGACGTGATAGGGCCGAAGCTTACAGAGTTATTCGGACTTGACGACGCGTCTGACGCGTTGAAGATAACAAATGATGTAAGCTTGCTCACTGCAGCGGTTTCAGAAGAGCAAAGCAAGCCATCAATACTTGTTATGATTGCAGGGACAGGGAGCGTTGCAATGCGTTATAATTGGACTGAAAATGATGGATATACGCCGGTCGCTCGAGCTGGTGGTTGGGGTCATCTGCTTGGAGATGAAGGTGGCGGGTACTCAATCGGCCTAGAAGCTGCGAAGTACACTCTCTTTGCATTAGAGGAAAGGGCTTTGGGTCTTAAATTGACCCCACTTGGAGCAATTGAACAAGCCGTAATCGATAAACTGGGTTGCCATGACGAGGGTGGTGGGCAGCTCGACTTATTGAGCGAAATTCTGTCGCAAAATCCCACGCAATCCTTCAAAACTCGCATTGCGGCCCTGGCGGAGATGGTTCTCAATCTTAGGGAAAGCAGCACAGCAAGAAATATTATTGACAGACAGATCTCATATATTGTGAAAAAGACTCTATGTCGCGTTGCTGATCTCAGATCAAGTGGTTATGTTGCACCCGAGAAAACAGAGCTGATACTAGCCGGAGGGCTGATGAAGAACACCATATACCAGCAGATCTTGAGAATGCAGCTGGCTCAAAAAGGATTGCAGTTTCGAGCGATACATGTGGTGGATAATGCGGCTGTAGTGGCAGCCAGATATCTGGTATCGAATGGGCAGACTAAGGTTTGAGTAGACGTGCACTTGAACCCTGGAAATCGACATTAATTATCCTCAATACCCTCTTCCGTACATGTTGGATATGATATGGGCGTGATAAAAACATGGATTTCATTGTTGTATTATACTTAGACTTGGATTTTCTTCAATTTTTCCCTTCCTTTCCCCCAAAGATATTTCACTCTATAATGTTTTGGTGACTGTCTCACCAGATATTGGAACAACCTCAATTACAGATTCCATGCCGGGGCTCTGGCTCCAGATCCCTGTGATTTTCATTCCAGCTTTTTGCAATAAATCTCGCCATTGACTTTCCGATCGTTCAATTCCTGCCCCAATACTCATCATCTGTATATCCAAAGATGCTTGCATGAGAGGAGCCTCGGTATCCGGCAAAACAAAGTCAACGATCAAGATCTTAGAATACTCAGGTATCATCGCAGAAGCCGTGTTGTGCAAGATCTGATGACATACTTCATCGGGCCAGTCATGGAAAACTGAGCGGAAGTAGTATACCCGTGCGCCTTTCACTGGCTGGGGTTCCAAAAAGTTGTAAGGCATCACCTCGATCCCTGGATCGCAGCTGGAAACTTTGCTGACGACAACTGGTAGATCTTGCAAGACAAGTCTACCAGGGAGATGGCTATATCCTTGGCGGAATTGGCTTAGGTCATGACCTTGGTTGCCTCCAACATCAACAAGGAAGACTGTGTCATTGTAGGGCACATCGTGTCCCAAAAGTCGTTCCACCGGGTATATGTCGAACCACAAGGGTTTTCCTTGTCTTCGACTGGCCATGTACAAGTTGAACAGCATTTGCTGGTCCGTGTGACTGGCTAACCACTCAAATTGGCTTTGGCCAACGGCCCATTGCATTGGTGACTGCTCATATTCTCGAGGACTGGTATAACCGTTGGCCTGGAAGTATTCAGGGAGCTTGCTAAGCGTTGGCATGGTCAGGTTATATCTATTAAAACAAATGTTAGTGACATCGTACTTTAGATTGTGGAGGAATGAGAGCTCGTATCTATGAACTTACATGCACGGGATTCCATCTCTACCAATTGACTGTGTCAGGGCTACAGTTTTGTCATTGGATTTGAAGACACCTGGCTTTAAAGTCATACAAAGACCTAAAGAGGTCATGACACGCATTAAGCGCACTATTTAGCCATGTCAGTAATTCGTGATCTCAAATGTTGCGAACGAAGAAACAATGACAGCAATGAGAAGCCATACCGATCAAGTCTTCCTCTGCCCCGGTATAATTTGCCAATCGTGCGGCAGATATTCCGGACTCCTGATATTGCTTTTGCATCAGCAAAGGAAATATTCCCAGGTCGACGACAGTTTTGAGAGCGGCATTTTGAGGGGGCTAGTGTACACGTGAGCTTGATTTTCTGGAATAAAACCGAATCGTATCAAAATGTTACCTGATATATTAAACGGAGAACAGTCTCCGTCGGTGTCTCTACTGCCAGTCGGAGCTGTTCAATCATGCGCAGAAGCTCAAAGTGGTTCTGAGGAGAAGGCTTCACAGATTCTTGAATAGATAGCTGGCTCAGATGGTGGACCATCGAGTGTAAGGGCGTGATAACTGTCATTTTGGTGTTGAAGAAAGGGAAGAGAGAAAAATGACTTCAGGATATAGGTAGGACAAAACCGGGTTTCCAACTCTGGTTTGAATTATCTTGCTACAACCCAAGAACAATTTATACTTCAAACTCCCACCTGGACGGCAGGGAACAATTGTTACATTTTGAGATACAGCTCACTCGATGGTGCCGCCTTCAGCCACGTACCCATCCCTATCCAGTCATTCCCACCCGACCGGTAACTGTGGGAAGCAGAATATCTGAAAACAGAAACAGCATTGGGCCGCATCAGCTCAAGCAAGGATATCATGTATGCAATCGAAAGATTTTGAGCCGAGCAAGTGGGGTTCCCATGGATCGACATTTAAATTTGGACTCGGTGTATTCGATGGGCTGTCCCGCAGCTCTGACGCCCTCTTCAGGCGTATTAGCGCACTATACTACTTCCTAATAGACATAAAAGCGACAGGAGCAATTGCTACTAATTATTGTTTGCTCAAAGTCCGTCTAACAAAATTAAAAGAAATTTGAACTAGTGTAGGCATTTATCAAATTCACATCTTCTAAAGAATGTGATTGATTCCCTGCTTGACCCATCAGGGATTTATTTGTATGACAATATCATAATCAGAGTTTGGGATTCCAGCTACGCCACTATATCCACACCTTTTAGATGACGATGTTTTGACACATGCAAGAGTATGGATGCACGTACATGGATATAGGACAGCTCAGCTGCTTCTGCTTACTTCTAGTAATACCCGAATTTGTAGATTTTAGCCGATCATTCGGGACTTAATTTAACCTTTGAGATGGCGAGTACACTTAACGGGTACTACTTGAATACCGCGGGAGTACATATATGTCTACTCAAATGTACTTCAACTTGGTTCTTAGATTACGGATATAATGTCCATGAATGTGACGCTGGTCGAGAGGTCGCATCAAAAGCCCCGGTACAAAATCCAGGGAAAGTATATAAACCACTGCGAGCGGTTAAAATACATAAATAACCTTTCAGCTTTTTTGGGTTTGATTCCAATGTTGAAATATTGAACTATTTAGCATTCTTGGCTGTTCAAGTGACCTCAATTTTCCATGGCATATTAGGGTCGATTAATGGGGATAGAAATCTGATCAGGGACGCGCAAATCTCAATCAATAACACCTGTCTATTGACATTCACCCATCCCATGGTATTTCAAGAGCCTGATATTGCTAATAAGCATTTTCCTCCGGGGGGTATAGTTTCAAGCGATCGAATCTTTGCGTAGCGGGTTCCATCGTTTACATGCCAGACCCGAAAGCATTCCGGGTATAGTCTCCAGCCTCAGGTACACTAATCCTCACAAATACTAAGTGATATATCAGATTGCGCATTGTAACCCCTGATACAGATTAACGGGGCTATTTTTTTCAATATACGCACCGGGTCGATCCTGTGGCGTTCCGCGAACCAAGGAATGTGGCTCTAATGGCCCAACTCGCTATAATAGACGAGTGTGACTGGCATGCTGGAATCCGATCGGACGGTTGACATTCCTGTTGGTAACTAGTGGGGTGATCTCATCGAGCAGCCACCAAACGATCAAAGTAAAGCCCGTTTCCAGCAACCGTTGGACTCATCTCAGATCTAGGATCTGTTGATCCACATTCCGGTACCTTCGCAGGCTTGATCCCGCGGTCCGCTCTCCCCGTTCCGAGGGGAGCTTATGTGGATACGGGATGCCGCAGATCCATATTCCAAACCGATGAACGATTCAGCGGGTCAAGATCCGGATTCCCGGGATTCTTGACGATTAAGTGGGTTCGGATGGGATTGTAGGGATATTATGTGTTGTTTCGGATCCTATGGCACACAATCAGCATTGCTAGCTAGCACTTAATCTCACATCAGAACTATTGTTTTTTTTTAATCAAAAACCGAATAGAGCATTACTTTCACTTACGCTAGCTGTGATATACGCGTCTCAGGTATAATCGTCTCACTTCTTTCTGGCATTGGATTTATCTAGTAGAATGCCTATACTTGCTTTTTCAAGACATCTTGTTCGTAAAACTTAAGGTTCAACAAACGAAAAGAAATAATTGAACAGGGAATGTTTGTTCAAGATTCGATTTAGCGGTCGCATTAGAAGATGACTTGTTGGTTTGGCAAGGAGGCTGTCCGCATTCATCGGAAGCTGTTATATCATCTCCACCGGTACTAAGAACGGGAATTGAGTTAATGGCTTCAAAATAACGATGAGCTGTTAAATTAAGTTCGATCTAATACATAATTATAGCTCCATATATTAATAAAAGGGATAATTATTAAGAACACCTCAAGACGGGGCCGTCCCAACGGGATTCCAGTTGTAACCCGAGGATCAGTCGGGTAGCTCTGCAGTGTAACCATCACTACCGGTTGCGATAAAAACTCACTAGTGCAAGAGATGGGAAGATTTCACCACTAGGGCCTGTGATATACCGCAGGGCAAACGGCCTACTATATGCATAATAAGCCGATAGGAATCTCCCAGATATCCGTGTTTGCCAAGATAATTAAATCCCGATTGGTCTATTGGACCAAGTGTGATGGTTCTTGCAGCTGAAATAGAATAAAAGGAATTTCGAACTTGGCGCTCGGTTTCTATACCGAGGTTCCTCTGTTGTTTTTTCCGTCTCACTATCCAGGTACTAGCATGTCTCTCCCGTTGGTTATTGACCTATTACAAGGTACATCCTTTTCACACAAGCGGTCTGTCACCACCAACTTTTGCAGTCATTCACAGCGCATACACCCCTGCATTATCCAATTAGATCTCCTCTGGGAGAATTGACCAATATTCGCAGGATCATCATACCCTGGAGCCCCGGGTACCCCGAATGCGGTTCGGAAGGCGCGATACTAGTGGGGCTTGGTCTCTTGTATTTTCAGATCACACGCTCAATTTCTTTAATAACGCACCTCAATCCTCTTCTTTTTCTCTCTAAAATTTCTTCAATTCCAAATTTATTTTGTTTTGTCGCTCTTGAATTTTGTTTCTACATACATCGGGGAGTATATGTCCTGTTAGCAACCATGGGAATCCAACGCGGCACTCAGGCAGAGTCTCCATCCTCATCATGCGCTGTTGATCCTTTGGTTCAAAAGTTTGGTCAACTTAACATTCTGGATGACTTGATTCGCCTTCGAGCGGCAGATGCTATTCAATACCCAATTCTTGCTTATCCAAGCTCCGGAGACAATGCATCGTTCTATGAATCTTATACGGGCCAAGACCTCGACGAATTAATAGACCAAACTGCTGTGACGCTCATAGATCATGGATTCAAGCCGGTTTGTGCCTTGATATTTCAGCTCAAAAATTGACTTGTATTGCTGACATTTCTTTCAATCCAGCCTAGTACCAACGATGAGTCGATTGTGGCACTGCTCACACATTCTAATATGAACATGGTCGTTACCCTTTTTGCTCTCAGTCGACTAGGATATACGGTCATGATGTTGTCGCCACGATTACCAGGGAATGCATGTGCATCCTTGCTTGATATTGTCGGATGTGAAACCATAATTTATGGTGAAGCTGCGACAATTCGTGCAACGATGGGTGAAATTTTGCAACAGAAATTGGTGGCATGTCGCCCAATGCCTGCGATTCCCAAAGGGAAAAAAGAGATATCGCTTTTATTTCTCAATCGGCGCCAAAATTCACTGATCCAAAGGACTAAAACCGCTTTGATTCTACATTCGTCTGGATCTACGGGGATTCCGAAGCCCTTGTATCTCACACATCACGCACTAATGACACATCCGTTGAGGGGACCAGGATTCACATCATTTAACCCACTTCCTTGGTATCATCTCCATGGTCTCTCAACCGCCCTACAGGCGATGTGGATGAGGAAAACTGCATTTATGTGGAATGCTGATTTGCCCCTGACGGCTGAATTGGTGATTTCAGCTCTTGAGGCGGCTCAGCCCGAATCTGTCGCAGCAGTGCCATACATGCTTCAATTATTGACGGACAGTCCTCGTGCAATGACAGCCCTACGAAAATGCAAATTAGTTACGTATGGAGGAGCTCCTTGTCCGGATGAGCTGGGGAATCGCCTGGTGGAAGAGGGCATCGCTTTTGGTGGCTCTTTTGGCTTGTGAGTATTTTTTCAAATTTGAATCTCAATGCCCATTTTCTAATTATCTTGTTGCTAGAACTGAAGCCGGGTTAGTTGCTGAGTCCATTTCGCGACCTCAAGGCGACCGATACTGGAATTATCTGAAGTTCTTTGACAACATTCGCCCTTATGTCTGGATGAAGCCCATTGGCGATTCACTCTACGAGTGTGTTTATCTATCAGGGCATCCAGCATTAACAGCATCAAATTCAGATCAACCATCAGGTTCATTCCATTCCAAGGATGTATTCACTCCGCATCCAACTATTCCAAACAGGTGGAAGTACGTTACCCGAATCGACGATCGAATTACTCTCACGAATGGGGAGAAGGTCCTTCCACTACCAATTGAAGGTCACATCAAACAGCACCCTCTCATCGATGAAGCAGTTGTATTTGGAGTGGGTAAATCAGCTCCAGGTCTACTGATTTTCCAATCCTCAAAGGCAGGGGAGATCTGTTGTACTGAAGAGGAGTATCTTGATGAGATTTGGACGACCATAGAGTATGCCAACTCGCGTGCTGAATACTTCTCACAAATCGCTCGGGATATGATTGCCATATTACCCCACGATTCAATAATTCCACGGACAGACAAAGGGTCAATGATCAGAGCTCAGGTATATTCTCATTATGCGAATTTGATCGATGATATCTATTCCACGGAAGATAGCACGAATGGACAATGTCAAATGGATATCCATGATACAAAGTCTCTGTTGATGCAACTATGTCGGAGCAATCTCGGCATTTCTCTCTCCTCTCCAGAGGCAAGCTTCTTTTCAGAGGGTATGGACAGTCTGAAGGCGATTCACCTACGGCGGCTAGTCCTTCGTCACTTCTACCTACGCAAAAGTGAATTCCCTCAAAATGTGATCTATGAAACGGGAAGTATTGAAAGACTGGCCCAGTATATTTCCTCTTTGCAGAATGGAGGCAATTTCTACATGGTTGAGGGTCATATTGACCTCATGTCAGAATTCATACAAAAATATTCCCGTTTTCAAAAACACATCCCACACAGCAATTTTCCGACGACCAAGTCTATTGTACGTGAAATCTATCCGAAAGATTCCTATGCTTAGTTCTAACCATGTTTCAAGATTCTTACCGGGGCTACTGGCTCAATAGGTGCTCACACACTGTACGGGCTCCTCAATGACGATTCAGTATCAACAGTTTTCTGTTTCACCCGCCGCATATCCCCATTTGAAGCGATCCTCGGCAGTCTGATTGAAAAGCAGCTATACATCACGTCAGAACAAGCATCTAAAATAGTCGCTCTGACTACTTCAATTGAGCAGCCGGATTTCGACTTGGACCAAGAACTTATTAGTCGCATGCGGCATTCTGTAACCCAGATCCTCCACGTAGCATGGCCAGTGGATTTCAATTTACCGCTGGCTCAATTTGAGCCACATGTCCAAGGTCTATACAACCTTATTCAATTCTCGCTCTCTGTCTACCAACCTCAACCAGCACTTGTTATGTTTTGCTCCTCTGTCTCCACTGCACTTGGCGCTGCGTCTTCTGAAATCGCAGAGAGCCCCATGGACCTAGATTCTGCTTATATGGGATACGGACAGTCCAAGCTGACAGGGGAACATATTGTCAGCGCTGCAAGTCAATCCGGAGCCAGATCTTACTCCCTCCGGATTGGGCAGGTTTCGGGCCATTCCAAGAAAGGCCTGTGGAACGATACCGAAGCCCTTCCTTCGATCATCCGGTCGGCATTGACTTTGAAGGTCTTGCCTAATCTGGAAGAAAGCTGCTCGTGGTTACCAGTTGACAAACTCGCTGCGGTTGTCCTTGACTTGATGAGAGCTTGTTCATCTCCAGCTAATGAAACCGAAGTGGAAAACTCTCATGGCTTAACAGAAAAGCATGCTGATGGTTCTATTTACAACGTGTGTAACTCTCGTCAATTTTCTTGGTCGGCTCTTTTAGAGTGCTTGAGCCGGAACGGGTTTCATTTTGAAACCGTGTCATTTGAGAAATGGCTGGGTTTTCTCCGAGATAGTGAGGTTCGAGGTGAGGAGCATATCAACCCGGCCGTCAAGTTGATTGGTCATTACGAGGCCATGTGTGGCACGGACGATTCACACTCTTCAAAGACAGCCACAATGAGTTCAAAGTCCTTTATCACGGATAAGGCAGAGCGTGACAGTCTTACTCTACGGAACGGCCGCTTGAGAATCATTGAAGATGGTATTTTGGATTGCTATGTGCGTGATTGGATTTCACGGTGGATGAAAGCGTAAAGTATTCTTTTGATGCCCTGCATGCCCTTCGCGACGTTTATGTAAATTCTTTTGTTTATTGCCTGTCTTTTCTTTTTGCCTGGGCCCAATACTAGGATTAATAGAGCGGAATTTTATTTTTATTGGATGTAACGGATACCAGTACATAGTTGATAGAAATCAATTTTGACAGCCAAACATTGACACTAGAATACATTACGTTATCCTCTGCTAGAGGCTCAAGATTTCGATTCGACCCCAAGCCCATGATCACTGCTGTTGATAATTTGCGATTCGCTCAGATCATCTATCTCATCGTCTGCTAAATATCATGAAAGAATGAATAAAGATCTTCCAATATCATTATTCACCTAGCTTTTGATACCAGTCAGGTATAAAGCGCTGACCATTGAATCATCTAAATCAGCTTCATCTAACAGAAAGCAAGGGCTATCCGGCCGCCAAGTTTCGCATGATTCATCAAAGGCTTTCCCACCGATGGAGGAAGCAGTCTTGAAATCGGATTCCCCTTCATTTTCTCCGATGAACGGCTTAGGCATTATGGATAAGGTCTGGAGGTTCTGAGAATATAAAAGCACGGATAAATGGATACAAGAGATACTTATGAAATATTGAATGAATAAAGATATTAGGTGATTTATGTCTGAAGGAGATGATGCTAAAATGATATTCATTCGGAAGCATGACCCGCATGGTACGATATTTCTGCAACTCTACTAGTATTCCTCCCGTCATCGTCTGGTGGGTTCATGTGTGGACCACGGAGATCTTCTGCACCCGAGACTCGGAGTTGACCCACCTACAGTGATAGTGAAAGTAAATGGATATCTTGACTATTACGCTTCTCGATTCCCTTATAGAAAATATGAAAAGTTTCAGGAAAGAAACGCGTATTTGAGACTTGCATCTAGTGTCCATTCGAGCCAGCTATGATTCATCACGCTATCATTGGAGACAAAACTGATCTACAATGCATTCCACCCTGCGTAATTTTAAGACCCCTTTTATTCTGCTGGGGCATTCGGTGTGAATTCAGAATCGGGCCATTTCCGAAAAAGATCCTGCAAATAATCCAGTGGAGCCGTGATCAACCCAACGGCGGTTTGATATGGCGGTCGATCGGGCGCACTAGGGTGAGCGCGTGTGGGGACAAAATCCTTTGTCCGGTCAAAGGACACCGCAAGGTTGTTGCTTTCCTCTTCTGAAATAGCACTTTCCAGGTTTATTAGATCCACTCGCTCCTCGTGAATGACATGGGCGGCCAAATCATCCATGAGAATGGCCATGGTGGGGACGAAGCGTGGATCACGGGCTTTGAGGTTTTGAAAGACTGCAAGTTTCTCTTTGATCTGTTGCATTATTTTAGCTTTTTATTTCTTTTTTTCAGGGCTATATATTCTGTGCCCCCTTTGCCCCTCTGCAATAATCTTGCGAGTTTCCTTTCTTCTTACCATTTGGTGTTGTTGGCGATCTTCGGCTGCATCCTCATTAAGGTGCTGCTTTAGCGCCGGGTAGAGCACTATTTCCTCGCCTACTACATGACGAGCTAACTCCCATGTCAACATGTTTTGCCATCGAGATTGTTCATCTTCGTCCTCAGCCTGGACAATTTGGTCATAGTATGACTTGAGGTCTTTGTGATCGGCACAAATCGTGTCACTAAGGCGGGGCATGTTGAAAAATCAATATTGAAGGTATCAAAATGAATGAATTTGAAGATAAAGCAAGGCGAAAATGTCGTGCAAACAGAAGATCGCCATTCCCAAATTCTACTCACGCGGCAATGAACTTGAATCAAATGACAATTATGTGACGTCTAATCCTACTAGTTCCGTATAATCTCCGGGGAGTGGGTTAGAGGTCCGGACACCATCCTATAGAAGCTTTAAGAGCCAAATCATCCGGTGGGGCAGATGACCACGCCTACTTTTTGAGTGGAATAGAAAATGCCGCGACAGGAACACTAGGAACACTTCACCCTTGAACGTGGGGGGTCTGAGAGTCCCGGCTAAGGGTATCTTTGTTCAACTTTCTTCATCCCCTCTTTTCTTCTCTTATCAACGCTCTGCGTTTTTCTTCTTGTAATTGACTATCAAATGGAATGGAAACACGATCCTTAAACCAACAGCAAACCCAAAGGCAAATACAATGATGACTGTTCCAAGGTTCGTACAAGGCTTAACGTGTCAATCTCTACAATTCCCCCGGAATTTCGCCCCGCACCATACTTACTTCTCAATTTTTTTTTCAGAACACAAACACATCCAACACAAGATGTGAGAACGTCAAAGGAAGCCCTTCATTCCCAACTCAGCAGCCAAAGTGCACAACCAATGTCGAGCACTGTCTGTGCTCGACTCTCTCAGTGGATGTGGGCAGGATTGTGGGGCACCTGTGAGCCTAATCCCGGGCCTTCCTCCCGCCAACCATATCAAAGCGAGCCGACCGATTGTAAAGCATGTCGAGAGTTGCATGTTCGTTGCGACCATGCCAAACCTCAGTGTGAACACTGTTACCAACAACAAACGCTTTGCTTCTATATCGATCCTGTTCAGAAAATGAAGCGTAAAACCCGGTCCCCAGCGACCATAGACACGTCCGATGTGCCTTTGATTCGCGTACCAACCCCACGAAGGAAATAAGAATATTCAAAGGTCGCTTTCCCACGCTGGCGTGGGCGTTGATTCTCTGGGGAAAAGGAAAGAAAACTAGGCATTTTTAAACATAATTTATTTTCAACGCGGCCTCGCGTGAATGAAATTGGGTGCCAAGTAGCATTCTGCGGCAAAACGCAAAATTGTGATTAGGGCGTTGCGTACTATATTCCTTCTCCTCTCCTACATAAAATACACATTCACCCATCAACGGATCCTATTAGTATCTAATACATTTCGTGTATTGGCCATTTGAAGTTGCTTTCTTCGGAAGCCCACTGGCGAAGGATCCTTGTACACCAAAAGCCACGATCTCCCGTTGGAGACTTTACCCGCGACATACATAGCGTCCGGTTAGCTTACTAGTATCCTTTGGATGATCTATCTCTACAATAAGCCCGAGCATACCAAGCTTTGTGATCTTGAGATTATATGGACATATCGGTTTATACAAACATAAATTTATTTCTTCGACAAAAAATCCCCGAGACCTGCAAAATCGGAGAAGAATCGTGTTCCCCAGACATGACGGGCAGATGATGACGATATCCACTATTCGGCGCAATGGACCAACAACGGCATGAAAAGTTATTGTAACTCCTCCCCACACCGCTATCTCCCCGCTATCAGCAGTTCACATAACAACTTTAATGCAGTTAAGGGAAGCCGAATCGGACCAGTCTCAACCGGTGTTCGTTTTGAGTCGGAGCACTGTGACCCGTCCCGGACACTGTGCTCCGTGCCTCCACAATCTAAATATCTAGGAAGTCCGTCCTCCAAACACTCTTCGGGGGCATACAAAGCATTCAATTTCAATTCCACATGAATAGATTGTCACCATGATTCGTTGATCAAGGTGTGCCATAAGGCTACTATATGTGACGGGACTCTAAGCAAAGATTCCTTTAAATTGTTATCTATTTCGAATTATTTTATTCAAATGTAAGTAATGCACCATTGCTCTTCCATTATTCTGTTGCTAATTCGTCTTGATAGATGGATTCCGAGTACCAACGACTGGCAGAGACCATCCGGGAACAGGCTACAAGACACAAAGGAGTGCGGTATTTAGTTGCAATAGCTGGAATTCCTGGATCTGGCAAGACAACAACGGCCGAGGCAATTGTTCAACACCTCAATTCAGACTCACAATGCCGCGCTGCTCTTCTTTCAATGGACGGGTTCCATCTTCCAAGGGCAGCTCTTGACCAAATGCCCAACTCTACAGAAGCATATACCCGTCGCGGTGCTCCGTGGACATTTGATGTGAAGCGATTTGTCGATTTCATTCACCAACTCCGGATCTGGGCCGACAAAATGCCATTAGCTCCGCTTTCAACAGGATCGTGGCCTTCAAAGGATGTGATTCGGGCACCCACCTTCGATCATGAAACCAAGGACCCAGTAGAAGGCGGAGTATCGATTACTCCAGACACGTCAATTATTATTATCGAAGGAAATTACCTTTTACTTGATGAGCCTGGGTGGCGAGATTTGGCGTCGCTTGTCGACTACCGGGTGTTCATGGATACAGATTTGCAAGAGGCACGCGAGAGAATTGCGAAACGTCATGTGAAGGCTGGCATCGAAACTACTCTTGAGGATGGATATCGACGTGTGGACAGTAATGACTACCTCAATGGCGTCTCAATTCAAAAAAGCCTTTTGATGCCGGATATGGTCGTCAAGAGCGTTTCAGTGACCAATGGAAATAGATCTCAATAAGCATGATTACAATTATAAAATTTCAATCACTATGATTATCTTCATAGTTTACCATCTGTCATCAAACCCATGAAGTTTAATATACAGTTATCATTCTTTGACTGCTTGCTTATGGAATACATCTGCCCTGATTAGCATCGGTTTAGTGGCAGGCTATGTTAGCAAGGACAGAACCTACTTGGAATTTCCGGCATCCAACTCACTCGGCTTTTACAGAAGAACTCGCCTTTTGGTGGGAGTGCCTCTATATCGTCCAAAGATCCAGCACATATGTATCGGAAATGGTCTTTGGCTGCCTCCTAGCCTTATAGTCAGTAGATAGACTCCACAAACATCAATGGGCTGTAAGTGAAATGGGTTTCACGAACTCCATATTCCAGAATGTAGCTACCACAGTTATCGCAGAATTCGCGATAAATCATGACTCCCGATCCGTTGTCTGCGGCATGTACTTTTGGCTTGCCGGTTGTGAGACGGAATGCATCCTTTGGTACTTTCACAGTCAAACCGTAGTTAGTTCCAAAAGCTTTCTGCATCATTTGCCAGTGCTAATCAGTAACTGTCTCGAAGTTAATATGGTGGCTCAATATATAGAGTACTTACTCTACAATTACGGCAGTGGCATAAGGATGTCCGTGCTTCATCGGGTGAGGCTAGGTGCAACTCATATTCAATGTTTCGACAAAAGCATGATCCTGAATAGATAGGCATTTCAACCAGTTGTTTCTTCTGGGTGTAGTTGTATGATAAATTGCGTATTACTAGAAGTCTTGTGTTGGGTTCCAGATCATGATGCGACACAATTGTATATGGTGACGTCACTTCGCTTAATCTTGAATTGATTTGAAACTTTCAAAATTCAACTTGTTTAGTTGTATATTAATAAATCTAGAAGCAAGGAGTATTAATGGACAGATTTGAGTACACAAAGCTAGTTTCCCCGCGGTGATGTTGTTATGACACAACGCATCACCAAGACATGCTGCTGGGTACAATAGTTGTCCCTTCCCGAGGGCTTCAGACTTTGGATTCTGACTCTGAAATCCTCAACATACATCTCATGAAATATACAGTTATGTTCATCAAGGATAATAGCAATGTCGGTCCAAAATATAGAGAATAAGGATGAACTGCAGCAGAGACACGTTGTATCTTGTTTCATATTTTCCGCTGCAAAGGCTACCCCGCAAGTTGCCTTGTTTCGACGCAGTGAAAAAGTGAGAACTTATCAGTACGTTCCATGGTTAACTTTTCTCATTCTATACAGTCCCACATTACCTTTTCACTGGTCCGCATCAAGATCCAGAGCCACAAACAGGCTAACTTATCAGACATCAACTGGCTGCCATCGCAGGGGGTATAGAGGTATATGAGTCCCCAATCAAGACTGCATGGCGGGAGCTCGAAGAGGAGACAACTCTGACGCATCAAAATCTGGAGCTCTGGCGCTGTGGAAAAGCATATTCTTTCAGTGATCCTTCCGTGGGACGACGATGGACTATCTACCCTTTTGCATTTCGATTGAAAGCTCGCCAAGAAGGAGCGGAGGAGCAAGCGATTCGTCTCAACTGGGAACATGAAGGTTGGGACTGGTATAACCCAATAGAGGTATTGGACAAGCAATTTGATGGAGTTCCTCATGTAGCAGACAGCCTTCGACACGTGTTATTCGAATTGGAGTTCAATGAACAAGCCAGTCAAGCGTTACAGTCCTGTTTAAAGGAATTGAAATCAGATCACCAAAGCGGCTCACATGAACTCACTTCTATCGCTCTTAAAGGCTTTCGAGATGTACTAGGAAACTTGAAAGACGATTCCAAATGGTGGGAAACTGCCCGTACAGCGGCATGGCATATATGGAAAAATGGACGAGAGAGTATGAGCGCAGCCACGTTTAACGCTCTGATTGCAGTCCTTGATGATATGGATAGGTTGACAGGTCAGGATGAAGATAGGAAGATATGGTGGGAATCAGCTCTCTCTATTGTTGACCGTCACCTGGAAAGGCGTCGAGCCATGCCAATTCTCATCAAAGACTCCTTCATGTTCTACCTACGCGATCTTTTGTCTTCGACTGGGACACAACCACGAGAAAGTCTCAAAATTCTCACGCTATCTGCAAGCTCAACCATCAAAGATAGCATATTAGATGCCTTCGCAGCAACAAGGATACCTCAGTTGGACCTGCGTATCCTTGAGTCTCGTCCGCTCTACGAGGGCGCTACAATGGCTTCATCTCTACTCACGGAATTCCAAGCAAAATTCCAATTATCGTCTGATCGGTCCTTCAAATTGAATGTCTACACAGATGCCTCTGCAGCTTTCGCTTCAACTGGTGTCGATCTTGTACTTCTTGGAGCGGACCAGATTTCCAGCTCTGGGTGGGTTAGGAACAAGATGGGGTCACTGCCTGCGGTACTAAGCGCCAAATATGTTAGCCCACAGACCAAGATCTTGATTCTCAGCGGAATAGAGAAGGTAGCGCAACCTGACACGGCCAGCGGAGAGGAAACCGAGGAGAATAGCCCCAGTGAACTGATGGGCAGCTGGCTTTCTACCAATGCGAAAGGGGTGAATCTTCTCCATGATGCCAGACAGACATTTTCAGCAAGCGATAATTGTACCGCTTATGTGCGCAATGTTTACTTTGAATGGGTTCCTGCCGACCTCATAGATGCGTATATATGCGAAGAAGGCACTCTTGACGTTGCAGCTATTCATGCCAAGGCGAAGCAAATACAACAGCAGGCAGAGCAGTATTTTGGATGATAGCATTTTACCATATTTGTCAACCTCGGAAACTTTGAATAGCCCCAATAGCCTATTTCAAATTCCTTTGATATCCCACACCCGTGGGCAACGATTGTTTACATGCATATCTAGCTTCGTTCTGATATAGATGATACATACCCGTGGGAATTCAAATAGGTATATCGGGTACGTAACGATCATCGGAACCATACAGCCTAAAATGTCGAGATTAGAGTACGAACGAAGAACTTGAAGGAAAGGCTGCCGCTGTGCATTGGTTGAACTAGGTACAGAATGCCCAAGCAATAAATCCAGCGCTAGGTAAGACAGAGCTAGCTTCAAAGTTTCCGCATTCCAAACGAAAAGAAAATCATAAATCCATCCCAGAACTCCAGAGATAGAGGACAGGATCGTTAAAAGACCTCTACCTCGAAAACTTGAAATCCGAACTATATGCATAAGGAAAATAAGGTATCGTCATGTTCAAGCGTCGCGAACACGCGCTTGGCGTTTAGCGGTGCCGATGTGGGTATTGTGTACTTTAGTTGCGAACTTCAAGCTGGTCAAGGTCTCGGACAAATGCGCCTGCAATGGGCTAACCATGACAAACATGAGGGTCTTCGAATTTCCACCCAGAGAGAATTGAAGTAGATATGTAAGCTATAAAATGATTAGAATTGGATAAAACTCGGGGCTCGGAAAGAGGATAACGTACCTTGCTATTACGGTATGGAATATGACCACCGTCCTTGCCCTGGCCAAGAGCCGCAATGACATCGCCAAGCGAGCTAAGACTGCGGTTGATGTTTTGCGTTTCTTTCAAACGCTCGCCTGTTGCTCCACTGTGACTTAGGCGTTCACTTCCGGCCAAATCAACCAGGTTGAGCGTACCTTCGCTACGTTCTCCGGTCACATGGTTTTGGCCAGTAAGCTTCAGAATGAACACTGAATGTGATCGAGAGGAGCGTTCGTTGGCTTTTGTAGCGGCAACAGACCGGTTGGCATCTGCATTTTTGAGGAGGCTTTCAACCATTTCAGGAGAGTCCAGTTGAACAGTAGTGATGTCAGTGATACTGGTCTTTCCCCGCTGCATATCGTGGCGAATCTCATGCTTCTTCTTATCCAGTTCATCTGGGTTACCAAGGAGATCATTGAGATTCTCGTTGTAAACCTCGACGAAATTTCCTTCCATGGTATAACGCCAACCCTTCTCTTCCAGGCCCTGGGCAGTCTGGTAAATTTGATGAACAGCGCGGGGAATCATGCCATCTTGCGAGGACATGGTATGGGTCTTGCCACTGCCGGTCTGGCCATAACAGAAAATGCAAACATTGTATCCATCAAGGGCACTTTGGACCAATTGGCTAATTTCGTCGAAGACTTCGGCATTCTGGGTGGAGGGCCCAAATACGCGATCAAAGGAGAAAGGATTGTTCTTGCGAGACAAAGTACCAAGACTACTTTTCTCTTCGGGGCCCATGACATTGATCTCTTTGGCATCTTCGGATTCATCAGGATACTGCATTGGCGAAATGCTAGATGAAGGTTCGTTCCTGAGAGACGGGCGAACACGACAAAACACGCGAATATTTCCCTTGAGCTCCTGTACCTGGTTATGAAGCTTGCGACGCATTGTCTCTTCTTTCCGAAGCTTTTCTTTGATCGCGTCCGTCTCTGCCAGAGCATCCATCATTTCCTGGTTGCATCGCTCGAAGGCTTGAGATTGTTCCTCGCGGCCACCTTCAAGGAACTCAATGCGGGCTTTGAGGGCTCTGATTGTCGACTCAAGGGTAACACTGTTGCTGCTGGCCGTATCTAAGTTATGTCGGAGATCATGGACGGTTTTCCGTTCGCGGTTCACGTCGGCCTTCATGGTATCAAGCTCATTCTTCAGAGTAGCGATTTCCCGCTCCTTATTGTTCAGCTCTAATTGGGACTTCTGAATCTCCATGGTGGACTCTGTTGTTAGATTTCCGAGCTCTCGGACTCGCTTGGCCTTCTCGTCTTCAACCTCGCCTTGAAACTTTCGCTTAAGAATATGTATTTCATCTTCATGTCGAGACGCGAGTCTCTCTTTCTCTTTCTGATTTTCCTGATTAATAGACGCGATTTCAATCCGGTGGCGGCCTTCCACATCGTCCATAGCAATGTCCTGATCTCGGCGGGCATCAGCCAAGGCTTTTTCAGCAAGAGCAAGTTGGCCCCTTAAAGATTCCAGTTCCACTCGCAGATTGACGTTAGCCTCGCCCAGCCCATCGCGAGCGCGTTCCAGTTCGGCAACTAGAGCATGAAGTTAGCATACTGCAAGCCCCATTTTACAATGGAGAACTCACTTCGGGACTTGTAAATTTCAACGGTGTCTTTAAGACCAGTCGCTTCATGCCCTTGTTCATTTACACGAGCCATAATTTGATTGAACATCTCGTCCACTTGTTTGTCGCGATTGTCTTGGTTCCATTCGGTATCTGTATTACGGTCAAAATTTGTCACGTGGGAATTTTTGTTCAGAAACAAAAGTATGGGTGGTCTTTTTGGCGATCTCGTGGGAGTAAAGTGCGTTATTTCGCAAGGCTTGAATGGTGTAAGGATGGGAAGCTTGGATGGCTGCACACGCTGCACGGGGCTCGCGGTGGAGAAATCAATGCTACAGGACATCTTCGGAGTAAAGAATCTCGAGCCAGGGAGATCATTGCCAACGGATGCGACGCCTTGGGACTGGGACCATTGCGCATCACCATTGCACGAGCTGTTTTGGAGGAATCCAGGGAGGCCAGAGAAAGAAAAGAATGGGGATGGGGATGCTGCTCACCCTTTCGTTTTCCAAGAACACTTCCGGCGCCATCTTCAATGTGGGTATCTAACGAGGTAGCAGGGCGCTGAATGGAATTGCCGAGTCTGCGAGTGCCAAGCGAGGTCTGCGGGCGAGGCATGGCCGACGTCGCGCGTGAGTTATGGCCCATGGTGGCTGAAAAGTTATTAGTTGCCGGTCGAGAGGCTGTAGACCCAGATCGAGAAATGGTAGACGAGGCGAACGAGTTCCCTCGAGCGTGTTGTCTCGAAGCGACAGGGCCTGGGCGCGAAACAGATGCAGGTTTCTTCGGTTCCGGGGATGTAAATGTTCTGGGACGAGTCGCTATAATCAAATATTAGTACGGTTGGGAATAGTTGAGTTCTTGGAAACGCATATAATCCATACGCGAGACTGTCTTATTCACGATCGTTCCAGGCGGCATGATGCCCGACCGGGAATTTGCTGATGCGGAATTCATCTCTCGTAGGCCGCCAACTTGTGGAATGCGCGACCGAGTTGCCGGTCGAGTCTGAGCCTAGTTGGGAGAGTGTTAGTATTCGCGCAATTGCGACAGCGACAGCGGGTGTTGATTGTTTACCATGTTCTCATCCTCCATGGTGGGATTCGTAGCACGCCAGGTTACCGGTGAGTAGATAATCCGGGCGAGTAGAAGGAATTCTCGTCCAGCCACGGTCTCAACGGCCGGATAGGCAATTGGGGAAAGATGCGCAAGATATGAGGGGAAGGGACATGCCACAGCAATGAGATTGGGAGTATGGCAGCTGTTTGGTTTCTGGAGGGACAGAGCGGGTAAACAAACGCTGACTCATCGATCCGTTTTCAGCTGCGACCCGAATTGGGACTAGTCGTACTATTCAGTGTTGACACCTGACTATATTACCAAAATAACGAAGATTACCGCCTGACACTCGGGTAAATCTGAAGATTACATCGTCAAATGAATACAGCACGTGAGGCTGTTAGAACCAGATGCAAACAAAGCAATAGAATAGCAGTCACTCACTCGCAAAGAAATGAAACAGAGCCATTCCATCCCGTGTACTTTCTGATACAATATACTCCATATTAGTCAATCTCTTGTACCAACAAGCCAAATCGCAAGCCAAACTGTACAGTAGGTGTTTCAAGCCGTTGACCCAAACCAGACAGCGCGGACTCCACTTGGCCCGCTGAAACACCCCAAAGGCCCCAGTTGCCGCATTCCCTGGTTATTCAAAAGCAATTGCTGGGTTCTTCTCCTTCAAGTTGCTCCTGCAAGCTTGTATTTCCTTCCCTTTTCTTATTTCTCCACGGTTCGGTACCGATCATGTCCGGGCGTTTTGTGCGTTCATCCAAGTATCGTAAGTCAATGTGATCGGCGCCTGTTATCAAGCTGCTCGCTGACCGTTGGGGAAGGCCACGTCTTCGGACGTTCGACACGCAAGGTACTACTTCCCTCTCACGTCCAATCATTCAAGAACATCTGATTGACCCCAATACTAGGAGCAATGCTACGATAATCTCCGAATCTCACGAAATGCCTGGGATACCAACCTGATCAAGGTTCGTCGATTGGCGCCACCGCCCCTGACCTCTGTTACCTCCCTTTCGGTCCTAACGAGCCTCCCCTATAGGTGAACCCGAAGCATCTGGCTGTCAATTGGGAAGCTGGAGGTGGTGGAGCTTTTGCTGTCATCCCGCTTGAGGAACGAGGGAAATTACCGGACCGCATTCCTCTTTTCCGAGGACACACCGCAGTAGTGCTCGACACCGACTGGTAAGCGCATTCTGCGCCAACACTGCCATCAAATCACATAAATAACAGTTTTATGCAGGAATCCTTTTAACGATGATTTGATTGCGTCCGGCTCCGACGATGGAAAGGTATAATGGCAAGCCCAACCAGTCTATCCAATTAGTGCTAACTGGGCTTAGGTCTTCCTCTGGCGGGTTCCAGATAACTTCACCGTTCGTCCCGACGTGGAGGCGGATGATGTTCAGGACATCGCGCCTGTTGGCAAGCTTAGTGGTCACCCCAAGTACGGAAAATTAAAATTCGCATTTGACGCTAGGGCGAAATATACTAATCACTCCCTGCAGGAAGATTGGCCACGTGCTCTTTAACCCCGCGGCGGAAAACGTTCTGGCAACGGCCTCCGGCGACTATACTGTGAAGATCTGGGATATTGAGGCAGGTGCGCCAAAGTTGACGCTGAACATTGGTGACATTGTTCAGTCTCAGTCATGGAGCGCCAACGGTTCACTTCTGGTCACCACTTCGCGTGACAAGAAGCTCCGCATCTGGGATGTTCGCCAGGAGAGACCTGCGCATGAATCTGCTGGACATTCTGGTGCCAAGAACAGCCGTTCCGTCTGGTTAGGCGAGCGCGACCGGATCGCGACCACCGGTTTCTCTAAGATGAGCGATCGTCAGCTGGCTCTTTGGGATATCCGTGCCGCCCGAGAGCCCATTAATGGCTTTAAGACTCTGGACTCCATCTCCGGTGTCTGCATGCCTTTCTGGGATGATGGCACCAACTGCCTGTACCTGGCTGGCCGAGGGTATGTCTCAAACCATCAATGCTACCCACTACCCGATCATCTTTACTAACCCATAGTTTTAGTGATGGAAACATCCGTTATTTCGAGCTTGAGAATGACAAATTCGAGTTCCTGTCAGAATACAAGTCTGCTGATCCTCAACGTGGTGTTGCATTCATGCCTAAGCGTGGTGTAAACATGCACGAAAATGAGCTTACCCGCGCGTTCAAGACTGTCAACGACGGCTACATTGAACCTGTCTCATTCATCGTTCCTCGCCGATCCGAGAATTTCCAGGACGACATCTACCATCCCACCATTGGCGTAACCCCCGCTATGAGTTCCTCCGAGTGGCTTTCTGGTAAAGAGGCCATTCCCCCCAAGATTTCCATGGCTAGTTTGTACGATGGCAATGGCCTCGAGGAAGTCTCCGGTGTTCAGGAGAAGCCAACTGGTGCCATAGATACGCCCTCCATCAAGGTTGATGAGCCCGAGCCCACAAAGCCCGAGCCTGTTGCCCCCAAGGCCGCTCCTGAGCCTATTCCAGAGCCTACCCCAGAGCCCACGCGCGTTGCCCGTCCCTCTCCGTCTATGAAGGAGCAAGGTGCCTCCATGGCCGCTATGGTAAACAAATTCGCAGATGATGAAGAGGAGACTGCTCCTGCTGAAGATGATGACTCCAGCTTCGAGGAGATTCCTAAGCCGGTTGAGCGCTCTGCCCGCTCTCCCGTTGCCGAAGCATCTTCTCCGCGCGTCAGCAGCCCTTTGCGCCCCCAGGAAACTGAGACCAAGCCCCAACCTGCCCCTGCTGTCACCCCTGTATGTTGCCGAACTCTACTCTACCTATCTCTTTATCTTGTTGTCAGAATGCTAATCGCTTTAATAGACCCAGACTAAGGCTCAAACCCCTGTCGCGTCATCTCCTGCCAGTGAGAACAGCGTGCCAACGACCACTGTTTCCAAGGAGATCGAGGAGATCAAATCACTGATCGCCGAACAAACCAAGACCATTGCTGCGCAGGCACAGCAGGTGCAAACATTGACCGCCGAAATCGAAGCCCTGAAGACCAAGTTGAACTGAGCTGTTCATTAGCATCGTTTGTGAATTGTCTCTTGTTTTATTCTATTTATGTCGTCACTACTGTGGCAGATGTCGTGGAGAGTCTCAAATCATCGAACTTTTGGCCGGGAGTTATGTTCTACACGTGTTGACGTATATGGTGATGCACTGCTGTACCTAGGGATGTGGATATGCGGTCTTCTCTTTTCTTATTAGCGGATTTGTCAATACATCGATCCTTCAAGTTCAGTAACCTTCTGCTTAATTTTTGTACTATAGTCTCTAAGATGTCTCTTTACGCATATTCCTTAGGGTACATGAAAGAGCCAGCCCAAGGACTGATATACATAAGTAAAGCAGCCAAACGTAGAAGAGACCCTTTGTAATAACGTCAAAAACAATCTGCTTCTCATCACCAGGCAGCTCTCGTGTGAGGGCTGCTGTAGCAGTAGACGCGGCAACGATCTCACTTGCCAGGTTAGATCCCACAGCCGCCATTAATCTAGCTTTCTTGACTGCGACTTCGTGGTTATAGATCACCGTACCAACAACGACGGAGATAGACGCCGCCAATTGCCGAACAAGTGAAAATGCAGCCGTAGCCTGACTCATCTCCGAAGTCTTTACATTAGCTTGCAATGCGATCAGCGTTGCTTGAAAGTTAGGCCCCAATCCAAGACCCACAATCATTTGATACAGCACGATGCGAGACCAGGATGCGTAAGGCTTCAGATCCAAATAGAGACCGTAGCCGAGAGTTGTGAAAAACATGCCAAAGATAATGACTTCGCGGAAACGGCCGGTCGATCGCAGATACCAGCCAGCTAAGCCAGACGATATAGCTAAGGCGCCTACCAAAGGCAGAAGAAGGACACCACTCATTAGAGAGCTTTCCAGAAGAACATTCTGGAGATAGACTGGGAGATAGAAACAGCCTCCAATGAATACAGCACCATGGCAGAAATTCACTAAAAGAAGCGCGATGTTCTGCCAGCTGTTGAAAACCGCTAAGGGTATAATTGGAGACGAGGGAAACCGCTCGTATATGCCAAAGATGATCAAAGCAACCACTCCGAACACAATTAGGCAAATTACTGTCGCGGAGGACCAGCTGAATTGATCGCCTCCAAATTCCAGTCCGAGGAGAAGCATGATCGTTCCAGCAATGACCAACGCCACGCCAATCCAATCAATAGTGGCCAATCCATCAATCAAGGATTTCTTTGTGGTGTCAATCTTGAGGAAGAACATCAAGAAAAGAAAAGCTACGCCCCCAACAGGTACTATGATTCTCATGTTAGTATCATATTCACTTCCAAGGTTGGGATGAGAAGATAGGTTGGACTAACAGTTAATATAGAAGCACCATCGCCAAGTCACGTATGTGGTGAAGGCACCACCAATTACAGGGCCAACCGCACCTGCGATAGCCCATGTCGCGCCAAAGATACCCAAGTAAGCAGAGCGTCTTTGCACATCGAAGAGATCGGACACGCAGATATTCGCCATCACGGTGATTCCACCACTACCTATGCCCTGCAAGGCACGGCCTGCGATCAACATTGAAACATTGATCGCCAATCCACAAATTAAACTTCCACCTAGGAACAGGATGATAGATGTGCTCAAAATAGGCTTTCGGCCCCAGATGTCACTTAGTCTACCCCATAAGCCTACCGACGATGCATTGGTCAATAGATAGGATGATGCGATCCATGAGTATGCAGAATCAGAGGCTTTGAAATGGGCGACAATCTCGGGGAGAGCAGTAGACACGATAGTCTTATCCAATCAGTCTTCACAGTTCTTACAAGCACAAAATTTTTTGAAGCAAAGGTTACTCACAATGTCCAATGCGGCAAGAAAGACAGACAACTGTGTATTGGAAGGCTTTAGCTCATGAAGATCTTTTCCAAAATTCGAATTCTCAACATACACCTAAGCCAAGCAATATGATCGCGATTCTTTGTTTGCTTGGACTGTCTTCATTTGTCACATTCTCTGCAGGAATGTCTTCATCCGCCAGCTTTTCGGTGTTCTTGTTAACAACACCTTGCTCCTCATCTTTGGCCTGTGCGCCAGCTGACAAACGATCCTCTTCAGCCGACATCATTAAAAGAGGTATCGAAGGGATAGAGCGCAAATATTAATATAAACCCTTTTACAAAAAAAACATTGTACATAAAAAGAGCGTAAAGTGATCTTAGATCATGACAAGAAGGGAAGGGAGCTGCTGAAGCCGATAAAGGGAGCCTCACAGTAGATATAGGGAGATCTGCTGAAGATCAGAAAAATGGCCACGAATTGCCGATACCAATGATTTGATCCACTACTCCCATAGAGGGGGAACTAGCTTTATCCAGTACGGCCCCTAAACTCGAATCGAGCGTTCCAACAGCGACTGATCTGGATACCACATGGCTGTGACATCATTCTACTCCACTCTCACCAATCAAAGAGTCTCGGTTGGCTGCTTTGGGATTAAAGCCGGATGCCATTCACCATTGAGATCGAGAGCTTACGCACATTTTAGCCGATAACCCCTTTTCGTCCAGGCGACAGCATAATAATTCGTTATGCTGCCAAGGTATACTCGGTACTTATGTGTATCCTTCTCCGCGGCTTTATTTAGAGCTTGATCTTGTATCAAGACTATTTATACTCCCTACATTAGAGAAATTTAGATATCTGTAGATCGAATAATTTAGAATAACCATCAATATTTTATTTGATTCAAAAGTTGTAAATCTACTATACTATGTATGCTTCAAGAAGATGGTTGCCAGAACAAACTCGTATACTCATGAGCCTAATACATATTGGCGAGTAGTATAATAAAAGACAGGCTGCAAAGAAGTCTATGGATAATCAGAATTTGAACCTGCGCGACATTGAATTAACATTAGATGAGCATTCCAAGCTCCATTTCCCTCACTGTCCACTTCCAGAAACAAGACCCTTAACACCGTTCAATCCTCCTACAGCGATATTCTTAGTAGATTCCGCGCCAGAACCAACAGTATCAACACCCTTCGCTCCAATACCTGTGAATGTTGAAGAGTCACCATAGGAGCCATCTTCATCCTTTCCATCTCTCTCAGCCCGGTTGATACCCTCCTTCGACATAAATTGTCCCACCGGCTTGAATAATCCCTTATCACCAAGCTGATTTCCCACGAGATTGTTCGTATCGTCTTGGATCTGATCAACCTGATCAATACCAGTGACCTTCGTTTTGGAGAGCGAATCTATGAAAAATTAGTCAGTCTCATCTGAACGGTTCAAGTATGTAGCTTGTCTAGATTAATGTAAGTACCTTTGGTTGCGTAGGAGGCTTTATTGTCACCCTTTCCAAACCATTTCAGATATTGGTCTTCAATCCATGGCATCCATCTTTGATATCCGTTGTTATATGCTTCTTGCAGCCATTCTTTGTAGGACTGGCTATCTTGGTCTTGAGAATTGGCGCTGTCCGCTGCAAAGGGTTGCTTGACCTGGTTCGGAGTGCTCATCTTGATATTTGTTGAGACTTGTGATAGTATTCAAGAGACTCTTCCTAAATACTAAAACAGGGTAGTAGGTATCTAATATATATAATATTTGGTCATGGAAACCGGTAATGATGCTTTTGTCATATTTAACTTCGTATAGATTAACTCGACACCCAATGACGTCAATGGCAGAATTGGGACCTGAGATGTCGTACACTGTGTGAAAATGATGAATGAAGTCACAAGGCTAGTTTTTATAAAATGTGTCATTTGAAGGTCTGTTCAATAGGCTGATTATTGATGTAGACCTACAAGGTTGTGTGTCCATGTGAATATACTAGTAGTCTAACCCGTTGCCTGGACGGGTTGTTGTGGGCATACATGCATGTCATGCATCTAAATGTTGTACACGCAAATTTCGATCCTCGAGACCCGCATAAACCTCAGGCTCATGCTTAGTATTAATTTGAAGATCATCTGGATGTTTAGTAGAGGAAAAGCTCCACATTCTGATGTTGGGTGACTCAGATGAGGAGTAAGCATTTAAGTTTCATCAAGTCTTTTACAAGTTGCAGTTTCAAGTTTGCCCACCTGGGCAGAAATACATGTTATGCTTGGGATAAAGATTTTTCATTCACGTTCTTCGAAATAGTAGAATCATTTTGATTCAAAAGTATGTACGACAGAGGCAATAAAAACCTCCGTCAGTTGGTATCAACCGGATTGTGTAAAGTAACCCAACCATCCATCAGGGAATAAATGTGATGCAAGAAGAGAAGAAATATAAGCAAATATGAAAATGCCAGACGCCATCCTGTCCCATGAAACTTTTATGGCACAAAATATTTGAGGAAATGCTGTCCTGACGCGGTTTAAAGCTCATCTTCGTATTTGTAATTGATGCGGCGGCCAGCCACCACACGTTCTTTCCGACTCTCGCGTCGGTGGCCAGATTTGGCTTGTTCACGACGCTGTTCCTCACGAAGGAGGCGTTCACGGTTTCGTGCCTCGCGCTCTAGTGTATGAGGATCTTTTTCGGGTTCGGGCGCGGCAGTGGGAGTCTCGCGTTCTTTGGTGCGATCATCGGTGCCACGCTTGACGCGTCGGGCCCGGGGATGAGAGGAGTGATCACTGTTGTTGGCGGACTCTGATCGATCACGACGGGATCTTTTACGGTCCTTACCACGATCTCTACCCTGTTCACGCTCGTGCTCACGGTCTCGCCGATTATCTCGCTCAGAGTCTCGATCTCGATCGCGGCGGTCACGTTCACGGTCACGGTCTTTAGCACGTTCACGATGGCGACTATCTCGAGTGCGGTCTCGGTCTCGGTCCCGATCACGATCTTCTTCCCGGCGACTGGGTCGATCTTTGCTAGTTCGATGAGCGTTTCCAATACGGCTCGCGAGATCACGAGGGTTGATCTTTGCTGATGTTTTTGAAGGCCCATTCGACCTGTCCTCCGCTATGGAAGCAAGGCGGTCAGCTTGGCGGCTGTCGCCATTCCGGGTTATGCTGCGGCTACGGCTCCGGCTCTGGTGGCGGCGCGATCGATGGGATCGATGACCACTTCGACGTTCCCGTTCTCGATCGCTGTCACGATGGCGGTGTCGTGAAGAACGTCGCGAGGAAGCTCCTGATGGTGAGCGAGAGCGGCCTTCTGTGAGACGCTTCACATCGCGGTCGCGACGACTTTGTCGATCCTCTTCTGGTACATGTGCACTAGGTGAGTGAGCTCGAGAGACCTGATTTTGTGCAGGGGAACGGGAACGGGATCGAGGTTCAGCCTGCGGGGGTTGAGATGGGGCTTTAGACTGAGACCGGCTTTGGGTTAGATCCTCTGGCGCATCGGTATTACTGCTGCACAAATTAGATATAATACAATCTAAGAACCTTGAAGGAATTGACATACCTTTGTTCAGGGCCCGGGGTGTTGCTTCCTATCGAGGGCCGTCCCTGATGGAAGCCTCGTTGCCGTAGAACGCTAGTATTAGGCAGTCCCTGTCTCATTGCACGTGGTGCTGCTGGCGCTCCTTCTACGCCAGGATTTCTTGGTTCCATGTGAGGTTGGGCCATTGGGCCACCCCAAAAGCCGCCCCCGCGGCCATTAGACATGGGTCCCCGCATATAGCCACCACCTCCATACCCAGGGCCCATAGAGCCTGGATAGCCAGCTGGCCCCATTGACGTGGACTCATCTAAACTGTCAATAGTAGGAATTCCCTGCAATTGTTCAGTATTTTTATCGGTGGACATGGCTTCTGGTTTATCATTCAAAAGTGTTTCATCGCCATCTGCAACCTGCTCAACGTTTGTGTTTTCATTCGCCTGGGAAGGGGGAGCGCCATCAGGGAGATCCCCATTGGTACCATCCATAGAACCGTTAGAGAATGGGCGATTAGGAAGGCCATGACTAGCAGCGTTGGCGAAATTGCCTTGGCCGTTACCTCCAAACCCTCCTCGGCCGGGTCCGCTATGGAACTGACCACGGCCCCGACCCCGAAACCCGCCACGTCCAAATCCTGTACCGTAGTAATTGGGCTGGTAATCCGCGTTAGAGGGGTAAGACATATTAGATCCGCCAAATGCTCCTCCATACGGAGGGCCCGAGGGATTTGCGAAAGCATTTGGATTGAATTTATCTTGGCCGCCTTGCCACATGTTCTGCTGGGAACCGTCCCATCCTACGGAACCATACATGCCCTGCCCGTCGTAATTCATTCCCATGTTCATGCCCATACCAGTCATGTTCATCCCATAATCTCCGAACATCCCCTGACTTGCGGCCATCGGGTCCATTCCCATGGGCATACCTGGTAGATACCATCGATTAGCGTGTCCAAGGGGCCAAAATATGAGAGTTCGAGTTGAATTACCTGTAGGGTTCTGAAAATTGAACATCGAATTGCCCATGAATGGGTTCATCCCGTTGAACATGCCATTTCCATTCCAGCCCATATTAGAAAATCCTCCTGCATTCATGCTCATGCCGTTCGGTTCACCCTGTTGAGGGGTTTCCTGGGCGGCGGGCTCAGTGGATGTATCGGGGGCTGCGCCGTCTCCATCGATGGGATGTGCATTTGTATCCGCGGAAGTTGCCGGCTCTGGGACATAGTCACCAACTGCTTCAACAGACTGCCGATAAAGGTTAGTACGTTTTGTAAGAGCAATGTGAAAAATTGGTGGCTCATACTTCAGCTATTGGCTGTTGTGTGTCTTGGCCATTGGCTTCCAGTGTATTTTCCGCTTTTTGCAAAAGGCCGCTCTCTGCTGCGGGATGTTCAGACGTAGGTTCTTGTGTCACTGGCGCCGCGAGTGCCTCCGCCGGCGCAGATTCTGTCAAAGTCTGGCCACTCGTGTTATCTTTGGGCGCTTGCTCGCTCTCCGCCGGGGTGGGAATAGTTGGTGTCGAGGTCGCGTTGGCCTGGCGTTCCTTCTCACGTTTCTTTTCCTCGGTGCGAAGGTATGCTTTCAAGGTTGTGCGCAGAGCTTTATTAGGCTTGCACACATCTGGCGAAACTGGTGTATGTGCGCAGACGGGACAAGTATCGGAGAGAGAGGTTTGGCCTGCAAGATTGACCTTTATTAGCCTTTTTCTCTTTTTTTTTCTTCTTCTTTCCTGAGCCGCGGGGATAAATGATGCAATTTCGACTTACAAGGTTCGCAGATTGACTGGTCGCAACATGGGAGGCGAAACGCATTCACCGCCAGCGTGTTGCAGATGGAACACCGCAGCTTCATGGGAATCTCATCCCGAGGTAGAGTGCTAGAGCCGGATTAGGTTGAAATGTGCCATGTCAGCCAACAAACCGAGACATACCTGGCGATGTCCATCAGACCAGCTGGCGGATCCGCCGCGGCCATGGAGAACGGTAAATAAGCGACTGAGGCTTTCCACACCTAAGAATTGTGGATTGCGGACCAAATGAAGCATGAGAAGAAGTCATGTAGAAAGTGGCCGTGAGCAACGCGATATGGAATTTAGTCGGATAAATAATCCACCGAGATGCACCCGATCGTTAGATGAGCGGGTATTTCCATTGTAGGGTTAGCGTCATCACTTTAGGTTTGGCAGTTTTACATGTGCATAACAAACTGCCCAGCTGGTTACTGATAATCTTTACGGTTATATTCAGCATTGCTAGTCGATGTGGCTCTGTAAGCTACATCGCTATGCGGATCCATTGGACTCCCCTGCCCAATCAAATCCACAAGTAGTATTAGCACAGCACTGGTGTCTTGAACTGTTTCCCTGAATTAATCAAGCGGATGTAAACTACTGAGGAAGCCAAAAATGAACCAAGTCTCAAGCTATTAATAGTATTTGGAGAACTATCAGCGTGTCCAATGCTTAGGTTTTCTCGGGCTGATAATATAAAATTTCAAGATTCGTGCTCTTTGCATCCCGATGTCTGCATACCAGTCCTAACCAGATATGTAGCTGCCTTTGTTGCTGCAACCTGAGTCAAGCGCCTAGTAGTACCTAGGTAGGTATCCGTATAGGTACATGCTACCCCAAAGATCCATACTACCAGGCATCACCCGCTGGGCACAACTGAATGACTTCAATAGCACATTGAATACGAATGTATCTGGCCCCCGTGTTATGGATGTACCCAGATGGAGCTTGAAGAGCATAAATTCTCTTAACAGAAGAGTCACGCGATTGCTAGTTATTTATTTATATTTCCCATAATATTGTCTCGGATTAGATCAAGTTATTTTTGGGTCCATCATCAGCGCCTCTGCGATACCATCTGGTGGTCTCTTCAGGGTTGGCCTCCGGACAGCAGTGTCGTCATAGACATGGGCCAAAGCTATCTAGGCGTTCTCGCCCTTCAAGAGGAGAGGGGAGGAAACAGGAATAGGGTTTAGGACGGAAAGAGAGGCAGGTCGAACGCGTCTATTGCATCATAGCATGAGTGAAGGATCAAGGGTGTAAAAAACAATGGGCTTGTGGGGATAGAATAAGGAGTTCTGATGATCGAGGGATACCAGATGTAGAAAAATAAAGAAGAAAAAACTAAATTGTTCTTGAATAAAGAAAAACACATAGATGATAAGGTCCGATCAGAAGATATAAGAGAGAAGGAAAGAAAAAGGTGAAAAAGAAATGGAGAAGGACTCGACAAGCTCCACTCGGGTCACTTTAAAAAGGTCCGTGACCGCCCCAAACTTCCCGTTCTTTTTCTTCCTCCAAACTTACCTCGAAACAAAAACTTACCTGTTATACCCGATGGGAATGACTTGATTCACTTGTTCACCGGCTACTGAATGCTACAGCATGACAGAGGACAACTATCGACCACGATCTCCCGATTTCTCCTCTCCTCCCAACCCCCCGCCCTACGCGCCGTTGAGCAGTCCAATAACACATCGCGTATCCTACGACGCTTCGCCGTTCTTCAATACCTACCAACCTCCAAGCTCGAGTCGCATCCCCCAGCAGTACGTCCCACCCGATCAGTTCGCCTTTCAAGACGAAATGGCACGTCGCTCATCACGCCTGCAGCCTGAGGACGCGCCTGTCCCCGAGCTCGCACCAATGCTCGCGTCCATGCCTGTCGCGCCCATGCCGGAGGAAGTCCCACAAGCCAGACCAGGCGCGGGCATCGAAGTAAAGACCAAATTCCCTGTCGCGCGCATCAAGCGCATCATGCAGGCAGATGAAGACGTTGGCAAGGTCGCGCAGGTGACACCCGTTGCAGTTTGTATGTATCGCCAATGACCCCGTCCATATTATAGGTGCGGTGAAATGCTAACATATTCGTCTTACAATTAGCTAAAGCATTGGAACTGTTTATGATATCTTTGGTCACAAAAGCTGCCCAAGAAGCGAAAGACCGCAACTCAAAACGCGTCACGGCTAGCCACCTCAAACAGGCCGTTGCCAAGGACGAGGTCTTGGATTTCTTAGCCGATATCATCGCCAAGGTTCCCGACCAACCAGCCGGTCGCAAGCACGAAGATGATGGAAGTGATCAAAATGACGGACGTCGGAAGCGTGGCGGACGCAAGCCCAAGGAGGAGAGTGACTGATAACTTCACGGAGAAAAGTCCAAATGATTCATGACGTCCTAGAATGGGATATGGCAACTGGCGCATGTGATGATCGGTGTGATGCTTATTTTTTCTGTTTTTAATTGTTTGATTGAATACCGGCGGTACGGTTTTCCAAAGGCGTTGGGTGGCTTTGGATTCGATTTAGGAGCGCATTTCCTTGTCAATAATTACTTTCTGCAGGCATAGTCCTGCGTGTTCAGTCCTTGGACTGACACGATCTTCCTTCAAACTGTTTTCATGTTCCTCGTAGACGTGATTACATGTATGGGCGGTTCTTCATCATATCGATATACTTCAATTTCAAGAACCCAATAGATCTTAACAAGAGGATCCGGCTAATGCGTAGTATCCGCTTTTATTGCTCAGGGTCATGCCTAAAATGTATATGGGCGTCACCCCCAACTTGAAACGAATGCCTGTAAGCGCCATAGGAACTACATACATAATTCTGTAGAATCATTATGTAAATTTTGATGACGATCTTGAATTTATTGATATTCCGCCTTCCTATTTTAGTATAGCTTTAAGATACATATGGAGACCCCTCAATATCACTTCCAAGCTAACTATGGCTATGGTATATGCCACCTCGGGCTGAAATTGCCGTCTTCAAGTGGGGGTCATATCCTGCGTAGCAGGCTCATTTCGCACTGAAGTAACGGAGGGATTCCAGATACTTACCGATACTTCTAATGACTTACAGTATCTTTCATTGTTTGTGCCCCGCATGCTGTTGAATGTGTTCTATTGTTGAGTTAGAACTATGCGCGGTTCACTTTCTCGTCTCCCCTGCATGATGTTTGCAGTAAAGTCAAAATTGAAATAATTACGAACATTCTCAATGTTAGGACATTTCAGATAGCCGAACGAAGCTTAAATCTTGATTGTGGGAAAATCAATTTCATAGATGAGCCTGGATTGCCGCTTGCCTATTGCCAGGGGTTGAGACGCCTGATCTGGTGGTGTTGCGGAGTCGATCGCCCGCGATACACGTTTCCACCCGAGGCTCCACCTCGACCTTCAACCCCGTCCACTTCACTCCTCGCTTCAGCGCGTGGGATGATGCTGCATGAGAATGGACTTTGTAAGTGCCCTACTCACAAAAAGAAAGGGTCAATTTCTGTGTCATTAACGGTTTTTAGTGGTCACGTCTAATCGGCGGCTCGCGCGCGTTGTCAAAGAGCTCCCGAGCGACCTCGCCCACCGAGAGGCTGGCAGCCTTTAAACGCGCATGCAATGCTCTTCAGGTACTTATAATTTCATGGCGACTGTTGCCCTGAGCTAACGAACCATTCAATAGCAAATATGGCGTTCAAATAATACCCCCTCTGGCGAACAACCCATCGCCCACGCGCGTGCCTATATCGAACGATTGAACTCAATCCTAAGCGATGAATCCCGAGGACCAGCTCCTCACCCCTGTGTGGCCTATGCCGCATCCTCACAAATATTCGTAACCGTGACGAAATTGGCTCTATCCTACTACGATGATGCATTGTTGCGCTCCGCCACGTTATTCTTCAACACCCTGATCGACGCCGAGGTGGACGGCGTGGTGGACAATCGTCTCTTTGCTCGCGCAATGGTAGATCTAGTCAGGCGGGCAGATAAGGCCTCGGACGAGATTGAAGGGAGATTAGTGGAATTATTGTTTGGTATTGCAAACAATATCCGTCTGCAACCTACTATCCTTCCCGCGTGGTTTGTGCCTCGAGCTACACCAATGGGCCAGGATGGGGAGCCACCAGCGTCGAGTGGAACGGAATTCGCAGGCGCCATGCGGAAGGATGAATTTCCGCTGTTCTATCTTTTGGTCGACTACGTACATAACGATGGTCGCGCAGGTGATTTCGCTCGGACGGGTCTCCTATATTTGATTGAGACGGCATCACGGTCAAAGAACTTAGAGAAATGGTTGATTGAAAGTGATTTGGCGACATTGATGGCTACCGGACTGGGTGCACTATACAGTCAACTGGGCAGGTGAGTAACCGCATTGGCATCTAAAGAGCCCAAATAGGCTAACACAATGCAGTCTGTGTTTCCCTTCGATTGATGAGGATGCACCTCATATTATCGCCCTCTCCGATCATGCCAACGAAGTCACAGCTCTCAAACCCGCGCTTAGCGAGGCTATGGATGCCTTCATGTCATACTTGCTGTTTTGGCAAGACACCATTGACCATTGCAAATCTGCGGAAGTTAACTACACCCTCCTGGATCATTTTCAGGTTCTCTTTCTTGAGCAACTTTTGTAAGACTACCAACCGATTCAATTTCCTTTTTCAAAAAGCTGATTAGTACAGATACCCTTCTTTATTAGAATCTTCCGATGTAGCTGGTGGCTCAACTGCGGCCGTGATGACATACCTTTGTCGCATCCTGGATTCCATTGATCAAGGTGAATTAGTTCACCGGATTTTGCATTTCTTACTGGCATCATCTCCTCCCCCAGAAGAGAAAATAGATATGTCGGCCAGTCGACGAAGATCTCTCAACGTACTAGCTGCGTTGGCCTCCGAGGCGGCCCAACCATCTCCTTCCCTCTTCAATCTGCGTGACCTTGCGCTCCTTGGCCTCCAATCATCCAATCGCCAAACCGTATTGGCTACCTTACGTCTTCTGAATGTCGTTCTTCAACGCCACCATCCTTTTGCCCGAGCACTGATTCACACGGTTCCTAGCAAGCCAGCTCAGCAGCGGACTGTTGGTGCATTCAATGCAGAGCTCGAACAACTCCTCAGCCTAGGTACATCTCTTGTTGATGAGCCTACGCTAAATGAATCGTATGATAACTACGTTTCGGATGCGACATGGGTGCTAGAGTCGCGCCTTTGTCTCCCCGTGTCTGCTGAACAAGCTGAAGATTCGGTTCCCGTGCCGCTACAACTTCAACAGGACGACCCTATCGTTCAAGGTCTGTTGACATGTGTTGATTCATTCTTCAGCAACAGTGTTATCGTCAATCTAGCGCTTACTGGAGTTCTTATGAGCCTGGCATCATCCCATCTATTCTCCCTAGACGGATGGGTGTTGGTTGACCCAGCCCACTACGATTTCCCTGAAGAGGAACCTTCTGATGAATTTGACCGCATCCGCCAGTCTTACTTGGTGCCTACATGGCCCAAAACAGCTGCGCCGACATTGACATCGGCACTTAAGAAATTGGTAGAACAAGTACACCAGTGGCAGCAAAATCTTCCAGATTTTGATGTCCTGGTAGCTGCTCGCCGTGACTTACTTCACCGAGATGAGCGTCCACAAACGCCGGGTCGATCCTCGGTAGTCTCTGAGGCCCCTGGTCCGGCGTCCGTAGACCGCTCACGTCCTTCATACCCCGGATCACCAGAACCTTCCATTCCCAACTCACGTGGCCAATCTCCCCAGCCTATCAACCCATCGGGATCGATACCTGGTGTTATGCGGGGTGAACCCTCTGTGCGCCCGATAGAATCTCGGGGGTCATCGATCTCCCGTGCTCCGGCGGCCGAGGCCTTACGGCAGCGGCTGGCCATGCCATTCCCCCCGGCTCCCGGACCACCCGCTACGGACGCCGTGGAGACTGATGCTGAAAATAGTGCCGATCATGGACCAGGATCAACTGTCACTCTCGGGCATGTTTTGACCAACGTAGTAATTCTATATGAATTTCTCCTGGAACTGTCTGCTGTAGTGCAGGCCCGAGGAAGCCTATTTGAAGAGGCGGGATATGTCTAATGTACATGTATAATCGATCCAAGTGATAGCTGATACTTATACATATAAAACAATGATACTGAATATATATTCCATTACTTCCAAGGCTATGAATAATCTCTTCAAATGGGTTGAATCTGTGTTTGTGTATGTTTATCACATCATCTAGTGACTTGACTGATAGTGACCCTCCTTGCGCTATAAATAGTGGGGCCGACCCAGGCCAAGAGAGCGTGACCGTACCGCTTGCGACGATTGGACACTTTTTGTCCGCGTGTTACACATGAATAAGCCCCCCGAAGCTGAGATCGGAGGAGCCATGTGTTCTCTTTCCCTTTTATCCTTCGATTGTCCATATTCTTTATAAATATATATACTTCGGAATGCCCGCCCAACATGTCTCCGAAACATGAATTGGATCGCGAGGATCGCGAAGACGCTCCCTTCCTCGCCCCCGAATCTCCGCAATCACCACCCGCCCCTGGCCGTGTGCACCATGACGAACCGAAGTCCCACCAGCAAACGGATAACAATGATGCGGCAAAAAAGGTCGGATTCCGACTGAAGGTCACACTGTTTACCCTCATTCTTGCGGTCGAGATCGGGTTTGCATTCATTGAAGGCCCCATGGTCCGGATCTTCGAGTCTATCGCATGTCGACAATGGTATCTCACAGCCGATCCGAGTCAAATCGGGGCCAATGGCCAGGTTCCAGAGGAGATGTGTAAGGGAGCAGAGGTACAAGCAGAATTGGCTGCAGTTAAGGGCTATCATATGTTCTTTGATGGGTTGCTATGTATGATTGACTTGATAATATAAACTACGCTGGCTTTCTCTGACCACATTGCAGGTGCCCTTCTAGCCATCCCATATGGTCTGCTGGCAGACCGACAAGGTCGCAAGTCGACTTTAGTTCTCGGTCTCCCCGGCTTTTTGCTCAATGCAATGATCACCTTTGTCGTGATGTGGTTCTCCGATACCATCCCCCTACGCGCAGTCTGGCTGTCCTCCCTGGCTTGGTTGCTTGGCGGCGGCCCGGTCGTTGCATTTGCCATTATTTGGACTATGATGGCCGATGTAACGACAGAAGAAGAAAGGTATTTATCACTTGTGATTCAGCACTATATACAATTTGGGTTCCCGAACTAATAAATAATTTGCCATTCAGAGCAACGCTTTTCTTCCAATTCGCTATCGTATCCATGGGAGTTGATTTCATTTCAAGTGCTTTTAGCTCTTATCTGATGACATTGAACCCATGGATTCCTATATTCATTGGATATGGAATCGTCTTCCTCGGGTTGATGCTGATTCTGGTGCTTCCCGAGACTAAGCACGTGAGGCTATCATCGAGTAAACCTGAACCATCGAGTGTTGAGCTATCAGACTTCGTGGATGAAGACCCTGAACATAATCCTCAAAAGATGGGACGCAGGTCATACCATGACGAGAGCGACGTGGAAATGGGCTCCGATCATGAGGCGCACATGACCTTCAGTTATCCTGCCCCGGACACATCACTTTGGGGCAAGATACGCGCCCACTACCAATTTTATGTCCAGCCATATCTGTTTATATTAAACAGAAAGCCCGTTTTGCTGCTCTTGACCGCATTCCTGGTCTACCGTCTCAGTCGTGGCTCTTCATGGTTCCTAACTCAATATGTCTCGACGCGGTACCATTGGACACTAGCACAGTCTAACCTTCTTGTATCATTCCGGCCTACAGTATCTATTCCGGTGTTTCTGTTTGGCCTTCCCTGGCTCAAGAAGCATTACCTGGACCAGAGACGCTCTTCCACGGAGAGAGACCTTTGGCTCGCTCGAGGAAGCGTCCTCTGCTTGACTATCGGTACATTAGGAATTGGACTCTCGCCCAACGTCGGGAGTCTCATTGTTAGTCTGATTGTTCAGACTTCTGGCTCGGGGTTTGTCTTCCTGACTCGGTCTATCATCACTACACTCGTGGAGAGAGACGAGACCGCACGTTTGTATACGGTGATTGAAATTCTTCAATCTGTGGGTAACGTGGTAGCCAGTCTATCGATCACAGGAGTATTCCAAATTGGTCTTCGCATGGGTGGTTTCTGGGTCGGACTGGCTTGGATTATGACTAGCACTTTGTTTTGCATGGTTGCCGCTGCCATTTGGTGGTTTCGACTACCTTCCGCACCGCACGTCCCGGATTTCGTGGTTGGTGAATTCAATGATGGCGAGGATTGAGCATTCTGCATCTAGATCTTGTAAAGTATAACGCCTTCCGCCATTGCACGGTGTTCCAGGAGTGAATATTTTTAGCCGTTTCATCGCATATATAACATTCATTACATTGCATAATTTGAGTCACGAGTGTTTTGGAAACCTATCATGTAAGACTTCTAATTGGAATCTTAGAGAGCTGTGTAGATTATTTTCGAAACGGCGATGCAGATAAGCGATCTACATGTACTATACGTTATCTTTGATTTGGCCCACGGTTCTTTAGCCTCGTAGTCACGTGGCTCTCACATGTAAAGCTCCCCCAACTTTTTGGGAAGGTGCGACTCACCCATTCTCGAGTCGTCCATCTCCACACGGCAAGAGCGATGGAGAAGTTCTCCCAGTTCCGGGATCGAGGTATGTTCATCACGGACTTCTCTGCATTCTTTCCCCAGGGATCTTTACCTCACTATTGCCACGATAACTTACATCTTCTCAGGCTCGGGCATCGCACCCTTCCTACCAATCCCCACCGAATCCCTCGGCATACAGGCCCCTCTTAGAATATTCCTTTTCTGTTTTCGCCTACCGCTGTTCATTTTCGTGACATTCGCATACTTTGTCATCCTCCAATGGCTTCCCATTGGATCGCTAGGGAAGAAAGCCGCCTTATGGTGTATACTAGGTGTCCCGAGTATTTGGTGGATTGATCTACAAGTAGACGGAGTTAAGAAAGGGTATGTTACGTATTCCATTAGATCAACGAAGCCTGAAACTAAAAATTCCCCTCTAGCTCGCTATCAAAGCACCAGAATGCTCGCCTTCCCCAACCCGGATCCGTGATTGCCTCGTCATTCACCTCACCCATTGACGCTGTGTATCTGGCCGCTATCTTCGACCCTGTCTTCACAGCATCATACCCAAACACCCGTCAAGTCGAGCGCATCTCTCTCCTTCAAGCCGTTTTTCGCGCCTTCTCAGCCCCCTCAACCCAGCCGGAACCGGGTACGAAACTGGTCGACGTCGATGCTTTGGTGGAGAAGTACCCTAATCGCCCCATCGTTATCTTTCCCGAGTGCACCACAACCAACGGCCGAGGTATTCTTCCGCTAAGCCATGCATTGCTCGGTGTGCCGTCAAAGACAAAGGTGTTCCCTGTCAGTTTGAGGTACACCCCAGTTGATGTGGTGACCCCACTTCCTGGCAGCTATATTAGCTTTCTTTGGACTCTGCTCAGCAAGCCTACGCACGGTATCCGAGTCCGAATCGCTGAATGTGTTCTGAACACTCGAAGTGCGGTCGATGCGCCACCTGCGCGATCAACTCGCCAGTCCACATATAACTCCAATTATTTGGATACGTTGGAGCAGGATGCAGCTGACGGTGGCGTGACAGCGGGCGAGAGGGCATTCCTTGAGAACGTCGGGGAGTCTCTTGCTCGCTTGGGCCGTGTGAAACGGGTTGGACTTGGAGTGAAAGAGAAGCAAGAGTTTGTTCGAGTGTGGAGTAAGACGCGCAGTACGTGGTGATTTATTTACACTGTGGTGGGTGCATGGCTATAGATCGAAGAAACGGAATTTATGATCAGACGACCACTGTCATTACTGCATGCGTGAAGAACTCATGTGTTAAAGTGATTATATTCAACCTTAGAAATGCACCTCAAAGTCTTTGCTAAGCTAAAGTAAATTAAGGTTTGAGCGTACATGTAGCGTCGGCGGACCATCCATTCCCCAACGTCACCATGCATGGCTCCCGGGGAATAGTGCTCCCTAGCTGCTTCTTGTGAATACAACCAACAAAACTAGAACTCCGAAAACCGGGTCTCTGAAAAGTACTAGTCGTACGACAAGGTAGTCAAAGGGTTTGCCCCATAACTAGACCTATACCAAAGACCCCTTAACCGCAGGAGAACCCATATCACAGTAAATATCAGAAAAAAAGTATAGAGGCGGTCATCGGCGTGGCTTTTCTCTTGCAGAATCGCGACCCAAAATGTCAATCCGCCTAGCGTATAGATCCATCATATGCATGAGAGGATCTCCAAAAACCACATTACGTAGATCCAAGTCGGTGATTCCGTATGCCCCGACGTTCTGCCGGGGTGGAAGAGGAGGAGCGCCGTCATTGGAATTTTTGACCGGATAGAATGCCTGCAGTCGATTACTAGACTCGGGCGTTTCATCCCGAAGAAGAACCATCCGACCTGCCGTAGACAGTATAGCCGCAGGAACAGGCCAAAGGGTATCTGACCTGGAATTTGTGTTTAAGTTGAATGCCAATACAGAGCCTGGTGGTGGTTTGGCATATAGATCCAATAAAGACAAGAAATATCCTTTCTCGGCGCGACAGACCGGATCTCCTTCATTCACAAAAGAGAAGAACATCGATCTAGAACTCGCACTCGCAGGGCGAAGGAGCGGTCGAAATGAAATCGGGGGTGCTCCAAAAGTAACGCAGTGTATGTGCTTGAAGCACCCTCGTAAATGTATCAATTCAGACTGAGCAGTAGCAGAGTTTGATAGTAGGTGTAGATATAGAAGGCTGGCTACTGCGCCTCCGGCAGAGTGGCCGGTGATAAGAAGTGAGTAGGACATGCGATTGGGGTCTTCTTCAAGGAGTGCACGCAATCGAGCAGCAACTGGAGCAACCATTTTACGGGCGACGGATAAAAATCCAGCATGGCAAAAATTGGAGGAGTCATCTAAAAAGCCGTTCGGTGATACAGGTGCCATATTCATGTTGACGGTCCAGTCCATGAAACTCTGGGTGCCTCGGATGGCGAAAACAATAGTGTTCATGTTGTCGACTGGCAAAGACTTTATCACCATCGCTTTTGTACCATTGCGCCAATCGGACTGGACGTATGAGCTCCGTTCCCGATTATTGGGCTTGTCGTAGACTCGACGTGAGTATTGGGCGGCAAGCTGAAGAAGTGGATATGTAGCAGGATAACTAGAAAGAGATTAGAAAGTTTCTTGCTTGTATTTATTCTTCACATTCCATAGAACTTACAATTTGATAGGTGTGAGGCTCATAGGCATCTGTGAGTTTGCATATAAATAAACCTTGGAGAAATAATCGGTTGAGCGCTCTGGTTTCTGTTTTCCACTTTGACTAGACGTTCGATCCTTATACTTTGATCGAAGTGGAAGAGCGCATGCAGCAACTGACAATATGGGATTGCGTCAGCGATTAAGCGCGAAGTATATCTGTGCTTCAAGACATACATACCAAGCTCATTTTCTCGTCCACAGAAAACACCTGAATCAATAGAGGTGATTACTTGATCCAAAAGTCTTGATGTCGGTTCATGTACGTTCGGTGCCCCTCCAACACATTGGAAAATTAATGTTTCCAAGTCTAAGACTGTAGCATGTGCCTTTTGGGTGGCATGGGATAGTAGATTCCCCACTGATGCGTTCAATCCGGAATACGATGTCCATGTCGCACGATTCAATGCCGATGGCCCTGTTTGCGAAATCTGAGTCTGCGGCGGTGGGATAGGCACAGGACGGGGAGGAAAGCGACCATGATTAGTTTGTGAAGTCGCACGGCTCTGTCCGTTTGGAAGTTGAGGCATCGAGCTCGCAACTGGGATACCCTGGGTAGAATATGCACCCGCGGGTATTTTGTAGTCCAGTTTGTGATTTTGAGTAGCATGCTCTGTTTTGCTTGGCGACTGCCCCGGCCAATGGTAAAAACGCCGTTGCTTAACTTGTTCTGGGGGCATGTTGAGAACGCAGCGAACAATTTGCTCCTGGAAGAAGGGGGGGGGGGGGGGAAGAGCCGATGAGAGAATAGACCCTCAGAGATTGGGAGGTTGGGAACCGCTTTTCAAGCTTCCACTAATGTGAAGAGGCGATACATATTGGCCAGTGATAGATACATTCGAATAGTATTCAAGCCAAAATCTCAGCTTGTCCTCGGCTAATGGCTCTGGTATGAAGCTCACTTCACATGTTATGAGGTAAGAAGACTGCACGAAAGTGATAGGCCACGGCGTCTGGTGCACAGCCTTCGTATTGGAGAGAGTTCGAAAGTTGTGTTTGCAAATCAGGTCGACGGGTGACCTGCAGACCAATACTTGTCTCGGGTAGGCGCCTATGAGAAAAGGTCAGTGCGTACTAGTTCATGCATCGATGGATGTAGGTTGAAAAAGAAAGTGGAGAAAGAATGGATAGAACACTCGAGGTACTTTAAGATAAAAAATATAGATGTACCACATGATTGATGAATATCGAAGGTTGGTTCCAAGGCTTACGATTTGGATTTTGAGGGATCCCCTGGGCAACTAACTACTAGTAGTTGGGGTGAGTGCTCATAGCATTTTAGCGTCCTCCTAATACTACCCGTGGGACATCGTCAGCATCCGAGAACCGCCCACTGTACTTCCAAGGTTAAACAGGCAGTTGCCCAGATGGGGTCCCCGCACTTTAGTACTAGTATATAAACCCGCGGGTATGGAGCATGATATCTACATACTATATGTAAAAGAAGGAAATCTGAAAGTCTTGCTAAAAAGTTATAGATAACTTGAAGTTACTACCTACCAAGGAAATGTTTGCAACTGTCACCACTATAGTAGCCCCTGAAGGTGTGTGTAAAACTCCGTTGTCACAGAGGTATAACCCCAGCAGAAGTATATCGTTCGAAGCAAAGCAAAAATTGTAGAGAGAAATGTAGTTAATTGGTTCTGGTTAAGTTTGCCTCAAGGTTTCGCAGGCAATGTATAAATGGGTATAACAGTTGGTCTAGCCACAGAAAAGATAATCATAAAGAAGAGAATAACAAAAAGAAGAAAAGTAAAGAGAAAGGAATCAAGACAGCCATGATTGATGGTGAACAAGTATCACGAAAGAAGATATCACGAAAGAAGATAAGTTAGTAATGAGGAAATAGTAGTGAAGATGTATGTGTGGGTGGGAAAAGGAACAAGACGAAAGACGAGATAGAAGAAGGGCAATAAACAAAAATTCAATGTACACGCGAGACCAGCTCTACGGCACTTCCTTGTCGCCTCGTTTCAAACCATCGGGGACATCAATGGCATCATGAACCCAGGGGATAGCGGCGATTTGATCAAGGGTTTTGCGGCGAGTGTTGCGCTTCAGAAGACCCTCCACGCAATCGCGGGCGCCACCCAAATCCCGTCCTTTCTCAGGGTCCCATTCCTCATCCTCATTAGCATAGCGGTACCAGCTCCATTCGACCCGTGCGATGCGGTGAGGTGTTCGAGCCCGAAGTTTGGCAGGATCGCCACGAGTACCGGGAAGAACATCAAAGGGAAGACGATTCTCCATAATAGCGTACAGTAGCACACCCAGAGCCCATGCGTCTGTCGCACGACCGTCGTAAGGTTGACCCATGAGGATTTCGGGGGCTGCATAGTCTTCACTGCCACACCGAGTCTGAAGCAATGGGCTTTCGGGGGGCTCTGGTATGCGTCTTGATAACCCGAGATCACTAAGGGTGACAACTGCTCGATCATAGGTACGCCAGTCTTTGACATCCTCCATGGCGTGAATTGGCATAGTCAACAAGACATCTGACAAACACTGTTAGTTAAAGATGGGTGGTTTGAGAGGGAAGCAAACCATACTTTCTAGCTTGATATCTCGATGCACTATGTAGTTTGCATGTAGATAGCGGACTGCGCTGAATAGCTCCGCAAAGATGCGTCGAATCAGACCGGGTGACGAAGGCCGGGTCCCTGAAGTAGCAAATTCAAAAAGGTCACCCCCAGGACAATAGTCTAGGACCAACAAAGCGCGTTTTTCATCACTGCCAAACGCTTTCAATTGAACAAGTGATGGATGGTTCAAGGACTTGAGGATTTCCACCTCACGCTTCAAAGACACTTCCAATCGCTCCTGGTCAGCACCACCAGCAGGGCCATGCTCAATTATCTTAACAGCCACGAGTTTCTGGGTAGCCATGGGAGCGATAGTATTGGCAGTACCATCTTCAGAGGGAGATAAAGGTGTCCGAATAGGTTGTTCAACACGTGCTGCCAAGCTCACTTGACTGAAAGTTCCTTGGCCCAAAACTCGTAACTTGCGATAGATACGAGCTTGCTGGGTGCGTATTGACCGAACGGAGTAGATCTCATCCGAACTGGAAAGCAGAGCAGGGTGTTGAATGACTGGTTCCGTATCACTGTCCCCATAGCCACTGCCACTGCTGCGGGGCGGACTCGGAGGGCGAACAGTAGGCAATGCAATGCCTCGATGGACAGCCAGATATTGTTCGCGATGTAGGCCCGTTGATTTTGAATCAGAGCTGGACGACGGAGCAATGGTAGGACCCGTCCCAGAAACAGCAATCGGCCGGGGAAGTGACATACGGCCTTGTGGCGCATAATCACTCAGGCTGCGATTGCGAACATGCTTAGTCGGCGAGTCGTGGCGTTTCCGATTGGCGATTGGGGACTCTTGTCCCAAATCATTAAGCCCAGTATATGACTTTCCGCGGGATCGATAAGCCGGGGGGCCCAGCATCTGCGAGGAATCACTCAGTCGCAAACTGGACCCACTCCGTGAAGCTGTCGAGGACGTGCGCGATAAGGACGGTAGTTCGCCTCGGCGCCAAGGTGAAGCCCCGCCGATTGGAGAAGGCAGCGGAGTGATATCCCCCATGGCATTGAGCTGCGGCGAGGAAATGAGAGAGGCGGGCGATAGAGATCCTGCGCTGGAGATTGGTGGGGCAATGAGGGCGCGTAAACTGGGAGTACGCCGGGGATAGCTGCCGGAGGATACACTGAGCGAGGCTAAAGAATCGGATTCACGATGCGAACTGGTGGGACGATGGCTAGACAGGTCGGTCCGAATCTGCAGAGAAGGAAGTGGCGATACAGGCACAGGCACTGGCATCGACGCGGAAGGCGCATGATCTGCGTGGCTGGCTTCAGCCAGATCTGGCTCGCCGCTCACATTGATTAGACTTCGAGTGTCATGGTTATTGATTGCAGCCACATCGCGGCCATCAGCAAATTTCAGAGCCAAACCAGACCTTTCGGTCGCCCCGGACTCAGTGGCCACCATTGATTAGCGGAGATGCGGGGAATGTTGTCGCAAACGGCCGCAATCGAGCGTAAAAAGATTGGACGCGTGTTTCAGCCTCCAATGCCGAAAATGTCTTAGCGGTATGGGAAGAAGACCCGTTGAGGGTCAACGGTCTAACGTCTTCTCCCGTATTAGGAAGACCAACATGCAAAAAAGCAGTAGTGGGTAAGTTAAATAAGAATTCCAGCAAAGGAAAATCAGGGAGGAGAGAAAGAAAAAAAACCACGAGGGAAAACAACCGAGATGAATCAATGACGATCGCGAGAAAAATCGGGGGCGAACCAGTCACGGTCAGCTGACGGGGACATTCAACACCCCGCATTCGGAACCAAATCATAACCAGTGTGTTTACTATCTTTTTTTCCGTACTATTATTAGATCTGCGGCATATCTAGCATAGCAAATAAGATCACCTCTTTCGGTTGAACTCGGTTTTTGGGGTTTGTTTTGTTGAGTGGCAAAGAGAACTAGAAATCTAGGCTTTGTTGTCGTGGCTGTGTTACTATAGTTTAATCACTAGATCAAACCAAAATGCCACGATGGTTGAATTATAAGTCTTACTCGATATCAAATCCTGTACCGAATTGCCTCAAGGGTTCTTAAGGGTATTCCCGGAGATGACGAACAGCGGATCTCCGGGCCAACCTCCCTCGGATTACTCCCATGAGCTACCCGGGACCATTTTTCTGCATGATGTTGGGGGGCTGGGGAAAAGCAAACAAGGAACTATGCACGTACACTGCATATCTATACCCTGCTGCTGATTGGAAATTGGTTGGTGCTGCCCCCGGGGGCTCCACTACGGACGCAGGGGCCAAGCGCCCAATGCACCTGGGCCGCTGAGCGCCATCGGGGAGAACATTCGGAGACAGAGCTCAAGCCATAATGCCCATAAGTTCGTTTATGCCTTCGATCTATGCTCATTGATAAATTCAACTATCTACAAGTTATTTAGCAGTATACTGGGATGTTGTGAGACTGAAGCTGCATTGGTCATTTATGGACTCCCGCGATCGAACACGGCGGTTTACTTTTCATGGCTGGAGATTAAGTACTGGGATACCTATTAAATTCACAATTGGAATAACAGTAATTTTTTCAAAAAAAAAACTGAAGAGCTAAAGGAAATGACCCGATTGGTCGTACATGGAGATCTGAGCTAAAAAACTTACACCTAGACACTGGCACACGACTTGAAACCTTCGAATTGTCCAATAAACATGATAGCATGTGATGTTTTCGACTTCTTTTAAAAGTTTAAGTACACATTGTCTTAATTATGGACACCTAGAAACGATTCTCCGGTAACATGAGTCTTCCTGCTACTTCAAAATATGCCCCTTCAGCCTCACAAATGTTTGTTCCTTGCACCCAATAACCCTTTCCATTGGGGGACTCTGCCGCTGCCGCTGCAAGAATCGCCCATGCAACATCCTCTGGAGAGCTTTTCAGGGTGTGCGGCTGAGTTGTTGCTTCAAGCCCTTCAACCATAGAGGTCAAGGTCAACCATGGTGCAATCCACGATAAACTGATTCCCGCCTTAGCAACCTCTTCAATTTGAGCCGTGCTGCGAACCAACCCCAATACTGCATGTTTGCTAGCAGCGTAGAGCGGTTGTGAGGGGATCGGCATATAAGAGCCCGCAGATGCAGTCACCACAATGCGACCTCCCCTAGTTTGCTTCATATGGTGTATGCCGAGTTTGAGCCCAAAAATAACCGAGTTCACATTGATATCCAGGAGCCGGGTCGATGGGCACTGGAGTGAAGATCCATCGCTTTTGCTAGGCTCATCTGCCAAGTAATTATAGCGGACTTGGCTATTCATTTCACTATGCCTTTCTGGGGCCATCGACTGTAAGAGCGCAACTTCGGGATTAACAGCTGCGTTACAAACGAGAAGCGCAATTGGACCCAGGGTCTCTGTTACTCGCTTAAACAGTGCTATTTGCTCATCCCAGTCACTCACATCACAAACATGGTACGTTGAGCTTTGGCCAATTTTCGTGCATGCTTGTTGCAGATCGGCTTCCTGCAAGTCGACCAGCACCACGCGAGCTCCATGTTGTGCAAGGAGGGAGGCTGTAGCGAAACCAATGCCTCGCGCTGCTCCAGTAACGATAGCAACCTGGCCACCCACCAGATTTTGGATGGTCCTTTCGTCGGGTCGAGGGGTAGATGCCATTGTGGTATAATTCAGATATGAGTATGAGTTTGAATATGGTAAACTTACTTTCGAGGGACTCGCGATTTATAAGGTCATGCGGGTCCACGCGGCCCCGGCAACTCCGTTTCCCGACTATTGTGATCGATTCCTGCAGCCGATGCTGCCGTGGTTTAGCCGATTCGATTGGTCTAATGAATACAGGGAAATGAACCACAGTTTCATAAATTTCCCTCCTGCCCCACTATTGATTCACACTACCAGGAAGAAAACGATGGCTTATCTTCTTTATTTACAAAATAGACAAAAGTATGATGCAATCAAAAACTGGTCATTGCCTTCTCCCTATTCGCAATCGCCCATTTCGTAACGCTTATGGAAGGTGCCATAGCTTCAAAGCCATGTGGAAGGCCTGGATACAAATGACACTCCACCGGGATATTCGCAGCTAAGAACCGACGTGCATATTGCATCCCTTCATGCACAAATATATCAAGTTGTGGACAATCCAGATACAACGGTGGTAGCCCGATCACAGATTCCACCCTAGCTGGCGCTGCATAAGGATCGACGTTATCAGTTCCAGCATCGGGGCCAAGATACGCGGTCCATCCTGTCTTATTGTCAATTTCATCCCAAAAAGCCAGCTGGCCAGCATGATTGGCATTAGTCCGATCGTCAATCATCGGATAAATGAGAATCTGTTTGGCAATGGGTGGTTGAAGGGCTTTATCGCGAGCCATCAATGTCAGCGCAGCACAGAGTCCACCACCGGCGCTCTCCCCCATAACAGCTATACGAGCTGGATCAATAGATAGTTGCTTCGAATTGGAGTAGAGCCATTGAAGCACAGCCCAACAGTCATTTAGCGGTGTTGGATAGGGGTGCTCGGGAGCCAATCGATAATCGACCGTAAAAACTTGAACTCCAGTGTTCGAAACAGATCGGACATGAGGCACTGAGCATTGTTCCGCGTTTAACGAAATATAGCCACCGCCGTGTATATGGAGGATAGCCGGCTCGCCATTTTCGCCAGGCTGATCCCGACGTCGGAAATGATGAACAGGGACTTGAAACCCATCATCACATGAAACATGATGGACTATCCTCTCCATATTATCAGGAATAGGCGGTAATGGGTTTGTCATAGATCCTGTCATCACACGTCTCGTATTCACATCATGTAGAGCGGGCTTACTGAACTGAGCCAGTTGCTGAAGCATGGGCGCTGCCTCATCGAGGAACTCCGGGTCATACTGCAAAGACATTTTGAATCGGGAAGATGATCGAATAAGGTATGATAGCGTACTGGTCCAACAATCTAGCATCCCAGCAAGAGCATCACTTTTTCGGACATTTCCATGTCGCACATCACAGCCATTTTAAGCACTCAACCCACACCGGCTGGCATGTTTCCGAGCCGGACTCTAGAGAGTTCTCTCGAAATTTTCCAATCATTCCAGCTTGTTTCTGCTTGGACTTTGCCATTTGGATTCGGAGTTTGTTCAGGGTCACCCAACGTGGACGGAGTTGAGACTTCCGGATCCGAGGCGGCGGTTAGATCCACTACTATATCCACATTGAATGTGGAGACGGGAGCCTTAAGGAAGCTAAGAGCGAGCTCCACAAACCCTATGTAATCATGCTAGGTCAGCGCTTGTAGCTTAAAGTGGATATTAGCATTTATGTCGTATTAATGTTTTATTGTTGTTCCTAGCACCATGCAAGTCACATCTCACCGGCAAGTTTGGTTTGGTGTGGATCCCGGGACTTTATACTCGCTTCCGAGGTCGGATACATAACCTCCATACCACCAAAGTCGCTCTGCATTTCCTAATGCAGAATTGTTACGCCCATAGTTGTGAATTCTCCAGGAAGCCAGAGCACATATCTAACGGATATCCAACCAAAACAGTCACATATTGCGCCACCGACCGGAAGCTACCAAATATCAATTACAACGGTAGACAAGTACACTATCCGAAATGTATTCTCAGCTGCCTAGTTTCGACGATCTACCGCCTGTTGATGGTATGCCTCAAGGCTGTGCGTGGGGTATTTTTGACAAGGATGGGGAAAAAGATGTTTTTGGGACACTTAATCTTCTAACACCTGATCTTGTTAAGGCTGCGGCCGCAGAGGTGCAGCATGGAATTTCGATTTCACTGAAGTGAGCAGAGACTAGTCTATACTGATTGACCAATTTAATTTTGCTAATTAGTCTATTCCAACTTGAAGTTGGCCTCTAGGTAGCGTCAAGGTTCCTGGGCATTTCCGGAAGGGCCTTACGCATAAAGTATTCAAACTTGAAGATAAACAGACTGATTTACATTATGGATTTGATGATGAGGTAAGTTAATAGCTGCCCTGAGCCATATGTGCATAGCTCATTTTCACTAGGTAGAATTCAATACCCAGGCCAGCAGTCAATGGGATAGCCTTTGTATGTTTTGTTGTATGCATGAGCCTTGCCGGAACTGACGTATCTTTAGGCCACTTTCTGCACATACCAACTGGACAAGCATATAATGGCGTGAAACCGACATGCGAAGAAATGCAGGGGACCTATCTTCAAAAACAATATATTCCCACGCTGGACCGTTAGTATTCCTCCATACTTTACCTGTCAACAAAGAAGATACTAAATAGCTCAGACTGGCACGACCGTGGCTGTGTTGTAGCACGAGGTGTGCTGATCGACTTCAAATCCTACGCTGAGGCCAAAGGAATTGAATATTCCGTTTTCTCGGGGTTTAGAATTGGAATATCTGATATTGAGGCCGTTGCATCGTTTCAAGGGGTCTCCTTCCGACCTGGAGATATCCTAATAATTCGATTTGGCGTAACAGAAGCGCTTGGAGCGATGAGCGGGGACGAACAAGCAGCTGCCATGGCAAACCACCACGCCTGTGGAATAGAAGGAAGCAAGGATATGGCTCGGTGGCTCTGGAATCAGCATTTTGCTGCAGTTGCCAGTGATAATGTGGCTGTGGAAGCTATGCCCCCTCTTGTTGACGGCGTGGAACAGCCACTGACCCACTTGATCTTGCATCAGTGGTGTCTAAGTCTTTTTGGTCTCCCGCTGGGTGAGCTTTGGTATCTTAAGAATCTCGCGGATCAGTGTAAACCTCTGGGAAAGTACACATTCCTTTTGACGTCTTCTCCACTAAATGTGCCAGGTGCAGTTGGTAGTCCACCCAATGCCCTGGCTCTACTGTGAAGCGAGACATTTTTTATGTGCGATCCTCGAAAGGGATAATATAGAAAACTGGCTTTCTAGGTAAATATGACTTATAGTTTTGACTATTTATTTTCATCATGACCAGCGCGAAGAGTGAAATTACACTGTATTTTTCGTGAGTGCGCCCTGACATGCTTTTCTCCAGTCAATCTCCCGGATGCCCCAGAATATCAAATGAGTTATTGCCGGACTCAAACACAACAATACACATATAGCGATTAAGATACCCAATAAAATTGACCTAATTACAGCCTGCACTCGTCGGAGATCAAAACAGGTACACAAAACTAACATGTTCGCGAGCGCCAGCCCAGCAACACTTCCGCCCACGATGATTACTTTGAATGGGGCTATTTTGGGGCTTCCGACAGCTAAGTGGATGTGTAGAATCCTTCCCAATCCTCCAAGGCATTCATGCAGCTCTTCCACCAGCTTTGCATGCCACCCAGGTAAACTAGGGGTTCTCGGCGCTTGCCAGGGATATTGGCGCCCATGTACCATGAGTCTGTCTTGGGGTAAAGAGTGTGATTGCTCACGGCAAAAACGTGTTCTCTCCACGCTTCAGCTGCACTCTGTGTAGGCTCAAGAGCGGTGATCCCTTCTAATTGCATCTTCGAGATTGCCTTGCAGATCCAATCAACCTCCATTTCGATAAAAGGCGGTCCATTTGCAAGCGATGTGGGAGCCTGAGGGCCATATACCATGAAAAGATTAGGAGCTTCGGGGACCATCAGGCCAAGATGTGTCAACACGCCACTTTTCCACTTCTCAGCTAATGGTATACCGCTCTTGTCAACAATAGATAGATCTGAAATGCTACCCGTGACGGCATCATAGCCAGTTGCAAAGATCAACACGTCAAGGTCGTGGTGTTGAGTCGTCTCGCCGTTTCCAGTAACCACACCTGTGGCATCAAAGTCAATAATTGGCGACGTCTTCAGATTGTGCAAAGCCACATTTGACCGGTCGACCATCTCGTAGTAGTCCTGTTCCAGACTGGGTCGTTTAGTTCCAACAAGCATGTGCTGCTTTAGCGGTGCGACAAGATCCATTTTCGCTGGGTCTGTCATTCGAGCACGGACGTGCTGCACCCAGTAGTCGTAGAAAATAGAATTGACCTTCTCATTCAAAAGGAAGTCGTAATAGTTTGAAACTAAAAAGCTATAACCACCACGCGCCCAAAGTTCGTCGAACAACACCTTTCTTTCCTCCGGGGTAGCCTGGAGTGCAGACTGGAAAAGTGTGTTGTGTGGGAATCCCGAAGCAGATCCATAGCATCGATCAAAGATACCATCATAGTAGCCTTTCATCATCTCGGCTTCCTCGGGAGGAATAGAACGTTGTTTCATCGGAATGGCAAAACAAGGCGTGCGAATGAAGATCTTCAATTCACAATCTTCCTTGGCAAGATTTTGCACAATTTGCAGACCCGAGGCACCATTTCCAACAATTCCAACACGCCTACCCTTGTAGTCCAGTTTCTCTGGATAATCGGCAGAGTGAACCAGTTTTCCAGAATATTTCTCGAGACCGTTGAAATGAGGATAGTGCTTTTTGTAGGATGAACCGGTGGCAGCGATGACATATCTGCAGTTTGCAGTAAGACCAGTATCCGTTGTGATATTCCAGCGACCGGTTGAAGATTCGTACTGCACACCTGTGACAATCGTGTGGAAGAAGGTATCTTTGCTCAAGCCAAGGACATAATCTACGTGTTTGAAGTAGCGCCTGAGCTCGTCGTCGCCTGGAAATCGCTCCGACCAGTTCCAGCCTTTATACACAGCTGGTATGTTAAATTGATAAGAAGGCATCTCAGTATCAACTCGGGCTCCTGGATAGCGATTCCAGTACCATACGCCACCGAAAGCGCCACCAGCTTCAATCAAATTCACAGACAAGCCAAGATTTCGAAGCTTGTACAGCGAGTTACAGCCGCCGAATCCGCCGCCAATGACGATGACATCGGTCTCGATATGAGTGTTGGTGCGTGTCATATCGAGTAGTTGATTTTTTTGAATAATATACAATCGAAAGAGAAGAGTTCGAAACACTTGATAGCTGAATCCATACCGAAGAATTTGGATGCAGGGTCTTTTAACATGATTACTCAAAACCTACCCTAAATTGTACCCACATTCTACAGCATCGGCAAATTTGAGCCACAAGAGTTCGGCACCATCACTTCCGATCCCGTTTAATTTGAATTATCAACATTGACACGCAACGTCGAGCGGGTATAGATCTAGCGACCCGAATAGGAAGCCCACAACGAGAAGGTTCCGTGTAGAAGACCCACTCCGGCACCACAGATTCTCCACAACCAGTCCCTGGCTATATCCTGACAGATGCACCTAATGCAGAAAGTCCTTCCAATCTCCGCCGAGGTGTGCCGGAACAGATACTCTCCGCATCCGAGAAATCAAAGAAATCACAATATGTTAAACATTGTCGATATGAGGCCTGATAAACAATTGAGAATTATTTTGAACGGCTTATTTTGACGACCTACTTGAGAATGGCATATCGGGTAAAGGGCACAGCCTTCATTACTGGAGGCGCTTCAGGTACGTGGCTTCTCGCTGTTTATATCATATTTTCTATACTGAACTTGTCAAGGCATTGGAAAGGCCGCTGCACTGACCTTGGCACAGAACGGTATAAACGCATTGGCCTTACTTGATTTGAATCTTTCTGTTCTCGAAAGTACTCGAGAAGAAATATTAAGCCATTATGCTCATGTTGAGGTGGAAATCCTTCAAGTGAACGTTGCGGATGAATTGTCCGTCGACGCTGCCGTGGACAAGGTCGCAACTAAGTTCGGCGGGATCGACATTGGCATCAACTCCGCTGGTATCAGTGGTACTCCTACCCCAACCCATTTGATGTCTTTGTCAGAATGGCAGAAGGTTGTTGATGTCAATCAAACGGGTGTGTGGCTTTGCCAAAGAGCACTTATCCGCCAAATGCTTAAACAAGAGTATGTTCCTCGTGGTTGGGCGTCATCAAGGATTAGCTGATTATGAATTACAGAGTCCATGGCATGAGAGAAGGTCGTGGAGTCATCGTGAATGTGTCCTCCATGTTTGGAGTCGGCGGTCCTCCAGGCCCTTTTAGTATCCCGCATTATACAGCGGCGAAGCATGGTGCGTGACAAACTTTCTGAGTTCCACTATTGGAAGAAGGCTAACAATACCAGCTGTCGTCGGCGTAACGAAAATGGTAACTGGCAATGCTCTGTCAATATAGACTTTTATTTACTGACTGTTGCATAGGATGCGAAGGCTTACGCCCGTGAAGGAATTCGGATCAATGCAATCTGTCCTGGCTTTGTTGACACCCCAATCATTGGCGAACAGATTAAGTCTGGGTCAATGAACTCGCAATTTGAGATGACTCCCATCGGACGCCCAGCTCACGTTGACGAGATTTCCGACGCTCTACTTTTTCTCTCCTCTTCTATGAGCAGCTATATGTGCGGGGCTGCGCTTGTGGTTGATGGAGGGTATACTGTCTAGTATTTGGATCTATATCGATCACTTGACAGTCAGGGTTAACCAGCTTGAGAAACTATGATCAGAGGTAGCGTATGAATACATGAGAATAGTAGTTTTGTTATGTTGGTATATATACAATAGTTGTTATCAAACAAGCATGATGTCAAAGTCCGCCTCCTTGGCGATTTCCTGCCATGGTATGTCAATTCCAAGCCCGGCATTCTCTCGTCGATGCCAAAGTGCCTTGACAATTTCGCATAGAACGTTGATGTTCTGGATTCCGTGCCGGCTTTTCCGGTCGAAGCTAGCCATCATCCTCGCCTGTAAATTTGGTCGCTGGCACTCCGCAGCCACAACAAAAGTGGACCAATTATAAGCGCTGCCACCTTTTTGATCGCGAGTTAAAGTATCGACTGCCTCAAGCTCTTGGATTGCTTTTTCAACCAACTCCTGGACGTCGCATAGTGGAGCACGGCGTAAAGTCCGACGGAAGAAAATGATAGACGCATAGTAAAACGAGTTAAGAGCATGCTGGATAATATTAGATCCCGGCGCATCTGGCGTAGATAAACAAGGAAAGTTGAGATAAAGCTGCAGCTCAAGACTATCCAGTTCTTCTGTCGACACATCGGTATTCGAATCCACTATTGCTGTGATCTGCACCAGAAATTGAACCAATGGTGTCGTGATACCATGAGAACGTTCCAGATAATGTCGTAGTTCGGATCGTCCGCCAAGAAGCGACATTAACTCTGGGGACATCGGCAAGCTGCAAAGTGATGACAGAGAAAGATAGCTCTGAAGCAATCGAGATGCTGTAGGGCCCCGTATCCAACCACCATGTATTTCATTTTCCAAAAGACCAAGTCCGCCAGCCACATGAGCTCTCCATCGAGTTCGCCTCCCAGACATTGCCTCCGCCGTGATACATGACAGAACGGCAGCGAGAGCTGGTTCATCTAGGCGCTTTGCTCGCTGTAAATTTTCTCTTAAATGGCGCAAAGCAAGTTGATCGTGGTGCATAGCTATGGACTGGTATCGAGGATCGCGACGGAGATGGTAGAGGCTGAAGGCTGACGACGCACAGATCGCGTGGAATATCGATAAATGTATATTAGATTCTGTCGCAGGGGTTTCAAGGCCTTTCAAAGCTAATGGCATAAATATCGTACGACAGGGATTATCGGGTGTGTCGATCAAAAGCATATTGCCACTCAGAAATACGACCCAATGATGCACCAGTTCAGTCTCTGGTCTTGGGAGCTGTAATGGGCCAATTGATGCGATGGGCGGGAGAATAGTTGGTATAGACTTCGAGGAGTTATTTGGTAGGTTTGTGAGTTGGGCACGGTCCAAATTTCCGTGCCTAGTACAACCTGGTTTGTGAGTGATGCCATGCTCGGCCTGTAGGATGCCCCCAGATAGGGCTGATGAGGTAGATTTCTCGATATCCCTTATCAAAGAAGTATGTGCGATGGAAGGTAAACTTCCAATGCCAATGTGTGAGGAATTTTCACTCTCATCCACAGAGCTCGACGTCGATGGGGCAAGATCAAGTGGCTCTGAGAATAATTGCTCCAATGGCCCCTCCCCATCATCTGCGAACGGAGAAGAAATCACTCTAGAGTCAATAGTGTGCAAAGGTGTTGGATCTTCGGATGCAGGACTAGATGCGGAGAACACCGAGAAAGGGCCGCGTTGCTGGGCACTGCCGTCGCCGGAGCATCCATCCAGCTCCGCTAGAAGAGATGTCACGGCGGCTGAAGACAAGTCGTGAGTGGATTGCGGGATGGAGGACCACAATTGGCGGCGATGGGACCGAATCCCTGGTGTTTGGGACCATCCCAGGCGCACGCCATACCCCTGACACTGCCAACCACTGCGCCTACAACGACGGCAGTGGGGCTTTTCATCGTCGCACTTGACTCTGCGGGCCCTACAGGTCCAACAACCCGTAAATGTCTTCGTACGGGATTTTGCAGGCTTCACCACTGTTGATAATGATATTTCGGTCATTACCACAGATCGCGTCGGTGGGTAGTGCAAGATGTCGGAGGTTTTGGAGCGGAACGACCGAAATTATTCAAATTACTCAATAATATTTGCCCCCCGCATCGGCAACCGCCGGACCCTGATCTACAAAACGCTTAATATGTGATTTCAGTTTCTAAAAGTTAAGTGAAATGAATACGAGGCTAATGCAGGCTGGGTAGCAACAGATATGTAGCAGTACGTTAGCCCTGGAGTGATTATGTATTTCTGGGCCTGATCTACCTGCCGCCGTTACCACTAGTCAAAATAGAAACTAAATTCTATTCATAGACGAATCCCTGTTTTATACATAGAGTGGGTTAAAGGGGCTATGCCGACCTCCAACTTGAAGACATTTCCGATTCATATCGGGGTTTATAGTAGTAGTCGGTACTCACGACGATCCAGACCCGAAAACTGCTAAAGTTGAATAAATATCTAAATTTATCATGGTCCGAGTCAACCGGGAGGCCTGCTATATATTACTCCGGGTGGGTCCATAAAACATGCGAACGACGATGATAGATGCAGGTGCCCGAATATCTGCTCCCCGAATCCATATCTCAGCAATTCTGGAAGATCCACATGCGCTGTCATGGCCAGGGAATAGTTTTTCTTGCATCAGGCAACCCTGGAAAAAAAATATTTCCATCGTATCACCACCAGATAATATTTTCCTCGTTAGGTTTTGCAATTATGAATCACTCCATACTATATGAGAGTAGACTGAACCACCTGTACTGCAACATTTATGCCAGAAGCTTTGAACTATCATAACTCAATTAATTGTTCTTTTTCTTGGAAATATGTCGAGCTCATACTAGTCACAATTTACCATAGCTACTGATTTACACACCTACTTTCGGGGCAAGTGATCACCCTGGGTTTTCAGCCATGGCCCACTTACATGCTTACACCCTTGAATATACTAGTTTCTTGGAAGTTTGGCTGGAAAGAGAGCGGGTAAAGTTTATTTGACAACAGTACAGATGACGAGCCTAATCTGAATTATTTTTTTGCATGGAGGCACACCGCAAGGGTGACAGTGAATTCGCTACCTAGTAAAACAACCTCTGTAAAAGTTCAAATACTAAATGTGATACAGGTTGAGCTACGTACGGCATCCATGATTGATCAGTACCCTATATACTACTATTTCATCACTACAGAAGATAGCTCATACATCGGAGGTTGTATCGATATGATGATTTGCAAGTAATGATGAGAAGAATTTGAAGAATCAAAATTTCCAGGAGTTACATATACCTAGCTCAAGAAATTTGCCATTCGCGTATGAATAGATGGACCCGGATATGCTCAGCTCTCAAGTCGCCCCACAGCAGTGTTATAAATTTACCCATCTTGGTACTGCTCAAAAAAGCCCACTTCAAAAGAAGCAAGTGGACATATAGGATGTCATAGCCTTGGCTTGACAATAAGGAAAGTACTAGTGGCTTGACCCAGAACGGTAAGAAGATTGATTGAAAAGGATTGATTTGGACGCGTCATTGTAGATTATGAACTGGCCAGAAAGTGGATAAGCCAAGACCCTAGATATAAAGTGCAAAAGATGTAAATAGTAATAATGCATGATATGCCTTTCCAGATGACAGATCTACACCGGCTTTCCGTAACCGAGTGCTCTGAGCTTAAGACAGCGTCGTCAGCTTATGCACCTGAAAGGACCCATATGTCCAGATATAGTACCTGTATCGATGGGATGATGATTACCAGGGACCAAATGGCAGGCCCAGGCAGCGGATGATGGACCCTCAGCCCCATTTTTGGCGAAGGTGGATTTCACTAGACGATGAAGGGCATCGGCACTTCCAGAGAACGGTTCCTTACTGGGATTTAGATATAAGAGAGCTCTTGACCCATATATCACAAATATACCTAAGCAACCTCATTCAGCTTGAACCAACCTAAGAAGTCTCGTCCACTTCGTGCCACTCGTTCAACCCTAGAGAAACCGTCGAACCTCCAAACAATTCACCCAACATGTCCACCACAACGACTGGAACCACCAGCGCAGCCTCAGCCACCTCAAGCTGCCATGCCAAGCTATACGACATCCCTGTGCACGACGCCGCATGCGCAATGCCGATGAAGGGCAACTACTCGTCTATCATGAGTAGCTGCTGTGACAAGGCATCCGTCGTCGAATACGACGATTGTGACTATTACTGTCTCGCGGAGGGCCAATCCGTCGGTGTCCTTGCGGAGTGTCTGATCAAGGCTTCAGAACCTGGCGAGGTTTGGTGCAACACTAACGCCAACGCCACTGCCACCGCAACAGCTACTGCGACCGGTACTGGAGTTGTCACTCTGAGTGCCACCACAACCGGCACTTCTTCGACTGGCTCTGCTACTTCCAGCGGCGCTTCTTCGACCTCGACCTCGAATGCTGCCCCCGCAGTCATGGCCCCTCGTGCCTTGTCCAAGTCTACCATTGGCCTCGTTGGAATGTTGCTGGCTGGATCTGCCGCCGGACTTTTCCTGTAAAGATATCTTGGGGGTGGTGGATAAAGTGGAATATATGGATATGTTCAATGTTGGTGATGTAATCATTGATCATGATGCTGCGAATGCTGGTTTTGAGGCTCCCTCGAAATTAATATTCGAAGTACCTTTCATGTTTGTGTTGTTGACTGAACTAGTATAAAATTGGTTATTGCCTACCCTTTGTCATCTAAGTTCCAAATGCCGTTTTATACATCTTAGTGAAGATTCATTCAAATGCGTAGTAGTTTCTCTATTGTAAGTCCCTCGTGCATGAGAGATGTTTGACTAGACACAAACAGTATGCAAAGTCAACATGCTCCATATTATGCAGGAGACCTTTCTATGTACACGTACAAAAGCAGTAAAAAGTACAAACCCATTTGCACACCCCGTTCCCAACCCACGCAGAAATGCGAAACATGGATGCTTTGAGCGCCGGAGTGAAGAGAGTTCCGTAGAGGAAGATAAATAAAAAAACAAGTTAGAAGCCGTTGTAATACATTGCGGGTGGAAGGGCAAAAGGGAGAGGGCGGATATAATAATTGGGCCGCCAATGTTCGTGGAGGGGAGCCGATCAGGGTATTGGATTTCGGATCATCGGGGAAGCATGGGACAGGAATATGAGTTGCCGGGCGATTTTAGTTTTAAAAGAAGGCTTTCCGTGTTACCTGTTGGGTGTTAGCGGGTCTCATATCTTGTAAATTAAGAGAGGTGAACGTACGGCCCAAGTGCCAGCAATCGAGGCCACAATACCGCCGGAGATCATCATGGGCTTGACACCACGAGTACTTTTAAAGATCATTCCACTCAAGGCACCGGCCGCAATGCTGTTAGTTGCGTCATGCTTTCCTCGAGCGTACCCAATCGCAGAGTTGAAACCATTGTAAACCATTGCGACGACACCAGCGGAGTTTCCGAGGAAGGGTCCACGGCGGGTGACTGAGTTAAGAACACCGTTGAGGCGAATCTTCGGTGGAGCGGAAGATGGCGTCTTCGCAAGTCCTTCCGCCATTCCCCAAGCACCTCCGATGGTCAGAGCTGCGAGGTATGTGGTGCCAGCACCGTAGCAGAGGTCGTCGGACCAACCGCGAGATGGCAGGACTGAGCGGGAACCGGGGGTTGCATCAAGGGCAGAGTCTTCAAGAGAAAGGTAGTCAAGAGTATCTTGGTTCAAACCGGCCAGGGGATGGAGTCTGGAAGGGTCGGGAATGGCGACTTCGGAGAGGAAGGAAGTGGCATCTTGCGAAGCGGACGCGTCGAAGCTACCGGTCTGCTCCTGTTTGCGACCGCTGAAGGAATCCCAGATGGCCATGGCGAAAGGCGGAAAGGGGAATTGATAAGATTATTAAAATACAAGTCGAAGAACGAGAAGGCGATGTTCCCTTGAATCACGCAGCTCCACTGTTCTCGCGCCAGCAAAAACTTCGGTCCCGTGATTTTCGCCGGTCGGGCCCGGACTAATATCCATCCCGGTGCTAGACCTGATACGGAAACACACGATAACAGCCGATAAAAAAAAGTCTGGATGCCTGAGGCATACTCGCGGGGATATTTTTGAGTCTTGAAGAATTGGCGGTTCAACTTTGGTAATTGATACTGGACAGGAAAAGTGATGCGGAATTGATCTTCCCGGCTCTCCATAGACGGTGATTAATCCCGAGAGTCTCCGAGATCTAACTTAGACAGTATGGAGGCCATTGCGCAGAATGTACAAATTCTGCCCGAGAAGACCTTAAAAGACATCGCCAAGGGTCCATTGGTCAAATTTACATCAACATGCACTGATGAAGGGTAAGTTGTACCACATGATCCTATAATAATTCACTTGATTATACTAAGTGGTAAAAAGTTCAATCAATCGAGTTTGGCAGTCGCTGCTTGGGACACTTTCAACGCCAGCTCTTCCCCTCCAGCAAACATCGGCGGCATGCAATGCGACCTCTGCTTTCCTTGATGCGGCTGTAGAGTCGCCTATTGAGCATACCAGACAGCTTGCTTTATCTCCACAAGTATGGCTGGCCGTCTTCGATGCCTTTATCGCTAGGTATGGTGATGTTAAGCCAAAGCCATTGAAGCAACTTTTGAGCTCTATCATGGCTATTTTTGTCAATAAACACCACGGAGAAACCAAAGCTTTGATAAAGACAGCGGTTCTGAACGCTATTCTCCCGTGTACTATTCTTGGCGAGGCTCGGTCTCGGCAGAAGGGCTCGCTCGTGGTTCTCGAGATGTTCATTCGAAAGGAAGCCATCCCACCCTCTGAACTGATTGCAGTGACTCGAAACTGGCTTTTGACATGCCAGGACAAATGGGTTACCCTTTTTAAAAAGGATTACCAAGTTATGTATCCAGGAACATCTGATCCTGCTGTAATGGCTGCCGAGCCGTCGGACGAAGTAGCAGGCCGAGTATTTGTCCATGGTCTGTTAACCCAAACTATCGATCGTGGAATGTCCGGCACATCAGGAGGCATCCTTGCTTCTTTAGTTGAAAAACTCAAAGCAGAAAAGCCAGAGCAACCATTGTCATGGATTTGGGTATACCCTGCTAGAAATATACTTCTGCAAAATCTCGATACCGTGCATACTCTTGCGATTCAAATTGTTCAACCACTTTTCACTCTTGATCCAATTGGATTCACCTCTTTCGTTCAAACTCTTCCTTTGAACAGCCTCATGGCTGGTGATATGGTCGATGCAGCGCAGTCCGAATACATGCTGCTTTTCGTCTCTCTCCAAGTTGGAAAGCAGGCCAACCTGGTACACGATGACTGTAAGTGTTCAAAAATACCTCGCGTTCTTGTTCAAAGTAAAGTTCTAATGATTACAGATGATGGATCCAAGGAACCTAACCCTTACAGTCTGGTATTGAAAAGCGATCTTATTGGGAAATTTTTGTTGCATCGAGATCAGACCATTCGAGTGGCTGCCTTGGCTCTTTTAGTCACAGCGTTCTCCACTATGAAACCTTTCACAAAGGCCGCCACTGAAGCAATTCTTCAAGGTCTTCCATCTATTCATGCAGACTGCAATGCCCATAGCAGAGGAGAGATTATGGGTCTTACCAGAAAGTTTATCACCCGTCTTAAAAGTGGCATTCTGACTGATGGCGAAATTCTGAAGGTGTTGCAAGGAAAAGGTAGCGTCCGACCTTCCAGCCTATCTCAGAGCGAGTCTGAGACGAAAGAATTCCTCAGGTCCTATCTCAACTTCGTTCATGGAGACCTTTGTGTCACAGCATCATACCCTCGTCACATTGCTGCATTGAAATCTCTGAAACTACTTCTGGAATCTGGTCTTGACCCTCGGACTGATGTCAAGCCTCCAAAAGCTGAAGCCCAGGCAACCTGGAAGCTCAAGTTTGATATATTCAGTCCTCGTCTTCTTAGACTACTTGTCGATCTTCTCTTGGATCCATTTGAAGAGGTTCGACACACTTCTCTCCTATTGCTCAACCTCTTTCCCTCGGAAATACTCACTGGTGATACGGTAGCTGGCACGAACCAGCAGAACTCAACGAATATGAGCGTTCTGAATGCATTGGACAGAGCAGAGAGTATTGCCAGCAATACAAGCAGAGCGGATCATGCGGACACAGTCGCGCGCCTCTACCATATAGTGTTCTCTGCGGCTCAGTCTGGTCATTCTACTGCGGCTAATATGAACTGGTGGACAACCAAATACTCTGTTGTAAACATTATTCTTGATCGACTTGAAGAACGAGTGTCCTCATCAAAGGGTCTATTTGGCTCGACCATGCAGCAGGCGCCTCTTCATGGATATATGTCTGGATTAAGGTATGGCCCTGGCTTTTCCTTCTAACTCAAAGTTGGTTTATATGCTTACGTCTTCGAAAGATACATCGTTCTTTCTCCTAATTTCCATGCCTACATCTCAACAGAAATTGACGCAGCTGCCTGGAATAAGGTTCATGATAGAATATATGCCATTTGCGAGAAGGTTTGGCAAGAAGTGAAGCCTTTTCTTTGCATCGACTCACCAGAAGGCCACACCGATGATCCCATTGAAGATCTCACAGTCGGACCGAAAGACATGCTTTCTTATGCCTGGAGATCTTTACGAGAATCGAGGTACGATGACTCCTACCAGCTGGGACCAATTAATTACTAACAAGAGCAGTTTGCTGTTACATGCTACCATGGCCAACATCAGCTATGGGCCATCCGACAAGCAAGGTCTTCAACGTTCTGACTTCGAAAAGATCGGTCGACTCAGCTTCACTCAATTGGCGGAACTTCGTCATAGAGGTGCCTTTTCAACTGTATCCATGACTTTTGCAACCTGCTGCCAAAGATGCAGTACCTCCGCCGACCCGTCTATCAAAGAACTTCCAGTTGCTTGGTACCAGGATGCCAAGGCTACCATGTTTGAGTATGCAGCAAAACTCACTCGTAGATCAGCTGGTCTGCCTGCTCTGGTAACTGGTGTTCTATGCTCCTGTCCAGGGACACCGTTCTTCAAGCAAGTCATGAGTGAGCTTATTGAAATCTCTCACCTCCCAACAGACTACGATAAAGACCAGCAATACCTCAAACTTCCTCAAGTCCATATGATGAACTGCCTAAAGGACATTTTCGATAACAATAAGCTTGGGCCATATGCAGATTCGTTTATAATGCCGGCACTCACGCTTTCAGCGGAGAGATTGGGTTCACCAATGTAAGCCAAATATTTTTCTTCGAATTTGACCATATCCATTCTAACATAATTATAGCTGGAATCTTCGAAACTCGGGACTGATGCTTTTCCGTGCCTTGCTTCAACGAATATGCCGTTCTAGCGTAGGAGCAGGAGCCGGATTTGGTGGCATATCTGGAGCTGAACCAGGCGCGAAGATCTCCTTTTCCAAATATCCCGGTTTATTGGAATTGTTATCAAACCTTCTGGCACCGACTGCAGGCACGACGGTCGAGGGAACCGATATTGTGACTGAGCGCATTTTCCCAGCTCTTGAGCTGATTGGAGAGAAGATCCCAACATTTGATGATGATGAATACGATACCACACTCCTTGGTTTAGTTTTTGAGCACTTCAAGAGTCCAGTTTGGGCCATAAGAGAGCATGCGGCCAGGGTTTATGCGTCATTGTTAACTCGCAACAATATTCTCAAGGACGTATCCGATCTATTGAGCCCTCTCAAGCCCGGAACATCGGAAAATTATCTGCATGGAACGGCTCTGTGTGCTTTATACTCGCTTCGCCGCTTCGCTGACTCCACGGATGCGTTCTGGGCATCTAACATTCATGATACCCTTATCACTGTTCGTCAAATCCTATCAACGATTTTCTCTCTCGCTAGATCTCCCCTTGTTGCAACTGTACTTGTCGAGATTTTGAACGATACTTTGCTCAGGAGTATCAACGCGGGGATTAATGACCAGGCGTCTCTCTTCCTGTCCAATGTTTGGGATGAGAATGATATTCACGGAATAACAAGCTACGTATTTGACTCCTCGCGACCAGGGTGGAATCTCGAAAGCCGCACTAGAGCATCTTCGCTTCTCCGAAGAGACCTTGCCTGGTGCAAAGTCTTGACACTTCTTGCATCCGGTGAATGGAATGAAATCTCAACCTTCATTCATGGAGTGGCGAGCTTCGATGCTGATGCTGCCTATTGGATTCTTGAACAACTTGATGAAAGGCTTGGAGAGAAGGAGAAGTATCGGAAGCCTTTACTTGATCTCTACTCTGCTATCATCCTGGGAGATTATTCCGCCGACGTAAAAACAATTGCCGCATCAAACCTCTCATCTTCCGTTGGTCATTTGCTCTCATCTCGATACGAGTACATCGCAGAACTGGCGCTTCCTTGTCATGATTTAATCCAGATGTTCAAACCTGATCTCGATATCCAAACTTGGAATCGACAGGCCACTGACGCCGAGCTGCGTCTTCAAGGATGTTTACTTGGAGTCCAGTTTGCTTTGGTTGGAGGACAAGACTTGTTACCATTCAAGTCAACCCTCTATCGTTGGACTGTGAAATTGCGGTCGGCACTTAGCGAAGAGACTGTGAGTCTTCTCCTCTCGTTCACACCTTTTATTATACTCGAGCTAACAAATTTTCTAGGAGTTTACAACGCGATACTCTGCTGCAGTCTCCATCCAAAGCTTTTCTCGTGGTCTTCGTCCGACTGACAGCCCGCCACGAGTCGATCACTCGCTGCTAGATGCTTACTTGATTCTGTACGACATGCTGAACGATGATGACGACGAGATTCGCGATGTAGCTGCATCGACAGCGTCATGGATTTTATCATATTCATCTGTATCACCTCGAACGGCCGTTGCGCTTGGACCCTTGAATGCCAGCTCACTTCTTGCAACATTCATTGCCGACAATTATTCAGATTCTCCCCAGCTCGCTCGAAGAGCTATCAGATATCTTGCAGGACAGCAACCGCGTACCAGTGAACTGGACAAGCCCGGTCAGTTAGTTCCAGTAGCAGACTCGATAACTAATTACTGCCAAGAGAGCACTGTTTTGTTCGTGGAAGAAAAGCAGAATCTATTCGTGGATGAAGTGAGGGAAGCTGATATATGGTCCAAATCTCTCTTGCGTCTTCGTCCAAGTGCCTATCCAGAAACTGCGATGGGTAATTTCTTGAATTGGGTCTCAGAGGGTTTGGCCTATCTGGCAAATCTCGCTTCGCAAGACGCTGGCCGAGATGGACTTCTAGGATGGACTTCAAAGCCGGAATGTTTCACTTTGGGAGTCCGTATCATTAGTATCTCCTGCGCACTTGTAAGCCCGGGCTTCAAGGCACCACAATATATGGACCCTGTCGCGCTCCGAAAGCAACTTGAGTTATTGCTGAAAGTTGGCCAAGCAGCCTCAGTGCATGATGCGTGGCTCTCGAGAATTGAGTCTGGATTATCTTCGGATAGTTGAAATCTAAACCAGAACTTGATAAAAATTATTTACCTTAGACAATTACCAAAGTGTTGCTTTTTCTTTAATATCTTGCTGTGTTGTTCTGTTCGTTCCTGCCTTCAAGTTGTAGTGAGGTGACTGCTCTACTTTCACTTATTCACTTGTCTTCCCCATTTCACCACCAAACTTTCTTCCCACATTAAGCGACTCTTTTGAACTTGGATCTTCTTTCCCAACCCCTCGTCTTCCTTCAATTCTAAATACGCCTTTCTACTTTCCACCTTAATATGCGATCCTTTCCCAGAGACGCATCCACGTCTCCTAAGCGCTATTTTCTCTCCCACACAACAACAAAAGTGAACGACGGGGTTTCATTTTCGTTAATTCCAACATGCAGGGAAATATGATGATTGCTTTGATGATTGGTATCCTGTTGGTTGTGGCTCTTGTGGGATGGATTGGCTACTGCTGGTACCGACGTCGTGTCAATTTCGATGTGATGCTCAGTCGAGCCCACGCAAAGGTTAACGCCAACGTTGTTCGCGACAGGGAACGTGCTGGGCATCCGGGACGTGACATTGAACTAGGGCTTCCACTACAACTGCCCAAGTACACTCAGCGAGGTTGGACACGGGCCAATACAAGAGTGAGAAGTTGTGAGCGTTTTATTCACCAACCTACCTCCTTTCTTCTGAAAGAAAGCAAGCCGGGTCAACCAACACAACTGACCCAGATTATTCAAGGCAGATTAAGAAATCAACCTGATCATTATCAACGATCGACGAGAGATCTGCGGTCTGAGAAATACAGTCGACAGCGATCTAAGACGTCGAGATTGTCGCCTAGACAGGAGTTCCAGAGACAAAAGCAAGAACAGAAGGAAGATCACAGAGTCCATAATGGTGATCAGTACGAAATGGACAGGAGGAGAGAAGACGAGAGGGATCAACCAAGACAAAATCAACGAAATCCAGACAAACAATCTTCGCGTAATCAATCGCAACGAGTTCGGGAAAATGAAAATCACGAGAAGCAGGTTGCGCGTAAGGCCGAAGATGAACATCAACAAAATCAAGCCGGTAGTCACAGGGACTGGGGGAGAATGGCGATTCACCCGGCAGACAAAGTCACTTTGAGCAACAGAACAACAATAGCCACCAAAACGGAGGAAATGGCAAAAGTTCGCGCAGCAAAGGAAGCAACGCTGCACGCCGTAACAACCATGAGCAAGGAGACGAGCGACATGGTAATACAGCCAACGATGAGGACAACAAGCAATGGGGTGACAACAAGCAATGGGAGGAAGTCAGGCAATGGGGTGACAACAAGCAATGGGATGACAACAAGCAATGGGATGACAACAAGCAAAGGGATGACAACAAGCAATGGGATGACAACAAGCAATGGGATAATAACGACAATGGCAATGGCAATGGCAATGGCAATGATAGCACTCGAAACGATAATTCAGGTAATGCAAACCAGGTCTGGGAAACTGCCGTTTCGGTTTCGCAGAAGCATTGTCATAATCCATCTCCCCCGCGTGATGACCAAGATGGATACAGTAAGAACAGCGAAGGAGGAAGCTATCATCAAAACAACAATTATGAAAACAGGGACTTGTCTCGGCGCAACCGAAAAGACAATAATGGCCATGGGTCGAGGTACAATAATTCACAGTCTCGCTCTGCCAGGCCCCAGGTGTTCGAAGATGGTCACCAACACAGTGGAGGCTCTCGAAAAGCAGGAAACCAAGCCGGAACAAACCGTGACCCAGAGATTGCGGGCCCTGACTGGTAATGCAACGAAATATATCATCACTCCCTATCATCGCTACCCTATTCAACACCAATGTCTGTCTCAGTGCTCATTGCGAAATGTTGATATGTACTACAAGGTCAAGCAATCCTCTGTGCATTTTTACTGGGATATTGTCATAATCAAGCAAGGTCTTTGAAAATCATACATGTGTACTCCCCGTTGAGTCATGAAGTTGGCAAAGTCGAAGTCGAATTATTTAGCAATCAAAAAAGTTCCCGAACGTATACTTGGCCATTCAAATATAAAGCATCCAATTTGAAAGAGAGAAAAAGGAGGTATATACATAAGTAACCAAGCAATCTGAGAGATGTTCCATATAAGATGCCCAAGCATCTCTTGTTGGCATCCGAATTTTTTATCTTCTGATATCAAAGTTAATTACATACACAATGCTTTATCATGATGTCCAAACCTCTTAAAAGTTATCGATATTGCATAGATGGCTGTGGCTCACCGCCCGGAAGGCCGGTGACGTTGAGCCGCTCCCCGCAGATCCCCAGGCAAACAGCTTCCCAACCTCCAATCTCCCCTCCCAGGCTCGTGTGTTGCCTGATTCATCTGTATCTTATAGATTCAAAATGTGGAACGACGAGGATAATAACCCCTATGGGGCATTTGATCAGCATGAAGCACACCTTTCGGACTCTTTACATTCTGCCGCACTCTCACCTCGTAAGCTCCCACCTTGTGCCTCGGTTTCGCGGCATGGCTCTGACATTCGATAGCTGTTTACGAGCATGATTCAACTCCACCTTCCAGCCGTGATTCCAACCTCGACCCCCCAGACTACCTATCGCACCCGGAAGATCTTAGTGATCCCGAAGAAGCCGACTATGGCGCCGCAAGTCAACAATACCCACGTAAAAGTGCGTATGACAGTCGCATCGAACAGATCCTCTACGAGAACCCAGAAATGGCAATTTTGATCACAGACGCCGGCAAGAATCATGAGGGGGGCGGAAGCTACATTGTGTATACTATCAGGACTGGGGTATGGCTTCCCGCTTTGATAAACCACGGCCACTTGTTCACAGGCTGACTGTATAACATTAGGATCTTGAAGTTCGTCGGCGCTACTCGGAATTTGCGTCGCTAAGGAGAACACTCGTGAATCTTCATCCAACTCTTATCGTTCCGCCAATTCCCGAAAAGCATAGCATGGCCGACTATGCCGCTAAACCTACGAAGGCAAAGGAAGACACAGCAATTATTGAGTTGCGAAAGCGGATGCTAGCCGTTTTCTTGAATCGTTGTCGCCGCATGAAAGAAATCCGAGAAGATGGAGTGTGGTGGCGATTCCTAGACCCTAACGTTAGCTGGGTGAGTATTAGCAGTAAGATCCGCGGGATGATTTGCTGATTGAAGATATAGGGCGAGATCCTCCTGTCCCACCCTGCATCATCCGTGAAGGATAATAACCTCAAGGCACCCCCTCTCGATCCTGCAAACCCTACTCAAGCACATAGCTGGCTGCCGGCCCCACCACCATCCGCGAAACTCAAGACTACAGGTGGAACAATTGTAGCTTCCGGGTCCCCTACATCCCCAGGAGACAGCAATGCCGAAGGTCCTCCGCCTCAAGTTTCAAGTCCTGGAGTCCTGGGACGCTTCCCCCCAGAGTCGCGAAAATTGAGCGAACAAGAATTAGACCCCTACTTTGTGAACTTCGAGGCTTCCACTCGCGAGCTGGAGCTCCTCTTGCAAGGGAATATTGAGAAAGTCAACCGCCGAACCTTGGCGCATCTATCGTCATTATCTGCTGATCTAATGGAGCTTGGGGCCAGATATAATGGCTTTTCTTTATCTGAGCAGTCACCAACCGTTGCAGCCGCTATTGAACGCATTGGACAAGCAGCGGATACGTCTTACATAGAAACCGAGGAGCTTTCCTCTGCGTTGAGCGCTCACTTTGCGGAGCCCATGCGAGAAAGTGCCCAATTTGCGAGCGTGGTCCGTAGCGTACTGCGGTATCGAGTTCTAAAGCGAGTTCAAGAAGATATGACCCGAGATGAGCTGGCCAAGAAGAAGACTTTACTAGATTCACTTGAGCGCAGCGAGATGGAAGCCAAACGAATTGAACAATATCTCAACCGCAGCGATTCTCAATCCCGGAGCAGACCACAGCGCTCCTTATCAACTTCATCCGCAGTCAGCGCCGAGGGCGACACTATCCCGAGCGCATCAACCGAATCTGAATTCCCCCCTACACATGGTGACTCTATCAGTCCTTCACCTCCATCTCAGGCTGGATCCGCTTCACCAGCATCTCCTCCCGCGCACCGGAAAACCTCAAGTGGAAATTTCGTCGCAAACAAAATTTTTGGCCGTATCAGTCATGCTATTCACGGCTTTGCCGATGTGGATCCCGAACGAACTCGACGGGATCAAATAGGAAAAACTAAGGAGAGTCTCATTCAGGTATGTGGATCGGAGAAGAAGAAGGGTTGTGGATTCCTCATATAAAATTAATCTAATCACTGCCGCAGCTGGAGCAAGCATTGGTGGTTTCGGAGAAGGATGTCAAAGACGCTAGTTCGGGAGTTCTGCAAGATCTGCGACGCTTCCAGAAGGACAAGGAAGTGGATCTTCGGCGCTACATGGTATGCATCGCGCAGGCCCCGGTCTTCCCCACTCTCTGCAGCCAGCTAACCACGATTTTTGTGATGGGTTAGGTCGCTTATGCACGTTGCCACTTGGATTGGGCTCGTAAGAACCTCGAGACTTGGACAGAAGCTAAGGATGAGGTGGACAAGATCGTTGCTCGGTAAACCTGCAACAAACATCATCCCTTGTATGGCCGATCTACTTCCCCTGAGTCTTTACAGCCCCTCTCTTCTTATTTCTCGGCGTTGGCGGTGCGCGGCCACAGCAGTGTTCTCCTTTTCTTTTTTACTTCATGGTGGATAGTAGTTCCCTGATTGAATCCGCCTTTGCTTTACCTAGCGATGCTGCTCAAATTTGCCCAACGAGGAATTTATATTACAAATCAGAGGCTTCATGTTGTAGTTGTCCATTCTGCCTCGTCTCACTTGCTCGCTTCGCTTTTTTCCGTACAGAGTATAACTCCCACTGTAGACATTGTAGTATTTTCTGTCGGCAAAAATTGAAAACAATGGCCTTTGTCTTACCAGAATTCGTCAAGGACAACCCTGCAACCCTATGTGGACGACTAAGACGACTGCTACGACACTGTCTTAGAATTCGTTGATTGCAATCCTCCTCCTTCCACTATCTCCATAAGCAAAATCCGGCGTCTATCATGGTAGACGCCAACGCTTAAAACATCAAGACCGATGGGGCCCTAGAGACGGGATGTGGTAGGGGCAACATGCTGACATTCCTTGAGTGGAGCCGTAGGAACGACTCTGGCTGGTCCGCGATAACCTTTGAAGGTGGATGATCGACAGGAACCGCATCCGATCGGCGCCAAACCTCAGTCAGGCCAAGCGCCCCTCTTCTCTCCTCTACTCTCCCTTGCTTCATGTCAACCATTCAGCGGAGCCAAGAAAGGCGAGACCGTCTAAATGTCAATATTTTTCACCGTCATAGTCCTTGAAGAAGTCGTCAGCAATATGTATCACGCTATTAAACTATTGCAATGATCGGTATCCCATCTGAATATCAAACAATATTAATCCCAAACACGCCACGCAGTCTTCTGCATTCGTACATCAAGCTCCACCCAGGAATCTTGTTTTTTTTTTTCCCTTTTTTCCTTTTTCTTTTAGCTTCCGTTGAGCGTCTATTGGGTTTCTTTGCATTCCGTGCCTTGCAGACATACTCACCGGTGGAACCTGATATCGAGTGGACCGCGTTGCATCCCTCACGGCGAACCCCTCAGACAGGCAGCCCCGCATCACCAAGTCCACCCTGCCGAGGTGTCACGCCGTGCGTCGTGACTGAAAACGATGAGTGCCTGGATCCATAGTGGTCAAGATGATCGTCAGGAGAGAGCACTTATCACGGTTGGTAAAGCCACCTTCTGGCCAACATGTCAACGATTTTCGACAAAGGTGGTCTCTGTGGTCTCTAAAGTATCTTTCGATTCCTCAACGTTGGATCAAGATGCTTGTTCTCTTAGGATTATTATGCCTGTTCTCATTTGGTCTGAGTCTAGGCTTCAACCCGGTTGAGGTGCGGGATTTGGATCAAGATAGTGGCTTGCAGCAAGATGATGCAGTCACCCACTTCCCGCCGCCTCGGTGGACAGGTCAACATACTCATGATCCTACAATTCTGAGGGTTGGCAATGAGTTTTACTTGTACGATGTTGGCCAACATATCAACATTCACAGTGCACCTAGTTTGGCTGGTCCATGGAAGCAGATTGGAACTGTACTGGACGCCAATAGTGTTATCCCTAAAGGCGACCGGGCTGCTCCATGGGCGCCCACTGTGATTGAATTCAACGGTGTCTATTACTGCTACTACGCTGTGAGCAAAGCTGGATGTCGTGACAGTGCTATCGGTGTGGCAACGTCTGGTTCTCCGGGTCCGGGTAAATGGTATGACCATGGTGCAATCGTGCAGTCAGGAACAGGCAATGGATCTGACGTTTCACCCTACACTTCGTCCAATGCCATTGATCCCAGTACTCTGGTTCTTCCCAATGGCGAAGCATATCTCACCTTCGGTAGCTACTGGACTGGAATCTATCAAGTTCCTCTTGGCAAAGACTTGCTGTCGCCAATGAGCACCACAGAGCCAGATGCTCGTCACCTTGCCTACGAGCCGAATACAATCCATGCACCTAACAGAAATTCAAACTCACTTTGTGGCGACCCAACTGGCCCACACGCCATTGAAGGAGCTTTTATCTCCTACCGAGATGGATACTACTATTTGTGGTTCAGCCATGGAAACTGCTGCAATCTTGACCCGAAAAAGCTTCCAGACCCTGGAAAGGAGTATGTGCCCTTCAATATCACCATAATCCTCGTCATCCCAAAATACTAATATATTATACAGATATAGTATTCGGGTCGGACGCTCGCAGGACCCTCGCGGTCCATTTATCGACAAGGCCGGTAAAGATCTCGTCCAAGGTGGTGGTACCACTATATACGGCTCCAATGGCGAGACATATGCACCAGGTGGTCAGGGTGTTCTCCGCAACGGTGAAACGGATGTCCTCTACTACCACTACCGTAAGTCTACGATGCCTCCCGCCTCCCAACACGCACATTTCTAGAAGTTCCACGTACTAATCCTTGACACAGAAAACAAGACTATTGGATTGGCATTCTCCGTAAGTCCCGACCCTGGCAGGCTGGTGGATCGAGATACCCGCATCCACCTGCCGATCCTCCTACATTCCCCTTCTATTACCGCAAGCCCTCAGCCAATCTTGTTCAATATATAATCTGACATGTATTTCCATAGGATGCCCTCCTTGGTTTCAACCCATTGACATACGTCGACGGGTGGCCCGTCGCACAGCCATGATCGCATAACTTACGTCACTCACTTCAAATCTGATTCTCTTGCGCCCCACCTGCATATAGACCGCTACTAATACGACTATTCGCGATATCGACCTTAATCTCGCGTTTCCTTCCTTGCCGGTGTCATTTACACGATCGCCCGGAATGTGCATCATACCGCTCATTATATCGACTATATAATTCTCTGCTTGTCCATTACATGCTTCTGCGCCTTTATCAATCGCCTGAGATCGACTTATTTCGATCCGTTTACATATTCTGGGAAAGTTTGCTTTTAAAGCACGATACAAATATTGTTTGCATTCTTGGGTGTCTTTTCTACGGCGTTTAACGGATACTGTCTTTACTAGGTATTTTTGTGGGGGTTCTTTTTGATTTCAAACGGTTGTACATATGGTACTTCCACATATAAAATGGGCTCTTGTTCAGAAGAGAATCAATCAATCATTTCATTTCAATCTTGAGTCTTTCCACTAAGCTCAATGGGAAGTAGATACAAGCCTTTGGACCTCGGGTCCGACTCCAGTTGTATCTCAGATACACTCTCAAGTCTGCATGGGGTATTTATTCTCCGGGTGGCAGCCATATAGTATGGCCCAAATGCTCAGAAAGCCTTGGTTATTCATCCTGAGTGGCTATAATCTGTATCGCTGGGTAATATGAAAGAACTTGAACTTCACTATTCAAAAAGGGATGTATTGAGGCGATTAGGTAATGTGAAAACCTCCAAGTGCTTTCTATGAGGATGTATGCCAGTCAAAAGTATCTAATAAGAACGTAATGCTAATAATACAATGCTATAAACCGAACACCGTGCCCAAGGTTTCTGGCCCAGAACTGATAATAAGCATATATCAATTTCATTTCTGAAACGAAAACTCCAGCAAAACTCCCTCTCAAATTCAATTTACATACCCATGGTATTGAGGAGGTGGATCACGAGGAGGTTGACGGGCAGGACGACCACGACGACGGCGAACAGGAGTGGCGGGAGCAACAGGAAGAGCATCCTGAATCTCAGGTTCCTGGCTATCCTCCATCCCACTAACACTTGGCTCTCCATCATCAGAGCTACCAGCCTCCACACCAGGAAACAAGTCCAAAGACTGCTCGTATCTCTGCAACGCAGCGTTCTGCTCCGCAAACTCATCATACTCCCCCGGGCTCAAAGTATGGGCATTCGACACAATAACTCGCGGTGTGGTTCTCAGTGGCGGTCCCGGTCTCTGTCCCGTGGGATCGGAGGCAGGACGACGATAAGCGGTATCCTCAGCTACAAAGAAGGCTCCACGTTCAAATCCATCATATCCCCATCCATATCCATACTCCACGACAGAGAAACCAGATGGGGGTCGAGGCATTCCATCTGATTCCACTCGAGCACGGCCTTCGGGTACCGTATCTGGCCTTGGTGGGCGTGGAGTTCGACAACCTGTTGCTGGTAACAGACCCGCTGCAGGTACGCGAGGGAGAAAGGTATCTATGCGACGTTCACGTGCCTGAAGCGGGTATGGGTTTTGGTAAATGGACATATCTTCATCTGAGGTTGATGTGACGGCGGCTGGATCATCGAGTTCCTCAGCGCGAGAAGGACGTAGCATGGCTGCTACCTGTTTGAGTGGGATTGGTCTGTTCTGACGACGAGGCCGAGAGGCGAGGGGACTCTCATTTGTAATGGACATGTCATCTGAGGTGACAGCTTGCGACTCGAGGTCATCTGCGTATGTGTGTGCGAGACGGAGCAGCTCTGCGGCTTGTGCGATGGGTATAGGAACATTTTGGCGACGAGTTCGTGAAGTGATAGGGTTCGCGTTGGAGATGGACATGTCATCTGAAGTCACGGCGACTGAGTCAGAGTCGTTGTCGAATAATTCATCTCTGAGAGGACGATTCAACATGGGTAGAGGTGAGGGAATGTGATCTTCGTTCGATTCATCTGATCCATTTTGTGAAGACATGGTTCTTAATATGATATAGAAACAGAGCAAAGAATGTCATATAACGCTTGATAGCGTGGAAAGAGATTGTATAGGTATACGAATCTATAAGTGGGAGTTCGGAGTGAAGTCGAGTGCGCCTTCCCTTTTTTTTCTCTTGCACCCGCTCCGCTGTTGTGGTGTTCATCGTTCACTTTACTACGATCCCACACCTTTTTTGTAAACCCCATAATACAACGCCGACTTCGCCAAAAAAATTACAAAAACATGAGAGATGAAACATACAATGATTTAGAATGAACATGACGGAATTGCAAAGTGCATGGACATAAACCAAAATATGGAATGGATGTAGATAGAGTGATTGAACATAGGGAAACAAGATTAGACCTTGTCCTCTTCGCCAACTCGCAACTCAACAACAGGTAATTCATCATCAGAGGCATCATCAAGGAGAGCAGGAACATCCTCGAAGTTTGAGCCATCATTGTCAAGTTCCTGGAGGCGATCCCCAGGCTCCGAGTTGCCATCTTCCACGGCCACGTTACTATCATTATCTCCGAATAAATCTTCTCCATCATCATTCTGGTCATTATCGACGGTTGTATCGTTAGGTTGATTGAAAGACCATGAGGGCTCGCTGAAAATGCTCAGCGGGTTTTGTTCGGGCTCTTCCGAGGACTCACGCTCTGAAAAGTGGTTATGTGATTCCTCGACTTGGGGCTCGACCGGAGCTTCCGTTCCATTACGGGAGGCGTTAACGATTTTCTGAATTTCAGGGCCACCCAGAGGACCGGCACCCTGGCGACGATAGAACAGCAGGTAAGCGGCAGGTGTAGTGACGCGCTTCTCGGGGTTCTTGATGATGCCAGCATGTTGATCTAGATATTTCAATTAGTATATACGTTTCAAATGATCGGATGAGATAAACACACCATTAAAGTCACACCAGTCACCAGTCACCCAGTTCTTGGCATAGGCGTAGTAGTGACCACCACTCATAGTACCGGAGTGACAGTCAACACCGATAAGATCATACTTGAGCGGCTTGCCATCGCTAGGTCCGGTAATATGGTCTGACAGATCCAAATCTTCCAGAGGGAAACGAACAAGGGTGTCAAGCTTAGACCGGAATGTACGACCAATGGAACCACCCTGCATAAAACGCTTAAGATGGATAACGAGAATATCTGGTGCAGACCAAAGCTGGAACTTCTTGCTGGCTTGGCGGTGCTCCTTGCAACGAGGGCAGTACCAAGCATCGTTCTGAGAAAGGATTTCATCCTTGCTGAACTCGTTCAAACATTCATCAAGTGCAATGCCCTCTTCGCGCTTGGCGTCACGCTCAGCACGTCGTCTGATGATTTCAGGATCAGACACAAATTCAGGGTTACTGTAAGTAGGGGAGCCCTGTTCAGTGTCCCGCTTGTTGTTATTGCCACCGAATAATGCGTGGCGGCCTTTATCATTCCAGTCAATGAGAATGGCCTCGCCACGACGAATGAGGGGCTCGTCTTGCAATCCAGGCCCGAAGGTCTCGGATCGATCCGACAAACTGTGGGTTTCGCTGTTCTCATCGGCGGAGCTGTCATCATCGTTGTGAGATTGAAGTCGGGATGTGATCAGAGGTTGTTCCTTGATGGGGTCCATCATGCGACCACGGGGGATGCGCTCATGGCTAGTCATGTACTTGACATCAAACAATTCCAATAGATGCTGTGCGATAGAGGAAGCCAGAGGGTGAGCAGGTGGCTCATCCGTGTAATCGGTGTTATCAGTAGATGTGCTAGAGCTCTGGGAAGCATCATGCATTGAGACATCGACAATGCTGTCATCACCTTCGACAGATGAGGTTTTGATCTTAGAATCGACCGATCGGGCATCATCTTCATTCATGACTACTGTATCGGAATCTTCGGTCACTTGTTCGTCTTCAGCGGGTTGCTCATTCTTCTCGTTTAGAATATCACGAGTAGTCATAGTCGCGACATGCTTCAGAATTTTGCTATAGATAGCCTTCAAATCACGCGTCTCCTCACTGGTGAAAGAGAGAATAGTAGGATAGGCAAATGGATCACGCTTCGGACGGTTCTTATTGCCCTTCATGCCCTGGGTCTTTCGATGAAACACAGGGACGAGGATACGATCATCAGAGGGAGGGGCGTCTAGTTCCATGAAGGTCACGACATCCTGAGACTTGACACGAAGCTCCATGTAAGACATGAGGTCCTTTTCGAACACCTGCCAGAAAACGCCATTGGTAACCTCAGCTCCGATGAGTCGCTCGGGTGCAACTTGCCTCTTCTCCGCGACAACGTCCTTGAAGTTCTGCACAGTGCCGTTTTTATCGACCTCGACGAGGAATCGTTTTGGCTTGGAGTTGAGAGACATGTAGATGACCTCACGGTAGATGATGTTCCGCTGGTCGGGGATGGGGAGAGTAAGACTGCTGAAAGGATCGAACATAATGCTGACTTTTTCACACTCTGGGCAAACCAGAGTCGATTTGTACATGCCAGCAAACAGATCTGTAATAACAGAGTCGTTGCGGGCCTTATAGATATCCCAGGACTTGGTTGCAAACTCCTCAAGCAATTTCCGGTTGTGAACCATCTCGTCTGTGGAGTCCGGCTTCTCGATGTAAGGCTTTTTCAGGATACGGTTGAGGTCCTCAGACAGACCATCCAAGACAAACATTAGGAACTCTTGACTGTCTTGTTGCTCCCATCCAGCCATGGTTGGGTTGTTTCGTCCCACTTGGTTACGGAAACGGGATGGATTGAAGCAAGATGGCGACGGATCGCGGTACACTCCATGCAGAAGACCCGAGTATGCCTTCGCAAGTTCACCTCGGTAGCCGAGAGGGTTGTCAAAGTTCAAATCCTTGCTGTGTGCATTGTTCAGGAAGAAGATACTCAGTTCTTCGACAGCCCGAAGGCACTGAGTAGCGGCATTCTGGTAGCAGGTGTTGCCCAAGTTATTGAATCCGGTAACACCGAGCTTATTGCCGCTTGCCTTTTTGCCTCGTGGCAGAGCAGGTACAGGACTAGTGCGGCCACTGGGTGCTGGGTTGGGTTTTACGGGTGTAGGGGCGACCTTCTTGCATTTTTCGGTCGGGATTCCAAGGTTTCTCAAAGTCTTTGCAGAGGCTTCGGATACCCATTCACCCTTACCGATCTCCTCTTCAAGGACGACGGCCTCGGTTTCGACCAGACCAGCCATTATCAGTGTCATTTTGCCATTGTAGTTAGAGTTGTTCGTTTGGTCTTTGATATGTTGCAGACATTCTCGTTGAACGCCTTCATTTAGGGACAGGAAAGTGTTGAGATCTACAAGAAGATTTTTGTGTGCGGATGAAATGAGAGCCGAAGCTGGAGCGGGCGATGCGGCACGAGATACAGCTGGGGTTGAAGATGCAGATGCATTGGCGCTGGGAATTCCGCCGCTGATCTTCCAAACACGCACTTTGGTAGCCAGATCAATTCCGGCCAGCTGCTTGGCCTCCTTCAGCCATTTCATGTAGTTTGTCGAACGACCAGCGAGCGCCTTTACGGGTGGCAGACTTCTTTCCTTCAATAGTTGAGGGGTCATGCCCGCGGACGGGTTGGATAGCTTGAAAATAGTAACGATGGGAGGGTTCAGCTCATAGATGATGTTCGACTGAGTGTATGCAGAGGTTTCATGGGCAAAGCGAGTGATGACAGGCGACCCATTTGCAAGGCCGTACCATTTGATAATCAAGTCCCAAGCTTCCTGTGGGACGATCTCGTAATGCTCGCCGAGTTGTAAACCCGGGCGCATGGGTACGTACAGGCCGCCCTGTTCATCTTTGAGATCATCCTGCTTGGGGCCGATGTCGAGGACAATGTCGGTGTTATCGAGGGAACCCAGTTCACTTTCCAGAGATTCCTTGTCTGCTCTATCGGCATGGGTCGAACTCCGCGCAAAGACCTTCTTCAGCCATGTAGAAGAAATCACATAACCTTTCTGTCCATCTTTCAGTGGTTGTATCATCAACGCGGATACTTGGGCCACCCGATCATCGATTATGCTGGTGTTATCACGACCCTCATTTCTCACCGCCGTACTCACGCCGCCTTCGGGGTCGGAATCGGCAATCTCAGAGGCCGGGCGCTTGTCCCCCGGAGAGGGAGAGCGTCCTTCGCCATTTGTGGGAGAGGTGTTGTCGCGAGGCTCGGATTGCATATCGGAGTGTTCACTGGAGAGAGTCAAACCGGCGGTCGCAGTCGCGGGAGTAGGCGAGCGGCCACCAGATTGAGATCGAGTCGATCCGGTAGCGAAGGACTTCGTTTGAAGATGAGCGGGCACGTAGCGGGGAGGTGAGACCGACGAGCTTCGACTCGGGGAGGGTGAGTGGGAGGAGATCTGTCGTGGTGGCAAGGGGTGCGCGGATGAAGCCTGAGATGGGCCGTGACGTCGTGCGCCTCCTGGGCTGTTTCGAGGCTCTGGGGAAACTTTGCGACGCTTTGTGGGAGACGTCGTGACGGTGAGCTGCGCACTTCCTGTGGCAGCTCGAGGGACAGGGCAAAAAGGGTTTTTGAGGGAGACAAAAAAAGTAAAAAAAACCCGGCTTCTTTGATTTATGGAATTAGTAATTTTTTTTTCTTTTTTCTTTTCTTTCTAGATCGAAGAAGTGGGGGGAGAAAGAAGAAAAAGGAAGAAATGCCATAGAAAAAAAAAGATCGAGAAATTCAACTGGCAGAAAAGTAAAAATCCACCCGCGATTGGGGGCACCTGGGGGTTTTTTCCGGGTCCGGGAACCACTATCGATAACACTGAGATCGAGAAGATGATTACAAGGAAAGATTAAATGTAAAAGAAGAAGAAGAAACAGAAAAAAAGAAGCTGAACTTATTTAGGATGAACAGAGAAAGCAGGGCTCGAGAGAAGAAAGGGATTCAAGAAAAAGAATTTGAGCCTCCGCTGCGGATATCTATACTCCGCATTCACTACAAGGTCCAATTATACAATGAAGGAAGACATCCAAGCGTATTAAGGACATATTGACCCAAGATTTCCAAATATAGGTACTAATACTCCACTTGACTGGATTAAACAATGAAGAGACCACTCAACTTTAATATCAAGTTGGCAAATGAAGATAGAAGTGGCCTTCCGAAGTACTGTAGGAACCAGGTATAGATTGAATCAGGTACTCAATTGGAATTTAAGCACATCTTCCCCCCTTTCTTTGTAGATAGCATTTCTCATTCAATAACCCTCGTCCTTGTCATTCAGTCTCATTCCGATTGTGTTATTCTCTCTGAACCCGATTTCGATTGGCGTATCTCGGACAAACGCGCATAAAGACAAACAGTATGAATGCGACGGTGAAACAATGTATACTCGAACGAACTGAAGCCTGTGGCGTCGAGGGTAATGATCAGATAGGCCTCACAGACTAGTAAATCATATTCAACTTACCTTCCTTATCATCTGGAAAGCCCCCTTCAGCCCAAGAGAGCTATTTGGAGGAGCCAGGCTTGTAGTCCTCATCCTGCTCGTTGTCAACCCAAGCCGGGGTCTTGCTTGGTTGTGGTTTCTTTTCGCGAGGTCGGAGATGATATCGAGGACCTTGTGCTTCTTTGATGACTTCATCGCTGGGAGGGGCGTATTTGGAGAGAGGGGGGAAAGCGGCCTTCACCTTCTCATAGAATTCCTCCGTGTAGCGCTCAGGCTTCTCGGGCTGCTCAGACGCCATTGGGAAGATGGTCAGAGGTATTATTTGGGTGACTTAGTAGGAAGTATTTGCGATCTGATATACCATGGGTGGGAGTGGGAGTGGAGTAATGACAATGGAAGCTTTCAAGTTGTGGAATAGGTTGGAAAGGAAAAGTGAAACTTGAAGGAAGCCTTGGAGCACTTGAGATGTGTTAGGTAGTATAACAGCAGCTACGAAGGCATACTTGATACACCTGATTGGTTCCGTTTCATAGCCCTTGGACACAAGAGAATTTGATACCAAAAATTTGTCTAATTAGAAAAGTTCTTATAACACAAAAGACTCATGCCCGGAAGTCATCAAATATCAAACATTAAACAAGAATCAAAGATAGGATATATAACATGGGCATGGACATGATTATCAACACCAACAAGAACAAGAATAATCAAAAGTTCCAAGACACCAGAGGGAGAACAGTTGGAAACAGGATAATGACAGATATAATCACAACAAGAACAAGTAGAAAAACCAAAAACAATCTGATGGTATTAAAATTTTTCAACCCATAGTGAATCCTTCAATCCTCATCAACCGGCACGATCAGATCTACCCTTATCGTTAACACGATTCTCAGGTGAATCAAACCAAGCCGCCAACTTAGGATCCATCTCAGAATTTCGACGTATCGGCTCCCCGGAATCAGATGCAACCGTAGAAGCAATATTCTCATCGGCAGGTTGCATCACAGGACCGGCAGTCCAAGGTCGAGCATCATTTCTTTCAATTGGCGAAGGTTGGTTTTTGATGACCCCACTGCCCAAGAACCCAAGAACCAGAGCAATAGCACCAGCAACAACAAAGGCGATGGCATAGGCAACCCACTTTGTCCTCTTGTCTTTGGCGCGCTTCTTCATTTCAGATTCCGATATGATTATCGGACAGGAGATGGGTGAAGAAATTAATGACGATGAGCTCCCAGTCGATGAATTTTGAGATTCCAAATCTTTAATTTCCTCTTGGAATCGGGAGGCACGAGGTTCAGAAACTCCCCCCGAAGTAGCCGCGCTCGGGGAAGCGGGGAAGAGAAGCGGATACCATTTCTGAAGACATGGTATGTTGATTTGTCAGTTTTTGATTAAAACTTGATTTTATTAATTAATATGTGGTGGAAATTTATGTGAATGAGAGGAATGAGAGATATGAGAGAGGAAAGAGAAGAGATGGAAGGAGCGAGGGTCTGGGGAGTGTATATACTACATAGTAGAACTGTGAAGTTTAATTGAGAGATACTAAGCCTATAGTGACTCAAAATATGTGAAACATTCATAGTATGATATAGAGTATATAAGGTACTATTTATTCTGAACCAAGTCACTGGTTGGCTACTTAGGTTTAGCTGTTCCTGCCGATGACTTTCTGGGGATGATGTATAGAGAGTCAGAGCTGTCTTTGCTCCGGTTAGGGCTGTCCGAACCTTAATCGGGCCCCGACTGCCCTGAGCTTATTCAATGGAATTTGGCAAAGAGTATGCCCCGGATTCCATGCAGAAAATCTGTAGGGGTGAAAAAATACCACTGCTACTGAGGGCGATGGAAGCCAAATGTAAGAATCATTTGCTGATGGTGAATGAGTTTATGGATTTACCTTACGTAGATGCGCATTGCGTTAGAATGATAATAAGTTTGCAATAACAATAATAATAATAATATTCAAAAATTAAATATGAACCCGAAGTAAAGTAGACCTGTAGCGCCTGAAATGCAAATAGTAACAGTGATGAAGATATCGCAGAAAATGACACCGAGTCGTGCTCCCTAATTTGTACATCGAAAATCATGCGTGGAATGTGCCAGGGTATCCATCCATAAGAGCAAAGGAAAAGGAAAATAGAAACAAGAGAATATCGTGAAAGAGATGGAAAGCCAACGTGCCCAGATGAGGACAGTCAGGACATTCACGCTCGGAAGTCGTACATGCGGACATGGTAATCGTCACTGCCAGTAATGAATCGGCTATCACTCAGTCCAATGCAATTGACTGCTGCGGAATGTCCTTCGTAAGTTTCCTGACATGATGGAAGACGAGGGTCCCATATTTTGACCATGCGGTCGCTTCCACCAGAGGCAATACGGAGAGTATCGCCGGAGAGAGCCCAAATGCCTTCCAAGTGTCCAAAGAAGGTGCGCAGACATCTCCCACTACCGGTTTCCCATAGTCGGATAGTTGCGTCAATACCACTCGTGATAACATACTGCGGAGGTTCACGGCGGTCCTTATCCTGCTCGAATGTCGAACCGAAGGCTGAAGTTGGCGATGCCAGGTTTGCATGCTTAAGAAGTGGGGATATAATATCCACGGGTCCTTCACCGGAGTGATCGTTTTCGCAATCGGCAAGATCCTCTCCGAGCTCGATCTCACGAGGCAAGGGGATGACCTGTTGGACAGGGCCGATATGGTTTTTGAAGATCCTCAGGCACTCCTTCGTGTCCAAGTCCCACAGGCGAGCAGCACCATCATCACAAGCAGTCAACACTGTTCGAGAGGGAGTGTCGATCTTTACTGCGTTCACGGGTGCAGGGTGCTGAAGAACAAACGTCGACTTGTCCTTGAAATTCCAGACCTTAACTGTGTGGTCAACGGAGGCCGAGGCAAGAAGGGTTGAATCAAAGTGCAAGGCGATAACGGCATCAGAATGACCGTTGTATCTGGAGATACATTCCCCGGTACGCCAATTCCATACACGTATACTGCGATCCAAACTGCCTGTGATTAACTTGGTATCATCAAACTGAAGGCAGCGGACTCCTGCACTATGACCGCGTAGAGTACGCAGCTCCTCTCCAGTTTCCATGTCCCAGATTTTGATGGTTGCATCATAAGAGCCAGTCATCAAAATGTTATCCTCGAACTGAAGACACATAACGCTGTCGGTATGACCTCGGAAGGTCTTGATTGAACAGCGGCGGTGTTTCCAATTCAAGCCTACCACGAATCGATCTCGGTAGACATCCTTCCATGGTCTGTAACGAGTCTTATAATATTCATCATCAGGTTCGGGGCGGTATGCTGAGGAGACGCAGTGGCGCTTGATCATGGCACAGCCATCGTCTTGATCATCCGTATAGGTGTCGACCTTGCGCTTGCTGCCAGTGTTAGGCAGTTCGACCACAGAGCATGTTCCATTAGGAGCCCCTTGAGTGGGTTCCACCGATGATTCGTTACCCCAGTTGGATGCTCGCAATTCAATCTCACGCTTAGCTTCCCGTAGACGCTTTCGATCCAAGAGAGGTAAGCCCCAGCCACACTTGTTACACTTGCGACGAATATGTTGTTCGCACATCCGATGCCAAACGACATCGTCATCTGCAAGCATTTTCCAGCGGTGAGAAACCTGTGCGGCACGGCAGAGAGAGCCCGTATCGAGATAGCGTAAAATTTTGAACGAAAGCTCGGGGGGAAGGGCGGAAAGAAAATCGATTCGGATCAGCTCACGGACGCTCGCGGAGATGAAAGAGAGTTGAGGGAAACAGCATTGGGCAAGAACTCCCTGCAACATCAATTTTCGCTGTTTTGCTGGAGCGGCAGAAAAAAGGGACCACACATGGGCGATGCCCTGCTGGTCATCTTGTGGAAGGGTATCCAATTCCTGGGTGATATATTAGTATTTCTTCTTGTGAAAGAGGAATAACTAGGACACGGTGGTGCATACCTGTTGTATCTGGCGTTTTGACTGTTCATCAGCCTGGCGCCTACATTTCGAGTCTGGTTGGTGACGGTAACAGTAGCCAGCGTTGGCTGGACGAGGAACCGGAGTTCCGTCTTCCGACATTACTGGACCATTCTGGCGAGGATTGTATTTGGCCAAGAACGGTGCGACGTTTCGTTGTCCCAACTCTGCCAGCGACTCCACTTTGTCGTTGTTGCCGACGGGCTGGGCGTGTTTGTCGTGTGTCATAGTCGCACAGTCCTCCAGTATCGAAGTAGAAGCAACTTTATTCTGCGAATTCGACATTTCAAAGTGCTTTTCGTTTGAACTGACAGAAGGTAGGCTGGTACCTTGGTACAAAGAGCTTTGCGCTTTGCGCGCTTTGTACGACAATCTGAGGCACTTGGGAGATTCACGCAGTTGTATTCTTAAAAGGGTGATGTTGTGGAAAAGAGAAAATCGAGGTCTCGAAGATGAGAGAAGTAGGTAGACTGTAGGGTAATATCTGGTTCAAAGTCCCCAGGGTCCTACTGTAATCTTATCCAAAGTCCGCGGGGAATTCGTAGAATAACGAGTACCCTGGCAGATACTGCCGCGAGATATAGGGAAGGGTGTTGAAAGTAACGTTGGCAGAATTGGCAAACGGGAGGTTGGAGGAGTTGAATATATATCAAGAAGATAAGTCCAGACTGTCACGACAAGATTGCACAATCGGATCCCTCGGCTACAGCCGTGCGCATTTGATCTATAACAAAAGAATGAGGGAGAAATGTCGACAATCACGCAACGGGGGGCGAGAGTCGCAGGCGGTGAGGAATTGCATAATGGAAATCCGATCACGCTAGTCCAGATCCGGCTTAGATCATTGATAGTTTTGCTCAACCGCCCCACGTGATGGCGCCATCTCCGCTCTTAATCACATCAATCGCGCTTGTTGTCGTTGCATCTCCCGCTGATGTGATCGACCTTAGACCGCTGCTTTCATCCCACCCGTGTTTGTTTTCTCGTCCGAACCACCGGGGAAGATCATTTGCCCCTGATCGCGTGATTACAAGGGTGTTCTCAGATCATGACACAACACTTGTTGCTATTCTGATATACAAAACTTTCCTGCTCGAACTGTTGTATCAGCCTCTGAATTCTTGAAGGGCCTAAGACCACCCGGAATCCCAGGACATGAGGTAAGCTGTTTTGTTTTTGATGAGGCTTTCGGGGTTGCTGGGGGGAACAATACCTTCCCCAGATATTGACTCTCATGATCTACTGTGCATAACTTCATCCATCACTATTCCCTTCATCCCCCTATGGGTGCTACATGGACGACCACTAAATGTTTGTACAAGGTCTATAACTTCATGGTCATAAGCTTTCCACTTGTTTCAACTTACTACGTAGTGCAGGACGATCTCAGCCTACTCATTTCAGTATCTGCTTTATAAGTCATCTTCGGTGATCACAACCACCGGTAACGAATATGGCGTCATCTCACTCGTCCACAGCTTCAATAGCAGCTCAAGGTGTCTCGGAGACGCGTGAGCCAACAAATGCCATGCCTCAACTGGACGCACTAATCTCGCACCTTTTAGCGGCCAAGAGGTCTCTATCCTCTATCAGTCATGTCTGGCGTGCCAATGAGATAGTCACAGCAGCTCGATCAGCCTTAGAAGAAAGTGTGGTTGTTTCCTCGCGAACAAGTTTTTTGCGTCGGGGTCTCCACAATCAGTTACGCTTGCTTCACGATGTGCGATCAGAGGTGGAGGAAATCTCCTTTCGTGGAAGAGAGGAATTTTCGGAAGCACTGCAAACTCTAGATGCCGCAGATGCCCGTCTTCGCACTACTCTGGACCTTCTTCGTGAGACAATAGTCCATGCCTCCTTTCGCCCAAAAGATGAAGAGGCCAAAAGTCTTCATGATTTTGTAGATGAACGCGGGGTGGCAGAATTACATGCCTCCCTTAAGAGTTCCATAGATCGCACGAACACTGCCCGGGCTGATCTAGAAACCTCCAACCGCGAGTTTGACGATGAGCTTCACTCCATCCGACAGGCACTTCGCCATTACCGAAGTGCCGCAAAGATGGCTTCATCTCGCATATCAGCCTCATCCTCCTCTTCTTCGGCATCCGAGCCCGATCTACTCACACTATTCACGGTTCCAGCGATGCTTCAATCATTGGAAACGCATGCACAAGAAATGGCAGATCTTTTGTCGGCTCTTGTGAGTCACTTTGACCTCTGTGTCACCGCAGTCAAACACACAGAAGGTGGCGGAGCGGCGGCTCGTTCCATCACTGGGGATATGCCTGCTGAAGTTGGGGCCAGTGGTGAAGGCTTGGCCAACATCGGGGAAGAAATCAATGCCAACTTGAACGCTCCGTTGGATCCAATGACAGATCAAGAATATGAAGAAATGATCAACGTATTAGTGAAGGACGCGACCGAGGCAGACGACGTGGTTATGGAAATTCAGGACCGGATCACCGACATGGAGACCATCTTCGATCAAGTCATCATTCAACGTGATGCCCTTCTTTCTGTCTCCGATGCCACCCTCGAGGTTCACCGTCACCTCTCTGCTCTTGCTTCCACTCGTTTACCGCGCTACATCTCCCAAGCCCATAACTTCACTCAAGTATGGAGTGAAGAAAATGACCGTTTCAGCACGGGCTTGACTGAACTCTCAGACCTGCACTCCTTGTATGACGGATTTCTCAACGCATATGATAGTCTGATCCTGGAAGTTGCTCGCCGAAGCCATGTCCGCCATCGCGTGGAGAAGGTCCTTCGTGATACTCGAAATAAGTTGACTCAACTATATGACGAGGACGTTGCGGCCCGTGAAACATTTCGCGTGGAACAGGGCGACTTTCTCCCATCTGATATTTGGCCCGGAATCGGCCGCGCGCCCATGCATGTTGAGTTCCAGCGTCTTTCAGGTGGCCACCTCGAAGGAGCGTTGCCGGAAACAGAGGATCAGGACCAACCTCCAAAAGTTGAACCTAATCCAGAGGCAGGCGTTACTGCGGAAACTGAAGCGGAGCATGGAGAAACCATCCCAAATCTACCGAAGGAGGTGGTGGAGCATGCATATGCGCGCCTCAAAGCTCGAACCAGAGAATTTGTCTGACGCATCACTCTAGCACTCCGAACTGGGCGAGATGGTGAGCAAGTGACGCTTCTACGACATCGGGGTCCAATGATTAGGTTCCCATTCTGAATTCATAAGCATCGCTTCTGTTCGGCGTTGTACAATTGACATACATTTTGATTCATACATATCTTTGGCGTTCTGATGTTCATCTTCTTTTTTCTGTCTTCGAGCGAGGCCTTTTTCTTCTTCTAATACTGTGACCCCGATGATGAAAACCCAATTGGTCTGATCATCCATCGGACCATTCCGCGAGTGAGTTCAGCTGAACATTAGGTGATGCATACTCCACGTTTGGATGTAAGCACATTAAGTGGACTTTTGACTTGGACAGTGGGAGGGACGATGGACGAAAATGATTTCCAAAGAGAGCTCTGAGGGCAGTCATTCGCATAGCTTTAGTGAAGAAGCTCAAGGGTTGGCAATAATTACTATGATCGCCTTGCTTGTTTGCTTTTGCGTATCCTCTCCCAACTAGTAAGCTGTTGGCAATTTCTTCTATTCCAATACAAGCGCCTCAGTAAACTTTGAATCTAGCCTTTCTCTCGAATCGTTCAGTTTGTAGGATTTTTATATTCCGTAATTCTTATTTTGAGTCTATAAACAGGTATCATATTGATATATATCCAGATGCTCCATCCTTCTATGCATTTCATCATCAAATCATGACAAGAAAAATTCGGAAAGAGACATTCGTAAGAAAAAGACGAGGGGAAGAAAAGATTTTATGAACCCTAACCCGATGCAAATAATCCAAAAAGTGATAGACAGAAGATAGCATATCGCTTATTTCTTCTTGCGCGAAGAGGTAGAGACGAGCTTTTTCTTGAGATGTTTGGGCATCTTCTTTGCACGCTGCTCGCGCTTCTCCTCCTTGACCTTTGCCTTGTGGTCACGCTTGGAATCTTTGTCCTCGAATTTTTTGCCGCGAGGTTGCTTTGGTGCGAAGGGATCCTTCTCTTCATCATCCTCGTCCTCGGAGTCTGATACAGAGACACCGCCACTGGCATCGGACTCTGACTCGGCATCGTGCTCGACTGGCTTCGCCTTATCAGTTGCTAAGAGGTCTCCGTAGACGAGCTCATTGCCGCCGCCATCGCGGACCTTCTCAGCGTCACGCTCAATATCATACACTTGCTCCAGATTCTGGGGAATATATTGTTGACGGAACACTGCTGTGTCGACCTCTTCCGACTCTTCAGTGACACCAGCCTCATCACGTGCGGCGAACAGTTTCTCGAGAGCCTCAAACATCTCTTCGTTTCCTGGGGTGACAGCGGTAGGACCTTCCGGAGCCAGGATGAATTGGAAAATAGTTCGCTCGGATAAGGTGTGAACACCCTTACGACGGAAGAAATCGCTAACATTCTTGATATCCATTCGGAGGAACTCCAAGCTGCGAGGGTGGTCATGCTCAACACTTTGACTAACATCAATGATATATAGACGATCCTTGTGGTAGAGGATGTTGTACTCGCTAAGATCAGCGTGCACAAGTCGGCAGACTTGGTACATCACTCGCATATGGCCGAGCAATTCCATGTATAGAGATCGCCAGCGAAGTTCAGGGTCAGTTAGATCGAAATCAACATCCTTAAGACGTGGTGCAGCGACGCCCTTAGAGCTTCCGATGAAGCCCATAACCAGAACATGCAGACGAAGATAGATAGGCTCGGGGCAAGGGATTCCAGCAGAATAAATTCTTCGCAGGTTTCGCATTTCTTTTTCAGCCCATAATTTAACCATTGCGCGGTTGTTGCTCTTGTTATAGCCTTGACGGAAACGGAATTCACCAGTGACATACTTGTCACGGTCCTTGAAGACCAGAATACTTGTCTTGTAGACCTTGATAGCCCGGTGTTGCGCAGCGACATCATCCTCTTCTGGGAGGGAGATGGCGTGGTATACATTTGCCTCTTTACCCGTTGACAAGCATCCATGGATTTCTGAGACCAAGCCTCGGTTGATCATCTGCAAAAGAAGCATACGAGTACGAGGATCCAGAACCTGCTCTGATGTTGCACGATCCGCACGATCTCCACCTTTGTCACCCTTCGAAGAGAGCCCCGACTGTTGCTCATCAAGCTTAATCTTGGCAGCATGTTTTGTCAAAGACTTAACTTGATCATCGATCGACGCATGCGTGTTGACTGTGGGCTTTTGGGAATTCGTCTTCGGGTAGGTCCATTTTGGAACGTTGGTATCAGCGGCGCAATCGTTCATCTTACGCTGGCGATTGTAGGCTTTGGTCAAGTCTGCTGGGTTTGAGGATTGGAAGTCTTCTGTGTCGAGTTCTTCTTCGAAAATGTCATCGTAATCTTCATCTTCATCTTCGTTGTATTCCTCTTCCTCGGTGGGCTGTTGCCCCGCCAAAGTGGAGTTGGCATCCTCGGGGTTCACATATCCCTGATTACGCACATAAGTATGGGTTGGAGCCATACCATCCGCAAGGCCAGACGCTTGGCCGGGGTTCTCTGCGGAAGCCATATTCACTGAAATTTGTCAGGAGAAGAAATCGAGCACCTTGGAAGAAAAAAAGTTAACGCCCACCATTTTTTCTGTGGATGCCCGTCTCACCGCCCGGCAGAACCCCCGCGCCCAAAGACGCGCGAATTGGCGGTCTTCGCGTACCCTTGGTGTCTATCGCGAACTGTTCACCTTAAGTTTAATATCCATTACCCTCCACGACGCCTTTACAGTACCTTTTAACCAGCACAAATTCCCTGCAAAGGGTTTCTAGTTTTTCGCGCTAAGGCGCGTAATGCGAATTTGTCAGTGATCATCGCATCAGGCGTCTTTCAAGATGTATGTCAAGCAGATCATCATTCAGGGCTTCAAAAGGTATGCAACCAACAATGACACACGAACCCCTTTCCCACTCACGAAATGATTTTTTAAGCTAATCTTTGTGACTGCAGCTACAAGGATCAAACGGTCATTGAGCCCTTTTCTCCGAAACACAATGTCATTGTCGGTCGCAATGGGTCCGGTAAAAGCAACTTCTTCGCGGCCATCCGTTTCGTCCTCAGTGATGCGTATACCCACCTCGGGCGAGAGGAGCGGCAGGCCCTGCTTCACGTACGTCAATCAAGAACATTAGTCAAATGACCTTTAGTAACAATAACTGACACCTTGCAGGAGGGTTCGGGTTCGGCTGTGATGTCAGCCTACGTCGAAATCATTTTTGATAACTCCGACGACCGGTTTCCTACCGGCAAGCCCGAACTAGTCCTTCGTCGAACCATCGGTATCAAGAAAGACGAATATACGCTAGATCGCAAGAACGCCACCAAGAACGATGTGATGAACCTGCTGGAATCAGCCGGATTTTCGCGCTCCAACCCATACTATATTGTGCCCCAGGGCCGAGTGACTGCATTAACCAATATGAAGGACTCGGAACGACTGGTGCTCCTCAAAGAAGTAGCTGGTACCCAGGTCTACGAAGCTCGTCGTTCGGAGTCTCTCAAAATTATGCAAGAAACTAATAGCAAGCGGTCCAAAATCGACGAGCTTCTAGATTACATCAATGAGCGTTTGGCCGAGCTTGAAGAGGAGAAAGATGAACTTCGAAATTACCAAGAGAAAGACAAGGAGCGTCGTTGTCTTGAATACACAATTTACTCGCGCGAACAACAGGAAATTGCGAACGTGCTTGAGAACCTGGAAGAGCAACGCCAACATGGAGTCGACGACGCAGATAGTAACCGAGATCAATTCATTGACGGCGAGAAGGCTATGGCTCAAATTGATGCTGAGATCGCAGAATGTCGCCAGCAAATCGAATTCCTTAAAGTTGACAAAGATCAACTTGAAGATGAACGCCGCGAGGCTTCCAGAGCGTTGGCACAAATTGAACTGCAAGCCAAGTCTTTGGCTGATAATCAGGCTACATCGCAAGCTATAAAGTCACGTCACGATAAGGACCTCAATACTGTGCAGACGGCTATCCAGGAACGCGAAGCGGAGCTCCAAACTATCCTACCCGGATTCAATGCCTCTAAGGACCAGGAAGATGCTATTAAGTCTCAATTAAGTGAAGCTGAGACGGTGCGCCAACGGTTGTATGCCAAACAAGGCCGGAATTCGCGGTTCAAAAACAAGTCGGAACGAGACAAGTGGCTGCAAATGGAGGTCCGAGAAAGTAATCGATCCATAGCCAACGTTCAGAACGTTGTCACACAGACTCAAGAAGACATAACCGACCTTGAGAAGGAGATTGCTTCTCTTGAGCCTGAAACAGAGCGTTTGCGTCAGCAGATTGATGGACGGGGAGATACTATGCACTCCTTCGAAGAGCAAGTTCAGAATGCCAAGGATGAGAAGGATCGCTTGATGGATCAGCGAAAAGAGCTCTGGAGAGAAGACGCCAAATTAGACTCCGTTGTATCCAGTGCATCACAAGAGATGGATCGTGCTGAGCGCAGTCTGTCTCAAATGATGGACAACAACACATCCCGTGGTATTGCTGCTGTCCGGAGGATCAAGCGTCAACATAACCTGGATGGTGTTTACGGTACTCTTTCTGAGCTTATGGAAGTGAACGATAGGTATCGAACAGCCGTAGAAGTTACAGCTGGTCAAAGTCTGTTCCACTACGTGGTGGATACTGACGAGACTGCGACTACTGTCTTGGAGATCCTACAGAAAGAAAAGGCCGGTCGTGTGACCTTCATGCCACTCAATCGCCTGCGCTCCAGACCTTCGAACAACATCCCTCGTGCTAGCGATACTATCCCAATGATTGAGAAGGTTCAGTTTGACCCAGCATACGAGCGAGCCTTTCAGCATGTCTTTGGCAAAACCATCATCTGCCCAAACCTACAGGTGGCGTCGCAGTATGCTCGCAGCCATGGTGTCAATGCCATCACCCCCGAGGGTGATCGGTCTGACAAACGTGGTGCCTTGACTGGTGGTTTTCATGATTCACGCCATTCTCGCTTGGATGCGGTAAAGAGTGTCGGGAAGTGGAGAGACGAGGTCGAGGCCAAGAAAAGCCGAAGCGACGAAATCCGCAAGGAGACGGAGAAACTTGATCAGCTAATTACCAAAGCGGTTGGTGAGCTTCAAAAATTGGAGCAGCAGCGACAACAGATGCAGAACAGCAGTGGACCATTGCGGCAAGAACTTCGCAGCAAGCGAGAGCTTCTACAAAACAAAAACGACACTCTCGAAACTAAGCGCCGGGGTCTTCGAACTGTCAACACTAATCTGGCCGCTTTGAACGACCAGGTCAGCTCCTTCCAAGCTGAACTGTCCTCCGCATTTCAAAAATCCCTTACCGACGAGGAAGAAGCTCGCTTGGAGAGTCTCAGCAAAACAGTACAGGAGCTTCGTCGGCAATACCAAGAGCTTTCAAGCCAACGCAGCGAACTGGAGGCTCGTAAGTCCGTTCTAGAAGTTGAACTTCGCGAAAACCTCAACCCGCGACTTGATCAGCTTCTGAACCGAGATATCGATATGGCCGATGATGAGGTCCAAGGCAATCTCAAGGAGACACAACGCGAGCAAAAGCGACTTAACAAAGCCTTAGATAAGCTCAATGATCGACTCAAGACCGTTGATGCTTCTATGGAGGAAGCCAATACTCGAGTGAGCGAACTACACCAGCGCAATGCCGAAACCAAACGCCGAATGGAAGAATTGGCCCGCTCTATCGAAAAATATCAGCGCCGCATGGAGAAGAGCATGCAGAAGAAGGCCGCGCTTTCTAAGCAGGCTGCTGAATGTGCGGCCAACATCCGTGACTTGGGTGTTCTTCCCGACGAAGCTTTCACCAAATATAAGAACACCGACTCAAATGCAGTGGTCAAGAAGTTGCATAAGACAAATGAAGCACTCAAGAAATATTCTCATGTCAATAAGAAGGCCTTTGAGCAATACAACAACTTCACCAAGCAGCGAGAAACGTTAACCAACCGTCGTGAAGAGCTAGATGCGTCACAGAAGTCTATTGACGACCTGATTTCAGTCCTGGATCAACGCAAAGACGAAGCAATTGAGCGAACCTTCAAGCAGGTGTCTCGTGAATTCGCCACTGTGTTTGAGAAACTTGTCCCTGCAGGCCGTGGTCGTCTCATTATCCAGCGGAAGACTGACCGCACTGCACGACCTGAAGAGGAAATGGATTCAGACGAAGAAGAGGTCCGACAGAGTGTGGAAAATTATGTTGGCGTTGGTATCAGTGTGAGCTTTAACAGCAAACATGATGACCAGCAGCGGATTCAACAGCTGAGTGGTGGACAAAAGAGTGAGTTATATCCCTGGGCTGCGTTTTGTTCGTTCTTATATACAGATTTGCTAATATTCCTTAGGTCTTTGCGCCCTTGCGCTGGTCTTCGCCATCCAGGCTTGTGATCCTGCTCCGTTCTATCTATTTGACGAAATCGATGCCAACCTGGATGCCCAATATCGAACAGCCGTGGCACAGATGCTTCAGTCGATCTCCGATTCGACGAATGGACAGTTCATTTGCACGACCTTCCGACCGGAGATGTTGCATGTCGCCGAGAAGTGTTATGGCGTGAGCTTCCGACAGAAGGCCAGTACCATTGATGTGGTGTCGAGGGACGAGGCCTTGAAGTTTGTGGAGGAACAGAAGACTTAATGAGGCTTTCTTTTGTGTACATTTTATATTTCTATGTTCTACTCTTGTTCATTGTGGGGGACTGGCGTACTTGATACCGGAATTTGATCCTTCTTCTTCTTCTCTATACTTCCATACATATTCGGTCTGATCTACATGGCCCATAATGGCTATCTAAGGATATATTTCTCTAGTGGTCGTCTTTCTATCCGTCTTTCTACTTTTTTTTCAATATATGTGGGACTCACGATACAGATAGCGGTGTACTAGTAAACGTTAGTATAGGGCCAAGGGGTTTTTTTCCCGATGAACGCTATCGGCGGCCGTACACATGTCTGGCAATGAAATCATCAATCTTAATGATTTCAATCAAAATCCCCTCTATATTCATACCCTTTCTATATGTGTATTTACTCTGGTCTAGGTTCCTCCGACCACTCTGTGAGGATTTCTTCAGGTACATCTCGAAGTAAAATATGAACATGTTCCAAGGCCCGAACACTCTGCAATCCCACCCAGTTCTTAAACCACAACACATGCGAACCGGGATCAGCAAAACGCTCGGCCCCATCCTCGGCCAACCTTTGCACAAACTTGCGCTGGACGAACCCATTGATCAGCGCCCTAGATTCATCCGTAAGATGACCTTCGCCCGATTTGACAGCGATGGGGGTACGCAGCCACACAACTAAATGTGAAATGCCGGGTGCTAAGCCGTAAGGCCAGTCATTGCGGAGAATCTTGTAATCCTCAGGATCGGCAAATGGCGTCGGGTTATTGAACGTGAGCACGGGTCCACTTTGCTCTAGTGCTGGAGAGGAGTCTGAGCCCGAGCCAGACCCTGACCCTGACCCATCAGTTGACGAGTGAGTGTCTGGCGCAGGGACAGTCCCCGAGAGCTCAGCAGGAAGTGGCCACTTTAAACGGTTCAGGCAAATAAAGTTCATAATTGAGCTATACTGCGCCTTTGTCTGGACGTACCAGGCGAAGTATCGGCGCAGATCGGAGGGTTTCCGCTTTAGAGCGGCGAGATCGTTCCGGGCTGGGGGGACATTGGTGAGGGGTAGTTCTTGACCGTTTCTCCAGTGGCTCAACCGATAGTTAGAGAGTGAGGAGAAGGATACATGGACTCACCGATAATATCTTGTAGATCCTGCCAGTCGTGCGGGACGAAGTCCTCATCTTTCATATTGAGGAGTTCACGATCCAGGGGAGTAAGATTATACGACGATGCGGGAGCCATAATGATGTATAATAATATAGTTCTATATGCGTAAAAGCGTAAAACCGACAATAAAACAACGATCTCGGTGAAAAATAACCCAGTTGAGTGTTGAAGAGTAGAATCGCGGGGAGAGGGAAACACAACTCCAAAAGGGGAGAGAAGTTCCGCCGTGGGGCGGAATCAACCAAATTCACACCCCAAACTTAAATCTTTCGCATTTCCTTCTTTCCTCCTCTTCTTCCCCATTCCTCCCCCCAAGCAGTTTCAAAATGAGGTTGGTTTTAACCCCATGAGGCTCTACTGGAATCTTATCAATCTGAGATTCTGAAAATTTCCCCTGGAATCATGCAATTGCTAACTTCCTTGGTCTCCGCAGTGTCAACGCCGGTCTGGTCTTCCTACCCTCGGCCCTGCTCGTCGCAGGTGTCTACGCGACAAAGCCCGAGTTTGTGCCATATGCCATCGCCGCTGCCGGTGTCCTCTCTAGCGTTGCTTTCTTCGTTGGTGGTAGCAGCAGTACGATCTCCCCCCCTATTCACCCTATCGCATTCATCGCATGATCATCTTTCTGCTCTACTTCCGAACACGACTTGCTAAACATTTCTTCTTTTCCCAACAGAGCCCCGCAAGGTCCTGAAGCCCACGGAGTTCCAGGACTTCGAGCTGAAGGAGATCAACAACATCTCGCACAATGTTGCTATCTACCGCTTCGCTTTGCCCCGTCCCACCGACATTCTGGGTCTCCCCATCGGTCAGCACATTTCGCTCGCTGCTACCATTGATGGCCAGCCTAAGGAGGTCGTTCGCTCCTACACCCCCATCTCCTCCGACAATGAGGCCGGTTACTTCGATCTGCTTGTTAAGGCCTACGCTCAGGGTAACATCTCCAAGTACCTGACCACCCTCAAGGTTGGCGAGACCATGAAGGTTCGCGGCCCTAAGGGTGCTATGGTTTACACTCCCAACATGTGCCGCCACATTGGTATGATCGCTGGTGGTACCGGTATCACTCCCATGCTCCAGATCATCGAGGCTATCATCCGCAACCGTCCCCGTAACGGCGGTAACGACACCACCAAGGTTGACCTGCTCTTCGCGAACGTCAACCCCGAGGACATTCTGCTTAAGGAGAAGCTCGACAAGCTGAACAAGGAGGACCCTGACTTCAACGTCTACTACGTCCTGAACAACCCACCTGATGCCTGGACCGGTGGTGTTGGCTTCGTTACCCCCGACATGATCAAGGTGAGTCCCCATACACTGCGCTCTATGGTAGGCTATATACTAATTATCTGCTTTTTTCCCGTATAGGAGCGTCTCCCCGCCCCTGCTGCCGATGTCAAGGTTCTTCTCTGTGGTCCTCCTCCTATGATCAGCGCTATGAAGAAGGCTACCGAGTCTCTTGGCTACACCAAGGCTCGCCCTGTCAGCAAGCTTGAGGACCAGATCTTCTGCTTCTAAGCACCTACAAGATGAAAAGTGTTCTGTCTAATACTTCAGCTGGGATTTCTTGAATAATCTCACAGAATTCAAGGCTCGGTAGAGGTTCACCCGCAGATACAAGAAGACAAAGAAGAAAAAGAGCGACTTGGTGTATATGCGAAGTTGGTTGGGAATAGAAGTAATTTTAAACTCGAGCCGAGGTCTACGATTTTTGGTTGTGTGGATGATAAATTGTCTCTAATGTTCATATATATATCCTGAATTGATTTATCTCCGCTATCCATCTGGTGCCGACTCCCGAGGTCCAGTTCCAGTGCATCCTGATTGGACATCATGAGATCAAACCCCGGCTTCTTCCCTAAACTTCGGGCTATTGATAAACTCGCACCGTTTAAATAGCTGTTCCCAATCAACGGCCTGTTCAGAGGAATTTAACTCATCCGCTGCACGATTCTCTTGAGCGGCAACATACTGCGATCCATGGGGACCACCAAACAACTTCATCGTAAACCTTTTGACGGAATCCTCATCCAGCTCTTCACTGGAAACATGCCGAAATGCAGCCGGCCACATAACCTCACCCTCTGGAGAACCATGGTTCACAAACCTAACAACAGCCCTGCTCATCTCCAATCCCAAGGCTAGCTGCGCGGCAGAGTTATCAACGGGACCATCCATATGTAAGTTATTCAACACATAAGGAATATCACTCAAATGAGCGACTCTCCACATCGGTACCCCCATAATCTCATACGCAGGTGCAAATCGAGTTGCATTGTGCTCATAAACCCACAGCTGATCCGCCCCAACTCCCCCACGCTTGACATACTGCCACGCAAAGTCCAGCACAGGACAAGTAAACCAGATATCCCGATTCATTTGCGCAGCACGATAATACTGCGGCGACACAGAGTCTTCAACACCAGGGCCAGCCATATGCTCAAATGCAGAAACAGGGTAAAGCTCCAGCAGCTTTGCGTTCGTTTCTTTCGAAAGGTTGTATATCCATAACCCAAAACTATTAAGAACATCCTCGTCACTTGCCGTAGATGGCGGTGCGTACCATGCCCCGTCATTAGTAACCCACGATATTATAATTGGGATACCTTTTACGAAGCGGCCGTTTCGCATTGACTCCGTTGGACGATCTATCACGAAGTCGTTGTCGTATGTTGGATAGAAAAATCCCTCGCCGAAGGGTGGGCGAGCAGAGCGAGCCATCGGCACTGAAATATTCGATATAGCTTCGAAAGGTACGTTCCGGAGACAATTGAGTACTTCCTCAGATTCGTCGTTGTCCTTTTCGGTGCAGCCTATCTGCTTTGCTACTGCAGCTGTTTTCTCGGCGACTAGTTGGGATTTTGTGTTGAAATTCAAGCCTGGGCCACCTGACATCATCCTATTTCTAAGTTAATATCAGAGCTATTGAAACGTATAGCCCATTTTTGTGCGAGAGGTGCGACATAGCATTCTTATAGTGAAGGAACCTCGGGATACATACATTGCTTGTTGAAATGGCACGCCCCGCTCGCCACCGAAAGCTGTCAATTGAAGACTTATGTCGCTTGCGCCGACGCTTTGCCCTATGGCAGTTACTTTAATAAGATTGCGTTAGCTTTGAAAAGCGTTCGTGTATGTGTATCGTTGGAGGAAATTTACCTCTTTGAGGATCGCCGCCAAATGCGTGAATATTGTCTCGTACCCCTATGATATCAATGGTGAGCTCTAGGATTCTTGACCACCAGGTTATTGAGAAACGGAGATGATATAACACTAACATTCAAATGCAGCACGCTGATCTCTTAACCCAGCATTCGTATGCTTCAAATTGATCAATGCTTCACCGGTAGCGAAGCCAAAGACTCCAAGTCGATAGTTAAATCCCACAAACAGAACAGGTTGACGATCTCGCGTAGCCTGCTCAACAAACCCATCAGAGCGATACAGAACTTCCTCTGCAGACCCAAGGGCATGGCCACCTAATAGTAGAGTTAGTACAAATACGATAAAACTGAGTCCTATAACATTAGCCAAGCCTAGCATTCCTTACCGCCATGCATCCATACAACCACAGGAATATTATCCCCAGCCTTAACGCCTCGAGATCTCGCGATCCGTAAGCTCAAACAATTCTCACTAACATTGGTTACGCGACTAGTAAACGGCAAAACATCACCAGTTCCCTGTGGGCACCAAGCACCAGGTGTCGTGGCATCGATAACGGAACCAGCCGCATGTTCCAACGGGACAGGGGGAGCAAAGCGACGGGCACCCGATGGCTCTAGGGCATAGAAGATATTATGAAAGTTTTCGATTCTCGCGCTTGAAAACGATCCATGATAGGTTATATCGCGAACAGGATCAAATACTGTCGGCTGAGACAGAAACGGTAGGGGAAAGTTGTAAATTAGGCTTTTTTGGATGATCAGGTCTGTTAAGGGTGTAATTGAGATGGATAAAATGCCGACTAGAAGGGCCATGACCCCTGCTAGAATTGGAAGCCTGAAGGTACCCATCGTCGCAGTGATTAGTGATCAGGAATTACGGGGTCTGAGGTGGGAATAAAAGGAATGCTGGAAGAGACGTTGGGGATTCCTTTCAACAGCCCCGCGCGAACAGGGTTCATAGATTGGAGGATCCACATCCCCAGCCTTACGACATTACCACTCCATACAGTCATTTCACGAAAAGCCTCGACGCCCGATACGTTCCATGTGAAACACTCGATGCGCAAGAAGTGAGAATCCATGACCCCATTTGTATTTCTTGGATTTACGCGCGCGGGTTTTTGTTTGGAGCATCTCTTCGATCCCTGTAACTGCACATGTGAGCGGCCTTTCAACCCAAACAGGTGGGAAAGACACCCTTGACAAGCTTAATAGCTCTAAAATCGAGCTAATTCGCTATGTCTTTGAATCGAATAAGGATATTGGGACAATAATAGAACATCTTCTTATTTTGTATCTCTATGTTCAAGTTTGAGATGTAGTCTGGTGCAGAAATAAATACCCAGTAAAATATATGAATGTAAATGAGTGGTATCAGGCATTACTCGTGATAATTAAGATGATCCCGAAGGACGTAAGAAGTAAAGGGCGAAAGGAATGTGATAATTCGCAACAAGAACTTGAATAAAGAGACTATGGCGACCGCTTGCCGTCCATTTCCTTCAATTCAACCCATGGCGTATTTTTTTGATCGGTGATGATATTGTGAGGCACCCTCTCGTTTGAGGTTCGGGGACTTGCCTCTGATGGCACAATTGTAGATGCTCCAGCCTCCTTCATTGAGGAGATAGAGATGGTTGTAGTGATGAGAGGGGGTGGGAAGGATGGAGAAAGCGGACTAGCCACAGCCGTCGATCCGTATAATGGCTGAGAGCCGTATTGATTCCTGTATGCATACTGGGGCTGGCTTCGTGATGCGGAGGAGCTGATAAAGCGATGAGTGAAAGGACGGAAGAGAGGCCAAACAGGTGGAATGGACATGCAGATGAGCACGATCCATTCTTCAACCTCGCCCCATTGAAATAGGACTCCAACACCATCTTTGAAATAAGTTAGTCTCGAGTCTGAAGTTCCAAGTAAAGGATGTTCTTACATGAAGAGTCCACGTCAAGGATGAACTTGGCGGCCCATGTTCGCACAATGGCAGCAACGCCGGCGAAGACACCAAGTCCCATGAGGAAGCTAAGACCCCATTTCAGCTTGCGATCGATTCGCAATGGGATAAGCATGTGAATAGGCACGATGGCGAGGTAGAAGTCGGAAAGAGCCGCAACAGCACCGACGACGTATGTATAGTATACACTCTTTCTATGATCGCAATCGGCTTGCTGAAGGGGGTTCCATAGGGAGTTTACAGGTGTGCACTGGAACCAGACCATCAGGACTTGTGGGATGTTGAGGACGATATTTAGAACGGCAACGGCGATGAGGCTGCGACGAATCTTGGGGTCTAGCGTAATCGAACATCAGTATACAAACTTTCCTTAGGGTCTCAAAAGATGGCCAATCACTCACTGCTAGGCCCATTCATTTCAATCAGGAATGCAGCTACAGCCACTTTGCCAGTAGGGATAGCCAGGTTGAAGAAGAAAACAGTAATCCAAGTAAAAAGAAGGAAGTTATGCAGTTCGCCGACTGCGGTAATGACTGTGATGTGATTTCCAAGACCATGAAGAATCGAGAGAATTCCGAAAATCTGGGTAAGTGCCGTGAAGAACTAAAATTCGATATTAATACAGTGCTTCTTATTCCTCTTCTTTCTATCATTGTAGGTGATGGACATACCCAAGCAAGAAGTGACAACATCAGAGCTGTTGTTCCAAACTTGTTCACTCTCACGCGCACATAGACGCGCATGATCATGAAGATGGTAGCAATGGTTCCTAAGGCGATTCCCAGACGCAGGTCGCTAGGCCCCCGGCCACCGTAGGCCGGGTATTGATCATGGAGGGACATTATGAAACGAGTGACTGTGTATACAAAAAAGCAACGATACCCATTTTTTGACGGGGAAAAAGGGCTCGGGCACTAGAATCCGGTAGCGTGGACCCGGCACCTTTATAAACCCCAAGGCATTATAATCGAGGCTGAACAGCGGGGGCATAGCGGGGGACCCCGTCGAGGTCGCACGATCTGATTGAATGCAAATGGAAATTCCACGGTGGGCCCCGGAGGTACGTGCTTCAGGAACAAAAGGCATGGTTGGATAGATTGGCGGTCGATCTAGCGGAGACACTATCGAAGACTCGGTGTATTCTTCAACTCCGTTGTCAGCCATTATTGGTTCCCGCGATCCACGGGAAGCACTAGGCGAAGGAACTAATTTCCCTTTCGCCACGCAATCACAGCCATTGACAGATGTCAAATCAAATAGAATTTGGACGCGGCTTTATTTCTAACTGAGACAGGACTAAGCCCCCAGATCCCTGGGTTTCTAAAGGCCTACAAGATCCTTGGTCCATGATCGGACTTACAACGTGACGCAAATCTCATCTATTGAAAGCATTACACATGCATAAACGGAGTACGGACTAGATAGGATCCTCCAAACAAGCAAGACCCGCAGTTTGCAGGGATACAGTATAATGCTCTTGCATTTCCGATAGTCCGCTCGTATAGGCAAAAAGTCTCCATGTTGACACGGACTGGCCAACCTCGTCCCACGGTTCCTGTGGGGCCCATGCATCGGCAAATTCTGTTCCCCTGAATTGTGCAGCGGGATGGAAATCGGAGAGGCTTAAGCCACAGGGTTGTCTCCATTTCAGCCTTTTATTTCAAATGATTGAGTTGGGCTGTAGCCCCGTATTATGTCTTCTCATTTTCTAGACTTCTCTTTGCTTTTTCTTTCCCTCCAAGTCGCGTGTCTCTCCGTTAGTCCGACCGATTGGCTAAGATCCACGATCTACTTTGGCTTGGCATCTCCGAAGGATTTGACTGATCACAAACAATTCAATAGTGCACATGCGATTTGACAATGGCAATAATAACTCCGGTCTTTTTTGGCTTCAAATAATAAAGCTAAATACAAAGAGTAAAATTGCGGCTAGCGATTTCGCACCCAAGGACCTGAACTAATACTATTTACGCACTATCTGATAAAATTCGAGCATCCGAGCCGCTTATAGCCTCCCTGCCTCCACTTCTCAAGAGGATATAGAAGTGATCGCCAACCTACAGTACGTACATGCAAGCCGTTTCACAATTTCTTACCCGCACGAGTCATGTACATGTCATGCCTCCGGCAATAACAATTGTTCCTTGATGACGCTCGTCAGTAAAGTTCTAGGAAAGGCTGAATCGTCAATCCTTCTCTTTTTGCACCAACAGACGTCGTGAGGGCTAGGAGGCTGATTATTTTCGTCATGCTCAATGCGATCTAGTTGAAATATTAATTCCACTGATTTTCTTTTGCCGCCCTTAAACATCCGCAGCGGCGGTTCTTCACACACTCTCCTGCCCAACTCTTTCACAGTCTCGTCGTTATCCTGGCAAATAAGTGGAGCCGGATTCTTTGGGCGATACAGCTGGCCCACTTTAGGCCTCCCATTCTTGTACTGACCGATCACCGGTCGATCATTACCCTGGCGTCTTCGGCAGGTAAAAAACAACCGTACCCGGACTTCTTTCAGTCCCGGCATCCGCTTGTCCAAACTCTCGCCGTCAATGGGGAAAGCCTTATCAAAAGTACACCACCACCAGTCCTCACGTCCCCTTCCAGAGCCGTCTTTTGAGAGTTTAATGTTAAACCCATCTTGAAGATCGTGCTCAATGACGATATGCTGACACACAGACAGACATTGGATGTTATCTAGCCTGAATTGCGCCGTGCTATTTGGGAAAGACACAAGATGTTCCCAGTCTATTCTATCACAAGTTTGCCAGCTGATAAATTGATTCACGCGGGGCTGAACCTCCGTGTGGATTTGACGGTTTGTGCATAGCCAGCTCAATAGGCCAGGAGGTTTCTTTCTGACATTCTGCGATCTTTTCCCGTGATATTCAAGACACGAGGATTTGTGGGGATCGACGTCAGTTATCACTCCTCGAGAGGTGACCAGGATGCTATTGCCGAGTACGTATTGCCAGATCATTAAACGGATCTCTGGAGGTAAAGAGAGTAGCGACGAATGTGCTGATGGGGGCTGACTTTCGCAAATTGCCTTGGCTTGACTGTGGCCTCTTTTTCGGGGAGGCATTTTGGTCTTGAACTAATGGTGGAGTATATGAGCTCTTGACGCAAATGATAGTTGCTGGAGGAAGCTTTGATGTTCCACGTAAGTTTCCGATATTCGTTGATATTTGGTAGCATGGGTTTGGCGCCAGCTAGGGCGGCGCGGGGCGATGCGGGGCGACGCGAATTCTGCGGCTAAAGTAGACTCGTTACCGCTAGGTAACGACGAATCAAAGGGCAGTCAACCTCATGAGAGGAAAGTGAAAGAAAAAGAAAAACCGGCAGGTCAATCACATACTTCAAGTGGCCATGGCCGTGTCGGTCACCAATCCGGCCACCCCGAATCAGTGTCTGATGGCACGATTACGGTGCATAATTAACCTTATTCGCAATTACTAACGACTGCATGGTTTGAAATAGCTAGCTGGGTGATATCGCACCAGAATCTGTCAGGAGATTACTTTGATAGCTCAACGTCTCACCAGATCACTGGAATTGGGAGATAACTAGGGACATGGAGTAGAGAGTGACATGTAGAGAATAATACTTCATGGCGAGATATAATACAATAGACCCAAGAAAATATGCAGATCAGTGTACCCGAATCATCTCTTCAATCATCATAAGAAACTTTTCACGGTACTCACTCGGGGTAGTGGTTATAGACATGGGGCCTTGCCGACCAACAACATTGAAAGTCTGTATCAGACCGGACATTGCTTGGGCGTGGAGCTTATGTCGAGCCCAGAAGAAGTCCAATATCACGGCGCGGTACTTCCATTTACCATCTGCAGACAGCAATCCAGCCCTCCAGGGACTTGGTCGCCCTGGCACAAGAGGCTCTGAAGAAGCCGGAATGCGGACCATGAACAGCGAATAATCCACTGCATTAGCATCGCATAAGAATTTTGTGTCGGCCTGAATTGCTTCCCAGAATCTGTTGTAATCGGTTCGCCAGAGATTTAATTTGTCATTAAATGTATCGGCAAGCCTACTCAAAGTATCTTCACTGACAAGAGACTCTGGGAGCAGGTCACGCTCTGGATAAAAGTAATCAACAGGTTTGAGATCATATGTTTCCCACTTCTGACCACTAGGGTCATCGGCTTGTCCGCAGAGGATGTTTTCCATAATTATATGGTGGGCGGGTGTACAACCGAACAGTGTCCCAAGAGTGACATAAGGGGCAATTATAAAATCGGTTATCCATACAAGTGTTGAATCTGGATGTTGGCACATATACTCGTAATAGGGCTCGAGTAAATCTTCTTGAAAGAATGAATACTCGAACCGGCGAGGGAGACTCTTGATGACGAAGCATCCATCGAGGGTACTAAAAAACGTCTAATCATGGTGGATGAGTATATGAAAGTAACATGTTATACACGTTTAAGAGACATCATCACTTACAGATCCAGAATATCCCAAGTCGCCTATTGCTTTGAGCGGTTGTTGCCCGTGACTAGTATGGAAACTTGCTTGATATTCATCTTCAATGAAGTTCCATACTTCTCTTCGCAGCTTAGCAAAAATATGGCTCTCAGATCGAATGAGTTTAATCTGACGTATTGTAAAAAAAGCAATCGCTTGTGCCCAGCATGACTTTTTGAAGCGATCCGGATCACGAAGCACCCCCTTTTGTATAGATTTGGTCAACGCTGATTCTCGGCGACTGGCTTTCATGGCTATGGTGTTCGAGGTCCATCATGGTATATGAAAATTTTCGGGCATTTAAATGCGAACTTGGATATATAACATCTTTTTTGAAATCTTGCTTTTTGCACTCGACAAGAAACTAGGTCCCAATAGATGGTGACGTCAAAAATTAGCAGGCACATGGTGATTGGCTGGATTAACCACTATACACGTGACCTAAAACTAACGGGGGTTAATGCATGTGTTTTCACTTTTGAATGTTTATTAAAGCTCCTCAATTTAATGACAGTGATCGTTGGTTGACTCAATCATTGATTGATTTCGATATTAAACTTTGCGAGTATTTTGGATTTAGAGTACGGAACATGCATGGATGTATATACTATTGGCAAATCTAAGAAATCATCATGCACTATTCTACAATAAATCCTCAGTATAGGTCAAAAATGCACTGTGTCAACTCCTTTATACTATACAGATTTATCAAACATCTCCATCATTTTCATACAATCGAAACTAGATCTATATACTGTGTACTATGCCTCCACAAAGAAGAACCTAGGAACCCCGCGCTGACGCGCACGTGACTCACCGCCCAGCTTGAGTCACCACCGAATGAAAGAGAAAAAAAAATTAAAAATTAAAAAAAAAGAAATAAATTGACTCGCTCCGAGAAATCCCCCTCCTTTATGGGTCGCATTCTGTTAAGCGGGGCTCAGCGACTTTCAGGTCTTTTTTCTTCATCTCAATTCTACTATACCACCACGCGATTACCTTCTACCGCCCTCTCCTCCTACTCTCTCCGCGCTCCCCTTTGTCGCCCTGCGCGTCCTCGATCTTTCGCAACTATGGCAGCCGACCTCTCCGCCTCTGTTGAGGCGTTGACCCTCCAGTCAACCCAGAATGTCTCGAAGTACTCGTCATGCTTTCCTACTTTGAACCCCATGGATATCTACCGCGAGCACATTGCGACCAAGCTCAGCGAGGCAACCGACATTGATGCGGAATTGATCTATGCCCGTCTTGCCTGGACAAATACACTCGACAAGGGCGATTTGGCACTGCCCGTATGTGAATACTCGCTCTATTACTCAATATTTGTTCCGATGTTCAAAGAAAAAGAATACATCTTCTCAAAAAAAGTCAAACTAACGTTGATGTTATACCCCAGGTCGCCGCTCTTCGCATTAAAAAGAAGCCCCAGGAGCTTTGCGAGGAACTGGCTTCTAAGTTCCCCGAGTCCGACCTCGTCCTCCCCCCTACTGTTAATGGCCCTCATCTTCAATTCTTCTGCCGTCCATCTCCTCTGGCTAAGACTGTTCTTGGTCGTGTCTTGACCGAGAAGGCCGCCTATGGTACAAATGGAAACATTGGTCTCAAGGACCCCAAGGACCCCTCCAAGGGCCAGAAGAGAATCATCATTGAGTTCTCTTCGCCTAACATCGCTAAGCCCTTCCACGCTGGTCACCTGCGCAGCACTATCATTGGTGGTTTCCTCGCCAACCTCTACACTGTTTTGGGATGGGATGTAATCAAGATGAACTACCTTGGTGATTGGGGTAAGCAGTACGGTCTGCTGGCCAATGGATTCAAGTACTTCGGTAACGAGGAGGCTTTGCAGAAGGATCCCATTAACCATCTTTTCGAGGTGTACGTCAAGGTCAACGGTCTGGTCAGCGAACAAGACGCCCCAATTAAGGCGCTGAAGGAGCAAATCAAGCTGAAGAAGGAGAAGAACGAGGATGTCTCTTCTGAAGAAGCTGAGCTCGCCAAGCTTGTTGATGTTAGCGAGGACGAGAAGGCCCGTCGCTACTTCAAGAGCATGGAGGACAGTGAACCCGAGGCACTGGCTCTGTGGCGCCGATTCCGTGATCTCAGTATCGCCAAGTATAAGCAGACCTATGCTCGCCTGAACATTGACTTCGACGTCTACTCCGGCGAATCTCAGGTCAAGAACGAGAGCATGACCAATGCCTACAAGACTATGGAATCCGCTGGTGTTGCAGAGAAGTCCGAGGGAGCCGTCATCGCCGACTTCACTAAGCATGGCGCTAAGAAGCTCGGCAAGGCTATTATTGTCCGCAAGGATGGCACTCCTCTTTACCTTACCCGTGATATCGGTGCTATTACCGAGCGTGATGAGGCTTACCACTTCGATAAGATGATCTACGTTGTTGCCGCTCAGCAAGATCTGCACCTTGCTCAGCTTTTCAAGATCACCGAACTGATGGGCCGCAAGGACCTCTCCGACCGTTGCGAGCACATCAACTTTGGTATGGTCCACGGTATGAGCACTCGCAAGGGTACCGTGAAGTTCTTGGACGACATCCTGCGGGATGTTGGTGACAAGATGCACGACGTTATGAAGAGCAACGAGGTCAAGTACCAACAGGTTGCGAACCCCGTCCAAACTGCTGATACTCTTGGTATCACCGCAGTCATGGTTCAAGATATGACTGGCAAGCGGTAAGTGCTAACGTCTTTTTGTTCACTTTTTTTTATTCAAACATGCTGATAAGTTTTAGTGTCAACGGCTACACTTTCAACCTGGAGGCCATGACCTCGTTCGAAGGTGACACTGGCCCTTACCTGCAATACGCCCACGCTCGTCTGTGCTCCATGGGCCGCAAGTCTGAACTTGACCTCGACGACCTTGCCTCCGCCAACTTCGATCTCCTTACCGAACAACATGCCACTGATCTCATCCGTCTCCTTGCCTCATGGCCAGACGTTCTCGTCAACACTTACAAGACTCTTGAGCCCGTCACCGTGCTCTCTTACTTGTTCCGCATGACCCACATGCTGAGCTCCAGTTACGATGTGCTTAAGGTTATTGGCAGCGAGCCTGATGTCAAGAAGGCCCGTATGGCCCTTTATGCTGCTGCTCGCCAGGTCCTGCACAACGGTATGCGTGTACTTGGCCTTAACCCTGTTGAACGTATGTAAACTGGTAACTTCACGAAATCTCTCACCCTTTAGAGGTACTCTTCTTTTGCATTCTTAGCTCTACGATATTTCATGTTCTCATTTCGGATGCATTCGGCGCTAAGAGCTGGACAATAAAATATTATGGTTTTCTTTTTTTTTCTTTTTTTAGTCCTTTTGAGGGCTGGTTGGACTGTTCTGTTTCAATTTCACAGGCACCTTGCCGTTTATAAGGCCGATTCTTTTATTTTCTTTTTGACTACGGGATGGAAATCGCTCTTCTCTATTCAATGTTAGTTTCATGGTAGGATTTAGTATGATAAATCAATTGCATAGCGTATTGATATAATTTTACAGGACATTGTGATCGCTGAATGAGAAAATCAATAAGCAGAAATAGTGGCGACACAGGGACCACCAAAAGTACCTAAACAATGTGATTGTGATAGCCCCGCCCATTCTGCACCCGCCCCAATAGTTCAATCCCCTCGAGGATCGCATCCCCGAACAAAACAACCTTGGAAGCTCTCAAGGATTTCCGGGTCTGGACCCTCAACTCAAGTAATCACGGCCTTGGAACCATCGCCGAATCTAAACGGCGACCATAACGACCAAACAACGGATAAACCCACAATCTTTAAAAAGTCTTCACCACCTGGGTAATTCACCCTCGGGCTCCGCTGATCTCACCAAAATCAGCAACAAACGAGCGGCCCGAGCCCCACACCAACGCCAACCCAATCACATACTCCAAACCGCTGATCGGGGACCATGACCAACCCGCAGCTGAACCCGTCAGCAAGAACTCACTAACCAACAATAGCGCCGCAAAAGACGGTAAAATGATCTCAAGATCAACTATTTTTCTAGTCCGATATCTGGTCCCCGCAGCTAAACCACATCTGACAAACTAGAGGCTAGGCGATGAAACGTGGGCTAAATTTTTATATATGAGTCCCTCCCCCCGGACTTGGCCGCTGGGATGGTCAAGTAGATTGATTTCGATATCTGGGATCTGCCTGCAGGAGAAAATCCACCTATGTACTTGGAATTATCGGTCTAAACTTGAAATCGACCCCAGGACCTAATCAGTTGATTTGGAAATCCACTAGCAAGGCATACAATCGGATCGAGCGTAGCTATCAACATGGATGACGCCAAGACATGCCAGCGGCAAGACCCCGAACGAGGGGATCATGATGAAGGACGATACTTCCTACGGAATACATCTGTTCAGAATTTCTCGTGGAGCAACTTGCTTGTTACTGTTAAGGACAGACAGACCAAGGAGCCTAGGGACCTAATTCATAATGTTAGCGGAGACGTGAAACAAGGTAAGACTTTTCCCCTCAATGGCTACCTATAACACGCTAGGATATTATCATTATCCGCGTCATATGACGGAATGCTAAGGTCTCTCTCAAACAGGGGAGTTGGTTGCTTTAATGGGCCCATCAGGATGCGGAAAGACAACTCTGTTGAACGTGTTAGCTCGACGACCGGCTAGCTCTGGTGCCCGCGTGAACGGCGAAAGCTACATCAACGGGGCGAAGATCGAGTCACGCGAATTCGGGCGCATGACATCGTACGTGGAGCAAGAAGATGCTCTAATCGGATCGATGACTGTGCAAGAGACGTTAAAGTTCGCAGCGGATCTTTCATTGCCTAGGTATGTTAGACTTTCCGGTCCAGTACCTAGGTGTTGGGTTGTTCAAGGTTATTTTTGCTTCTTACTAATGCTCAATTTGATAGTACTGTATCGAAGGCACAGCGGATAGAGCGCATTAACACTTTATTGGAATCATTCGGTATCCAAAAGCAGGCGAATACACTTGTCGGAACTCCGATTCGTAAGGGTATTAGCGGGGGCCAGAAAAGAAGGGTTAGCGTGGCGAGCCAGCTCATCACTTGTCCAAAAATATTGTTCCTTGATGAACCGACCAGTGGGCTGGATTCAACAGCTAGCTATGAGGTTATCTCTTACGTGAAGGAGTTAGCGAAAGCAAACAATGTGAGTGCATGATAACTTGAAGACAAGGCTGCGAATCAGAGATGCAGTATTTAGCTAACCATGTTGTAGATCATAATCATTGCAAGTATCCATCAGCCTTCGACGACAACGTTCCAATTATTCGATAAGCTCCTTCTGCTTTCATCGGGGCGGACGTGTTATTTCGGTCCCGTTTCAAATTTAGATGGCTATTTTGGTAAGATTGGGCATCCTATCCCTGGAAATACCAATCCGGCAGAGTTTCTGCTTGACATTGTCAGCTCGGACTTTAGCAAGTCAAATGAGGATGCGGAGGCAAGGGTTGAGGGTATTCAGCAGTCTTGGGGGGAGTCTGTGGAGGCGGTGTCGGTGAATAAGCAGGTCTCTGATCGGTTGTCGATGGCGGCGGGGGAGAAGCATAATGCGACTGCAGATGATATGGCCCGTCCAGGATCCATTAGGATAACTGCAGCTTTGCTTCATCGGTCTTTTATCAAAAGCTACCGGGATGTAGTTGCTTATGGCATTCGTATTGTCATGTATCTTGGTATGTCCCTGTTCCATTCTCTTAGTTGGTCAAGTTGACTGACCATCCCAGGCCTTGCGATCATGATGGGAACTGTATGGTTGCGTCTCCATCCATCACAAGAGTATATCCAGCCATATGTGAATGCAATTGTAAGACTAGACTCACCTCTGGCGTTAAAACCAGAGAAAACAAAAGACTAACTTTACTCAGTTCTTCGGATCAGCGTTCATGTCCTTCATGGCTGTGGCCTATGTCCCAGCATTCCTGGAAGACAGAGCAACCTTCGCAAAAGAACGAGCAAACGGCCTCTACAGCGCCACCCCATTCATGATTGCAAACTTTATCATTGGCCTCCCATTCCTCTGTACGTATTGCCTGATCCTGATTCCGATCACAAGACACCGCCTGACAACTAATCGCAACCAGTCCTCATCTCAATCCTCTTCTCAGTGGTCTCATACTGGCTCTCCAACTTCCAACCAACAGCTGAAGCATTCTTCACCTGGGTCATGTGGATATTTCTCGACCTCGTGGCAGCCGAATCCCTCGTCGTATTCGTATCAGCCATATTCCCGAACTTTGTCATCGCTCTTGCGCTCGTCGCATTCGCCAATGGTCTCTGGATGTCTGTAGGCGGGTTTCTAGTGACCCCGACGATCTTGAATGTATTTTGGAAATATGTGTTTCACTACATCGACTATCAGGTGCGAGGTCCAATGTTCTATTGATGCATGTTCACATTAGTGCTAACTCTGTTTACAGGCTTATGTCTTTCAAGGAATGATGGTCAATGAGTTTGCAAATCGGATCTACTCGTGTGGCAGTGCTTGCCAATGTAGTTATCAGACTGACTTGGCGTCTCAGTGCCAGATCAGAGGTACGGGTGTGTTGGAAGAGTATGGATATGCTACGGGCAGGACTGGGAAGTGGGTTGGGATCTTGGTCGGAATTATTGCGGTGTATAGGCTGTTCGGCTGGATTGCGCTGACCTTGCGGAAGACTTAATTTGATCTTGGTAAGGGTATGGCAAATGTGGGTAAGAATGTCTGTATCTGGACATCTCTCGTGTGGGAAGCCTGAGGTAACTCGAGTCGCACCTCGAGTCAACAGTGTGGACGATAGTACCTTTCAGCAGTAGGTCCTGTGAGGATCCATGATAGCTGAGCAGGATGTATAGGTATTTCTTTTGGTAAAATTCTGGAAAGATCAAATGTAATAAAAAGAATAGAGGATTCCATTTCTAATTGATTCCAGTTCCAAAAGCAAAATGCAAAGCAGAAAATAAGAAATAAAGCCACTTGTACATGAAGCATAGCCATAGCAACAACCCGTTTCTCCTACCGGAAGCAAACCTCTTGTACAACCCCAAGCTAAAAACTCACAGTGTAACACGCGGATCAACTTCCCATCACAAATATTCCTCCTCGTACAACACAGCAAGACAGATCCTCGCACCGACCCTGCCCCCATTCCTCGAAATGCAAAAATGCAAATCCAAAATATCACTCACATGAATACCGTGTCCATCGCACGCCTTCACCAGATTTCCCAATTATCACTAGCATCTTGGTCTTGGTAGCGCCAACAATCTTGGAAAACAAAGACTAACCACCATCTGCCTCCAATGGCCATCAATGAAAACAAGATCCGAAACACGAATGCAGATCAAAGCACGAATAATCTTCTCGCCATTCACCTCGAGATCAACTAACACGGCATCTAACTTCCGAGGGTGAAATTGTCGCCCCGTTTCTGGTGGGAAAGGCACGATCAAAGGAGCGGTGAAGGTGTTGTCTTGATCCCGATGCCACCGTGCAGAGTCAGGAAGCAAGGGGTAGATAGTGCCGCCCTAAGTATCTTCCGAGAGGAGAAAGGGGCAATATTAAGTGCAAAGTTGATAGAGTATACTTACTTAGTATAGTAATAATAAATCATTATTCTAATTTCTACGATAAACTTAATCCCGAACAGATGAAAATAGAAACTCAAAGTTGAAGGTAGAGTGGAGTGGAAGATACGATACCGGGCATAGGCTTCTGTACAGTACATCCGCAGCACAGAAGATGTCCCGGGACAACATGACATGCGTATGAAGTGTGAAGCTTATTATAATCACGAAGATTGTAGGATATGTCTGTAATTTGTTATTGGATTACTGTACAGCGTCGGGGCCCCTAAACAAAGAAGAAATAAAGCAAAAAAAAGGAAATTAAAGCAAAGCGCCCAGCGGCCACATCTACTCCGGTTAACCCTGTAACCTGGAACCTATCTCCAGATTTTTACTAATCCACTAGTCTTCACGATCGTGGCCAACGGTCATTGCACGATGTACAATGCACTGTGCAGATTACTCCGTACTCCAGGCAGAAGTAGCAGAGGCAGAGGCAGCAGCAGCAGACGTAAAAGCGGACTGAGATCGGGTGGACAATCCCAACCAACCTCCATCCATCTAGACTTTTCGCACGAGCCGCATGGATAAACCCGGTTTTGATCCGGGGTGAGCTGGATCCAATCCCGCCCCTGTCAATTTTCTACTACCTCGGATTGGGCGAAAGGAAGGCTGTATGTTTTGGATTTCTCATCTTTGACTTTTTGAATTATTTATTTTTGCTTTGTTCGCGATCTCGGCAGGGTACTACGACTACTTGAACAGGGAAGAGTTGAGTTGAGTTGAGGGGAAGGATTGACCTCGGTAAGGTTGAGTCTGAACTAAACTATGCATTTCTAGATAGAATGTCGTGATTTACCAATTGCGATCTTATCGTAAAGGGCTTTTCTTCCGCACGTGCGGGGTTGTAGGAGTCCAAGCCATCTGGGACGTAAGGAGGTGAAGATGTAGATGGAGAGGGTAACGATTAACTGTATGCTGTGTGTCATGTTGAGCTAGCCGTAGTCGTGTGGGAGAAATCTCCTCGATCACGGGGGGTAACTATTGAGGAGGGGGAGGTATATTGTACATTGTACATAGTACATACTACTTGGGGGTCTAGGATTGACAGCTGGCACGTCCGTACAGATTAAAGTATCAAGGAAGTCCACACTGTAGAGCCTCTAGAATGAGTCACAGGTGCTTTGAAGAGGGGCAGCATGTATGTACATTATGGAGTGAATTACATAGGTGGAGGGGAAACACTAGTAGAATAGCATCAAAAAAATGAAATAAAAACCAAAAACAAGAAACAAGAAAGATGGAAAACAGAAACAGAATACTCCACCTCGTTACCCACATCGAGCGGGTTCCTAAGTAGGCGAGTGTCGTGCAGTAGATTCCGTCGTAATGGGTGGAGATAGGTGGTTACGATGTGGACTACAGGTGTATACTATGTAGTATGTATAGTACAGGATCAGAGGGTTCGAAGTTTTTCTAGTGCCCGTTCGAACCCTGGCGGACTGGAGCCGAGGACATCATCAGTGGCGATTTTTGGATCCTCCTTGGATGGATTTGGGGTGGTGGGTAATCCTGGCCTGCAGCATGACATCCCCACCGACACTTTCCCGTGTACCAGGTACATTGGCATTGTGCATGTTCGGGAGAAGGGGAGAAGATCTAGAGGAGGAGGGGTATCTGTCTTGATTGGCTTTTTGGATAGGAGAATGAGATCTAGTTGTTTTTTTGGATGTTATTTTCTGTACAGGGTTGGTTAATTTGAATACTCTATCATCTCGATTGACTCATGATTTATGGATAGATTCGAGAATCATTCTGGTGTGTTCTATACCGTTTTCTTCAAAGTGGAGGCGATCATTGGGCCGCAATGACTAGTGACTAGTAGGATTGGGCGTGGGATGTAGTATGTAGTAGGAGTAATAAGAAGGATATTAAGACTAGGAATTTAACCATAGAATAGAGGTTGTATAATATGTAATATGATATTCTATTCTATAGGTATGAGCAATAGAATAGCAGAAGATAACCCGATGTTTATCTAGTGTTTACCTATGTTTACCTCTGTTTACTTTGTAATTATAGTTCCGAATAGAATTCAAGCGGGTCTCGCTCTGACTTACACTTAATTGATGACGCTTTCCCCCCACTTTTTCTCTCTTTTTTTCTCTCTCTTTCGCGTTGGGTACCGACCTGGCTGAGAGCCTCTTTCGTGAAACATTGTTGATTTTGATTTTGATTTTGAATTTTTTTTCCTTTTTGATTTTTTTTTAAATTTTTGATTTTCGTGTGGATTTGAGTTCGAGTTGATTTTGTGCGTCTCTCTCTCTCTCTGTTAAGGGAAGACAAACTTTCCTTCTGATCTTCTCTCTCTCTCTCTTCATCCTTCCCCTCCCCCTTCCTCCTCTTCTTTTCGATATCTCCCTTTTTCTTCTTTTCTTTTTTTCCCCCTTCTTTATACCCTTCTATATACCCTCTCCGAACCGTGGAAATCGTCGTGGATTCTCTGGAACCCTCCCGCTTATCACGGTTATCGCTGCCCATCTGACTCCACCCATTCCCAAACCCCACATCCGGGTACCAGTCAGGCAGTCTTTCCCACCTCATCTTGAAGCCCAAGGCCATCTGCAGCTTGCAGACTTTGTTCAACCACTCACCACTCGTTTTCTCCCTTCGACCCACGGAAAAAAAAAACAAAAGACAAAACTATTCTTGGATCAAGGAAACCCGATCTCCCAACCACGCTGTGTCCGCCCGACTATCCCTCGTTCCTATCGTGCCCGCCCAGTTTCCCACCAATTTCGATGGAGACATTGCGATCTGGAAAGTACCTTTTCACGCTATCCGCTCGCTGACACCACTCCTTCGACCAGTCAAACCCTGCCATCGCCTTTTTGCGATCGGCAGGTCCGCCTTCTGGTTCGAGTGAGGAAAGAGGCATCAGACCGAGACGAAAGGAACAATTTCAATAAAAAAATTCCATCGTTTGTGGGTTGGGCTAAACAATCTGGTCTAAGGGTAAAAAAATAAACAAAACAAATTACCGAAACATACGTGAGACGTCAACCCGAGTGGCCGAAAGGAGGGAGAAGAAAAAAAAAGAATACGGCATCTGGAAGGGGAGAAGGACCAAAACACACCACAATACACAAATAACCAAAATACCTACCCGACCTTGGAAGGGATCGAAAAAAGGACTGGGGATACAGCAGGGGGAAAAAGCCCTTGAGTCATCGTCTCTTCTCTTTCTCTCCTAAACCCTTCGTCGGGCCATCACGGTGGCTTGCTGTAAGTCAACCCTATCCCCGGCCCCATTATTCCCACCCCTCTGTATCCCACTTGTACCCCCCTGCCGGTGTGTGCTGGTGGGTAGCAATACCCAAAGTCCAGAACGGGACCAACCTGTTTCTTACCTAGGGACCACGCCAGCTCCTCCGCCTTTCCGATCCTGCAGCAAGCCATGCCTAGCCAAAAACCCAGACCGGCTATGGTCGAAGATTTCGACGAGAGTCTGAGCGAAACTGTACCTGACTCTAGGAAGGTGGCTAATACTGGTGCCAAAGTTTCCTCCAGGTTGGATCAAAGATTCCCGGAGCCGCTGATCGACGGCGCAAGTGACTCAGGCTATTCTAGTCGTACCGCCGCCACCGTTAATAGCACCCAATCTGGGCCATCGGGCGGACGAAGTCCTCCTGCCCCTCAAAAGACCGACCTGCCCAAACGATCCTCTGATCTCGCCAGAAAGTCTAGCCGCAGAGACCGTAAAGACAAGGAGCGTGCTGCTCGGCCGCAAGACGAAAACATGCAGATGGGTCCCTACCCGGGCACTGCCCACCATCCTCATGCAGGCCGGTCACCGTCCAAGCCTCGTCGACGTGACTCTTACCTTCGCAACGGCCCAGATTATTACTACGAAAACGGCAGTCCATATCACCCGTCGACCCCCATCGACTCTCGCCCCATGGATTACCCACCGCATCCTTCTACCTACCGGCCCCCGCTTCCCGATTTTCATCAACCTCATATGCAACCTCACGGTAGTGCTATGATATATCCCACCGAAGAGTACCACAACAGTCGCTCCAACCGTCCTCACTCAGGGTCCTATCGCTCAATGTATCATGCGGATCCCAGGCCCTCATGGGCTGTAGGAATGCCTCGTGCATATCAGCAACAGATGCCATACCCTGGTCACTCTGGATATGAACATCCTCCACCGCCGCCGTCGGGAGTATGGCAGGGCTCCTACCCTTCGTCTCCATATGGTGCTCCATCCCACTTTGGACAGCAGGAATACTACAGCCAGGAGTCCATGTATAACTATCCTCCCCATGGTCGTGAGCGTTCTGAGTCTCGCCCTCCTGAGTCACAACGGCATCGCCGTTCTTCTGTATACGGTGATCCTCGTGGTCCCCCGCCACCGCCAGCGGAACCAGATGTGTTCCCAGAATGGGATGAAGAGCCACCCCCGGAGCAGTATTACTCCCGCCGGGAATACCGTGAGAAGCCTCGTGGCCGGGCCTCGATTGCCCCGACTGGAGACTATGAAGACAACGACAGGAGTAAGATGCCTCCTCCACCGCCACCAGCACCCTCGAAACACAGAGCTCCGCAGGTTCACCAACAAAGACGACCAGAACGACCGGAACCTCCAAAGCGCCATACTGCTGCTGCCGCAGTGCCCACTACACAAGCACGTCGCTCCTCCAGAGCCTATGAAAGAGGTCTTGACATGAGCGAATTGATGGACTCCGTAAACGAGATTGAGTATGACGATCGCCGGGCACAACGGGAACTCCCTGCCCCCGAACGTAGTCACAGTCTTCGTGGGAGTCGACGATCTACTTCGTACAACGACACTGGTAGAAGCAATGCTCGTGTAGCCGTGGCAAGCTCTGGGCGAAGACGACGCCCCGAGACGTACTATCCCGAAGATCGCCACAGCATGCTTGCGGACCAGGAGGATCTTGAAGCCGAAGCTGAGCGATATCAGGCTTTAATGGCTGGCCGACCCGCCACTGCCCAACTTCCGGCATCTCATGAGACGCTGATGTCCAAGATTGGTAACGGCAGTGACAGTGGCAGTCGAAAGAGTGGATCCGGTAGCAGTCGTGGCAGTGCCACCAGGACTGAGAAGGAAGCCCAGAAGAACATGACCCTTCAATTGAATGGAATGACTCTTGCATTCACTGAGGAAAATCTCGCTGGCAAATCGATTAGCATCCGTACTGGTGACCAAGGTGCAACGCATCTCAACATCACCGACGGTACCAAACGCCCCAAGCCATACGTTCAAGGATCCGCCTACTCTGATAATACGGGCGGCAGCGGCCGCCGAGCACTGGAAAATGGACGACGTACACGCGACGAGCGACGCTCTGAGAGGTCAGAGAAGTCAGTACACCGATCTGGTCGTTCTGGCTACTCTCACTCACAGCGTTACCAGCTCTAAGTCTGCGTTATAAGTTGTCTTCATTAGTACAGGGCTCAATAACCCCTACTCGTTCATATTTTCATTGTTTGGTTGTGGATACTCCTCATTTCATTTCTCTTGTCCTTGTTGCCTCTGCATTAGCGGTAGCTGGCGGGTTTCAGTCTGTCAAAAAGTTTGGAAAAAATCGGTTTCTGTCTCGCGATATCTTCATTTGGGTGGATCATCTTGGAATTTTTTGTTATCTCTCTGCTTCTTTGTTTTCTTTGGCCACCACCACTCCCCACCCCCTCAAAATATGGCGTTCGAGCAAAGCGATCAGGTCCAGCAGGGGAACTTTCTTGGATGAAAGCTCTACATGCCTCCGCGACCTGACCCATCGAACTGGGTGGACTCTCTGGTTTTTATTCATGTTTGCAATTTCCATCTCTGCGATTGGAAGGGCGAGTCAAGCATGGTGCCTTTTCATTTCATCTCTTTTAACTAAGAGAAGAAAAGAAAACGATGTGCAGACTTGCCTATCCTCCTGCCGAGTGTGATATGATTGTACGATTCGATGACCTGCGACGTCTATTTGCTTTGCCCATCTGCTGTTTTCCCTTTTACCCACTCTACGAATTGTTATGCTTGATGAGCGTATTCTGTATATCTCATCATATCATGTCTTGTCCATGTTTATGTCTCATGTCTCATGTTTTTACGCACCGCTTTCATCTGGGCCTTGTCTCTTTCCTGGTTACTGCTTTTGTGTTGGAGGAGAGAGATTATACCCATATGTTCTTTTTTTTCTTTGGCCATAACTAGGCTTTTTTTACTTTCTGTATCTCATATCCCCGTAGCGTGTTTTAAGAGTTCTATCAGGTCAAGTTTGACTTCAATAACCTCTATCTAGCATTTCAAGGTTCACTTCTGATCAAATCTACTTGATAATACCTGATATCACATCCATTATTGTAGCCTAGTAGCCCGAGGTACTCAACATGAGATTTATCAGAACATTTCTCCATGACTTCCATCCATAGGCCGTGTATACAACTCCCAAAACACCAACTCGCTCATCTCTATTCAAGTTGAAGGTTCACATCATAAAAATACATCATCCTTCATAACATCCTCCCAGAATCCCCGTCCAGGATCCTCCGTCACCCTCTGCACAAAGAAGAACCTCTCTAAAACTCCACGAGCCTTATCCCAAGAACTAACCCCTCTTGAAACAGCACACTCAACAAGACCCTCCAAAAACCACGCATGACACTCCAACCCCCTCGAAGCAAAACCCCCCATGAACAAAACCCAAAACAACAGATCCGGCGCAACCCGCCTTATCTCTTCATACGACGACTTCAACGTAGGTATTAAATTATTTTCAATAAACCCCTCACATTGCTGTGGCGATATAGTCCAAAGTCTCGTCACTGTGTAAAGTAACATGGTTAATCTGATGGTGTCCTCAAATGGTGTAATTGGTGTATCCTTATGGAGAGAAATAAGTCGATAAGTAGAAAGAACAAGGTAATCGTTCTTTGTTTCGCTAAATTGATTGTCCACGTGGATGATGCCTTCAAAGTTAAGGATTATCCATTTTAGGGACTTGATTAGAACCTTTAAGCGGGGGGATAACGAATTGAACCACGTCGTATTGGTGAATGAGGATGCGAGGGGGGAGGAATGCGTCTTCTTCGTAGTCGTATGCGTGGTTATTTGGGCGATTTCCCGGTGGACCTTTGCTTCCCAGGCCCTTGAGATATCGAAGAATAAGTCTAGATTATCCGCGAATGCGCGTGTACAGTCCGCGCTTTCATTTATTAGCCTGTTCATGTTTATGTTCATGTGCTTCGTATATCATGTTCATGAAAGAAAGAAAGAACTTACCTATATAGCGAAGCTTGTGTTTCGCTATCAAGATTATCTAACCCGCCAAGCAGGTTGATGATTATTTTAAGACCGTTCATGTGCATCTCAAGTGCGGTGGAGTTCGCTTCGAATCCCTGATTCATTTCCAACATGAGTATCATATCATATCCTGCTCTGTGACTTTGGCTTCACAGTTGACATAGGAGCGGAAAGAAGGGGGAGATTTATGATGTTTAGGTATCATGAATCATGATGCTTACACCCAGGTAAATCAATGTCGCAACGACGGAAATAGCTACTTCCAGCGAAGCATTGGTGGGATTATTCAGGACTCTTTGCAAAGATGCTACGGCTTGAGATTGGAGCTGTAGTGCATCGTGAGTGCATTTTCTGGCGGCTTGTGGTGATATTCCTTTTAGCATTAGGCCTGCGGCCCGGGTGAATGCTCCGCTGGCTGTTAGGACTTCTATTAGGATTGGATGGTCTTGCGCTTTGTTGTAGTACCAGATACTTCTGGCTGGGCCACTAAATGGGAATATGAATGCTGATGTATATAGGCGGACTACATAATATATGGATTAGTGATTAGTTATGATGGATAGATTGGGTTAGTTGTTAGTACTTACAGTGGTTAAAGTAGATGTTCCAATCTTGTTTTGTGGATTTCTTTGGAGATGGAAAGATATCCAGAACCTGTGGTTCTATCCATTGATAAATCATTGGCTCGTTTGGACTTGGAGTATTTTGAATAGTTGATCGAGAGGTGGAAGCCCTCTTGCGTAAAACGATTGGAGAGGGTGATTGATAATAGGAATGTGCGGGAGAGGGTAATTGGATTGAATCCTTTAGAGCTTGGGAGTTCAGTTCCTTCCGCTTTCTGTGATGATTTGATCGGATGAATCTCTGCTTTTCTCTATGAAGGTCTGTCGGAAGTTGCGATTGGTCGTTTTGAGGAGGCATCCAGAGGAAGGTCTGGGGTTTTGGATTTGAGGAGAATACTGCGTTGATGCCATGGTTGCTCTCTGGAGATGTTGAGTTCTTAGGTCGCTCAGAGAGAATGGATGCTTGCTTTGTGACCATGTTGTGTTGTTAACACTGGGCGTGGCGTCCAGATTTATGAGGAGTTAAGGTTTTAACAAAGTTGTGAGGAAGTACGGGGCTTTGGCCGCGGGGTCAGTCGATCATTTCTGTAATGGATCTGATTGGGCGGGGCGACGAAGAAATTAAGGTTTGTTTTCATCTTGCGATTCACCAATCTGTCTTTCTCGGGGTGGAGTATTCTTCTGTGCATTTTTTTGTTTCATTTTGAGGGATTGGTGATAGTTCCAGAGTGAAGTATACTGCTGCTAGGGGTTGAAATGTTGTATTCTCAGTAATATGGCATCGCCCCGGGCCGCAGTATGAGTTATCAGATTGGGATCTATTGGTCTACTAGTAGACTAAATTTAAGAATTGAGTGTAATCGCACTCGAAATAGAAATATGGTAACGAAGAGTGAGTTTATTCTCATAATATGTGTTCATTATTTACATTCCCATATCCATTCCTCCATATTGACCCATGATTTGATAAGTTGTAGTCACGCTGAAATTCACAAAAAGTCCCATATCCATAAACCGTTCTCATAAGATAGCAAATCAAGTACATTCGATCGTATAGGTTGCAAAAAAGACAAAACAAAAAGACAAGCTGGTATTGTCACTATGAGTAGCGGGTCTCGTCACCATCACTATCACTTAGACTGTCACGGCGACGGCTTCGTCGGCCCTCACGGCGATCATCGCGACGATAACCCTTATTCAAACCAGGAATAGGGTGAGGGTAGCTCTTGTGTCCCGAGTCCTCGGTATCCACATTGGAATATTGGTATTCAGAGCGACTGCCCGCAGAAGAGAAGTCCAATGGTTCAGTAAAGTGGCCTGGCATGGAGCGACGATCCTTCTTACGAGGACTGCTAGTGCGAGAAGAAGGAGCCGATGGAGGAGGAGCAGCGGCAGTTTCCTGTCGTTCACGACGACGGTTCTCACGACGGGCTTCACGGCGACTGGATGGGTCACGCAAGGCATGCTCCTCGGTAGTTTGGCTGAGTACATCTTCGCTGCCGGCAGTGAAGGAGAACCCGGATGTGTTGCGCTGCTTCGTCTTCGTACGACGGGGCTTCTCATAAGCATAGTCACGAGCATCGCTCATTTCGCTGCGGTTATAGTGTGTTGGCGGAGCAGATGAATCATAGTCACTGCCGTGGTAGGTTCCGTCTGCCTCGCGATTCATTCCACCGATCTTAGCAGGCTTTTCCTCGCGATAAGCTCGAACATCATCGTCTCCTGCACCTTCCCATTGGTCGTCCTTGCGGCGACGAAGTATTTTCTCCTTCAATCCACGCTTGCGCTTAGGCTTCTCCTCTGTCATAATAGTAGATGCACTCTGAGTATATGTGTCGTAGTCCGTGTCCGTGTAAGTGTATCCGCCATCGCTGTATCCTTTTCCAACGACACTACCACCGCCGAGCTTCGTACTCTTAGTGGCGTTACTGAGTGTTCGTCCATCAGGTCCCTTCCGACGCAAGACGGTAGACTTGTAATCATCCCAATCGGTCTTACGCCACTGGAAACCTCCGTTCTTGGCCCAGAAGAAGAACCAAATTGCGGCGCCTACGAAGGCCGCTCCAATGATGGCAAACAATGCCAGCAGGCCCTGCATTTTGATACTGTGTGGGTCGACGGTGCCCTGTCCATACTTGGCTGTGGTGGCACTTGTAGAGGTAGAGTCGGCTCGAGCGACGAGGGTGTTGAGATTAAAAGCGGGCGTTACTTCAGCGGCATTGTCTTGATTTACATCCCGGGTTTTAGCTGATATTCCCGGAATGTCGGGGAAGTCTTCGAATGGGACGGGCGCCATGATGAAGGCTTGAGCGGTCAAGAGCACGCGGCTCAAGACGAAAGTCTGAAGAATGTTAGATTGGACATTTTGCACATTCTTTGGGAATGATCGAGAACGTACATTGATCAGATACTCAAAGCCAAATTTGAAGGGTTGCTTGCTGCGAAAGGAATGTATGGATATACGCAAAGAATGTTCAGATGGTATCTTTCAGTCAACCTGGTGGGTGGTCAGTTGAGTATGAAGATTCAAACAAGAGGAGAATACCAGCCAGAAATATCCAACTGCAAATGTCCTTGTGGCGAGATCTGGAATTGGGGAGGTTGGAGGAGGCTGGGGTGATGTTTACCCACGCGTTGGCCCGACAACGCACTGACCTCATACACGTTTATGCCTCAGGTATCAGGATTATCATGTGACATATAGGCCAGGGCATAGTAAAATCAGAAGCAGAGTGACATTCCTTTTTCTAGGTCATTTCCTTATCAGATATTTCTGCATTACCTCTGCAATTTTGTGCCACCACAGATTGCCAGCAAGTATCGGACTGGACGACTTTATACTCCCAGTGACCGACCTGGGGAAGTCATACAGACCCCGCCCAAAAGTCCACAAAGTCGCCCCACTTGTTACTACTATGCCAGCCAACATTCATAACTTCTGATGTTATCTTCTTCTTCCACAACAAGTATAGCTCCGTTCGGTTCGAACGTCAGTGGAAATTGAACTTAAAGGCAATGAGCACAGCTCTCTGCTATGCTCCTTATGTGTCTCTACTGTTCCGTTTCGGACCCTTAGCGTGATCTGTATTCACTGGAGAAATTGCTATCCTTCTTACTGATCATAAAAGGTGGTCATATACATGACTGCATCGTCATGCTTAATTGCCTAACACCCCACGCAAGTTTCCAAACGCCTCGTCTAGGTATTTCCGTTGTGCATGAAGACCCGCCCAAGTCTCCCTTACTTCGGGGTTCTTGTTAACTCACACCTTCTAGTCGCACACTTCGCGACCTTTCCAGGTACCCCGTTGCTCCTACGGTATTAAAATACTTTGTGGTCTCCAGGGCTGTACCATGGGCCACACTGGCACTCCTTGGGTTTGATGTGGTCCACTATCTTGATTGGTTCGGAAACCTGAAGCCCCTCTCCTTCCGTGCTAAGACACACTTGAAATTAATTATAGAACTAACGGACCCGCGGAAGCCTTGTAAATATTTTGACATAAACCCAGAAACTATTTGATGGTGATACATTTAACACTTATATCGAGCTATGACACAATCTGCAGCAGGTCAGATCTTCGACTCCAGCATTCCAATCAAATTCAATGTTGTTTTATCATATCATCACACAACATTCAACGGAAATGGCGTGCCTCAATGACAGTCTGCTGATTTCCAAGCAGCCTGGTCAATCTAATTCTTCTTAAGAATGATCGCTTTCCTAATGACTTCTTCAAAATCCCATTCTACAAAGTAAATTGCATTTATTAATTATTTCCTCCGAGGCCGAACGCAGTGCAAATGCCACAGAATGCCATCCGACCACGCGAGTTAAACACCATGTCTAATACTGAAAGACAACCGCTATTAGAGCCCGGGAGTCAACGGAATGACGTCCAAACTATCTCCAATAGAGATATACCCGTGTATCCAGACAGCCTGCCAGGTCCAGCTTATGGAAAAAGTCTCACCTGGTGGAGCTGTTATATAATTGTTGTGTCTAGAGTTATAGGGAGCGGCATCTTCTCAACGCCTGGTTCTATTGCTACATCTGCTGGTAGTGTGGGACTTACGCTTTTAGTATGGCTATTCGGCACCATTCTCTCAGCCTGTGGGCTGGCTGTATCGATGGAATATGGTTGCATGCTTCCCCGATCAGGTGGTGACAAGGTAAATTCATATAAATTCCATATTACCAGTAGGCTCCAGACAATTAATAAATTGATTTTTGCAGGTGTATCTAGAGTACGCCTATCGTCATCCGAAGTTCCTCGCTTCCACACTCGTCGCAGTACAAGCCGTCGCCTTAGGATTCACAGCGAGCAACTGCGTCATCTTCGCCAAATACACATTGTTTGCGCTAAATAGTACTCAGCCGACTGATCTACAATACAAGGCATTGGCAGTCGGTCTTTTGACCGCGATTACCATAATTCATGGATTCTTTTTGAAGACGGGAATATACATTCAGAATGCACTTGGTTGGGTCAAGATATTTTTGATCGGAGCCATGTCCTTGACAGGAATATGGGTGCTTCTGCTCCATTTATTCGGAGGAGCCATTGATACCTCCGCCCCTGAAGCTCCCCAATCCACAATAGAGTCATGGGACAAGCTTTGGGAGGGCTCAAATTGGAGCTGGAGCTTGTTGTCGACTGCGCTCTTCAAGGTTTATTACTCCTATGCCGGGTTAAGTAATGTCAACAATGTGCTTGGCGAAGTACAAGATCCAATTGGCACACTCAAGACGGTTTGCCCAGCAGCCCTGCTTACAGCCGGGGGTCTTTACTTCCTAGCCAACCTATCTTACCTTCTAGTCATTCCTTTGGACGAGATCAAGAGAAGTGGAGAATTGGTGGCCGCTTTGTTATTTGAACGATTATTTGGCGATGTGGGAAGAACATTCTTTCCACTTGCCATCGCCATCTCAGCCGCGGGAAATGTAATGGTTGTGACCTTCGCCTTGGTATGTATCCTCCTCACATTTGAGATCAACCCGCTTACAAGAAAGTATAGGCACGAGTTAATCAGGAAATTGCTCGACAAGGATTCCTACCATTCCAGGGCTTCCTTTCATCCTCTCGCCCATTCAATACCCCCCTAGGAGGACTGATTGTGCACTACATACCATCAATTCTAGTCATTGCACTGCCACCACAACAAGATATCTATAACTTTATCCTCGACGTCGAAGGATACCCTGGCAACATTTTTGCTCTCGCTATTACAGTCGGCCTACTGATTCTGCGATATAAAGAGCCGAACACCCCACGACCATTTAAAGCATGGCTTCCGGCTGTTTGGTTAAAGGTAATAGTCTGCATCGCATTATTAGTGACCCCTTTTATCCCACCTCCAGGTGGAAGAGGAGATGTTCATTTCTTCTATGCAACCTATGCTCTTGTCGGGATCGGAGTGTAAGTCTTCCTCGAGTATCTATATGAATGATAACTAACTTGGATAGAATATTATTTGGTATCATATACTGGTACGTGTGGACGGTACTTTTACCGAATCGAGGGGGGTATAAACTCGAGGAGGCCGTGGAAACACTTGATGATGGTACCCCAGTTACCAGGCTTGTTCGCTCTTATTATCCTCGTTGAAGGATTCAGTTGGAGTATGAAATACAGGGTAAAGATAATTATACAGGAAAGAAGGTTGAAGTTTGCTGCGATGTATGTCATTGTAACTCGGTCTCCCAATATAGTATAACATGAATGTAATCACCGGTAGGTATGCGTAATCCCGATCATCGATTTCTTTCTTCTTTCCCCACAAAAGTTGTTTATCTATGACTGTAAGGTGTAATGCCCGAGGCCTGTGCTGCACCAAGCGTACATGTCGGGTTACTCTATGGATTGTTTTCTTTCAGGCCTGTTCCCCCTTGCTCTTCAGATGTCGGGAATTCGACGCTGGTTTTGTTTTGATAGCTCCGTGAATAAGCTTCAAAATTCCGAGTCTTCTTAGAGTGTCGTAGAGCGTGAGACTCATCTTCAGCCTCGGATGGACGGAAACACGAACGGAAACACATGGTGACGGCGTTCGGTCTTATAGCCGGTTTTAATGAGATGAATGGAGTTCGTCGTTTTGGTGCCTGTCTTGCGATAGCATAGGGAAGCAAGAGGTTCAAGTCAAGTCTTTCCTCTTCAAGCTATAGTGGGTTGTTGAAGACTCCTCTGATGAAGACTCCTCTGACGAGGTAGCACGTAAGTCTTCTGGTATGATTTTCCAATCTTGCCAGGCCTTTGTCGTCTGTGGCGGGGGCCAAAGCTCATGATTGGCGACGCGATCGAATCAGTCATCCAACAAATAAAAAGAACTATTTTTTTTTTCAAATGAACTAAACGTTAACTTAAGTTATAGTTAGCCTCAGGTTGTTACGTAAGGGAGGCCCTAATGCTAGGCCTTCGATAAATGAACCATCAAGGGTTGCTTTTCCCAATTGTTATAGGCCTTCTGATCGGCCCATCCAGCTGTGCTGTCATCCAGTTTCATGTCAAAACTCCAGAAAACTTTGGCCACGATAAGTCTCATCTCTGCATATGCGAGGCTGGGACGAGGTAGTGGTTAGTACAGTGCGTAGTTAAGTAGCTTGAGCAGCTCCTACTTTTTACCAATACAATTTCGGGGTCCGAGTGAAAATACCGAAAGGGCCGCACGGTCATCAGACTCATAGCGTGCTTCTCTGTCCTCCAGCCATCGCTCTGGAATATAAGACTCGGCATCAGCGAAATAGCATTCGGCATGGTATGTAGAATAATGAGCTCCACCAACGGAAACCTGTTCGAATTAGCCTCGGTAGACTTTTAAATCGCAAAAATGAATCAATATGCTCACTCCTTCCGGAACATATTCTCCATCAATGACTGACCCTCCCTTTGGCACGATACGTGGTAGTGTTGCAGGGAGTGGCGGATACATACGAAGAGCTTCTTCAAGGGAGGCATTCAAATATGGCAACCCAATGACAGCTTTGAAGTTGATCTCGTCATAGGATTGAAATGCTCCCCGAAGCTCTTCTCGAAGTTTCTGGTACGCGCTTTTGTTCTGAAGAAGGTAGTACGTAAAGCCAGAAAGCAAGCTAGCAGTCGTTTCACTCCCAGCAATAATCAAAAGACCAGCATTTGCCTTCATTTCCTGAACAGACAGCGAACGATTATCAGTATGGCGCATGACATAAGTCATGAAATCTGGTCTGTTTGTCTCTGTTTCGATTCGGCGAAGAAGTTTCGCTTCACTCATCTGATAATGTTTCAATCTATTCTCCATAACTTTCTTGGGTAGTAATTTCTTCACAATCGGCGCTAACGATGGGTATATAGCAAGGGGCCGCATAAGTGATACTCCTTTCGCGCTGGCAAAGACCATAGATACCCATGGGTGATACTTGTTATCCTTTAAACAATCAAATGGCTCTCCAAATGCCAAGTCGCCGATAATATCGAAGGTTGTGTAGTTATACCACCGAACCATGTCAACAGTATCTTGTGATCTGGATATCTCTTTATTCAATCCATCGACCAGTAAGTCAACATAAGATTGAATCAGGCCTTCTTGTTCTCGCAAAGCCTTTTCCGAAAACGCATGCGACAGTAATCTTCTCGTTCTTGAGTGGTCTGCATCATCAGCATTCAATATGTTGCCACCGAAGGGATTCTTGATGCTGCATGTCTGGTTTAGTCACCGCTCAACTTTTAGTTTGACAAATGAATAGTTTTAGCTTACTAGAAGTGGGATCTTTCAGAAATGAGCCCGCTCCGGTCTTGCGGTGGCCGTAAATATCCTTCCAGGCCTGCGGACTTCGATAGACCAGAATTGACGGTCCCATTCGAACTACATCACCATACTTGTCGTGTAGCTCTTTCATTTTGATGTGGTTAACACCTTTGAAAGTCCAATAAATTGTCGGGCCATAAGAAATTGCCGCAAACTTTGGTCCTGGAAATTTGGAGAGAGGACTCAAGAAAAGGTTGTATATCACCGTCCATAGAATGTAACCAGATATCTATATTTGCGTTTTAGAAGTTTTTCCTTTCCATGAGACGAAGATAAACGGTGAAGAAGGAGTAATAGTGAGACATACACCAAAGGCAACAAAGCATATTACAGGTAGAGGGGTAAACGCACCCTCGCGCAAGATCGAGGACGCCATACTAGTAATGATCTGAGAGAATGAGCAGAAACTCCGAGAAAGAACGCGAAATTGAGGGGTAACCTTGATTTAAATTGATCTTGCGGGGGTCGCTTAGCTGCGAAGTAAAATATGCACGAAGTTCACCTAGGGTGAAAAAATGACGCACTCTGCAGGATTAAATTAAAAGATCGAAGCCCCAAGCACATGCATTTGATTTAGGCCTTTGAGAAACCTCGGGAGCTCGCTACCTCTTGCAGTAGAGTCTGAATGGGCTTTTTCCATCTCGGACTACGAGTTTGCGGTAGAGTAATCGTGGCTTTTTGGGTCCTGCTAGCTGGGATACAACCCACTATTTTGTATATTGATTGAATCGAACTGTACAGAAATAAAGACCAGTATCGATACACTCTCACAATGTTTGCGAGGACCTTGAAGTCCGGCATGGTACAGGCTTTCCTTTGCGACCTTTCAATGTTGAACTTTTGGCATTATGATCGGTTGACTCATCATCCAACGAAGTTCTTTCTGTCAGAGGATCTGGTCCATTTGGAGCTGGAATAAGATAGAAAACTTGAAATCAACGGCATATCTTGAACTTGAGCTAACTACTGCATGGTTCTGGGTGAATCATGATGTTTCTATCCATTTTCTCTTGCACGGTTGAGAGGCTGTTCCGGCAATAGAGACGCGTCAAAGCTTCGAGATTTGAGAGCGAATAGCTACTCCCATCAGGACCTTGATAGAGCTCGCAAAACTTGTATATATAACATATTGATTCATATTGTTTAGACAGGAGAGAAGAAGTTAGTATCTTGTAAGTTAAAGTACATATTTGATATAGTGCCATGACGCAAAAAAGAACAAAGTACATGAGTGATTTTTAGTCCACGGTAGCGTCAGCTTCGTGAACATTGAACAAAGGTATGATCTTCTAGAGAAAGCCAACAAGTCTATGCTTTATCTGATCAACTAGATGTAATGCGTTTTGGCCCCGCCAGGCCAGATGAGATTGGGGGAATAAATGATACATGGGTCGGAATGGAGGCGGGTCGAGGGGATTAAACCAAACAAGGCTGAATCTGGCGAAATGCTTATTTCTTGTTTCGGTCGGCCTGGGCCTTGACGTACTTCGCGACAAGCTCTTTTCTGTTGGTTCGATGGTTGGTCAGTATTTATTAATCGACAAAGGGACGAGAGAAGCGGGTTAACTTACTGCACCTGGGGAGGAGCCTTCTCGTAGTGGCTGAACTCCATGGTGTATTCACCCTTGCCTTGGGTGGCGGCACGGAGGTTGGAGCTGAAGCCGAACATGCCGTTCAGACTGCAGTCGGCAAAGATAGTAAACTCGTCAACGCCAGTCTCGGTGTCGTTGATGGTAGCACCACGCTTGTTCAGAAGACCGATCACATCACCCTGGAACTCGGAGGGAGCGGTGACAACAGTCTTCATCAAGGGCTCGAGAATGGAGGGGTTACTGCCCATGAAAGCCTTACGGAAAGCCTGTTGAGTGGCGTTCTTGAAAGCCATCTCAGAAGAATCGGTCATGTGAGTAGCACCGTCGTTAATGACCATGCGAGTACCCAGAATCTTGTGCCCAACCAAGGGACCCTTCTCGCAGGAGAGGTTGAAACCCTTCTCACAAGCAAACAGGAACTTCTCGGAAATGCTACCACCAACAACCTGCTGCTCGAACTTGTTCTCTTCGAGAGCACCAGTAGGCTCCATCCATCCCATAACACGGGCAAAGTCACCAGCACCACCAGTCTGCTTCTTCAGCAGGTGGTCAAACTCAATACGGTTTCCAATGGTTTCACGGTAAGCGACCTGAGGCTGACCAGTCTCGCAGTCAACACGGTACTCACGGCGCATACGCTCAACGTAAATATCGAGATGAAGCTCACCCATACCGGAAATGATGGTCTGCTCACTCTCACTGTCGTAGGTCACACGGAAAGTAGGGTCCTCTCTCTGGAAACGGGCCATGGCCTTGGAGAAGTTGGCGGCATCCTTGCTCTGCTTGGGCTTGATGGAAAGCGAGATGACGGGCTCAGGAACGAACATGGAACTCATGCTGTAACCCAGCTGTCCATCAGTGAAAGTATCACCGGAGGCACAGTCAACACCAAAAACGGCGCAAATTTCACCAGCACCAATTTCATTGACCTCCTCCATCTCGTTCGAGTGCATACGCACAATGCGAGGGATCTTGACCTTCTTGTTGTTGCGAGCGTTGAACACGTTGGCACTCTTGCGCAGGGTACCCTGGTACACACGGATATAGGTCAATTGACCGAAGTTACTCTCTTCCAGCTTGAACGCGAGACCAACGAAGGGAAGGGAGTTATAGGGGACAAGCTTGACAGAAGCTTCATTGCGCTTCTGGTCGAGGGCAAGATTCTCCACCTCGGAGGGGTTGGGAAGGAAGTCAATAACACCGTCCAGCATAGGTTGCACGGACTTGTTAGCAAGGGCAGAACCCATGAAGACGGGAGTGAACTTGAGGCTGATGGTCGCACGACGAATAGCAGCACGCAGCTGGTCCTCGGTGGGTTCACCTTCGTCGAGGAAGATCTCAGCAATCTCATCATCGACATCAGCAAGGGTTTCGATGAGCATAGCTCTACGCTCCTTGGCAATGTCCTTGACCTTGTTAGGGATCTCATCGGTCTCCTTGAGTTCCTCACCATTCTCGCCAACATTGTAGATCGTCTTCATGCGAATTAGATCGACAACACCCTCGAACTCATCTTCCGCACCAATAGGCACCTGAACAGCAGCGGCATGAATTTTAAGCTTTTGGTTGATCTGGTCAATTGCCTTGAAAGGGTTGGCACCCATACGGTCCATCTTGTTGACGAAGGAAATACGAGGGACGTTGTAACGGCGCATTTGACGGTCGACGGTAATGGTTTGAGATTGGACACCAGAAACGGCACATAGGATCATGACAGCTCCGTCAAGAACGCGCAGTGCTCGCTCAACTTCGATGGTGAAATCAATGTGACCGGGGGTGTCAATCAAGTTGACGTGGTACTTCTGGTCGACGCCCTCCTTGTCCTTCTTGACCCAGTCACAGAAGGTTGCAGCAGATTGAATGGTAATACCCTTTTCACGCTCCAAGTCCATGGAGTCCATCTTAGCACCGACGCTATCACGTCCGCGAACCTCGTGGATTGCCTTGATTCGGCCGGTGTAGAAAAGGACACGCTCGGTACAAGTGGTCTTACCACTATCGATATGAGCCTATCAGATATAATTAGTTAGACAGGATTCAGGATAACCTTTCTGGTGTCGATGGTTGTTATGTACCGCAATACCGATATTTCGGACTTTGTCCAAGCGAGCAGCCTCCACGGGGTCGAGGTTGTCGATAATAGCGGCTTGCGACAGGGACTCCGGGCTAGCGGCGGCAGCCTCAAGACTATTAAATAGAGACATGTTAGCATAGAGCAAATATCTATCAATCGGAGACCATAACTTACACTGCAGATGCAGTGGCAGAGGCGTTGCGTCGCTGTTCCCATTTTCTCAGGACTGACTGATAAGCCGGCGCGACAGCGGAAGACCGCAAAGCGGCCGTGGATGCGCATCGCGATTGAAGAAGACCCTGAGACTGGAAACGAGATGATCTGGCCAAGCCAGACATCGCACGGTATTGTAACCGCGCAAGAGAAGGAGACCTCATGGCGACGGTCAATTCGCTGTAGAATTGATCGGATCAAGACAGATTGATCTACTTGTTTGTTCGAAGAAAAAAAAAGTTCGGGGAAGCCAGGAACCCGCCACGTGACCGCTAGCCTCTCAGGAACAGCGCATTACATTGACAATCATTGGAGTCATCCACGTATTGAATATGCTATATTTGATTCCTATGAGCTACCTATATAACTCATTTTTAATACATTCAACTTGGCAGATAAGTGTTTTGAAATTGTGAGCCGTGTAGATATCAATTGAGTTGGATTGATTCAATATGGAGACCGCATTTTTTGGTCTCGAGACTAATGTACAAGAAAAGACCCAAGCGCCGCAAAAGAATTCCCAGTAGTTTTTCTGGGCCGAATACTGAATACATATGCAAAGTTATAGGCAGAGGTTGAGGTCGAAGGTATCGAAGGTATCAAATCATGCATGCCGTCGAAGAGAAACAGGAAGCGGAGAAGACCCCCCACTCTATTTTCCTTGACGTTGCTTGTGCTTGGGGTTTTTGGAGCTAAGAGAAACAGATCTATTAGCATATGCAAATACTATACATTTGCAATTTGAGGTCAATTCCTTACCAAATAATGTACACGCGGTTCTTCCGGCGAACGGGCTGGGGCAGATAAAGTCAGCATATACAACAATGCTAGGATAATGGCACTTTCAGGCTTTGCAGAGAAGGCAATTCTGAAGCATTAAATTCATACCTTGCAGCCATCACACAGACGCTTCACTGAAGAGCGAGTCTTCATTCCCCGAACCTGCTCGAGCTGCCGAGAAGAGCCAACGGCGGCGGCGACAGCATTGCCGGTGTTTGATTGATCACGCAGCTTGGTAAGGCCATTTTGGATCATATAAGAGAAAGGTCGGAGAGAGGCGACGCGAGAGAACGACCGGCGAGAAACAGAGGGGAGGAGTTGGCGGAGAGCACCGGGGGCTCTGAAGACGGATCGAAGGGAGAACATGATGCGAATTTTGATTTTTCTTCCAGATAGACGGTTTCGAGGCACAGAGCCTCACTTTCTCAGACGACGAGAAAGGCGATAAAGCGATGCAAAGTCGAGGCTGTTCAATTTGCTACCAGGGTTATCGCGGCTCTTGCTGCTGGAAAGAATGTTGCGCAGTGTCGGAGGTCAAGGTTTTGCCGAGCCGATCCTGCAGCGATGCTGATTGGTGGGTCTGCAACAATACTTTAGAGACTCGATGTTGGCTAACATGCTTAGTGACAAACGCCTTTTGACGAGAAGGAAGATGTGTGATATATTGATGGAACAGATTATTTAAATTTTATTGCCCTGCTCAATTTTTACTTCTACCAAGACAACAGATATTCAGGCGATTCTGTACCCATACTTGGTAAGGAAACAGATAAGGAAACAAAGTCTTGGAAAGAGTAAAAGAATATCAATGAAAATTATTTTGTGGAAAAAAGATCTATCATACAATTGAAGCCATCAATATTCCATAGTCTATGTCCAAGAACCGAACGCCGAATGAAGCACAAAGAGTATTTTGTACTAAGAAGCCGCTGAAGAGGAAGGAAGGGAACAGGAGAAATAGACACTATTCATCATACCAGATTATATCCATCGCGGTCGAAAATTCACATGATCATATCTTCAGGTGAAAAATATTACGATCGAAGGAAAGTTTGGTAGGTAGGGGAATCGGTATGCTCGCTGAATGGATAGCCCAGGTCCCGGAGGAACGATTCGAGCTCGTCTTTCTCATCAGGAGGACATTGGATAGCAGCCAAAACCTTGCCCACGTCGCCACCGTAGTTGCGATAGTGGAAGAGAGAGATGTTTTGGTTGGGACGAAGAGTAGTCAGGAACTTGGCCAAAGCACCCGGTCGCTCGGGGAACTCGAACATGAAGAGCCGCTCATGGGCCACATTGGAACGTCCTCCAACAAGGAATCGAACGTGGCGTTTGGTTAACTCGTCATCGCTCAAGTCCCGAGGAGTCAGTCCTCCCTTTTCAAGCTCTTCCATAATCTTAGCCAGGTCGTCACGACCAGTTAATGCAGACAATGAGATGCCCATAAGAACATCCGCTGAGTCGTCCTTTGCGTAACGGTAATTGAAAGCAGTGACCGCGTGAGGAAGCACAACCTCGACGAGTTTGGCAAAAGCACCAGGCTTCTCGGGGATCTTGACACTCAACAAAGCCTCCTTCTTTTCGCCAAGAGCAGCCCGCTCAGCCACAAAGCGCAATCGGTCAAAGTCCATGTTAGCACCAGAATTGATAGCAATCAGCTCACGGCTGGCATCGGGACTAGGGTTGTTGGAAACATATTTCTTGAGACCAGCAAGTGCAAGTGCACCGGCAGGCTCAACGACGGTTCGAGTATCCTCGAACGCATCCTTAATAGCAGCACAGATCTCATCAGTGGAGACCTGGACAATCTCATCGATCACGTCACGACTAACGCGGTAAGTTTCTTCGCCGACAGATTTGACGGCAGCACCGTCTGCGAAGAGACCAACTTCCTTCAAAAAGACACGCTGATTCTCGTTCAATGACTGGGCCATGGCGTTCGCATCATAAGCCTCCACGCCGACGATCTTGACTTGTGGCGCAATGCGCTTCAAGTAGACACCGATACCAGCAATCAAACCGCCTCCGCCGACACCACAGAAGACCGCCTCCAGTTTATCCAAGTTCGCCTGGCGCAGCAGCTCCATTCCAATGGTACCTTGACCAGCAATAACGTACGGGTCATCGAATGGTGGGATGTTGGTCAGACCGTGCAGTTTCTCCAATCGGTGGGCCTCTTCCTTGGCTGCGTCGAAATCGTTTCCATGCAGAACCACGCTTCCCCCAAGACGGGCAACGTTCAAATGTTTGATTGCGGGAGTGCCCGAGGGCATAACAATAGTCGCGGGGATTCTGAGTTTACGAGCAGAGAAAGCGACACCCTGCGCATGGTTGCCGGCTGAGCACGCAATAACACCTTTCCAACGCTGCTCCGGGTTCAAGTGAGCCATCTTGTTGTAAGCGCCCCGAAGCTTGAAGCTGAAAACGGGCAGCAGATCCTCACGCTTGAGAAGCACTCGGCTCTCCAATCGGTTACTCAAGTTGACGGCATGGGTAAGTGGAGTTTCCTCGATAACATCGTAAACGCGGGATGTCAAGATCAATCGGAGATACTAGAAAGCGCAAGTTAGAATTGTGACAAAGAATAAAGTAAAGCGGAATCTGTTCTAACGTCAGGGTAGCCGTTTGGTAGCAGAAAAGCATCTGGAATTCCCCAGTTCGGAGGCAGGCCTGGGAATCGTGGGTTACGCTCCGATGGAGGCGTTGGAGCGGCGGTGTACTCAGTTAAAGCCAAGCCATTCGTTTTGGGAGTGACTGGTCTCGTAGAGCCGTTGGTGGGTGATTCGTCAGACATGATGATCCTGAGAAAAGTCAACCTGTCCAAAGACACTTGACAAGGAGGGTTCAATGGCTCAGGAGGGGGAATTGAGAAATTGTCGGAAATTCTTTGATCTCTGACTCTTTTTTCCTGCGGGGGACCGGGATCGGCCTTATGTCATCAACCCCCGGTCGCAGCCCTAAGCCCCTCGTCGAAGAAAGAGTAGCTAGAAGATTTATATATGCTGAAAATATCGAATATATAGCCTTTGAGGATTTCCTCCCGTCTCAGCTCTCTTTAGAGAGAAAGCGTCGTTGTTGTGCGAAGATATATGCTTAAGATTGCGATCAATCTATAAGTGGCGGTCAATGCTGATATATGGATTGACTACTATCGGTATATAAGTCGTAGACAAAGAGTTGTTTTAGGTGGTATTTTGTTCCGGCATATTGTATGAAGACTTATATATTTCGCTTCACGTGTAAATAACCCTGTCCAAATCTAAAGGTTTGCTCTCTGTAGTGCTTTGAATCCTCTTAGTTTGTTGTTGCAACTTGCACGATCCGCCCATACATAAGGCCGCCGGGAGGAAAAAAAACTCCTTGGCAAAAACTCGCGACGTCATGCTGCACTCGACACATCGCGTGTACTTTAACTAAACGCCATCACCCCGCCTTCAATCGAACTTTCCACCGAAAAGCCAATAAGTGACTCGTGACTGCTTTGTAGCTCAAACCGCCCAAAACCATCGAGCTCGGACCCAGCAAACTACTACTCGACTCTATCGATCTCTCCAATCCACCGCCACCATGAGTCGTGAACCTCTACCATCCTCTTTGGACATTAGCAAGTACGTGCAATTCATCACAAGACCGGTCAGAACCTAGCAAATCGCCTCGGAGACCCCCTCGGAGACCGGCGGGGAGAGCGTCACAGAACCACCTGCTAACCTACACCTTCTTACCAGTCAATTCCGGGAGGAAAGCGGTCTTCAAAAATTTACCAGGCGACTCAAGGAAGAGCCATTGATCCCACTAGGTAAGTTGGAACCTTAAACCAGATCGCAATATCAGGTCAACTGGTATGACACCTCTTCCGGCCCCATGTGCTCATTCATTCGTTCCATAGGATGCGCCGCCACGTGCTACGCCCTCTACCGGGCCTACCGATCCATGAAGGCCGGCGACTCAGCTGAGATGAACCGCATGTTCCGCGCTCGTATCTACGCTCAAGCATTTACACTGGTCGCGCTGGTTGCAGGTGGAATGTATTTCAAGACAGAACGAACGCAACGCCGGGAATTCGAGAAGGCGGTTGAAGAGCGCAAGTCACAAGAGAAGCGCGACTTGTGGTTGCGTGAGCTGGAGATTCGTGATAAGGAGGATCGCGAGTGGCGAGAGCGCCATGCTGCTATTGAAGCCGCGGCCAAGGAAGGAAAGAAAACATCAGAGCCGGATGCTGCACGTGCGTCGATTGAGCCGGCTGACGAGAAGAAGATTGGGGTTCTGGATGCTGTGAAGGTGTTACTGGCGAAAAGCAATTAGTTGGTCAGTGTATGTGTACAATATAGTAGTGACGGTTTTGTATTATTTGTAAATAGCCTCCAATCTCCACAAGCATTCTTAAGTTTTTCTTGATATCACGGGATTTATAGATGACATGGTTTGATTTACCAATTGGCCAGCTTATTTACTTATGTTTTCAACAGATATAAGCAGACCGTTGAGAGTATATTACGGGCAGGGACTCGGAATCCCTTTGCGGAGGATTTGCCTGGCGATATTCCCAAGGGGGTTGGCACTTTCAGAAACATATTTGAGCCCGGTTTCGAGCGCCCGAACGCAATGTATATAGATGATCTGATCCAGCTGGGTACATTATTCGTAAACCATATCTATAACCCCTCGATGAATGGTCTTAGCTATGTGAATTCAGATACCTATGGAAGGTTGGAAAAGGGATTTGAAAGATCTTCACAACATTAACCCACGGCGTCATAAATCGACATCCAGAGCTTAAGCTTCTATTAGTTTTCAAGTGACTATGGGCTGATCATCGTCAGGCTGAGGAACCTGCGTGTGACATGGACCATTCTAGGCTTCTATTCTGGACCGTGACCTGGGGAAGTTCAACAAAGCTTGTTAGGGTAAGTGGAGCATCGTATACTCGATCCTGCTGACTCGGAAACAATCAGCGCCGACATGACTACTGAAGCATAAATCGAAAACGGCATGATCTGGTATTCTCAGACAAGTCTTCGTCAGAATTGTTGGGAATAGCTAGCCGGTCATGGTTATGGTATGACGTATAGGGGCGAAAGTTGACATGGGAAAACTCGAAGCCTCCAAGGAAGACTAGGCATTAAAATCGGCATTGGGCTGTCAAAAATTACTCACATCGAAAATACAACGAATATCGGCGTGACCGAAGTGTGATTGAGTGGAAGTGATCGTCCTTTCAGTCTCCGTTCTGCCGAGGACGCATGTGAGATCGACAGACTAGCGCACCATCGACTCAACAGACTTTCTCCTTGTTTAGCAGGATCAACCAAACCCGAAAATGAGTTTTTGACTAAACCAAACTTCTTTCTTCAAATATGCAGCCAAAATAGGACGGCAAGGGCTCAGCCCATCCTCAAATTGAAGGAGTTGAAGTTGAAATGTGCTTGGGGAAGATATTTGCGGTACTACCGAGGCGGTTCCTGATGGACCCCGGAATGCACCCGTGGGCCGTGGCGCGCTAAACTTTGATAGTGGCAGTCTCTATTGAAAAGTAGGAACAGAGAAAAAGAGCCCCCGACAAAGACCCTTGTCGGTACTGCGTGCTCCACAATTTCGGGTTCGTTCCTTTGTCTCGCAACATGCATGGTCTCCCGTGTTCTTGTTGTCTGTCCCCCATGACGTCTAGTCACACTCTAAACGGGGGCCTCGGTTTCTTGTAAATCTCTGCTAGTGTCAATCCTAGACTCTCTATATAAGCTTTGGATCACTCCGCTGGGCTGAAGTGGATCTTGTTCATCCATTCTCTCTATCACGTGAAAATTGTCTTTGCGCGCGAAGACACTTTCGCTGCTTGATACTCCTATATCAACGCCTAAACCACACGCTTTATCTCATAAACTTAATCAAAATCGCCTAATATGTTGTCCTGGGTATATCCAACTCGAATTGTGCAGGCTCTCCTCGCCCTGGCAACCATTGGCCTCGCAGCCTTCGGCGCTACATCACCCTTCTCCAATGTGATTTACTTCTTGCTCTTCAACGGATGCTGGACAACTGTTATCGCTGTCCCCTACCTGGGCCTTGCGCCATTGTGGTTCCCACGATTTTCGCACGAGTTCGTCATCCCAGCTGTTGAATTTGTCACAATGGGACTCTGGCTCGCTGGTTGGATTGCCACTGCTGCACTGCTGCCGAAGCCGAGCTCATGCAATGACTCGTACTGCCAGGCTCAGCAGGCTCAGATTGTTATTGCTGCAATTGAATGGTAGGTACTATTACGGAATGAAACTGTTGTACTATGATCTAATTTGATATCTTTAGGGCTCTCTTCCTACTTACCAACGTCTTCGCTTTCCTGGATGTTAAGAACTCTCGATTCAACCGAAGGACTCATGAACAGTCCGCTGCTGAGCAGACTGAACAGACTGAGACTGCTCAGGTTGACGCTGCCCAGGCTGCCTGATTTACAATAATCGCAACTGTGTTGCTTTTGTCGATTTCCCTTGTGATGTCAACATTCAATACCCTCTTAATACGAAAATGGAACCGGGGTGCACATAAATGGATAGTTTAGGTGAATTGTTGATAATGTTTGATGAGTTGGTGCACGATACTCAATTATTGTGGATATTGACTTATATACTGGTGGAAAATATGGCGCACATATATCATACGCTACATGTGATAATACGATAATGATACTTATAATGATTACCTCTAACATTCTTGACCCAACTCAAAATCCGAAATTGTAACAAAATTGATTTGACCGAGAATCATTAACGACAACAGATAGTGGTATCAAAGCGCTAACATTCCCAGCTCATAAAACTCAAACCCAATGAAGCAAAAAAGCAATTTAGTCACGTCAAAAGAAAAATATTGTGGAAAATCATCCCAAGTCCATCTCGTCAGAGTCTGGCGGCGAGAGCATAGCAGGTGGCGTCGAGCCGTTTTGATGATATCCCAGGATTTCAGCGTATCTAAAGCTGGGGTTAGCTAATATAATTTCAAGTCTTATCATTTCAGACTAACATGATTGTTTTCCAAACGTCGGACGTCAATTCTGCGTCCAGAAAAGACCAATCTACTAATTCGTCCGCTACCGGCTCGTCCTTTGGATCATGATATGCCCCGAGGTATGGAGAAGTCAAAGTCTCGGCGGCAGAGATTCTCTTACTAGGATCGTATTGTAGCATTCTATCCAACAAAATTGTCGCTGAGATCCTGTCAGTATGTTACACATAAATTTGGTTACTCGGATAGAGTCCATACCCTTTGGATTTGCTCCTGGAATGATTGTTGACCAGGGCTTACGAGATCGTTTCGGTAAAGATTTGACGAAACCCATAGTCTGGGGATTATTAGCATTTACGAAAAGAAGTATATTGGGTAGGCAGGTGTTTGATGTAAAACTCACGTTTGGACTGGTAACGTTGTCAATAACATTATCTGGCGGAGAACCGAGAAGCTTGGTGATAACGCAGAATTGATCGATATGGTTCTTTCCTAAAAATAGAGGTTGTCCCAGAAGCATCTCGGCGAAAATACATCCTACACTCCAGATATCGACTTTTTCGTTATATCTTCTCCAGGTGAGCATTATCTCCGGGGCTCTGTAATATCTCGTAGATACATATCCGGTCATCTGGGCCTCTTGAACACGTGCTAGGCCGAAGTCGCATATTTTGAGATCGCAATTTTCGTTAACGAGGATGTTGCTTGGTTTCAGATCGCGATGAACGACGCCAGCCGAATGGACATATTTCAGGCCTCGCTAATTAACATGTTAATATGATATGATATGACTAGGAATGAAGCTGATTGATATACATACCAGTATTTGGTACATGAAGTATTGGGTGAATTGATTATCCAGTTTTTTTGTATTTAACAGAGTATGTAGGTCGGTTGACATAAGTTCCGTGACAAGATAGCTTCATTGGCATGTCAGCTTTAAAATTTCAACCACCGGCCATTCAGGATTGCTAAATCACGTACATATCTTCGGTCGGGGAAATGAAGATATCATTCAAATGAATGATCTGCGGAATTGCTGCGTCAGTCTTCACCCACTTATAATCGAGCACATTGATTTGGCACTAACATTATCATGCTTGAGCATCTTTAACAATTTGACTTCTCGGTACATGTGCCTCGCGATATTTTCTGATTTGAATGGATTGGCGAGCTTCTTCACGGCAACGGTTCGATGGGATATTTGGTCTTTGGCAGAACTATTGGGACGAATGGGCGATTTGTTAGCTTCTGCAATAAAATGAAACAAGAAATTGCGGGGATCATACCAGACTAAGCCTGAGACGCCGATTCCAATAGGGTGCAATTGTTTATACCTGGATGTGGGTTAGCATCTGTACAATACAGAATGTAAGCAGCAATTGATAATGCAAAACGAACCGCTCGGTGGTTTCGAACGAAGTACCCATAATGGACATTTGGGTAAACTGAGCCATCTCCTGTCCTGGAGTAGCATATTGATCCATCGTGGACATTGTAATGAGTTAGAATGTGGTTAAGCTAGTTTAAGCCACATTTGAATCGTTGAGTGCGATGGTCTTGCAAAATATGTGTAAGTTTGACAAAAGGCAGAGAAACCCATTGTGTTTTATCAAGACACGCGAACCCAGATCCCATGATCGGAATCGTAAAGAGCAACAATCTTCAGATGTTTCGTGGCGCCTGTCCACATTGACATCAGCGGCTGCTCCACATCGATAATGAGAGCTTGTGAATGCGCCGGCTGTTCAGCCACAAATAAGGTTGACTCGTCGAGTAATCCTCATCCCCACACAGCCCGCAGCGACATCTTTTCCGATTGGTCGGCGCTTTCTGCCGGCCCATTGCCAGTGGGGCGTGTGGTTGTCCCGCATGCACAAAAAAAGAGCACCTATATTATGACTGGCTATCACCCCTCTCCACAGGGTCAGTTTCGAGAATCCTCTACTGTAGTGCCCCTCCGAAGTCAAAGCTCGTGTGTGCTCCCGAGGGTAAACGCCACTGGTTGCCCTATCGTAATTAAAGGAAATGCATTTCCGATATAACCTAACTATAAGTACTGATCGAGTTTGTACTTGAAAGGCAAATATGCAGACTTATTTATAGTATCTTATTCATGTACATGTACTATACAGGTATTACATATATTAGACTTGAACTTGAAGTGAAATCCTTTCACAAGAACCTGTCTGTGTGTAAGGATGTACCATTGGCCCGTCTATGATATCAAGACTGGCCCAGACTGAACCCCAACACCCGCAATTCCCGGCTAGAACAAACAAAAAAAAACCATGACAAAAAAGAAAGCCCCCATAACTAAAACCAAAAGCTGTTTTTTAAAGCTAATCGGCTTCAATGAACCTTTCAAATATGTCATCCGGGTATTCTTCATAATCAATTTTCTCCGAGGGTGCCGCTTGTATGGGTGGCGCTGCCTCAATCCCACTTCCCCCACTATCCCCACTCCTAGTCGATTGTTCAGATACAAATGAACCTGCTGAAAACGTCGGCGAGGGGTATCGCATAGCTGCCGAATTATTTTGCGCAACTCTTTCACCGATCTTAGCCAGCTCAAAGTTGATTTGAGGGTCATTGCAAGGAACGTGATTGAAGACTTGATTCTTTAGACACCAGATTTCTTCCTTGAGACAGTCGACAATCGAGACGAGGTTGTCATGCTTCGTACTTTCGTCGTTGAGGACTCTTTGAATTTGTTCATGTTCGCGCTTCCTCTTCATGCGACATTTGGTGGCTGCAACCCTGTTTCGCTCCAGTTGTCTTTCTCTTTGGGAGCCCACTTTTTCGTTCCTTCGTGATTTATTTGGCGGAGAGGTAAGTCGGGGGTCTATATTTGCGATTGTAGACATTTTCGGAGAGATCGGTGAGGTGGTTGGAGGGTGGAAGGGATAAAACTCCGGTATATTGAAGATTCGTGGGGATATCGGTCGATCAAAGGCAGGGTATAATATTCCGTATAGTATTCAGAGGATGTGATTGAAGAATTATTCTTCAGAGATGGGGTAATCAGTAAAATTTGTATTTGTAGGAGTATGTAAGGATTATTTCGCAGTAGCTAACTATTCAAATGCAGCGCGAGGAGAAGTGGGCTTTAATATGTACATCAAATTCTGAATCCGTCAATTTTAACAAGGTTAATGTACTTGCAATATAGCAAAAATCAAGATTCTAGGCAAGGAAATGTCAGCTTACAAACGGTAACTCGCAGGTCGCCACCGTAAGTCTAGATCGGAAAATGTACCCATAAGCACTCAGTTCGCTGGGATGTTAACATCAAGGTTAATTTCTTGTTTCCACTACGAATCGGAATGGCGGTGCATCCTTAATGAGAAAATTTGACTGGATGGTATCTGTTCCACAAAATCCGGGGAATGTAGAGTTGTCGATTGGCTTGTAACTAGGATTAATGACGAGGGTGCATTATGTATGACGTCATAGAAAAAAACACAGTGTTTTTTCTCAGCAAGTTTGCTCAATGGAACTACTTGCTCGTATTCCTCGTATCTCGTGCTTTCTTGATCGCTCTAGATCTCCGTCACCACCCGCAATCCATGATATGTACAACTTGAACTTCTTAGGGATACATTTACCAACAAGCGGCTCGAATCAAACTCGGCGGAAATTTTTCGCTTATTATTGAGATTTTCCAGAAGCGGCAACTATAGTCAAATGAACACGATGCTCCATGATAATACGTTGGCTCACACGCGAAACCTCTAAAACCAACTTGAACTTGAAGCCCAAAGGGGATGTATGTAAAATCTAACAGAAAACTATGTTTTCTTCAAAGAAATACCATTTGCGCCCATATTATGTTGAGTGTCAGCCAGCGACTTGCTCATCAATATAGCGTCTCATCATGTCAAATTCCGATTTCCCGGTCTGAATATATGAATACAGTTAGCGTCTTTCCTTAATCCAGAATACAAATAATTTCATACCGATAGGAGATATCTTATATGTGGCTATCGAACCTAATTAGCGCTTTATTTAAATAGCAAACAGGACATGCCCAACGTACCACATCTGTAACCTCGCGATGTCGCTCGAATTCACCTCTAGCATATGAATGCAGCTCGTCACGAGTAGAAGAAGGAGGAATCTCTGAATCATCTCATTAGTGAATTGAATTGAAAGGAGAAGGTCGGTGACGAAAAGGGTGAGAAGCATACTATGCAGAGCTCGAACAATCTCGCGCCATAATGCCAGAACACGCTGCCGTTGGATAAACTATAAGTCTAGTTAGCGAATCTGTAGCATCTTGAGTTTTAGTGTGCATTGAATCCCTCTTTAAAAGGGTGGTATCTGTTTCAAATATTCCACCTACATGGTCCAAACTGATGGCTGGCTTCTTCAGCTTTGAAGGCTGACTGCGTGAGATAGCAGCTAGCGTAGTAATGGAGGGCCGCATAAGGAGAAGACCATGTCACGTTTGGGAACGAGAGTGATCGTGACGGTTCAATGCTGTATTGTTTGATGCAGATTGGAGGAGGCCGAAGTTAGCTCGGAGATTGCGTTGTATTCGTAATACCATGTTATTTTTTCACACGTGATATATACCCCACAATCTAGCACTCTTGACAGAATTCTATGGTAAATTACTGTTCTGGTAATAGGTGTCCTGGGCCCTGCAGCTATTTCAGGTATTCGATTGGACACATTAATATGAGGTCTCTGGGACTCCCATCAACTTTTAACAAACGAGGGAATATAATGAATTTCAAAAAAAAACAGACCGAACTGAGCAATCTACATATGTGTGATATGGGCATAATCCAAGCAGCGAAACAGTATCAATCTAAATTGTTGATAGAGCGAAGCAGAAATCTATTTGGATATCATCATGCAAAATCCGGAAAAAAATCAAAAAATTGATACACGCTTTTTGAAAAATCGAATGTCAATAGCGAGATCCAGATTCGGAATACGTTTACTCGCACTGCTGGGCATGGATCCTCTTCATGTGTAATTTGTAGTTCCAAAGCCGGTTGAATCCATTGTTGCTGCGTCTGCAACCTTCAACAGGACAGAAGTAAATCGATTCCCGGTTTGGATTTTTACCATAAGACTGGGAAACAGATAGAGGAGTTGACCTTGCAGTAGAAGGCGAGCGAGACCTTTTGGGCGTAGCCTCTTCCCGAGCCTTTGAACTGTGCCTAGACACACTCTCCGTGCCCCTCGAGGTACCTTCTGGTACATTATCTGCGACTCTTTTCGGGAATCTTGCCGTTCCACGAACACGTGGGCGTCGTTCATCAAAGCCGCTTTCACTTTCATTCTCACTCTCACTCTCGGCATAGACAAATTGCTGTGAATTTTGACCGCCGGGTAAACGATGTCTCTTTGTCTTCACCATTCGTCCTTCCCGAAATTTTCGGAAAGTCATATCTTGTTCGAATATATCGGCACATCGTTTAGAAGCACGTTGAACGGCGTTGGAAGGTAGCCCCATAATTGCGGCGATTCCCATGACCTCGCTCCAATCCCGCAGAGGAAGTCGTTCCGAAAGTGCCAGTGGTACCCTGCCGTGGGCGTCCTCCGTCAATTCGGTATTTTCAAGCGTGTCATTGGCTTCGATATCAGTGTCCGAGGATGATCTAGAGCTCCGGGCGCGATCGGGCGATGATGTTTCAGGCTTTTTGGTTTCGCGATTGCGTTTACGACCGCGTGATTCGTACTGCTTGCGACCTTTCTCCTTTTCTGGCGGCACTGATTCTTCATCTTCATCTTCGGTTGCCGATTCATCACTGGAGTAATGGTGATTCGCCCGATGCTTCAGAGCTTGGTGGAGTCCCATTAATATTTGATCTAATTGCGAGATGACAGTGCGTGAAAGAGGCCGCAGTTGGCTGCGAGATAAGTCGTCATCAGTCTGAACGACCGGCTCGCGGAAAGGTCGCTCGGGTAAATTCCATTTAGGATCCTCATCTTCTTCGTGGCCGTCCACTACCATCGCATCGGGATCTGGCGATTCCTCCTTCTTAATTGATTCGAGATTAACGCCTTCCCACTCACGGGCAAGAAACCTTTCCTTGGCTGTTTTCATGATCGCTGCCATGATCCACTCCTCGAGCTCAGCACTGGGGCGCATATCAGGTTGCAGTCGATAGTTGTCGAGTCCATCCAACCGAGAACGGATAGGTTCGTCCTCACGTGGAACAGAATCAGCGGGCATGGGCCATGATATCCATTTTTTGGGGACGGTCGTGATTTCCTCATCGTTTGAGTCCTCCGCATTCCCAAACTCGCCCTGGATTTGATTGCGTTGCTGACGTGAGGCAAAAGAGTCGTACAAATGACCAGCAAGATCTCTGGCCCGAGTTGTCATCAGTGAATCGAGAACACTAACCTCGTTCGCAATGGCATATCGATAGTGATATGGCCATCCTTGCCATCGGTTTGGACGTTCGACTCCAGGCGGGAGATCAACCCCTCGATGAAGTATATAAGTTGGCTGTGGTGCAACAACTTCAGCAGGTTGGGGTACCCTCGTTCCAGAATTCTGGGTCTTTTTCAAGGCCTTTTTAGCCTTTTTACTGTCTTCATCGCTGCTCCCTCGGAAGCTGTCACCATCTGAACCGTAATAAGCTTCCAATGGCCTTTCTCGAAGGATCATGTCAAATTCATCTTCTTCTTGTTCTGGGCCTTCTTGGATAGGTTCAAGCTGCTTCTCCGGCTTCTCATCCACATCCTGGGAGCTGAAGCCACCAAAGATGGACCTTCGGTTTGGCTCCGGTAGTGAAGAGGGTGGAGGCTCCGCATCACTGCTAGGTCCGCCAAATAGCGAGCCTCGTACTTGAGCCGACTGAGGTGGTAGATATTGTGAAGATGAAGGTTGGTGATTGTCCGAAAATGAGGACATGCCTCAGCCCGTACGTGAGGTTATAGACAATTTTATGGGGCTAATGCTCGGAACATAGCACGAGTGTAGAATTTGGGCAAGAGATGCAGATGTTCACTCAGAAGGTGATCAAGCATCACGTAATTCGATTCTGATAAAGCTAAATTAAAGGCGTTTGAAAGTTTGTTGTGATTGTGTAAAGGCTTCATGGAGATCAAGGTAATCAGAAATTCAGGTAAGTGGGTCCAGTCACGTGATCCAGAAAATCTCCAGCGCCTATCAAGCGTGTTGCTGGTTATGTACTGCTGGCCCCAGGTGCCACATCTTTAGGTGCCTGAGCAGCAGCATGAAATCCATCGAAAGAAAGTGTATTGGGAATGCTTACAGTATACGTAGTTGCAACGGCAACGAAGTAAATTTACATAATGATTTGTATCTCTGTATAGAAAAGTACCATGACATTGAATTGGAATAATTTTTAGGACATGCATATACAGCGGACTATCCCAGCCCCAAACGCCAACATAATAAACACTCTTGATAGTCTAACAGGTCAATGAAATCTATTTCTCACCCTTCTCAAGCTTGCGACGCTTGGAACGGAGCTTGGCAGCCTCATCAGACGTCTTCTTGTTCGAGTGCATCATCTTCTCCAACAGCTTGCGCTTCTTGCGGCTCATCATCATCTTCTGTCTCTCAAGCTCCTCTTCCTCCTTGCGCTTCTTGGCAGCAAGCTTCTTCGTCTGAGTGCTCTTCTTCTTGGTTGATTCGTCAGCGGCTCCATTGGATGAGTAGGGCAGACCGGCAGCCTCGGCTTCCAGCTCGCGCTGGTGCTGGTTACGAGCGGCCTCATCATCGTCATCAGAGTCGACCTCAGCTTCCTCAATTCCGCCAAACTCCTCATCTTCATCATCATCTTCCTCTTCGTCACTCTCGCTCTCGCCATCATCTGTGCCGGCAACATCCATGCCACCGTCAATAGACTCGTCATCAGACTCCTCAGCAGGGGCAGCGGGCTTAGACTCCGCAGGGGTTTCATCTTCCATCTCTTCATCGCTATCTTCGGCCTCTTCGGCAATCTCAGCTTCGCCTTCCTCTTCCTGCTCAGCCAGAGAAGCCTTGGGGTCGTAGCCGCCACGGTTAGGCTTGACCCATGGGCTCAGATGAGGCGGAAGAGTAGTACCAGGGCTGTAAAGATCAGCACGAAGGAGCTTGCCATCGTTGATGCAGTCCCAGATCCATTGAGGCTGGACATAAGTACGACCAGGAATGCGAGTGCCAGGCTTGACCTTCTGGCTTGAGCTTTCGCCTTCAGGAATGGCAGGTAGAGACTCCGCCGGCAGCTGGGGACGATCCACAATCTGGTGGGTGATTCGCGTGTCTGTTTCATCATTGGTGAAAGCACCATCGCCCAAAACAGCATCCCATCCAACGCGCTTGCAGCCGAAAGCACGCAGAATGAACTCGATGGGTGCCTTGGGCGCCTCACGGGAGATATAGAACACGAAAGGAGAGAAGAGAGTGCCGGCCTCGTTGCCGCTCATGTCTGGTTGGGGCAGAGTGTCGGCTTCGGGAGCAGCAGGCTCGAATCGGTCGATAGTCTCAGTGTTTTCCTCGGTTGTGTCCATAGCTTGCTCATCATTGGTCTGGTCCAAGCCAACTGACTTGATGACCTTGTCAACCTTGGCCTGAACTGCCTTGGAAACCTCCTTGTTCGAGGCTCCGTTCTTCTGGGACTTGCTGGATCCCAGGGCCTTGGGGGCCTCAGCGACGTTACGTCCTTCTAAAGTGAAAGCGGCCAACTCGGCGCCGTTCTCATCGCTGCGGGTATCAAACTTAGGAGGGTACCTTAAACCAATGGATGAGTAGAGTCGGAAGTTGACGAAGCCCAACAAAGTAGTGTAAAAGTCGACAAAGGTAGCCATGATGCGGTAGTCGACATCGCCGTTGACACGCTGCACGAATCTGTACGGAACTAACCACATGATATCCTGGCCCTGGATAGTGGCCTGGTAGTAGATACCCTTGATCGACAGGAAAGACCGGCGGAGCGAGTTTGTGGTGATCAGGTAGTGTTGGAATTCATGGCAAAGGCGCTGACACAGAGCAACGGTCTTGGAAGGGACATGAGTAGTTGAGGGAAGAGTAGCGAACAAGAACAGCAGAGACAAAGCGTCGTCGAGATCACGGAGGGCGTCAATGAAGGTTGGGTAACGCTCCTTGATGACATGGTCAAGGGTGAGCTTAGGAGCATGATTTTTCTCCAAGCGCGCAGCGTCGCTAACTTCACCACGACCGAGAGAGCGGGCAATCTTCTTGGCAACGGCCTTCTGGTCACGGAACTTGTTTAGCAGCGGCTCGTGAAGCAGATACTGGATATCCTTGGTGTAGTAGAAGGTGGTGTTTGGCGTCGAGGTCTTGGAAGCCTTCTTCTTGTTACGGGGCTCACGAGGATAGATACCTTTACAATAAAACGTTATCAGTATCGCGCAATGTGTTGTGTCATCCTAAAAGAATTTTCTTACCCTTGAAAATGCAAAGACGACGGAAATCAGGCAAGGAAATCTGAAGTTTGCGCACGGCCTGGGTACGGGTGATATAGTTTTTGGCCTGGCCAGAGGTACCTGGAAAAAATCATAAGTAAAGATAAGCAACAGATGGAGCAATGCAATCATACCCTTCTTCTTTATTTTACCCATGATGAAAGTCTGTTGGAGTCCGTTAATTGGGGAGTTCCAAACTGTTGCTGATAAGAAGAGGAAAATTTCTCGATAACTTTTTTTTTCTTTTCGGAGGCGGTCAGTTGGTCCGTGCAGTTGCGGGTGTCCGTGGTTCCCTCCTCAGCCAGAGTTCAAGGGACAGCTGGACTTCCCCCCGATCGCCAATTCCGCCTCAAACACAACTAGTTGTCATGGCGGTGGACCGACGCAAGGTCGCTGTGTTCAGCGCGGCTTTTGTGTTGCGACTGTTTCTTGTTTGCTTGTTCCCTTCATTGCCCGATCTACTTACAGGCCGAGTGGAGGTGTCGACCCCAGTCAATAGCTTTAAACGATGTAGGTGACTTGTTTACACTTGGGGCCTTTGTGATCTTCTTGAAGTCTTCTAATGGCAGTCAAACAACTTGATACTAATTCGTGCTCACAGTACAAGAGGGCCTTTTTCTCTATATTCGAGATGTTTCGCCTTATGACGGCGGTGTTTACCATCAGGTAAGTAGATCACGATACATCCTAAAGACCACCAACTAACCTCGTTTGTTTTAGGCACCGCTTCTCCTTCCCTTGTTCGCTTTGCTTCCGGACGTGAAAAGCAACCCGTTTCCTACTGCTATTCTCTATTTCCTTGTCGATTTGTTGAACGCCCATGCGTTGTCAACTATCTCAGAATCGGGCCAATCGGTCAAATCACGATTACACTCTGCCATGAGAAAGCATATTCGGTGGGATGGTGTGTCAATTGCAGCTTGGTATGTCCTCTTGGTCTGTCTCATATATTTCGAGTCTCTGTCTAACTCGTCAGGTTCTTATTCAATCCTTTCACCATCGCAACCTGCTTGGCACGATCGACGAGCGTCTTCACTACAACCGGAATTCTTTACGCAGTCTCGAATGCTGTCGAGGGCAACAGCATTAATGCAATTCTCGCCTTGGGATTTGCATCGTACCTGTCGCTTTACCCAGCATTGTTATTCGTCCCATTGGTACTACTCTGCTACGACCAACAGTCACAAACATCAAAGGCTCCTTCCTTTGGGGTGTACTTTGTGCAGCATGCGGGCATCCTACTGGGTAGTGTCGGTGGTCTACTCGGTTTGTCATGCATCATTACTGGAAACCTTTGGGAGTTCATCTCGGCAACATATGGCTTCCACCTGCTGGTTCCTGACCTGACTCCAAATGTGGGTCTTTGGTGGTACTTCTTCATCGAGATGTTCGACTCATTCCGCGAATTTTTCATCGGTGTCTTCTGGCTCCATCTTGCTGCCTATGTTGGAGGACTTACGGCACGAATGCGAAGCCAACCCTTGTTCATTATCACTTCGCTTCTTGGCGTTTTTGCCGTTTTCAAGCCGTACCCGAGCATTTCCGACGCATCGCTCTACTTCGCACTACTACCTTTGTACCGACATCTCTTCCCTTGTGAGTCTACAAAATATCCCACGTCTACTTTCCCCATTATTCTAATGTTTGTCAGTGATGCGATACACCTTCTTCGCGGTTGCCGCGCTCCTCTACTCTAGCCTTCTTGGTCCTGCTTTCTACCATCTGTGGATCTATGCTGGATCTGGTAATGCCAATTTCTTCTACGCCATTACTCTTGTCTGGAGTCTTGGTCTCTCCATATTATTAGCCGACAGCATATTCGCGGCTCTTCGAGACGAGTGGGAGCAAGCTAATCCAGAGTCGCAAGGCCAAGAGGTCAAGCAAATATAGTTTATATCGAATGGTATGTATACTTGTATGTATTTCTGTCGCATCATAGGTGTTTTTGATTCATAATCGCCATAACAAACAAGAATGAAAAAAATACCAGTTCAAGCTTGATACAACTCATTATCTCCCTACTTACAGGCGTCATTGACTCAATCGCTTCGACAAAATCAAATAATCAAACTCCTTAATCGTCCCATTTCGCAACTTCCTCGGCTGAGGCGAATGCTCATCAACCACATACCCACCTTTCTCATAAAATCGACACGCAGCCATATTAGACTTAAAAACTGTAAGCATGGTCTTTTCTAGTCCAACCGACCGACCAATCTCTTCCATCCTCTTCATCAACAACCCACCTAACCCACGCCCCCGAGCCTCAGCCGACAAGTGAATCTCGTAGCAGTAGACAACCTCCTTGCCATCTTCATAAGTAACCATAAAGGACAAAAACCCAAGAACACCCTTATCTGCCTTATTACCCAGGCTTTCGCTATCCTCACTCTTATCTTCACTCCCCGCAACTCCCAATTCAGTTCCATCTTCGTCCTTTGCCGGCCCATCGCTTCGATCGGCATCAGCATCGGCCCCGACCCGAGCTCCAGCCGAATTACCGGTCAGCGCGCTATCACGCACAATCAGGTACTTCATATCAGGAAGTTGCATTTCCTTGCGCTTTTTAGTACGAGACCATCCTACTCCAGAGGCAGCATATGCCTCGCTGGATGTCAGCTCGATGAGATTGAGACAAGCTTCTAGGTCTGCAGCTGGGATTGTTGAAGCAGAGTAGACATCCAAGGACGTGTCGCTTTTGCTGCAGGTGTCGTTCTGCTGGCGTGCTGCCAGTGGATCCGATTCAGTTGGTCCATGTGGATATTCCTTAATTGTGGAATGTGTCTGTGGTGTGTCTCGAGACACGTAGGCTGAGATAAAGTCTTGAATGCTTAATGCGTTGGTACGTTCGACCAGTGGCAGAGCTGGAATTTGGTCAGTATTTGTCTCCTGTATTCCATGTGTGGTTGGCCAATAGACTCGGCAAGTTTGTTTCGCAATATACAAATGGCTCTTGGTGTCAATGTTGTGATGACTATGGAGTATTGACTTACTTTTTTGGTTGGCGGAGACGCGTCTTGTCGGCGTCGACGATTGGCGCGGGATTTTGGATTTGGTGATTCGTCCGTCTTTAGTTGGCATTGCTGATCAGTTCACTTCGATACCTGGATGGTTTGTAGTCTTTTGAGTGTTGTTCTTTTTTAGACTGCTGTATTGTGCACCCTTCTGAGTAAAAGTAAGAGTCAAGTGGGTCAGACGTTGTGCGGCCTATGAATTCAAATTGTGATTCCGTTGTGATCTGGGCGCTTCAGTGCTTCCAACTGCTGTGAGTACATTCACCTACATATCCGGCGATATTAATGTCTTTGGAAGACTATGATAGCTCAAGGCTATGATAATAGCATTTTAATTGATGCTCAACCTTTTAATAAATAGTCCTTGGATTACATTTTACTAAACTGTTGTGACCATCATGATAGGATGTTTAGGGTATATGCACGCAGCATTTTCTCATATTTCAATTTGTACAAAAAGCTATCTGCTTGCAAATCATATGAATGAATTTCTGGCTTTGTCAACTTAAGAGCTTGATCGCAGCGAGGCAGCGTGTTCCTCGGCACGACGCTCCGCCTCAGCAGCACCCAATTCTCCGAAGACATCAATTCCCCAACGGAAAGGGTAGTTGTATCGTTCGGCGCGGTCCAGCTTGTTAAGGGCTTCAAATTCTGCGTCGGGAATAACAAAGTCTGTATAGAAGTTAGTCTTGAATTAATGCTAAAATTTGCAATTTAACTTACCTGCGAAATTGCTCTCAATGCGCGAAGGGGTAACACTCTTAGGCAAGACGGCAGAACCCCGCTGGATAGCCCACGAGATCAGCAGCTGAGCGGGGTCCTTGCTCAGTTTCTTAGAAATTTTGACCACGGTGGGGTCATCAACAACACTGTGGGTCTAGCTTTAGCAAATGAACTATGTGAGAATAATAGAGGCATCGTACCGTGGTAGGTTGTAGAGGTTGTTTCCGAGTGGGCTGTATGCAATGGGAAGAATTTTCTATAGCAGTGGTTAGTTAACTCATTCAATCGTTTCCAGAAACACAAAAAGTGAAGAAAGCATGATATTGTTTCTTACATTGTCCTTCAGGTACTGTGTAAGCTCCGGTTGGAGAAGATAAGGGTGCGCCTCGATCTGGTTCGCGGCAGGAGGGATCTTTGCGGTCTGAAGCAGCTTCTTGGTCTCTTCAATTGTGAAATTGCTAACTCCGATGCTACGGATCTTGCCCGTAGTGACCAACTTCTCAAGAACAGCCCAGGTATCGGCGACCGGAACATCGGCTATGCGGAATCGATGTGTCTTCGGATCGATCGGTGTGGTGGTTTCGTTAGTGTGTTCGAAGGCTACGGGCCAATGGATCTGCACGACTAATTAACACATTTTCTTTATTTCCATTTGTCTCGAGGGGTTGACCCACAAGGTACAGATCCACGTAATCGGTCTGGAGATCTTTGAGGGTCTTGTCGAGGCCCTCTTCGACGTGGTCGGGGTGGTGGTGAGTGTTCCATAGCTTGCTAGTGATCTATTTTTTTTTTTTAAAACAAGACATTAGATGCTGCTCAATACTCCAAATATTGATTTGAATGGACTCACATAAAAGTCCTCGCGCTTAACACCTGACTTCTTCCAGCCTTTGCCGACCTCGTTCTCATTTTGGTAGCAGGCGGCGGCATCAATGTGACGGTAACCGCTACGAAGCGCATGCTCGACTGCGTCCTCGACTTCATGGGGCTTAGAAAGCTGTTGTAGATATCTTAGTCAGAGTCTGCATAACGCCCGGTACACGCAGTAAACAAAGGTAAGTGAAACATACCCAAGTACCGAGACCAACTGCGGGGATCTCATAGCCCGAGTTAAGTTTGAAGGCGCGACCTGTAGCCATCGTGGACAAGAGAAGTAATATGTAGATGTAGTATATTTAGATAAACCGAAGTTAACAAGAAATAATTAAAGAAGAAGCCACCATAACTGAGTGGAGACTATTTATATGTCCAGTGACCGGTGGAGGCTCCTTTACCCCTCCCCCTCCACGCCAATGGCGGAAAAGAACAACTGCGACACGCAATAGATTTGAATTTCGCAATTGGCTTCGGACATCTGTTAATCTTGTGCCCATCTATCTCCCACTAGTTCAAATCTGGACATGGATCCAGCGGATGTCAAAGGAATTGAGTGATCTTAGCTTCATATTGCACAATTGCTGGGCCCCTCAGTGGGGACTATTTACTCAAGCCACCGGCAGTTGATTGATCCACGGCTAACTTGAAGCCTATTTACTAGCATTGTTTTATTTGCAAGGGTATATATACTATTAAGACTTCACAACCATACAACTAGAAACTTGAAGTCAATCAATACGGGGCGAAAATTGTTAAAAAATAAAATGAATAATTGTCTGTTATATTATCACTTAAGGAAATACCTCCAGTCAACCACAATACTCGGATATTACTAGTAGCCCGATAGTGAAGATTCTTAGATCTTAGGTTTTAGATTTTCTTCTGTACAATTAGCTTAATTCAGGTGAAGCGCAGCTTAACAAAAATGAGCGACGTCTAGTATAATCGCAAGATAAAAGGGTACTGACATCAGTGGCCTTAACCACTTGGTGAAACGACTATATAGTTGAAGGACCAGACGCAAGGTACATACCCGAAAAACATTCATCGCCCTCTGACTTCCTTGTGTGGCCAGGTTTCATTTCAAGTAGTATGATCACTTATATTAGCTTTCCCATGAGTAATAGGCGCGGAGATGGTGTTGGGGGGAAGCCCTGGATAATACACAAGAGAAGGGGAGAAACGACCATTAGCTTTTATAGGGGAAGAGAACCTTGTGGAATTATTATCTGGTTGCTTAGATTTGCGATTCAGATTCTTCACCTGGGCAGCAATGTCTCCGAGATGGAGCATTGAATTGGTCCGATTGGAGCTACATAATCTGGTTTTTGCGGAGACTTATTGCGAGTTTAATAATCGTGCCGTCATAACGTGGGTCCGCCTTGAGGTTCCGGAAGCATCATGATAATGTATAAAAAATGCCCCTCCATCCCTTGAATACACCTTACCCCAATTGTTCCTACAACATTGTCGCAACCCTCAGTATATATTACACCAAACAGATCGATCTTCAACTTCAAAATGGCCTCAATGAAGTCGTGGATAATTGAAAACAAGGACAATGGCTTTGATGGCCTTGTTTACAAAGATGCGCAGATCCCCAAGGTGGGGGATAACGAGGTACTCGTGAAGCTGCAAGCTGCATCATTGAACTATCGCGACTTGATTATTCCCAAGGTATGAAGCTCAGGGATCAAAATTGAACCTAACGAAAAACCAATTAACGTCTCTTTTTTCACTCGCTTTCACAGGGCAAATACCCTTTCGCAACTAAGTTCCCCGTTGTACCCGGATCAGACGGCGCTGGTGAAGTTGTCGAGGTTGGCTCCAAGGTGACCGGACTCAAGAAGGGTGATAAGGTGACAACCCTTTTCAATCAGGGTCATCAGTACGGTGCTATCGATCTCCCTGCGGCCGGGACCGGATTGGGTGGTGTCATCGACGGGTCGCTGCGCCAGTATGGTGTTTTTGCCGAGACTGGACTCGTCAAGTCTGCGAATAACCTTTCCGCGATCGAAAGTAGCACACTTCCTTGTGCTGCGCTCACATCTTGGAATGCGCTGTACGGCCTGAAGCCTTTGAAGCCTGGCCAGGTTGTCTTGGTACAGGGTACCGGTGGTGTGAGCCTGTTTGGCCTGCAGGTATGTAGAAAACATGAGATGGAAGGCTGGTTATTGAGTTCCATAAACTGATGTGTCGATCTCTTATCCGCCATATAGTTTGCTAAGGCTGCTGGAGCGATCGTTATTGCGACTACATCATCTGCACAGAAAGCTGAGAAGCTGAAGAAACTCGGTGCCGACCATGTTATCAACTACAAGGAGGATGTTAACTGGGGTGAGACTGCCAAGAAGCTGACCCCAGAAGGTGCCGGTGTGGATCATATTCTTGAGGTTGGAGGCTCCGGGACGCTTACACAGAGCTTCAAAGCCATCAAGTTTGAGGGTGTTATCAGCATTATTGGCTTCCTGGGTGGTGTTGACCCGAAGACCCAGCCCAGTGTCCTGGATACTCTCGGTCATATCTGCACAGTTCGTGGTGTTTATGTCGGTAGCAGAGCTTTGATGCAGGACATGATTCGTGCGATCGAAGCCAACGATATTCATCCTGTTGTAGATGAGAAGGTGTTTAGCCTTGACCAGGCCCGCGAGGCATATGAGTACATGGTATGTGGATTTCTCCTTGCATATGAAGTTTTTCATGGGTTCGAAACTAATAGGATACACAGTGGGGTCAAAATCATTTCGGAAAGTTGGCAATTGCGGTGAACTAAATTAGATGTCGATGACAATTTTCCTCTTTTGACACGGAGACCAGGCGGACTAGGACCCCGTGATCTTATAGTGTCAGTATAAATGAATGTAAAAGATCACTCAGCATAAAATGAATGATTTTGAATCTTATATCGATGCTAAAGATCTGGGAAATTTTATAATAAGTAGTTTGGATGAATAAGAGTGCTTGGAAATGGTAGGATGATTAAGTACCTGGGGTGCGTGAGGTGTAGAATAGAGTGCGTCGAGAGGAGAAGCTTCCCCGCCACTTTCATCATCAACTGCATCCACTCTCTCTGGCAAACAACCATCCTATTTACGCTCTCCGATTGGACCTGCGCTATAACGAGATATAATCATCCCTGCTGCCGAGCACTCTTGGCCCTGCAGCTAGCCAGCTCATCGTTGAATCCTCGTTGGCTAATTGTATACGCACCCGATTTACCCCTCACAACACCCAATGCAGGCCAATGCTAGAAATACAACCTCCACCCTCCCCATGAAAGGGCCTTTTGATCGCCTCAAGAAATCTCAGACGGCCTTCATCAGACCCGCCCAGATGAGTCTCTTTGCCCGAGTGACAGCCTACCCGCCTTTAGGGCAAGTGACACGCCTTGAAAGAGCGCAGCAGACACCGTCGGGAGAAGATGACACTGTAAGTATATCAATAGTCAAACAGCCTTGTCCTGTTCCGACAAACATAAGTTCCATTTCCTTGCTGACGATTTTGAAGACGCGGTTTACTGTCGTCATTGAATCAAGCACCTCTCTTCCCGAGCAATCCTGGGAAGCCCAAATTTGGCACAATATTACCAGCTCGGAATGGACAGCTTTTCAATTACAAAAGATTGCTTCATCGCATGCCTCGCTTCTAACAGGGAATGAGGCTGATTATAATTCCTACCGCTATGCATTCTCTGGGGAGATTGCGCTTCCTGCAGCTAGTGGCCATGCACACTTTACTGTGCGTTTCCGAACGAACCCTGATGCAGAATGGCAATGGGCAAACCAGCAGCGCCCAATTAATGATGGCGAACTAATATTTGGACCACGGGACTTACAACTTCAAAATTTATCTTCTGATGGTGGCTCTGCTAACTCCAAGGAAGAAATTTTGAAATATATCGATAACTTGTCTCCTGAAGTGCAAGTCGAGTCTCGCCGAAGCGATTGTCCTGGATCTTTACTGTGGGAAATTTCTGGGAGCGTTGATGCAGCTCAAGAGGATGTCTCTGGGATGAAGCGATTTATATTGGGGACGCCTTCGTCCGTTATCAGATATTTCTCCCTGGTGCGTATTTGGTCTCCGTGGCTAGGCCCACGGCATGGAAAGGACAAGTTCCACTTGACAGAAGATGCCATACTGTGTTCGTTTCTTCGGGATGATGGAACAAACCTTCTCTTTTTGGCTGTTTCGGGTATCAATGATATTCTAACTGTCTTTCAATCCGGCGAGGATGGCGAAATAGTAGTCAACTCCAGAAGTGATAATAAAGAGCGAGCTGATTTCCTTGTTCTTGCTGCTGTAGCCGAGGATTTTGAGGTCGCTATGTCTGCTTTGGTATACGAAGCAAGAAAAGTGGTCAGGCCGTTTTCTAAATCTAGCAATGACCCTTCGGAGGAACAGCAACCGCTTTCTCCTCCCGCAGATGATACAGTGGTTGTCGAGAAAGATGTGAAGATGCAATGGCTGACAGAGTGGTTCGATGGTTTGACATATTGCACTTGGAACGGACTTGGACAGGATCTGACAGAGGAGAAAATATTGGGTGCATTGGATGCTCTCAAATCACATGGAATAAATATCGTCAATCTCATCATCGATGATAACTGGCAAAGCCTTGATAATGAGGGTGAATCTCAATTTAAGCGACGCTGGAAACAGTTCGACGCAAACCCGAAGGCATTTCCCCGGGGTTTGGAACAGGCTGTCAGTAACATTCGCCGAAGCCATCCAAACATTGAGCATGTTGCGGTTTGGCACGCCCTGCTAGGGTACTGGGGAGGCATCTGCCCCGATGGAGATCTTGCAAAGAAGTATAAAACTAAGGAGGTCAAAGTGAAGGATCCGGCAGCCGGAGGGCCCATTGCACATGACATCTCCGACGGCAAAATCCTTGCCATTGATCCCGACGACATTCAACGTTTCTACGAAGATTTCTATAGCTATCTAACCTCTGTTGGAGTGGACTCCGTAAAAGCAGACGCTCAGTTCTTCATTGATCTACTCGACGATCCAGAGGACCGTAAAAGATTCATGAATTCCTACCAGGATGCATGGACCATTGCTTCTCTCAAACATTTCGGCACGCGAGCCATTTCATGCATGTCCTTGATTCCGCAGATGATCTTCCATTCACAGCTTCCAACCAACAAGCCCACAATGACACTGCGGAACTCGGATGATTTCTTCCCTGAGATCCCTTCGTCTCATCCATGGCATGTGTTTTGCAATGCACACAATGCACTTTTCACACGATACCTCAATGCTCTGCCAGATTGGGACATGTTCCAGACGAGCCATCCTTACGCATCCTTCCATGCTGCTGCCCGCTGTGTCTCTGGTGGACCTGTCTACATAACAGATGAGCCTGGTAAACATGACCTAAAACTTTTGGACCAAATGACCGCGCCCACTGTGCTCGGAAGAACTGTCATACTTCGGCCCAGCGTTCTTGGTCGCTCAATGGACGTCTATAATGACTATAACGAAGGACATATTCTGCGCGTCGGAAGTTACACTGGCTGGGCCAAGACAGGAAGTGGAATTATCGGTCTTTTCAACGTACAATCGGCAGAAGGCTCGTGCATAGTCGCACTAAAAGATTTCCCTGGAGTCCATGAGAATTCAGACGGTCAATACGTGATTCGTGCTCACACAAGCGGGAAAATCACAGTTCAGATGCAGCGCCAGTCTGAAGACTCTCTTGTGTCTGTTGTTTTGCAAGACAGAGGCTGGGAAATCCTCACAGCGTATCCGACACAATCATTCAAACTGAGAGATATCCAAGACAAGGATTTAACTGGAGGCAACCCTACCCATGTGGCTATTCTAGGTTTACTTGGGAAAATGACCGGCGCAGCTGCTCTGGTTAGTTCGGATATTTTTGTTGTTGAGAATGGCCGTCTACGATTTGATATTCACCTGAAGGCACTGGGCACCTTGGGAGTATACATATCCGATTTGCAAGACCGAGATATATCTCGAGATTTTATGGTGATGATCTTGGGACGGGCAATCCCTCCAGATACTGTATGGAAAGAGGATGGTAAAGACAGCCGGGTTCTGGCGATTGATGTGCTCGCAGCTTGGAAGGCCATGAACTTAGATAGTGGCTGGAGTAATGAGGCATTTGTCCAAATATTCGTAGGCTGAAATATTCACCAGAATAGAACAAATAATATTAGAAACATGATTTTGTTTTTCTTTCTTCTTTCCCCATTAAAGAATAAACATTTGAATGGTCAAAATTTCGCGGCGCCGTTTGAGTCTTGCCCATGTAGAGACGCGCCGCACTAAAGATATTCCGACGTTCTTATCGCGGTGGGTATCGGAGATCGCGAACAATTTCGAATCGCTCCACGAGTTGTAATTGCGAGCTTATTTGCAATTGAACCTCAAATACAAATCGGCCCAATGCGATTCAGGTCGACACCGCTCCTTCGAGTGGCGAGCTTCAATCCTCGCGCACTCCACCCAACCCCGAGCGGTGCGCGCAGCTTCTCTCAAGAACTGCGAACAAATCCGCTCCGTAGTGGACTTCGTCGACCATTCCTCTTCTCCCAACATTCTGAGCACCTCTTACAACAGCAGCGATGCATTACACAAAACTACATCAAGCGCATGGAAGATGGGAAGAAGGAATGGGCAAAGCATGCCGTGGAGATCAAAGATGGCAAGAGGAAGAGCTTTGTCGATCATTTGGAGGAGCGTGGGCTTCTTCATGATGTCGTTGGGTATGTACTGTACACAGCTGACACTTTGGAAAGCATATTATCAACTGGCGAGTTTCGTGCTAACTTGCTTGGTATTATAGTGAGCGCGAATTACTCCACAAACTATTCACAGAGAAGAGGACTGGAATCTACGTCGGAATCGATCCTACTGCGCCGTCTATGCACGTTGGACATATGCTACCATTCATGGTGTTAGCTTGGGGATACGTTTGGGGTCTTCCAGTAACTTTCTTGGTAAGTTCTCGCGGCCTACTTGGATGTACTATGCTCCATAGCTAACATACGAAATGTAGTTAGGTGGTGCTACCTCTCGAGTCGGTGACCCCACAGGCCGATTGAAGGGTCGTGAGCAAGTTCACTCTTCCATCCGAAAGGCGAATATGGCTAGTATGCATATGCAATTGAAGAAGCTGGGATCAAGCATTGAGCAATACGGCAGGAGGCATGGTCATGAACGTCAAATGATATGGAAGAGGTCCCTGGTCAACAACAACACATGGTGGAACTCTATGCCCTTCATCGAAGTTCTGCGTGACCTTGGGGCGTATATGAGACTTGGGCCTATGCTTGGTCGGGATACGTGAGTCTTCTATAAATGTGGCTCGCCATATACATCTCTGACCATTTATTCAGTGTTAAAACCCGATTGAACCAAGGCGACGGTATGTCATTCGCAGAATTCTCTTACCCGCTTCTTCAGGGCTGGGACTGGTGGCATTTGTTCCAAAAAGGCACTCAGGTACAAGTGGGAGGTTCTGATCAGTATGGAAACATTTTGTTCGGAATGGATGCCGTCAAACATATTAGTCGCAACACCTCCAATGAGCAGGCTCGAAACCCCCTTGAGTCTGAATTGGACCGGCCTATTGGATTTACCACGCCGCTTTTGACTGCGCCATCGGGCGAGAAATTTGGAAAGTCTGCAGGTAATGCCATCTGGCTTGATAAGGACATGACTTCTACCTTTGAGTTATACCAGGTTAGTCCCACTTTTCTTTTTGTTTCCAAGGCCTCGCACATCATACTAACTGTGATCTAGTTCTTTGTTCGCACGCCAGATGATACCGTGGAGCGCTATCTGAAGCTTTTCACCTTTATCCCCATTCATGAGATTACAACCATTATGGAGGAGCAAAATTCCGACCCTTCAAAACGTGCTGCTCAACATCGATTGGCCTATGAATTTGTAGAGTTGATCCACGGCAAGGCAGAAGCAGATGCAGTGTCGCTCCAACATCGCCAACTGTTCCGATCACGGTCCTCGACTGCTGCCCCCTCCCCCATGCCTAAAAACTCGACTCCCCCTGCTAGCCACGCTCAATCCATCACCGCCGGCTTTGACACCCCACAGTCTGGTAATCGCTACGCCCCCCAGACCAACTTTGCCAACATGCCAAGTGCCAACGTGATACTCCCAAAATCTCTGGTATACAACCAGCCTTTTAACAAGGTTCTTTGGTCGGCCGGTCTTGTATCATCCAAGGGTGAAGGTCATCGCGTGATCACAAACAATGGCGCCTACGTGGGCAGTCGACCCGGTGACAGTGGGCCCATGTCGGACGATCTGGCTTTCACCCCAATCCGAGTCTGGCCTGCGGAGAAAACAGAAGAATTTATTCTTGACCAGAAACTTATCATGCTCAAACTAGGCAAGTGGAAGTTTAAGATGGTCGAGATTGTCAAAGACGAGGAGTTCCGCGAGATGGGACTAACAGCTCCTGGATGGGAAGAACCAACCAGTTCAACCGATTCGGCCTAATATGTCTCGGGGAAGCGATAACACTCTCCCCTCTGTAAATCTAGTCATACTTTGTACCTAGCGTATAGCATCTGTATCAACATCCTACATCAATCCAATCCAATGCATTATAATGTATCATTTTTGTTTGAATATACAGTAAGGAGACGGTAATACATACAAGGGACCCACCAAGCTTACACATCCACTTAACGCGTCGAACGCGTTGATCCGCGCCTTATCTCCTATCGGCTTCTTCACCACAAACCCCCGGGTTTGCTGGAATCCTGGGTCAATCTTGTCAATCTACTTACCCCCTATACATGCATCCAAATCACTTCCATTAATATTCACATTTGATAAAAAAAGGCATTGCCTTAATTATATTGACAGTTTATTGTCGACAATGGCCAAGGCCGACGCCTCGTCGCCCACCGGGACGCCGCCCTCCACCGCGTTGAAGCGAACGACCTCTAGCACGCAGAATATGAAGAACCAGAAGTCCATCCTGGGCTTTTTCCAGAAATCTTCTCCGGCGACTCCATCCTCCACTAAAGCTCGCGAACCGGCGTCTTCGCCGGCACAGCGGGCCTCCGAACAGCGTAGTGCCAGTACCAAGAAAACACCGGGGACGCAGAAAAGAAGTTTCTCGAGCTTTGCACAAGACTTAAGTCCTGTCCCTAGTAGCGATTTGCCGGTTCCGGAAGAAGACGAAGATGATGGCGATGACGTGAAGGTAGTTCTCACTTAGCTCTCACAACAATCCTAACACTAACAACCACTTCCACGTGTTTAGACAAAAGGCGACAACGCTCAAGTGCCCACCATGTCCCCGTCTCGTCGGGTATGTCAATACATGTTTGGTTCGATATAATATACACAATCATATACTGATTATGCTTGCAGGCGAAGAAGAAGCAAGTCACCTACAAGGAGTCTGACTCTGAGGGCGAGGATGATGACGATGCGATTTTCCGTCCAAGTCGGAGCAATGGTCGCGCTACAAAAAGACAAAAGGTCTCTTCTTCAGATAGTGAAGATGATTTTGAAGCACCTGCCGATGAGCCTGGGTACTCAGATGAGGGTATGACTGCTTGGCACGAACGAATATTACTCCGCGCACAAATGGCTAACTCGATTTTCTTTTATAGAAATGGACGACTTCATTGTCGCCGATGACTCGGATGAAGATGTAGCTCCTACGAAACCGCGCAAGAGACCAGCAACCAAGGCAGCTCGCAAGCCCTCCAACCAGTCACCAGCTGCACCGCGTCCCCCGCCAAGTGACGAGGACCTGGACCTGGACCTCCCCGAGGGCTCTGCTGGGACTGCTCAAAAATGGACATTTGATCCCGAAAATAAGGAACCTCGAAAGGAACGGGCCGCGGAAACCAATCCGAAAACCCCGTCTAGTACCAGGAAAGAAAAAGCCCATGTGAAGGAGCCCGAGCAGCGATATCCGTGGCTGGCAACTCCCAAAGACATAGATGGGAACCCCCCAGGGCACCCAGACTTTGACCCTCGAACTATTTACATCCCTCCTCTGGCTTGGTCTAAATTCTCCCCGTTCGAAAAGCAATACTGGGAAATTAAGCAGAAATTCTGGGATACCGTTGTGTTTTTCAAGAAAGGAAAATTCTATGAGCTGTACGAGAATGATGCCACGATTGGCCATCAGCTGTTCGATTTGAAGCTCACTGATCGCGTTAATATGCGCATGGTTGGTGTTCCTGAGATGAGCTTGTCTCACTGGGCAAACCAGTTCGTTGCCAAGGGCTTCAAGATTGCTCGTGTTGATCAATCTGAATCTGCTCTTGGCAAAGAAATGCGTGAGAGAGATGCCAAGAAGGGTGGTAAAGAGGACAAGATCATCAGACGAGAGCTTGCATGTGTCCTCACAGCTGGAACATTAGTAGAAGGGTCAATGCTTCAGGATGATATGTCTACTTACTGTGTGGCTATCAAGGAAGCTATAGTGGATGACCTACCCGTATTCGGTATATCCTTTGTGGATACCGCCACTGGCCAGTTCTTTATGTCTGAATTTGTCGACGATGTGGATATGACCAAGTTTGAAACCTTTGTTGCGCAGACCCGCCCCCAGGAACTGTTGCTTGAAAAGTCATGTGTTTCAACGAAAGTACTTCGAATTTTGAAGAATAACACTGGGCCTACCACTCTATGGAACTACTTGAAGCCAGGAAAGGAATTCTGGGAGTCTGATATTACGCTGAAGGAACTTGATGGTGCCGAGTATTTCGTGTCCCAAGATGACGAAAATGTGAAGGCCTGGCCCGAGACACTTCGTCAAGCACGAGGCAAAGAATTCCTCATGTCGGCATTTGGCGCCCTGGTACAATATTTGCGCGTTTTGAAGATCGACAAGGACCTCATTACCATTGGCAACTTCACATGGTATGATCCTATCAAGAAGGCGTCTAGCCTGGTGCTTGACGGCCAAACATTAATCAACATGGAAATCTTCGCAAACTCTTATGATGGAGGAGCCGAGGGAACTCTGTTCCAGCTTCTCAATCGCTGTATTACTCCATTTGGAAAACGAACTTTCAAGCAATGGATTTGTCACCCATTGATGGATGCTAGGAAAATCAATGCTCGACTGGACGCCGTCGACGCCTTGAATGCTGATCCAAGCGTTCGAGACCAGTTCTCTTCGCAATTGACCAAAATGCCGGACCTCGAACGCTTGATCTCCCGTGTACATGCTGGGCAGTGCAAAGCTCAAGACTTCGTGCGAGTTCTCGAAGGTTTCGAACAGATTGAATACACCATGGGGCTCCTGAAGGACTCTGGTGCCGGCGAAGGTATTATTGGACAATTGATTTCGGCCATGCCAGACTTGGATAATCTTCTAAGCTACTGGAAGACTGCCTTTGATCGATCTAAAGCGAAGGACAATGGCATCCTTGTTCCGGAGCCCGGTGTCGAAGAAGATTTCGATACCTCGCAAGGGCATATTGAACAACTGCACAAGGATCTTGATGATCTTCTCAAGAAGGCACGTCGGGACTTGGGATCTTCTGCTATCTGCTACCGTGACAATGGCAAGGAGATTTATCAATTGGAGGTGCCTGTCAAGGTGAAGAATATTCCAAAGAACTGGGATCAGATGTCTGCCACTAAACAGGTGAAGCGATACTATTTCCCCGAGCTTCGTTCCCTCATCCGTAAACTCCAAGAAGCCCAGGAGACCCATGGCCAAATAGTCAAGGAGGTTGCTGGCCGGTTCCACGCTCGATTCGATGAACACTACGGCACTTGGCTTGCGGCAGTTCGCATCGTTTCCCAATTGGATTGCCTGATTAGTCTCGCAAAGGCCTCCGCCTCCCTTGGTCAACCTAGTTGCCGCCCAACGTTCGTGGAAGATGAACGCAGTGTCTTAGAATTCGAAGAGCTCCGCCACCCATGCATTGCATCCTCCGTTGAGGACTTCATTCCCAATGATATTCAACTTGGCGGCAAGCAACCCAACATTGACCTACTTACGGGTGCAAATGCAGCCGGAAAGTCTACTGTTCTCCGCATGGTATGTTACACTTACTTAACACCCGGTTCCCCTTATTCTCCACTCCCGTAACTAATACGTTTAGACCTGTGTTGCTGTTATCATGGCACAAATCGGATGTTACCTGCCCTGCCAATCAGCACGTCTCACACCCGTCGACCGAATCATGTCCCGTCTGGGCGCGAACGACAACATCTTCGCCGCCCAGTCCACATTCTTCGTCGAACTGTCTGAAACCAAGAAGATTCTCTCTGAAGCCACACCTCGCTCCTTGGTGATTCTCGATGAATTGGGCCGTGGAACAAGTTCGTATGATGGTGTTGCTGTTGCACAAGCTGTGCTCCACCATATCGCTACACATATCGGTGCCATGGGTTTCTTCGCTACACACTACCATTCCTTGGCTGCAGAGTTCGAGGCCCATCCCGAGATTGCCCCGAAGCGCATGGCTATCCATGTTGACAACGCTGAGCGTCGCGTGACCTTCCTCTACAAACTTGAGGGTGGAGTTGCGGAGGGTAGTTTCGGTATGCACTGTGCGTCCATGTGTGGTATATCCAACAAGGTCATTGAGCGTGCTGAAGAGGCCGCTAAGCAATGGGAGCATACCAGTCGCTTGAAGGAAAGCCTTGAGCGTCGCAAGGGTGCTAGTTACGTTGGTCTTGGATGGTGGAGTGATGTTGCCTGGGCATTGCGAGAGTCGACTGCCAGCGAGGAAGATAAGGCGGGAGAAGTAACTGACTACGGACTGGAAGTGCTCCGCAAGGCAATTGAAACGCTGTGAAGACAATGTAGGACTATTTCTCTGCTGGAGTCTCATGTGTCCTTTTCTACCTTCTTTTATCTGCGTCACCCCTGATTCTCGACTATCTTTTTACTATGTCTCCTATGTTGTCATTATCTCGTGTTAAAAGGCGTCTGTGGAATTTATTCAGTGTTATACTCATAATGGTCGAATTATATTTACAACTTCTTTAAATTGTTCTGTCAAGCGCAAGGTCAAGCATAATTTACGCGGGATTGAAGAGTGCCAGTCTCCTCACTCGAGGAGTATGAGAAAATTCTTACGATCACAAGAGCCCAAGCGGGTTTAGCTTTACTAATTTCCATCACATACTAAGACAGTGGAAATCTACAAAGCAGGGAGAATTCATTAACACAAATGTGTTAATGGCTCGTAAGAAAAGACACTCAGTGTGCAATGTCCCACAGCATCAAACGCAAAATCAAACACAAATTAAGAAGCACAATAATATCGCCCACTGGGTATGCACATGAAACCCGTAAGCTCCTAAACTTCTAAACACCTGGGCATAACCGAAACCATAAAGCCTGCCGAAAACCCGACATGGTAACACGCTTGTTAGAATCGTGAAGAAACAAAGAAACACACATGAAATCAGACCCGGAATCCATACAACCAACCGCCCAGTCAACACTGTGGGAAGTTATGAATGGCATGCTCAAAACAAGACTAGTGCCGTGCAAGAAATGCCCGCTGCTGAGAAAAAAAAACAAGAGACAGAAATGGCTTCAATCATGAAACCTAGGACAAGAACCATGCGTTGGGGGGACGAATCAAGTTAGTCCTCCTGCTTCACACATCCTCGCCACTTGTAGCATATTTATTCTCGGGAGCCTCAAGCTCAGGCTCCTCATCGGGCTGAGCATCAACTTCGTCCTCCGATTTGAGCTCTCCGTCAGATTTATCTTGTTTCTTGGCCTCAGGCTCCGGTTCTGCCTGCTTTCGTTTACGACCACGAGGCTTCTTGGCGGCTGGGATAGGCGAGGCATCAGCAGCCTCATCGTCTTCACTGCCAGTTGACTTGCGCTTAGTCTTTGTTGTTGGATTGGCGCCGGCGTGCTCTTCGTGTTGAACGAGCTTGTTTCGTGCCTTTAAGTGCATTCTTCTCGCACTCGGCGTGGTCACGCTGACCCGATCCGCAACCTTGTCAAAATCGATCTGCAAAGAAAGGTTAGTACATTGTATGTTAAATTGGCCGTTAAGGTCTTTTTGTGGGGCGACGGTGCGATGTTCGTTTATATACACATGTATACGTGTATGTCGCATTTTATGATGCACAGAGCAAGTTGTGATTGTGGATGGGAGTTTGAGAGATGACTTGAGGTCACTTACCTTGCCACTACTGTCATGGTGGATTGATCCAAGTAGAATGAGACGGGCTTCGGATATGGTTAGGCCCATAAGGCCATCTAAGGACCCTGCCAGCGTTCCCTTTTTGGTTGGAGTGCTCTTGGCTGGGGTCGCCTTGGTAAGGATCGCCTTGGTGGGGGTAGCTTTGGTGGGGGTTGCCTTGCCTAGAGAGGCCTTTGGATCCTTTGGATTGCTCGGCATGTTTGCTTGCAATTGCTGGTGTTCGGGTGTGAATTTGATCAAGAGGTAATGTAGTTATCGAGGGATGATGTAGGTGAACAGGAATGGAGACGGCGGATGGGGGAAGGAAGAGGGACAGGGTCAAGAAAAGAAGAGAGGAAAACAGGTAAAGAGAAAGAGAGGAAGGAATATGAGATTAGGCAACAGACAGCGGATCGATTCAAATCTGTGGACAATGAATTTCTACCTAGTACGGTTCTATCACTCGGCACAATGACTTTTCTCGATCCGCAGTTTTTCAAAATCAACCTGCGAAGAAAGAGTAGTCTTTGTGTATAGCATTTGAGGATTCTTCTTTGAGGTTACCAGATGGTGTTGCATGTATACATATATATCATATTCCATTATATCTAAATCAAGCTGTGGTTGTGGATAGGTTCTTTGAGAGATAACTTGAGATCACCTACCTTGCTATCAGCGTCATGGTGAATAAATCTAAGCAGAATCAGGCGTGCCTCTCATATAGATAGACCACTGGACAGTTTGACCCGAAAGAGAAAGAGGTTTCGCCCACTTAATTACCGGATCTTCGTCGAGCCGGGAGATGATGTATGGTGATAAGGTAAGGAGAGCGAAAGTCAAGGACAGGGTCTTAATAAGTATTATGGGTAGAGCGAATGACGAAGATCTGGAGCTATAAAATGATCGAAGATCGGGCACATGGAACAGAGTGTCTATCGATTGAGCAAGTCTCCCAGAATGGCTAAGTTCTTTAAAGTTAGCTCTGAGCTGAATTTTGAGACTTGAATATGGCATTTTGGAATCAACTGGGGCATCTTGAGCAACCTTCTCTTGATTTATCAGTTTAACTCTCTTTTAGTTACAGCGCCTGAGTAAGGCTTCAGCAACTTGAACTTGAAGGTCAAACTTTTGGTTAGTATATCTTCTACCTGTAGGTTGAACCAAGGCATGTACTGAAAAACAGCGCAAATGAGCCCCGGGGGAGGATAAGGGCGTCAAATGTGGAAAATCAACGTCAGTCAGTATGTATGAATATCCTGGAGATTGAAGTGTGGGCTTTGTCGGCAAGGCTAGGTATTTGGCAGACAAGATATGATCAAATAACTGGAATTTGAAGCACATTCTATGATATTGACAAGGTGAAGACTCTATTCAGCTATGTAATAAAGCGGATTGGGATTGCCAAGGTATATAAGCTTCACAAGACTAGAGGATGTCACGTCAAATTTTTTGGTGTTGTACATGAGTGAACTCTAAATTTCATGCCATAATATACAGTTATTAATGGTATATAGCAAAGAGAAAACCAGGAATCTTCCATCTAGCGCTTTCCTAAAGAATTACTTTGGATACGGCGATAGATGTCAGGCCAAGCCTCGGGGTAAAACGCCGTTGACTGTCGTCCTGGTTGACTGTGGTCACCAGTGAAAAACTGGGTAGGGTGTTTCCCCATCCACCATGGCCGTTGGGCAGGATTTGTGTTTTGAAACTTGACTGGGCGAATCACATGCTTATCAGGCATAAGGTCACCCAGACGCACAGGAATGGTTCGAGGGATGGTATTGAAACGCATTGTATTAAGGTAGAGGGTGGCTGTTGGTGGCAGATTCTTGGCGTAATGAACTGCAGCTTCGCGGGATCGACGGGCAAAGCTAGGAAGGGCCAAGTGGACAAAGTTGACGTAGGGTGCTGATGTATAGGCAACAAAAAGCATGGGCATAGCACCACCAACAACCACTGGACATAATATTAGCACGATGATGCTTGTAGCGGGCAACTTGGCTAACATACCCAGTGGTGTAATATACCACGCATTATCAGCTGTGTAGCATGATGGGGCCACAATCAAGCATGCTGCGCCAAATAGAATAATGGTCGTTACTCTCAACATGCCCAGAAACATGGCGCGGCCGGTTCCTCCATAATACACCAGTATACGCTCCGGCGGCCCTGAAACTCTCGGTTAGTACACGAACATTAAGTTCAATTGTTCCAAAAGTTATGAAGTACCCTTCCTCAGGTTTATTTTCGCTGTATTTGTTGAAGTCGGGGAGCGCGCAGGCGTTTGGCTTAATTCTTTAGGTGTGGGTTCGGAAGCTGTTGGCTCATGACGCTTGGACGGGCGGGGAATTTGCGACTTGAATCGGATCCATATTTGACTGCGCAAATCTTTCTGGGCGGACTTGGAAAGCGCCGAGCGCAATTGAGGGGGAAGGAGGATATGTCGCATTGTTTGGAGAAAGTTTGGAGAACTTGTGGTCCCGAGGTTCCTGGAGTGGGAAGATGGTGCTCAGCAGATCATTGCGACCGCCTTGCGGCCAATCCATGTCTTGGCAAGGATTCAAGATCTCAATAGTTGGCTCTCTCCTGACCCTTCCAACGCCATCATTTCTATCGCTTTGCGGTGCCGAGCTGGTCTAGCACTGGAATGTTGTGTCTTTTTATATATACGATAAGTCATGACCTCATAGCAACCGATAACGTTTGTCGCAATGTCTACGGTTCTCCGTAGCCGATATGGCTATTTCATACTCCTATGCCTAGGCCTGCTACTGCTCCTTTCCCCCGGACAAGCATACGAAGAACTTTCCGACGAGACATTGAAATTATTACCGCGACCAAGTCAGGACTTTGACATTCACAATGGCGCTATCCTATCCCCTCTTCTCCAAACTCGAGTCCCCGGCACTAAGGGCCACGATGCAGTCCTCGAACACCTAGTCAGTTTCATCCGAAAAACCTTACCCAAGTGGAATATCGAGCTCCAAAACTCTACGTCGAAGACACCTCTTTCACATGGGAAGGATGTTCCCTTTGTCAATGTTATTGCCACCCGCGATCCACCGCGTGCCTCGGTAGGGGACGTTGAACGGTTGACATTAGTCGCGCATTACGACAGCAAATTGACACCGGAAGGCTTTATTGGCGCCATTGATAGTGCAGCTCCCTGCGCAATGATAATGCACGCAATGCGCAGTATCGATGCTGCACTCGACAAGAAATGGGCTGCCATGGAGAAGGGAACGGATTCTTCATTCGATGAAGAGGTTGGAATCCAGGTCCTTTTCCTTGACGGTGAAGAGGCCTTCGACCACTGGACTGACGAAGATTCTCTATATGGTGCACGCTCTCTGGCAGAGACATGGGATTCTCAGATGAACCCCGCCATGTCAACATTCAAGACTAAACTCTCGTCTATATCACTTTTTGTTCTTTTGGATTTACTTGGGTCCGAAACTCCTAATATTGTGTCCTTCTATCAAACTACTCACTGGGCGTACCAACGAATTGGCTCCCTGGAACAACGCCTCCGCTCATTGAACAAATTCAAGTCGTCGTCCCATCCATGGTTCATTGATACCTCCAAAGATTTCCGCCAAATTGTCTCCATGGGTGGTATCCAGGATGACCATGTCCCTTTCCTGGCGCGAGGTGTGGACGTTTTACATGTGATCGACTATGCACCCTTCAAGGGGTTCCCTCAAGTATGGCACACCATGGATGATGATGGCGAACACTTGGATATGGATACAGTTGAAGACTGGAGTGTGCTGGTCACTGCTTTCGCCGCCGAATGGATGGAGCTGGGAAAGTTCCTTGAGCAACCAGAAAGCGGGAAAGCCCGAAGAGATGAGATGGCTAAGGCGGATTTAGACAAGAAGACTGAGCTGTAAGCCTCTCCATATTCCTTGGTGATGCTCTTTAGAGTTGCCCAATGGGTTCATGATGTCCGCATATACTATACGTGGGATTTTTAGGACCGCACATTCCATCTGGCATGATTCATACTGATTCTTGCTGAGTATAGTTCATGATCGCAGCGAGCCTTGACTCTTCGGGCTTATACAGCATTTGCATACATGCGTTAGGTACTATTTTTATTGTCATTATTAGAGACCTATTATAATCTCGTTATATTCCTCACATCGCTCTTCTAGAACAAATTTCCGACGATATACCCACTCGCTGTTGGTAGCCCCCAAGTAGGCTGAATCATTGTACGGAGGAGAGCTGGCCCAGGGCACACTCCGCTGAAACCCCAAGCAACTCCAAATACAATCGCACCTGCAACAAACCGCCAATCTATATCAGCCACTGTGGCAGTGGGGATTCTCCATTGATTCGCAAGCGTAGGCTTTGTTTCCACTTTCTCTTTATCATTAATTTGACCGGGCTTCTTAGACAAATATGTCAACAAAGAAGGACCAATACCAAACGCAATGACCAACGCCAGAGAAGGATCAAAATGATACGGATCTGTGAGAAATGCAAGGAACCCCAGAACCTTAGCATTATCGGCCATCCCAGAGATCAATAAACCCAGTCCGAACTCCAGTCCAGCAATATATGAATACAAGGTCTTAGATTCCTCTGATCGTGTGAGAAATTTCGGTACGATGATATGGTTTGTCACGCTAGTAAGAGCCACTGCACCAGACATGAAGGCCAACTCTAATCCTGATGCATAGATGGGAGTATAGCATGGCCTCAACCCACAGGAGGGGATGCCGGATCCTCCGAACCACTTGCCAAAGTTGGCCGTGAGAACTGCCGATGTGAAAAATAATGCCGTTGCAATTATCGAGCGTGGTGACAGGCGTGACAATCCACAAAGCATGTGCCCCGAAGTACATCCTCGACCGTTCTAAAGAATTCAAAAACGCTGTCCGTCAGTCTCAAAGATACCATTCAGTTGCTGAAACGGATATTTTACCTTTGTGCCCCAGCCCAGTAGGATTCCCACGCCGAATGTTGCCGCCGCTGAAGCCAAAGAATGTGTCCCAGTAGGATAATTCGGAATAAGTGAGGGAGCCAGTAGATATACTGGAATCACACTGGACAACAAGCCCACGACGACGGGTACATTATCCCTGCTCGGGCGAAGTATAGACCCGGAGATTAAACTCGAGATGCCCAAGATAGCACCGTTGTGATACAAGAGGCCCGTAGATCCTTGGAATAACAGTAGGGCGCCCAGCGAGGTATGGATCGGGGTGAACATAATGATGTTGGAGAAGTTTGCTGAGCTACAAATTAGACTTTATCACGAATCCCAAATCCCAAATCGAGTCTGGATTCTGAAGACTATATAATTCGGCAGCCAAACGTTTTTGAGGGGAATGAATCGGAGAATAAGCATTCAATATGCCATGTGGCGCTCAGCTCAGTGGAAACCCGAATTTAAAAGGAAAAAGGAGTAAATTTGAGACTTATATTCGCGGAGTCATGGAGAACCCGGTCCGGGGACCACTGTGTCTATGGGTGGTCCCCGACATGAGCCCGCGCCCGAGTTCCCCGAAGTGGATCTGGGAAGAGGCGATCATTCGAATTTAATACGTTTGTTCGCCGTTCCTGGTGACCTGATAAAGTGATCTTCTTTGTTTCTATCAAACTAGTCACACCCGTTCCTGCACGGAGATCGGGATATTACGCAGTCAAACCTTTAATCTCCGAACTATAGCAATGCCATTGTTTCCGGGAACCTGGGGTTGGTTGATCGACGATGTATCAAGAAGACAATGCATTGTCTTGGAATGTCTAAGCTGAACTTAAAGATGGCTACATACATCCCCGAGAGGTACTATGTAGGACTCAACTAAGGGTGCATGCCTTCCAATGGAGTTCAAGCTTGGGACTGCCACTCATACTTTCCCTCACTGTATCCCTTCCATCTCCCGGAACTTAATTTATCTTCGGTATTTTTTTCCCCCGGTCCTATTACTCAACTCATATCAGGTCTTGTCGATCTTGAATGGTCTATTTTCTATCTCACAGATCAATTCACCGGTTCACAATGGGTATTCCCCATAGCGCACTTGTTCGCGACTGCCTGCTAGGCGCTGTGGGCAACAACTCCAATCTTCTTGCATTCCAAGGTGACTTCCTTTTCGACTCCAGAATTCCTCGTTACAACTTGGAATTCCCCGTGGTCCCCACTGCTATCACTTATCCCGACAATGCAGACCAGGTGGCTGCAATCATCAAATGTGCAGCTGATCACGATATCAAGGTCCAGGCTTACAGTGGAGGTCACAGCTATGCCAACTATGGTTAGTCCTTACAAAATCCGACTTCTCCCCAGGACTCAGCTAATTTTACTTTCCAAAAGGTCTGGGAGGAAATGATGGCGCCATCGTGGTTCACATGAAAAACATCCAACATTTCTCAGTTAATCCAGTCACCCATATTGCTACTGTTGGTGCTGGTACACTTCTAGGCGATCTTCATCAACGTCTCTATCATTCCGGAAGAAGAGCTGTTACTCATGGAGCTTGTCCTCAAGTCGGCATGGGTGGTCATTTTACCATTGGTGGGCTCGGTCCAATGTCTCGCGAATGGGGTACAGCTCTTGATCATATCGAGGAAGTGGAGGTCGTTCTGGCAAACTCGAGCATTGTTAAAGCATCCCAAACGCAAAATGAAGATATCTTTTTCGCTATCAAAGGTGCCGCTGCCAGCTTCGGTGTTGTCACAGAATTCAAACTTCGCACACATGAGGCGCCCACAGAGGCTATTCAGTACACATACCAACTCAACGCTGGCGATGGTGAAGCACGGGCTCAGCTTTTCAAAGATTGGCAGAGACTTATATTGACGAAGAACATCACTCGGAAATTCTCCAGTGAAATAGTACTCTTCGAAGGTGGTGCTTTGCTATCCGGTACCTTCTTCGGATCCAAAGAAGAATTCAATGCTTTCGGGCTCGAGGAACATTTTCCAATCAAAGACCATGGTACCATTGCATACCTTACGGACTGGCTTGGGATGGTCGTTAGCCAGGCAGAGAATCTCATTATGGAAAGCATGGGTGGTATCCCATCTGCATTCTATGCCAAATCACTATCCTTTACCCCGGATCAATTTATTTCAGATGCGGGTGTTGATGAAATGTTTGCCTACATTTGCAGAGCCAAAAAGGACACGATCGCTTGGTTTGTGATCTTTGACCTGGAAGGAGGCGCAACGAATGACCACCAAACAAACGCCACTGCTTATGCGCACCGAGAAGCATTTATGTGGATGCAGTCCTATGCGATCAGCCTCATTGGGCCAATCAGCTCCACGACAAAGTCATTCCTCAATGATCTAAATAAAGTGATCACGTCTTCTCGTCCCGGGTCATATGGTGCATACCCTGGATACGTAGATCCCTATTTGCAAGACCCGCAAAATGCCTATTGGGGAACAAACTTACCAAGACTGCAGAAGGTAAAATCTGCTATCGATCCAAAAGACATGTTTTCCAACCCCCAGAGTGTTAAAAAGGTTTCTCCGAATCCATTTTGAAGGCTTAATGCTGAGGGTTATGGTGGGGATAGGAGACTGACGATTTCGACGCGCAAAACGACCGTTAACGAAGGATTCCGATTTCATGAAATAGCTTACATTCCTTACCTTTTATTTATCTCAATTCCTCGAACTTCCAATTGAAATTACTTTCATGAATGATCTTTAGATGTCCAGGTCATTATTGTACATGACTAAGCTGTATGACTCCACATGTGCATTCCCGAAGTCCCCAAGAGTTGTTGGGGACATCAAGTTTACTTTGCCAACTTAGGCCCAATGTGAGAGGATATCAATATCTGAATCATGCAGGCCAGTTCTAGCTCTTTCACTTAGAATCGCTTATGACTTTGGGAGAAGACCCTTGAACATCAGGCCTGTCTCATGTTTTCTCAGTGACGTTTAATTCATTGACCCTCTCGTCATCTCCCCCCATATGGCGAACAATGCTCAAATCCTCAAACCTACCTATTAAAACTCAAATATGAAGCGTACAATAAGCTCAGACGATGAGGATGGCCATGTCCGGTTGCTAGAAAAATCACAACCAAGCCAAATTTTACTCAGTCTCAAAAAGTCCGTTTCTCCACCACATGTCAACCGCACATTGACTTCCGAGACAAAGAATGAATGCAATCTCGCCAAGATCGAAGCCGGTGAAACAAAGGTTACAAACCACCTTGAAATATTCTCTTCCAGGTTCGAGAAAATTTCTCGTCCCATCTCGGGGTCATCAACATCTACGCCCCGCCTACTAATACCAAAATGGATGGACCTGTACCGCCGCAACGAGCATGCAGAAGGACGCCATTTCGTGATCCATCAACACGACCACCCAGTCGCAGGGCCTCACTATGATCTTCGACTTCAGTTCTCAGAAACAAGCTCCGTAAGCTGGTCTATCATGTACGGTTTACCAGGTGATCCGAATAGCCAGCGATTAAATCGGAACGCAACGGAGACTCGAGTACATTGTCTATGGGTATGTGTATGACCCGATAGAAAATTCATTGAGCTTTTTAATGACTATTGCTTCAGAATCATCTGGTTGAGACTGCCTCCTCGAAGACGGGGAGTATGATTATTTGGGATACGGGAGAATACGAAGTCCTCCCATACGACGCAGATCAATCTCAGCCTCAGACGGATGATTCTCGATCTGAGATCTCCGACAGTCCAAGTTGTCCGGAGGAAAATATTTCGGAAACCTCAAAACTACAGCAGGCGTTTAGTAATGTAACTATTCGAATATGCTAAACAATACAAGTTCGGCAGGCTAACTCGGAACATAGTGCAAAATTCGCTTACGATTACATGGGACCCGTCTACCGGAAGACTACACGGTTATCCTACGAATGGACAAGACAACAAACTATAAACGACCTTTACGGACTGGTCCGAAGCGCCGCAGAAAGGCACCCGCATCTAAGCAGTCGATATCAAGAGCTCCCTCAACATCCGAGTCCGAAAGTGAAAACGCAGAAAGTTCAGAGGCAGGGAACATGGAGGCCACCGATTCCGATAACGAAACGGACATTCAAATCCAAAAGAATAATGCTTACCCTGGCTCTGTTAATAAGATTGGTTCTATTCACCAGCGTCGTTGGTTTTTAAGCCTTGATAGACAAAATTCTGGATTTGAGCTAGGGAATCCGAGGGATCAGTCTGCCTCAAATAAAAGGGCATGGGCTCGACGACTCGGCAGACACAATATTTTACATGGTTTTGAGCCATTCCATGTTCGAGGGCCAGATTTTGAACGGAGCGTTGTAACAGGACGGCTAGGACTTGATGTACTAAACGACGAAATGGTAGAAGGCTTCATACCTAGGAAAGGATGGAGAGCAGTTTTACATTAACAGGCACCTTTACTAATTGGGATCTTGTTAATTTCTTTCGTGTGCCATTTCAGTCAATCCTCTTCTTACATGGGTGCTACAAAATGCTGCTATATCAGATCATGCTGTTGACCGAGACAAATGTGTACTACATCATGATATAACCCATCCTACTCTAAAGAAAAATAAATCTTGAAAGGCCTTGCTACTTCACTTCCATTGTCATGAAACAATTAAACTAACATAAAACATACAGGGACGAATAAAACGGGGCTTTCCCATGTTCTCTCTCACAACAAAGGTTAATGAGACAAATGTGTACTACATCATGATATAACCCATCCTACTCTAAAGAAAAATAAATCTTGAAAGGCCTTGCTACTTCACTTCCATTGTCATGAAACAATTAAACTAACATAAAACATACAGGGACGAATAAAACGGGGCTTTCCCATGTTCTCTCTCACAACAAAGGTTAATGATTATTTTTGTCCATAGACTTGTTTGATGTGTCTTTTATGGAGTCTCATATCTGTATAAAAAAGATATTTCCTTGACATGATTTTCCTTGTCTGAATCCGTTTAGATTCAAGCGCTATAGTAATTCCTCGGTTCTAAAACAATTTCACTGCTTACTGGGAACTCGTTTCACAACACAATGCTATCAACAGTCATGATCAAAGGCCCCTTTCTGTCCATGGGCTCTTTTTATTTTTGTACCATCAGAGGTCGAAGAACTTACAGTATATAGTAAACAGTCAAACCTCTCGACAGAACTTGAATATGCCTTTCAGTCACAGCTTGAACTCAGCAATCTCAAGATCTACAACAAGACTCGTCTCTTCTTCGAGCCTCAATCGCAAAGCAAACAATCAGATTGGAATAACCTTGGGATAAAAATGTATTAAACCAAGTCAGCCTTTTACACATTTAGTCACCGGCCACATTCATCATGGCTCTACTGGCAGGCCCAGGTATTCTCATGTACGGTGGACATGAGGCACGTGGTTTACAGCGCGAGAGATGGATGGAAAATATACCAGGCCAGCCACCATGCCCTGTCCAACCAACCACCCTCACCCTAGCTGAATATGGACCTCAAAGGACATTTATAGCTGAAATTCCACTTGATTTCAACCTGATACCCGAAGATTTTGCTACAGCCTATGTAAGATTTGGGTTGGGTAATTGCCCCATCGTGCGGGGAATACGGGTTGAGACAGGAGGCCCATGGCTAGGATGTCTAGCGCCAGGCCACATGATTCTGGAAGGTATTTACCGAACACTAGGGGGTCCTTATGTCTCTGATGTTTCTAACATGTTCTACACTGAGTGTAAATATCTAGAAGATCTGAGATACGTCTTTGTGGCGACGGTTGAAAACACTGATACGAAAGAATTTCTTGAAAGTGACATTTACACAGCGGCTAATGGTTTGGCATGGCCACCAGTGCTGGGGGGTCATCATAGACTAGATCTTTATTATGATAGAAACCCGGCTGAGCTCCAAGCCATTTTGGGCACAGAAATCGGAAAGATGGTGTGTGCTATTGTATTGGGACGTTGGCCTCCAGGAACTCACCGTATTCCTCATGTCTCTATCGCAGTAGATGAAATTGTGGTATCGATCGATCCCCAATTTGGGACGCCAGAAATGCGAGCAATCATTGTTAACATGATGTTCAGTATTGAAGAAATTCCTGTCGCTGCCCCTGCCGCCGCCGGTGGTGATGGCGATGGTGATCGTGGTGATCGTGGTGATCGTGATGCTTCTCCAGGCCCTTCACCAGGACAGAAGCGAGCTTGGGCTAATGATCCTGACTACGAAACACATGGAGAGGATAATTCCAAAAGTGACTCCTCAGACCCCAAATCAAAGAAGAAGCGTACGGCCTGTGGAGGTGCTGCTGCTGCTTCTCCTGGGCGTGGACGTGGACATAGACGTGGGAATAGACGTGGACGCGCACGAGCAGGCTAGCTTTCTAGTTCTACTTTGAATATTATTGGAGACCTCCTTCCACGAGTAACGAGATCTAACGACTATACTGGTTGAGCTCGGTGGGCTCTCGTAAGTTGCTTCAAGTTTTTGTTATATGCATAGAATACGGTATTGGATTGGCAGAGATTTGTTTATCTGGAGTTATTGGCTTGTTTTAGCGATTCATTGGCATTGGGACGAGACATTGGAACTATACAATAAGTGTAATTTGATTTGATTCTCTTAAAGCCTCATGATCGTAAGTTATATCTATAGACAAGGTTTGCCAGTGTATAGAGTAGAACAGAGTGGCTACATATAAACTCTTAATACTGTAGCATCATGTTCACCCCCACTGGGTTCCCGCTCTGTGTCTCCACCTTATTCACTATGCCTGAATGGGTGTCCGCTTGTCACGGAGCTCCGGGCATATTGCGCATTCTAATGGAGCCGTGAGTCATCAGCTTGGCCAATGATAGGCCCGATTATATTCTACACCGTTCTTTTATACTAATGGCCGACCCTCAGGCCTCTCTGTGGCTTGATCACCGGGCTCCATTGATATGAACCTGTACTAAGGAGGGGTAGGGAGGAACAAGTTGACAATTAAGCATTAATATTGTATCTGAACACAAAACTTGGGTTTAGCTTTGAAGAATGTGGTTATCCGTATCTGGGATTGACTCACAATGGTTCACTTTGGGTCAAAACTGATTGAACTGGCCGATCTTTCCCTTTTCCCCACTTCTCTATCCGATGTGACGTTCAGACTGAATGGCGAACGCGCTATGACTATTTCTGTAAGCTCGATTAAGCCCCATAGACTCCGTAAGCCGGGTTCGCGATTAAATGTATAATGGCTCGCTATCTCCGCCTTTGTCAGTTCTTTTTTTTCCCCCACCCCTATTCTGTCTCTTTCCTGCCATCTGCCAGAGGGAGTGATATGAGGAATGCCCATTAACACCTCCATCGCGACGGGCTCCATTGCCCTGGGTCTAGTGGGTCTCGATAGTATCGCGGCCTTTAAGAGCATCGCCGATCGGATCTTCCGCAGACCCCAATATGATGAGGCCAGTCTAGCCAAGACCGCCTATCGCGATTCTGATGGTGAAGCTACCGAGGAATCGCTCCGAGCCTTTTCCGATAAATGGCAGCGTGTCGCAATCGCAGTCTTCTCAATTATCGGTCTAGGGTTCTCCTTGTCGCTCGCTGTTCTTTCAACTTCTCGTGACGATCTGAACAATCCGGTATTGAATTGGTTACAATTTGCAACTTGGGTAAGTAAAGAAAGACAAGTGAGAGGGAAAAATCGAGAGACCAGCTTTGATGCGAGCGCAACCAACGAGAAAGTCAATCGTTTTAACTGATTCTGTTATTCTAGGTCTTACTTGCGATTCAAACAATTGCTTTTTTCACTGAACCCCGCCCAGCCAGTCGATTCCGACTCGGCCAATTCGCTTTCGTTGGAAGCATCATTCCAATTGCAGTGGCTAGCTTGGAAATCCAACAAGCTTACTTCTCCCATAATATTCTTTTTCATAATCAAACTTGGATTTGCCTGGTAGCTGCAGCTATCGGCAGCGCCTTGTTACGTGCATTATTTACGATTCTTCTGCCACGCCGCCCAAATGTCTATTTTGAAGGAGGCGTGGTAGATAAAGAATTCACCATCACAGCTCTGGGTCGCTACAGCTTCACCTGGGCCAGCGACTTGTTAAGCTTTACTGTTGGCCGCACGAATCTAGAAATTTCTGATTTACCAAAGTTGCGAGCCGAAAAACGTGCGGACAGTCTTCGTGTGAAGTTCGAACGAGCTCAGGGCACCGGTAATGTTTGGAAAGGGATTTTTGTGGCCCATTGGCGCCCTTTGTTGCTCCAAATGGCTCTGACAACGGTGATTGGCTTTTTGACCTTCGGCCCCCAGCTTGCACTGTTTAACATCCTCCAATCTTTAGAAGGTCGCGATAGCGAGGGGTGGACGCCCACACGATCATGGATATGGGTTTCTGCGTTAGGAGTCTTTATGCTTCTATACTCCACTGTTGAGGCATGGCTCTTCTGGTCTGTCTGGTCGAAGATCGCAATTCCGGTTTATGCAGAGCTTACAGCTGTTGTGTTTGCTAAATCTATGCGTCGAAAGGATGCAAAACACACCAAAAGCTCAAAGGAAGAAGACGAGGCACAAGTCTCCGCAAAGGCCCTGCTCACGGGTGAAGATAAAAAGGAGGATGAAGAGGATGATGAAGACGATGTTAAAAAGAGCCGCCAGAGCATTATTAACCTGGCAGCTGTGGATGCTCGTCGTATCTCCGACGTTACTTCTTTCCTTTATATGATCCCATCTGCAATCCTCAAAATTGTGATAGGATGTAGTTTCCTGGTCAATGTCCTGGGATGGCAGAGCGCTCTCGCGGGACTTGGGGTTTCCGTCTTCATTGCTCCGATGAATATTGCCGTCACCAGAAGATATACAAGCGCCCAAGTCAAAATCATGAAGCTTCGAGATCAAAAGATGGCTATTGTGACAGAGGTCATTCAGGGTATTCGGCAAATTAAGTTCTCTGCTTTGGAAGAACAATGGCAAAAAAGGATAAGACAGGTCCGAGAGAATGAGCTCAGTGCGCTATGGGCCTCCTTCTATTATGATGTTTTCCTACTGGCTATTTGGATTCTTGGTCCTATCGCATTTGCCTCAGTTTCATTGACCGTCTATACGGTCCTGTATGGCAATTTAACCGCCTCCGTTGCTTTCACGGCCCTCGCAGTCTTTGGTTCCTTGGAAGTGGCACTCGCTATTCTACCTGAAATTATCACTAATCTGCTAGAAGCCCAAGTGAGTGCTAGCCGTATTGATGAGTATATGGCCTCTTCAGAAAAGGTCACCAATACAGTGCCTTCCGATAGCATTTCTTTCGAAAATGCCACAGTGGCATGGCCTGCAGAACATCACCCTGGAGAGCAACAAGAAGAGGAGGAACGATTTCAACTGCGTGATTTAAATTTCCATCTTCCGAAGAGGAGCCTCAGCGTGATATCTGGTCGAACTGGTTCCGGAAAGAGTTTACTTCTTGCTTCCATCCTTGGAGAGTGTGATGTCTTGGGGGGTACCGTCAAGGTGCCAGTTCCACCCGCTCTCAAGGATCGCTTTGATCATCTTGCAACAAGTGCCAACTGGACTATCGACGACGCCATTGCCTATGTTGCCCAGATGCCATGGATTGAAAATGCAAGCATTAGAGACAACATTTTGTTTGGACTGCCATTCAACGAGCCCCGCTATCGCAAAGTTCTCTTCGCCTGTGCCCTGGAAAAGGACCTGGAAATGCTCCCTGATGGTGAACTGACAGACATCGGCGCCAATGGTATCAATTTAAGTGGCGGTCAACGCTGGCGTGTGTCATTTGCACGTGCATTGTATTCCCGGGCTGGAATCCTTGTCATGGATGATATTTTCAGTGCTTTAGATGCACAAACTGGACGTCATGTTTTTGAGCATGCCTTGTCTGGAGAGCTTGGTCAAGGCCGTACCCGAGTTTTGGTAACTCACCATGTTGCTTTGTGTTTGCCTCGGACAGACTACTCTGTGCTGTTGGAGAACGGTTGTGTGAAGTATGCTGGTACTATCGATGAACTTCAGAAGTCTAACCATTTAGACGATATTCTCCGAGAGGAGCACGCAGCTGAAGAAACTCACCAGAAGGCCGTAGATGATAAGCAAGATGCTCAAGTCTCCGAAGGAGGGACACTCCAGAAGGTTATTTCAAGTACTTCTCATCGACGCCCAAGCACCACTGCCAATGTTACTGCTACTACGCCTTCAAAGGATGCCCCGAAAAAGTTCGTGAAAGATGAGGAGAGAGAAAAGGGCTCTGTCCGTTTGTCTATCTACAAAGCTTATTTCAAGATGGGTGGTGGTCTCCTAACTTGGGCGACTACTGCTTCAATATTCGCCACATATGCCGTGCTAATGGTAGGACGGGTAAGTTTGAAGATTATCTCTAGTTTTGTTGCGATGAAAATCGGACTAATTGTTAAAAAAATATAGTCTTGGTGGATAAGCGTTTGGACAAGCTCCTCGTCAAGTTCGGCAGCTAAGCCTGAGATGTTCCAAGCATTATTGCAACACCCAATGGCAGGATCTACTGTGGCTACTGGACGTCCAGAAGTCGACCCACAGCTGAGTATGTATCTAGGCGTCTACATTGGGATCTCCGCTCTAGCATGTCTGGTTGGAGCCGTTAGATTCTATTGTGCTCTTTCTTCCAGTGTTCGTGCTTCAAGAAACCTTTTCGACTCATTGGTTTATGCTGTCTTGCGTGCTCCCATGCGCTGGCTAGATACTGTTCCAATGGGCAGACTTCTCAATCGTTTCACAGCAGACTTCCACTTGATCGACTCGCGTCTGGGATACGAGATAGCCTTCCTACTCGCCGAGATGCTAGATGTCTGCGGTATTATATTCGCCGGTATCATCGTTTCCCCTTTCGTCATCGTTCTTGCGGCTGCACTTCTGGCCATCTGCCTCAAACTTTCTCTGACGTTCCTTGCTGGTGCCCGCCAAGCAAAGCGTCTCGAGAGTATCGCCAAAAGTCCTGTCTTTGAGCAGTTCGGATCAAGTCTGGCAGGCTTGGTCACTATTCGTGCTTTCAACAAAACAGAGGCCTTCATTGAAACGATGTATAGTAAGATCAACGCCCATGCTCAGTCCTGGTGGGCCGTTTGGCTGTTCAACCGCTGGTTGGGAATTCGTATGAATCTGGTTGGAGCTATCTTCTCGACCCTGACCGCGGCACTTGTGGTCTCGTTGCCTGGCATGTCCGCTTCTATGGCTGGATTCGCTCTGAGCTTTGCATTACAATGCAATGCTGCCATTGGGTTTGCTTTGCGACAATATTCTAACCTTGAACTCAACATGAATGCAACCGAGCGAGTCGTCGAGTATTCCGAAATCGAGCTGGAGAACCAAGGTGGTGCCCCCGCACCAGCTGCTTGGCCTACAGAGGGACGCCTTGAAGTCGATAATCTAGTCGTGAGCTACGCACCAGACCTTCCACCCGTACTCAAGGGACTCAGCTTCACGGTTGAGAAAAACCAGCGAGTGGGCGTTGTTGGCCGTACAGGTGCTGGTAAATCATCTTTGACCTTGGCACTATTTCGCTTCCTCGAAGCCCGCGAGGGCTGTATCTTTATCGACGGTTTGGATGTGTCCAAGATCAAACTGCACGATCTCCGCAGTCGATTAGCTATCATTCCACAAGATCCAGTCATCTTCTCGGGCAGTGTCCGGTCCAACTTGGATCCTTTCGAGGAGCACACTGATGCCGAGCTGAACGATGCGTTGGCTCGAGTGCATCTCATCCCTTCATCTGACGATGAGGCAACTCTTACATCTCAAACTGCGACACCCCACCCAGCTGGGGGCACTGGTGCAACCACACCTAATACTGCCACAGCCCAGACTACCAACTCAAATCTGTTCTCGTCATTGTCAGCAAGTATCTCGGAAGGTGGTCTAAATCTCTCTCAGGGCCAACGGCAACTTCTGTGCCTCGCGCGTGCAATCGTCTCCCGTCCAAAAATCATGGTCCTTGACGAGGCTACCTCTGCCGTGGATATGGAGACGGATGCGCTCATCCAACAGTCAATTCGAGCCGAGTTTGATGCGACGACGCTTTTGGTCATTGCGCACCGTCTAAGCACCATTGCAGACTTTGATCGTATCTTGGTACTAGATGCTGGTAAGGCAGTCGAGTTTGGTACGCCTCGGGATCTGATGGACATTGAGAATGGTGTCTTCAAGAACCTGGTGGAGAACAGCGGCGAGAAAGCTGTTCTAGAAAAGGTGATTTTTGGATAAGGAGAGAAAAGTTTCCTCGGTTCTTCAGTTTCATTATCGGTTTTTTTTAAAGTATTCAGAGCAACAGTATAGATTGCATTTCAGATTAAATTGATTAAAATATTATTTATATGGGATATTTCTTGACAGTGCCATCCGGAGAATAGAAGGGTACATTGTCATAAACACAGTTCATAAGCTTCCACTCCCAACATGGACCCATGTGTGCCGTTGGGCAGTAATAGATCAATTGGCAGACCTTCAGCTCAGAGTAACCACATTTCCAAGACCCGATTCATTTCTCCCATGCCATGTATCGTTATAGAATTTACCAATCCGGCCTTATGCCAGGATATAAACACCATCAAGTTATAATAGGGTCAGAGATGCCTTCATCGCGTCCGTGAAGTAAACAAGGTGGTGTGCCGAACGCATATTTCACTCTCCCTCCATCCCGAGTCTTGCAGCCCTTGAGCCCTCCGAAAAGGGAGAGCCACAAGCCTCAGAGAGAAGAGATGGATCATATAGAACACACTAGGCTTTCATCATCTAAAGAGAAGTCAGTTTCAAGGATTCGAGCAAAATGGGAGAACAGGTAGACTCACAAGTATAAAACTTGGAAGGATGAAGAAGAGAAGAAAAAAAAGCGGTGTTGACCCGCTATTATATGTAATGGCGCTAGTCTGCTTTTGGCGGGCGGTTTCACCCACTTTGTTTTCTGCCGTTTTTAATCGTCAGACAATCGAGTCCATTGAATTGTACTTTCTCAAATCAAAACATCATGCTGGGTGCGGGTGTACAGCTGCCATTGCGGCTTCGCTCGAGATTTGCTGTCTCCTCTTTGATACGGGGTGTGCGCACACCATCGCCATGGACGCGATCGGCTGCATCTTCGCGGCATTTTCATCGTCCGGCTTGTCTCCGAGAGCAGCAGGTTGCGGAGATTCCTAGCTTTCTAGAGGCTTATAAGAAAGCAGGTTGGTTGACTGTTCCTTCCTCAATAGACTAAAGTCTTCAATTGCTAACATATGTCTTCGCTCTATAGTGGAATTCCCGCCAGCCACTCACGACTTTGAGTCTTTTCTCTCGCAGGCCGAGCCGAACACCCAGGTTGTGTTGCACGGATATCTCGGTCATAGAGCTGATCTTTCTAAGAAGCTCTCATTCGTGCGTCTGACAGATCCTACAATGAAATATCACTTGCAGATTGTCGCATTTGCCAAAAATGAAGCATTTGAGAAACTCAAAACTCTCAACGCCCACAGTCCTGTCGCGGTAGCTGGAACAGTGCAAAAGAAGAAAGGAAAGCCTAGCGATGACGCAAACAAGCCCGCCGAAGATACCTGGGAGCTTGCATTGGAGGATATTCATCCTCTGAATGACTTTCCCAAAGAGATCATTATGACGCCCGAGACTGTGTTCGCACCCGAACACCGGTATCTACAGCTTCGTTCGGATGCTGAGCTGCGGGAAGCTCTAAAGTTCAGAGCTAAGGTACATAATGCTTGTAAAGAGGAGCTGGAGAAATGCCAGCCTTCTTTCGTGGAGATTGAGACCCCATTGTTATTTAAATCAACACCAGAGGGAGCACGCGAGTTCTTGGTTCCTACTCGCCGAGCTGGCCTGGCTTATGCCTTGCCTCAAAGCCCGCAACAGTATAAACAGATCCTGATGGCTAGCGGATTGCCGCGTTATTTCCAGTTTGCTCGATGCTTCCGAGACGAGGATCTTCGGGCTGATCGCCAGCCTGAATTCACACAGGTATGCCCGTTTGTGCTGCAGAGTCCATGCGCCTTAACTAACTCTTGTTTAATGTGTAGCTTGATATGGAAATGTCTTTTGCGACCGGTAACGATGTCATGCGCACTATTGAAGGAGTTATCTGCCGACTCTGGTCGACTTTGATGAAGGACCCTGCGCCAGAGGGTCCTTTCCGCAGAGTGCCGTATCAAGAAGCCATGGCTCGCTATGGATCTGACAAGCCAGACACCCGTTGCGGCATGGAGATCATCCGGTTGGATCATCTACTACCTGTGGATCTGGTCGGTAAGATATCCGACCTGAACGACCCCATAGTGGAAGCTTTCAAGCTCGAGGGTAATGAAAATGACCCTGCTGAGACTCATAAATTCATCACTCAATTCCTTGACTCGCCTATCGGTGCATCTTTTAACGATAACCCAGACGGAGGCCCGGGCGTCTTTGTTTATAACGGGAAACAACCGCTGTGTGGACTACAGCCATTTGGCTTCGAAGCTGCTGAGCAAGTTGAAGAACTCCTCGATCCTGATCATGGCGATCTGATAATTCTCCAAGCTCGTCCCCGCGCTCCCTTCTCGGGCGGATCTACACCAATCGGTGACTTACGTCGCGCATTACATAGTTCGGCCGTCTCAACAGGCTTCAAGCCAGCTCCCACCGGCTTTGATTTCATGTGGGTGGTTGACTTCCCGCTTTTCTCGCCTTCCTCCGACAGTGAACCCGGCCAGGGTGGTGCAGCCGGTATCTCATCTACTCACCACCCCTTCACTGCGCCCAAGACTGCAGCAGATGTAGACCTCCTCATGACAGATCCAACACAGGCCGTCGCTGATCATTACGATCTTGTCGTCAATGGTGTCGAGCTTGGTGGTGGAAGTCGTCGTATCCACGACGCGGCTGTTCAGGAATTTATCCTCCGTGATATTCTGCAAATGCCAAAGGAGCGTCTAGCCGATTTCTCACATCTTCTTGATGCTCTACGTGCGGGCTGTCCACCGCATGCCGGCCTTGCTTTGGGCTTTGACCGCCTTGTTGCTGTAATGCTAGGCAAGGAGTCTGTTAGAGATGTTATCGCTTTCCCGAAGACGGGTAAGGGTGGTGATGATGCTATGGTTCGCGCACCTAGTCCTATGACTGCCCAGGCCTTGGAGACATATCACCTTCAACTACGCAAGTAGTTTTCTAATTGCGGGCTGTATATTATCTGTTTTATTGACTGTATCTTCACTTTTTCTTATATGCGTCTGAATTGGCGACTTTGTACTATAGTGTACTATATCTAGATACCCGGTCACAATCTCCTGTCCAAATGAAATACCTATGACAATATTTAGGGATAAAATATTTCATGTTGAAGCGAAGTAAAAAGAAAATACTAGAATCTAGAAATTCCCAAGGCTTACCATTACCACCCGTGGACTCAAACTAAATTGGTAGACAGTTCTCCGGGCGCCTGGCCTAGCCCTGACTATTAGTAGAACTGGTTGATACTATGTATATATTTAAAGATCCATCTATAGTGCGGAGCAAAGAGGGCACTAAACAAGTGAGGGCAGTATGAAGTGTGAACTATTAATATCTGCCAATTGCGACATGGGAGTCATTCAATTCATTCCTACCAAGTTACGATACATGCTTAGAAATATCTCCGCATAGATTGGTGATGATCGACAGCAATGAGGACAATCATGCCCCAGAGTGGTGCTGGCTGTGCAGATTATGATCTAAACTTTTAAGCTGTGTTACATCATCAAGCGCTGGTGGTCTAGTGGGATGATACTCGCCTGAAGATCTAGATATCTTCATCCTCAAGCGATAGGTCGCGTGTTCGATTCACGCCCGGCGCATTTCTTTTTTTGTTGAATGAATTTTCAATTCAAAGGTCGCTGCCAAAGATCAGTCTAAGTAACTAGCCGTGTCTACACCGCTACACGGCAGAACACCAATTCGCGCCCGGGCGAATTGGTGTTCCGCAGCGGAATGGAAATTCTCACCGGAATGGAAAATTTTCGTCTTTACATACAAATCTCTATATAATTTAGAATTTATCAAAAAAACCAATAACCTCTCCTGTCTCGTTATATAACGGCTCAGCCTCTACATCCTTTTCAGCCTCCGATCTAAATAGTATAGTAGAATTAGGATGGTTTTTCTTCCACTCCCTCACAAGCCGTTTTTCCTCTTTTTCAGCTTCCTTAGTATACCTAGCAGCAATACTACGTTTTACATCTTTAACACAAATCATTCCGTCATCTCTAAGGCCTAAAATATACCTTTTGGTAATTTTCTTCTCCCGTAGAGCTTTAAATCTAGCCATCTCAGCTATAGTAGCTAAGGTATTAGCTAAAGCATTAAAATAGAATTCTTACTCTTCTAAGACCTGTGAGAGTATTTTTTTCTCTTTAGGTATTATATTAGATCAATCAAGAAGTCCAGAGAGATGTCTTTGTCGTTTTTCCACATCTTTAAATATCTTTGAAGATATATTTTCAAGACTTAAAGATAAAAGATCTGGCCCTAGAGATAGTATTTTCTCATTCTATAGATCAATTTCTAGATCTAGAGACTCTAGAAGAGAATTATCAAGAGATTTACAAACTATCTCTACATCTAGAGGATAAATTCCACAATCTTTAAAGGCATTCCAACAGATACAGGATATAAAAGCTTTATCTCAGAAGGTAAGAAGATCATAAAGAAAAGATAATTTTATAGCAAGTTAGCCACCCCCCCATTAAGAAATAAGATTATTTTACAATCGGAAATAAGCTTTATAGGCTTAAAATAGTTTACCATCAAGAGGTTAAAGATAATTAGTTCTATTTAAAAAGAAACCAAAGATCTTAATATTAGCTTTCTCTGTAATATTGAGAAATTCAAAAGTCAGATATAAACCACAACCATCAACCAAAAGAATTCGTTACTCATTTTTGTAAACACAATTACATGTTTCACAATCAAATTCTTATATCCAAAGCACAGCAAGTTCATCAACAATATAGCCTTTCTCTACAGTTACAATCATCCATTCATCAGATAAAATGTAGTCATACCACGACTCCATATAATATTAGCCTTTAAAGATAATAAAGGAATACATTCGCCAGCCATCTACAGTAATACATTCTACAACTATAACTCTTTCTCTATATTCATTACTTACAAGCTATTACAATTTATTCATTCAGCTAGAAAATACTCACTAAGTTCTTCCTTGTCCAATATAAAAGCCAGTTTCATCGAAATTATAAATTAACTATAGGTATACACCATCTAGGGCTTTGGCTAATAAATCGTACCAATAATATAACATTGAGACATCTACCACTCCCAGACGTTTTGAATCAACAATCTTTTACCTTCTAAGCTTCATTTCTATATCAGGAAATCATTTAATATAACAATAAACCCAGTCTTTTCCGACCGTCCGATCAGGTGTTTTTAATCGAGCAAGAGTAGCATTAGCCCATTGTTCTATAATATTTAGCATAGGAGGTATAAAAGCTACATCCATAGCCTATATCCAATACCCCAAAGCCTTTTCTTACTATACGTTCAAGGCGTAATTCAATGGTTTAACATCTATTTTTGGCTTCATGTTCTGTTTTACACGTCTCCAAAGAAGCTTGTAATCAACGCCATATTCCTTAGAAATGGCGGACAAATTCGGCTTTTTGAGGCTTCAGGCGTATTTAATAGCCTGATTTACACAAGATACCTCGGTTTCAATAGGTTTGGCCATAGTTAAGGAAGTCTTTTTAAACAATATGATAAAATTCAGAAAATTTTCCATTCCGGTGAGAATTTCCATTCCGCTGCGGGACACCAAATGGGGCGACCCCATTTGGTGTTCTGCCGCGTAGCGGTGTAGGCACGGCTAGTAACTAACTATATATTTACCATTAAGGGCTTGAATGAGATGGCCGGGCGACGCTGGGTCGTTAGTCTCCCCCCAATCTTTGACATATCCACTTCCCCAACCTAGGCTCTAGCTTTCATAAGAATTAATAACTGCAAGCATTTTTGCTCTTTCTTTTGAGACATAATTAATCAGTCGGGTTTTCAAGTCCAGAAAGATCCAAGCTGTGATTTTTCATAGCATACATTTGAATCATATAATCGAGTGCAGTACGCTCTCGGGGTCCGCCGTATGATGTTTATTGACACCAGCGCCTACGTTCAAAATTATACTCACGTTGGTTAGATTCCGACTTCTTGCAGCCAAATACAAGGCGAATGCATGCTTTGATATAGATACTTTTGCGTCCACTTCAACACTGGGATTACCTCCAAGCTTCAAAGTAACTTGAAGCGGGGCTGATTGGGGCAGTAGAAGCCCAAAGAACAACCGAGTTAGCTTGGGAGGGATCAATTGAAAGCAAATACTCCAAGCCCGGTGTCTATGAAGGATTGATTGTATCGAGTATTGCCTCCTTTGAGACGTGGGACCTTTGTGTTACAAGGAATTTCGACTTCAAGGGAACGACCATCGCGGGCTGATATTATTTCCTGTGGCCACACAGAGTTAGACTCAGTCGCATCGGTGTATGTGGGATCAAAAGAAAGTAAATGGATCCCCTCTTCCCACATGGAGCGGATGGCACATTTGATGATAAGAGGACATAAGTCAGACTTCTTTGTGACCAGTAATTCCATCATCTTAAGAGATTTGATTCGGATAGTCGCCAGCACTGGGTCAAAATCTGGCCCCGTTTGATGCTGTTCAACAAAACCAGCTGATTGGGGCTCTAAATTGCGCTTTGCGCCATATTGAAGTAGAAGTTTGATCATTTCCAGATCTTTGTTCTTCGCTGCCATCACCAATGATAGTTCTTTGACTATTCGGCTTTGGTCGTCTGAGTAATCACCCTTAGAACTGAAAGTTTTTCCATCCTTCAGCGCCGGCTCAAGATTGGATGGCAGGGCTTCTTTGCTCAAGAGAAATTTGGCCAAGTCATGATTCATCCATTCAACTGAAATGCGGGATACAGTATGATTCGAGTTGAATTGTAAACTCGGACCTAGACCATGATCAAAGAGCAGACTAGCGATCTCGAAGTGGTGGCTTATAAGGACTTCTGCCAAACACTCGCCATGTATGCGCTTGGCAATCAGGTGGTCCGATACGTTTTCAAATATCAAGCGTACCATCTTGCTGTCGTTGACTAAAACTTGAATGACCTTCTCAAAGTAAACCAGAATATGTCCGATGCCACAGGCTCGGGCGAATACTCAAAGATCATCTGAACCAAAATATAGTGCCTAAAAAAAATCGAATAAGCGAGAGGTGAGATTTGGGCATTGGTCCAGTTTTGCAGCGGAACTTCCGTGTCTAGTGAAGCTCCACAACTAAGCATCAATTGAAATAGAGAGCTATCTCCTATAGCAACCAGAGCAAAGAGAACTTTGAGCTGTAGTCTTTGATACTAGGAGTCCAAGATGTTAGTGGTTACCAAAGAAGCTCCAAAACAAAAGGACCTGTTTATGGCTATTGGAAACGGCCAAAACCGATCAAAAAATACAACATAATCTTCATTGGTGTCAGTGTTGAATAGAAACAAACTTACCATGCTTCAAGAGAGTCGAGCAGCTTAGCATCTCCCTCAAGTGTCGTACTAAACGTCACATCATTCCTTTTTGAGGGCAGCTTCTACACTGCCTAGAGCTTGAGAAAGAGCTTCCAAGTCACCACCAAAAGATGCCACGACAATGTCTACGTCTTTTACATTTTCAACATGATCGTATATTGCCGTTGCTAATTTGAAACTGTTGACACGAATAGATGGAGCGGTAGATACGATCGCAAGCGGATCCCCGGATAGATAGAGTGTCTACCTAGGTAAACAAGTCAAGGGTAGATCGTTCTTTCTGTTCTTTTACGGGAGGGAGTGGTTTGTTCTCCACGATCTTGAATATTGCCGAGAATTAGAGGGATTACTGTTTACAGTTCATCTTCAAGTTATTGTTAAGGGTGAGCACTGACACTCTTAGGATGCCAATAGTGGTCCCGGGCAAGGGACCCAGCTGTTTGTTGAACTATAAATGTCGTAGGAGTGCATAGGGTGCTTAGGTGCAGTTTCATGATCAATGGATTGCTTTATTCGGCGCATAGATGCATACTGCTCGTGAATAGATCGCTGCACTCATCCATTGATGGTTCTTCCACTGTTCGCAGGATACTTCTGAAACGTTCATTCTCGAGGGTTGCCAACATATATGGCTCCTCCACCGAGCTAGCGCTGCTACCCACGATGTGGTAGGTTTGATTCTACACCAAATTCAGAGCGATTCTACAATTGGAAAATAGGCGCGGAACTTGGCATCCCCGAAAAAATTCTCAAATTACGACATAGTGCCATAAAAATCCGGAATGCTTGCTTTGCTTTTTTTCAATCGGTTCTGTAATCAATTGTATACTCATCAGAAGTGGAGTATTGGGTCATTTTTCCTTATATTGTCAAAAGTTGAGCGAGCATTCATCAAACTGCGCTGGTGGTCTAGTGGGATGATACTCGCCTGAAGATCTAGATATCTTCATCCTCAAGCGATAGGTCGCGTGTTCGATTCACGCCCGGCGCATTTCTTTTTTTTAAACAACTTTTTTGTTGTCTACTTGTCAATAAAGGAGTGCTTTCTCTAATATCAGTTCTTGATAAATTTTTACCTGGAACCCACAATAAGCTCCAATGCATAGGTCAGGCGATTTATGTGTACATCACACCTGGGCAGTTTACATACAATGGCTATGTGCCCGTGAGGCCCGTTATGCCTCATGATGTCCTATCGATTGACATCTGCGTCAATTTGGAACAAATAGATAAAGCTCGACGTACAGCAAATTTGTCGGACACCCAATTGAATACTCTAAGCTCATTAATCAATAGTTCAAGACAAATAATCAATCAATTGTACCTTTTTTAAGTCCTAACACCTGATAGTATAGATCTGACATCGGAGAACAGCCGGGCAAAGTGCGGGTTTGGTCTGTGCCGCCGCCAGGGAACTTCGCATTCTTCCACTTTTCATTCCCTCCTCTTGAGGACCCAACTCGCGCCATGCTACCTCTACGGTCCGCCCTTTTGAGGCATGGGTCACCTCGAGAAACGAATATATGCTCTAGATGTCTGGTGAAATCTCGCACTCACCCCTCACAACCCAGTCGGGGCTTCTTCACGTACACGCACCGGATAACGGGCATCCTCGCGAATCAGACCACCACGCCTCTTCATAAGACATACTTCTCCCCCAACCGGTTCTTTTCCCCCAATCGGTTCAACGATGGCTCAAATACTAGGAGCGGCCTATTATCTTCCTTCGCATCCAGAAATGCCGATTCTCAATCAACCTTCTCAAATTCCCAACATTCGAATGACCGCTTCGCAATCCCGAGTGATTCGTCTCCCGCACCTTCCGAGTCAATTGCCCCCGGAACTACAAACAATGAACTGCCTCATCGACAGAGGATACGGTTGAAAGAAGAGGCTTCAAATAATGACCAACCAGAGCAATCCATCCCCCTCGATGCTTCAGCGCAGCTATCGAATTTCTCATCCGCGCTTCCCAACACCTCTATTCGTCGCAAACTGGCTGCATTCTTCGCCCTCACCAAACCTAGACTTTCCTTTCTGATTCTTCTTACTACCACATCTGCATACGGAATGTACCCTATATCGTCATTGCTCACCCTCGACCCGGCCATTGACCCTCTCCCCACTCTCTCTACCTCCACCTTGACCTTCATTTACTTGACGATAGGCACATTCCTCTCATGCTGCAGTGCCAATACTCTGAACATGATGTTTGAGCCGAAGTACGATGCAATGATGACCCGAACACGGAATCGTCCACTAGTGCGCGGCCTAGTCTCACGTCGTGCTGCCCTTCTCTTCGCCATTGGTACTGCGGCTACCGGTCTCGGACTTTTATACATTGGAACAAACCCAACAACAACAGCCTTGTCCGCCGCAAATATTGCTTTGTATGCATTTGTGTATACTCCTCTGAAACGCATTCATGTTGTCAATACCTGGGTCGGTGCGATAGTGGGCGGTATCCCACCGTTGATGGGTTGGGTTGCTGCAGCAGGGCAAACAGCCACAACGGGGCATGATACCTGGCGCGACATGTTGTTTAGTGAAGACAGTATTGGAGGCTGGCTGCTTGGTGGAATCTTATTTGCTTGGCAGTTCCCCCACTTCAATGCGCTCTCACATCTCATTCGAGACGACTATAAAGCCGCGGGATACAGGATGCTTTGCTGGGTGAACCCGGCGCAGAATGCTCGTGTCGCTTTACGATACTCCGTTCTCATGTTCCCGATTTCTATCGGCCTCTGGTGGGTTGGTGTTGTTGGCCAGGGATTCTTGGTTGGAAGCACTCTCGCCAACGGCTGGCTTGTTCGTGAAGCTTATCGTTTCTGGCAACACCAGGGTGCCCAAGGTACCGCTCGAGGTCTCTTTTGGGCTAGTATCTGGCAACTTCCTATTCTTCTTGTTGGGGGTCTGGTTACCAAGAAAGGGCTGTGGGATGGTGTCTGGCGGAATATTTTTGGACAACCAGAAGAGGATGAAGATGAAATCCTGTACTATGAAGATGATGACGAGCTACTTGCTGACGAGGACTCACCCTCGCAAGACTCCGTCTCTCAAACGAGCAGTATAGTTGGCCATTCGTCAACAAAAAAGACAAGCGTATTGTCTACTGCATGAGGGGATTCTGTGATAAGCATACCAAGAAAGTCTCGTGGCATTGAACCACTTGTATACATACTTCTTACCCCCCGGCTCAACTTCTCTTCCTGGATTGTTACGATTCGACTTTCTACAGCGACTGGGGGTGGCGTTTTGGGTTACATTTCCTTCTTGTATAATATGTCTATATGGAAATCTAAGTCATATCCTCGATCTTACCAATATCGTCTTTTATTGCATAAGACAAATCCCCTAGAGCTGCTTACATAGCTAGCAAGACGTGCGTAAGTCTTGGAATAAAGACTTCATAGAAAATATATAGTTTTTTTTTTTTTTTTAGAAAACCCCCCCCCCCCCCCCCCCCCCCCAAAAAAAAACGCCACATTTCAGTTATTATTCAGCCCGCGGTTTTTGTGTGTGGAAGGAAAAAAGACAAAAAGAAAATGCGCCGGGCGTGAATCGAACACGCGACCTATCGCTTGAGGATGAAGATATCTAGATCTTCAGGCGAGTATCATCCCACTAGACCACCAGCGCTTGATGATATATTGTACAGTGGTATTATTTATAATCAACAAATAATAAAGTTTATGCAAGGAATTTTGAAGAACTTACTTACGATTTTGGCTAGGTAAGCAGAAGGCTGGACGAGAGATATTGTAAAACATGATGAATCATTTTAAATGGATTAAATATGTGCACTTCAATTTAACAATATTAATTATTATGCCAACGACTAGGCTTTGTTTATAAGGACACCCGACCGTTCCTTGGAAGCCTTGTCCAGGCGGAAAATCCATACTAGATATATAATCCTGAAGCTTCCAAGGTTTTATGTAGTGGGAGCAATAATTGACAGTCTATATTGTGTCCCACCAACTGAGCACAGCAGCCTTTGGAAACATATCGCAACATTATATGGAGGTAGGCCTACAGGGATATTTTATATATTACTGGTGTCTTAACGTTTTTATTGAACCCTTGATTCTGTTGAGCCGAACACGTGAAGCCGACACAGTGGCTGACACTCCGTGGCTACATGGATAGAAACGACGCTTCGCATTTTCAATGAACCAAGTCTATTCCATTTCTATTGAATTAAGAATAATAGTTATAGAGTGTCAGATATCAGTACGCCACAAGTCCATATTGTAAAAGTCCCGACGAGTTTACCATTTCCTCGAGTTGACATTACAAACACTATTGACAATTTGATTATGTCAGTTTATAGTCCCGTGGAATAACTAACAACAATGTCAACAGCAACTCACTTTCTACTTCTAATCTCCTCTCCACCAAAAAAAATTATCTTTACCATTATTCCTCCTTTCGGCCCACATATACATCATGGATGTTCTTCAAACTAAAGTCCTGGACCCTCTCCAGCCATACCTCCACCCAATCGTCAAAGCAATCCCCGAACCTGTCCACGATGCCGTCGTCTCATTGATCGGCGAACCCTGCCACAGCGCGCTTCTCCTCGATCTCGATCTCACCAAGGATCCAGCCTGCACATCCCTCGCTATATCCAAGGCACTTGGTATCGCAATCGTTGGCGCCAGCGCAGTTGTTAAGGTTCCTCAAATCCTGAAGCTGATTAACTCGCGCTCCTCCGCCGGTGTCTCCTTCGTGTCCTACGCCCTTGAAACCGCCAGTCTGCTCATAACCCTTTCCTACGGTGTGCGCAACCAGTTCCCCTTCAGCACCTATGGCGAGTCGGCTCTTATCGCCGTCCAGGATATTGCTGTCGGTGTTCTGGTCCTGACCTTCGCTGGCCGCTCCGCTGCTGCTGCCACGTTTGTCGCGGTCGTTGCGGCCAGCGTTTACGCGCTGCTTTTCGATCAGACAATTATTGATGCGAACACTATGGCCTATCTCCAGGCTGGTGCTGGTGCTTTGGGTGTGGCTAGCAAGGCTCCTCAAATTTACACTATCTGGCGCGAAGGAGGCACCGGACAGCTTAGTGCGTTCGCGGTATGTTTGCGCAAATGCGTATATCGTCTCCAGATAATATGAGCAACCGAAACTGATTTTCAATTTTTCTTCTAGGTCTTCAATTACCTCGTCGGTTCGCTATCGCGCATTTTCACTACTCTTCAGGAAGTCGATGACAAGCTGATTCTCTACGGATTCATTGCTGGCTTCTCTCTTAACGTGATCCTTGCGACCCAAATGGTTTACTACTGGAACAGCCCGGCTCCCAAGAAGAAGACATCCCGCAAGTCCGCGGATAAAGCCGTTGCCAGCCAAACTACGGCCGTATCGCCTAAGCCAGGCTCCAAGTCACCTACCACCCGTCGACGCGGTTAGAGCGATTGGTTACCCTTATTAAAATGCGTTTTCTGTTTTTGCATTTCGTTATAATACGCTTAATAATGTCTTTCTTGGAATGCAAGCTATTTCCTCATGAAATCAGACTCATTATAGTCAACTGTCTTTGAATTGCGCGTAGAGATCCCAAACCACATACACCTCGTAAATTGCAATGCAAAATGAAATGACGAACAGTATAGTACGGAGTCTGTTAGCTCTGCATGCCAGTAGTCATGTAGCTCAAGGTCTCTCCAAGCGGCAACACAGGCTTCGCAGTATGCGAATGATGAGCCACAATATCAAACTCAAAGCCAGCTCCACCCCCAGACTTCCTATGTACCCCAACAACATCCATTTCATCCTCGCCCGTCTCCTCGTCCTCTTCATCTTCTTCATCCGACTCCTCCTCATCGTCCTCCAATTGCTTCTTCAACCCCGTCACAACATTCTGAATCCCAGTCTCCCGCTCCTCTAGCGTGAAGTTCCCTCCCCAATTCCTCCGCCTCGCTTCCTCATTTGCTTCAATAGGCGCCCACTCCCATAGTTCCCTTAACTGCGCCTCACTGAGTGGCTTTTTCTGCTCCGCCGCCGCAGTCGCAGCGATAGCGCCCGGCGCCGGGATCGCAGAACCACCCGCCAGATTCGAAGCCTCGGTGCCGGCTACACGACCGCGCGCGACCCAGTCCTCTACCCGAGGATCGAGTTTCGTGCGCAAGAGTTGTTCTAGTGTGTTTGCTTGTGTGCGACCTGGATACTCTGCACCAGGGTAGGCGACTAATGAGGAGAGGAGGTCGCCGTGTTCGGAGAGATGTTCAGAGACGCTGATAAGGTTGTTGGAGATGATGCTTGCTTGAGATTGGAGAGAGGACCTAGTAAAAATCAAAATGAGTCGTCAGTTCATGTGTTGAATGTGGCGGAGGCTTTGTTCGTACCATTGCGGGAGAGGGTCGCCTTGGTTGAGACTTGTGATTAGGGAGGAGAGAGAGCGGGTTAACTGGACGAGTCTTTGGCGAGACTGTTCTAGTACTTTTATTTGCTCTTGTGTGAGGGTTGCCATTGTGTATGTGACTTGGGTATCGCGCGAGGGTATAATGTGATGCGAGAGGGTGAAGATGTAGAGAGTTCGGTATGAGATTGAACCCCGGAAGCTTTGGTGGGGAACTGCACGGGCCGATCTTTCAATGGATCAGGATGCCCGTATACCACGAATACTATGAACTCCTAAGCCGAAGAATTGATTAAGGCTTTACTTGTTTTGTTATATTATTTTGAAAACAACCTTGATGATAAATAAGGCTGAATGCTCGTACCTTGGCTATCAGCAACTATTTTCATGGGCCGCGTGGGGCTGATCACAGGTGCCGTCATTCACCTTTTCGCATTCCACTCTTGACCTCCCCCAAGCCTACTTGATATGACCAACGAACGCAAATGACCAAGAAATCACGGAAATATACCACCCTGGCTTTAGAAGCGATCCCATGAACAAAAACGGACAGCATAAGTTCAGCCTGAGCTCGGAAAAACCCCGTCTAGGATGGTACGAGGCTTGGTGCGTTATCTGCCCGTGATCCGTTCCCGAAGCATACGACTTACCACCCAATGTATAGCGAACGTTGTAGAAGGCGTCATATCCGCTGTGAGTTAATGTGTGTTTGAACCAGTTGGACTTGAATTGACGCAATTATAGGCCAGCGCCGAGCAGCCCACATCCCTTGCAATAATTGTAAGAAAGCAAAGACAAAATGCGGCGGTGGCAAAGGTGATGTCTTTCGCGCCGTGCATTATTCGTCTGCTGAAAGAGGTGTGACGACGCGATCGCGAAGATTGTCGACGACTGAAATTGATCAATCATCTTCTACGGAGGCTACGGGGGTGGAAAATGCTACTTTGGAAGATGCCTCAGTCGTTGAACGATCTGAAGCACCTACAGGGTCTAATCTCCCCGAAGGCTCAACACAAGGTGTCTGGCCGCGAGAGAGCTCATTTTTACTCAATGGATTGTTAGAAATACAGTCAGAGCAGCATGATCCAATACCAAGCTCGTCAGATAACTCATCGATGAATATACTGAGTGACACCCGTCACCCTACACCATTCCAAACTAACACCCAGGTGAGTAAACCCAGCAACAGGCTGCTCAAATTGGATGTACATAATTCTGGTTCTTCGAAGCAATGGTGTTCTAATGGTGGGATAAATCAGACGCCCCCTTCATTCTCCACCGTGCTATCTACGACTAGCCAAAGCTCTACCTTTTGGCCACTTAAGACAGAGTTTGAAGCCTCACTATTTCGACATTTTCTCGTTGAACTTTCCCCTTGGGTAAAAACATCCCAAATGCCATGTCTTAGAGCTTGACTGAAATCTGTTCTTGGAATTTAGTTTGACTACTGCGACCCACAAAATCATTTTCGAAACCAAGTTGCCAATGCTGCCGCCACAGACAAGACCCTTCTATATGCAATATTTGCTGTGTCTGCACGCCATCAGAGTTCTCCTTCAAATCGATATCTTGTTTTTGCAGAAGAATGCCAGCAGAGCTGCCTCAATTCTTTGATAAGTGCTTTGAATGATTATGATACGACAGTTGGAGAAAATGTCTTCGCATCAGCATTAATTCTTCGTCTGATTGAGGAAATGACAGGTCAGTCCCTAGCTTTTGTCATGCTTGGTCGTCCGAAATTTGGACTATGACTACTTGGATCTTGAACCTGAAGCTTACGATCATTCCAGAGCCGCAAGCGGGATCAAATGTTACTTCCCATGCACTGTCTGCTCAGCTTCTGATTAGAATCAAAGCTGGAAACATCACCGAGTCAACACTCGCGGACGCCGCCTTTTTGGTCACTCTGCGACAGGAAATATTTATCTCCAATCTAACCCAGCAACCTATGGGATCGATCGCCGAGCATTGTAATATCGATACGTCTCTGAGCCCAACATCCGACCCAATGTGGGCATACAGAGCAATTGCCCTCTCAGCGAAAGTCACGGATTTTGCCTACGGAGATAACGAATCCCGAACACAACATAAATGGCAGGCTCTAATGCAATACCTTAATGAATGGGAGTCCCTGCGCCCTCCCTCATTTGAACCGATTTTCCGTGAATACGAACGCAGCTCGTCTAAACCCTTTCCAAGACTGCAATTCTGTAACGATTATCATGTGGCCGCGAGCCAATATAGCGAACTCTCTCGCATTCTTCTGCTGGCATCTGATCCTAGTATTTGCAAAATACGCATCAGGATATTGGGTCAAGGCCGGAACCACGATGACGCTATTCGTGAATCTGTCAGGCTTATATGCGGGGTCGCTTTGGCTAACAGGCAATACATGCCAGCACGGTCAACAGCGGGACTCGCCATTTCTATGTGCGGGGAACTATTCCACGATCCAATTGAGACAGGTGTGCTTCTGGAGCTGCTCACTGATGCCGAATCCCATCTTGGTTGGCCGTCCTTGAAAGTGAAAGACGATCTCAAGCAGTTGTGGGGATTATCTGAGATGTAGGGCTGACGACCCGTGAATGTTTTCACCATTCGGGTCTTATCTTGTATACCACGGCAATAATCACGAGAGAAGCTCTCAAGCTTGATTTTATGGCCATGGCACTTCTACTGATAATAGGATGCCTTGGACAGTATATGAGATGGCGATATCTTCTATAGAGAAAACCATCACCTACTGGCTAAATGGAACTAAGATTCGCCCAATACATTGCTGGGCCGAATATTTGTTGCTGCAAAAACAATACACTATGTAGAATATCTAGGTTTATTTGTCGTTCTCTCGTCAGAGTTTGATTGCAGCTTATCATCTTCGTGCATGGGCACTGCCACTTTTGCAAGTTCCCAACCGCACACCCGAGCTCGGCCTAAATTCCCCAGCATTTCCTTTTGCGCCTAATATTTCCTCCATTGAAAATGGACGAATCGCATGCGCCACAAGGCAGACTTCGTATAGAATCACGTGGATTCTCGATATTATCGGTCATCTCGCTGCGTGATTGAAGTTCTGAAGTTCCTTGTTCAGCGACTCTCCTTTCATCACAGATACCAGTACACATGGTCCCATCATCCACGTTACTTTTATTCCTCTTCCTCCTTCTCACCCTAGCATACGCGACCGAGCATGACACTGTCCAAAAGAGAGATATTGATGGGCTAGTAAGTGGTAGCGAATACAACTCGACTGAAGACATCGATAAAGTCATATGCGGCTATCAGCTCAGCGGCAACTACTGTATTCTCAACCGAGTGCTCTACTACGCTCTAATAATATTCTCTATCATTGGATACAGCCATGTCTGGTTAATCGCCGGAGCATTAGCCTCAGCACTCACATACTCTGGCACCGCAGCAATCCATGCAGTTATTCTCTGCGTAGCAAGCCAAACCGGCACCTTCGACATTGACATTCTCGGCGCATGGGCTGTAGTCAGTGTTGCCTGCTTGACAGTAATGCCCATATTCTCGTTTAGTCCGAGCATCCGCGAGTCTGTCGTCAGTCCGATCTTCGGACTATGGGGTACCCTTGTGGCGATCGGTGCTATATGCAGCATCGTCTCTCTGAACCGCGGATTCCCGAACGAGCCTCCCTGTCTCTCAAGTGGGGAAAACCCACAGCTACTCATCAGTCCTTCGCAGTTAGCGGATCCAAGCTTTCAATGCACATATGCCTGCTTCTCAAATAGACAGACCCTCAGAGGACCCTCTGAGATGATTGCGATACCGGCATCGTTGCCCTTTGAGCACTTTGACGTCTGGCAGGGTGCGGCTGGAGTTACATGTGCAGTTGGTATTTACTGGGCGGTCTTAGGATTCTGCTGGCCAGATTTTCGTAAGAGCACAGAAACAGAGCTGCGAAAATCAATAAAAGCCAATAAACCACGCTCTGGAGACCTATCCAAGGCCCGTCGCGCAAGAGCTAAGGCCCGCAAAGAGGCACATTTGGAGCTCGAAACGGGTGAATACCCGGGGCCTGGGACGACTTTAACAGTCTGGTCTGTTCTCTCGACAGCTGGTGCCTTTGCTGTTATCATCCTCAATGAGGTATTCCTTCTTCACTATGGCGGTGGTTTTCCATACAATGAGCATCCATACGCTATTGGTCAATGGGGTCCGTGGGTTGGTGTTCTGCTTGCTCTAACAGCGGCCGGGCTGGTTCGGTGGAGAGAACCAAAGTGGAAGGAGAGGCAGGAGATACTTGAGAAGGAGAAAAAAGCTTTCGATGAGAGGAAAGCTCTTGAAAAACAAGCCAATCTCATGCTAGCCGGTGGGACGGTATCGGCTCCAGTGAACTCTGCAGGTCAGGACGGAGAAGAGGGTGGATATGCAACTAAGCCATTTGTCGATTCCTTCGGAGGGGACCTTGTTAGAGCAGCCTCCACGGGCGACGTGGTAAATGTGAAGAAGTATTTGGGAGAGCTTATGGCGGCGGCAGCAGTAGCGGGTGTTCGATTCAATCTAGACAAGTCTGAAGCTAGAGAGGCACTGGTTCGTGCAGCGGGAAATGGCTTTTTGGAAGTTGTTAAATGTCTTCTTGAATACGGTGCTGACGTCGAAGCGATTGATGGATATGGTATGAATGCGCTTACTCGGGCCGCATGGGCAGGGCATGAAGATATAGTTCATCAGTTGGTTGTGAGGGGCGCCAAGGTTACTGGATTTGGAGGCCAAGAGGCCTTCTCTCGAGCGAAAGCGAATAAGCACACTCGCATTGTGCAATTTCTAAAGGCGCATGGAGCGCCATCGGGCTCATCTGGCCCTCGTGCTACAAGGGCTAGAACGCAGTAGGAGAATATACTGCTTTAGATTTTTTATAGTTGGCATTCTGAAGAAATTTTACTGGAAATGTGCCACAAAAAAGCTAGCTAAACAGAGCCTTAACTGAATCATATTCTACCTACTCACCGTCGGCAAAATACGAATTACATCCATCCATCGCTAAGAAGATAGCCCGCTAGACACTTATCTTCCCGTCTCTAAAAATAGCTTCCCCAGCCAGGAGCAGCATACTGAGAGTTTGAACCCTTGGCGGTGCGTACTGAAACACAAAGCGGAGGGGATCCGACCAATTCTCGAGAGAACAGGCGGGTCTCTGAACTATGATAGCAAGCCATGACGGTTGAGAGAGCTGATCGCACGGAATCGGCGTGAAGAAAAGTTAATTTATTTTTATTTTTGGACTTGCGGTGTCGATGCATGCTTTGATGCAGGGTAGTACTACGTACCTCCAGGCGATATAGGTTTGAGCTTGAGGATATGGGGTTATAGATAAATAGCATGCATGTCTGCTCAGGTCACAGTATGGCTATTCAGGTTTCCGCACGCCTCAGCGTCATCGTCCCATAATTTGCGTCTTCCATCTTCCATCTTCCATCTTCCATCTTGCTGGTTAGATGGTCATTATGATGCTTCTTTTACTCGACTGATTCTCAACTCTGAATCTCTACGGAAGTTGAATCTACTTCACGCATGAAATATTTATCTGATATAATTCTTTTCATTTAAATCAGCTATTGAAGGAATGTATTCAGTCCAGCTACTCATTCATCCATGAAGAAAGACGTTGGGGATATATCCAGTGCACAAAATCAAGTCAAAATCAAATCCAGAACGCCACGAATGAAGGGTCGATGATAGCCCCAACGGAATCAGTCATTATTTATCACCATGTTCAAATCGACACAAACAAATACCCACGAGTCGTGGATATCAACGAGCTATTTTACTCACTGCAATCCGCAGCGATGTTCACTGTTAAACCACCAAACCATGTGGTACAAGCAAGTCTAGCACAAGAGCAGTTTACATAGGGTGCTTCTGGTCTGTCCCAATGGCATGAATGCCATAGTGATCAGCACCGGCATGAGGTTCTGGCACAGTCATCTCAGAATTCTGCGCCTGGAACCCCTGTTTACCAGTATTGATTCCATACATCTCATGTGCTTGGCCATACTGCTCATTGAACGCCTGCTGACCATACCCAGCGGCATGGCTCTGGGCAAAGGCCTGGTAATCAGAGTACATTGTTTGGTCGCCGAACCCCTCAGGTGGAACGTTGGGATACTCCGCTTGGCTTTGGAAGCGGCTTTGGCGACTCTTTCTTCTGCGGTAGCGGATGTAGAAGAAGCAGCATGTTCCGATACCAAGACAGATGATTATGAAGGCTAGGACTGGGACGGCAATTACCAAGCCTAGGTTTACGTGGGAGCCTCCTGAGCTTGGTGTGGAAAGGGACATGCTGGAGGGGAGGAGGGATTCGGTGAAGATTCTTGAGGGGGAGACGGCGAACTCATCGCCGGTGGTTGTAGGAAAGTGGCAGTTGTACCGGATGGATTCCATAACTGATTCGGAAAGGTTAGATTTGCGCTTTTTCTTTTTCTTTGTCTTTTTTCCTTTTCTTTTCTTCTGTGTTTCTTGATTTCTTGGTAAAGAGAGTACTTACAGTTTGCCAGGTAGATTTGGTTACTTGTGAGGTTGTAACAGAACTCGCAGGTGTTGATAACATTGTCTGCGAAGGATGAGGAATCGCACCATGTGCCGATGTTGTCCACGGTAGGATCCTCGATGTCAAGTTGTATGGCGGGTTGGACAGTTCCACAGGCAACCGGACAAGGCGTAGAAACATTGGAGACATGATCGGGGTACTCAAAGATGCAGCTCGAAAGGGCGTATCGCAGATTAACTATCTCGCTCTGTTAGTCGCTGCATAAACAGCTTGCGCAGCTTCACCGTAGATCAACATACAAAGAGCCCAGTTTACATCGGTTGCCCCGGACGTTGAATCCTCATAGGTACTTTCCAATCCGCATGTAATACAGTCCTGGAAATCCTTCCCCTTGGATGTGGTGTTGAATGCCCCGTCCACACATGAGATTTCGCTCGATGTCGTATTATCGGACGAGCCCCATTTATTACAGCGAGATTCACATGGTGAGCCTGATGCAACTCTCAACCCAAGCACAGCAGGGAATAAGCTGCTCAGCAAGACTGCGACCAGAGCCATTGCTCGCATCTTGGACTCCCGGAGTCCAAGCATGGTAAATAAGAAGCACAGCAATTCGTAGAAGCTGCTATGCTGTCAGAGACGACCGGAAAAGAAAAGAAAAGAGGCCAAGCGCCAAATAAAATGGCGATCACTATTGCATGGAAAGAATACGGAGTACAGTTCGTAGAAAACGCAAGTCAAAAGCAGAGAAGTGTTGAGAGGAAAAAGCTTCTTTTTTCAGTGTCCGAAAGCTTTCGCGCCGGGGTCGACCGGGGGGTATGTGATAGCTGAGTGGGGAGACCCAGTCGGCCAAAAATTGGCGACAGAATGATTCCCACCTAATGCAGTGTGAATTTACTTAGTGCCTGGGACGAAGGATGTGCCTGTCGAATCAAGCACATCCCTCGGGGAATGACCACCGGGCGCTTAGAGCTCATCGCAGAGAGGCTGGGGAGAACCACTCTCAGGATTGAGTGCAAGCCAACGGTTGGTGGAGAAAGTCAGATCGACCAGTAATCCTTGTTGAAGTGGACCTCATCCGGGCGTGACAAGTGTGATGGAAGTGGAGGGGTGATTGGTTAGTGGCGGCTGTGACTGTGACGCGAGCTGCATATCCTGCATCTACTTGCACGGACCCGGTTGCTGCTGTGACCCCCTCTTCAAACTTGCCTCTTTCTTTTTTCCCCTCTCCATTTTTCAACTTTGACTAGCATGGAGCTGGATTTATCGGCCCCAACCAAGAAGAAACAAGGAAAATGGGATTTGGTAACCGCCAACATCGTAGCTAGTGTCAGTTGTGGAGAGTGGAGACCCGACCTGTATACGGAGTACCCCAGTCAGGATTAGCGTATTAAGCAGGTCAATCACTCAATGTTTAAATTACGATCATAAATCAATGATGAAATAAGTAAGAAAATATGATGTGTGATTCATAATGGTAATACGGTCATTAATGAAGATTTGAATGCCAGGTGTAAAGGAAGGATAAAATCACATTAATGGGGGGAGTTGATGGCCCCCAACTCCCATAGAAGAGGAGATACGCCAGAAAAAAGAAAACAGACTGCCACCGTTCATAATAAAAGATCAACATTCTCTCTATGAAATAATAAAGAAGTAAATGTAGTATCAGAAGAAATTTTCGGAAAGAAGCCTATCCATAAAGCTCATCGTAGGATGGCACCATCTGTTGTCGAGTGGATCGCTCAGGTTCCCGGGGCTTTGGACGATAGACAGGTCGCTTCTCTGCGTTTGCAGAAGAGTGCGCAGAAGACATGGTATTCATAGTATTGGATGGGAAACGAGGCGTATCTGGCGGAAGCGAAGGTGCCGAGACAGAGGATGCAGCAGTATAGCTCGTACGCCTGGAGCCAGTCCCCGAAACGGAAGAGGCTTGCGTTGTTGAACTTTGTGTACTGGTCCGGCGCATACGAGAAGTAACCGATAATGAAGGCGACGGGGCTGGGCGATCTAAGTAAGAGCCGCATTCTTCGCGTCCCACATGACGTGGAATATCTCCAGTTGTGTAGCCACGATACATCAAGCCACGAGAGTCACCTAGAGTATCGCGTTCTTCATCTTCTTCGTCGCAAGAGTCCTCGTCGCATTGGTAGTCAGAGTGCATGTCCATCTCGCTATCGATGCTGTTGTTTCGAGTTTCGTGTCGAGGTTTTTCAATTCCCAGACCATGCATCTGAGTCTTTGGTGCTTTCTCGGTACGATGTCGAATATTTTCATCGAAATAGCCTCTGGGAAAATTTTTATCATGTGTTGTTTCAGGTGGTGTGTAAATGTGTTGGGAACCTAAGTCATCCCAGTCCTTATGGTGCTGTGGTGCGACAGAGGCCGGTGGTGCATAACGTCTTGACTCATTTGGCTCGGCATGACGAGGAGGCTCTATAGAAGCATTGGCCGCGAAACCGGAGGACTGATTCCACTGGTTCCATGACCCCTCGGTAGGGTAACTTATCGCAGGATCGCCCCAGCGGTTATGCATGTCCGTAGAAAGAACGTGTTTCCTCTTGAACTTTCTCATGAGACTCGCCATGGCTTCAGAAAATCTAACCATGTGGAGGACTCAAACCCGTGAACAGACGCTGGGACTGAAGTAAAGAAGGGGGCTATATTGTCTTGTTTTTTTTAGTGGGAGAACAGATCACTCCCCAAAGCAAGGCGCATTTCAGGACTGCTCAAAGTACCCCCCACAGGGTCCCGTCGCATTCGTCTGAAAAGGCAACAGACGGAAGGTTGGGCACGATGAAGAGGAAAAAGGGTATCAAAACAGACGACGAGCCCGTATATGTTAAAGGTATATCAACAAGTCCCTGACGAAAGATTAACAAGCCTCCGCATGTTCTGTTGGCTTTTCCGAGAGAAGGGAAGATCTTCTGGGCCGCAAGGCTGGTGCCGGGAAACAAAAACAACGTTCACATTCAACCAGCCAGCGTCGAGAAAACCCGGGTTGGAACCCAATGCAATGGGTCGACCCCTCTGGCGGTGGCACTGGGGGCGCCACTTGGGTCAATGAATATGCAGACTGCAGTAGTACCAAGTACAACAGCGCCTCAATCCGAATGAACGAACTCTAGGCGCAACAGTCGTCCAGGCAAAGGAGCCTAGCGGGCTGTAGCAAGGTGGAATACCCTCGATGGTTGCAGTATTGGCGCATAGATTTAGTCAAGAGGGGTAAAAAAACAAGTGGACGAGGCGCGCCGAAATGAGTTCCACTTGGGTGATTTGAATAAAGATCCTAGCAAATACTCAAGTTGCGGTTGGCAGAAAGAAGGAGTAGCACGTAGTATGGATGCACGTCGTCGTCCGCCGTCATCTTGGCATTGCGCTTGTTCTGGGATCTGCGCCTGTGCACTACCTCAACTATCCAGAAGAAGGAACAGAGATCAGCCTACGGCCGAACCTTGGAATGTATCTAATTGTAGATTGGCCGTTAGTCTTCCACCGACAGTCCAGGGTCTGTCTGGAACAAAGAGCGCCTGATAAGCATTTGGGAAGAAGGTCCCACCTGACCCATTCTCACTTCATCAGAAGAGTCTTTGGTAGGAGGAAAGAGACCGAAATCAACAGGGATTAGAAGAGGGGGTGGGGTCCCCCTCGGTCGAGGTTGACAAAAACACCCCGTTTCACCATGGCGCACTCGAATCCCTGCAATAGAGTGGATTTTCTGAATCCACGAGTGGAGTTTTGCACAGTCAAAGTCGTAAAAGCGCACCCGGCTTTGTCCATGGAACAAGTCATGAGGGCTTTTCATTGAGTTACATGTACGGATTTCTCCTTATTCCGTTGGTCTTTCAAGTATAGCCTCCACACCCGTTATCCCCCACCCAGTATCTGAGGGATAAAAATCTTGGTTCAGAATGCAACAAGGTTGATCGGCCCGTTGTCTCATACCACCGGAGCTTATTAGGCGCCGGGGAGGAGGGGCTGAGGGGAGACATAACAGATCTCGCACTATCACCGTCGTCGGGTGATTGGGAGGGTTGTGTCCAGAATGGAGACTGCTGCGAGACAAAGAGGGGAAAAAGTAACGGGAAGGGAAATCGGTGCAAGATCGACGAGTGGCACAGACCATAGGCGCCTGTTTGGATGTCGATCACTATGTGCACTGACAAATAATGCGTGGAAGTACAAAGTCGAGTGGAGCTTAGTTCGGAAAGGAAGTGCGAAATCCACTTGAGGTCTCTAGTCTTACAGTAGAAGGAATCCATTTTTTAATTAATTTAAACACAATGTCATTCATTTATGAAATAAGTACTCCGTATAACTTCCCCCGCTAAATTGGACATTGAGTGAGTAATGCAATATAGATCAAGTATACGAAATACGCCAAAACACCTTCGCTCTTTCATGATAGTCATAAATCATGTTCCAAATGGCTGTTTTCACAACAAAGACACATTTTGGTGACAAATAAGAAAAAGCAAATGCCGAATGCGGAGAAAAAGAAAATCGAAAATGAAACAAAAGAGGTTAAAGGCATTACAGCCCCCACAATTAGCAGTTTAACCGAAGTTCGTAATCAATCGCGAAAGAACAGGCTTTTGGCGACGTGGGCCTCGTGTGCCCTGACTTTCACCGGGACCTGCAGGCATAGGTTCAGAGTGACTTCTTTCTCTAGCCTCAGCTCTTAGTCGCTGATGAGCAGAAGCAGCTGGACGGGACGAAATGGGCATGGCAGATTGACGTCTTGCAGACGCCACCGAATCATATGGTGGTAGTCTTGGTGCGGAGTATTGGTTCACCGGCGGCGGCGCGGGATGATAAATCGAGGAACGCACATTATGATAATGAGCAGCGCTCAGGTGAGAAGACTGGCCGCTCGCGTATGGATTGGCGTACAATAAATCCGAACTGGGGATCGACGTCGGTCGAATAGGTTGGTACTTTGATGGATCGTACGTTGGTAGTGGGGGCTGGTCGCACGAAGCTCGGGGGAGCTGCTGCGGGTATTGATAGGCATGGTGGGCCTGTCGACTTAAGTCCGGAGCAAAGGATGATAGTGGTCGGGGATGTGCGGAGCGGGGCCCGGTGGTGATGCCGGGGCCACCGTAGAGATCTGCTTTATAGGCAGGTGGAACTTGAAGATGTGCTTGTTGTTCGGATTGTTGTTGTTTTCGCTTTGCTCGCTCTTTGCGAGAGAATCGATTCAGGAATCCGCCAGTCACTGTGGGGCGCTCAGATTCAGGTTAGCATATGCATGATGCATTATCACCTCGATCGGGTTGATGCCATTGGGAGAACATACTTGCAAGGATTAAACCAACACTTGATTCCCTACACACCAATGATAATTGCCGGTACTAACGGTACCTCGGTTGAGGATGTGATGGAAATCACAACAATAATTAGGGACCCTGGTTCAAAAAGAACACTAGTGGCTGTCACAATGCAGAGTCACCGGTCGCTCCAAGGGACAGAAACCACCCAAGGTCAGGTAGATCACACTTGAAATGTCGGTCTAGGACAAATCGAGCCTCAAAGTCCGATACCTTACAAGTATTAACCTTGCAATGGATTATATCTCCCTTCGAAACAAAACAAAAAACACAAAGACAAAACAAAAAAACAGCCGGTCGCAATGTATGAAAAAAATTAACAACTAAGATATAGCAGATATAACTTTGGAGTGGCCATTGATATATAATTCTAGGGGCCTGCGCGCGTGGAAAGCTTCTCTGACACAGGGGACCCTGTTTCAGGAAAAGAAAGGGTAGAACTATTTTGAGACGCCAGTCACGATAGTATAAAGATAGTAGCAAAGAGTAAAACTTCCAAAATAGCACATCAAAGGCCCATAATTAGCCGGGAACTGAGCCAGATCCAGTTGGCCAACACACCGCGCTAGCCAAGCCCAGAACCACTTAGTTCATATTAGCTCGATGTTGGTCAATTGCTAGACCCCCCATCACTAGTCCCTCCTCCAGCTTTCCAAAGCCAAAGCGCCCGAGTCATGGGTGCAGGTGTCCCAGCTGGGCTCGCCTGCATGCATGGCGGGGAACCAACACTCCGAGATTGATTCAACTGGTCTATTCTAAGCGCTTCACTGTACAGCAAATCAAAAGTTCCATGATAGCCACCAAAACCAACAAGTCTGATATATAGTGATCACCGCTTGTGATCTGCATGTTGTCTTCTCTGGTGAGGCTAGTCGCTTGAGATGTGTGATCATTTGGGTGGATTATGTTAGTGTGGGCGAGTCGCACGCAAGGTTGACTTGGACAACAGCTTTGTGGACATGATGGTGATACGCCTAATCATCCCTCTAGATTTCAAGGGTCCCTCTTGGTAGGGATTTCAGGCTCAAAGAGGGGCACGGTTTGTGCATAGGCGCGTTCAAGTACCACGTCCTGCCCTGTGCAAAGGTTCGGCGCATCGCTCAGCTCTCCCCGGAAAAAAGAAGAAAAAGAAGAATAATAATTAGTTAAAAAAGATAAGAAAGAAAGAAAGCCTAATGAATGAGCCTTGGCATACAGAAGATGTTACTTTGTCTCTGTATTCGTCCTGCAATTTCAATGTCTAGTGTCTGAGGGTCACTGTCGGCTCTTCGTTCTCGTTAAGTGGAGACATCTGGCAAAGCATACCCCACATAGAGCAAGACAATGGTTTCAGTCAAAGGTTTTACTCGGTGTTTTACTTTGGGCTTCTACGGTGTACCATTTACCATGCAGCTATTCTATCCGAGACAATATTCTAAGAATTTAACTCAAGTTCATGAGGCCAAATACTTTCATTCTTCGTAGATACCTAGGGCCTAGAGACCAACCGACGCCACCAAAAAACGCCAAAAGATGCCACAAAACCTAACTCCCCGCAATGACTATGAAAGAAAAGAAAATTAAACAGGCAAGCGAAAAACAAAGAGTATTTCCGAAATATAAGAAATCATTCATCACTCGTAAAGTTCATCAGGATCAGGAACCATTGCTAAAGTCATGGGCTTCAACAACGAAGCGCGTTTGCGATCAGCCGGGACAAATGGTGAAGTCCGTCGGCGAGGAGGTAGTCCATATCTATGCCGAGAGCTCAGGGCATCCCGCATCTGATATTCACCTGAGTTTGATCGGAGGCTTTGACGGTCATCATCTTGGTGGGAGCCACGTCGAGCGAAAGTACGATCATTTTCGTAAATAGAATCAGTATATGAGTCTCGTCGAGTAGAAGCGCTGGATGCGCTGCGATGAGACATAGCAGATTGACTGCGAGGACCGGGACTTGGACCGCGAAGATCCTCGAGGTATCTTCCGTTTGTAGGGATGTATTTAAATGGAGGGCTTTTGACTCTGGTATTCTCGGATGCCTCAGCGGTGTAATCTTGCTGGATTGGTTTATATGCGAAATCATGTCGCTGAGATTCGGGTTCGTGGGATTCTTGTTCGTTCTTTGTCTCGCCTCGTAAGTGCTTTGGGCGCGATGCTAGTCGCACTGAGAGACGATTGGAACGCAGAGAGCCTAGGGAGAGAGAGCTAGATCGGGAAAGAGTAGTTGAGTTTCTTGGGTTGTTCGTTCTATTCTCTTTCACTTCAGGGTCGTCTCTCTTATTATTCTTTTGGTGGGAATGGGTCTGATTGTAATCGGATGGATGAAAATCTGGGACGAACCCTGGACCATATCTCTGCTTTTCTTGTACAGTATGGTGAGGGTTGTCGTATTGGTTCCACGAACCATCTGTAGGAACGGAGATGTCCACGTCACCCCATCTAGTATGGAGGGGTCTGGGTGACTCAGGCCTGCGAAATAAGGCGAGAGGTTTATTAATTATGCCGGCCATGGTTTCGGTTTTCGTTATAGTTTTCGGTAGAAGACAGATCAAGACCGGACCATAGGATTATATCGGAGCTCTTGAATAGAGCTAGAGATAACATTCGAATGATAAAGTATCAGAAGGGGGGAGAAGAAGATAACCCAGAGAAACCAAGCAAAAGACTTCTTGAGGAGGGGTTAAGGATAACGAGCAGAGCAACTTCTTCAAGTAAATTGCCACGTCCAAGCTGACGAGGAGGGATCAGCAAGCCTTGCTGAAAGGGTCTTGGCGAATGAGCCCGCCTCCTTCAATAATAAAGGAAACCGTGTGTATGCAGGGTACGCAGCCAACACAATCAGGAGTAGGGAACCTGATTGGACACCGTCTGGACTGCTATAGACAAGGGTCTGTAGTGGTTGCGGAGGGGTTTCGGGCCAATAGGTGCCAGAACCAAAGAAACCAAGAACCAAAGACAAGACAAACAAGGCAGAGAGCAAAAAAGACAAAAGCAATCCAAAAAAATCTTGCTCAGATGATAATTGAAACAACCACGGACTGTCCAAGCTTCGAGCAGCGGGAGGCGTCCAGATATTAAGCTTGTTCGCTGGATAGGCCAGCCCGCCCACTACACCTCTGGATCTTCCCGAGCTGCATAATGGGAAGCATTCAGGAGCTGCAACGGAGCAGCTGGACTCGAAGCAGGCCAATGAGGGTCATGCATTGCCGCCGGAGTGGTGATGCATAAGGGTGGGGATAGCTCTGCGCTTGACAGGGGTGGCCCGGTGATTGCCTTAATTAGTACAATTAGCAAGGATTTGGCTCTTAAAATAGAAGCTAATTAGCTCGTCACCTTGCTTTTGTGATTTCTTCTTGCAGCATGCAATTAAGATAATTACCTGGATTTATTTTATTTTCTTATTGTGTTATTTTTAGAATTAGCGAATGAGCCTGGTCGTTTCACATAAGACAATTTGGACTAACTGGGCCATCTATTGTTTACTCGCTTGATTTTGATTAGGTCAACTACATCAACAATGCGATAATCAAGAATTCAGTCTAGAACAAAGAAATCCTTCCTAAGAATATCAACGATAAGGGTATATGCATTTAAATTCGGGGTAAATCATCATCACCGATAATACTCCAAGCCACTTATACGGTCGGCGACCAGAACAATATTTGCAGTACCATTTTCACTAGAACTTATCACATGTACCCAGAACAGTTTCTCTATATAATATTGCATCATCAGTTGCGTATAAATTAGATCTGAAATTGATTGTATCAAGCAAACTGCCCAGGTGATCTAGGGGCCTTAGCCGATCAACCAGACCTCTGGAAGACCTATATCCGAGACGAGTTCAAAACCCTCGACTTTTGAAATGTATCAGCTCAGCCTGATTTTTCCCTTCTTCCTCTTTGCTTTAACGTCGCACGGTCCTTGTGACAAGGATGAGCGGGAATTCCGGTTGAGCCTCATCATTGAAAAGCGGGGATCACGAAAGATAGATCATCGTGTTGCCTCCAACGCCCAGACTTTTGACCATTCAGTTCCGCCCCGGAGTTGGCCTTGGCCCCCGGGGCCCTGAAGACGAAAAAAAAAACACCTTGCTTTCAGCTCTTTGCTTTGTTTTGTTTTTGCATCCAATATCAATGTAAATCGGCGAAGACTAGATCATTGAAGCACTCTTTACAAAATGACGTCGGGATTTCCACTGCCAGACTAAGATAGCCGGTCTCATAGTCTATTACTTTGTGGCCGGCATTTTCATTGCTTTTGATCGTTCTTACGAGAAGTATGGAAAACATAAGGAGAAGAAGCCTGTCCGACCTCTACGCCGTGGACGCAAGCGAGCATTGACACTACCATTACCTGCGTCATCCCCGTGGTGGCAAGCTAAGGGCTTACAGCGCCAGAGGACATTTAACCAATTGCAATGCCCATTTTTCCGATTACCCCGGGAGCTGCGTGACATGATATATCGACTGGTTATTGTGCCTTCTGATGGAGCTGATCTTCACGTAGCTATAACGGCCTACCGACTGTGTAGCTTCCCGTGTGATGAATCGGATTCTACTCCACCGGGATGGAAGCACCACTGCTGGGAACCTACTGACCGCGCTGGTCGATCGATAAAACCCCGAGATTGCTCTAATGCTCATTCAAGGGGGTTTCTTGGACTCCTACAATCTTGTAGGAAAATGTCAGCCACTTTCTTGTTACATCATGCTACTACTTTCATTCTGACAGCTATATAGGTATTCTGAATCAAGCCACTTGCTCTACAGAGGGAGTACCTTAAATATCAGATCGACAAAAACGATCATGGCTATGGAAATGGTAATGGTGCCACATCGTTTGAATTCCATCTCTTCTTTACACCTCGATACCGAGGCAATCTATCGAGCATTTCACAACAAACATAATAGTTCGAGGTGGCCCACAGAGGTTCTGTGGCATTGGGAAGGGGCATGTGAAGTCCTTTCAAAAAATTGAGAGTCTTCAAGATCTCAAAATATCTTTGACTAGAGGAAAGCGCTGGTCCTCCTCAGACCCCGATATCAACGGCCCCTAATGATAGTACAGCAGGTTTCAAACTTCAACGTGAATATTTACTGGCCCAGGTCAGTTGATATGGAAGAGCTTCAATGCGAGCTAGGAGGAGATACTCCTTTTCACCTTGAGGTAGTGGAGACCTACATAGCAAACTGTCACCTATGACCTGATAACTTGAAGGGGTAGGGCTATATCTTAAAATAGAATGTGGATACCCTCAGCACTGTCAGGATTAAAGAGCATCTTTTTTTTTCGGTAAGAAAGACGATGTCGAGCACTATTGTGGCGCTCAGTCTTGAAAGGCTTCATACAAGGGCAGTTGATGTATTTACTATATAAGTCGCAAATGAGACAAAGTAAAAGAAAAGTAAACACCAGCCGACGGGCTATGGTATTTATCGTGAAAGCATATAAACCAAACGTTCAAACATCGAAACCATTTTTTAAATGGATCTATAAAACCAGCAACGATATCTCATACTGGATGCCATTCAAATCCAGCATCGCGAATCAACCCCCAAAAGACTGTACATGATGTCGTATATAGACATTTTCACCATATTGGCTTAGTAGGTGCTACCCTTTGATGTGCGTGGGTAACAGTATGTCCCCGTAACTTCTTAGAACTGGGGAGGAGGAGGTGGGCCAGTCGGCGCACCAGTGGGAGCAGGGCCCGAAGGAGTGGGAGGAGGGCCAGATGGCGCAGGAGCACCGGACTGACGCTTCTCAAAGCCACCGAGGCCACCGGTGGGCACAGGGAAAGGCAGGCTGAATGATGGGAAGCCAGATGGGTCGAACTGGCGCTCCTCGAGACCACCGGGAGGACCAGTGGGGACGGGGAATGGAACACTGACGGATGGGAATCCGGAGGGATCAAACTGGCGCTTCTCGCCGAAGCCACCGAGTCCGCCAGTTGGGATGGGGAAAGGCAGGCTGAATGATGGGAAGCCAGATGGGTCGAACTGGCGCTGTTCAAGACCGCCGGATGGGAAAGGTGGAGGAGGGCCAGTAGGAGCAGGGCCAGAGGGAGTGGCACCAGATGGAGGAGGACCAGAGGGAGCAGGGCCAACCTGATGCTTTTCGAAGCCACCGGTGGGCACGGGAGGACCACCAGGCTGGAGGGAGCCAGAGGGTCCGGGGAAAGGAGGTGGGGGAGGACCAGAAGGAGTGCCGGTAGGCTGAGGTGCAGGGAGGGCGAGGGCACAGCCCACCAAGCCCATAGCAGCGATAGAGTACTTCATGATGAAGGGTTTTGGTTGATTAGATTGGGATATAAATGAAAGGCAAGAGATGGATCAGGTACTACAATCGATCGAATTGTGCAACTGATGGAGACTTTGTAAAAACAGCGGATACAAGGTCTTCTTTATAGTAGCAATAGGTGATTTTCAAGGTTCCACCAGCTGGGCCCCGTGCCAGTGGAGAATGATAATGATTGTACAAAAGACTCCGTGATCGGGCAATGATCTCAAAATTTTGCCGCTGGGACGGACTCCTCAATACGGAGTATGTACAGTAGGCAATTTCACGGCTGGGTTGCTAGATGCGTCGATTGGGAAGAAGGTGCGCTGTCGATCTCTCAAGTCCGAAGGATGTGTGGGTCTTCAGGGCGCCAGGTACCAGGACCAAACGAATGAAGTGGACCCCGGCATATCCAGTCTAAGGCTGGGGACCATTTGTGGCAGGTGTATAGCGTGATAGCTGCTGGCCGGACAACGCTACAACAGCCTTCAATGGTAGCAATGAATGAAAAAGTGGGATCATTATACACGGAACGGGTATGAGGTACGAAGGATCGAGTCAAGACTTCGCTTAGAATGCTCGAACAGGCTTAACTGGTAGTAACAAGCTAGATGAGAGCGTTGATCATGTTCCGTGTATAGTGAACCATTGCCGAGGTGGTCTGACCGTATCATAATTCTCCATTCTGTAGAACGATAGACAGGGCCACCTACTTGATCAGGATCCATAACATTCATGCACATGGACACGGGCCCGAATCAGGGTAATAGCGCCGACGAGCTTAATTATTGATACAAGACGAAACATCTTGTTTCTGGGGTCTTTTCACGTGGCTGCCACATATTAGAGGCCGGTTTTTATGCAAAGACCAAAAACGCGCTGGGTACATAAGGTTCAACGGCGGTTTGAGGATCGAGGCTGCGAATCTTGCGCTAGAATGAGTTCATATTTCCTCAATTCTGACGCGATTGAATGAATTGCATCCTGTTTTGCCACCAAGGTAATGGGCATGACACAAGAACTGTATCATGAAAAGCAATATTCCACATTTTCGTGGGTCGAGCGGTTCATCCACGGCAAAGTGGACATTTGTTGTTGTCTTGGTCAGGAAAAAGATCAACGTTTCCACTGATTGATAAGGCGTCTACCAATGGGTATGGGTAGATCGGCGCAATATGGAACTCATGGAACTCGCTCTCGGCAACAGTTTCGTCGCTCAGTATTTAATTAATTAAAGCGTGCCCCGCGGCATGTTCCGTTTGGTAAGAACGCAGAGTGCCTCAGGGGAGAGCACTCGAGGGAACGTTTCCGAGATCGAAGGCATCATTGGGGTTCTGGAAGCATGTCAAGCGATGGTGTGATTCGATCTGCAGGGCTCAAAAAAGGGGACCATTGACCCTGCTGCCAACTCACACCCACACTTAGAAAATGCGCGAATAAAAGAAACACCAGTGTTTCATGGTGAGTTGGCCTTCAAGCCCCCAGATTTTTGGAATTTGGGAAGGTGAGAAGATCCAAGTCAATCCCTTCCATATTGTCTTGGGTCGTCGTCAGCCCCTTAAATCCCTCCCGGTTAGGGCGGCGGGTCCTTGCAGCCTAAACCTCTCAAGGTGTTTTTAGCTTCAACAGTGGGGCTTCATGACTTCAGTTAACGGAGGACCCAGTGGAAAGACCCAGAGTGGCCATTTTATATTCCCCAGAAGCTTGCTTCAGATTAATTTACTCCCAATAACTGCCGATTATTCCCTTTTCTAGACTACGGTACTCCATTTCTGACCCGTTCGTTGGCCACCGTTGCCTAAGCACAATGCCATAAGTTACTAGCCTCCAGTTTCTTGATTATGATGGTCAAACCGGGTTCCCAGATTTCGGCATTTACATATAGCAGAAACAAGCTTAGTGCTTAGGGCACCGGGCGCCAAGAGCGGGATTGCTCGTATTGTTTACTTAAGTAGTGGTGCCGATCTAAGCGAAACGAAATTATCATTGAAAAGCCTGGAGATGTATGAAGAAAGGAAGCCAAGAGTATCGTGATTTGTATTCGCGAGAATGTCATGTCTGTCATACTTTAGATAGTTGAACTGTACAAAATATCGAGACCCAATAATATTGAGTCCAGTTCCAGTCTTTCCCAATAGAAGAATAACCCCGAAAATATGATTTGCCAAGCCGGTCTAGACAAAAGAAGAAGCCAAAGAACAGCGAGCTGGTAGTATGAGAGTCTCGGCGGCGAAAAAATGGGTGAAGAGATATGTAGGTGCGAATCCTTGTAGTCCGAGTGGCCCGAGTGGCCCGAGAGGACGGAGGACCCATCGATCTTGAATTTTGGCGTATAGACCGGCAAAATCAAGGTGCACAAGTGCAGACTACGGAGTCTCTGGTTGGACTATCCGACGACCGTTCGGAACGGAGCGGATTTGAGGTTGCGAAGATTCTAAATTAGTTGCGCGATTTCCGCGTTGAAGGTTTGGGGGATGTTGGCTGAACTGTTGGCGTCATGTTCAGTAAATGGCGGGATGAAGGAGAGAGGGCCATGGAAACCTCTCTAGCCGACGGCGCCAAGGTCTTTTCTGAAGAACCTCGTCGACCTGGAGCTGCCTGAAGCGTCCTACCGGAGAAAGATGATCGCCGAGTCTGGACAGGACTACGCGTTCCCTGACTCGAATTTCTCTTTGGGGACGATACATCCCAAGAATCTCGGGATATCCTGCGCCCGGAGTGGTCAGACAGAGCAAACTCGGGATCGTCGTTGTCGTCGTCCTCGTCGCTACTGGAACCAACTTCAAAGATCCCACCAGCAAAGGTTATCGATGACCGACGATTGTGGGCTTTTGGAGGTGATAATTCAGAAATATAATCATCAGGTAGCGATAGATGTGTATTATCAAGCGACACAGTGCTGCGTGCCTTTCTTAACTCTTGTGTAGAGTTCCCTTGCGATCCACCTCTTGGTCGTCTTCTCTCTAGCTCATGACTATAAGAGCCCCTCCGGTGGTTTTCCATACGGTCACGGCCAGCGCTGCTATCCATCGAGTCGCTTGAGGGTTGAATAGAGTGTTGTATACGCAAATCCACTTGGCCCGGGCTAAAAGCCACGCGGGCCCGCATCTGCTGAATGGCTCGGTCAAGAGCAAGCTCAATTGCACAGTGGTTCCGGATTCGGCTCAACTTAGGCCATGTTGCCCGCTCGCCACTTATGCAAGCCTGAAGCATAAACTCCGTTGTCGGGTTCTCCAATATCCGAGGAAAATTGGATGAAATCAATTCGGGGTATATGTTGATATCTCCACTATACTTCTGGTTTACAATGGAGGCGAACTTGGTCATAGAAGTTGGAAAGAACCCAAGCTCTGAGAGGACATTAACCCGGTGCAGTACTTCGTCTTTTGCCAAGTGGGTCATTGTGTTCATCCACCGAGGGACAAATGATGAACCGTCGGGTTCCTTGGTTGGACCATCTCCCTTGGGCAAAAATGGTACGACATGAGGGTTGACCTGCGATACAATGAAATGATTCACGTTGAACATCTCCGACAACCTTGTCATTGGAAGATCGCCGTCGACCGAGCCATCAATGTATTGCTTGTGAAAATCGTTCCATGGAACTGCTTGTCCTGTCAAAGGATCCTTGGCCATCAGATTATAAGGCCTAAAAACCAACGGGACTGAGCACGACACCGCTCTGAAAATGCATTGTTAGACAAATAATCCCCATACAGAGGGAGTGTGATACTTACACGGCTGACCAAATCATCACATTCGGCGCAGAAATATAGTTCAACAGCCGAGGGAGTTCATACATCCCCGCACTCGATACACAAATATTCAAAATCCTTCGTGTGCGGTTGTATGCCTCCTGAAACGTGATGTCTCCTAGCCATGCTCGCATGGTATTCGCCAAATGAGAAATGTCGAGAAAAGAGCCAAACTTCAGGAACCGAGCGGTCTTTTGAAAGATATTCTCTTCTCGTCCAGTTTCATTGAAAACAGCAAAATCACCATGGGCATATGTGTCAAGGAGTGCTGGCAGTTCTTCATCATTGCGAGTACAAAAGACTGCGCAGACAATACTACCCGCAGAGGCACCTGAGATGATACGAGGAATAAGTTTGGTCTCGTACAATGCTTTCAGCACGCCAATATGATTCATTCCAAACGTTGCACCTCCTGAAAAAAGTAGTGCACTGCGCCCAAAAGCTTGTCGAGATGCCAGAAGTTGGTCCAGTATGTACTTCAGTTCCAAGCCATCGCAACGATTATGCACGGATAAATCGACCAAGGTATTGATGGTGTCCAATGCAGTGGTGATATACCGATCGATCAAGTTTTTAGTTCCAATATGAGAGTGGCGATAAAGGGACGAGTTGCTCATCTTCCCCAGGTCCCGACTGAGTGCTGTGCGGACCAGAAATAGCATGCGGCTCACATCGCAGCTGATACGAGCCTCCTCCAGTTGTCGCAATCGTTCCTGTACCAATTGAGGGTGATATTCGGTACATTCGAAGGTCTGCTTCCAAGCGTTATTGTTTTCCAGCACGTCAAGTTCGTTGGCGCAGATACACCACTCCTCGTACGACACCGCCTGCAGTCGAAGTGGAAATTTAGCATGGTATCCCTGCAGATGCGACCGTCCGTTCCAGGTACCAAGACCGTGTAGCTGGGAAACAAGGAGATCAATCTTACATTTTGAATTTTCAAGTAGATCACTTGTTTCCGATCCTCAATCTCCGCTTGTTGTTTCCGCTGCTCGGCCGATAGTCCATCGCGATAATAGCCTAGGGTGTCGCCGGCCCAATTCCATGAGCCCTTTACAACCGAGGAAACTGCTGGGATAGAGATAGCCTTCCGTAGTGATCGATGTGGTGGCAAGGATTTGGCATCTGCGTCATGTCTGGAGTGGCATTTCGAATGAACTATTGCGGAGTCGCCCAATACCGACATCGCAGGGTTGTGCATCGGGAACGCGCCATCCGGGGGTCTGCGACACGAAGCCGAGGGTGTAAGCTATGAAATATCCTCGGGGAATAATAACGTAAATGAGGAAGTTTTATGTATGAAAGGAATAAGAAAGGTTGAAGGAAGAACAAGGGCGGTCTGTAACAGCGTCACGAGGGCCAATGGTAATCCGCCCGATGACTTCGTCAACCCCCGGTCCGGTGGAGTTCCCCCACGTTTCTTAGGGAGATTGGGTAGATTCGGAGGGCGATTAGGTTGCAATGGGTGAAAGTGTGAAAGAGACGGTGAACAATAGATTATCTTTTTTTAGTGTAGGAAGCCCGGAATTCAAATACAAAAAGCCTTCTAGTAAAACAACATAGATAACATTTGAGCCTACATACTATTTAATATGATTCAACCCCACCTACTTACTATGCACCTCAACACTTGAGTATATCATCTGAACAATGTCAAATTATCCTTGGCAGAGGTTCAGATTCACATGCACATGCATGTGAGATGATCCCGGCATGAACGCCACCAACTCTGCTTACAAGACTGTGTGGGTGAGCGTCTACGGCGATCATAGATTAATCAAAAGTATAGGAGTTATCTGATTCTATCAATGTCACATAGATCAAATACATAACAATTATCATTTACATTCGACCCTGAAGCCATTCCCGTAGTACTTGTGTCGCCTCTCTCTCCACCCCATCTTCTCGCCAAAAATGGCCTGCGTCCTTAACTTCATAGCCCCGAAATTGACTATGAAACATACTGCCCAACTCAGCTGACCACCGTCGCAATTTACGTACGGAGGTAAAGGTGTCCTCATCTCCAAACAAAGCCAGTGTCCGGTGCCCACTCAGCTGGTCGGCTGGACGAGCCGGTCGGGCCTGAGCTGACCGACCCCCCACATCCACTACAAGCGAAGTGAATACCGTGAGGAAAGAGCTCACAGGTGGCAAGAGTGGTGACACCAGTAGATAAGAGATCAAGATTGAAGTGCGGAGTACACTTTCATCATCTGGACGCGGGGCCGCTATTCCGCTCTCCACAGAACCTGGTATCGACACAGCTGCGATTTTTCTTGCCTCCCTGCTAATCTTGTCAATGGGCGTACCCGGAGATACAGTAGCGCCGGGTCGGAATATGTCAATCATGACATCAATGGTTGGGACATGCGAAGCAATCATGGATCCGTACGAGTATCCGCCGATGATAAGCTCGATGTCTCCCCGATTCCCTTCGCGGCCAGTGGATCCCTGGCTATTCTGCAACCCCTGCAGGTAGTGCAGCATGAACCCGTAGAATGAGATGTAGTCACCCAGTTCTGGTTTGGCGGTCCAGCTGGTGCGCCCTTCGGAATCTCCAGCTCCGCTGAGATTACTTGTTAGCGTCGGTCACTGGCATCTCCACGGAAGGGAGAATGGTGTGCTTTTTACCGGAAATTGAACGTTCCCACTATATAACCTGCATTTTGAAGCTCGCCACCAATGAAGCCGACTACTGGATCGTCGTAGCAACCACCTAGTGAGGCGTAGGGGTGAGCAAAGATAGCACCTTGGATCGGTCCAGCGGGCGCCGTTTCTATATTTTCGAGTTGGCGGGGCAGATAGATCCGGCATTCAAGCTGGGAGCCATCATGGATTGAGGGAATCAAAAAGGAAAAATTCGGTCGAGAAAGATACATTGCGGGCTAGGTCGCTTTATACACTGCCCTTTCAAGCCATAATCGATGATATTGTTTGGAGTTTGAATGAAGAAAAATGTTTGTTTAGTATTAAGATCCGCCCGAACATTTACCCTTGGGCTGGAAATTTACGCGTATCAGCCACACCGAAATTGCATCTTTCTCTCAATCTTGGATTAGATGACCAATGAACATGGAGATACTAGTAGAAAGTTCATTGTTTTAGAAAGATGGTAGAATCAATGGTAGAAATCAAATCTAATTATGCTATATGCTCATACTTGTCACTATACTACTATGTCAAGCCTCAAGGAGCCATGCTGGATCGGGCTCATCATCTTCGGACCTCGATGCTGTATCTGGCTGGTGTTCATCACTGTCTTTTAATAGATCTGCCGGCGGTTCGACATCATCATTTTGCAATGCATCCGCGTGATCCTCGACTTGCTTGTCCGTCGTTTCCTCTAGGCCTGATTGGGGTGCCGATGAGGTTGACAGCTCGTTCGACACGGGCAAACCAAAGGCTGGTAGAAGCATTCCCTTTGCTTCTTGAAGGGCTTCCAGCTCTGCCGCAACGCAACAAACAAGGAGCTTCCAATCTTTCTCCTCAGCAAGCTCCAAGTGAGAACCAAGTTGTTGTATGGTTTGTTCTAGATCTTGGGAGACACTAGCTGCTATGTCATCCTTGCCGCCTCCAATTGGAGCACCGTCTGTTTCTTGTACACTAAGCTGCATATAACGGCGCATGTAACCCCTGAGTCGGTTCTCAAAACCAGAAACGTCCGCCATGGCCTGCTTCCAGACTCCGCCTCCTTCTTCCAGCGCCAAAATCTCCGCATCTACTTCTTGCTGTCTGTTGTGCAGATCTTCTTGCTCTTGTTGCCAAAAGTCTTGCGCCATCTCAAGGGTGCGTCGCTTGGGATTCAAGGAGTATAACGAAGATTCGTTTGCTCGTTTTGAGAGGGGTTGCACTGGGGGATCACGGAGGTAGTTTCGGATATCTGATTGGAGAAGGGTCAAAGATTCAGTATACGAGGATAGTTTAGCATCGACCGAGTTCTCAATATTTGTGATTTCGCTGACAAGGTGCCGATGCTTGGCTTTCATCTCATACAGCTTGGTCTCCAGCTCATGAATGTCAGTCTCGAGGCCATGCGCTTCATCTTTAAGCTGCTGAGCGCGTTGGTTCCCTCGGTCATTATTGATAAAAGATATAGCATCTTCAAGACCGCTCCTCCTAGAAGTAAAACCTTGTACCTCATGGAGGGCGTTGTCTCTCTCATTTGACTGAGATGACAATACCTCTCGCTCTTCTTCCCGTAGCTTCAGTAGGTCATATATCGACTGGAATATCCCTTGCCGCGCAGCTTGAAGGCTAATTCTCTTCGGTCGGGGTTGCCTCACGGGCGTTGTAGAAGGTGATCTTGAGCGGCTAGCTCTGGAGGAGGTTGGGGTGGAGCTTGAGACTGAAATATCATCTGACGGGGGTTGAGCGAGTCCAGAAAGTAGACCTTCGCTTTGTGCATCAATCAGTGTCTGGAGGGAGCGCTGGATGTGTTTGGACTGTCGTTCAATGTACAAAAGAGGACTGTGGTGGTATGTGGAAGCTGCTGCAGGTACAGCCGGCAGCCGTTTATCGCGAAGCGGGAGCAAGGTGGACATGTTGACGGGAAGAACAAGCTATGCTCGAAGCTGGTTATTTGGATGGGCCTTCGGAAAAATGGTTTACTTTGGAGGTTCCTCGAGAAAGACCAGCGTATTTATACACTAGCCATGAAGATCACCTGCTTTAGTACGGTATGCATACGAGCATCGGACCTTGTTGCGGCCAGCTGATGCCCAGCGCACGTGACCCGTACAGTCAGCTCCGTTGACGTTGACGGGTCTCGCGCCTGCAAAGCTTCCGTTGTCTGCTCCCAGCTTCCATTCGTACCCCATCAACCACAGTCCATCGAGTTTCGTTCATTTACCTATCATTTGTACCGCTTATCTACACATTTCCTGCGGTACTACTGTTCCCTTTTTCGATTTCCGTCAGTGCTCTGGGGCTTGCTCACTGTTCTGCCCCCAAGCTCCCTCTTGGGCGACATTGCTTCGTCACTTCAACAGCATCATTATCGGAGCTTGAGCTTCATCCTCCACACTTGGGCGCTAGCCATCTAATTCAATCACAATGGTTGGAGTCATTTCGGCCGCCGGTCTGGTCGGCTTCCTTTCCGAGCCAGACCCGGAGCTCAAGGTCTTTGCTTTGAAATCATTAGATTCCCAGATCGATCTGCTCTGGACAGAAGTCGTGAATGCCGTTCCTGAAATGTAAGTAAACTCATCGTGTTGAATTGCTCTGTTCTGGCATCTTTGGTCCCTATGAATGCGACTTCCCCCGAGGTACCCCATCTGCAGCTCTGACATCACCATTCATCCATCTAGTGAGGCTTTATACGAAGATGAATCATTCTCAGAACGTGAACTCGCGGCTCTAGTTGCCTCGAAGGTATACTATCACTTGCAGGAATATAATGAGAGCATGGTCCTTGCTCTGGGTGCGGGCAAGTTGTTCAAGCTTGACAACGGTGGCGAGTATGAGGAGACCATTATCGGTAAGCCTGGAAGGACATTCAATACATAGCTATGATTTGCTTGCTAACAGGGGTTTTGTTTCTTAAGCTAAATGCGTGGATACTTTTATCTCCCTATCCGCCGCCCAGAAACCAAGCGCCGGCGACCACTCTGCCGCCCTGAACCAGTCCTTCCCTGCATCCGGCGACGGGGCCACAAGCACATCAGCAAGCCTGACATCTCCTATTACACCGTTCTCTAAGTCTGCTTTGCCTTCTAAGTCCTTGCTATCACGCCAAGAAGTACCCGGCATTGACGCCGCCCACCCCGGAGGCGACGATACTAGCGTTCAGCATGAGGAGACTCCATTGGTCTTGAAGCGTGGTGTTCAGGGACAATTACAGACTGTCATTGAGCGACTGTTTGAGGAATGTTTCCGCCAGAAGCGCTACCGCCAGGTCATTGGAATCGCCATCGAGGCCAAAAGTTTAGAGGTTCTGCGTATGGCCATCATTCGCGCCAGCGAGGACGAGAAGAAGCAGGAGGGTGAATCTCGTCGCAGCGAGGAGTTAATGGAGTATGTCTTGGATATTTGCATGGGCATTGTCCAGGAGCGGGCTTTCCGTAACGAGGTCAGTTCATTGATTCTTCGAAACTGCAAACTGAGCTAACTTTCGTTCAATATAGATCTTGAAACTTATTCTGGAGCTCCTTAACGAAATCCCGGCACCCGATTATTTCTCCATCGCCAAGTGCGTTGTATACCTTAATGAGCACTCGATGGCGTCCGTTATCCTGCGCCAGCTTGTTGAGAAGGGTGACCCCCGATCTCTGGCTGTCGCTTACCAAATTTCCTTTGACCTCTACGATAACAGCACCCAAGAGTTCCTTCAAAAGGTTCGCCAAGAAATCGCCGAGCTTGTACCAGAAGACGAAGCCGACAAGGAGAATGCCCACAGAGAGCCTAGGGAGTCGGACGCATTGCTTCAGGACCAGTCAAGCTCTCGTCAATCAGAGGAGACTCCAGATGACGCACGCACTGCATTTAAGAATATCCTTTCAATTCTGGATGGTATCAAGACCATTCAGTTGAATCTTGAATTCCTTTACCGAAGCAACAAAGCCGATATCGCCATTTTGAATAAGATTCGTGACAGTCTTGAGGCAAGGAACTCAATTTTTCACACTGCAGTCACTCTTTCAAATGCCTTCATGCACGCGGGTACAACTCACGACAAATTCTTCCGTGATAATTTGGAGTGGCTTGGAAAGGCTGTCAATTGGTCTAAGTTCACGGCTACTGCCGCACTGGGTGTCATTCACCGCGGTAACTTGAGCCAGGGCCAGAAGCTTCTGCAGCCCTACTTGCCCCGTGAGCACATTGCTGGTGTCGGTGGATCGGGCTCTGTCTACAGCCAAGGTGGTTCCCTCTACGCCTTTGGCCTTATTTACGCCAATCACGGTGGTATGGCCGTGGATCTTATCCGCGATCACTTCAAGAAGGCCACTGAGGAGGTTGTTCAACATGGTGGTGCTTTGGGTCTAGGTGTGGCAGGTATGGCTACTGGCGACGAGGGTATTTATGAGGACCTTCGAAACGTTCTATACACCGACTCTGCCCTCAATGGCGAAGCCGTTGGTCTTGCTATGGGTCTCGTGATGCTGGGAACTGGCAACATGAAGGCATTGGAGGACATGATTCAATACGCCCATGACACTCAGCACGAGAAGATCGTCCGTGGTTTGGCCATGGGTATGGCTCTTATCATGTACGGTCGCCAGGAGGCTGCGGATGAGTTGATCAACGGTCTCCTTGGTGACCCCGACCCAACACTCCGTTACGGTGGTATTATGACCATCGCTCTGGCATACTGCGGTAGCGGTAGCAACAAGGCTGTTCGCAAGCTACTTCATGTGGCCGTTAGCGACGTCAATGATGATGTGCGACGAGTTGCAGTTCTGAGCTTGGGTTTCATCTTGTTCCGCAAGCACCAGAGTGTTCCTCGAATGGTCGAACTTCTCTCTGAGTCTTACAACCCACATGTCCGCTATGGTGCCGCCATGGCCCTTGGTATCTCTTGCGCTGGAACTGGATTAGATGAGGCCATTGACCTTTTAGAGCCAATGCTCAAGGACTCCACGGACTTTGTTCGCCAAGGTGCTCTTATTTCTTTGGCCATGGTTCTCGTTCAACAGAACGAGGCTATGAACCCTCGTGTTACCAGTCTACGCAAAGCCATGATGAAGATGATTGGCGACCGCCACGAAGATGCGATGGCCAAGTTCGGTTGTGCTATTGCTCTTGGTATCATTGATGCTGGTGGCCGTAACTGCACTATCAGCTTGCAGACGCAGACAGGTAACCTGAACATGCCTGGTATTGTCGGTGCTGCTGTTTTCGTGCAATACTGGTACTGGTTCCCTCTCACCCACTTCCTGTCCCTCAGTTTTGCTCCCACCTCTGTGATCGGAGTGGATCAGAAGTTGGAGGTGCCCTACTTCAAGTTCCACAGCAACACCCGCCCTAGCCTGTTCGACTATCCCCCCGAGCAGCAGGTTAAGACCGAGGAAGCCCCAGAGAAGGTGAAGACCGCTGTCCTCTCCACAACTGCCCAGGCCAAGCGTCGTGCACAGCGTCGGGAGAAGCAGGCTCGCCGCGAGAGTATGGATATTGATCAAACGCCGACCACCCCCAAGGTGTCAGACCAATTGCCAGAGAAGATGGACACAGAGGAGGCCGTTGCTCAGGAGGGTGAAGAACCTAAAGAAGGCGAGAAGTCTACTGGAGAGACACAGAAGAAGAAGGCCGAGCGGGAGAAGGTTGGGTACGAGCTGGACAATATGTCAAGAGTATTGCCCACGCAGCTCAAATACCTCACTTTCCCCGACCCGCGGTACGAGCCTGTTAAGAGGGTATGTGCTTTCGCTTTCTATAGTTTAAAAGAAACAAATGCTAACTTTTCATTCTTACAGCCTACCGGAGGTGTCGTCGTTGTCCTCGACAAACAACCCGAGGAGCCTCGAGAGATCGTTGAACTGAAGGCTAGCAAGGAGGTCCGTCAACCGGCACCTGCTGCTGAGACCCTCCAAGACCGTCTTCAAGCTGCCATCGGCACTGCTGCTCTACAAACACCTCAAAGAGCCGGTGCTCGGGCTGCGATGTCGAGCACTGGTGCCGCTGCAGCGGCAGGTGTTCTCACGGCCGCAGATGAAGATGATGAAGGTGCGGAGGATGCCCCTCTTCCAGATGACTTCACATACGAGACAGATGGAGAGGATGAGTGAAGGGATTTGTGAAATATGAATACTTTACTGCTAGATGTATTACTAGAGCTATCGGGTGTTCGGAACCTGATATATTGGTAGTGCGGTTCCCGCCGCTTGAGATATGAAGCATTTTGTTTACGCTTTTTAATGGAAGAGCTGTAGATTGATTACTTTTATTTACTTTATTACTTGCAGCTGTATTGAACATGTATCCTAGGGTTGAATAAGGCTTATTCTGGCCTATCTTCCTCCGTAACTATAGCTTCACTACTCCGTATTTCCCATATAGTTTGTCCATCAATGGAACCCATGTTCGCACGCGTTCACATGCGATTATATTATGTCAGCATCCGGCCTCGGCATGTGGTGGCTGCTGCTATGACGCACTATCGGCCAATCAAGTGGCGGAGATTCGGCGATGACCGACTCGATCAGCGACCGAAAAGCAGCTGAAGATCAGATTCACACCGAAAAGCACGAGTTATTCTTCCGAGGCCCCCATTGCAAACTAAGAAAGTGGACATCCTGACCACGGGGGCTTTTCTAGATTTAGTATCAAGCCCCCGACGTATATAGCACGCGCGCTCCATCTACCCCGGACTTCTTTTTTTCTTTCTTCCCCATACATTCTTTGTCTCTCGTCCATTCTCTTACCAAATTTTTTTCTCGCGTGCATTTGCGCGATAATTATACTACCCCCTGCCTATTATATAAAGCCGCGATGTCGAAGACATTCACCAAAGAAGACGTGGCTGCCCACAGTAAAGGCGACAGCCTCTACATTGTGATCGACGAGGACGTTTACGATGTCTCCAAGTTCCAAGATGAACATCCAGGTACGTATTCCGCAAGTTAATACATTTGTGTTCCGCGACTTTTCCGGTCGTGAGCACGAGGGAGAGAGAGAAATGAGCTAACGAACGATCTCTAGGCGGGAAGAAGAGTGCGTCATTGGCCCCCGGCCGAACTCCGATGAATTTTATTCTGACAATATCACAGTTCTCCAACGAGTCGCTGGAAAGGATGCTTCAAAGCAGTTCTGGAAGTATCACAATGAGGGAGTCTTGAAGAAGCACAAGGGTCAGCTACAAATTGGTTCATTGGACACCAAGAAGGCCACACCGGCGCCCGCGCCAGCTGCTGACCCAGCTCCCGCCCCCAAAGCTGAGCCAACGCCTGAGCTTGCCCCGGGCAGCTACAAGCCTAAGGCTACTGCTGAACCACAGGAGCCTTTTGGTGATCTGGTTCCATTCGCCGACCCTGCTTGGTACCAGGGTGTAAGTTATTTTCTCCAGCACTCAGAAAGGGAAGCTCATGTATTGACTTGTACGCGATTTGATTTTAGTACTCCTCCCCATACTTTAACGAGACTCATGCCGCTCTCCGCCAGGAGGTTCGCGAATGGGTTGAAAGCGAGATCGAGCCCTACGTCCATGAGTGGGATGAGGGCAAGGAAGTCCCCAGCCATATTTACAAACAGATGGGTGAGCGCGGTTACTTGGCGGGTCTGTTGGGTGAAAATTACCCCAAGGAGTACTGCCAATACCGTGTTAAGTCCGTACCGGCAGAGCGCTGGGATCAGTTCCACGAGATGCTGTTGACCGACGAGCTCTCCCGCGCTGGTAGCGGTGGGCTCGTGTGGAACCTGGTTGGTGGTTTCGGTATTGGTTGCCCACCCCTGGTGAAGCACGGCAAGAAGGAGCTGCTACAGCGTATCCTGCCTGGCATCTTGGCCGGTGACAAGCGTATTTGCTTGGCTATCACTGAGCCAGATGCTGGTAGTGACGTTGCGAACCTTGGCTGTGAGGCCAAGCTTAGCGAGGATGGCAAGCACTACATTGTTAATGGTGAGAAGAAGTGGATCACAAACGGTATTTGGGCCGACTATTTCACCACTGCTGTGCGCACGGGCAAGCCCGGTATGAACGGTCTCAGCGTTCTGCTTATTGAGCGTGAGGCCGGTGGTGTCAGCACTCGTCGCATGGACTGCCAGGGTGTGCTGAGCAGTGGTACTACCTATGTCACCTTCGAGGACGTCAAGGTCCCCGTTGAGAACATCATTGGAAAGGAGAACCAGGGTTTCAAGGTCATCATGACCAACTTCAACCACGAGCGTATTGGTATTGTCATCCAGTGTGTTCGCTTCTCCCGAGTCTGCTACGAGGAGGCTATGAAGTATGCCCACAAGCGAAAGACTTTTGGAAAGCCCTTGATTGAACACCCGGTCATCCGTATGAAGCTTGCGCACATGGCCCGCCAAATCGAGGCCACCTACAACTGGATGGAGAACATTATCTTCCAGGCTCAGTGCATGGAGGAAACCGAAGCTATGCTCAAGCTGGGTGGTGCCATTGCTGGTCTGAAGGCCCAGTCCACACAAACCTTTGAGTTCTGTGCTCGTGAAGCTAGTCAGATCTTCGGTGGTCTCAGCTACAGCCGTGGTGGACAAGGCGGCAAGGTCGAGAGACTGTACCGTGATGTTCGTGCATATGCTATCCCCGGTGGAAGCGAGGAGATCATGTTGGACCTGAGCATGCGCCAGAGTCTAAAAGTTTACGAGATGTTTGGCATGAAACTTTAAGGGATCATATATCCTTGGTGCCATATCTGCTCCGTTTCTTTTCTCTTGGTCATCTTTGCATTATGGCAATTTCGAACTTTTGGGTCTTTTTTTCGTTTCTTTCATTCTGGCTAGATATCCCGTCCGGTGCGACGCATTTCCTTTTCATCTTGTCTTGTACGATATACCGTCGACTGTGCATACTTGCTTTTGGCCTTCACGATAGATTATAAATGATCTAACTTTCTACGAGAATAAATCGATTTCCACATAATATTGGTACACTTTCCTGTTAGACACCTAGACTGAAAACTTGGAGCTTACTTCAAAGCCGGGATTGGGGATAAAGCGACTTGGCAATGATAGATTGAAAGTTTATAGTAATAGGAGCAGCATCGGATGGAGTCAAAGTTGTAACTGGCTGGGAAATGAATAGAGAAACATCTAAAATTCGAGGTACATGTTTGAATATTTCTACTCTCGGACTTATTATCCGTACAAAAATTGCTGTTCGTACCATTTTTGCCTAAGAATGCGATTCAAAGCATAGTAGTAAAGCAACTGAGGCGCATGTGCAGTAAACATAGTATATCCGGGTGGGTACAAAGACCAACTGCGCAGCCCTCTGACCTTGACTTTCGCCGCGAACTGCCTCACTTTAAGATTAGCTCCCCAGTCTACCTGACCTCACCCGACACAGCCAGCATATTGGGTATAAAACCCATCCGTCTCCCCGGCTTGCTGTGTCTCAATCATTGTCTTCTTTTCCCTTCCCTTTCGCGAAATCGGACTTGCGACCGTGTCCAATCTACACCCTGTCGCTCGGTGACCTGCCCGCATATACCGCAGGATCACTGTGCTCCTTGCGTTGGTATTCTCGATTCTGATAATCCCAATCATCAAATCCTTTGAATTGGACAACCCTTCTATTCGGGATTCCCACGCGCCGGCTGGACTATTTACACGCCCTGCTGTGTCTTTGTTACCACATCTCGATTCTTTGATCCCGATACCTACCGAACAGAATGTCTTCGAATCTGCTCAACCAGGACTTTGGGTCCGACGAGGAAGAGGATGACTTCAACCCCGCCCCTATAGATGATTCCGATGCCGAGGAGCCTCAGGTCAGTAACCTCCAATGGCAAGCTACGAGATGACACTAACGAAACCACAATACATAGCCACCAAAAGCTGGCAAGGGTTACCATGGTGCGAATGACGAAGACGAAGACGAAGACCAAAACGGCGACGATGATGATGGCGCCGAAGCAAATGATGATGATGATGAAGATGATGCAGAGGAGGAGGACGCAGTGGTAAATACCCGACGCTATCTCTGAGCAGCAAAGGCCATTACTAACATCTGGCTTTCTATTAGGAGCGTCCACGCAAGCGCAGAAGAGGGGGTGTCCACAATTTCTTCGAGGAGGAGGCTGGTGTCGACGAGGAAGAAGATGAAGCCGAAGAGGACGAGGATGAGCTCGCCGAGTTTGGTACAGAAATGCACCCCGACGATCTTGATGCACTACCCGCCGGTGCAGAGACAGATGACCGCCGTCACCGACAGCTCGATCGCCAGCGTGAGCTGGATGCGACAATGGATGCAGAGAAGCAAGCGCAGATGCTCAAGGAGCGTTATGGTCGAAACCGTGCAGCAGCAACCGATGCCCTTGTGGTCCCTAAACGTCTACTTCTCCCAAGTGTTGAAGACCCTAGTATCTGGGGTGGTCGTTGTAAACCAGGCAAGGAGCGAGAGGTTGTTTACTCTATTCAGAAGCGCATTGAGGAGCGCCCAGCTGGCTCGCGCAACCCGATCCGTATCATTTCGGCATTTGAACGTGGTAACATCATGCAAGGTTGGTTCTACTGTGAGGCACGCAGACAACCTGATGTCACCGATGGCCTTGAGGGCATCAACTTCTATTATCCATCTCAAAAATTGACACTAGTCCCGGTTAAGGAGATGCCTGATCTCCTTCGGGTCCAAAAATCAGAAGAACTTAACCCAGGTGGATGGGTTCGAATGAAGCGTGGCAAATACCATGATGATCTCGCCCAGATCGAGGAGGTTGAGACAAACGGCCTCAATGTGACTGTACGACTTGTTCCCCGACTTGATTACGGGATGAATGATGACTCGGCCGCTATGGTTGACCCTAAGCGGAAGCGAACTGCTGCAAGCGCCATTCGCCCGCCTCAGCGTCTGTTCAGCGAAGCAGAGGCAAAGAGGAAGCACGCAAAATATCTTTCTGCTACATCAGGACTGGGCGGCAAGTCATGGAATTATCTCAATGAAAATTACATTGACGGATTCCTCATTAAGGATGTGCGAATTTCACACTTGCTTACCAAGAACGTCAACCCGCGCTTGGAGGAGGTGACCATGTTTGCCCGTGGCGGAGAGGATGGTGCTGCCAACCTGGATCTGGCATCTTTGGCTGACTCCCTCAAGAATGCTAATGCTGAAGACGCTTACCAACCCGGTGACCCTGTAGAGGTCTACCGAGGCGAGCAACAGGGTTTAATTGGTAAAACCGTTTCTACTCGGGGTGAGATTGTCTCATTGCAAGTAACTGAAGGCGATCTCGCCGGGCAAACCATTGATGCTCCCGTTCGAACGCTCCGTAAGCGTTTCCGTGAAGGTGACCATGTCAAGGTCATTGGAGGTAGCCGTTACCAAAATGAGTTGGGTATGGTGGTTCAAGTCAAGGACGACACTGTTACCCTGCTTAGTGATATGAGCATGCAAGAGATCACTGTCTTCAGTAAAGATCTTCGTCTTTCGGCGGAGATGGCTGCTGATGGACAGCTTGGTATTTATGACGTTCACGACCTGGTGCAACTTGAGTAAGTGATGTTCCTCATTTCTAATTCCTTTTCTTCTTCGCTAACCCTACCATAGTGCTGCTACCGTTGGATGTGTTATCAAGGTCGACCGCGAGTCCCTTCGCGTTGTGGATCAGAATGGCTCTGTTCGCAACATTCTGCCTACCCAGATTGCCAACAAAATAACTCCTCGTCGAGACGCTGTGGCTACAGATAACAATGGCGCAGAGATTCGACATGGCGATACTGTTCGCGAAGTTCAAGGAGAGCAGAGGAGTGGTGTCATTCGCCATATCTATCGCTCGTTCCTCTTCTTGCACAATAAGGCTCAGGCCGAAAATGCAGGTATCTCTGTAGTTCGAACAACAAATGTTGTTACTGTCTCCGCTCGAGGTGGTCGTCCTACAGGTCCAGATCTGACCAAGATGAATCCTGCCATCGCAGCGCAACGCCCTGGTGGCCGTGGCAACGGTGCGATGCCACCTCCTCAGCGTGGTCGGGATCGGTTAATCGGGAAAACTGTCCAAGTTCGCAAGGGTCGTTTCAAGGGTCTGGTCGGTATTGTTCGAGATGCCGATGATAAGACTGCCCAGGTTGAGCTTTACACATCAAACAAGCCTGTTCTCATCCAACGAGATATTTTAGCGCCAAAAGAGTGAGTCATTTATTCCATTTTTCTTGCGGAATATAGTTGCTAATATTCAACAGCCCAATCTCAAAACAACCACTGGATATGGGACGTGGCAGGGGAGGATCGCGTGTCCCATATGGAGGCGCTCCTCCTTCCAGAGGCGGAGGGTGGCAAGGGGGCCGTACCCCTATGTCTGGCGGAGATTCTTCGAGAACTCCAGCTTGGGGAGGAGCATCTTCTGCCCGCACTCCAGCTTGGTCTGGTGTGAGTGGATCGCGTACGCCTGCCTGGAAGAACGACGGAAACCGCACCTCTTACGGCGACGGAAGTCGTACTGCCTACGGGGATGGAAACCGGACTGCTTATGGTGGCATTGGCAACCGAACCCCTGCCTGGAACTCTGGCTCACGCACGCCATATGACACTAGCTCAGGCTATGACGCATTTGCCTCAGGATCTCGTACCCCAGCTTGGGGAGGCGCCGGCGCCAGCGCTGCTCCTCCTGCTGGTAACCGCACACCTGCCTGGGGCGGTTTACCAAATGGCCGAGACCAGCGTGACTACGATGATGCCCCCACTCCCGGTGGTTATTCTGCACCTACCCCTGGTGCATACGGTGCTCCTACTCCTGGCGCCTCTGCGCCAACTCCCGGTGCTTGGGCCGACAATGCTCCTACACCCGGAGGAGCTTTCAGCGCTCCAACCCCGGGCGCTAACCCAAGGCGCGGTTATGATGCACCTACACCTGCTGCGTATGATGCACCCACCCCTGCACTGGGCGGTGCTGCTGAGACACCTGGAGCAGGTTATGGTGATGATGATGCTGGCCCGCGTTATGATGAAGGCACACCGAGTCCGTAAATTTTGGACTTTGACAATTTCATTCACATTATTTATTATCTCTCGACACTCCAAAAACTTGTCAAATCCGCATGGTCACTAGATATCAGAGGGAACTGGGTTGGCTTCGCATATGTACTCTACTTTGAACCAAATGTAATTTCTTTAGCACAGCAAATAACGCTTCATTTGAAAGGAAATCTCCAGATGTAGTATCCACTAAGAAATCGTAAAAAGCCTTTCAAGGATGGGCTGAAGATTGGATAGGTACATAGTATAACTCGAAGATCAATGATGAAACCTTGGAGTAATCCACCAATGCAAACTCCAGTGAGCCCAATTAAAGATCTCTAATATCCTGTAGGATCATACTAGTATTTGATCTGTGTACTACGCGATGATGTACTAATATATAATTTAATGGATAAATCATTTCAACGCCAATATAAATCGGAATTTGAAAAGTTTGACCGTCCTTAATCCATTACGGATGGGATTTCTGCCTTCAAGTTGTTGTATCTAGTATATATCAATAGTAGCCTACACACAATTTTTTGCTGCGATTGGACATCATACACGTACAATTATTCCAAGGTTTACGATCGCTCACCTGGGCAACCTTAGAATTCTAATTTCTGAGAGTCAGATTAGTAAAGACCTAGCGGTATCTACAGTGGGAAGCGATATTCTGATTAGAGCCTCATGCTTTTTGGGTCTATCCATATGCACATGTGCAATGTGAATGCAGATTAGTTATAGGGAAAGAATTCTATGATCATATTACACGACGTTGGTCGACTGTTACTAATAGGGGCTGTAGCTCAGTTGGTAGTAGCGCTCGCTTTGCAACTGAATTGCGAGAGGTCTGGCGTTCGAGTCGCCACTGCTCCATTTTTTTCGTCTTATTTTTTATGCTTCGCCTAGGATGGACTTAGATAGTATTTTTGTGATATTCTAATGCCTCAAACAGAAAAGCAGAGTTCGTTTGCATGACACCATATTGACGCGTACACGGCGGAAAACCCATCGAAGGCAGTTTTCAAAGATCATACTCCCCGCTACCTGAGATAAACACCATGAGCTTCACCAATTCCGACACCCATATCGTCAATTTCAAAATGACAGTATCCGACGATGCTAAGCCCTCGAGCTTTGCGAAATCGTAAGTAAATTTATCGATGTTCTTTTTCAAACTTTGCTCATTGTTCAAGAATATTGCCGTTGTACAATGGACCCAGAGTCAAGATATGCATTGGATCCCCCAACAATGAATACATAGTTTCAATGGACCTCCTCTGCGACCAGTGCCCCCACTTCCAAAAAATGTTCAACGGCAACTTTATCGAAAACAAAGAAGCGCAGTGACTTTGGAGGAGATCGATGGAGTTGTGTCCCCTCGAAGTTTCGAGGCCTTTTTAGAATGGTTGTACCGTGGCAGAGTGTCTAGTGATCCTCCAGAAGACGCGGGAGACAAAATTACAAGGGTGTTGGAATTCTGCAGAATCGTCGATATGTTTGATGTTCATGGCATGGAAGAAGACATCTCAGTCAGTTTAAGACCGCGGTTGGGCCAAAAAACCGGTCTGATATTTTTATCCCGAAATACGTCCAGCCAGCCAGCTTCTTACCCTCGGGGCTAACAGTTCGTAGGATCATAGCCCAGGCACTGGTGCTGCCTTTTATGAAAGATAAGGACTTCGGGTATCTTGAAGATCTGTTTAATTTGGGCTTTGATCTTCTAAAGGAACTCAGAGTCCTTTTCAAAGACCAAATACGCATGTCCCGTGGCTCCAACGGCAGAACCAACCACATCGTTAAGTTAACGCTCCCAGATCCGATTGACTCTCAAGAAATACAATTTATGACAGGTTTTGTTTCCCCCCCTGTAAATGAAGTTGTTGTCCGAATTTGAACGAATTGTCTTTGAGAATTGGCTCTGATGTACTGGTTCGAATCCAATACTGTTTCAGATTTGCTACTTTATCCTCTTTTAGTGCATATTTTCTCTGCATGCTCTGTATAATTGTACTATAATAATACTGCCTTTCTTTTATCTTGTTAAAGGATCCACGGGGAATTTGGCTAAGTGTTATTGAATTTGATTATAAATAATAACTGTGGGCCTTGTGCTAAAGCATAGAAATATAAAAATAAGGGCATTGCCGGCATAAAAAAGATTTAGATATTAGATATTCTGTTCCAGAGGGCTCAAGATCGACTTTTATGGAGGGGCTATTCCATAAAAGGGGGGGTGGTCCTGAATTTTTGTAAGTTGATGTAAACATTGAGCAAGATATGAGGGGCTTTACTGACGATATTTTGAACTCCTTAGAGTCGGTCTCTGTATAACAACGGTAAGTTGTATGTCGCTGGACATATTGGTAGATGAGTAGAGATTCTAGGAAGAGACTGTGGAAGCGATCAACAGTGGTGGTGATGAAGATGCATGGAGAAGCTAACATTGAAGCCACGGAGTGAGAGATGGAAATGACATGGGTGCCTGTTGCAGCAAACTTTGAACCCACTCATGTGCAGAACTGGCGGTGAGCGGATGAGCAGATCAGCAAATTATAGTGGTAATACCTATATATTGCGGTGATGAAACTTGCACAAACTTGTCTGTGAGAACAGTGAATCTTTAAACGCTCCAAGGAGATATATGAGGATTCATCGACAATTAGATGGAATGCAATGGTTTTGGAACTTCAAGTCCATCATTTATTCTGAGACTAAGATACCCACATATGAATTTAGAGCTTGATAGCAATTTGTATCCGATTTCGAGCCTTCAAACCCCCCCCCCCCCCCAAAAACAAACCCAGCCAAAACACCCCTCATCGAATTGCACGCGAAATGTCATTTTAATCCCTCCCCGAGAGTCAACTACCTCCTATCTAACTTGGAAAAGTATTATTAGCTACAAACGAATGTCCATCATGCCCATATAAGGGGCCTGTGAAACGAAAGCATGATTCCATCTCGCATTATGAATCGCCGGGAGATCATCCCAGCCCCAAGCACTCGAAGAGAGCTTTTTCTGTTGCTCCACTGTCAAAGTGAAATACCAATTCTCCATGATGACAAGATATGCCCGTGGCTCATCCAACAACATTCATCTCGCGGGATCTTTGCATGAATGCCAATTGCACTCGTGAAAAGCTTCCAGAAGAGCTGCAGCAGGACGACCCCATTTGAACCCGTGTCTGTAGTATTCACGCCCTGTGGGATTGAGTTCGATGTTTCTCTTGCCATATGGCTTTCCAAGTTTTAGTTCACTGGCTGACCGTATATCGAGTGCAGTGTGGATTTCCTCCTTGGATTCCCATGCACCATATTTGCCGGCCCATTGACAGTGCCTTTCTATCTGCCATGACACTAGCCTTTCGAGATCGATACCTGGTGGTGGATAATGAGTGCTATTAACCAACTTGGCCAGAGGGCTTTCTGACGCCTTAGAATCACTGCCATTGATGATAGGTATTGGCTCAGTGTAATCCTTTCTTGGAGGGTTTTCTGATTCGGTATCGCTGTGGCCCAAGAGTTCGTGGCTTTCAGTGGACCCATCATCAAAATGAACCCGAGGAGACAATGAAGCATCGTCAGCTTCAGTACTGTTAGCCTCTGAATTTATGCTGGATGGGACTGGGAGATTTTTGAGCCTTCGTTCCAGCTTTTGAATCTCCCACGAAAGAATCTCTGCCAAGAGATGGATATCTTCACGTTTAGTGATGCGTCTTTGCAATTTTCTATTGAGCTTTTGGTATTTTGCGGCTTCTTTTGAATTTGCTTGGTCCGACATAAGGATGGGAAGGTAGGATGCTAAGGGATGATAGTAGGAAGTAAACATGAGTTGTGGAGAGGCAGAACAGGACCCCGGGTTGAAGCTACTTCAATTTACGTTAACCGTAAGAAAGAAGCCGGGGAGAAACATGCCGGAGTTATCCTGTTCGTAATTATGAAAACCTAGCTTGTCTTACTTTATCTTGCATACCCGGGCATCTATCCCTTCCTGCCATTCTTTCAATCAAACATCCATGGGGTTATGCAGGTAGCCTGGACCGCAAAAACCTTTTTGGGACCCGGAAATAGCAGCAGCAGGAAACCCCCTGTTAAGGGACAGCAGAGCTCTACAATACCGAAAGGGAACAGATGGTTTCTCCACAGCCAATAGTCCTTGGCCATTAGATGAAGAGGAATTATTCGATGTGAATGAATTTTCAAAAAAACAAATTCGCAAGCCTATGTACGGGACTGGAGAACCACATTAAAATAAATTTACATTAATACATCGGGAAATGCGGCTATACTCTACTATCTACTACACACATATAGATCGCGTCAAGAGCGTTGCTTCATCAGTTCTAAAAAGCCAACCCGAGAACCTTCGTGTTCATATAAACTGGAGATTTCTATCCATGAGAGTAGAGAATATGTTGTCCTACAAACTGAATTTGTCATTTGTTGTATGCACGTTCTTTAATTTCGCGTGTTCCCTCGAATGGCCTTGTCAATAATATTCGCGGCCCTGAGACAGGCTTCATCGCGGAAGTATGGGGTAATGACTTGAACAGAACAAGGGGCACCATCGACATCAGTTGGAATATCTAATAGTATGTCAGTAGGAGTAAAGGAGCGATAGAAAGTCACATACAGTCGGGTTGCACGTCGTCACCGGTTTTCATCTCTTCTGGGTCTAGCTCTTTCGAAGATTTCTCGAAAGGAATGACACACGCCGGGTACTAGAAGGTTTTATTAGCCACCAGAGCTTCGCAAATAATCCGTTTCAAGTATAAACCTACATCCAGCAAGTTCCATATGACTGTGTAGGGAGGCCATCCGTAGGTATCATGTGCCACTGCTGTATTCTGGGACCCTGGAGCCAAAATAACATCTAGCTGTTGGTCTACCCAAACCTGGCGCCAGGAGTCACTGACTAGCTGACGTGCCTCGTGCAATTTCTGAATTTTTTCAAATGGACCAAGCTCTTGGTCAACCGGGAATGGACCAGTAAACATGGGCGAATCCCATCTGGCGACTGATTTCACCAGCGGCTCACCACTAGCTGCGATATGGTCACCCGAGGGTGCATAGATAAAAAACTGGAATGCAAGGCGAGAGGCATATGCAACAGAAAGATTTTCGTTTTGGTTATCGAGTTTGATGATACGATGGCCTGCACGAGCCAACTTCTGGATAGCACTGTCCAGTGCTCGTTTGACAGGTGGATGAAGAGGGAACTGCTTGTCCTCCGGCAGGATTCCAATATTTAGACTCCCATTGCGTGCATTGGTTGAGTGTGAATCATCGATCCATGGAGCACCAATAGCTGTATGATCATATTCCCAAGCTTGGCCATCTTTGACTACCGTCTTCATAAACAATTGTATGTCCTCAATGCTATGACCGAGTGGACCAGCGGCGGGTACAAGTCCCGGAAGACCTTCCGATGCGCCTGATACCTGTCCACCAAAGGGTATACGTCTGGTCGTTGGCTTAAAACCGTATAACCCACAGCATAGTGCTGGGATACGAATTGATCCCGCGATATCGGTACCAACACCCAAGATTGAGCCTCGAAACCCTACCAGGGCGCCCTCACCACCGCTGGACCCGCCAGCGGTTAAAGCTGTGTTATGAGGATTCAAAGTTCGCCCAAAAATGTTGTTTTCCGAGTCGCCGGTCTAAACAGCGTTAATTATGTTGCTTATGGAAACCCCTTGAGAAGTTTACTTACCATCATGGTTTGCGGGATATTGGTCTTAACGTAAAGGACTGCTCCAAGCTGCAACAGCATTGTAACGAGGGCCGATTCTTGTGTCTCTGGCTCATTGCTTAAAAAGGAGACATATCCCACAGTTGCTTGTAGTCCTTTGATACAGAAACTATCTTTCAAGCTGATAGGCAAGCCGTGAAGGGGACCAATCGGTTTTCTTTCACGTTTGAGATATTCATCCAAGAAACGAGCCCGTTCCAGCGCCTGCGGAAAGCAAGTCTCTGTAAGACATGATATCTAAGAATAAATTCAAAAATTATATTTTACTCTCAAAAGTGATATATCAGAATATTGAATATTGACATACCAATTGCTGAGCAATTGCAGCTCGCTTGCAAAAAGCAGTGGTCACATCCAAGGAGCTGACATCGCCCACCGCAAGCTTTGTCAATAACTGCGCCGCAGAATAATTTTCGGTAATATCTAGTTCAAGATCCGAAAGTAGGCCACATCGACGCGGAATATCGTATTCTAGTGGATGCGGGGTCGCATTCAAGAACTCAGTGGGGACGATCCATTCCTGAGGGATCTTCTGCTGGCATTCGTCGCGCTTTTGAGCAACCAACTCTTGCCAGTCCAAAGTTTCGTTTTTCAATTCGTTCGCCATTGGGATTTGTCTGCCAGAGATTCTGGAGCCTGCTACCTGCGCTGTTTATGTATAGCAAGGCATCGGCGAGAATGCTCAGATGGTTTTTGCAGATCTCCACTTTTAGTTCTTGGAGGCCCACACCGCATATATTGAGATACTACTGCCAGTGTGCGTCCACATGCCTAATCGGGATAAGGGCCTTACCTAGGCGACCGAGGCTGCTCACTTAAAAAATCGCGTCTTTCTACATCGCGGTAGATGTTGGCAATGGTAGAGCCGAACAAGGGCTTGGGAATTGAAAACCTTGTGCGCCAGATCTGATAGCAGAAGGGCACTGCCGAAATAATTGCCTGAATGCTAGTTATTTCTGGAGAAACGCCAATCTTCATCGGCTGTTGAGTCTGGATTCGTTGAAAATAGGACAAGAGAGAATGGATTGAGAAAGCATGTCATATTAAATCTAAGTAATTACTGTCCATCATACAATTACAGGAGAAATTAGAAATACAAGATCAATTCTAGCGGTATACAGCTAAATCGGGAACCCTCAAGCAGCGATTCACTCGTCGGTATAGCTTTACCAACTATGGCTTTGCAATTACATTTTCTGGCTTTGAACCAGGAAAGTTGGTCAGGTGGTAAGCGTCTATCCATATTCTATCATTGACGCAACTCATAACACCAATGCACACCAGGCCATTTAACCAATTGTATGGACCCGGTCCAGCCTCAACCCGGAGATGCGAGAAGAATTCAACATCATCCTGTGAGATTGTTGGCGGGGGAATAATTTCTGGGTCTGCTTCGACCTGCTTTGCATACTCTGTTCCAGGGCCTGGGCGATAGAGACCATGGGCACGAATGTAGAGATGATGGTTGTCAGAAGTGCGAACACAGTATCGAGCATCTAAGGTCATAGACTAAACATCTTATATCAGTATGAAACGCACAAGGGATGAAACATTTGACTTATAACTTACATGCGTTCCTTTCACAACAGTCGCCCAGTCGGCGCCCCCAAGAGGTAAAACCGAGCCCTCAATTCCAGGACCTTTCACGCTACCTCGCACAATGTTCGCAATGCTGCGTATGACTCCTGCATCATGAGGAGCGCCGATGTTTATTTCCTCTTTTGCAATGTCACATTCTAGTCGATAAAGAAAGGACAGGTAAGGTTGCCGCATCTGCGGGCTATCAGCGAAGAGGTTGTTTCCGGGCGACGGCAGATGAGACATGATTATAAGCGGGTTGAGGGTTTCCGGACTTTGATCGTGCCATTTCCTATTATTAATATGTTAGTATTTATATTTCACTCGGCATGTAGATCGGCATGAAATGTTATCAAGTGTATGATGCTTCGGTGTGGGGTAAAACCAAGCAAGATACGACTCCCCGCAGTTAATAGCCAAACGGGTAGGTGGACCCCACCGAGACCGAGCTTATCAGCCGATCAACACGATGAGTTCAAAGTAGAGAATGCGCGATTAGGTGTGACTAAACGCGCCTCAAACAGGGAAGTCCATCCGCCTGTATATGATTTGTGTATGTTATCTGTTTATGCCGTAATCACGCAGTATTTCTAGTGCTTTTATCTCCTCCAACCACCATTTTTCTATCACTGCCACTATCTGATATATCTACCTCTCATACTGCAACAATAAAGCCACCAATAAGCTCAAGGAATCTGCGAAAGACTATTACGATGTCTTTTGCTCGTTCTGTCATCCAGGATGCTTCCATTCCAGAGTCAGCACGGCAGCAGGCTTTAAACCGCATTTGGTCTGACCCTGGTATCCCTCAAGAATCCACCACGTCTTCATTTTGGTTAGAAAAGCTTCACCCGCAGTTCGCGCAACCTGCCACCTCAGATTTGCCTTCCAACGCAGAAGTTGTGATAGTCGGCTCCGGGATTACAGCTACATCCATTGCACGGACACTTCTCCAAAATCGGACTAAAGCTACCGCGTCAAGCCCTTCTCATCCAGCTATAGTGATTCTCGAGGCCCGTGACATCTGTAGTGGAGCTACAGGACGAAATGGAGGTCATATTCTCGAGACTGCAGACGAATATGCCGAGTTTGCTGATGAGTTTGGCGACGAGGCAGCGCGCAAGATTATTCGCTTCCGATTATCACATCTTCGAGAGATGCTGAATATTGCCAAGGAACTTGGTCTGTCCGAAGAGGCTCAAGCGCGGAAAGTGCAATTTCTTAGTGCCTACTTTGGCGACCAGCCATGGCGCGAAGCTATGGAGAGACTCCGTCGCTTCAAGGAGGGGATGCCAGAGGAGTCAGAAGAATGGATAGCATATGACAGAAACTCGATGCCAGACGTGAGTTTATCATGTTCAAATCTCAAGAAAACGGACTAATTTGTGGGATAATTAGGAATTTAAACTCTCAAATGCAACTGGTGTTGTCGCAGGTCCTGCTGGTGCTCTGTGGCCTTACAAGTTTATCACAGGCATCTTGGCCAGACTTCTTCAGGAATACCCGGATGAATTACGAGTCAATCACCATACTTTCGTGAAATCAATCGAAGCGGAGTCTTCTTCAGCTGGTGGCTATAAAGTCGAGACTAGTCGTGGCACGATTTCTGCTCGACATGTAATTCATTGCACAAATGCACATGTCGGCCACCTGGTCCCTGGTCTGCGAGGCCGGATATTCCCCGTGCGAGGCCAAATGTCAGCACAAACTCCCGGAGACAGGTTTCCCTTACAAGCATACAAGCAGTCTTGGCTGTTCAATTACCACCGTGGATTTGACTACCTGACACAGCTTCCTGGAGGGCAGATGATGTTTGGTGGCGGCTTCGCACAAGGTGAACTGGGTGGTATCGCTGAGCTGGGAATATCTAGAGACCATGAGATGAGCGTGTATATCGATATTCATCTATCTGGTGCGCTTGGAGCGGTCTTTGGTAGAGAGTCCTGGGGCCGTGTAGAAGGTGACCAGGTGCAAAAGATGTGGACGGGCAATATGGCGTTCAGCTCGGACGGGTTCCCGTGGGTGGGACGATTACCTGAGTCGGTGACACATCGACCGTCTCAGGATAAGAATGCTGGATCTGAATGGGTGTGTGCTGCATTTGGGGGAGAGGGAATGGTTCAATGCTGGCAGTCTGGGAAGGCTCTAGCTACACTCCTTGCTACACAAGATAAGGAACTTGACTCAACAATTGATGACGATCTATCATGGTTCCCAGAGCAGCTACTTGTCTCTGATGAGCGTATTGCGGCAGCTGAGCTCCCTCGAACTATCGCCGGTTTTCGGCGCCAAGCGAATCTGTAGGGAGATTGGCGAGGGGTATGATTGAATGAACTTGTGCTATGCAGTTCGCTGCCGCCTCTTTTTCCGAATCCAAGAAGGAGCTAAACGACAGGCCTGAAAGGATAACACAAGATGAGAGTTTCCAGACACAATAGTTTCTAATAGTTTATCTGGTTGCATTTCTGCCAAGCTAGGACGAATCTTTATGCAGTGCCAGATAAACCCAATGAAAATCCCTTTTACTTTAATAACTCCAGAGCACAAAGCTTGGTAACGAAAAAAGTATACTTTAATAGGTAGTGTGTATCAGTGATGTCAACCCTTGAGCCGCCTTTCTCCCCGGCGCGAGTTACACATTCACATTAAAAATGATCTCATAGTCATAGCCTGAACCTTGGATTATTATCCATCAATGCATGTGCCCTTGCTTTCTCACCATCTCACGATAGTGTGGGGCTAGGGCACGTCGAGCCCTTTTGCCCCAGATTATGACTGGAACCATCAAGCCAGTTATTCCAAGACTGATGAATCCTGCAATAATGAACATGTTTTGAATTCCATTCTGATTTATCCAAGGTGTAATAGCGAAAGGTATGCCGATACTGACGGCATTGCGCATAAAAGCAATTCCAGTAAAGGCATCACCTGTAAGCTGCATATAGAATCGAATAAGCATAATAAACTCAGAAAAGGCAATGAAAATATGATGAAAAGCGCCTCAAGGAATCTTACCTCACGATAACTGTCAATGACTAATGTTAAAGCTGCATCACTGATGCTGCCCAGCCCAAATCCAAAGAATGCGCCCGCAATACTTGGGTAGATCCAGTGCATCCCCTGATAATATAGAATGTCGTTAGTCAATGTAGTCAAGGGGATTACCAAGTCTCAGGATAAGCTTTCAAACCAGACTCGAAAACGGGGGACTTGTGCAGTGAAACCATACCCTGGAAACGGTAGCGCCGAACATCATTAACCCGCCCGACATGAAAACTGCCGGTATGGGGAGGATATATAAACGCATCTCGGGTTCAAAATATCCTTTATTTTTCCGAGAGAAGTAGATAATGGACCAATCACCCAGTATTCCACCATAAGATACTCCGATAAGGTTACCAATAAAGGGACCCACACTCATAAATCCTATCTGTTCAGGACTAAACGAGTATGGCGGCAATGGAAAGGTAAGAGAGATAACGCTCGACAAAATGGTAAGAAAAGCAACGCCGGATGCATACTGCAAGGCAGTATACGCGACAGCTGGAAAGGCACATAAAATTTGAAAAGGACGGTAGTAGTATGGCCAGATAGTTTCCGGTGTTGCTGTGCTAAGAGCCAGTCGCTTGCGCCATGAGTTCATAGCGATGTCGTGGTTTATTTCATGATGCAAATTACTCGGCTCTGTGATGACATGCGTAGAGTTGGCTTCGGATTGGCATGCTTGTTTTTGATCCTTACTATCGCCTCGAGGGATATACTCAGTTGGGTTTGAATCAACCTCTGATTGGCCTGTGATAGCGGGGACGTATTTGGTTTCCTCATAGAGAAAAACGAAGAGCACGAGGAAAATGGCATTGAATATGCCCAGCGTACGGTAAGACCAACGCCACCCTTGGTTGGTCGCCTGCACGCCAGCTGCTATTGGGCCAAGAAAGGACTAAAAACGTATTAGTATAAGAGCTGCGCTGAGTTGCATCAAGCTGCACAGAAATAGGCTTAATTAAGCCTTGTTGGGTGACATACACCAACCATAACCATGGTCATATACAAACCATTCATTCGACCTCGATGATGTACAAAGAAAATATCCGCAATCTGTTTAACGTTTATTAGGCGTCCAATAAGCAGTCATCGGTTTCACATATGGTTATCTCAACAATAGCTTCGTTGGTTGCACCAGCCAGGCCTTGAAACAGGTTGCAGACGTAAAGCCCCGACAAACTCGTTAGCTTAGCGGTACAGAAGGAAGTGATCAACATAATAATTGTCGATACGATGTAGACAGGACGACGACCGTATTTCTTTGCTAGGGGAACAAAGAAAATACATCCTGTGGCTAGACCAACAAAGTTGACAGACATCGCATTGTTGAGTTGACTGTAGGTGGCATTTAGGTCTATCACCATCTGTTGCCAGAAAATAGTCTGGCAGGAGAGTCTGCAAGAAAAAATGTTAGATGTATACACTGAATTCAATTCCATGATGACAGATAATTCATCTCACGCTGTAAATATAACACCGGTCATGCCAAGAACAATGGTGAAGTTTATGGTCTTTCGAGCAGTGCTCCAGTTCTAAAGCAGTTTATTAGCTTTAAGCGAAACGTCAAGAGGGATATAAGAACACACCAAGGGCTCGTTAGGATCACTGGTTGGAATAGGATCAAGCATTACAATATGCTGGCCGGTGGTATCTAATTCATCATCTGTAAGGCATCTTAGTAACTCCCTATTTCTGATAGTTTGAGTTGCTTTGCTTGATATACCTCGGACCAATAGAAAAGTACCAGGAGGAAGATCATTCTGCTCTGTAGTGGATGAAGACGAAGCCGCAGGAGCCTGATCCATTTTTCAGATTCAATATGTTTAGATGAAAAATAACTTGAGCGATCAAGAATTTCAAAAGGGTGCAAGAAGGGTTTTAAAATGGCTTTGGCTCAGGCAAAACGCAACTTCGAGACGTATCAAGAGAGTTCACACATGATTGAACGATAAGTCTTTTGCGCCACCTCCGCATAACTATCAGTTTCATCACGCTCTGTGATAAGCTAACAGTTGTACGTGGCCATGATGACTAGAAAATGCGGAGAAAAGATAAGTTGTGATTTGCCAGTGGAGAATCCGGGACATCTCATTTTATGGTTGCGGGTCAGCCTTCCTCAAGGGGGTTAGACGGGCATTCTATGTGTGGCTTGGAAGGCCAGGGGTTATACGATGTAGAAAGATAAGGGGCTTTGGATCAGCTCGCTTGACGTTTGCACGGACCTATGCTTCTCCATACCACCTTAATCTCGGATGTGGATACCTCGTCCGAAAATGGCAGCTGGACACACTCGCTTCGCCGATGATGTTAGCGTCGGGAGATCTGCACCATTGTATTGCGTAGTGTTAGTAGTCGCATTAGCTGAGATATGTCTTCGCTGTCTAGTTTATCATGTCCTCATATGGCCATTATGCTTCTTCCGCAGCGCCATCTCACGCGTTTTACAGTTCCCCAAAGTTCTTTATCAGAGTGATCGGTAAAATATGTCCAGATCTATCGCCAAACTAAACTTATTACAAGTTCAAAATGGTATAAACAACCCCAAGTTGGCTGAGTAGTGCATGAACTCGCAGTCAATTTATATTTGAGAGGTATGGAGCTGACCTTTTCTTTTCTTTTTTTCAAAAACTAGACTCTTCAATTGGCCCTATCATTCGGACTGTGAACTATGCATTCTCATCTGATCCATTGATTCAATGGTTGCGTCCAAATGCAGCACCCTGGGCGCAGCAGGATAAGGATGTTTGGAGATGGCAGCAGCGAAGAATACAGTCGATAATGTTGCATGGCATGGTTCTTCAATCGGCAAAGGTTAATGAGATGATAGCGCTTGAACTTCCACGCCAGCAAAGGAAGAAAGCCTCGCCGGTTTATGAGAGAGAAGCTCAAGTCCCAGCTACTGATAGCACCCCAGAGGCAGAATTGGGCCTCAATGATACAGGCGCAGTGGTTTTCTTGCTACCTCCCAAGTGTCAACTAAAATGGTCCCCAGCAAGACTATGGGAGGCATTTAAGATTTACGTACTTGATATTCTGAGTCCAGCACATGACACAGGAGCCAAAGAATTGGTAAGGCTTGAATACACATTCTCCAAGGTACCATGAGACTAATATATTTACACAAAGCGAGTGGGCCGTTTTCTTGAAGTGAATAAGAAATGGTCGGAAATTTTGACGTCTCGGTATTCAAAGGAGAAGCTATGGTATCTAGAAGTCATAGCTGTTCATCCATCTTTACAATCCCGAGGTATAGGGCGGAAAGCAATGACGTGGGTCTTGGAGCATATCAAAGATGAACCAATATACCTTGAGTGCACACGAATAGACAATATTGGGTTCTACGAAGGTTTCGGGTTTGAGGTTGTCGAGAAAGTGGAAATTGAGGACGAAGGGCAGAAGTTGAACTACTGGGTCATGGTTAGACCAAGCAAAGGAAATATATAGAGGAAGCGATGAAATAATTGGTGTTTTTGAAAATGTGGAATAGTGTATCATACCAAAGAGATCGACCCCCAAATGGCTCGAGATGGCTAAAATTTCTTGGTAGACTGAGAAGCAGACTTGAGGATATTTGCGATAGATTCATAGCCGGCCGAGGTAGCCCATTTATGCGGCGTAAAATCCTCATAATCTTCAGACTCTGTGTCTGCTTTATTCTCAAGGAGAATTTCCACCACTTTTCTGTGGCCATACCTTGCAGCTATTGATAGAGCAGTTTGCCCGCTGTGGTCTGTGGCTTCAATAGAGGCGCCGTTTCCAAGGAGTAGTCTCACCATATTTGGGTAAGACTTCCTTGCAGCCCAGAGAAGGGCTGTGCGTCCCCATTGGGCATCTTCATTTTCCAAACAAATGTCATTTTCCCGCAGAATCCTGACAAGGCTTTCATTTCCGTATATTATAGCCCACATCAGAGAAGTTCTGCCCTGAGAATCCTCGATATCCAAAAGAGCTCCGCTTTCAACTAAGGCTCGAAAGATCTCAACGTTATGTGCTTCCGCACTCAGGTGTAAAGGTGTTCGACCTAGATCATCTTGAACGTTCAAATTGGCGTTGTTGTGAATGACCTGGTCATTGGTTCGTGCTGATTCATGACTGCCCACCACAACGCTGTTATGTTTTCAGGATCCTTCGCCTCCAAGCTGGCGCCTTTCTCAATTATGAACTCTAATCTCGAATAGCGTCTGGTCTCCGCAGCCCGCACTATGGCAGTTCGACCAAAGCAATCGGGAGTCTCTCGGGCTGTGCGATGACTGAGAAGAACCTTAATGAGCAAATCATTCTCTGAATTCTCCATTTTACAAATGTATCGGCTCCCGAGGCCGCTATTAATCTCAATTTTGGCACCCAAATCAATCAGCATCCATGTGATCTTCTCTTGGCCTTCCTTTGCGGCCCACCACAGCGGTGTCAATCCTTCCTTGTCCGTAGCGTCGATATCGCCACCTCTTCCAAGAAGTAATCTCACGATCGATTCGTGTCCACTACTTGCAGCCCATGATAACGGCGTGCGCCAGATTCATGTGTCGAGTTGATGTTGGCTCCCTTTGCAAGAAGCAGCTTTACTACTGCTTCATGGCCACCAGAAATGGCCCAGAGCAATGCAGTTCCCCCATTATGATCTGCTAAATCAATCTGAGCTCCCTCAATGAGAAGAAGTTCCACTACCGTAATGTGTCCACCTTCCGCACCCATGATAGTGGGGCCCGTCCATCCCAATTTGCGGAGGGTACTGTATTGCTTTTCGCGAGCAACCGTGTTGGTTTTCCATATCCAGTATATTCTGATGAACGATTTGTAGATCGAAATGCCAGGTCAATCGTGGCACCATGTTTGAGTAGTAGCTTTACTACTTGGTAATGACCCATGGCTGCAGCATAGGAAAGTGCTGAGTGATCATTTTCGTCCAATAAATCAGACTGGGCATGTTTATTAAGAAGCAGTTCTACCACTGCGTCATGCCCAAAAAAGGCAGCTTGCATCAGTGGTGTTAGTAGACTTATAAATAAATCCATAGTCTGCTGCTTTTGCTTCTCTTGGAAATTCAAAAAAAGATATCCGACACCAAATCTCTCATTGTCATGTGTAGTCTGAAGGTGATCGATGATTATAGAAGTGGCTATTGTCTTTCCAACTCCTGGGTTGCCAGGGCAAAAAAGCGTCTTCCCACTGCTGTCAATCCAACTCGTTATTTCTTCCGACTCCAGTAGCCACTATTCAGTTCCGGTTTGTCGCCTTCTGATTAGGTTTCTCTGCTGCATTGAAGGGTTTGCCGTGGATATCCAGTCGAGTATTGCTTGAGTTTCTTGATTGCCAACAAAACTGTTGAAACTCCGTTGAAGACCTGGAAACAGAATAAGTAAACCTTCTGGCAACAATCTCCACATATATTCCCAAACTCCTGCAACTCGTACCTGTAAATTTATCATCAAGCCTTTTCTCGGCCGCCACTCGACTGGGTGGTATGCGGTATAGGAGATCTCTTGCGTAAGCAGCAGCCACTAATGCCGCGTGCCCTTGCCAGTCTTTGTTTTTATGAGTGTCTGCAAAATCACAGATACCACGGATGACGAGGCAAGGAAAATGATTCGTCAAGCCAGCTGCTTCCATCTCGAAACACAGAATCTCCTCTTTCGTCAGTTGATCTCTGATTTCTGCATCCTTCAATGATTTGAAGATGCAATGAGACCATAATGGATTACTGTGTCATCGTCTTTGGATCTTTTCGATTGTAATTTGAGAATAGAAGGGTCATTGCCGCACATATTCCCACAGTTATCAGCACCTTGAGCATGGAGAAAGTCACTGTGATATAAAATATCTGTCTTTTTGTCCGGACGGGCAAACTTCTCCTGTAACCTTGGATTCTTTTGAAGAATGGCATTGACAGATTCATCGAGTTGGTGACCGTGAACAGTGTGCTGTGATCTCAAACCCACGACTGCCGTCCTGAGAACTGTCGAAGGTTGGTTCAAGAACCCAAATCTTTGAAACTCTCGGCATTGGACTCTCTTTCCGAAGTCGAATTGTACAACACCATCCTTACCGTCTCTTGCGGCGCTGACGACAACATCGCCAAGGCGGATACCATGAGTTGCACTCGGTGCACCGCCAGCGATACCAACCATAAGGCCAACTCTAATATTGGTGAAGCTGTGAAGCATATCTCTTGCCACGCTAGCTGCCGATGTTGTGCCATATTCATCGTCTGGAAGAATAGCAATAACAATATTGTGGTTTCCCACCTTGCCCAGCGTGTAGTCGTTGTTATCGCTGGGTGATAAATATTCCGACGCTTTGTGTATTTCGTCGAGAAAAGCCTTTGCGGCGACGTACTCAGTTTCGATGGCACATATCCAGCCAACCTGGTAGTTTTGAGGATCGGACATGTTACTTAGAGGCGGGGCGCAAGTGACTCAAGAGTCAGGATGCGAAGCTGCTACGCTAGCCTGGGTATTTTATGCGGCCAAACTGACCTGACCGGCCACAGCAGCGATTAGCCCAATAGTGATGGTCTATCTGAATCAGACACAATGCATGGTCATATTTGTGATTTTTTTGAAAAGAAGTCGCGGGGGCTGGAAAGCGGCTGTACCTTGAATAAGCCGCTTATGCATGTCTGTAGGGGCCATCACAATGAGGCGGCCAATAAGGGATGGTATGCAGCCCAAAAGGCAACCAGTCATGAAACTAACATCCAGAGCCTCAATATCTCGCAAGCTATTTATATAGAACGAAAGAAAAATAAATTCACTAAGATTATGTAGCATCATTCCTCAACGCCGCCAAAACCAAAGCCAAAAGCTCCTTCCAATAAATGAAACCCAACTAATCACAGTAACCCCATCTCAACCCCCTTAGCTCTCGCTAAATCATCAATATTAAGCAGATTATCATTTTTTTCCCACAGCTCTTCCATTAGTTCTAACAATATTTCATGCTGAATTGACCCTGGTGCACATTTTCGAATGGTCTTTTGCCATTGTGGATTTTGACGCAGAACCGAGACCTCTAACCCAGCAACGACGATCGGAAAAAGTACCGCGTTCTCAATAAATCTATCTTCAGCTGGACGCTCAGCAATTGCAAGACGGAGTGCGTCCAAGTTAGCTAATATTCGAGAAACAAGGACTGTTTCATCTGCTGGACATGCGCTCGGTTGTCTCCATGTCGAGAATTTGCGCATCTCCGACTGATGCTCTTCAGCACGTGCGTATCGCCGAAGTATTAATATCCCAGCTAAACGATGTGCTTCCCATAAATAGCATTGTAAGAAATTTCCTGAGACCCCTGGCCAGTCCCAGAAACTTTGTTCTGTTGTACCAACGCCTATACCTGCGAACATATCAAGTAGAACTCTAGGTAGACCGCTGACGGGCTCCACACCCTCTCGTGGGCTGTTGGGCTGGCAGTAACGACTCCAGATTCCAATGTAGGATGTTTGTCGGCCTATGGAAAAACAGGGGAGATCCATCACGCCCATTACCTCGAGCAAGTGGGTGCGAAATGGCGTTTGTGTAGCTGTGTGATCTTGATCTGCAAGGCCATGGCTTTGGAGGATATTGTGCATACCCTCTAGGTGCACAGTCCAGGGTAGACCGTGCATAAGCTGAATGACAAGCAGAAAAGTCAGAAACTTATTATTAACAAATATGCAGATGAATAATAGAAGCTCAACGGTGACGTACGCCAATGCTACACAGCAGCAGTCCGGCCGTCAACGTCCCATCTGAGAGAGTAGTGCTTTGGGCTAGTTCAGATCGGAACTTTCGGAAGGATGCATCAAAGTACTCGAGAAATTGAGGTGATCGGGTGCTCGATAGAGCCAGTTGAAAAGCGAGACATATTGTATACAAGGCACCAGACTGTTGGCAAAGTTCAGGAAGCCGTGGCTGTAGCATGCTGTCTCGGGCAGTAGTAGAATGAAGCACGTTGATACCGTTGTTCATGACTATTTCTGTTAAGTTCTAAAACCTTACGATGAATGCTGAGAACTTACATTCATTGAACAAAATCTCTTCCTGCTTGACTCGCTCTGATATAAGGGAAATGTTCAAGTCAGGCTCATAAACCATCGTATGGTTTTCTTGCGTAAAATCATCAGGTTCAGAGCGTGGATCGCACCGGTTGGCAATATTTTCCTTCGCATCACTAGAGGCCAAAGTCTCCAATTTCCTCCTTTCCCGGCTCAGATCCCTTTTACGACCCTTAGGCCTTGGTGGCACACTCTCCTTCACGGGCTTCTCCGCACCTGTGAACTGGCCACGCGAAGCAATCCCAGTACCCCACCGCAATCGAACTTCGTACCCCTCGCAATCTATCCCACGCTGAGCACAGTTTTGGCATGTCGGACGTTGATTATCGCACCGTCGCCGACGACTTTTGCATGTCCAACACCCCTGGTACGAGCGCGTCGACATTCCGGATTCAGGAAGTGCATTAGGGACAATAAGAGAGGCAATGCCGATGTGTATAGGGGTCTGGAAATGCGGGGGTAATTGGTTTTGTGGAGCGCCACCTTCAGATAAGGGGTCGGGCTGCCCTTTTTGGGCGATAAGGAGAGTACATGTCCCCAGAAATGATTTACAATATAAATATTCAGCCCAAGGAATATTAGATGGAATATTGGAGCTAAGATCATTTGAAATTTCTCAGACAAATCATATCATGTCTTTCCAGACGCCTGTTGGGACTTGCAAGACCACCGTCCCTGGTCTGGGAACGATGGATGGGTTACTCTATGCCAATGGCGTACAGCAATTTTGTGGCATTCCATATGCACATCTCCCTAAGCGCTGGACGAGATCAATCTTGAACACAGAATGGGCTGGGGATTATATTAATGGAACGAAGATGGGGTATGAACTCTCTTGAATCCACAACGTGAAGGGTATCATGCTTATACTTTTTACAGAAACGATTGTCCTAGCCCCATGACCGACGGCGACGATGTAGATGATTTAGTACCTGTGCCCCCCGCCGCTCATTTCTCAGAGCCCAGATCTGTGGATGAATTATCCGGTTTGGTCATGAATATCGTCATTCCCCACAAGTTCAAAGAAGAAGCCAAGCCTGTTCCAGTCTTTGTTTATGTCCACGGTGGTTCTCTACTATATGGCGGCGCCAATCTTCCTATTTTCGACGCCGTGAATCTAGTATCCCATAGTATAACAATTGGTCTGCCCATAATCTGTGTGAATTTCAATTACCGCGTTGGCATCGGTGGCTTCCTCGCCGGAGATACCATCGCCGCAGAACTGAAAAGAGATGGATACGCGGGAAGCGGAAACTTTGGCTTCACAGACCAACAAGTTGCGTTTGAATGGGTGCAACGCTATATCCAATCGCTAGGAGGCGATCCAAACAGAGTTACAGCTGTTGGTGAGTCTGCTGGTGGTATCTCCATCAGTAATCAACTCGTGGCAGCTAATCCACCAGTCTTCCATCGTGCTGTTTGCATGTCCGGGGTATCTGCAGCAATTCCAGCATGGACGATGAAGCAGCATAATCGTTTCTTCGAAGCTGTATGTGATAATTTTCAAATTGACGCTTCAGAGGCCGATGCTCTGGAACGATTGCGTGCCATCCCACAACAAGAACTTGCCAACGCAACCCCAGCTATTCAAGGAGCTCTCTCAGGAACTGGCAACCCGTGTCTAGATGGTTGGTTCTATAAGTCTGGCGCAGAACCTAGAGACGTCCATACACCACCTGCCTGGCTGGAAGGATACATGTTTGGGGATACCTATCATGAAGGAGTCATTTTTCACCTAAATATTCTCGAGGACAACTATCAATTTATCCATAAGGTTTTGCAAGCTCATATCGGCAATGAAGCCTACGTGGATCAGATCCTAAAGGCATATGGGATCGACGATTGCTCCTCGCAAGATATCTTCTTGAGTTGTCTAGAGCATATGTGCGGCGATATTATTTTCAAAATTCCAAACTACCTACTCGCTCAGAGAAAGGCCGAAATGGCCCGATATGCCTATCATTTTGATCAGCGGTCTCGAATCCAAAATTCCATGTTCGACACGGCATATCATGCTCACGAGCTGCTTTATCTGTTCATGAACTTGGAAAATGAGTTCAATCAAAAGGAAAAGGCGATGGCTCGGGAATTTGCCTCTGCATGGATTCGATTTGCAAATGGGCTGGCGCCATGGATTGAAACTATCGAACAGCGTCAGTGGATGGTATGGGGGCCAGAGAGTAAGACTGGGCTGAAGACTGAAGTTGAGGATCAAGAAGTTCGAGACTATGACCGAATTAAATCCATTTTGCAGTTAGATGAGGGAAGATTGTGGAGGAAATTGCTGGCTGCTGTGGATGCGCTAGTTAATCGACGCTGGATTTTATTTGGGGACGAGGTGATAAGCTTTTAAATGTTTCTCATGAATAGACATACTTAAGACTTGAAGGATAGATGCCCATTATATGTATACATGTACAGACCACGGCTCCAAGCGTGGAAGGTGGTATAGGGTCATGGTTGCTGGTTTCACTTTTGGAGGGATGAATTGATGAGCCTTGGAACGAATTGGTGTATTTATTTCATCCAAGCAAAGAAATGCCGTGCCAAATCAGCGGCTTCTCTATTACCGTATAATCCTTTAACGGAAACTAATGTCCTTCAGCCATATCTGCACAAGAAAAATACAAAGGAGACGAAGAGAGAAGAACATAGATATAGCATCAACCCCGAATAAGAGTTACAGAATACATGTTACATATAAATCAAAGAGGATCAAGGCGGCACCGCTCGTGCCAGCAGACGAATGTTATCCACAAAGCCCTTGACCAGTTCTGGGTACTGGTGTTTAGGGTCCCCGCTCATGGCAAGTTGACCCTGGCGGCGAATTTCGGCGGCGGAGATTTCGACCTCAAGCTCGTGCTCGAAATCATTTTTTGTCGGAGGCTATTGATAAGGTCAGAAGACTGCATATGGCTGCACAGAACTGGGTGATGGGTAGTAGTGGACTTACTTCGGCCCTAGCGACTTGGGTCAAATCGACTTGGTAGGCTAAATGCCTGTAGCTCATGCGGTCTTTGTTTCGTTCTCCACGGCCTCCTTTGGACATGTTGACGACTGGCAGGCCCTGCACGTCACCCTCGTACTCCATTTCTAAATTCACGCTCACCCTCCAGTCGACAGTTGTACGGGGACTAGCCACATCTATATCGGCGATACGACATTTGACAATTTTCGCCAGGACTTCGCCGGTTCTTTGGTCTGTTGTCACCCGAACTTTGGGTTTGTGACGAGGGTTCAGATTTTGACGAATGATCGGGGGCAGATCGGCGGCCGAAACTTCGTAAAACGTGTCGCGCTCTTTTTTATGTGCGTATGAAATTGGGATGCGATCCGGGTTGTTATTCGGCATAGAAGCTTTGACCGCCTCGTTTAGGAAGTTGTTCATCGCGCGATGTTGCTCCTGTTGATGATTAGTTATGATAGGGATTATGTTAATCATTGGAAAGTGGACTTACGACGGTCATGCTGCTTTCAAATGATGTGCGAAAGCGCGGGCTATCACGATTGATGACGGTCTCGGTAAGTACCGGCAGCATGAGTCTTTCTCCCCGATCTATATCCATCACATGGCCTAATTTTGCCTCCACCTCGATGATTGCACCCTGTCCAGTGGCGGCAGAACCTGCTGGGCCCGCAGCCGCGTCATTTCTCATCACCACATGTTGGAACAAGAAATCGCAGAGAACCTTAGTGATCTCCTCCTCTGGAATGATATTGGCGATTGAAGGCTCCCATGGCCCCAAAAGGCCTGCAGTCTGGGGTGTGCTAGGCGCGGGCACAGACGCGGGCATGGTCGTAGGAGGTCCGTTAGTGCCTGGAGCTGGACCCAGTGTCCGAGAAGCAGATTTAGGAGTAACAGCCACGGCTACAGGTTCGCCCATAGTTGATCCTCGACGACTAGCCCACTGGGTTTCAAGCTCCCCCCTAGCATGCTTCGGAATGGACGGTCGCGGATTTAAGATTACAGGGCATTTGCCCTTGGTGCGAACGGTTCTTTGGGCATATATCGGAGGTTCGTTGTAGCGTCGTCGCTTGGGCTTTGGTGGCTGAATCGATACGGACTGGCCTGGTTCATGATCAACCTCCATCTTTAAAGGATGGGACCCACTTCGGGGAGCTGATGGTGAACTGCTCATCGGCGGGTTGGCTGTTGCAATGGATGAAGCGCGTGATTCTGTACCCGGCACAGGATGAGATGGTACCGTAGGACTCTCACTCCACTTGTTGTCAGGTGGGGCAGCCCCCATGGAATCTGAGGTAGCTGCTGGGCTTGTGCGTCGAGGAGCCTTGGGGCTGGCGACCTCGGATAACTCTCGTTGCAGTCCCCTTGGAGAAAAATGAGGCGTGTGTTCTGAAGGTCGAGAGCTGGGAGAGAGCTGACGTTGTCTTGATGGCGATGAAAGTTGTGTGGGGTCTCGTGCTAGGGAGTCCTGCCTAGGCCGGGGACTGGACAGAAGGTTACGCGGAGAATCGTGACCGGAAGATTGTGGGCGCGCCGACGAGGGAGATTGACGCGACACAAAGGGAGGCGGGGGAGCTAGTGGAGTTCCCGGTACTGAACGCTGTGCGGAAGGAGAAAATTGATGCGACGAATGAGGTTGGGCGGTAGAGGGAGGGCTGTCTCGATTGAGCGGGGCCGGGTTAGCCATGATGTTATGAAGGGAGTGAGAGCGTTGCTGGGCGAAATATGATGTCGCTTCGTTCTGCTGGATTCCCGCGCTCATGGGTTGCTGCGGTGTATATGGCGAGGCTAAGGGGCCCGCGACGTGTTGCGGATGCGAATTGTACGCCGACGCACCGTATGGGTCACGCGCCCCGGAACCATATGGCGTGGAGACATTTGTAGGACTCTGGGTCATTTGAGAGGGCACAGCTGTATTTAGGGGTGGAGGTGCCGCGTTGAACTGTTGGTATGGCGATTGGGTAGATCCATAAGACGAAGATCGTTCAGGCGAGGCATGCTGTATATGTTGCAATGGAGGCTGTGGGGGACGCGCCGGATACTCTGGATAGGCAGACTGTGTGCGCTGCTTCTGAGATAACTCAGATGGAGGACTAGAGGACTGGTTGGCCGGCGGCACATTGGATTTGGCGCCGCCGCCGTCGTTATTCATGATGGTGCGCAAATCCATGGCGATAGGCATTCGAAACGGTCGCAACCACGGCCACCGGGCGCAGAAAGGTTTATCGGAAAGCGTATAGAGGCAATTGCGACATTCAGACGACGATACGAGGGGCCGTGAGAGATGGAGGTGGTGGAAGACTCAATGCGTGGCAGAACAAAGAGGGAAGGGAGAGAAGTTCGAAGTTCCGCGCTGCGGATCGCTCGAATCAGGGAGCTTTGGGGATCATCGCCGCTTCGGGGAAGTAGAATTGTCGCAAAAATTAACGGGCTAGCTTATGCTTAGTTTATAGACACATAGTTAGGCTATGTAGCATTAGTATTTTGTCTAAGCAAAATCGATGTTGGCAAGCTTTTGTGTGGTGATTGGAGCTCCTATCCTCCATATAGTAGGTACAAGTAGTATAAGAACGAAGAGCTGAATTAGCGTGGTTACCTGCGAGGCTTCTTATCTACATGAAATGGGATACTAAGTAAATTTTCAAACCGCTCATACATTTGATAGTAAACTTGAGCAATATATTTCTTTCAAACTGCGCCTCTTCATCATAATCCTAGCCTTGACAACACTTTTTTTAAAGGCTGAGAATACCCAGGCAGAAGCTTCGACAAAAGGCCACAGTGGAATCTCAGTTTATCACGTGACCAATGAGTCATCATCATCTTTCGAGAAAATGAGAATTGCTAATACCACCCCTCAAATGGCTAAACCCACCCCTTCTAAGCTCACCGCCGTATTTGTAATACCACGAGGCACAAAGGCATCAATTTTCTGCCGGCAGCATGAATACGGTCCAGAATTAAATTAAATCTCCACGTAAAAAGCTTCCATTTTACCACACATTTAACGACATTTAATATGCAAGCAAGTTATCTCATTCCAAGCTTAACCTAAAGAGGAAACAGGGGCTGATTTTAAAAACACCGGAAAATGCATTTTCAGTCGAATTAACTGGCAAATCTGTTGATCTGCGGACATCCAGGCCTTTTATGCCCCTCCACGCCCCAATTTCCACACGTATCGGGTCTCCTCCGCGATTGCTGAGTTGCTGGCTGCTGTGAGCCTTGTTGGGACCATTGCTCATAAAACTCACGATCTACAGCATCTTCAACGGCACCTAGCTGCTCCCATAAGCTTGGGATCCGCCTGGACCTCGCCTGACCGCCCATTTTAAATTACACCGCCTTGTTAAGGGCTCATATTACAAATACGGCAGAATTTCCCAAAGCGGCTTAGAAGGGGTGGGTTTAGCCATTTGAGGGGTGGTATTAGCAATTCTCGAGAAAATTATTGATGCCATAAATATAAGGCACTAAGGCAGCAAGGCCGATATTCCGAGCTATGCAACAACAAATCAACAAGTTTACTGTTGAACAATCTGAAATTGAGCAAACATCGATTCCAAGTGCGACAAACTGACTATGTAAAACAACGATGTCAGCAATCTGAATTATAATAGTGTTTCAAGATCGCATTCGGTTCAAGTCTATCCGACCCCGAGTTCTCGGGTGGATCCTGCTATCCGAGCCCAACAAACCTATGTATAAAACACGTCTCAAAAAGATCTAAATGTTAGAGATATTTTCAAAACACTAATTCACAACAATATCAAAATGACAAAAATAAAGACCAGAATCGTTACCTCAACTGAAGGTACCCAAATCTGGGCCGAATGAACAGGAGACTTCGCCAAGCCTGCTAGTCTTTCTTCCTGGTTTTGGTTTCTCTTCTATAGCCTTCGAGAAACAATTCAGCGATACAAAGCTACAAGAGAATCTTCATCTGGTATGATATATTAGACCGAAAATCTTATTAACAAAGTGATACTAACAATACCCGTTAGGTCAGATACGATTGTCGAGGTCATGCTCGTAGCGATCATCCAACCCGAGATAATGCTTATACTTCAAACTGCATGGCCGAGGACCTTAAGGCCGCCTGCGAAGCGCTCTAAATTACTCGCCCTGTTTTAGCTGGATGGTACGTTGTACATAGTATCTGATATGATGGATGGATGCAACCTTGCCAATGTCTCTATAAGGTAACTATGCGGTAGGCATATGCGGTTTCACTTTGCTGACTATCACGAGCAGGAGCTACGGTGGAACCATTGGCTCTGACATCTGCGAGCATCTTGAAGCGGAGTATCTTGCTGGAATCATCTATTTAAGTGGTGTGCCCTATATTTCGGCTTTCATGGAACTTGGCACCGGGCTAATGGGACCGACATTCCCACACGCTGTCCAATCCAAATTCTAGTGCTACTGGGCTTTCAGAAGCCATAGTCTTCGTGGTGAAAACATGTGTTTCTGACAAGTATCAGATACCGATTGGGACAGAGTGGTTATGGCGTAGTATATTTCTCTCGCAGGTATGGTTGAGATCATTTCGATGCAAGCGATATCCTTCGTGGTTGAGGCTAATAGAACTTCATTAGAATCCTCGTGTTCGTCCCCTGCGTGTGAGCAAAGAACGGGACTCCACCAACCTTCTTGCTGCTGGGGCCAAGCTTCCTATATGTATTATTCATGGGGTGGATGATAAGCATCTGAGCGTGCACAAGATGGAGGAATTTGTCAGGGCCAAATTTGAGCATGCCGAATTTCATGCTGTCGATGGCGCGGGTCATATGAGCTTTTATGAATGTCCTGAGAAGGTGAATGGGGTGGTTCTCAATTTTATGCTTCATGTCGATGCATACTAGCCAGCATTCAATTGACCAACGTTATATGTTAGTTCTATGGGTTAAGAAAGGATTTCTTTCGATGAGTTACTATGTAGGTTATTTCGAGAAAATTAGTCGACCTTATGATGAAGAGAGCTTATTGTTGGACTCCGCCCGAGTCAGTTCTCTCAAGTTGGTCAATTTCGATATGAACGATGGTTAGTACTAGTATATCATTAAATTCTATCTTTAATAATCACCCCTTTGATATTCAACTTGTTATTAGCAACCTTTGTAGAATGAAAGGGTGGCAGGGAAGATGGCCACAAAGAAAGAAGCTTATGTAGGACGAAAAATAGACGAAAAGTCAGAATATCCATGGAATTTTTGTTTTGCTCCCTATCACCGAAGTCGTCAAGTCTAAACCGCCAAGTAAAATCGAGAGTCACATATAATAGAAAAAAGGGCGAGACATGACAGTGGAGAAGAGGGATGCGCTAGAAAACCAGATTTCCAGTGTATCGTTCATTTATTCATTCACTCGTGCCAAATCAAAGTATATCGCGATGATTCCATCCATCATTCCAGGGCTCCGGTCCACTAATTCAAATCGTAAATCCAATCGGATCGAGTGGTCCCACAGGGCCAGCTGATTTAGGTCTGCGCAGCATACGCAAAATGAAAGGGGTTATGCGCGAGGGGCAGAAGCCAGGAAAAGCCGTTGCCTAGCGTTGATAAATGGAGATAGGGGAAGTTGAAAAGTGGAAGAAATGCAGAGCCTCTGGGACCAAGATCCCAAGGCTGATGGAGATTGGGAGATTAAAACCATCTAATGCAGTCGGATATTGGAGAAGAAAGCAGATCTCGGAGTACTCGAAATGTTAAGGTATAAAAAACAACAAAGAAAACAGCACGTGAACAATAAGAGTTGAGCATAATAGAGGAGGATGGCCCCCAAGGCTAGATTTTCCATAATTTTTATGCTTCATACCTTGTAAATTCGGGTTCGGTTTTATAATGAGACTCCCCAAATACCGCGTCCACCGCAAACGCCGAGCCATTCTCGTGGATTGCCTGAGTGGTTGGATCCGCCTTGTGGCGACCAGCTAATATTGGAGATTTCATAATCGCATTGCCAGGCAGCAGCTGGGCCACGCTCAGTAGTGGTTTGGGAGCCTGGGGTAGTGCCGGGTTGCGAAAGAGGCACGGCATTATGCTGATTAATGAGGTCCCATAGGAGAACCAGACTGTCATCGCCACCGGAAGCCAGATGACCACGTCGGCTTGGAGACCATTCAACACAGTTGAGGGCAGCAGAGTGACCTTTCAATTCGAGCAAGGCTTGACCAGGTTGTCGTACATCAAGAACGCGTACAACACTTGAATCTTGGGAAAATGTGGCTAGGAGATGCGCATCATGGGGAGATGCTGGAAATGATGGTGAGATGATTGTCATAAACGAAGAAAAATAGATCGCAAACTCGTACCTGCAATTCTCAGTAATGGCGGAGGCCATGACCCTGCTTGTGATGGGCCAGATGGACTAGCATTGCCGGGGCTCATCACCGCTATTTGTTTTTAGTATCCAAGTTGGTAAATTTTGGGCGAAAAACTCTTGGAATTATACATACGCTTAACTTCGGTTTTATCAGATGGCTCATAAATAATGGTGCTGTGCTCTAGGCTTCGCAAATCAAACATGCGCACGCTGCCATCGGCTCCACAGCTCACAAAGACATCGACACTGTTGGCACAGAATCTGACATCAAAGACCTCCTTATCGTGGGCGATCAATTGAGTTTTAGCTGTCAACGTGGGAATGTCCCAGATTGTGCAAGTCGTGTCGATACTGGAAGTGATGATCAGACTAGGAGATATGGTATTCCAGTCCAATGAAGTGATTGGAGCAGTATGCTCAGGAGACTTTGAATTAGAAAGCAGTGCCAGTGGTGATAGCTTGGAGGTAGGGGCTTGGGTAGGAGGCCTTGTGATCGTATTTGAACTGGGTACCGGCTGAGAGCTGGGAAGTGACCAGAGACGAAGATGATCACCGGAGGTGGCAAGTAAATCAGTAGACTGCTTTTGAGATGAAGGTGGCTCCCAAAGAATACGTGTAACTGGATAGGAGTGTGTTGCTTCGGCCGTTTTAACATATTCGAGTTTAATCTCCCCTGCTGCCGCATCTGGCGTATCAGGGTCGGGCTGAGCCCAATGCGTATCAACAATTTGGATCTATGGCGACTGTTAGTGTCAACGGGTTTATTCTCATCTTAGGGGATGTGCGAACATAGTTGTGATTGTCTTCTAGGTAGCTGCCCAGGGCCAACTTGCCCCCAAATGAGCTCGAGCTCCCTGAGATTGGCCATTTACACCAATCAACAGCGTAGATAGGCCATGGTGCCACATAATTGCTGTTGGTGGGCACATGGGAATCACCATTGTATGGAAGCGAGCCTGGGCTCATAAGCGAGTCTCCAAGAAGATGGTCACCAGGTAGGCGAACGTCCGCGAGACCCAGCGGCGAATATTTGGACCCTTGCGGGGTTTGTGGTGGATATCCTGCTCCCGGGGAGGTGGGATATTTGGAACCCTCTGGGGCACCGTGTTGTCTGTACATCGATTGGTCGAATCCAGCGGGGCTGGATCGAGAGTGACCGTGAGTGTTAATCATGCTTGAACGATGGTTGGTTTGCTGCGACGCTGGCTGCTGCATGGTGGGGACGACGGTCGGAGCTGTATTGATTGAGACGGCTGGGGGCCGATTCTGACCTCCCGCAGTCAAGGCACCTGGGAGAGTGTTATTGCTATTTCCACTGCTACCCCCGTACTGTAAAGACTGCGAGGACGATTGCACATTGATCGAAGGGACCTGGGTCGCGCCTGCACCTGTGTCTGGAGTCGTGGGGTAGTCATGGGAGGGAGGCTGACGGGACAAGTTAGGATTGATCAGACCCGTAGATGGGATATGCAGTTCTTCTGGCTGGCGAGCAAACACCGCAGACCGTCGAGGGGAATCGAAGGAGGGATTGGACATGGTGTGGAGGACGGGTGTCCAGGGCGTTTAGGGGATGCTGGTTTTGGATGGGCCTTAGCTCCACTCCCCCTTGGAACTAAGAAGCCTAGCAGATGTCCCTAAGATGTCAGTAAGCTCCACAAGCTTCACAAGAAGCTTCCAAAGCGCTATGGTGGAAGCAGTGAGGATGGAATTGTCGCAACATCATGAGGGATTCGACTTGGAGCTGGGGGTGCCCGCGCTGAGTCAGCCACCGGGTTAACACTCCCGCTCTTTCTTTATTTGGTGAAATACAATGGGCTGCTTGTCTCTTGTCTCTTGTTCTTCTTTCATTCAATTGTTTCTTCTTGACGAGGTCTAAATCCATTCTCAAAGGATAGCTGTCTTGTTCCTTACCATCGAATACCGCTGCAGTCATGTCATCTCAACAAAATTCCGTTTCTGCACTTTTATTGTTACCCCCGCCTCAGTCTTTCTCCTTCAGTGGGGTCAAGGAGGCATTCGAGACCTCGGTATCCGATGTCTTGATGAAGTTGTACAAAACCGTGGAAAATTCCAGTCATATTGCCAAACTTGACATTGCCTTGGCAATTTCAAACGTGCTCGCTCCAGAAAACACACCTCGTACCAAAACATTTGCCTCATTACAACATTATCTTAGCAGCATTTATACTTTGATTGGGGCGGTGGGGACTGCTCAAAGCATCGATCTGGACTCGCCTGGTGGCATCGATACTCGTGTGATATTCATTGATCATACCTCTTCCATTACTACAACCAATTCCCAGACCAGCAATGGCTCCAAGATTGGACCCATCTTATCCCTGCAATCACTGGCAACCTCGGCCCGACAATGGGACCATGTGTTCCATCTAAACAACCAAATCGGCCGGGATTTGGGCAATCTTTTTCTTAATAGCACCAGTGGTTCGTCTAAAGATCACACCGCATCAGTCATGCAGATGATCTCCTGCAGCGGAGACTGGCCGGCTCCACAATCCATCTTGATCCCTGAGGACCAGCCAAACCCAGTGCCCCACTACTCAGTTGCGGTGGGAGGGACATTCGATCATCTTCACATTGGTCACAAACTCCTGCTCACGGCTACCGCACTAGCCTTAGAGCCGCTAGACCAAACTAATCAAGATCGGGGGAGGATCCTGACAGTCGGTGTGACTGGTGACGCACTGCTGGTGAACAAAAAATTTGCCGAGTATTTAGAAAGCTGGGAGGATCGATTCCAGAGCACCGCAGCCTTTCTAGCGGCCATTATGGATTTCTCGGGTAATCCATCGCCCCGAGTTGAACGCAGCTCGACATCTGATGGCAAGGGGCAAGTGGCGGCCATACATATTCAACCAGGTCTGATCTATAGGTTCGTGGAGTTTTTCGATGTTTGTGGACCCACGATCACCGATGAAAACATCAGTGCGTTGGTAGTGTCCAAGGAGACGTCAGCTGGAGGCGCTATGGTCAATGACGAACGGGCCAAGAAAGGATGGTCCAAACTTGCTATCTTTGAAGTGGACGTACTTCAGTCGGGAGAAGTCAAGGAAACAGTAGGTGCCAACCAATTTGAGGGCAAAATTAGCAGCACAGACATTCGACGTCGGCGCATGAACCGGGCCAAAGTATGAGAAATTTGGGAAATTTGGAATTGTAGAAATGGGGCCAGAGGATTAGGGATGGGAAATTTTAAACCTGTAGATTTTTTTTTCGGCTTTTCCTTTTTTTTTCTCCCCAATCACTATTACTTTGAGATTTCGGCCAATTTCCCCCCAATGGTGGTGATGGTGGCTTCTCCACCATACGCGAGTCTGTCACTCTGCAGAGATGTGACAAGTGAAGCGGGGCCTGCATTGGCTTGGAGGTGGAGGGGGAGCGAGGGCGTCTCTGACCTCACCAAAAGGCCCCTGTAGCATACAAGATGAAACCACCCAACCACCACCTCACGGAACACGACTCGCTCTCCGCTGCTCCAGTTGTTTCTGCAGGTCTACGCTGTTTCGCAATGGCTGGCCGCAGCCTGGATCAATCATGTGATTGGCGTGGGAGAGCGTCACCAATGAAACCAACAAGATCATGATGCAGAGGCCCGGGGCCTGTCAGCACCCAAGCGCGCTATGCCAGGGTCCTGTTGATCATCCCGGTCGCGCCGGATTGTTAGGGCGAGAACAGTCGCCATGCGTCCATGGTGAGACAGGAATCCGTCGAACGAGTCCATTTTCTACCTTTAGACTTGCTGTGCCTTTTTCTTTTTCTTTTTTAATTACCCATTCGTCTTCCGTTTCCCATCTGCTTATTTTAGCTTCTGGTCTTGTTTCCCCCCCTTCGTTTATAGTGGAACTGGTGCCCCCTCAATCGTGCATCCACAAATGATTATCCCTTGTGCCGGTCTATAAGGCTCGGTACAGAGCTTCTTCTTGAATTTTTTTCTCCTCTTCCATGTCGCTGTCACTCGCACAAGCAGCCGAGAAGTCGGCTGCAAAACACCGATCATGGACCAGCCACGCCGTATTCAGGACCTCGCAGATGAACTGTTGAATGAAATCCTGGCCTGTTTATTAGAGCCGGGATCACGACCTCTGAACGGTAAATTCTATCTCAGCAAAAATCAAAGTAATGGACATGAGGAGTATCGAGATTTTGAATATGGGGAATCGTCGGACTTGGACCGCTTCCGTCTGGTGTGTAAACGTTTCATGCGAATCGGAACACCTCGAAAGTTCTCCCGCTTCAATTTGCGATTTTCAGAAGATGGCTTTCGGCGACTGGCTGAGCTGCTGGCGATGCAGCGAGCCCACTATGTGAAAACTGTGACATACCTCGTGCGACCTTTCTATCAAGGCAGTGGTAACGAATATTCTTACCGCCGTAAGGCTTGTGAAAATGGACAATAATCGGCTAACAACATCGCACAGGTTGGACACCAATATTACAATCGCTCAGTTTTAAAGATCGTGCGCTCGCAGAAGTACACATCCAGCGACTGCGCCAACAGACCAAACTGGTTGAAACAAACTTCGACCTTACCCAACTTTGCCTAGGGATGGCGGCATTTTCAGCTCTTCAAGAAATCAAGCTACTTCGTCTTCAAGACGAAGCCGACGAGAATCTACTGGATTTTATTCGTGACCAATCCATTCGTAATGCTGAGGATATGAACTCCAGCACGGTCTGTTTTGATTGGGGATCAGCATGTTCTCGTGCAGTAACAAATCTTGGCATTGCTCTATTGAATTCCCAATGTACTGCAATCCGATTTATTGGTCCTCAAATCAGCCCCGAAGCGACTTTACAGCTCCTAAGAGCACCATCTACTACTCTTGCCGCAATGGGCACCCGTCTCACAAGTCTTGATATCAATTTCCATTCGAATACCGATCTTACAGCAACCATGTCCGACCTGTCTACTGTTTTTCGTCGCTTCTTCCTCGAAGCCAAATCTCTTGTCGCCATACACATCGGATTTCCAACTAAAGCTCCTCTAGATCTGGACCTTGAATCCATTTTCCATAATGTTCGCTGGAAAACTCTCAGGACCCTTAGCTTACAGGGCTGGCGTCTCCATGCAGATGAGATTATCTCCTTACTCCGGCGCCATCGCAAACAGCTTCGCGACTTCCGGCTCTGCGCCGTTTATCTCCGCCCCTGGGGACTATGGAAGAATGTACTTAACGTCCTTCGCGAGGAAATGGAGAGGCTAGACCGGGTAGATCTCCGCGAAATCGACTATACGGATCACTTTGACGCACTATCTCAAGCAAATGGTATTGAAGTCTTCGACATGCCAATTTCAGCAGCTGTTCCCTCATCGTTATCAGTTGCGGCGGGCACGGATTTTCCAGACCAGTCCATTTTTACGCCAGGGGTTGGATCTGGTTTTGGCTTTTCGCCAGTCATGCCGACGAGGCGATTACCTTTACGTCCTGGATCGCTGGAGAAAATACGCGGCCTTTCTCAAGACGATCTTGGTGACAATGGGGCATTTGTTCCGAGGGAAGAGTTACAACTATGGTCTGCTTGGGTTTTATCTGGAGCACAGCGTGGTGGGCAGCGCAGCAATGGGAACGGAAATGGAAATGGCCATTTCAACGCCTATCATATTTGAATTGAGCCAATCTGCACCGAAAGCATATATACCCAAACTATGAGAATCAGAATCAGATGTGCGATAGGAAGATACGGATATCATGATACGAGGTGGACGAACATTCAGTGATCAGGACCGGAGTTGGAGGCTGTTTCAATTCATTTACGCGTCAATGTATCTATCTCCTTTTTTTCCTTTTTCGTGTTCCTGAGCCTTGTCTTTCTATTATGATTGCATTTGAAGCCTGTCTTGCATGCTAATTTCAATCACCTGAGCGTGGAAGGATGCATTGAATGGATCAATATCAACATTTACTCCTAACAAACTTCCATTCAAGTCCAATCTGGTATCATCATAGCCTGGGCCTATCATACAACTCGAAACATGCTCTCGTTCATGCAAAAGCCAATTTTGGTCAAATAAGGATAAAAGATAAGAAAAGGTCAAGAATAAACAGAGCCTCCTGGTAAGGTAGGTAGAAAAGGGTATCAGTCACCAATCATACATAACAATCCTCCCACCTCCCACCCTCTCTCGCAAAACTCAACGCCCTAACAAAATCATCTCGTTTACACCTCCCCACCTCATCAACATCACACCCACTCAACGGAACAACCCGGTCATTAACCAAAATCCTGACCAAAGGCTGCTCACCACCACAATCCATCATCTCAAAATATGCCCTGGCACCAAACGGCACAGTCCAAGAAGCAGAATATCCATCCGCCCTCTCAAAAGACTGTACGTGATTCTTCGGCAAAGGCGCCGTCCCGTTATACAGTCCCAACGCAAAATAAATAGATATAAGCCCGTTATCATGCGTGAAGTCCGCATAGATAGCCTTGTCAAGAGGGAAAGTAGAGCGTTTCGAATCCAAAGTCCGATTCGTCGTCGTATGGTCTCTAACAGGGGTATGTGTCATTCGTGCAATGAGCTCGTTGACAAATCCCACGCCTTGTGTAGGTCCAAGGGGATTCCCAGCACCGTACCCATAGTACTTTGAGAGAGATTGGTAGTAGCTGTATTCTTTCCACTCTAATGCTGTGAAGAGCGCACAGAACGCAGACTTTGTCGAACCATCCGGTGTATCGGAGACGGTGTTAAACGCGCACAGATCCATCAGATATGTAACATCATCCAATGAGAGAGATGTTCCTGGGAGAAGGGACTGAAGACGAGATTGAATAGCCGGTACAAAGATAGCGGTATAGTTATCTTCAACTTTATCGCCGAGAGAACTTTTCTCGAAAGCAGGACATGTATTGTGATTCAATGTGTTGTTTGAACCTGTGTCTTCGGAGATAACCACATTGATTTTCGGCGAAGATTGAGATAAAGCGTTTTTATCGTGCTTTTTGCTTTTTTGAAATCCTTCAATGAAGAACTGGCCTGATTCAACGACGCGGGAAGATCCAGAGGCTCGAATGAATGGAATGTTGTTTCGGGATAGAGACTCGTAGCGAGAATAGAATTTGATTCCGGAGTTTACCATTTGGATCTCGCCGAAGGTGGTCAGATCGTCGCTTCCAAGTGTGTAGTTGTATGTTTTTAGGAATGAGGCTTTTCCTTTGTAGGCGGTGGCATTTGCTTGGATGTCCTGGATGAGCTGTGCGTATTTCTCGCTCTTGGATGCAGTTGGGTATCTGGCGCCGTGGCGGGATAGAACCTGTACAAATGTGATGTTGCATTGCTGTGGAACTGCGTCCGAGATGCTTGAAATAGAGCTAGAACGAGAAGTAGAGCTCAAATCATTGTCGGCCAGTGAGAAGTAGGGCGAGTACTGGCCCCAGCTGTGAGAGAGATCTGCGAAACATTGATATCCGTCCTGGATACTGTTGCAAGGGCGTGGGGGGTGTGTCACTTGTTTGCGGGACCTATACGACGCAACCGGTGGTTGGTCAGGTTTTCCATTCCTAGACACAGATGCAGGTACAGATTCAAGCATAGATGAGGACTCGTACCCGTTTTTTAGGGTGAGTGCTAGAGCTATAGCACTGATGAGAGCTGTTAGGAGGGCAACGATGCGGAAGGCTTTCGCTTTGGGGGAGATTGATTTGAGAAGTGGTGCATCGGGTCTTTCTCCCAGAAGACATTCTTCTTCCGGGATGCTGTGGATTGGGTTGTTTTTGTACCCCGCCATTTTTTTGGTGAGGTTCGTTTGAAGGAAGGGATGGTGGTGATGTCAGTACTTCTAGTCCCCCATCAATGGAGAAGAAGAGCAGAGAATGAGATGATTCAATGAAGGAGAGAGAATGAAGAATGAGAACGGGAATTTATTCATGTTAAACTCGAAGATAAAAAAGATAATCAAGGCACGCGAGTGCAATTCGGGTACACAAGGGGAGTTTTGATTAGGTCCAGGACTATTCAGGCCAGCTCGTGAGCTGATGCTGTTCGCTGATTGGTGCGTCAGTGGCGGCACGTGGGTGGAAGGAAAGACGGGTATAAGGTGTGTACATGAGTGGTACCTCTTTAAGTTACGTACAGCACATATATAGGTAAAGTACCATCCATGTATATCAGCTCCACCCACGTCAACTTACCCCATACCTCTATCAGGCCTAGTGCACTAAGTAGAGTACGTACCTAGTCGAAGTAGACTATGCTCAACATCACTTGACTGCTTCATTCCTTGTTTCGCTCTATATATCCGCTACAATTAATTAACCTCCTAAATTCCAGAGCAAATAGAGACTCAGCAATGTTATGCACTCACCTGCACCAGACCAGTCTTCCATACTTATCACCACAGACACATATTCACGCTCACCGCCAGTCGCACAATGCTGAGAAATGCTGAATCTCACTCCACATCATCTTCCTCTAACTTACAAGCAATTTCCTAGTAGTTTATCAGATTATTACTAGTAGTAAAAAAAAATAGTGTCATCTGAATAATAATGAGTCACAAATATATTAAAAAGAGACAGAGGTCCATTAGGCTCAAACCGAGACACTCAGTTGATCCCGCGGTAGCTGCCAAGGGCCGATCACAAGAGCCGTTAGCTTTTGGTAGATCAACACCGAAGCAAGGGGGGAAAATACGCCCATTATGAAGCTCGGAGTACATATACCCCTCCCCACGGAATAAACACCCGCGAGTTGGACAATGAATAGTCCAAGGCTATACAGGTCGAACGTGATCAATCAACGTAGGATCGTAAGATCGGTAACGGTCGCAAACACCAAAATGCATCGGGCCCACGCAGGCGTGCCGGATCCGAGTTCAAGCCGATACAATGTGATATATCCATCCGTGAAACTGTGGATCAGTATCAATCCTATCGAGTCTTCTCGGCCCCCGCGGAGATGAACAGAATCGATGGATCCCGACCCCCGGGGCCGCAAAAGGCCTATACTGTAACATTTGAACTCTGCCAAAGTGCCCAGGTGTGGATCATGATCCACCGCATTCAAGGTTAATATAGACCATTGCAGCGCCACCTGCGCGCAAAATGCGGCTAATTGAAGGGGAAATTCATAGATCGAGAGATCATCGCAGTTATCATGCCAAAGACACAATAGACGTTCGGAGCCCTGGAGTTGAAATAAAAAATAAATTAAAAGATTTGTTGATAAGGATCAGGATATTGATTGAGATTGGTTCTATGCTCCACATCACATTGCGCCTGTAAATGTAAATGAATATTCGGAAAAGAAGAATAATAACACAGAAACAGAAAGCCTTCCAATATTTGCGAACCATTCGAAGTATCATCACTGCGGAGCTCCGGGCACCAGGAGATCCAGATCCACTCCTTGAATCAACATAATCAATGATCGACAGATCGGGAGAAAGTGGGTAGCATTTGACAATGGAAGGAAGATAGATAGAAACGACTTTTTATTGGACTCATAGGGGCAGAGCAGTCACCAGCAATGTAGGTAGTAAATGTAAATAGCGATGAGAGGGCAAGGGGGTATTGAGATAGCACAAGACGAAAGAAATAAAGAAAAGGAATAAAAAAGCACAACAATGCATCGGCCACAAATGCAAGTTTTCCACCGAGCCAGATCATCTGGTCAAGGCGATCTGAAAAAGGAAAAATAAAAGAAATAAACCAATTATTGTTATGGCACCCGCTGTAACTCCCACAACATTCACTAGTTGTAACAGTCAAACCAGTGACTGTACCCAGATATGCTTTGAAACAAAGGCAGTAGAAAGATGAACAGAGATAGGAGATAGGAGGACTATGATAGAGGGAGATAGATATGCACGGTGAAAAAAAAAATAGAAAACAGCGTCCTTACTCAATAATTGCTTTCGGGCACCGAGCTATTGTCGAGACCAAGACCCTTGAAACGGAGGTAAAGGTCCTCCAGAAACAGGCAGCGCAGAAGAACCCGCATCACTACCAATAGCCCTCGGCATAGGTTCCTGCGGTACAGCGGCACATGGCACCGGAGTTCCGGGCCAACTAGCCTGCGGCCTAGATGTAGACTGCTCACCAGGCGCAGATCTCACCGCATCCCCACCAGACCAAGTGGGTGTAGGAGCTGTCTCCATTACCGGAGTGGGGAGTAATGGAGCAGGAATAACAGAAGAAGAACGGGGCGACGTTGGCCGAGGAGGTACTTGGCTAAGAGACATTGAGCGGCCGAGGTAATCACGGAAGAAATCACGCTCAGATCTATAGTGATCGCGTTGTTGGAGGAGGGAGCGGATTTCTTCGCTTTGGCGACGAATCTCGTCTTGTTGTGAGGTTAGCCGTTGCTCGAGCTGCATTTCATTGCGCTTGCGGTTGCGGAAACGGCGTGATGCGTCGCTGTTTGCTTTGCGTTTTTCGGCTTGGCTTGTTGAGCCGGATTTTAGATCTAGTACGCAGGGTATTAGACCTGGTAGGGAGGATGTGCTTCCTGGTGTGCTGGGGCCGGCACTTTGTGCTTGGCTTGATGCTGCAGGTGCGGGTGCGGTTGTTTGTTCTTCGATGCTGCGAGGTGGTGCTACTGCAGGTGTCCCACGGGTGAGAGTTTCCATTGTCATGTAAGGTGTTGATGCTGTGGAGTATGAAGCTGGACTTGGTGCAATCGAGACGTTTGCTATGGCTGGCGAAGCACGTCCAAACTGGCTGTATGTTGAATGTGGACTGGTGGGACTTGCTTCTTGGGATGTGGGCTTTGTCAATGGTGCAGGGCCAGCGCTGGTACGTCTGGCGTGAATGCTGGGTGTAGAGTGCAATGGACCTGCCACAGGAGGCAGTGTACCGGGCATTGCGGCAAGAGGACGTAGTGGTTGATTTGGAAGAGGCGAGCTCACTGGCTGGCGTAAGCCTAAAGAAGATTCATGAGGAACTAGAGGAGATTGAGAGACGCTCGATTGCCCGCTCCTTCCTCCACCAACAAATCGCGCCGATGGCGAACCAGGATTCATCAAAGGTCGTCCGGCCGACCTGGGAGATAATGGATGCTGCATGATAGAATTCATAGGGCGAATAGCAGGTGAAGAACCCTTTCGGGCTCGAGGGGATGCTGCTCTTGATGCACTTCGTGAACCAATACCACTATTGATGGCCGCCTCCATTGTTGTTTGAGCAGGCGGATTCAAGATGGAGTGCACGCCTATAGACCTCGAAGAAGACGCTTCAAAAGGAGGCTCCACTGGACCGTATGGGTGCCAGGACTGTGGTCGAGCTCGTAGTGATGGTCGACGAGATTGAAGGTTGCCTACAGGACCATGCTCATTGTCAATCGCACTGCGGTCTTGAATCGCATGGTCGGACAAAGGAGCTGCCCGTAGAGATTCCGACATAGACGGATCTCCTGCAATCACTTGGGAGTTAGGGCATGACCGATTCCCCCCTCTCTCGTAGTCAATGGGGCGCTCACGAGTAGAGTGAGAGAGGGAGGACTTAGGGTAATGATGACCCTCTGGGTAATGCGACAGCTTTGAGGTACGGGGCGGCCCGGGATAAGGCGCAGTCAACACGCTCAGCCCGAGAGTAGCCACGATGAAGGGAGGAAGAAAAAGAGGGATAGAGAGAGCACAAGAGTTTATAGATGAATCGAATAGACAAAACGATAGATGCACACGCAAGATTGAAAAGTGGTGGGATCAATCAATGTACACCTAATGCACGAGAGTGTCGATCAAGATGTAATCGAGGCTGGAAAGTGGATGTTATACGGAGCAAGCCGGTGGCAGATCAATATTTGGAAAGCTTTTCCACGACCTATTGAGGTCAATGCTAGAATGAAGCGACGGGAGTGTATAAGGTCCGTGATCAGATCCAACGACACATGTGGATGTATAGGCAAAAGCGACCCGAGGCCCGTTCAGGGTGTTCGTGATTCAAGGGGAAAAGATAGTAAATTTCAAGAGGCCAAAGCATAGCAAGGGAAAATAAAGAGGGAAAAAACCAGGTGAAGTTGGAATTAATAAGAGACCGTTGAGATCCAGCGGTGAGAGAGGGATCCATTGATCCATCATCTCGGGGGTCTCGATGGTCTAAGACAGAAAAGAAAGTTGTTGTCCGACCCAGAATATCGGGTGTTGGGCAGGATCGCCCTGGAATCTCTACGGGTTTGGGGTTTGGGACTTGGGGATTAAATTATTATTCTTATTGGGATTTTTGAAATGAATTAAATAAATAAAAAATATGGGAATATTCAAATCGGATTTCTGTTATTATCATTATTTTCACGATTATCATTGGGGGACGATGGGGAGAAATTGGCCTGAGAACCTTATAGGTTTAGGACAGTACTTCGTACTCGTGCTGGGGAGATAGGTAAGATCAATGCTCCCAAGAAAACAGAGTAATTTCATTAAAAGAAAAAATTAAAAACCAAAAAACCAAAAAAAAATAAACGAGAAAAAAAGACAAAAAGACAAGTGGAGAGGTACAAATGATTCACCTTAACCTATGATGTCCATCTCGTGCGTAGTGGAGAAATGAGAAAGGGGATTGAGTATAGTATGTGATGGGCCCTGAGAGCCAAACGCTGCCTGAAAAAGTTGATTTCATTCTCCACTAGTAATAGATTTCCTTTTATTTCATTTTTAATTTCTAGAATATTTTGATTTACGATTTATTACTCATGTACTGAATGTACGGAGTACGGTACACTTATTTCCGGCAAGAAAGCACTAACTGCCCGGGGAACCAACCAGCGATCACCGTCATGTCCAGCACGAATCATCGAATCATTGGCCGATGGGACTGGGGAGCTGCAAGTGCGCAAGTGCCGTCACCATGGACTTGGACAAGGGACGGGTGGAGCCTTCTTTTGGGCTAGCAATGGTGGATTTCCACTTTGGGCGCTTGCTACTTTTTTATTATTTCCTATGCTTCTCTCGCTTGTCATGACATACTCACCAATATAGAATAGAATTCTCGCTCTCGCTTCAAACGTGGATCATTTGCCTCTGAACCGGAACAATGGATAATGATTATGCAGCACATACATAGGTAGTTGGAATTCCGTGCAGTTCTGTAAAGCTCCCACCCCCTAAGACCCCTTTTGATTCTCGCTTCATTCGGGCATCAGAGGGGGGGGGGGGGGGGGTGAAGAGGGAAAGAATGATGGAAAGAAAGAAGTGGATCACATCGATCCATGACGCAGAACACATGATGACGGAGAAGCAAATTCCAGTTCCAAATCAGATCTATACTGAGACTGGAATAGTCCGGGGCTATGAGGGAAAGGAGAGAGGGGGGCGATAGTCGCTGTCCCAGCCTGGTCCTGTCATTTTCCGAGAGTTTGGCGCTGGGCGGGCAGACTAACTCGAAGTATACAAGAGAGAACAAAAGACTAACGTAAATCAATAAATGAATAAATCAAGAAAGAAAGAAAAAGTGAAAACGAAATTACAGAAAATCATCGGATCCCACCTTTTTTCTTCCCCCAAGGACTATTTGCGGCAAATGAATTCGCAAGGTGAGACTGGTTCCCTGGATGATTGGAGAATTTCCACTGGCCCTTGGTCCGCTTGGCTCAAGAGAATGGCAAAGTTAAACAAATCCCTCCCCTGATGTTGTGCATGCATCACCAGCCCCGTGTCAATCCCGATGTGAAGGGACCGTTGCCGTTGGCCGTTAAGGGACAAAATGGATACATCCACTTAGCACATCGGGGAGGCGACACTAGCAGAGAATGGTTGCCTTCACCGGTTCTTGGAGAGACCCGCCTGTCCGAAATAGGTGAGGAGACATAAGTGAGGCAATAAGTGGATCTGCCGGAAGTATCTACAAGATTTGACTACGCATCGAGTAGTAGTTTTAGGCTTTAGTGCTTTCGTGACTCCATAGTCGTTCCGTTTTACTGGGAACTCTAGGGCGTGGAGCTAGCTCTACTGGAATTTACGAAGCTTGGAGGAAATTAAAGAGCAATAATATTAAACAATGAAGGCGAGAAACAATACTGTAGAAGTGGAAGGAATAATAAAATTATTTCTTTTACTTAAAATATTAAAAAAGAATAGTTCGAGAATCGGGCGAGCCTGAGGACCGGTTCGGAGGAATCACTCCATTCCATTGTACAGAATGAACATCCTCGCGAGGCTCCTACGTCACTGAGAAAATATCGAGAGCACGAGAATAATTCCCAACCGTGCATACAGACTCCCTTGGCAAATTGAAAATTTTTATTTCTAAACAAACAAATACATAAACGACAAAGAAAAAAAGGTAGGCTGAATCATGATTAAATAATCACTCTAATCAGAACACCAGAATCAAAAACAGAAAACAAAGCCAACAAACATAAAGACCTGGCCTCCAAGCTCCATGCGATATATCCACCAGGGTCCCTGGCGGAAGGGTTTCCGGCTCCCCCCTACAAACTCTCATGGGGGGAATTGAGCTTGCAGGAGCCATAGGCAAGCTTCCCCTTTGTTCCCCGAGATCACAAGTTTTTAGCGCGAAGGCTTCCGCGTGACAAGGTGGAATGAAGATCCAACTAGCGCGGACCAAGTGGAGACAGCAAATCCTTCGGATGAGAAATTGGGGATCACAATAGAAGTGGGCTCAGCTGAAATTTCTCGCTTCTTCTTGCTCACTTGCAGTAGAATAGGACTAAACCAGAACTAAACAGAACTAAGCCCGGACCAAACTTGGACTAGGGGGAACAGAGAAGAAAAAAAATTGGACATAGCTTTTCTTCAAAGGAGCACTCGAGGGGGCGGAGTTTTCATGATCCTCAACCATGGACCCGATCTTGATCCCACAGGTTACGGAGTACGGAGCAGCCTTATTTCGGTGCTATGATCAACATGGGCATAGGTAATATGTCTTTGACAGCTCCGGTATTTTAAGACATTACATTGCCTGATGTGGAAGGAATCGTGGTAATCATTACGAATTACTGCAAATCATTTGGAGAGATAAGATACCCATGTACATAGAATAGGTAGGGAGATTCATAGGGAAACTCATAGTAGCACCAAGACGCGATGGGTCATGCGCATGGGCATGCATAGTCTCCACGCAAGAGCTGTCAAGGAAGCTTTTCTTTGTCTCTAGGCAAGGTTTGAATCATTAGCCGCCATTATGGACACCATAGCGAATCACCATGTGGTAAGGATCAGGGTATGCGGTCTGATAGATCCAGCGCTTATGAATGGTCAATTGACCAAGAATTTCACCACATTTTGACTCCGTATCTGTACCTAATTTTTGGAGAAGTGGCTGGGTGCCGGGCCTGCATGGAGTAATAAAAACAAATTAAAATGATTTCTAGCGTGAACTTGTACTTTCGAAGACGGGGATATAACTCGACTGGACTGGGCGGGTTAGAAAATAGAATAAAAAAATAATGATAAAAAAAATTGGTGGCTTGTAATCTCAAACAACCATTCCCAGCCTGTCGGGTCATTGCACGTAATCCCGCCTAGACCGATTATAGGGGGGAGTCCGAGTTGCCGGATCGATGCGTGTCATGGCCATGCTGTTGAGATGATGCGCGTGGGTCAGGGGGGAGGGGGTGGCTAACCCGACCAAGCCTAAGACCGGGGGGTGTGATAGCTGTACCGTAGCTTTTTTGGCACTGGTAGTGCTGTCCCAGGTATCTGGTACGCGGGTACATGGTACCAGGTTTCGATCATGTGAGCAGGATCGCTAGGTTAATGGATCCTGAATGAACTACGCCCCAAAGTACAGACTACTTTTGCTTGATTTTCCAATAGTGCATGGTCTTGAATTTATCCTTGTCCTTGTCCTTGTTTGTGTCATGGCTATCACTATCTCCCCCTCCCCATCAATCTTGCCCCCAATCCCAATCCACGGTTGGCACATCTACTATAGTATATTGCTCCGTATAATTAGTGACTCCTTCTATCCCAACCTGTCGGCATCGCAACGGTCTAATTTCCAAGACTCTTTCTTTCTTTCCCCTTTTCGGTTCGCGCCTCACTTGCTACCCAGTTCCATGGATTTGCCACATTACGGCATCCATCGTAACACGGAACTGATCTTCTTGCCTTCTTTTAGGCGTGGGTTGAAGGGGGCGATGCCAATATTGCCTTCTTTGTATATACTCCGTCTTGCCTTGAAATATCTCGTGTCCGCTGCAACCGCGACAGGGAAAAGCAAAAATGACAACTAAAAGATTAATAGCACTCGAATCAGATCGAAGATAGTCAAATGCCATCGTGTAATTCGTAGATCCCCTCGCTCGAGTCAAATCAAACGATACGGATCCGTTATCCTTAAATGTACAGTATCCACTCCACCTTCCATTGTTTGGCTGTGATGCAAGTCAAGAAGCCTAATGACCTCTAGCCCGCCTCTAGTCAACACATGGACCCTCGCCATATCCAAAGTCTAGGTAGAGGTACTAGTACTAAGGACACCAGTAACCCCCCTGATGGATGATTAGACCACACCAAACAAACAAAACAAACCCCCCGGCCCATCACTTCAATCCACGTCCGTGCCTGCATTGTAGCCCTGCAGGAGCGACCCGCCCAAGTGGCAGTGCTGATGCAATCACTAAGTATGTTACATAGGAGCCTGGAGGATAACCTGAGAGAGAGATCAACGAAACAAAAGTCTATAAAGTCTACAATTCTTCATAACAGGGATTGGGCACATTTTAAAATAGACCAGCTTAGCTTAGCTTTATGGCCTACATGACCCTACATTACTCCGTACATGTACATAAATCTCAGATCAGCGGTGGACAAAAAATTAAAAGAAAAGTGGCTCCGTTGTTGATTCGACGTGTAACTTTCTTTCCAGACTTTCAGTTGGGCTTCTTCGCCTCTCCCCTTGCGACTTGCAGGCCTGAGCCCATGGGAATGACAGCGAGCCGATCCGTCATTCCAGCCCGTTTGGTGATCGACGTATCCACTCCCCCTCGCTCCTGCTTATGCATATACGTAAAGCACATGTATCTAGAGGTGAATAGCTATTCTGTATACAGGCCGAGAATTAAAATATCAAGGGGTGGAATTTTGCATCAAAATAGACCGGTCTCTGAGTCGGGGACCGGAGATGTGTCGCATCTGAGCCCACGCGGTCGGTCAGGTGGGTCAGAGCGTGCAGGAAGCACACACATGCACCAATACTCCGTATAGGGATAGAGTAGAATGCAGAAAGGGGCACAGCCTCACAATGCCAATGAAACAGGAGGTGAAAGGGGCATTTGAATGCGAAAATTGAAAGAAAGAGGTTTAGTCGATGCTGCATGGTAGATCTCTTTAGCTACATGTGAAGTATAGATCTACAGTGCCTCCAGCTTCGGGGAGAGTCCACCGCCGATCGAGGAGTCATTTCCCAGCACTAAAAAATCCCGAACATACATGGACGTACATACATAATATCCTTTTTTCTTTTTCTTTTTCTTTTTCTTATTTTCCAAAAATTCCTTCCCAAATCTAAGCGTCATGATAATCTTAGTTCGCAAATCGGAACTCATTCTTAGGTTTCCCCCGGACCCCAACATCAACCCGGAACAGTCGGCCCCCATACCGCACCGACTGAGGCAATCGGTCGTCGTCACGGGTATCCTTAGCAGATGTGATGAACAGCTCAGTGCCCACAAAAGTGGGACATGTCGGATTCCGCGTGGGCAGGTCAATCTGCCCGATGAGCTTACCACTGGGCGAGATCCGGATCACCTTCCCGCCACCGTAGATAGCACTCCAGATGCATCCTTCGACGTCCATAGCAAATCCATCTGGTTCAAGCGGCTCGCCGAGATCATAGTGCACGCGCTGATTGTTAATAGCACCTGTGGCAGCGTCGAAATCGAATGCGAAAATCTTGCCTGTCGGCGAGTCTGTGAAATACATCGTATCATCTGCTAAGTTCCAGCCCATACCGTTTGGAATGGTCACTGGTGCCAACACACGGTGCAGAGTTAGGTCCGGGTCTAGTCTGAACAAGACGCCTTCGGGTCCTGGAGCTTTGATCTTGGGATCATTCATGGCCCCCGCCCAGAAGCGGCCGTGGCTGTCGACGGCGCCGTCGTTGAAGCGCATTCTGTGTTGTGGGGATTTCTGGTAAGTCGGTGTAGAGAAACTAGTTGCATGTGCAGTTGGGTACTCATTTTTGGGGGCTGTGTTCTTGTTCTTGTTCTTGTTTTTTTTTTCCCCAGTGTTCGTACACCAAGTGCTATTCAGTTCATCTGAATACTCCACGGAGAAACATTTTTCTTTCTTTCTTTTTTTGAAGGGGAATGATGTTTTTGTGTGGGTGGGTTCTATGATAGCGTCACCACTTACATCTCTGCTTTCCCCGGTCCATCTTCCTCGCCCCATGCTTCACGAATATAGGAGAGCTTTCCGGTGGTCTGGTTCAGCCGGGCAAATCCAAACTTGGCCCCGACTATCAGTTGATCCGCCTCGGCCTCGTCCGCATTGGCAATATTGGCGGTGACACTAACAATGGACAACAGAAACAGAGACTAGTGGTTAGCGGTTTTCGCCATTGTGGGTTTTACGAAGTACACAGTTTTAGACGCATTAAAGCTCTCTCATTCGGGAGACGGTGAAGAAATGAGGCGAGACCCAATAAGTCGCACAAAAAAGCAAAATAATAATATGACATACCCGATAGCCGCGGTCGTATCGATTGTCTTCAGTGATTCTGGGCCTTTAGCCAGATCGAGACGGTAAAGCTTATGTTCCCAGATATCCACAAAGCGAAACTCATTGTTGGCCGCATCGTGGTAAGGGCCCTCGAGCAATGTTCCCGCTATGTCGATATAAGGCTAAGGGGAAATCAGCTTGCCTGGACATTCCACATTTCCACCGGAAAAATATGATTGGTTATTTGGTGCTTGATGGTCGGATCCGACACTTCATCACATCTTGACCGACAGAAAAACATGTATAAAAAAGAAAGGACAGTGACCAATCAGAAAATTCCAAGGTTGGATCCCGGGAAATTGCAGGGGAAATACGAAATAGTATGAAATAATCTGACCTCATTGACTGTCCATTTTTGAATTTCCGACATGTTGATCCAATCTCCACTTGGGAAAAAGAAATAAAAAAATAGTTCAAATGTAAAAAGTAAAGAAAAAAATAGAAAAACAATGAAATGAAATAAGCCCCGGGAAAAGTTGAAAGGATCAAGAAAATTCCAAGCCGAAGAGGGTGACCGCTAGTTTGAGAGAAGAAGAAGAGGGGCGTAAAAAGAGGTGTGGAGAGTCTATGGTCAAGTCACACAGAGTGAATTGACGGCAGAAAGAAAAGCGTTCAAGCCAATCGAACCAGACAGAAACCCCCTAGTACAGAATGGAGTGGAGTGTGAGACAGCGAACCTCTGAGAAAGTCAAAAACTTGCTGGCAGCGCCGATCGCGGAAAGCGTCCGTGAAGCAACGAAGAACGAAGAATACGATGAGGGAGTGAGTGAAAAGAAGCCATAAATTCCATATATGATGGATTATGATCGAGAAATCTATCGACTGTACATAGAGTGAGAAAGAAACATATCGAGGAAGCTGTTCCTACCAGCTTCAAATGCCGGTTTACCCCCATGCACACCCCCGCCCCCACACTTCCGACCAGAGGATTGAGTGGGTGGAGTTCCGGACTGGCATCATCTTCCGGGCATGAACCCGTAGGACGAGATTTGCCGCCTTCTAAGGTTGTGGAGTCCACGTTGCGGGAAGGTGACACTTGAGGTGTGTATCATAGCGGTCTAGAATGAGGTAGGGTCGAATCCCATACTACGGTATGTATGTACAAATCCCTGCAGGGAACGGGGGGGAAATCACATCGGACCTACTATTTCACATGGACGATGTTGGCATCCCTGCATATTCTAACTTCCTCTAGTCAGTTGTACTCCGCGCGTACGGCTAACACGGAATACAACGTAAGAACCTTGGAAATATCCATGTATTTCGTACCATTAATAGTCTATCAAACTAAGAAAGAACCTTGAAAAAGGACTACCTGGCCCCGAAACATGAAAGTATCCATAAGGTATAGCCACTAAACATGTTACAAGCCGCTTTTTCCCCTCCCGAACCAGACTAGGTAACTTCACATGACCGACTCTGCATGCATCTGCGAGAGATTCATGTAAGTGTGTGCTGGTACTGGGCGCTAAGCCACGGCGCTATAACCCAATTTTCTGCCTGATTCCCGATATCCAAAGTATTGGGCATACTTTACCAGGGAATATGACAACATGAAACAGGGCGCAAAAATAAAAGCGGAACGAGAAAAAGAGAAAGAAAGCCAAGGAGAAAAGAAAAAGAAAGAGGAAAAGAAAAAGGAAAAGATAGGAAAAAAAAATCAAGAAACAAGAGATAGAAGGATTTCTGACATACTCCTGGAATCCTGGTACTTTTGTCATCTTATCTGCAAGATAAATCCCATTGAAATATGGCCTGATCCACTCCGGCTATCACATTGGAGAGAGGAAGGAGTCCTGCAGGCAACCCTTGAGGAAACCACATGGATCAAGCCAAGCACGTAATAATCACCAAACATATTACCAGAAACTGAATAAATAAACTCAAAAGAGACTTTTCATAAATAATATCGTAAAGATAATAGCAAACACCCCTGATAAAAACAAAAACAGAATCAAGGCTCCTACCGTACCGAATCCGAATCCACCACCTGGCACTGGCCCTAACACTGGCATTGGCATTGGCATTGGCACCACGCACAACCCACAGACACAAACACATACGTCGCCCCCGAAATCTTGTCAAGCAAACCACCCAATCACAACCTCCTCCCGTAACAACCGACACAAATGTAAAACAGTCCAATGCACCTCATCACTCGCCAGCACGTCGGAGGGTTTCGCCAACACTTGCATGCAGCATCCATCCAATCCAACGAATCTCGATTTTTAATATTATCTCCTTTTTTCTTCTTAGATCATTTCATTGACACTAAATATATTCCTTCCACACGTGCAGCCTAGGTACATGCCAATGTGTGGCTGCTTCCAAGGAACGGAACTTGAAAACAAGTAAACCTGTATCGATTGACATACGCTAGACAATGGTGGAGGAGCCAATAAGCCGGTCCGAGCACGAACTAACCTCAAACTGTATGTATACTGTAAGTATGTAGACTTGTTTTATGTCCTGTGTCTGGGATTATCCATCTGCATGTACATGTCATGACTCATGCAGTGGCTGTCGATGCATGTACATACAGATCCAGATCGTGGGTCCGGGTTAACCCTGCACTGGTAGGGATGCGGAGAGCCTGAATGGGAATCATGGAATGTGATGGGATGAGATGAGATGGATGGATCATTATGTTGGGCATCAATGTTGTTAGTGAGGGCTTGATCAATGCGTTGTTGGTATTTGTCATAAGTTAAGTTCAAGTTGGGACTTGAATTGCATACGATGTATTGAAGATATGCCAGGTGTGCGTATCAGGATCATAATGTGTTATGTGGAAAGCCACTGTAAGGACAAGGGCCTCGGGAGAATTTTGTCCAAACATTCACTAGTATCATGGTGTTCTGAAACGAGTTGTTGGTTTTCGTTCTTCCGAATGAGTAGACACTAAAATTGAGGGATGTAGATTGACTGTGCGTCGGGATGTATATGCACTGACCATCCGTAGCGTAAGGTTAGCTGCCGAGGCAGGATTTTGATATTTGCCCTTATTACCTAGCGCACTGTAAGCTGATATTCTATTGTTCTCCTTATTCATGATTATCATGAGACGCTTCAGTTCAAAATTCGATTGACATGCCTTCCCGAGGTATGGCATTGAGATTCGTTGGGGTACAGGGCTCTGACTTACAAGCTCTCATGTGATGTTATGTGAATGGCTGTTGATGAGATTCGGCCCATTGGTACCTGATGAACATTAGATCCGACCCATGTCTATAGATAGATCCTGTGGGCCTGAGACATGGGGGTGTTATGGTCTCACGTGTGTAGCTGCACCCCAATTTGTCACACCTTTAGTTTTCTGATATATCAAGGTGCCTGTCTTTGCATCCAGCCTTGAAATAATTCATAGCCTGATGGATTCCACTATGTCTTCTGCATATGATGTGATGCGCATAATATCAACATCTCGCCAAGCTATTTGCTCAGATGCTAGAGTCAGCCGCGTTGAAGCTTATGACAGGTAGGAACATACGTAAGAGGCAGAATCAAGCTTCACTATTGCAACAGATAATTGACTGGTCATCAAACATAAAGTATCATGTAGTTACAAAATTTCGGAACCCGCAACATCAATGCCTGTACATGTATTCTTTTACAGTCGGCAACCCATGTTGACGTGCACAGCCTTAGTCTGTGAGTAAGCCTCCATACCAGCCTCGCCAAGCTCACGGCCAATGCCACTCTGCTTGACACCGCCGAAGGGCACACGGAAGTCACTGTCGTTGCTGCTGTTGATCCAGACCATACCAGCCTCGATATCGGAGGCAACGCGGTGCGCACGCTCAATGTCCTTGGTGAAGACAGCAGCACCCAAACCGTAGGTTGTGTCGTTGGCACGGGTGACAGCCTCGTCCTCTGTAACGAAACTGGCGATAACGACGAAGGGACCGAAGACCTCCTCGCGGTAAATACGCATGTTATCCTTGACATTGGTGAAAATGGTTGGGGCAATGAAGAAGCCACGTCCGTCACCGACATTCTTGTAAGGCTCGCCACCGGCAGCCAGGGTAGCGCCCTCGGCCTTACCCGCCTCAATATACGACAACACACGGTCGTACTGGGCCTTAGTGACCTGGGGTCCCTGGAAGGTGTCATCGGCGAAGGGGTCACCGACCTTGCTGGTGGAGGCCACAACTTCCTTGAAAAGAGAAACAAATTTGTCGTATACCGAGTCGTGAACAAGAATACGAGAGGTGGAAGTGCAGACCTGGCCTTGGTTGTACATAATACCGACGTGTGCCCACTTAGCAGCTTGCTCGAGGTCAGCATCCTCGAACACAACCAGCGGAGACTTGCCACCAGTCTCAAGGGTGATATTCTTCAATGTGCCAGCAGCCATCTTCATGATCTCACGGCCAGTGATGGTCGAGCCGGTGAAAGCGACCTTATCAACGTCGGTGTGCTTGACCAGCGCAGCACCGGCCACACGACCATGTCCGTTAATAATGTTAATAACACCAGGGGGGAAACCAGCCTCCTTAATCAAACTAGCAAGATACAGAATGCTAAGAGGGGTCTGCTCAGCAGCCTTCATAACAACGGTGTTACCGCATGCAAGGGCAGGGCCAAGCTTCCATGCAGCCATAGCCAGGGGGAAGTTCCAGGGAATAATCTGACCAACGACACCAATTGGCTGGCGGAGTGTGTAGGCAAACTTTTGATGGGTGGTGCCAATGGTCTGGCCGGTCACTTTGTCGGCCCAGCCGCCATAGTAACGAAGGCAAGAGGTGACCTCGCCGAGGTCATCATTCAAAGAAACAGAGTAAGGCTTGCCTTTAAATTTCCAGATGGTCAGCTCCGCTTCATTCCGCGATGTTCGGAATATATAATTTACATACCGTTGTCCCATGTCTCAATCGTGGCCAAAGTCTCCTTGTGTTGCTCGATCAAGTCGGCCAGTTTCAGCATCAGGGCACCACGATCAGTAGCAGACAGCTGCTTCCATGAGGGGTCCTTCAGAGCCTTACGGGCAGCCTTGACTGCGATATCAACATCCTCCTCACCGGCGGCATACACGGAAGTAATCTCTGACTCGTTTCTGCGATTCTCGGTTAGACTCGGAGCTATCTCAACGACCTAGAGGACTTGGAAAGAGCACAAAGGCTTACGAGGGGTTGATGCTAGAGATCTGCTCGCCGGATTTGGACGCAACAAATTCGTTGTTAATGAAGAGGCCGATAGGCTGGGCGTAAGAACGCCCGTTCGGGGCAGTCAATTGCACCGAGAGGTTAGACATGGCGACGGAATAGCAGCGACGATGGATACTGAAGCGAAGCGCTGGTACTGAGAAACACTGCAAGGATCGAAGAGCAAAGGTTGAACCAAACATTTGGTGGAGGGAAAAGGTTAAGGTCTTAAAAGCAAGCCCACACACCATGGGTAGGTCCCCGCTCCGATAACGATAACAGCGTCTCCACTTATTCGGGTGCACTTACTCTTCATGGGCAACCAGCAGAGCTCTGTCCCAGATTAAACCTGATTACCAACTCTGGTTGGTTAATCTCGCCGCTGGAGCTTAAATCCCCATCTGAACCTCCAATCCTGTGGTGTTAAGGGCCCGAGGTCCATGGGCTCTTCGCCCTGAGGGGGATTATCAATCATCCAGCGGGGTCGTCTCCGCATGCATATGCACTGAACAGGAAACTCATAACGGTTGGTATGCATTTCCACTGTGCTTTAACTCCCGAGAGATCGACGTTTAATTGCGAGCAACAGATGTCGCAAAGGGAAATAAATTGCGGCGTGCTTCCTGTTCTACACTGGCCCAAAATAAAATATAATAATTGTGATAGAAAATAACCATGAATGTCTTAAAATCCCTGTTGTCTGCCTGGCAACGCCCTTAAACGCAATATTTCCGATCAGGTGTGGAAAAACGAAAGATCGGCTGATTCACATCCCTAACTATTGAAGTTACTGTGGGATTTCGGTGTCCTCCTCATTCTCCGCGTCCATATCCTCGTCTTCTTCAACCTTAGACTCCGTCTTTGTGGATTCCTCTGAATTATCACCTGCTAACTGTAGGATGTAATGCCACTGTGCGGAGGTAACCGAGGAGATACTAAGCCGGGCTTGCTTGAGGGTCTGTAGGTCCTCCAGTGGCATGCCAGCTTCGGAATGGGCCTTCAAGTCATGGAGTGTGACTTGATTCTTGAGTTTGCGGCGGAATTCAACATGTACAACAACCCACTTGGGGTTCTCACGGGACGCCTTGGGGTCATGGTAAGGATGGTTGGGGTCGAATGCGGACTCTGCAGTGTGTGAAATCAGTAAGATATCGAGACTACGTTGAGAATGTCTGAAAGGTTCCACAAACCATCAGTTGAGTGCTCCTGCACAATCTCCATAACTCCGACAACTCCAGGTGTCTTGCAGTTGGAGTGATAGAAGAAGGCATAATCTCCTTTCTTCATTTCGCACATAAGATTCCTCGCTATTCACTGTAAGCTGGGCCATTCTTGTGCCATTCATGATGTTATCTCAAGCAAGTCTTACCAACATGATTACGGACTCCTGATAATTTTGTCAGACGAACTCATCAATAATAGCTGGAGAGCTCTTACCATCCCAAGCCTCAGGCTTTTCTGCACTAGCCAAGTCGTCAATGGAGAACTTGACATCCACACCCTTCTCAAGACGCGATTCAGGCTCAGCCTTCATCAGCCAGTAAGAACGACCGGAGTCATCATTAGGCGGGATGTAAGAAGAGACCGCGGCCTCCTTTTTGGTATCTGCGCCGTTGGCAGGCAAGCTTTTGCGAGGTCTTCCTCGACCATCCTTCTTCTTAGGGCCTGTCGGTGTTACTTTGGGGGTCGCAGTGCCTATAATGTCAGAGCAAAAAAACATTAGTCCTCTATAATATCTCTGACTTCTCTCACTCATTTCATGGCGCAGATTCATACCTGGCTCCTTACGAGGACGTCCACGCCCCTTCTTAGGAGTATTATCAGCTGTTGCTGCCTTCTTGGCGGCAGCAGCAGTTTCAGCGGCAGATAGAATCTTGCGTGGACGTCCACGTCCGCGCTTAGGCCCATCAGTAGAAGGCTTGGTGAGGGTACCCTCAGGATTCTTGCGAGGACGACCGCGCTTTCTCTTGTCGCCCGCCTTGGGGGTAGCCTGTCAGAAAACCAGATCAGCAAATACGCGTGGACACGAAGTGGATCATGCACCAGAGATGGATCAGATCAACGATTTTGATCTTGTTTACCTCTGAAACTACTTCACCCGATGCATTGGATAAAGAGTTGCGAACACGCTTTGAAGGAGTCGCGGCACCCGAATCAGCCATCGTCGACGCACGAGCTGACTTTCGTTTGAGTGGCATTTAATTGAGCACGTTAGGGGTGCTCTGGGAGGTCAAGGGGCAAGGATATGGGGGGCTGGTGATTTTATTTTCCTTTTTTCTTGCTTTTCGCTGTGAAGGATAAAACAAGACGAAATCAATCGCAGGTCGCTCAGGAAATTTTGCAATAATTCCCATTGGTCAGGAAAAATTGACCAGAATACAACAGAGAGAGGCTTCTGTTTGACTCGAGCTGGACGCGACGATGGGTCCAATGGGGACACACGTGACTCGGTGATACGCGCCTAATCGGCACCCAGATCAGGGATCTTCAAGCATCGGTGGATCTTTCGCCAGTCAATATTCACTAGTAGATTTATTCAATAATCGAGTTTCTTTGATATAAGAACTGCAGTCAAGGGGAGGAGACTGGATTTCCGATTAACTGTCAAAGTTCTACCTGGTCGTTGGTTTTATGAGAGACCAAGAGAGAGACCTCTTCAAGTTGTATACGAGTAATACAGCCCTTGTCAACTGCCAGTGGTTACATACTGTATTCGTTACTCATGAGATAGAAGATTTCCAAGCCGATCCTCATCTTAAGTAGGTACAAGTGAGCAGGTGGAGCCTGTTTGCTTTTTCAACTGCCGGGGGCATTTAGAGATGTGAATATACATCCATGTATACTTGTCTTTGATTTTTATACTTTTTTATACTATGGGCGCTTTGTTTACGTGAGATTCTACCGTGAAAATTGATCCTAGAAGCACGCGAACAATGGAACAATCTGTTGAACTAAATGAAAATAAATATACAAATGTATCCCAGGAATTTATTTGCACACTCTGATTTGAACAAGAGCAAGCATGATTTTTAGCCTCAGAGTAATTTGTATATTTCAATCCCAAGGAGATTGACTGGATGGAGAACGGGATTGTTCAAGTTGACACCTCTCTCCACACTGGAAGGGCCGTGCCAGAGCCTTCCGACTGCCGGGTAGGCCAAGTAAAGAATCGGCCGGAGATAAGATCAAGAGCTACCGGGTATTTAGGACACATCAAGGTTACTATTTAACAGGAACGAGCGGGAGTTAATTCTCCTGGTTCGACTCTTTGATTTTTACTCATTATCAAATCTGCCAGATCCGGGGAATATTTCTCCACATCGGGGAAATTTGTTCGTTTAAGTAGAATTTGGTAAGGAACATCAGAACAATGAATTGTTATTAAGTAACAGATGGTCTGAGATAGTAATATTATTCTCGCATGAACATGTTCAGCGTCATTTGAGCTTAGATGGTGCAACAGAGCTTAATGGTTGAAGAACATGGTACCTACGTATACATAGAAGCCCGTCGAAGTATGCCCCGCTTAGTGGGTCGCATCCCACCTCCCGAGGTCGGCATTATTCAAGTTGTTCTGCGGAAGGCCAGAATGTCATACTGTACAGTTAACATCCATGGATGAGGGGTTATTGCCGTAGAAATGACTTCCAAGGTTGTCTCCAAGGTTCTACAATGGTGGTCATTCGATCCCTTTCACTGACCCTGTTCTCTTGTCTACTCCATTTTAGCCTCTTTCTTGAATGTGTCTTCTAACAAGAAACTCGTAGGTTCATAGCTCAGTATTTGTGGTATATCGGTTTTGGGTGCGCTATCACTACAAAGCAAGCCGATGTAGATAAAGTGATTAGTACGATGTCTACTCAATTAGCATATAGCTTGCATATACATAGTCCTCTGGTGGAATATGGGATATCATGGGTCAGCTAAGGTTAAGGATGAGTTGATTAGTGGTGACAAAGAGGACATCCGAAATTGCGCCATCCGGTCTAGTCTCCATTGGCTCCTCAGCACCGCCATGATCGCCTTGTTCCTCGATACGAACGAAATTTGGCGAGCATGTAGAATGAGGGGCCACGATATGCATGAGATGTGCCTCAAGAATTCATGTTCTAGCTTGAATGAAAGTGTAGTTGTAGATATATAGGAGAGTAGGACTGAATAAAGTACAAAACGTAGACAAGAAACCCCCCTCATGTAAACACCCCTCATGCCCCTCCGATTAACCATGAACCATGAATTATGGCATCAGGCACCCCCAAGAACCCCACCATCTCCTCTCAACCAATTACATCTATTACGCCCTGGGCGGTCAGTAATTGCGTGATGGGCAGCCGTGCTGGATAGCCAGATGAGGTAAGTCGATCTCTATGAGAACATATGGTCCACTAACAAAGTTGGAGGGGCAGCTCCCGTCGTATTTGAACCCTGCCTTCTCCCCCCTCCGGAACTTTCTTCTGATTCAAATTCTCCATCCTCAAAATCTTTTCAGTTATCATCCCTTCTTGATAATTATTCATCACAATGGCTACTGAACAGCGTGCTGCTCCGTATGTATACTTCCCTTCCCCCAATGTCTATAGATCTTACTGCGAGACAATTGCAAACAGATCAAGCTTCCCATGGATACAATTGCTAACATTGATCCCTATATAGCCTCCGTCTGGGCTCCACTGCCCCTGACTTCGACTCCGAGACCAGCACTGGTCCCATCAACTTCCACAACTTCCTGGGCGGAAAGTGGACTATCCTATTCTCCCACCCCGATGACTTCACTCCCATCTGTACCACTGAGCTCGGTGCCTTCGCCAAGCTCGAGCCTGAGTTCACTGCCCGCGGTGTCCAGCTCATTGGTCTGAGTGCCAACGGTGTCGAGTCACACCACCGCTGGGTCAAGGACATTGATGAGATCTCCGGCTCCAACCTGAAGTTCCCCATCATCTCCGACCCCGAGCGTAAGGTCGCCTACCTCTACGACATGGTCGACTTCCAGGACACCACCAACGTCGACTCTAAGGGTCTGGCTCTGACCATCCGTTCCGTTTTCATCATCGACCCTGCCAAGAAGATCCGTCTGATCCTGACATACCCTGCCTCCACTGGCCGTAACACCGCCGAGGTCCTCCGTGTCGTTGATGCTCTCCAGCTCACTGACAACAAGGGTGTTACCACCCCCATCAACTGGTTGCCTGGTGACGACGTTGTCATTCCTCCCCCCGTCTCTACTGAGGATGCCAAGGCTAAGTTTGGTGAGATCCGTGAGGTCAAGCCGTAAGTAACCCTGCTGCATATGTACTGTGACACCTATAAAGACTTGATACTAACTGTGCATCAATAGTTACCTTCGCTTCACCAAGTACCCCGGTAACTAGATGGGAGGCTTTACGATATACTGCATGAATAAAAAATATGGGCGATCTGGTCGGAATAGCCTAATTTAATACCAATATGAAATGACTTATCCTGCCAATTCTCAGGGTTTTCGGTTTCCGTAAATACTTCGGCCTTGTGTCACCAAAACTGTAGATATTCTATTGAGGTTCGAGTGGCCCTAACCCGATATGACTGGACTATAACAGAGTTTTCGATCCGATACTAACCATGTACGACCATATATAGGATAAGTTTCTTCTACTTAGATTCCAAACTTTTATGGACCCATATCTAGGGAGAATGTGGCGTCTGCAAAAAAGTATAGAATATACTGATATGAGTAACTTTGGAGCCAATGATAACTTACGTACATAAATCACAGAATAATAAATTTGAACATATACTCAACATAAACCTTCTTTCCAATTTCTTTGCTTTCTCTGATTTCCAATCTGCGCCCGGCCCCTTTACACCTGTACTGTAGATAGTAGCGCGGTCGTATCCGCCCCAAACCCACACGGGAAAAGCGTTGAGACCGCCTTTTTTTGTGCCGATCCAACGTCCACGACCTGACACTTCACCCTCTCCGCTTTATAATTATTCTACAGACAACACTCGACAAATTCCCCGGTGCTTGAATCCTGGCTGCCCCCGCGCCATAAACCCGGCTCCTCTAAACCGGCGGGGACAACCAACCCCTGGTCCCAGTCCACACCCCACAAAGCCACAGAATCGAGCCGCATCAGCACCTGCGATCAGCATTCAGCAGGAAATTCCGATCGTTACACATCTCGAATTACTCCGATATCCGTCTTATATACGCCGTCTGGCATTGATTGGGATATCTGACGCAAGATATAAAATATAGCGGAAAGAATACACGTCCTTCATATTTTGCATCGTACCTCCGTGCCTCCCAGGCATTCCGGTCAATTTGATTCACAATGGTGTCCAGGAGCCAGTCGAGTCTGGGCTTCCTGGATGCGGGTCAAGACCCCTCTGCTGTGACGGGGGGTGTCTCTCCATCTTTTAATCAACAACCTTCATCTGGACCTATAAACCTGTCTGGCTTGGTATGCAATGTGCGGCGAACCACTGGCAAGGAGCCTCACCCCCTGGTGGGGGCTACCACAACAATTTTGGGGGATAAATTATACGTTTTTGGAGGCCGGATCCTCTCACGCAGTCGTCCCAAGTTGACTTCGGATCTTTATGAATTAGACTTGATCCGGAGACACTGGACTAAAATTGAGGCGACAGGGGATGTCCCTCCGCCTCGTTATTTCCACAGTGTATGTGCGCTCGGAGATAATAAATTGGTAGCATATGGCGGTATGTCTCCCGCTCCGGCTACGCCCAAGGACCCTTCCAATACCAGTGCATCTGGCTCGGAAGGCCAAGCTGAAGTAGTGGTGATGTCGGATATTCACATCTTCGACGTCCTATCACGAGTGTGGACACGGGTAGCCGCACACGAATCCCCGCAAGGACGATACGCACATTGCGCTACCATTCTTCCTTCTAGTGCCTGTTTTACATCTGCTAGTGCCCCGCTCTCAGCTATTCACCACAACCCTGAATCTGCCACACCTCACCAAGGCAGTATTGGCGTTGATATTAATGGGTTCGGTGGTGCTGAGATGGTGGTCGTTGGCGGCCAGGACAGCTCGAATCATTACATTGAGCAGATTAGCGTCTTCAATCTCCGCAGTCTCAAATGGACCAACACTAGCCCTCTCGGACGCAGCTGCGGGGCGTATCGTAGTGTCGTCACACCCCTGGTAGGTATGGATGTCTCCGAGATTGGGTCTGCTTCACCCGACCGGGAGACATATGAGCCTATTGATGAATCCGAGTCTCCGGGGTGTCCAATGTTGATTTATTCTAACTACAACTTCCTGGATGTCAAACTGGAATTGCAGGTGCGCCTGCCGGACGGGCGCCTTGTCGAGCGACCGATGCAGAGTCAATCATCTCCGCCTGGCCTGCGATTCCCCAATGGTGGAATAATAAATGGTCACTTTGTCGTGAGTGGCACATATTTGACCTCTTCAAAGCAAGAATATGCTCTTTGGGCTCTTGATCTGAAGACCCTGACTTGGGGCCGCATTGACGCTGGCGGATCAGTGTTTGGACAAGGCAGCTGGAACCGCGGCATCCTCTGGCCACGACGCAGCGCATTTGTGATTCTTGGACATCGCAAACGTAGCCTGGTCGATGACTACAACCACAGGCGAATCAACTTCTCGCATATTTGCTTGGTTGAACTGGAAGCTTTCGGACTGTACAACAACCCCTCTCGAACCGCTTCGACCTCGGGATATAAGTCATACAGCTCACCTTCTGTCCCTGCATCCTTGCAACAAAAATTGTCGCAACTCACTACCAGTGGACGACCATTGTCTGCTGCATCAGACGAACTAGGGAAGTTAGCCCTCTCATTGAACGAAATGGCCGATATGGAGCTGCAAGCTGTTGGTGGCGAGCGCATTCCTGTGAATTCCCGCCTTCTTGCCCGCAGATGGGGTCCCTACTTCATCCAGCTATTACGTGAATCTTCCGAGGGAGGAATCGCCGATGGCGGCACTCTGCGCCCTGCCCAAATTCACCCAAGTCGAAACTCCAGCATCACCATTACACCTTCCGTTGGTCATAATAGCATGTATTCCACCGCAACGACCCTGGTCAATCCATCTGCCCCCCCCAAAGCCCTCCTTGAGAACCTGGAAGCCCCCTCTGCTCATGGCCTCGCGCCAACCGCCCGACCCCGCGTGCTCTACCTACCACATACCATCCTTACACTCGAGGTTCTCGTTCAATACCTGTATACGTCTGCCCTTCCCCCTCCAGGCTCTTCTCTATGCACACCACAGATTCTCTGCTCCCTCCTCCAACTTGCCCGACCCTACCAAGTAGATGGACTACTGGAAGCTACCGTGGAACGACTACACCAAGTTCTCGATGGCCGCAACGCCGCGGCAGTGTTCAATGCAGCAGCCATGGCAGCAGGAGGTGGCCGAGGCACCGGCTTTACCGGTGGACTAGGCGGTACTCTAGAAGCCCTTAATGGCTCAAACAATGGCAATGGCTCCATGCACGATGTCTCGGAGGGTACAAACTCGCACCAAAGTGCCTTGATAGCCTCTGACTCTTCCGATACCGAGCATGGCGCAATGCCTCCCTCCGCTGCCAGCAGCACCGGCGATCTCACCAACTACGCACGTGGTATTCCATCCCTTCGCATCGACACCAATATATCTCAACGTGGCCGTCAACATCGCAGCGCCCACCGTGAACGTGAAGACTCCATTAGCACCGCAAGCACCGCCACCTCCGCCTCCAGCGCTAGCTTCAGCCAGTCAGACTCTGAGTTTGTTAGCGATAGCGAAAGCCGCTCACAGTCGCGTACCCATCACCGCCGCAACACAGACGCTAGTCGCCCAGACCGCGAGATCTGGACCGGTGACTTGTCCAGCGTGATTGGACTCCAGAAACGTGGCTTGCGCGGCCTAATGGAGGGTCGCCGTATGCGTGAACGGAGCGCAAAGCCTCCCAGCACAAGCAGCGGCTCAACATCTGTGCCTCCTCAATCTGCTGGCTCAGGGGAACATCAGTTCTCTATGCAGGGCGCGGCTAGCTGATAAAACTGCCCTCCTTCCCTTTTTTCTCTACCCCCGTCATGAATACTTTATCCTCAAGCAAACCAGATGATTGGCCAGCTCTTTCCAAGACAAAATTCCGTGCACATTTATGTTGTCTTCAAGTTTCAAATATTCCCCTCCCAGCTTTCTATTTGGTTGTAAACATTTCTTTCTTCGTCACCCCAGCAGGCTGGTGATACTATGGCAAGAACCACTTACTTCAGAAAATATACTTGGTACTTTTCCCCAATCTCATTTCCCCGATTCTCTATACCTGCTTTTTTGCGCCAAAAATCATCTCAAAAAGAAAGAAAACGGTGGTTTGGCTTGGTCTTATGGTTGGTTTGATTTCAAACATTCTCGTGTTCTGCCCTTATGTACCGGTCAAATTCTCCACTGGCATCTTATGAGCACTGCATATGTGGATATAGTTGATCAGCATTGATGAAGCCTATTGGAACTGATACCATGTCAACTTCATGTTTATCTATTAGCGCGAACATACGGGGTTTAGGTCTGGAAAACAGATGCAATGAATGCAATGCAGTTATGAATCCTTGATACAATTTTTGACCCTTAGTCCACCAACGCTAATGTACAAGATGTAATCGATCTAATAAATCTCACGAGCCCATAATCTTTAAGCGAAAACAGAGCAGTAGGTAGCCCTACTCGTCCTTTTTCTCAATTTGGGCAAACTTCTTCTGTTCCCTACCCGCGTAGACTGATTCAAGGAAATTAGTAAATGACAAGATAATAGTGACATTAATTTGCAGACTAGCAAGATTGAGATAAAGGACTTACTTCTCTCATAGAGAATGTACGAAGTATACATCACGATTGGCAATGCGACAATAGCAGAAGTCCACCTAAAATAAATCAGTAAGAGATCTTAGGTGATGAAGTCCACAACAGCGAAGCGAGCCATAATATGAGCAAGAATGGGGGTATAAGATAAGCGCAAGATAGGCACATAAGAGAAGAAAGTAAAGTTTGAAGGAAAGGTGGAAAGATAGGATGGGAAGATACACACCGCCGTGCTGCAAGCTTATACTCTTTCGTTGACCGGATATCCGGGTTAGGTTTTGAAGACGTCTGTGCAGGGCGTTGTGGGCGGGGAGCATTGGGTTGGCCCGGTCGGAACTGCTCGGATGGATATGTTGGCATGTTGGGTATTGTGATGGACCGACTGAGTGGCGGTTAGGAAATGGTATGGATGTTCAAGTTTGGGAGGGGAGAAATCAAGGAGTAAAGTCTGGTGCCTTAGTGCCTGAGGCGTAAATCATAATATCGTTGGAGAGGGTGAAGTTCGCACTGCAGCTACGGATAAGGCAGCCTATGGCTACATTTTAATGGCTACCGGAACAGAGAATTATAAGTGATGAGAGGTCAGAGATCAGAGATGAAAAGTTCGATGCTTTGGATTCGTGGAATGCAATTTTGTACATATTAAGCCATTTGGGCGTATTGATGAGTGACGCTTCAGTTTTGAGGCGGGTGGTTGAGACCAGCATGCAAGGGAACAACCAAGTTTTCGTAAGAATTTGAACTTGTAGCAATTCAAAGCCAAGAGAAATGAATGATAGAGAAAAAGAAGTATTAACACCGCTATGCATAAGACCCTTGGATGATAGAATGCAGAAGGGTCAACGCTGAAAAAATGCCCACGTAACGCCGTTTCTTCATACAAATCAAGTCGAACTAAAGATGTCGACCACAACAACTCATCAAGCCAAGGTACTAGAACGTTTACCAGTATTGAACAACATTTCAGCAACGTTTCTAACAGAAGCGGGGTCATGTGGCCAGATCAGATCTTGATACAACACAATAGAGCTGAAGCCAAAGGCAAGGTGCTTGACATATACAGTTATGTATGTATATATATATATATATATATATGCTGCACCTCAACCTCGACCGCGATTGCGCCCACGGGCGCGAGACGCTGGGGAAGGAGCAGAACGGCGAGGACCCTTTGTGGTGCTCTGGGGATTGGGGGTCAAGGTATTCCCAGAGGGGGTCTCAGTCTGGGAGACTTGGTGGTCACCATTCTCCTTACTCTTCGAAGCCGGTGTCAACTTTTTGGCCGGCGTCCGCTTCCCACTCTTTGGGGTGAACTCTAAGTCACTGCCAGGAGCTATTCTAGCACGCTTAGCCCCGCTGCTTGCTCCGGTATCACCGTCGTCAATGGAACTGGCAAGTCTCTTCTTACCTTTACCAGTCCGTGGAGTCTCCGTTGGCCGTGAGGCATTTGTTACTTTCGGAGCATCAAGCTGCCCTTCCGGGTTGGGGGCCTTGAGCGTCAAACGGAGAACGGGACGAGGGCCATTTTCATTATCCTTAGCGACCGGGACAGCAGCAGGGGCAGAGGCGGGCGTGAGAGAAGTAGCAGCAGGCTTCTTGGCCGTGGATTTGGTAGCCTTGGATTTGGGGGTCTTCACTTTGGCTGCAGCCTTAGGAGTAGTGGGAGCTGCGAGTGTTGCAGCGACGGTCGGTAACGAAGCGCGTGCAGCTGCGCGACGTCGCTTCGGCTTCGGTTCCGGCTCTGGCTCTTCATTTTTCACAGGTACCGACGGGTCGACGTTGGGGGATGGGGCACTTTGTCTGCGCTTAACAGCGCGAGCCTTCCTAGTGCGCACAGGGTCATTGGCAGCTTTCTGGCGAGCTTCATCGCGCGCCTGTACACGGGCTCTTTCCTCGGTGACATCCTCAGCTTCAAACTGAGACCGGATATCAAAGGGGATGTTACGGTGCCCGATCAGTGGTGGGAAGCCAAGGGACTTGTCTTGCTCGACCTGGACGTCAGATCGAGAGCGAACAGGTGGCCATGGCAGGTCCTCGTCACCATAGGTGTGGGGTGGCCAATATAGACTGTACCTAGATGGAGGGATCATAAGCTCTTCCCCTCTCTCATTTCTGCGCCCAATACGTGACCACCCATCCGACTCAATTTGTGGCGGGGTAGATCTCTGAAACCTGCCGACACCACTTGTATCGGTTTCACTGTCATAGAGATTCGGCTGGATCTCGTCACCACCAGAGGCCCTTCTAGTTCGCTGCACTCCGTTTCTGGCCTGGGAATAGGCAAACCGAGCATTGTTTATCAACCAGTCAGGGTCAGGTGGAAGTATGAAACTTTCACTGAAAGCTTCTACGCCAGCCTGGTAAGCGTTTCGCCCCGCTGTGTCTAGATCAATCTCGATGCGAAGGAGTTGGACTTTCTGCTGCTTTGGAACCCTTAGGGCCTTTTTGCCCTTTGGAAACTTACGTACTGGTTTGTTGTTGCTTTCAACAACCGAATCACTTTTGTCATCCTTGGTTGACGCACGAACGGGAGACTTCGTGGAAGGAGAATCAGTGACAGAAGCAGCAGAACCAGGACGAGGAAGGGAAGAAGAGAGATGAGGGGGAGGGGGAGGAGACGCAGGGGTATCAGTGAGAGGAACAGCAGGAGCTTGATCGGGGCCGGTGGTATTCCGGCGGGGCGATCTGTTTAGCTCTAAAGCCTCAATAGCTCTTGTTGTTGGCTTACGCCGGCGAGCGGAAGAGCGTGTTCCCTTGGATGATGCAGCACTGGGAGAGGGAGGATCATTACTACCGCCCATCCCTCCCATGTACTGGGCATCTGTCCAACCGGTCGATCCTATGTTCGCCACATCATCCGTATCTGATGAGACGCCATTAGGTGTGTCAAGTGCAGTCATTCGCCGGGTTCTCCGACTCTCTTGGCTTAAGGAGCTAGGGGCCTCCGTGACTGGAGTGTAAACGTTCGAGAGGCGCGATGGACGCGCCTGAAATATTCGACGGTGTGTCGACGGTTCTTCAGGTGAAGGATTTGACATAGGTTTAGAAGACGGTGGGGTTGTAGGATAGTAGAACCTGATGTCTTGTGAAGTGGGAGACGATATAGGATCAAGAGTTTTGGGTGAACGTGTACTGTCACTGGTGGCTTTGGTACTTGCGGGAACTCGGGGTGAACGTCGTGAGGGAGTCAATGTAGTTCCATTTGAATAGGCAGCCGTGGGTTTACTGGAACCCTTTTTAGGTGCCATGGTAGGGTATTTAAGCGATGTCTATCGTTCGTTCAGTCGCTGTTAGTGAACGAGGAACAATGAATACTCCGGACAACGACCGGCGAAAAGAAACAGGCAGAAAAAGCAAAGATAAGTCGTTAGGCATATCATATTCAGGATGCTTGAATATTCCCTGGAGTTATCTGTCTTGATATGGGGGGTAATAGGGTGTGGTGGTGGAACATAAACAGATAGAGTCAAGGGCAGCCGACGTCAGAAGGTCTGCAGCTTCGGCAGGGCAGCAGTTGGGGTTTAGGGCCCAGGGGGAGGTCTCACGAGATATTCACACCACTTTCCGGCCAAGATGGGCAAATTCCATCCAGGAAATAACCAGAGAGCAAGAAGCGCAGGCTGCCCTAGTTTATCAGGCTGGTTTCGAGACAAAACCAGTCCAACGAGGGCGGTTCATGGGGAGAAAGAGATGAGGTCGGAGCAGAAAAGAAATTAGGGCTAAAGTTGATCGGCGCTTATCGGCCTCAATCTCCTGTCCGCCTTTATTCTGCAATCTGTCACCCAGCTTCTCCTCCTTGCTCCTCACCAATCTTTCTTTCCATTTATTGCTTTTGTGTTTCCATTGTCTTTTACAATGCATCTGTGGCAGGCCACGGCTCCTTTCTGCCTGCTGGCAGCAGCAGCTCTTCCCGCTGCCGCCGCATCATCCTGGGGTTTTACTGATGCCACCGTGGCAGTTCAACCTAAGGGTGCTGGTGTTAATGGGGGTTTCAAGGAAACGTGAGATAAATCAATCCTTCAAAAGCTTGAAATGAGATTCTGAAGCTAACATCTGAACTGCGAAAAGCTTATCTGTTTCTAAACCACTGTCTAAACCCGTTTCCCTCGCCGGTGCCGATACATTGCGCGTCACTTTGACCACGCAGGAAGGAAGCTCTGCGAAACGCCCGCACCAAGCTTTCCTCCTTTTGAAGGACTCGGAGACTGGCCTTGATATCTCTTATCCATTCACAGTCAAGGAGAACGGAAAATCCCGCGTGGAATTGGTGCGTAACCTCTGAAGCTCTGTGGGGTTAAACTATCAAGCTAACAAGGACATTGTAGACCCAGAAGGAACTTCCCATCCAATTCCTTTCCGTTTCTGAGCCCATTGACGCTCGCGTCGTCATTGGTTCTTTTGGTAGCTCTGACGCATACGATAGCTCCATCTTCCCTCTGTCGATTGAGCGTGACCCCGACCACCCGATCCCCACCTTCGAGGCCGCAAGATATGGCAAGCTCCCGGAGATCCACCACGTCTTCAAGGATGCTGCCACAAGCCCACCTGTCATCATTACTCTGGCATTCGTGGCCCTGGTTGGCGCGGCTCTTCCCGTCTTAGCCGGATTGGTAAGATCGTCTCTCTTATTCACCTCGGGGTATTTTGCTAACATTGTGCCTAGTGGCTCTTCCTCGGTGCCAACGTTTCCCACCTTCCAACCGCTTTCAAAACAGCGCCTCTTCCCCACGCCATCTTCCTGGGCTCTCTGTTTGCTTTCGAGGGGATCTTTTTCCTGTACTATACCTCATGGAACTTGTTCCAGACCCTGCCTGCTGCCGCCATTGTCGGTGCGATCGCATTCGTGAGTGGTAGCCGTGCGCTGGGTGAGGTTCAAGGCCGTCGCCTCGCTGGTCTTCGTTGAATAGTTGAAGAAGATTTGTGAAAATGACAAGTCTCATATCAGCGAGCTTCTTCTGTATCGCACTTGTTGAGCTTGGTGGTATTATATCTTAGCCGTGACATCGTCCAACGAAGCAAGTCTTTGTAAAACCGTCGTTTAAATCTTGTATATCCGGCCGTGGTATTGAATAAAACAGTACTTCCGTCCAAGTTTCGTCGAAAGTAACGAGTAAGAATCTCGTAACTTCTCTCAAATTTCTAGTTACCCCATTCTCTCGCCTGCCAATATCTATAGATGAACTTTTTTTTACCACCACTCTACGTATATTCTAAAATAGGAGTCACGTCACTTTATCACATATCGTTTGATTATCTTCGACCGTACCTCCCGCGATATTTGACGTTATCGTAGCATCAATAAGAATATACCGAAGACAAGTCTACCGTGAAGAAGTGATTAGATTTGACGTCACCTAAGTGGCTCTGCCCGTTCAATGCCAATGCCAAGCCAAACCTCCGCGTTTTTCCTCCACCTCCGCCGCAAAAGCTTCACAATCAACAGACCCCACCAACTTAAGCCCTCAGATTTTACCAATGGGTTCCGGCGCTTCAAAACCCGTGCGCTCAGCTGCAGGCGCAGCGACACGGCGCCAATATCCTAAAAGTGCACCTCCGCCTCCAAAGACGCCCGCCACAGCACCGAAAAAGACAAAACAGCCAGCAGCAAACCCTACACCCTCACCTACACCTTCGTCAAAATCCTCGCAAGCCCAAGCCCAAGTCCCGCGCCCTACACCGCAAGGCCCAACATATCACTCTACGGAACAACCGTCTACCACGAAGTCTAACGGTATGCTTCCCTGCACTGTTGCAATTGCCAAATAGGAACACAAAAGGGAATGAAGCATCGCGACTACAAACAATGCTTCTCTTTTTACGTTTTCAAAGCTCCATACTATACCATATCACATATATTAACACCGTCTTAGCAATCGATCTCGACGGTCGCGATCCGGATTTCGCCGCCTCCCTCCGCTCAATAGGCCCCGTCGACCCGTCCGGCAACTTTTCACATCCGAACCCATTCAACCGCGGCACAGTCCAAACTGTCTTTCCTACAGCTTCCAATCCCGCTCTACTAGTCGTCACTGCACGGCAACGAATTACTAAAGCTGCGCAAGACGAGTCCAGTGCCGTTGGGAATGTGAATTTCGCAGGACGACAGTTCCTAGACTCCCTGACTATCCACCAAGCATTGACTATGCGTGATCAGCAGGGTTTGCCGATCGGGGAGATTGAGAGGATGTTAAGATTGAAGCAAGGTACTATGGGGAAATTGGGAGAGAAGGGTATTGTCTCGCGGGCTGGATGATTGAATCTTGACCGTTGAAAATTTGATTCGGGCTTCTTCTCCATGGGTGTTTACTTGTTGGTGTTTGGTGTATTGATATACTGATCGGCGTCTTTGTGGACTGCATGGATATTGATATTGATATATGTATAGTATGCCTTTGATATTTCGAATGATACTCCCAGCTTTTTTATCAGAGTGCTCTACTGTCTATTTCATGGTTGTGACTGTTGGCTGTTGTCATTTATTTTTTGGAATTTGTTATACTTACAACTCACTCTGTCATATATGTAGGCTTGTGCCTGCAGTGCGACGGGCATCGTCTTTTGCAATCTACCATTGTGACCTTTACAGGGTATCAGTGAACCCGCTTTCGATAGGGCCAGGTTCGTTCATCTTGCATCAGGAGTCAGAGTCTTCCATCGTCATCGGTATAGCAGTAGCTAAAGAGACTACATACTATGTATCTATCCATCAAAGCGGCGTTCCCAAAAACAAAATCCAAACAATGGAGGCTTCGTAGAGCGCTATGCATAGCTTACATACAAGCACAAATCAAGCATTTGATTCCAACAATGCACCCCTACATTCGATAGTCGTTTCTGGGGATACTAGGGTCCATATCCTAGCAACCAATAAAAACCCACAATTCTACGCTTAAAGACTCCAAACTATAGTAGCACTGTAAGATCTGACAGGTGGGTTCCCGCAGACAAGCCCTAGTTCCAGCCCCGTTAAATTGATACATAACCCCAGCATTCTTCAGCTATCCAGCCGAGCTATGTGGAGTTAATCGATGGAAAGATATAGCGTTGAGATTAAGGTTCGGGCTGGGAAGATGCAGGGAACGTGTAAGTTGAGGCGGGCGAGTAGGAGTAAACAGGGACTGTAAGGGTGGTCGGTTGTATGTATCAAGGGGTTGAGCCCTGGAAAGGCTGGGAGCGATAACGAGCGAGGGAGATGAAGGATCGACGGATTGATGAACTAGGATACTGCTTGTTATTGTGTATAGAGGTTGGGGAGGCGGTTAAGGGTTGTGTTTTGCAATTATTGCTTTTCAAATGAAATTCGTATAGGTGGATCCGGAACTTGAATGATGAGTTCAAGTTCGCGATGTCTGGAGTAGATAGATCCCAATGTCATATATCGCCCATGTTATGTGTATATTTTGCTATTCTTAGTGCATGGAGAATTATGCGAGTAAGTCGATGGGTACTGCAATTTCAAGAAGGATTCTGGAATCCTTGGGTTCCATGATGAGCATGAATTGCGTGCCATTGCCTATAACCCACCAAGGCAAACAAATTCATCCGTTTCAGCAAAACCCTTGGCTACAATCACACAGGTGGCTCAACGGTGATCCTATCTAAAAGCAGGTACACAATACATGTCCATATACATAGAGCAAGCTTCATAAGCCCCCAAAAGCGGCTCCTAACAGTATTATTTCCCTTGGACAATATAGGAGTCAGGACAGTACCTCGGACCCAGATTACATCTTCCAGGGCCCATAACGCGCCATTCCGCCCCTATGGGCATCCAACCTCGGCAGGCCCGGTAAGGCTAGCATCTCCACCAGTCGCCGATCAGACCCAATCATTATAGCCGCCAAGCAGAACAAGTCTTACTCGCGACCGAAGACCTCAAATGAGTCCGTCGGCCGCACGATTCAGGGTCCTCTGCGTCTTGGCTTACATAGCCTCAGCCTCCACATCTGACACCGACCCCTGAAAAAAAAGAAACGAAGAAACAGCCATGTATCTATTTATGTAAAACCAAGCCCCTTTGGCCCACTAAGTACAGTCAGTAGGTACATGGCTAAATTAGCTGACTGAATGAATCTTATACGATCGTCGGGTCCACAGGGCTTAGATCGGGGGAAGGAGATCAGGTCAATCCCAAGAATTTGTTTGTGTTTGCGTTGAGGATGGTGATCGGCACTGGGTATTGTAGGGTCGAGTTAGTCGGGTCATTATGATTATGATTGACGGTGGTCTCAGGCGTTCTCCACCGGGGTCTCCTTCCGCCCGCATAATTTGGATTGGATGTGTTGTTTTGACTGTGTACTTTCTGTGCGGAATAGTGGACCTCACCGTACAGAGAAAGAAAAACGGAAATACCGGGTGTAAAACAGGGTCCGATGTTTAAGCAGTGACGTGGTTGTCTGTGCTGTGTGTGGTCGCTTTGTTTTCCCCAGACTTTGGCTTGAATTACGGTTTCCTGATTCGCACGAGGTTACATAGAGTGCAGGGGCGGTGCCTTAGTGGACGCAGGGTAAAGGGAAGAGATCCGTGCTGTGTTAATCTTGTATGGAGTAAGCTTCATTGTTGGAGGCAAAGTTTGGCGGAGGCAGGATTCTGTCTAGGGAAGTTCATTGGAGCCAACGTGGGGAATCGGAAGTGTTTCAAGGGGAGAGGGTGTCGTATTCCCCAAATGGGTTAATAATGTATAGTTATAAAATCGAAAAAATGTCCAAAATGTCTCAGAGTTCGTGTCCTGCCTTATAACGGGTCTGAGTCTGGAGTCTGACTCCAACTGTGGTAGTTATGTGGAGCACTTGAGGCTGCAGGCAGCAGGGAAAACCCGCCACTTTTACCTGCACTGTGCACTGTGATTGAGTGCTTGTTTTATTCAAGTTGCTTCTCGCACTTAAGGGGGGGGGGGGGGGTTTAGTGCGAAAATGAGAAAAGAGACAGAATCAGTTAGTCATAAGAATTCTAAGCTGATGTCCACTAAGTAAAGGGCTAAGCTAGCTAAGCAGGCTAAGATGTGGCTGACCTCTAAGTTCTCAGGGTCCAACACCCCCCACTGGGGCCAGTGGAAGCCAATCCAAGCCAGTCGCGTGCCCCAATACTGTTTCCAGTCTCTTCACGGACAATGATTGGATATGAAGAACATCGAAGTGGTTCGTAAATGAAAAAATAATAATAAATAATACAGTTCAAAGAATATTTAAAATTATCATGTATAATTAATTCTAGTTAAATATTTTATGAATTCCAAGTCATTAGAGCCGATCTTGTTCCCACTCCTCTTGACAACATTCGATTCAACCTCTTCTCCATCTCCATCTCTCTGTGTTCCCCTTACCACCCAGAGATTCCCGCACCGACACATTCCGGGGTGTTTGTTCCCCCCTTCCAGTCTTTTTGGTCTTTTCTTTTTTTTTTCTTTTTTTTCTCTCCTTCATCTAGAATTCGGAACTACGCTATTATTTTTTCCTTCTTACTCTGCCTGCTGTTCTTCTCTCCGAATCCCTCACCATATCCCTATCCTGAGCGCGCTTTCGGGCCTTGACGCGCTTCTTTGGATCTATCAATCTATCACCTCGCCAAATCATGAGCTAACACCATGGCGATCCGCAACTACCTACCACCATTACCGGCCTTCCTGTTCTCGACCTTAGTCGTCGGGGGTCTGGCCGCCAAGACTTTACATATTGGCCTTCACTTCAGCTCCATCCCTTTCCTATACCTCGTGCTATACTCTCCCACTCTCATTTTACCCGATATCCTCATCATATTGTTCGTCCGCATCTTACTACAATTCCCTGCGCCAGAAACGCGCCTTCAATGGGTCTCAACATGTCTCGGCGGTGTCCTCTCGTAAGTGTCGCCCTGTCACACCCCGACTATATATAGAAACCGGGATGAATTGAAGAACTGACCGATGACATCCAGTTTACTAACATGGGGAGCCTCATCAATCCAATTTGGTTTCTTCATGCAAACAGGTGCCGAAGTCGCCTGGTCCGCAGGTGGTAGCTTCCTCAGTGACCCCGCCGCCATGAAGATCTTATTGAGTGGCATCTCCACGGTTTCCGCCGCCGGCACCGCCCTCGGCCTCATTGCGTGGTTGATTCACGCCTATCTCTATGCTTTGACCGGTCTGGCTTTGCAGGGCGTCCGCGACTTGTTCCTCGGCACATATAAAGCACGCTACACTCTCCTTTCCGCTCCTAATAAGTCATGGATGGCATCCATTGACCTTCGATCGGCCCGTCGTGTGGCGCTTATTACCGCCGCCCTGGTTTCGTTGTTATTCCTAGAATTATCACGACCTGCGATTCCTTACGATCATCTTTCTGGCGCCTTGCCTTTAACCTTACTAGATGCACTCCACCATAAGACTAGTACCGCAGAAGGCTGCCGTAACCCCGCAAAGCCTTTCCCTCTCTATTATGTGGGTGAACAAAGCTCTTTGGCAGATGGCTGGTCACGACCTGCATGGCTTCCACAAGTTGCGCCATCGGGATTTAGTCGTTGGGACAAGGACCCTGCGCAACGGGCCGAGGAGGATAACCCATCTTACTTTATCTGCGATGGGGGTGCGGATGGTTTCTTCAACCCGAAGGCTGACCCGCTCAAGATCTCCAATCTGGGTGATGATATATATGAGCCCCTACAAAAGGCTTTCAAGGAGCACTCGGTCCAGATTGATAATGTCGTATTGGTGACCCTGGAGAGTGGACGGAAGGAGATGTTCCCCATGCAGCAGGGTACCCCCATGTTTGATGGCCTTCTCGCCTCTCACCAAGAGAACAAGAGAGATGAAGCAACTGATCGTCTAGTTACGATGACCCCGATTGCGCAGATGTTAACCGGCGAATATGTGAGCGATTCCAAGGGCGAGAGAGTGAATTTGACCATGGCAAAGTGGCAAGATCCCGCGGAAGAAGGCATGGGAGGACTGAATGTTCGAGGCGCACTCACAGGCAGCTCTCTGACATTCAAGAGTATTCTCGGTAGTCACTGTGGTGTTCATCCTCTACCGGTGGACCTTTTAGAGGAATCTATGCTCGAGATTTACCAGCCTTGCCTGCCCCAACTGTTCGAATTGTTCAACCAGGTCAAGTCACCAAAATCGCCGGTGCCCATCAAATCTCGATCCAACACATCTTCCAGCATCACATCTCCCAGCATAGACACTTTGAAGAAACCATGGAAATCCGTCTTCATGCAGTCCATCACCGATGATTACGATCGTCAGAATATCTTGGATGACAACATGGGCTTCAAACACAAGGTTGTCAAGGATACCATCACCTCGCCTCACGCCAAGTATCATGCTCAGGGAGAAGAGATCAACTACTTTGGGTACGCAGAGACGGAGTTGAAGCCTTATGTGCGCGATTTGTTCTATGAAGCCGCCAATAACAACACCCGTGTCTTCCTTTCCCACGTCACTAGCACAACGCATCACCCCTGGAAGACACCCCGCAGGTGGCAGAAGGAGGATTACATGGGAGCAGTGGGCAACATCAACCACGACCTCATGAACAGCTATCTGAACACTGCACGCTTCGTCGACGAATGGCTTGGAGACATCATGAACCTCCTCGAGGAGACAGGTATCGCAAACTCGACTCTAGTCGTCATTGTAGGCGACCACGGCCAAGCTTTCGGCGAAGACAACAAAGACATGACAGGTACCTACGAGAACGGCCATATTAGCAATTTCCGCGTCCCGCTCGTTTTCCGACACCCACACATGCCCCGAATCAACATCGACGCTAACGCAACTTCCCTCTCCATCATCCCTACCATCCTCGACATGCTCGTTCAATCAAACTCCCTCGATACCCGTGATTCAGAAATCGCCTCATCCCTCCTGCCAGAGTATCAAGGCCAATCGCTCATCCGCCCATTCGTCTCATCCGTCAAAGAAAACTCCCACCACGACGGCAAGGTTGAGAACCCCGATGACAACTCAAAGCGCGCACCTCACAAGCACCATGAACGTCCTCATACCCGATATGCATGGAACTTCGGCCTCATCAACGCCGGTGGGTCTATGATCTCCGTCACAGCCGCTGGTCTGCCTTACAGACTTGTTCTTCCACTTCGCGAAGGGTTTGAGTACGGCTTCTCTCATTTGGATAAAGATCCCGGTGAACTGCACCCTATCAAAGCGTGGACTTTGGGGTCCCTTCTTAAGGAAGTCGAATCCGATTACGATGAGGAAGCTAGTGAATGGCTTGAAGAAGCTGAGCAAGTCGCTAAATGGTGGGTTAATAACCAAATTCGAATTTGGGGATACCGAGAAGCTTAATGATTGTTTCCGCCTCTTGTCTTGTCTTGTCTTCAAATACCCTATACCCTTGCATCAGCATCACGACTGGCCAAAAGTCTTGAATATCTTGTGCCCATGTCATATTTTTCATTTTCCCAACCCTATGCATATTCCGGGCTCCACTTCTCGTTTTCATTGCCATTTTCATTTCAAATTCCCACTTCACTCATGTTTCATTTCATTTCTTTATCACATCTTCACCTTCTCAACGATGCCATCGCACTCTCTGGACGGTGTTCGGTGCCGTTTACCCTGCATTCTCTTCCCATCTCTTTTCTTTTTTTTTCTGGTTTTGGTTGTCGGTTGTCAGTCCTGTCTGTCACCTGTATCATATGATACTTGTCATCCTGAGGGATGGATGTTCTATCACGATCTTGGAAAAATTGGGGTATCCTCATGAAAGACGCCCTTGTACATAAGTTAGTTCTTCAAGCCATGACAAGAAGGGATATCTTCTTTAAGTGGTGTGGTTATCCACATAATGTAATTCAATGTATCTACGTTCAACTTGAAATATCTCCGGTGTGCCTTTTTATAATAGTTCTTGTGCATTTCTTTACTTATCCTCCAGGCTGCATATACGTATATGTATGTATGTATAATTCCAATGTTAGTACTTTCTTATGCGTGAGCTGTGTCCAGAGTACGGTGTGCAAGTTGGCCCCCCGGGCCTGTATATTGAATTCCCGAGAGTATAATCTTCCAAGGTTCAAGTCGTCCACTCCATTGCTCCCGAGGTCGCCCAGGTACTAGTACTGCGACTGGTCGCTGTATTTCCAAGGTTTGTGAAAAGACTTCAGCGGAAACAACTTGAAATATATGTTTCATGGTTCAGTGCAAATCTATAATTTTATTCATAGTAATCAAGCCATTGCAGTTGTACCCATAATGCAAAAATATAGCCTAACCAGGGCCTGCGAGGAGCTTAAACCTCGTCCAACATAGAAAACGAGCCGGTTATCCTGCAAAGACACAGATCAGTAAATGGCCTTCGAAGCATAGCCTGAGTCTCAGCCATACTACTACTACTTTAACAACTTAAAGTAGGGGCCATACACATAGTATACAACAGAAAACTATAAGTTCCGAATCACATCCCATTTCTGTTCAAGTTTGTACTATATAGTATTCCAAGGTTCAGCTTCGGATTCGAGACCTCACTCCTTGGATTGCCCAGTCTCTGTCGGGAGGCCTTCCAGGCAGCTGTCTCTTGCAACTGCTCGGTGGAACTTGTAGCTTCGGTCTGACACAAGCTATCGTATCTCCGAGTCAACATACACAGCGAATGCCACTCCCAGACATCATATTCTCTATTAAGAGCGAAACTAAACACTGAAGACTTCGACTGCGTGTACTAATTGCGATTCCAAGCTTATTCGGAGCAGTCACAATGACACACTTTGGTCATTCTCCTTATCAAGCTAGCCACGTTGTCTCTGATGGCAATATGATTATGGCTGTGTCTAAGTACGGCACTGCCAATTGTGCCTCTGAGGCCGGCTACCTAGAACTTGAATCTCTGGACACATAGATTCCCATAAGCCTACAGAACTACTTCAAATTTGCTCATGCATATCCTCACAGATCTGGATAAGCTCTTTGAATGTGGTAATAAATTTTGACAAAGGAAAAGCGCTTTTTCCGCTCGAACAACTATGCAACACGCTGTATATAATTCTAGGCACCCTATTTATTGCGGCTTTGGCGGCCGAGCATTTATTTATTTGACCAAGTTGGAAATTTAGGAAAGGGCCCTTCAAGTTCATGCTGTATCACATCTCTTGTTGACCGGTGAGAGATTGCTTCCGTGTTCGAGCTAGCTCTACTAGTAGGTGATGAGCAGTGCATAAGGGTACACGTGCATGAATCATGATGCACCAATGGATGATATGTTTCAAGTGAACACCGTTGTAGGTGCTCTGGGGCTAGTATGTAAGAGTCTTAAAAATTTGAATGTGTTTGGCGACGTAGATCTAATCAAGCCAGGTCAATCCCAGTCAATCGATACTATACCTTGGCATTAAGCTTCTTATAGTAAGGCAAAATTTGGCAGCATGAAATAAAATCGAGCTGCCAGTGTATATTATATCCTGAAATTGGCCCATGGTAGCGATTGCTTGTTACCTCACGATATGGGCGATATAGTAAATTGGTCGAACCGTGCATACGAGGGTGGCTGGATTAGCGGTTAATTTAATGCTTGGGGTAAATCGTGGGGGTATGTTAGTATGTCTCCGAAGCGAGCTTACCATTTTTCTTCTGGATTAAGCCTAGAAGAAACAAAAGGTGCATAGTTCGGCATATGTTTTCTCTCTTGGGAGTCAGCCTTTTTAGAAAATGCTGCCTAGTCTAGATTCAAATGGTCATCTGTAATGCAAATAAGACATCGGGCAGATTTAACACCCACTACCACCGGCCTAAAATCAATAAACTTTCTGCATATGCAACTATAAATACACTGGGCAAGTCATACGGTTGTTCAGTACTGACACACAGAGTCAGCGCCACTTTTATATAGCAAGCCTTCTCATGATTTTTACCGACTTTGCCTTTTTGCCGATAAGTTCTGTTGGAAACACGAATCAAATATGCCGCGGAGGTGTCTGAGATTGTCACAGTGGACTAGAAGGCAGGCACGGGCCGGACGGCCCAGAGACACCCAATTTCTAGCAGTCACAAGCTAGTACAATAGTTAAGGTCAAAATCTTGGAACGATCAACAAAGATAAGGTAGATAGACATTCATCAAACCCAGATCCGGAGAATGCAACGCATCACTGCGCAGATAAGAGCAACGAAGAGAAAGTAACCCTGCATAGAGCGCTTGAGCTCAAGAACGGGATATACAGAAGCACGGGCCATTTAAAATCTAGATCTACCAGGCTCGCCTAGAACCATCGGGTTCGTTGCGGCGGTGTGTGCCTATGCAGGAGGACAAAGAGCAAAACAGAACACCGACAGAATTTCAAGGGGTTGCCGCGGAAGAATCTAGAAGATCCGGAACATGTTTACTGCTGTTTAGGCATTGCTCACGGGAACAGAAGCAAAAAAGGGTGAAATCTAGAGCTTGTGGCTTGCACTGTTCACTATACTGTGGATGTGTTGGCAGATCTCGGAATCACCCGAATAAGTAAGGTTGGTTTTTTTTAGTTGGTCACATGGTGAATAGACGCGGCTGTTCCGCTGGGCTTTTGGTTAATTGATGAATTGGAATATTTTGCATCTGGATCTGGATTTTATTCAGGGGTTGCACCAGGTGGCTGTTGAAGATTCTTTTGGGGGTATACTTGCATTTTGTAGTGTATCATAATTCTCCCTATATGGTTCTGGAACTTGTGGCGGCCGGATCTATAAATGGATACATAAGTACTTCGTACTTAATAAAGTATATGCTTCCAAAGTTCTATATCAAATAGCATCCGTGTTGGAATAAGGTATTTATTCTCCAAAACAAATTTAAAGACTATTCTTAATAATAATTGGCGACCAGGAATTCTCATCTACAGAAGGAGAAAAAACAAATCCCAGTTGTCTGGAATGGGCCCATTGAGTTTCTCTCAGCCAGGAACAGAGAACCGTGGGGGTTGGTGGCGGGAGCTATTGGTGAATGTTGGAGGACACATGACCCTCTGAACTGCAAATTATTGAATATTTCACCAGTTATTCTTAGTCCTGGACACGAGATTGTAGTAGATTTTACACAGATCGGGCTCGCGGCAATGGATTCCCGGGGTCACCTGAAGAGGTGCCCAGCGGTGCGGGATCCCGGGGAATCGGCTTGCCCAAATCAGGCATCCGATCTTCGATGTCTGGGGTTTGGAGAAAGAAAATAAAATTAAAAAATAATCAAAAACAAATATCTTGATTCTGATACGGAGTAAACGGACTAATTGAATGGAACATTATAGAAATCATTTCTCAAAGCTTTGTATCTTATTTGATGGAAGTTGGGAAATTCCCATGATGTATGATGTACGATGTATGATTGATATAATAAATGCCTTTCAAGTCATAGAACAAGAATGATAACTATCATAACAAATAATATCACGATGAACTGACAAGGATGTTAAAAAAAGGTCCGGGGGAGAAAGTACCAAATGCATAGAATTCCAATTGGCAGGAAGTACTGTATGTAGTACATTTGTCGCCACTGCCGTTTGACCTGCGCCATCGAACCCATTCCCCCCTTCCCCATTCCCCGGAGCGACAGACCCGGCCTGGACCGAGCTCAGTGGAATATCGTTTAGATTTTAATTTTTGGCTTGGAAATTTCCTTTCTGAGTCTGTCAGTCTCTTCATGTTCACGAGACCTGTCTCCGGGATCTCTTCGGTTCTGGTGCCGTATAGTAGATGCTAAACAATATTTAAAGCCTCCTTGGTTCCCTAGAGATTTTCCATTCATCACAGTTCATTGTCTTCATCTGAATCTTCTATAATATTTAATCACTCGACTTTCTACGACTTTGTAGACTTTGTATACTTTGTATACCAACACATCCTTCTACTTATTTTAATACCCATCCATTCATCTAATATACAAAATGTCCGTCTCCATCGAAACCACCCAGGTTCCCACCGCCCCTGTTACCTCCCAGCCTGTCCTAATAGGACAACCGGCGCGTATGCTCGAGTTCAGTCTCGCCGGCAAGGTTGTACTAGTCTCCGGCGCAGGCCGTGGTCTGGGATTAACCCAAAGCGAGGCCCTCCTTGAAGCAGGCGCAAAGGTCTACGCTCTTGACCGACTAGAGGAGCCAGTATGTACACCCCTATCAATCAATCATGATTCTATTGAAAGGAACATTTCTAACATAACACTCAAAGGCTGCTGAATTCGCTGAGATCCAAGAGCGCGCCAAGGCCCTCGGCACAGAACTGCACTACCGCCGCATTGATGTGCGTGACACAGAGTTGCTCAACAGTGTCATTGAGGAAATAGCCAACACCGAAGGCCGCATGGATGGTCTCGTTGCAGCTGCTGGTATCCAACAGGAGACCCCTGCTCTCGAGTACTCTGCCAAGGACAGCAATACCATGTTCGAAGTAAATGTCACGGGTGTCTTCATGACTGCCCAGGCTGTTGCAAAGCAGATGATTCGCTTTGGAAACGGTGGTAGTATCGCCATGATCGCCTCTATGAGTGGTACCATTGCCAATCGGGTACGTTCCATCCCCTCCCATCAAGTTTTCGTTAAATCTTGGCCTTTTCTTTTCCTTCCGCCACGAATCTTTTCCCGGCACTTGGCTTCCGGTCTTGTCTTTCCCCACATGTCATACGCATCCTTTTCTTGTTTATTTAATTTTTTTTCTGGGGCTCATTATCTAACAAATTGTCTATTACACAGGGTCTTATTTGCGCCGCCTACAACGCTAGCAAGGCCGCTGTTATTCAACTGGGCCGTAACCTCGCCGCTGAGTGGGGTCAGTACAACATCCGTGTCAACACCATCTCCCCCGGCTACATTGTCACTGCTATGGTTGAGAAGTTGTTCGTCGAGTTCCCTGAGCGCCGCGACCAGTGGCCCAAGGAGAACATGTTGGGCCGTCTCTCCCGTCCAGAGGAGTACCGTGGTGCCGCTGTCTTCCTGCTGAGTGACGCTTCCAGCTTCATGACTGGTAGCGACTTGCGCATGGACGGTGGCCACGCCGCATGGTAAATCCGGAACGGCTCCATAATTAGACAAAGGGATGAATGATATTTCATCCGCGTGACCCTGTATAGGAGTCTCTCATTGCATGGCGTTGAACATTTACACTTACATTTTAATTTACATCCTCAATTTGGGATGGGATCAGCAAAGCGTTGGAATTTGAATTTGGGATTTTTCATTTTATTTCATTGCCATTCGTCCTTTCATCCATGTCCTGATGATCAGCGATTTTTTTATGTGTGCCTATCTGTTATGATGCTGATTAGACTAATCGATCGCTCGAATTAATGCACCTTACTCTATGATTAGATCCACTCGTTTACTTTTAGTGTTTGCTTTTACATTGACAGATCGGCTCCACTGGTCATTTCCCGGCATGACAGTGATCTTTTCCTGTTTGAAAGACACGAAACGTGTTCGTGACGCAGGATTCTCCTTTGAGAAGGAATAAATTAAATATTACGTTTTTTTCTCTTACACGGACTTCTCGTTGTTTATCCTGATCCAGTCGCCTCTTGCACAAAGAAAGAACAAAAAAAATCTAAATCTAAATCTAACTTGTAGGCCCAGGCATCCATCCACACATGACCCTGCTCTTTTCCAAATCTGCTAGTACATGCCAAAAAGAATGACAAGTCTATGATGAACACGAAGATAGCTTAACCCAGCACCAAGGTTCCTCTCCCACTGCCACGTCCTCTACCATTGTTTGTGACCCGGAAACCTTGTTGGATCCACTCTGGGGAAGATGCGGTAAACCACCTCGCCCGTCCAATCAGGGGAAATTGAGGCTCGCTCGGCCCTTCTGGTCACGATTAGTGTTTTTGATAGGATTGTTGACAGGGCTGGAGGTCCAATCAGGTTGTCCGGGGTAAGCGAGAGGTGCTGGAGATGTGCGCTAGTTATATTTTTGGGCTATGGCTGTTTGATGGTTCAAGTTTGCGCTTGGCGTGGTTGGGGTTGGGGAGATGGGATGCAAGGGGCGGCACCATTTGTTAGTGACGCTTGGAGTAGCCTCTTTGGATAGGTTCTTATTTATTTTGAGAATATTAATACGAGAGCTCCTTAAATGGATCGTGCTTAATTGTGCGTGGTATATAGAGGTCTGTGGATAGTATTCGACACTACTGATAGTGTATATGAATCTAAATGAAGGATTCAAAGTCGGGGTCGGGGTCGGAGTACCAGAGTGCCATCTCATGGTGTGTTGGTACCCAGTGGATGTTTTCCACGAGTAAGCTTTGGTGGTCGAGGGGGACAGTGGCGGCTATAAACGGGAGATGTGATGAAATCATGATCTGTAGTTATCTTTCGGGATATCCAGATCAGGCAGCGTACACGGGAAAAGTAGACACCCGATGCCTATACCTGAGTCAAGTGTGTCTACCTAAAGTCAGATCTGAGTGTTCAATTTTTAGTACTTCTAGTGTTTTCAACTTTTTTTCTCTCGTGAACTATGAAATTTGAAGCGGTACGCCCAAGTGAAGATAAGCCGTGTTTTGAAGGGTAGTCACACAGTCGGGCAAAGTCGTGTTGTACTTGTACAGTAACATGGGTCTCCAATCAAGGCATTCAGAATTTAACATTTAACTATAGGAGACGTTGGTGACTTGGATTTGAAAAATCAATCGTCCAGTAACCTTTATCGGAATATCCGGGATGGGGGGGGGGGCAGCTGAAGCTGACCCGACCGTAGCAGTTTGTTGCCACCGGGGCGAAGCCCAGTTGACTGCGAAATAAAATGACAAGTTTCTCGAGTTCAAGTTTTTTCACACGCCAAGAATTCTTACAGTGAGATTATGCTTGTCTTTGATTAGCTGGTTGGAAATTTGGAAATTGTTATTAGGCAGTCTGCATGCCAATCGGGTCCAAGGCAGTGCCACCGGCGGATCTTGAGTTCTTGATAGTGCATTGCACCAATAGGTCCTGTACCGATCTTGAAATACTTCCAGTATGCAGCAAGAAGTCAGTTGGACATCAAGACAAGGAACCATTTTTAAAAGATAGTGGCGTTGCAATGAACTGGGCTAGTTTCTCAGCTGGGATTTCCTTTTGATTCACGTTTTACAACCCCGACTCCGTACATTCGCATGTACCGATCCTTCTATTCTAGTTCTAGAACCATGACTCGGGATACATTAGGTCAAAATACGGAGTACTCCGTACATACTTGTAGCGGAAATCTGACATGTCTATCACTAAATACTCCGTATACTTTATCGCAAAGAAGCACTCTTGGAGTGGAGTACTTTCCTACATTTCCGTGATGTACGCGTATTCTAAGAGGCTCAGTGGGCGAACCGAAGATAGCTATGGTGCGAGCACACGGGAAGTGGATAGACTTGCTCGGTAAAGTCAATCTAAGGAGACAATAAAGAAAAGTGTCGGCTAAATCCCGCTAGCCACCAGGTGCCAAGAGTCTTGTCTCGATGATAAGACTAGCCAAGCAATTAAACAAGCCTCGGGGGGCCCGAGAGAGCTTTCGCCGTCGGAGTTCCCTATAGGATTTTGATGGCTTCATTTCCTTCATTTCCTTCATCTCACCCTCTCCAGGAACAGCCACTTCGGTGCTTTTCTGAGGTTTGTTGACCCTGCAAGTTTCCACGCGCATTATGCTTTGCATTTCCGTCTACTACTCCCCGAGAAGACAAATCGCCGTTGTTGAATCCATCTCGTGTTCAGTGGACCGGGAATTTAAGCAAGTGGGCACATGGCACTCGATTCTTTTCCCGCACAGCCAATGATTCGGCTTTGCCGCGGGGCAGACTTACCAGAGTTACAGTGGCACGGCATAGGTTGCATGCGCTATGCCCGATAAAACGAGGTTCCTGGTGCGTGATTGGAAGCGGGATCAGCCTTATCCGCCAACATTTGCCTACGAAGCTCGGGCATATGGCCGAATGGGGATTAGCGTGTTATCGCTAGATAAGCTAGATACGCATGGCGTGATAAGTAGTCCGGGGTACTGATAATGGCCCACTATTGCACCATGAAAGAAAAAAAAAATAATAGAGGAAGCTTCACGAGGAACTTAGCTCCGAGAGAGAGAGTAAAAAAGAGATTAGCAGATCTTGGCAAGAATCTAAATTAAATTCGCAGAGGCAAAATTTGCCAATGATCAATTTCCATTAGTCTTCGGGGTCATCGTAGTCTGTCTGATCACAGGAGATAAAAGGTCTACAACTCCCGACCCTACATCCTTCTACCTTCTTCCCCTCACTTTTATTCCCCTCCGTCTTTTTCCCTTTCCCCTCGTCGCAGATCGGCATTTCTTCCCCCATCCACTTTCCCTTCTCTGAACCCTTCCTTGCATAGGGCGCTGTGTCTTCGCTCGCCTTACTCAAGATGTCGGTCACAGAGGTCAAACGCTCTTCCAGTTCGATGGAGATCCAGGAGACTAGCCAGGAAAAAGCCATTGAAGTGAGAGGAGGTGAAGTCGAGGATCCTCACAAGCCCAAGAAAAGTCTCATCTCGGAAAATTACAATCTGGGAATTGGAGATGAGGATCCTACTGACGACGAGCTTCATGGCGCCAATGCGCTGCGTCGTGTATCTGCTCCTATCCCATGGGCAGTGTACACGGTCGCTTACGTAGAGTTGTGCGAACGTTTCTCTTACTACGGAACTCAAATTTTGTGTACGTTCATCTTGAAGGTTTACTTTTGTATCACTCGAGTGCTAACGTGAGCTTATGCTTAGACTCCAACTTCGTCAACCACGCTTTACCCCAGGTCGACGGCCCCGCTGGTTCGAATCACAACACTGGTGCAGGTGGTGGCTCCTCTCAGGGTGTCTCTGGAGCTCTTGGTAAGGGCGTGGAGGCCGCCAATGGAATCAACACTTTCAATACCTTCTGGTGTTACTTGGTGCCCCTTGCCAGCGCCTGGCTTGCCGATGAGCACTGGGGTCGATACAAGACTATCTGCTGGTCTATTGCTATTGCTATCTTCGGTCATATAATTCTAGTCATTTCCGCCATTCCTCCGGTCATCACGAACACACCTGCTTGTTACGGCGTTTTCATTGTCGGTGTCATTATCATGGGCTTGGGAACAGGTGGTTTCAAGCCTAACATTTCGGCCCTGGTCGTTGAACAAATCCCAGCCATTAATATGAAGGTTCGCACGTTGCCCTCAGGTGAGCGCGTGATCATCGATCCTACGATCACGCAGAGTCGTATCTACCACTACTTCTACCTGTTCATCAACATCGGTGCTCTGATCGGACAAATTGGCATGGCCTACGCCGAAAAGTATGTTGGCTTTTGGCTGGCATTCTTCCTGCCTACACTCATGTTTTTGACATGTCCTTTGATCATGTGGTGGGGACGCCACCGTTACCGCCAGTCTCCTCCCCAGGGCTCAATTACATCCAAGGCAGCCCGAGCATTCTGGTACGCTCTCAGTAAACGCTGGCACTGGAACCCCGTCAAATTTTGGAAGCGTACTCATGACGGTTCTCTATGGGAGAATGTCAAGCCATCTAACATTCCCCAGAGCCAGCGCCCTCACTGGATGACCTTCGATGATGCCTGGGTCGACGAGGTGCGCCGTGGATTCGCTGCATGTGCTGTTTTCTGCTACCTCCCACTGTACTGGTTGGCATACAGCCAACTTACCAACAACTTGACCGCACAGGCTAGTACAATGGCCCTGGGTGGTGTTCCCAACGATGTCATTAACAACCTGGATCCATTCGCATTGATCATCTTTATTCCCATCTGCGATACATTCCTGTACCCCGCTCTGCGAAAGATGGGCTACCGTTTTACAGCCATCAAGAAGATCTTCCTCGGCTTCATCTTCGCTTGTCTGGCCATGGTCTGGTCCGCTGTTGTGCAGCTCTACATCTACAAGAAATCGCCCTGTGGATACCAAGCCAACAACTGCTACACTGCCGATGGAGCCATCCGTAACGCACCACTGAACGTGTGGATCCAGACAGGTGCCTACGTCCTGATTGCGTTCTCTGAAATCTTTGCCTCCATTACATCTCTTGAGTATGCTTACTCCAAGGCTCCACGAGGCATGCGTTCCCTGATCCAGGCTATTGCCCTCTTCGCTAATGCCATCTCCGCCGCTATTGCCGAGGCACTGAACCGTCTGTCCAGCGATCCCCTCCTCGTCTGGAACTACGGTGTCTTTGCCGTCTTGGCTGGTCTGGGTGGTGTATTCTTCATCTGGCAATTCTGGGGTCTGGATCAGGAAGAAGATGAGCTTAACAACTTGCCCGAGGGTCATGTTATGGCTGATGAGAAGATTGCCCTTGAGGTTGCCGAGATTGGCCCTGTTAAGGGATAAAGTTGATTGTTTCGTTGCGTTTGCTTTGCTTTTCTTAGTTCGACTTGCTTCAAGTTCTTTTCGTTGCTTGCTTGGCGTCATGATACCTCAATGTGCTTCCGCCTCATGAAAATATGCAACGTCCTTACGATTTTATTGTTACCCATAATACAGCAACGCATTCGATCATGATGATATTCAGATACATAAATTCTCTTATCATTTCGTAATATTTCTATAGAATTTCCATAATATGAAGTCTTTTAAGTGAGCCTCGAACAACTTCTATTTCCCTCTCCAAGTCGCTCAGAACTTGAACTTTGACGACGATAAAAAGAAAATTGAAACTTATCGCACGCAGGGCAATATGATCGTGTTCTCTTTGCAGTTTAGTATGATTGAAACATACAAAATAGGCGAGCGATGTGATGATTAAAACGGATGGATGTTCAAATGCCTATTGAGCCCGCAGCCGTGGAGCGTACTTCATTTAGTCAATGTCAATGTTCAAATCGGTAGCTGGTAACCGATGGATTGACGTTCGGAACTGTTTCAAAAATGACGAACCATACATGAAAATTAACAAAATCCAACCGGCAAATGAACCGGCATGCAGGTAAGTTCTCACCCTTCACAGCTCTTTTCTTCGTGCAGGTGAAGTCTCTTCTTGAATCTCACGAAATTTGACACTTTCAACGACTTAGCTAGGCCATCAGCGACATTCTCCACCCCCGCGATCGGGCAAAAATTGATTTCCAAACGATCCTGCAAGTCCATGACTGCCCAATACTTGATGTCCATCGCTTTAGTAGACTCATGATACCCTTCCTCGAACAACACCTTCCATATGTTATTGTGGTATTGGTACCTCGCTAGGCATCAAGTTATCATCTAGCCTGGGATAGTAGTATAGAATGTTGGCGCTAGTACCTGGGTGCTATCCCAAGATCTCGAAGCTCTGGTTTTCTTGATCTCTGTGTATATATTGACCCATTATTTGATGTAATCATGAATCATGTTATAATAGTAGGTGTTCAAAAGCCTTGAAACTCCAACTTGAATGAGGTGTCCTTGACATGTAGTATCTGCGGAGCCGATTTTTTGGAAGCGCCTTCCTTTGATGTGTAGTTTCCCTAGGAGAGTCTGTATAAGATTCTACCTTTAAAATATATCCACAAAGCTGTCACAGGCCCAAAAGGCAATCCCCCCTGTCGAAACTTTGAGGTGATATGCGAGTATCACTCCTTGCTTTGTTCTGGGTTTGAAGCTGCGTTGTGTCTCAGTTTCGTGGCGGCGTTGAAATAAAATTCGTTTAAGCTGACGATGCGAGAATTACTATATAGGGTTAACCGATGTCAACGTGGAGCCGTGAGAATACATCGGTGATCTCAGCGATACATTTGATTTTTCTGACTTCGATATCATTTCAGGTCTTCAAATTCTTCTGAGCCCAACCGTCGTACTGGCTTGGCTGTAATTTATTTGGTGCGAGTCGAGTCGATATTGTGGAAATGTGTACGTGGAGGCATCGCCAGCCTCGTCGTCTGCTCCAAACTCTTTGCCTTCGTTTGCAGCCAGTCGACTTGCTGGAACTTTTGCAAACTTGGGAGTGGAGGCCTGGGTTAAAGTTGGAGCGGCACTGGCGTCTTCCTTATGTTGCTCTCGGATTGCCGGAGCTTGTTGAAGCGCAATCTTGCACTTGACAGGGTCAGCAAATCGTGGACTACTCAATGAAATTAGTAGGTGCCAGTAACACAGTAGGAGATACTTACAATTGTCATTCTCATTCTTTCTAAACCTTCCCATCATCAGTCATCCTTTCCATGAGATCCTTTTTCCATTGGATTCAAGTTCACTGCAGTGGGGGAAAGGGCCACTTCTTCTAAATCCTTTCGCTCCTTTCTAACCTCATGATGACTCTGAATAATAAGGCCGAGGATCAACAACTTGAAGGTCGAAGATATAAGAACTTCCCCCGGCAATCTACTATCAAGAACGTCAATATTGGAATGAGTCAATACTGGAATATCTACAAATGATCTGAATTCTAACCCCGAGTTCCTATATATCATTACGATGATCATTTCTTCCTAAGTTCAACCCCAGACGTAAATCTCCCGGTAAACCGGGTTCTTCGGCACCTGAGCGAAGGCATAGTGGGCCTGACAAGATTCCCAGGCGTCAAATCGGGGTTAACGGTCCAGCCTGCTCCACAACTACAAATTAATGGGCTAAAATAGGTCAGGCGATGGATTTTGCTTGTTTATGACCTGTCATCACTACACCCAAATATTACAGTGGAAATGAATACGGCCCACAAAATGGATCAAGTGGGTATCATCTTTGACGGGCAAAACAGTAAGACTTGGCGTCCGGCCTGATAATGCATGATCCATACCGCTTCTTTAAGGCTGTACTACGTGAATAGGCATGGATGCGCCGTGGGCATACAGCCCTGTGGCATTGCTAAAATTGAAGCAATCTCTTTGCTAAGTTACTCATTCCATTTTGCTGGGTTGTTTCAGCTGGAAAGAGATTAATTACAGATACTAGTAATCGGCGACGAAAAGATGACTGTGTACAGAACACGAAGTACGGAATAGGGAGCAGTTTCGCTGTACCTGACACCGCCCCAATTCTAAAGTTTTCTAAAGTTCAGCTCGATGGAGACCTGACAGCCCTATGCAGTTCAAGTTCAGATCTGGAATGTGGCTGCCTGCACGGGAATCCGCGGAATTCTTTGATTAAAAATTGGGAAGTTCCAGTTTCCAGTTTCTAATTTCCAATTTCCAAATTCCGAGTTCATTGATTGTTGGTTACACATGTATGTGTACTATATTTGGCTAGAAAACAACCGCAGTGGATAAATATTATGTACACAAGTACGATCAGGAATTTGGAACCGACCATCATTTCGGGCATTGGGATCGGATGCCAACGGTGTGGCTGAAGGCCCTTTTGGCCCCATAACAGGGTCCACTTAGCTCGTCGAGACCTGATTGTTCAGGGGTCGTGGTGGATCGACAGATCCGTTCCGTATGGACGAACCGATGTGTGTGGATTTGTTAGGAAACCCTGATCTTGTTTACGGGCGCTGCAATTGACTCTATTTTCAATCTGAGGTACAGGGAAGTATTCTGGATATTTGAAGTATGATTGACTATGCTTTCTGTATCGAGCCTTATTATGCGCTGGATAGGCTGATTCGCTTCGGGGACTATTTTTGCTTTACAGGGTTGTTGTTGCGGTGTTGTGCCGAGCTGGATATTGTCCGGGTTACATATTTGAATTGCCCGAATAGGTATAAGCTGCGTCCTTTTTTTTGGCTCGAATTGGGACTCGATTATGGATAGTTGATGGATAATCGCATCATATTATGCGACTTTGAAACAGCTGGAAGGTCATACATAAGCACAAGCATAATTTCTGGATTAGTATAGAACTCCATTCTCAGCCAAGTCTCAGTCCCATTAGGACTCGGACTCAAGATATATCGCAATTGCCTAAAATTCCGCTTCTCTTCAGTGTGGCTGTTCGACTGCGCAAATTTCTGCAGTTCGCCTAGAACAGCAAAGTAGGAGGGTTCGATTTCCGCTAGCTTTGACATCACCAGTCCCACTGTGTTCCCCACTCAATCACTGTACCATGATTTGCTTATCCCTGGGAACGCCAATGCACTATTGGGAGCATACCGCGCGCCGCGCTCCCAAATCTCGGGGCCAAGATCAGCCATCCGGTATTCCCGGTACATAAATAAAATGAAAGATCCCTAGTTGCCCTTTCCCCGGAAGATCACTGCTTTAACTCTTTTCGTTCCTCTGCTTCGCTCCACCTGTTAGGAAAGAGGCTGCTGCAGTCTCACCATGAAGGTCTCTGCACTACTGAGTTCCATTGCGCTGGGCGCACTGCCTGGTAAGTATCTGATCGCCCACCTTGATCGCCCACCTAACTGCTCCGCTCGGGTAGATTCCCACCTTCAAATTATGAGATAAGACCTTGCCCACTAACTGATCCGAATTGAATTTCTTTAGGTGCAATTGCAGCTCCTGGATTCATCGAAAGAGAAAGTGAACAGCTCGCTGCAGACATCATTGTCCGCGCCCTCCCCAATGCCCCGAATGGATACACTCCAACCAACGTGAGCTGTCCAGCCAGCAAACCAACACTTCGCAGTGCCGCCAAGCTCTCCTCGAATGAAACATCTTGGCTAGAAACCCGTCGCAAGAAGACCGTCACGCCTATGAAAGACTTTTTCAGCCATGTCTCTGTCGGCGGATACGATGTCGGTTCATACATCGATAAGCACTCCAGCAATATGTCGAATCTCCCGAATATCGCTATCGCTGCGTCTGGTGGTGGTTACCGTGCTATGTTGAACGCTGCTGGTGCTGTTAAGGCCTTTGACAGCCGTGTTGAGAATGCTACTACAAAGGGGCATCTGGGTGGTATCCTGCAGTCGGCTACTTATGTTGCTGGTCTGAGTGGTGGTAGCTGGCTGGTCGGCTCAATTTTTATCAACAACTTTACCTCCGTCGCAGATTTGCAGACTTACGGCGATGGTCAAGTCTGGGCGCTCGGTGATAACATTTTCGAGGGTCCCAAGACCGGCAGTATTCATGCGCTGGATACAGTCGATTACTACAAGGATCTGGCAGAGGCTATCGAGTCTAAGAGGAAGGCTGGCTTTGACGCCTCTATTACTGATATATGGTATGTGACTTCGTGTTTTTGGTGCCAATTTCAGAAATTGTGAAAAAGAAAAACCCCAATGCTAACTCTTTTCAACGCAGGGGCCGTGCTTTGGCTTTCCAGATGTACAATGCTACCGAAGGAGGAATTGATTACACCTGGTCGTCTATTGCTGAGACCCAGGACTTCATCGACGGCAACTACCCAATGCCGTTGGTTGTCGCTGACAGCCGTAACCCAGGCGAGGTCCTCTCATCATCTTACTCAACTGTCTTCGAGTTCAACCCATGGGAGTTTGGATCGTTCGACCCAACATTGTTTGGATTTGCCCCTCTGAAGTACCTTGGCTCCGACTTTGATGGCGGCAGCATCTCCTCGAACGGATCCTGTGTACGTGGTTTTGACAACGCCGGATTTATCATTGGATCATCCGCTACTCTCTTCAACGAAGCCATCACAGAGCTAGGCAGCAACTCGTCCTCGATCACCGCTTGGGCTGAGGGCGTTCTCAAGGATGTTTTCAACAGCGTTGATAAGGCAGACGATGACATTGCCTCTTACAAACCCAACCCCTTCTACGGATACAACAAGAACATCTCGCCATTTGCCAGCCAAACTACCCTGGACATCACCGATGGTGGAGAGGATGGACAAAACATTCCTCTGCACCCTCTCATTCAGCCCGAGCGTGCTGTCGATGTGATTTTTGCCATCGACTCCTCCGCTGATACCTCACTTAGCTGGCCCAACGGAACCTCACTCGTAGCTACTTACGAGCGTAGCTTGAACAGCACCGGAATTGGCAACGGCACCGCTTTCCCTGCTGTTCCAGACCAGAACACATTCGTCAACCTGGGTCTGAACACTCGCCCTACCTTCTTCGGCTGCAACAGCTCTAACATCACCGGTCCCTCTCCCCTGGTCGTGTATCTCCCCAACTACCCCTACACTTCCCAGTCCAACACCTCCACCTACCAAATGACCTACGAGGACTGGCAGCGTGACAACATCATCACCAACGGATACGAAATCGCCACTATGGCCAATGGTACTCGCGACGGTAACTTCACTGCTTGTGTTGGCTGTGCCATCCTGAGTCGTTCCTTCGAGCGTACCAACACTGATCTTCCCGAAATCTGCACACAGTGCTTTACAAATTACTGCTGGAATGGTACCACCAACTCCACCCAGCCTAACGAGTATGAACCCTCAGACTTGATGGTATCCTCAGATGCTAGCTTCATGATGCCTACCATCCTCTCTTCTGTGATGGCAGTCAGCGTGACTCTTTTCACATTGGTGTAGACTGCATCTGGAAAGATGATCATTTCGTTTGCATTTCGTTTGCAGGTTCTTATTTATGTAATTGCGCTTTTGCGCCACGATTTCACGGCCTTCATTGCCAAGTACTGTACGATTAGTATGCAGTTTATACATACCATTGAGGAATCTCATGCAAATAATCATACCAAGCATTGAACTAAATCTCTCTTAGCAGAGTATTGACGTGTTGCAAGGTTCTTACTATGTTTTAAGATTCAAAGTTTATAATTGATAGCGTATGAACCAGTGTCATTCATTCAGTTGTAGCCTATATACTTGATTATCAGGACCAACCAACCCCGCCCTTCCAACTTATTACCTGGCATGTAATCCCTAGGTATAAGTAGCTATACAACTTAGTAAACGTTCATAACGTCATATCCTGTTTCAATATACAACTTGAATAAATTCAAACCACATTAAGATAATCATGCTGCGCCAACCTCTCTCGCAACCTTCTCGGGATGATCGGCCGGCAAAACATCAGCAATAGTCTCATCCGTTCCAGCCAAATCATCCTCGAGATCAACATGATCCCTAATCTTCAAGAAGATAACGGGAGCAGCAACAACAAGGGAAACACCCAGAAGGACCCAATTGCTGATAAACTCCTTCTCATATGAGAGCTTTCTCGCATCAAGGTTGTTAACAACGGCCGCACCAATGGACTGAATACCCTTGTAGAAACCAACGTAGTTTGCAGAGCGACGGCCAGAGTTCGAAAGAGCACCCATAAACCTATAAACGGTTAGAATTAATCGTGACATTCAAGAGAGTTTCGTGGGTGATCTTACCAGTAAATACTAGCCTGCCACGCAGCATCGTAGAAACCATAGAAGAGATATAGGAACATTGGTCCCACATATCCCTTTGTAGTCCAATCTGTCGCCACGAAACCAGAGCCTTTAGCAACAGAGGCTCGGGTATAGGTCTTCTCGTACGCATAACCACCACCCCAGATGGCGAATGTTAGAATAAGGAGAACAACCCATGTAATCTTTGCACGGACGGAACGTCGCACACTCTTGCCATCGAGCAGAACACCCCAGATACCAGCAGCAATGATCTGAGCAAGCCAGTAGAGAAGATTGTTCAGCGCCTTGGTGCGGGTGGTGAAGTGGGCGCCGTTGACGGAATTCTGCTGGTAGACGTAGAACCAGTTGGAAACGAAGAACATAGGGAAGAGTAGAACGACGAAAGGCTCGAAGCGCAGTGTCTCCCAGAGACCCTTTAGTTCGGATTGCCAAGTAGGATGCTTCATTAGGATAACGCGGCTGCCGTCTGGACGGATAATATCCTTTGCGTTGCACAGGCAGAGGGCTAGGAGTGCACCGATGGCCATGAGGACAATGAAACCGATGTATGTGCCACTGGAGACTGTGACGTTTTCTTTTGTGTGCATGTTTTGGCCCAGTGGAATCTGAATTATGGTATTAGCATGATATTGAGTTTGATTAGGGTAGAGATCCGATCTTACCAAACTACCGACCACGGCGCCCATGTTGAAAATTCCCCAGAACCAGGCAAAATAGGTACCCTTCTTAGTCTCCATTGGGTAGGAGATCATAATTGTTCCCTGGGCGGTCCAGAGGAGACCAGCGCAGATACCAAGGAAAGCACCGGCGAAGAGGTTAAAGCCGGGGACGTGATGTTTCAGCGAGACGAGCAAACTAATTGCGTACAGCATGTAACCAATGCCACCGAATGCGAGGGTCCATTTCACACCGAGCTTGTTCACGAATGTACCGCCGAAGATACCGAAGACTGCGAAAGCGCTGTATAGAGCTGTGTTCTAGAAGAAGTTAGAAAAATAAACCCTTAAGAGGAAAATGCGATAAAAGTTGAGCTGTTGGAAGCGCGTTCGAGTTGCAAGAATATTCCAACGATAGAAAATTCCTTTACTTACCATATTGTCTGACAGTGTTGCGTCTGTCCTTCCACCACCTCCCATTCCACCGAGCGCATTGAACATACCAGGACACATGAAGCACACAAATGCGACCATTACCAGCTGAACTCTGGGCGACGCATACCAGGGGACGTTGAAGCCGAATACGCGAAATTGTTTGTACTTCCAACCTGAAGGTAGAACGGTAGCTCCACCGTCCTCATGCTGATCATGAGCAGTCTCCATCTCCGTGTCGTTGATATTTCCAATGGATTTATTCTCGGTAGTCATGATGCTAACCTTGGATCTAGCAAGATACAAGACTATTTATCAGAAAGGTCCACCGGTAACTAAATAAAAGAAAAAAGAAGGAACTCCGAAGAAAGCGGGGGGAACCACGACCATTAAAATAATGATAAGTCTCCACCCCTATTATTCTATTATTTTCGACGTTTGCTATCTTCACCAATCAGCGACATAAAAAGTTAAAATGCGATCCTAGTCTCGTGCTCGAGCGTTTTCCCTGTCGGGTCGATAAGCCGTCAGCTCAGACTTAGGGGGTCGGGGTCATGCTGGTCGCCTGATCCACTTTACAGTACAATCAAGATAAAGTGGAGTAGTGGACTCGGGGAGACGATAGGGAGTAGAGTAGGCTTTCGACGTGGACTCCACCCCCACAAACAACATCAGGGATAAGGATGCCACATGTGGTTTTCCATGGGCCAAGAATAGTGTGTTGTTTTACTCGAACGGTGCATTGTACATGTCCAGTTGGCTCACATGGCTGTGCGTCAAGCACGGTGGGGAATGAAACATGGCTTATTTTGCGTCTAGCGGGGGGAGGTTATTGGATGATAGGTCGACTAGTAAAGGGATCAGATGTAACATTGCCAGGAAGAGTCCATTGACAGGTTCGATCTCGATTAAACCGTTCCATTCTATTTATCTTTTAGGTCTTTGCTCTAGTGTCGCGTGGGTTTCTAGGATCTGGATCTGTGGCTTGAGGGAACCCTGAATCAAACTTGAATCCACTATGTGTCATTAGTATCGGAGGGGAATAAGCACTAGGATAGATATCGTGAACTTCTAGTTAGTGCAGTGCCAGATTGATGGATGGGAACCTTGAATCGAGGACAAAGCTAATGTTACACTATATCTCGCTTCGAACCCCGGGCTCGGGTTTATACATTATGTTCAGGATAAATATTCCATACTAGAAGTTAGAACTACTAGTATGTACCTGCTAGAACCTTTACCATAATCTAGTTTTCCATGCGGTGTTACAGTGCTTATTGAGACGGTGACACCCATGCACATCCCCAGGGTGATCTAGGATGATCCCTCGTCTATCTAGACCTCGTATTGGTTTTAAATTGCAGGGGATCTAGTTTTTTTTTGGCTATTTTCAGAATGAACCGAGATTGAATCTTTGAACTGTCAGTTGTTGGTTTTTGTCCATGCTGAAAATTGACTTGCCGACCGGGTGGCGAGTCGTAGGATCCTGCAACTACCCAGCCGACCAACCTGGGGGCCTCAGCCTCAGGATCCACCGCGGCCTCCCATTCTGCAAGTACATGGAGCTAGCTTATCATAAATAGCTGAAACAGTTCACTGGTTCATTTATATATTGAAGTATGATTGTGAATATCATCTGGGCACTACATACTACTAGTAGTAGTAGTAATAGTAGTAGTGGTGCCAGTGGCTATACATTATTGGGATACTATACTATATTCCAAACCATACTACTAGATGAAGGTAGCCGGTTCGTCAAAATTTGAGAGTTCCACAGTGCAACCCTTGCTTCAAGTTCACTCACTATTGGACTAGTACTATAGGAACTTGAATATATACAATGCTGCCAGTGGTCGGAAACCTGTACATGTAACTGCGTTCAAGTTGCTATGGATTTGCACGGTCAGGCTCGGCTATTCGTTGAAATCTCTAGTTTTAACCATGAAATTTCCATATGAGAGGCTAGATTGTTCAAACTAAATAGGTGATTCACAATGCATCCTGAAACCCAAGTTAAAGAGTGGAACTCTTATAGTGTTGATCCTTCTCCGCTGAATCCATCTCAACCTTGTTAGCGATCGTCGTCAGGTGACCCGGTTACCATAGAAACGGCCCTGAGTTGACCCAGCTTCACCCAAACACGCTCCACCCGTTCTATTTTGCCTTGCAGCTTCAATGCGTTCCGGACTTTGACCGCCACCCGCGACTGTTCGATACGACCCGCCATGAGTGTAAGGTAGCGCTGGTATCTTTAATCGACAACATTCATATTCATATCGAGAAACGACACCAACCTTGACTACCAAACCATCATTATGGCACGCGCTGCCGTCCTCCCTTCATCCCCAGCCAAGCGGGGGCCGCGGGCGGCATCTCGAACGACATTGAACAAATCCACCAAGGCAGCTAGTGCAGCATCGTCAGCCGCCAAGAAGCGCGCCCCCGTTAAGTCGAGCTTCATAAATGCGCATGATGATCTCGACTCAGATACGGACGATGAGCTTGGGATGATGATGAAAGAGCAACCTGACACCGCTGCCCGACCTCGGGGCCGACCTGCTGGACGTGTGAAGACCAAGCCCCCTGTCCCACGAAGAACGATAACGAAAACTACGCCAGCGCCTGCCCTTGAGGAATCGCATGACGACATGACATCCAACCAAGACGAGCCCAAGCCAGCCAAGAAACGTGTTGGACGGCCAAGGAAGAACACTACCGCCGAGCCCGCTGCTCCCAAGCCTCGAGGGCGACCAAAGGCAGACGCAACAAAAAAGACCATCGCGCCCAGAAAGAATATTCGCGCAGCGACCGAAGATAACACGAGCGACCAGTCGGACGGTCCCAAGCACATTACTATTGCAACAAACTCGACAACGATGCGCTCTAATCTTTTGCGTGGCCCAGCTAAGAAGAAGACTGTCACATTTCAAGAGGCGGATGGCGAATCAGAAGAGGAGGAAGAACAGCTCGAAGCACCTGCTGCTGGACGCCGCAAGGCGGCCGTAAAGAGCACTGATCCAGCCAAATCTGGCCTCGGAGGCGCACCGGTGCGCAAAGCTGCTACCGCAACAGGCCGTGGACGTAAGCCCGCGGCAGCGAAGAAGACTGCAACGAAACCTCTTTCTCCCAAGAAAGCTAAGCAAATTGCCAAGACGCTGTCTGCTTATGCCAGCTCCGATGGCGAGGAGGACGAATTGACTGCAGCCAAGTACGACATCAAGAGTCCCGTGAAGCTTATTGTCCATTCCCCAGCAAAGCAACAGTCTGAGGCCCCGACCCTGTGCTCTCCTGTGCGCAAGATCAACTTCACTCCCAAGAAAGCCTCTAATCTCGTTGACGAGAATGGCGAACCGAAACTTCCAACACCAAAACACGGATCAACAACTGGTTTGAGCTCACCAGTCCGAAGAATCAACTTCACACCAAACAAGAACCAACACACTGTTACGGATAATGGTCATTTAGCGCTTCCGCCAGGGAAAGCGATCGATTTCAGCGACTCGGTCTTTATGTCTAGCCCAGCTAGGCGGCCGGAAGCCTCTTCACCATTTAAGTTCTCGTTCAGAGAATCGGCCAACTGTGGTCCTCTTTTCCGCGACGAGTTGAACGGTGCACCTGCCCTTCAACCTTCACATGGCCCCTCGTCACCCTTGAAACTGTCACCAAAAAAGGGACGCCTTGGCGCATCATTCTCTCAATCGCCTTCAAAAGCAGAAACCCCTTCAATTCCTGCTCGAGCTTCCTTGATCCAGAGCCCAGCAAAAAGAATTGCTTCTCCGTTCAAAAGCTCTTTGTTCTCGGCTAAATCTTCCGTGACTGCGTCTACCACGCCAAATGATGATAACTCCTCGCATTCATCCTCTATAAGTTCCATGATTAGACGTCTGTCTTCGCACCAGGAAGAGGAAGAGGACCAAGCTGCCGATGAAGATCTTGAGATGGTAGAGGAAGTTGCTCGTGATATCTTTGGCATTGAGCTGCAGTCTGACGGCAAGTCGCCATCTCAATCTCCCTCGCCACAACAGATTCCTGAAATTGAAGCAGAGCATGAACTTCAAACACAAGAAGTTTCATTGGAGTCTCTTCCTGCGATGACTGAAGAGGAGGCGGAGGACGCAGACATTGACCAGAAGATTGAGGAGTTGCAGGAAGAGATTCGACATGAACCAGAAGATTTTGGAACTATTTGTTTCAATACAATGGAGGACCTTCAGAGGCCTTTCAAAAATCTAGATGCTCAGAATGATACTGAACTGTATATGACTTTGAGTGATGGCGAATCTGTCAACCAAGTTGATGAAAGCGATTATGATGAGCCTATCGAGGATTTGGTGATGGAATCTGTTGAGCCCGATGAGCCTCTGGATGAGCTCGACCTGGCTCCCAGTTCCCCAGCGCAGGAGACTGAGATGTTCTCGGTGCCTCGGACGCCAATCACAGAGTCGCCGCTAGACTTGGCACTTTTCGAGGAATGTGCTTTTGAAGAGCCCGGAACACCAACCCCTGCTCGTACGAGAACCTCACTCCAGAGCTTCGAAGATGAATTCGAAGATGAAAACCCTAGCGAGACTGGAAGCGTTGTACACCGGCCTTATGAGCAACAAGAGGCCGAGATTGACTCTTATGATGTCGATGAGATGGCCAACAATGATTCGGATTCTTCCATCGCATCTGATGCCGAGATGACTGTCATGTCCCAGACTCATTTGCCATACGATGTTGACAATGGCGAAGAAAGCCTATTTGAAGCCCTTGGACCAGCTCCTCCCACGGCACCTACCCCACCAGTCGAGGAACTTACTGAGTTTATGCAAGATAGTGTCAAGTCTCACACTCGCCTTTTCGATATCAACAATACGGAAGAGCGCATGGATATGCCAAGTAGTCCCATGGATACCACGCAATCTGACATTCCAACTCCTGTTTTGCCAAGGTGGTCCGGGACTCCAAGCACCCGAAGCCGACGAGGATCTAGGTTCAATCTTGATGCAGGCTTCACACCACTCGCAAGCAAGTTTGGCCGTTGGGAAGCCAACACACCCTCTCAAAGCCGACCATCTCGTCCACGTCGGCGCGGTGTTTCTCTCTCGTTGGCCCGTTAGAGCGATCAGCTGAGACCCACATTCCAGACGAAGGCGATGTTTCTTACCCTGATCTCTCGCGTTCTCCTCTTGCCAACACCCCCCGTCTCTTCTCTGAGCTGCCACTTCAGCCTCGCAGTGATGATACTTCAGTGACGCCCCCCTCGCCGTCTAAATCTCCTTCCGCTCGGGACAGTGACAATATGATCAACTCACCAAGTAGAAGCGACATTTTCGAAGATCTCGAGCCTGTCGTCCCCTTGCATCTCCGTACTCGTGAGAGCTTGCCATCCAAGTCGACTGGAAGAAAGAAGGCTGTCGCCTCAACAGATGAGGATAAAGAGAACCTCCCTGCCCCAGCCCCCTTGCCAGCCACACCGATGAAAGCACTTCCAGACCACCTTCGAACCGTCCATACGGTATCAAAGGTGCCATTGAAGGGTGAAGGGGAGATTTCCCCATTGAAGATGCCCCGCAAGCGTGGCCTGTCACTTTCGAGTACATCGCCGACTCGATCATCTCCTCGAATTCGCAAATCGGTTTTTCTTCCTCGTATGGACAGTGCTCCAGCCCTTGCTCCTCCAGAGCAGGTACAGGTGGCTCAAACACCCAGTCCTAAACGGCATTGCAGTGCCGCTCGCCGTGTCAGCTCTCGAATGAGCTCCCTGCCTGCGCCTAAAAGTCCTTCCGTTGTCAGTAGCCCTGGCAAGACTCCTCGTCGCAACCCAAGTCCCAAGAAGCAAGCACTTCGTGGTGCTGTCGTTTATGTGGATGTTCACACAACGGAAGGAGAGGATGCTTCCGGTATCTTCATTGAGCTTCTGCAACAAATGGGGGCCAGGTGCTTCAAATCGTGGTCTTGGAACCCACGAGCGAGCATGTCCCCGGTTGATGGTGTCGACCCTTTGCAGACAATTGGCAAGGTTGGCATCACACACGTTGTGTACAAAGATGGTGGTCTCCGGACCCTAGAAAAGGTCAAGCACGCCGGTGGCTTAGTGAAATGTGTCGGTGTCGGTTGGGTTCTCGAGTAAGTCCATGGTCCATTCGTCGTTCTAATTTTTTTAATTCTAACATTGGGATGTTTAGTTGCGAGAGAGAAAATAAATGGCTCGACGAGTCACCCTACGTTATTGACAACACTGTCATTCCCCGAGGTGGTGCTAAACGCCGCAAGAGCATGGAGCCTCGTGCCCTGAGCAACATCAACGGCACCCTGAAGCATATCGCTGAACCTTCCACGCCATCTGCTAGCGGACGCCGCTGCGGTGCAGATAACAGAGCCATGGAAGGTTTCCGCAAGATCACACCCCCGACTCCTCGCGGTGCCTCACCCTCTACCCCGACCCAGCAGTCTACTGGTGACCGATACCAAGTTCCACAAACACCCGGCTACAACTTCTCCAACCTCGATGCCATTGGCATGTCTCCCGCGACGCCCTACTTCCTCTCAAACCGCACACAGCTGGTTCAGCAATCCTGCCCGCCCAAGCAGAGTGGCCGGGGCTTGTTCCCTGTGCAGACTCCTACACTGAGCTTCGAGGAAGACGATCAGGAGAATCGGCGCCAGCAGCGAGCTCGTATGGAAGCTGCTCGACGAAAGAGCTATTTTCATAAGCCGGTTGTTGCTAGTCCGCTTGCCCGGTGATACATTATTTTTTTTATAAGCAGTTGTAAATGCATTTCTACTTCCATTGTACATATGGGATATCGTTATTGGAAGAAGTGGCGTTTTTGTTTTAGGGATTATGGATGGATGGACTGAGATCACGTTTGACCTACATAGTCGGCTATGGTATCTTGTGTTTTTTGAACAATGAAATGAATATTGAATATTTGATTTTCTTCATCCTACGTAGTCAATCAAGTATTCCCTTTGAATATCAAGCTTTCTGCAAAGTACATAGTCAGCTGTCTACCATAGAAATCATATAATGGGTTACAAAAATTGTTTGAATCAAATTTTATTTTTTTCATATTGACTAAATTGCTCCAAAAACCAAAAACCCATTCATTCAGGGGATTGTTATGGGGTACTCCGCGTATGAAGAGTCGAGCCTTGCGGTCTGTAAATGGCAGGGGGCGCGAACCCGAGGTCAAATTTCGGATCCATCGGAATCCGAAGCAAAGTTGGGGGTCAAAAGCAAAAAAATAAGTCTTGGCATTGGCAGGAATAGGAATGTGCTCCTGTCTTTCTTTGTGTTATACGCCCCCCGTAAGTTGAAAATTACTATAACTACCGACTACTTATGTGGCGGAATCTACTATTATAGTCTAAAGATGTGCCGTTGCGAATTTTCTATCTTTATATGTCCATACAGGATCCAGGTACGGTGTGTACCTTGTTGGAGTTGAAGGAGCGAATGACACCGGATGTGCGCGGAGTTCAAAGACGGGAAGTTTGTTATGTGGGTTATAGGTTATGGGTTATTTACGCTGGATCGGGTATGCCGATCGGTGGGATTGTGGCTGGTGATGAGTATCTTTGAGGAGGGATTGACGGGGTAGAAAGATGAGATTTTTCCATTGGGAATGGTTCTTGGAATGATTTCTGGCTGTTGCGTGTACTCTGTCGAATATTCGGAGTAGAAGACCGAGTACGTAACCCTGGAGGAGACGTGTCAGATGGCGCAGTTCTCATACAGCTAGGCATACGACCTAGTACCTTGTTGGGGGCGGTGATCATACTACCATCAAGTCATAGAAATGAATTTTATAGACATTGGAGTCATTTCTCACAGTGTAAATAGTATAGAATCCAGGTTAATCCTCTCTGAATAAAAGAATCAAAAACTCTGCAAGAGACTCTTAGCATAATTATGCTTGATTTGCACAAAACCCGATCAGAGACAGTTGAGCCACTAATTATTTGGGCCGAAGAGGGGCCCTTATTGTGGTCACCAATCATATCCGGGGCCAATGTACTTAAGTGGAGGCCAGATAAAACTCGCACGGAGTTTGCGTATGCACGATTGGGAAAAGAGTCCGCGTTGGGAATTCGGAGGGTCTAGAGGTTAAAAAGGGCTTTCCAAGAGACGAAAACGTTATATTTCTTATTTTGAGGGCATTGTTGGATAGATATAGTGTTTAGATGTCTTTTGTCAACAGTTCGCAGTATTAAGTTGACTTGCTGATCCTTGTATCCGCTGGATCCAGTGTGATCCAGCCCTATCATTCGGATGCCTCCGTAGGGCGGAATTTGTTTCGATACGAATACGGAGTGCATTGGGAATAGGTTGGATGAGGGGGGGAATATGGGAAAAGAACAGAAAAAATAGCCCTCATCTTGTGTAGGTTGTCTGTTTATAGTTCTGAGGCCTTGAATAGTTTAAATTTGCCCTCTATATTGTATACAATGGGTAGAATGTAGTGTATAATATCTGCCGGAAACGGATTCCAGCCAAGTCCGTGTCCACGGGTCTTTGCCCCTTTCACTACTACCGCGTTCCGGGGGCCAGAAAAAGTCGCGTGCTCGAATCAGAGACGTTGTTCTCCCCTAGCTCAGCCTCAGCATTACAAAAAATAATAAAAATATCCATTTAACATTTTAATCTTGTCGCGGTGGAGTCAGTTCATCCTTCGTCTTTTCCTCTCCGCTCGTTTCCTCTCGTCTTCCCCCCTTATCTCCCTCCTCCCTCCTCCCATCACGATCTTTCCTAGGAGTCCTATTTGCTCCTCCCATGCTCCATTCTTGTTCTCTGTGTCTTGTTTGTTGAGCTTGTGCCTTTCATTTCCCCTCACAACATGTCGTCGGCGCCAACGCCAGACCTGGGCAAGCCCCAATTTGCATCTCACTCATGGCTCGAACCTATCGTAAGTCAACTCCGACATGGAAGAAAACTCCGCATTTTCAAAAGGCCCTCCTAACTGTCTCAGGTGGTCGTGAGCATCATGTTTGGCTCATTGTACTTGAATCGACGCAAAAACTTCAGCGTCTTCGGTGACAAGGGGTACGATAATGCGGACCGGTCTCCCCGCGGATATTTCGATATGGATGAAGACGATACCCGCGCTGGGTCGCCCAACCCGCTGAAGATTGAACGTTTCTGTGGCATTCCTATTAAGACGCCTGATTCCTCGCGCTGGGCCCATAATATTCACAGTCGTATCTTGTATAAGTTCCCCTTCTTGGTGGAAATGTTCTATTGGGCTTTGAACTTTCTGTTTTATTCTATTACCAAGGCGACGGCTCAGTGGCTGGTTCCCGCCGATGTGGGTGTCGTTGCGGTTGCGCAGCAGCATGGTGAGGATGTACTATGGTTCGAACATGAATCTGCCTTCCGATGGATGTTTCCCCTCATGGAATCGGACTATCAGTCGTTTTTCATGAACTACCACCCCGGTATTATGACTTTCTTCAACCGCATATATTCCCTGGTACACATCCCAGGCACCGTTCTGTAAGTCCAGGAACCAACTTGAAACAACAATCCTAACCAAAAAAAAAAGAGAACAAACCACTAATATACTCCAGCTTCCTATCATGGTACTACCACGAAGCTCCTAATTCCAACATCTTCGCCATCGCCCGCCGCACAATGACACTGGGCAACTTCTTCGCTTTCGCAGCTTTCTGTGTCTACCCCTGCATGCCACCCCGTCTCCTCCCCGAATCCTATAATTTCTTCGATACCGTCCGCCAGGAACACGCCGAAAGTGTCTGGGTTGGCAGCAAATCTGTGAACCAATTCGCCGCGATGCCCAGTCTGCACTTTACCTACGCCTTCGTCATTAGTAGCACATTCCTCTACCACTCCGAGCTCCTCCGTCGTCTTCGCGGAAAGCCCACCCGCAAATCAACCATCACACAAATCATCTTCGCAACCCTCGCAGTGCTCTACTCCTGCCTTGTCCTCAGTGTCATTGTCGCAACGGCCAACCACTACTGGCTCGATGCCGTTATGGCCATGATCTCCGTCACAGTGTGCTTCATGATCAATCGCGTTTTCCTGCTTCTGCTACCGGCAGAGTACTTCGTTTGCTGGGCGCTTCGATTGGCGAAGCCCCTTAACAACGTCGGGGGGAATAAGAATGACGATAAGGGTTCGTTGTCGCCTAGATACCGAACTGTGCCAGCTTATGATGTTTGATTCTTGGTCTGGACCATGATTTGACCTGATCTGATCTGATTTGCATATTGCATCTATACATATACACTTTTTGGTTTTAATTTCTCTTGGAAGCTACACTGAGCTTTTATGCTTGGTTTTTCATGATTTTTGACGGCGCATTGGGTCACCTTTTTTGTTACTTTCTATTTATGAGCCCTTTACGCTCTGGATCGACCGACATGCCGAAACGGCTTTCTTTATGCTTGGAGATATTGATATGACACTGGCGTCGATATTGGGAGTTCATATATAATGCTGACACGCAATTCTCGTGTCAAGTCTTGAGTGCTTACGTGCGTACAGCTCTAAGCCGTCTTGTGACACGGACTGTGAACATCATCTCGGGGAGTCCCGGAGAAACCCCTGAGCCCAGACGCACATGTGCATATAGGGAGCTATGTTCCATCCCAAGTACAAGTACATATTGATGTGCACAAGTTATAATAACACAATGCCTGCTACTTAAAACCGAAGTACTAGGTCCTCGAAAATTGAATAATATTCCAATCCTTCAAACCCATTTTTAAAACGCTGTAACTTTTCTTTCTAAATCCATAAAGGAAAATACCCATGCAACGCTCTAATCCTCCTCTTCCTGGCGATAAAACCCAGCGACCAAGAACGCAAGCTCAAGCGCCTGCTTCTCATTCAACCTCGGGTCACAAAACGTAGTGTATCTCTCTCCAAGTCCATCCTCTGTCAACCCAGCAGCACCACCAACACACTCCGTAACAGCCTCCCCAGTTAACTCAAGATGCATACCACCCAAGAAAGACCCCGCGGCCCGATGGATCTCCAGCGCTTGTTTCAACTCCCCAAGTATATCAGTGAAATGTCTCGTCTTGACACCAGACGGCGTAGCCTGCGTATTCCCATGCATAGGATCACATTGCCAAACAGGTACATGGCCCGAAGCCTGCACAGCAGCAATATGCCCGGGAAGAAACTGTGAGATCTTCGACGCTCCATATCTTGAAATAAGAGTTACTTTTCCAATTTCCTTAGATGGATTAACGACTTCCAATAGCGCAACCAGTTCATCTGGTTTCATGCTCGGTCCAATCTTAATACCGACTGGGTTCGCTATTCCGCGGAAGAACTCTACATGTGCACCGTCTAGCTGTCTTGTCCTATCGCCTATCCATAGGAAATGCGCGGAGGTAGCATAGTATCCGGATGAAGGGGATGAGCCGCTATTTCGTTCGATAGGATTGCGCAGAAGTCTTGTGAGAGTTTGTTCGTATTCGAGGGAAAGACCCTCGTGACTTGTGAAGATATCAGCTGTCTCGACGCCGCGGTCTTTATCAATTCCTACTGTACGCATGAAGCGGAGGGCATCTTTGACTGCGCTGACGATCTTGCTGTACTGCTCTTTGATGGAGGGGGTGATAACGTGTCCTAGACCCCAGTCTAGTGGGGAGTGCAGATCTGCGAGACCTGAGGAGAGAGATGCACGCAGGTAATTCAGTGTTGCGGCGGAGTGGAAATATGCGGAGACGAGGCGGGATGGGTCCGGTTTTCTGGATGCAACGTTCGCGTCGAAGCCGTTGATGTTGTCACCTCTGAAGGAAGGCATCTCGACTCCGTTTATGACTTCTGTGGAGCTTGACCGGGGCCTGGGGCCGTTAGAATTTTGTTATGACAGTGAGTAGGTTGTGTTACTTACTTTGCGAATTGGCCTGCGATTCGGGCGATACGAATAACGGGCTTGTTGGCTCCTTTGTTTTTGTTAGCTTATATTTGGGGGGAGTTTGAAAGGACTGATATCGTACCCCAGATGAGGATCAAGCTCATTTGCAGGAGGAGCTTGACTTTGGCTTCGATCATGTCTTGGTTGCAGTAGTCGAAGAGTTCCGCACAGTCGCCTAGGTATGTTAGAACATGCGAGAGTAGAGCTGGCTAGGATGATAAATTTACCTCCTTGTAAAACGAATGCTTTACCCAAGGCGACATTTCGAAGACTAGCTTTGAGATTATTGATCTGATGTTTATTAGCATATAAAACAACCAAAGTGGGGTTGCTAAGTATGTACCTCTTGTGTGGTCACTAGTGGGGGGAGTTTCTGCAGTTTCTCAAGGGCGTCCTGAACCCCTTGGGCATCTTCATAGACCACATCCTGTTTAATCGGCTTCGTAGTCCACGCTAGATAGAAGATTGGAATTAATAAATCTTGAATCCTAAGAAGAGCTTCTCAATGGATATTCATCACATACAGCTGGGGCTCCAGTCTGTCATGGTGTCGGATCAAACAACCCCACCTAATCCTGTGGGACAAATAAAGTGGAGGACGAAGATCAGCTAAACGGCTTGGAATAAGCTGCAGGTCAAGAGCAATAACAATCAATTCGAGTCAATTCGCAATTCGCAATTCACACGGATTGAATTGAATCTAACAAAGGAACCAAAAAAAATAAGCACAAACAAAATCAAAGTCAAAAATGCCAGTTCAACCTCGGAACCTACTGCACGCTTATTCACGGATATTCGGATGACTCATTTGATGCCATGTTACACAGGCAGAAACAACAAACAACTTCTTATCGTCTCCGCTTATCAGTGACGTGAGACCATAACAGCTCCAGCTCCAGCTCTAGCTACGAACGTTATACAGTACCAACCTTATTCTCAGTTTGTCGGTTTATATCTGAAATGTCAGACCCTATTCCCTCCGCTACCGCGGATCCCGAGTCCGGAGACCAAAAACTCCCCGCAAACGCCGAAGATCGCAAAGCAGCCGCTGCTCTCTCCGCACTCCACACAAATGATATAGCGGAAGCTAGCCCCACCCGGGCTCCATCTAGTGCTGATCAAGAAGCATTGGGGAAAGCGATGAGTCGGCTTGAGAGCGTTGGTGGGAAGGGAGCGGTGAAGAAGCCAGCTGCTGGGACCCAGAAACAAGAGGCGGAAAAGAAGAAAGTGGTAAAGATTGTAGCGGCGGATGTCACGTTTCTGGTAGGTTCGTTTCGGTGCTGGATTGAGATGGTGTTAGTAACGTTCTTTACTGTAGGTTGAACAACTCGAGATACATAAGAATAAGGCTACGGAGCTTTTGAGAGCGTGTGATGGGGACGTGGTTTCTGCTATGAGGGCTTATATTGCGCCTTTTTAGGATGTGGGGATACCTTGGGTAAAGGATTATTGAATGGGCTTAAGACTGGAATTATTATACATTGACACGTTTAGTCTGCGCTGCTCTATATGAGATGACTGTTTGATGATTAAGCTGAATTGTATCTTTTTCTTTTCCATGCGCTTATTCAAACGCATACGGATCGCCATACTGGCAATGCTGACAAGACAATAAATTTCTGGATCAATATCTCCTGGCAATATTGCTTGGCTTTCGGACATCGATTGGCCTTATGGCTATGATAATGATCATTGAGAATGGCTTCATGTCAATGAGGATATTTGGAAAAGCCCGTTCAATATACTCTGTTTTTTAGTTTGTCCGAGTCTTTACACATTGTGTGGATGCAAACGCAAGCTCTGTTACATGTAGAACTAGACTCATATTTCAATGCCACTTTGAAAATGTGCAAATAAAGAGCTAATCGTTTTCAGGGATCAAACGGTTGAATGTGTCTTTAAAAGGCCACTGTTCCCTGCATCTTTCTCTTGTCCTCAGCCTCATTTGTCCATTGTGCCCGCTAAGCGAAATAATATCCAAGAGCCTATCCACAAAATTTCTTGGAACAAACCCGAAGCATCTTGAGAAGTCATCATGTTTGACTCCATCTTCGAATGCATTTTTGATTTTCGGAGAAAAAGCAGACAAACCGAATCCCCCTGGAGATCCTCGATCACCGCAACATGTCGCTGACGAGATTACCAACAAAATTCTTACCGCCAAAAGCCGTGCGTCGCTTCACGAAGAGCTAAATGAGATGGATTTGGCCTGTGGATGGTCAGACACGGTGGTTCAGGGGATACTTCAAGGCATTGAAAACGCAATCAAATCTGGAGCATCTATAGGCCAAGCAGCGAAGAAAGCAGTCGCACGGAGTGAAGATGCTGCCATCGAATTTGCATGGGAATATCTAGTTTACTCTACGGTAATTGTTCTCGGTGTTATGGCCTGCTGACGCCTTGGGCTTTTGAGATTCTCGGATTCGGAGAATTGGGTCCGATTGAGGGATCATGGGCGGCGTTCTGGCAGAGGACGTATGCTGGGGAAGTCCCCAAGGATGTGATTTTCACCTATCTCCAAAGGTTGGGGGGATGGAGTGGCATTGGATCATTCAATTTTTGATAAGCATCGTGTGTTTTTTGCCCAATGTCCAGCTCGCATAACTGATTATAGGCTCGGCAATCATGCAGTGTGAGAAATCAAGCAATTGTCCTATTCCTTAATATGAGACAGACATTTGAACTAAAAGAATCTAGCCACATAAGTAGAAAGCGCAGGGGTAGAATAATTAGTGCATCATTTGTATCGTCAACGCGAAGAGATCAACAAAGCGTATATACCCAAAGCCCGATCTAACATCTAAAGCTATATAATAGCGAGAATTTTGTAAGGAAATCACATCATTGCTCCGCCTCTTCTTCCTCTGCATCGGGCTTGGCCTTTTCAATCCCTTTACCCTCATAAATGAACCATAGTACCACATAGCCAAGCAAAGACTCTATAGCCAACGCCCACCAAACAGCCCCAACCATGTTATGCATGAGACCCAAACCCAATCCCCATCCACCCAACAGCGGGCCCAGGGTACGGGCAGCACTCGAAATACTTTGCGCCACACCGTGTACCGTACCTAGAATGGTTGAGTCGGTAACACAATTATTGACAAGGATAATAGCCGCAGGTAGCACAAAAGTGCGGGATATGACTTGCAACGACACCACGAAGGTGAAAGAAGGCCAGACAAGATATGGAATGTTTGGAATAACCACGAGGAAGGGCATCAGAAGATACGCAGCAGGGGAGAGGGGAAGAAAGGCTCGGAATGAGGTGAGTGTTCCGAGTTTTCCTTGGATTATGGGATATAGGAAGATTTGAAGAGGAAGGCCGATGAAGCCAATGATTGCAGTAGCAAGACCGACCCGTGAAGATGGTAGACCTAGACCTCCACTAAAGTGGAAGAAGCCGTTTCGGGTACCTTCGGGGGCACGAGGAGTGGGCAAGAATACGAAAGTCATAGCATTGAACGCACTGGTGTGGAATGCGAGAAGGAAATGAGCCAGAAGGGTGAGCAGAACATTCCGCGTACAGATTTGTCGCAGGCCTGCTCGTTTACGTGGACGTGGCGGTTGCGAACGTGTACGAACCGGACTTGGTGGAGCTGACCAAGGTGTATTGTTGTCCAGATAGAGAGATGCATCCTGCTCAGAGCGAGTAAGCGGATCATAGTGTGGAGGGTGTCTGCAGAAAGCACGAGCTATCCTCTTGCCAAGTTCTCGGCCCCGGTCTCTGCGATGACGTGCAAATTCATGAGACTGTTTTGTCCTGGTTAGCAGATATGTTGAAAATCCTTTCTGGACTACATACCTCATCAAGTCCAAAGAAAATTGCAAGGAATGACATGAATATGAAACAAGCACTTAGAAGGTTTGGCAGTGCGTATGGCCAGTGTTCCATCCACCACACGCCACTTTTACCGCCAAGGAAAGAACCAGGCCCAAACAGCCAAGGCAAGTTCTTGACAGGTTCCGCCAATGATCCTCCAAGAACCGGGCCAATGATGACACCGATATTAAAGCACATAGGAAGAAGCAAAAATGCTCGTGATTGATATCTGATTGATACTTGTTAGGACTGGAGCAATTTGCGGCGGAAGGGGATACACATACTTCTTCTCAGCGATAATCTCGGAGATCATCGTTCGCATAACACCCTGGTTACTATTTAATAAACCACCAAGTGTGCGAAACAAGGCGGCAGTAACAAAAGACCGTGAAAAGCCAAACCCCAGCGCAGAGACACATGTACCAAATAACCCAATCATTAGAACCTTCTTACGACCCATCCAATCTGCATCAGCCAGTCGGCCCCACCAGACAGCAGTAAGGAACTGTGCAGCCGTAAAGCTACCCTGCAGTATACCAGCCTGGGCTGAGATCGTCGAGTCCGGCAACGACCGATCAAAAGACTTAAGCTGATAAAACATATAGGCCTGCAACGACGTCTGAGTCAGCGGTTCTGACAGCCGCGCCAAAGTCAATATAGCCAGTTGGCCCTTCTTTGGTAATGAACTCCATGTCACCGGTTTCTCTTCAGCGACTGCTTCCTCTTCGGGTTCGGTAACAGGGACATGGTCTCTTTCGGTTTCACCAACAGAGGGAAAACGGTGACTGTCCGTTAGGATCGGAGTAGGCAAAACCCGCTGAATTCTGTTATCGTGCAGAGGTGTAGTTTCGGTATCGTCGTCGCTATCGTTGATGATGTCCGTGTTGCTGGGCCGGGATTGGCCCGAATTGTCGGGCGGAGAAGACCCCATAAGCCAAGACCTGGGGAAACCACGCGACTCGCGAGCGGGTGTGACAGTGGAAATGGCGGGGAACACCGACTGTTATATGAGAGATAGTGCAGTAGTTTCGAATATATAAGATTCCTTGAGCTGGATTCTTTTGGTATTGCGAGTTTTCTGAGGTTGAAAAGCGAAAGTTTCGAGAGGTGAAAAGCAAAGAAGTTCCCAGTGTGACACCATATTTGCCCCCACTTAATGCGGGTAGAATGCCGACTCAACCGTACTTGTTCACGACCACAGAAGGATTTACGCTCTCTTTAAATTATTAAATCATGAGATTAAGAGCAAAATAATATTTTTTAAAAAAGAGAAGGTTAACTGATTCTGCCACTGCGGCTGATAGAAAGCAGTAACGTCCAAAGTGTCACTTTGTACAACCTCTTGAGCGACACAGAGCAACAAAAACCATAATATCATAGCATGCACCGTCCGGGGTTCGAACCCGGGCCCCTACCTGTCACCTGAGAGTGGGAAGGAAGGATCTTAAACCACTAGACCAACGGTGCTAGCGATAACTCATTTTGAGTAACCAGAATCTATGAGAAATCCTCATTTCCCCTGTTCTTGACGTTGAACCCACGTTGAACCATAGTTCACGAGTGGATACTCTTGATAAGCAACTGGGAGATAAACAGAGGGCAAATTATATAGATCTATAGAAAGTATTTAGGTATATGGTGTTTACTGGAGGAGGCAAAAGCACACCAGCTCATGTACAGACAAAAAGCTTGAGAGGGGGCAATATCAACGCGAACAACACAAAGAAATGGTCAGCTGACCCTAGCTATGTAGTCTTGAGAGAATATTGACTGTGAGTTGTGATAGATATCCATGGATTCTTGGCTGGTAGGCCTTTGATCTTCAATATCCCCTGCGCAGTGGGTCCCCCTATTCCAGTCCTCGAGTGGGTACGCCCCTGCTTGATTGAAATCTTCCATGCAGTCATTTGAAATATGTGTGATGGCTTCCCGGCTCGATCGATGGGTATCATTCTGTGCCTCCGGGGGAATCTTTTTGTCACCTCTCTTGAAAACGGGGCGAACGAAGTTCAGAGAACAAGGAACAGAGAATGACGGTCGTGACACGCTTTGCGAATAGCCGTTGCTATCTTTGCTGGGGTTATTGAGGTCTCTTGCTCGCCTTCCTCGATTGCTGTTGTATGAGAATGCTTTCAAGCCGAATAGTTTCCGAAGTAATGGCCACCAGCACATTAAGTTCGCGACGTAAATCGCTGTACTGGCTTCACGAATGTACCAAATCTGGTAGGTTGTCGTGAAAGGAGAAGCAAAGTTGAAATATTTGTTCAGAATAGCTGCTACTATGGTAAAAAGACCCAGACTCATGACGCCGAGTAAGAGCATCTTCCGGTGGCGCTTGAGCTGAGCTCGCACTAGAAGTGGCATTGGAATGGCGAACATCACTGCATCTGAAGAGATGTTGAAGACGGCTTGAGTAATCGAGTAGTTCTGGTAGGTTGCGCACTGCATGTTCTTTACAGGCATCGCCCAATATTGGGGAAAGGGACGACAATAAATAGCATAGTAGCAGACCATTATAACCACAAAGCCAACCGCAACGTATACGGAAAGGATCTTGATATAAAGATTGGAGCGCAAGCTTTGGGTAAGTCTCCAGTAAAATATTAACATGCAAGTCTTGACACCCCATGTCGAGAGAAGCATGCACTGTTCCAACCCAATGACAATCTTGCTTCCATATATCCGATCGCGGATTTCTTTCGGGTCCGATAATACCTGATCGTAGTCTTTCGGATCCATCAGATTCGTCGCATATCGTGCCGATATTTGGATTAAGACAAGGAGTGTTGTATATATCATCTAAATTGGTCATCAAGAGGTTAAATCGTTTTTTCTCGTACATGGGTATCAACCCAAAGAGGATAAAGGTACTCACAAATGTTGCTGTCATGACATAGTCATCCCCTGCATCCCAAAATCTTAATTAGTTATGAGACCTGAGCATCTTTAAGGTCATGAATGACCGTATTTCATACGTACAAAACAAGCGCTTCACTGATCCATTTGCGATACTTCGGGATGCCCTTCATATTATCAGTTTACCACTCTTGAGTTCCAGAAGGTCGTTGATTAACTCACATTCTTCCCCCATAAAGCACAAATCCTATACTCCAGAAGATAATAGCCTCAATAAACAGCTGTCGCGGGGTTGGCGACACATTGCCCATTTTGGAGAATTGGGCAAGTGTCGCTCCCTAGATATCTGACCTCAACTGCAGGGGAGGAAATATTAAGTCTGCCATGGGCGTATGGTATTAAGCAGCTTCAAGTTGTTCAAGTTCGAGTCAACTCCAACATATGTCACAAGAAGAATGACAATTAATCGTTGAATACTATCATCGAATATTTGCCAAAATTTGTTCAGTAAAATCAAGTACGGAGTAGACCACGCAGAAGAACAGAGCAAGCGAGTCGTGCTAGTCGGTGAGCGATATTAAGCTCAAGGCGACTTCAGTTGTCAGTGCAGTGCTAACCTAAGACAAGGCGGCAACGTCATGCATCTTGGCCTATAATATATCGGCAGCGGAACGGGGTGCACGGTGATAAGCAAGGGGAAATGGGATTGATCATGCAAGGGGGTATCGAGCCACAGAGTTAGATCGATGGCAGTTCGCACTGGAATGCAGATCCTAACCGAGAGCTCAAGTGAGGTTTGAAGGATAAAGCTTTCAATCCCTTCTTTACGATCTTAATCAACGCTCGTAACACCCAGTCTCTCTAACCAAAGAGGTACAACTTGTGAAGATCGTCCCCAGCACCCGGTTCAACATCTCGTATTAAATGTGATACAGAATCTATGGCTATGTATTATATTTTGACAAGCGATTCTACAGCGATTTCATAGGATATCAGTGCTACACAATATTTAGGACGTTTAGCCTGATTAGCTAGTGAGACCCCTACAAAAGTATGTAGCCAGATTGCTGGAAAGCTATACGACTGCACGATGGAGATTATCCAATGATCTACAGAGTACGAATGAACAGGCAAAAGTTGTAATGATGACAGGTCAGATTCCATAGTGAATGAAACTGAGCTATTTCATTGGACTTCGCAAGCTTTGATCTGCATATTGATCCAAACAAAACTCTAATTGGCCTAGCGAGAACTCACTAGTATTCCCCTGACAGGATCTGCACTCTGAATATCGGTGTTGACGCGATAACCGGCCAAAAGATAGAAAAGGCCGAGAACATCAAATGCCAATCAATCACTTAAAGTTCCAATGGTTCGTATATCTCCATCCAATAGCTTGATTAAGGTTGTTTTGCTTGCCAACGGTCGGGAATACCCGATTTCGATTTGACGCGTTGGCATTTAGAGGATTGTGGATCTAACAAGGTATGCTAGAAATGGTACTGTTGACTCTTCAAAATGGAGAACGCTTCAGAGAGACTAATTTAGGAGTTCAAAAAAACACTTGAACGCCGTCTTTGGAAACCTAAAATTTGCCAACAAGATGATTTTTTCAAAATGGATTTGCCTACTATATCCAGACATGTCATGATGTCTGTTTTCATGATAGGAGTCATATATTATTCTATGCTTTGCTATGTAAAGCGAGTCCGCAGCTTGAAAGAAAAAGCTGATAATTTAACTAATTATATTAACATCCACTGAAGCTCATACTATGTACTGATAACTTGAATAGTAAATATAGACTCGTTATGATTGGGTAAACCTGCCAAACGGTTTATAATGAATTGGCTGAGAATGTAATTTTTTCAATCTTTTATCCATTGTGTATTCATGAGCCCAAAGCCGGCTATCTACTATCCACTATGCTAGATATGAATGGGATTTATGTAGGGAGGTTCCCAAGGAGACTCCAAAGGATTCTAAAAGAGATTTCAAAAGAGATCCCAAAAGAGGCTCCAAAAGAGAAATATCTACAACTCTCAGTGGTACAGACAAAAACATTTCCCACTTATAGAGTTTTCTAGATAATGATCTAGACCAGATTCAGATACTGCGTGCACATGTGTGGGTAAGATATTTATAATTAGTAAAACTTCTACTGGAGTAGTAGGACTGATAGTGTAGCTTTGCAGTAGTATTGACCTTTACGGTTATAGATTAAAGGCCTAATCACATTCATCTAGCTTCTCTCATTACTTTTTCCCATCTCTAGATCCATCGACTTCTTCGAGGTGCGCCCCCTGTATCTTAACCCCTGGACAGTCCGATTAATTCTCGTTTTCCTTGGACTAACAGACTTTCTCGGACTTCCCGAACCTATCTTCTTTTTATCTTTCGGCCCTCCAGAGAACAGATTCCTGAAGAGTGTTGCGTTGAAAGCGAGAGGCACAGAGACCAAAGAGAAAGCGAGCGAAACCCCAACTGTAGTATAACTCGTAAGAAACCAAGAAAAGACGTTTGATGCCAAAGACATGGACATGTAGCGACTTACATATAATTGGAAATATCCACTTCCCTTGAAAAACAACATTGTCGCCCTTGTGGGGAAATTCGGCAACGTCCAAAGCAAAAAGACTTGCCAGGAAGGAAGCCGGCAGCTAAAATCAAAAATTAATAGGTTGCCCCTGCCATCATATACCAAGGTGAGACTTACGAAAACTACAGTCACTACCGTGAATACCATGACGCTGTCACTTTGTCTGCGTGTAGCCTGGGCTTCGATGATCGTAGCTTCTTTTTGCTTGAGATCCAATAGCGTTTTGATATCATCTTGGACGCTCTTGGCATCTTCACTCATGCTTTCAATCTCCTTTGTCCTTTCGTTGGGCGTGACTAGGGGGTTGAATCCAGAAGTGTCAACATGATCGGTCCAGAGAGATCGCACATGTTCCTGATCTTGTGATAGTTTTTTCAGTATGTTGAGCTCATCGAGGATATCCTTAACTTCATTCAAAAGCTTGGTCTCTTGAAGAATGTCTTCATAGGGATTATCCTCGATTGGTTGACTCAATTTCCGCCAGAATTGCTTGAGGCTACTCCAGATTCTTTCATAAAAACGGGGAGAACGGGTCGCAATGATAAATCTGCTGTTGGTCCCGTTTTCGTTCTGTGAGCTCAAGGACTGTTTTATGACCTTACTCCCATCAGGTGATTCTATAGAGTCTTTGAACAATGTGAAGAGGGTTGCCTCATTATCACGCTGGTTTCTATTAGCGCTCATACTCATTTGAGAGATAATCAGTACCTACTATATTCTGAATGGATTCTCGAAAGATGTCCAATGGAGATTTATGTTCACTCCAGTTGACTTTGTCTTCTTCACCCTGATCATCATCGTACTCCTCGGCTTGGGGCTGAGCCTGATCTTCATATATCGCGATCTCCTGAGCATCAAAAAACCCTGTAGCTGTGTTCATGGCCAATTCGGCGATTTGGAGGGCTGTGAGCTTGGATCTGCCATTTTGTTCTTGGAGCAAATCCAGGACTCGCTGGAGAAAGGTGATCTTAAAGTTTTTCGGCTGTGTTGTTGTGCTCGTGATGATGGTGTCTATGTTATATTGATTTAGATAATAGTAGCTTAGACACGGGAGGGGCATTTTGATTGACACACCATCATGAAGGATCCATAACCATAATTGATTCACCATCAAAATTTGTGCGGGCGCAATTTTGAGATTTCTGTCGCTGCTGTCTTCTATTTGCTTTCTGTTCTCCAGGGGAAGATTGGGTGCCTTGGCATAGCTGATTTCTTGCTGCCCTTCATCTTCCGGGTTTGTCGTTACAGTGTCGCCACTCAACAGTCTGAAATATCTCCCAAGCACCTGATCCTGGTCCCTAGCCAGCGTGTCTCTAAGAGATGCGTAGTAATACTGATCAAGGGTCAAAGACTTATGAATGAAATTTTTAGCATCAGCCTTCGCTTTTTCCCGTATTTGGCCTTCACTTTCAACCTCCACGCTTCCAGAATCAGTTTCTTGTTCAATTTTCTCTTGACTGCTCGGACTGATATTCTCCACCGAATCGACTTTTTGTGGTAGCACAACTTGAAACTGGAGAGAGGCTTCCGGCTCAACTGATGTCCCTAGCAATTCGGTAGTCTTAATGGGACTTGACACGTCATGGTCAATACTGGGAAAATGCTGGCTTGTGTCCTCTCTGCTGGGCCTCGGGCTGTTGGCTTTTGTTACAAGCGTAGGCCCTGTATTGCCAGGTTCTTTATCCCAAAATAAGTATGGCATCTGAAAGGAATTATAAGTTTTTCAACATTGTCTCAAAAGAAATTTCATACAAGAGGCTGACTCACATAAAGTGCATGCATCTCAAAATCACCCTCGGCCTGCTCAGGCTGCGCAGTCTCTTTGACATCATATCCCATAATTGTGTTTTTCAAGGTCTCAAGTCAGTCAGCTACACTGCCGCCCTAAATCTCAGTATTGGGTTTAAAAACTCACATTCTGATATTGTGGCTTCATGTAATTATTCTGCCTGTTGTTTTCGTTTTGGCCTCCAGCAGCAATTTTTGAGCGGCTTTTGTGTGCAAAGTCCATCAAGTGTTTTTGAGCCGCGTTGCTCATACCTTTGTCTTTCGAGATTCGAACCATGAGCTCCTGTATTTTGTTGTCAGTTCACATAATTATCCAAATAATGGGGGCTAATAACCTCAATTAGGTGCATCTATTAGGTTTGATTAGCAAGATGGCTTAAAAAAGAAACGCTTAAGATGTCATACATTATTCGCTGGAATATGAATCCATCGGATTTTGCGCTGAGGACCTCGTCCTGGCTCCCTGTCATCTCTTCCTTTCTCTCCTTCACCCAAGTCATCGGTAGTGGAATTATCTCCAGGTCGTCGTTTAGCTCTTGCCTTCTCCTTTCTAGAGACAGGCGTTTTATCGAAAAGTATGTGTTGGATCTCTTGCAGATTGTAATTCTTGTTCTCTCGCATGATTTCGTCGGGCCCTTTTCCATAGACGATCTGGCTCATGGAGCTCTGCGCGAATTGCACGGTAACTTTCTGCTCGCGAATAGTAAGGTCCAATACTGTAGCCCACTGCCAGTCGTGATCCGATGTTTGGAATTGAAATTCCAACGAGGGAGTTTCGAAATTCAAGCGTGGACGCTCCGGGGGTGAATTGCTCAAAAGACCTCTTATAAGGTCCCTGGCCTTTTTCTCCTCGGGGGGGCTAGGTCTTGTCCATTTGAACATTGATGATTTCCCCTTTGCAAGGTGGCTCTCGCCGAAATAGAGTCTACTAGAAAGAAGCCACCAAAGCGCTACTGGGAATTTGTAGCCCACGATAAACTGCAGCGGGGTTCGCTTTCTTGAAGCGCTTGCTGGAAGCTTTAAAACTCCCTCGACGTGATGCATAAGTCGATTGATGTGTTTCGTTTCCCCTGTTGTGTATCTCCATGCTGCAAGCCCCATTATGAGCTCTGCATTCTGAGAGTGTGGATGGGAGAATTGAAAGGCATCTTCTTGCTCTTTAGCTATCTTAAACAGCCTGTCCCATAATAGATCCTCGCATTGAATTCTTCTGTTCACCGCAGCGTGCCATATCAAACTCTCTTCTTGCTTAGGCACTTGAACAAGGACTTCTAAACAATTCGTATGGTCAAGATGGTTGAGAAATTCTCGTACCATCTTAGTGTTCCCCTCTTTGACGGCAATGCTCATTGGTGTGACTTTGTTGTTTGTTCCCATTTCCTCTAAGATACGGCTCTTCCAGGAAAGTATGATGCTCAGCATTTTTGTATTGCCGACAAGAGCAACAACATGCATCCAGGTGGCTCCTTTTCGGTCTAACTTGATGGGTGTAGCTGCCTTGCTAGCGAGAGTCGCCAAGCCTACATCCCCGTTTAGAAGAGCCCAATATATTATTGCTCTCATTCTGCTTTGGGAGAGTGTAGACGCTCTTTCATTGATCAATTTGCAGAGCCACGGAGAAAGACTTTCCTTTTCTCGGGTAGACGCAAGGCATCCTCTCTGCTGAGCAGGGTTTCGAGGGAAATATACCTCCGATTCCAACAGGAGGAAAACAACTGAGGGGTCATTTCTTTCTTTTCTAACAGCATCGTATAAGGGAGCATCTCCGTCATCATCTCGCGCGGTAATTGCTGTTCTCAAACCGTCTTCCTGTGTGTGGTTTGCTAGGAAGTCGAAGAGAATCTTCGTCATATAGATAGATCCATAGTAACAAGCAGCGTGGAATGAATTATTGCCATTATAGTCAAGAATGTTCGGATCTGCGCCATTACTCAAGAGATGCTTGACGACGGGGATCGCACCGGATTGAATAGCGAGAGACAGTGGGGTCCTCCCCCAGGCATCTTGAGTATTGATATCAGCCCGATTTCTGCAAAGAAGCTTCACAACTTCAAGTCTGCTTTTTTTAGCTGCAATCAATAGAGGAGTTTCATCGTTTTCACTGGGCAGCTCTAAAAGCTCATGTCGATCATCTAAAAGCTTTTGTACCATTCCAAGACTCCCATATCCTGCTGCAGTACGGAACAGTTTCTCTCCATTCTCGCCTTGGATATCTATATTAGCTCCCTGTGACAGTAGAAAGTCGGCAACTTCGAGCTTGTTAAATTTCACCGCTGCCAAGAGTGGCGTATCGCCATCGTCATTTGATAGCTCTAGAAACTCGCTTTTCTGCTCCAAGATGGCCTTGACTATGCCTAGATTGCCTCCGTCAGCGGCCGCATGCAGTATACTGTTTTCAAAATAGTCACGCGCGGTGACATCCGCATTGGCTTCAAGTAGACAGCTGAACACATCATATTCGCCATTTTCGGCTGCGAGGAAGAGAGGCGTCTCTTCAAACTCATTTCGCACCTCTAAAAAGTCACTTCTCGTTCTCAAAAGCGTTTGAACAATATCCAAGTTTCCGCCCCCCGCAGCAAGATGCAGAATTGTATGACCGTATGAGACAATTACTGTAATATCTGCGCCTTTTCCGAGTAGATATTGGAAAACATCAGAGTTTCCTCCGTCGGCGGCGATCAATATAGGAGTGCTTCCCCTCGCATTCGGTAGTTCCAAAACACTGGTTCCCTTTTCTTGAAGACCTTTTGTCAAGAGTTCATTTTCCAACAAATTATTATTCAAAAGGCTCTCAACAATATCGAGGGCTCCTCCCTTGACAGCTAGATGTAGCGCCGTGTTCTGCCCCGAGGCACGCACCGTGACGTCTGCCTTCCTTCCCAGCAAATAATGAAAGACATCCGATTTCCCGCATTCAGCTGCAAGTAGAAGAGCTGTCTCAATGTTCTCAGTCTGTAGATCTAATAGACCACCTTTAGTTTCTAGAAGAAGCTTGGCAACATCAAGATAGCCTCCTGTAGTTGCAAAATGGAGCACGGTGAATCCTTTTGGATCGCGTTTGTCGATGTCGGCCCCATTTCCCAGTAGAAACTGACAGGCTTCAAATGCTCCTTGCAAGGAAGCTAGCATGAGAGGTGTCCTTTTCAACATATCGCAAAGCTCTAAAAGGCAAGGCCCTCCGACATCGAGAATTAATTTTGCAATCTCAAGATGGCCTTGAACGCAAGCCAACAAAAATGCATTTGTTCCGCAGCTGGTGGTTTCAGCGTATATGTTCGCCCCTTTGGCAAGAAGAAGTTTTGAGATTGTGTAATAACCCAAACCTGCAGCAAGTATCAAGGGAGTCAACCCCTCAGTGACAAAGTCTTCGCTATCTGGAAAAGAGAAATCGAATACTGCCTCAAGGACATCTGGATCACAGAGCAGTAGTTTCTCCACCGCTGCTGCATTAGCACCCAGAATGGCCTCCTTCATGCGTTCTTCTTCACGATCTCTCTCCCCATATAGATAACGATCTGTGCCAGGTGGTACATCTGAAAATTGACGGTCAGCTAATACAAGAAGGGCTCAGTAGTATAGGGGCTCACCATCAGGGGGATCTGCCATGGTCGCGACTAAATCGCAAGTCTAATTTTTATCTGCCGTGATTACAAAACAGAGACCAGCCATGTCAGAAGATCGACAGAGTATCTACAGCTCGAGGCTCCCAAACACCTTCTGGTTCTCGAATGGTCCCTATCTCTTCTCGTCATGGGACCGCGCCGACCAAGAACAACATGCACGCGGCAACGTGTGGGGCTTTCCCGCCCCCACGCTGTCCCAGACTCCCAATCATCATCCGCTGCCTCATGCGTATTAGGCCTGAATAGAAATGGACCCTTGGCTAACGCGGCTGAAATATCTTCAAATGAGACGTGCTGATGAGCTATGCATTTTCAAGGTTTAAAACTCACTTAGAATATGATCAATTTTTCTAGTATTAATGCAGAATCACCACATCCGTGTGCATGAAGAGCCCTGGAGAGAGGTTGGTAGTATATCCTAGGGGAAGAAGCCGGGCCGACCCGCCCAGGCTTCAAGTTCTGCTATGAGACTTTCGATCGAAATCTATTTATTCTGGAAAGGCTAGGCTAAAGGAAGGTTTCTTAAGATCGTGAAACATCGCGCATGACGCGTGGGGAAACAAGAAAAATAGAACAGGAGACTATTCGTTATCAAAGCACCAGCCTAACTCACAACCGCGACTTGATGCTCTGACCACCTTCCCAAGAATCACCAGCCTCGAGAGTCTGCCAGCCAGAGACAGAGCCAGCCTCAACACAGATCATGTTTTTGTATGCCTCATCAGGACCAAAGTCCGCCATACCCTTGGCCTTCTCGATCCATGGGTTCCACACAACAACGTCCGTCAGGGCATCGCGGGTGATTGAAAACAGAGGCTGGTCGTCTGCAGCCGAGGAAACGACAATTGGGACAGAGGGGTCAAGGCTTTGGTAGACACGATCGGTTTCCTCGGTGATAGCCAGAGCCGGGGAGGCTTCGGTGTGAGAGCTTGCATTGCGAGTCTTGTCGATATAGGTCTTGGACTCGAGGTTCTTGACACGAATCGTGGAGATATCCTTAATGAATCCGTTAGCATTCGATGAAATTGAAATCATGTAATGATCAACAAAATCCAAAAGAAAGCAAAACTTACGGCAACGCTAAGGTAAGTATGCATGAGGACCTGGAACTCAAAGTTCTGAGTACCTTCATTGCGCACCTGCAACTGAGTTTGCAAAGAGTTCTTAGTTAAGGTGACACTGTAGACAAGTCCAAATTCATAAGGCCAAGCTTTACGGAACTCCTCGCTCAACATGGTATGCGACAGGCCGAAGTCCAGCTTCACAGCCTGATCACTCTGGCTATCAGCAGACTCGGCAGATGACTTGCCCAGGTATTCCCATTTCGAGTTTCGGGCGAAGCCATGCTGAGGAAGAGTAGAGGTGGCGTGGTCTTTAGGAGGAGGGCCGAAGACCTGTCAATAACAAACATGGATTAGTGTCTGCTATGCTATGCAAGCGTATTGGATTGTTTTTCATACCGGGAATACCAATGGGATTCCTCCACGAATAGGCTTAGATCCATCAAGGATAGCATTTTCGCTAAGGAACAGCTGTTCCTGGCCGTGGGCCTTCCAAGAGGTGACTGTGGCGCCGTACAGGTGGATCGTAGCGGATTCACCGGAGGGCAAACTAGCTTCAACAGTGCTGTCCTTGATGGAGACAGTGGGCTGGGGGATAGACGCACCCAGCCCGATGGCAGATGGTTTGTTAGAGCGATCCATTGTGAAGGTCTTGAAGGTGAGATGGGTTGACGAGGGGAGGATGAGGATGAAGTTGTTCCTGAGGTCATGGCGGGGGGGAACAGATCTGAGCCCCACACGCTCTTTATCACCTTATCGGAATCGCCGTTAAAGCGAACTATTTATATCAAAAAACCTTTGGAATTCTTTATTGTTTTTATCTCTGCCTCTGCTCATATATTTACACATGACGGTTCCTACCCATGCTGTAGCTTTGAAGTTGTATTGCCCGAGATACTCACCTCCTCAATGCGTTGAATCCCTTCCTCTGACAACCACCAGCCAAGAGCCTGCATATCCTGCTGCGCCTGCTCCGCATCCCGCACCCCAACGAGGGGCACGACCCCTTTATTTATAGAATAATTCAGAGCCACGGCAGGTACAGGTACACGGCGCTTCGCAGCAACGCTCTTCAGCACCTCAATAGTAGGCTCTAGGAGATGCATGGGGTAACTACTGAGCCGCAACGTACGCCTGGGCTGTTCAAACCGCGAATACCGACCCGTCAAGCGACCTTGAGCGAGCGAAGAAAAGCCTTGGAAACAGATATTTCGCTTCCGGCACTCACGAATCATCCCACTAATCTCCGGAACTCGGCGAATAACCGAATACTCGCACTGGCTAACGGACAACGGAACACCATATCTCTCCAATTCATCAGCCATCTTGATCATCTCCTTCGTATCGTAATTTGCCATGCCCACAGCACGGGTAAGACCTTCTTCCACACATTCAGCCAGTCCCTTCGCGACGGATGAGAACGAACTCGGGTGCACAGGTCCATGAACAAGATAGATATCCACATACTATAGTCCCAGTCTAGAAAGCGTGCCTTTAAGTCTTTTCTTCGGACTATGAGATTGCAGTAGGACATTGGTCATGTCAGGCAGGGATTGCCATTTTGTCTGCACGATAAATGAATCTCGCGGCATACCCTGGAACAAAGTTCCGCAGATACGTTCGCTTTCCCCGTCTCCGTACGCTTGTGCAGTGTCGACGAAGGTTAGCCCCACAGCTTTGAGCTTCTCCCATGCGGCATGGATCCGTGGTAGATTTTTCGTGGCGTTATATCCGAATGTGGCTTTGTCGCCCCAGGACCAAGCGCCAATGCTCATATAGGGAATCGAGACGCCCTTGCCGCTTCGAGTGCGTAAAACGATCCGGCTTTGAGAGTCTGGAGTAAAGTCTGGCTCGAGGACATAAGGCGGGTCGGTAAGGTTTGGATCCACGGGCTTGGGCTGTAGAGATCTGTGTCCTTCTGTGGCGGACATGCCGGCTGCTAGGCCGCTTTGCATCATATACTGAGTTCCTATGGCCACCATGGTGATTTATTAATTGAACTGGGACCTTTATCATAAACTTCCCATTCGTAATCAGCCGGAATGTGGGCGTATGCAGTGATTGCGAGGTTGATAGACTTGAAATGACTATCGTCGGTACCCCGGGCGCTCGTTGTGCCTTTTTATATCTTTAGGCCTGATGTGGTGGCACCATCCGTTAGGATTTGCCATCATGATGACATTGCCTCATTCGATTCCACCTGCCAGTGGATACAAATGGAGGTTGGGACGTGTGTAGCACAAACCAAAACCACCACCCAGTTGGGCATGATATAGTACTACTAGTACATAGTCCTTTAGGGCAATAGATACTAAGATGATGGCACATTATATAGTTGAATAGCAATCGGCAGACGTACAAACGAAACCCAAAAAAAAGAAAAGAATTACAGTATATTACCCAGTCTAATAAGGGAAAGAATTATAAGATACAGGGTGACTAGCCAGCTCAGAATTCAACCCAATTCAAAAAATTTATGCAATCGCTATTTGTTTTATAAGACATATGGTATGGATGCATGTGGGGAATAATGGCGAAAGAGTGCCAAATTACAAGCAGAAAAAATCAATACACAGAAATATTTCACGTTGAACGCCATCGCTATGCGGTTTTGTCGAGTCGCCGTGACGCATCATGCGCCTCGACTCGAATATTGAACAGAAGATCGTCGATTTCGCGGAGAGCATCTGGGCTCAGGGTAGTTTGTTTCATATCATTCAAAAGTTTCTTCAGCGATGCAGTGATTGTTGTATCGCTGATGTCAAGTTTGGATGTCGGGATTGAATCAGTTTGAATTCCCGCCGTGGCCGTAGTTACGACATGCTCAGCTGGCTTGTCTTGGTCATTGCTTGGTATAACTTCTGTGTTCACATCCATTTGCATGACGGTATCATCGTGGGAGGGGTTTGCCACGCGGGGAACGTCAGTCACCTGAGAATCCGTGGCTTCCTCAGTAGAGACCAGAGGAATTTCAGAAATGAGGGAGTCGTTGTTTAGTGTGCCACCAGGAATGTCGTTCTCGAATGGTCCTTGAGCTTCTAGCTGTTCAGGTTCAGTTCGAAGCGAGGTTTTTGTGTCGGTTTGACTTTCAGACGTCTGAGTCGCATTGGAATGACCATCGCGAGTAGACTGAGAACGAGGCGTATTGCGGGTACTAGTAAATTTGCCACCCTCCCCACGCATGAAGCTACGATGACGCCGAGACAACGATGGAGACAATTCTGAATGTTCTGCTTGCTTCGGTGTAGACTTCGGTGTGGACTTAGAAAGCTTGGTAGGGGAGCTTTGCTGGGACACACCACTTCCCTGTTTGTTTTGGGAATTGCGGGTCGATCGACGAGTTGTTCGCTCAGGTGAATCAAGCAAATCGATCACAAGAGGAGCAACCGCCGCGAATGGAGCCTTTTCAGGAGAATAACTTTGAGAAGCCTCGTTGTCATCTGGTTCCTGCTGTGACTGCGTAGTATCGGGGCTAGCTCGATCTATCGAATCGATTGGTTTGGTCAACAATCTGTGGGATCGACGTCTTTCTTTTGCAGACGTTGGAGGAATGTCATCTTCACTACGCTTCCTCTTCTTTGTGTTAATCGCCCGTGGGGAGGCAGGTTCCTCAGTGGGCTGTCTCTCAAGGGAGGGACTGCCCTGATCCACTGCCAATCCTAAATCTTGAGAAAGCTGAGATGCAATTTGCAAGTCATCACTCGAAGAGTCCGCATAATCATTGACAGGTGGTAGAGGTCCAGTCTCCTTTGCCTTAGTGAATTGTGATTGTTTCTGCTGATTTTCACTCTGAACGAACTTTGATGGAGTCCTTGACTTTTTCCTTCGGGGTGCAGACTTTGATGTAGAGGTCTGAGCAGGAGAAGCTACCGCTGGCTTGACGGGGGTTCCCAGTGGTGTCGGTGTGAACGAGTTCTGATCATTTCCCGTGTTTTGGCTCAATGCAGATCGAGTTCGTCTACTTGGGGGCCTTTCATCGGCCTGTATGGTGACTTCATTCTCTTTGGTTTCTCCAGGAACATCGGCGTTGGATGACTCCGGAACATCGTTTACCACAGGTATAACAGGACCGCTGGGTGCGCTTTGTTCTTCAAGCAACTTCATTTCAAGCGCTTTTTTACCTTTTTGGGATCTTCGTCGCGCGTTTCTGTTGCGGTTTTTGTTATTTTTCCTTGGGCTGGGACTCCTGGCAGTGATTTCAGGCGGGGACGATGGAATATCAGATGCATCATCCATGACAATATCCTGGTGTCTTAACACAGGCATATCCGATTTCAATGCAGGGGTCGGATCTCGAGTGGCAGGAGTTGGAGAGGAGCCAATAAAAGCTTCTTCATTTTCCGTGGGAGCAAGTGTCGGAGTCAAAGGAATTCCCGAGACCGATTGCGATGCGCGGAGTCCTCGTAAGTGTACAGGGGTTTCAAATCCCAATCTTCCAGGCGTATTCGCAGGAGACGAGGACCTAATAGAATCAATCATTTGGAAAACCTCTCGTCGATTACCGGGGAAAGAGAGGGAAGCATGGTTTCCATCGATGTATGATGCAGCATTCGTCGGTAATTGTGGTTCTTCCAGGGGCTCTGAAGTCTCCTCAGCCGGTGGTTCATGGAAGCCAATCACGGGCGACGAGTTGAGATGAAGATAGCTCTCGCTTTGCGGTCGCATCGATGGGTCGATAATCGGTCGTTGTGAAGGTAAATATGAAACCAATGTACTCTGGAGAGATCATAAGTGCCTAGGACTGATATAGATTCTTTCATTTTACTTACCTGTGCTTCCATTTCGGGTTTCGCTGTTACCGTGAGTCGCTCCACGGCAGCCTCAAGAGACACGCCGATGGATGTCTTAGAAGACGCTTTATTGGCGTTGGAGGATGTGGAGTACCAGAAATCAACAAATTTCTTGGCCCGCGATGCATGAGAAGAATCTAAACCAGCACAAATGATCTCATCAAACATCCGCAACGAGGTTAAATCGTCGTTAACAGAGGTTTGTAGAACATTAACAATAGCGAACGTCAAAGCACGGCACTAGTAACTCGTTAGGTTGTGATCCGATTTTCAAACCCACTGTTTGAGAAGAAGCACTTACCGCAGTTAGAATTCTGCTGTCTACACCGTTGTTAACCTCAAGTTTCGACTTCTCATCCTTAATCCATGGCCCTAAAGCCGATTGTAGGGTTTCGAGGAGCCGTGAGCGGAAATGGGGCGCACCCGACCCTAGGAAGGAAGTCAAGGATTCGATAAATCCTGCGAAGCCCTGGGACTGCGAGCCACTAAAGCCATCATATGCCAGTCGCAGAGTTCTGCCAATTGATTTTATGAATTTCGTGGGGAATGGCGGAGGGCCCATTTGTTGCACAACTGTATGTGCCTTCCCCACTTCATTGCTCTGCAAGAAGGGAATTGACAGAGACTGGCTCAGTAGGGACGCTGACGGTAGATAAGTGTCTTGGGCAGGTAGATTCATGAGACATTCAGCCAAAGGCTCTATGATGAGACTGGGCAGTGCTTGGTCTCCTCTCTCAGTTCTTGCCACTCGCACGAAAGAGCTCAGCAGATGTGACCATTCTTGAAACACATCATGTAGCTTAATACCAGCAGCCAGAATTTTTGTGACATTGTCATAGTCGCGAGAGACCGACCCATCCCGTTCTCGAGCAGATTCCACTGGGAAGGACTGTAAGGCGTCTGCAGCTGCCCGGGCACTGGCCTTCCAAGTCACTTCTAGAAGTGGCGAAGATGGGGAATCGGCAGACGTTGGCTCTGCTGTGTGCAAGTCCGCGCATTGTTGAAGAAGCTCGAGGCGAGATCCACGCGAGATCCTACCATTGCAGGCCGCTTGAATGATTCCTTCGACGAGACGAACGTATGATAAAGTCGGCGTAATTGAGACGGAAGGAGCACTGACGGCTCGCAAAAGATGCAGGATTGGGCTATAAAGATTTGTCCCGGAGGCGGATTTGTGATGTGTTGGTGTGTGGGAGCTGTGGAACGTACCATCCGAAGCCTTTAGTAGAACTCTTTCAGTGAAGGGGATGCTGCCAAGGGAGGATATCATCGTCGTCGATAAAAACCTAAAGCGCTCGAAGAAATCATCTGCTCCTGCTTCAATTGGAACGTTCAAAGAAGGCGGACCTTCGTTCCATAGGCGATGTAATAGCGCAAGGACACTAGCAACAGCTTGCATCGACTCCGTAGAAGGGGTGATTTCTTTGCTTGAAGCCAAAGACAGTGCACTGGAAAGGCTGTCCCAAGCACGAGCAATGTTCGACTTTTCAAATTCGTTTGTATCCCAGACCGATGACTTGAGCATGGGCTCGAATGCTTTCAGGACCGTGTTCACTCTTGAGCGGATCCATTTTGAGTCAATCGGGGCAAGGTCTTCGGCTTCGATTTTGTTATTGTCATTGATACGATCTTCTGACCACACTTTGACCTGCGGGTTCCAGAGAAGATTTGATAGCATGTGTGCTTGAACGTCGCTGAGGGCTGGGGCGGATGAGAAGGTTGACGCAGTAGGTGTGCCAATGTACTCTTCCCAGATGACATCCAAATGACTGTGAGGCAATGAAGGCCGGAAAGTGTAGTAAAGAAAGTTGTAATAGCTGCTCAAAGCTAACGGCGGAGGCACTGAACCAGATTTATCGGACTTTCGCCGCTCAAATTGGGAGAGAATCGGCTTGCCCAACATCTTAAGCAGGGATCGACTTGTTGATTCATTTGGATGAACGGCGAAAATGAATCTGTTCCAACCCACAATAGCCTGGGCTTTGATGGATGGGTCGCTGCAGTTGAAACATTTTTGAAGAACAAGCACCCATTCTTTGAAATGTTCCCAATGCTCAAGATTCCAGTTCTTACATCTTAAGAGTAGAATTATGACACTCCAAATCTGTGGAATATGAACTCCACTTTCGGGATTCGCCATCATCCGGGTCATTCGATCTCTAATCTCTGTAATGAGCTTCCTATTATTTTCCAGTGGTCGAGCAAAAAGGTCCCGTAAAGTATTAGACAGCGTGTTGTTTGGGCCCGCAGCTGCAGCAACTTGAAAACCGAGGCCAATTGCCTTTACTCGGCTGTCTTTCATCTGATTGAGAAGGCCAAATACCAGATGCTCTGCCCAGAGTGGGGATTGAGATATGAATACTGATTTGGACTGGGAAAGGAGGCGTTGATATATCGTCAATCGATGGAGAGCTATCGCTTTGCCTGTAACGTGTTTTGTGATATCTTGTAGTGCTGTAAGGAGGCGCGTGACGCGGGCGTTGGTCATGATTCGCGGGCCGAAATTTTGTGCAGACAATATGGACATATAGTGTGTTAAAACTGATTTTGGGGCTTTGGCTTCCTGGAAGCAGGTGGTCGCGTGGTCCAACAGGAAAACTTTAAACTCATCCGACAACAGAGGAATGACTTCCGAGTTCCAAACGAAGGCCGCAGTCAATTTCAAGGCCTGGTTGGCAAGATTGGTATCCAGCGGTGCGCCGTTTGCCAGAGTTCGACTGACATCGCGTTGGATGAAGCCAGTTATAGCACCTAATTTTTCGGCAATATCCTTCGTTGACGGCAATTGATCGTACGTGCGGAGAGCATTGAAGAGCTGCATATATGCATCGCGTCTGGAGGGGATGTTTTCTCCCCCCAGTTGCTGAACGACAGATTCGAGAAGCATCGCAAGGGACCCCGTTTCGGAAGCCGGATCGTCGTATGAAGCTAACACAGGAATCGATGCATTGCACTCCTTCAGGATGGATTTGAAAGGACTCGCCCAGGGTTTGGGGTCTTTTTGCATGAACGGGCTATCTCTGGGCAATGGTTTCATCGGGTCCGGAAGCTCGACGGTAGTACATAGGTATGGCGACCATCCGACTTGCTTGGACGCGCGACTGGATGGGAGGACTCTAGAGGAATTGGCGGTTTGTGGTGTCGCTGTAGGGTGTCGATCGGGGGTATCGGTTTCGCTCTCATCAATCCGTGAACCTGGTCTCGGAGGTGTCGGTGGGCGAGCAGGAAGAGGGCCAAGCATCTCCACCATGGTTTAAGTGAGGGTAATTAATAAAAGAAAGGAGACAAATACCATTGCTTGGCCGGGAGCATTTATTCAAATGGTCAAGTCAAGTTCGGTTTGGGGGGGCTGTCCCATGAAGGGTTTGAGGATGTCAAAGCAGCCAAGACTCATGGTGAAAACTGGTCCGACGCGCGGAGCGCGTTAAGTGCTCGCGCGATCTATACCGCCTTCTGGCCAGACGCGCTTTTCCCTCCACATTCTCCCAATACACATGTTGAACCCCTCAACTTGAATAAAAATCATCAGAAAAATAAATGATGAACTGTACGGACACCTCACAACACTTGGAGCACAATAATTCCCTGGCCACTGGGTTCCTGGTGTCAATGTAAAAGGGAAAGTTATACATAGTTCAGTAGCCGCAGAACGCGGTTTTACCAGTATGAAATGCAAGTCACAATTGAAAGATGTTGGACGCGTTTATAGATCGTCCATTGATACTTTAATATAATTCTATCTGAATGGCTTGTCTTAATGCCTACAGGGGCTCTTTCATCCCTTTACATTAAAGGCTGATCTGGGTTAAATGCTAAAATAAAACCATATGCGACCACTGGATTGCTCTTGAGTACGCAGAGAAGAAATATGATCTGATAGAAACCAATTTTTATTTTTATTTTTAATTCTTCTTTTCGCTTATTTACTGACATCTCCACGCTGCACAGTTTACTGGGTGTTTAAAGCTCCATTGTTCACCTTGCAGGAACGTCTACAGGGGGTTGCGGCGGCGGGAGCTTAAGTGGGGTCCTGCTTCATGACCAAACTTGTCCAAGTTTCCTTTCCCTACGCTCTTTTCTTCATCCTACACTTCATCCAAGTCGCCTCCACGTTTCGTCGCTGGCTTTCATGTCCTGGTGGTCACAAATTTTTCGTACCGGACCATTTCTTCCATCCCTACGCATACAACCTACGCGACCGACTCCATCCTCAGTTTGAGAAGGATGGCACTACGCCAGCTGCATGGCGCAGGTACGACTACGCCAAACCACCTAACCATACAATAGAAAACATGACCATCTAACAATATATAGCTAAGCTACAAGAAGTCACACGGTTGCTGGACTCTCTTGAAGCAGATTTGCAGACAAAGCAATTGACACCAGCTCGTAAGTCTAGATCACTGATACCCCTCACGCACAACCAAACGATAGCGACATGATGCCGACACAGTCCAATTTTTGCATGCAGAAACGGTCCAAACTCTCTTGCAGCTCCGACAGCATGGCACAAACCCCGTTGACGCCGATCCTATATACTCCAGCAAGGTATGACTGCGCGAAGATGATTCAGGTCAAAAGACTCCCGTGGTCTGATACATCTACAGGGGATTGGGATACTTGTCAAATATGGCGTAGACGGAGAGTCCCCGGATGTCTGTCGTGCTGCATTGCGATGTGTCGCAAACGCCCTACTCCTTAACGGGAAGATGCGCCAGGTCTTTGTTGATACAGGATACGGAGGGAAACTGGCTGAAAAGCTCAAGGTATATGCGTGCCGAGGAGGTCTAAATATACACCTTAAAAAGCTAACATCGATATTTAGGTTGATAACTCCGATGACGAAATGGTTACTAGTCGTATCCTATTCTTGTCAACTTATGATACGACGATGGACTTCGATGACTTGATCCAGAATCATTCCCTTGGAGAGAATGTCAATTATGTATGCAAAGACCTCCTGTCTTGTTCTTCAAATGTGTTACTGACCGGAATATGTAGCAACTGAGTCGGCATGCAAAGCAATTTCCTAAGACTGGAAGGCGGCCGCTTTCCCAAATGGATGAGCTGGCACTTACTGACACGCTGAAATTGATCTTTAATATTTCCAAGCTGTTTGATCTAGGTGCCGCATTCTCCCCATCTATACCTCATATCCTAAAGATAATCAGTCGCATCGAGATTCCTGCAAAGCCTTTAGATGGATTGACTAGTTATCTTATCAACTCACTCTCCGTGCTTGATCTCCAGGAAAAGAAAAGCAAAATTTTCGAGGGTAATCCTTTATTTCCGACATTTAATCAGAACTGCAATGCCGATAAGTTGATCAATATCCTTGACCAAGCTGTGTCGGCATATCGACCCGAAGACCTTGAAGAGAAAGCTATTCCATTACTTCATTCGCTCATCATCATATACGACCTTGCCCCGGAGGGACCACGAAAGTACATGCAATGGCTACTTCTGCCCGAAAACAATGATCGAAGCCAGCCGATCGGACGTTCCGACACCCTTGCGTCTAAGCTGCTCAAGCTCTCAACGAGTCCATACGCGAATCTTAAAACTGGAATCTCGGAGCTTATGTTTGTTCTCGCTGATAAAGATCCCGAGAATTTAACAAGAAAAATCGGCTACGGATTTGCAGCAGGATTCTTAGCATCTCGCGGTCTGGAAATCCCGCAGAGCGCGAAGGAGGCCTTTGCAAATGAAGACAGTGGCCTCGATCCAAACGTAAACCCAATTACTGGACAGCGATGGACATCGGAGCCTAAAGATACAGGTCCACCCATGACTATGGAGGAGAAAGAGAGAGAAGCGGAGAGACTTTTCGTACTCTTTGAAAGAGCGAAAGCAAATGGTCTTTTGAATGTGGAGAACCCTGTGACTCAGGCTCTTCATGAAGGAAGACTAGAGGAATTGCCAGATGATGCTGACAGCGATTAAGCTTTCCCATCTCTGCCTTATGCATCTTTTCGAATCTATGCGATCTCATGATTTTATATACCCTTTTTGCTTTTTGTACATACCAGCTGATACAAGAAATGTTGTACGCCATCGAGGAATATAAATCATCTAATATTGCCCTGAAAATTTGCTTTGAACTAGCCTTTTAACTGCTCGGTGATGTCTAGCCAGTATATCTAAGCAGACTCCATAGAAACAGAGAGAAGACAAGAGAGGAAGGCGGGGAGAACAGCCATGACGTTATGTGAGCTGGCAGTATCCCTCTCCGCCCTCTCCGCCCGGCGAAAAATTATTCGCGGGGCACAGCACTTCGACTCCCCACTTCTTCACTTTGCACTTTTGTCTACGTTCCACGACAATTTCAATTGAGTTCGTTTTGAAGAGGTCATACACCTGAATATACGCCAAAATGTCGAAGCCCTTTGATCCCGAGCAGGCCGAGAACCTGGATGATGTGCGTTGCCGAGGAACTTGTCGCCCATGACCGAAGAAGCAATAGCTAACAGTTTCAACAGATTGAAAAGCAGTTTGCCGTGAAGGGTTCGTCAATATTATCCAGAGCAGTCGATCACTGCTATTTATGAATTGCCAAAAACTAACACATTCGACACGAATACAGCTGTCGAACACCTGATGACATACTGGTCAATTTTGGAAAAGGTCAAGGGCTCACAGCTGCGCCTGACCAAGATGGACAACGAGATCTACGAGTCATTCATGGAGGCATTCCCCGATTTCGATCCCGCTGCCACTATCAGCGAGGATGACATGAAGAGCAAGGCTGGCAAGGAGAAGTGGCGCAACTGGATGAACCTGTTCGAAAAGAAGATCGATGACTACAACTTTGGCACAATCATCCGAACTCGCGCCGACAAGGAGTACGATCAGGATACCACCATCTTCGGTGTTCGCATGCACTTCTATGCTGTTGAAATTGCTCGCAACCGTGCCGGACTCAACGACTGGATCTACGAGCGCAGCCAGAAGGCCAGCGCTTGACTGCATTATTGATACCATTTATGTTTCGGGCTTGACTTAGTCAAGTCCTATCCCACATCCGGGCTGTTAGACCCACGGCATGTTCCGCTTCTGTGAGCTGTTTGAAAACCCGCAGATTTTGCGCGAGTGTTCTTGCCGAAACTAGCATCCCGCAGGGCCTTTGTTAATATCCCTCGAGCGAGATTGACTGTTATAGATAAGGAATTTACGATTTGATGCACATAGACACCTGGTTCTTGTTGTTCGAGGGTCCTGGAGTTATACTCGGTTTTAATCCGAGATGTTCCAGTGAACATTAACGGGTATGCCTAGAAATAAAATAGCATGTTGTTTGCATGTGCGATTTTCAATGTTGGAAATATTTTGCTACTTCACAATGAAAAGTCGTAAAAGTGATCTTCCTCGAAATTCTTTGTCGTCCTTCGGGTGAGTTTGGTCCCGTTCATTGCAGGGTTTAGGATTGTTGTCAGGTGCCGTTAGTATTGTTCCCCCTGTACAATGGTTTCCCAAAAGAGGAAATGCAACGCCACACCTTTCACTTTACCTGGAAACATGTTTAATAATTCAATGAATGTCATCAGAAATCCGCCAGGAATTATTCTTCTAATCGTCATGTACACTCTATCTCGAGCAGCATGTCGCATTCCTCTTGCACAGACTCTGAAAGAGGAGAGGATGGAGAGGAGAACCCAGTCCGTATTCAGATTAGCTGGAAGTCTCTCTTCAACTTCACATCTAGGAAGCATCTACCAATTCTTATCACCGGATCATTATTCGCACTCTGCGCCGGATGTGTCACGCCAGTATTAGCGGTCCTACTAGGAAACGTATTTGAGGCCTTCACAACATTTGGAGCTGGACAGTCTGACGCAGGCACTTTGCATTCGAAAATAGCTACCAACTGCCTGGGCATAGTAGGACTGGGAGCCGCTGGCTGGTTTTTGAATGGTGCCTACTTCATGATATTCGTTGCATTTGGAGAGTTCCAAGCTTCAAGTATTCGGGGTAAGGTTTTTGTGGAGCTTCTGCGGCGAGATGTGGAGTGGTTTGAAGCACAACGTGAAGGGTCTGGAGCGTTCTTGTCAGGAATTCAAGCGTAAGCATTTTTCGAGCTTGATGCTTCCAAGGAAACTGGCTAACGAAGAGGAACAGTCATATCAATGATCTGCAATTGGCAACTTCCCAGCCTCTGGGCCTTCTTCTACAATACGGATGTCGATCAGTTGCATCTTTAATACTCGCCTTGGTTATCTCGTGGAAACTTTCTCTTGTCACGCTTGCAGGAATTCCTATTTTCTCTTCGATCATTGCATACTTGTCTACTAAGATAAGACCTAGTCTCATAGCACAACAGGCCGAACTCACTCATTTGTCCAAAATTGCAAATAATGCCATCGCTTCCATTGACACAGTCAAATGTTTGAATGGACAGGCTTTCGAGTCAAGAAACTTCGCCAGCCGAATTGAACAATCTGCAATCCACTATCTCAGACAAGCGAGATTGAACTCTACACAGATTGCACTCATAAGGTGGATGATGTTTGGTATGTTTGTGCAGGGTTTCTGGTATGGTAGTTACCTTGCTCGCACGGGGAATTTATCTTCTGGTGATGTTATTACTACATTCTGGGCGTGTACAACAGCGGCTCAGTCCATCGAGCAGGTGCTTCCCCAAGTTATTGTCATGGAAAAAGGAAAACTTGCTAGTGTCGTTCTCAAGAGAATGATGACTGAGCGCGCGAAAGATGCCATAGGCAGTGAGGTAAATGGTAAAGCATACCCAAGTCTTTGTGTCGGAGATATCGAGGTCAACAATGTAAGTATTTTCTCAAAAGTGGAATGCGATGCGAAGAAAATTTCTGTTTGCCTGCTCTACTTTCTAACACATATGCAGGTATCGTTTTCCTATCCATCGCAACCCGAAACATGTGTGATTAACCCGTCAACATTTTTCTTCCCAGCTGGAGAGACAACGTTTGTCATAGGAAAAAGTGGCTCAGGGAAGAGCACCCTCAATCAGTTGCTAATGAGATTTTATCTACCAACCTCTGGAGATATCCTGATCGATGGACATGCGATAAACTCACTAGATATCACCTGGATTCGAAATAATGTCACCCTTTTGGAACAAAAGTCTGTTTTGTTCAACGATTCCGTTCGACAAAACATTCTTTTTGGACGCAAGGATCGAGAGTCGGTTCCAAAGAGAGCCATCGAAGACTCAATAAAGCTTGCAATGCTCCAAAACACCATAGAAGGATTACCACGAGGTATTGATACCTCGGTAGGGCCTGGTGGAAGCTTTCTTAGCGGCGGCCAACGACAAAGAGTAGCAATTGCTAGGGCGAGGCTTCGCGATACCCCAATCCTAATCCTGGATGAGCCGACCAGTGCTTTGGACCCTACGAACCGTGTAGCAGTTATGAACTCATTACGAAGATGGCGCAAAGGCAAGACAACAATTATTATCACCCATGAAATGTCCCAGATCCAAGAGGATGATTTCGTTTATATCCTAGAGCACGGATCTATCAAACACTCAGGCTTTAGACACGAACTTGAGAATCGCGATGGATGCCAGATCTATCTCCCTCCTTCCGTCAAGAGTGGTGACGAAAAAAGCGACCCGGCCAATTTTCAAGCCAATGAAAATTCGTCATTTAGTAGATCAGCCGTTAGCAGCGTGCGAATACCTAAAAGGGTTCATCATCAGCGGAAGTTATCATGGGCACAACATCATATTCCCCCGGGGTTTCGTTCGAGCACTTTTGAAATAGCCACTCGGCGATATTCAATCGATGGGAACAGTTCCAGAGAAAGTCTTACTCGAGATGAAATGGCTTCTCCCACCTTCCAACTAAAATTTAGTCGCTCAGTTCCAGATCTCACGTCTCCCTTCTCGTCGGAAGATAACGAAGAAGCCGATCAAAGTATTGAGATGGTCGAACTAAATTCTACGGCTACAGAATGGCACAATCCGATGCATTCTTTATCCCCTGAGAAACTTCAAAGAATTAGCCACACTCAAGGGAAGCGTCACCGAGATCAAAGAAGAAAACCACCGCAAACTGCAACAAAAGCAGGCAAGCCGTTCCCGCTAGCTAGAATAATGGGTACCATAATACCCAACTTGACACCCAAACAACGATTGGTCCTTCTCGCTGGAGTTCTATCAGCGCTGGGTCACGCAAGTGCCACTCCTGTCTTTTCCTACTGCCTATCACAGTTAATCGGAACATTCTATGCCGGCAAAGATAGCGCGCGTCTAGCAAGCAAATGGTCTCTTGCTGTTCTAGGTGTATCACTTGGAGATGGGATCTCGTCATTCTTCATGCATTATTTTCTCGAATTCTGCGCCGAGGCCTGGATGGATACACTGCGAATCAATGCCTTTGAACGCGTTCTAGATCAGCCAAAAGCCTGGTTTGAAGACGATGGAAACGGATCCTTCCGGATTGCATCTTATTTGGATCAAAACGGAGAAGACATGCGTAACTTGCTAGGTCGCTTTGCTGGTTTCTTTATAGTTGCAGCTGCAATCATGGTTCTGGCGGTGTTATGGAGTCTAGTGGTTTGCTGGAAACTGACTTTGGTAGCATTATCTTGCGGACCATTCATTTATGCAGTTACGAGAGGATTTGAATCGACAAATGGCCGATGGGAAAGGAAATGCAACGAAGCGAACAGAGTAGCATCGGATGTTTTCACGGAAACATTTTCGGAAATTCGCACGGTGAGATCACTAACTCTTGAGACCTATTTCCATTCCAAGCAGATTAGCGCTGTCACGGCTTGTCTGAAAGTGGGACTGAAGCGGGCTTTGTATACTGGCCTTCTGTTTGGAATGGTGGAATCCACTGTTATGTTTGCCAGTGGTGAGTTAACAGAATTGTTCAACCAAAGAGTTCTTCACTAACATAGATTGACATTTAGCATTAATATTTTACTTCGGAGCTGTCCTTGCTACCTCGGAATTTACCGTGGACGACGTGGTGAAGGTGTTCTCGCTGTTGCTTTTTAGTATTGGCTACGCAGCACAAATTCTATCATGGAGTATGTCCCCAGTCTTTAAATCGATTTTGAATTCAATGACTGATTGCATTTCAAGTTCCTCAAATCAACACATCTCGCGAGATAGCCACTCGTCTCCTCCAACTCGCTCACCTTCCCACATTTGGCTCACACGAACATCGTGGCTCTATGATCGTATCTGCATTAACACCTATCAAGCTTGCAAACATATACTTCAGATATCCCTCAAGGCCCGATACGTTAGTTCTGAAAAATGTATCGCTGAAGATTTCTCAAAATTCCTGCACCGCTATTGTGGGGCGCTCCGGCTCTGGCAAGTCAACCATAGCCTCACTACTGTTAGCACTGTATGAGTCCCCAGAATCGCGAAGTGCAGATTCGACAGTTACAATGGGCGGAGAGGACATTCAGCATCTACATGTCCCCACTCTACGATCGCAAATTGCCATCGTGTCACAGCAACCAACTATCTTTCCTGGAACTATCCACGCCAATATCAGCTACGGTATCGAATCCGATTCTCCTGTAGCGTCGATGGAAAGTGTTCGGAATGCAGCAAAGGCAGCTGGAATTGACGAGTTTATCATGTCTCTCCCACGAGGCTACTGGACTGTAATCGGTGATGGCGGGATCGGTCTTTCTGGGGGCCAAAAACAGCGAGTCGTTATCGCACGCGCATTGCTACGTCACCCTCAGATTCTCATATTAGACGAGGCTACCTCTAGTCTAGATCCAGCAGGCGCCGAGATAGTTCGTCAAACTGTTCAGAAGCTCGTTCTTGCACGCCAAGATCTAACGGTTATCATTATCACACATGCCAGGGAGATGATTGAGATTGCAGACCACGTTATTGTTCTAGACCAAGGAGTTGTGGTTGAGGACGGGCCACATAACGCCCTTTCCCAAAGGATTGGAGGAGAATTTATGAGCTGATGAATGACCCTGAGGAAATAGGTAAGTAGTGCGAGAGGCTTCGGGTATCCCGCTGTTAGATCAACATTTGAATTCCACTCAACTTTGCGAATATTAAAATTTAGCTTGTAAGCACTAATATTTCCATTTTATTTGACCTGATTTGATTATTATCTATACCTCTACCATTTAGGGTTAATCAAAGACTCCATCAATGGGGTATTAAAAGCTTTCTGATTCGTTTTTGTGGATTTGAATCCACCTCAATTGAAGCTCCCCTCGTCGCTCCAATCCGCGGATACCAGTTTATAAATTAAAGTCGGACTATCCCCTCTTCCATTCCAAAAAAAACGCGATAAACCTAGCGAGCATAAAAATTCCTCAATCAAAAACACCTCCTAAGACGCATACGTTGCAATTGCTCAATCCACCCAAATGTCAAACCCAACCATCATCTTTTGCCCAGGGGCATGGTATCCACCAACAGCCTTCGACACAATCATTTCCAAACTCCCAAAATATACCTGCCATACATGCGCATTTCCCTCTATTCAAAAGGCAAGCGAAACAAAGTCGCTGGACCCCGATATCTCAGCTCTCCGCTCGCTAGTAGAGAATGAAACAGATGCAGGCCGAGATGTCCTCGTCGTATCCCACAGCTGGTCTGGTCTACCCGTGAGCAGTGCTCTTGATGGACTAAGCAAGATAGAGCGTGAGAAGGAAGGCAAAAAAGGTGGCGTTTTGCGTATAGCGTTCATCTCCGCTTTTCTTCCTACTCTCGGACAGAGCTTGATTGGGGCTTTTGGCGGAACACCGCCTGATTGGTATATTCACAATGTAAGTTGATTTGTGGCTTTTGAAATCGAAGAATTCGCTAATGGCAGAACAGACGGAGTCTGAGACTCTTACGGTGGCTGATCCCGTCGGTCGCTTTTTCCATGATGTACCTGATGGGGAGGAGTGGGCGAGCAAATTGCGTCCTCATTCGTGGTTGACGAAACTGAGTCCGGCGACGGGCACTGCTTATGTGACGATTCCCTGTTCTTATTTGCTCTGTGAAGATGATCAGGCTATTCCATTTGAAGTCCAGAAAGGTATGGTAGAGCAGGCGCGGGGGCTGGGTGCCGATATTGAGACGGAATCTATTAAGACGAGTCACACGCCGTGGCTTGTCTTGCCAGATGAGACTCTGAACTTCATTCGGAGACAGGCTGGGGAAAAGATATGAGTATTGAACATTTGAAGAGTTTGGTGATATTGAACAGACATAGAGTTGATCAGTTCTGTCAAAACAGATAGAAAATAATATTCACATTGCTATTAAACTGCTTCGAATACTCAAAAGCTTAAACGAGGGTCTCGGTACTAACTTCAAGTTGCTATATACAAAAGCGAATGTCCTTATGCCATCTGGAAATATACAAGACCATCTTCACAAAATCAAGTACTACATAAACGAGCGTGGTGGTGCGTTCCCTGCTTAATTTCTCTTGGTGCAGGAAAGCTTCCGGAGGACATTCTTCAAGCCTTGAAATACGCCTTGCTTCTCAGTCTTGTTGACAGGGGACTTGTTCGTGTCATCCTTGCTAGTCGACTTCTTAGTCGAGTTGCTACTTGTCGGACCACCAACAGTAACCGTCAACAGCTTAGGACTACCATCATAAACAGCCCCAGACTGATCAGCACCATTCGTCGGGCCCACATCATCATAAGGGAATGCATATCCTCTACCATCAAGGGCAGTAGCATGACAAATGCGCGCATAGTGGTTCGTGATAGAATTAGTGTAATAAGTAGACACAACCTCGCCTTCGGGTTGGTTGTTATCAATCAACAAAGTAGATCGATTGAATGCAGCTGCCAGTCGTGCTGAAACGGCATTCTGAGTAGTATTGCTAACGACAGCCAAAGCACCGGAGCTATTGCTGAAAATATCCGCTGTAGAAGGCTGCGCATAGGCGATACTGTCGGATGAGAATGTCAGCTGATTATTGGTAACATTGGCGGTTAGATTGCCGGCTGCTCCCTGCGTGTCGACTGTCAGTGTGGTGTCGGCGTATTTCGACCACACCTGGTCGACGTAAGAGTCGAAGTATGTGCCGAGCAATCCGCTGGTCAGTGTTATGCCCGTGTTCGGGGAGACTGCGCGTAGGTTTGCACCGCCGGTTGTGACGATCAGCTCATTCCATCCTGCGCTGTCGCTGTTGTTCTGGGTTGTCAGCGCAGTGCAGATAGTGTCTAGTCCATTTGCTGGGAGGCCTTCGACGGTTTGAGTTGTGCCAGAGGTGTTTTCCAATGCCAGAGCAATAGGAAGACAGACAAAGTCAACAAAGGTGATGTTCACGTAGAGCTGCGAGCTGTTCCAGGTGAACTCGCAGAAATCCCAATATAGATTGTAGTTTGGATCCGAGGGATTGGATGACGAGGGCTCCACAAGCGCAGGACCAGGGTTCACATAGAAGGTTAGCTTTGCATCGCGTGAGAACCACAATCTGCCTCCAGCTATGTGGGGTATGGTGACTGTTTTCGTACTCCCCGATGCACCTAGTGGGATGGCGCAATCTTGAGATAAGGCTGTCTGGGTTGACGATGGCGACGTTGGATAGTAGGCGGTCGTCCCGTCTGACTGTATCAAAACGAGAGCATTATTGTTATCAATTGCCTGGCCCGTAATGTAGGCATACACGGTATCCGAGCCGGTATTATTGACGAGTGCGAAGTCGAGAGTACTCATGTTGAACTTGGTTGGTGAGCAACAACTGATGTACTCTGTATGTACCGAAAACTTGGGTTATGGAAGAGTAAAACAAAGGTACGCAAACTCAAAGTGGGCCAGATACAAACAGTGTCTCGGATAAGCAAAAGCAAGAAGAAAACGTATGCAAACAGACCCATTTATATACTTCTTTCGGCCAACCGTCCTTGTCCAGAAACTGGCATTTCCTGGAATTTGGTAGGGCAGGCTGACGGGACCCGGTGATACAAGGTTGCGATAGCTATCAATAATTCACAACAGAAGTGAATTGAACATTGATTGGATCAACTTTGCCGTAGCGAATGCAAAAGTGTCGATCATTGCTGGGACGGGGCAACGCGTCGGGAACCGAAGCGGGCGAATCCTTTTGGAGGGCGCCGACCGACGCCACGACGAGATCATGCCGTGGACGCATATGATCTTGTGCTCGCAACATGTCGATCCCGAGTGCGGGGGTACCCCCGCAAGTGAGTACCATCTCCGAAAGCTGCAAAATCCGGGGATTGTTGAATGGTTATGCGGCTTGAAGGTTGTCAACTGTTGCAGGGGCGTGATGATCAATGAACTCTATGTTTACTTGGCTTCTTCACTATCTTGTTATGGGACCCTGGAAGGGGCTTAGTCTGATGGTACCTTTTCACACCATGGCAATTTAATATATCCTAATGCGACACTGGAATCCTGCATTTGTCTATACGGAATAGTTTTTTGATCTGCTTGATCACTGGGCGTGTTCCCCTTCTCTGGTGGTGGCCTAGGCTTCAGCTTGAGGTATCTTGGGCGAGGAAGCTCCGGTTTGAGAAATGGTTCATTTCTTCTATATGGCAAGAGATTGGCGGTATCGACCTTCGATTACAACATGTGGCTTTCAAGGGCGTGCTTGTTGCATAAATTGTGGATCAGTCGCCCTGTTGTGATATTCCTGTTGGCTGGTTTGAAGGGTTTTTATTTCGCGGCCATATGGTAATACCATAGTCATGAGTCGTCGTCGGATGTTACATGAGATCTTCCCCGAGAACTCAAGTATCGGCATGCGCGTTAGGAATAGAGTGATAATTACAAAGTATACAGAGCTGAAGACTTGGAGCCGAGAGGAACTTGGAACCAGGCGAAGGGCTGATGACGCTTCAGAGGAAGTGCATTCGATGTTGGGCCAACTCAGCCAAATTAATAATAGAGAGAGCCTTTCTCATAAGAAAGTTTTGAAGCTTGCCATTTATTCCGAAATTCTATCCATGCAATCGCTAGGTATCTTTATCAGGGCTTGGAACAACTCTATACAGGTCATGCTGTCACGATTTCACTAGAATGCCACGTTTAAGCATCCTTGGAAGAACTAGAATGACTAATGGTTCGCTGAGACCAATTAATATGATCTTTCCAGGTTCTTGGTATACTACCACACCATGTGGCAACATGTAGCAAGGCAGATTTTTCTTCTCTGTTGCCTCTCCGATAGGCCAGGGGACCTGCGAGCCTGAGATTGTAGTATACATGTGGTTTATATATGGCTTACCTAGGGTCCCACCCTCTCTGATATAATTTTTGATTAATAGAAAGATACCCCCCGGTCCTTTTAGCGAGTTAAGATTGACTGATATCTCCCACTTCTACAATAAATATCGGGGCTGGGTGGCTGAAAGAACCATGAGTTGAATCCAGGCTTGTTGGCGATCGCAATTCTCGCCAGTAAATGTCCTTTAACCACCAAAATTACCCAATAAAGAAGCTTCTGCATATCATTTATGCGCAAAGAGACTACTGCAAGCGCGTGATGTGAGATGTCTTTGCGCTGTACGCTTGCAGGTGGGCTCTGACAAAGATGATGTGGACAGGATGAACGCCGAGGGCTGACCAGCACTGATGGCTCCACTGAATGACAAATTAGCATCTAAGCTGACAGGGATTGACCGCGTCAGAACCTCTCTGGAAGTTCATTTAAGATAGAATCCTTCGGGGCTCTCGAGACAGGTCTGAGACTTCTGGGCATTCGATGCCGCGCGATATATGCACATGCTAAAAAGCGTACACGGCTATTGAAACTGATATATAAAGCGCTAGTGTCAGAATAATTTTAATTTAGCTTTGATTAACATCTCCTAGATAAAGCCTCTCTATACCTTAGTGGCAGTCTTCTTTGTTGCTTCTTTTTTTGTCTTGACGTAAGGGGAACTGGAAACACGATGTGAATACCCTTGCGTACTGCCTGCAACCAAGCGACTCTGCAGTTCGACCATCCACGAGCCGAAATTATGACGGAGACCCCGAGCAAGACATCGTTTCAGTTGAAAAAAGCCACTATTTCCTGCACGGTGGATCTCTGTCTGGAACGAGGATCTGCTTCCGTTATTTTATGGGGGAATTGAAGATAGAGAAGGGGGACGTGCACACACAACAAGAGCGACTGGACAACGATCGACACCGACCTTTCAGGCGGCCGGGGCTGAGCCGATCGGATTGGCAGAGAAAGGTTTCCTGACACGCAAGACTAACGAGGTCCAACGCTTCCAGTCCAGTCCCCACTTTGCACTTGGGTAATTAGAATCCACCCGGGGCGCGCGACTCCACTTGTGCCTAGAATTGATTACGCTGGCGCTGACTTGTCTTGTGTTCCCTCAGCCTTCTTCTTTTTCTCTCTTCTTCCTTCTCGACATCTTTGAAATCTGGGGAGATTTCTCATGCCTTCAGGTCAAGGGCCCTTTGCCCATAATGTATATCCCACAGAAACGAAGTATCGACCACAAGAACAGTATATTTATTGTTGTATGTTTATTTTCCAGTTGCCGCCCGCATCCGACGCATCTATTGATCGGCTTGTTGGCTGCACATTCCAGCCACCCCCGGCTCACCACATCTACTGACGCTATCTGAACCATTTAGATCTTTGTGACCATCGTCTTCGTTCTCGCTTGTTGCGCGATTAGCTTTTTTCTAGCTCGGTACCTACGCCAACGGCACTACGAGCCAAAATATATACCCGGCCAGTATTTCAAACAGAAATGGAAGCAGTGGCATCCCGGTAGCGCCTCATATGGTCAGGTTCCGACCCAGGGAGGTCAAAATGCGACACAAGATACCTCATATCAGGGTGGTGGGCCGAGAACGCCTGAAATGACCACTACTACGTCTGCTGGTGTGCAGCGAGAGACATCTATCCGATCAATCATTACCCTGCCCGCCTATTCACCTAGTCCAAAGCCGACCGAGCAAATCATCGCGCGAGAGGGTGAACGCGAAGGAATGGATATGGTGGTGGAATTTCCCGAGACCACGGAGGAGCAAGAAACCCGTCGCGAGGACCAAATGGAGTCACTGTATCAACTTCGATTGCAGCGTCGCCAGGAACTTGCCGATCGGGAATCTCGACGCCAAGAGAGACGAGACGCACGAACTCGCGGTGATTCAACACGCCTCGAAGAACTGGCAGCGGAATCCCGGGCTCGAAATGATCGTCGCCGAGAGGCAAATAACAGTAATACATCGCTCAGTGCATCGACCGTTATCGCCGAACAGCAGTCCCGTGAGCGGGACCGACGAATCTCCAGCGTTAGTTACGCGTCACTCGGGCATGTGCGTCACGACGGATCTCGCCTACGAGCCGACTCACATGAATCCGACCAGCATCCCCTACTAGATAACGCAGCCAGCAGCGTATCTTCAACTTCTCTGATGGATCACCAGAGCAGTTATCGCTCCCGTGTGCAATCCCAGGCCTCGTCAATTATGACAACCGAGACCGGTATGACAGAAAGCGATCCGCTCGTTCTGCGCCCTACTTCGACTCGAGGTTCAAGTCGCCCAATTTCACAGCTAGAAGATGGGGATGTCGGAGCTCTTAATATCCCGCCACCCCCTGATTACGCTCATGTTGATTGGGGCGATGCGCCCGCGTACGAGAGTCCTGTTCGGGAGCAAAACAACCAGAACCACCAACCATTTCCCTCGCGATTACCCTCTATTGCCCGATTGCCATCTATAAGCATCGACGCTGCAAGCCCCATCGCTGTCTCGCCGGCAACCCCTACAACCCCTACAATGCCGGATCATCCAAACTCAGAAAACGGCCAGGATACCCCAACCGGTCCCGTCCGTACCTCTGTTGTTTCAGAGGCTGGTCATGGATCCACAACCGGGCATGCCCCTGTCTCATGATTAATCTCCAACGGGAGATTACATTTTCATTATTGAACATGATTCACGACCTGTATTAAGCATTCATCCATTGGTGATATCCTTTCTTTCATCGCGTGTTAACCTAGCAAGGCGTTTGTGATTATGCTGCCATTAGGTTTTTATTTTGATTCTATTTATCTATTTACGTTTCGGTCTTGGAGTATTACGGGGCGTCGGGTCCGGTAAGCAAGTCCTGCACATGTGCATTGGCAGTCGTCAAGGAATGAAATAATACAAAACCTCATTTCGATCGAATCGGCTTCCAGAATCTTCTCGTTAATCGTATGTAGAATTTCTAATATGACAACCGCCCTTTCAGCCTTGATCAATAATGTGCAACACATTCCCCTGTATCTACTCAAACAAAGCAGCCACTTCATCCTTGTGCAACCTCACAATCTGAAGCCGTGCAACGCTTCCCGTAGCAGTCCGAATAAACGGTTTCTTCTTCGTCGCCAAGATAACCTGATGCGGAGAAAGATGCATATATTCCGCAATGCCTTCGCAATATATGATCTTAACGAATAAATCACCTAAGCGCGATCATATATGTCCCCCGACCTAGGCACACTTCACGCCGGGATGAGCATTGAGCATTGGTGTCTGCTCAACCATGGAAGCCTACAATTCCTCCCTATGAAAAAATATGAGTATAAGCGATTACCTTTTGGTCTCCTATAAAGAATTGTCAGCAGTGAGATAGACACGATGGGTTCTCTAGGTGATGTTCTATTTATAAATCTTCGAATAAAGCTTGAGGCTCGGGTATCTCCACGAACCTTGGAACTAGCGAAGACTATATCATATGATAAAGTTTAACACATTTCCCGACGGAGTCAACAGATCGTCGAAACACTTGAGAATTTCTACAAATTCAAATTAAGACACATTGAACATTACCTGTCCGACCTTGGGTCTTCGGGAGCAAAGCGTCAGGTTCATATTTTCAAATTTCGCACGCATTACACTAAAGCTTGAACTTGAACCTTGCACTCGGCAGACATACTTATTCAGTACCCTCAATGATCATTACCAGTGCGACCGAACTACGGATTAGCCTCACTGATGTCTGTACGATTGAAAGTATGAAAGCCACAAAGTGTATCATGATGTCAATAATGCATGGACGCCTACTTCTAGAAGTTCGCGAATTCGTCTCCAGCGCCGCACAAGCGCACTGGAGTTCTTGGCTCTTAGGCAGAACCCGGTTTTCTAGTCGCAACAAGCATGCTAACCTATTGCAACGCATGGCCCTAAAGCAGCGGGCCTAATTTCGCTAAACAAATAGCATAACAATAGTGGAGGTTTTCCTATTCGACTCAACAGACTGGAGGCCATGGTATCATTCGGGGCCCCCAGCTAGGCAAAAGGGCCTGACCAACACACTACTTTTAATCCATAGGTCCGTATAACAGAGGCCAAAAAATGCATTTCCCATTTACCTTCGCATTATTTACATAGTAGGTCGCGGAGAAACGTATGAGCAAATGAGGTTTGAACAATTTGTGAGAGCTAAAAGATTACTTTTCGAACAAATATTGTCTAGTTAAAGGACTGGGACCAAATCTATTTACGGTCTTAGTAAATTTTGCTTAATGAGGTTTAGCTATGCTATATGTATTGATATCCACCTCTATTCAGCATAGGGTTGTGGCCCCATGATCTGCGGAAGTGGCATAACGCTGTAATGAGAGAGTTTACTGAACTCTACAGCCCAAACTTAACAGTCGGAAGTGTATAAACATTCCGTGTTGTCAATTCCCTTTTCAAGAGGGTCATCTTCAGTCACACACTCATCTCAACCTCACTTTCAGTCTTTGAAAAAAAACAAATAACAAGACATGGCACGACGGTTCTCAGACGACAATGCCCTCCCCAAAGGCTGGCGAACAAGACGGCCTGGATTCTCATTTACTCATTTGCATTCTTACTCCGCATTATCCCTCTTGTCACATTCTACCTCTTTTATTATATCCCACCTTCGAATCGTCAGTCCAAAACATGGACCTACCGCCAGGCTCTCTTCACTCGACTTCTGAAAAGATTCTGCAACCTCGTCACGGCCACCGGCACAACCACACCCTTGAGCTTGGAGGCAGACAGCCTTGGTACTCAATGGGTGGTCATGACTCCCGCCCCCGACAGGTCATACCGTGGACCTCTTGCAAGTGATACCGCCAAGCCAGAAAAGATCGGAGCAACATGGTATCCTCACCCGTCCGCCGAAAACACAGACGTTAATGAAAAGGGGCTCGTCGTTCTCTCATTTCACTCCGGCTCGTTCCTATGGATGACAGGTCGCCCTGAAGACAGCAGTGCGATTGCCAGGAAGATCAACGCGAAAGTTGGGCCCGGTACGCGTTCACTATGGGTACAATATCGTCTGGCAGGTGGGAAGAACCCAACTACTTATCCTGGACCAATGCAAGATGCAATCACGGCATACCACTACCTAGTCAAGGAGTAGAATGTCTTCCCCGTACAAATTGTCATTACAGGAGACTCATCAGGAGCTACGATCGCACTGGCCTTGGTACGTTATCTGGCTTCGGGGGATATTCGCGAAACTGACTTTGCTGACCTACCCCCACCGAAAGCCTGTCTGATCTTTTCTCCATCGGAGGACTATAGCTTTGACGGCGACGGGCAGGCATTCCAATCTCATCGAAATCAGAAAACAGATTATTGTACAGGCGCAATGGCTGCGTGGGGCGCCTGAGCCGTTGCACCACCTAACATCGTACCACTGGATGACCCTTACCTTTCACCAGCACTGCATCCATTCGCAACACCTGTGCCAATCCTCGTGCAGGCTGGAGGTGCTGAAGTGTTGCGTGACGTTGCTAGCAGCTTTGTGACATCGATGTCTTCTATCGATGGGAATAAGATCGAATGTTTGGAGAGCCCAGGTCTGTCACACGATATCTACGCCATAGGACCTATTCTCGGGTGGCCAAAGGAACAAGAAGAGATTATGGATACAGCTGCTAAATTTCTTTTGTAAGAATTTTGGTGCTCTGTGGTTTTGATTGATGTGTATGCCGTACTTCAGATGATACACATAATGAGACACATGATAATCTATTTATAAATGTTTGTGGAGGCTATGAAGCTAACTCCGTCAGAGTTGTAAAATCATCTGCCCATAATGATAATAAAAATTATTGAATTGAAAAGTATGGGAGTATCAAATATCGTGAGTCTCTTCCTTTGGAACAAATATTCGCTCACATCATCGCGCAACCACCTGGAACGCCCAAATCCGAGATATCAATATCCAAATCAGTTTCCACCAGATGGCCAAACATGCGGTGGTTTTCGAACACGCTTCTCAGCCAAGCAACAATATTCCGCCATTCGAGTGTTTTAAAATCAGATTGATAATCAATAAACCTAGACTTAATCCGGGCTGTCTGCTGTTGATCATCCGAAGCAGTTATCGCAATAATAAGGCAGGGGAGAATATATGCTGCACCAAGCGGGCGATCACAAGCTGCAAGATCAGCGCCTTCAATGACCAACTGGGTAAGGAAGGCTGACTCTCGCGTAAGTGTAGTATAATCACTTAGGATCAAATGAGTGAAGGATTGTATTTAGTAAAAGAGCCACGGCAGCGACAAGGGTATATGTGGCTCGATATCGGAATTGAAGGATATCAGGCAGCATGGCCATCAGGTCTGAGCCCATAAATATAAATGTTTTTTGAGAGTCATTTTGTAACTCTTTAGATGTAGAGGTTATTTCGGGAAGGTGCAGGTGTGGGTTGTCTAGATATTCTGGAAACCTTGATAGTTCTAGAACGGTTAAATGTGGACGGGGAACAGCATTGTATGGTGGAGGTGGAGGGTCTTGTTGTAGTAGGACGACCATGTGCTCCCAGAAAGCTCTGGGTAATTGAATTCGTGGATCTCTTATGACTTCTAAAATCTTTTCGTTTGATTAGTACATATTTCGAGGATTCGGCGAGAGACTTGTAGGCTGGAGAAATGCCGAAGTGCACAGTGACGTACTACGGGAACACATAGAGTTAGGGCTTGGGAATCCAGCTTCATACTGATTTAGGTCCACTGCCTTGAGAAGGTGCATAATAGCTTCTAAATGAGTTGATCGCTGTTTTCCAGATTTCCCTATCCAGCCCTAAATCCATCATTTAGTAACAAGTTCACGATGGAGATGAATGAGAGATTCGTGCTGATTTATTTAGTATACCTGGCAGATAGCAATTGGGTATTTTGCACAAAGTGTGTTCGGAGAACGAGCTTCTTTCCGATCATTCAAACAAGCTTTCAGCGTTCTCAAAGCTTTCCCAAATCGTGACAAAACCACAGGGGGAACATCCTTAGTTTGAAAATAAGGATGAGACGAGATGAGAGCCATACTAGCCGCATCCAAAACAGGACTAGACCCGAGTCGCCGCGGTAAATCCCTCAGAAAAGATCCTTAATAAGTGATATCATATCGCACATCACGAATTTTCAAAGAGTTAACACACATTAAAGTAAGTGTGTCATTGGGCACGTGCGAGATGTGGAGCCTAACCGTTGTTGAGTGGAGACAGAGACAACGGTATAGGTGTGGGCTTGTCAGGCGCCCCCTGTGGCACCTGTAGGGACTAGAATTTGTAGCGCTGCTGTCCGCTTCCCCGACATCTTGGCGCTTGGCGCATCGTGAACAGGGCTGAAGTTCGTCACACTACTTTATTCATTAGTGCAATGCGTCCAATCGGAGATTCCATGGAAAACAGGCCGACCTTCTTCTTTGACTTTCTGCAGCCGTCGCATCCTCTACTGGTGGGAACTCCGGTATCTTCCAATAGTTAGTGCGCGGGTTTTTATGAAAAGCAAAGGCTTGTTAAAATAGTAGCACGTTTAGCAATCGCCTTAAGACAGCCTTTGCACTGCATACGTGATGCACGGCTCAGGTGTGGGGATAGAATGTTTGAGTAGCCTGGAATTTGTGCGGCCATTTCGAACGACCGAAAGGATTGAGGATAGGGGCACCAGGTAACTAACTATGGTGTATGGTTTGCTGACAAACAGCGCTGAGATCGCCTGTAGGCGAGCTGATGTCGCACGGCTCGGACAGCTTACCCCCCCCAAATTGCGTAGCCAATAAACGCGTAGATTGGTCCCTTATCAGCCCCACTTTTCGCCTCGTTGAACCCTTTTCGTCGTTAGTTTCAAACTCTAGCACAGCCATGTGTTGAAAAATTTATTTATTAAACGATTACGAGCGCTCGCGGAAAACCAAATCTGAACGCTCAGCGTCCCTAATCGACTTTGAATCAAAATACGAAAGGATTATTGGAATCGCGAGTCTGTGCCTGCGTAATGTCGCATGGCCTAGAGGACTTCAAATTTTGAACCCATCATTAAACAATTATTACTTCTTTTCGCGGTAGGTATACTAATTACACTCTCAACAATCATATTTGGTACTAATGTGATTGCAGGGGAGAAACCGATTTATTCATTCTCCAAGACACTTCTTCTCTTGTTCGCGTCACCTATCTTCTAAAAAGGTGCAGGGAGTCTCAACACCTAACAGGCCAATAATGGACTGGTTGTGGGGGTTGCTCACTGGAAAGAGTGCTGATGAAGTGGCTGCACGGCGCAGGAGAAGGCGTCAGAGCAAAATACGCAGTAAACGGATACGAGCTCGAGAACGAGAACTCAGAATCGCACAGGACGGCGGCGGAGCAAAAGAAGCCGGCTTTTTCTTCGGCGTACCAGGAGAAACATACAGCCATAAAAGACACGGCAAAAGATCTAAAGAACCAGTTACAAGTGGGCTGATGCGAACAGCTTACTGATAATGGGAAAGATTCCATGTACTTAATCATTGTGCAAGCGACGAATTCAGAGTTGGCATTTTATCAATGACCTACAATTCAAACACGGCGGCATGCTAGGTGAACTCGGTCCGCGTCTCTCATCCGTATGAGAAGTTGCAAGTCCACATCCTGCGTCACTGCAAGGATTCTTGATCGTAATTGCTCGGTAGTCTCGCCCGGGTTCGGTATGGCATGAATACGATGATCACGTAGCAGATGTGCCATGACAGCTACAAATTCCACTTGTGAGAACTTGCTACCTGGGCAGTTTTGGGGACCTTCGGACCATGGAAAATATGTGCATCGCGGTGATATTATAAGGCGTTCGTCTTGTAAAGTTGATGCCTTTTCTGAATTCGGGGGAGTGTGCACCCATCGAGATGGGTTCCATTTCATTGGGTCTTCCCAGTATTTTGGATTGGCGTGAATGCCGGACATATTGATCCAAACATTCGTGTTCGGAGGAATAAGTATGCTCTTATTACCGGTTGCCAAATGTTGAGATTGGTGGTTAGTCCGTTTCATTATGATGCCAACAGGCGAGAATATGCGAAGAGTTTCATGCTGTAATGTGAAATATTAGAATGAGGCATGAGTTGAAAGATTAAGGAAGGCATACCATTAGAGCTTGGCAGCGATGAAGTTTCGAGAAGGTATTAGTGTACTGCCCTAACATTTCTTCGGGGGTCAGTTGCTGTAGCTCTTCAGAGACCCATCCCTGGACTTCAGGATAGGCTGACAGCAATATCATTACGAAACTCAGCGTATTGGCGGTGGTATCATGTCCAGCAAAGTTGACAGCGAACATATTTCCGAAGATCTCTTCCACAGTCAATCCTTTCGAAGACGAGCTGATCGCTTTGGCCTGTGCATTTGTCTTCTGATTCAGGTCCATAGCACGCACAAAAGATGTCACCATGCTACCAGAGCCTGCTTTGTTCTCATTCATAGCTTTTGTTTCTTCGTCAAGCATTTGCGCCATGTAGTTCTGGAATCCTGCCGAGGCTTCCGCAACCTTATGCCATGAATTGGGGGCAAATGGCAAAGTAAGAATCTTACGAGGTACAACCAACAACATAATAATGTTATCGAGGACGATTTGTAGATTATCACGGTAGCTTGCCGTGTTGTCGATGTTGGCCTTCTGGGGGTCATTGGCGCTTTGGAATGGGTACGATTTCCGGAATCCAGTGGCAGCGAGGACATTCAATGATACCGTGCGCGTGTCCTGTGCGGCGCTTTTTATATACCCATGCCCTGGCGAGGTCCATGCCTCAACCATCTGCTCCGATTGCTTGATACTTTCATCCCATACAGATGACATAGCGCTCTCATTGAACGGAGTGGCCACCACTTTGCGGTGACGAGCCCAGTTATCTTGGTCAGCGGTCGAGATACATGGACCGTAAACCTCAAGGATTTCTGAAATGAAGCATGTTAGTCGAGTACTCGGAAATCAGTATGAATTTAACTGTTGTAAACGTACTATATGCCTCAAAAGGGCGAATAAAGTCCGCTCGCCTCTCAAATATCTCACTGGCAATTTCCGCATCTGCAATATAAAGGCAGATCCCACGAGGTGATACCAAAGCCCAAACTGGACCGAGACGAATGTGAGTTTGTGCCTGGTCATAGAAATACCAGCCTCGACGAGAATATCGAAAACTTCCAAGCTCCACCCCCAGCTTATCAAGAAACGTCCAAACAGGGGACTCGGCAATCTGCCATAAAAGGTTTGAGCCATCAAAACATTGTCGAATCGCAGGAATTCCCATCGCGATGGCGCGACGGTAATTCAATTCCATGGCTATAAGACTCCATGCTAACCAGGTCCCGCCCAGTAGGGCCAAAACGTGAAAAATCATGGCCGGTGTGATGAGCCACTGAGTTAAAATTTGAATAATGTGAAGGGAGATCCAATCCTCTTGAATTTATATCATTTCCAGGTAGCGTGGTGCATGGGGGTGCGCAGCGGGAAAAAAAAAGCATTGGTATGTCGTTTCCCAGATGCGGTTTAACCCCTGTCATTGTTTTGAGGTAAACGCATAATTATTACGAGCTGGCCAATAGAATGCACGGCGTAACCCCACTTTTCAATGATTCTTATTCGCAGGGCACCCTTATTGGCTGGCATTCACGATTTCGCCCCCAACCCGATCGCTCACTGTAGGTGAATAAGGGTGGAAGTGCGGCGTGAGTGTAATTAGTTAGTCATTTAACGACACCAAGGACAATTTTGGCATACTACTGATAAAATTCTCGTTATAGAATATATAGAATAGTATTCAGGTTATTTGGATGTGTTCTAACTTCTCGGGTTGTTTTGGCTGGATCGGCCCGTGTAGCTTGATTTGAACTTTAAGCGCTCTGACTGGCGATGTATGTAAAGAATGAAAGATTTTTTTCATCTGGGAATTAGGCCCACAAATGAATCATGAATGCTCATGGTGTCAGTTTAATGATAGGCAATCTAGTGCCCAAAAGGAACCCCATATTCGACGCTTAATCAAACCTCCCGGCTGAAGTGGACCGAGCTGTCCTATTGAATAGCCCATTTTAAAAAGGACCTAGCCTAGGTACCCCGTTGCGCCTTCGGTTGGCTTTATGCATGTGTTATTTTTCAACAATATGTTCTTCATGTCTACCCACTGTGAAATTCTGCGACTATGTACTATCTCATAACTCATAAAATATTAACCTCCAGGGATCCAGATCGCATCTTGGCGTTTCTGTTTTGGATAAAATAGATAAGCCACTGGAATGCGGTCAAAAAGAGCCCTGCTATGACCAAAGCAATCATAACAATTAAGCCTCTTGGATAAAGCTCCGAGGAATCATCCGCCCGAAAGATCTGTGTACCAGCCATCAGCCCGCTTGTGGCTGTCATGACGACTTTGAAAATTGTTAGTATTCACTATGTTTTGTTGTAAATAGAATCAAAGTAACCTACACATCCTGTAAAATAACCGTTAGCCTAGTTCAACCTCTTTATGGGCTCTTCTTCACTTACGCCACTCCAATGCTTCGCTCCTCAGGGCTTCGACTGTTCATCTGGATCCATGCATTATGGATCGGGTGATATCCCACCGCAAGCCCATTCACTGTCGTCCAAAGCCCAAACTTGCTCCATCGCCCAACATGGTCCTGGATGGTCCTAAGCGCAATCAGTGAAATAAGGTACGCTAAGATGGCTATTCCAATCGCGAGTCCTCGCTTTTTCGTTTTATCGCTTAGCCAAGCAAAGAATGATACAACAGGCAGAGTGAGTAAATATCCGATTGCGGCCAAAGCGTTAGCTTGGACTCGTGTGAATCCCAGTGACATGATTGTAGTAGGTGTATAGGTTGTGAGAGGACACCAAGTGGAGAATACACAAGCAGTAGCCAGAAAATGGGGCCATTTGTAGACATTGGTGAGTGTCTTCCATACCAAGTCCAAGCGTATGTGTTTGTCCGGTATCTCCACGCTCTCTTTTTCTCCATTTGTTTCAATAAGCTGGTATATCTTCCTTTCAGGGAGAAGAATTAGTAGCATCAGAGAGATAGTGATTGACCAAACTCCCTCGACTGTATTTATCAGCTATCAAGACTATCCGTAACGAGAGCACAGGAAGTTACTACTCACCAAGAAATATCCACTGCCATCCTGAGATCCCACATTTGCCGTCGAGTCTTAAAAGCCCTGCGCCCAGCAACGGGGAAATAGCTGTGCCACCAAACATTCCAAAGAAGAATATAGCAATACGCTTGGTAATCTCCTCTTTTGTATACCATGTTGATAAAGTATACATGGCCCCAGGAATATAGCCAGCCTCCGTAAGACCAAGAATTGCTCTTGTCAAGAGAAATCCCGTTTTGTCTCGAAGGAAAACCTGCAGGGCCGCAATGAAGCCAAATATGAACACCTGGCCGCCAATCCACCAGCGAGGGCCGATCTGACTTCTTATTAGTATTAAAAAATTTGGGTAAAATATTTTCACTCACTCTATGGAGAACAATATTTGATGGTATCTCTAATACGATGACACCGATATACATGAGTTGGTTTCCAAGGTTGATTGTATTCTGATTCACTGAAATTGCAGATTCGAATCCACCTGTCAACGCGCTAGAGATATTCGTCCGATCCAGTTGATATGTGGCAAATCCAATTAAAAGTAATGGAAGAACTTGGAAGTCGGCTCTTTTATGTGTTAGTGCTGTTTTATTGAATATCATACGATAGTTGACTTTTCCGGGACCCGACGGCTTACATCCTTCGCAGCTGAACTGCATTTTTTGGAATTCGACCATCTATATCGTCCCTTTCTTGGACTTGGACACTTGATGATTTATGCATATTGAAGGTGTAGAGAAAAGTGTATCGCACACAATCAAATATGTTGCTGCTTTTATAATCTCCCTCGGGGACCTTGGGGACCAAGAACCTTTGGAGCAATTTGACATCGATGTGGGGTTTCAAGGAGGATTAGATCCATATAGTTCACAGACAAACTCAAACATCCGCAGCTGTCTCTAACTATATCTAAATCATGCTTATCTGTCCTAATTCACAGTATTGGATATCGAATCCTTTCGGTAAGTACGAACTATCACCTTTTTCGCATCTTTCTCCGAAGATAATTATGTCACAAATCGTTAAAAAAGACAAAGCTGGTTTCCAGAAACTCGGAAAAACCCAACACTTGTCGACGAAATCTATCATTCTTCGCTGTCCGGATTGCTAAATAACTATACATATCACCGATCGTTTCCGCAATCTCATACACTTCAATTGTTGGCTCCATCAGCCACACCCGAATCTACCACGCGCGAGCGTTCCCATAACTGTGGCTGACTAAGCCACACAACGCCCTTGATCAAATCAGCTTTGTGTTTGTGGTTTTTAACAATTCTTATTACGCGATCGTTAGCATTGCGCTTAATGGCCGAGCAGCCCGATACAGTTATTCTGGTTGTTCATTTCGCATAGTGGGTTCTGTCCATCGAAAAGTCAAGCCCCGAAGGCGAACTGAGCTAACTTTTACACAGTATATCAGTGATCGCAGATAGCTCCTCGCCTTCAGCGGAGCAAATCTTAACTCCTCAAGACGCTGATCACATCTAATTTTTGTTACAATTGCTCTCAAATGATGAATCCGCAATCAATACTTATCCGACATTTACATATATTCAAATCCTGCGCATCAATCACCTTCGAGCATTGGGAACTAAGCATGGGATGTCGCCAGAAGAGCATGTTCCGCAGGCATACGAATCTATACAAGCCCTCAATGACTTCTCAGTAGAGGCATGTGTTGAGACCAGAGTCGCATGAAAAGAAGATAATAAACTGTTGCAGTGTATATACAAAAGCGCCGTCTCGCTATATGGCCTTTCTGCGCTAGGAAGCCTCTCGATACTACCATCAACAAACCCAATAGATGAGATGGCCGTCCAGGCGGAGGCTCAGTTTCTTTGGTATCTTTTTCAACAAGCAATCTCATATGGCAGACTAAAGATGTTCTTGGCATGGCCATTGATGGTGCTTGGGGTGGAGGCAGTTCGTCCCTAGAATTTAGGGATGCGTGAATCTGTGCGAAGGTGGTCAGAGACGCTATACGACTTTACTAGCTCTTAATCTATTCTCCACCAAGGACAAGTACTCGAGAGATTCTGGGCTTCTGGGAGGACCAAGTGGGACGATTGTTTTAATAGGCCGTATCTTTTCACACCCCGACGACGGTGGATCTTAGCTCTATGACATAAGTGAGGTTTTCCAAGCTTGGTCTGCTGCTGGATGCCCAATCCTCGTCCTGATGTGTGGGCGGCAGCACGCTCGCATGATTTTCAATCTAAAAAACCCTTTGTCACTCGCAACATGTGCAGACGCAGCAGCAGTGAACAGATTTGCAAAACAAATACTAAAGATGAAGTTGGAAGTACACTGCCGGGCACTGTGCACACGACCAGGTGAGTTTATGTGCACCCAATATTCCGACGGGACCTATTTTTGACTAGCTCAAGCATCATATACACCGATTTTAAATCTAGTTTACCTTCATATTCGAAGAATCTAACGGTAGAAATGTGGAACAATAAAGGGGGCATTCCTTGGCGTCCATATGCGCACAAATCAGCAAGTTTTCTATACCCTCCTAGATCTAGACTGAGTCAACAATCGCTCGATGCTCGCCACAATGCAATAATTTCACGTTTATGAGCGTGTTGTGGCTTACTTTACTACGTCAATAGATCAAAGTCTTCGACGTTTATTCGTCCTCTACGCCGCAAACAATCCGTTAATCCCGAGGGATCGGAAGATCACTAGATGTACACATCATAGCTAAACTTTGATCGTCCCGATAGTAAACTCTCGACTCACAATCTCTTCTATAATTTCCAGAGTTCAGAAGATAAGTGAGTCACATAATGGTATTAGTCTGCGGATGTTTACCCGCAATCGGGACATTTAGGGTGAGAAGCGTTTCCTGGTATGGACTGCGCGGTACATACGAGAACACCCCATTCTCAACAAAACAACATACTAGATCAAGTATCGTATTCTAAGTTGTACATAGCACGATCAAGCATACCCGAAGTATAAATACCATTTGGTCGTATCTTTGTTTCGACTATTGAATAGTATCACTATCATAACAGCACACTCTCAATCCCCTGCTCGAAGCTCTATACATCCTTTTTCTCTTTGAAGGAGCAAACAGCCAAAATGGCAACTTTTATATCAACCAAGCCTTACAGTATCCATCGTTTAACTTTGCGAAGTGCCCTTCGCCCGTCATTTGTTACCCCTGCAAGAAAACACTCAACAAAGACCCCCCAAAAGTCATCCTGGACACATCCAACGTACGTTCACCTCCTTTTCGATTGCTTCTCCACTATTTAACGGGACTAGTTATACACAAGAACATGTAGTCGCCGTCGTGCCCGCACACTTAAAGCCCTCCACTTGGCAAGATAGGGTAGCCCTCCAGAAAGTCCGTCTTCTGCGATGGGGTATGGACTTCGCAACTGGTTACAAAAGCGGAAGAAAGGATGCTTCTCAGCTTAGGATGACAGAAGAAAAGTGGCTTAGAAGGTTCATTTTCTTGGAGAGTGTTGCCGGCGTGCCAGGTATGGTAGCCGGAATGCTTAGGCACCTGAAGAGTCTCAGACAAATGCGACGAGACAATGGATGGTAAGTCCTCAATCAGAAGAAAGGCGAAGCATCATCGAAATAAACAATTGACTAATAATTTCAGGATCGAAACTCTCCTAGAAGAAGCCTACAATGAACGAATGCACCTCCTCACCTTCCTCCAGCTCGCCGAACCAACACCTCTCATGCGCTTCATGGTCCTAGGCGCCCAGTGTGTATTTTTCAGCGGCTTCTCCCTCGCATATCTTATCTCGCCCCAAATTTGCCATCGTTTTGTGGGCTATCTCGAAGAAGAGGCAGTGGTTACATACAGTAAGGCAATTCGAGATTTGGACAATGGTAAACTTCCGAAGTGGGAATCTCTGCAAGCGCCCACTATGGCGATTCGATACTGGCAAATGCCAGCTGATCGACAGTGTATGCGGTCATTGTTGCTTTATGTGAGGGCAGACGAGGCTAAGCATTGTGAGGTTAATCACACTCTTGGAGATTTGGATCAGAATTTGGATCCAAATCCTTATGCTTTACAGGTTAAGGAGCGTTTACAACAGGTTTCCCATGGCACACAAGTGTCTAGCGTGAGAGGGGATTGAAAGCAGAATACATTATGGAGCATACACATGAGCTAGTTACGTAGAGTTAATTTAATTTCTTTTTCTTTGCTTCTACCTAGACAAATGATGATGTTCTCGACTTATCCAGTACTACTAGTAGTGATATTCCGGACGAAATTTGAACTACTAGTAGGTTTTTTTTTCAAGTTGGACTCGGATCATACCTATTCATAGTATGTCGATAATACGGTCTACACCTGGGTCTACACCTGGGCAACCCTGGAGTGACGGTCGAGGGAAAGATTGAAGATATCATAGCATAATACGGGTCCGATGAACAGAGTTCCAAAACCTGGGATTAGTATGATTTTCAAGACCTCATATGGGTTTGTACTACGATTAAGAGTGTCGTGATACGAAATCGTGGTGTTGTGCAATGTGTGGTGCGTTTTACATCTAGATCCTACCCGTGGGCCTAAGCCCCGGAAGTGCGTGCCACATTGTCGCCCACCTGCGCACCAGCCACACCCGATCGGAGAAGCTCACCTGGGCATCATCAACTTTGCACTTGGCAATTTGAATGTTTTCCACCGAACCCTGCCCCCGTCAATTTCAACCAGATGCCGACCGTGTGTTAAAATAGACGCTCGCGACTCACAAACTTGACATCCATGGAGGAGTTATTTCAGAGGAAGCTCCATGGCTACACCCCCGACGCGCAATGACCGTCGAATCATCCTGCACCTTGTAAGGACACCCCCACATTCACCACCGAAAACGCACTAATAAATCCAGGATTATGACTGCTTTTATGCCTCTGTTTTTGAAGTTGAGCAACCGGCTCTGAAATCGCTACCACTGGCCGTACAGCAGAAGCAAATTGTCGTAACATGCAATTACGAAGCCCGACGCCGTGGACTGCACAAACTCCAACTGATCAAAGATGCTAAGCGGACGTGTCCAGATGTTGTTATTGTTCTCGGTGAAGACTTGACGAGATTTAGAGATGCTTCCAAGGGTCTTTATCTGTTCATTCGCACCTTCATTTGGGGTGGGCGAGTGGAAAAGCTTGGATTTGACGAACTCTCTCTAGATGTCACCGAGATGATCGATTACAACGCCAAGTTCCTGAACCCGAATGATTTAAAAAATTCTTTTTTCTATTTGAACACCAAAGATCCTACCGTTGGGTTTGCGTATGATGCGACTAAGATCGTGGGTCCTACTTTCCCACCTACAACGGATGGAACTAGCCAGTCTTCATGCGATGCATCCTCACTAGAAATGCGCCTGCTCATCGCTTCGCATCTGCTTCATTACCTCCGAAGTGCCATGGAACACGAGAAGGGCTTCACAGCGACTGGCGGTACATCGACATCCAAGCTCTTGGCGAAATTGGTGGGAAGTGTCCAGAAGCCTAATAACCAAACTACATTGCTTCCACCATACTCTACAACCGAAGATAGTACAGAAAGTAACGTCATTAAATTTTTGGACAGTCATGAGATTCGAAAGATACCCGGTATTGGATCCCGATTGGCACAGAAGCTGAGAAGCCGAGTGACAACCGATGATACGGAAGATGCAAAGCTTACGGTGCGGGATGTGCGACTCTATCCCGGGATGGGACCGGCAATGCTTGAGAAAACGCTCGGCGGGCCTGGAGCTGCCAGGGGCATTGGAATGCGCATTTGGAGTATTCTACATGGTGTGGATAACACCGAGGTCTTGGCGGCTCGAGACCTGCCTACACAGATCAGTATTGAGGACTCATACGGTCGCGGTCACTTAGATTCGATGGAAAGAGTGCGCCGTGAGCTCACGATCTTGAGCAAAAGTCTCATTCGGCGGATGAGGACCGATTTAGTGGATACCAGTGAGGAAATCCCGCGGTGGTTGGCTCATCCACGAACCCTGAGATTATCTACACGCCCACGTAATGCGCCGGAAACTGACGGGGTGCGGACATATAATGCCAATCGCATTTCCCGGTCTGCGCCACTACCAACATTCATATTCCAACTGGATGAGAATCTAGATGCAGTGGCTGAGCGACTAGTCCAGGAGAGTCTTTCTAGCATGTTTCGGAAACTTCATCCAGAAAAGTCTTGGGACTTGAGTCTGATGAATGTGGCTGTGACCAATTTGGTAGAAAGCGCAGGCGATCAGAAACAGAGCAGTGGACGGGATATTAGCAAAATGTTCCGGCAACAGGAAACTGTGCGACAGGAATGGACTGTACAAGTACCAGCTAGGGACCCGGAACCTGTTAGCGTTGGTGGGTCAGAGGAAGCCGCGGATGATGAACCTAAATGGGAGGATGGAGAGGATGAGGACGAAGAGGAATTAATGAGTGTTCGGTGTGAGATTTGTGCTGCAGCGATACCCCATTTTGCATTGTTGGCGCATCAACAGTACCATGAATCGATAGATTAGGCATAAAGATTTCTCCATTGCCAAGATGATCTCCAAGCCTGCGAAACACTGCTAATAATAAACTGTGTACTTCGTAGTGTAACTCATGTACTAAGTGTCAATCCCGTTCCCCGCCAAGAGAATCCAGCCTTGTCTCGCTGTTTGCAATTGGATTCTGCCATGCTTGGCGCCAATTTTGGCTGAGACGAAGTGGATAGATCGATTCATTTGAGTTTCTAGATGATCAGTTCATCTTACTCTTCTCTCGTTTTTATTGAATCCCTTCGTTTTGAATATACTGACCTTTTTGTGTTGGTGAAGAGTGGTTAATCTCCCCAAGTGGACCCTGATTACGGAGTCCGCACCCTGCGCTTTCCTATGATAACCGCAGACCCTGGAAACTCTAACTAGAGACCCTGATCGTCTCTTGACAATTCACTAATCTGCTGGCAATGAGGTTTCCAAGCGTGCTGCGCATTCTAGGGGCAGTATCGGCGCTGATATCGTCTGTTGAAGGTAAGATAGCTCCTGCCCTGCATAGTTGTTTACCGGTTGAGCTCGAATGTTAATGATGGGTCCCATCTAGCGCGATCTCAAGCCTCAGAAGCCATCCGCCAACTTACCCCGATCGACAACGCTGTTATTCGCACCGCTTCACATCAAATAAATCACCTTTCACATTTTGATCTCACCTTCGAATTACATCGCGATAAAACACGGATAAAACTCGAGCTAGAGCCAAACCATGATATCCTCGCCGATGACGCCTTTATCCAATATATTGAACCCGACGGATCCTTGACAGAGGGGGAGCCTATCCTACGACATGAACACAAAGTATTCCACGGGCGCGCTTTAGTTGGCTCAGGCAAAGGCCGTTGGACACCGTCGGGATGGGCTAGAATCACGGTCCGAAGGGATGGAGAGGATCCGCTCTTCGAAGGCGCGTTCAGTATCGATCACGACAAACATCATATCGAGTTGCAGTCTACGTATGCCGTCAAGAAACGTCCGATCGATGTGGATATCGAGCGGAGAGACGAGGAGTATATGGTGATTTATCGAGATTCCGACATGATTCGCATGCACCCGGACCTAAAGAAAAAGAAACGGTCTTTGCCTCTATCTACTGGCTGTGAAGCAGATAAACTGGACTACAATGCTAATTTGACCAACTCTATCTTCCCATATGGAGTCGGTGGGCTTGATGGACAGTGGGGTTATACATCGGTCACCTCATTGCTCGGAATAAGCAAGCGACAGTCTGATGTCGGTGGAGTCTCAGGCAACACGGGCGGGGTGAACTTGAAATCGACTATTGGCGATTCGTCCGGATGTCCCAAGACGAAAAAGGTTGCGCTGATCGGAATCGCTACCGATTGTAAAATGACCGACTACTTCTCCGACAACAAAACTGCTACTGCTAAGGATGCGGCGAAAGACTATGTTATCAATATCGTGAATACCGCATCAAGTCTATACGAAAGCTCGTTCAACGTGTCCATAGGTCTTCGCAACCTCACAGTCAACAAAGCCGCATGTCCTACATCCAATAATGATGCAACTCCCTGGAACGTTGATTGTTCATCCGGCAATCTCACCTGGCGACTTAACGAGTTCTCAAAATGGCGAGCCGATAACTCCGATAGTAACGCATACTGGACGCTGATGAGTGGTTGTGCAACAGACTCCGAGGTCGGTGTTTCCTGGATGGGCCAGTTGTGCAATGGGGATCTGAGCAGTGATGCGTCGAGTTCCGTCACCGGAGCCAATGTCGTGGTTGGCAATGCAGGGAGCACATGGCAGATTTTTGCCCACGAAACCGGTCACACATTCGGAGCGGTCCATGACTGTGAATCGCAAACCTGTTCTGCAGGCCTGGATGCGTCGTCCCAATGCTGTCCATTGACATCTTCAACGTGCGATGCCGACGCCCAATACATTATGAATCCCTATGCGGAATCGAAAATGACAAATTTCTCCGAATGCACAATCGGAAATATCTGCTCTGCCATCGGGCGTAACAGCATCAAATCTAACTGTCTCACTGACAACCGTGGCGTCACGACTATTACAGGTAGTCAATGTGGAAACGGCATCGTCGAAGCAGGCGAGGATTGTGACTGCGGAGGCACAGAAGGCTGTGGCGACAACGCGTGCTGCGACGCCAAAACATGTAAATTCAAAGACAGCGCTGTATGTGATGACTCAAACGACAACTGTTGCTCGAGCTGCCAATACACCTCAAGCGGAACAGTCTGCCGCCCCAGCACAGGTACTTGCGACATCGCCGAATATTGTACTGGCAATTCCAGCTCCTGTCCCGACAACAAGTATGAGAAGGACGGCTCATCTTGCGGCTCAAGTGGCCAAGGCCTTAAATGCGCCAGCGGCCAATGTACCAGCCGTGACTACCAGTGCCGCTCTGTCATCGGTACTTATCTCAGTAGTAACGAGTCTTGGGCCTGCGACAACACCAATGCTCCATCTTGTATGATCGTCTGCGGCGCACCACAGATTGCTTCGAAATACGGCTCCTCAACGTGTATCGAGATGAACCAGAACTACCTCGACGGAACACCTTGTGACTCTGGTGGTCACTGCAGCAATGGAAAATGCAAAGGCTCCTCCGTTTCAGGATGGGTCAAGGACCATAAGAATCTCGTCATTGGTATATGTGTTGGCGTTGGCAGCTTAATTATCCTCGCCCTGCTCTACTGTGTTACTAGCTGGTGCCGGACAAATCGTGCCCAAAGACGCATGGCAAAGAATCCCCCTCCGCCGCAGTATTTTGGACCTCCGCCTGGCCTGGGTGGACCCCCTCCTAGACCGGACCAGTGGTATGGATATCCGAATACACCGCCACCGCCGCCACGGGTACAATATGGCTGATGAGAATTTGCGTTTCTTTTCTTTAATCTTCTTTCATAGCTCAATGAATTCTCTGTTGAATTTTCATGTCTTTGCATTTGGGACAGATTGAAAAGGTCAATTTTAAATGCGGCGAATCGGTTTGGCGTCTCGGTTTTGGATCCTCATTGTCAACGATTAAAACACAAGGGTTGGCAAGCATAGGTTCTGGGAGTGGTGGTTTGGCTTTATTGGCTTATCATTCTTGTCTATATGTCTAGAGAAATGTTAACTTGGCCGTATGCCTTTGCTTAAATGACTTCCCACGTAAGATCCATGTCCAGATACATAGCAGAAGTAGATTGACATCGAGATCTTAAATCCTATCCCTAGGTTTCGAGGGCAATTATGGCTCCCAAAGCCTATTTACCCAGCCGTTCAACCTAAACGCGCAATTAGGTTCTGAAGTATATCCATCCATCTCCAATTCGATTCTGAAAAAAAAAAGTCCGCTGATCACCCAAGGGCAAAAACCTGGATATCCATTCATAAAGAATATAAACTCGACAAGCGTGTAAACAAAAGAAAGCGGCAACAATCCTAGAAAACAAAGAAAACGAATCCAAACACCCACTGGGCAAAGCCTCAATGAAAAATCCCCATGCAATGAATAAATATCTCACACCCATTCTTCAGGTCTGAACCACAGTACCGATTACTGCCAACAAATCCCCACAAAAGCATCACGACTAACACCCCCGGTTCCATCAAGATCAAACTCCTCAATCATAGCCCTAAGTTCCTCCTCCTCCAGTCCTGTCTCACCCAACTCCCTCGCAACCCTCCTCAAATCTTCAAGATCAATAAATCCCTTCTGTCCATCATCAAACAGCTCAAAGGCCCGAAGAATCTCGTCGCGGGGATCTCGCTCTAAAATCTTCAGCGCGGTTGTGGCCTGGAATGACGATAGAGGCATGAGGAGATTGGAGGGGTGTTGTGGGTTTCCGCCCTTGGAGCTTTGGCTCGCAGCATTGTGGTTGTTCTGCGCTTGTTGTTGTTGGACTTGTGGGCGGGGGACACCGTACATTGTTAAGAGGGAAATGAGTTCTTGCTTTGGGAGTGTGAAGCCTAGGGCGCGGAAAGCTACGCGGAGCTCGTGGTAATCTAGGTGGCGATCGCGGTCGAGGTCGAAGAGAGTGAACTAATTGAAATGAAGAGTTGAGTTAGTGATTGAAATTTAATTGCTGGATCGATTGAAAATAACGGGTTTTCTCGTGGTGTGCTCTCGATAACAACAAGACAGGAATTGGGAGAAGGGTTGAATCCTCGAGAGAGGGGAAAGCGATAAAGAGATTTAACGCTTCAGCGCTACAGGCAAGAAGGGTTCCTTACAGCTTCGGTAATCTCCTCGCGTTGCTCCTCGGTCAACCGGTTCAGAGGATTACTATCCTGCGCTGGGCCGTGGCTTTGCGCTATAGCAGGTGTATTTCCAGCTTGCTGATTTTGCTTCTGGGGCTCACCGGCTCCAAACTCGTTAGGCGCAGAAGCACCTAGGACACCGTGACGGTGCCGAGAGAATGAAGAAGCGCTGAGGGGCATGGCATTTGCGTTGACGGATCGGTCTGGGATTTTTGTGCCGGCGTACGAGCGCGACGCGAATGGTTGGCCCGAGGCCATGGTGGGTTTGTGATTGAGCGCGATGCGAAAGGCGCTGGGATCGGGGTAATTGGCTTAGCTGGCGTACGAGACTCGTAGGCTGGTTGGGATGGGAGGTTGTTGATCGACGAGAGTGGAGCTGAGGTGTTTTGGCGGTGGAGTTTTGGACGCGCCGGGCGGAATGAAGAGACGGGAGTAGGACGTGGATGACGGGTGTTTCGGGTTGATTCTGGGGGCTTTGGGTTTCTTACAACTGAGCAATCCAGGCATATGGTTAAATTCCCTTAGGAAGCTTATACTTTAGCTGCATCATTATGTAGTATCGATATACTAGCTAAATATCTGTGGATCTGAGTGCTTTTATTTTATGTTTATATATTGCCCTTACTGGCAGCTCTGGAGGAGTATCTAGAACTTGAAGAACCTTTGAAAACACATCAAAAACTTGAAAACACATTTGGGCACCAAACAGACTCCATCGCTAACGGCCAACAGTCTGTACCAACCTTGGGTATTTGCAAAGCGGCGACAACGCCATCTGATGGATATGTTCATCAGAGAAATAATGATAAAAACATACAAGTACCTCAGCGCAAAAAAGAAAGAAAGAAGGACAGAAAGAGAGAGAGAGAGAGAACGCTGGAAAGAACTTTCGAAAGCCAAAGAAAACCAAAGAGCAATATCCACGACGAAACATCTGCCAAATTAGATTCCAATATAAAAGACCTACTCTTCTGGCTCATGGATGAAGCCTGTATCGACATCGCAGTAGGTCCCATCGATCGAAGGAATCAGCTGTGGTTCCCATGGTCCTGGCTGCAGAAAGTCAAGAATTTCGCCTACCACCTGGGACACCACGGATGGCGAAGTTGATATCTCAGCATCCGAAATGTGTATCTCTTTATGGCCTGAAATAGGAGGCTCTCGGCGAATGCATTCGCGTTTGTTTGCCCGGCACGGTGGACAAGGAGTCGAAGGGCCGCATTTTTTCTTGCTCTTGTAGCATCGGTTACATGCGCCGCCGTATTCTTTCAGTTGTCGGATATCCTCTTTCTGTTTGTCCAATTCAGTTCTGGAGCGCGGTCTCTTTTCGTGATAAGTGTGTGGATTTGTGGGATCTTCCGGGATAAATTGGTATCTCATTGGCGGTTCAGACGCAGACCTTCTCATCGAACGTGGTACCTCTATACTACAAAATTCATTATTCCATTGAGGCGTCATGGGTTGTGGCACACTCATATTGGAAGGGTAGAGTTCATATTGCTGAAAACTTGAATGCGATCCTTGAGCATCATACAAAAGAAAGTCGTCGTATGGGATAGAGATATTGGGATTGACCATTGAAGCCTGAAGCTCCGGTTGGAATGCCTGGTTGATCAGACTGTTTTCAGTGAGTGGTTCACTTATAGTAGGAAACAGGTCAAAGTGATTCGAATGTTGTCGCATATATCTATTGATATTAGATGAGATATTAGACTGTGTGTTGAAAAACGTCTCTGGGCCTGAACGCATTGTCGGCCGCGGTACGTCCATAGGCATCATCGTCATGATATCTGGGTACTCAGTGGGCTCCAAGGGATCCACCTCAGAAGATACGGCCCTGACCCTCTTGCTTTTGATCGAAGCCATGAGCTAGTCGCGTCGGGGCGGGCCCGCAAGTGAACGTTTGATGGTCGGGCGACCCGATATGATCCCGGTCAACAAAAGTGGATGTGGGGTGGGTATAAATGAGAGTAAAGTCAGTGCTGGTTAGATTAAAGGTTCGAGTTTGAATGTTTGTTAGACGTCTCTAGCTGCTGCTTGTCGCAAGGAGGGAAAGAGCACTTTGATGTTGTATGGGTTGTCGAGGTGTTGGGTGTTGCCGGTGGAGGGTCAGAGATAGAGAAAAAGAAGCGCGAATAACTTCGGTTGCGCTTTCCTCGAGATAAACCCGGGGCAAGAGATAGTACCCTTATCATTATGTAACGAGGTCTGTATAAACCTTTGAAGCCGACTCTTAATCAGGCAACATGATCGCCCTGAAAAGGCTTAGTTCTACGAAACAGTTCGACCTAAAAGGGTTGGGTTTTGACATGACGTGAGTGACCAAGATCTAGATTCGGTGAACCTTGGGAAGAGGTCTAATCATATAATGATTCAAGGCGGTTAAAGGCTGTTACTCTACAGATATGCAATATTATCTCTGTAAACAAGTTCTCGGGGGTCTTTCTGACCTTGAATAGTCCTATGTAGCCCGAACTTACTAGCTATCTATGGAAGTAGAACCCCATACTAGACGATGTATAAAACTTTCCAATCGAGTACCTAGGTCGATAACACTCCAGCCCAGTTGGTATGTTATATTATAATATGAAACTTGGGGCCCTTTTCGCTTTATATTATGTCATTTTTAACTACTATCGATACGCTGATGTTCAGCCCTAGCTATTTCGATGTCCAATCTTTCTTTGGACCATTTGTCTATTGCACGTTCTTCGCGTAGTAGCTTTTTGTTCGACATACCTTTTCAAACTGACCAGCCTTTCCTTTTCCACTCCTACTATTTCTCCATTCCCCCTTTCTTGCTCATGTAGATATTGTTACAAGCAATCAATGTAGCTTGGTGGTAGTCCATGGCCAAAACGTCAAAGCTTCGTGCCGCAGTGAGTTCAATGCTCATCTGCTTGGCTATGCGGACTTCGAAGTTCTTCGTTTGACGGAGAATGGATCTTTGCTCTGTCATGTGGTCATAAACTAAGACAAACATAGCATCCAACGAGAAGCCGGAGTTCTCAGTCCCGGAAGTGCTTTTGGATTAGATGCTTTCTCGTGTTGAATTATTCAGGTTTATAATTTGAGGTGGGGTTTTTGTAGGAGATATTACGCGCCTACCAAGTAATCAGGTGCTTTTAAGTTCAATGTTGTGGCCAGTACCTATAAGTTTTCACTCTGAGACTTCATTTCACTTTCCTTCTTTCACCCCTCCAAACTCCCACTCGCAACAACTCTACCTTACAAAGACACACACACACACACACACACCTGTGATATTCATACTGAAGACATCCTATCTTACTACCAGCAAAGTCAAACAAGTCAATTGATTTCCTTTTCTGGCAATGGTATCTCCAAACCGCGAAAAGAAGAAGAAAAATGTGGAGAGCCATGACGAGAAAGAAACTGAGGCACAAGTCGACGCCTCAACAACAATTGACTTCCTTAGCTACAGCACTTTCCAAAACTAGCGTGTCAAATAAGCCGACTGAGACAATTACCACAAAAACTTCACATAAATCCCCAATGGACGAATTTACGGCACCAAAACACCGCAATGTAGAATTTGGAAAGCCCCGTTGGCTTCGAGGGCTCAAAGAGTGAACAAAGCTGTACTCCTCTTCCACCTGCTTGCCCATCTGACTCCAACACACCTTCCTTGAATCACCTGCATCGATCAGCATGCAGACTGCCGATATTGATACCCAATTAACAAGCTCGACTTCCAAATTTCAAGCTGGAAAACCTATTGAAAGTAAGTTGGAAAGTGACCAGAATAGTAATCGTGGTAAGACACGAATTCTCCACGTTCCTATCATCAAGCGCATTCCAGATTCACCATTCTCACGTCGAATTTCGTCGAACTCACTTGAAATACCAATGTTACTGACATTTATTTACACAGAAGCCCAGCCCCTGTCTGCCCATCCCTCCCAGGCCACAGCGAATGGTGATTCTCCTACCAGAAAAGTGATCACTCAGCAACAGGCATCAAATAAGTCAGGCTCCAAGCCTCGGAGCCTCGGGCTAAATGTCTCAGCTAGGCCCGATAGTTCTCCATTGGCCATACTATTTATGCCTCACGGGAAATTAGAAAACGTCCATTCTCGTAGTGGAATGTCGACTCGCCCCGTTAAGTCTAAGGTGAAAAAGAGACACTTTCCCACCCCAAGAATCGAACAGTGATGAGACAAGAAGGAAGAGCGCAACAAAAATCACCCATTAATTGCGCACCGACGTCAGATTCTCCGGCTGAAAATAATATTCAGCTCGGAAACCTAGAGTCTGCCAGCACTGAGCTATCACATTCTGCTGAGGCGACCGACCCAAGTCATATGCAATATCTGCAGCGGAGGGCGTCCAATGCAGCAAAGTATGGTAGGGCTGCCGCGGTGGCAGCGAGCCAGTCAAAGAATGTTACCATTGCTAGTACTTCACCAGTCGGGATATCGAGCATTCGGAATACGGTGTTAGCGGTAGAGACAGGAAGCAGCTCTGCCCAGCCTCCCCTTGTGGAAACAAGCCACGAGGCCGATACTTCTCAGCATACCGCAACATCTCATAACATGAATTCAAATCTTCATCATGTATATGAAACCGTTGAGAAATTATCAGCTGGCGCTGCCCCGTTTTGGGACCTGTCAAAGTTCGTATTTAGGTGCGCAAAGAGACCCTGCCCGATGCGCTTCACAAAATGGGACGGTATCGCCGTCATCTGTCCTCGGTGTGGACCTTTCTCGGCGATAAGATACTGCAGGAAGGAATACTTATGGGAGGATATCAAGTTACACTGGTTAGCTTGTGGCAAATATACGTTCAATGTGCCTTGCGTACCATTATCTATCCCGCCTGAAGTCCTAGCTGGCCCACCTATGATTCCATTCATAGATGGCTGGAGCAGCCCTGAGCGACATCGTCAGGCAGTATGGTTCAGTACAGCCCAAAAAGATGGAGACTACTTCATCTCGCGGACTTGGATGACCAGAAATGCGAGGACCCCCGAGAGGCCAACCTACGTAGCCGTTGCTCGTCTCGATTGCTTACCACTATCAAATGGGAGCAGCCGGGTAAGAAGGACCAGTTCCGACGGTGCCTTGCAGTATGTCTTTTTGCTGGCACACAGGTCTCTGCTCTGGGGGGTTATCTTTTTCAAATGATTCGTGACAAGTTGAACTCCCAGGGCCTATGGGACGAGAGCATTGACACCCAAGTTCAGCACCAGCTTAGGCTTGAGATAGGTGTCGATATGAAAATGCTTTGGCGCCAGATTGGACAGAGATACGCGTGCCTTACCGAATGGACTGGTTTCCCTTATAGTCATTGCCAGGATTCAACATGCATGTATGAGCGTGCGAGAAATATGGGATATTCAGCTTGCGGCCGAGGGTTCGAGCGCGTGTGTCAATATATGGAGTCCCAGTACTGGATAATTCGTGCAAACCGAACCACTCATCCTAGAACGCAGAGTGTAGAGGCTCGGACACGCGGGATTGGGTTACTTTGGAGGATCGGCGAGTCTTCAGCCGCGGCGAGGGATGGGATGGGTGCATGACTGGGCCGATGGAGATCGAGGGCCCTTATTGGGTGAACGTGGTGTCACCTTAACCAGTTTGAGGCTCGGCAGCGAGTAACTGTGATTTTCATTGGTATTCTCTGTCGGGATAGGGTTTTGGATCTAGGCAACTTTTCCACATCAGCAGCCCGATCTTGGCTAAAAATCATAAGCCTACAACATCCATTCAATTTGGCAGGCTGGAGCCGCCAATTTTGTACGCTTTAGAGTACTTTTTGACTGATGGTGACTGGGAAGCTACCAACTTGCAAGGCTTGATCGTGAGTTCCTCGTCCAGTTGATTCGAATCGGCATGTCCTTTATTGAAGCCGGGTCACTCTACTACTCAAGAGATAATGTCAAATAATAATTTCTTTGAAAAGAGATACACTATTCATAAGTTTCCCTGATTCTATATACGACCACATCTATAGGAAAGCCCTTTTTTACTGGATATACTTCTTAAGTCCGCGCAATCTTTCCTTAGCAGTCTCAAGAACATCATCGTTCTTGCACACAGCAAAGCGGAGGTAGTCCTCGGCGATGCTAGCATTGGCATCGGTATAGAATTCCGTAGGAGGAATAGCAGCAACACCAACCTCGTGGATCAAGAACCAGCAAAGCTTGAAATCACGGGGCCGGCTAGCGACATGTGGAGGGAATGGGTAGTCAGCCGGAAGCTTGACCGAGGCCATATTAGCAAGGACAAAGTATCCACCCTCAGGGTCGGAGTACTTAGACAGATTAGTTAAATTGGGTCTTATTAGGAAATAACCATATCAGGGAGAAAGGGTTCACATACGGGAATGCCTAGTTCTTCAAAAACCTGACAGAAACGCTCCATCTTGCCCTTCATTTCGTTCCGGCTCTCATCCCAGAATCCGACCTTGTCAGCCTGCTCGAAAGCAACGGCTGCGGCCTCCTGCAGTGGAGAGACACTGCTGTAGCAGATGCGGGTGTGCGCACCGGCAACGTATTTGACCAGATGCTCGGGGCCGATCAGGTAGCCTACTCGCCAACCGGTAGCGTAGAATGCTTTGCCTGCAGAGCCTACTGTGAGCGTGCGCTCATACAGCTCGGGTGACAGGGTTGCAATTCTGGTAAAGGGGACGTAAAAGAGGCGGTCGTAAACTTCATCGGACAGGATGATCAGGTTGTGCTTCACGCAAAGCTCGCCAATGCGCTCGAGCTCTTCGCGAGAGAAGACCTTTCCAACGGGGTTGTGACTAATAATTTGATTAGCTTCTGTTTGTCTTTTCGTCTTCTTTTTCTCATTTCCCGAGAATAGAGCTCTTACGGAGAATTAAGAACCTATGATGTATGACGTCAGAATAAATTCAAGCTTCTCGGAATGGCGAAAGTATGTACTCACAATCATCTTAGTCTTGGAATTCATGGTATTTTCCAGTTCGTTAAAATCGATAGTCCACTCGGAAGCCGGCGAGGTTCTGGTAGCTCCATCCTTGGGAGGGTGAAGAGGAACATATCGAATAGTGCCACCGGGCATTTCAATGTTGCTGATGTATCTGGAAAGACGGATGAGCAAAGCACTTAGACGGCATAACACGGCGAAGCTCACTGGTCGAAGAATGGCTCGAAGATAATGACCTCGTCACCGGGCTCAATGAATCCCATGAAGGCACTTAACATTCCTATACAGTTGTCATCCCGTCAGCATCTGTATCGTGCGCTGTGATAATATCGATCCGCCAAAGCAACTCACCCTCGTTCGCGCCAGTTGTGATCGAAACCTCCGTATCCGGGTTTATGGTCTTTCCAAAGAAGGGCGAGTATGCATCCGCAATAGCCTGCTTGAGGCGAGGGCGACCCTGTTTGCTGTGAGCTGATATCCCACTTCGGATCATTTCTAGTCGCCATTCACCTTGGTCGGAGAGTACTGATTGCATTCCACCCGGTCGAGGGCATCTTTAGCAGCATCAATGGCAAATTTCGGAGGGTTATAGCCACTATAGAAAATCATATATGGTCAGTTTCAGTCCAACGAGGGAATTGGCCGTCGCAAAGCAATATACTCACAAGAAACCTTGGCCCATATTCACGATCGGCTGAACGGGAGACGCGGCGGCCGCTTCATTGACAATAGACCTGGAAAATACATCTTTAGAAAACGTTACTCAATCCCAATTGTGTCGCGCGCTTCATACCAGACATCCTGTCGTTGCCCCGCTACTCTTTTTGCGGGGCGAAAGGGATCGGGCCGCGCAGCTGTTGCGGACATTTCTCTTGCGCGGAAACCAGGAAGGCGGGGAAGGACAGAGGAAGGGCGAGAAATTCGCGGAGAAACGGTGGATCGGGCGAGGGTGAAGAGGAGGGAGCTTCGATTAACAATCATGAGGGGAAGAGGGGAGATTGGGCTGTCAGTATATCAAGTGTGGTACTGGCGGAGTTTGTCGGTCATTCAGCGGCATCGGCCAATAGATGGCGTGCTTGGTGTTCCGTCTTCGGTCTTCCCGCGGAGTAGATGCACTGCATAGGGCGCAGTATACAGCGACATCTATAAGGCTGTATCAGTATAAACCAACATAAATCAGAGTTATGGTGAAAGTAGTGGCATATTTATTCAATTTTACATGAGTTCCACCACTTTCGGTTCATTTTCTATAGCTGCAGATTCAAACTATGTCTTTAAGAGCTGAATATAGTTTTGTATCATTCTCAATAGAACAAATGAGGATATCATAAGACAATCGACCAAAATCTACAGTTAGCGAAACAGAATTTCCATCATCAATATTTGCAAACCTTAGTTAATGTATCTGTCATTTGATAGTGGCATAGCTTCAAACGCTCAAACCAGGATTGTTCCGATAAGAGCCCTTACATAAGCTTCTTATCGCGCGCGCTCAGACGCGTCTCCGCATTTCAATAGTTGCATCATCGTGTCGGGCTTTTATATTGATGGGCTAGTAATCATGGTGTCCTGTCCAATCTGTGGGAAATCTGTCCCGCAGCTGAAAATTAACGATCACATTGACTCCGACTGTCAGAGCTTTGTTGAAGAGCCATCCTCGTCCCCGGATGAGCCATCCGCCTCACAGAAAGCTGTCCCAAGCATATTCCAACCGGCCTCCGCACGCAAAAGCTCCCAAGCCAACAATCCCAAAGACTCACCCTCACGATCCAGCGTCCCCACTCCACGTGCCCTCAATGGCAAACGGTCATTCACCCAAGAAACGCCACCCCGAGAGAATGGCGTGAATCAAGCTTTCGGAAACACAACCGAGCCACAGGCAAAGCGCCCAAAAGTCAATGCTTTTCATAAAGCTGCTCCGCTCGCAGAGCGTATGAGGCCAAAGACTTTGGAACAGGTCTGTGGTCAGGATCTTGTCGGGCCAACTGGTGTCCTCCGTGGGTTGATTGAACAAGATCGAGTTCCAAGCATGATTCTCTGGGGTAGTGCCGGGACAGGAAAGACAACGATTGCACGTGTTATATCATCCATGGTTGGAAGCCGGTTTGTGGAAATCAATAGTACAAGCTCTGGAGTTGCTGAGTGCAAGAAGATATTCTCCGAGGCACGCAGTGAGCTTGGTTTAACGGGCAGGAAAACGATCATTTTCTGCGACGAGATTCATAGGTTCTCCAAATCCCAACAGGATGTGTTCCTGGGGCCTGTGGAAAGTGGGCAGGTGACTCTAATAGGAGCAACTACCGAAAATCCTTCATTCAAAGTCCAAAACGCTTTGCTTTCACGATGCAGAACATTTACCTTGGCGAAACTCACCGACGAGGACATCACATCCATCCTCCAACGCGCTTTGGAGGTCGAAGGCCCAAATTATAACCCATCAGAGCTAGTCGACTCCGAGTTAATCCAGTATCTCGCTCGGTTTGCAGATGGCGATGCGCGAACCTCTCTTAATCTTCTGGAATTGGCCATGGACCTCTCCAAGCGACCAGGGGTCACTAAAGAAGATCTGAAGAAGTCTTTGACTAAAACTCTCGTATATGATCGCGCAGGAGACCAACATTATGATACAATATCCGCGTTTCACAAGTCTTTGCGTGGTAGTGATCCCGATGCTGCTTTATATTACCTTGCTCGCATGATCCAGTCAGGCGAAGATCCTTTATACATTGCCCGAAGGCTGATCGTCGTTGCTTCTGAAGATATTGGGCTTGCGGATAACAGCATGCTCACTCTGGCGATATCAACCCACTCTGCCGTGGAAAAGGTTGGACTTCCCGAGGCAAGAATTAATCTTGCCCATGCAACTGTTGCGATGGCGCTGTCAAAAAAGAGCACTCGATCATATCGAGGATTGAACAATGCATTCGCAGCTCTAAATGAGCCTGGGGTAGCAAATTTGCCTATCCCTATTCATCTCAGGAACGCACCGACTAAGTTGATGAAAGAGCTGGGATATGGCAAGGAATACAAATACAACCCGAATTATGTGGATGGCAAAGTCGAGCAAGATTACGTTCCCGACGAGCTTCTTGGCCGCACCATCTTAGAGGATTTGGATCTGGGCACACAGCGGGATCCGGCTTTGTACAGTACCAGGCGTAGCGGTCGCTGAGATAGCTCTAGCTGTACTCATTTTTCATGACCACTTCTTTATGACAGACATCTAATGACAGCCCTCTTCTTCATATTCTACTCTCCGGTCACTCGCTAGTATACTGTCCACAAACTAAATATTTTCCTTATGGGCTGACAACCTTTGTGGCTCCGGGGCTGATTGAGGAGCAGCTCTACGCAGAATTTACTACCTCCAAAATTAAAATTACATTTGGAGCCAACTTGAAAAGCTCGAGTGCTAAAGTAAGGATATTCAGAGTGGAATGACAATTTGGAACCTTGAAATTGGAACATACGTCCAAAACAGCACACTATGATCCTTGTTTCAGTCAACAAATTCTATTCATCGCAAAATCTAAGTCTAGGTCTAAGTTATAATCTCGGATATGAAATGAAAAAAAGAACAATGCAACCAAGCATTGATATCGGCGCATGACATGTTGAATGCTTTCGTTCAATCACTGGGAACAGAAAATGATTCTATGAGTCTGCCGTTTCTTGAGACTCGGCGACTTCAAAAAGTCCCGCACCCTCTACTGGAACAGAGACTGACAGCGATCAATGCCAAGGGCATTGATCATGAATGGGTTGACAAACTGGCAATTGGGATCCATGTCCTCCTGAATCTCAAGCCAATCGTTCATCTTGGGGAAGATGGTGGAAGTATAGGTCTCATTTTGAAATTGCATCTTGTTCCAGTGAGGGCGAACGTCGTAGGTCTCGCCAAACTTGGGAATGAACTCGCTCGCAAGATCTTGGTAAAGCCATTGAAGGGTGTAATTGTTGTAAGAAGGCATCCAGGAATATTCCAACGTAGCAAAAATACCACTTGCGTTGGGCTGCAGATTGTATTTGTTGACGGGGGACAGCCAAGTATCATCACCCTTGATGAACCGAGTGATGACAGTAACATCATCACTTTCATATCTGGCCATATTTTGATCGGCCATCACATCATTGATCTCTTGGTATGAAATCAGCCGATCACCTTGGGAAATTGCGTAGTTGAAGTAATCCGTGCCAGCTTCAGCCAAGTTTTCAATTGGGAAGAAGTGCTCAAACTGGCCCATGAAGCCACGGTAGCAAATTCCAGGTGGTGTGGTTGCGATTCCACTCATTTTGTGATCGTAGCAAATATAATCACGATTGCAAGGACCGCAGTCATTGGAGCAAAAGTTTACGGAGCAGTTTGTTGCTCCCTTGTAGTCAGTCTCTTCCCAGTAAACGAGAGTAAGACTCGTTGAGGGCTCGAGCTTTTGACTGGACGAGTTCCAGACTAGATTGGGACCATTAATGTTGATCTGCTCGTATTTTGATCCAATTTCCGCAATCTCTTGATAAAGTGTGGTGATGTTTGTTGAACCTTCGACGACTCTACTGGTCCGCTTTAGGTATGACAAGGGTTCCGCTTGAAGGGTTACTTCAGTGATAAGACCCAAAGCTCCAATGGCAACTCGGAAGGCGTCAAGATTGTTATCTTTATCAATGACATGGACATTACCCTTTGCATCAAGCACACGCATACCAAGAATCTGGGTCGCAAGATTTTGGTTTTCCTTGCCAGTGCCATGGGTGCCTGTAGTTGCAGCACCAATGTAGTTTTGTACCATCTCACTGCCCAGGTTGTGCACTTGGAGGCCTTCGTCATGAAGAGTCGGAATAAGATCAACCAAATCCCAACCCCCACCAAAGGTGACTGTATTATTGACACGGATATCGAGATGCTTCAAGTTGGTCAAGCTGAGAATGTAAGATTCTCTGTCCGTTTGTCCGTCATTCACGCATGTAGTTAGATTACCAAAACCGTGGCCATTGCCGACAGGTCTCAAGTGGGTCTTGAGTGGGTAATGGTACTGAACAAATTCAATAAGCTCAGACTCGTTGGCAGGGACAAAGAAGCCAGTTGCATCACAAGTAATGTCAACCTGCCAATTGAACCAGCGATATGCCTGGGCTCCTGACCCATTCAGAGCGACAAGAGACAGAAATGCAGCGGACAACGAAGATTTGAGACCACGCATCTTGAGGCAATCTTGAGTCTGCCTGAAACGAAATTATTCAGTACAAACTTTCACAGAGCCGATATCTGGTGGATTGAATTTCATACCAAATCCAATGGAGTGGAAGTGAAACTGAGGTGCTACTATGCCAAAAATCCTGGGAAAGTAGCATGCTTTTATACCTCAGATTTGCAAATCCAGGCTCAAATACAAAGATACAGTCCTACTCAATGCTGATGATGAAATTTCTATTCGTCCTCTAGACCTTCGCAGGATCATCCACCTTATCGTACCGGAGTTTCAAAGGTACGCCAGGAACATAATACGCTTGGCAGTATACGACTCTGCCTTGCCAATTAATTGATAGATAGGATTATTCAGAAGAGTCGGCAAAGTTAGTTCATTCAGCAAATACATCTCCAGCGTAATAGCAGCTTGGCGATGATTATGAGCGAAACTTGGCGACATTGGCATAATGAAGATCTCGCGCCACAGCCAAGTTCATCTTATGCTGCCACTGGCACCTCCCGGATACGTGATATTGATCGCCTTGCTAGTTGTCTAGTAAGTCCTTCATATCAATTGAGATTTTTGAAGTGGCATACATGGGCAGTATAAATGGGTGGTAGAAAGACATGCTTTGTGGAAAACTTAATAATTTTTGGGCGATATCAAGGTGCCGTATTTCAATTTAGTTAACTAAATTTGCCTACATTTGTACTAACCCATTATAGGTATTCATATTCAATGAGACATACTGAATGAGAGTGGCTCTGCGATCCTATGCCGAGGCTTCTATGCCTTCTCCGAAGTTTGCACATGGCTGGGAAATGTCCCCACTTTAAGAATACGGCTCATGAAGCTCTTGATCAAAGAAGACGAGACAACCTCAATCGAATATTACCAAGAACAGATATTTTGGTACATGATACAGCATGTATGATTAGCGCAATGGGTTGAGATGCACTAGCTCCTTCAATGAATCTAGCCAGCTAGAACACAGCTACTAATTACGCCAGTAGAAGAGGTCAAGAATTCCAGAGCGATCGAATAGCTTCAGGATTGGTAAGAGGTCGATATCAGTCTGGCCTTCAACTTGATCTATAAGCATTGTTTATAAGCACCGATTCTTGACTCTATGTTACTTCGGCATCCCCACCTGCAATATGGATATACAGCTATCAAATGTATGGTTCCAGCTGAAAGCACCCTGCATACTGTCAGAAATTAAACGTGGTCGCATTAGCCCCCAATTTTCAATGATATTCGCCAAGTTACATGCATTGTGCATACTATTCCCAAGTGCCAAGTACTTCTATACTTAATGCTAGTAGATAAGTTTCTTGGCTAAGCGCTAGACTCCGGGCCGATTTACCCAAGAACTGAGAATCTGTGCAGGGGTAACTGCCCCGATCGAAACCTGATCCTATCAGTAATGACGGTACCGGCATTGGGGCAGTGCCAATCCTTCATTACAGCCAACCACCATGGCCCGGGGAGCCAAGATTAGATCCGAGATCTGCGCCGATGGGCTTGGCTTAAGGCCGAACTCGGCACCAGTCTGCCTACCCTCCCGGTTACAGCTTGATTCGGGCCGGTCCCGCATTAATTACCCTTTGGGTGGCAGAACGCCTTCTGTGAATGTGAAAAGTAAATTCTTAGAAGAAATACAGTTTTGGGGCGCGAGAAGTATTTTGCGTCTCCTCCGCTGTTTAATTCAATATATAGACGTTTTGGTGCTATGTAATATTTTCAAGGCCTCTCAACTGCCTTCAATCCCAATATGTATATGCCTTTTAATTGACTTGTGGGTATGCAATGAATGGAGCCATTTGGATGGCGTCATTAGTTGCAGAGCCATCTTTGGCAGTTTAACCGATTGTGCATATTTCTTTTAACCAGTGTTTAACCGCCGCAAAATGTTAGTTTCATGCTAACTCTTGGCTGCCTTGGCTTTCCTCACTTGGCTCTAATTTCAGTAGACATCTGATTATTTAGGAAGTTACTTAGTATAGTCGATAATCTATGATTTTAGGACAACATCTGAGGAATAAATACTCTATTGGTGTAATTTAATCTATGTAGTTCGAATCTATCGGTATCGAATATGACAGCCTTGTTGTGCATGCTATTCTGGTTGACGATTGATCCCGCATAAAGGCCAGATTCTCATCTATCAAGCGATTTAAGCATGATCAATAGGAGAAGGGCCGTGGCCAATATCGAGAGTGTAAACATATATAGGCTTATTGAGCGTGTTGCTCTGGTTGTTTGCCTGAACAAACATATCACCGTGGTTGAGCTGCGAGGCACACATCCAAAGACGCTGTTTCGTATCAATCCACATGGCATCGACCCACAAGAGTCTGGAATCGCGTACCACCAAGGTGGTGGTTCCATTGGGTGCCACAGATCGAACCTCCTGGCGATCCCCATCACTGTAGTAGATGTTACCATGGGCGTCAATGGCAGTTCCACCGGTGCTAGGTGTCAGGGAGAATGGCTCAACATAGTTAGGCAACTCATCTGCGAGGGTTTCGTTATGGAGAGCCCCGTTCAGATACTTGGTTTCAATGCGCCACAAATAGCCAATACCAGGTTGATAGTAGAAGTATTTGCCGTCAGGCGAGACCTCGAGCTGGTCGGCATTCACATATGCATATTCGCCCGTCGCAGAGTACCGCATCAAGCTACCCTCTGCTGAAAGAGGGAGCAAAGCAACAGTTGACTTGTGCTCCCGAAGCACTTGGCGCGAATCGCCGGTTTCAAGATCAAGCACAATGATCGATCCGATGGTGTACTCAGTCAGGTAGGCGTATTTGCCATTAAAGCGCACATCATTGAGCGAACCCTTTGTCGTAGTGGTATTGCCAAGGTAGTAGATACGGTGGACCTCGTTGGTGGTCAAATTGAATGAAATGAGCTTAGACGAATTGGGGAATTCCTCCAGGGATCCGCTGTCTATGACCCAGAGATTTCCGTCAGGGCCGACGCGCTGCGCATTTGCTGACACGTATTTCCTCTCCGAGTCGGCTTCACTATCTGAGGTGGCATTCCACGAATTCCATGCCTCATTTGGATATGGCACAAGCGTATAGTTCTTGCCGATGACTTCCACAATTTGGGAGCCATTTGTGCCATCGACGCGTGCAATCTTCAAGAAAGTACGGCCCTCTGGGGTGGTGCTAGCTCCGGTTGTGGGATGGTCTAGAACAACAGCAGTTTTGAGGCGGCCGTCATGGTCGTTGGTCACATCTGCCCGGGCAAAAAAAGCCAGCAGGAAGCCATAGAAGATACGAGAGGATAACATCTCGGTTGGGCTCTGGGGGTGTGATTTGATGCCGGACTGCGCTGTGTTTTTAAGGAGTATGCCTTATATGTTACTTTACTGGCAATGAACTAGCTATTTAACCCTCTCGGTTTCTCCGCCTGGGAGGCCCAGTTCGTCATCGATACCTATGGATTTGTCAGAACACTTGAAATCAGACGTTGCATCTTGCTAAGATAAAGTCACATCTCAAATCTAGACTCATAAGGCTATATTCCTTCGCTTATTGTTTTCAACTACTTTTGTGTCGAGTATCATCAACTATTAATCACGCCACTTGCATTTTAGCAATCCTTGGTGCGCCTTGGCAATGCATGGATTTCTTGGCTCGATGCAGGTCTCAATCCGTTTATCCGCTGCCAAGGTTGCTGCATACTCGAATAAGCAAACACGTGTGGCGTATTGCTAGGGGTGGTATTTACTTGAGCAAGCGGCGCCGATCACTCACAGGAATGTCGTTAACACACAGTAAGACCTTGGCACTGGGTGGAGCTGTCCGTTTAGGTACTGCTCGCCGGTCTTTCCTTGATCGTAAAAAATACACTAAAGCAAGTAAAAATCCTTGGCTGGCAATTTGAAGTAATATTGGCGAAGCGGTCAGAGTATGAGGGCAACTTGAAGGCCTCTCTTTCGGTAGTAGCACGGACATTCCTAGGGACATACAGCATGTCGCCCCCAGAGCGATAAAAGCAGGAAGATGCGTTCCTGTTCATATTTAAGTTAACACTGATCCTATTCTTGTAAAATGAAAAACGATTTTATTCTCTGTGGAATAGTAAATTTCCAGAAACTATGCTTGATGAAGTCTTTGTCAAGTATCTTGCAGACAGACGATCGCCTAGGGCATGATCTCGCTATGCTAAGGTGATCCCTCTATGGACAAGATCATGAATCTTGAGAAACACTCTGTGTAACCCTTTTTTACCCCTCTACTCTTTTCAATATTATGTCTTTCATTCACAAAAATTTTCGGTTCCTACTATGCTGTTGGCTATAGGACTTGTCTGGGGCCAATATGTTGCGCATCCGAGGGACCCACACTGCAGGGATGTTAGGACCTCGGGACATGAGATGCGGAGAACTCCTTGAAGCACCTGGGCACCACATCTACCTGAACACACTCGATGAACTTTACGTGTTTAACAAAGGGGAAAATTACCACTAATTTTTCAAACCCTTGCGTCTTTCACCCAAGAGGCAAGCATCATAGAATCGTCTGTCACTTCAGCACTGCCCAGATCTCCAAGGTTATACAAACATGACGTCTTTCCCAACCAGTTTGGCAGAAGCACTTGACTTGCCCATTCCCAATGAGAAGCAATGTTCAGTGAATCTCTCAACCGATATAGCCTTCGGAGGAGGTATGTTCTCTTATATCCGAATAAAGCCATTTCTCTTTTAACCACTTATAATCATAGTGAGCTCCGGCGGCTACATAGCCTGCGTAATGGCCAAATATGCCACTTTATACGCGTCAAAGCATCCAAAACTAAACAAGCAATCTGATATTCGATCATCAACAGTCATGTTCTACAGACCCGTTGTCCCGACAAAGTCGGCTGTAATGGTCCTTCGTGAAGTCAGCATCGGGAAAGCCTGGTCTACTCTCCGCGTTGAAATCTCCCAAGGTGAGAAAATCGCAGCTTCATCAGACATAACGTAAGTAGCTACTTCAAGTTACATATCTGCTTGAATTTTTCAGTTAAACAATATCGCAGAATCACCTCCTTCTCTGTCCCGGGTATCACTCTTCAAACAGGCTGGAATCTTTTCCCGCCCCCACGCCAAGTAGACCTCCTGAAACTGGAGAAAGGCGAAGACCCCGCATGGACGTCGTACCAGACAGCGTTCTATCCAGATGGCTTCCGCCGTGGACACTCTTATATTCGGAACTTCATTCCGAAGACCTGGTCTGCTGATAATTCATTTGTGGAACAATGGGTTCTACCAGGATGGGACTGTGAGCCGCTAGGCTCCTGTGCGAAGCCAGAGAACGAAAAAGCACTTTGGACAAACGATATGGTTCAGTTCATCGTTGATAATGGTCTTCCTGTCCAAGAAAATTATATGCCTCTGGTTCCTGGAAAATCATTGCCGATGGGCAGTGTGGCTGCTACGCTGGCCTTTGCGGCCGCGCAGGAAAAGGCGCGCAATGAGGGGAACCCGCAATGGAGGGCTCTTCGTGATGACGGATCGAAGAAGATAATGGTACAAACTGTTCATGTGACTTTGTCTATGTCTACTGAGATTAAGAAGAATTTACCAAGGGAGGGAGTTCGATGGCTCTATCTCCGGACTGAGGCGAAGCATATTGAGAATGGGAGGATGGATCTTGAAATTCTTCTTTACGATGAGAAGATGGAATTGGTTGCAGTTAATAATCAGGTTGCGCAAATTATTCCGGCTATGGGGAAGAGCAAGAAGGGAGATGATTCACGACTATGAAAGAGGGAGGAATTGATCATGCATTGACTGGGTATTGGACTACAATTAGATGTAGAAAGTTGGCTTGTGGGCATTGCTTTGACGGAGCTTCAGAATAGCTTGGATCTGCGACCATCCTAGCTTGGACTTCTGTGAACGTGCGACCAGGCCCGCTATCTTCAGCAGATTCTTGATCTGTCGCCCATTCATCTCGATGGCCGACAGCTTCTCCAGCTGTGCGTCTGTAAATTCATCGGTGTTGTCTGTTCGCTCCAGGAACTGGACCCAGATCTGGCGCCTTGAAATAACGTCAAGCTCATCGTAAGCGATTGCAAGATGGATTCGAGATTCGAAAGCAGGGTCAATATTCTCGGCTCGGTTGGTGGTGAGAAATAGGATTCCCTGTGTGTAAGTATTAGCTGCCATTGAAAAATTCGAAATAAAGAAAAGAGACGATATAGAGGCCTAGACTCACCTCATAGTATTCCAACATGCGAAGGAATATTGATACCAGCTCATTCCTCATAATATCAGTAGCACTACGTGCTTCCATAAATACATCCGCCTCATCCAGAAGCAGAACAGCGCCCCATTTGGGGATCATCCGCAGGATATCCTTGAGACTTCGCTCCACTTTCTCAGCGCTGATACCTAGTTCACCAGCACTCATCGCATAAAGCGGTACACGCATGACCTCAGCGACGCACTCGGCTGTCAACGTCTTACCGACTCCAGGGGGACCACTAAGCTGCATAATAATTCCTTGGCCCTTGCCCGAAACAATATCATCGAAACGATCCTCTTTCTTAGCTTGAGCTGTGGCAATTCCCAGAATTAGCTCCTTGAGCTCTTCGTGACCTCTGGGTGGTACCAAAGACTCAAAGGCATCTGAGTTCCATTCGATATCCTTGGCGCAATCCAGATAGAACTGCAGCCACTCCTTGTCTTTCAGCGAGTACCCGTGTACATAAGGACTGGCGATGAGGCGATCCTTATCTTCCAGCTTCTGTGGGCACTCGTCCTCATCATAAACACTGATAGACTTCGTGGGATGAAAGACGTTGAAAGCGTCTGTATCAATAATTATACGGCTCTTGACGTGGTATTTGATCAGGTCATCCTGGAAGAACCCGACGGCCAGACCTTCGTAGGCCTTATAGTGGTATCCGGCGTGTTCCTCCCAGGTCTTCCCGCGCGCAATCAGAGACTCTCGGATGGATTCTGGCTTTTCGTGATACTTCAGAGGAGACACATCTAACGATGTAATTGGCGTGGTCCCAATAAAGGGGTATAGTTTGAAATTCTCCTCGTCATATCCGAAGTCTTCACCGTCATACTCGATGAATTTGCCCGTCATGACCCATGCCTTTGTACGGCAGCAGATACCATCTTCAGTGAATTCGAATGCGCGGGTACGTCCACTCGAAGTGGTGATCATCACATCACCAGGCTCGAAGATTGTCCAGATAAGCGCGTGGGTGATTACACCGTTGCGAATAAGATCATTTTTTCGAGAAATAATGTCGCGTAGTTCCTCCTCGATAATCTTGTGGAGTAGATCGACGTGCTTCCTGGTGGTGGGGTCTTGCTCCTCGTCGCGGAACTTGATAAATTGCTCCCAGCGATGAACCATGGGTTTGAACGGGGTATTGAACTCGAGTCTCTCCAGGGTTGTGGTGACACCCGGGTAGTTTGCCAGCACCTTGCCAAGGAACTCCTTGAGCGGCTCACTCTGAACGACAATTGAATGAAGGGAGAGGCTTTTACGCCCATCATAGCACTTGGAATGTCGGACAATCAGCGCATACTGTGCTGACTCCTCATCCTCAGCGGGGGCTATTAAACTCTCAGGGTAATCTTTAGTCCATGATGTGTTTCCACTCTCATCGGGCTTGGTCTCATATAGCTTGTGGACATCGATGATAGAACCATGAGGCTCGTACTTCTTCTCCTCTTCCTTCTCCTCTCCCTCCTTTTTGTCGTCTTCTTTCTTCTCAGTGGTGTTCTCGTCACTCTTCCCATTTTTGGTCTCTGTTTTTAATTCTTCACAATTGTTAGCACAATGACTTAACCTTGCGACTACAATTGCTTTTTCGCTTTCTGGTATGGAATGAATTACCTAGACTGGCGTCCCCGTTTGTCGTTGCTCCGTTTGTCGTTGCTCCGTTTGTCGTTGCTCCGTTTGTCGTTGCTCCGTTTGTCAATTTCTTCGTTGGTTCATCTTCTATTTGTTATGTCAGTTATTGCTCTCTTCTGATGCTAAATGCACACTACTCATAACTTACTGGGTGTTTTGATTCCGTTGGTAGGTGTGATACCGTTGGTATCAAGGCTCTCAGTAGAGTCCACTTGGTCTACGGCGCCGTTGGTTTCTTTGACCACATAATGCAAGCTGACGGGATCCTCTGTGTATTTTGTATGAGCTGGAGGTTTCGCATGTGGTCAACTTCAACTTAGGCAAACATACCTGATACGTGAACCTTGCCATTTCTCATCGGGAGATCGGTAGTATCCCTCATCACGGTCCCGTTCGTGTCCTGCAACATCCCTATGATGAGATGTTACAAACGGCGACACGGCTGAAATAGTAGTATGAAATGGGAGAGATATAATCTGAAAGTGTAATAGGATGTAAGGGGATGTAAGAGTGTAGTAATAAGAGTGTAAGGGTATATAAGTTGTAAGTCACGGCTGAAGTCCTAGTAAGACTCGAGTATATAAATAATCTTAGAATGAAAAACTATTCCAAGGCTGAAAGCAGTCCGACTCTCAGGTTTAAATAAAGAAGTAGAAAGCAGATGAAAGATACAGCACTGCGGACCGGCCCTGATCTAAACACCCAAACCTGCTCTCACACAAGGCAGCCACATCTGCAATGCTGCCTGCCAGTAAGCCGACAGCGGATACTAGCGGCGGCAAGAAAGGTGGTGCGGAGCATGAAGGATTCGCCCTAGTAGTTAGCAACATGTAATATAGTCCCTGAGGGGAGCTGATCCCTTTGGAAGATCAGCGATTAGTTCATATGTGAAACCGAATACTACGTTTGATCGTTATACTGCGCAGCACCCTGAATCTTTACCGTTACTCTCTCGCTATTATCTTCGTATTCAACCTGGACGCTGCGGGATTGTTTCCTAAGGCGCCCTTACAGGCAGTGTGTGATCACACAGGTGGCTCATCAGTGAGCTGGTACATAGCTCTCCATAGGCTGCGTAAGTTCCGCGGCGGGTCGATCTGCAGCGGCAACCCCACCTCGGCCAACAGTCAGCCTTAGAGCCTCGTCCCCTCGTGAGTCACTGCCCAAGGCTTTGCCGCCGTGAGCACAGAGGCTATAGTAGAACCTGAACTAGACCCTATAGAGTTCCCGCTGATATATGCGTCTGAGAAGGATGGGTCAAGTTGTTGATCTTGTGAGGTTGAAAGAAGTTGGCTAACTGCTGTGCATTGTTCAGTTGCCTTGTTAAGTAGATTACTTGTCTATGCACACGCTATTGGATCATCCTCATGTCTCAGAATTAAACAATAAATCTGCCTTGTGCGCTGAAGAAACTGGTAATGTGTCATTCACAAAGATTTTCGATCTACCTCTGACTCATTGCTCATATATGCAACACCTTGCAATAATGGGATTGTGTGTTGTCTTCTTGCTAGAGTTGATTCGTCCATGCGGAGTTGGCCTATGTGATTCTCTAGCCGCGAGGCTGAGTTGCCGCTGGTGGCTTTGTACTGCCACGATGGGTTCAGTTTGAGCCTCGATACTCAATCCTTGAGGCAGGGATCTGAGACCCACTGAGATCTATGGGTTGGAGAACCTTTGAAATCAAAATTGAAAGCGTCTTAATGGATTGCTGTTATACTCCATTTCCAAACACTTATAGATGGCTGTCGTTGAGTCGTCATTCCCACTATTATAATAACATCGAAAATAGAATAGTAGCAGTAAATAAAGAGAAAAAGAAAAGAAAGTAAATCGATATCGATCTATGTTGTCACCTCGCTATCCTCAAATGCCATGCGCCGCCAAAATCTCCAAATCGGAGTAAATTTTTCTCATATATTCTCTACGCCTGAACGGCGAAGGCAGTCAACCGAGACTTGATAACCTCCTCAGAATCCTGGGTGTCCAACTCGCGCAGAACACCAGAGCCAACGTCGTAGATAAGGCCGTGGACCTGCAGCCCACGCTCTTGAATGGCACCAAGAACAGCACCCTTCTGCTTAACGACGTCCAGACCCTCACGGACATTCAGCTCCACGAGTTTCAATGCCGCATCCTCGTCGGAAAGGCCCTGCAGCTCAGCGAGGTTGCGCTCGCGGATCTGACGCAAGGGAAGCAGCCACGGGTCCAGAATGCCAAGTTGCTTGTTACCCATAGCGGCAGCGACACCGCCACAGGCTGTGTGGCCGCAAACCACAATGTGGTTCACACGGAGATACTGCACGGCATATTCGATAACAGCGCCTGAGCTGAGATCTCCGGGGTGTAGGATGTTGGCGATGTTGCGGTGCACGAAGACATCACCGGGCTTCAGACCCAGGAGGGTGGTCTCCGGGCAGCGGGAGTCAGAGCAACCCAGCCACAGAATTTGGGGCTGCTGGCCGGTCGCGAGGGTAGGGAAGAGGTCAGGATGCTCGCGTGCGGTCTGGGCGGCCCATTCCTTGTTTTGGCGCAGAGCGCTCGAGTAGCGATCTGAACCGGCTTTGTCAGTTTGCTGGTTGGGGGAGGCGTTTGCGTTGGGTGTGTTGGGGGTTTTATGATTCGCGCAGTAGGTAGGAAGGGAAGTCGAGAAGGGGGAGGGTCGCTGAGGTAAACGAAGAAAACGAGATGACAAGAAGGAATTCGCTGGCTGGCGACCTGCTATGCTGTGCGCCGACTCTGCGGTGCGCGCAACTGCGCTAGGTCGCACGGCCAATCGTGCGACGATCATGACGAACGGTGGGGGGAACAGATTTTCGGGGCAGAACCAATGACAGGAGGTTAATCACACTCTCGGACGATCAAAAATCAGGATAAAAACAGACAACCTTGACCGTCGACTCCAGGGAATCGACTGGTTCGGTGTGCGCTGTGTGTATCCGGTTGACCGGGGATGGAAACAAAGATGTTGGGGAAGAAACTTGAAAGAGTGGGAATTGGGGAAAAGAAAACCCGCCAAGAAGTTAAAATTCAGCTGCCGATCTACACTTGTACGTACCTTCATCAGACATGGTGAGAGAAATGGTAAATCAACGGTGAATTGAAGATCAAGAATTTGGCCAGGGGAAACAGAGAAGTTAAGTTCTTAAGCAACCAGGTACAAGAAAGATAGTAGCGAGGGGCTGAATCACTGGGCGCTGGAGAGTGGGCGAACGAGTGGGCGAACCTTCCCGAGGAGAAAACGGCGAGATCGGCAGGTCGGTAAAGCAATTGGGGGGGATGTTGAGGAGATCTGATCTATTCACCATCTCATGACTCATTTTGCTTATTTCCAACATCTAAAAAGGAAAAATGGTTTCGTATTTTCCCTAGTTCCCCTTGTCGTCAAGTCCTATACATACCCGCAATCCAGTGCCCAGGTGACTTAATATGGGAGGTTTACATATGCACTTTCAACTACTCCGCCGCAATCCTCAACACTTCTGTAACTTTTATTCGCTCCTCGGTAAACCGGACAAGCGGGAGAGAGCGGGTTCGAACGATCATCGAAATGTGCAGGAATCCGGTTTACACCAGATACGAGGCACAAAGACCAGCCTCAGTCACGCCAGCGCCAGCAAAGACCCCCTGGAATCCTGATCAGATGGTGCCAGCCACCGCCTCATTATCTGGATGGTTTGCAATAGCTCCGTTTGAGAGTTGAATTATAGCTTTACGGTGTATCTGTGTTTCGTTAAAGTAACTAACAGTACATCCTGGAATCCAACGCTCAATGGTCGATATGCAGTACAAACCTTGGCTAATACGCTCGCCGGGCATCATAAAGAGCATACTACCCCATTACTATTGGGTGGCATCATTGAAGTACTTCAATATACATCCCCCTTCGACGGTATACACAAGACTGATCATGAGATACTGTTAAATTAAGGGGGTAGTTGTTGATTACAATCGGGTGATTCAAGTTGATGTTCAATGTTTACTAGTATGGAGAGGGGATAGGTACCATATCGATGCCTAGGAATGACTCGGACATGGTGATGATATTCCAAGGTTCAACCTAGAGCACACAAGACCAGTTGAATCAGCCGCGAAAGTCACCACCCCTCTCGACTACTACTAGCAGTATAGGCCGGGAGTATTTAGTATGCGGAAAAGACTTGCCCCGCTACAGACTTGGGCTCTCGGAGGAGTTGGTGAACCACTGTGGGGTATTAGTACTAGATGTGCAATTATAAGAGCATGGACTTTTGAAATATTATGTTGAGGAGACCACTCAAGCATCTATTCTCAAGACTTATTGAAATTTGGATAGCGTCTATGGAGTAAAGGGTTAGAAGTAGTATTGAGTGATGGTCGTGATAACCCTCTCATCTTCCTCGTATTGAAGATTTTGATACATATTGTGTGAATGCCCAACTCAAATCATGTCTGGAATTATCACTAAGATCATACAAAACAAAATCAATTCCGTAAACCACACTTGTAAAATGTAAGGTTGATTGTTATAGTCTTCATGATCGACGGATGATCTCATAAAGCATGACTAAGCCAGCATAGTTATCTGCAGAAACCTGGCCTGAGGCACTAGAGTGAATTGATCCCAGGTGATCTCTCGAGTTCAGGGGATTTTATTGTGCCGAACTGCATCTCCAAATCAAGGGTGCATCTCGAGACGCTTCAAATATCTCAGTCGATGAGATAATCCTTCGCTCATTTGATAACACCGCTCCCTGCCCGCTCATATTGGAGACAGAGACGACGCATTCGGTCCTGTCGAGGCGGACCATCCCCAATTGTATCACGGGCGCCGTATCACGACTCTCGCCCGTGTTACTTTTCCCCATTCTTTGTTTTCGATAACTTCTTGCCTGCAGGTCTAGCAGCTTACAAAGATTCGGCGGTGGATCGGATGTTTATAAGATGATTCCGCACCGAAGCACTGGTCTCTTGGCCATTATTGTTTTTGTTGGCCTCCTTCTCTATATCTTTTCATCTTCCCCCATTCCCGATGTCGTCGTCGAAGGAGAAGAACCCGCTTCAGGGCCCGCCAAGTATATCACTCTACCTCAACCGAAACTTCCGTCCTTGAGCGATCTCCATCTGCCGTCCTTCCGCGCCCCTTCACACGAACCTCCCCCTGAAGAGAGCAACAGCACCAGCGGCGAGTCCAAATGGTTTAGCAATTGGGAATGGTTGAACCCATTCTCCTCTGCAATCACTCTTGACGAAGATCGTTCGGTTCTGCCTCCCCTGCGCGACCGTCGCCCGATTTACACCTACTACAACCCCAAATACAACCCTAAAAAACATTCGAGCAAGGAGCTAAAGGAGGATCAAAATGCCGATGCGGAGCTGCTTCTCTCATGGCGACGAGCTTGGTTTGCCCAGGGGTTCCGACCTATTGTCCTCACCCCCGGAGACGCAATGAAGAACCCGCATTATGAAATAGTGCAGAAGCTCACTCTCTCCGCTGAATTGGAGAATGAAGTCTTCCGTTGGCTCGCATGGGGTCATATGGGAGCTGGATTGCTTGCTGATTTCGAGTGTTTCCCGATGGGTCGATACGACGATGGTCTTCTGCATGCTTTACGATATGGCACCGAGCCAGAATTCATCATTCGGTTTGATAACTTCCAAGGTGGTCTGTATTCAGCAGAGAAAACCCGCATCGAGGAAGCAATCGATGGTGCTGTGAAGAAGCTGGATGACAAGTCTACTTCTTTTGCAGAGCTCGTAAACCCAGAGTTATTCAAAGTTATGCAACCAAGCAGTCTAGCTTACTACAAGCACTCTACCATCGGATCTCACTACGCGACACTTCAAGAGAAGATGAGCCACAGCCCATCCAACGGCCGAATGCTTTTAGCTCAATTGATCAACTCTCACCTTCACAACACCTTCCAAAACTCCTTCCCAGCTGGTCTGGCGGTGCTGAAGCCTTTCCCCAAACAGACAACCGCTCTTGTGGAGCCCGCACTGCGGCTGGCCAAGGCACTCACTCAGTGCCCCGACTCTCCAGTCCCCGATTCTTGCCCTCCCAACCTTCCCGACTGCCGTCCATGTGGCTCCTCGAAACAGCCCATGCTCATCAGTCAACCGTCGACCTATAAAAAGACCAATCTTCTATTCACTATCGGCACCCTCCCACACCCATATACCCTTATCAGTCTACAAAAGAGCTCCGATGAGGTTACCACCCGTCAAATTCGACGAGAGACCGAGCGAGATGCTTGGCTGACCGATGTGACTAAAGATGATCTTGGCACGGAGATGGGCAGCTCGTACCGAGGTATGGCATTCAAGCAGGTTGTTGCTGGCGATCAGGCTATTGCAACTTCTCTTTGGATGACCGTTGAGTCTCTCCCCGCCGAGGCTGGCCAGTCTCTTCCAGCTGAACTCTTGGACGAGTTTGAGTGGCAATTTGGATTCAAGATTCCTCGTGCGGGTACCATTGATCCCAACGCGCCTGGCGACAAAGAAAGTGTGCAGAGCAAGACCCCTAGCGAGCAGGGTGTCGGGCGCGAGTACGAACTTATCCAGAAAGCCCGAGCTGTTATCAACAGTGAAGAACCCGATGCTGTTAGCAAGAGGGACGTGGCCGAAGCTTGGAATTTGGCTGATACGGAGGTTTGGCGATTCGTGAAAGCCTACCGGTAAGTTAATCTAAATAACATTTCCGTATCCCTAATCGAGTGACTAACTTGTATTTGCAGAGCCCGGTTTTTTGTTGAGCGAAAAAGATGGGAAGAGGAAGAGAGAGATTTCGCAGGCTCTAAGCCCTAAAATCTCATTATGATAATCTTCCTGTTTCCACTTCCCTGGCTATGCTTTTTTGTGATATATGTATTATTTTTTGTGTTCTTCTACTGTGATGTACTCCTGCATTTCCGGCGCCGTGGATTTCTCATTTCTTTCTCTTTATAGAAGGTGGGAATATTGAAGACTGAACATTGAACATTCAAGACCCAGAATTCCAGAATTCCAGTCCGAACCAGCTAGTTAGTAATAGAACGGGTTCTGATAGGCGTCCGTCCCTTTCGGACAGTGGCGATCCCCGCATCACGCTTAAGACTGGTTCCACGGTGGAGCTCGGGTGGGGTTCCCTATCGAGATACGATAACTGATCTCGTCCGCACTGTTTGCCACTCTCACTGGTTGCATGAACCTCCTTGAAACTTCAATCATCACGAGAGCTTTAGGAAGGTATTTGCGATTCTCAAGATATATAGGACCCCATCATGCGTCCCTGAGGACCGCCGTGACCCGAACTTTATTGTCGTGATCTGCCATTGCTCCATACCCCTACATTACTCGCAATGGCGCCCGGCATCTTAGAAACAGATTCTGGAGAGGTGGCGATCGAGAAGGTCACCTCGCTGGCTGAGTTGACCGAGGAATGGGACGATACTCTTCGGTTTTATCTCAACGGGACCAAGGTCGCTGTCGATGATGTCAACCCAGAAGTCACCCTGTTGGAATACCTCCGCGGGGTTGGGTTGACGGGAACAAAGCTTGGCTGTGCCGAGGGAGGTTGTGGAGCGTGCACTGTGGTATGGAACAAAAGCCTCAACTGAACAAAGATAGTAAAAAAAGAAAAGAATAAGATTACTGACGATCTCTTCCTGATTTCTAGGTAGTATCGCATATCAACCCCACTACAAAGAAGATTTATCATGCGTCCGTCAACGCCTGTATCGCCCCGCTGGTCAGCATCGACGGAAAACACGTTATCACCATTGAAGGAATTGGAAATGTGAATAATCCACATGCAGTACAGCAGCGACTGGCTGTCGCCAACGGCAGCCAGTGTGGATTTTGCACTCCTGGAATTATCATGGTACGAACCCAGTTCTATCTCCCGCAAATTGATTTTCGAAGCCGTGTCTAATTGTTCTTCCAAAGAGTCTATATGCTTTACTTCGCAATGACCCCGTCCCCGATGAACATGCCGTCGAGGAGGCTTTTGATGGCAATCTGTGCCGTTGCACTGGCTACAGGCCCATCCTTGACGCCGCCCAGAGCTTCAACTCGCGCAATAACTGCGGTAAAGCAAACGCCAATGGAGGCTCTGGCTGCTGTATGGAAAAGAATGGCGGCGGTGGCGGGGGATGTTGCAAGGGATCATCTGCAGCTATCGACGATGGAAAACCGGAACCCAAATTCCCAGCTCCCGACTTCAAGGCTTATAACCCTGATACTGAGCTGATCTTCCCAGCCTCGCTGCGAAAGCACGAGTTCAGGCCGTTAGTATTCGGCAATAAGAGAAAGAAGTGGTACAGACCAGTAACAGTTGAACAACTCTTACAGATAAAGAGTGTTCACCCTGACTCGAAATTAATTGGCGGAAGTACAGAGACGCAGATTGAGATTAAGTTCAAGGCTATGCGCTATGCTGCTTCCGTTTACGTGGGCGATATTCCTGAGCTGAGGCTATACCAGTTCCACGATGATTACCTTGAAATTGGTGCCAATATATCTTTGACTGATTTGGAAACTGTTTGCGAGGAGGCTGTGAAGCGTTATGGACCTGTTCGCGGCCAGCCTTTCAAAGCTATCAAAAAGCAGCTGCACTATTTTGCTGGACGACAGATCCGAAATGTTGCATCTCCAGCTGGCAATCTGGCAACTGCATCGCCCATTGCAGATTTGAACCCGTGTTTGGTTGCAACAAACTCTACCCTTATTGCGAAATCTCTCTCGGGAGATAAGGAGATTCCCATGACGGAATTCTTCCAGGGATACCGCAAAACCGCTTTGCCCCAGGATGCCATCATCGCTGGCCTTCGAATTCCCGCTGCTGCTCCCAGGGGCGAATTCTTCCGTGCTTACAAGCAGTCGAAGCGCAAGGATGACGATATTGCTATTGTAACATCCGCACAGCGTGTTACATTATCTGAAAGCAACGATGTCACTAGCTGTAATCTCATCTTTGGTGGTATGGCAGCCATGACTGTTCCTGCAAAGAAGGCAGAAGCTGCTTTGCTTGGCAAGAAGTTCACCAACCCCGCAACCCTAGAAGCAGTGATGAGAGCCTTGGAAGAAGACTTCGATCTTCCCTTTGGAGTGCCTGGCGGTATGGCAACTTACCGCAAGTCTTTGGCCTTGGGATTCTTCTACCGATTCTACAATGACGTCCTGTCAAGCCTCGAAGTGAAGTCATCTGATGTAGACCCGGATGTCATCGCTGAAATTGAGAGAGCCATCTCTTCAGGAGAGAAGGATCATGAGGCGTCCGTCAAGTACCAGCAAAAGATTCTCGGTCAGGCCACCCCTCATATCTCTGCACTCAAGCAAGCTACCGGTGAAGCGCAGTACACCGACGACATCCCCGTTCAGATGAACGAATTGTTCGGCTGTATGGTTTTATCTACTAAGGCCCACGCTAAGATTCTCAGCGTCGATCCTTCAGCTGCATTGGACATTCCTGGCGTGGTCGATTATGTTGACCACACAGACTTGCCCAACGCTGCAGCAAATTGGTGGGGAGCGCCTGTATGCGATGAACAGTTCTTTGCTGTCGACGAGGTTCATACCGCTGGACAGCCCATTGGTGTTATTCTCGCTAAATCTGCCAAGATTGCAGAAGAGGGCATGCGTGCTGTCAAAGTCGAGTATGAGGATTTGCCTGTCATTCTTACTATCGAGGAGGCTATTGAAGCTGAGTCATTCTTCGAGCATTATCGTTTCATCAAGAACGGTGACGTCGATGAAGCCTTCAAGAACGCCGATCATGTTTTTGAAGGCGTTTCGCGAATGGGTGGACAAGAGCATTTCTATTTGGAAACACAAGCATGTCTCGCCATTTGGAAGCCCGAGGACGGTGAAATGGAGGTCTGGAGTGGTACTCAGAACCCAACTGAGACGTAAGTACCTCAAACCAGCATTTTTATACAACAAACTCTAACTATTATTGCAGACAAGCCTACGTTGCCCAGGTCACGGGAGTCGCAGCAAACAAGATTGTATCCCGCGTCAAGCGCCTTGGTGGTGGCTTCGGCGGCAAGGAGACTCGCTCCGTCCAGCTGGCTGGTATCTGCGCTACTGCAGCTGCAAAGCTGAAACGACCGGTTCGCTGCATGCTTAATCGTGATGAGGATATCATCACCTCAGGCCAACGTCACCCATTTATGTGTAAATGGAAGGTTGGCGTTAGCAAGGAAGGAAAGATCTTGGCACTTGATGCCGATGTGTACGCCAACGGTGGTCATACCCAAGATTTGTCCGGTGCTGTCGTCGAGCGAAGTTTGTCACATATCGACGGCGTGTACAAGATTCCCAATATCTTCGTGCGCGGTCGCATCTGCAAGACAAACACTGTTTCCAATACTGCGTTCCGTGGCTTCGGTGGACCACAAGGTCTCTTCTTCGCGGAGTGTTATATCTCGGAGATTGCGGACCATCTCAATATCCCAGCAGAGGACATGCGTGCTATGAACATTTACAAGCCTGGCGAAACCACCCACTTCAACCAGGAGCTCAAAGACTGGTATGTACCTTTGATGTACAACCAGGTTCTAGAAGAGAGCAACTACAACGAACGACGAAAAGCCGTTGAAGAATACAATAAGCAGCATAAATGGTCTAAGCGTGGAATGGCCATCGTGCCGACGAAATTCGGTATCTCTTTCACAGCTTTGTTCCTGAACCAAGCAGGTGCCTTGGTACACATCTACCACGACGGAAGTGTACTCGTGGCTCATGGCGGCGTTGAAATGGGACAAGGTCTTCATACGAAGATGACCATGATCGCTGCCGAGGCTCTCCAGGTACCTCAGGATAATGTCTACATCACAGAGACTGCCACCAACACTGTCCCCAACACATCTTCTACTGCTGCCTCGGCTAGTTCCGATCTGAACGGCTATGCTATCTTCAATGCCTGCGAACAGCTTAACGAACGTCTTAAACCGTATCGCGAGAAGATGCCCAACGCCACAATGAAAGAACTCGCCCATACAGCCTACTTCGACCGAGTCAATCTCTCTGCACAGGGATACTACCGCACCCCTGACATTGGCTACACCTGGGGATCCAACTCTGGACAGATGTTCTTCTACTTTACACAAGGCGTGACGGCCTGTGAGGTCGAGATTGATACCTTGACTGGTGACTGGACACCACTTCGTGCAGACATCAAAATGGACGTGGGTCGTACCATCAACCCGTCCATTGACTACGGTCAAATCGAAGGTGCCTACGTCCAAGGTCAAGGATTATTCACAACAGAAGAGAGTCTCTGGCACCGTGCATCAGGACAGATCTTCACCCGCGGACCGGGTAACTACAAGATCCCAGGATTCCGTGATATTCCCCAGGTTTTCAACGTCAGTCTACTTAAAGATGTTGAATGGGAGAATCTTCGCACAATTGCGCGCTCGCGTGGTATTGGAGAGCCACCTTTGTTCATGGGCAGCGCTGCTTTCTTTGCTATTCGTGACGCATTGAAGTACGCCCGTAAACAGTGGGGCGTTGATGAGGTCCTCAGCTTGCGGAGCCCAGCAACGCCCGAGCGTATCCGAATCAGCTGCGCTGATCCCATTGTCGAACGGGCACGGGTTCAGCCAAAGGAAGGCGAGAAGCCCTTCTTTGTTGAGATTTAAGGGAACTGAGATATACTTCTTACGATTCACGGCATGTATGACAATATGTAAACGCACCTTGATTATTTTCAACGAAATGAACAGATTGCATTTGGAGATTTTGAGTAAATTTTTCTCTCTTACAAGTTCTCCGTATGCTTTTCCGCCTCTAGTAGTTTCCCGTCATAGATAGAGGGGGTGAGACTTCATTTATATAGCTATATAATAGCCTCAATACCGACGAAAATTGGGATCCTCAACATGAATATAGCTCCGATGATACCCTAAAATAAGACAACACTCTAAAATAATAATCGGAGCCCAAAATTAGCGTTGTCCAATCCAAATCGTTGCCGAGTAAAAGTTTCCCGATGAACTCGGCAAACCCGAAAGCGCAGAAAAATTCGCCGGCTTCGGCAGCACCCGCCGATCCCAACATGGAAAAACGCAATGAGAAAAAATAAATCAGGCTCCACATGGATCCCCAGAGCAATCAGATTTTTTTCTTGGCCTGACTGGGGTAAAATTGCATTTTGTGAGAGTCATAATTGAAACGTTGCACAACACATCAATGCTGGCATAGCTGCCTCGACTGCTCTCATTCGGGCTTGTACTCCCCGGATTTCGACTCATACAACTAACCTTACTTTCAAGCTCTTCCTTTCCGTATCCGGAGAGAAGACCGAACCTTTGAGTCAGAAAAGTTAAATCGTGAAAAATTTCAAAGATCAACCACCATGGCTGATGAAGAGAGATATGCCGTTGAAGGCAAGGGTGTGAATGAGGAAGGCTTCCAGAATGATTCTGATAAACCTTTTGCTGCTGCTGATCTGGAGCCGTTTGGTAATGAGGAGACGGCGGATGTGAAGTATCGGACCATGAAATGGTGGCATTGTGGCATGCGTGAGTTTCAACCATGATTATAGGCTTGTATGATTGAAATCTAATGCGAGGCTCTAGTGATGATTGCTGAGAATGTCTCTGTGGGAATTCTTTCTTTGCCTTCGGCTGTGGCTACCCTGGGAATGGCTCCGTATGTCTCTTTTTTCTGTCCTTGATATTGAACTTTTATCTGATATTCAAAAACAGTGCTGCTATCATGATTGTCTTCATTTCTGCTCTGTCATGGTATACAGGCTATGAAATTGGCCAGTTCAAGCTTCGTCACCCTCACATTCACAGCATGGGTGACGCTGGTGAGCTCTTGATGGGCCGATTTGGTCGTGAACTTCTTGGAATTGGCCAATTATTGCTCCTGATTTTCCTTATGGCCAGTAACATTCTGATGTTTAACATCTTGATGAATGTGCTTACAGACCACGGCACTTGTACTCTGGTCTTTGGTGTTGTCGGCTTGATCATCTGTTTCTTGGGTGCCTTGCCTCGTACTATGGATAAAGTGTATATCATGTCTGTTATTTGTAAGTGACATCCCCGGCGAAGCCTTTGGAAATTGGAATATAATCCTTAGATTATCGTTGGCTAACAAACCCGCAGCATTCCTGAGTGTTTTCATTGCTACTGTTGTGACCATGGTCTCTGCCGGTGTCGACAGCAAAGGCAACATTCCCCTCCATGCCACCACCGAAGTTGGTTTCCGTGAAGGTTTCCTAGCAGTCACCAACATCATTTTCGCCTACCGTAAGTTCAAAAGACGCCATCTTACCCGCACTATAAGAAGCTAAATCTTTACCAGTGGCCCATGTTGCGTATTTCGGTTTCATGTCCGAGACTGAAGATCCCCGTACCTTCAACAAGTCTCTGGCTATGCTTCAAATCGTCGACACTGTTCTGTACCTTATCAGTGCTCTGATCATCTACAAATATGTCGGACCTAGCGTCGAGTCACCCGCCATCTTGTCTTTGAACCCACTGATGAGCAAGATTGCCTGGGGTCTCGCTATTCCAACTGTGAGTGCAGCGGTTCTACTTTCGACCCAATCACAGTTGCTAACAAATTGTATAGACTATTCTCTCTGGTGTTGTACTGGGCCATGTCGCGTGCAAGTATATCTACGTGCGTATCTTCCGTGGATCAGACGAGATGCACAGTCGCAGTTTCCTCTCTGTCGGTTCCTGGGTCGCTATTTGCTTGGGTGTCTGGGTTGTCTCCTGGGTTGTGGCAGAGTCCATCCCCGTATTCAATGATCTGCTGAGTCTTATCGTATGTGCTGGTTCTAGTCTTTTTTGTCGAGAATGATTGTTAACAAGAATCTTTACCCAGAGCGCACTCTTCGGAAGTTGGTTCAGTTGTATGTTTTCCCTTTAACTCTTGAAGATTTCAAAACGCTAACAAGCTCCATAGTCGGTCTTCCTGCTGTTTTCTGGTTCCACATGAACCGCGGTCAGTATTTCAAGAACTGGAAAAAAACTGTTCTCACCATTATTAATATCGGTGTCTTCGGCTGTGCATGCGCTATTGTAAGTTGACTTCTAAGAGTTCTGTTTCTACTTGTGCTCGTTAGGAAATGTGCTAACGGTTCAATTTTTAGTGTGGATTGGGTCTCTGGGTCTCTGGCGTCGCTATCCACAATGACTCCAGCTCGTCCGCCTGGTCTTGCGCCAATGATGTGTGATGTCTGAGACACAGCATCAGTGCCAGTGCTAAAATGCCTATCTTCAACATTATAGGATCAAAAGCAATTGCATATCCCTTCAAGTTGGCTTTATATAGTAATATAGAATTGCATCATGGATATCTATCGTAGACGATAGATTTCAACCACTACTTCAATGTTATGTACGATTATTTCAAGTTTTACGCATATTAGCCTAATCAAATGAATAGTATGTGTACAAACTCGAGTTTGATTGAATAATATCTAAATAGACGCTATACATAAATAAAAAAGGAAACTCCAAAGAATGCTTAGGTTGATACAAAGCAACTGATATACTTAGAAAGTTGCAAATGTATCACATTAAACCTCTTTCACTCCTTTCACATCATACTCCACATGGTTACTCTGCCTAACGGTAGGTGTAGAATGAACTTGGAGTGCAGTCCGCTGACCCGCAAACCCATGCTTTTCATCAATATTGTACCCATGAGCATCATGGAACGGATCATTCTGCAGCGCTACAGCCCGTGGAGCATTCGCCTCATACTGCGGAACGTCAGGTCCAGTAGATAAACCCTTCGGCATAGCAGTAAGAGGAACATCGATAAAGCCACGGGAATCCGGTTGTGGTGGAGGGTAATTCGGCACAGGATCTATTGCATGGCCACCCCCATCGCCGCGGTTTCGGTCGCGTCCCCACCATAAGAACATTGCGCGTGCAACTCCCATCAGGGCGATGAGGACCCATAGAAGGAAAATGGCCGTAGCGATGATAGCTTCTATGCGGAGAGCCGCCTCTAATGTCCTAATGACAGCGTTCACAACCTCAGTGATTTTGTTGGCCGTTTCATCGCCGGCGTCGGACAGGAAGCTGTCTGAAGGATCGGAAGTGCTATTTGATATGCTCTCGTTTGCACCTTTGGAGAAAACATCGTCTTGGAAAAGAGGGAAGTTGACGTGGGCATTATCATGAACCCATGTGAGGCCCTGTTCAATACTTTGTACTTTGAGGCCGATGAGACAGTTGTAAAGTTCTGTGATTGGCTCGTAGAGAATTGTACCCCAGAATGTCTCGTTGAGAACGCCTTGAACTTTGTCGACAAAGGTATTCAGTGTATCATTGGCTGCAGTCGTTGTGGTGTTCACCCATCCCAGCATGTTATTGTTGATATCGCTGTCCAGGTCCGTGATGTGAGCGTTGGCGGCGTCAGCCCACTCTGCAGAGGAGTTTTGCAGAGCCGAGACTACTTTATCGGCATACTCGCCTACCTCCGCGCTGAGTGAGGGCACTTGCTTGGATATCTCGTGCAGGATGATCCATTGACAAAGGCAAGCTAATAGGGACGCGATACCAAGAGCAAGAACGAAGAGTGCTGGCATTGAGGTTGCGTATGCCACTGCCCACCTAACTAGTATCTGTCGGCGGCTGTTGCTAAATCGACTTGCAGCCTTGATACCAACCGCAGCGGTATGCGGACGCGAGACAATGTAGACCACGTCCATTGGGTCATGGGCTTCCTTCCTAACTAACTGGGAGCGTTCTTTCATGTGACGCCATCCACGAATTTCTTGCCATGCGCTGGGAACGCAAGCTAGCACCGCTGCGATGACGAGAACGACGATAAAGATTTTTCGTGCAGTGATGGCGATATCGGTTACTGTATCGAAGAAGCTGTTGATTCCATCGTTGTCGTTGCAAAATGTTAATTGCTTCTTTTCTGGAATGGTGAGAACAGAGCTGTCGAATGTATAACCACCCAAAGACCCATTAAGCAATTTCTTCACTTCTTCGAACGGGAGCGAGATGATAGTTTCTGTGAAGTTCTCGACCGCGCTAAAGCTTGGAATCGAACTATTGAGGGTATTGATCTTATCATCAATCGACGAGGGGATGCTCCAGTCTTTTAGTTCGTCAAGGGCGCCAGTGACATTGATCGTTGGAAGATCAACGCCAATGTTGTTGACCAGTGTTGCAACTTTATTAAGGTCGTTCGTGACTCCGCTGACAATACTTGCAATGTCAGATGTGGCGGTATGGATTGTGCTGTTCACAAAATCAAGAGCACTCTCGATCAGCTCTGTAGCAACATCCGCGACACCATGAACGGCCATAGTGATTAGGCACGCATAAGTCTGGTACATTATTTTGAGAATGAAAATAATAATTTCCTCGGCAGCCGTCAAGGCAAAGTCTAGCATGGTTTTCAGACCGCTCACAGCGTCTGTCACACCATCCGCCACCATTTCGTTGACTCCGTAGGCGAGATAATGGGGCATCGATGCCATGGCACTTCCCATGGATTCCACACTTGTACACGCAGAGAGGGCCTCGCGTTTGGCACTGGCCATATCGGATCGAATACTTCCGATCGCTAATAAGACACGAACGAGTATAAGGAGGATCAGTATCGTCCAGCGATTTATCCATACTTGGGATAGTCGAGCTCTGAGTCCGAGGTATGGGGTAAGACCATCGGGGTGCAAAGGAATAATCCTGCCATCTTGAGGGTTATGCGCGCCGTATGGTGGAAGGAGAGGAAAGATCGAAGTCTTCGATCTTGAGAATAACATTGTGGGTATTTTGTTGTGGCGTAAACAGTTGGATATGGTGTTGGACAACGATGCACTGTCAAAGTGAGGTTGTCGAAAGGGACGATTCGAGGGAAATTGTAAACAAAAAAAGCGAGATAAAAATAGTGAAGATGGTCCTCAATGGGTTGAACAAAGGAAAGTATATCACGAGGCAAATTATTAAGAAGTCTATTCAATAAGCATGGTGTATCGACCAGCGATAGGCAGTGAATGTGGTGAAAAGTTGAATGAACAAAGGCAGGCAGAAGCAGAAAAGAAGGCACGAAACGAGAAAATCCCCAGAAAGAATTAAAGGCGCACACAGAACTAGTTATAAATCCCTGCTCTGCCTGAAATGCCAGCCTGAAGAAAAATCGGCTCATCATGGCGCTAAGACGATCTACGCGAGGTTTGAATCATCCTACAAAGAAGCCCACCGGAAGGAGCCTAATGACCCCAGAACCCTTGAGACAGCCATTCACAAAGAGTTCCAGAGCTATGAAACAAAGACAAACATAAAAATAAAGAATTCTACAAGACCGAGCTGTTTCATCTAGTAACAAAGCGCGTGCGTAGGTCCGATTGTTGCCAAACCCACCGGGGTATGCCAAATATAGCCGTTGTGGGCGCTTAGAGCCCGTCCTTGTCAGCCAATCATTCACTCATCGTAGGCCGGAGCTCGAACATGAGGATATTTCTTGTCGCAAATCATCTTGTTATCTTGCCATCATGTGGATAGGCAGAGGTATAATGTTTGAGATTCACCCGTGGTCGGCTTTGTTTGGGCTTTTCTTGGGCTTAGGTCGAGAGGTGTTACTCCCGAGACCGAGCCATTGATTTATACAATAAGACGCGTGGCTTAGCTAGGTTCCTTGACTTTGGCCTTTTTCTGACAACGGGTAGCTTTTTCAAGAAAGAGACACCACAGTATGATTCACCATGAAAACGTGGGGGTGATCATATTCTATGACCTCAAATGCTGGACGTGGTGATGGTGGGTCCCCTTGGAAAAGGGACTGGCACCTGGGGATGGGCGCTTACAGTGATTTGTCTGATTGGTCCCAGCCACGTGGAGTAGCCATCCCCTTACTAACTAAGTAACATTGATGCCTGAATCTTCCGGAATGATATCCCTTAGTCAGCACACCTAGATCATATCACATGATTAATGGGTCCAAAGTTGCCAGCCCCTGACTTAAAACAAGGCAACAAGGATGTGGGCCTCAACATTCTCTCCGAGGTCACGGAAAATATCATTTTGTGGTATCTTGTGAATTGGGTTTCTTATGCCAGGACATAATGTTAAGTACAGATCTCGGTCATCTCGTATCTATACCTCTATGTAGCATAAAGCGTTATGTCTGTTCTAGAGCTAAATCTTGCCAAGCAATCTGGGGTCAGCCACTTTGACGTCTGGGCAAGACATTCGAGTCACTATTGTGGCAGTAGACCCTGATATGGTGACATCGGCGGAGCTGATGCTAAATCCCCATAACCCAATCAGATCACCTGAAGTCTATATAAGTTAGATAGTGTATAGATTTCAAGATCTAAAGATTGTTTCCCTATAAATCGTACACACGTCAACTTGGCCACACTGCCAAATGATTCCCGGCCGTGTTTCCCCTAAACAAGGGGTCCAACTCCACCAAGGCACCACAGCCATCCGAGCTGCGTCATCAGGGCGCCTCAGCGATGCTTGCCAACCCTCATTGGCTCCACAGGGCCCAGAAGTCCCGACGTCCCTCCAATCGTCGATTTTTCTTCGGCCGTTCCAGTCTAGAAATCCCCCTCTCTGGTTGATGAGGGCGACCGATCTGCGACTGCGATCTGCACACTGCCCTTCCTTCCCCTGGGTTCCCGCAGGGTTTTCTTTCTTTCATGGCTCATGATTAATTTCTCTGACCGTGTCGCTCATTCCACATCATAACCATGCTCTGGTCCAGCTTGTTAATGCTGCTCGCCCAGAATGCGGCTGCGTGGCACTCAAATGATGATCTGATGTCCTTCAAGACGGTAGGTTGGACGTGCTCTTCTCTTGCTCGCCAAATAAGGCCCCCATTCTAACAAAGACCTGTCTTCTTAGCTGCCGGACGCCAGAGCCATAAAGTTCGATATTCAATATGAAGATCGTGATCGCCTGACACCAGGATACTGGTTTGTCTCGCCATATCTACACATCTCTCCGGATGACCCTACAAGTATATATGAGCAATACCAGACTGGTCCACACATCTATGACCAAGACGGGGTAGGTTTCTACCATAGCCCAGTTATCCAGCGCAAGATCACTGACATCGATTGCGAATGAAATAGCGTCTCGTTTGGACCGGAGCCCCCATGTTTGACAACCGCAACGTTTTCGACTTCAAAACTGTCACTCTCTTTAACGAAACATACATCTCTTTAATCTTACAATACAGCCATGATGGTAGCGAACATGGATGGGGCGTGATTATGGATAAGAACTACGAAATATACCGAAAAATTCCCGTGCGGGAGGATCTTGGCTGGTTCGATATTCATGAATTTAACGTTCTCGACAATAGCAACACTGCTCTGGTGACAAACTATCTCTACGAGGAAATCACTTTGGAAGCCTTTGGTCGGCCAGAGGAGAAGACCTTCCTGGAATACGGAGGTTTCGCCGAAATCGACATCAACACCAATGAAGTTCTCTATCACTGGAACTCATTCAATGAGATCCCCGTCACAGAGTCCGTTCACTACACCAAGTACTCTGCCGTCGAGGGTGCTCCTGGCTGGGATTATGTGCATATCAACTCTGCCGACAAAAACGAAAACGGCGACTATTTGATTTCAATGCGTTTCACCAACACTCTTTATCTGATCTCTGGGCAGACCGGAACCATAATGTGGCGCCTCGGTGGACATGGCCACAGTGACTTCGAACAGGACTTTGTCTTTTCTAAGCAGCATGACGCCAAATTCATCGAATCGCATGGAACCCATCATATCATCTCCATTTTGAACAACGCCTCCGACGAGGAGTTTGCCGAAGAAGAGATTTCATCAGCCTTGATCATTGAATTGGAAACCGGTACCACGCCAATGACCGCTCGCGTCCTCAATCGTTACAACCGTCCCGGCGGTGACCTCACTCGTCTTCGTGGTAATGCCCAACAATTACCAAACGAGAACATGTTCGTCTGTTGGAGTCAGGGTGGTTATATCTCGGAGCACGCACCCGACGGTCAAGTCTTGATGACCGCTAGTTTCACAACACCCCGATTCTCGAATTATCGTGCTTACAAGTACGAGTTCACTGGACGCCCGAGCACTCCTCCCGACCTGGTTGCTTCCGTCTACGGCAGTGACGAGACTAACCTTATCACAAACATCTACGTCAGTTGGAATGGTGCTACAGATGTGGCGATGTGGAAATTTTATGCCCAGGCCTCCGAATTCGACCGCCCAGTTTTCATCGGTGAAATCGCAAAGCACGATTTCGAAACCATGTTCATTGCCCACGGCTTTATGGATTGGGTGTCTGTCGAGGCAGTGCATGAGGATGGCGAAGTCCTGGCGACCTCAATAGTACACCGAACCGAGGCTCCCGATTGGAAGAGCGTTGGATATCATGGTTACGTTGGGCTTCCGAGACCACAGGACCCCTCAACCCTTAGCAGACCCCAAGCGGACGGCGAGTCAGCTGACGCCATTGGCGATTCTAGCAAGGTCTCATCCGGTGCTGACACTGGCGAAGCTGAGATCCGAAAAGCAACTGGCATGCTTAACAAGTCATATGAGACCATGCGTAGCATCGGGGGTCTTTTTGGAATGATTCTACTTCTAGCGGCCATGGCTGGTATCATGGCTAGCTACCTTCTCATCCGAGGCTGGCGGGTCCAGCTTTATCACCGTGTCCCAACGGGGGACGATATGCCAGAGGTCGAGTTCCACCCTAGGTCAGACTAATTGAAAGACTTTCAAGGGTCAGGCCTTAGGATTGTGGCACTACTCGTTTGCATGGCTTTTTGGAGTTTGCTGTATATTATTGGTTTCATCCTGCCCAGGTGGGAGGGCTTGTTTCCATTTTGTAAATAGACAGGCGTTCACTCATTCCTTACACATCGTACGGATTTTTTTTCATATATCTCATGTATACAGAAAGGCAAAATGTGCTGACTTGTTTTATTGAAGATCAACTGATCTATCAACTCGAATTTATCATAGCCAACATCATTATCAAAATAACCCACAAATCCAGCATCATCCTCAAAATCAAGATACCTCCTAGTCTCATTATGTCTGGTTCGTGAGGTGGCTGAGCAAGGCCGGGGCCATCCGCACTGGAAATCACGAGACTCTTACAGCATTCATTTCCAGGCAATATATTCCCTGGTTTCCGTGAATGAATGCAAATAACCCCAACAAAAGTATCCCCATCGGATGTCCGGGGACTGCCCCGGTTTCACGAGCCCCTCCTTTATCCGCGAATGGCCCCTCAATTAACTAATATGTGGTCCGGATGGTGGCAGATAAGCCTGGAATTTTGCTAGAAAAGAATGTGTCCCCAGTGTTCTGGCCCACAAATTACATGAGAAGAATTGATCCCGCGTCGCAAGGGATTCCCGTCTCGCAAATCTCGGGAATAGATACGCGCTATTCCCGAGTTATCATTCCCGAGATTAATCTTTTCTCTTTCCCGAAGATTCTATTTATGCTTGGGTGACTCAAATTTGCCATCCAAGATTACATATCTTTTTTTAACAATTGCCTTCGACTTTCTCCAAGAAAACACGATTTAAACTTTCTCGCTTCAATAAAATTCAACATTGGGGATATCATACACAATGCCAGCCACCAGTCTCTGCCAAGACGAGACATGTCCTCCATACAGTCTTATGGACGATTATAGCGAGGGTGCCCATCCACAAATTCTAGAGGCTCTTCTCCGCACAAATTCATCCCAGCAAGTCTCTTATGGAGGCGATGAGTACTCCGATGCTGCCCGCCAATTGATCCTAGAGAAGATCGATTGCGCAGAGGACGAGGCAGACATTTTCTTCGTACCAAGCGGCACATCCGCAAATCTGATCTCAATTGCTAGCTGTCTCCGGCCCTACGAGGCTGTAATTACCCTTGAGTCGGGCCATATTGCATGCAAAGAAGCTGGTGCAATTGAAGCAACTGGACACAAGCTTATCCTTGTTCCACCAGTCGATGGCAAGATGACAACGACCAATTTGCAAAAGTCACTGCAACAAAATCAATTCTTCCCGCACATGGCAAAGCCACGACTTCTATATATCTCCAATGCGTCTGAGACCGGAACAGTATACACAAAGCGAGAATTAACCAATCTATCCGCTGTATGCAAACAAAACAACCTCCTACTCTTGATGGATGGTGCCCGAATCGGAACAGCACTATGCTCCAAGAAAAACGATATGACCCTCCGAGATATCTTCGATTTCGTCGATATTTTCTGGATCGGCGGAACCAAAGCCGGAGCACTGATGGGAGAAGCAATCGTTGTCAAGAAACATCTAGCCGAGGGATTCGTCTTCCATCTCAAACAACATGGCGCTTTGCTGGCGAAGGGCCGGATCCTAGGTGTTCAATTCATGGAACTCTTCCGGGATGATCTATTTTTCACATTGGCTGGACACGCGAATGCCATGGCTGAGAAGATCTCAGCTAATTTTGAATACCTGGGCCACGAACTTGCTGCGGAGACAGCCACAAATCAAGTCTTTGTCATTCTTCCGCAGAATCTGGTTAGGAGGCTTCAGGATAGATTCAGATTCTATAATTGGGAGCAATTGGATGATGGGCGTGTTGTTGTGCGAATTGTTACTTCTTGGGCAACGGATGAGATGCAGGTTGACAAGTTTAATGCATGGGTGGCGCAGTGGACGGCGACAGCCAAAGAATTTTCTGTTTAGAAGCGAAACATTGCATGGTATAGCGGAAATTAATTTAATAGACTTAATGAATGCCTTACGACCTTAGCTCAGTTGCTGAACATTTTTGACTGGATAATTTTAGACTTAACTAGTATGCATAAGCACTTAATCTGAACTTCTTTGTCTTCGAATTGATCGCATGGCGTATAGAGCATCACATGACCCCGTCGGCCATAACCGGTTAGTAAAGACACCTTAGATTCCTGGCGTCAAGCGTGTCTCCTTCCTTCTCTGTTCAACTTAAATAAACTTACTTGACGATTCTTGCATTGTTTGTTGAATATCTGACTGGATCTGATGATATACATAACAAGTCGCACTCAGCCAGTGCTCTAGAGCTTTCTCAATGAGGTTGTCAATATCTTGTGATGCCTGTCGGTAAGATAAGGAATAGTGGGAGCCTGCGCACTGGCATCAATTACTGACAGCTGTTGCAGCCGAGCCAAAGTCAAATGCATCCATGACGGCAACTCACCTTGTCGGCGATGCGAAAAAGCTAAGAATGATGCATGTGTCCTGACAGATCCCCGAGTCTCAAAAGCAAGCACGAGATGCAATTACAAGTCGGGAACGGCACAGAAGAGACGGGCAACTACCACATTGTCCCCTGATAAAGGCCCTGAGAAAAGGCACTCGCGAATAGTTTCGCGTAGCACGTCACAGAGCCATGAAAATCCGATCTCAGCTTTGCCGCCGTCCGTTGTGATCACCGCAGTTGAGACTTATCGGAAAAAGTTCCCGATCACTAATTTTCTACATTATCCTTCTTTGATTTCCGACATCTCTTCGAATATCAGCTCCATTGAACCGGTTTTCATCGCATCCCTTCTCTCTTTGTGTGTTCGTTTCATGAGTGGAGATGCGATCGATGTTGAAGAGATATATGCGGACTATGCACGCAAAAATTTGGCTCAGAGAGCCATGGAGGCCCCTTCTCTATATCTTGCCCAATCGTTGGTTATGATTTCATTCTACGAATGGGGAACCGGACGCCCTTATCAAGCATGGATGTATAGTGGTACGTGCCGTAAAGTCCGACCGTCGATATTCTGCAGAATACTAATTGACTTGTCCAGGCATGGCCACATATATGATACAGTCATTACTCAAAATGGCGGATGATAGTATGGAACATAGCCCACAAGAATTCCATGCTTCTCAAACCCAGTATGAGCAGCTTGTGCGTACGTATTGGTGCTGCTTTGCCCAAGACTGTGAGCTTAGTTCTGGGGCTCGGCAACATTTCGCTTTGTCCTTTTCCCAGATCTCAGTACCGCTTCCTATCAGTGATAGAGATTTTACATTCAACCATCTTCCTGAGCGGCGATTGATGCCCGTTGATATGAACAGAAAATGCCCACTGGCCAGGAACCTGACAATAGAACACGGTTTGACGTTGGTCACGCGTGGCTTTGACATTTTCGTGCGAATCTTGAGGTTCGCTAATGAGCATCGACGTTCTCTAGCATCTATGGATTCAGACGATGCGGCTACTTCGCCTCTCCACCGGACTTGGCAACGACTCAAGGGAGAATTGGATGAGTGGAGGTCATTGCAAGATCTGACCGTTCATTACCCTGCGACAAGCGCACAAGCACATGTTGCATTGGGATATGGTGAGCTTTTTGCATATATTAATTTAATATATTTTATGAGGTAAGGATTGTTTGAATGGAAACCAAAGGGCTTTTAGACTAATCTGCTATGAAAACAGCGTTTTGTTTCTTCATCGCGACCGATTTTTGTCAAATCTCAAACCTCATTCTGATGTTTTCCATGATATGAATGATGACCAGCAACAAGAACCTGGCACAATGAAAGAGCTTTTTGAAGCCGTTCAAAATATCAGTGGGGTACTGGCAGCATTAGACGCATCAGAAGCGCCCGTTATGACGCCTTATTCGGGATTCAGCGTGTTTGTGGCAGCACACATCAATATGTACGGGACAATTGCTCCGTTACGATACCCAGGTGGGCTTGAACGAGCAGAAGAAGAAAAGAGTAAGAATTTGATATACCTTCAGCGATTGAGCATATTATGGCCCGTCGGTCGAAGCTGGGTAAGCACGAACAAAATTATCTTGAAACTCCGACCTCCTGAAACTAACACGTGTGATTCAGTGGCGAACTGTTCAAGAAGCAAATCGATTCTATGAAACCGTGAAAAGCACCCAAACACATGTTGAATCCGGCATGCACAGCCCCAGGCGATTTGCACTTGCAGGCACACTGGATGAATATGGTGATATCCGTTCACGTCCAAGTCGTGATACACATATGACCAGATCAATGACTTCTAATCCTCGAGACTCGGAAAGCTCACATCAATCCCATGGCCAAAGTATGTCATCTCCCATCACAGAAAGCCAGGGTACCTGGCTCGGGAGCCATCATGATATCGAAACAGACATGTTCCAATGGCCCTTTATTGACGCATCTTGGTCCGCGGGATTTGATGCTGGACTTGACGGGCTATGGCATCACTCGGGGCTATTTGATCCGAACCCATCCATGGGATAGAACGCATTTGAAATGAAACAAATATAAAAATGTCCTCGCGTATTTTGCTCTTTTTTCATCATATATTCGATTGTTTCGTTTAATGTTTACCAGTAGTATTTATACAGTAAATAGAAAAAATTTATAAAGAACGTCCATGCATGCGTCATCGGCTGTGGCTGTCGCTATCAACGCTCCGACTCTCAACGGTCTGCTCCACAGCAATAGTCTTTTTAATTCCGTATTCATTGAATACTTCAGAACCGGTCTCCTCAGGGGCACCAGCGTATGAAATCAAATGACTCTGATCACCGAAGTGTGGTGATTTGTCCCATGCACCGCCCTTGGAGTTGTTGGTCGGCTTCCTGTCTCCCAGTGGGACTTCCGAGTTCTGGTTGTAGTATTTCTGGGAAGAATACTCCTTCCTGTAGTGGGCGATAAGCACATTGAGAACAGGCAGACAGGCACAGATTAAACCGACGCCACCCTCGGCATTACTAGTAAGATATTAGAATAAGGCACACCATGCTTTACAAGAGACATATAGAACTTACCCAGACAAAATGACATCCATGAAAACGATAGTCTGGTTCGTAGAGTTTCCTTCTTTTAGAACCAAGACAAGTCTGTACAGACTGAATCCGGTAGCCAAACCACCTGCACTGAGAAGTCCGATCACACGAAGCTTGCGGTTGCGAGACATTTGTAAAGACCATGTCAATGGCAGAGGAAGAACGAGAATAATAATATCGCTCACGACACTGATGACGGAGTCGGCGATCAGTGCTGCAGTCTGATCGAGACAGGTAGCGCCTGGGATGTCTCCGAGCCAGTACTGGGGAATCGGGTAACACATGCGGATCTTTACGATCAAGGCGACGGTGTAGTATGTGCAGAGGCAGCCGAGGAAGATGTAGATGAACCATACTTTTCCGCGGTAGGGAGCGAAGATTCGAGTGAGGATAGATAAGAGAGCGATTTTCACGAAGAGGGCCATCGGGCAGTAAAGGATAGTAGCGATGTAGCAGAACTTTTTGAAGAGGACTTGATCTGGGCCTGAGACATCGTCCCAGTTGTAGCCTCCTCCATGTTTGCCAACTGTAGAGATGTTAGATACTGCGAGATGTGATGTTACTAGTAATTTGCACTTACTGACGAGACTGATTCCGCAGTATCCCATAAATAAGGCCTGTTAGATCGGATTTTGTTAGGAAAGCAAGAGCTGTATTGTATTGTATCTCATAGACATACCCAAGCCACGGTGCAAGCATCTAAATGAGACAGTTAGCATAAGTGTCGTTTCGGAAGTAGTGCCTGGAGAAAACCCACAATCTTCAACTCCCAAGCCTTGCTTAAATCGAATTCGAGTATAGAACCGCAAGGCCACGAATGCCGTGACTATGGGAATACATAGGATCTGTGTGACCGTATTGACGGTGTGGACGACATCCTTAGGTGCCGAAACCGTCATGTTGATATTGTGATGCAAAACATACAGCAAAATAAACCACGAACGATGGGGAGGCATTGACCCATTATGAACAATCGATCGAATCCAAGAGACGCCCCCTCGGATTGTTACCGCGGATCATGCCGTGTTCCGGTGGGCCAAAATTTGAAGCAGGTGGCAGAAGATCGTTAAAGTGGAGAATAAACGCTATTGATCCCACGGGTCAATAGCTGTGCTTTGGGCATCAGACTACAATTAATTCCAATTGATTTGGTGTAAATTTCTAATGAACCAATACGATCACGTCAAGTTCGGACCTCGGGTTCTACCACGCGGCCGTATCGCCGGGGATTGTTCTGCGGGAAATCCGTGAGTAATGGTTGACTCCACTATACCGACGCCACACTCTCTATATGGAAAAGTCGGGTGGGGTTCCAAGCCAATTTTCAACCACCATCAAACTGTAGTCCCCACGTTCAAGGCCGCAAAGCCTTGGAACACGGGACGGGTCTGGGTGTTACCTAAACCCTTATCATTATAACCGAATTGACACTTTTGACAGCGGCACTTTATGGTGGTTCGTGAAAAATAGGGGCAAACACAATCTTATTATTCTTAATTATTCCCATATTCCATTACTCCGTACGCTTTTCGTTATTGCAGCTCCAGCCAAAGCCCCAGCCATGACTATCCACTATCTCGAAGGCGAAAACTCCGCCTTGTTCCAGCCATTGACTATTGCCAATGGCGGCATTACTCTCCGCCATCGTGTCGTCCACGCCCCTCTAACCCGCAACCGCGGAGTTCCAGAGAACCCTATCAGTACTCCAGAATGCCCCAATCGAGTTTGGATTCCCGGGGACCTGATGATTGAATATTATTCCCAGCGGACAACCGAGGGGGGCCTAATAATCTCAGAGGGCATCCCACCATCCCTTGAGGTAAGTGAAACAATTCTTGACCATCGTAATGAAACGGTTCAAACTTTAAGCCTACCCCATCGGCAATAAGGTTTTTTTTCTGTCGAGTTGAAAAAAAGACCTTGCTGATCTCAAACCCTAACAGAGCAATGGGATGCCCGGTGTCCCCGGCCTTTTCACACCCGAGCAAGCCCAGGGCTGGAAAAGAGTCGTTGAGGCCGTCCACGCCAAAGGAGGTATTATTATTTGCCAATTATGGCACGCTGGAAGAGCGACAATTCCCCAGATGAGTGGAATGTCCCCGGTGTGCCCCTCGGCAAGCGTGTGGGACTCACCCACTGAATGCTATCCGCACCCCCCAGTGGGGTCAACCAAATACTTTTCCGTCCCATACGCCAATCACCCACCGGTTGAGTTATCTGTTGCCCATATCAAGCAGACCATTCAGGACTATTGCAATGCCGCTAAGACGGCTATGGAAATAGGCTTTGATGGTGTCGAGATCCACGGTGGTAACGGCTATCTTCCGGAGCAATTTCTTAGCTCCAACATCAACAAGCGCACCGACCAATATGGCGGTTCCCCGGAGAAACGCTGCCAGTTTCTTTTTGAGTTGATGGGTGAAGTAGCTAAGACTATTGGCGAAGAGAATCTGTCGATTCGACTGTCTCCTTTTGGATTATACAACCAAGCTCGCGGAGAGCAGCGAATCGAGACTTGGACATATCTTTGCGAGGGCTTGAAGAGGACCCATCCAACACTCTCCTATGTTAGCTTTATTGAGCCGGTATGTACATGATTGTTGCTCAATCTCTTTATTTTGAATTTCGCTGACCTTTCCTGTTTTCAGCGCTATGAACAAATTTTCAGTGAAGAAGAGAAAGATGGCTTCCTTGGCAGTTGGGGCTTGAAGGATGTCACACTCGACCGATTCCGCCAGATCTTTGGCAAGACCCCCTTCTTCTCTGCTGGTAACTTTGATGACAAGAACTCATGGGGTGTATTGGAATCTGGTAAATACGATGGCCTAATTTATGGTCGCTACTTCACCAGCAATCCTGATCTTGTGGAAAGGCTCAAGAAGGGGCTGCCTTTGGAGGCTTATGACCGAAATCGTTTCTACGGGCCATTCGAGGATAATGCCTTCCACTACACAGATTACCAGACTGCTGACCAGAAGTAGGCTGTACTATATTTATATGACAGAATGAATACGATTTTGGTATTTATCAATGTTTAGGTAGATAGCCTTGGATATATTTAGATTATTTTGAACCATGGGACGTTGAAAGTCGAGACCACGTTTGAACCAGGAATTACTATTTGACTTCCCGATGTCAGATGTCAGACTTCGGCATTTCCACAATCATACAACCTTTTATTGAGAATGTTATCTGTATTGAATAGTTATCTAGCTCAGACTGAAAACTAAGTGATCTCAGATTCTGTCAGAATGGTCTGCGTAAGCGGGCTGAAAATTGAGGACACTAAAGCACGCCACCTATGCTTCCGAAGAGTTAGCTTACGTCGGCAAAATTAGCGTGTGCTATTGCGTCCTAGCTTGATCAATACAATGAATCGTGGCTCAACTCTAAAACTCTAATAAAATTGCAGAGATGAAATCTAATGATTCTAGGATCTGAAAATCGCCGAACACCGACAAAAGCACAGATAATTACATAAGGCTTCACAGCCTCTTCAGCCCCAAACATCCTCTTGCCACTTGTTCTTCTTCTTTACTGCCTTGCTCCAGTTGTTGACTTCATCATCCGACCACCCCTTGGTCTTTTGCATCGTCGATCCAACAACCTTCTCCACTTCGCGAGCCATTCCCGCTCGACCGCAAATATAGAAGCTAGCGCCCTCATTAATAAGCTGAACCACATCTTCTCCGTACTCGGACACTTTGTCTTGAACATATTGGCGTGGTGTGCCCTCCTTTCTTGAGAATGCGGTGACAAGACGCAGCTTGTCTCCAAGGATGCGCTGGAATTCCTGGAGCTCTTCGCGGTAAATGAAGTCTTCATCGGGAGTACGGCATCCAAAGAAAAGAACCATTTGGCCAATCTCCTTTCCAATCTTCTGAACCTGGCAACGCTCAGATAAGAATGCGCGGAAGGGTGCGAGTCCCGTTCCCGCTCCAACCATCACCAGTGGGGTCTTGCTCGTGATGGGCAACTTGAACTTGCTTCGGCGGATATGAGCAAAGATCTTGCCACCTTCTAGGGCATTGCTGGGACCATTCAAGTGGTAGGTAATGCCATGAGGATGGGGCTGGGAGCGGGTCTGTTGTGAGATAGCGAGGAGGTAGTTAGACGTGACACCATGGATCATTTCATTGGAGTTACCGGGGAGAGGAGTTGAGGAGACGATTGCAGTGATGGAAGGTTTGCGAGGAGAGACCACGCTGCTGGAGGAAATAGAGTAGTGGCGAGGGCGGATGTGCGGTAGGGTCTCGACTAGATAGGGGAGGGTGAGGTTGGACCAGGTCTGGCCAGGACATGCGAGTTGTAGAAGACGGCCAAGATTGAGGTGGGTGCGGTTGATAAAGTCTGCGTAGTATTCTTTGTCTTGGCCGAGCTTGGTGAGATAGGCCTTTGCTTCGGCGGTTGGCGCGAATTGTGCAAGGTCACGGACATTGTCTCGGTTGACCGGGGCACAGATTTCAAGGTAGCAACGGAGAATGGCAATTGCGTTTGTAGGAGTTGGAAGTGTGATCTTTGTTGCTGGGTCGACGGGTCTAATAATCACTGGGACATCGCGTCTTGAGGAGATACCAAGGACCTCCAGAAGAAGCTCAACCTCCGAGTCCGGGTTGGTAGGCCAAATAGCAAGGTGATCACCAGTCTTATATGTCAACTCAGGCTGGTCGCTGAGGTCTACATCCATGTGCAGACAGTTGCGGTCGGATGCAGTGAAAAGCTCCCGAGAGTTGGTGATGCTCAATGTCCTAACAGGTGAAGATTGAGCTGCTCCCTTGTGAGAATCCGTCTGGTTGCTTGGCTCTCCATGGTGAAGATCGATGGGCTCCAAGGATTCATCTTCCTCGACATTCAAGGTCGGGATGTATTTAGACTCCACTTCTTGGAATCCTAATTTTTCTTTGAATATCGTGAACAGGGAGTCCTTCCAAGCCATGAAGTCTTCCTCAGTAGCACCCTCGGCGTCATTGGCTCTGCCAACCGGCATGAGAGCTTTAGCGTTGAACTTCTCCAACCCTTCAACGATAACATCAACAACGCGGTTGTAGAATTTGTAATTTGTGTTTCCCAGACCGAAAGCAGCATAGTTTAGATTGGACAGCGAGACATCGCCGGCTTTAGTGATCCAGTTCCAAAATTCCGCAGTGTTGTCACTAGGATCACCCTCGCCATATGTTGAGACGATGAAAATAGCCAACTTGGCACTCGGGATCTCAGGAATAGTGACAGGGTCATAATCAGACAGATCGGCCATCATACTCTCTTGACCCCATCGAAGGGAGATCTCTCGAGCAAGGCGCTGCGCAAATCCCTCTGCAGTTCCGGACTGTGACCCCCAAAACACAACGATGTTCTTGCCGGATTCCTCCAATTTCTGCGCAATGTTTCTGGTATCTTTGTTGAGGTTCGCACCAGCCCCCGCGCCATTCTTCAATTGTGGGCGCTCGAAGTTGAGGTAGTGGTAGGGGTCTGGCTGGTCCCAAAGGAGTCCCCGGGACAGGTATGTAGCTGAGGCGCCGGCGATGATTGCCAAAGCAGTATAGTCGGCGATGCCGGTTGGGGTAACGTATTTCTGAACCTCTGTCAGAACCTCTGGGGGGACCATGATGTTCAACTGTGATAGTTCCGCAAGGGAGATCATTGTGAGAAGCAGAGAAAGTAAAGTCTCCCTAGTCAATCGATATTAGGTCATATAGAGTTGAAAACTGGCAAATGCGACCAGAGGGTATTGGGTATTAATATAGCTTTAGAGGGGCAGCATATTAAGGCTTTTGGCCACCCCCGATCGGTGGGATACCCCGCGTATAAAATTGACGTTCCAAGAATCATGACAATTCGAGAAAAGGGTTCCGATAAGCGTCAAATTGCGGGAAGTGCATTAGACTTGGAGGATCTCCCAAGACTCGCTCAGCGGGGGAAAATTCCTGTTCTGGAGAGACCAACAACCAATCACAGTAGCGGGGACTGCAAGCCACGGGAATTTCAATGTTGGATGGCGGACCCCCGTGGGGTACTCTCTCGGAGTGGAAGAAATATCCCAAGTAGGTGCAAAAGGAAAAAGAAAGGAATAAAGATAACTAAGAATTCATTAGCCTCTGCTGTTAATGCCCTCCACCACATGCGCGTCTCGTTGCATGAAATGGCGCTTTGAATGGTCACAAGATCTTGGTGTTGTCTAGCCTCGTAGAACGACATGGCGTGAAACGAATCTCAAAATTTGAAGCTGGCCAGATATATCTATGGTACTGGTGAGCTGGCCAACACTCAATGTGCATTCTAATGGGTCAGGCGGATATCTCGCAGCACGAAATGCACCATCGAAATTGACTTTATCTCGCCGAAACGAAATGAAAGTGGTTTAGAGATGCCTTAAGCGGAGACGGGGCATAACACCCCCGGGGTAACTTCCCCGATCAAGACGGCCATGCACTCCCACCAAAGCGGGGCCCCGCTATTCACGTGGCTCGTCTGTCCAAAATGTCGCACACCTTCGTAAAGGGTCAGTGCTGGACAACTCACTTACCCCATTCAATCCAGAGTCTGGTTTTATTTAGGCCTTACTCTCCACACCCTTGCCTAAACTCCGTTTCTTCAATCCATCATGATGATTAGTTGAATCCTTCATGGAGACCTTTGAAAGCCAGGTGATGTCTAACCTCAGACTTCAACCAACAAGGTCCATTGGCGTGAATGGGCATAGAGATATATAAACCCACTACACAGAATCTCATGATAGATTATGTTGAGTAAAAACTTGATCACAACTAATTTTGGAATCAGCCTGGAGGCCCATATGTACTTTTTAGAGTCTTACTAGTAGCTAGTAATGCAGAGGCCAGCTTTCACAGGGAATAACATCGGAATACTATCGCCAAATACCAGCACTTAATAAAGTACTACTAAGTAGTGTGTATTGCAAGAACCCACGACGCAGGGCCAAAAGCCTTTTTACCCGGGAGGACCGAGACACGGCGGATCATGGATCATGTGCAACTACAAGGATCATCTACTGCTTATTTTCTGCCAGTGGGGCTGATGCTTAAATATACCTGAATCCTTTGCTCCACTGAAAATAAGCATGTTAAATCGTCGAAGCCTGAAACACGCACGAAGCCCTAAGCACTAGATTTGCGAATGGTCGCGCGAAGATTTAGCACTTCAAACAATTTTTTACCTGATTGATCACCATACAACATGTTCTCAAACATCGACATACTAGATATGTATTTGATGATAAATATGCTCAAGGCAGTAATAAGAGCTAAATACAACTTGAAGTGTTTTGTACAATCCATTGTGAATTTGGCGTCGGCATCGTGTTTCCTCCCACCCACCCATTAAACATTCCTCTATCGTGTAGTCTTGCGTATTTGACCATGGAGTAAAGTTGAGGCCAGACTGAAAATCGTCATAATAATTCCCATCAGAGATGCTAGTTGCAGTAACCATCAGTCCCCCGTGATCACTATCACTAGCATCGTCCCACTGTTCATGTCGACATTTTTCTTCAAACCACCCAGAAAGGTACCACACCCAATCTTTGTAAAAAATAATCTGATGTTGTTCTGATTTTCCATTTTTCCATTGCGTGTCAACTTCCTGCAAATTTTGGTGAATTTTTAGCAGTTCTCGTTGTATGTCCAATGTCTCTCGTAATGTTTGAACATTGTTATTATACCGAACAGATCGATCCAATGCGGCTAAAGTAAGCCTGCACGCAGCCGCAATGCCGAATCCGATGGCTGTCCACTGAATGTAGCTGAATGTTCGTTCAATGCCAAAGGGAAGGCTGAAATAATTACTGATGAATCTTTTCGCTGCCGCTAGTCCTTGGCAAAAAGCATGGGTTCGAAGAAGAGTGACGGTTGGCTCGATAGATACGGCAGAAGAGCGGTATACGTCGAAAAAGGCAGTTTGCCAGAGATGAACGTCGAAAAAGTTTGATTGTACTTCTGAAAGTACTACTGATTTGTTAAAATTTCGATTCCGACAGTGTGGTGATCAATAGTTGCCACTTACTATTGTTATGCATGGGAGCTGGAAGCCGGGATTTGTATCCATCCATGAATCATGGATCCTATGTCGCAAGGGGGAGCTTGAATCTCGTCATATGCCTGTGCCACGAGCGCATCGACCTCTGATAGCATTCGTTGAAATTGTACATAGCCTAGTAGGTATCGATCCTCATGAAATTCGCAGTCATGCGACAGCTTAGCAGCACTCGATTCTATGAAGGGTGACCCCGGCATATTGCCTGCCCGCTGCGCTGTGATAGAGTGACTAGTAATATGAATATGTGAGACACGAGCTATTAGATAGAGCACTGATAGCCATACCAAACAGGCTTTCTTGCGTGTGGTGATTCAATCAAGTAGCATTTGTGTTCAAGGAGGATTTTGAAATCATGTCTATTTTATTCATGGGTATAAAATGGAATATCGCATTATTATGGTCATTCCACCGCCAAAAGTCTTATGCCATAGTCCGTCGCCAAATTTTCACGGGCATATCGCCCAAAATCCAATTCATAGTCTCCTCTCTTTTCATTTCCCATCCAGGGTAAGACAATGCAAAGTCGTAACGGTGTACCATTGATGCGACAGCCTTTGTCTGTTCTAAGTACGAGATGTTGCGACCGATACAAGATCTGGCACCAGCAGAGAAGGCGATGAAGTAAGGCTGGAGAGCTTTGCCCTCCTCTCCCAAGAATCTCTCGGGAATGAACTTGTCTGCATTAGGGTAAATCTTCTCGTCGCGATGAGCAACCAAGGCTGACATGCTGACAGAAGTGTTACCAGCGACCCACTCGCCGAGAATGTTCGTTCCCTCGGGGGGCGTCTCGCGAGGAAGTCCATGGGGAGTCGGGGAGAAGAGTCGTAGAGACTCATCCAAGACGGCCCTGAGGTAGGGGAGGTGTTTGACTTTATCGTAATCAGCCACGCTCTCGTCTTCATCAAGTACGTTGTCCAACTCCTCACGAAGCTTCGCCAGGATGTCAGGGTTTTTGATGAGCTGGTACATGCAGTTTGTAATGGCAACAGCAGTTGTAACACTGCCAGCATTCATCATAATGTTACATTCGGCTACAACCTCTCCAAATTCAAGATTATTTGGGTTCCCGTTCTTGTCCTCCATCAAAGCTTGGAAGAAGTCATCAAGTTTTTCGCCAGCATCGTAACGACGGAGTCTCTCGTTTCCACGTCGCCACATGATGTTTTCCCAGTTCTCACTAGCTTTTTGCATCTTGTTGAAGAATGGGAATATGTTGACCATTTTGTTGATGACGGGGTACCAAGCGTAGTTCCAGACGATGTAGGACTGTTTCCGGGCGGTCGGGTAGAGGGCATCACGTAGACTTGTCGTATATGTTGTGCCATCCTTTCTCTCGGCAGTGACAAGATCGTGGCCTTGATCTAACAGTCCCAGCTTCTCAGAAAGACCAATGTCGGCGATGGCATCCAGGGTGAAAAAGTTGTTCCAACCTCGCAGATCAAGAGTGGCATCTTTCTGATCGGGTGCTGCTCGACAGGAGGCCACATCTTCCTTGGGAGCTTCTGTGCAAACTGCATCAAAGTGTTTGAACATTCTTTGAATCTTGTCGGTGACCTTGTATTCCCAGCTTTCAAGGTTCTTCAGTGCGTATGCCGAGGACAGCACCTTGCGCTTTCTGGCATGGTCGGGCTTATCGATGACGTCGGCAAGGTTAAAGTGAGAACCGGACGTGATATTGTAAGATTCATCTTTAGTACATTTGGTGTTGTGGCCATAAATATCCTTGATCGCTCTTGTGTCGCCGTAGGAAAGAGTATTTGGTCCAGTACGAATCACTGGGTGCTTTTTGTGCAGTCGGGACAGTTCCATGGACCTGGATCCTGTCCAGGCCAAAAGCATGAAAGGGAGTGCAGATATGCCGGAAATAGGGTGAAGGTTGGGGTATTTGCGTAATCCTGCATTTTAGTTGTTAGAAAAGATGGTCATTGGACAGAATTCGACATAACCATACCTTTGGGATCACGTAGATATTCGATATAGGGGTATGCAAAGAGGAAAATGAATGCAAAGCCGAGAAGTCCCACTGCATAAGGCGCAGCTGAGAGGACTGACAACATGGTGCCGAATGTATGTTGGCTTATCGCCAGGGAGAAGAAGCGAAAAGATAATTAAGTAAAACTATGGTTCGAATTTTTTCAAGCAGATATTCCGAAGTCAAGATGCAGAAGGGGATTTTCCTGTGTGAGAGCAAAGGATTTGAGAAGAATGATGAAGTTTGAAGGCTGAACCGATGAGGATATAAATATCATTCTACAGTGATTCGGATTCAGCCAAGAAAGTATAAACGTATCCCGATCCCTACACTAGGAGGGGTACGATTCAAGTTTTGCCCCGTGGGGGGATACAACCCGCATCGCTCTCGTGGAAGATTGCCCTCCAGGAATGGCCAAAGGTATAAGATAAACATCCAATAGTCGATCTCGCCTTGCATCCTGTGTCATTACCCCGGTGTCTGCTGGAAATGTGGGGCACGGCAGGCGCGGGGAATGTTTCCCTATAGAACACGGCAATCGCCCCCGAGATCACTAAGATTTGGTCAAACGGCAAGAACCCGAAATGCGGGGCACCAAAAGCGGTAGCTTTGCCCTTTATTCACTTGCTGATCTATATCCATCTGCATAGTCAAGATATTTGTCTCGCTTAAACTTCGAGCTTAGTGCAATATCAAATTCAACCTCTGACGTGGCTCATTCCTCAGACAAGAGGAACCGGTTATTGTCTCGGGCCAGCCATTCCTGAAATTTGTGTAAAGCCCAATACCGATGAGATAGCTTGTTCTAGATTGCGTCAGTGTGAATTTGAGTAAATCTGCCACGGGGAATATTCCTACTTTTTTGTCGTGCGCCATCTCTGCAAGAGTCTCGCCTTCGTGTTCGAAAATGGGTTCCCAGCCTATTCATATCAATACATTAGCTTCTTAAATCGCCTTGGTGGTCGACGGGTAGATGGCAGGTACCAAAAACTGGCGGGCCTCGGGCAGGAACGATTCTTCCCTGGAATATAATCAGCAGGTTGCTATAATTCCAACCTTCGAAGCTCATGTTATTCTAAATGCATTGACGAACCTCGAGCCTTCCTTGAAAGATGGCTGGTTCCATTTCAGGACCAGTCGTAAAAGCAAAGGTACAGACGGCGTCCGCACGTTTGTCAGCATAAGAGTACAAAAGTTTATTCAAACCATCATTCCCTAGAGAATCTAGAAAGCATTTACTTTACAAGGCCGATGTTAGTAAGGATAGGTTGGGTTTAGTAGGATATTAAGAATAACCTACATGTAAGGGCCTGGTAGTCTGTTTAAAGCATGAAACTCCAATGCGGAGTCTTCAATAATGACGGGTCCATTGACCTACTTCGACCGGGTTAGCGCAGTTATCAGATGGAATTATGTTGGAGATCTGACAATTTGAGCAGCGCGACGGCACTTATCCCTAGCGATCTCCTCTAGCGTTCCCTGTATCTCGGGAATGTCCAACGCCATAGGCTCGACTGGGATTAGGCCACTGAGGATTGCATTAACCTCGATAACCTTGTTCGGATTACCCGTGACAAACTTGAGGACGGATTTCATATTGTTTCTCTTCAGATTGGTGATGTGCTCGTAATCGGGGTTCCTCTTGACTCTCTTGAATTCGTTCTCCTTGATTGCAAGGTTTTCTTTCTTGCATGACGCTTTACCTTTTACGGTCGCTCACCATTCATGCTGCCCCACATGTTTCGCACTTGGCCGTGCAATGGCATTGCTGATATATTATTGACTCTGATGCACCAAGACAATCCTTTCATCAAATTTTAACGTTCTCAAGATCGCATATTGAAGGAAGACTCGACAATCATTGATCTGCAGTTTCTTCTAATGGAACGTTATCGATCCTACATAATGCAGACTTCTAAGAATAATAATGATGTTGCTGAAGTGTGATTAGCCCTATTCAAATTGGAATGATTGTACAAAGATGGCTAAGAGCTATCACTAAAAACCTTGTATTACATTAATCTAGAAAAGTTCAACCCCCATAAAGTACTCATTTATGATTGGGAAGAACTGCTGGGATTGTAGTTTAAGAAATGAAACAGCCGTTTCTCCTATCACTGCCGCACTTTCGACAGTTCACTCTTATAATAGTAGGAAAGTTCAAACATATTCACATGTACCACAATTCCATGCGACAAGATTCGAGGTGAGACAGATATCGAGGGTTTCTTTCACAAAACTGGACGACTGAGCGGCAACATCATCGTATTTCGAGCATACCAACGGACTTGTTAGGTGAGAACCAACGGTATCTCTCATGATGTGAGCAGCCATCTTCTTGAGATTATCGTTGTGATTCAGTGGCGAGAAGAAGATATCGGGTATTGAGTCCAAGTATTCCGAAGGGTTGAAAGGACTCTTTGCTTTATCGCAATATCTTGTTTTTGCGATCTCACAGAGCAGCGGAATACAAAACTTGTCACCCGAAGTGAACAATTGTGCATGAAATCGAAAGCCGGATATTGTTGACTTTGGTAATTTATCTTGTAATCCGTCGCTAGGTGATTCCGAGTAGTCACCTGTATACAGGTAGTCCAGCATTTTTTCTACGACAAAGACCGATTCATCCCACATACGGCATATTGATTCTGCTGCTTCCTATATTTGATCTTAATTTTCCAACTTATAAATAGAAATTTGACAGAAAATAAAACCAATCATGAAGTTCCTGGTTAAAGCATTGTAGACTAATACTGTCACTTGTGCGCTGCCACTTCAACAATTAATTGGTGGTTCTTTTTCCTCAGGGAGCTTTGTGTCATACATAAACCTTAAATATGCCAATAACCAACCGCAGTATGCTCAAATGTGCTGGTTGTGCAACTCATCACAGCCGATAAGTTGGACCGATAAGTGGCATTTGGTGGTGATGAGGGGCTGATAAGCAAGAGGACCGGCTATTTGTCGGCTAGTCTTGGTTCGCTTGTTGATCTCGGCATATTTCCCTGACGCCGCGCGCGTTTACACTGAGTCACCCAACTATTAATCCTGCACTTTGCTCGAACTTTACCCTCCACAAGTCTTTCTCTCGCATTCATTGACTTGGTGATTCTCAGGCTCCCTACTTACACGTCTGAAATTCCGCATTGCTACCTACAACACTTCGCAGGTGTAAGTTCCAAGCTTTGATGTCCTTGACGTCATGGCCAACTATAACTATGCTAGCCCAAGTCCTGGTGGAACAATCTCTTATATTTGGATGTTAGAACCGATTGATCAGATATTACCAGAATTCAATCTCAAGCCTCGAAAACAGAGATTCTGATTTTGCATCATGTCTGCCCAAATGGAATATGTCCGGTATGAACCCCGCACTAACAAGCATTCAATTCCTCCGATCGTATATGAAGCTCTAACTTCAATTGATTTATAGCCTCGGCAATTCTGGTCTGAAAGTTTCCAGAATTATCCTGGGTACGATGGGATTTGGAACCAAGCAATGGCAGGATTGGGTTATGGATGAGGAGGAGTCCCTCCCTCTAATTGAACATGCTTATAAGCAGGGTATCAACACTTGGGACACAGTAAGAAGGACAAGCCAACTACTATGCGATTCGTGGATGATACATCTTACTAACAAGTTTAATCAGGCTGATGTGTACTCTCATGGCCGCTCTGAGGAGATCGTGGGCAAGGCTTTGAAGAAATACAACATTCCCCGCAACCGTGTCGTTATCTTGTCCAAGTGTTTCTGGGGCGTTAATGACGAGGGCGACTACCCCGCTCTCAGCGAAACAGTCCGCAACGATGGCCCCTATGTTAATCGTGCCGGTCTATCTCGTAAGCACATCTTCGACGCGGTCGATGCCAGCGTCGAGCGTCTAGGCACATACATCGACGTGCTGCAGATCCACCGCCTGGACCGCGAGACACCCCGCGAGGAGATCATGAGGGCCCTTAACGATGTCGTTGAAAGTGGCAAGGTCCGCTACCTCGGCGCTAGTACGGTAAGTCTCGTTATCAATTTTTATTCAAATTATCAATAATATTCTAATCAACTTATAGATGGCTGCGTGGGAGTTCCAAACCCTGCAAAATATCGCCGCCCGCAATGGTTGGCACAAGTTCATTTCCATGCAAAACTACCATAATCTGATCGCCCGCGAAGAAGAGCGCGAGATGATTCCCTACTGCCTTGACAGTGGTGTTTCTCTGATTCCATGGTCTCCAATGGCGCGAGGCGTACTGACCCGGCCCTGGAACTCGCGGTCGACTGTTCGTGAAGGTAGCGATGCTACTCTTAAGGGAATTGTCCGCAATCGTGAAACAGAGGCCGACAAGGCTATTATTGAACGTGTTGAAGAGCTGGCGGGCAAGAAGGGTGTTAGCATGGCTCAGATTGCTCTTGCTTGGTCGCTCAGCCACCCTAGCGAGAGCCCTATTGTTGGCTTGAGCAGCATTAAGCGTATTGATGAAGCGGTAGCCAGTCTACAGGTTAAGTTGACACCTGAAGAGATCAAGTATCTGGAAGAACCCTATGTCCCAAAGGCTGCCTTTCCTATGTAATAAAGCAGGTTTGCTGTATGAAGGAATGAATCATTGGCTGCGCCAATTCAGCCTTGCATTAACCTGAAATGAAACGAAGTGATATGCAATCCACTTCAATCAATGTTTCTTGACTATTGAATTTTGCGGAAGATGGTTAGAAAGATAGACCATGGTTGAAGATATCCACTATAGATAGCCCTAGTAGACAGAGGTATAAGATGGAATTTTTAGTTATACAACATTACGATTAATATTCACCTCACCCGAATGAATCAAATGGGGATTTATTACAAATCTTTAATCTCTACAGATTGAGGATATACTTGAAACTTGAAACAATAGTATACACAAACCTCCCAATCTAATTTGACTTCTTTTTCACAATACCCCATCGCAGCTAACCTTGAACAGTAAATTCTCGAAGGGTTCAGTGCCTAATTGACCAATCAGCACGTTTTACGCATCCTTTTACATTTAATGTTAGAAGTGCGACTCAGCTCACGCGGCTTTACACTACCACTAGACGGAAGTTTGAAATGTCGGACACTAGTACCGACTACTGTACCAAGACCTACAGTTATCGATCCTCCGAACGCCCAATTAGAAGTATTCTGACTGTTTTGGTTGATAGTGCGAGATGGATCGACGACCCACTCTCAAGTTTCTATGGTGTTATTGGCTGGATATGAGAAACACGTATACAAATGTACAGCCTTTAAAATGGCCCCCAATTGACTTCGCCCCACACATACAAAGAGCCCTGAAGAGATGCGTATTGAAAATACCTACAAGGGTATGAAGTTCGTTTATTACCGTCTTCCTGTATATATAGTACCCCATGGCAAAAAGTAATGGTGTGGTGGGACGTCGAGACGCGTGTAAGGTGGTCAGTGGTCACCCCCGCAGGGCTGAGTCCACTCATCCTCCAAGGGTTTCACCGAGGTAATGAATACACTTAAATAGTAAATCAGTAGAAGTAAATCTCATAATTTCCTATCTCTGAGATATTCTACTCATCTCTTGAATCCTCTCATCAACCAGTGCCGCCGTTATGTCTTGGACTCAAGTCTCAGAACGCAGATATGAGCGCCCAATCAGTAAATATGAAATGTTCTTCCTTCTTCCAGAAGACGTTTCAGGCGCACTCTTCAATGGCCGTCGTACATACACCATCTTTAGCCGCCTTAAGGTTGACCTTGATCTGGGGGTCCCACCCCTCGAAATAGAGAATGCCCTACGACACGCCTGGAAGCAAGTACGCTATGAGCAGCCGTCGCTTGCAATGATCAGAGAAGAGTCAAAGAAGGTCTATGAAGTCCCTGACAAAGCCGCTTTACAGGCATGGCTTGATAGAACATTCATCGTATCGGATGATACCGACAGCGAATTGCCAGCTCGTGAAGCAAGGCCGATCGAGCAAGCCACCTTTTACTACTTCCCAAAGGTATCAGAGATTGTCTTCCGTGCTCCTCATTCCGTTATAGATGGTATGGGAACAATCTTATTTTGGGATACCTACCTGACTGCCCTGACCATTCCCAACCCGAATATTGCCTTCGGAGAGGAGGGTATCCGTCTGTTCCCTATAATAGACGAAATCCTGGGAATTCCCGAAACACCATCACCGGAAAGTGTAGAAAGAGCCGCACAGGGATTAAATGACTTCGCGAAGGTAGTGCCAGGCATTGGCCCCATAAGCCGAACGAACAAAGTACCTCCTACGCTTACGCAAAAGCGCGAATTGGTCCTTTCCGAAGAAATAACCAAAGCAATTATCCAGGGCTGCAAACGAAACGGGTACACGGTTACCGCAGCTGTGCATACTGCTATCATTTTGACGATGGCGAAATATGCCGATCCAACACAAACAACCAAAGACTCGAAATACGTTACAATCACAGCACAAAACTTTCGACCCAAGCTCCCTGCGCCATACAATTCCAGTAAATGCGCAATCTCACTGTACCTTTATGGTTGGCCACTCATCGTCGACGAACCAGTCACTTCCACCTTCCAGGAGATTGTGCAAATCGTTAGCAAACATTATAAGACGGTATTCAATGAGAATCCTGCAAATGTTATAGCAGGTGGTCCATTCTTTGACGCGATATTGGCTCTTGTGCAAGATCCGGCATTTTCTGCTGCGCCTCATCCCCGTGATCCTTTAGTAAATGGTCTTGGTGTTCTTGAGAATCATCTGCATCAAGAATATGATTCTGCAGATCGGCATGTCGCTGTCAACGATTTCAAATTTAGCTGTGATGGCACGATGGGATATAGTGGGATCCATTTCTATACATTCCATGACAAGTTGAGAGTGGTGTATGGTTTCAATGAGGCATTTGAGGATGAGTCTGATATCCAGATACACTTGGAGAATATACAGAAGGTTCTATTGGAGGAAGTTGTCGCATGATAATATAGATTATTATTTCTGGATAATCCTTTAGCTGTTACATTGAATGTAGTATGGATCTTTGCCCAGGTGCCAGGTGCGGTCTGGGATATATAACACTTAGTACCTCACGGACTCGGAATTTCATAAAACTCTTCCACGGCTAGTGAAAAACAAATTGTGAAATCTTCCTGCAAAGAGAAAAGCAAAAAGGTTCAGCTGGTGAGACAAGGCTGTTGAAATCGCCCCCAAGCAGCCATTCCAAGGTTCGCACCCCTAACTGTATCTAGCTTCGCGTAGTCTTCCGGTCCCGCAGATGAAGAGTAGCAAATCATGAATATGATGACTCTTGATACCATTCGATTTGTTTCAAGTTTGATTAGAGCATAACAAGAAAACGGCCGATTGGAACTATGTAAACCATCAAATTCAATTGACTTCGCGGGCCGAGGATCCTCGCTTCCGACGAACCTGTACCCCAGAGTCTATCATCCTATCAGCGGCGCTCGGAATCGCGGGATCACACTATACATCCATCAAACCTTGAAAGGATAGTGCGTCCTCCTCATTGTCAAAGTTACCATGTCTAACGCTGCCTATGAGATGAAACCACCAGTTAACCAAGATCGCACTACGATCTCATTGAAGCAGAGCACCACCCACATACCGCATGCAGCTCAAGTTGACATTGAGTCTGGTCAAATTGCAGTTCTAATCTGATTAACCGTGGCCTTTGTCCCCGTAGTCTAAAAGCAAAAGTACAAGTATAAAATCACATTTGTCTCTTAATCAAATCAACCTAGTCAGATCTGATTTAGAAACCATTTATACCCCATTATCCCAATCTAACTCAATGATTCTACTCTATTTCAACTTTAAGTATACACTATAATAACTTTGAAAAATGCGTCTTTCAACTATCCTACAGAGCTTAATGCTCCTTATCTCCTGCCTCATTATGATATTATCACTATCCCTATCACTATCTCTATCACAGAAACCGAACCTACTCAACACCAACGGCTTGCCCAGCCTCGCTTCGGCCTTTGGTCCCAAGCCCGAAGCCATATACGACGGCGACTACGGTACAGGCGAGATAAAGCTCCGTATCGGCAATGGTGGTGCAGGCCAAAGTGGTTTAATAAAAGGTAAACAATACATACCATCACTATATCCATTGTAATTATTCAAACATCATTTTCGATCCAATTTCCAACGCAATTGATCTACAAGAAATGACAAAACAAAAACTAACTTGAACATTGGGATCTAGTCCTTGCCAACGCATTCATAAAAGCACCCGTAACAAACGGCTCTTCCCCCTTCAAAATAGCCTGGTACAAAAGCGACACAATCCAATCAATAAGCTACCTAAAAGACAACACAGTCGATATAGGAATAACCTACACGCCCGCCGCAGAATCCATAGCGATAAATCGAGGCATAGCAAAAGCACCACCCTACTATGCCTTCCGTGACAGGTTCATATTAGTAGGCCCACAGCCTAACCCCGCAAATCTCTCCGAATCGCAAGATATACTCTCAATGTTCGCGAGTATTTTTCCACAGCCGAAGAAGGGAAAACGTCCACACCTGTACGGTTTCTGGCGCGGTACGATAAGTCCGCCACTAATATTAAGGATTCCCAGCTTTGGATTAGTATCGGGCAGGTTCCGTGGGCAACGGCTTATTCAACGTGGTATCATCAGTATATTGCTTATCCTGTTCAGGCGCTCAAGGCGGCGATTCTGTTAGGTGAGTATACGCTTACGGATCGGGGGACGTTGATTTCTATTGATGAGGGGCTTAGGAGGACTTTGAGGGTTTATAAGGTTGGGAGCGATGAGAAGGATGATTTGTTGTTGAATCCGGCGCATGTGCTTGTGGGCAGGGATGTTGTTAATGGGTAGTTGGCGGGGAGGTTTGCGGAGTGGGTTATTTCGGAGGAGGGGCAGGGGAATGTTACTTCTTTTATTAAGTTTGGGAAGCAGCTTTATCATGCTGCGCCTGATAATAAGACTGCCCTGTTCTAGTTTTAAGTGCTGGGTGTGCTGGCTGGATGGATAGGACGATTGTTTGATTTGTTTTACCTGATTGGTGGGTTATGGAATACTTGATTCGATCTTTATAGTTTTCGATTACTTCTTGTGTAATACAAGGAAGCTTGTCTACATTTTAGGAAGTATGAAATGCGAAGAATGGAATTTCAAGGTTTTTAATCGTACAAATTACGAATAGAGATGAAAAGGTTCATCATCAACAGGACATTTTTGCCATTGAAAGGTGATCGCTACATATTGTGAAGTATTGATACAAGCTATCGAGGGAGGAATCGCCCTACGGGCTTCATTCCATGTTGAAGTAAAGGTTGCCTGTAACTTCCCAGCAGTTTGGCACGTATCAAAGAGTGCCTGTAGGGCGGGCGTAGAAGAAAATGGAATATGAGGGTGAGAGTGACTGAGTTGAGATGAAAGCAAATGCTGCGTACCGGACGAGCTGTGGTTCCGGGAGATAGATAGGGAGAACGCCGTGATAAATGCAAAGATGCAAGGGAAATGTTATGAAAGAGATCGCTGATAGAATGCCGGGGTATAATGTGCGTTAAGATAGGGAGCTCAATGGGTCACTCCTTGCTTTCGGTGGAAAATATTGAACATTGAACTGAAACGATGGCGCTTGCCTTTGCCTTCACGGGCAGGCGCGATTTCAGGCTCTTTATTATAGTCCTTCTCCAAGTCATGATGAGAGTTTTGGTATGAAGAGAGCGTCTGGTCGGCCATTGTAGGGGGCTTGGGGTTTGCGGTAGCCGGTTTTATTTTGGAATTGCGCTTAGACTGGGTGGGGGTTGGAGCATCTTGGTGCTCTACTGAATTTCGCCGGGTTGAAGCGGGTCGAGAAACAACGCCTCCGTTTTCGCCAGTGTTGGTAAACATGCTATGGCGGTTAAAGCGATGACTGGTCGATGAAGTGCTTCGTTGTCTGACTCGGTCCATGAAAGCGGCACCCGTAGAGTTTGAGCGTTTGTTGAGGCTTCCGAAAGATTTACCACCATCGACAGGTGACATAGTGCTGGCACGACGCATGCTGGAAACTGACACGCAGCGCTTGCCGCCGTTGGCCACGTCTTTCAATTCGTCTAACTTGTCGCGATCAGTGGGGCTGGTGTTCTCACTGTTGGCAGTCGAAGTGGCGACCTTGGTAGTTGCTGGAGAGGCCACGCTCTTGGTGGGGGATGCAATTTGATCGGCATAAGTGAAGTTTTGGGACCAACCTTCGCGGAACGCAACCCAAACACTAGTGACGATAATCAACGTACGAAGTTCATCGTCAATCTTGATAATGTTGGCGTTCGGGTTTGCATCCAGAGCTACCTCATTTTCGGACAAATCACTGATCACCGACATGTTGGAGCTCGGGGTAGTGGGGCCGGTTCCGGATCTGACTAGGGCGGAATAGTGATCAAAAACTTCGAGCTGATTACGCGTCATTGAGGCGATGACCGGGTGCTGGCGAGTGGTGGGGTCAATAACACTGAATGTGAATCGCTTGCCGTCTTCGCGAGGCTCGGAGCTAGGCTGGGCAGAATATCTGCGATTTTTGCCAGCGCGCAAAGCCCATCGCATAACTTGGGTGCCAGTTCCTGTGCGCGCGACAAATTCGTAGGAGCCACTTGGGAGCGGCGTAGCCTCCCACACTGGTCCGAAGTTCAGACAAATCTCAGCTTTGCCTTTCTGGAGCGCATCCTCTTGGAGGATCTGGCAAATCGTCGCTATCACTTCGCGGTGATCGTGGTCATCTACCTCCGCATTTGCCGATTTCTGCGAGGCAAGCTCATATAGCTCACTCATGACGATGATCAAGTCATTGGGACCGAGACCATTCTTGCCACGAAACATCGCCGGGAACTTGCGAGCCAGTCGAGGTCGGTACAGAGTTGACGGTAGGACGTCGAGGGCGGGGAGGGGGCGAGGTGTGTTAGAGATCTGCTGAAGCTGCAGAAGAAGCTTCGGCCGAAGCTTGAGTCGCTTGTGGCGCGCATGAGAAGCTGGGTGTGCGATCTGGTATGAGGTCTTCTTTCGAGCGGCTTTGCGGACAGAAGTCGCCTTCGCGGTGGTGTTGGTTGTATCGACGCGGGCCACGGTAGGTCTAGGTGGAGCTGGTGTTACTGCCTGCGATGAGGACGAAGGCTGGCCCTGAACAGGGTCAGAGACGACGGGGCTCATGGCCACAGCTATATTTGATTCCGTAGACTGGGCAGTAGCATCGGCCTGTTTGGGTTTCGAATACAAACCACCTAGGAGGGGCAAAGACACCAAAGAGAAAGCTGAAGAATAGGATGGTGAAGATGGCGCCGGTGGCGTTTCTAGCTGGGCGCTAGGATCGGGGTTATGGGCAGCTGCGGCATCCGCTGTAAGACCAAGATTTAGCAACATTCTTGGACTCTAGCGGAGCCACATCAACCTCTGGAATACCAGCCCCGCAAAAATTGAGGTGGTTGTGTAGGACGGTGAGGTATCCAGTGACGCAGTGACGCACTCAAAACCACCCACGCGTCCAGTGCGGGGATCAAATTGACCAGCAGGAAAAAAGCAGACTTAGCGGGAAGCTAGGAAGTGGGGATAATAGTCGGTCGAGATTTCAAGGAAAAAGACGGTGTGATGAGGGAATGAAGAAAAGAGATGGTGGGATCAGAGAAAGTGAGTAAAAAGGCATCAACAATAAAAGCGATGCAGTGGGAAAAAGAAAGGCAGACCTGCAAGGGGCCGCAGCAGGAGGAAAGGGGGAATGAGAGTTAGATATGATGGAAGGAACTAACACACATGAAGAACCTGTAATTCTCCACGAAATGAGAAAAATCACGAGAAAAATCACGGTCAGACCTAGTCAGCCTTATACAAAGCTGATCCAAATGATCCAAGTGATCCCGCGAGTTTAAAAGTGGATCTCAAGTTCTGCTGTGTGTGTGAACACGGGATCGGCCATTTGCAAGCTCCGACGACATCCGGATCCCGGACGATCACTCCTCGGTCAATACACTTTCGCTGTTCCGTCCCCGTTCAGAAGACTACGGACTACAGACTACAGACTAAAGACTCCGGCAAATACCGAAGATTATTTAAAACAGAAGAACTATACCTGACACAGTTCCAAGATAGACAGATCCATGTCGACGTAACTACATGTGGTATACACTTTATGAATGATGATCTCATCTCATTACTAAACAGGGCAAACTCTCCAGGGCTATTTGGACCCATAAGAAAGAAAGAAAGAAAGGGCCTAGGTTATGGAGTGTACCAAACAGTGAATTTTTGAATGTCAAGGTTTCCACGTTAACTCCAGGCCTGTGTTCACTCGTATTCCGCTGGGAAGGACTCGATCCTACCCCGTCATACTCTCATTTCCTTTTTTTTTTTGCTCTAGTTTGCTTGTTTTCCAGACAAAGAACCCATCTTTCCTTTCAAATGTTTACGCCATTCAAATCTCTTTGGTGGGCTGCACAGGCATTCGGAGCGGAGCAACTCGTGGACTCCAGCGCCCCGGTGGGAATCGGCTTAATGTACCGCAGGACCCACCTATTCCTATTTTTCACTAATCAGAGAACTCTATTTGGCGCATTTTATGCCGAGGCGTACACTAACTACAAATTTTGTCAGTTTCTTCAATGAACCGCCAAGATCAGCTTCCAGGGATTGCTCAGGCGACCAGCTTTTCGGGAACAACTGTGCGCCCATCGACGTCAGCCTCATTTGGGGCCAAAGAGTTCAGGAGAGTCCGCTGAACACTACCCACAAAATGTACTAATATAGGACTGCTCGCAGAATCATCTATAAACGGTGCAAATCCTTTCATATCCAGATCTATAAGGCTCAGTGGGTTAGATCCAAAATCTGACTGGCAGGTGATCACTTGCCAAGAAGGGGATGATCGGTCACGACCAGGTACGGTTCTTGCCCCGAGCTCCATAACTATAGAAATTGTGGATCTTGCATATTTTGCATATTTCACGCATTGAATTTTAATATTAAAAAATATTACATGTTTATTCATCTTCATATTGATCCATAATCTGTTTGCTCATGTCGAGTTGTGTGTCGCATTTGCCACCCTGAACACCGAATACCGAGTACCTGCATAACACCGTTAAAACCGACCGTCTTTAACATTCATCAAAACTCCAAGACTACTAGTAGCTTGAATACTCTAATATAACTTGATTTACGTTGCAGTTTAATTTCATTTCTACAGGATACAATAGAGACGGGCCCAGACAGCCTTGAATATTCCCCACAAATGCACATCGAACGATACCGATTGAATGGTGCAGTTCAGTATACCAGATCTGAAAGCAATGCTAGCTTTCACTTAGGCTATCAGGTCTTAGCGCCTCAGGCCCATAAGAAATAACATAGACGAACCCTTATGAGGCTCACATACATGCAGTCATGTCATAATTTGATTGGCTAGTGGAATAGACAGCTCATGCAAACGTACCTGAAGTACCCTGTACTATGTTACCCCGCCCAAGATCCTCATCTGTATCCCCATTCTCATCTTTATCAACATCATCAAAATTTTACACTTACTTATGAAGTACAGTGCTCAAAATGACTGACAGCGATCTATTTTCTTGTGCAGAGCCAGATTGCACAAAAGAAGGTAAACATGCGTGCAGTAACTGCGGTCTTGTCTCTGTAAGGCCAACCCAACCACATCAAACCCCCTACTAAAAATGAAAATACTAATGAAACTGGAAGTACTGCAAAAAAAGCTGCCAAGTGGCCCACTGGCCAGAGCATAAGAAGGACTGCAGATCACCCATGATGAAAGCCGATTGGCATCCTCGTTGGGAAAGAGAAGATAGTTCACCAGCATTCGCAAGCCCACCACTCGCACATAACCCGCATAACCCCTTTGGTGAAGACAAATGGCTATGGGGAAACGTCCCAGCCGTTGATATTCTGAAGTTAGTCGATAATGAAGGCGAGAACTATTCTGAAAATATTGCGATATTATTTGCAGGTGAGTTACGATTCCACAAATGAGGTATTCCTACTCACAACATCAAGCATCGGGCGACCTACGCAATGTGGTGAAAACTATCTCCCAGCTTCCCGACGCCTTTACGCAACACCTTGAAGTAACTATCAATGACCAAGAATTCCACGTCGTTGCAAGAAATGCGATAATATTACTTTTCATTCTCACAATGCTGGAGGATAAGGATGCACCGGTTGGTGGTTCCAAGGCTACCGACTCTTTGATTCACCTGTGGTACTCTGCTTCACTGCCAAATGGCATCATCTCGGACATAGCATCGCGTGTCCATCCTTTAATCATTGAAGTCTGCTGCGGAGTATCCGATATGGCTGCCGAGGAAGTAGTTGAGAAAACATGGATATTTTCACACGGAAACAGTCTACATCTAAGTCTCAAGAAAGAAGACTGGTTCCGAATGCAGGCACTCTGTCGTGTCCCTCCAGATCTAACAAAAGATAAAGCCTCAAAAATCCGCACTGCTACCACACTCGCTGATGCCAGGCGTGATTTTCGAGATCGATGGGCCTTCAAAGAAGCTTCCCCTTCGGCCCGTGTATCAAAACAAAAGTTTCGCGAGGACGGACTTCTTCTTCCATTTGCTCACAACAGAGCTGGTTTCGATATTCCAAATCCGTAAGTCCCTTGTTCTTATACTAGTACTACTGATACATTGATTTATGTTAATGGCGATGTGACAGTACCTTCTTTTTGCGACCGTTTTCCTGGCCGTTGGACGATAAAAGAGATCCCATGGATGGCTGGTCAATAATTGAAGTTTATGGAGTTAAGACTGTCGCGAAGGAAGATATTTATGGGAAACTCTACCTATATCTTCAATCTGTCTTTCGAAAATTCCTGGATCGTCTATCAGCGGCCAATGTGAGCTTTCAGTTGCTCAATATGAATGCAGTCAAACTACCTGAGGTTCTCCAAGAAAACAAATATACCAGGATAGAGGTACCACGAAAACACCGGGGCACCTATTTGAATAGGAGATGGACTAATGTAATTATCTAGGTCTCAAACATCACCGACGGTACATACCTGGGAACGCGCCAAACACTTAACATAATGTCTCAATTGTTACAGCCGACACACAAAAACTCCCATGCCATTATTATCGCATCATATCTGAATGCCGTTATGGAAATGGTGACCCAAGGCAGCGAGACGGACAAAGTGCCAGACATAGATTTACTGGTAACGCATTTTCCTAAGTTGAACCTGCTCTCCTTTTTACAACCAGAAAGTGCCGATGCTCTTAGAATCTGGGATGCACGCACAGTTGTCCTCGACCGTGACAAGTTCTTTGAGAGGTAGGAACATTCTAAACCGGTGAACATCTTACATGGCGATCTGACTTTTTGATTAGATACATGAGACGCCTTAAGTTTGCTCAAATAGCCAGAGATTCTAATGTTGAAATGAAGACTTCCAATACGGTCGTTAAGGCATGGCCTACGAAACCCACTCTGAAACCAGGGCAGACCGGGGCTCAGGTGCAATTTGATTTACTTTTAGGCTCAAACTACTCTTGTGTTGAACGGTTTGTGGAATGGGGAAGAACGAAATAGGAACAGGAAGCTTTGACGCCAGTGGTTTGCGTAATCTTGACTGATACTGCTGTGGAGAATGAAGGAAATTCTGCAGGATTGACCGGGCATACTTGCGTACTTCGAATAATCCAAGTGCTAAGAATTTACATAATTTAAACGCAGTAACTATAGACCGACATTCCCAATTTACGGTTTACTAGGCCCTGTTTCAATTAATATTCTTAAAGCTCGGATCAAACCGGACAATTCCAGACCCACAACCAAAGTAAAGAAAGTGAATAAAGTAAATAAACTATCTTTGATCATCATGGACGTGCGAGTGCGTTATTTTCGGTCTTTGTACTTGATCCGATGTACCCGCTGACAAATCATGCACGACCCCTTTACATAACATTAATGCAATTATGTACCCGCAAGCTGTTAACATCGTGCCTCGGTTGATTTGATCAATTCCCCAGCGATTTCATTTGATTCTCTTTGCTTGAGTGACCCGCCAAGGCCCAAGCTCTCCTAATCGGTATTGGTGAGATATTCACGTCATTTCTTTCATGAACCTGTTATGACAGCTGGAACCCCTGCAGCCTTGCTCCGGCTGGAAAATCCCATCCGGAGCTTAACAAATGCCTTCTGGCTGTGGAAAGCACTTTTGTTTATTGTTGTTACTGCCTGTCCTGGGCCAGGTTATGATACATCTACGACTTTAATTCCCTATGAGGGCGCGGATATCTCTACATCACTTCCATGGCCATTGAAGCTGGCGCGATGGGATGCGGTCTATTTTCTTCATATTGCCGAAAATGGATATGTTTTTGAACAGGAATGGGCCTTTAGTTATCCAAGGGTGCTTGGTTTCTTTGCTTCTGGTATGTTATCGTTCATAACATGGATACTACATATAGAGTGAACGTTCAACTGATTCTTCATAGGCATTCGTAAGTCTGGTGGACAAGGGGGACCGGTTCCAATAGCTTTGATTGGAGTGGTTTTGTCCCACGTCACCCATTATTTGTCCGTTCTGGCACTATATCGACTTTCAGCCAACATCTTCGGCCACACAACTGTCACACAGAGATTGATTTGTTTTTTGTCATCTGCTCTTCATATCATCTGCCCGGCAGGTGCTTTTCTTTCGGCCCCCTATGGAGAGTCACTTTTCTCCTTTCTTAATATATCAGGGTTCTACCTGTACTCGTCGTCTCTGATTTCAGAGCGCAATGATGCCTCAACCCTGCGAGACCTGCAGGTTCTTCTTTCTGGAGGGCTGTTTGGAATTGCGACGTTAGTCCGCAGTAATGGTATACTGAGTGGGGTGCTCTTCGCATATGATGCCATTCTTCTAGCATGGGATATCTTAACGCAAGGTCTGTCCCATCACAAGATCCGCCGACTTGTCATTATCGGATTGGGTGGTATCTGTGTGGCACTGGGAATGATCGTGCCTCAAATTCAGGCTTACCACACATACTGCATGGGCGAACTGGATCGCCCCTGGTGTGGTTGGACGATGCCCAGTATATATACCTGGGTTCAAGGACACTACTGGTAAGACACATCGCTCATGTTCATGGACGTACTTTTTTTTGGGGTTTTGGCCCCAGCCACTGACGCGATTTAGGAATGTGGGGTTTCTTCGTTATTGGACCGTTTCCAATATTCCTCTTTTCATCCTAGCTTCACCGATCTTGTTTATCCTGTGTAAATCATCTTTCTGGGCTATCCGGGCGCCTTCCACCTTGCGCTCCGAATCAGGGAATCAGGTGTCTTCGCCGCTTAGCCCGGGCTCCATGCTTTGTCGCCTTGCTGTGACTCAGGGTTTACTTGCCGTGTTGGCGCTAACAAGCTATCACATTCAGATCGTTAATCGAATCTGTTCAGGATACCCGTTATGGTATTGGTATCTGGTATCTATTGGTCTAGAAGGTTTACAGGATCCTCGCAAGAACCACCGGAGCTTGGCGCTTGCTGCGCAAGCCATGGCGGCCTATGCACTGATCCAAGGGGTTCTTTACGGTTCCTTCTTACCCCCAGCGTAAAGAGTTGCATACTATACATGCACATGCAAGTTTGAAAAAAAATCAATTGTTAATCCAAATCCAACGACATATCCAAGCCAATATTCCCATAGTTATCGGAGTATTTGGGTGAGTTTCTCCGCTTTTTCGTACCTCGTACCCGAAGGCGACCGGTTGCGTAAGGCAGGTGTCTGCCTAAGAATGAGTTTACCATATTATCCCCTGTTAGCGCCCGGGAAACTTCGTTCGCACAGTTATATTAATCTTCAAAAGAGACAAAGAAAGAAAGAAATAAGCAATAAGAACCGGTGAGGTCATCATCTATCTTCTGGCCCCCAAATACCATCCTTCCGTGGAGAATAGAGTGAGAGATCGGTCTTCTTCTACCTAAAAGAGCTGCAGCGGCCAAAGCTCGAACTTTTACGTGGAATTATGTCATCCGTCTGCTGCTGAGGGAAACTCTCCTTTGAAACCATCGTTTCTTTTCCTCAACCAAAGACACATCAAGAAGTTCTGGACGGGGTCAACTTAATTGCTGACTTCTTTTGATCCTTTTTGAAAGACACCGGTCTTTCAATCCTGCTAGAGCCCCAAAGCTTCGCACGGTCGCCCGATTCGACGCAAGTACCTCATGCGAACCAGGCCGTGTGCAACGCATCCACCGGTTTTAAACACCCACCCCATTTGGAGAGAGACACTGTCAGTTTTATGGTAAACGTACATCTCCCAAAGACCTGTGAATGGTGGCAAATTTTCCGAAAAAAGAGAAACCAAGACACAAAATGAAACTATTCGTGAGAGGGTCGATGTCACTGACGTACCGAACTTAGTTGAATTAGAGCCCTGTCTGACGTCTTCGCCAACTCCTCCGGCCCCATCTCCACCTTCGTGTTGCTTGTCCTCCCACCTTCTCCTCCCCTCACATGCGATTATGGACGCCTCAGCACCCAAGGCAATTCTCACATCCGATAATTTTCCCCATGCACAGGAGATTTCGCGGGCCACCTCCCCAGGTGGTGAGCCCGCCGCGGTAAACGGGGACGGCGAGCCCAAGGCCCGCGTCCGACCGCGCACCTATCCTTATTTCTCATATCTCCCATACCAACTAGAAGATGAAACAGAGCGGAATCGGACCCTGCGAGAAATTCTGAACCACCTCTATGTCTCAGTGGAGGCTGGAGACTTCAGCCCGGGAGCTGTACACTGGACACGCGAGCTCAGAGGATGGCTATCTCTGAAGTTCGATCCGACTCGAAAGGAAAGAATCAATCTCGTGAAGCTCTATTACGAACTCTCCTTAGCTCCTGGGATCGATCCGAGTACTGCGGAGCGATTCGCGAGCATGTTCATGCTTCTCACCAAGTAAGCTCGGTCTTGGCCTTGGCCTTGTTATCTTTAGGACATTATTGGAACAAATCAATTGCTAACTGCAACATAGGCGCAAGCACTACCTTAGACCCGTGAAAGATCTAACTCTGGATTGGAAATCATTATACAAGGAAGTGAAGGCTTTTGTTCTCCCAACCGAGTCTGGTCTGGTCCACTCGACCAACCTGAAGCGCAACGTGAAGACATTAACTAAGCTTTGCGCATTTGCTCAACTATTCATTGACCCTTGCGAGGTGCCTGCAATGCTTGAGGAGTTCCTACCTCACTACACCACTTCATTCTCAGAAGGTGCCTTTGTCGTCGCGGGGTTGATTAATTTGATGCTACCAACATCACCTCCTCCAGCCGATCGTGGTGACCTTCTTCCTCAGAATTATTTGCCAACGCATTTCCATATGTGGTCGTTGGTGGGTCGCTCGAAGACATTTGATACAACATATCTGGACTACCTCTCCCGGCTAGCTCGAGACTCGCTGCCAGCCGGTCATATCCCATTCTCAGAGAATGGTATTTTCACCACTGAACAGTCCGCCCTTATCTTCACCGCTGTACTCAGACTGCTAGAGATTCCCGTAGGACAATCTACTTCACCCTATAGTGCGTTGGTGGATATCTCTTCTGGACTGGGCATTATGCTTGATCGCGATACCCGAAAGCACCCCGTTGCGCATCACATCGCTCGATGGATAGTAATGTCTCTCTCTCCTGCATGCCTGGAGTCGGAAGATTCGATTCTCAGCCAGCTTGAAGGTCTCATTCAAGCTGTTGAGACGTTCTTTCATCCTTCCAACTCAGGCAGCTGGACGAAGACCCTATCACAGTTAGTTTACTACCTTACCGATTTCTTCGTGATGCGATGGAATCGGGAGCAGAGTGGAGAAATGGAAATTCCAGCTGAGCGACGACTGAACGAGCCATTGAAACGCCGCTTCGTTTTGTGTTTGCGAGACGTAATTTTCATGGGTATCTACGCTAAGAGCAGCACTGCCATGACTTTCTCTTTATCGACCCTCCAAGGTCTTGCATACCTGGAGCCGCATCTCATTCTTCCTGGTGCTCTGCAGAGAATTTACCCATCCCTGCAAGGCCTGGTTGAGGTCCACAGAACTACTTCGTCCCTACGCGCCATGCAAGTATTGTCCCGGGTTATTACACGTACAAAGGGCTACCGTTGCCACATGACGACTCTTCTAGGCCTCGCTTTGCCAGGAATAGATGCTAATGACCTTGAAAAATCACTTCATGCTCTTTCGTTTATTCAATCTGCATGTTATAATATTCCAATGATTGACCTGACCCAGGGGAGAGAAGATATCAATTGCAACATGCTTGCCGTGCAGTGGATTACCGGCGAGATGGAGAGAATGGAGGAAGAAGGGGCCGATGTGGAGTTGAATTACGAGAGGGATCTAGACGATGAGACAGAAGAAATGATTCTCCGCTCCTCTACATGCGGCTTTGGTGACTTCACAATTTCATTCCTCGGGCGGGTTTTCACCCTGCTAGAGAACCTCCCAGATGTCACCAGGGTGCGGAATGGCTCACCGGAAGAGAACATTGTCAACACGCTTCCTGCCACTTTCATGCCACTCCTTGCATCTCTATCCCCAGAGTACTACGATATTGCACTCGGAAAGATTGTTGATTTTGTATCCAATCACGTCATTCACCAAGCACGAGATGCTATGGCCTTCATTTGCAACGCCCTCTGCAAGGTCAATCCGGAGAAGGCTCTCAAGCGCTTCATCCCTGTTCTGACCCAAGCAATTCGCACCGAGATTGAAGAGAATGGCGCCGGCTCTACCCGAACTACTGGCACTGATGTTCTTCCTCGTGACCGTGGATTAGTCTGGAATGTCAGTATGCTGAGTATGTGTGTGGTTCATGTCGGCGACGCCGTACTTGCTCATCGCCAAGAGCTCTTCGATATCGCAGTGTACATGCAACAGATGTGTCGGGGAATCCCAACTGTCCATATCTCCAACTATATCCACCACCTTTTGCTGAACCTCACTGGAACTTATACTAGAGACTACACTATGTATGAGCCGGCTGATATTGAAGGTGGCATTCAGCCTGACCACTGGAGCTACAGACTCGATGTTAATAAGCTCAACATCCGCTGGCATGTGCCCAAGAGGGAAGAGCTGGTGTTCGCTGTTGAGGTCTTTAAGAGTCAGGCTGAATCTGCATTGAAACATCTTTCTGGCTTGACAAATGAAACATCTAGCATCAAACGCGATGGCAGTGGTAAGGATTGGTCTGATGAAGTTACTCGCAATCTTGTTCTTCTGCGACTTCTTCTTTCCGGTATCTCGGTGCTCTTTGACCCTAAGGCTGCAGCGAAAACATCACCGGAATACTCCAATGGCGTATCGGTTGTCTCCAAGGAGCTCGAGATGGCCGATGACCCATCCATTTCAAATGGGGCAGGGGATGAATCTGATGCACTCCTCGACAGTTCAGATGAAGCTTCCGTCAAAGAAAGCTTCGCTTATCCAACTGGATATCCTCTCCAAGAGGGTGATGACCTTTACAATACAATTCACGAGATCCGAGAACGATCTGGCTGGGTCCTGCACGTGGTGCACCGATTCTTGAGCGATAAGCAGGAGGACGATGTACCATGTTTTGGTGCACTTTACTCCGCTTTCCGATCTTGGTTCGTGGATGTTGGTATTGAGCGATCGGCTCATGTTCTTGACCGCGTGACACGACTTCTCGCCGCGGACATCCACCCATACAAGATGAGCGGAATCAGAAAGGACTACCCGAGAGCACTTCTCGTCCGGAGGGCTAATGTCTATCACTTGCAACGTCTACGTCACAACGCTGCCCCACGGTCGCGCTCTAAGCTCGATGAAATCCTTCTCTTTGATCTTGCCGAGTCCTGCGTGTCCACCTATACTGAGACGCGGCGAAATGCCCAGAATGCTGGCGAGTCAGCTCTCAAAGCTGTCTGGGGTGCACGATCTCTCATTATCCCCCCTCTTCTGAATGCGCTACAAACTGGTGTCAAGGAGAACGATCATGCTCGTATTAAGGGAGCTTTGTTCTCGTTACTGTTGAGCAGTGTTGCAAAGACTGCTGGGCGGAACTGGAAATATACACCTAATATAATTCGAACTTTCCTTGACGCCAGCGCTGTTGATAAGCCATCTGTTCAAAAGATTTGCTCTACTGCTGTGTTCCAAATAATGGATTACGGTCGCTCCATGGAAAGAATGGCCATTCTGGACCAGGAGATCGTGGAGGCAATCGCTCCTATTGCAGACGTCACTGAAGAGATTGAACAGAAACGTGCAGCCATCAACAAGAAGCGTGCTCTGATCGAGAAGAGGAAGGCGTCCCTTGCTGAGGAACTGGTCGACTTGGCTAGAGTCTCTCACTGGAAGATTGCCAGTCGTGCTGCGACCATCGTTGTCACCATGGGCTTACGATTTGATTATGTTGCGAGCGAAAACTTGATCAATCTGGTTGCCTCGGGTTCTATTGATGACCACCCAGGTCTCCGTGGAATGTATTCCCAGGCACTGATTGCTCTGTTCACCATGATCGATGTTCGCGCCATCTGCGGCCACGAATACAAGAACTACATTCTTGGTCACCAGCGTTTCCCTGCTAAGATCAAGGTGGCAACTCGACCTTATGAGAAGGAATGGACTCAGGAGTACCTGTCCAGCTTTGCCAAGCCTGAAGCTGAGTACTACGTTGACCATGATTTCCCTGGTTGGCTTGTATGGGGCAAAACAATGCCCGCGTACAAATCTAATGTTGCACGCGACATCGAGTACGACGAAGTGGAATGGAAAGTGCGAACCCACATGGGTAAATTGTTCACCCGTGAATGGTTCTCAAAGTTCTTCATGTACTTGAAGCAAGAGCCCAGGGATCCCTCTGCTGACAAATTCCGCATGTCATCTGCCATGATGCTTCTCTATGCCTTCGAGCTTATGCTTCGTGATGGTCTTACAACGGCTACTTTCAAGGAGATTCAGCAGGAAATTCAGCTTGTTTACGAGGATGGCAGTGATAAACACCAACATCGTGCGACTGCAGAGATTCTTGGTGCGTTGATTAGCTCTGTGACAGATAGTAGTGTTGACAAACGGACACTGGTCTGGGAATATGCTTTCCCTATTGTCAGGAAGATCTTTACCGATGGTCTCACTCCTGAGAACTCTGGATACTGGACTACATTCCTTCACATGATTCTACAATGCCGCGATCCTCGACGCGCTTGGCCTCTGGTTGACTGGCTGGCAAGCTTCCGCTTGGATATGACAACAAATGCTGCCTTCAAGGAAAGCTCCAAAATTAACCTCTTGCATCAATGTATTATTGATGCCGGCTGGCACTTCCAACTTGATCAGCCAATTACGGAAGATTTCCTGTCACACCTCGACCACCCCTACAAGGGCGTGCGAGAGGCTATGGGACAGACACTTGCAACAATCTACCGTACGAGATACCACGAGTCATACCCCGATCTAAAGCATCTATTGGACGCCCAAAAAGCTTCTTCGTCCGTTGGTAGCTATCCTTATGCTCCTTCAGATGAGTTCTCAGCCACAATCCGTGGAATCTTCAGCCGCATTGAAGAGTGGCGACATGCCAGAACTCCAGGCCAACAGACACCTTCTTCATACACCTCTGGTAGCAAAACGGTGCTTCTATGGCTGGATTCGACCCTGTCCTCTCACGAGTGTACTCAGCTGGTTCCATTCTTCCCTGATGTGTTCACTGCTCAGCTTCTGCACATGATGGACGTAAAGGAAGATCCCGAGCTCCAGTCTCTTGCATACCACGTCTTCCGCCATCTCCCTAACATCCCCTACCCTGCCGAGAAGAGCTCCGAATTCATTCAGTCACTCATCCGTATCGGTCAAACATCTCCATCATGGCATCAACGTCTGCGCGTCATGATCAACATCCAGATCATCTACTTCCGCCGACTCTTCCTCTTGGCCTCTGCCGATCGTGATAAGCTTTTCGAGTGCATCGCATCCATGCTAGAGGATCCGCAGCACGAAGTCCGCGCCGGTGCATCCGCCACTTTATCCGGAATGATCCGTTGCTCTCCCGTTTTCCTTCGGGACAAGATGGTTGCGCGCTTCCAAGAGCGATTCACAAAGCTCCTTGCAGAAAACCCTCTCCCCAAGAAGCCAAAGAACTTTCGTTCTGGTCTCTCGTCGGCCGTTTCTTCAGGCGCTGGTACCCCAACACCCGAACACAACCGACTTATTATCGTTCGACATGCTGCAGTTCTCGGTCTTGGTGCCCTTATCCAAGCATTCCCCTACAACAGCCCTCCACCACTCTGGATGCCAGAAGCGTTAACTACGCTCAGCATTCGCGCTGCTCATGATCCAGGTGTTGTGGGCTCAAGCGTGAAATCGATTATCAGTGAATTCAAGAAGACCCGACAAGATACCTGGCACATTGATGCAAAGGTGAGTTACACATGTTCCACTCCGCGCTCTATCGTAATCACAGTTACTAATGAACGTTATAGGCTTTCACTTCAGATCAGCTGGAAGATCTCTCCGGTGTTCTATGGAAGAGTTACTTCGCGTAAAGCAGATAATTGCCTATGCGATAAGTATACCCATGGCATGAAAGTTTCTAACCCCTTTGATCATTTCATGGTGGGGCCATGTGTTACTCTATTTCCATCTGGACGAACCCATCCAAATCGGAGTTTCCGAGTTTCTTTTCCGTCTTCGTGTCCACGTCTGTGTTGTACATACCTGGATCGCCTTATTAAAATAAATTCAAATTATTCTCGAGATAAATTCTCTTTATGGTATATGATGTCTTTCGACAGGGCATAGCGGCACCTGGGCTAGTTATTGTAATTAGATAAAATGCTGGTTAAGGCTCAAATTGGCATCGAAATTTCCGAATTGGGACTAAATAAACATCCGTCTCTAACCCTGGACGTAGTCTTGGAAATATGGTTGCTATGCCGCGTCGTAAATAATAACTTTCGATGTATTGATTTACCTGTATAAACAATTTTAGTACATACCACATACGATATATTTTCAAATGCTGTTGATGCACAGTGCTGGTTATGTTCAAGGCAACACCCGTGAGCCTACAGGGAAAGGTTTCACGATCCAACCTTGGAAATCCCCGTACCACACAACAGACTTGACCAGTAGCTCTGAAGGCTTACGAATTCAATTAATTATAAATATCCAAGAGGAAAAACCTAAAACTGCCATAAACTTCCGGGAAACAGAGTGCAAATTTGTAACACGCAGACTGAGACCTTAAGCAGTGTACTTCCTGATCCAGCGTTGGCATGCAGTCAATTCCGCGTAGTGATGACATCTTAGCCGCAATCTTCGGACTATGTCCCTGCCTGTCACTTACTGGATGACAGAGTCACTCAGTCACATCCTGATAGATAGATATCTGAGTCTGGGGAGAACTGGCATACACTCTTTCCAGTGGTCCTCGGTCTCCTAGTCGGAGCTTGCACTTTCCTTCCTCTTTGCGTTTGACTCTCACTTACGGCATCTGCAACACAACCCTCAGACAACAAGATCAAGAACTTGTGCTGGCCTCCCTGCCGTCCTCTCTTTGATTCACCATGGCCAAGATCTTGACGATGCGCAGCAAGGGTCTAGTTACGTTTAGGACCCGGAAACCACTCACAACCCGGTGGATCTGGGTGCAGTGGGCCAGCTGGTTGCTGTTCATGGTAACTGTTATAGAGATCTACGCGCATCTGGCAGATCGTCCGGACATATCTCTTCTACAATGGTTTGCTCCTATAGACCATCCCTCTGTTCTTCGGCCGGGACAATATCAAGAGACTGTGGCAGCTCAATTTGTTTCTGACAACCCTGGTGAACTTCATGATGGAGAAGACCTGGATCAGATGACCAGGCTTCATGACGTGAGGTTAGTCATGGAATTTCTTTCTTAAATATCTATTCTCGATAGGAATTACTGACCTTTGCTGATTGTACGCACAGGAATGAACAGTTCTACTTGGGTGGAACCCTAACTCTCACTAGTTCACGCTCCACAGAGCCCGATGAAGCCCCACACCCCCTCCCATCAATTTACGACCCTTACCCAGCCTACAATAGCAGAAGCTGGGGCCGGAAATACCACGGTACTTTCCGACCATGTTTAGGTCCTCGTGGACGCGACCTTGATCGCACTCGTTCCGATGATATGATAATGGTATACAAGGGTAAACAAACTGGGTTTCCAGAAGCGGGCTTTGGCTCATATGAAGCAATGGGTCTAGACGGGAACGTCTGCACAGATCGATACTCTCGTTTCGGTGCGTATGGCTACGACGATGACAACGACGCCGAGATTCCAGGGTTCATTCGGCCGGAGCCTGTGAATTGGTTTGAAGTGGATTGGTACAAGCTACAAGCCTCATGTTATGAAAAGAATGCAGATCGGTATCAGCCTTCTACAGCACTTAACGAGTCACGAGAACGACCTCTTTCGTTTGAGTTGAGAGAGCCTCCTAGGAAGGGTTTTGAATCGGAGAACCAGTCAGACCGTTCGAAGAAGAAGCAGTATCACCCGCGCTCCGCTGTTCTCATCCGCTCGTGGAATAATATGATTTGGACGACGAATCACCGTCAATACCTTCGAGCATTGATCATGGAGCTTTCCCTACATTCTGGTGCAGAGTATGAAGTCTTTCTTTTGGTTCATGTTAGAGATAATGATCTTCCAATTTTCTCGGATCGAAAGACGATAGAGAGGCTCCGGAACTTAATTCCAGAAGAGTTTCGCAACATGGCATTGTTTTTTAACAATAAATTGCTGGAAGCGTGGTACCCCAAAATTGAAGAGCACAGGTAAGATATCATTGAACACAACCAAGATAAGGTCATGTGGAATCGATATTATTTTCATGAAAGCTAACTTTTTCTTAGCCCAATGCTACAACATCTCCAGCCACTACAGATATTTTCACAATTATACCCCAACTTCGAATACTACTGGCAACTAGAAATGGACGGCCGCCACACAGGCCATGTCTATCATTTTCTCGATAAATCTATCGAATTCGCAGCTCAACAACCACGCAAATACCTCTGGGAGCGAAACTCCTACTTCTACGCACCAGGCGCACATGGCCCATGGAAGAATTTCACAGGCATTATTGACGAAGCTCTCTCAGAAAAATCTGAATCCACAATCTGGGGCCCCATGTACGGTACTGGAATTCGACCTCTAGGCCCTGAACCACCTGTTAAACAGCCCAATGCCGACTCCTATTCCTGGGGTGTCGGCGAAGAAGCAGACTTTATAACCTACCTTCCTATATTTAATCCCAAGGGCACCCAATGGACCTTCCCTGATAAGATTTGGAACTTCAGGTATGGCCTAGACACACCACGCCGCGCAGCTGTCATTACGATGGGACGATACTCCCGACGACTCCTTGATTTGGTCCATCATGCACAAGCTACTCGTGGTCTAGGTCTTGCTTCAGAGATGACGGGTGCATCGTGGGCCCTATATCATGGTCTCAAGGCCGTCCAGGTTCCACATCCAATATACGCAGATGGCTTGTGGACTCCACGGGAGCTTGCACAGACCTATAATGCGGGACCGCCGGAGGATAACAATGCGGGACCTAATAGTATCTGGAATTGGGATCATCTACATGATCACATTATGTATCGACTCTCATATATGTTCACGACTCATACCGCGGAGGACTTGTACCGGCGATGGCTTGGTTACAGAACAGCAGAGAACGAAGGGGGGAAGAAAGTATGTTCATTCTACTTTTCCATCTTCATCCATTCATCATCTTGCATATCTGAGGCATGTACTAATATTTTTTTTCTATTTTAGTCAACCGAGGTTCGCTATGGTCGACATTGCTTTCCGTCGATGTTCCTACACACCGTTAAAAACAGCGAAAGAGGCTTTGGACCAGACCGGGCTGTACCATGACCTCATTTGGCTGGCGCTCGCACATCGATATTATCTCTTGTCAAGATTATTTTTAAACGGGTAATGACATATGGGTATGTATACTTAAGTCACTTTGAAGTGGGTATCCCCAGGCGCTTTTTATTGAGACTTTGCCAAGATGAGCCCCATAGGCTCCGGCTCTATTTTCATACAATAATAAATGGAATAAACCAGACCACCTATATGCTCCCAAGGTCTATAATTCAAGTTTTCAGGCTCGTTCCATGTGCTACAGTGGAATATTCTATATTAATACATACTTGATCCAGGCATTCTAACAGATAATTGTAATCTCTTGATAGGTAAATAAATAAAGACAAAATGTCACCACAGTGACTATTAAGAAGAATAGGAATACTACTCGGCAATCACCCGAGTATAAAATGAAGCATCAAACAATGCCTTGCGCCATCGACTCGGAGGTAAGGCGTCCGCATAGGTGATCTTCATCATGCCATGTAACTCCTTAAAGACCAGGAGCAAAACCATCCTTGACAAATGGCAACTCCTGAACAGTTCCCACAATGTTAGGATCAAGGGCAGTCCAGAATATCTTCAGCGGCTCCGGGCCTATCACAATGCTGGTATATCCCGGACCACCCTCATGGTAATCGGCGAAGTTATAAAACACATTGATATACTTCGAGTCTCCAGGAGGCCAAGTGTACTTCGGCATACTGTAATCGTCGGCTAAGGGTCACAGTAGATATCAGCAATTTAGCCCGTATGGATTCAAAGAACCTCAGCTAGCAAATGTTAGGTAGGTAGTCAGTCAACGTACTAGAGCAGGAGTTTGTATCCCAGTGCCACTTTCCGATGGGCAGTGTAGTTCCGGACCACCCTCCAAAGTCCTCGAAGGTAAGGACGCAGTGCTCTTGATCGAGGGTGTGGATGAGGCCTGTAGAGGCGTAGGAGGAGCTAGCGAAGAGAGTGCCAGCGAGAGCGGTGATGAAGCGCATGATTGTAGGTAAAGAGTGGATGGGATTGAATTGCAAAAGAGTGAAATAATTCCTTGGTAGTTGAGCGAGAACGACTCGGAGGACTTGAAAGAGCGTGGATTCAAAGAACCGCGGACTATGTATAGCTTTTATATCATATTCAATGATGTATATGGCTGAGCCTATGTGGTTCATAGCCTTTTGCCCCTTTTTTCTTTCATTTGTTCTGTTCTCAAACGCAATTTCAACCCTTGAAGCTTTGTATATCGGTGATTGGTAGGATTTGTAAGATCCCTGTAGCGGACTTACTAGTTGGGGGCGTAATAGTGACTTGTTGTTTAATGTGCAGGGTTGAGTGCGGATCCCAATTACCCCAGGATCTAGGCCACGATAAACGTGTGGTCATTGCGTAGTTCCACTAACGGAGCCTTATACAGTATCCTTCTAACATATGGATGCTATTTTACATGGCGACTTCGCGGAAACAAGGAATTGTATCGGCTTGGATGAAAACTCTAGAAAATCAAAGCGAGGTTAGAGACATAGAGCAAGGCCTATAACCTTGGAACCAACAGTGTGCACGAAAGTTTACAAATCGAGGGTATTTGAGAGCATCGGGCACTAAGCGCCGAGTAAAGTAAGTACAATGAAGATCTGTCCATCAAATTTTGGGAACGTGCAGTAGCCTCCTCCAGCCCTGCATGAGGCTTATACATGATTGGTTCAAATTCGTATCGTGGAGGTGACATATCCGGCATTGATCCAGGCGCCCAGGGGCTCTGGGTCAAAGCAGCCATCACATCGGCATTTGTTCCTGATGATCCGTTAGCCCAGGAGTAAGCGCAGACATATGGTTCGCATACGGCACGCTTGCTGTTCTTTCCTGTTGACCGTTTGCAAGAATCTCAATTCACAGGGAGTAACTTCGGAGTACATCCTTCGTGTTCTATTTCCTCCCCGTCGTGACAAGGATGCTGGGAAGTTTACTCCCCGGAACGGCTCAGTGACAGGGAATATTTCAAGGAATACGAGGAGTTCTAGGGGTCTGAGATCACGACTACCTATAGCAGCGAATCTAATGGCGAGACGCCTGGCTGCTCCATATGGAACGCCAGTTATACTTGTGCATATTATCCTACTAAGACACGAATTTTCAAAGTGTCAACATGAGACCAATCCTCACATAGCTCTAGGATAGAAATGGTTAAAATATCATAATGTATGTATATTACTAGTAAACGAGAGAAAAAACAAAACAAAAAAAAACAAAAAAACAAAAAAAAAGTATGTACTGAGTCCAAAAGAAACAATGACTCTGAGTCATTTTCCTTGGGATGAAAAAATAAAATGATAAAAATCCCGAGACATTATAATGGGCCGGAATAGTATGAAGAGTCCACTATCCCTTTTTTGAGCTTCCTTCCCATGAATGCAGACCATCTTCATGACATCATTACAAAGGCAGAGACACCCGTCTATCCTCGAACATTATACTTCTCGTTAAAGGCATTAACCGCTGAGAAAGAATTAGTTAGTTTCAAATTAATCAATCAATCATAGGGGTTCATAGAATGTCTTGAACTTACCAACAGCAATTTGTCTGTACAGCCAATTCCGAGAACTCTCATCTTGAACAGGTATGAAAGGTCCATTTGCACCACCCTTGAGAGTGATACTCATGCCAGTTCGCTCCTTGGAGATCGTTTGAATATCGGTGAGACGAATATCCCATTCGGTATAGAGCTTCTTGGTGCGCACGAGCATAATGCGCGCATAAGTCAACATGACCAGCATGTCTCGGCCTGGAAGTTCCAGGTGTGCAATGTAGTCCTCACTGAAAAACTTGCCATCATCGGTAGTCTTCAGCCAGAACTGGCCGAGGGCTTCACGCTGAGAGTAAGGACGAACAATGCCGTCTGTACCGATGAAACGTGTGAGTCTGACACGATCAAGACCTTCTGCATCGAAGACTGTGGTGGTGTTTCGAACACCCTCTGCAAGGTTGGAGGCAAGGTCAAAGGCTCCGATAGCAGGTTTTGTGGCAAGACCCAATACACCTTTACCTACACCCTTGAAAAATCCTGCCATTCCTTCTTTCTCGGCACCTTGGAGTGGGTGGCGGGCCAAACCGCCAATACCACTGGCCAAGCTATTTGCGAACGCGTTTCCACCAGCTGTTATTCCGTAGAGAGCATGCTTTGGGCGGTTTCGAGACTTAGACATACGGCGCTGGTCTTGGAATTCCTTATCGAGGGTAGCAGCAGCAAGACCCTTTGACATACTTCCAGTGAGCTTAGCCATACTGTCCGAGAAACCGAAGACGGATTTCTTGACAAAGCTAGTGGCACCCTTAGCGATGCCAACGCCCAGCTCTTGAGGTCGATCAGTCATGACCAATCCCTGGTAGGGTTCGTAGAATATATCTGCAACGCCTGAGCTGACGGTGTTGAACAAGCCAACAGGGTTACCCAAGAAATCGGCAGATCCCAGAATAATGTGCACTTGGCGCACAAATTCTTGTGTATAATGAGCACGCACATTGCTGGCGAGTCTTCCGAACGAAACACGAGCGTTCTCCAACATCAAAGCATTCAGACGGATGGGTGCATCGTTGACATTACCCATTGACATGGTCATAACGTTAACGACGAACATAAGAGGGTTGGATGGCTGCATGGCACCATCCTCGGCATTGACTCGCTCTGTCCGCATGAAAGAGATATCCAATTGCATAGGTTGCAAGTGAAGAAGTTCAAAGTACACATCCTGACCTGCCTCGCTTTGTTGGGGCTCTGGGATATTTAGATTCTCATCACATAGCTTGCCCTCTTGCTCTTCGGTCCAGGATGCACCAGGAATCTTGGCGAAATCAAGCATAGCAAAAACAAAGTCCTCGTCCAATTCGAGTGTCATTTGCTGTAGAAGCAGTGTAGCATACTTGATGTAAATCACACCATAGGAATCATCCTTCACTCTGGTGACCATAGCGTGGAAGATTGGATGTGCCTCCATTTCCTTGCCAGTCTTGGGGACCACACTGGGATAAAGAAGAATTGGGAAAATACCACCATACAATTGGTTGTCAATTTGAATCCATTTGATGGTAGTGTTCAGAGTCTGGTAGATTCTGGACTCTCGGTACTTTATCTCAATCTCACGGAAAGTGAGATAAAGGAGTTCCTTCAGGTTCTGGTTGATGAGAGAGATACCAATACCGGCCAATCGAAGTTGAGCTTTGAAGTTGACATCGGAGTCCATCTCCTTGACTTCAAATCCAGTACTCACACTAGTCTGCGAAGACTGGTTCTTCTGTTGCTTGTAGATACTCTTAGAAGGCTTGAAGTTGGTCAGAACAAGTGTCTGGGTAGGACCATCAGCCACAATGTTGATATCGACGATTCTCTGGTATTCACCAGGTCTCGATGGTGGAATGCGCATTGGGATCAAGTTGCCAATCTCAGCCAGTTTAATATGCCTCTCCTTGCCTTGGCATGTCAAAACAAGGGATTTGTTCTTTGTTGCTGGGTAATCCCAAGCATAAGGCATGATACTGCGAGCCGGTAGACGGTATCGTATAGGGCGCCAGCCACTTGAATGATCTTCTTCATCATCATCCACATTAGGGTTCTATAAGTCTGTCAGTATCAAGAAAAACCAAAAAGGAAAACGACTCTGTAGCAAAGGATAACTTACAGCCTGGTAGAAGATAAATTCCATGTCACTTTCATTACGCATCGAGAATGGCCAGTTGCGCGTCTCAAAACTAAGATGCAGGAACAGGGTTGCCCCTTCCAAGACGACATCAACCTTGATCAACTTTTGACGCTGGTTTGCTGACTTGGCCAACTTGACGTGAACAGTTCCAACGTCGGCGATGTTGAAGGGCGAAGACCACTGGTTGTTCATTCCAGGGAAACACATACAGAGCTGCTTCTCATGGACTTGTTTAAGGAAATGAAGTGGAACCAGCTCTCCACTCTTAACCTCGAGGACGTTTGATGATCCAGGCTCGCGGACCAAAAGATCTTCGTTGAGCTTGCTCTTCAAGATAAACCTGGGCGCGATCGTGACAACTTTAGTCATCTTGTATTTTCCTTCGCCTTCGACAACAGAGACACCAGAGTGGAATTCAGATCGGCCTGCTCGATCGGGGAAAATAACCTCGAAGGTACTACCAAGAGCCTCGAAACTTTGCGGCTTGCTCCAGGAAGATTCGCCGACCTTGAGGATAGATCGATTCTTTTGATCATCGTTTCCATAGGAGTACATGTACGGCAGGGCTCGGCCGCCATCCCTCGGGTCAACTCTGAGGCCTTGGCCAGCAGCATTGCGGGCAGACTGGAGGAAAGCTTTGCTTTGTATATCCATAGGAAGACCAGTCTGGTTCAAAAGAAGGTAAGGACTATAGACTGAGACCTTGAAAGCACCACCACTATCGGGAATATTGAAGTAGTGAAGTTTCAATTTCAGCTGGAGGCCCCTTTCGTCTTTCAGAGACAATGTATGCTCTCGGCGGTAATCTTGGGAATTTCCATTGACAATTGCGAACTCGCTTTGTTTGAAAACGGTATCTTCAAGATCAATGCTAAGCAGAAGGAGATGGGATAGCTCAACAACATGAACGGGGCTAACGCCACCCTTTCTCAAAAAGTTCGTCCAGTCCTTCTTCGTGTTCTTGTCGTAGATGCGATACTTGAAGTCATAAGGCAGCAAGTTCTGGATTTCCACGGGCGCAAATATGCGAATCCTCATGTAAGGATAAGCGTTCGTCGTCGAGTCCTTGCCGTCAAAAGTTGCATTGACTTGAAAGTAGAAGGGAGGCGATGATTGACCACTGTCGCTAACACACTTCACAGTTCGTGTTGGGCGACGAATGAGTTCCTTCCAGAATAGTTTTTCATTGGACCAATCGTATCCAAAGCCTTGATCAGGACGAATCACAACCGAATGGAGGAATGCTGAGCCAACTGGTGCTGGTCGAGCATCACCTGGCAGAATCTTCTCGATCTTCAGAAGGTGGCCTTCATCAGGGCTATACACTCCAAGTTCCACGGGGATCTGGGTGTTGTTCTCAACAAGCAGCGGCGAGCGGAAAGTAATGTACTTGACATTGTCGGCTCCGAGTTTTACTTCCACGAGAAGTCGATGCAGAATATTATCGCGCTTGGGCTTCAAATTGTACAGGACTTCGCCCTCTCGTACGACAGGAATGCGGTTGATGCTATCGAATCCACTTCCTTCAAGTTTGATTCCGACTATACCGCCTTGACCTTCAGGGGAAAGAGTCTCTCGGATAGCTGTGGACTCCTCGAATCGCCAAGGATATTCCTCTCCGTCTGTCAACTTCGCAGCGGGGCCGTCCTCGCCTGAGCTGATATCAGCCCAGACACGAAGATCAAAACCAGTGTAGTTGCGGATTCTGTAAGGTGCATCTGCGCCACGAGGCTTGGAAAGCACATCCTCGTCCGTATTAAGGAATTGGAAGGACTTCGAGGCAAGGGCAATGGTGGCCGATGTCATTGTGAGCTCCATATTCTTGTGGGAATAAGCATCAATCGAGAAGACATCCGGGTTGGTTTCTTTCGCCACGTGGAATCCGAGTTGCCAAGGTTCAATCAACGGCTCCCATGCTGACTTGGAGAAATTGAAGACATTGATGAAGGTTTCAAAGTTCGTATCGACACTCAAATTCGATGACCAGTCACGAATATCGACGTTGAACTTTTTGACACTCCAATCAAGCAATGGCAAGTCATGCAGGTCACCAATGAGGATAACACGGAGACCATCGACGTTGGCAGCCAATTCCTCACGCTTGAGAACAGCCGAGCTCCGGGGCAATTCAGGTTTGTCTGCTGTGTCAGTAGTCTGGCTGACACGGCGGCGAGGTCTGTGGGCCAGTGTTGAGGATGTCTTGCTACCAGATCGGCCTCTTGCGGATTTGGCATCGGCAATTTTCTTAGCTTCGCCACCTTCAATTTGCTGCGCATTCTGGGCTCGTAGTTCAGAAGCCTTGTTGACAATTTGGATTGCCATCAAGATATCACGCAACGACAATCTCAGAACGAGGGGTTCACAGTGCACGTTAATAGACGTGAGTGCAGATCCCTTTTCTTGTGCCCGGCTATCAATCGACATTTCAACTGTGAAATCGTCAAGAATGCGAAGACGGCTTGTTTCGAACTTGTCCATGCGGCAGAGAAACATGCCAAGCTTTTGAACCTGTAGAGTCGAAACATTTTGCTGGGAGACCAGTATCTCCTTAGTACCCAGAACAATGGCTTCAGAATGGGGAATGGCAGGATTGGCAACCATAATGACCTGGGCATCGACCAAGTTGACACGGAATGAGACAGTCGTTGAAGTGGCCGCAGCGTCTCCAGCGGTCTCGTTTGTGGCTTTGTCTGACTTGGCAGAATCGGATCCAACCTCTGAGTCTTCGTCTAATTCTGGCTCCTCTTCCACAATCTCTGCAGGGCTATCCGAAGCAAAGGCGGAGTTGCTGAAAGATTGCAAGGCAGACAAGTAGTCCAAAGCGAACATGATCCGGGGGCTATCGATGGTCAAAATAGCCATCATATGCTTTGCCGGCCCAGGTGACTTTGTTACGCTAGCCATGAACTGTTGCTGTACATCGTTGTTGATCAAAGACATGATGTTTCGGAATTTATTGGAGTCCTGGCGGCGACTGTCGCGAATAGAGAACGAGTGGATGAGAAGCTCAGACTCCAGCGAGCCATCTGTCAACATGCGAAGTTTGACTCTAGTGTCATTCAGAGAGAACTTTGACAAGCTCGAATCTTCCAAGCGACCAACGGGTTGATTGTCATTTGCTAAGATAAGCTCCAATCCAACACTGTCGACCTTAAAGATCATGTCCAGTCGAACCCATGTTTCTTTGCTACCGCTATTATCAGCCGCTACTGCGTTCTGCTCCTGGGCTTGAACGGCCTTGGAAGTAGTGGTGGGCTCCGTCACTGAGGAAGGCAGAGATTCCAAAGCCTCCAGTTCCTGTTGCTCGGAGTCTGTTGCAAAGGCACCTGGGATGGACTTTGATAATGCGAGCAAGAACTTCAACTGGCTCTGGGAGATACGAAGGTTGATGGGAGACAAAGAACCTTCAATTTCCATATCTGGGCGAGCATTGTTGGTCTGGTGCTCCAGATAGCAGATGCTGAAGTCGAGATTAACCTTCTGAATCATCTCAAGCTCCTCTTCCGTGCCATCTTCGAAATGGAACTTGGATGTCAAACGAATATTTCGGACACCAGTAGATATCACATTCACGGCTGGGCCATCCTTGCCCTCCTCCATGGGCACGAATTCGTTCTTGGCATAAATTTCACCAAGATGTGCTGTGATTATATCTCTAGGACGGTCATCCGCCATGACTCGGGGAAACACCAAAATGGGTGTTTTGACCACAATGTCAAGCCGCATTCGGGATGCGTTCTCTTGAAGTTGATTGGCTTGGTTCGCAGCAGCTTGACGGGCTGCATTGAAGATTGCTTGCATCTTGCCAAATTTAACCAAGAAATTGATGATTTTCCGATATGGCTCCTCCAGGAAGTTGATCTTAATAGAGCCAGAGCGCAGGTAGACCTCCGAATCGTACCCAGGGTAGGTCTCGCTTTCAGGGTCAAAGGTCTCGTATTTGAAATCCGCAAAATTGTCACCCTCGATTGTAAGGAGGCGTCGGACATCGGAGGTTTCAGATGCACCAAGGTTCACATCGTCGACCAGGGTCAAGCTGCCAATGCGAGACTGAATGATCATGGACCGGCCAACAAGGAAGATTCCAACATCGGCAGTTTTAAGACTAAGAGTTGCTAATCGAACGCCATCGTTGTTGAGGATCAGAGCAATACTCTTGAGGTTGGATTTAATGCGAATCTTGCCAGCTGCTTGGGGTGGTTGATCAGTATCATTTGTTGCTTGTAAGGCCTTGTCATCCGCTTGGGAGTCTGGGTTGGCCGGCTGCTCCGGGTTGGTAAAGGTAAGAAGAATGAAATCCAAAAGTGTCAATAGTGTCTTCCTCGTCACAACGAGATTAATGGTTGACACCGAGATGTCCAAGTTCATTGCCACTCCTTCGTAAGTAGATTCGAATTCTGGCGACTCGGGCTTCACACGAACCATCTTCAAGTGGAAGAGATCCTTTTCTTCGTCTGCATCGAAGCCCTTTGATGAAATTATCCTCTTAAATTCGGGGAGTGGGCTTTCTTCAATGTAATCGTCCACACTCAGAGATTTAAGTACAACCTCGGCGACCATGTCATAAGGACGCATGTAGAAGTCAAGCTCAAAGCCCTCGGCAACCAGCTCAACCAGCAATTGATCTTTGAGGGGGTCTTGTGAATCAGATCGGAAAAGGGAGCCACGCAATCGACCAACGTTGAATTTAAATTCAAAGTCTCGGCGATGAATATTGTTCGTTGACTCCAGGCTTTTCTTCATATTGTCATTCTCTGAGTCTCTCTCAAATTCGTCGTCCACAACAGGGAGGTCCCTCAAGGCTGGAGGCTGGAAAGAAGCGGATCTAGCCCGATTGACTGTGGCCTTCTCTTCGATAGCTTTGGCCTCTTTCGGGTCCGAAGGAGTTGGAGCACTGTCAAACTGCGGGATCGCAATATCGATTAATTTCATCAATCCCTTATATTTGGTATCCGACATAGATGCATGCAGCTCTGGTAAGTTTCCTGATATGCGAGTGCGAGTGAGTTGCGTCACCTTCGGCACAATACACATTTCCAGAACAAAATCAACATTGATACGGTCGACGATATGGAAGTTCTTGGACTCAACATCAGACGCAAGCTGAGCCTTGGTCGCTTCCACGCCAGGACCAATCAGAAGTTGAGTCGAGTCCAACTTGATGAGGAAGCGATCGTAAAGCAGGTGCTCCAGCTGTTTATAGTCTTCCTCTTCGTATTGCCGCTTCTGCTTGGACTGGAGGTCTCGCATAGCTTGTCGATCTACCAGTTCACTGTTGACACTAGCATGACCGGCATCAAGAATCAGACAAAGAGAGCTCTCATGCGTGATACTCTCTGGCACAATGATCAAGGGCGCATGAACATCAAATTGTGCATCAACCTTCTTGTGCTCTTGTAAAGCAAACTCCAGACCCGCTCGAGTTTGCTGTCGCAGACCTTCAACGGTAGCTCCGGCTGTATCCAAAAGTGCACCGATCGACTCCATGTGTCGCTCCGGTGGTTCGAAAAATTTGACGATCCCAACTAGGAATCTAGGATTGTATATGACTTCAATACTCTTCAGCTTGACCTTAACCGCCGAGTCCGCATCGCTCTCCAGAGGATTCTTTTCTAGTTGTAAGTGGAACAAGCTGTCTTCATCCACGATATCATCTGCACTAGTGACTGAACCGAGCTCTTCGTCATCTATGATTCTCTTCTCCTTTGTAGGTTCCGGTAGAGAATCTTTGACCTTAACGATTTGAGGATAGAGGGTGCCCGGGGTAGTACCGTCGTACATCTTCAGGCCACCAAGATCAAGATCCAGAAGATAGGAATCAGGACGTTGGAGAGCCTTGGCACGGAAGTTGTCGAACACTAGTTTCATAACCTCGTTTGCTGCGCCATGGGGGTCTCTTAAAAGTGTAAAGCTACCAGCCCGCAGACTCCAGTTGACTTGAAGCTTAACCCATTCACGAGGAACATCGACACTCTCTGAGAGAGCCTTCTTCTCGTCCCAGTCAATGGCACTATACAACTCCTGACGTTGCTCTTCGGTCATCGTCGGTTCCTCCGACTCCTCTTTCTTGGCGCCCCAGATCCATTCACCCCATGTCTGTTGCTGGGCAGGCTTCTTGGTACCAACGTTTTCTTTGCGAAGCTGGTTTCGGGCAAGCGATCGCCAGAATCGAATATCCTCGTAGCTAAGCTTTCTCTCTAGCTTGTCTAACTCTTCAGTCTCTTCCGGCGTAAATGCTTCCTCTCTCTTTTGTTTCTTAAACAATCTGATGTATGCAATGCGGTTATCTCTGCGCTCCTTGATGAAGCCCCAGGTCCATCGTCGGTTGCGATCATGAATCTTGCTCAGAATTGCATCTCCGGCGAATTTCATCCAAGCTCTAGGATCCTCTTTAACCGAGATCTTGGGCTGGAATCTCTTATATTCTTGATGACGGATGAAATAATGGAAAAGATCCACCAGCATGAGAGCATCACGGTACTGGTTATCGTCCAACACGAAACCGAGCTCGTCGAAGAGTAGTCGCGCTTTCATAGCTGGGCGATCATATTTGCCTGATTTATCCATTTCAAGGCCTGCACGTCCACTGACGGGGCGAAGCATGAATTGATTACCATCACCGTTGTCAATGGTATCGCGCAACTTGGCCATCAAGTCATCATGCTCGATACCCTGTGCCTCGGCACCGATATCAGAGCCACGGCCAGTTCCCAAGAGAGTCGCATCGGTATTCCAGTAAACTGACAATGCGCCGAGAACCGCCAACTTGTGTGTAGTGTCAGATGTAGATTGGATGAAAGTTGGGTTCCATTCGGAGTCGGTGCTGACGGCACTAAGCTCCTTCAGTGTTATTCCCACGGCGAATGGATGACCAGGCGAGGAAATGGAATCTTCGTAACGGATGTGCACATTCTTAATCGATATCTGCAGGTTATCAACCACGGCTGTAACCATGCTTTGTGTGAAACTCTGATTGCGGCGCTGTTCTTCTTGACTCATGCCCTCCGCATTGCGCTCGCGAAGAATCTCAGCACCTTCAATTCTTTCCATCTTCAATGTATGCGCCCGCTTGTCTTCTTCTTCGGCGTCGTAGTCCGCATCTTCCTTGGGCGCCGCCAGCAGGAAGACATCTTCAATATCGACCTTGACTGGCTTTCCTCTTAAGTTCGACCATGGGATGGATAATGTGAGTTCACCCAAATGACCTTCGACGACGTTCAAGGGGAGGCGAAGCTGATCGAGGGCTTCCCGACGTAGTTCGAGATTGCGTAGTTTCACATCACCAGACCAAATACCGATATTAAGCTGTTTCGCATCGAAGTTCTTGACGTACATGCCCAAGAACCGGTTGAGTAGGTTCGCAACAAGACCCTCCAACATGTTTGCGACTTTTGGCCGTTACCCGAGCCGGGGTGTTGTATTCTATGGCCGATGAGGATATCGCTATCAATAGGTGGAGGTTGTGTCGTGTGCCCAGTGGTAATTCTACCTAGCTCTGAGAGAAGACGTCAGAGGTGATTGCAGTGATATGGGAGGGTGCGGGGGGGTGGTATCTCCCACCTAGCTGAGCAAAGCTAACTCCAGAAATCTTTAGAATGGAGATACCTCAGCCATCCCAGTAGGGGCAAATCGGCCGCACGCGATACCGAGGTGGAATCACTAGCTCCGAGCAGTGAAAGCCAGGACCTTTGAGGAGTGGGTGGGGGTCGTAAAGCTAGGGGAAAAAAGATAGGGATGACCCAATGTCGGTATAGGCACAGTGTTAAGAACCAACAACGGAAGTCCCAAATAGTGAGATAGTTGGGTATCCAAAAGCCAAGCCAATGGCCTTGATTGCGTGGATCAAAGGTTTCCTTCCTCCAGGGCTAGTATTCTGTCATCCAAACTGGCGACCGTACGAGAGCAGCCAAGAACGCGGTACAGACGCAGCTTCTCCGCCCGGGAATGTGCATCCCCGAGTTCCCCGTACTTAGACCATCATAACTAGGTCATTGGAGAATTGAGTATGATAATTATTACATGCATGAATAAACCTACTGTGAGTTAAATTTTTATCTATTTTAAATTTGATATCGCTGGTTTTCAAAGAATGGCTTGATCTATAGATTGGATAATAGTGATACCCCTCCGTACGGTCACTGTACTGGGGGATACGCCTGTTTACTTCACGCAGAGTGACATCAGTCTGGTGCTGCTCAGCCACTTCGCACCTGCCTGTTTCCAAGTTTGTAGCAGCTTAAAGCTTTGAGGCTGGAGGCCTTGTTGCCTTGTTGCCTTAATGTATAATGTCATAGTTAGTTAACTTAAGTTAGCTAACTAACTTTAGTTGATTGCCTCAACGTCAAGTTTCTAAATAGGGCAATTTCAACATTTCTCTAGTGAAATCTTCTTGTCGCCCATAGGAGCGGCGACCGCATGAGTCCCGAAGTAGAGCAATCGGGTTAAAGATACGTGACTCGTTAGTTAGTTAGTTAGTTAATGCTTAATATGGGCCTGAGGCATCAACATGTACTGCTCCCTCTATACACGTGACCAGCACGACATCCCCGGGTTTTTCCTATCTTTGATGCCTCAGGCCTACAGCTCAAGAGAAAAGCTCGTGCGGTTTAGGTCTTTATGGTTCACCCAAGGAACACACCTCATCACTCGGTCACTTCATTTCTGGATATTCTTATTTGCTCTTCGTTGGAATCACACGGCCTCCCTGACTTCGCATTCGAGCCTTTTTCCGGGTGAATACCCTCATCTCCACTCTCCACTCCTCTCTCCAGCTCTTTTAGAGATCAATTGGGTATGTTGTCCCAGCGCTATCGCCATACCCGAGGCTTTTCATTATGCGCAAACTGCTAACCCGATTGCACACGAAAAGCTCTATATTCCCCCGCCATGATGTACCGCAACTTCGCCGCCCGCTCGGCTCTCCGGGCTATCTCCAGCTCCAATGCCTCCGTCGCTCGCTCGGCTCTGACCAACCCTGCCTTCAAGGCCCAGCTGACTTCGTCCGCCCGCGCTATCCGCCCGACCACCAAGCCCAGCTTTGCTCTGGCTGCTCACAAGCCCGTCACCACTGCCCTCATCCGCCATGCTTCTAGCTCCTCTAACGTATGATGATCATTTTGGTGGAGGTTGTTTTTCGTCGGATGCAATGGCTAATATAATTCGCTCTTTAGGACGGCGAGGTCGACATGATGGCTGGTATGAAGTCTGAGGCTGTACGTTTCTATCCCCCAATCAATTGACCCTATATGTCGTGTCTCGTTAAGACTAACCCGTCAATGCGCTTTCTAGAAAGTTATCAAGGACACCTTCAGCCTGAGCGAGGTCCCCAAGGAGGCCCTTTACCTGGGTATGGCCGGTGTCGTTCCCTACCTCGCTACCTCTCTGCAGACCGTTGCTCTCTCCTACGAGATCAACCACGCTGCCCAGACCGGCGACGGTCTGATCTTCTCCGGCCAGAGCGCTGAGCTTATGCTGCACATGCTTGAGCCCGTCCAGGTCGCCTACGGTGCCGTCGTAAGTGAATCCCAGCATGGTATTGATATTCAATATTTATATCAATCGTATCTACCTTGAACAAGACCCGCTTTGCTAATCACTCTGGCCATCCAGATCCTCTCCTTCCTCGGTGCCATCCACTGGGGTCTCGAGTGGGCCGGATACGGTGGCAAGTTCGGCTACAAGCGTTACGCTGCCGGTGTCATCGCCCCCGCCGTTGCCTGGCCTACTCTGCTGCTCCCATTCGAGTACGCTCTGATCAGCCAGTTCCTCGCCTTCACCTTCCTGTACTACAACGATGCCCGCGCCGCTACCGCCGGCCGTGCTCCTCACTGGTACAGCATGTACCGCTTCGTCCTGACCTTCGTTGTCGGTGCTAGCATTGTCGCTACCCTGATCGGCCGTGAGCAGATCGCTCAGACCCTCACCACCGAGCACACCATCAAGGACAAGATCAACGCTCTGATCTTCCTGCAGAAGAAGGAGAAGGAGGAGGCCGAGGAGCGCCGCAAGGCTGTCGTCGAGGAGGAGGAGTAAATGTTGAAGTTTAGGGACTAACCAACACCACCTTTGTAACTTTTTTGTTGTATCAGTGGGGAGTTTTAAAAAAGGGAATGCATTGGTTCATCCCTTCCCCCTCCCCGCGAGTCACTCTTGATGTTTGCATTCCCCGTGATTTCCTGTAGAATATACGCAGAGCACTAGGGCTGAAAGCTTTATTTCTTTTGTTTCCAATTTGACGTTCCAAGGATAGCACCGTGATATAAAGATAGATATAAAGTAGAGTAAGAGAATCAATCCCTGATAAGAACTTGAACGGGGTACTCCGTACTTCGCGAAAATCCCCAATGCCAGATCGGAGAAACAAAAAGAAAGAAAGCAAATGGAAAAAAACGGAGTAAAAAAAGCAAATTTATTTCCCGGACCCGCGATAACAGCTGCATAAATCCTCCAATGTACTCCATATGGAGTAAATGGATGGAGTAAATGGAACAAATGGCTCATGTGAACAAAAGAGTCAGATCCCAACCAAATAGTTTCCCACGTGTATGGAGCTAGACTAGATTCGTGTTCAGGATCGACAATAAAGTTTTTAATTGCGAATGACATTTCTAATTCGAACTCGAATCCGGTCTGGCCATCCCCGCGGCCGTTCGGGGGGAACAAGGCACCGCTGAGTTGAAATCCGGGTTGCCGCCCGCCGGCGATCGGCCCTGATGACGATAGGTGCCAGGTGGACCGGTTTTCTTGAAACATTGAGCAGAGTAAGCTTAGCCCGATTGCAAATCGAGGGAGTGCGTGTGCAGCATTGTTTGAATATTTTTATTGTTTATTGATTCGATTCTATGCAATATTAAATCTCTTAAGGGCTTAGAGTTTTGCCTAGGAACTTCAAGTCCAAGTTGAACGGGAGGTACGTGCCAGTGGATACTATCATCGATATCCATATATATTGCTTAGTAGTACATCTAGGGTTCAAGTATAGGTAAAACTTGAAACCCAAGGTTGGAAATCCCAAACAATTGATCAAATTCTTAAATTTGAATTAAGGACAGCAACATTTGAAATAAATATATCCATACCTATCTGCAAGATCTACAAGCACGGTTTATATATACATAGTGCAGAAAAAAAAAATCCTATTCTAATTACTTGGCGTAGTACTTTTGTCTATAATTACTCAATACCACAATAGGTATCCTCAAGCTCCCCACCCTAACCATGGATTCACAATGAAGAAAAAAAAAAAGCGGATAAGAAAAGCACATCAGCACGTAAAAACGGAAGGTCTAGCGAGCCGAGCTGCATCGTGGCTGGCACATAACCCCGGTTGCGATAGAGAAGATGCGGGAGCGCCAGATTCCCGTAGGATCGGCCAGTCAGAAGCCAAGGGACGCAAAAACACGTAGGCCAAAAAATAACTTAAAAGCATATCAAATAGGTATCATAATCAAAATAGGGACAGGGTGATGATCTTAGTGATTTCAGGATCCTCGCGTGATCTACAACTCACCCTAATCACACACTACAGTGCATCCATAGCGGGACAGGACTAGGCTAAACTGAATAAAACTGGGGCGCACATCCCCGTCCCTGGCAGGAGCGAGGCCCGGCGCTTGGGCAGTGGGCAGGGCATGACACGGATGTACAGTATTTGCAGTGAACTTCCCCCGCGTTGCTATGGCCTCTCATAGGCTGGTATCTTGGCCGGGAATCGGTGAATCTCCTTGGTTTGGTTCATCTTGTTCTTGTTCTGGTTCTGGTTCTGGGGGTTGAACTCAAGACGTCATCATCCGTTCGTAGAGCCGGTTTGATTGGGCGTATAATAGTCATATTATGATGTAGATATTACTTTTCATTTATGGGGAAATTTGGTCTGGTCTAGGCATGGAGTACTATTGAACAGATTTAAATATTCAAATCTACATTAAATAAATTCCGTTTTCCGGAGTAAGATGGGGAGGGGACAAGGCATTATTCGTTCGGATCAACTGAGCTAGGTCAAAAAAAAAGTGGACACCAGTTCATCCAGGGGAGAGGCAGGGGGAGAAATGGGCTTCGTTGATTGTTCTTGGCTGCGACTAGTGGATTCTTCTCTGGATTCTGGATGCAGGAATGTTTGAATTCCGGAAGAAACGCCGACTGTTAATTGTTCCGGGATTAATCCATGAATAGGAGGGTCGGGAATGGTACGCCGGGAGTAGAATGAATGATAGCAGGATACCCGAGGAAGGGGGGGGGGGGGGGGGTAAAGAGGGTAAAGGGCACAAACCATAATAAAATCCAAAAATAAAAAGAAAAAAAGGAGAAGAAAAGTGGATGTTGGCGTAAAAGAAGGCATAAAGAAGGGGAAAAGAAGAGAGGAAATGGCAGTGTAAAGGAGGTCTAGATCTCACAGTAGGAAAATATGGAGTGTCATGTGGCCGATCGACGGGGCTCAATTGATGGATGTATGGAGCAAGTGCAGAGAGAATTCTGATATAGGAGATTGTTAGATTGTTCCTATCTTACTAAGAAAAGATTGGAAATCTATGGAGGTTGAATTTAAAGTCCTCACAGGGGGAATTTTGAAATTTATCGACAATTTATTTTGTTCTATTGTACAACAGGGTTGGTTTATTATAAGTTTCGGGAGAGAGAGAGTGAGAGAGAGAGAGAGAGGGGTTCAGATTTCCATATCTCTCTCTCTCTCTCTCTCCAGAGTGGGGTGGGTGATGAGGTCTTCTGATCAGAAAAAATTATTTAAAATATTTAAAATAAAATAAATCAATAATAAAAAAAACCCAACTTGAACCGGATTCCCCCCCCCCTCAATCACCCATAGCTGCTACATGAATCCCCATAAGTTATCCTGGTCCCACTTGCCTGGATAAAAAGACGTACATCCTCTCGCTCTTTCCCTTATACTTCCTGCTTCTCTCTTCTTTGCCCCCTCGTACGTCACGCTCCACTTTTCTTGGGTCAGGACAAGAGGGAAGCTCTCTTCTACACACACACAATCTACCCCAATCGCCACGTAGTTTCCTCTACCTTAGACAACCCGTAATACTTGTTCCTCCCCCACACTTCTTCTCTTAACCTTCCGGAACCCCTCGATTCAACTTCTTTTCCCGCCACTCCCCTCCATCTCCCACCTCCCACCTACCACCACATACACACCAAAAAGATGCGGAACCCCTTTGATTTGGACAACGACAGTGTTGATGGGGACTCAGAGGTCGCCGAAGAATTTGAGCTTCCTCACCACTCACGTCACCCACAGCCTGACGAAACAGACGATGGCGACCGCGCAATCCTACAAGATGAGGACCATCGCGGGGACGATTTGAAGGAGCGTTTTATTGGCACCATTGATCAGGGTACGACTAGTACTCGTTTTATTATCTTCGACTGCACAGGCACACCCATTGCCAAATATCAGACGGAATTCCGTCAACTTCATGAACATCCAGGGTAAGTCTCCTCACTGCCAATTTTCTTGGTTTTCCTTGATCCCTTCGCACCCCCGCTCTCGTATAGCCTGATTCGACTCCCCCCCACGGCCCCCCTCCCCCAGGGCTCCTCTCCCCTTGGTAAACCGCAATTGGCTCTAATACCCCGTTCTCTCCAGATGGCACGAACAAGACCCCTATGAATTGGTGGAGTCGGTCTTTATTTGCATTGAGGAGGCTATGAAATCCTTCCTTGCGTTAGGCCACTCCCGATCCGATATTGAGGCTGTAGGAATTACCAGTCAACGAGAAACTGCTTTGGTGTGGGACTGGGAAACGGGCGAGCCCCTCCACAATGCTATTACATGGACCGATACCCGTACCATCAACCTGGTGCGAGAGTTGAAGGAAAAGCCCGGTGCCGATGAGTTGGTGAATATTTGTGGTCTACCCCTCTCTACATACCCCTCATCCGTCACATTGCGGTGGATGCTGGATAACCTTCCTGATGTCCGCTCCGCATATGACGATGGTCGTGCCGCCTTCGGTACGGTCGATAGTTGGCTTATCTACAACCTCAACGGAGGTCCTCAGAACAAGCGCCTCGTTACCGATGTGACCAATGCTTCGCGTACTATGTTTATGAACCTCGAGACCCTCCAATACGACGACCGACTTCTTAAGTTCTTCGATATTGATCCTAAGAAGATTCGCCTCCCCGAAATTTTCCCATCCGCAGACAAGGAGGGTTTCGGTGAGATTTGTGAGGGCCCGCTGGAAGGTGTTCGCATCACTAGCTGTCTGGGTGATCAGGCTGCTGCGTTGGTCGGTCACTGTGCGTTCACACCCGGATCTGCCAAGAACACTTACGGTACCGGTTGCTTCCTTCTTTATAACGTTGGCGAGAAGCCTGTGATTTCGAAACACGGCCTACTCGGCACAGTTGGTTTCCAATTGGGCCGAGACCGAAAACCCGTTTATGCGTTGGAAGGAAGTGTGGCTGTGGCAGGTAGCGGTGTCTCATTCCTCATGAACAACATGGGTTTTTTCCGTGATTCACGCAAGGTCAGTGATTTGGCTGCGACAGTGCCCGATAACGGAGGCTGCATCTTCGTTACTGCATTCAGTGGTCTCTTTGCACCATACTGGATTGATGACGCCAAGGGAACTATCTGTACGTGTCAATCTTATATTCAAACTTGGTATAACTCGAGATTCATAAACTGACTGTCCTGCAGGGGGTATCACTCACCACACCCAACGAGGACATATCGCTCGTGCGACCATGGAAGCGGCATGCTTCCAAACCAAGGCCATTCTGGATGCCATGGAGATGGACAGCGGCAAGAAGTTGACAGAATTAGCTGTCGATGGTGGTATGAGTAACTCGGATATTTGCATGCAGGTAAGGCTTTAATCCCAATCTACCAGACGCCCAAGACGTTTAGTCACTAACTTGCATTTCTTTTACCTTCAGACCCAAGCTGATATTATTCAAATCCCCGTCGAACGTCCAGCCATGCACGAAACCACTGCCCTCGGTGCCGCAATTGCCGCCGCCTTTGCCATCGATGTATGGAAAGATTTCTCTGACCTCAAACACATGAATCGTGCCAATCGTGCTACCTTTGAACCCAAAATTTCTACAAAGGCCAGCGGAAAGATGTACAAACAATGGTCCAAGGCCGTGGAGATGTCCCGCGGTTGGATGGAGCCCGGAGAAGAATCAGATGATGATGAGTAAACTGCATATATTGCTCCTCGTTATACAACCCTTCGACCTTTTTTTTCTTCTGTCCATTTCTATACGAGGTTTGAACTGCAAGCCGGACCACCTACATTAAATTCATCGGAAACCCGATGACAATATTCATTTCCCTTTGAGGCCATGCCGCACACACCAATACGACCACCTCGCCTTTACGCATGCCACCGGGAGAAAGAGGGAGAAACCACCGAACACACAATTATCAGAACAAAAACACGAACACCGAATAACCATCCACCCTTTTCTCTTTCCCCTTTTAGTATCCCTCCAGACCTCGGGGCATGCTCTTTGATCCAGGGCACTGGGATACTTTCACATTTCATTATACATATTTAGAGATTCATCCTTGAGCTAGATAGTCCCTGTCCTAATAGGTGTGCCAGCGAGCCATGCCTCCTCCTTCATGACCCTGATGATGGTTGTGGTTTTTTTTTTTTTTTTTCAAACTCATTTTATGGTGACTTTTTCGTCCACCCCACATGCCTACCAGCTAGCTCAGGCTGCCTCGATGCACAGGGAAGAGCTGGCTCTGGTTTTTCTATATTTGTTTTTTGGCGGTTGAGCGTCGAGTCATCTCGACTGTTGCATTTGTTTATATACCAGGGATTTTCTGAAACAATATAAAAAAATTCCAAACGCATTTATTATATTACTTCAACACATGCATATATCTATGGATAATGATTTGTCGAATCTGAAAAATGGTTCCCTGGATCGGATACCTTGATGCTTGGATTTCTGCATGAAAAACAAACATAACAATCTTGGAAGGAAGGATTTGATCTACACAACTAAACATCATAATGATGCTATTCGATAGCTATGGCAGTGTACTCCACAATTCCCCAGTCCTTGCAGCATAACGTCAATTTGAGAGATGAACCAAGCACAACAAGCTAGTGATCACCGTTGTTCCTGATGGGTGTGCTATGACGCCATGCCCTGGTTGTTCAACAAGATTAGGTTTGGTTATCTTTAGATCAAGGTTCGAGCCCGAGCTCATAACAGTACAGTAGGAAGGTACTTTTGAAAACTTCGAATCCAAGACAAGATGAGAATATTCTGTACGATGCTCGGCCAATTTTTAGCATTCGAGTTTATTGCAATGGCTACCTAATCGAGACCAGGAATCGCTCGCTACATTGGCTTTGAGACAAAAATATAACTTAGACATACATATTGTACATACAATACAGGATTGGAATACATATTGCTCCGTCGCGATAGAGCGAGTAGACAAAATATGGAAGAGGGAGGTAAAGAGAGCCTGAGTAGGAAGAAGAGGGTAGAAAAGGAAAATGGTATTTTCGATAGAGACGCCGGACCGATCCGGGAATGCACAATGAGGAATATAGAATCAGGAACATAGTTAAAGAGAAACAGCGAAGGCCGAAGAGATGTAAGGAAAATATAATAAAGACAAGGAAGAAGACATCATAGCTTATTCGGCCGGAGTGCGAGGCTCCTCCGCAGCAGTAGCGGCTTGTAGATTAGCTGCCTGTAAGGCTTCGGGCAACTTGAGCGGTGCACTAGGCGATGAGCTAAGCTTATCTAGCTTCTCTCCTTTAAGTACTTTTTCCATTTCTTCCTTCGTGAGTGTTTCGTACTCTATAAGGGCCTTGGAGAGAAGTTCCAGTTCATTGCGCTTTTCGGTGAGGATCTTGTTCGCGCGGGCACGAGCTTCCTCGACAAGACGGCGTACTTCACCCTCGATTTCTTGTTTCGTCTCAGAGGAGAGGCTGTCGTAGTTGGTTGAGAGGTCAACGTTGCCTAGTTTCTTGGAGTAGCCGAATCGTGTGATCAGAGTAAAGGCGGTTTCGGTTGCTTGTTGAATATCCTATGCGAAAGACGTTAGTACAGCCATGATGAGACAAAACAAATAATTTCTTCAAATTTGAAAAAGAAAGAGCAAAAAGAAAGAGCAAACTCACTGCAGAAATGCCACTGGTGACGTTATCTTCGCCGAAGATCAACTCTTCCGCAGCCTTGCCTCCCATAGCGACCGCAATATCAGACAAGTACTCTGTATAGTTCCTGGATACAGTGTCCATTTCAGGCAAAAAGTGAGTGATACCCAGGGCCATGCCGCGAGGAACAATCGTAATTTTGTAAAGCGGGGTGGCGGATGAAGAGAAGTAAGCAACTAGAGCATGACCAGCTTCGTGGTAGGCTGTCAAGAGCTTGTCCTTGTCTTGAATGATGCGGCTCCTAGCCTCAGCACCCATCATGATCCTGTCTTTAGCCCAGTCGAAATCCAAAGGTCCAACCTTAGTTTTGCGGTCACGACTAGCATGAATAGCGGCTTGGTTGACGAGATTCTCAAGGTCAGCACCGGAGAAACCTGGGGTACCACGAGCAATGACGGCGAGATCAACATCAGTACTATGTTGGACTTCTTTCATGTGATGACGGAGAATATCCATACGTCCGCGAACGTCAGGAAGACCAACTACGACCTTCCGGTCGAAACGTCCAGGTCGAGTTAAAGCCTTATCCAGAAGCTGGGGATAGTTGGTAGCACCGATAATGATAACACCACTGGTCTGAGAGAAACCATCTAATTCGGTAAGAAGCTGATTCAATGTTTGCTTGACATAAGCGGCATCACGTTCATTTCTCTTAGCACCTATGGCATCAAGCTCATCAATGAAGATGATTGCCGGGGATTTGCCACGAGCTTGGCTGAAAAGTTCGCGAACACGCTTGGCACCAACACCCACATAGACCTCATCGAATTCAGATCCTGACATGTAGAAGAACGGCACGCCGGCTTCTCCAGCCACCGCGCGAGCAAGCAAAGTTTTACCAGTACCAGGGGGACCGACCAGGAGAACACCTTTAGGAAGCTTGCCACCCAGAGATGAGAATCGCTCAGGGTTTAGCAAGAACTCCACCAGTTCCTGAAGCTCATCCTTAGCCTCGTCACAGCCGTGTACATCGCTGAAACGGACAGTCTGTTGAGAAGGCTGCGCTTCATTGCTTTGCGCGCCCTTTAGGTTCTTCAGAATACCAGTGGTTTCAAGTATGATATTGAGTACTATCAAAGATAAGTAAGCAAAGGCGCCAAATATGAATGCGAACCTGATCCAGCGAAAGATCCAAGCGCTGAGGGATTGCTCCACCACAACATAGAGAGGAGAATCCTTGGCACCAGTACCGCTGGCCTTGTTAGATATGCCGACCTGACCACCCACACTGCGCGCGGCAACAGCCTGGCCAACAGCTTGGAGTTGTTCGGGAGTAAAGTTTTGAGCATTCTGTCCGCCTGCAGCAGTACCAAAGGCCGAGGTCCGGGCGAGCTGCATTAAAGCCTTGTTATAGACGTTCTCGGTCATTTCGTTGCTCGCAAAGTGAGCTGACTGATGACGTTCGACAATGATCCTAGGCATATCTGCACGCAATAGGGCTTGGTAGAAGGCATTCTGAGCGTTGGCGCTGTTCGGGTTGTTGTTGGCAGTCTTCTCTTTCTGGGCTAGCATGTTCTGCGAGGAGCGGGAGCTACCAAACAAGAATCGCTGCTGCTGATCTTTAAGAAGGCCATTGGTCTTGGGAGCCGCATGTAGAGAGCGAAGGCGGAAGGGTGTTAAGGTTGCAAAGGACCGAACCGTCGAGGAAGTAGGACCACCGGCCGCGGGATTCGAGTTCCACATGGGATTCCCTAATATTTATCAGCACAAATATATATATGTCCACCGGGTCATATTCACATACCTCCAGTTAAAAGCCCAGACAGATTACGCCGAGCGGGTTGGTTGATCATATCCGCCTTCAGTCCGCTCAACGAAATGGTGTTCAAGAATTCAGGAACCGACACGCGATCGTGGACCTGTGTAGACAAGTCAGTAAACTTGAGACTGATACTGCGAATCAGAGAATATATCATACCGCGACATTATGCTCCCGAGAGGGTGTTTTTTGGATGGTCTCGTGGGTTCCGGCAACCGGGGTACGACCGGCCCTTTGGAAGGGAGTCGCAAGTAGCGAAGATACGGATGGCCAAATATCTGTCTGTACAGAGGCAACACTCTGAAGCAAGCATTCATGATTAGCAAATATTTTCACGTATTCCGAATGGAAAACGTAGGAGCTGACTTACTGGCCGCGGGATAGTGGCTTGGAAGGCCATAGTTGTCCGATTCAAAGCGGCGCTCGGCCGCGAGGAACAATAGGTGTCTCCTCACGGGTCAGGATATGTTAAAAATGGACAATATTTAATGATGAGCTCAAATAACTGCCATCGCCGACAGGAAGATAGAAATGAGGAAGGATGACGCTGTCAACGATTCCGCTGTGATGCGGCGAACGTAGTAGGTTGCCACTTGGGCTCGGGTAGATTTCCGTAGCATCACGTGGAGGGATGCGGACCCAGGAACAATCGACGTTAATTGGTTGTAAACTGCTTCATTTAGTAGGCGGTAGGGAAATGACATGTTCTTGCTCATATAAGACTCGTATGTTTGTAGGCATTTCTGGAAGGTGCCTTGGGATATTGATGCCTGAAGTCGCGGGCTGTCGTGTTGAACCTTGATGATTGTGGCATTTTAAATTTTGTAATGATTGTGGAAGTTAAGTAGGTGACTTCCAAAGTAGGTAGTTATGAGCGCATGAGACTCAGATTCTGCCATATGGCACCTTTGGCACTTGGGGGTTAGTGTGTATTCTGGCCCCAAGAGGTCTCAAGCTCATATGATTTGAAATGTATAAGCGCACTACTAAATATGCAATCTCCAGCTTTTGCTGCCGCTTGGGCCAATATTCAAGAGCTCAGTCTCCAATGGACAGAGGATACAGATTTTACAGTGGACGACTTCGTAAGAGAAGCCGCTCAGACAATAGATCTTAGGGTCGGGTCAGTGCAATATACGTCGAGACTGAAGAAATTAGACCTCGATTTTGAATTGAGTAAGCAAGGGAAAAAAATATGCAACGTTTATCCAATTTGGAATTGCGTGAGCTGCAAGAATTAACACTTAGAAACCTTCGTATAGAATCCGAGACTCTTCTCAGTTTTTTGCAAGCGGTTAAAAATACTTTGCGAGTTCTTTCGATTTCGCATAGTTTTATGGTCAAGGGAGGCTGGGATCGGGTCCTCAAAGGCCTGGGCAGTGAGCTTCCGTTATTGCAGAGTATTAAGCTTCAGTTCCTGAGACAAAGACTTGGTCGCCTTAGTCTTGTGCATTTCCCTAGGCTCTCCGATAGTTTGGTCGTCAGCAGCTTTATTATCACCCAGTTCAAAGGATGGTCCTTAATTCGACGATTGAATAATCAGGCCGCAGTGTGAATCTAGCCATTGGGGCCCTTGTGGAGTGTATTGCCTACGTCTAATAATTAAGATGACATTAATGTTCTATCAATTCAGAATGCGCTTTCCAAGGGTTGAATGTGAGGATATAACACATGAACACAAATCAGCACAGTAGTATCTTTGCTTCTTTGCATAAAGAAACTCTCAGGACGCCTGATATTGCTTAGAATAATTTACAGTATAGTTTAACCCTGCATGGGAATCGCCTTCCACTCGGCAAAGGAGAAATGAGCCGGATCAAAACATGGCTTGTCATAAGCACCCTGCGCATATATCGCGAAATGGGATCCGGTATTGGGGGATTCCTTTCCTGAGCGGCGATGTGTCAATGCTCTGCTAGAAATCTCGCCCAGCTTGATCGGGACGGAGCCAGGTAATTCGTTGTCCACCACCGAGAAAAAGAGTTCGTACCGCGTAGGGTGTGCGCGGATGACAATCTCAATGGTCTTATGTCCATGAGGTAGTTGTTGTTTGGTTTCCTGAATCGTTAGTGAAATGAGCGATGCGATTTCAATATGAAAAGAGACATACTTTGAATTTATCTTCGATCTCGTCATAACAGCGTGCTATCATCTCAAAACCCGAGACATTCTCATCAAATGGCTTCCTGAGTCCGATGGAAGCATGGGAAAATTGGGACCACCAAATAGCGGCCCCTGCTTCATGACCAGCTTCTATTGGCGTGAAATCCAATCTGGTCTTCCAGTCACCTGAAAAACCAACCTGCTTCTGCAGGAGCATAGATGGGCATTCAGAGCTATCAATGCGGTACGCATTTCCGTAAAGACTCAAGTAACCAGGTCGCTCAGACAGCGAATAATCATTCTTCAATGGTGTCCGCAAACGATACCATCCAAGCTGAAGATTTGGCTGGTCGAAATCATCTCTCCACGTCTGTGGCTGTGAAAGGAGCCGCGTACCTTCTGCCTGCATTTGAAGACTGATTGGCTTTCGAGAATTGACAATCGGCCATCCATCGATCCATTCAACGGAGCTCATGAATGTTTCGCGACCAAGCTGTGATGGCGATTCAGACTTTTCACCCTGAGGCCGTACTCCTAAGAAAACGGCGAACCATTTTCCATTTGGAGTTTCGATAAAGTCCAGATGCCCTGTGTTGCGAATCGAAGGATCATTGTCGTTGAAAATAACCGGGTTAACTTTCCCTTCGGATCCTACTTCCCACGGGCCAAAGGGTCCTATCGTGCTGCGACAAATCCACTGCTGGTGACCTTCATCGGTGCCGCCTTCAGCGGTACTCAAATAATAATACCCGTCTTTTTTGAAGATGTGAGGACCTTCTGCAATACCTAGACCAAAATCCGACAGTCGATTCCACTTGGCAGGCCCTAGAGATCTACCAGTGGAAATGTCTACTTCAGTCGTGAAAGTTGCCAAGCCAAGGCCATGCTTTTTGACTCTTGGGTCGACGATCATGTTGACGGCAGAAAAGTACACTTTTCCATCATCATCAAAAAAGAGCTTTTGAAATTAGCCATGTTCTTCCGAAAAGCTGAGACGCATCCATAATGATACTCACATCTTGGTCAATTCCAGGGACATCGAAGAATATTGGATCAGACCAGCTAGATGACTCCCAAATGTTTGAGGTAGAAACGTAGAATCCACGAGGAATGACAATATCCTTTTTACTAATTAGTATTGTGGTCCAATGGGCCTGGTGTAGAATTGAGGGAAATATCTCACCCATTCCTTTGGCCGGAACCGATGCGTGCAACCTACAGAGACATAGAATTGTCCACAGTGATAACGAATTGTTGGTGCCCATAGGCCACCGGAAGGCTCAGTTGTTCGCATATTAATTTGGGAAGGCTTCGTAATGGCATGGCCAATGAGTTTCCATTGAACAAGGTCTTTACTGTGGTAAACTGGGATTCCTGGATAGTATTCAAATGTCGAAGTAACCAAGAAGTAGTCATCATCCACCCGGCAAATTGAAGGGTCTGGGTTGAAGCCAGGGATGATGGGATTGTTGAATGCCCCGCTGGAAGACATAGTGACCGTTAAGATAGCTAGCAATTGCTACCCTCGTTTGTCAATTCAATGCCTTCGAAGATTTTCAACAATCGACAAGAACAATGTCTCTTGCTGAGAATATCTGCGACTGGCGCGTATAAATGTTTTTTGCAGGAGCAGAATGTGGGGCAAGCGAGCGCAACCATAGTAGAGTATGTGGAGGTGGAGGTGGAGGCGGACGTCTCGGAAAGGATGACCATCCCTCATTGCCGAAAGGGCTCATTCAGAAGCCGATTCAGGATTTTCGAAAACCCCATGGCTAGATGGAGGAATTTCAAGACACTCAGTCCATCGCGAGCGCCTTCAATCTGGACAATAAGTGAATCTCTTCCCTGTGGGTAGCCTTCAACGAAGTGATGGATGCCCCCAACTGGGTCACGGCTGTCATGCTGTGACTGGGCAGATGCAGAGATAGACGTCACATTAGAACCTCCAAATCGTGATATAACCCAGCTAGTAAGACCCCCCATGAAAAGACATATGGATAATTCGAACCCACTCCGCCGTGAATGGCCAGCCACAATAACATCATGCGCTGCATTCAACATTTCACTATTGATGTCGAATATTTTCTGAACTCTTTTTCCTTGCAGCCAATTACGTAGGGACTGCTCAGCCAGCTCGATGTCCGCATCGGAGCCAGCTCTACCAGCGACAACATGTAGGTCGGAAAAGTTGAGGCGAAGGGCCAGCAAGGCTAGATGATAAAGTAGAATTCCTGATGATGTATTCGGGTTGAGATTGGGAGAATCGACGTGGTTACTACCTCCGTAAAAGGCCGCCCAATTTTGAAGACAGGTCTCTAACCAACTTCGACGCTCTTGTAACGAATCTCCAATGTTTTGCGGTGCGAGGGATAGAGGAGTACTAAGAAGTCCAGTCGGATTGAGCATGGAAATGGTCTGCCGCCATTCGAAAATATGCGTGTGCAAAACATAGGCATAGAGAGTTTTGCAGAATTCATCTAGTGGTGGAAATGGTAAAACATCAGGGATTTCCTTATAAAGAAGAATTGTGGTAAGTGTGGTTAGAAAATACGTGCTTGGAGGGATATCAGCGGGACCGAGCAAAGACTTCCATGCCCAGGCTGTCGGTGCGTCCCAGAAAGTGTCCGAGCACGGTAATGCAGCATTAACGGTCTCGGCCTTGCTTATATGAGGCTGACGCTGGAAAAAAGCTGAAATTTTACAGTCCAGCAGCTAAACAGAGTTAGAATGCCCTCTTTCTGCAAACCACTGAGATGAAACATACATATATGCATAGCCCAAGACGCTTCTTCTCTTCGTCTTTGATCCACCCGAGCCACATCTCCTCCAATCGGTTTTGGTGGTTCCTTGATGGTTTGTGAGATGGCCTCGAACCTTTCGTTCGGCAATCTAGTAGATGGATGCGTCTACAGTAGACAGCTAGGTCGCCTCGATCAACCTCAAGGCGCTCGTACGCTACTTTTTGACCAATCCACATGGCAGACAGTGACACTAAAAACAACGCAAAAAGGTTTTGGGGATCTTGCAGCTGAGAAGGGACATATAATCAGCCTTGAACAAGAAAGTAGAGTAATGTCTGGGGTCTCACATGATTTCGGTGTTTTTCCTGCATCAGTTTGATTGACATTCTGGCCCTTTCAAGATAAGTTGAGGCAAATTTTCCCTGATTCGATTCAGAGTAGCTAGACCCAAGAATTGCAATTGCCAACAAAAGAGTTGGTGGAGCTTTGTTGGGATCGAATGTCGGTATGTGTAGTACTGGAAAGCGAGGCTGTACATGAAGAAAAAAGAGGTCCATGAAGTGATCGATGGTTGAACTCGGCGGGAACAAGTGGGGATTCTTGCCTTTCTGGCTACAAAAGTTTTCTAGAAGAACTGCGGTGACAGTCTCGATCATGGCAATCCGACTTTCCCCTGAAACCTGTATTTTCACGCGCAGAAGCCCTGCTCTTTCAATTGAAGCATTGTTTTCGTCAGGGTGACAATCTGCGGGAAGTCCTGGGGCACCACAGAACGCTCTTTGACTTTCAGGGCTCACAGGTGCATTTCCTCGATGCAGTGGCTGTTGAGATCTCTCTTGCATGGAATGAACCCTAGATTTATAATGTTCATCACTTCGAGTTGACTCCAAATTATCAAGTCGTTGTATCGTATGCATCACTTCCTCGACGTCATTTATAGAGTCCAGAGGGCTATGTGTAGAGACTCCATTGGATAGAAAGTCCAAGGTCCAGTCAAGATTGGCATCTTGCAAGCCCTCCCCATAGAAAGGCCACTGCAAATCCCAGTCCAATAACTCAGCTTGCTCATCTGATATAACAGAATTTTCACACAGTCCAAGTAGTGCAGAATTAGAAGTGGACCCGGATTGGTGGTATTCTTTTGGGGGGTTCGAATAAGCCTTTCCGGTGTGAGGTGTTACTACTTGGGCGTCTCTCGGTTCAACCTTGTCATTTGAATTTTGTCGGACGCGTTTCGCATTGGAGCGGGCGTCCGAAACATGTTCATGGCTAACCAATTCATCTGAAATCCTATCCGAGGTAGTTTCATTGGCATTATTTTCATGGCCTTTCTTGTGTCTGGATAATAAGTCGCTTTTTTCTAACCGTCAGAATATCAACCAGAAAAGTGAATGACAATCCTGAAAGCGCCTTACCTTCTTGTAAATCGACTTGGACAGTGGGGGCATGCATAAGGCGTATTGTTTTTATCATCTTGTATATGAAGTTAGTAGGCATGGCTTAGCTGGTCTATCTCTTTGAGGCTTGCCATTGGCTAAAGGGGGCTCTTACGTGTTGATCGATAATGCCTGACAAGATTCTCTCGGCGAGAATAGGACTTGGCGCAAATCGTGCATTTGTGTGCAGATCCAACATCTATGGGTTGCCCCTCCATACTGATTGACAAACAATTTCTTAGGTGGAGTATTCCTGATGTGACACCTAAACGAGAAGAGGACGGTGATGGATTGCACGCTGCTGGAGGATGGGATTCAGGTGGAGGTGGAACCGACATGGAGGCGGAGGTGCGGAGGTGGAGGTGGGGCGGAAGGAGGAGAAGGAGACGCGTTTAGATCCAGTTCCACGAAACGAAAAGAAATTAGGATGAACGAACATAACTACATAGCCTAATTCGATAAGGTTGAGGCTTTCGGAGAAGGAGGAAATAATCAAGCGTGATTTCAAAAGCATTCCTCATCCTTTACTGAGACACATCATCGGTTTTTGTACAAACTCACAAGATCTACCCGATGCCTGACATTGAAACTCTCCCCTCTGCCAATGGCACGATATCCAAGTCTCGTTTCAGAGACCAGTTACCTTTTCTGACCCTGGAAGAAAAGGTTTCTATCCTTTCCGGTGTCAGCTTCACTAGCACTGCGGGCGTAAAAAGACTTGGTATTCCGGCATTGAAAGTAAGATCCATTCCCATTGAGTTTAGAAAGTCCTACTCAGCTAAAAAAAAAAAAAATGTCAACAGGTCAGTGATTCGATAAACGGCGTTCGTGGCTCACTATCACACCTTGAGGATACCGGAACTGCTTGTTTTCCGAGCTCAACTTGCCTTGCTTCAACATGGAATACTGAGTTAATGCGAGAATTTGGCGAAGAGGTTGCATTGCAAGCCAAGGCAAAGTCTGTGCAGGTTGTACTGGGCCCCAACATCAATCTTCACCGGGATCCACGTGGCGGTCGCAATTTTGAAGCCTTTAGCGAGGATCCATTAGTCACTGGGCAATTAGCTGCAGCCATTGTCAACGGAATCCAGTCCCAGGGTGTAGGAGCCTGTGTAAAACATTTTGTCGCAAATGAAAGCGAGACCGTTCGCAGAAAATACAATGTTGATGAATCGGGAGACAATAGGACAATGCGCGAGATATACTTACGCGCTTTTCAACATCTACTTCGACGAGCCAATCCAATTTCAATCATGACAGCGTGAGTGTTATTGTTATCTTTAAAACTGATTCAAACGTGGGCTGACTCTTTATAATCAGTTATAATGCCCTTGATGGTCATTTCTGCAGCCAAACGCCCCTCATCAAAGCATTACTTCGTGACGACTGGAAGTATGATGGCTGCGTAATGTCCGATTGGTATGGAACCAAGAGTACAGTCAAGGCTTTAGAAGCTGGACTTGACTTGGAGATGCCGGGCATTTCTGTTTTCCGCGGCTCGAAGTTACTAGATGCCGTAAATCGCAACGAGGTATCGCAAGAAATATTGGACGCCGCCGTCTCTAATGTTTTGACAATGATTGATCGGACCGCCGCCAGTCATAGCGACAAGGGTGAAGAATCCCTGGTCTGCAAACAAACAAGTTCCATGGCATTGAGAGTTGCCTCCGAAGGCATTGTTCTTTTAAAGAATGACCATGATACGCTTCCCATTGAATTGTCCAATAAACCTAAAGTGGCTCTCATTGGAGCAGCTGCTATCAAGCCATCTGTGACTGGTGGTGGTAGTGCATGTGCCAAACCTCAATACGTGCATACTCCCTTGGACTGCATTCGAGCTGCCTACGGTGATGATGACCAGGTTTCATTCGCATATGGGGTTAATTCCAACCATGCTGTCCCACCTATGCCAACTCATATTTTGCAAACATGTGATGGACTCCCTGGTGTAAGCGTGGATTATTTTCTAGATGGATCCGACACACCCGTCTTTTCTGAGCACTCCAAAAAGGCTGAGGTCGTGCTGCTTGGCAGGTTGAAACCAGGTCTGAAACAAAACGGGTTTTTCTTTGTTATCGATACCAATATTACCGTGGATACAAGCGGTAATCACAAACTGGCTGTGCAAGCGACAGGGGAGTTTGAATTATTTGTGGATGGGGTAAAGGTATGCTTCAAACACTCTGCCATATACTCCAGCTTGCAATGACTTATGAAATTTTGTACAGATACTCTCAAGACCGGCACCTACTATGACCGTCGAAGATTTCTTGTTCGAGCCCAAGAAACTGGAAACAGTAATTGAGTTCGAAATGGAAGCTAAACGACGGTACAATATCACCTTGAAAGCTCACTCGCGGAATGTTCCTTCCCCAAATGGCGAGATTTCACCTCATTCGGCCAAGCTTTGCTTTGAAGAAGAGCACAATAATCGTGCTGCCATTGCCGAGGCAGTGCAGGCTGCAGCTCATTCGGATGTCAGCATAATATTTGGCGGTCGTACCCATGAACATGAGTCTGAAGGGTTCGACCTTAAGACTTTGACCCTACCCGAAAGCCAAGTACGCATGATCAAAGCAGTTGCTAGTGTGTCCAAGAAAACAGTCCTCGTGCTACAATGTGGCAATCCTGTCGATGTTTCGAGCTTTGTCGACGACGTCGACGCGATTATCGCAGCTCATTTTACTGGACAAGAAGGGTCACAGGCCATCGTCAATGTTATCACCGGACAAACTAACCCCAGTGGCAAACTGGCTACAACTTGGCCGATGCGTCTGGATGAGCTTTGTGTTCCATCGTTGAAGAATTTCCCGGCTCAGGATATTGGCAACGGACCAACAATTCGATATCGTGAGGGCCTCGGTGTTGGATATAGGGCTCCACATAATGCAAGCTCTGTCCGTTGGCCCTTTGGACATGGTTTGTCTTACTCTTCATTTGAACACGAGAACTTGAAAGTTATAGCGCACGAGGAAATGAATAGCGGAGGGTTGAACCCAAGTTCAAACTTAGCAGTTACAATCGCTCTCGATGTGAGAAACACCAGCGAGACCGCAGGGTATGAAGTCATCAAGGTTTTCGGCGAGCCTCCTGTAGACTCTATGATATGGCGACCACGTTTTGAACTGATCGCGTTCACCAAGGTCTGGCTTAAGCCGAATGAAACGCGTCGGGTTGGTCTTTCGGTATCCCAAAGAGATATCAGTGGCTATTGGGATAGTATATCCCGATGCTGGCGGTCTCTAAATGGCACTTACAAAATCACCTCTCAAAATTGCGGCACCTATCTACAGATCGAGGATATGGGAACCTGGAACGGTCTTTGAATTTTTATGGTTATTGAGATTATATTTGCCTTGTGTGTATACTAGATGACTCAATTGGCATTCTTATTTTTTATTTTATATTTCGAAAATTCTATGTTTCTCGCACGTGCTATATTTGGAATATTGGCGTCACGAGAGGGGTCGAAGATTCTCTGGAACTTCAAGTCTTCTGTGCCTAGCTCTTTGTCAAATGATTTAAAAGATGGAGGTAATCGACATTCCTGTGCAAGTTAAGAGATTATCCTTAATTTGAGGGATCGCAATTCCCCCCCCCAAAAGCCTAGTATAATATAATCACCCATTCTTACGCTAATTCCTCACTAAAAAAGACTACGTTCAGCTTGTGGGTAGACCCAACCCGTGGACACGGACTAGGTAACGTGGAAGAAAACTCCACCTCCACCTCCACATCGCATACAGCAAAGCCGTCCCTCGGCTTTTCCGATTTCCCCAGATTCCCCACGTTTCTCCCCTTGGCTGACAGTATCAAAAAAACTCCTTTCATATATATGTGAACCTTGACTTGTCAATGATGTTTACCCAAAACTCATCATCACTTGGTATATCTTTTTAATACACACTTGGCCACTTGGTAGTTTTTTGATCCCTCTTTTTCCACGATATGTCTGTTGATCTAGATTCACTTGACGAGGGAGGGAAACATGTTTCTACGGAGATGGTCGAAAGCATATCTCAGACTTATGAATATGATGAAGCCAACGAGGGAATATGGGCTGCAGCAAAAAAGAACCCTAAAGTAATTCTCTACAGCGTGACTGCTTGTGTGAGTTCAATGCTTTGGGGGTTTGATATCGGTAAAGCTTCCAAAAAAGCCGAAAATTGGACTTGAACTCAATTTATGATTCTAGGAGTTAACTCAATTACCGTTGCACTGCCGGGGTTTAAAATGGTCTTTGGATACGAGTATGGCGGTGAACTCCTAATTTCAGCCACTTGGAATGCCCTTTGGACAGCGATGACATCGCTTGGGATGCTGGTTGGTGAGTTAATTGTTGAATTGTATACTGATATCTCATCCTTCTCACATAAACATTCATAGGAAGTATTATCTGCGGCTACGCATCGGATCGTGGCGGTCGACGACTTGGATTTGGAATAGGCTCTGCTCTGTCCTTTCTTGGGGTTGGACTTGAATATGCTGCCAGCGAACCTGGTATGCTTTTAGCCGGCAAAATAGTATGTTTCGCTTTTGAATGGGCTTTCGGTTATGTAAGCTTACAGTTTATGTTCAGATTAACGGGTTATCACTCGGGTTCTTCCTCACACTCAGCTCTATATACGCGTCGGAAATCGCGCCTACTGCTTTACGTCCTTCCCTAACTGCAATGGTCAACTTCTTCATCAATGCTGGTCAACTGATGGCTATCGGAATTGGGAATACGCGGTTTTCCTTATTGGCTCCGGTATCCTACAAGGTAATCTTTGCCGCACAGTGGGCCTTTCCCTGCTTTATTGCCTTGGCTGCCATATTTATCCCGGAGAGCCCATGGTATCTTTGTCGAAAGGGTCACATTGTACAGGCGAAAAAGAGTCTTGGTAGACTTCATTTGAAGAACACTAACACAGAATTGATTCTAAAGGAAATACAAACTGCTATTGCTGCTGAGAATGCAATCGCTAACATACAAAAAGACGTATCTTACTTAGATTGCTTCAAGGGCACCAATTGGCGCAGGACTCGCATTTCCTGTGGAATGTTTGCCGTGCAGCAGTTTACTGGTATTGCATTCTACTCTCAATCTTTATACTTCTTGGGTATTTCTGGTCTGCCCACCGCTCTTACTTTCCAACTAGCCCTTGGAGGGTTTGGTGTAGCCATGCTTGGGAACATTGCCTCGTGGTTCATCATGAACTATGTCGGTACGTTCTTCCTCTTTCAAAACGGAATATCCTTTGGATGTAATTTTGTACTGAATATGGGATTGATACAGGACGTCGACCGTTAATTCTGATTGGTATCATTCTTAACGGGCTTTGCCTAATGTCTGTTGGGATCGCTGGGTGTTTCACTACCATGGCTGCTATGTACTACACCGGCTATGTGATGAACTTCGCTCAACTGTTCTATGCCCCCACAGTCGGAGCTGTCAGTTGGACCATCAGTGCCGAGGTTAGCTCAATCAAAGTCCGAGCTAAAACCCAAAGCTTGGCGATTGTTACAAACGCGCTGGTTAGCTGGGCGATGAACTTTATTGCGCCATACCTCATCAATACTGATCAAGGTAAATATAGTATGACATAATCCTTGGGGGTCTTGAGCTAATATATATACTCCACATTAGCAAATCTAGGAGGAAAAGCTGCATTTGTGTGGATGGCTTTGTGTTTTGTTAGTCTGGGTTGGGCATGGTTCGAAGTTCCAGAGCTCAAAGATCGTACTTATACCGAGCTTGACGATATCTTTGCACAGAAGGTGCCAACAAGAAAATTTCAACAGGCCAAAATCAGCCGTGGCCAAAGTGCCACAGATGTTTGATTCCTCTATGATATTAATCAAAGCAAGATAAAAGATAGGCTTCTGCGAAGCAGAAGGGGCTGAGACCTCGTTCATAATGCCAATCTAACACTCTAGGGGGCTAGTAACCTTGAACACGAAATGTGACAAAGAACTTCCTCGCGTCCATCTCAGAACAGATCCCCTCGCCAACCGATAAGGTAGCTGTCAAATATTTTCCAATCAGGCAATGTTGTTTCCCAACAATCCAACCAGAGTAAATATAGCCAGAAAGAAATAATAGCCGAGGAAACTTCTTCAATTAGCAAGGGGGGGAGAGTAAAGCAGTGTCGCTGGGAATATAGAGCGAAAAGTGGAGCTCTACGTTTACTTGTTCAATCAAATACTGAACGACAATTAAGCATATTAGCTGTTGCGCAGCCTGCGCGGAATCATGTAAGATCGAGAAGCAGAAACAAAACGCGAGTTCTTTGATCAAATGTTGGCCCGGGTTTAGGGAGCCACAGAGCGGTTGCGGCTCTGCGGCCTGGAACGTGCTCAGATGTACTTGCCTGAACCTACTGATGATCTAATCCAGGTCTGGACTCAACTTGGTTCTGGTTGGGCCGAACTTGGATTCTACATTTCCACAACCGCTTTGACGACAAGGTCATGACAAAGGGACGGGTGCCCTTTTACCAAGAAAGCGTCGCCCGTAGCTCCCTCCTCTAACATCTGTTGAGGGGTTGCCTTTTCACATTAAGGACGCCGCAACCACGATAGCTAGAAAGCATGGGGCATGACTACCATTTGCTCATTTTGCCAAGCTGAGACTCCGCCCTTGAAAAGAGAGTTATATCAGGATTGAGGCTCTAGATTGTATCAAAATGAGCCCGAGGCAAATTTTCTTAATGGGCGCCCCGCTACCCGACAGTCTAGACTGGGACCACGACGAGCTTCTCAACACCCCCATACCCCCATTTGACAATGCAGGCATCAATACATCGCATAATATTTGCCTCAACCAACCTTCTGTCAAATGGAGAGTCCTTCGATCTTCACTACCTCATGATGTGAATGTCCCTCACAATTTTTATTGGGGGCCTCAGGGCCCGAACTTTTTAACATCGCATCAGCTTATCAATGCTGATAGTGTATCAAGTGAGGAGGATGACTCGGTTTTGTCTCAATTCTACGACCATTCATTTACAGTTCACGAGACCACTGAGATCTCTACATCTGAACTACGAGGAGATGACCTCACACAGGCGAACACCCCAGTGTTGGACAACATCGAGGCTTCGGGTACACCAACGAAAGACCTGTCTCAACCAACACATTTCCGGATCCATGGACCCTTGAAGGATTTAGGCGATATCCCCACAGCAAGACATTTGCAATCCATCATACCGCAGACCATGACCGTCAATCTGGTGGTCGGTATTATTGCAATCCATCCACCTCGACGTGTGGTGACACGACAATGGAAGAAAGAAATTGATGTCGTTGAAATGGTGGTTGGGGATGAGACTCGGGCCGGGTTTGGCGTGAACTTTTGGCTTCCAGCTTCAACGGACCAAGCTCCATCGGCTATCAAAGCCCCAAATACCGACCCACTTGTCCGATCCCTGGCTTCTCTTCGCCCTCAAGACATTGTGCTTTTAAGGACCGTGGGGCTTAGCTCGTTCCGGAGTCAAGTTTACGGCCAGAGCTTGCGCGGTGGAATGACTCAAGTCGATCTTTTGCACCGATTGACGGATGCGGGAAGGCCCTACAAGGTTATCTCCTCGAGCGGCGACGACGATCTGCCGCAGAAGGTTCACAAAGTACGGGAATGGTTGTTTCTTTTTGTGGGCACGGATAGAGCAGGCGGTAACCTGCCAGGAATGCCAGGGACACAACGTGGGCAACAGCTGCCTCCGGATACGCAGTAACAATTTGCTAGTTTATTATGCAGGGTGAATCTTATTTTATGTATATTATTTAGTGTCGGATTTACCCATTCAATACTACCCTATTCAATGATTTTTTATACTGTAAAATGATCGAGGCTGTTGGCAAATTATCGAATTATCGCGGCCAGTAATTAGTATTCCCCTTTGACCACGTCACCCTTACAACCTTGATCTACATGTACCATTACCAACTGGTGATGATATACAGTAGCTCCAAAAGTCTGGTGGGTCGTTATAAGCAGCAAGAATAGGGGCTAAAGCAGGAAGATGAAGGAGGGTCATGGTATGACGAATGGGGAGATTGAACTCTCCACGCGGCTCATGACTGCAACCGATCGCCCCATCCCGAGGTCTCTCTCATCACGGAGTTCAAGTTTCAGGGTTGTTATTGCTCAATCTTTTTTTTTTCGCAGCGCAGGAGGCAATACCACCTGACCGCCAGGTAAGGTTGGCGGGGAAGCTATTTTACAGGCCCCGATCCAGTGAGAAGGCGGTTGTCATTACGCCACTTAGGCGTTGGTGATGGGTCTTGCCTAGCCTGGACTCAGCCCAGCACACTTTACGTACGATCCAGCGGGAATAGTGTCGTGGGCCTTGGGTACTCCAAACGCCCACCCGGCTTTCCCCCTTTCCCCCTCCTCCATCTCTAAACTTGAGAAGAATGGAAAACAAAAACGAGAGTTCAATTGTCTCAGACGAACAGTTTCGCAATGGTCATAGACAAATATCCGCATATCGAAAGTCTGTAGCCTTAAACGGAGTATAATGGAGTGGTGCCGCAGATTGAAGAGGCTCCACCCCCTTTTTCACTGCAAACGTATCCAATCACCACGGGCTCACGTGCCCCCACCTTCCTGATAAAAATAAACCCATCAACGGCCAGGTGTTCTTCGTTCAGCTCCCTGCGATTTCTCTAAATAATGCTCTAAATCCCCTTTTGCTCTTTGGTCTTGATCAATTTTCTCTTGTTTTTTTAAATTTATCTCCTTTTACCCCACAATATGAAGGGTATGTGCGCCTCTCCATTCCCACCCCCCCCCCCTCGATTTACCCCCCTCAACTAATCCAATGTCACAGCACTCATTCTGGTCGGAGGGTTTGGAACCCGCCTGCGTCCTCTGGTAAATTATCAATCTATATCGTCTCTAATTGACTCCATTCGATGTCCAATGGACTAGATTGAACAATTGGCCATATTGGCCATATTGAAAACCCGCTAAGACCATGTACTGATCTGATTGTTTTTGCCTAGACTCTCACCCTTCCCAAGCCTCTCGTCGAGTTCGGTAACCGGCCTATGATCCTACACCAGGTGGAGAGCTTGGCTGCTGCTGGTGTTACTGATATTGTCTTGGCTGTCAACTACCGCCCCGATGTTATGGTCGCAGCGCTCAAGAAGTACGAGGAGCAGTATGGCGTCAACATTGAATTTTCCGTTGAGACCGAACCACTCGGCACAGCTGGCCCGCTGAAGTTAGCAGAGGGCATCCTGGGTAAGGATGACTCGCCTTTCTTCGTCTTGAACTCCGATGTCATCTGTGACTACCCCTTCCGCGAACTAGCGCAGTTCCACAAGAACCACGGTGACGAGGGTACCATTGTCGTTACCAAGGTCGACGAGCCTTCCAAGTACGGTGTCGTCGTTCACAAGCCCAACCACCCCTCACGTATCGATCGTTTCGTCGAGAAGCCTGTCGAATTCGTCGGTAACCGTATCAACGCTGGTATCTACATCTTGAACCCCAGTGTTCTCGACCGCATTGAGCTTCGTCCAACCTCCATCGAACAGGAGACCTTCCCCGCCATTGTCAAGGACGGAAAGCTCCACTCTTTCGATCTTGAAAGCTTCTGGATGGACGTCGGTCAGCCTAAGGATTTCCTCACTGGTACTTGCTTGTACCTCAGCTCCCTGACCAAGCGCGATCCCAAGAAGCTGGTCCCCACTTCAGAACCCTATGTTTACGGTGGCAATGTGATGGTTGACCCCTCGGCCAAGATTGGAAACAACTGCCGTATCGGTCCTAATGTCGTTATCGGTCCTAACGTTGTTATCGGAGATGGTGTTCGTCTGCAGCGCTGTGTTGTGATGGAGAACTGCAAGGTCAAGGACCACGCTTGGATCAAGTCGACCATCGTTGGCTGGAACAGCTCCGTTGGCCGCTGGGCTCGTCTTGAGAACGTCACAGTTCTGGGAGACGACGTTAGCATTGCCGACGAGGTGTATGTCAACGGTGGTTCAATTCTGCCACATAAGAGCATCAAGCAGAACATTGATGGTGAGTTCACTCTACTTCTCTTCAATAACAATGACAATCCCATCGCTAACATATGTCTTACTAGTTCCTGCTATTATCATGTAATTTCCTTTTCCTCCTCACGTCGACACGTCCTTTCTCCTTTTCATCTCTCTTCCCTATCTCTCCAACCGATACCATTCTTCCTCCCTCGTCTTGATGCATGGAACCGGAGTCGTTTTCTGCGTGATCTTCTCTTCTCTTATCTCGATGTTCTTCGGTCCTTGTATGTCACCCACGATGGTGCCATCGCCCCCGCAATGTGCTCGCGCTGCTTTTTCCACCCTTTAATTGATACCTTTCCTCTCCGGATAATCGACGCATTTCAAACCTAGATGGCTGAAGGTGTTCGATGGCCACCCTATTCCCACCATTGCCACCTTTTTAGTCTTTTACCTGTTTTTATCATAGTTCGTGGCTTCAAGAACTTACACAAAATCCCGCTCTTTTTGCGCATTGATCATTTTTTATTTTGAGGGCAAACAAATCATGCAATATCTGTTTTAATGATAGCATGGGCGGGGGCCAAGTGCTGTTGATGTAAATAATTGGGAGGCGGAATCACAAATACGCAAATCTAACTTGACTTTGGTAGACATGCAAGAGTTTATTATCATCGTATTAAGCATGGCGATATATCCATGAATGCAGTTTGAAAAATATATGTATTAAATACAGCTGGCGCAAACATACGTCGCGCCAGAGAAGCGAGCCAACCTTGAAAGCTCAATAAGATCTGTTTCCCGAAAATCATTGCGCCTGTTCAGCTTCATCCAGAATTGCATCCCACTTGATCCTCAATTCCTCCATCTGCTTCCAACTCTGACGCCCAAGCTCGAGGAAATCCTCCTTCTGCTCAGCTGTAAGATCAGTAGCTCCTCGCTTCCGACGTCGTAGTTCATCAGCCTTGACAACAGGCGTACCAACAACACCAGCATATCCCCACCCAGCTGTCTCAGTACAAAAGATCTTCTCAGCCCCACCTCGCGTGGTACCGGAGCCCCATTTTGGTCTTCCACCTCCAGCCTGTCTGTACGGAGCTTCCGCATCGTCAAGCTGCGCATTCGATGAAAGCGCAAGGAAGACTGGCGTAATGGCAGCAAGATACGTATTCATAGTATGCCAAGGCGATCCCAGCCAGCGCGCACCATAAAACGCAATCATCATAGCCCAGATAAGCGGCAATGCAAGCGGGACAATAGACGTGGCACAAATGCCAGGATGAGCAAGATGCATCGTAGGTGTAGAAGTAGCTACATAAGCCGCATCATCCTCAACAAGCTGCCCAGCACCGTCCTCATCAGACGCAAAAAACGAGTCAACAGCCCAAGGCGCCGAACCAGGCTCATCGGCAGTCAAAGCCAATAAGTCTGTCAACTGCTTCGAAGATTCATACGGCGTAGCGGACTTCAGCCCCTGGATATCATCCACATCGAAGAACTTCAACGTAGCTTCTATGCTAGTTACCCAGATAATACGGCCAGGTCCACTAAATCCTGTTGCGCGCTTCAGCAACGGCGCAACATTATGCGCAAGCATATAGTGGCCGAAGACATTTGCGCAGAAGATAGAGCCAAGGGCTGGCTCTGACTGCGGCACGGGAGCATTGGCCGTTTGGTTATCTGCCAATATGCCAATTGGCGAAATCTTATAGTTGGGCCAAGTCACTTGGTGCAGGAGGTCGGTGCATACGCCCCAGATTGCTGATGGCCAGTCAATGCCTGACCAGCCGCCTAGGCCTGCGTTGAGGATTATCGCATCGAGCTTGGGGTATGTAGCGGTAACTTTTCGAGAGCAGGCGCGCACGGAGAGGAGGGATCCGAGGTCGACGCTTTCGGGGAGGAAGCGCACGCGCGAGGTTTCTGCGGGGGAGGAGGATGAACTGCGGAGGTGTGCTTCTAGACGGCGGGTGGTGTCTTGGGCTTTGCGGGCGCTGCGCGTTGTGAAGATTATGGAGAGGGTGGCGGAGCTTGCGTTTGATCGGAGGAATTCATCGGCTAGTCGGCAGCATATGGAGAATCCAAGACCGCTGCGTGGGGGAATTGTTTAGTTGATTGTTTAGCTCCTTTTTTCTTTTTTTTTCTTGTCGCAGGAATCTGAGGGATGGGATGCGTGGGGTTGAAGGAGCCATTGAGGGGCGTTACCTGTTTGCGCCAGTGACCAAGACATATTTGTCCTCTGGACCTTGGGAGAACCCCTTTTCAGTCATAATTTGTTCTTTTGCAGGAGAAACTGAGCCCTGAATTCTGGATCGTTAGTTTGTGTCGGCGGAAAGGGCGTCATGTGATGGATTGAAGATGTACTGTATACACTCTTCAATACATGTGCGGTCAATTGCCGGCCCATTGCCGCAAGGATGGTTGATCTTACAGAATGAATGGCAGAATTCGAGTAGATGAATTGAGAAATTTCAAAAGCCCATCACTAAATGCAAGTCGGTGTTGTGGTACCAATCGGGCGCACGTGATTGAATATCAACATGATCGGCGTTGTTGGATCCCCATTTCCAACTTGCTGCATCCTCAGCTCATCCTGCCACCAGATGCCGTACACTACGCACAGCATGCGCGGGCAATCATGACCCCAAATCTTGAGCGCTTCCTGAATACGAGCGCCTTCTTCATATTCGCCCTTGTCTTGCTAGCATTCATACTCCTTACCCCCGTCGACGCCGTCTACCAATGTTACACAACCAACCGGCTCACCAATATTTTCTTTATAACCGGCGCTTATGTCGTCACTTTCCTCCTTGCAGTTCTCATCTATGCGACTCGAATATACACGAACCGAAGTGCCGTCGCCGGCATCCCAAAGGCATGGATCCCCGTGGAGAAAGAAGACTTAAGCAAGAGCGTACGACGCCTGGTGAAAGATGGACTAGCTCGCAGCGCCGTAGTGTCGTATCAGGCTCGGCCCCGAGACACATCGGGAGAACAAGATAGCTTCCCGGACCACGAATCTCTTCTCATTGATTCTCAACGACCACCATGGGGGCGCGTGGAGCACCCCGGCTGGTCGTCACCCGCTTCTCCCGACCTCCCAGATCTACCCTACCGCACTGTCATCCAGGAACTGCCAAACTTGATTGAGGCGAAAGCGGTATCGCTGGCACCTGCAACCACTCTATCGCCCACCATTTCGGATACATTTGGCGCGCATGATGACCTGGGTACCCAGCCCTTGCCAGATATGCGGGCGGTGGAAGTGCTACGCCGCCCTGCCTCCATGGGACTACGACAATATATCCGACATCTCACATCACTGGGCGCGATTCAGCCACCAGAACTAGGTGCAGATTTTCTAGCGCTTTATGAGCGAGCAAGATTTTCTTCCCACCAGCTGCATGAAGCTGAATTCCGCGACCTAATGCATTTGTTTGCTGAAATATTAAGAGGGATGACATCACTCGCATCGCCTATCATAGATGATATCCACAGCGTAAGCGACCATCGCACAGATACTGAGTCTGTTATTGGGCCCTCGGATGAAGAAGGAGAGACGGATACAGTGGACCACTTCGGGTACGATGGGTCATTGATACCGATGCGGAGTAACAGCCTTCGCCCATCTAATGCATCAACCTGGGAGACCCAATCAGGATATGATACCGCGCCCGGGGTTCAAAGCCCGTATCCTGGGATATCACAGGAGAGCGGGTCATATTTTGGGCCGGAACTTCGCACACCGTCTACTCGATCATTGCGACGCATACAGTCCGGCGAATCCGGCAGCTCTGGGGGCAGTGTGATTCGGCTTGCTCAGCCACAGGATCGGGGGAATTTGCCGTATACAATTACCTACGCCGGTCGTAGGAACCTCTGAATTTAGGACGTCGGAGAATAGCCCCCCACCTCCACATTTTTTTGTCGTTTCTACCCCATCAAAACGTGTACATTAGTTATAGATCGGATTAAAATACCCTATTGGACATGAGTGGGGGCTTAGTCATGCGGCTTTACTTCCGCTTTGCCGACTTCTTGGCAGCAATGCAAAATGATTGATAAGATCTTGCCTAAGTCTCTGGGATTACGTGTCATTGAAGAGGAAATCGAAATTTTTGACTGTTGCCAATAACTTCACTTGGCTTTTCTATACCCTGAGCCAGCAGGGAAGGTCCGTATTCACCGCCAACATGCATCTCTTCCGCCGAACCACATCCTCGCTCTTCAACTCCTCGAACGTCTCGCTCGCTTCCTCCAAGACCGATGCGACAACGGACGCCGTCGGGGACAATGACCTTGCTGTGGAGGGCTTCCGGTCTATTTCCGAGTCAGACAAGCTCTTCCCAAACGCCGACCCAGCTACCGACGGCGAAGACTGTTTGCACGACTGTGCAACATGCACTGTGAAATACCCCTCCAAATTTGATGTTGACATGGAAGACGAGTTGTATGGGCAAGTGAAAGGGTGGGCCACACATATTCTTGTTGCGACAGGGAAGTCCGACTGGGTGCGAGATGTAGCAGACGAATCTGGGAGCATCATGGAGGCAATTGAGAAAGGAGGAGTCGAGCCTAGCAATGGGGTAAGCATATCAATCATCTAAATAAAGGATTATAATGGTCCGATATACTCACACAAACTTTAATTCTAGCGTCTCAAGCTCTCAGCCTCCAATATGCCCGTTCCAGACGAATACCACATGCACGAAGCTGGAAGCCAACCCACAAACGTCCTCATACTCCCCAGCTTCACCGTTGTCGAGCATGTCACACCGCAATTGGCTCCAGAGTTGATCGCAAGCTTCGTCAACACGTCACCAACCACCACAACACCGCTCGGTTACTCCTCCGTACCCACGGAACAGAATGGAAGCTCCGAAGAACAAGGCGAACCTCTACCTCATCCATCAGACACCTCCATCACCACCTCTCTCCGTTCGCACTCATGTCCCCATGCCGCTGTCATCCTGTTATGCTCGCAACGCACTCGCGATGCGCGTTGCGGACAATCCGCGCCGCTTCTTCGAAAAGAATTCGAGCGTCACTTGCGTCCACTAGGACTATATCGCGACATGGATGATAGTCGGCCCGGTGGTGTCGGAATCTATTTTATCAGCCACGTTGGTGGACACAAGTACTCTGCCAATGTGATTGTGTATAGACGCCGAGATTTCGATTGGTATAAGAAGGAAGGCGCGGAGAAGGGTGATGATCAGGAAGGTGCGGCACAGGGTATTTGGCTTGCGCGTGTACGGCCGGAAGAGTGTGAGAACATCATTCGATATACTGTGTTGCATGGAAAGGTTTTAAAGCCTGGGAAGCAATTGAGGGCTGGCTTTGATCGGGAACGAGGGTTCACAAGTTGGTAAGGTCATTTCGAAATCTTGTTGGTTTCGAGTTCCTTCTCTCTTTGGTTTCGTGTATATCGATTTCATTTCCATTGCATTGGAGGTCAATTCATTTATCCGGGTTTTTCTTCTATTGGATACCTTTGTTGGATCTGCTGGTTTGACATGATCTGTACATGGATACCAATGTATCCCATTTTAGAACATTCAACGCAACGCTAGATCCTCAGGATTCAAGGTGGAAGGATTGGGGCCCTTCGCATACACATGCAAGCCACCATTCCTTTCGAGTCAAGAGACAGCATGATAGACCCTATCAACTATTACCTCGGATGTCCGGCCCAGCCACATAAGATACTTGGGATATTCCAATCAATGTCACCTTGGCACTTAGCCGGAAATAGAAGCGGTTGAGGCTGCATGTTGACCAGCTCATACCTAGTGCCCCGGGGGCCTGATCATGACAAAAGCCCATACAGGTCAAGACTTCTAGAAAAAGGTAAAATCAGTGAATGTACTTTCTTATCACGAAAGGTACCACTACCTATGGTGAGAAAGATGATGGATTGATGGCGACCAGCCTCTGTCGCTTAACCCTTTCGACAACGGCATCTACGCCGTCTCATATTCGAACATGTTCGCCGGTGAAGACGGGACATATCATCGAGCAGTATGTATTTAGTTGGACTGAAACTTACTTATACTATGAGGACCCTTGGGTCTAGATGTTTGGTGAAAACTGTTATACTATATACTTTTTACAGTGGACTCAAGTAGTAGTCATACGACTAGCGGATTAGTTTTGCGTGCACCTAGTAGGGTATATAGCCCAAGGAGCAGTGCTGTATTGAAAGGCTGGATAGTATAAATACCCGTGAGCACTTCATAGGGATACGTAGAACTTGAAATGGGCTTCGTTATTTAACGGATGGTGCCATTTGAGGAAATTCCCAAAGGCATTTTCAGAGGTCTTTCTCAAGCTTCATTCACCAAGTTTTATTAGCCAAGTAGATGATTCCTGCCGCGGAGATATTCAAGCTAAGCCCAGAGCAGCGGGCAAGGGTAAGGGCAACACACCAGATCTACAGGTTTTTACCACAGCGCCGATTGAAGTAACAGTTCGAATCAATTTAATCCACATTCTCATTGGGAGCATGCGATGACCCTTGGAAATGAAGTGATACATCGTCGAACTTCTCAAAAAAGAAATAAACCAATTGACTTCAATGACCTCAAATGTTAGCACGGTACGAAGCACAAAACAGATAGCATGATACGATATTCAAATCCCGTCTCCATTTACTTTTTTCAACCGCCACCACCACCACCATCATCACACTCCTCTTGAAACTGAGGCGTGCATGCTTACCCGATTGCCGACCCATTGCGTGTAACCACACCGGCACAGAGACGCAGACACGTACGCCACGAAGTCTTCACACTCTACGAAGCACCGATCCCGCATCGAACAAGTCAGGTTTGATTCTTTTCTTCAGGGATAAGGAAACGAACGAACACGGGGTGTATTTTCCGCACTAGTCAAATAAGATATTCTGCTCAAAATCAGATGACTGACAGGGGACGCAAGGAGAATCACGCAATGCCGACGCCAAGCGAGCATAACAAGGCAGGAAATGTTTGACCCAGCACAGCGGACGAAAATGCAGTTCCAAGACTCAAAGATGAGTTGCAATTTCAATTTGGACAACAATGCGATGCGAGATTCTCTTGGCCTGCTTGGCGGGTGAGGGGATGGGCTAGTTACACAGGAGGAAGTTTCCTGGTCGCCACTCCAAGTGTATGGACGGGAATAGGGGATTTCGGGGGTCGATCTCGCTTGGAGGTTTTACTTTTACTTTTTGGGGTGTTGTGTTTTGTTTTGGTTTGGAAACGAATTAATTGAAACTTGACTTGCTAGATCACAAGCTTCTCCCTTTTCTTGAGGCTTTGCTTTTCGTAGGGAGTGTATCGGTAGTATCGGGAGGATCACGGAGATGTTGACATTTACGGCAACGCCCCCGAAGACTGTATGTAAGGGATAAAGGTGAAAATCCCCCATCAGAGCCGTCAGTGGCGTCGCTGATAGGAGATATTCTAAAGCCTGGGCTCCTGAATCTGGGGTGAATACTGTAGAAGGATACAACTTGAAAGTTTACCGGCCGAATATGTTTTGTTCGTCTACTAGAGCGGTTGTTTCGTTTTTGTTTCTTATCTCATTCCTTCTAAGGCTATTCTTCTTCTTATCAAGACGTCATTTATCAGGACATCGCTTCCAGTTATTTTAGATGATTCTCAATCTCTTGAACTTGTATTTTCAGCCCCAAATCCCCCCCCCCAAAGCTGACCGGAAACTTTCCGTATCACGCTAAAAGCTCGCTGCACCTGAATCTAATTTCAGTTCTGACGGGGCGCCGTCGCTGACCGAATCTTTGCAAATATTAAGAGCCGCCGGGATGATTGGAGAGGCAATCCGTGCCCAGCGCCCTGTTGGTTGAACTGGTTACTGCCGGGTTGGCACCGTGCAGTATGATCGACCAGTGAGATACAAGTTGATCCGGATCACGTCGGTTGTGGTTGGAAGATAGACAGAATAAATCAATAAATACCTCGACAGGGATCTATTTGCAATCGCAACTAGCCTCGGAGATTATCAATATATGTCTACTTTTTGGGCTTTTGCTTCTCCCGTGTTTTCATATGCCTCTCGATAGTCATCCTTGACTCAGATGCCGATTTCCCCGGCCATCTTCTTTTGTCATCATACTCCTTTATCCATTCCGCTGGGAGAGAGATGACGACGACGACGGTTTTAACGGCCCCGGATATTATCGCCGTGAGATGATCATACGCTAACATTCAATGTACTTCGCACTTCCCCGAGATACCCGGACACTGATATACGGTGTACTGAAACTAGTACATCATTACCCTTGTGGTAAGCTGGCAGTTTCACGCGGCAGCAGTGAAGATAAGCATTGCGGGTTTGCGGGTGCACGGCCATAGAACAGCGACATCCCTGGTCTCCACCCTTTTGTATCATCTGCCGAATAGCCAAGAGCATGTACGGTACTTATGTAGAATCCCATGAGAAGACTCAGCCACCGACGCCAAGGTGTGCTGTTGCATCATGCGTTTAGTTGTCTCTTGCTAAAACGAAAATGCGGGGTAACTCGCCCTATGAAACGGTGGCAATGATGAGCGGACGGGACACAAAGGAGGAAACGAAAGATTTAAACAGAATTCACCGAGGAGAAAGGAACTACGAAGTATATGCATATTCTATCACAATTTCTGTGAGTTTCTGAGGTGATGAGTCCCTTTAGATTTATGGATTATTCAACATGATAGACGAAGTAGTATATCCGCAGGAGCCGAATCTAACCAAGTACTACTACTACTGTAGTTCCCTGATATCGGTTCCGCATTATTTTTCCGCAGCAATGAGAATTCAAGGCAAAACATTCCATGGTCCGATGACCTGGCTCCTGGGTAAAAGGAGTCATGACATTACTCATGGCAGTAAATAGTATTGGAAATCAGGGGGGCGATGTCAGCCGCTTTTTACAGTATCAAGGAAGGTACATAACATGTCTTTCCAACGACAGAGAACAGCTCGTATACCCTGTAGATCTGATTCAACTTGAAGCTGGGGCCAATTTCCCTACATCCATCTATTGGTTGGAAGTTCCGGCCGGGGGTAAAATACCAGGTCCACAAAAGCTGGGCAAGTGCGAAATCATTGTAAATGATAAAAAAGGAAATACTTGCGTGAGGTAAAGAAAGGGGGGCCAACTGCGGAGATATCGCGGTACCACAAGGCCCACTTGTCGCGTGTTTTCTGTGCGGATTGATCATTTGGCTTTTTCTTTCCTTTTTCTAAATTACTCCTGCAGTACAGTATGCAGCCACCATACCCTCCTACGTAGCTGGTCTCTCAAATAGGCCAATAATGGCAGACGATTGTTTCCAATTGAGGATACCCATTTCCAGGATAGTAAGCGAGACAAGACACTTGTTGCAGATGTAGATAGCCAGTGAGCATACGCCTCGCATATTAAACAATTCACCATTGGCTGTAATTTGAATCCAGCTGTCTGTTTCTCCCAGCCAGTTAGAACCATAATGGATATAATATCCACGATACCCGGAGCATTGTGAACAAAAAGAGAATAACAGATAAATTAATTTCCAGGGCTTGCCGATCTGCTGAACCCAAAACGCCTCCTTGATGAACCAGCGAAAGATGTCAATACGGGGCAGTAGACTTCAGGGTGCTTCATAGGGATTTTGGCTTTGTACTCGGTCCCCCCTAAAAAGCTTCCTAGTGTCGAATAAGGTAGGAGGATCAAGGAGATCACTGCTTTTAAGATTACAGTCTAGTGGGGTCCCACGTTGAGGAGCAGATGCCACCAAGGTGCCTTTGCTTTTTTCTTTTTATCAGAGTCGATATTGGGACGAGATGGGATACAGGAGCTATGATGAGTTAATGAATTGTATCAGCTTACATGTACCCTTTAATACCCATATTGACACATGTACATAGTATGTATAGGACCTAAAGATTTCTACATCGCTATAATGTAGGTTTATTTGTTGTTCAAATTTCCCCGCTTTGTCCGGAGTACATTTCCAGCAAAAAGGATAGATACAGTATACAGCTGATATTGTTCAACCGAGGACAACCGAGGACGTTATCAACTACATATAGGAATCGGTTGAACTCCGTAGGGATGTTTTTCATTTGATTTCGGCCTTCCGCATTTAATTTCGCCACCGATAATCCTATCTAACAAGAGCAGGTACTGTGAATCTAAAAAAAAAGCCACACACGCTTCTCACAAATAAATCCTTCTGCCTGACCTATGGCGAAAAAATAAATACGAAAAGCGCTAATAATATCTCAAATCTTGGCCCACAGTAATGAAGTATCTATTTATGAAGGATGATGATATCCGCAAGCCCAAAGGTAAATGTCCCAGTACATTTGTTGAGACGGTGAGGAAGGTCCCGGACGCCTTAGGTTGCCTGTGATGGACCCAGTAGAACGGTTCTCGCTCTCCAGGCCAGGCGAATCAGGGTTCAGTAGTGACATCGACGGCAACATTTGAAAGTCTATCAGACCCTCGACTAGTGCCGGGGAGTAGATATAGATTGATCGGGGATGGGATTTCTTCATGTTTGACGTGCCAGATCTCCTTGTTCTGCGCTTACAAGGCGCGTAAAACAGCTTACCCCGGATGCATACCTATCCCCTTCTCAGGATCATCATAATAAATTCACTATTGATTAGGGCTTAATTTGACTCTCTCTTTTTTCTCCGTCTGCCCTTTTACATTCGCCCCCTGATTTATCGCTGCCGTAGTGTGCTCGTTTAGACAATTGTGGGTACATACAAGCTCTTGATTCCCACTCTTTAACCTTAAGGAAATGACTCGATCTACCGGGCTTCACAGCCACATCCCCAGATACTGGGGTCCATACTTTCTCGGAGTGTTTCGAGAACTCGTTCCCGAGTTGTATACTCCATCTCGGTCCCCGAACCAGGTTCTTTTTTCTCATCTTGAGCTGCAGCCAGACGCCGCGTCATGGTCATCCCTTGCTGTAGAGACGATCATCTTACCGCCGCGTTGGTTATCTGGAAGTTAATACGATCTCTGGCTCTCTAACCCCTCCTTTGTCTTGTCATGTTTCTTGATTTGACCCTTCTTCTTGCATATCGTGCCATCGATTTTAGCGTAGTCGGCGGGCTTTTAACGGGGAAATGTAGCTGTGGGTTCTGGACCACAGTATACTCCATTTACCTATCCCTCTTTTTGCTTCCCTCCCCACATCTGCACGCTAGTTACTAGCATACGGGCATTTTTTCTTTTCTGTTCACTTTGGATCGTCTTCGACGATTGACTGCTTCTCCTGGCTTTTTTCTCTATTTTGGTGATCGGGAAGGAATCCCGACAGGGACTTCGGAGATGATCGGAATGTGTCTACGGTTTGCCTTGTATAGTAGGTACCTAGCTGGACACCGAGGTTGGGACGTTGTAAATCTACAAATACCTTAACCTGCAGCGAGAATGATATCATTATTTCCAGACGCGGACTTGAGTTTCTGTGCGATGTAGATTTCTTTTTCTTTTTTTTTCTCTTTCTTCTTTTTCTCTTTCTTCTTTTTCTCTTTCGATTTGTTACCTCCATTGAAATACTCCTGTTTCTTCCTTTTGGGGGCTATAGGCTATTAAGTACCTAGGACGGCGACTCCGTACTCCGTACGAAAGAAATTGACTTAGGACAAGAGCTATACGCCCACCAATACCCAATCCAGACCGCGTTCATACTCACCGAATAACTACCTCAGATCTTGGTGTTTTCCAGCTAAGTGGAGTTTGGCCCCCGGTTTTTAGTTGTTGAAATGGACTAAAGGCTGATGTTCGTTCGCACTCAGGGAAGTATACGTAAATTATTCTTATTGTTTTTTGTTGATTTTCTTTTAATCAATGCACCTCATTTAAATCATATAATCATTTTAGTTTCTTTGTAATTTGTACACCATCCACAGAGCCGGGAATTGGGAAATCAGGGGGCGCAGTTTCAGATCCCCCAACCCAAGGCTGTCTAACTTTATTCTACGGCGGGTTAACAGGAGAGGGAATCCACAGCTTCAGACACCTGTACCAATCCTACCAATCCGATGCCCGCCAATACCAGCATTACGGGTCAAGACTCCACCTCGTATCCCCACGCACTCACGGACCAAGCTAGCACACCTTGTCATCCGGGTTTCCCAAGTTCAGAGTGGGTCTGGAGACCTGGAACCGGGCTTGTCGAGTGCCTTAGGGGTGATGAGTGGGGGTTATGGTGGACGTCGTGGGAGAGTTGTATTTTATCGAGATTATATTACACACTGTATAGCGTAGATTCTGAGATGCATTATTATCATCCATGAAGATAATAGCGATAATACATGCCCAAATCAAACATATCCCAGTACCTAAATGACAACAATAATAATATAATTATTATTATTAATATTATAACTGTAATAAATAATGTTAGTATTATTTATCTCTAAGGCAATCGCAATTTCAAAGCACTTAGGTTCGGTTGCCAACCTAACCTAAGGAAACTCTAGGGGACCAATCAGTGCCAACGGCTAAAAATACCCGGCCCCCTCCTCCTTTCCCCTTCCTATGTACTTCCGTAACTCGCCAGTATATTACACAGTTCCGACCAGTGGTACCCCTTTTTACAGTGGGATCCTTGACTGGAGGGGGTCCCGGTGTAATTCCTCTTGTATGGCCTCCAGCCCTGAATTCCCAGCTCTCCGAGGGTTTTGTTTTATTTTATAATAGGCATGGAGATGATTCTATATGGAAAATTAGGAGTCATCATCTAGAAATCCAAGAAAACCTTCATTACAGAATGGAAACGAAGCAAACAACCAGTCAAATAGCACCGCTTTTATTTATGTACAGTATCTAGTGTCCAGGGCGAGTACCCGGTACCAAATCAGAATGAATACAAATCAGTAAGAAATCAGTAAAATAAAATATTTTATTATTTTATGAGAAATAAATAAAAAAATCATGAAAATCATTTCGAGGGAAAATAAATAATAATAATAATAATAAATAAATAAATTCATTATTTTATTCATCAGAACATAATACACCTTTCAATACTAAAATAAATAACCAGTAAATCCTAATCAAATAATATTAAGAAAATAATAAAAATTAAAATAATATAATTAAAATAAATTCACCTGTCCCCATCATCTCCAATCGCGCCGTTATTTCCTTGGTCTCTTTTCCTCTCTTCTTCTCTTCTACTCCTCATCTTCTCTTTTCCTTCTTTCCCATTTCAAACTCTGGAGTCAAAAGCAAAAGATTACCCCGACTTCTGCTTCCTCCTGCACCGTTTCTCTTTTACCTTCCCCCCTCTTTATTCCCTAATCGCCTATCAACACTTCTCTTATTGTCTTGCCCCCGCCCCACCCCTCTTTTTGGCCCTTTATATTGAAGCTCGATTATGCCCCGGGCTCGCCTAAGCACCCTGGCTACTGTTCATCCGGCTTGACCAGGACCAACCCGGAGTCTTCTTTGCGAATCGCATGCGTTGAAGTTCTACCCCCCTGACAACCCTGGAAACCACCCCATTCTCTCCCGTCTTCTACCTGATCTCCGCATCGCCCCAAAAACATCGCGACCCGCTTCTATCCCCGCAACCGTGACAGTCGATCACCGACCATCATGGCTCCTGGTAGTGGGCGCGACTTCAACTGCACTTGGGAACAATGTGGCAAGGTAAGATCTGAATGACATTTTTTTTCTTAAGCTTTTTCTTTATTATTAAAATAGTGAAGTTGTGTTTTTGGGTTTCTGAAATCTAACGATGCGCTAGTCGTTCAATCGCAAGTCTGATCTGTGTCGCCATTTTCGCATACACACCAACGAGCGACCTTATCATTGCACCGTGAAAGATTGCAACAAGAGTTTCATCCAGCGCAGTGCTTTGACCGTCCATTCTAGAACTCATACTGGTGAAAAACCGCACGTTTGCGATCATGATGGTTGCCAGAAAGCCTTCTCAGATGTAGGTTCTTCGATTTCAGGTCTCCTTGATAATAGCCTGCCATTGAACAATTTTGTCGCTGACACCAAAGAATAGTCTTCGAGTTTAGCTCGTCACCGCAGAATTCACACTGGCAAGCGACCATATATTTGCCAAGAGCCCACCTGTGAACGAAGGTAAGACAGCTTCAATTTGGTTCATTATGCAGCATCAACAAACTTACCAAAGAGCGCATTCGCATAGTTTCTGTCGTAAGACAACCCTCACGAAACATCAGCACCGTTCCCATCCCCCAGGATCTTTGACTCGACCGTCATCCGAAGATGCGAACTCCGAGCACTCCTACCACGGGCCTCCAGTGACCGTCTCTATCCCCAACCCCAATGAACAGTACTTGCTCGCTCAGCAGCCCTATTATCCGAACTCTGCAACGCCAAACCACGAATTTTATTCGCCACAAAATGTTCAGATGGGCCCAGTACAAGTCCACGAGGGTGCACATCCGATTGTCCCGCAAAATGCTCCCGTTACGTCGCCAATGAGTATGCCGCACGCTCCACCACCACAGGCGCCTCCCCAACACCCACAGGCCCACCCGCAGCAACATCAGCAATATCTTCAGATGATGCAGCAGCGTTATGATCCTACGCCTCGCACGAATTATATACCAGAATATCATCATCAAGCGCCACCGTATCAGGGACACCAATTGCCGGAGGGACAGCCAATGATGGTGGGATACCATCCTAATTTCCAGTACAAAACCCCTACCCGGATCTTGAATCAACCGGAGGGGACTGACTGGGCTTTTCTGGGAGTAGGATAAGAGAAGATTTTGCATAGAGCTTTCTTTTCTTGAAATTTTGACCGATGCCTTGTGCGATTGATGCCCCGTCACGATTTTTCTATATTCCCGATTCCCCTCACCCCGAGAACCCGGTGACTTCGCATACTGTTTGTGTTGTATTCCCCTGATCGTTTTTTTTCTTCTTTGGTTTTACAGTATACTTTTGGTTTACTCAGATACCTGGGCTATTTTGGGCGCTCTTATGGATTCCCCTGTTATCATTCTTGGTATGGTCTTTTTAACTTCTTTCCATCTTTCCAACTTTTTTTTCCAAATTTCCATTGGAATTTATTTCGTCTATTTTTATTCATTTTGCCTTTTAAATGAAGAAGATGGCGTTGTAACGATTACTATTTTCATTCATTCGCCTCTTCTTTGAATGCTGCGATGGTTTTCTTTATCTCTTTCTCCTCTCTTCTTTTTGATACCTGGCATAAGACATGATTCTCGTCCATTTAAGGACTCTTTCATTATCTGTTCCTAGTTCCTAGTTTTACGAGGTACGAGGTACGAAGACTTTACTTTATTTATCAACTCGAGTGAAATTTCACATGAGATCCGGAATCAACTACTTCAATTTATTGGAATGACGGCCCACCCGAATCCCTACAGCCTCCCCTGCCAGTACAATTTACACCATTTCTCGGCGTTTCTTGGGAAAGGCGCCAGGCTAAATTTGTAGGAATGTCGCTCTTTGCTTATTGGTCATCTTCTCACCCCCTCTTCGGTCATCGGCGCTACCATCCCCATATCATATTCTTGGGAGACTAGTTCCCGCCTACGTAGGTGGAGACAGCAACCCAGACAAGCTCCAATAAGACCAACCCAGAACATTGTTTTTACCAATCATTATGAGCCAGCTATTGCGATCATATGTACTCGTACATAGACAGGGATTGTACAGGAGAGACCCATTCAACTAAACGAATGCAACAAAAGAAAAGAAACCAATCACCTGGGCAGGTACCTCCAAAAAAAGAACTAAAAAGAACTAAAAAAAAACTATAATAGTAGCATGAATGCAGCTTTTTATTTGTCTAGTTACGGAGTAAAACTTCCCCCCCATATTACCGCCGCGTACGAAGTATATCGCCCAAAAGAGCTTTTAACACGAGAAAGGCATGGCGTGCATGAGTCATGTCTTATCTTGGTCAAGCCCCATGCTGATCATAGATTTAGTCAGTTTGAACGCTTTTCCGGTCCGGAAATCGTAGCTTGCCAAGCCTAACATGAAGAGTTCTACGTAACTAGTAAAATTGCCAGGAGCGACAAGGATCTAGGAAGGAAACCGTCGGCTAGAGTAGTAAAGAATGGATTCGCGGCGGGCTTTGGGTGATACTGCGCATCCAGTTTGCGCGTGTAATTACTGTACGGATGGTTATGTAAGGTTGTATTGCAGGGCTAGTCTATTCATGGCGCCCGGGGGATTTTCATTTGTCCAGGCGCTATCTTGTCTAAGGTTGAATTGATCCACGTTGTTAGGAGCCATAGATTTCAGGTTCTGTACCTGTTTTTGTTTCTTCCTTTCCTTTTCCCGGGTACCCGACGGGGTCCACATTAACATCCATGTACAGTGGCGTAACAAAAGTTCTCATAAAACTTATTTTGCCAAGACCCACCTTACGTAATATTCTGCCGGTCAAAACCTCGAAAATATCTCAAATTCTCTAATAGCTAGTATACCACCCTTTATTATCAATAATCTCCTTCACACGGTGTGGCATAGTAATAGCTAAATTCTCTAATATAGAGAGATCAATCTCTGACCAAGCCTCCTGAGCACAGGCAACTAAATATTCGAGAGTATCGTCGTTGTCTGGCATAGTATGAAGCTCCGCATGTAGCTCATAGATTTTGGCTTTTAATAACGCCCAAAGATTCTCAATAGGATTTAAATCAGGAGAATGAGGTGGCCAAACCATTACCTCGAAGTCTTGATCTCTTAGCCAGTCTCTAACAACATATGCCGTATGAACAGGGGCATTGTCTTGCATAAAAACTGCATTTTCATTGCCATTGATTAAGGTTGGAAGAACTGATTGATATAGTTCAAGAATAACCCAGCGATTAATTCCTCCGACAATCTCACCCTCTTCATTGACTGGTGGATAGAGTGGAATTAAGCCAGTTCGACGTCCACAGCCTGAAAAAGCAGCCCAAAACATTTGTTTAACTCCTTTATACGAGAAAGTTTGAACATCGCGAGTTTCAGCCTGATATTTTGGTCTTGTAAAGGTCCATTCCTGACGAGCACCCTTTCCCCTTTCAACTGTTGATTCATCAGACCAGTAGAGTCTTAATTTCCATTCTTCAGGGGTTAAATTTTGCCAGGTTAAGGCCCACTGAAGTCGTTTTGAAGCCCATTCATCAGTTAACTCGGGACGGTACATACATCGCCATTTTCGCATATTTGCTTCTTTGAGAAGGCGCCAGATTGATTGCCGATAGACCTGACAATCACAAGCATCCATTAGATCTTCAATTTTGGTACGTGGATTGCCATAGATTGCCTCAAACATACGATCACGATCATCTTCAGAGATCTTGCGCGGGCGCCCAGATCGCGGCGATGTAGTATTATTTTCTCGCTTATTTTCGAGATAACAAGTCGATGCAATTGTTCCGAAAGGAATATGAGGCAGACGGGCGTGAATTTCTTTATATTTGAGACCCTCTAAGCGTAGAGTAGTAATTTTAGTACGTGTATACACGTCTAATTGCGGACCGCGACGCCTCGGTAGATTTAAGGGTGCGCGGTATGGCGTAGAAGATGGCTGTCGAGGCAGCTGACGCACACGGTTTGGAGGCATATTGAGGATGCTTATAATGTGTTTTTTAACGTGCTTTTCGACGTGATTTTAACGTGTTTTTTTAATATAGTATAGTATATTGTTTCTACGCGTTATTTACCTTGAAGGCGGTAAGCCCTGACCGCCCGATTACTAAGGCTTGGCGAAAATAAGTTTTATGAGAACTTTTGTTACGACACTGTATGTTATCTAATAGCGAACTAATATCCAATGCAGCGGGCCTCCGTGTATTTGTCCTAGTCGTTAAGATGAAGCAACCGGAATGCTACCTACTGTACAGTCTATTTTCTTTTCCTTTACTAGAGAGTTTCACAAAGTTCATCAATCCATGGATTCATCTGATAGCGCTGGAGATATGCATGCAGAAAAGAAAGTATACCAGGCCAAAGCCCGAAATGAAATTATTTTTTGAAAAACTTTTTTGCAACAGGATCGCCATCATGATTTGATGCATAACAGGTGGGATGCCAGATCGACAGTACATAACCCAGAAACCGGAGTATACCTACACATCAGCCACGCGATTGAAGCGACCAGTTCCACTAAGACAGTAAACAGGGCGCAACCACAAATTCGAAAGATAGTAACCTCCGTAGGTATCAAGCAATACGCAAATGGTTACTACAAGCCCCAATCACTATTATCACTCATATCAATACATATGATGGTGGAAAAAAGCCACCAACTTTCCAACAATCAAAACTGCCAATCAAGTAACCAACATCTTCTACCCTTGCGAGACCCAGCCAGCCGCCGCAGCACAAGATACTCAAAGCCTAACTCTAGCGGCGTCAAGCATGGACGAGTTAAAGTTATGTATTTGTCCCGGTATACTGGACAAGCAGGAATCGTGTTGACAGAGCCTGTGAAGGGGGTAGAAAGAAAGGTTGCTGTGCAAGGGCCAAGAAATGGTCTGAACCTTGGCTGGGTTGATGCGCCGCAGCTGCCAGGTCCGTCACCGCTTACTCTCTGCGCGCGCAATCGGGCGACCTGTATACGTGATGCGGGTCAGAATCCGGTTTTTGTAGCCGAGGATGCAGTACGGAGTCATGTATGTATGTACACGCCTATCATTTTGATGGAAGAGATCACAAGATCATGTACTGCGTACAACATGGTAATTTTTTTTATCTTTAAAATAATTTTTCTATCACAATTTCATATGATCTGCGTGGGTAAAAGATTTCACCTACTTGTTAGTACTAGTATTAGGCACAATCACATATTACAGTTTTAGTGTCTTACTCTTCTTGGGCTAGTTCCTTGGTTTCTGACAGCTTACTAGTGTTGGAGTGGCTATAACTCCGTAGAAAATGATATAGTTTTCGTTCTCGTCTAGATTCATGCATTCAAATCAAACCGTAGCAACCTCGGGAAAGCGGCTTGCGTCTTACTACCTGGTTATTTTCGACGAGCACTAGCACGGAAAGAATAGCGGGAAACGATTGGCGTGGATTTAGGTTTATTTTCCGCCCCGAATACAATCGCCTAAAACAAAAAAAAATAAGAGATGGATCACACGCATCCTGGCTAGACTACTGTAAGCAGGAATCTAAGTGCGGAGACGCCGCTGTTCCCATATCTAGCGTGCCTACTAGGTATACGTTATGCATTTATGAACCACGCCAGAAATGGATATTGGTGCTGGGTTAAATTACGCGTAGTTTATGTACGTATCTAGTCGAATCACATCACTTTCGTGAATAATTTGATTCGAGCGGAAGTGTACGGGAGACATAAATTAAAAAAAGAACTATTCAATATGGGGCTCTCTCTCATCCGCTTCTCCGCTTTATCCGTCTTACCCCGGCTACTGCCACAATTGGCAAGAACCTCCCAACTTGAATGGCTTGGTGGAATGCCTGACCTAATCCTCTAGTCTTGCCTAGCCTAAGCCTCAACCGGACCAGCATGGGTTATTTGGGGCTGGGAAAGATGGATTACGTGGAGAAAGAGGCCATGGAGAGAGAAATATGAATTAAGATATCCAATGTTGCTCAGGTTGCATGTGCAGGAACTAGTAAGTGCTAAGAAGGGGCAAAACGTAATAGAAACTTCTGGAGAACACGAACTCAGAAATATTTACATATTGCAAGACATAATTTTCGTTCTTCTCATCCTGGGACTACGTAGGTGGACGAGGCGCGCCGCGGACATCTAAATCGGAGACTTTACATACGTGGCTCATGGAGGAAGGGGCTGCGAATGGCGTTAACTGTATGGATCCAGGAAGTATCGACGAGGTAGTGGAGCTAGTTACTACAACATTTCAAAGTACCGTGTAGGTGGTTCCTTGAGGCTACCAATACTATTTTCTCTCTCTTATTCTTTGTTGACTTCACACGGTTCGCATTGAGGCTGAACGAGATGGGGTTGTGATGTGCTCGTTTCCCCACATTGGCGTCTACCAGGAGGCCTGAGCTACGCACCGTCGATGATTTAGTTGCGTGGTCCAACTTTGTATCGACGGTCGGGTGTTGGGAAACCGTAGGATTTACTGTGCCAACATGGCCAACCCCATGGATGGCCAGTCGGCGGAGGAGAATCAAAAAATTACTTAGCGAGTTTCGAAGACTAATCAATTAACATCATTCAATTCCGTGTACGATACAGTTTTTGCCCCTGGAAAGTGGCAGCCGATTTAACACGTAACGACCGTGGCATACAACTTTCCAGAACTCCTACCAAAAGTCTCGGTGTCTATCTAGGCAAGTCCAAAAGAAAGTACCAACATGGATGAATACATCCCTTCTCCACTGATTGGATTTTTGAACCAAACCCACACTTAAACAAATTAATACCGCTTGAAACTAGCGTTCAGTAGAAATGAAACGAAAAAGAAAAGAAAAGAAAAAAAAAGGACAGGGGAAAAGAAAGCCCCGCCGGCCCCAAGGATACGACTACAACCCCCCGCCACAGGATCCCCGTTTCTGCACTAGCGATCCTAGTAATCGGGTACAGCTTGTGGGGTCCCACGTCGCCAAGGACCCAGTCATGAAAGACATGAGGAGAAACCCACATCCTTTTTCTTTCCACTCTGATTACGACTTACTCAATGTAGACATATCATCGCGTGCGAGCCAAGCTACACTAACATCGTTCGAGATCTCGGGCGATCGTGGGTCCTAACTGGCCGAGGTTGAATTGCCGCCCCCAAACCCTCCCAAGCCCGCTACTGTATTAACGCCAACTCGGGCAAGCGAGTCGAATTCCTTTTTCGGATTAGCGTGCGATGAAACGTGCGATGAATGGCTACAGTGGTGTTTCCCCGAGTCGTAGGTGGTTTCTAAGTGGAGACGCCGAGATGATTAAACAGCCTGTTAGCTGTTTCAATTCCTTGGAGCATATCTTTGTTGTTCGTAGTATACATTCCTTAAATTTGTTTCGTTTATCCATCCGAGATCCGTAGGTAGCGGTGAATAGGCCGCTATTTTCGATGACGACTCCTTTTCATATACACATATCCTTACATATGCTTCATATTCACTTCATAATAATTAACCGGAAAAGGCCAAGACGCAATCTATACTATCATTGGCTCAGGCCATTTTGAAGGGATTCACGGTGGATCTGTCAAAAACATGACATATCAGCCACAAATTCGGTTCGGGACATCGAAACTCAGTTCAAATGCTGGGGCTGGCTTCTGCTCTGATCTACATTTATTTTGGATTTTAGACCTTTGGCCCCTCTTGGCGATTTACATTGTTTCTCATCACCTGGATTAAGAATGAGACTTTTTGCCCAGAAAAAGGGGCAGGAGACATTGGTCACCGAGGTCTCAGGGATAACCCCTGCTAGCCGGTCTGTGCGATGAAACACGAGCAGGCAATGACGACATAGTAAAGGTTGTAGTCGGAGTTTAGAGTCCACGCGCCCGAAAGCTCCATGTCGCTTGTATTGGCGCGCTGCGGGGCGGTGGAGATTGCTTTCGTTCTCGTTTATGGGCTTGATAAGAAGTTTCCGTGTCATTCATTTTGTGATGAGAAATGCCAAGCAGATAAGCAAAACACTCGACCAGGTCAGATACAAGGAAGAAGTTACCAACTGGGCAGACGATTGAGTTTGCTTGGTATTGATGAAATCCGATCGATAAATATGGCTATAACGTCACACGGCAGTAGTGTCGTTGATGGAGATGATTGGTACCGATATGCAGCACGCATAGCGCTAAACCGTGAAAGCTCTCCGTGTTCTGATCAAGACCCATTCAGCTTGGAGGAAGATCATGTACTACGCAAGGGGGCAGAGTGGAAACTAGTGTGAATTAGGGAAGTCAGGAAGGCGATCTTTGCAGGCGATCAATTGGGTGGAAATAATCAGGAGCGAAAGATAGATTGAGCCAATCCATAATTATTTGCTATTCCCAAGCTCCAGATTTGTATATGGAGCTTGGGCCTCAGAACGGGAGACGTTGGGAGACGAGGATGGGGAGAGCTTCTCTTCTTTCGCCGTGCGGTGCAGCACTCCCGCAGCAGGCCACAGGGTGGTGTGTGCGTATTTCCCCGTCGGTCTTTGTGTAATATTTGCGTCGAGCTGTAATACACTGCGGAGTACGCTACTCGACCGTTCCCGAGGCGGGTCCGCTAAGTCGACGGGATCAGACTGGGTTCCCGGTACCTGGAACGATGGAGACGGTGTACGGGCCTTGTATTGGTCGTCATTAAAGGGTGGTATTGTTTGAATGTCATTGTGTCCCTGAACCATACTTTGGCCGTCTAGAAAAGACCCAGAAACTTGGACGGACCATTATTAGTTTGACAGTGGCAGTTAACTTGTTAAAGTTCTTCCCGTATATTGAATCCTGACAATGCGTCTTGGCGAATCGTTTCAATGGTCTTTTCCAGATCTAGTCTGTTTATCTTGGATCAAAGACGCTGGAAACCTTCGGTCATCAGTGAGTAACGCACCCATACACCAATACACCTACCCACCAGACCCCGAATGATATAGGGGAAAAGAAAGGGGACACCATTCAAGCAGCGTGGAAAGGGAGTGGAGCACCAGTATAGAACCGTGTAACCACCAGAAAAGACTAGAAATCCTCTTTTTGCACAGAATGAAGGACTAGAGAGAGAAGCGAGGCCAGATCTGCAACGCGCGCAGAAGCGTCCAAACTAGCAAGGCGCCAAAACAGAGATGGATCCAGTACGGAGTCGAAACAAAGACTATCGCCGAATTAGAAAGACGCAGAAACAAGCTTCTGGGGGAAATGATCTGGTGGGCCTCAAATTGGGGCAGTGTTGGTGATTTCGATTGAAACCAAGGGAATCCATACGGGGACACCTTTCGCTCTCCACCTTTTTTCCACTAACCAGTAGACTTCATCGAGGTCACATCGTTGCCCCATGAGGCAGGACTGAATTGAACTAGAATACGAGCGATCGACACTGATTGGACCCGAGCCGACTACGTACCCAGTGGTAGCAACATCTGTGCGCGGCTCAGGCCGAACCCAAACCATCTCGGCAACTCTATTGGGTTGGATCCGTGAATGGAGACGATTTGGACAAGAAATAACCAGATACAGTATGGATTTTATCGTAAGATTCGATTTATGGTCGTGGGGGTAAAGTATGAAGCACGGAGAAGTGGAACATCGAAGTTACCAGATCATGGCTTAGCATAGCGTGGGTTAATGGTCTTGCGGCTCTAGACCCCTTGTCACTATTTGACCATGGTATACATCTACTGCCACATGGCAATCCCCTTTTTCTTACTCTTATTTGAGTCGCTAGTGAACTGCGAGTCATATCCTATATATTGCTCGTCGTAATGTGAACATCGTCATTCTTATTGGCCTAAACTAGTATTGATCGTCTCTCGTGATTCTTCGTGTTCATCCGAATCCATGCCGTTGTATCTAACTAAATCAGTATCTATACTACGTGTATCAAGCGACTAGAAACTGGCGCAGTATAGAAATAGGCTATAATACCCTTAGTTTTCAATTTCAACGATGACTTTTTACCTGCTTGGGTTGTCGAGTCCGAAGCCGTTGTGGAGCCGACGTGGCTAATATTTCCATCTCGCTCGTCGGCAAAAAAATAGTGGAGATGTCTTTCGTTAAAGATTAGGATAGCCAAGAAGAAAAACTCAATATGAAGCTGTCAAAAAAGAATTAAACTAAAACATTCACCAAATGATACGCCAAACAAATTCACAGTCCAAATATGGCTTCATTCCACGGTTCTGGGCTCCATGCCTCTTAGAAGTCCGGTTACGGGCCCACATCGTGACCCCCAGAGTTGACTAAACTGAATTTGGAAAATCTAGACGAAACAAGGTCTTTACCACATTTGATTGGGTGGGTCGTATATGCATTAGCTTTTTCTGTGTTGGCTTCAAATTATGTCCTCAGTATCATTGGTTAATGTTTTGGTGATTGTCTCCATTTTAATAATTGCCTTTGCTATTTTGGGTGTATTTTTACTGGTATTATGTACTTGTATTACCGAACCGAAATGGCCATATCTCTTTCTAGTAACTCCGTTATAAACCTACTCCGTATAGTCATCTAGTTTTCTTGGATAATGACTAGAATACCTAGATCGGGTGGCGCTTCCATCTACGTATAGTGTTAGAGAGTGCCTCGTATTCGCGATGGATTTCAGAGATACCAAGACGAAGAGTGATATCGACATGTTGCCATGTTGCATTGGGGCCTTCGTTTGGTGTAAACCTTAGTCAAATCTTGTAAGTGTACGAGGTTCTGTACTCTAACGGAATATCCATATCAAGAGGCACCGAGAGAGTTCAAGGGACTTGGTCGGTTTATTTAGCTATTTACTTCAATATGAAATATTTCATGTTACTCAATGAATGTTCGAAGGTTCGAATTATTCGACTACTGAAGCTTATTCATTAAAACTAATAACATCTTATAGTGAAAGTAGTTGATATTCCGGATTATATTAATCTAAAGGTCATTCCCTGATGGAGCTCTTTTCAGCTCACCGTGGCGATAATCTTTGAATTCAAAAATGGGCCTGTATTTGGTGCATTGGACTGTAGATTATGTAGTCAACCTCACTGCTTAGGGACCGAGCTTTCTGTGGGTATAAAATGTCAAATCACCCGCGTTTCTCTTTGGCAAGCCGAGGCTAACTGGTATCTTGATTTCTATTCGAATCCTTTATACCCAAGTAGTGTACTGATCATTTAATCGTATGCTTTACACAAGCTGGCTCTGGTATTCTCTTTTATTGTCAAACGAAGAAAGCATTTCCCGAGTATTTGGAATGACTCGTATCCAACAGTAATACCGCGGACTACTATATGGATTTGATTAAGGGGGGTTTATTGGAAAGTCGCTTCCGGGCGAAGTACCGCAATGATGACTGTAATGAACGCCGGTATTCTTTACAGGAAGTCTGTTGCACATTTTGATACAGATAGGGTTTCTGGGATACCATGTTCTGTACTATATTCTAGGTTCATGAGATGATGGGACGAGCTCGACTTCAAGCCTGAAATTTCTTGCGAATAATCGCATATCTCGCATGATGATTTGTTTCATACGATCTTGCCTGGCAAAAAGAACAGAATAGAGCGAACAATATTCGGTAGGATTTTACCTCTCTTCCAGCAAAATAAGTTGTTTCTCATGGTTGAAAATAAGATCTCTCGGTAACATGGTTCAAACTCAACGCTGCAAGTATCCACGGCTGGTTATCATTCTTAAAGGTAAGCAATGTCAAGGTAGCAGGCAATGTTTTTTGCAGATGAGAGGTGATCAATGACTCTCATGTCTCGTCCAAGAGACTCTATGAAAGGTATGTACAGACTCCTTTTCCTGGAACCCAGTCGGCTGACCTCGAGATACCAAGATAAAAATTGGATAACAACCGGAGACTAACTTGAAATTGCCACTGGACAAAAGCGTATGTTTGGAAGCTGAATCGACATTGGATACAAAAGAAAAAATGCCAATCCCGATGACCTTCTGATGCATGAGGCTGGCTGAAATGGTCATTTGCAGAGCAGCCACGTAGTGTCAGCTGTCGCATGGGAGTAAGAAGTATAAGTGGCATGATATAGGTCGATTTGGAGTGTTTTTAGCCGAGCCGACGAGAGCCTCAACTTATGAGTGATCTCAATCAAATACCTACATGAAATGATATTTAATTAAGTATTCCAAATATGGCTGGAGGGACTGCTACATTTGGGACATAATTTATCGTGAGAAAGATGATTAGAACTTTAAATGCAGAAAAATTCATTCAAAAATGACCATCTATCTCGCTTTGCTCTGCTAAGTATTCGTCAAGCACAGCTAGACAAGTCCAAAACGTCAAACATAATCATTAGTCCGAGAAATGCAACAAAGCACTCCCACAGTCATGCGTCATGAACATGAACATGTCTCTGAATAAATCTAATCATCAGAAACAGCAACCTCATCCTCCCAGTGGGTTTTTCCCATCTCCCGAGCACGCTTAATAACACGCTCAATGCCATCCAGACCCTTCTCCAGCACATCCATCTTAGGTCCGTAACTCAAACGCACAAAGTGGTGGCAAGGAGAATCGAACAGATCACGACGCTTAGCAGGGTTAAGATCGAAGAAGATACCAGGGACAACGATAACCTTCTCAGTCAGAAGGGCGTTGAAGAAGTTCAGTCCATCGGAGATGTTAGCCTCCTTGGGCAGGGGTGGGTCGAGAGAGGTCAGGTCCAGCCAGATATAGAAGGTTGCCTGGGGTACGTCTTGGATGCGGAATCCAATATCGTACAGACGCTTCATGACGAAGTCGCGCTTTTCACGGAAGTGGAATTGCAGGGCCTTCATCTCCTCGCGGACGAGGGATGGCTCCAGCATGGGAATGGCGGCTTCTTGGAAGGGAACGTTGGCACCACCGTCTAGGTATGAGCCGGCAGAACCGAGGGCATCGACGAATTCCTTGGGTCCGACGATCCAGGCGATACGCCAGCCTGGTAGACGGAAGCGCTTGGTGAGACCGTCGATTAGGAGGACGTCTGGAGTTTATGGGTTAGTGGGGTTGGTTTGGTTGTGAGATTGGATAAGAGAGTTAAGGGAAGACTCACCATCCTTGTTGACATCAACGACGTGCTCAGCACCACTGATGGTGGAACCGTCGCAGTCAGTGGTATAGTTGTAACCACCGTAGAACTCGTCCAGAATTAGAGTGGCACGGTCACGGCAGATATCCTGAATCTCGGCGAGTTCGTCGTGAGAGACGAAGTGACCCGTAGGGTTACGAGGGTTAGATGTGAGCAGCACCTGAGTACCACGAGCGATCTCCTCGGCGATCTTGTTGGGGTGAATGTGGTAGTGGTCCTCTTGAGACAGCGGCATGGGAATGGGGGCAATCTATGATGATGCAGAGGTCAGCATATGCCAATTCCATTTCTCCATGACTTTGACTTACGTTCTTGAACAGTGACAACATCTCCGAGTACGCAGAGTAATCGGGAATAGGGAACGATAGGTAAGAGTTACCCAGGATAGCAGCGATACGAATCAAACCCGCACGTCCACCGGGCACAATACAGACATTTTCCCAGGTATATTGACTCTCCTTTCCTTGACGATAGTGCTCGTTATACAGACGGGCAACGGCCGCACGCAGAGGCTTGATACCGGCGGTCGGGCCATACTCCCGAGCAGCGGAGGTGATTGGGATCGACGTCGGGCGGGGGAAACTACCCTCGATCCCATCGTCGGCCTCGGGGGCACCTTGGCCTAGATTGGCCCAGTTGTGAGGATCCTCGGCGTATCCGTGCTCGGTAGCACGTTCCGTGCACCAGACAACACCGGTAGAAGCACGGGAAGCATCGAGACCAGCGTGGGGTCGGTGACCCTCGTGGGCGGTACGGAACTGACGATGAGTTTCGGAGCGTTGCTCTAGTGGGGGACAAAGTTAGCGGGGTTGACTCTTGTTGATTTCTTGCTATTCCATATATCTTCTCCATTGTATTGAGGGGGGTCAATGGCTGAAATTTCCATCAATAGGTACTTACCGTTCTCAGAGAGACTCTTGCTAGCGGAGAAGCGGCGGTCGCTAGAAGGACGCAAGATGCTCACTCGGCGACCGGAGAACGACATGCTTGGCTTTTCTTTTTTTGTGTTTAAGAGATAATGGCTGATGTGACGTAACTCACAGATGAAGAAATAGAAAAGGGGAAAATAAAAATTGGATAGGAAGAAAAAAGAGGGGAAAAAGGTGTTGACCTTGTTTAACTAGTTTTGGTTCCCACTGCAGTCACCGATGAGGTGGCCCTCTCCGTTGGAACGGTGTGAATGCTGAACCACGATTCGACGAATCCACCGCACCTGGCTCTACTCTACGCCGAAGTCCCCGCAGATCCAAAAGGGGCGGAATATGGAGCACGGAATACAATGAGACCTGAGAGTTGTTTCAACTGTTGGGCACCAAAATCCTGGTGGAACTTAACTATTGCTACAACCCCGCGCCGAAGGATTCTATGAGGTCGATCTGCAGCCTTTTGGGTACAATAGAGCTTATGTAGATTCCCCGGACTTCAAGAGGATCTATCACTTTGTCTGTAGAGTCTGTAAGTCTGGGGAAGCTGTATAACTTTTAGCTCCTGCAGATTTCATACATGATACATGTTAGCTCTATGCCAAGCATCGATAAGTGCCGAGATTAGAAAAGAGACCGGCATCCCGATCGGCATGACGCCACGAACAATACTATTGTAGACTTCTACTGGAGTAGTAAGGAGTACAATGTAAAACGCACACATATAAAATTTCAAAGATCAAAAAAGATCAACATGGATTTGCCAAAATCGCTCAGAACCCTGCCCACGTACAGGCTGTCTCCTCCCAAAAAAAATAAACTATCAAAGTATGCATACATCATAGAAGGTGCTTCATACGTTCATGGACATTCAGCGAATTTGTAGATCAAACAAGACATTCGTGCACTCCCCGCCACGGGCGATCCGAGGTTAACGGGACGTTGAAAAAAAAGGGTAAAAGTAAATAAATGGGGATAAATAGTTGTCCAACAAGACAGGCCGCCGCTTCATGCCTCCAACACCGTTCATGCCACGTTCAAACTCATTATGCAAATGCATCCCTTGGGAGATCAAAGAAAATTCATAGCTCGTCAAGGGTAAAAATGAAAGAAAGGGGGAACGGATGGGGAGCTCGTCTCTCTCCAAGAGTGGCTGCTCAACAGACCCAAACCAATCCAGTTGGGGAAGATAAGATGGGGGAGGGAGGCGAGAGATAAATGGAGAACAAGCGCCACAGTGATGCAATGATTTCAATGAAGACAAACGTATATGGACGTTCCCCGGGGAGATGATATAGGGGGAGGGAGGGATCAAATAGAAAGAAAATGGTGGGAAGGGGAAGCACATTCAACAAAAAAGGGTACGTAATTGGTATAGTGGAGAGTACAGCCATTTAATCCACAACTTGGCAGTACAATTCGATCTCACCAACAAGGCCCTTCGCTAGCATATCGCGATGCTGCTCACGCCATTCCATAAAGGCGAGTTGAACAGCCTCGTCACTGTCAATGGTGACGAAATCGCCGTCCTCATCTCGATAACGTAGGCGAACAGTCTTATTGCCGATGGATCGATTTGTGAACCGGGCCAATTTGGCATCCACACGATCGGTCAGGGAGCGGAAGAGGATATTAGTCGCAATCACCAACGTCACATAATTATCATCAAAGTTGACCTTTGCCTTCAGCTGCGTCGGCATAAATGGATCACCATCTGCCTCTTGAGTCAACGGGGATGTGGCATGTTCAGAGAGCTGACCCGAAATACGAGACTCGTTATACTCTGGCTCCGAGAAGTGTGTTGGGTGATGCGGCTGCGTGCGAATGGGAAGCTGACTGTTGGTGGGTGAATTATTCTGGCTTCGGTTTACTGGAGCTTTCATATTGGCCATGTGTGCGGGGATTGGCGGGACAGGAACATTGTCAACCGTTTGCATTGTGTGGGCTCCCATGTATCGACGCGACTCGGGAGGTAAATTGTTGTGATGATGGATGTCAGGGCTGCTAGCGGAGCGCATGCGCTGAGCGGTTCCATTAGAAGCAGCCTGGGGCCCGGAAAGGGGTGGCAAGGATGGACGCTGATTACCACGGCCGTTTGGTTGCGGAGGGGGGAAATACCCTGTGGGTGTGCTGCCATCTCTTGAGGTTGCCCGAGACAATGCTGGCGCGGTATAACGATTACTTTCTTCGTTCCAAACTGATGATGCAGAAGTAGAGTTGGTATTTTGACGGCCAAATGAGAACCCGGTCGACTGGGAACTGGAACGTGTGGACGGGGTCTCTGTTGGTGAAAAATATGAGCTCATGTTGCGGTCAGTGGGTGACATGTTGCCAGCACCTGAGAATTGGGTATGGACAGATAATGTCGGGTCAGTGCCTCCTGCATATCGTGGCCGCCCATTAGGATGTGGAACGGAGCCGGTGCTACCACCTGTTGCTGAACGAGTTCTTAGACTAGTACTGGACGCATTGCGACTCATTGGGAATTCAGAGTAATAAGCCCCGTCCTTGTTCACATCATCAGTTTCAAACTCTTGCTGGTATGGATTCGGTATGTTGGCCATGTTTTCCATATAGGTAAACTCGCTGTCAGAGGTGCCAGTATTCCGCAAAGTGCGTCGCTCCGATTGAATTGCCCGTTGCGTATCGATATCCTTGTACCAATTGCGCATGGTATCTTCATTCACATAACGAATAATGAAATTGTCGACCACCCCGGGATCACCCTTCCAGAAAATTTGAATGCGGTAAAGACCTAGTAGCAGCGTTAGCAACGTGCTTTTTTTCTAATCGCAACACAACATGTACTAACCGGGCTTTTGAAGACAGACAATGTCGGTGACATTTGCCATGTAAATTCGACCCTTTAGCTGAAGACGCGCCTTTCCTTTGGCTGTAAGAGATGGCTTGTCTTTGTTCATCATGAGTTTTGTTTTCTGCTTATTCGGGTTGATGTCTTTGCAGCACAGAAGGATGCGCTCGAACAAGAAAATGTGATACTAAGAAGTGCTATTAGCAAATAACCTCTTGGGGGTATTGGACGACGGGTGCATAGTTAAGTCATTGGGACGCACCTCTCTCTCGTTATCCTTTCCACTATCTCCCTTGACCACCGCAAATGTACCAAAGCGAAGGAGCTCTCCAAATGAGTCCATCTTAAGAGCCTTCCAATCATCTACTCGCTCGGACAAGTCGACTACGGCTGCAGCCAAGTGTTCCTTGTGAATGGCTTCATTAGCCGAGTCGAGGGCGTTCTGGATGGAGTCGATGGCTCCCGTGATATCTGCTTTGAGTTGCTCATCCTCCAATTGTTTGCGCAGCTCCTAAAAAGCAGCGAAAAATACATTAGTCAACTTGAAGGGGTCCGGGAGAGAATGTGAGATCAATTTACCGATAGCATGAGCGGATACCTAGTCAAACGCTGAAAGGGCTTGACGAAGAAACCATTCAATGTCTTAGGTTGCGCAACCATTTGCTGAAGATCGATATGGCGGGGTGCGTTCTTAATTTTATCCCATTCCTTCATACAAACCTCATCGCAACGCATTTGATTCGCAATGAATGGTTCATATTGTTGAAAAGCGTCTTCGTTAGCCGAGAATAGAAGGCCCCAGTTTTGCATACTCTCGGGAAGAGCATAATGTTGCTCCATGCGAATCAAGAACCGCTGGGCAAAATCCAGCAAGTTATTGAGATTCAAGAAGATTGAGTGGCTTGCATCACCTGTCAGAGCACCAGTCTCTTCCAGTTCCTTCTTGAGGGCCTGCAAGTTCTGCAAATGGTGGACATAATCGCGCTCAGTTTCCAGAAGTTCCTTGAGAATGTGCTCGCGTTTAGTGAGCTTCACAGCTCCTTGTACATTGTCCGGGGCATCTGTCACAGATGGGCGCTTGAGTTGCCCTTGCATCTCGAGGATATCCACTACGCGATTAACCATCTTGATCACCTTTATAAAACCAGTTGTACTTTCACCATAAAGATCTGTGATTAAGAAGCAATCTTGCTGAGGAAAGGCCAAATCCTGCAGACATGCCTGCAGGAATTTGAATGTGGCTGCTTTGGGACGCTTCGCCTCGGGGACTTTGACTGGGTCGACAGCCAACGGCTCATCTGGACCAGACGCATTGTAGATGCTGAGCAGGGGATAACCATCACGGAGGCAGCCCCACAGCGCAGCTACAGGGTCTGTGTTTCCCCGCTCGCGATCCTCGTCGTCCATCTTTTCCAGCCATGGTTCAAATGTAGGCACCTCTGAGAGTCGACGTTTCAAGTTGACACAGCTTTGATAGATCGATTCACCACCGCGTCGGTTGATGATATTGTCCTCGGCGATCGGAATTCCGCTCATGATGGCGGTATCGATCATGTTCGAATACCTCGACCGGGTAAATGAGTCAGACCAGCCAGGCTCAGCTCGAATCCGCGCAGCAGACTGGGGATATATGTATATATGAGCGGGGGAATCGACGAATGTCGAGCCGACGGGATGCCGATCATGTGTTTCCCGCGACAAGGTTGGTATAGGAGAAGGGGGCTGCACCGCGCGCAGAGAGGGCGTAGAATGTTCGGTGGAATTCCGAGAACTTGGCGAAGGTGTCACGTATGTGTTACCACGAGTGGCGAAGTCGCTGGGCGTGTATAAGCTGGGATAAGCCTGCTGAGAAGATACAGGGACAAGGATATAAATCGACAGAAACCCGAATCTCACGGACGCGCCGCCACTTTCCTCCGAGGGGCGGTGACCCAAAAATCCAAAAGAAAGGTAGGGAAAAGAGGATTCCTTTCACAAACGGCGGATCCCAGTCTATGGGGTTGCTCGGTATGTTTGACTTCTTTTTTTAATATCTAAGTTCTCTTCTCCGAGTCGGAAGTAGATACTGCAGCCGGGCAGATAGTAGCCGACTCACGGAATAAAGAGCGGTTTTCGAAACCCCCTGTTGATAAGGCCACCGGTCACTAGGACTGCGGGAAGTAGCCAAGGAGGGAAAGAGGAAGATTCAACTTCCAACAAGATATATTAGCACCCTAGTTACCTGAATCAAGGCCAACAGACTCAAAATCGAGGGGCAGCGATGATTGAGCAGAGGGAGAGGAAAGGAGGGAGCGGAAGGAGAGGACTGTTCAGTTGCCCGAAGCGGTTTAGCGCGTGTTCCATCTCGGGCGGTGGGATGTGGGGAGGGGCACGAGTCTCATCAACCTGAGACGAAGGACTTCTTCATGATGCTACGAGTAGACAGAGTTTTAAAAAGGTGGAAGTTCGAGAGTTCGATTAAGTGCTTAGTGGGAGGGTCTCTAGATTATATCTGGACTTAATTGGAAAGGTGTGTATACTACATAATCCTCCAAAATGTCCCAGTAGGGCTCAAGCTGCTTGGAAAGTAACCCTCGGAATGGGATCGACCCCCCTTATATTTGGGTGGGCTCCAATCTATATGTAGTACATTCTCAAGCCACTGATTAATATACTGCAGTAGTATGAGATTATTACAGATAATAATTAGTTTAGACGACCATTCCGAGTCTAAATACAGTCCATATTCAATTTCAACTTGACATATGATATGTTATCAATCTCTTCTGTATGTACTCTATTCATCCCATATAACAGGCATGACTGCCTGACCATCACGTGATCTATGTTTGAGTCTGCCATTCCAAACGAACCATGGACAATGTTTATTGATTTCGGCAGACTTCCATTCTCAATCAAATTCATTTTGCTTTCTCTCCTTCCGAAATCACAATCAAACCCCCGTGCGACCCGATTCATGGTTTATGGCTTACACTTTCTGATACATTGACTGCTCTCCACCCGATCTATCACTTTCTTCCAAGTGGATCCCGCACCTCCGTGACGTGACATGCAGGCCAACGCGAACCTCCATCATCTATTCCTGTGCAAAAGGGTTCACCACCGTGTGGGTTCCAAGACATAGAACACAGCGACTCTTTTATTTTTTGTCCCTCAGCTGGCGTGGCCAGTCCCCAAGTCCGGACTGTGTTCATTGCTGAGCTAAACCCTCACCCGTCGTTCATCTTCGCCCCCGAAACCTTGAGGCATCCTCACTTCGAAGCCTTACCCCATATTGTCTTGCTTATAGCACTCATGGAGGAAGATCAGGCACCAGACGCCTCTTTCCATCAAACCATTCGCCTTCAGACCACAACCCTCCCGGCCTTTCCGACATACACTGCGCCGTCCACTCTTTCACCATCTTTCAAGGTAGACGAAGGCTACTCAGACGATACTCGCAGCCAGTCAGACAAAGAGCCACCTACAGAAAATGCCATGATGATTCCAGAATGGGTGCTTGCCCAACGAGAGTCCGATAGAGCTGGTAAGTACTGCTTCTATGTGAAGGGAGAGCCTTCAACCTCCCCTCCCCCTCCCAAAGCCTCTTTCGAAATTCCCACCCGCTCACATGCAGCCCCTCAACCACAGAACTTGCATACAGTCTCCTGCGATCGCTTTCAACTTCCACGATTGCTGGTGTCGTAGAACGTCTCACTCCACTACTGCACATGGACCCCGTCGTCAAGCTACCGCCAGAATTAACATTCGAGATATTTTCCTATCTTGACGCGCCCACCCTTTTGAATGCGACCCTTGCATCCCGTTCCTGGCGTAACCGAATCCTCGATTCTGGCCTCTGGAGGGTGCTCTACATCAATGAAGGTTGGCGGGCAGATACACGTGCGATTCAAAATTTCGAGCAAGAACATTCAGAGGCATTATCTCCTCAAAGCCGCAAATCACGCCCAAGATACTCGGAAATTGATATTGGAGAGCCAAAGCATAAAAAGCGCGTTCTAGAAACATGGCTTGCATCAAGGCGTGCTAATGGCCTAATTCCCAAGAATAACAGCGGCCGCCTCCATGCTGAAGCCGATAACGAGGGAGACCACCATATGACTGATGTAACCGGCTTTTCCTCTCTGCCCTTCAACGAAATGGATATAATACAACCTACCTCCTCTCATCATTTCATATCCAACCTAATACCACCACTGTATTCATCTTTACTTGTTCGACGCTCGAATGGAACAGCAAAGATCAATTGGGTCCACCTGTACAAGCAACGTCGCCGACTCGAAGCGAATTGGCATCGAGGTCGATTTAAGAATTTCCAGCTACCCCATCCATCATACCCAGAGGAAGCCCATCGAGAGTGTGTCTACGCTATCGAGTTCCAAGGGAAATGGCTGGTTAGCGGGAGTCGTGATAAGACTGTTCGCATCTGGGATTTGGAAACCAAGCGATTGTGGCACAAGCCACTGGTTGGACATGCCAAATCAGTGCTATGCCTTCAATTTGATCCGACCCCCGAAGAGGACATTGTCATTTCCGGCAGTAGTGACCGCTCTATAATCGCTTGGAGATTTTCCACGGGCGAAATGATCCACCAAATCACGAATGCGCACACTGATTCCGTTTTGAATCTCAAATTCGATAGTCGTTTTTTGGTAACATGTTCGAAGGACCGGACTGTCAAAGTTTGGAATCGCCAAGAACTCTCAGTGACTGATGAGAACTACCCCCGTATCTGCAGGGGTGGCGGTGCTACCTATCCTTCATACATTGTTGATCTCAATGAAATGGCACCAAATATTTTGGAAGCTAGCTTGGCAAATGGCCATTTCAAACCATTAGAACCTTATTCGCGTCTGATGACAATTGAGGGCCATGGCGCAGCCGTGAATGCCATGCAACTTCATGGTGATGAGATAGTTACAGCTTCGGGGGATCGTATGATCAAAGTTTGGAACGTTCGTACAGGTGCATGTTTGAAGACGTTGATGGGCCATGAGAAGGGGATTGCATGCGTCCAATCTGATAGCCGAAGAATCATAAGTGGGAGCAACGACAACACTGTCCGAATTTATGACCACATTACTGGGGCTGAAGTCGCAGTTCTTCGAGGACATCAGAACCTAGTCCGTACTGTCCAAGCAGGGTTTGGTGATCCTCCGGGCGCCGATGAGGATTTGCGGCGAGAGGCGTTGGAAGTGGAAAACGCATTCTGGAAAGCACATCAAGATGGCGACCCTGTTGACCTAGGTCCCCGGGCCTTACGGCGTTCCGGCTACACGTCAAATACCGCCGGGTCTCGCGATCCCCGTGATATTTCTGCCCTGGGAGCAAAGATCCCGCCAGGCGGTGGAGGTAGTGTTTGGGGCCGTATTGTATCCGGGTCCTACGATGAATCTATATTGATATGGCACAAAGATCGGGACGGGGCCTGGACCATCGGTCATAAGCTACGCCAAGCCGATGCCATTGCAAATGCCGCGCGTGCCACTCTAACACCAGCCGCACGAGCCGCTGTCTCAGCACAAGTCCAGCAATTGCAGGCAGCACAAGTTCTCATGACTTTACCTGCGGCTCAAGCTCCTGCAGGTACTTCAGCACCGGGCCCAGCTGCTGTTCCCGACTTTGCACCCATTCTTGGTACACCTACACCGAGTACCGAAGTTGTCTCGGAACAGGACGACATGAGCGACGGCATGCCCCCTCCTCCTCTTCCCGCCAATGTCAATCCAGCTCCTATCGGGCTTGCACAACAAAATAATACGCAGCAGCAGCCCCAAGAACTTCAACAGCCCCAACGTCCTCAAATCAACCCACAAGCCCTACAACAAATCATGGCCCACCATCATCACCATCACCATGCACGTCCCCGTGTTCAACCTACTCCACCCACTTCGAGGGTCTTCAAAGTACAATTCGATTCTCGCAAGATAGTCTGTGCAAGCGTGGATCCACGTATTGTGGGTTGGGATTTCGCCAACGACGACGAAGATATCATCGACGCCTGCCCCTTCTTCGAAGGACTTTGAACCTTCTTCTCCTTCCTCCTTCTGCCCCAATTATTCTCTATATGCTATACATTACCTGGCCAAGTACATGGTCTGAAGATCCCTTGTCATGTTTAACAAGCAACAATCAACGACTGCGTACTGCAGATGAGCCCTCAACCCAACGATTCACTACTTGCATGCATTCTTACCCTTAATGTCCTTCTAATCTAATCACTTGCGCCTCATGTGCCCCCATTGTCCCTTCCCTCCCTAATCCTTCCCCGTCATGTCATTTTTAGCTACCAAGGATCAATCCGGTAGCAAATTATAAGGCTACAACTACATTTCTACGGGGTCTTTCCGGGTAAGACCGCTTAGCATCTAGATGAATTTATGAGCTCTCACACGCAATATTTTCTTCCTTTATATTGTAGATAGTATCCCAATTCCTCGATCAAGTTAGAGCTTTTACCAATCCAACCTTGGAGACTCTAATAGGTCTTCCAATATTTTACCTCAAGTTCCTGCCCAGGTGGATCGGTAGCCCTGCTGGGTAGTCGCAGCGCCAGGGGACACTAATTAGTTAGCGCATACGAATGAGTGCCCCTGGCACGGCTGGCACTAAGTACACTCCTCCCTCGTTAATAAGAACCTCGTTAACTTGAACATTTTGTGTGGCCTGAATTATTTTGCTTGCATACTACATAGTTAACGTTACGAATCTCCAAAAAAACCTTGATAAAATGAACAAAATTTTATGGCCTACATTATTTCAGATTAACGAGGGATATCTGCACATGTATGTACCCAGCGATTCAACTGAATACCTCCCAATTTCAAGGTGAAATATGTGTCCACCATATCTTTTCTCCTTTCTGCGCCATAGCAGGTTCAATCTCAATACCCAACCGACTCACCAACCCATCAGAACCAATCGAAAACTCGATGCGAGCAGCACTGAGTCCACCCGACCACAATACAATTTGAAGCCAATAAGTACCATATACATGGAAAAGACCCCACTCCATATCTTTAGAATAATCATTCGGTCTTGTATGCAAGATACATAAATCGGGTGTTGTCCGGTTCAAAACTTCGTATGCTTTGCTGTTGCTAATGCAATCGGTTGATATTCTTAGATCTGGATATGCTGGATGTGTATAGTATCCCTCAAAAGCAGATAAATCCAAAGGATTTGATAAAGGTGGGGAGGGCAGTTTGGGATAAATCTCTGATAATAGGTGTTTGGAGAGATGGGTGGTGTTCATGGCTGCGTCGGCTCTGTTTTCGAGGTTAGTCACTTGAAGTGTATGATACAGAGAAGGTCAGCTTAAGCCTGAAAGGTGTCATATTGTTATACCTTGTAACCCAGTCATACCGCTGTTCGAGTGGAATCTTCAATTCCTCATCTATAATATGATAGGCAAGTATATCCGCTGCAGCACTGGTACCATTCATATTATTCCCTAGTATAACCAGGCCAAAGTTCCGCTCTGGTAAGAGAACAACAGATGCTCCGTACCCTATCTGTGACCCTCCATGCGATATTATCGTCTCGCCCTTGTACACCTGAATCTGCCACCCAAGGCCATAAAGCGTAGGTGTTTGAAAGGGCTCAGTTGGATTCCGTTCCGCAACAAACTGGGCACCAAATAACATTCCATAAGTCCCTGGAGAAAGAGGCGGTCCGCAATTCAGGAGTGTTGAAATCCACTTTGCATAGTCTGAGACGGATGAGAGTATATTACCTGCCCCGCGGAGAATATCAATGGAAACTTGGTCGCTGGAGATCACTTTACCATTCAAGTCTTCGAAGTAGCCTTGTGAAATATCTTGATGTGCATCTTTAGCATCCGAGAGGTAAAGATAGGTTTCCGTCATGTCCTGTGGTAACCAGATGTTGTCTCTTAAAAAGGATTGAAAAGACTGATTTGTCACCGTCTCAATGATGTGAGCTGCTACACTGTACATGAGATTGGAATACTGGAATTCTGTACGTGGGGATGCTGTAAGTGGAAGATGTCGAATTGATTGCACAGCTTCTTGAAGCGTTATGTTAGCGAGCCATACCCTGTCGTGACGTGGAAAACCCGAGCGATGAGATAAAATGTCAATTATTGTCATTTGTGATGTTGCCCATGAGTCGTTGAGCACGAAGTCCGTTGGAATGATGCCATGTACTGGGGTGTTCCAATGGATGTTTGGAAATTTGATATTATCATCGACAAGAAGAGATATCGCGGCGGCAGTGAATGCCTTGCTTGTACTCCCTATCATGAAAAGTGTGTGCTCTGTCACTGACTTGGAGGTGGTGATATCTGAAACGCCGTAGCTCTTTACCATTCTTGGTTAATTCATCATATGAGGTAATTGCAGATGTGTTGAGGCGTGAGTAACCGACCTTGAAAGATGTTTCACCATGAGAGACTGCCACAGCTAGACCGGGGATCTTGAAATGCTCACGAGCCCATTCGACTTTTTGGTCAAATTTAATATCCAGGGCGACCTGAACTTATTTTCATGAGCCGAAAAGATGTATTGATCCTGGAATAACGCCAGGGAACCTTGAGCAAGGCCGTAAAATGTGAAGATCAATAGGACAAGAAAACGCATTTTGAAAAATAATTTTAAAAAAGCAAAGACTCTGCGCATCACAGGTCAAAAGCAAAGAGGAAGAAGGCCTGGGGACTCTACTCAATTTCAAGGCGTTTCAAGTTGAAGAAAGCTGACCGGGGGCTATCGGTAGGCAATGCGGGGGCGAGGTCCAAGTTTCAGGCAACCAATGCTAAGTTAGAGAATTGCTAATACCACCCCTCAAATGGCTAAACCCACCCCTTCTAAGCCGCTTTGGGAAATTCTGCCGTATTTGTAATATGAGCCGTTAACAAGGCGGTGTAATTTAAAATGGGCGGTCAATGGAGGCGGTGGACGCCCCGACACACCAAACCACACCAAACCACATCAAAAAAGGTGTCTATTGCGGAGCGCCCGGATATCTCTATTCTTTGATAACAATCAATTATATTTTAGTACGTGATTATTAAATAACGTATATTTATTAATCCAGAAGGGTTTTAAAAAATGGTTTAAAATAGTATTGCTGTAGTAAATCAAAGTAGGGGTTAAAATATATAAAGTTACTATGTAAAGGTAAATAATAGGGAAATAGCAAAGTATGGCGAGGTGTAGTAAGTATGTGACCTACTGTTTATAGAAATATTAAGAGAAGCTAATTGGCTGCCGAGGCCCTACAGTACCCTCAGGAATATGTATTTTTATTACTCCCGTTACTATATCAATATTTTAAGTAATAACAATATTTTAAACATATATTTGAATATCTCCCCTTCGCTAAAATGATTTCTTCTTTTAGAGTATTGTTATTTTCTATCTTCTCTACTACCCCTGAAAATTTGAAGCTATTTGGTTATTATTATGTTACTAGAAACTACTGAATCTCTTATGTCTAGTCCTAGACTGTTAACTACCCCTCCTCCTACATTCCGCGATGATTTTCTTAACACTATCAATATAATTTATAATAAAGAGACTTAATATCCCGAAGAGCTATTAGCTGATATATATTTAGATATTGAGCCAAGTTTCCCTCTATTTAAGCTAAATCCGCCCTGGAAACTTGAGTATTCTTCGCCGGATAAAGCTCAAACCGAGATGAATCAATTTGTAGCTACCTAAGGCTATGTAGTTGTTTCAAAACGCTCAAAATCCTCTAACAGGGTAAAACTTAAGGTTATTTATCAATACTAGCGAGGTGGTGAATATTGTGACCGCTGGACTATAGGACTTAATGCAGAAAAACGCAGAAGAGGCTGTATAAAAAAGTGTAACTGTCTATTTAAGGTTATTCTTCGTCGATATGGAGATATATAGTTATTGGAAATTAGAAATAGTAGCCATAACTATACACTATCACCTATTGTTAATATTCCTTATCTTTACCAAATAGCTATAAAAAAAAGAGGTTTGGAGATTGAACAGGCTATCTAGCAGGGGCTTTAGCCTCGCTAGATTATAGATCAGCTCAGGAATAAAGGCGAATATATTATTGTGAAGAACATCTATAATATTAAGATGGATCTTAACAAAAGACAACTTGGCGGCTGCTTATCTATTCAAACACTTCTCTAAGACCTCCCAAATTCAGGGGATTGGTATATCCGCTATAGATCAGATAACAACAATATTTTACTTGCTTTATTCGCTATCCACCGGACTTCTATTAGATTTTTACATCTTTTTCCCTATATTCTTTAGATAGATACAATATTTAAAACTAACAAGTTCAAAATACCATTGCTTGATATTACTAGAATAATATCAACAAACCAGACATTCTCCGCTAGCTTCTGTTTTTTATTAGACTCTACTACTAATTCATTTTACTGGGCATTACAACAATTACAATCAGTATTAGCAGTAGAATCAATCCCTGAGCCATTGACTATATTTACAGACAAAGAGCTTACAATTCTCAGTACTATACCAATGGTTTTTACACTTAACTATATACTTTGTTTATAGCATATCAATAAGTACATCCTTACCCATACACATACTCCTATTCGTCAGTATCTTAAATAGGAGATTAAAGAAGCTACAAAAAAACAAGAGATATTCTCTTTGAAGAATGGGTGTATACAGCAGGAGAAGCTTCATCGGTAGTGGAGAATAAAATAGTTCTAGCATAAAATTGTTACTACTTTAACACCTTAAGATTTCGAACAAAAATGGCAGGAATTTCAGCAAACTTACTGTTATGAGATCTTCTCTAAGCTAATTCGTTATATCCAGAAGGAATGGCTTAACCCAATATATACGAAGATGTTTTTACACCATTATACTCGGCATTATTTTCACTTTGGTGAGGTAGCAACATCTCGAAATAAGTCGGCACATTAGGCATTTAAACGTGATCAATAGGTAATTCTCCTATTATTATTAAGGGATTTTCTATTAAAATTTAGCTAGGGAACCTCAACTTCTCTCTTTGGAGCCTTTAATATCTTTAAACAGACAATTAAACGTCAATATTCAAATATTCAATATTAGTTATATGACCAGACACTTGGACGATTCATAGATCATTAATCCTATACATTTTTACTACCAAATCTCATATAGAGAATTTCCCTTGAAGCCATTCGCCGTCTAGAGAAAGAAATTAATATATATCTACCTATCCATATCGAAAAACCTTAAATTCCTATTTTCTGTATATGCGGTAAAGGCAGGGGCATTCTATGCATCCATCAAATTATTCTATATTATAATGAGAAAAAGCCACTTCCTCTTGATCTCTTCTACTTACAGTAGTATCTTCAGGAGGCTGATTCACCACAGTTTCATCTAGATCTTCTTTGTATATAGGAGCTAAGAATTCGGGATGATTAGAGGGTATAGATATCGCGAGGATTGTATACAGCATCACAAGCCTCGGTGGCCACATTATAGGCCTCGGGGGCCCAGTAAGACCCCTGAGGCCTAGAGGGATTATAGGGGTGGATCCTAAGCTTATAGGAGCAGCTAGATGCTGTTGAAGATACTGTAGATTATGAGTTTTATGAGCAATGGTCCTAACAAGGCTCTTAGTAGCCACCAACTGTGCAATCTCAGAGGAGACTTAATACATGTGGAAATTGTGGTGTAGAGGGGCATAAAAGGCCTGGGTGTCCGTTGATCAACAGATTTGCTAGTTAATTCGACTGAAAATGCATTTGCCGGTGTTTTTAAAATCAGCCTCTGTTTCCTCTTTAGGTTTAGCTTGGAATAAGATAACTTGCTTGCATATTAAATGTCGTTAAATGTGTGGTAAAATGGAAGCTTTTTACGTGGAGATGAGATTTAATTCTGGACCGTATTCATGCTGCCGGCAGAAAATTGATGCCTTTGTGCCTTGTGGTATTACAAATACGGCGGTGAGCTTAGAAGGGGTGGGTTTAGCCATTTGAGGGGTGGTATTAGCAATTCTCGCTAAGTTAGTATTGGACAAAAGACTAGGCTGTTGAGGTGCTGGGGGTTACTATACCGGGGTATCTCCCATTGGCCGCCCCATCTGGGGATATCGGAGTGGGTCCAGTATGAGTATAGCCCCGAGCATTCGGAGCATCGACTTGGAGGGCTTGATTTCTGTGTTTATGTTTCATCTTCCTTTTTTTTCTTACAAGAACGTGATGCAAAATGATCCGATTCCATGTAAGCGAACGACCAATGCATTCTATTCAAGTTCTAAGTAACAGCAGGTATCCCTATGAAAAGCAGCCCAGCAAGCCTGGTCAACAGAGAGTGTATATAGTATAAGAATAAACACTTCTTGGAAAGGCAACAGACGAATGAAAAACATCTGGTAAGAAGGAAAGAAGGAAAGAAGGAAAGGTAGAAGTCAATAAAACAAACAAGAGCGCGCATTAGAACAAGAATCTATGATGAAACAGACGCAGAGCCAACCACATGCTCTTGAACAATGCAATTACCATCACCAATCAATGCATTTCCACCATCCAGCCCAGATATCCGAGTTCGAGCAGTGGCATATGTCTCCCTGGAAACAATAGCTTCAAGCGGGCCTTCAGAGTCGTCATCTTCGTTGTTCTCATCAATAAAACAAGGGGAAGGACCTTTAGCACAGCAGCAAAGATATATACGAATGGGAAGCCAGCCAAAAAGATCAGAAAATCTGAATCCACACGATTCCAGCGCTCCATCACCAACTTGAACCTGGGAATCAGGTTGTGTTTGTGAGAAACTGTATTGAGCCTGCGGTAGCTGAAGTGGAGATATCATACAGTCTGGAACCGGTTGAGCGTATGTTCTTTGACTAGGACCTGCAATGGCCCTATGATACAACTCATCGATTCGTGCAGTAAGAGGTCGACCAAGTAACGAGAGCCCCAAGTGCGTATTATTTCTTTTCCGATGAGAACTTCGGGCAATTGTACTTTTTGCGGGCTCCTCGCCTTCCCGGGCTCTTTCACTTTCATTCCTGATACTCTCTGGGGCTGGCTGAGATGAAGCAGTGGGAAGATTACTCCGATGAAATGGGTGATCGTGCATATTTCTTGTCTGATTTGTGCCATGGCCACTCTGACGATAGAGGAACCTACCTTGAACGATCGTTCCATCTGGAGCTCGCCCGATACCAACAATGCCGTTGTTAGCGGAGGAGTCATTGGTAGATGGCAGGCCCAAGAATCTGCGAATAGCCCCTCCATAAGATATCGAACGATAGCCGTTTGAAGTATTTGTCCCGCGCTGATTCTGCGATGCAGCCGTGTGTCCGACCATGAATTGGGCAGAGCAATACATTGCTTCCGGGGTATTGAATGAAGGAAGACCTGGAGGCGTGAGTACCCTTTCTGGAGGAGGGTACTTCGGTTGAACAGACGTGACAGCCGCTGGGATACTCGATACCAGCCAACGAGGGCTAGGATAGGGACGGTGCGTGGCACATGCATCTAGCGAGATGGCTTTGCGGTGACTTTTACTCATTGAAGACTGGTTGTGCATCTTGTCTAATGGAGCTGAGCCCAGCTGCAACTTATGATGAGCGTCTTGCTCGGACAATAACTGGCTTCGCCATGCGGTCTTGTCTAATCGTGGTCTTGAATTTTGATTTTGTCGGTGCTGAGCAGTGGAGCCGCCATCTTGAGAAGACTCAGGTGGAATTAGCATGGCTATGTTGGCTGCGAGACCTCGTTCCATGATATGGCCCATGTCGTAGGGATAGTCATGGCCGTGGGACTCCTCGTTCGGCGTGGTCACTCTGATTGCATTGAAGATGGATTTCTCATCGCTGTAGACAGATTCGGAAGAGTGAGGGTTCTCGAGGGAGGTTGAGGGGACTGTTGAGTCGCGGATGCGTTGCAGGTTCTTTCGTCCAGCATAGTATCTTGGTAGTGGAGTGCGAGCAGCCTGAGGTGGAGTAGTTTCGCGAACCTGCTGAGCATACTGAGCAGTCATAATGAAGGAAAAAAGGGCTCGAAGGGAGCATGAATTGACTGGATAGATGTAATGTACTCTACTCAGGTGATGGTTCCTAAGGTCGATGTGCGGATGCCGAGGTGGATTCACCATCGCGCTTTCCGCGAGGAGCTCATGAAATATTTATTATACAACGAAAAAAAGTCTATATGTACAATCTTGAAATCTTTATGCGAACAAATTCCCGGGACATAAAGCGTGGTCATCATCATAATGGAGTTCCAACAGGACTGGGCAAAGGTTTGCCTGTCACTTGTGCGTGTTCCTTTCTCAGGGCTCGCAGAAGCCCCTCGATCCTGCGACGTTCTTCTTGTTCCGCCTGTATAAGAGTTAGTATCAATCAACAAAAAAAATTGCGAATAAGGAGTAAGGACTGACCTTCAAAATCTTCATGTTTTCGGTACGAGTGTCGCGCATCATCTTTTTGAATTCGTTCTTGAGTACCATCGTCGAGGTGGTTTCCATAGTAGGATCGCGACCCATCGTAGTCGGGCTGCTGAGGTTCATCCAGCTGATTCGTTCCTCGCCAAGTTGGGTCTCTAGCTGCTCGCAGCGGTCACGGAGACTATCAATGACACCCTCGAACCGCTCACGTTCCTTCTCGAATTCAATGCTTGCCTTTGTCATAACCTCGTAGTCTTCCAAAGTCTCGCGGAGCTCTTTCTCAAGGGTTTCGGCACGCTTCTTAATATCACCTCCGCCTTGCTTGCCACGAAGCTCGGCGAGCTCTTGTGCCAGCTCAATATTGCGAATGTTGAGAGCATCAAGCTCCTCCTGGATCTCAGGGTTGACGGCGCCTTCTGCGGCCCGCTGGGCTCGGGTACCGTAAGCACCGTCCAGCTCTGCTTTGACCATTGTAAGTTCAGTTGTGATTCGGACAACTTCGCCTTCAAGATCCGTCATCTCATTCTGCAGATGTTCGGCATTCTGCTCAGCTTGTGCGCGTTGCTCTTCAACTTGTGCAAGCTGTTGCTCGAGCTGGACATATTTCTCCTCGGATTCTGCAAGTTGATCCGCTGCCAGAGACCTTTGATCATTGTGCGTAAGCTGGTTCTCGGCCTCTTCACAACGCTTCTCAGCCTCTTCAAACCGATCCTCGGCCTCTTCACAACGTTTCTCAGCCTGTGCAAGGAGCGCTTCGGCCTCAGAGAGTTTATTTTCGGCATTAGCACGATGATGTTCAGCCTCGGCGCGTTGACCTTCAGCCTCAATGACCAGACCTTGAACTTCGGCAAATTTCTCTTCAGCCTTGGTACGTTGACCCTCTGCCTCCAAGACGAGTCCCTCAGCTTCGGCAAGCTTGCTCTCAGCGACTGTGCGATGGTGCTCAGCTTCGGTACGTTGAACCTCAGACTCTGCTAGCTGGTTCTCCACCTGGATCCGATGATCCGTTGCCTCCTGCACCGCTTCAGTCACAGCCTCTCGAACACGAGAATCGGACTCTTCACGGGCCTGCTTGAGGGCAATATCCAGCTGGGAAGAGCCATGGTCTGCACGTTCGCTAGATTCAAGGGCCTCTTGCGTGCGGGCATCCACTTCATTTTGCAGGGAGTCGACCACGCTCCGGAGACGAGCAACCTCGCCTTCTGCCTGCACCAATGCAGCCTTGGCCTCCTCTTGAGAAGAGCCGTTGCTACGCATGCTTTCGAGCTGATCCATCATCACCACAAGCTCCTCTTGTGCTGCCTTGCCTTCGCGTTGAGCGATCTCAAGATCCTTCCGCATATGGGCTAGTTGCTCAGTCAGATCGCCAATATGAGCATCACGCTCTGCATCAGATTTGGAGTTGAGCTCGCGTTGCTGCTGGATCTGGGTGGTGAGAATGCTCTTTTGTTCTAGCACACCATCCACGCGGCTTTCTAAGCCATCGATACCAGTTTGAAGATATCCGAGCTGCTCTTCCAAACCTTCGCCATCAGTTGCAGTAGGAGGCGGTGGTAGAGTAGGCGATCGAGTTAAACCAAATCGGTCAACGATGCTTTGAACCCGATTATTGATAACCGTCAGGTGTTGACGCCATGCACCCTCGGCTTCAGACGCAGTACCAGGCCCAATATTCGTAGGGTGTGGGTTACGAGCAGCCAGAGTGTTCATACCGCCTTCAATATAAGCCAAATGCGCCTCAACACTTCCAGATATATCACCCGAATCACTCGATTGCGGCGGCGGGTCCACAAATTCATCTGGAGTGGATTGAATCATCATGTTGCATATGCGCTCGCTCAATTCCTCCAGTCGTCTCTCCGTCGCCTGGAAAGCTTCATGGTCTACCGCGGCAGTTGCAGAATTGGGATTTATATCAATTCGACCGTTCAAGCCGTAATTGTCCATGTGTTCCGGTGTTCGGTACAAATGGCGATCATCAAAATCATGGCCGTCGTAAAGATCATCAGGGTTCTTCGCATCGGAATCTTTGGGAGTCTTCCTCATGCCCTTATGGGTCATTTTCAACACACCAGCAGTATGTTCCAGCAACCGCTGGTTAATCTGCTGAGATCTCTGTTCCAATTTCCACAACTGCTGCGCCAACTCTTCACATTTCCGCTGGCTCGTAGCAAGCTCCGAGTCACTCTTCTCAAGGACTTGGGTTGCTCCACTCCGGCCAAAAATGCTGCGGCTCCTCCGATGCGCCTTTCCATTTGTGCCATACTCCTCGCTACTCCGGGGACTGGGAGGACTGTATAAGCGACCGATAGACTGAGCCGCATCGCGGAGCTTAGTCTCCAGCGCTAGCTTTCTCTTCGTACCCTCGATACGACTGGAAAGAAGTGTGCGCTCCTTCTTCAGGTCCTCCACCTCCTCAAACGATAGAACTTCGTAGTTGGTGCTGTCGCCTATAGCCGTTTCGGTCAAGAGGTACATCGTCACGGGATCGTTGGTATTAACGAGGGCGGAGCTTCGCGGGTGATCCGAGTTGAACTATCAAGTAAAGAAAACGACCTTCGTGAGCCCCTGGCCATGGGAAATAGCTGTTGTGTCCACTGGATATTTGCCTCTTACCGGATTATACCGCGCGCGGTCTTCAGGCTGGGGACTCACCGCATCGCGGTAGCCCTCTACGAGGGATTTCCCTAGCGGCGAGGGATTGTGAACATCTGAGACGGTCGCTGTTGACAGGTAGCGAGGATCTCCGTAGGAAGATTGACTGGAGCGAAGGCTGATGTTCATGGCGGATTTCTTCGGCGCCTAGGCGCAAATTAGGGGAGATTGGGAATGTTCGAGATTGATTATTTCAGGGGCGGCAGATGCACATTGTGAGCATCCACTGGAGCGTGGAGGTGTACAAGTGCCGAAGAAAGAGAGATATAAGTGGACACACTCGAAAGGGTCAAAAAGAAATAAAAAGAAATAAAAGGGATTTTTGATTTAAATCCGAGTGTCTTAAGACAAAGTTCAAAAAAAAAAAAAAAAAGGGAGGCTGAACCTGTGAGTGTAAAGATGGCGGGGACGGAGAAATTGATCTGCAGAGAGGCTGACGAACTTCGCCACAGTAATTTAAGACAATGGGAGACACCCAGTTTGATTTTTGATAGATTCCTTTATTGACAGGTCTGATTTGATGTATACAAATAAATATTTATTTATGTGATATCTATTTTCCAGGGTTCTAGAATGAACTGATCCAAGGTTCGTACACTTCTCATACTCAGGTACATCCATCCATGTCTGTAGCAGTCAACTGGTGTCAGTCTCTCCCGAATCCCCCGGATTTCCATGATTCGACCATTTTCAACCATCAGATCCACTTCACTATGATGACGTTCAGTCTTGTCATACCTTTAATAGCTTGATCAATTCCAACCAAGCCCTAGAAACGGCGAAACTAGTGCGCTCGTACTCTAAAACATCTCCGTGATATCCACAAAGAATACGGAGGACATTCATAGTCCGATGCTGGTTAGAGGGCGCCCATGGCGTTGTTTCGGGGTACATTAGCGGTACCTTAGTCTGCGTGCGCAATCAGACAGAATGGTGGGTACTAGCCAAGTCCTTCTTTCAACCTCGGAATCAGGGGACGTTCTCGTGGAACAGTCACAATTCCCCTTACTAAATGCTACCTCGATCGAAGTCTTGTTCCCCTCTTTCTCTTCCCTCCAGGATGCAAGTGTCCTACACTCTGCTCATATCGAACTCCAAGGATGCAGAGATGGAGGAATCCTCTGTCACGCGACCGAGCTATAAGGTTTATAAGCGACGATTCTGGGGTTTGGCGCAGCTAGTCCTATTGAATATCGTCGTGAGTTGGGATGTATGGATAACCCCGCATGCGGATCATATGAGAGAGAGAGAGAGAGAGAGAGAGAGACAAAGACCGATCGCTAACCACCAACTTCACCTTATAGTGGCTTACCTTTTCGTCGATTTCTGGCACAGCAGCTGAATATTTCAATGTTTCAGAGAGTGCAATTAATTGGATGAGTACGGGGTACTTGTTCGCATTCTGTGTCGCGAGCCCGTAAGTGAGCTTGAATATCGCATTCTTGAGAGTGGAGAACCTTTGTTGCTCGACACCTTCAAGTCTTGGCGTACTGTTTCATTAACTTTCTTTCTTTCTTTGCGCATCTAGATTCGTCATCTGGGTATTAAACAAAGGCGGACCCAAACCAGCCATTATCATCACCGCGACCCTATTACTCGTCGGAAACTGGCTGCGATATGCCGGTACGAAAGCAAATGGCGGAATCTTTGGACTGGCCATGTTCGGTCAAATCTTGATTAGCCTGGCGCAGCCTTTTTGCTTGTGCGCGCCAACTCGATATAGTGATCTATGGTTCTCCGACAAAGGACGAACCAGCGCCACGGCCGTTGCCAGTCTAGCGAACCCATTAGGTGCAGCACTAGGTCAACTGATAGATTCGGAGTGGGCATCGAAGCCATCGGACATTCCGAACATGGTTCTATACATTTCCATAATTGTATGTCATAGCATCCTCCCCAGAGGCAGCGATATGGGAACCCGATGAAGCAAGAATGAAAAAAGGAAGAAATGAGAAATCCATACTGACCTGACCATATCCATAGGCGACTGTCGCAGCCATTCCATCCTTCTTCCTCCCCGCTGCACCGCCAACACCCCCAAGCGCATCATCTGATATACCTCGCACACCACTAATCCCAGCAACGCGCGCACTTCTTGGTACCGTAGAATTCTGGTTGATCTTCGTCGCTTTCTCGATATACGTCGGGTTCTTCAATAGTGTCTCTTCCCTTCTCAACCAAATCCTAGAACCACATGGCTTCTCCGAAACAGAAGCCGGCATCGCAGGCGCAATCCTCATCGTGGTAGGCCTCGTCACAGCCGCGGTCATCTCCCCAATAACAGATCGCTACAAGCACTATCTCGGCTCAATTCGAGTCCTAGTGCCCATAGTGGTCGTCTCATATATAGGTTTGATATTTGCTCCATCTAGCTCGGCTGGGATCGCACCTTCGTATGTCATTATGGCGCTTATTGGAGCCTCCTCATTTGCACTTCTCCCTGTTGTACTGGAGTATCTTGTTGAAATTACTTATCCTTTTTCGCCGGAGATTGGAAGTACTATATGCTGGACTGGAGGACAGTTGTTCGGTGCTTGCTTCATTTTGATTCAGGATGCACTTAAGGATGGTGCTAGTGCGAGTCCACCGTTCAACATGCATAGGGCGTTGATCTTCTCTTGTGTCCTTTGCGCTGTTGCTGCACCCTTCCCGTTATCTCTTGGGTTGTTTGGGAGAGTCGTTACAAGGCGGCGACTAGAGATTGATCGAGGCCTTGAGTTGCAGGAGGCAGAAACGACTCGCCAGGAAAGTGGAGATGGGAAGAAGAAAGATGAATCTGGTTCGAATTTTGCATGAGTGGACTGGTTCCAGTGTTAATTCCCTTCCCTGTTGATCGCTTCTTCTCTGTGGATGTGTTTGCTTCCAACGTACATACTTGACGAATCTCTTGCAGCCACTGGCATGACTTTATGCATATTTAGTACCTGTCAATAAACATATATAGTTCCAATATTCTTCGCATTTGGATTCCAAGGGGTTTCTTTTCTCCCACTATGAGTCCACGGGCGTAGCTGGAGTTTAAAGTGATCTTCCCCTGATCAACCCACTTATACCCCTTTGGTTGGAGCTTGGAGCATAAGCTTCTATCCTGGCGGGTTTATTGATCTTAAGTTATAGGCTTAGGCCCTACATGGCCCACTTACCATTTGAACATACAGAGTGCAAAAAGCGGGAAATAGGGATACGAAGTTGTGCAACATTGTCCGATCTTCCCGATAGACCAGTCCAATTGCATAGTCCCCGACCCCGTACATGATGCATGTCAGATTCAACCCGTAGACAAGTCATATGCTATCATATCTACCCAAATCATGATTCCAGAATGATATGTCTACAATAAGCGATTTGCTACGAGTCACGCAAAGTAGTCCTGTATAGAGAAGCAAGAACCAATTCCGCATTTTCACAAAATCTTCCAACTAGACAGATGAGATTCGTCTTAACAAGTAACCAGTAAATAAAAACACAAGCACAGTTCGAATAGGCGGAAGACCAGCTATCTGTACATGCAAGGCAGAGAGAAAAGGAAGAGAAGGGTCTATTACTCTTTTACTCTTTATTTTCCATTGGTTGTCCTTCCTCCTCCCTGCCTCGAAACACCATATGCGTACAAGGGAAGCACAAAGAAAGTTATGAGGCTTTCTCTTTGCACCCCGTGCTCTCAAACCAAGGATATCGACGGCAGACTGTCAGAGCATTGAGTAACAGTCATCAGGAACATAAACAGAAACAGAAACAGTTTGTCAACGGCGCTGCTGCGTTGGCGATATCAATGCAGCGGGATTATGTTCGCGACGATGACGTGGAGTCTGCAAGCTGTTTATTTGAGCTCGCGCCAGAGCTTGGGGGCGGCACACTGGGTGGCACAGTGGGTAAGGTGGAAGACTGGGGTAAGGTTATGTTAGTGATTTTGGGTTTCGCAATTGGGTGCCGAATGAATCTCAAGTATGGACTGTATAAGCGTATCCAGGCCCGTATGATAATTCAAATTTATGAATACTTACACTCCTCGACACAGTCCTCCTTGGCACCCTTGAAGTCTTCATCTTCCTCTTGGCGAGTGACGCGCTCGACGCACTCGTCGTAGTGGTGCTTGTAAGGGGCGCACTGGGCGGAGTGGGAGCACTCTGGATCAAAGACGCATTAGTCGCAATATTCAAGATGAGAAATTCGGTATTAAAATAGCAATTGATGTTCCATTGAGACAGTCGGACGTAGCGATGATCCAGACAATCTCAGACATGGAATGCGGAATGCGAAATGCTTGCCCGCCAACAAACGGACGAGCACCGACTTGTCGCCAAAGAAGTAAATCATAGAGCGAGAATAACATGGCAAAGCGAAGAAAAAGAAAATCAACTCAACTCACCCTCCTCAAGCTTGGGCTTGATGTCCTCAGGCTCCTCCTCCTCTTCCTCTTCTTCCTCCTCCTCTTCCTCCTCGGCCTCAGCCTCGGCCTCCTCTTCCTCGGCAGGTTCTTCAGTGGACTCCTCGGAGGACTCCTCAGCGGGGGTCTCCTCAGCAGCGTCGTCGGAGGCCTCCTCGGTTTTCTCGGCGGGCTCGTCCTGGGGGGTGGAAGATTCAACGTCGGCGGCGGGAGCCTCAGCCTGGGCCTCGGTGAAGCCCATGGAGGAGTAGACGTCGGAGAAGAAGTCGGCGAGACCCATTGTGACTGTCAATTGAGGGACAGGGACCGTGTAGAGATAGTGATTGGTAGGTAGGGGTTGGTGATTGTGAGGGTGTTGGTTTTCCAACTCGGACTGGAAAATCGGGACGCCCCGGCGTTGACCACAATTGTGCTACACGTGATTGGCCAGCGGCTTTTCGCTGACTATGTCAACTCTCGCGACTCAAATTCATCAACTTTGGGGTTAATTGAGGCTTTGATGAAGGGTCTTAATTAATTGTAGAGCTATATGGCGGGATAGAATAAATTACGCTTTGAATATTGGTATCGATTGACCTTTTTGTGAAATCTTTGACGTACTTTCTCGGTTCGTGCCAGCACTTATCCCTCTAATTACGGCTCACTATCCAGCGCAAGAACCGCTCGGGTCTCAAAACGGAAGGTCTTATTGTACATTCAAGTGATCCCAGTCCTGTATATCAACAGGAACAGGGCCCGGATAAGATTAAAAAAAAGAAGCAAAGTCATTCCTCATATTTCCCTATCCATATGCAGTGATTAGATCAAATCAACTGGCTCGTCGTAATCCTTCCTCCAACGCAGCAGCCACGCTTTGCTGTTGAACCTCCTCGTATCCTGGTGGAGGCTCCATGGGCTCTGGCCCAATAACCGAGGCTCTTTGGTTGCTCGCTGGAGCGTTTAATGTGTCATTGGTACTGGCAGGTTCGCTAGGCTCGGTGTTATTAGGACCGGGGCCCTCGTAGGCAGGCAGCTCTTCCAAATGCACAGCAGCAAGATCCACGCCTCGTAGGCCTCCGGTACCCTCGGGTGTGTTTTCCACTGCCTGCTCTAATCGCTCCCTGATTCGTTCAAAATTTGTGTGGAAGTCGAAGGCGCCGCCTTCTTTGAATGTTGCTTTGATTTGGACCGCAGGGAGGGATGCGGAGATGCCACCTCCCGCGACAGGTTGTATCAAGGCGGTCCAGACATTGGGACCGAAGAAGGGCGCTGAAACATGAGAGTCGCGAACGTGGAGTAATGGGGATGAGAAGGATTGGAAGTCGTTGGATTTCTGGGAAGGCAGATAGACCACCTGTTTTCAAGAGCAAGGGTTAGTATGGCGTGACCAGCGAGTGACATGGAAGATGAAGAAGAACACACCCGTTGGTTTGTGAGATAAATGCAGCCGGCGCTGCTTTGAACTGATAATGATTCTTGACCTTTGTAGCCGGACGGTGGTGTGAGGTTGAAGCTAGTGCGGGGAGGAGAGGTGTAGATCAAGCGTTCGTTGGAAAGTCGGACGAAGCCTTCTTGGTCATGGAGCATAACCCAGCTGTAAGAGTTGTTAGCGCTTCTGACTCGTTGGTACGCATATGCAAGCTAAAAGCTCTAGTATCTCAAGCATCTCGGCAATCTTGGGGCCAAGCGTAGGAAACATGCACTTACTTGAGAGACATTCTGGCCTAAAGTAATCATGCCACTACTCGGCGGGGTGGGGGTACAGAGAAGAAGTCGCAAATAATCAAACGCTAAGATCAACGAAGAGCGGGACTAGGTGATGAATGGAGATGGAAAGTGTATTGAGGGTCTGGAGCCCTTGATTTCCGGTGACGCGGAAGGGAGAAAATCGACAGTTGCGGGGCAGGCGGGGAACGTGTCCATTTTAGGTGCTGATGAGTGTATGGCTTCTAGCAAATACGGCCACGGGGATTTGAAAGGTAAAAAATTGATACAAAGCTATGTACAATCAAAGAAGACAAAAGTGAGCGAACTTCCTAGAATTCGACATAGTAATGATGATGGCCATTCATTTATTGAGATAAATGGGATTGGGAGCTGACAAGCTACAAGTACATACTTAGTGGGTCTCCACTGCTTAGGTTCATAATTTGACCCAATGAAGATTATATTACAACTAGAATATAACTGTAAGGACCTGTGGGGTTGACGCCGAAAATGACGCTTTAGGTAATATTTTCTATCTACCCACGGCTGTATGTTCCCAATGAGCATCCCCATTCGTATAACTAGATGCCCTTGGGCAAGACAAACCATAGCCAAGGGTGGTATGCTCATCATCGACCGGGTCCAAGATAGTTGGCAGGTATCTCGTATTCCATTCTTCATCCAAGTCTTCGTCAAAATATTCCGGATTTGGCCTGATGCGACGCGCCTTGCAATACTCCCAGTAAGCAGGATACCACCCTAGCTGGCCCCAATCAATGATGGTAGCTACTTCTGGATTCGTCCCGAGCGATAAAAGATATTTGGGGGTATAAGGTCGTCATATGTGAAGACTACGGGTACCTCCCTATCAATCTCGATATCGTAGCTATTCTAAAATTTCTGGACGGCGTCTGTACTATAGAATGGGCTAGCTAAGTCTCGGTGACCGGAAAGAAAGATATTATTTAGAGATTGATTATCTAGGCTACCTAAGGGGTACTTTAGTATAGTTCTACCTAGCTATCGCAATAAATTTAGATTATTTACTTATATAAAGGACTTAGTTAAGTTATTCTAACGATCTTTAAGCTTTAACTATATTATTAAGCTTTTTATAGATAGTCTTACTCTCTATTATCTAAAATACTATATCTTTACTCTAAGGTTTTAATCCTTATTAAAGATATTAGGTAAATACTAGACTACTATCTTTAGTCTACCTAAAGACCTTAGGAACTAGTACTTTGTCTTTTAAATACTTATATACTATATTTTAGATCTCTATCTCTATAATAGTCATATCGACTCTATATTAACAATTAAGCCTAATAATAGAAACTTAATAAGTGGAGATCAGTTAAAACTTATACTATGAATTTTATCTGACTCCTCGTTAGTAACTCTTACCTTAGCTAGAGTAGGGAGCGTAGACGCCCGATACTCCCTAAAAAAGCTAGAGTAGGAAATAGTTCTTGTTGCTGTATGGCTTGAATTGTGGGGGCCGTCCTTACCCTCAGCCTCCTTAGGCGTTATCTTCGAATTGATACAGATGAAGCAGGGGTCTCGGCAGTTACAGGAATACCTAGTCTTCGAGAGTAGCGGAATCGAAGTAAGCCGAAAGCCTATCGATTTTTCGTCAAAGGGAATTTTTGAAACGACAGTAAGGTCTAGAGACAGAAACATGTTGCCGCCGGGCATGCCAGCCAGCGAGGTGAGAAGGCGGGGACCTAGCCAGACCAGTCAAAGCTTCTAGCGCTGGACGGGTTGATATTTGTTCATAATTGCGTGTGATTGAAGAATCCGAGTTATCCCAAGGTTGGTAAAATGAGATTTGTAAGTTCGCAGTCAAAAAATCAATCTCTCAGCTCCATGCTTCCAATATTATCATGGTGAAGCTTCAATAAACTAAACTCCCCTCTCAGATAATACTCTCCTCAAAATCAATGCTAAAGAATTCACAAATTTAGGCCCTAGCATATCTGCATGGCGTCCTTCACACAAATGTACATCCATACCGCGCGTGCTCAACGCTTGCCACTGTCCAAGATAATCATTAATCCACACATCCTTCTGATTTGTGACTGTCAACAATGGCTCCACCGCAAAAATATCGACAGCGCATTGCACATATCCACTAGCTGCCCACTTGCCGGCTGCATGGCAGAATCCATGAGTAACATCCGTTACATGGATTAACTCGGACCTCTCCAGACCTAAGACCTTAACTCTATGTGGGTCAGCCTCACCAAGAACAATATCCAAAGCGGCACCAGTGTCTTGATCTCGCAGCTCTGGCATCAGCTGTATACATCTCTGCTCTGAAATCAATTCATAGAAGTAGCCTATCATGACCAAGGCTTCTGTCCATGTGAGCTTGCCCACTAACGTGGCAACATCGGGCGGTCCATCTAATGTTCCAAAGAAGCGGACCTCTGCCCCAGTAGCTTCAAGGCGTTTCACGACCTCGAACGCAATGCTACTACCGAGAGAGTATCCAGCGAGAGCATATGGGCCCTTCGGCTGCTTTTCAAGAAGAGCGGCAGCGTATGTATCAGCCATCTCGCTTATACTGGTAAATAAGGGCTCGCCTGGTTGGGTACCACGAGCACGGAACGCGTAGACGGGTCGGTCGTGAAAGGCGCGCGCGAGAGCCGTGAAAATGAGAACATTACCAGAAGCTGGATGAACGAGCCAGAGGGGCGTCTTTGAGCCATGTGGTTGGAGAGGTATGATTGGATTATATTCGGTGCTGGTATGGCTGGCGCGATTTGAAACACGGTATGCAAGGCCGGAGATGGAAGGGTCGGCAAGAAGATCTGGAAGAGTGATATGGCAATCAAACGTGCGGTGAAGATCTTGTGTAGTTGTGTAGAAGTCGAGAGAGGAGAGACCTAGCTGGAATAGGTTCGATGTGACACTGACCTCGCTGGGCTCTAAAGCCAGGCGAGCGCATACCAAATCTAAGATCTTTTCTTCAATGGGAGACGACGGCGGCTGGCGATGGGCTTGACGATATGCCTGGAGACGAGATACATGGAAGTTTTTTTCTTGGTCAAGTGTTCCATTCTCAAACAGACGCTTGTAATGAGCACGAGATAACTTCCCTAGAGAAGACTTCTCGAAGTAGCTGCGGGAAATGGGTAGTATTGCTGCCGGTTTGACATGTACCACTAGACTGGCAATGCGCTCGATGGCATCCGTAGTTTGTACCCTTGCTTCGCTGTCATCTGGATTGTAACTGGGTAGGTAGATGACGCAATAAGATTCAGTCACAGCCCCAGCGGGTCGGTGGGCGAAGACCAAAGTATAGCTCGGCGTGACACCCGGAATGAGTGCTTGTTCAATGCTGTGCTCAACCTCGACAGAAAAAATTGTAAGTCCATTTATCAGCAATGTGTCCTTGGTTCGTCCAGTTATATAAAGTTGTCCTTTGTCATCCAGGTAGGAATTGTCCCCTGTAATGAACCAGCCATCGTTTGTGAAAGCCGCGCTTGTGGCTGACGGATCGCGATAGTATTCCCGGAACATCACAGGCCCACGCAGCTGCAAAACACCCTCTTCACATGGCTTTGCTTCTTTCCCACTAACATCGCTAATAACGCGCATCTGTACCCCAGAAATGGGTAGACCGCAGGTGAGGAACTCGCCCGGGGTATTGTAGAGCTCGTCAACAGTATGATCAATCACATCCCAGATCATGCCAGCACAGGACTCCGTCAACCCATAACCAGCACGAATGAATGGCTGGGCTCCAAAACGTTGAAGGTCACGAGAAATATCCGCTGCCATCTGACGTACAGTGGCTTCTCCGCCAGAAAATACGCAGCGTAGGCATGACAAATCCCAAGCGGGCGCCTCATTCCCAAAGTCCGACTCACAAACACGATCAGATAACAGCGCCAAGAAGAAATTAGGAGCAAAACTGAGAGACACGCGGTGCCTGTCAACTAACTCAAGAAACAGAAGTGGATCTTTCAGTACCTCCTGGGTAGATACCTGCACTTGCTCTGCGCCCAATTGCATGGCATGGAGATGCATCTCAACAAGATTGACTACATGATCCAGCGCAATCCAGCTCATAAAGACATCCTGGGGTGTGGATCGACAGTGCGCTGCCTTACCAGCCACTGCTGCTAGCATTTGTGATTGGCGCAAGCAGACAGCCTTGGAGAATCCTGTGCTACCGGAGGTAAGCATTAGAGCTCCTAAGTCATGATTTGGCTGATTTCGTGCGAGTGGTGCAAGAGCCATGCTCGAAGATTGGCCATTGGACGTAAGGTCGTCCGCGAGGTAGAGATTTGGTGCTTTGACACCCGAAAAGGCACATGACATACGGCTATTGGTAAGAATTATCGGTCCGTCGAGTAATCGCAGGATGTGTTCTGCTTGGGAAATTCGTCGTTGGTCGGAAGAAGCAAATTTTGGGACAATACAGGGCAAGTAGCCAGCTGCCGTCACAGCCCAAAACCAGCGGATGTTCTCCTCGTGTGTATCAAAATGTAATAAGAAAACTGTATGCTCTTGGCAATCCTCTCTGAGCATCTGCAGACATACAGCGTCACGCCAGGCCTGATCAAGCAACTCTCGATAGGTTACTCGCTCTGAGACCATTTCTGTAGAGCCATTTGTCTTATAGAATGTAATACCGGCCGAGCCTGTCGCAGCTCTCTGTAGAGTGTCTAATAAACATTCACCCTCGTTTGACGAAAGGTCCCTCTGACTGGGTCTTTCTGGTGCTTGTGCAAAGATTTCCCCAATTCCTAATTTATCTAAGGAAGGGGCAACAGCGGAAGGAGACAACATGATGGGAAATGAGGTATGATCAGTTTGGCTCAATGCTGCAAATTAACTGTTAAGATGAATACGAAACTCCCCATGGCGTTGCTCTTATTAAATAATTTTACTTCTTGTCATCTCTCGGCTGCTGGAGTGGCTGAACTGAACCTAAAATTACCGGAAGAGCATCATCAACATAATACTATTACTGTAATTCAGTAATAATTCTGTTATTTCCGTCATGATCGGCATCCACTATGACAGGTTTCTGCAGAATGGGGCCGAAAACAAGCAATCTAGTTCCTTCGGCCCCCAGGCTTATCTTTCTTCAGCCAAGCGTATTTTGCGGTCCCTGGCCCAAGCTTATCTAGATCGTCAGTTGTGAGCCTCGGTTGAGTTTTGAAGAGTGTTAATGTGGAGCTCGTAATACTGTACATGCAGTCTACAATCATGGCAGGATCAACCCGACGATGCGATTTGGGGCCGGAGAGGGGCAGTATGACTCCATTACATGTAAAGAAAATTGCGCGAGGTCTTTTAAAAATACATTGTTATTTACTCTCAACCTTGTTTCCAATCCAGTTGTCCCTTACAGTCAAAATAAAACATGGCTTCATCTCGAATTGACTCTCTGGCGACTGCTATCGCTGCATCAGCTCAGGAGCTACGGACTCTTTTAGCTGAGCATGATCTCGAGGAACCGTCCTTTTCCATGAATTACCCAACATCGGTGAAATTCCCACCGGCATTAGACGAAGCTCGAAATAATCTTCTTCATGCAGCTTGTGAGATTCACGATCTTCTCCTCGATCCGGCAGATCTTCTGCGCTCATATGCCGCGGTAGGTCGATTCGTCTACTTTCTTCATATCCGCTGCAATATTTACTCAAGAAAGAGCTTCAACCTCTAATCCTTCTTTTACATGTAGCATGCCAACCTAGTCTCGCTACATTTTATTCAGCAATTCAACATTGCCAATCTCGTACCCATTTCCGATGGGGCGATGATTACCTTTGCGGCTTTGGCGGAACAATGCAGACTACCTGAAGGAGATGTTCGGCGCCTCTTGCGTCACGCAATGACAATCCGTGTGTTCGCCGAACCTCGCCCAAATGAAGTGGTACATACGAGAGCCAGCATGCTTCTCCGTGAAGAAGGCATTCACGGCTGGATTGGGTCAACCTGCGAGAACAGTTGGCCTGGCGCGACTAGAGTTAGCTTTGCTCCCTACCCTCCCTCTTACCCCAACTGAAAATAATTTAACCGCAAATCTTGAAATAAATTTTAGACAATCGAATCCTTGAAACGATTTCCAGGCTCCTCGGATCCTACTCAATCTGTGAGTTCAGTCCTTGCCCTCTGACCCCCGGTCATCACATGGGCTCCCATTGGTCTCAATTAGCGAGCTTATCCGAGTAGGGCTTCGCTCTTGCAAATGACAATCTAGCTCTCTACAGCGCACTAGCTCAATCCCCGGAAAGGGCTGCCACTTTCGCTGCTAGCAAGCGTGGTTACGCCTCTGGATCCTCATTTGGTCCCGCGGCCTTCCTCGAAGCGTCTCGTTCATCCTTCCAATCACTCCCTCAGGGCTCCCTTTTCGTCGATGTCGGTGGTGCCCATGGAACCATCTCGTTGGCTGCCGCACAAATCTACCCACACCTCCACTACATTGTCCAGGATCTCCCCGAGGTGATTGAGCAGGCGTCACAAAATCCAAACGGCTCGCCAGAGAACGTAGAGTTTCAAGTGCATGATTTTTTTATCCCTCAACAGCTTCGCGGTGTCGCCGTGTTCTATTTAAGACATGTCTTACATAACTGGGGTGATGCCCATGCAATCAATATCCTGAAGAGTTTAGTGCCTGCAATGGGCCGAGGCACGCGCGTGCTGATTCATGATCATGTCTTGGATCACAGAGAGAATCCGATGTGGAAGAGACGACAGGATACTGCCATGGATATCAACATGTTAGTTTTATTGAATGCGAGGGAAAGAGACGAGGCTATGTGGCGGACGTTGCTGCGAGATGCAGATCCAAGATTCAAGTGGGTGGGGGTAGAAAAGCCAGCCGGTAGCACTTTGGCAGTGATAGAGGCAGTGTGGGAGGATTTCAATGAGATCTCAGAGTAATGGCGCCATAGAAGAGGACATTAAATACACATGAGGTGGTTCACGATATGGAAGTTCCCTGTTTACCTTATTATTTAATTATTCATGATATTTGGTCCATGAGAAACATAGGCCTTAGACCATTAACATAATGCTTTCTGCGGTAATCTGCACCTGTATGATCTAGTAGTTTGATCTTCCTAATTTACAATTCCACGTTGTTTGGTTTAGACAACAGCAAGCGCTGCGCCCAGTAGAGCCAGTGCACTAGTTACATAACAATTCGGGTTCCCTGCGATCCTGATACCCCCACCACTGGACGAAGTACTAGCAGCCGTACTGTTGCTGGTTGGACTCGGAGTGCTCGTGCTCGTACTCGTGCTCGTATCATTGCTAACTGTCGTCGCCGTGACGCGAAAGTAATTAGCAGCGACCGGTGTTCCAAGTCTGGTCACATTAATGAAGTTCTCTAGAGGCAGGTTCAAGCGGTTGAGTGGAGTCTCATCAGTCGTTTCCATGAAGGACCCATATTGACTGGGTATAGTGAAATTCGAGGGTTGATCGAACAGGAACAAGGTGTAGTTGTGTGTGCCAGATGTTGGGTCTGGCGATATATATTGCGCAATGACGTCCTCATTGCTGGTACTGTTGAGGTTGGTGGTTAGGTTGGCGATAAGAGTATGCAAGATAACTGAGGGAGGGGTTGTTTTATTCCAGTCAGGATCAACCATCATGAAGACATAGGAGCCATTGGCAGCCAATCCAAGATTGTGCAGATGCGGTTGGGGTACATTTTTGGCAGCTGTATTTTTTGAAGGGCAATTGAGTCAGTCAAACCAATACAAATTTAATTGTAATAATAGTAATAATAATACATACTGCTTGCATTCAGGAATTCGGCGGGATGAAAGGTAAACCCTGTCGATCCAACTGAAAATGTCGCGTTTAACACCGTCGATGGATCACCGATAACTGCCAGTTCGGGAGGTACCGTTGCACCTGATAATGCAATGGCACCCGCTATGAGCGCCGAGAGCGCGAAGGAAATCCGGGAAATCCGCATACTGGTGGTAAATCAGCACAGTTAGTCAGAGGTCAGCCTGATGTTGACGTACCTGATCTGAGCCGAGGAGAGGGTTTGTTAATAGCAGGGAGTGCTTGTGGACACACTTGACTATTTCTATGTTGAGAACATGCGAGAAGCAATCCCGGCGACATTGCGGCACCAGATATCCACCGCTTTGCCTATAATTTCAGGGGCTTGAAGGATTCAAATGTTGTATTCATTGTTGTGGCATGGTATTGCCGGGTTTACCCCGGAGTACCGGTCGTACACATCCATTATTTCAAGGGGCGGCCCCGGGCCCGCGTCCATGTATGAGTGGGTCAGCCATTCTGTTTTCGTGCCACGTCCAAGCGGTAGTAGATAAAGAACTAAATTTTGGATATCTTCTATAGGGTCATTTTTCATCATCTCGGAGAATATCTTATACAATGAGACCATTCGGAACGTTCATACTTCTATGGGCATATCTCCAAAAGCAATGTATGGCAATAATACGGATACATTGTAGTAGTGCGAAGTGAGGAAACAGCATTCGTCATCTTGCATATTACTACTGCATCGGAATTAGAATAGCTGCCCCGACCACTGGCATTCGCTGACAGAAGGATTCTGGGCAATAAGAGCAAAGATAGACATACCAACAGCTTGGGACCAGCCAAGGCTATGATCCTGTATCAATCTAAAAGCGCACTAAATTAACACATTGGCCCAAGTAATAGATGGGTCGCTTGCGAACCGAAGTAAAATGGATACATGGCTCAACAAAGAAAGAGACTCAGGCTCATAATTTCATACGTAGAAGAGCCGCCCGAGTCTCACCTGGGCACGTGTACTACTAGTACATGTATTCAAGTTGTCTGTATAGTGGGCCACCTGGGCATTGTTCTTTACCTAGCCCTGGAGGTACATATATTTGAAAAACTTGAACCCATACCGATAGGCACCGGTGATACCTCCGCACATAACCTTGTTGGAACTTGAATTGGTATATGTATTTTATTTGTGTTCTATTTCCAAATCGATGAATAAAGGCCATGGCAATAATGTACCCCAGGCTGATGGCAACTACCTGCGGTGAGTTGGCACTCAGGGTGTTCAAGTTCTTCTGATAATAAAGCGTAGCCGGATAAATTCCAGCTCCTCGGGCCACCCATGTATATCCTGATCAGGGAAGTAATCTTCGGTGACCTGAACATCGAGTCTCGATCCTGTTTCATTCGCTGCCACTCCCCAAAGCCTCTTCCAGGTTTCAGTGGTATGGAAAAACGCACTTCTGTTAATGTGAGGGAAATTCACGTTCTTGGCCCTCCTTGTGCCAACCTGGGTTCCTAAAATGACCGATCCAGGCTTGTCACTAAGCAGATCAAGAGCATCTTTCGCGACTTGTATTGTTTTTGCCCATGGCCAAACGTGGAAGAAATTGCTTGCATGAATCACATCATATAGACCCTTGAACTCCACCCTTAGAGTGGACTGTTTATCAAGAATATCGCTTTGGATAAATCTGACTCCTAGTTTATCTTCATCAAGGAATAGCTTATGACCCATATCCATAAGGTCACTGGATAAGTCTGCTCCAAAAATATTTCCAGGTGGTGCTCCATCAAGAACCTATATCTTGTTATCAGCATTCAGTCTATACTTTTCAATTATAGATACCTAGGTAGAGATAGGTATATTGTAGGTTACTGACCAGCTGGCGCACCTCTTGTGCAAAGCAGCAACCTAGATCCAAAAAAAGAGATCCTTTTTTGATCGAATCTAGGATTTCCGGATAACAGTCAAACTCCACCATATGAATATTGAGAAATTGATAGAGTCCAATTGATGGCCATGGATACTACCGCAACTCTGTTAGTATCTCCTATCGCGCGGCGAATTGATTACAAATTGAACAAGCTCATCGCATACCACTTTATACGCGCGGTCCCTCTAAAGCATAGTCAGCAATTAAACAGACTTTAAATTTAGATGAAGCCGCGAGGCAGGAACAAAACTTGCCATATCGTTGACGTGCTGTACTACCTCACCAGCTGGAATCTTACTCCACTTCTCGAACACAAGCCGAGCGGGATCAGGAACCTCAGTGAGGGGTTCACAAATTGTCTTACCATCCATCACCCCTGGAGGCGCTTCGACTGGGCCATCATCAAGAGAGAATTCTTCGACCATATTGGGTATAATTTCTTCAAAACGATCGGGCAAGTGAGATTCGGCGGTGGGAGTGATGGACAATTGATTCAATAAATGTTAGTCTCAAACATAAGTCCAGCTGGTTTCTTGCAGGCAGTCATAAAGTGGAGAAAATGTGCAGACTTCCCTAAATTGCAAGGTTTTGCCGATCGGTGATTGTTCTCGCATTCTGAAATTGCTACTTGGGGGCCGTTGGGGGCCGATGACGGAATTTCAATACAATTCCAAGGAACCTAAGCATTGGGATACAAAGCTAAGCTTTGAGGGATAAGTCTAAGCTTTGAGACATACATGGATGGACTATAGACTAGACATGCAGGCCGTGTTTTTTCGCTTCGTCTACGGAGCACGCGCTACCAACTGAAAATGGCCCCCAAGGGTTCGCCCGAGACCTGCAATTTGATACATAAACTTGGTTACCCCTCTCCTGCATTGTATCCACTAGTGAAATGACTTGTGAATATATGTGACACGGCACGCAAATGAGTACCGATTGCTATTCCCTTTTGGGTTGATCGCCCCCAAAATTCCATGCATTGCAACATCACATCTTGACCAAAATTATGCGAAAATAGGTAAATATTTGCTATTCGGAATGACAATTAATGTAATTCTGAAACATGACCCCTTCCCCTGGTCATGAAATACACAGTAAAGGCTTTAATCCGCGGTAGTCACTATACGTGCTCGTCTATGTATCGAGCCTAAATACAAGTCTATACGTGTAATGTTTTGACTTTGGCTTTTATTAGGCTTCTGGCCCCTATCACGGCGAAGCAAATACAATTACACTATCTTATGTATTTGCATAGCGCGGTAGCGACAGAGAAGATTGGCCCCATAAGCTTGGTGTAATATCTGCCCTGTTTGGCCCCCTGGTAGGCTTTAGAACGAACTCCCCCTTGTGAAAAATCCCACCGCGTCAAACTTGGACTCATATTTTTTTGCCATGCACGACAATGTCTTCTAGTCTGACTACAGAGCAGTTGGAAGAATGGCCTCAAAGCAAAAGACCAGCAATATATGGGGTTTGCGCTGTGATGCTGATATTGGGAAATGCATCAGTGCCGCTGCGTATCTGGGCCCAATGGAAAATTCATAGGCGAACGTTTATGGAAGATTATTTTCTTTTCGCAGCACTGGTATGCTGATCCTAGTATGTCTTGTTTCGAATCCAGATAATGTGAACTAACATTATATCTAGTTATTAGCCAATGTTGGCACCATCACTACAATAGTTGCAGGGACTGACGGGCTGGGTCTGCATACATTCCGCGTAGTATTGCAAGACCCAACGTACCAGAACCTTGTAGGAGTATTTGCCGTGAGTTCAAGTTCTTGACATAGAAAGACTTCTGAGTATGCTAATCGAATATGGCTTTGTCAGAGTGTCTGGGTGACGGCTCTCTTCAACGGCCCGTCAATCTTCGCAACGAAAGTCGCACTTTTAACATACTATCGTCGGCTATTCATCGTGAATCAGATATGGCTTAGAGTCCTATGGTGGATGAATCTATGCTTTGCGACACTTTTATGTCTGGGCACTGTTTTATTTTATATTCTACAGTGTTCCCCAGTTAACTGGTATTGGGAAAAAGTGAACCCGAATGTCGAGGGAACTGGCACATGTGTCGTGGCCGTGAAATACATTGGCACCCCGTTAATTCTGAGTATGGTTTCTGATTTTTTCATACTTCTTTTGCCCATTATGACTGTACTGGGCTTGCAAATCAATATCAAGCGGAAACTTGGGCTTACATTAGTCTTTTCTGTGGGTTTCATGTAAGTTGAACATCGCAATCCCCAAATGTGGCATTTTATCTTCAAAAATGAGAACAAACTGATAATAATGTCTCAGAACTTTGGCATGCTCAATAGCGCGGGTAACAGTGTTACTTGCTGGAACCGAGATAGCAGACGACGAGACATGGACTCTTACATCATTCGTGGTGCTCAGTGTTGTCGAACTCACGTCAGCCATTCTTTGTGCCTCCGCTGTGCCAATATTCTCATATCTCCGGCTTATCATTCGCGGAGGAAATTCACAGCCGAGTTATGAGGGCTACAGCTTCAAGGACACACACGCATCGCGCCTGAGACATAACCATGTAACTAGACTGCCCTCCTCAAGTTCCGAGAATCTTCATGGAGAATTTGCTAGACAGGAGGACATTAATGTATAATATGACTTGTGAAATGCCATAAAACGCACATAGTACTTCTTTGCCTGGGTACTGAATCCAGTAGTCTGCACGTACAACATACAAGTATTATCCACTCACGTAGATCTCGGCACTCTTAAATTAGACTTCCGTTCGGTACTTGACGATCTCCCCAACAGTTTTGTACAGAGATGCAGATGCATAAAACGTTGAGCTTGGGGATTTCCCCGCAACTTAAGACAAAGAAGGGTCCCGACTAACTCTATTTCATCATTTTCTTTAAAAGGAACTGTGAATAGGTTTGTCTGAGACATCAGACATCCCTTCAGGTACATAAGTACACATTAAAGTATCTCCAGCGTAGACATAGGGACCGTGGTGGAAATAATGACCATTACGATGATATGTGGTAATAAAAGGAAAAGAAAAACTGCATGAGTGATTGCTTTGCCGACCGACGTTGTTTGGATATAGCCTTAGGATCGAGAAATGTTGGGCCAGTCAAGACGCACGGATCGGTACGAGAGCTTGAGCCAGTCGTGTGGGCGCATTCTAGTTCTAGAAACGTCAGGAATCAAGAGAGTGGCGCTAAGAGAGCCCGGATCCCCAAACTTTCCCGGATTCGATCGAGTTTGATGGAGTGGAGTTCATCCCTTCGCTTTTTTCTCTCTTCTCTTTGTGACCCTCTTCTTATTTTTCTGTCCTGAATAATTATTCCCCTGGATATTGTTCCACTTGGTGGGGCAAGCAAGAGAGAGAAAAAATAAAACAAGCTGCTTGATCGACGTCACGCGGGTCCAAGCTCATGCAGCTCGTCTGCAACCGTTCATGTCAACACCGTTAAAGACCTTCCTCCACTAACTACGCGCAACCTTCTGTGAATAAACAGCGGCGCAATTGGAATAATGGGCAAAGCAAAGCCATATATTCCACCCTTGATTGGGTGGCTATATGATCTCGTTCTATGGTCTTTTTCGGTGCTCATTGACCTCTTTTTCCGTGAGGTGCACCCGCGAGGATCATGGAAAATCCCCCGTCGCGGTCCTATAATTATGGTCGCTGCCCCTCATGCGAACCAGGTAAGTCAAGATATTTCGTGATATCCTTCTCCGGGCACGATTGAGCTAACAGCGCCTCCTTTAATAGTTTGTTGACTCCCTCGTCCTTATGCGTGTCATGCGCAGCGAAGCCCACCGTCGAATCTCATGGCTCATCGCCGAAAAGTCCTTCCGACGAAAGTTCATCGGTCTACTTGCTAGGGGTATTGGAACGCTCCCGGTCGCCCGAGCTATGGACAATTTGAAACCCGGAACTGGAACTATCTACCTCCCTGATCCCGTGAACGAGCCCACCTTACTACGAGGCGTGGGGACCAACTTTGAAGGCCCGGGTTTTGAAAAGGAGGGGACTATTGCACTGCCGACCATCAACGGAACATCCCATAGCACGGCCATTGCGGAAATTCGTGGAGCGGAGGAATTGGTTTTGAAGAAGCCCTTCAAACACCGGGATGCGCTCGGTCAGCTTACGGGGAGACAAGACATTGATAAGGAAGGCCAATTTACAGGAGATCCTAAGGATCAGGTTCAGGATTTCAAGGGTACTAAGTTCAAGGTTGCCCCGCATGTGGATCAGACGGCTGTCTATGAAGCTGTCTTTGGGAGATTAAATGATGGCGGCTGTGTGGGTATCTTCCCCGAGGGTGGTAGCCATGACCGCACAACTTTGCTTCCCCTGAAAGGTAAGTCTATTCTGACGCCTTTGGTCTGAATTTTTGGTCAATGTGAATTTGGATCTAACATCTTTTAGCTGGTGTGGCCCTCATGGCCCTTGGAACTCTGGCGGACAACCCGGATTGTGGTCTGAAGATTGTGCCCACCGGCATGAACTATTTCCATGCCCACAAGTTTCGCTCTCGTGCTGTAATTGAGTTTGGCAACCCGATTGAAGTCCCCAGAGAATTGGTCGAGCAGTTCAAGAAGGGCGAACGTCGGGAATCCGTCGGTGCTCTCTTGGACATCATCTATCAAAGTCTTGTCGCCGTTACCGTTACCAGTCCAGATTACGAAACTCTCATGGTAAGCTTCTTTAATTGTCTTGATCTTGGAATAATTTTTAACAAATCATAGGTCATCCAAGCAGCCCGTCGTTTGTACAACACCAAGGGGAAGAAGCTACCTCTCCCAATGGTTGTGGAGCTCAATCGTCGATTAGTCAAAGGATACGCGCATTTCAAAGATGACCCACGAATTGTGAATCTCAGGAAGGGGATCGTGAGCTACAATAAGCAGCTGCGCATCCTCGGAATCCGTGACCACCAAGTGGCGTACGCCAAGTTCTCCATTATACAAGTGATTGCTACTTTGATTTATCGATTAGGCAAGCTTGTTCTTCTTACAATCGGAACCTTGCCTGGTCTGATCCTTTTTGCTCCCGTCTTTGTCGCAACCAAATATCTTTCGATCAAAAAGTCCCAAGAAGCATTGGCCGCATCCAGCGTCAAGCTACAGGGACGTGATGTTATGGCTACATGGAAGCTTCTAATTGCGCTTGCATTTGCTCCGGCCGTATACGCTTTCTACACCACCGTCTTCACCTATTGGACCTATCGGAATCGGATCCACGGCTGCATGCCTGACTGGGTTCCCCTCTGGTTGGTAGTGGTGCTTGGCATGGTATTATTCCCAACAATTAGTTTCGCTGCCCTACGCATTGGTGAAGTAGGCATGGACATTGTCAAATCGCTACGACCGCTGGTTCTCTCTCTGAATCCTTCCTCGGCCAACACATTGGTGAAACTCCGAGCCAGACGCGTTGCACTTGCCCAGCAAGTAACGGATGCCATTAACACTATGGGCCCTGAGCTCTTCCCCGACTTTGACGCCGCTCGCATTGTCACCGATCCCTTCCGCGAAATCAGCTACGAAGAAGACGCATCTGCAGAAGCACCGCTCCTCAAACGAGCTCGCGACGAGGATCTGGCCCAGGGATCACCCAGTGCTGAGCCTCTACCCAGAAACGAATCATTCCACAACCTGGCCAACATTGGCTTCTTCTCTACAAGACCCCCTAGTCGCAACCGCAGTCGCAGTAGCTCTGCAGCACCGCGCCCAGGCTCCCGACATGGTCTCAAACCTCTTAGCCCCATGACCCCCAGTGAACCCGACCCTCTAGGAGATGTGAGTTCACGTATACGAGAGGCTATGAGAGAGCGCGGCGAGCGACGTCGCCGTCGAAGTGAGGATGGGAGCTGGGATATGGCCAGCTCAGGAACAAGAACTCCATCTAGCGGAGATGAAGGCCGCAAAGATCTATGACCTGCTATGACAGTACTGTTGAACCTTGATTTTATTCCGTCCTTTTATCTCATTTGGAGATATTCTGGCATTGGAAACATGTTGTTTTGTTTTTTTTTAGTTACTTATATACCACAATGCGAGATATCCCGAGTGTATTCCATCCAGACACTCAACTTTGTTTGGGGGTTCTGTACTCTGTATAAAATTTCACAATATTGTAGATAATAATTTAAGACAGATACACTACTTCAGTGGGTAAGCAAGGGGCTCATATTTTATTTCACTAGGTTAGGATTGTGGATTTAACAATTGTATGAAATTCCTTAAACATTCAATGACTGCTTGGCCTGATTTTCCTATCGCATCTTGTCATAAGCAGAAAATAGTTGAAGTTCAAATGTTTGATCTCCGAACAACCTTGGAATGGACTATACTAGTGGACGAAGATATTTTTGAATTTAGGGCAGGGGCTTAGGGCAAGTACTGCCGATGTCTGAGAGGGGATGGAATGCACAGCGGCAAGGTAAGGAGGCGGTGTTAGAATGTGATTGGAAGTCTTTCTATAAAGCTTCCAAGTCCAACTCCAGTTGAATATCTGACATCAGGGGGCCTTGCCATGCCAGGGAGGCAGCGGTGCTCTTTACTTCTAGGGTTATGGTATTCTCCATGCTAAGGATAACTAAACTGTAAATGTGCCGCTCCTTTGGTTATGAGGCTGAAGTTAATTCGAAGGAATTATCAGGTAACTTTTAAGTAGCGAGAAGCTTTCAAACGTATATTGACACTGATGATTGTAGTGATCAAAACGTAAATACAATGTTTAAATTCAACGGCGAGGGCTCATGCCAGTCAGTCTCTGCCGGCGACCATACCGTGGAAGGTGTGGCTAGTGATAGTTAATTTCAAGATGATCAAAGATACCCTCTTCGCGTCTGAATGAAGTACAGTACCTACGTACTGCTTTGTTTAAAGTGAGAGGATCGAAGATAGTTGCTAAGAGGCGAATCTTCGTTATAATTAATGAAGTTCAATAAAGTTCACGCTTTTACCACCACTTCAGTACTACTAGAGGCCTATTTAATGAGATATCTTACAATTTAAGTTCCCCTCAAGTGCTGGTTGCAATAGCCGAAACAGCGAACGGGTTTGAAGTGAAGGTACCGTTGGGATCTGCCTTACCCCTTGCCTTACCCAATCTCTGGTACTTTTCAGCATCCTCATAATAACATTCCCATATCTCCTGCTTCCCCAGGTCCCAGTCACCATAAGACCCCCAGAGCAAACGTCTGTCCTGCTTGCTAAAAGGGCTCGAGGGACCAACCATAATAGAGTCATTCTTGGCCTGCCATTTCTCGGCATACTCTTTATACTGGTCGCCCGGTTCATGAAAGCAGTCTAGCGTCTGGACAACCGACGAGTCCCTCCAGCTGTAAGAGGTGCCATTATCCTTATTTAAATAGAAACGCGAATTCTCGCCTCCAAAGCATTGAATCTGCACTGAAAGCTTGCAATGTGTGTAGACCTCGTACTCCTTGTCTCCCGGGTTCCCATCGAACAAGTGGCGCGGGTTATAGATCAAGTCGATGCGATCAACCACGGAGTCGACCCAGCCGTCCTTTTCGAGAGTCTTCGAGTTCGTAGAGTAGGTGCGCTTCACGTAAGGAAGATCAAACTCTCGTTGCTTGGGGAAGATCCATTTTCCAGTCATTTGAGACATATCCTCCTCGAGCTCTTCGATGAGGAGGGTTTCGTTTGTGAAGAATCCCTTCAGGGCCCGGAACTTGTCAAACCATTTATCAACACTCTCGTCATACTTGTCATCTTTGCTGGTTGGGCACCACTGCGCATAGAGCACGATGATGGCGGGGAAACTGCCTTCCAGCCAGTCAAGAAACTTATCTGCGAAGGCTTCCTTGATTTTATCCTGAACGCGTGCCCATATGCCAGCATCCTTCAATGTGGGGAATAGTTTCGTGACGGGGAAGTCGGTACTAAGAACGCTCACACAGAGGTCAAAGCCTCGCGGGACATTGCTATCGTCAGCCATTTTTGCGACTGCAGTAAGCACGTTTTTAAGGACCTCCGGACTGTAGAGCCAGAGTCCTTTAATACCATGTGGCCCCTTGAATCCATTTGGACCAGAAACAGTCCCCATGTAGCTTTTGGCCTGATATACCTCGACGATATAGTGCGTGATTATTCCAAAATTACCTGGGCTGCCCCCAAGTATGGCGTAGAAAAGGTCGGGATCGTTCCCCTTAGAGATGTCTCGAATGACACCGTCATGGCAGACCATACGAATTGTTCTGATATTATCACCAAAAAGGCCGAAACTACGGCCAAGTTGGCCATAACCACCAGTTTGACCATGCCCACCCACACAGACGAAAGCGCACTGTCCGGTGGGGACAAACAGTTGGTTGTGCTTGAGATATGCGTTGAAGTCCTTGAGTTGATTACTGACACCTGCGAACACTAGTGCTCTATCTTGGTCAATGGGTTCGAGGGGATTCAGAACCATCAAGTCCTTGTATGTGTTGCTCAGGTCGATCTGAATGTTCTTTCCACTAGTAGATGATGCACCACTGTACTGGTGACCACCACTCTTGATAGCGATAGCGACTTTATTCTCTCTGGCCCAATTCACAGTCTGGATGACGTCTTCGTCCCGTTTCGGCTGAACGATGAGATTGGGGTACATGTTGTGATCACTCTCGTGAGTTGAGGTCGCATATTGCTGGTTGAAGTAGGCATAGTCTTGTTTTTCAGCTGGGTTCCCATCACGGGAGTATTGCATCCCCTCAAAAGATTGAATTCGGACCATGATTTCTTTCTGAAAGAAGCAATTGAGTTAAATATTCAATTGATTGAACCCTAGTGGACATGCCTCAGACGCGAGCGACACCCAACTTTATACTTTGCAGGAGTGCTTGCACATGTGGGGACTCGTGTAGATCCGGGGAAGCTCAGCTGCTTCGGTAATTATTATTTGGCGTCTGTAAATTCAAGTAATCGTCATTGATATGAATACATAAAGGCATTGCATCACTAGTTTACAATGATGATGTAAATCTATTGCACTTATGCTAAGTAGATCTATGGTAAATCATATTACTCTTACCACACTTGTAAAGGGCTGCAAGCATCTATGTACTAATTCAATATTGCACATGTGACATCCTAAATTATATTGTGCCAAGGCCCAAAAGACAAGGGCTGCTTCCAAGGTTCTCTGCTGCGGAGCAAATTAGCTTTTTGTATGAACCATAGATCTTGCGGTGAACGGTGGGCCTAGATTAATGGCCATAAGTCTTCCCGGGAACCGAAAAAATATTGAATATATACATAGCCTCGCCGTTTGCAAAATTATGTCTACAACTTGAGTGACACTATTTAGCAACTCAGAATCAATGAGTCCTCAGGGAACCAGTCACAGGGTCCAAGAAGTTGCTCAATGAGTCTGTGGGTCTGAGCCCGATTGCCCTCATAAAAGTGGCGCTGACCAAATTAGGTAAGCTCCACTTTTCATGATAAATACAGTACAGGTGTCTAAGTAGAAAGATACTTAGGAAGACTTAGACAGATGATTAGACAGATGCTTAGAAAGACGGGTTGAAAGACAATCTAAGAATAGCACCTGGGTCAACCTAAGCTTGAAGGACATCTGGACATCCGGACATCGGTAGATGATAATTTTATTTCTAATATCGGGTATATAGCTCTGTAGGATCTTATATCTGTTCTCTGGTAATGTATTGAAAACATTGAAGTATGGAATTTGTTAATATGAGATGCTAAAATTTAGGCGGAGAATAGCCTATCATTTATAACGACATGGATATATAAATTTGTATAGACTCTCTGGATGAGTGCTCTATGTCATTAAATTCACAATTCTAGTGCTAAAAATACATCGAAAATTTTGAAATGCTAGATATCGCTACCCTAGCAAAATGAAGGGCCATCAAATTCCATGTAAAAAAAATGATTAATGTTATGGAGAACTCTGCCTTCGGTGTGGTAGGCTAGGTGCCGAATAGATGCCTTTAGACAATTAATAAATGAGTTAGCGAAAAATCATGTGCACGATCACTGAGTGCCCACTGAGTGATCACTGTTCTATCACGTGACAAACAGGAGCAGCTCAATGAGCCTGAGCAACCTTATTAAAGCGGCAGTCACTGAATGAGGTAGCCCCACCCGTCAAGAAATATCCAGTACGTACAGTATACCTACATAATGGATGGACATCAAAGAGACCAAGTGGGTACACCCCCTACAGAGCCCTAAGGATTGATCTACATCCTAAAAGCTTACAAATAAGAAGCCCCCATTGGCCCATCTTTATCGCTTCAACATACAGAGTGCCTTCTACGCCACTCTGATTGGATGAAAGGGCTAGATGCCCCCAAGCCTTATTGCAAGTTTTGCGACCATTCCCAGGCTAGGAATTAAGAAAAAGCAAACAAGACAACCTTTGAAAACTCTGTAGCGGGACACGCAACTATCAGGTAGGACCTGGAAGCCACCCCCTCATTTGAGAAGTCAAGACACTACGTCGCTGCTTCCTCGCCAATCGGCTCAAAGTTCGTGATGCACCTTCATTAATCAACTCCACCTGATAGGCTGCTTGAGGTGGACTGTGCGCCCAATCTAGAATCAAAGATAACGGACTTCACGCCCCTTCAAGAGAAAGTGAGAGGTTGCAACGATTGATTATTACTGGAAGCGGCACAGTTACTGATACCGATCAGGGCAGTCTATGCTTTAGCGGATGCGGGGCTCCGGACATCATTACTTCTACGAGATTTCTGGCACTTCTTCTTTGCGTGCTTTTCAATATCGGATTTCAGGTCACTCATGATACTCTGTTATGGAGGGAGCTATGAATGCTATTAAAAGGCAGTTTCGGCCGACGTCTGTGCTGTCAAGGGAGGAAGAGGAGAGGGTAGATAATCTTAATCATGGCCCTGATGATCTTGAACAAGTCGAGAGCCAAAGTCCTGAGTTGAAGGGTATCGCGAAAGACACGGTTCAGGCGGAATCGGGAGTATCTGCTATTGAAGGTGCCACTTCTGTTTGGGGAAAGAAAGGCAGATGGCTTGTTATCGCTGGGTAAGCTCTATGCTTCACGATGGGATATATGATGATCATGCTAACGTGTAGCCACTTTTGCGCCTGAAGAATCGCCATGATAATGATAATCTAGTAAGTAATACGAGGCTCTCTTACTGATGCTTTATGAGCTAACCATGCACAGCGAGCTCGACAACTCGACCGTATATATCTACAATAACTACTCAACATCATCCTTCAATGCCCTTTCAAAACTGGCAACGCTCAGTACTGCCGGATCTGTCCTTTTCGCAGTCATAAAACCACCCATTGCAAAGCTTTCAAACGTCATGGGCCGTGGCCAGACGTACATGATGACGATTAGTCTTTATGTATTATCTTATATTCTCATGGCTTCAGCCAAGTCGCTCAACGCCTATGCTGCGGGATACATCTTGTATGTTATGGGTCAATCAGGTACCAACATTATGAACGACATCGTTATTGCAGATTTAAGTAACGCGCGATGGCGTGGCTTTGCAATCGGCGTTTCTTTCGCTCCCTACCTCTTGACGCCGTGGATATCAGGCTTCATCACCGAGAGTGTTGTGAACGGAATTGGCTGGCGTTGGGGAATTGGAATGTTTGCCATTCTCATGCCCTTTGGGGCAAGTTTCATCATCACCACCTTGTTATACTACCAGATGCAAGCTAAAAGAAAGGGTCTTGCGGTACGCCAAAGAACGACAGTCTATGACTTTTGCTCCCAAATTGATTTGGGTGGCGTGGTTCTCTTCAGTGGTGGCTTCGCTCTGATCTTAGTTCCATTGACATTGGCAGCGACAACAACCAGCAAATGGAGGACACCATATCTCGACGCCCTCATTGCCGTTGGAGCTGTCATGTTGATTGTATTCCCGTTCTATGAGCGTCTTGTCTCCAAATACCCCTTCATGCCGCCATCCTACTTTAAGAATCCCACCATTGCTCTCTGTCTATTTCTCATTGCGACAGACTCTATCGGCTTCTCATGCACTCATACCTACCTATACACATGGGCAACTGTGGCACGCAATTTCTCAGCGCGAAATGCAACATTCTACAACGCGACCAATGGTGTGATGCAGTGTTTGACGGCTATAATTGCTGGAGTCTTCATGATGTGGACACGGCGCTATAAGTGGTTAGTTATTGCTGGGGCTGTCATCCGTCTCATCGGTTACGGTATCATGATTCGTCTCCGAGGCGCATCGAATTCCCTATTTGAGCTTTTCTTTGTGCAAATACTACAAGGCATTGGCTCGGGTATCATGCAAGTAAACCTGCTAGTGCCAGCGCAAATATCCGTACCGCACGCACAGATGCCACAGATAACAGCTTTGGTTGTGTGTTTCTCTTTCTTGGGATCGAGTGTCGGTGCCTGTATTGCCGGTGGCATATATACCAACACTATTGGAATGGCCTTGAAGAACCACCTAGGCTCACAAGCAACGCCAGCATTGATCAAAACCCTTTCTAACTCGATTCTTGGTGTCGCTCCAGCCTGGGGTACTCCAGAGCGTATTGCCGTAAACCTTGCAGTGAGTCTCATGATTGCTGCATCATTGTTGGAAGCAAGTTGACACAAAATATAGTTTTCGGATGTTTTAAGATACATGACCTATACTGCGTTGGCATCTTCCGTGCCCGCGATGTTTCTAGCCTGGTTCATGCCGAACCACAACCTTCCGTGAGTGATTATGCCAAATACGGCGATGATAGTATCTAACTTTCTTTCGCAGGGACCGTAACAATTTGGTCGAAGAGCCTACGGATTAGTGAATTCGAAGATAATGTACATAGTAAGACTTGGGCGGGAGGTCTATTTTTGAGCGTGCTATGTACGAGACAGTCAAACCAAGTGCACTTCTCTTTCTTTTGGCAGTCTGGACCCTTCAGCAAACAAAGGCTGTGTGGTCTTCTCTCTTTTTACTGTATACAATCAATTAATACAACATTGAATTCGAATGTTGTTGATCCAAGAGTCCAACCAATAGGATCTCGCTTGACACTCGGGATGTACATTACCGCGGACCTCGCCACAACCCATAATACCCCCATAATATGGATGCCGATGTAGATCTCATGCTAAAAAAAAAAGACCAAGAAAATAACAATGCAGCCTGCTAATATCGCCTCCTTCGTGTTAAAAAAATCCTGTCATCTCTAATAATTCCCCTTCGCCCCCGTGAACCACGAAACCGGAGATTCCGGATGCTGTACGTGCCTTGTATCTCATAAGACTAAGACTGACCACGTTGCCCGCATCGCGTCCGCCAATACTCACAGCCCTGCTCCACCTTCCCTCTCTTTTTCTCCGCCCCAATATACGGAGTTCCACCCCAGATCAATTATTTCACATCCCCGATCCATCTGTGTGAGCTTCGTTTCGCTACGTGTTCACCATGGCGGGCTCCATGCACTTATCGCAACTCCGGAAATGGTTCCTCGCCTCTCCGCCGATCGAACTTGCGATTAACAACTTGAAGGAGCTCCTGGTCGGTGCGCTTCGCCAGGGGCCCATCCCCCAACATGTGGCCTTCGTGATGGATGGGAACCGTCGCTTTGCCCGATCGCATGGGATTGAAACTGTGGAAGGACATAATTTGGGCTTCGAGGCATTGGCTAGGGTACGTTCGCCCCCGATCAGCTGGTTGATCCCAACAGCTCTATGTGGTGCAACGAACCCTTACTGGCGTCACCCGTACAAATTTGACATATACTAATTTCTTTGTCCTCAATAGATTCTAGAAGTCTGCTATAAGAGTGGAGTGAGAGTGGTTACCATATACGCCTTTAGTATCGAGAATTTCAAACGTTCGAAATTCGAGGTGGATGCCTTGATGGACATGGCCAAGGTGAAGCTGTCCCAGATGGCCCAGCATGGAGATCTATTGGATCGATACGGGGCTAAAGTGCGCGTTCTTGGGCGCCTCGATCTCCTCAAGCCCGATGTTCTGGCTGCTGTCAACAGGGCCGTCGATCTGACTAGTCGCAACGGCGACCGCGTCCTGAACATTTGTTTCCCCTATACCTCCCGCGACGAGATTACCGGCGCAATTCGCGAAACCGTGGAAGACTACAGTACACCACTCTCATCGAACGGCACTGCTCGAACCCCTTTCTCCGAATCCCATATCGCACATAATATCCGAGCTCAGACTCTGGGATCGAAACCACAAGATTTGCATAGTGACTCTGAGTCTAGCTCTGCGGGCTCTACGGTGCATGACGATGATTCTGTACTGCGCGGTGAACGACCTCATCGGGTCTACGAGTCTGGGTCTTCATTCTCGTCATCCACAACTCTTCATCATCTACAACAGGATGGTCAACTTAAGAATGGAAACCATGGAAATGCATCTACCGATGAGAAGTCGGCGTTCATGTCTCCCGAAACTATATCTCGGCAAACACTGTCTGACCATATGTTGACCAAGGGTACGCCACCTTTGGATATGCTTGTGCGGACCTCTGCCGTGGAACGATTGAGCGACTTCATGCTCTGGCAGTGCCATGAGAACACAGAAATCGTGTTCCTCGATGTCCTATGGCCAGAGTTTGATCTATGGCATTTCCTTCCCGTACTGCTTGGATGGCAACGACGAATTTCCAAGTCGCGACAGAATCCCGACGCAGAGGGTAATTTTGCGGGTGATAGCCCAGAGTCCAGTGAAGAGGACATTGATTCCTCGGCTCTGCGACAGGGCAAGTTGAAAGCCATATAGAGCTCCCTTTTGCCTGTCATTATTTATATTCTTTCATGTTCTTCTGTACCTTTTCTTTCTCAGCATTCAGCGGAGTTCTGGAGTTCGAGTGACCCCTCAACGTGATCACTCATGTGTTCATATATCCCAGCAGCATTAGGCAGCATACCTCTACACATATTGTATGATCCATCTATAACTATCATTACTTAGAATAGAATCTATCTATCACGTCTTCCATCCTACGCTTTCCCCAATCCAGACTCCGACCCTGAATTACTAAACCGGGCGGCTACCCGGTGCTATAAACTGGATCGGGGCCCCGCGCCGATACCGGCCACGTGACGGCGCTCATTGACTCAATTCAGTCTCAAGGTTCTCGCCGACTTTCATTCTCCATTTTTATCTATACCCTTATAAAAGATCAAAATGGCTGCTCAAATCGCTGGTTCTAAGGTCCTGCTCCTGGGCTCAGGCTTCGGTATGTCTTAATACGACCTCAATCCCAATCTACGGATTGCCTGGATGCCCCGCATTGCCAGCTTCTGCGTTGCAATTATGTCTATACAAGAAAATATGCTAATATTCCTGTTAATTGATAGTTACCAAGCCCACTGTTGATATCCTTGACAAGGCTGGTGTTGAGGTTATCGTCGGTACGTTCAATTGATCCGCTATCACTCTCCTACTCGCTGCGATAGAATTTATCAAATTACCCCGCCATATTATCGCAAGATGCCCAACATCGCATACACCGCTAGACTGGCGCAGTGACTGCGATTTTATACCCCGCGCATCGTTCAATTGAAATTAGCATAGTCGCTAATTATAAGATCGTAATGAACAGCTTGCCGTACGCTCGACAGCGCTCAGAAGCTCGCCGCTGGCTTCAAGCACACCAAGGCTATCTCTCTCGATGTTAGCAACGATGCTGAGCTTGACAAGGCCATGCAGGGAGTCTCTGTTGTGGTCTCTCTGATTCCTTACACCTTCCACGCTACTGTTATCAAGTCTGCTATCCGCACCAAGACCAACGTTGTTGTAAGTATAGAGTCAGTCGCATGGCACCATGAATTTTCATTAACGGGTGAAACAGACTACTAGCTACGTTTCTCCTGCTATGGAGGAGCTTGATGCTGAGGCTAAGGCTGCTGGCATTACTGTCATGAACGAGATTGGTCTGGACCCCGGTATCGACCACCTTTACGCCGTTAAGGCTATCGCCGAGGCCCACGCTGCCGGCTCCAAGGTTACTGGCTTCGTTTCCTTCTGTGGTATGTATAGAATTCTCATTGATGATTTGGAATGGTAAACTAACTTTACTAGGTGGTCTCGTGAGTATTCTAAATTGTTGAATAACTTGCAATTTATTAACATTTATATCAGCCTGCCCCCGAGGCTAGTGGAAACCCCCTGGGTTACAAGTTCTCCTGGTCCAGCCGGTACGATAAAAGTTCCTTATGCCATACATCTCGAAGAGCTTATTAACCGAAAAATTCTAGTGGTGTCCTGTTGGCTCTACGTAACGCTGCCCGCATCTACCAGGTATGAAGGCCTGTTGAAAGAAGCCCAATAACACATCATTGCTAATACAAGTTATACGAATAGGACGGCAAGCTGGTCGACATCGCTGGCCCTGACCTGATGGCCACCGCTAAGCCCTACTACATCCTTCCCGGCTTCGCCTTCGTCGGATACCCCAACCGTGACTCCACCTCTTTCCGTGAGCGTTACGATATCCCCGAGGCCCAGACCGTCATCCGCGGTACCCTGCGTTTCCAGGGTTTCCCCGAGTTCATCAAGGTTCTCGTCGACACCGGTTTCCTCAAGGACGAGGCCAGCCCCGTCTTCGAGAGCTCCATCCCCTGGAAGGAGGCTACCCGCCAGCTTCTGGGTGCCGCCTCCTCCTCCGAGAAGGACCTTGCCGCGGCCGTCGAGTCCAAGACCTCCTTCCCCAATACTGAGGAGCGTGACCGTATCATCTCCGGTTTCCGCTGGATCGGTCTCTTCTCCGACGAGGCTACCACTCCCCGTGGAAACGCTCTCGACACCCTCTGTGCCGTTCTCGAGAAGAAGATGCAGTACGAGGAAGGTGAGCGTGACATGGTCATGCTGCAGCACAAGTTCAACATTGAGCACAAGGATGGCTCCAAGGAGACCCGCACCTCTACTCTGTGCGAGTACGGTAACCCTGCCGGTTACTCTGCTATGGCTAAGCTTGGTAAGTACTTCGTCGCAATTTGTGGGGTATCTTTGATTTCTAACAGATGCGTTTAGTTGGTGTTCCTTGCGGTGTTGCCGTCAAGCAGGTCCTTAACGGTACCATCTCCAAGACTGTATGAATGACTCTCCCTAATTCAATCCCTGCACACACTAATATTTATATTCACAGGGTATCCTTGCTCCTATGACCATGGACATCTGTGGCCCTCTTATCAAGGAGCTGAAGGAGGAGTTCGGCATCGAGCTGATCGAGCGCACCGTTTAAGTGCATTACCTCGTTAAAAACGACTTTTTACGTAGCCTAAAAGTACAAAGAATGATATAGATCATGATTGGATGTTTCTAAACCCTCATTTTCGACCAGGTGTCTTCAAAGTAGTTCATATATACGCCAGATTGCTTTTGAGTGAATGAGATAGATAGATATCCAGCACCTGGGAATTATCAATATTTTATGGACAAGGTATAGTCTCCTCATTATGGACTGTCCGGTCGGATGATCCTATACTCGTCTGAAGTCTGCCACACTGCATTCGCACCGCAATCAATTCAACGAGTGGAAGAGGAATGAACTCCCCTCTTATGATAAGAGCACCTGGGAAATTTACATGCCCAGTTATAAGCGAGCCACACGCTACCGTATTCATCATGCATAAGTAGATTCTTAACTTCATTATCATGGGCATATCATTTTCCTCTATCATATCATCATCGCAATTTCTAGCTCAGTTAAGAAACCGAGCCAGAACCATACAAACCCCAACAAGCACAAAAACCCCAAAGGTAAACGAATCAACATAGAAGGCTCAGATCAAGGCTTCAATTCTAGTTTCAAGACATACCAGATCTGATACAACAACGGTAGAATTGGTGTTTCAAAACGCTTGCGAAAGAGACGCAAAATTTCCCATGTTGGCACAATGTATCTCATTCTTTTGTATTGTTGGGCGTGGAATGGACTCGACAGGCAGGTTTTCTCTATGTATATTGCCATGCGGCCATTACTTCACGAATTCGATCAGAGAATAGTGCCAAAGCTATAGCAAGAAGAACAACCAACAGGGTTAGTAACAGTCCTCCAAACGAACGAGAAGTAGATGATGGTAATAAAGAAGATCTGGACAGGAAGAACCTGCATTGGTAAGGGACAAAAAAGCAAAGGGCATTAAACAAGTGAACTTACCCGAAAGTCTGCTTGATGCTGCGAACGTAGTACATATCCCAATTTTGCTTGGTGACATCCTCCTGGCCAACGGGGACACCGGACCACTCGACGCGCATCTGGGTCACACCGTCGACGTTGTTCTGGTCCAGGTTGATCTGCAGGGTACTGAAGTGGTCGGCGGGCCACTGCGCAAGACGCCATTTCTGGACAATCTGCTTGGGTTGGTCGAGCTTGACGAACTCGCCGGTGACGTTGCCGTCGAAGATGGCGAACTTGCCGCCAACCTTTGCACCCTCGAACAGGCGGGGTGCGCCACGGGTGAAAGCTGCGATGCGCTGGGGGTCGGTGAAGGTGTTGTAGAGCTCCTCGGCAGTGGTGCGGAACTCATCTGACGCTGTCACAGTGGTGGTGTTAATGGCGACCTTGCCGGAGGATGTGGTGGTGGTTGCAGTAGCGGTGGTCTCCTTCTTGTCGGCTTGAGGGTGGACAGAAGCAGGAGTGAAGCCGCTGGATGGGTTGGTGCCGGGGGCATGCTGGAGATCCTTGGCGTGCTCGGCGATCAGGGCGCCAGTGAGCTTTGCGAGGGCCACACGGAGTTGAGGGAGGATCTTGGAGCGAACCAGATCCTTTACGGGCTGCTTAGAGGTGGCATCGGCATGGTTCTCAATCTCGAACTGGGCAGGAAAGGGAAAATTGATGTTAGTCTTGGCGTTCCGGACTCTTTCATTCTTCATTTCTAATCTAACGCCTCTTTTTTTCCTCGTGGGAAGGCGAAAGGTTCATTGATGGGTTGGTACAAGGGAACATACGACGTACTCATCTTCCTCGGTATCGTGGGCTACCTCGGGGATGCTGATGGAACCGCTGACCTCCTCGGCGTCCTTGGTCTTACCTATGGAGAAACAGTCTCAGCTGCCAGGATCGCTCGCAGGAATTCAAGTGGATTTCTACAAACCTGAATACTCTAGCGACAGCTTCACATCGAACAGGGTAATGACCTTGCCCTTGCGCTGGCTGACGTCTACGTCGCCATTCATGGACACCACCTTGTCTACTTTGGCTGACACACCCCCTTCTTCGGCACTGATGACAGTGAGGTTCTGATCAAGGTACGCCTTGGCCCAGCCAGAAGCGTCCTTGTTCACCCAGTGCCAGTTGTTGGGATTGTGGAGGACCATGATGAAGGTTGACTATTCAAAAAAGGAAAAGAAAATTCTGATTTGGTGACGATGTGACTGATTTGAAAGCCGAGTTGCAAATTCGCAACTTCTCCTTCTTCAATTTATCTCCTGTTTCCTGGCAGATATCCAGTTGAATCTAAAAAGGGTTCTTCAAAATTTGCATGTTAGCAAACTGGGTCGCAGAATTTTTTTGGTGGCGGGGAAATGCAAAAAGAAAAATTTAAATGCAAAAGAAGCAATGAAGCCACAAATATCAGGTCACGAATGCGTATATCCGGACGGAAACTGATCGTCATGAGCGTTGGGAACAAGTCCATCGCCGTCTGACTGGTGCCAGCTGTATTTCATCATTTTGGGCAAAGCAGGGGGACATTTTGAACCCGAGTGGGAAAGCTCAAGTACATAAGAGAGCTAGAAGCTCCAATTGGGAAGAGGGGAATAGAGTATAAATGGACAAGGGAACTCACAATTTCAAGACAAAGTCCAGATAAACTACTGGACAGAGTATTCGAAGAGGGGGAATATGAAGAGAAGAAGAAGAAGAGGGAAGGGACGGATATTTGAGGGATTCGGCACGGAACACTCTAGAAAGTATTAATCACGTGATATTGACGGACCAAGTGGATCCAGGTCGCTGTAAGTGAATGAGATCAACAGACACCCAACAGTCAGGGATTAGAAATAATATCATGATGGTGTTTCGTTAGCTCAATAACTGAAAGTCGAAATTTGGAAACGCAATATCAACTTGAAGGTCCAAGATTTGAAATAGATAGGGAAGTAGACAAGAAAAACAGATTGACCTGGTAGATGTATATTCAAATTTGGGTTGCAGCGAGCGAATGGGGATATCACAAATCTGAAAAGAAAAAAGAAAAAATATAGGTATAGAAACAGGAATGAAGAAGAAAAACCCAATGAGCTCAATATAGTCCCTCCTACGCCTGCTCCAATCGTTCCAAATCTTCCCATCCATCTTCACCCACAAGCTGTTCCTTAACTCGTTCACGCAATTCTTCAATTTGGCTTCCAAGAGCCTCGGTCCACTGGCTCTCGACAGTAGCAACTTTATCCTTCAAATCCGTAGTAAGAGAAACCTCGTCATCTGCTCGAGTGACTTCTATGATCTGACGCACAGTTTCTTCAGGTTCCCCCTGCTGAATTCGTTCAGCTTCAACGAGGTTGCGATTCGCCCGCATCAAAGCTGAGCGAACTTCATGCAACAAGCAGAGAAGATTTGTCTGGGACTCGATATATTGATAGCTGGATTTCTCAGCATGAGAAAGTAGCGAGTAGAGGTACTGTAGCGGATGCGAGTGATAACTTGGATTTTCTTCGTACTCGTTGGCGGGAACCTGAACTCTGAAACCATGTAACCGCTCGGGGACTTGCTGTATTAAGGCAAGCAGCGAGGGTGCAATATCCCAGAATGCTGAGAGCTGCTTTTCAACACCTCGGACGACATTTTGCTCAATGACATCCAGGAATGATTCCAGACGAGCAAGTGTCTCGGATTCATACTGGACCCGTCGATCCAATGTATCCTTCGTGAAGAATGCTTGCGTTTCGCGAAGCTTCTCTTCATTTTTGTTTTGCTGATACGGTAGCAAGGCAATCGATTTGTATTTCTCGTCACGACCGCTGACCAGATCAAAAGACTCTCTGTGGAGTTGTTCTCTTGCTTCGAAAAGCCATTTCAGCTGAGTGAGCTTCTCCAACAGCTCAGGCTTTTCATCGCCTTCTTCTTGCGTTTGATCGGGGGTTTCGTGCTGGGCATCGTCGAAGAGCTTGCTCCTCAATTCATCGATACAAAATGTTGCTCTCTCGATTCGGTCAGTGATAATAGGATGCATTGGCTTCAGCACTATTTCCTGGTAGGAATCGAGTTGGCGTTTTGCCAATTCCCTTGCACGTTGGTTCTCCTCAGCGATCATTGCAGCCTCTGCTTCGGCAGCCTCGGCGAAAGTAAGACTACCTTCTTGAATCTGGCTCTGGATATTAGATTTGAAATGAAGGCGACTTTCTTGAACCTGGCTTTGATGCTCTTGGATCATTCTCTCAATATCCATCTCGTACCGCTGTCTGGTTGACTTGATTTCAGAAAGATCGGTAATAGAGCGAACAGTAGTTCGATAAGATACGAGGTCAGGATGACTATTGTTGACCGCGGGGTAGTGGCGAGGATATGGCGGGGGTAGAGTGACCAGGCGCGATATATCCAGCTTTGAATTTGCGATGGGTCTTTGGTATCGCGACTGAGCTTCCATACTGGGATACCCATTGCCGTCCTCATGCCAGCCGACCTTTTCGGGTGGATATTCGTCTGGGCCATAAGGCACATCTGGACCAGTATAATTTGAGCCCGCATCATCAAGATTCGATGGCGTACGTTCCTGGTCCCACTGGGTGGAATCTCGAGGTAACCCCATATACTTCGATTCACGCTTGGAACGTTGGACCCGCCTGCCATTCCCATCGCTACTGGACCCAGTTTGGGATTCCCACCATCGACTTGGTGCACGACCTCGTGAGCTCTGTTCATCATTACTCATATTGATACTGGCAATAGGCGACAAGCAAGGCTGATAGGTATTCCACCATGCGGAATCAGGTCTGCTTAGTCGATTTTGAGGAATGTCTAGCTTCGGAGCTGGCCTGACTGGTTTGGATGGAGGTGCTTCAAATAACTTGCTATGAACCGAATCGGTGTCAAATGACCCGGAAGCCCAGACAGAAGCATAGCGCTGGCGTCGAATCGCGGACTCGGCGATCATATATTGCGTGAAAACCTTCAAGGCTTCGGCATCGTTTGCTGCCGCAGCCTCATCTTCTATGAATTTTCGGTGTCTCTGTATGGAGTTCTGAACAAATTCTGTATCCTGCTTGATCATACCTTCCAACGAATTTTGCGTCATTGCTTCTCGAGACGGTATGCGACGCGGAGATAGTGGTTTCATCATGGAGACAGCATCATTAGGCATGTGCAGAATGTGCGAGATTGGGCGCTCCTCTGGTCCCCGGGATAGGGCACGGGGTCGTGACTGTGGTTGAAACTCTTTACCAGAGCCTAACGGAGGCGTGGGTAATGCCTTTGGTGGCTTCGGTTGAGCTATTTCTTTTGGATATGATGAAGACGACTCTCCATTCGGTGAAAAAGGTGGAGTATGCGCAAACGCAGCAGATGGGCCACTGGCACTAGGCCCAGCAATTGGACTTGGCTCTGCTTTGGGCGTTGGGTAAGAGGTATCATCGGAGAAAAGACCCCCAGAGCTTGTTCGAGATCGCGAGGTAGTGAATTGCCCCTCGGATGGAAGACTTCGAGCACTTCTCGGGGTAAATCTCGAAGACGTAGGCTGGCGTGTTGGATCCGGACTATTTCTTGGTGATGGAAGAACCAGATTTGTCGGCTTGATGTTTTCTAGAGCGTCAGCCCATGGATTATTGCCGGTGGCAGAGACCGCGCTCATATCATCAAATGTTTGACTTTGACGGTTACGTCGCTCGATTCTTCTTTCACGAATACCTTTGGCACTTGGATCTCGGACTGCCTCTCTGCGGAAGAGACCGCCGCTACCTGGAGTTCTTTGAGTTTCACGTATGTTGCCGCCTGAATCGAGCTGCTCAGATATATCAGGCGTCGGAATCACTCTAGTCGTATCAATGTAAAGTGGCTGTTCTTCTTGAGTTGGGCGGCTATTGATGTACTCTTCATCCACCCAGTCGGCTGGTGTTGGTGGAATACTTCCAAGGCCAGTTCCAATTGACGGCCGCGGCCGAGTTCTTACCCTTACAGAACTTTGAACTGTTCTTGCAGAGGAGGACTCCGAAGAGTCACTCAAGCTGACAGACCGTGCAGTAGGGGGTGGACCTGGTGGCGGTGGTGGAAGCGGCATACCTGGCTCCCAGCTGCTATTCGATGGGGATCCATTTCTTGTTTGACTTTGTGCCCTTGAGGCGTTTGCGCTGTGCACAATTGCACCGGCGGAGGCAGCTCGTCGCGAAGCAGGTGGTCTTAAAGGTAGTTCCGGTTCGCCATATGATGGTCCTGGTACTGGACCCCTTACGGCTTGTGATGCTATACCTTGCTCATAAGATGAAATCGAAGCCCTGGCTCTGGAATGCAAGGATGGAGACTGATACGGTCCTCCCTGATACCCATCTACTCGACTATGAGAGACAGACCTTGGTCCTGCATAACCTTGTGGCGGAGGGGGAGGAGGCAATGACTGCTGATGGGACTCTCCCTCACTTGTGTAAACCATAGAAAGAGGCCGTGGGCGATGAACAGAACGCCGTGGATGTCCGGGAGAAGCGTTAAAATCACCCTCTCGGGGATTTTGAGGTGGTGTCGTGGTAGGCGTCACCGAGACATTGGGATTTGGAGACGCAAAGCTTCCTTGCGATATTTGGTTCGGATTGCTTGGAGGTGAGTATGGCGGAGGTGGAGGTGATATAGGTTCCTCTGCAGTTTGTTAATATGCAGATCTAGTCAGGGTAATAATGTATGAAAGGATTCCTGACCTCCATGAGCTCTCTGCTGGGATACCACACGATGTTGACTGCCTGAATGGGCAAACTGAGCTTGTGCAGCTGCCCCGCCTACCGGACCCCAGTCTTGCGGATTATAAGGCACATTGTAGTTGGCTGGTTGTCTAGATGGGGGCGCTGATCTGCCGGTCGCTGGAGAAGGAACAGATGGTGACTGGCCGTGTATAAAGGGACTAGACAGCGACGTCGATGACAATGGTGTTGTCCCCTGAGGAAATTGAAGTCCACCCAGGGCTGTTGTCAATAATGGGGGCTGCAAAGCCTGGTCTCGACGATTTGGTGATAGCTGATTACTATTGTTGGCAATGCCCGGCGACCAGCCATTATAATGCTGCTCATCGCCAGCATGACTGGATGCCATCCAACTAAAGATCGCAAGCGGTCAATATAATGAACAGGTCGGTGAAGCTTGAAAAGGATAACAACACACCCGTTCATCCTGAACTATGTACTCATCAACACGCACTCCAATTTGAAGCCATGGCCCTCCCCAGAAGAAAATGGAATCGCGAAATCAGGGTGGAATGCAATACAAAAGGAAAAAGAAAGAAAGATTAGAGGAGGGGCTAGGTTCAATGACCGTCGAAAAGCTAGAAAATGAGAGTACAGTAAATCCTCCAGGGCCTATAGGGCCAATTAGTGCAGACCCAGGCGAATGGCACGATATCCACAAAAAAAAACAGAAGAGGGGGCAAAAAGCTATATTTGGAACGCCCATGTCCTTTCAGCAGAGCCAACACAGAGATGGAAAAGCATGGCCGAAGCGGGGAACCGAATATGCAGCTTGGTGATTCTCATCACACACGGCCCAGGGTCGGCGCTTATCGTCGATGCTGAGAGGCTGGAGATCGTTGCCCCCGCAGTCATCACCCAAGCCAACAGCGAATGAGCGCGCGTATCACAACAAGCTCAGGCATTTGGTTCTTCTGGTGCATACTTCAGGGAGGAATCGAACGAGGCCCCTGCAGGGACAGGGGGTCATGCCTAAGAGAAAATCAGGTGAAATTAAATATGGAGATGTGCTACGCTATAAAAATGTAATCCTTTCAAGTGATGGGCGCAAAGAGATTCCGAATTTAGATCTTGTAATATTTTTAGAATATGTAGATATTATTTGACTCCACACTAATGCAAGATACATGCTAAGAAAACTCGGCCGGGCAGACCGACAACTTGCACACATAGCGCGGCTGAAAAAGAAGATAATCCCTGTAAACTAGTCTCACCGTTAGCATGAAGCCACAATCAACGAGACAGAACAATAAATGTATGAAAACAAAGTGTCAGATAAAAGCCTTGTCACAGGCGGTGGTCATCAATTAAAATTCCTTATGTTGACCGTCGTGATAATGTAAAATGAATCATCATATAAAAAGGGGAGCGCGAACGAAGAGAGAATGAAAAGCAGACAAGTCAACTTACACCATAGCAATGAAAAATGTGCGACGCCAATGGATGTGGCGTATGTGTTAGTTTGAAATCCTGTTAAAGATCCATCAGCATCAAGCACTGGATGGATATGGCAGGCAATCGATATTCGATTGAGTCTAGTCAGACATGACGGTTCTCGTCTCGGCCAGCAAGCTAGCTCGGACATATGCTTGTCTTTGTTTGTGTCGATTCATCATGAAAAGGAAGAAGTTTGAAGAAGAGAGGTGTGACATACACCTACGGGCTGAGACAGCAAGGTCGAGACACGAAAATTTCAATTTTAAGATATAAACACTGTTTGCCAAGACAAATTAGCCTCTGACAAGAGAATTAAATGGTGCAAATTTTGCATAGGACAAAACAAGTTTTCAGTAGGCATGAATGGTATTAAAAAGATTGTGTCTGCATGGAAAACTCCGATAAGACTCGTCATCTAAAGGTATCATCATACAAGATGGGGGAAAGCAGGAAAGAAAAAGAACAGATGCCTACCTGATGGGTTTCTACGAGATTGACAATGCAGTCAAGATAGCTTGAAGACTGATCGATATGATTAGCCACTCGTCACAAGAGGATGTGAGTTTATGAAGCTATCGAATGTGTCTCAGTGGGCGAGGTTTTCTAGGCCTGCCACAAAATGGGCGTATCCATCATGACCGAACACTGTCATGCATTCGTCGGAGCCCAGTGCCGTTTCATCTTCGACAAAGAAAAGGGTTTTTGGGAATCTTGGGCTGGTCGCTTACCATCTGTCTTTATTCCAGTTAGCATAAGATCTTGAAACATAATCAAGAAAAAAGATGCAAGTGAATAGAAGGGTTCAGTAAAGCCATTGGTTGTCGTCAGAGATCCGAAGACCTTGGACGGTAATTTCCAGCGTATATTTAAATTGCGATCATCATGAAAGAGGGAGTGGGTGAAAAATTTGCAAGGAAGAGATTGACTAACCATTTACAAAAAAGAAATGCCGATCGATGTTGCTGCTGGTGATGCCTAGAAATTTTAGTCCTATGAGGGCTGGTTAGCTCTGTCAAACTCAATGAACTGCAATGATGACAAAAATCAAGATGAGCGTGAGATGCTCAGACTGACGTGCAATAACAGAGTTTTCATTCCTTGAAGGTCAAAGACTCTAGTTTGAATTTGGTTATGGTTTTCATCATGTGAAGGGTGCTCATGATAAAGGGAAGTGAAGTTTCAACTCGGTCGCTTACCATGAATTCAGAAACTGCCAGGCAGTGTGGAATTAGTAGGTCGTATGCATGATGAAATCCAGGTTCTTGAGAGATCCATCCCAGCTCAAAAAGCAACCTCCAAAGGGAAAAACATTGATTGCCAATGGAGGCGCACACTGGTGTAAGAAAGAGAAAGCACGGGAACAAAATTCGACTTTTTCAAGCTCCCGTCGCTCCGGATTAACTATCTTTCCGGTACTGCCTCGCTTGACACTAGCGCCCCGCTTAGCATTGATGCCTCAGGCATTAATATTTGTATTCTGGTCAGTGACTACGACGCCTCGTTTTATTTTATTTTATTTTATTAGGGTATCAGATGGTACAGCAAGAGAACCAATCGACTTGTTATCTCTTACAAAGAATAGACTCACCTTGGGGTCAGACAATGTCGAAATCGAAGGTGTTCGGCCATTTGAAAATTTCATTGCTCAGGATCCATGAACCGTGCCTGATACGGATTATACTGTAGAATTTCCCACAATTTAAATTGTCATTTTGTATTCTAGTATGTTGGAGACATGATATAACATCGGATTGAAGCCATCTCATTTCACCCTGGACCCAGATTTATGCAATTCAGCTCGAGCCTGATTCCGGGTAATGCGGGCAGTGCGGAAAGCAGTGTCGTAACTAGTAACTCTGAGGTACAAGAGGATTATATCATTTCTAAAGTCATGCGTCTGGCAGATTCCAGGCTTTAAATAAAGAGACCATATTATGTTCAATAATACCAGATAACGAAGAGTCTTCCTCACAAATGATGAAAATGGATAGACTTTACATTCATCTCCCAGCACCAACCGAGCGAGGAGGCTTGACAGCCATGGAGCTACTATATGCCCAAATGCCATGTTATCACAGCCAAAGAGATTTTCTTACAGGTACAAAATGTCCCAAAGCCCTCACTTGAAGCCTCCGTTAAGCAATTGCTCTATACCAGACCCCGGCGAACTTCCGAACACATGCGTCGTTTGTGGAGATACACTTGGTAATGATACCAGTTACCGTCGACTCCCATGCTCTCATATCTTTCATCAACCCTGTATTGACTGCTGGCTTCGGGAACAAGATGCCAGCTGCCCAATATGTCGCCGAACGTTCTATTATCTGAGGGGTTTGAGGCTACTACGGGTTGCCAGCCCTGCGACCATGAACCCGGCATTGCCGATCAAATCGTATTTGCGAACCATAAAGTCATGGATGAGAAGGAAATTAAATGTGAGGCGGAATAATACTGGATAGCTAATTGTGTTTTTGGAATGTAATAACAATTAGCGCCCATCAATATTGCTCGCTAGCGCATCGACTCATTACTGATATTAACCTAGACCAAAATTTGATATTTACATGGAGTTTCCAGAGAAACTGGCAGACCTTTTTTGTTTTCATTACAGATTGAAGAAACCAGAGTCCGTCATTTCATTCTAGGATATATTAGATCATTACGTTACCCCTTGGCACATCATCTTCGTTCCATCCGAAATACCCGGTGGATCTCTCGGCGTGATCACAAATATCCTGGCTACAGGCCCGGATTGCAATACAAGCTGAATTCCAGGAATGACCATCATATGTATAGGGATGATGGCTCATGTCGATTAATTCTTTGATTTTTTTTTTCACTTCATGCTATCTATAGAGAGCTTCACACCTGAAGGACATCGCTTCACTGAAATTGAGGATAATCAAGAAAACGAATAGACCACTCCATAGAACTTGAAATTTCACTGGGCCAATCTCCCACGTTTGCCTGGTCAAAAGGTAGCTGTGACGATGGAAACATGGTTGTCGGAGGATATTCGGCACTGGGTTGTTCAGGGTACATGGGCCCATTTCGGGGGGTCATAGAGGAGGTATGCTGGACCTGGGAGGACGGGTCAAAACTACTACTAGCTGATTTTGCTGGCATGGCTGTAAGAAATTAGTAAAATTCCATCAAACGTGACCTCTCAGTAGCCATACATTCTTCCGATGATCGACGCATCCGAGAAAGGCCTTGTAATATATCTGCTGCTTTTTTAGCCGCGGCAGAGTTCACACTAAGAGCCTCGAAAACCTTTAAACATGTTGCAGCATCTTCCCGTAGACTCTGTGAGGACGATTTGCCGCTTTCTGAACAGTTATTGCTGCCGTAGAAGCTTTCTGCCACAAATAAAATGGAGCTAGCGCAGATGAGGCATGATATCATCTGCCACCATGGGAAATCGTGAACTAAGCTGCGTTCGTCTACTACATTGTGAAGCAGGTGAGCTGTTTGTTGAGCTTCGTGGACACATATAGACTCCGCTTGGGAGATAAGCCCCTTGTCCTGAATAAGCAAGTTCATGAATGACTGGTTATTCATTTGTAGGAGTGGTAAGCACAAGAAGGGCCTGTGGATCAGCGCCCGAAGATGGTGGAACTTCACTGCAAGCATGTTACGCTATTGATCGTCAGTATTTACATCCGTTCAGTTGTGAAATAAAAGCAAGCACGAACCTGACGTCTGAATGACATGGAATTCTCGAAAGTATGCCCTAAATCGAATCGTAAATGCCGTGGTAGACTTGTTTTCCATTCAAGTAAGCGTTGATCTAGATTAGATGCGCTGTGAAGTATTTTATCTGGCGATAAGTCAATCTGCGATGGGCGATACAAGAGCCTGATAACCTGTCCAACGATATGTGAGAATCGAATTACTTCAATGAAGTAATCCATCATATGATCCTGAGCGACAGGACCAGGGACCTCGGGCCCGCCAGAAGGTACAAATGGGGTTTGGTCACTTGCGCCAGGCAACTCCACCTGAAAGTCAAACTCATGGATAGCCATTGGTCGCCCCAACTGGAGAGCAAGTAGTCGATCCAAGACGTACATTGCATACCAAGTGCGTCGCCAATGTGCACGCTCTGCTGAGTTAGGGGCCGATTCAACATGGAGACCTATACTTTGCCCCATGCGTATAGCAAATCCTAAAATATTCCAACAGCTTTTCGAGGGGTCAGGATTAGCCTGGAAGGAAGAAGTTTAGAAGAGATTGACATACCGATCGGTATGACAGACTGCAAGTAAAAAGAAACACTGCACGAGTGAAATCCAAACGCTCATCAGAGAACAGTCTGCGCTGAGTTCTCTGGAAAAATAAATACCTTGGTCATGGTAGCGAAAGTGGTGATGATTGCCAGAGTCTTTTCCATGGGGAAAAGATGTGTAATATGATCCAATCGCAAATATGAAATCTAAAAGTTATTAGAAATGTGTCTCAAAGAAAGAAGTACACCAATAGATCATACTAAACAATGCAAGCCATGGTCGGAACTCAGGCTTATTGATGTCCCCAGCCTGGAAACTCTTGAAGGCTTCCAACAAGACCGACTTGCAGATGAACGGGTATGCAATATGAATAGTGGAGAGAAAAACATCCAAGAACTGTTCCGCCTCAGCCGGCGACGGAAAAAGCAAGGGATACTTGAAAAGGGTCAAACTTTCCGGAGAATGGGTTTGGCTGTAGCTTTGAGCCGCCTCGGCACTTGGATCTGTTGGACCTTGCACACATTGCCGAATACTCTGTATGAAGTGAATGTCACTCGCTTTGCCTAAATACGTAGAGGGCGATGATACTGCTCCTGTGTCGTTATGTTCTGGAGATGCCTCAATACTAGTGCGACTGGCGGATTGCTCCTTATGCGGGATATGACGTCGGATCTCCCCTAGACTGGCATCCAACGTAGCTTGATGAGCACTGTCTAAACCAGACCGGAGCTGCTGGAGTAATGCTTCATAGGAATCGACGGCTCTCGCAAATCCCGGTAGTCCACCTCCTACAGTTCCGTTTGACCCGAGCCTAGGGGATAAATGGGGCCGGGTTCCATTTGCGTTAGTCGGGGCGATCTGTGAACCCCGCCGTCTTCTCTTTGTCCAAGTGCAACTGAAGCCGTACCCTTCACACCTAGAGCAAATAGGCTGTCTTCCATCGCACTATCCTCCCTTAGTTGTGATTAGCTCGATTCCACGAAGGATAAACGATGATCGAACCTTGGCCTTTAGGTCGCGACATTTATCGCAAGCGATTCCGACTCGTTGACGCTTCATTGTGGAGGCTAAGATTTAATGATCCTGCGCTAAGACTAAGACCATAGTTTCATTGATATTGAACCACTCTAGTGCTTGGAATGTTGAGGGCAACGCGGGCTGTGCTAGAAGCAAAAACCGGTTCAGACGGATCGGACGGCTGATGTTGTGATTATGTGTGTTTTACATCCGCTTTTGTCAAGCGCGACCCGCTCTCGGCTCAAACTAGTCTCGCATAGTGAAAAGGGAGAGCATGGCCCGAAATCCCCAAAAAGGCGAGGGAAGGGAGAAAGTTTTCGTTTAATCAACTTTTTCACTTTTGCAACTCGTGTAACGTGTTCAATAGATGCGTGGTGCATGAGCACCGATGGCTCAACCGCTGCCGCCAACCCAAAATGTGCGACCACAACGTCCCGAGTGCCGTGCCTGGGTCAAGATCAGCAAGCTCATCAACATCACAACCTACAGATTTGCAGAGTAATTTGGATGAGCTTGCAGCACCCCCTCCCGTATACGATACATCAGAGAGACCAGTGAGACAGCATGATTACCTCGAAAATCACCATTCACGACATGACGGGAATACCCTTCAGCAAGCCCAAGAGGCTATACCAGACCCCGATTTGGTAGACACATCGAGGAAGACCGAAAAACGACCATTGCTAAAGATACCACGCCTTACTTATACCATTGGATATCTCATATTTTTCTCTTTTGTCGGTACAATCTTGCGACTGGCCATCGAATGCCTGACTTTCTATCCCGGCTCCCCAGTCAACACGAGCGTGCTCTGGGCCAACGTAGGTGGGAGTTTAATCATGGGATTTTTAAGCGAAGACCAAGAACTTTTTCGCATCGATGAATCAAATGATCGCCAATCTGCAATGAAGCATAAAAAGACCATCCCTCTGTTCATCGGGCTAACAACTGGGTTCTGCGGCAGCCTTACGTCCTTTTCTACGTTCATTCGAGATGTGTTCTTAGCTCTTTCAAACGACCTCCCTGTACCCCTGGGCTCATACCAAAACGTGTCGCTATTTTCTTCTGCCCCGTTCGGCGCATCCGCCCCCAACGGAGGTTTTAGCTTTATGGCATTAGTAGCTGTCCTACTTACTGAAATCGGCCTCTCGCTCTCCAGTTTAATTCTAGGAGCGCATCTCGCTATCGGAACATCTGCTTGTATGCCTACTCTTTCTCAGTGGTGGATAAAGAAAATTATTAATCCCATTGTGTTTGTTGTTGCAATCTCAACGTGGATTATTGTCATCTGCCTTGCAGCATTGCTAGCAAAAGGCTCAACAACGGTCACACTCTGGAGTACAGAGATGTGGAGGGGCCCAGCTTTGTTTGCTCTCGTTTTTGCTCCACTTGGCACACTAGTACGATTCTTTGTGTCGCTAAAGCTTAATGCTAGGATTGCGTCGTTCCCATTGGGTACATTTATTGTAAATGTGGGAGGCACGATGGTGTTGGGTATGGCATATTCGCTACAGCATGCTTCCGTAAGCGGAGCAAGCTTTGCTGGCTGCCAGGTTCTACAAGGGATAATGGATGGGTTCTGTGGCTGTCTGACAACAGTTAGTACGTGGGTCTTGGAGTTGTCGTCTCTTCGCAAGCGCCATGCGTATTTATATGCGGTTATGAGCGTCGCGGTTGCTCTATGTGCCCTTGTGGTTGAAATTGGAAGCCTGAAATGGACAAGGGGTCTTGTTACTCCCTCATGCTTCAGAGGCAGTTAAAATTAATAAGAGAGAAAAATACCTACAGCTAAATGACGATAAGTATAAGATATTATTTTCTTTTTGTGATGAATTTGAGCTTGACGACGGGTGTCCTTGTTGGCAGTGACAGCGTGGTTGCACCTGCCTCTCACAAACATTAAAAGCTGAGGGCTATATATGTTGGGATTAAAAAAAGAAGAAAGTGAAAATGAAAGAGAAAGTGAAAGAGAAAAATGCGGGGGAATGGTCCGACACCACATCTGATATTCCGAGTCCATACTAGTAATTAAGTATGGTACCATCCTTGGAACCTTCGGAAGTTACCATACTACTGGCCCTGTCCGAGTTTGAGCTGCCACAAGAAAGAAATCGGCCGACTTGAGTCATGCTACTACTTCTGTGACTAGTGGAAGATCTTCTGCGTTCCATGGGCAAAGAGACTAAAATGGTTTCGGCGCTCTTCATATATTGAAGTTGTTTCTCCCAATTCCCAATTTCGTTTTTTCTTTCTCCATCTACTTCAACCGCCAACAAACTCAAAATCGTTGGCATCATTACTATTTGCATCACTATTTTTATTATTGTTACCATCTGTGAAAACCAACCATGCAGTCTTCGACAGAATTAGTTCCAAGCTCTGTCGCCCCCATATACGAAGCGACTAGTTCTCGTCCTGGTATTGAACATCAAGAGAACGAGCCCTTTCCCAAGATGACTTCACTTCCTGGGCTTCTCCCCGAGCTCATACTCTGCATCGCCGATTATCTTCCACTTGCTGATATCATTTGCTTTTCTCTATGCAACCATCGACATTTTCAACTACTTGGAAAACACGCAAAGAAGTTGGGACGTACAAGAGAGGAAAAGATGTTGTTTTTGAGTCAATTGGAACGAGAACACCCAAGATACTTCACTTGCGATGTTTGCGACATTCTTCACGAGTATGATGGATCGGAAAGTTATGGCATGAGCGGCGTACAACATGGATCAATTTGCCCACGCCCGTGCTCTCAAAAACCCTTGTCAACCTGGCAGCCTTACATGATAGCTCATAAATTAGCAGTCTACCTGGCAAACAACATCTACTTTACCCAAGTGAAGCTCGCTATGAAACGATTCCAATATGGACCTGGGTTTGGGATCAGCACCGAATCTCTGAATTATACACAGATCTGCGAATACGCTAAAACTTCGACCGATTCGGAAATGACATCACTCTTCTCGAGAGAAGCACAAATTTGTCCCAAATCTTCTAGCCTTGGTCTTTGCATAAGGATGCAAGACATTGTGCTTGCCAACGACAAAGAAGACTTGACAACATTGCCACAGTATACTGGAAAACTGCATTCACCGGATCTTCGTCCCCCCTGGATCCTTCAAATATGCTCACACGTAAAGCTGTGTGATCCGATGCCTATGTGCCACATCAGCAGTCTCTTTAAAAACCCACAAAAATCTGAAGAGAAACCCGAAGAGAAACCCGAAGAGAAACCCGAAGACGACAACTATTATTCCCCCCGATGCGACATCTGCAACACAGAATGCCGTATTGAGATTCGAAAATTTGACAACAAAATTGCTCTTATCGTCACAAAGTGGGTCGGCTTGGGGTTCGGAATCACCAGGGACCTAACATGGAGCCACCAAGCGTCTATTTGCGGGGATGATACGAAGGCTGAGGTCAGAGAGAGCCCCTCTTCACACTTTGAAGATAAAGCCCCCGATTCGTTTCAGAGCTCGATATCTCGCAACCTCTCCTATCTCAAAGATCAGCAATACCGAAAAGACGTTCGATTTGATTCACACGATTTATACCAACTACCTATCTGGTGCAAGACATTCAAAGAAGCTTCAAAAACGACCGAAATGGACTCGAGGAATTAACGGATATTGAAATATGTACCCCCAGACGAGAAGGATAATAAGGAAAAGAAATGATGGAACATGTGCGGAAGGAAAAGGATACTCTCAGACAGTCTGTACTTAAACATTGACCATGCAAAAATTCAAAAATGTAAAAATTACCAAAGACGCTTGTACAGACTCTAACTTTGTTTTTGGTAGGCTTTAATATGCCAGTAGAGACCTTCGGCCCTGATCTGAGCATCCATCATAGTGAAATATGGGCTCATTAGCGCATGGAAGAACCGCCTAAGTGTGGCGATCGGATTACCATTCCACGATTTATGATCAGTAAAGGTAGGGTTGTAGCCAGTGGAATAGTCGCGGTGGAAGGGAAGCAATGTAATCCGCCGGTCGAGACCACCCTTAGAGTCAGCTGATAGGATGTTTCTCTTATGGTTGAAATAATCAACAGCCGATGGAACTGCTCGACTTGGCAGCGTGCCATCATTCTGAAATATCTCTTGTCGCCGTTTCTGGTCTTTCTTTTCATTGTCAATAAACAATTGTAGATCTTTAGGGAAGAAGACAAGCTAGGAAATGCAGATTTTTAGAGACCTCTCTTATGGTATAGGTCCTGATAGATTATGTGCAGCTATAAGAGACCCTCAGCCTGTGCCATGGGCATCCTCCTCTATCTCCCACTCCATGCCTTTCCATAAAGTTGTTTGTCTCTAGCATATTTCGTGATTATATCTCCGAGATATGAACGTTGTTGCTTCTTAAATATACTTACTAGGGGATATAATCTAAAGTACTAGTAGTACTTCTGAAAGATAATTCTCTGTTCGCCTTTCTAATCGTCTTTTTATTTATCTTTCTAATCGTCTTTCCACTTGTCTTTCCACTTGCTTTTCTATCCGTATAGAGCTTACAGTATAAATAGTAGCAAATATCAGTGTAGTACCTACGGTAAAGGTTGATATAGCACCAGCTTTTCCCCGCCAAGCGCTATTGTCCCCTGTATGCGTCTGTGTATTGTTTCCTTCTTTTCTTTGGCCTTTTCCGAAATTCTCATCCAGTCCGTACATCATTGGAAAAATCTAGCCTAATATTTTGCTGACGAAGATTCAGTAGTAAATCAAAACCGGCATTTCTCCGACGGGTCTATAGATAGCTCCTGATACCTTACGGTCGGTAAAGTTCCGGCAGACATTACCCCATGGGGTACCGATGATCTAGCCCTATTAAGAAAAAGCGGTCAATGTATAGGCAGTCTAACTGTTGACAGGATCACTGGACAGATGCGTACTCTCTTTCAGGAGACTTAAAGAGCCTTTTTCTCAGTTCTGTTTTCCATCTTACCAGCCGAGCCTTGGAGTGGTTCTGCGCCTTAGCATCTTGAGCCGGACATTATTCAATAATCTTAATAGTCATTCAGAAGCAGAAATGTCACATGGTCATATTGACGAGGAGGAGAAGGGGAAATTGGAGGAGAAATTTATCGAGTCTGTTGCCTTACCTGGATTTTCTGATGAGGATGCCGACATTCTCTTTCGATATGAAGGCACCAAAGGAAAGGAAGTGATTCGAAAGATTGACTTCCATCTACTTCCTGTCCTCGCCTTTCTTTACCTTTGCTCTCATGTTGATCGCAACAACATGGGAAATGCCAAAATTGAAGGAATGAATGATGACTTGGGCTTGGTTGGGAACCAGTATAACATTGCAAGTACTCTTTTCTTTGTGCCTTATATCATATTCGGTATGTGTTTGAGATATCTTACCCTATAGCACATCGTGATTTTTTTGAGCGCTAATGCATGTTTAGAAATTCCGTCAAATATTGTTTTGAAGAAAACGCGTCCAAGTCTTTGGCTGTCACTCCAAGTCGTCGCTTGGGGAATAGTAATGGCTTGTATGGGGGCAGTAAAGGGGTTTGCAAGCCTTACAGTTTGTCGGGTATTTCTAGGCATTTGCGAAGTGAGTTTCGGAATGATATAGTTCTGCAATTTTGTCTATATTAAACTGACCCTTGGCTTTCAGGCAGGGTTCTTTCCCGGTGCAGTGTATTTGGTTACTCAATGGTATCCGCCACATGAAATCCAACAACGCCTCGCCCTTTTATATACCGCGTCAGCCATTTCTGGGGCATTTAGTGGTCTTCTAGCCTATGGTATTGCTAACATGGGGGGTCTTCAAAATATCGCCGGATGGCGTTGGATTTTCATTCTTGAAGGCTTAGTCCCGGTAGCATTCGGTCTAGCTCTACCATTTTTGCTCCCAGATGGCCCAGGGAAAGTTAAATGGTTGACACCAGAGGAACAAAGATTCATTGATCTGCGATTCCGACAAGCTGGTGCTCGATCTGCCGAGGGTGAGGGTGATCAATTTTCATGGTCAATGCTTCTCGGCACGATGCTTGACTGGAAGATACTTCTTGCTGTGGTGTTGGCCATGGTAAATGCAGCTCCGAATGCAGCATTCTCTTACACCATGCCAACAATTATCAACAAGCTGGGGTTTGAAGCATCTAAAGCACAACTTTTGACTATCCCGCCCTATTTCTGTGGTGCTGTCTCAAGTTGGCTCAGTGGCCGCCTTGCCGATCGTTTCAGTTGGCGATTCCCCTTTATCGTTGCGCCGATGATTGTGATGCTTATCTCTTTCATTATGCTTTTCGTTCTTTCCGCAAACATTGAGCAATACAAAGCTCCGATGTATTTCGCAATTATATTGGCTCAGATTGGTATCTATCCATTGCTTCCGGGTATCTCGGCCTGGACTGGAAACAATCTGCCCCAATCTTGGAAACGATCAATTGGAATAGCTTGGCTACTGGCTGCTGGAAATACAGGAAGTAGGTTTGCGCCCACAAGAATGCGATTCTCAACCCGTCATCGTTCAATATTTTCTAAAATTAACATGATGAATTTTATTCTAGGTTTCATTGGCACAAATGTCTTTCTTGAATGGCAGGCACCGCACTATACTATTGGATACGGTGTATCAATCGGAATAATTGTGTTAGGAATAGTTACTTGCTGTATACTTGAGTTTTTCCTTTGGCGTCTGAACAAGGTCAAGAGGTCTATTCCAGAAAGTCAGACTCGAGAACAATTTACGCCAGACAAACTCGTTGCAATGGGGGAGAAGAGCCCTCTTTACATCTATACACTGTAATTTTCGGGCTAAAAATCCGAGTATATGATGCTATTGAGTTGGTATTGAACTAGCAGTGGGCTCCTAGACAGGATATTATAATCCTCTCCGATTGAAAACCTACTATCCATGACAATAATTCCTGCTAGTGACAGTCTCCCGAGGGGCCCCGAGGTTGTCCCGAAGGTCATTTTAACTTGAACTTGAACTTGAATAACATTTCCTCTCACTTACTATTTATCAACTTGAATATTGAATTCACCCTTCAGAACTTAGACTTCGGTAGTCGTAGAGGCGAAAACTTTAAAAATTACTGATGCCTTGACTAAAATACGTATGAATGGTAAAAGCTGTCAAACCTCTCTATCATAGAAACACTAAAAATATCAATATCAATAAACTTCCACAGGGATATTCGTTCAGTTTATTTAAAATCTACTTTGATGACCTAGAAAAATGCCAATGCATTAGGTGGGCTTGCAACTGCTCCGGGCGCCTGTATACAGAATTCAGTAAGTTTTATTCCGTGCATGAGGAAGGAGTTAGGAAAGCCTTACATTCATAGGTGAGCTAGTGAGAAAGAAGGTATATCTTCCAGCTTCGTCGGATGCTCGGCTCAATTCTTCGAGATAGAATAATTCCCCGATCGGCATCCCCCAGCCTGCCAATAGCCACTCATGCAGATGCCATTGATTTTCTGTACAAGGCCAAACCTCAAAAGATCGGGTATCCGCTGCAACAGCTGCAATTCTTTTATCCCAAAGAAATTTCAATAGCTCTTCTGAAGGTTGAATGCCGATATTCTCGGGTTTTTGCTTTTTATACAGCTCATCCAAATGAGCTCGCTTTTCCTCCGCCATATTTTCGTACTGGCGAATATACCCGAATCGAAACAGGATAATGTCTCCAGGTCTGAAAGACCCTTCTGATAGCCCCTGGTCTTTTAGAACCTCAAGGAGCTCGGGGAAAGAGACAGCATGAGCAGTCATGGCATCGATAGTGCGACCGTTCTTTTCGGCCCATTTGTACCAGTCTATCAATATAGCGCGACCTGCAATACCTTTATTGGCGATGTCTGCGGAATTCTCAAATGTTAGTATAAGTGATCTTCCATTCGCACTTATAATTTTAGGTGTAGATTCTCACGTTGAATTCCATTTGGTACTGGAGAACTTGCGAATTCCGCCGCAGTTCGGCCCATGTAGTAAAGCTTGATATTATTAATATTTTGCTCTTGTTGCTAAAAGATTATCTACTTACGGCCTCTTTTTGATATGCATAATGTCGAAAACCATCCCATTGAGAACTGCATTGTGAATTGAATGACCACTGTAGAAGGTTAGCAGACTAGCCTTAAAAGATGCCATAGAATAATTTTAATGCTGCAAGTTTACCTCATCGTCATGTGCGATCTTCATAGGGGCCTTGTTGATGATTTTGAGATCCAAAGTTTTGCGACTCAAGAGAGGATAGGATGATCCAGTCAAGGTCCAACTATATGCGAATTCAGATTTGTTGCTTTATCCCTCAACTTAGTATAGATTCACTCACTTGAGAGATAGGCTTTTGCCAGACTTGATCTGTTCCTTTGCAGCTCTTGCGACCGTCTCTTCGGTAAGATGATTCAAAGTTCCAACTTGATCTTCTGGACCCCATAGTCCCCATGCATTTCCATGTGGCCCATCTTTTTTCAGAGGTAAGTCCGCGAAAATAGGATAGTATGACATCATTCTAGATCTAACGATGTTATGTTAGAGTCCAGTATTTTCCACAGACCCGTATACGATCAAAATTTTGACAATGCAACTTGTTTATAGGCGACTCCTCTTTTGCGGTAAAATCCCGACAATTCCGTGCCACGCTTTCGACATCCACCTACGCAGGGAACTCCGATGCTGCTCTTATTGAGCACGGACTTCCAGCAAAAATGAGAGCCCGGACTATTATCCGTGGTTGATCACTGGAGCTGTAGAGGGTATTTGGGAAATGCAATATGACAACCCTTGAGCTTGGGCCTATGCGTGAGCTTTGCTTGGATTGCAGAATACGGAAAGTGTGTGATAGGACATCTCTATGTATATGAAGTCAGAGAATCCGCAATTAGGGTCGCAAATGTGTACATATTTTATCCGAGTCGTAGCTTTCAGCCGATGAAAAAGAAAATGAACACCCATCGATCCATTTCATGACTTTGACTAGAGTAATAGAGTAATAGCCAAGTGTAGAGAGCAAGGAGCGTAGACTTGCGCCTTGTCCGAGCCGACCGGGGATTCTCCATCGCGTCGGATATTTCCCGCCAATGGTAATCCCACGCATCAACATATAAACCTTGGAAGAAGGCGAGCATACTAAGTATACAGACCAGTAGTCTATCAAACCTGCAAAATCTACTCACGATGGGATCTATTGGAGAACAACAATTTACCGTGCCGAATCCCTTCCGGACTCGCATTTTGAATGGCCAAGTCACACCAATCGTGACTATCAAGTATGCCATCGGGAATGAAATTCCAATGATGGCCAAGATGGCCGGCTTTCACGGCGTCTTCATCGACATGGAGCACTCGGCCTTCTCGCTTCGTGAGGTCTCGCAACTCATCCTTGCCTGCAACTACGTGGGTGTCTCGCCTGTCGTCCGCTCTCCTTCCAAATCTCATTGGCACATTAGTCGCATTCTCGACGCCGGAGCCGCAGCCGTTGTGATCCCACATATTGAGTCAGTCCAAGAAGTTCGAGATATTGTACACCACGCAAAGTATGCGCCTATTGGTGCTCGTGGCTGCACAAACAATCAGCCAGCTTTCAACTTTCAACACATTCCAACACTTAAGCAAAATGAGGCATTAAACTCACAAACGATGCTTATTCCAATGATTGAAACTCCGGGGGCTGTGGATCTTGCAGAGGAGATCTTCGCGATTGAGGGTGTCGATGGGGTTTTGATTGGCTCCAACGACCTCACTACGGATCTGGGCATCCCCGGAAAATATGATGACCCCCTGTATCTGGACTCTGTAACCAAAATTATCAATGCTGGAAAGAAATACGGCAAGCCTATCGGTGTTGGTGGCATTGGAGGACGTCTGGATCTTTTGGAGCGGTGGTTCTCGCTAGGTGCTACCTGGTCGTTGAGTGGGCAAGATGGAGCAATCTTGCAGAAGGCGTTCAAGCAAATTGTTCAAAATTACGAAGAGATTGATCAAAGGTTGCAAAAGCAAAGTAAATAGTCTATCTAGTTGCTGAGTTTGATCTGTCTTATCATTATTGTATTTATTTCATTACATAAATGGCCATCATCCCCATAGATTGGGCAATTCATATGGATCATCCAAGTTGAAATTGATTGGGGGATCTCCATAGGCATACTCATTCAAGCCAGCCTCCATATCCCACAATGCGTTATCTTCAAATACATTCCAAGATAATATAGAACCTTCTGATACATTCGTGTCGCCTTGTATACTGGTAATCTGGTCAGGGGTGAATGCAGCTTCGTTGAAAGGAGCATGAAGCGAAGAATGTGCATGGGTGCTGGGAGATAGATTGGCCCCCGAAGAGAAGATCCCTGGGGCTTCAAAATTATTCTGATTGTTGTATTGGCCATTCCATAATCTCGGGTTGGACATAGAGGCCAACTGCGTAGACCGAGAGACTTCGTTTTGCATCTCAGACGTATGATGAGCATTCCGTGTAGATTCAACTTGCAGCTGGCGGCTATATTTGCGAATAACGTACAGACGCAATGCTTCGTAGACGGCAACATAGCGTTTTGCATCAGGAAGCTCCTCGCTCATTTTCTTCAACGCGGTTTCACCCATAATTACTGCATCAGTGCCGTTTCGGACGAGACTTTGACCAAAGTCTCTCACGACTGACAAGCAAAACATAACGGAAACACCTGCGGTAAATAGCATTTGAAAGTAACTGCGTGTAAACGTGATCTTCTTTTGTTCGAATAGTCGACAGAAGCCTGTTATGGCCCCGACAGCGCATTCGAGACAAAGGGATAAGAGATCTCGCGGTGGAATGTTACCGTGTTTTGGAACAATATCAATTGTTTTCCTGATCAGCAGCAAGCGCTCCCTAAGTAGCAGAAGGTCGTACCACTCTTGCATTTGATAGAGGTTTTGCGGAGAGTGAAATAATGGAGTAGAAGAGCGCCATTGTTGAAGCTCCTTGAGTAGTTTGTCTAGATTAGAGTAGATGACTCCTCTAGCCGTGGTCCTGTTCGCCAAGGTTTGGCGAATCGCCTTCTCTCCAAAAGAAGTATGAATTTTAGATGTGATTTGGCGGAGCCTGAGGCAAGCAAAAAAGACAGACATTTCGGTTGCTCTTCCCCCCCCTACCGTGAGGGAAGACGCAGATCCAAAAGAGTCAAGATCCGGAAAAGCACCAGATGCCTCTGCAGCTTCAATTTCCTCATCGTTTGCATCCACTGGAAATCCTATTTTGATATGTCCGTCTCCGATGGCAAACGGACGAGTTAATGTAATAGAACTATAACGATCAATCATGTAACACTCCCAGAAGACTCGTCGTTGAAGTTGGTCCCGTAATAAACCTATTTTGCGGCTTGGAAGAGTGGGCCTATGTAGACCTTGCTCTATGCACATTCGCATACCTAGTCGAGTGACTTCCCAGATCGAGGTTCCTGTGAGCAAATTAGATACCGGCTGGATATACCGTAACATTAAATAACGTTTCTAATAAGGGAAATCTTACCAACATGATGATATATTGCAAATCGGGCAACAAGGAGGAGGTCCTGTATTGAGGCGAGGCCTCCGGCAAGGAAACCATCATCAAAGAATTTCAATGCGGAAAGATAATAACCATAGGGATGATGTGGGAATTCTCCATTACGATAAGAAAGTACCGATCCAATGGCAAGAATCATGAAAGCTCTGAAGAAATCATGCTTCGTACTTTGCTCAGAAGTACGGGGTTGTTGATCTTCAGAGCTTGGCAGAAACACCCTGCTATATATGCCTTGGACATTGCGGCGAAGAAGAAATGGATTTTGCACGTGCGATCCATTGAGACTTATATAATCAGCACACGCTTATGGAATCGGACCCAAGACAAAGCGCCAGTAAATTTGCGTAGTAAACTTACTATTTATCAAAGACCACCCTACCCTGCTCCACCGATGGGAGAGGGGCTGACTTGACTCCTGCTTCAGCTGGCCCCGAACCCTTAGAAAGGTTCCGAAGCAAACTAGAATCGTGCTCTCGCCATCCGGTATCTGCAAAGAGATGTCGTATAAAACTGCTGCAGTTAGAAGGAAAGTATTTCAGTAGATGTGAACATGTCTAACCTCAAGCCGCCACCCTCGATAAAATTAGGGGAAGGTTCTCGACCCTCGTGTGATCCAATATGTTCCGCGTGCTCAGCAGAGGCCGTCACGGTGGGGATTGAGTGGCTCTGATCACCCGCTGCAAGCTCCTCCTCCAGAGATCTGACTTCTTGTTCTAGATCTCCAATGTATCTGATTGAAATTGGTATGTCAATTAATATAGCTGGTTCTCTGGGGGCGGCTTTCATACTGTCTAGTGACAGACTCGCTATCATCCACAATCAATGTCATACATTCTTGACCGTGCTTTATACATAAACTGCATCGCGGCCGCATATTATCGCACTATGAAGCCGATCAGCTTGGATATCCTAAAGTTGTAAATATATGGTTGTGAGTCGCACCTTCGTTTTTCTTGTGTGACAGAAGCGACATGCCGGTAGCCTTGGAAGACGAGTAGTGTCATCTTCCATCAATGAGGTGTCTTCATTGACTTCATTCGTCTCCATATTACCTCTTGCTCCTCATCTGGGGAGCATTTAAGTGTAGAATATACCAGCGGAAAATCTCCGAACAGGAGTCCTGGCAAAGGAAGTTCCCCACCTTCCCAGAGCGGTGTCAAACCGAACAAACGCCCGCATCACCACCGGCAGTCAGCTTTGGTGCCATTTGCCGACTCCCATCACCAGTTGACTACGTATGTGCATTTACTGCATACATATTTTGAGCTGTTAAATTATCAATTCGGGTTTATAATATTCTATAATTGGTAACTTGCTTCGATTGATTCATCACTACTTCTCATTCAATTCCAAAACTTGAAGTTATCTAACTTCAACTAAACAACATATCTGAAATTGTTCTGCACTGCATTTCGCTCATCCGGGCTAAGGCGTGAAATGTGATCGAAATCGTTCAAGTCGGTCTCATTAGCCAAAGTCTCAAATTTCTTGTTGCTGCGCTGAAGAAGCAAGCGGAGTGTCAGGATACAGGCCATCCCTAGTGCCTGAAAAGCCAAAAGACAGCCCCAGGACTCTCGATATTCGGGCCCATATTCATCAAGCCAAAAGTAATTAGCAAACAGAGATGCACAATTTGCGCATGTGTTAGCTAGCCCAATCGCGACGGCGCGCTTGATTGGTGGCTGTGTGAGAGTCGAGGACAACCAAGCGTATGTCGTAGAGTATACTCCAAAAGTACCACAGCAGACGAGAATTGTGAAGACATAGCGAGCCCAGAGCTGATCTGTCACAGCAATAAGTAGAATAGTTCCAACAATCGCAGCTATTTGAGAGACCCCTGAAGGTACAGAGCGCATCTGTTTCCTATCTGCTAGCCATGCCCATGATAGCGCCCAGAGAAATGCCACAAAATATGGCGGGGAAGTAAGCAAAAGCACAATTGTATTACTTTTGAAGCCAAGTTGTTTGATAAGCGTAGGAAAGAAGTGGGAATACGAAATAGATGCAGTCGTGGACATTTGCATACAAGCAAAGATCCAGGTGCGGACATCCTTCACAGCCCAGATGAGACCTCGCATCAATGGAACCTCCTCGGCGTCAAGAAGAACATCATTGCCGGCATCAACGGCTAGACGTGCTTGGGCCACAACTTTCTCGGCTTCAGTGAGCCATTTGGTCGTTCCAGGAAAATCAGGAAGAACAAAAAGAGCAATAGTGCCAAGCAATAGCGTAGCTATTCCTTCAAGAATAAAGAGCCACCTCCATGCGGCTAAACCAGCAACTCCTCCCATCCCAGACAAGATACCAGCCGATATCAGTCCAGCAAATGCATTTGAGAGTAGAATACCACAGATGAGCAGAGCCATTCTCACACCAATCTCGCGTTTTGTATACCAGCAGCTCAGGAAATAAACTGCACCAGGGAAGAATGGAGCTTCGACAAATCCGAGAAAGAAGCGAACCATGAGAATTCCGGGCGTGTTGAATGTAGCAGCAGTACATCCGCTAACAAAGGCCCAGAGTATGATACATGTTGGCTATTAATTGAATAAGCAAATATGTCTTGACCGCAAAGATACATATAGAGAAGGATTTCATACCAGGTATATAGAAGGCCGAAACTTTGTCATCATGATTGTGGATGGCAATTGCATGAGAATATACCCCGCTGAGAAAATCGAAATCGCAGTCTGATACTGAGCCCCCTGGAGGCCAGTATCTTCTTGAAGCCCATATAGACGAGCTTGGGTGATCGAGTTTCGGTCTAAATAGTTGAAGAGATAAATCAAAACAATGAGAGGGAGGATTCTTGTGTCAATCTTCTTTCGAAGTTGCCGCTCAGTGCTTGCACGAAACTCGGGTTCGTATGAGCGATAGATAGCAACGACATCAGATGGGTCGGTAGGAGTCGTGTCCTCAACCCAAGAGTCATTCTTATTTTTTGTTGGGATCTCAGGGTTGAGTGATTTGTTGGAGGGAGAAGTCCGAGTAGCCATCTCGGCTAGATAGAATTGGAAAGTTGCAAGGGATCAGAGGCGCACAATTGTCGGCCACATAATGGGCGCGGCGTGCTCTGTTATTTATGGTAGTTCAAGCTCTAGCTCCATGCTCCAGAGCAGAGGGACTGGCATGTACCCCAGACTGAAAATCCCCTCGTTTTCCCCAGAATTCGACGACTCTTGGCATGTCGGAAAATTGCCGACAAGGAGTGGCAACCACCCGCCTCTTCGGACCCTCCGCTAATTGCCGCCGCTACGTGATTACTTGATAAAAAATCTCGAACTGACTAAAGAAATACAATTATGAACGGGAATAGGTATAGAGTAAAATTAATGCTAGCATCCTGCTGGTGAGATTCATAATGAAATATGCGTCGTTTGATGTCTGCTTATTGAAGATAGTATATCGGCTAAAAATGAGAGCTGCTATTGGGGTGCGAAAGTTTCTTTAATGTGCAAATAATCGCTCTGGATTGTCAACCAACATACTTCGAAATTGATCTTTCGATAGCCAACTTCGTAAAAGCATGATCTCGTTATTGGGATCCGCCGCTATGGATGTCACTCGATCTTTTGAGCTGCGGCTGGAGGAATCCACGTGAGGCCAGTCGCTACCCCATATTAGTGCAAAGGGAGCACTATCTGCATATAATCGAATGATTGATTTCATATCAGCTAGGCTTTCACCAGATCGGCGATATAGGGCTGAAATCTTCACATTAATCCTGCCGGATTGTAGTAGCTGCACAAAATCATGAAGGCTGGACTGGCCGATATCGGTGGGTTTCGCGCAGCCAACATGATCGGCAATGACTGAGAGATGGGAAACTTCTGGATCATTGAGCAGAAAATCTTTCAGAGAGGACCAGGTATCTAGAGGAAGCTGCGCGGAGAGACCCCATCCAAATGTCCTGCACGGATATGAGTTGGCGAAGACACTAATTTGTTCTTTTATAGCAAGTGTATCGGTTCTCCCTCCACCAAAGAAGCCATGAATACGACAGTATCGGACACCCAGATTGTGCAGGGTGTCACAATCCGCTTGGGTCAGTTTCTCCCAGCTCTCGTCCATGCAAATTATGCCACGGGCTAATAGGCGGGGGTAATCATTTCGAATACGGCCAAGATGACCGATTAATCCTGCGGGTCCATCTTCTATGGAAGCTTGAACCAGAACCAAGCGATCCGCTCGGATCTGCTCAATCCAAGCATCTAGGGAAGCCGGAGACGGGGTGTAGGTGCGTGTAGATTTGTATGGATAGAGATCCGGATCAAAAAGGTGGAGATGAGTGTCCCACATCCCTTCCATGTTGAGCTCCATATTGAATGGCAGTATTGATCTCTATGAATCATGCGAGTTATACTTCCCTAAGGTTTCGATTATGTAGTGGCGGGCGTTGTGAGAATGTTAAAAGGTCCAAGCCCCATAGACTTGACGGCTTCGCTTGGACCCGGCAGCTGCGCCCCACAATTTAGGAGGCCTGGACTTCCTCCGCCGACACCTCCGACTTCCCGTCTGCAACAACTCAACTCATCGCAACATGGGGGAAAGCAGCCCAGTGGCATCGGGAACTTGCAGCTCACCAAGGCAACGGGGTCAAGCCTGTGAAAGATGCTGGAAACGAAAGCAAAAGGTTTGGCGTCCATCCTCTATACCTGTAACTCCTTGTTACCCTGTCCTGCTCGAACAAGCAACTCAGTTTACAAAAACAGTGTGATCGAATTTTGCCTGCATGTTCAGGATGCGTTGAAGTCAATGCACAATGCATCCCCCGCAAATTTCCCATTGGGCCAATAAGCAATAGCGGGGGTAATCTGTCCCATGCCGCTATCCCAAGGTAAGATGTCGAGCGCCCTGTCATTCATATAGAGCACATTTCTGACGATTCATAGCTATCTCAACACCTTAAAGAGAAAAAGAGACAGCCTAGATGATCAGCTGCGACGCCAGAGAGCATCGCAGCCCAGTCATGCTCCAGCTGAATTACCACGGACACCTCGCTCCCCGTCCCATCACAGGGGCGATGCCGATAATCAAATGGGGACGTCAACGCAGGGTTCTAATGACAGCACGTTGCAGGCTGCGATGGGGGAGATCGGATTTTTGTCACGCAGTGCAATGGCCGAACCACGCGATGAAATGAGCGGTTTCTCCGAGGACCTCGCGATGGGTCGTATGGTTCGAGCTGCATTAGCTCTGTCGGGCGCAACTCCGTCTCAGTCGAGTGTCGATCCCTACGGGCATAAAATTACGACAATTAATGACCAAACTATTCATCTTCAAAAAGACTTAGCTATCCTTTTCTGTACCCGTTTTATTGAAGTTATGGGGCTGCAACTGATCCATCTTGACTCGACGCAGTTATGGACAGACTTCAATACGCTTTTCAGGGACTCGGGAGACTCAGGAGATAATTACGCTTCAAAATTTGCCGCAAAGACCTTTGTTGTCTACATGTCTGTGGCCACGGGCGTTTTACTCTCCCCAGAGTCGGGAAGCCTCCAAGGCCTGGCTGATAGTCTCCACCAAAAAGCAACGAAGCTTCTGCCAAGAATAATGGGGTCAGGGAACCGAATTGAGATATTACAATGCATGTTGTCTTTGATTCTATATTCTATGAAAAACCCACGTGGTGGCTCGACATGGCATCTTGTTGGGCTAGCGATAAAGAAGGCGATTGCCTTTAGGTTTCATAATGATCCAGATTCATCGATCAATATACCTTCGGACACCCTTTTGATGCGGCGAAATATATTTTGGAGTCTGTATTCTTTTGATCGGTAGGCAGTCATATCGAAAGTTTGACAAATATGTTCTGACGAAGTCATAGGACAATAAGCACAATTTTAGATCGGCCCTTCAACATTGAGGACGATGATATTACTGTACAGGTTGGTCCCCATTTTGTTTTATCAAAATCTACTATTTTGTTATCAGAAACAGATGCTTACTGCAACTACTATGAACAGGCCCCTGATCAGTACCTCAATGACTCTCCGCATATGAAGAATGTATTCGCGCACCAGTCTATCATGCACGCCAGGCTCATATCTGGAATTCGGGGTGAAGTATCGGATGGCGCTCTTTTTCATTACAGTAATTTATGCTGTTGGCGAGACTCCGCCCGGGATTTCAAAGGAGACTCAATTTCCTCCAAATATATCCCACGGATAATCATGCAGCTGTCAAGTAGAACCATGATCGAGATTTTGAAGGGGACGGGGTCCATCAAATTTGAGTCTAACATGATCCACATTCCTCAGACCGTTGAGAGAGATATCATGCTGACCTGCTCGGAATACATTAAACAAGAGTACGAAAGCTCTGACAATGGTGAATTCACGGGCGGATTTGTGGAGGGATACGACATATTCGCAGCGGGTGTAGTCATCATTTGTCTTTCTGGAAAGCTAGGCCCGACATTTGCGGGCGTGAGCACTATAAATAAGTGCACATCTTTGTTAACTACAATAGGGGAGAGATTTGCTGGCCTTAAAGTGTTTCGCCGGGTACTTTGGGCACTCTCCGACGCCGTCTCGAGTAACCCGAATCCCGACCAGATCATCCATGAGCTTCCTCCGATGATTCCAGATAATATTCAAGAGCTCATAGCCGAAACTGTGGGGTGAAGTTTTACCACGGTCAACTCCAGCGGGCGAGAGTAATCAACAGAAGGCCGACGGAAATGCCCCGACGGCAAAGTTCCGTTGCCTACAATGCCTCTCCTGCATGATGCAAGTATATTTCAGCAGCACCATGCGCATGATCTTGCTGGAATTATTCAACTACCACTATACTTCAACCCATCTTTGCTTTTTCTCTATCATGGCTCCAGGTGTTATTGACAACGGGGACCAGCCCCAGTCGGCCGTTAACTCTCCGTCTAAGCCGACTGTCTACATCCTTGATGCATGGAACGACGAGGCCCTCGCCCATGCTAAAACTCTCTTCAATGTGATTCAGCCCCAAGATCATGGATTTCATGAATGGCGTCAAAATGCATCAGCTCTTTTGATTCGAGGCTCCTACCTCACCGCCGATGATGTTGCAAGTTGCACAAGCTTGATCGCCATCGGAAAGCATGGGGTGGGGATCGACAAGATCGATCAAGATGCATGTGCAAAGCGCGGTATCAAGATATGCAACACACCTGGCGCAAATGCACGAGACGTTGCCGAGCTTGTCTTAGCTCTTACAATGACAGTGGCTCGAGATATTCGATCCATCACAACTCGTCAGATGACAAAGCCGGTTCCAAAGGCGACTTGCAACGGGTTGACTCTTCATAAGAAAACACTTGGCATTATCGGCATGGGTAACATCGGCCGTACAGTTGCAGAGATTTTTCGCGGAGCTTTCGACGCTGAAGTCATCGCTTATGATGTTTTCATGCCGGATAACGCCTGGCCTCACATCGACCACAAGAGAGTCCAGGATGTCCAAGAGGTCATCCAGAACGCCGATGTTCTTTCCATTCATGTTCCCTTGACGAATGAAACACGCAATATGATCTCTTACAAGGAACTACTCTCAATGAAGCAGAATGCGATTTTAATCAACGCGGCAAGGGGTGGTATTGTGAATGAAACGGATCTGACGAAAGCCCTTGCCGAAGGACATCTTTGGGGCGCTGGACTTGATTGTCATGAGCAGGAGCCCCCAAGCGTGCAAAAGTATGAAGCGTTATGGAAAAATTTGAATGTCGTCAGCACACCTCATATTGGAGCTGCGACACGGCAAGCACAAACTGCGAGTGCCATGGCTGCAGTTAACAATTTGTATGAATACCTCATTAGTCTACGTAATTGAGGAACAGATAACACAATCATAAAGTTAAAGTCCATCAATGTTTTCTATCACGTAGTGACAGCATTTTGAAGCATGCATGCATCTATGGCTCTAGCTCAGTTCAAGCATTCATGCCTCAGGCACCCCTAAAATCCATTCATGGCATTCCTCACCTACGCAGCCTTTCAAGGATATCATGAATGTCTATCCTCTCAACAAACGATCGTGGTTTTGAGAAGGATCACCCCATCGCAGACCTTCTATTTCATCCTCACAGCGCCTCGACAATGCCACCTAACAGTCTGAATATTCCCCTGAATACTGTCAGTAATGAAGAGAGTCTTGCCATCTTCACCTCCGAATGTGCAGTTTGTCAAGTTCTTTCCACCACCGATGGCACTAACAATTCGCGCCTTGGGAGCCCCATCCGCATCAACGACGAACACAGAGCCAAGACTAGGGTGACAGATAAACAGATTTCCCTCTTCATCAAAAGCAAGCCCGTCAGGACCGGCACAGCCAAAAGACTGAAAGAATAGCCCCGCCTTTGTCGTACTTCCATCTGAATTGAGGGGAAGCCGCCAGACGGAATTTGACCGAGTCATGGCTACATATAGGAACCGCTCATCTGGGGATAGAGCGATGCCATTAGGTGACACACCGTTGCTCACAAGACAGTCCAGTCTTCCATCGGGAAAAAGCCGATACACACAACCTGTCTGGTCCGTTATTCCAGTTTGACCTTGATCGGTGAAATAGACCTCATTTTTCGATGAGACTATCAAGTCGTTGGGTCCCTTAAAGCGTTCGAGATTTCGACGAGTAAGGAAAGGAGATATTTCACCTTTAGAGGGATCGAACAAAAGCAAGCCCTGCTTCCTTAGCATTCGTGCTAGTGAGAGGATAAAATTCAGACATACCTGCTTATAGTCCGCGACAAGTATGGTCCCGTCTGCTCTCATGGCAGTCCCGTTGGGTTCACCATCATAACGTACGCACTCTGATACTTGCTTCTGCGAATCAATCTTCAATACCCGGCCGTATGGAATATCTGTCACATAAAGATTTCCATTGAAATACGTCGGACCTTCTAGGAATATCTCCGACGAAGGAAGCGCTGATCCACCTTTCCACTCGGTCGGCTGTCCGGTGCACCGCAATGCATCAGGTATGCGGACAAAGATTTGCGCTTGAATGACCGGCGGAGCGAGGTAAAAATTCATCGCTAATTATGAAGGTGTGATCAAGTGTGAGGGTCGGATGGAATAAAAGATCCACAGAAAATATACTTTTATGTTGAAACTGCAGAGCTTTAAGTGTCCGAGCATCAAGACTGACGGACATATGCCGACAATCGGTTTAACTTCCGCTACCCCAGCATTCTACCTGTACCCCGGACAACGCTTATGTGAACTCCTTGAGGTAGAGCATTCAAAAGGGTGGCCCTAGCTCTGTGATTTACGTGGGGTAGCCGCTTTTAAACCAAAATTCGGAGAAATTAGAATATAATGGGCCTTATTTCAGAAACCAAACAAGCGATTAGAGATTCGCCAAAGGGAATTTTTAATTGGTATGTTTTGATATGCACATGTATATTCGCTTTCTCCGGTGTTTCAAAAGGATTTGATGAAGGTAAGTTGAGCTCCTGCAAATATCCATCTAGTCGATAGCTCACATTTATTAGGAAATATCGCGTCAATTGTTGTTCAAGCACACTTTAAAAAGTCATTTGGTCTCGACACCGAGTCAGATGACAGCTATGCAAATACGAAAGGGTGGTTGGTCTCCATCGCTACAGCTGGTGCAGTTTTTGGATGTCTTGGGGTATGTCTCTGAACAAAGCCCAACGATGGAAGTTAAGTCTAACGTTCGACTAGTGTTTACCTCTAAATGATCGATTTGGACGAAGGTGGACTTTGTTAATAGCCACAGTAATATATATTGCAGGTGTTCTAGGTCAAGGTCTTAATGGTGGGAGTCTTTCGGGGATGTATGCATCCAGATTTGTTACCGGGATTGGTATTGGGGCGACGACAGTCATCCCACCCATCTATATCGCTGAAGTGAGAACCTCATCACCATATGTATCATGGCGGATGCTTAGCTAATGTGCGAATTAGATAGCTCCTAAAGCCATTCGTGGCTTGTTGACCCTTCAATACGCAGCATGCCAACAACTCGGCGTGGTATTCGGATTCTTCATCAACTACGGCGTGACCAAGAGATTCGCCAACACAGACACACAATGGATGCTCCCAACCCTTCTTCAGATTCTGCCAGCGATTATCTGGGGTCTAGGGATATTTATCTGTCCCGAGTCTCCTCGCTGGCTTTTGTATGTTGGTCAACGCGAAAAAGCAATGTCATCAATGTCCAAGCTACGCCACCTCCCCATGGACCATCCAGTTCTTCAAGCTGAGGTTGCCGGTATGGACGCACGAATTCTCCACGAAGCTGAAGCAACTAGCAAAAGCAGCCAATGGGATCTTCTTAAAGAAACTCTTGTCCCAATTGAAAATAGGCGCCGATTCTTCCTCATCTTCATGGCAACCCTTTTCTCTCAGTGGTCCGGCGCAAATGCCATCACCCAATACTCTCCTACAATCTTTGGCTACCTAGGAATTGACGGCGATGAAGCCAAGTTCCTCGCTACAGGTATCTACGGCGTTGTTAAGTTTGTCAGCACACTTGCATTCGCACTTTTTATCGTTGATTTCGTTGGTCGTCGTCGCTCCCTGCTGGTAGGAATTTCCCTCCAAATCATCACACTCGTCTACGTGGGTGGCTATCTTGGCGGAACGAAGAACATGACTTCCGAGTATATTGCGGCTACGCCGACTGTCTCTCGGGCCTCAGTGGGTGCCATTATAGCTATCTTCTTCCACGCTGTTGCATGGAGCATTGGGTGGTTCAGTATGCCGTACCTTATCGGCTCGGAAATCTTCCCGACAAAAATTAGATCTTTCAGCATGTCCATCTCAATGGGATTTCACTGGGCATTTTACTTTGGGTGTTCACGCGCTATGCCCAGTTTACTTGCTGCGAGCCAGAAGTGGGGAGCTTTTCTTTTCTTCGCTTGCATCTGCTTTATTTCGTTGATCTATGTTTTCTTCGCTATGCCGGTATGTCCCCTGTGTCGTCGAAATATACTAAAATTTGCTAAAGAAATGAGTAGGATACCACAGGACGGTCACTTGAAGCATTGGATAGCCTGTTCCAGAGGCCGTGGTATACTGTGCATAAAGTTGCGTATCCAAATCATGAGGATGTTCAGATTGAGCAGTTAGGCAAAGGGGACCTTGTACCAAAAGCTGACCATTTCGAGACTGCTCAGTGGCCGGTGGAGGTGCTCGAGGTGTCTCAGTGTGTTCACCTAGAACATGAAGATGAGGCTCATTTTGTTGCTCTCACTGCGTGATGTAGTCTCATTGTTCAACCAATAATATGTCCATAGGAAGATGTATAGTGGAAAATTGAAGGTGATTAACAAAGCACCGAATTTTTTTTTGCAACAGAAACTCGGGATATAGTATGTATCAAATTTAGCATCTTATCTGTGACATTGAACTATTCCGACTCCTTGTCAGTCTACATAGTAAAGACATCTTTAAAGAGCCCTCTACGCCTTCTAAAAAAATCAGTGGGATTGATATCCGACTAAATAGGAAAAAAGAGCATGCAAGAGCATGACTATTGCAGATACCGAAAATGTAGGTGGAATACTACAAGGGGTGCTCTTTCACTGGCTGGAGGTATGCTTATGTACATCAATCTTCAGTCCCGAAAAGTAGGCAAAGAGATCTAGAAATAACAATCATTATAGATGTGGGGTATACTGTGAAAGCTGAAGTCCAACTCATCCTTCTGACTTCATAATTAATGGAGCGGACTATCCAATCCTGTAGCTTGGCATGTATGGAAGAGACGAAGACTTTATCCACAAGCCAGAAATTTCAACTTGCGTACAAATCGGGCTTCTTCGGTGGTGATCAAACGGGCAACGCGTGGCTGCGCTTTACCAACAGTAGACGGCAAAGTGCCGATCACGGAATTACCCCGAAGGCACTAAAAATAAGGCTAGCACCAAGAAACCGGTTCTGGTTTTTGAGAGAAAAAGCCACATCCTCTCCACCTGGGCAATATGTGCTGTGTCTTATGCAGAGTATGAGATTATTCGGTCGGATATTGAACGACGAACTTTTCAAAATCTAGGCGGATTCAGTACTATTCAAGATTTTTCTCTAGCACAATGATTCAGGGGAAATTTATTGAACTTTAAGTATTTTCCTACAAATGTCTCATCTACGCTCAATATTGAGGCAGGTCACACAGGATTCTACGGGGCACATCACAGTTATCCACGTCCATGTTCATGGGGTAAAACCGCCCCGAGGCTCAACCTAGCTCTTGGCAATATTTCTTCACGTGTAGTGGGCCTATTCAAAGATTCAACGTTGAAGCTGAACTCCACCCATTAGGCTCTCCAAGAGAACTATTGAAAAGGGTCGCAACTATTTTAAATATGAGAATTTGAGGCTTGAATAGTACAAATTGATTAATGGATTTGTTCATTCTGGTAGTATATTCACAAAAAGAAACGAAACGTAAAAAGATTGACAGAAGGGGAATCAAAGTAATTATTCAAGTTACAAAGCAGTAAAATCATATTCTCACAATAAAATAACGTCCCATTAGGTTCGGGCTGATTTCTCCGATCGCTCGTCGCCGAGGCCGACAACATTCACGCCAGCTTCTAAAGTAGCAGCTGAGGAAATCGACGACCGATGGATCTTAATGAACTTGGGCCACGTGTTTGTGAGAACGAGGTACTTGATGCTTCCCTCTGACTCGTCAAAGATAGAAGCATCGAACTCCTCTGGAATATCTCCCCAGTATTGCACCAAATTTCTGATTTCACGAACTGAGTGCTTAAGTCCCTTCTCGGAATCTCCTGTGTCGGGTGTGATGGGAGAATCCAAGTCAAAGGCTTCTTTGAAAGGAGTAGCTGGCTCAGGCTCCTCGCGCTCGCCGTATAGGAGGAGAGTCGGTTTCTCGAAGATTCGCTCCAGCTTCCGAAGGACTTGATGGCTGACATTGACGGGAAATTCTGCGTGACCGGGGCTGACGTATTCAGCGTAGATGTGCAAAGCACGGTTGAATGGCTCACGCATCAACTCTTGAACCTTATCATCGCGAATGGCAGTTGTATCCTTGAGAGCAACAGGTAGCGAATGTTTCCACTCGGCGACGGCGGTAAGGAAAGCAATGTTCTCGCCGGAGAATTCACGAAGAGCAGAGAACTCCTGTAGAGGGGCTGGGTTGCGCTCGAGAACATATTCAAGGGCACCCATAGTGAGAATACTCTCACCGGAGGCATCAGACCTGACGGAGCCCTTGGTGGACTTCCAGGCGGACAGGATAGACTCAACTGCGGTAGATCCAGAAGCCAGAGACTTGGCCTCCCCATTCTCCCCACCAGAGCTCTTGTTACGAGCCTCCCACTGAGCGATAGCGTCGAGAGTGTCTTGGCGAAGAGACTGGCGCTTCCAAACCTCGAAGCAGGGAAGGAAAATGGTGAAAATCTCGATGACAAGAATGGAAACGCAAATCCACTGAGGGGGCAGCCAGACCGATTGCAAATAAACCATGCCGTCGGCGTAGATAGCGGCGAGCCACAATGGGGTAGCAGGGAGACCTGCGATGACACAAGCAATTGTCTGAGTCCGCCATCCTTGGGTGTCGTGGATGTCGCGAGCTTTCCAAAGGGTAATGGGAGCGATTATCCAGCACCAAACAAACTGCGACATGATACCGGGCCACCTATGAGACGTGTTAGCTACTCTTCTTGGGTATAACTGTTATATTTGTACTAGATGGCATTCTTACCATTCCCAACCTCGGCCTTCTTTGGCCTTCATCTCCATTGGGGTTCCGGTAACTTCGGTGCCCGGGATACCCCATGAGGGGTGGTACTTGCGCGAGATGAGGTACATGAGGACGGAAAGACCGATCTGTAACTTTGGTTAGGAGTATACCAGGCGGGTTATAGATATGTATAAACTAACCTGGATGAACATAAGAACGCCAACAACCAGGAAACTCTTAGAGGAATAGTCAAGACGGTGGAAGCGACCGATCAAACCACTCTGACGGCGGAATTTAGAAGAATCTCCAGGGAGGCGACTGCAAGGGTAGGCATATTTCTTTTGCAGCCTTGCGATGTGTAGGAAACGAGCATTTGAGGCGTAGAACAAAGAAAGTCCGACGGGCAGCCAGACACCCATGAACCAGAACATGGCATCGCCAGGCATAATATTGCCCAGGCAGAGACCGAATTGGACAGACCAGAAATACAAGTGTAAGAAGAAAATGGACGACAACATGAGACCTAAGCCTCGAATTCGAATTGTTGGCGAGTTGCGATGGATCACCATATAGACGATGCCGAGGCAGACGAAAAAGGTCCAAATACAACCGTAGCAAATCCACCAAACGCTAACTGGCGACAAATTTACCTCCGACTTAGAGTCGGCGGTAACGCCCAATTCAGAACCCATGATGGATTGAGCTGATTTGGGCAGGGATATTGGTGAGAGGGCTCGAAGGAGAGTGATGAAGTTGGAGAGCTCTGCTGCAGCTAAAAATTAAGGCTGCAGACCACGGAGATTTTGTATCCTGGGCCATGCTGACTTCACGTGCGGAGCCTGGTCTACGCTTCTCCCCTGTAGATCGAGGCGAAGGCCATTTAACGTCAACAACGCTTTGAGTTGTGGATCTCGGTCGCCCGATCGAGGGTTTTGAGTTGGGACCGATGGGTATCGTCAGCCCTGATAGGTGGAGGTGTGGATGCAGCTAAGACTTAGTGTGCATCGATCGGCGGGAAACTATTGATTCACTATTGAGAGAACGAGATTACCCATTCCCACGAGATATCCACCTCTTCACATACTTCTTTTTTCATTCGTTCATTCGGCGGGCCGATCGACGGGGCCGTACTTGCCGTACCAAGTTGAAGCTCATTTGGACCATGACGCCGAGGCGTGATTGTGTGATGTCTGATGTTGGTAGCATCGAGGTGTGATGGCCATGCTGATAGGTACTTTCATCGATGGAACTATTCCCGGAATAGACTAGGGATCTTATCGACCCGGATTGATTTGAAATACTTCCCCAGGGACCATGGTCCGGAGAAAGACACACGACTCATGAGCTACGTTATCTCGCTCTGAGTCTAGAGCTTACAAGTATTAGGTGCCCAGAGTGGGTCACCGGGCGGTTTCGACCAAAGCTGTAAACTCCACGAGAGCGTGGGTCCTGACTCCAAGTTGCGGGACTGGAGCTCTGGAGGCAACAGGAGTGGACCTGACATGAGCTATCTGAAAATTTCCTTGTTCAAGAGATCAATAGTTTCATTACTATGTTTCATTTTTGAGTCGCAATCAACTTCCTTTTGGTTCATGTAGTGTTTACCCCCTCGATCGAGGTCTATTTTGGCCCCAAAATGGCCAACAGGCGCGGGGGGCGCCGGGCGGGACGGACCCCTGTCTAGCGTGGAGACCAACGCGTAATATGTATGATGAGGGTCTCTAAGGGGTATTTGCTCCGAAGAGAGGGATTAGAACAAAGATCGAATTGTTCCCATAGCAGGCCTCGATCGAATGCGAAGGATCAAAGCCATATCCTCCCTAACCTCAATGGTGGAACAAACCAAACCCGACTACCTGGCTAACATTTCCAACGCTATGGCTAAAATCTCAGTCGCTCTGGGGAAAGGCCCATAATCAACCTGGTGGTGGAATCCCGAAAAATAAAGGTCCTATCCACAGTCCCCATTAAGTCCCCATCGTAGTCCCCATCTCGCATCTTTAAGCTCGACCCAGCCTTTTCTCGCGTATCCAAAAATGATGTAGCACAGCTAGCATGATCAACATGCATACGTCAAGAGCTATAACCCAGTTATACCCAATAAGGTAGCGAGGTGCATCCACTGTTTTCCAAACACTAAATCATGAAGAGGCGGAGGTTAGCCAAAGGATTTGGAACCAAATAATTCAAAGTGATTCAGGAAACCTACAATAGAGGAATCCAGGCCCCGAACGTATTCCCGATCGTATTCATCGTACTAATCACAATGGCGCGTTCTTCAGCGCTATGAGCACAGATCTCATTGGCCCATGCATAAACAACCGCTGCGATCCCATCGGCCGTGCCTGACAAGAAAAAAGCAAAAAATTTCAATCCGTTAGGGACATTCCAAATCGCGAGCACAATACTGGCAAAAATATTGAGTCCCGCGGTAATCGCGATCAAGCTTGCCTTCGCGTCGTACACGTCTGAAAACACTGCACAGACTACTGATGCAATAATAGTGACAGCCGGTGAGACGGTCGTGATGGTGTCAATATTACCCACAGAATAGCCTTCAGCCTTCAGCCAAAGGGATAGACCACTGTTTTGGGACACACCATCTGCCTGGCTGAAGAAAAATGCGAATCCTACCAGGACCCATAGTCTCCAGCCCTTTAAGATTGCGGTAATTTTGGACCGAGTAAAAGGTTGCCGGGTCTCTCGGTGTTCAGATGCCATTCGTTCCTGCGCTAGGCGAATTTCGTCCGAGGTTAGAAACCTTGAATTGCACTTATCAGGGGTACTTGGCAAAAGGCATAGGCCCAAAAAGGCAATGGGGACTGTACAACCAAAACCTAATTATTTGTTAGCACGAGGTTTTCCTGCTCTATTCTCCCAGCATCATTTTCCCCTTTGGTGGTTCCCCTACAAATTATGTATAACCATCTCCATCCTTCTATTCCAAAGCGGCCGTCCAGCCGATCGTAAGCTCCTGCTTGAATGTATCCGGAACTCATGCTGCCGATCTGGCTGGCAATGAAGAAAATGGCACCTCTGCGGGATAGCTCCGATCGTTTGTACCAACTTCCCAGGTACCATTGAACAGCAGGGAAGAAGAAACCCCCAAGAGCTCCCACGAAGAACCGCAAAGCATACAGCTGCGTCACATTGCTGACTTTGTACTGTGCGAGAGTGAAGACACCCCACAACAGGTCTGCAGCAGGTAAAAAGTAATTAACAGGGCAGCGAGTCATCTATTAACAGTCAGTTTATTCTTGCGAACAATTTATATCAACGAAAAACATACCAGAAGTGTCAGTGGGATCTGCAAGACGATGAATCCAACACTATAGCAAAAACAGTCAGTGAAAAAACAATGCATAGCGACCGTGTGGAATATTCTCATACTAATATACTGTGTTCAGATAGTTCAATTGATTCCCGTATAGCTTCAGATCCTCCTTCATGCCACTCACATAGGCGGTGCTTGTAGCAGACGAGTCCAAGACCTTTGCCCAATATGCGAGAAAGACGAAAACAATGATCAACCCATCCAGTTTGAGGATCAAGCGTCGCTCTTCTGGTGTGTCCGAGGGCGCAAACCATTCATACCATTTCTGTCGCACCGATTCTGGGCTAGAAACTTGTTCATAAGCATTCTCTTTCGATTGCGTGCGTTCGCTGTCATTCTCCGCGGTGTCCACGGTCGGTGGTGACTTTTCCGTGATGGACGACATGGCGATCGGTGCTTCAGCTCAACCTCCCTGTTTTAAGTACATTCAATTCACATCATGAGAAAATTTTGATGCTTTTGTTGAATATTTTCTTTAGCTTCAACTCAGAGCACGCCATCGTCGAAAAGGATAACGTATCGCTCAAGCTTGTCCGATTCCTCATCGTGAACCCCCGACCCGTGTGTTGATTTGCCAAGACTGATGCCGATTCGTTGGGCTTTATTACCCACGAGTTCTGACAGGTCGATTTGCCGATGTTGTGCGGGAACGCGGGGTTGGCGTTGTTTGGCGTTTTTTACGAGGGGCGCATTCCGGGTAAGAGTTGAATGTAATCGATCCTGGTCACACCGCGTCGGCAACTGTTGAAGACAAAAGAAAATATGGCGTTTAAGCTCAGGCCGACCCCCGTCGACTCAGGAAATTTCAATCGGACTTGCTTTCTAGGTCGATCTTCGCATCCATGGTAGAGGCTTCGCGTACTAACGCTAGGACGATACTAGCCACCTGACGTGCTTCGGTCTTACTATTTCTAATAATTTATAGTCTGAAGCATGGAGCGTCACTAGCCTATTAAGATGTTCAATCAATTTGGTGTTACACAAAGAAAATTTCCAATAAAAAGATACAGATCACGATGGAGACAATCAATGCCCAAGTCTGCTCGATTTTATGCCCAAAGATTGGAAGTTGTCCTTCAAGTTCGCCTCCAGGGCTAGACCTTCCTATCGCCGAACGCCTCGTAGCTAACAGAAATCTCGTCTGTCCGTTCAATGCCAGCCGCATTCCGGAGTATAGTATCATCGCTGTTGTTGCTTCTGCTATGTTTGACGGTGGCCATGTGGTCGGAAAACCCCTTTGTCTCAACGACAGAAGAGTCGAAGCCAGATTTCGAAAGCTGGCCGTAATGTCTGCTGCTGCTGTATTTTTGACCCGAGCCATACATTGGCAACTTGTATGAGCTGCCACCGGTGGAGCTGTCCTTGCCATCCTTGCCGTATCGAACGCGGATGTATAGAGGTCGGAGCACGGGGATCGTGGAGCACATTATTGTGACGCAACTCTCGGTCGCTGACCAGATCAGCATTGGTACGGTGTCATCTGAAGGAAAAGATCCAGGTTAGCATATTGATTATCTTTTGGAATCAATGAAGGGATCGTACAAATGTATTCGGATGCGTCGAGGCCAGACAAGGCTACTGTGCGGACGATGCCACAAACCCCAGCACTATGAGCAAAAATGTTAGATGATATGCAAATTACCAAGAGACTCGAGCCAACTTAAAGTTGGAGGCTTACAATATTCCAAGGCTAAGACCGCAGGCAACAGTGATCTTCTCTTTTTGCTTCATATTCAAGTCCCACACGACAAACCATGGGAGAATGGCAAACGAGAAATCTGCAGCCACGAACCATGCTAAAATTTAGAGTCATGGTCAGTCTTCAGCTCCAAGTTTTTTTAGGGGAGCAAATCTGAGAAACTCACATCCAACAGTATACCCGACGTTGGAAAAGTTCAGCCAGCATGTTCCAGGAACGGAGGGGTTCCAGGATTTTTCAACTGGTACACACTGCACTATGACAGTGATACTAGCAAATAGTGTAAGGACAGCGGTGATTATGAGACATCCCCATATAACCCAAATGTGAATCTTGTTTCGCACAATTCGAAGCAGGAAAGTTCCAACCGCCGCTTTGCCAACCCCAATAACCATGAGACCAGCTACCTGGCTGAAGAGCTCATATTTTACTGCAGTGAAATATATTACTGGATTGCCAACATCAGCATACAACTGGCCTAGGCCATAGTGCGTTGCAATTGTGACGAATATAGTATAGAGGACATGAAGAAGCTAGGATATGTCAGCAGAGAGATCAAACGTGGCTGGCACTATTTACTAACCAGTGCAAAAACGACGAGATAATCGTCGAGACCAACGGAGTTCAGGATCTTCTTTCGTGTATAGATTCTTAGTCCGACAAAAAATGTGAATACGACAACTTCGACCCAAAGGACGGCGTTGGTCATAGGTCCTTTGCCTCCGTAGACGCTCATGTTGAATATGGTCTGAGTGTTAATGATTGTGGAAGCAAGCACATTGGATAATAGAGGAACAAACGTCAGAAATTCCTCCAATGCAGAAGACGATGGCGAATTTTTTATAGTAATCGAGCTATGTCCGATTTCTGATCTGTAAAAACAGCGAGAGACATCCCTGCAGATCCCAGCACACCTTGCCCATAAGGAGTCTGATAATAGACAAAAGTACAATCAGGCAATTCAATTCCAAGTTCCTGTTTTCAAATTATGCGTCTACTACTACCGCAGGCAACGGTCCGATATCAATGCGTCCATTGTGAAGCACGCTAATTCCCCTAAAGGCACTAATCGTCAGTCTGGGGTCTCGCACGAGTCTATTTGGTCCATGCTCACGCCACCGACCCACAAAAGCGGACTTGACAGCCATGACAGCCCTTGAGTACTTTTTAACTTCCGATAGATCACATTTGACCTTTGGACATTAAAGTTGAATGTTTTGACAGAAAACGTCCTGGCTGATCCTTCTCCAAGCGACCTTCCCCCTGAGACTGCCATCCACGTCTATTGGACCGGCTCTCCTAGACCTACTTACCCGGGTCTGGCCTTCAAATTAGAGTTTCGCCAGGTCTATTCTATCTTGTTACGGGAAAGAATTTGACTTGTTCTATGTGTTCGGCCGTTGATTGTCATTATCCTGACCTAAACGGCTTCATTGCAATTTTATGAACGTGCCATCACTACCCAAATCAAACGAACATGAAACAACGGTCGAAATTCACAGTTCCTTTTTGCCTTTCACGCTAAAGGTTCATGGTTCCAGCCAAGCGGATACAGACCATGGTGCTTGGGACGTTTGTGGCGAACGGATATGCCGTTGGGTCTTTCCGAGAAACATCTTAGAGCAGTTGGCGTTAGCTTTATCCCCTGTCCGAGGCCAAATCGAGTAAGTAGCTAGTGATTAGTGCTCACTGGGCCAATCCAATGTACCCAGGAGATCATGATGGTCATTAGGGAGTGGGGGCAGGTCACTCATCAATTGGATCAATGCGTACTTTGCGAACTTATATACCAGTTCCCCGCCTGACCTATCGATTCTCTCATCATTTTCCCATAGTACTGCAATTTTGATCGATCTATTACAACACTATGGTCTCGCTAAACGATGTCGTTATTGCTGTCCTTGATGGGATTCAAGCTGATGCCTTTGGTGGCGACGAGGTAGAAAGGCTCAAAGTTCGAGCTGCAGCGCGTCGATTGCTCGCCAGGGTGGAGACACCCTACGAGCGTGCATGGGGGTTCTGCTTCGAACACCCTATTGTATTTTCAGCTCTGCAAACATGCATCGATCTCGGGCTTTGGAAAACATGGACTAACATTGGAGGTGGCAAGAAGTCCATTGATGACTTGGTCCTTATGACCACACCAATTGCCGAGACCAACCTATTGCGTAAGTTCTCACTGTCTAAGTAGATGTCACTGAAAGCTCACAAAAGGTCAAGGTCGTTTATTTCGCTTGTTAGCAGCGTTCAATGTCGTGGAGGAATCAGGGGTGGATACATACAAGCCAACCCCTTTCTCATTTGCTATCGGCGATGAAAGTACCAAGGTCCGGGCCTCTCTTGAAGCAGCGTATGTGCCCCTAATCCTATTTTCTGTCTTGAATTGTAATACTATAATTTGAAATTGTCCCTAATTATCTATCTTTAGTACACACCAATATTTCGCGTCAAGTCAGAACCTACCCGGCTATCTAGCCAAGACCTCTTACAAAGAACCAACAGACATGAATGTGAACAACTACTCCGACTCCGATCCCGATGGTCTCAATTTCTTCGGTCGACTTGGAAAAAGTCCCGAGTGCTTGGAGGCCTTCACTGGACACATGGAAGCCTGGACAGCATGGAAGACCCCTTGGACCGAAGTATACGATACTTCCAAGCTTCTGGAGGGCGCAAAACTCGATGGAAATTCCCCATTCGTAGTTGATGTTGGTGGAAATACGGGTATCGACATTACCCACGTTCTAAATAAACATCCCGAGCTGCCAGCAGGTGCTCTCGTCTTACAGGATCTCCCAGAGGTGATTTCCAACGCGAAAGTTGATTCGAATATCACGGCTATGGTTCATGACTTCTTTCTTCCACAGCCTGTTAAAGGTAAAACAAAAATCCGTCAAACATTATACTTTCCAAACATTTTGATGGGTTTGACTAATTATTTCAAAACACAGGAAGCCGTGCTTATTTCATGCACGCTGTACTTCATGACTGGCCCGATGATAAATCCAAGCAATTACTGGAGAATACCAGAGATGCAATGGTGAAAGGCTACTCTAAGCTATTCATATACGATATCGTTCTCCCACCTCAGGGCGCAAGTATCAGTCAAACCACGATGGATGTGCAGATGCTCGCGCTACTGTCTGCTGCGGAACGAACTGAAGGTGCTTGGAAGCAGTTATTAGCCGATTCCGGACTGAGAATTTGCAAGTTCTGGCCTGATCCACAACAATATGAAATGGTGATCGAAGCAGAGATTGCTTGAATTTAATTCTGTTACTGCTTGGATGTTTATCATGACGAATATGAGTCCTCGGGCTGTGGGGTGGTTCTTTGATTAACAAGTGTTCACTCTTACGCAACTTGGCTTTGACAGAATGTTATATAACAGATACTAGTAGTACTGAAGATTTTAACCTCTGGTTTCAGACTCCCCTGCCACACGGCTCAACAAAGCTAGCACTCCAGGGCCTTCTCATTCTCAGATTTTGGATACAACTGACTCGGAGACTTGAAAACCTGTGCCAGTCTCTTGATTCCTCCAAATATCCCAGTAACACAGCTCCTACCCCCTTCTTTGCTCTTCTGGATACTTTTCTGACTTTCTAAGTCCTTTTCAGAGACAGATGAGCCAGCGACAGGCTTTAATACAGATGCAACAGCATCCTTTTCAACACCACCCGGACCCTCAATTTGGAAGTATCCACCCAGTCCATTGGAAAGGCTCTCTTGCGTCCAGCAGCCGCGTACAGTAGCGGAATCTAAAGCACCCCGTACAACCTTAGACTTAGTGACATACATAATATCACTTCCTGTCATTTGAAACACACAATTATGCCATGGAGTAGGAATATGTAAAAGATCATGCGACGGCTTCGCAATACTTTCAAGATCATGCAAGTCATCAATAACTCTTGTCTTGGCTCGTTCAAACAACATAATTCCGAATTTTGGTCCTGAATTGATGTGCGCATGAATTGATAAGCGTACGTAGTCGGGGAAACATAGTTCCACGAGATTTGAGTAGGCTTGGTTGCGTAGTATCATCTCGAAAGAAGACTTTTCCGCCGTCTTCTTTCTTTGGCTTTTCGACATTGTTTGGGACCGTGGGTGCTGGGCGAGGTCTTCGAGCATAAATCGTGAGAACCCGCGATATAACGACAGGATTGCTTGGTCTTGGCTTTGGATTTGGGATCTCAAAAATTCTCGATTAGGCTGGCATCCCAGAGTCATCGCCTGGCGGCAGAACTCTGTTTCGGGAGAGATTGTGGTGTCGAGGTAGTGGTTGAGCGCGGGGAAAGTTATTTGACGGGCTTTTGATTCTCCTAGAATTTCTTTGGGTGAAGGATTTAAGATATCTTTTAGGGACTTGAAAATTATCTGGCCGGTCTGTCCCATTTGCGCGCCTATCATTTGGTTGAGTTCAAGCAATTTATCTCCGTACTCATCTACCTGATCATCGTCCACTCCAACTGATAGTTTATTGTTAGAATTCCGGGTATCATTTGATCTAGTGAAGGGATAATAAACTTACTACAATCACTAAAAACGTGCCCATCACTTATAATACACAATTTGGCGCCAGGATCATAGATTGACTTTATTTGGCGCAGAACAGAGTATAGCCGTCGAAGAGCTAACTCTTCGCCGCGATCGGGTAGTACTCCAGCAACCTTTTCCAAATTCGAAGACTTGCAAGGAAAAGCAGGTAAACACATTCGAATTGGCAGTCCTCGAGATGTAAATAAGGAAATCTTTTGTATGAGGTAGTTTCTACCCGTGGTTTCGAATAGGGAATCAGACGGATGTACCAAGAGCTCCGTGTTGCAAAGGTCGACCAATCTTTCTGCAACAGAACTATTATCGGTAGATTGAGAAGTCTCATGTAACAAGAAGGGTTCTGTCAAATGGTGAATCAGGATACGACAGAAGTACTCATCGAAGTTTGTCGTAGCGGGTGCAGGTTCTTCGGAAAGCAAGATCACCCCAATCACCCGAGATCCTCGAGGCAATGGAGCTTCATGGGCACGAACAACATTTGATTGTAACTCGGGGTAATCAAATTGAATTCCAGATACTAAACGATATGACTTCGGTGCATGGAGACCCAAACTCGGTTGAATCGTATGCCATTTCTCTTCCAGCAGGGTAGCATACGTGCCAAAACAGCGAACCAATTGGCCCTGATATGTTCGACTGTATATAGCAACGACTCGATCATATATGCACTCCATATTAAATTCTTGCCAGTGAATGCTTGATTAGATATTTCTGGTTATGAAGTGTTAATAAAAGTTCATATTCCAGCAACTAATTAGCCTGACACTCCTTTACTCTTATATACCCGCACTCTATGTGGTAAGACCGAGCCGGGGAATCAAGAGAACGAGGCTGAAATGAACCCTGGAATATTCCTACAATGCCCCAAAATAACATTTCTGCCTTTGGCTACGTCTTTCATCCTCAGAACATGTATATCAATTAACACTGCCCATTTGAACGGACCCCGATCCCTCTCAGAAGACCGCCAGACCCACCATCTATCAATCACCCTGCTCAATGTCGTGACGGTCCTTTTTCTCAATTTGGAAGGCGCATTACACCTAACCATGGGGCTGAGTTACTAGGCTTCGTATCTTTGTTACCTCCCCTAGGTATTTTATTTTCATTCCTTGGGAATCATTGCAAAGGGCGCAAGATGAATAAGATTCATTTGGTGGAAAATACGGAGTTGACTAAAAATTAGCCTAGCAGGCAGACCCTTCATTCCGTTATTCGACCGCAAGAATGATCTATAATCTCTCAAAGTATCTAGACACTTGCTTGGAGTTTGAAGATAACATGTCTTCTTTTATATGTATCATCCTGCATTTTCTGCATTGGGAATATGCTCTTTTACTTTCATTCATTATGCTGTCCGGTGGACTACTTGTCTACTTTCTGATGCCGCCCCGAAATCCTCGTCAGATCCCTTCAGTCCCATTTTGGGTGACCTTGCTACCCCTTTTCCGAGAGGTTGATCAGCAAGAACTATTTCGCAAATATATCGCCAAGCCATTGTACAAGCATGGCGCAATCAAGATATTCTTCGGGGGCCAATGGAATGTGATTGTCCAACGCTCGTCGTATCTTTCAGAGGTATTCAAGAAAGAGCAAATATACAACAAAAGCGGCAACCAGAAAAAGATCCCACACAGTCTGCTTGCCGAATTTCTTGGTATGACAATACCTAGATCTTCATGGCTCAAAAATCCCCAGAACAATCTCAAGACTGACACGTATACCCACAGGGTCCAATATAATATCTGCCCGAGCTGATGAGTGGCGTTTGTACCGATCGGTGATTCAGCCAGGATTACAGACCGTGTTTGAAACAGAGCCTCTATTCGACAATGCGCAGCGGCTCGGTGAACATCTATACCAAATGCAAACCATTGCTCCGAGTCATGGAGTACCGATCCAGGGTATTCTCCAGCGCTATTCCAACGCAAACCTGCTCCACTGTGTTTTTGATAATCCGGGGCTGAGTGTAAGTGTGCTCCTGCGGTAATTTTAGCAAATCTTCGGAGCAACTAACTTGAACGGGAACTAGGATCAACTGATGGATATTGAACACGAGGTTCCACTTCATTCAACGCAGCTGACTCTAAAGCAATATCTATTTCGCCCTATTTTTATGAACTTCCCTGTTCTAGACCGGCTCGGATCGCTGATAGCATCTCGCTCTAAGGCTCGAGCTTTGATACATGAATTCTCAACCCTATTGCAGACCCAAATCCTCCAGGATTCAAGCAAGGGTAGATCTGAAAGACCAAAGTCTCTTAGGATCCAACTTGTAGCCGCACGGAAGGATGGGGTCCTCACCGATAAGCAGCTCCGCGATAATCTCAACGTGCTCTACGTGGCTGGGCAAGAGAATCCACAACTCTTAATGATCTCAGCCTTGTACCTTTTAGCCAAGTACCCAGTGAGTAGATACGACCCCCATCTTCACAATGCTATCCCATATTGATCCATGCCATATAGAGCATACAAGAGAAACTCCGTCACGAGGTAGATACCTATGGCCCAATAGACTCCACTATTAACTGGCGGTGCCTTCCATACTTGACCGCCACGACCCTCGAATGTCTCCGATTATTCCCACCCATCTCTCAATTAATCAACAGACAGGTGGCCGAGCCTACATGGCTAGGGGGTGAGATCTACCTGCCCCCAGGCACATACATTGGGTATAACAGTTACGCCACGAACCGAGATCCGACCGTCTGGGGAGCAAATGCGGATACGCCCCACCCGGAGCGATGGGGCTCCACCGACGAGCAGATATGCGCCAACTATCGAGGCGCTAAGGCTCGAGCTGAGTTCATCTCTTTTCATGGTGGCTCCCGCGCATGCCTAGGAGAAAAGTTTGCTTTGCTCGAGATCAAGGTTACGCTGTTTGTTCTTGTCAAGAATCTAAAATGGGGACTGGATGCGAGCTGGGAGGATTGCATGACGCCGGTACGTTATTGCTTTTGTTTGATCAGGGGACTTGCTCCAAATGGTACTGATCTACAATCCCCACAGGCTGGTCCCCTGCATCCGAGAGGTGCTCGTCTTATGTTCACCAAGGTGTAGTGCGAATTGGTTCTTGGCGGTAATCCTTTTCAACTCAAATGGGCGCAAAGAGCCTCAATGTGCCATGGTCGGAGCGCCTGAAAATCGTTGGGTATTGAGCTGAGCCCTGGAGTATTGTGTTGTATGATGTATCATCTAATAAAATACTAGTGCATTGACACGAGTCATGGATGTTGTTTGTCACTGTCAGCTGGAATTTTGATTTCGAAAAGAAGTTGGATTATTCTTTTTATATTTTTGGTTTTTTCAAGAAAACTTACTGTCGTGCATATACTATACAAAGAACTATATGTAGGAATGGAGACAAAACCTGTATACATCAATTGATGCATTCCTAACTAAAATTAGAATAGCAATTATTCTTATCCCGCATATTCCTGTCATAAATATTATGATTAGCCCCGTGGACATCATCATCGCACCTTCCCGTAATCGCCTAGCTTGACAACGATATTTTTGCCTGGGCGATCCCCTTCGAAACGTCCACGCTCCAGTAAGATCCAAGCCCAGCAATCATCAATAATAAGTTCGGAATCATGGGAAAACGCAGATTATGTGTCCGATTTTGGATCACACCCATAACAAGCGGGTTAATCCACCCAGTCGCTAAATCCAGTGTAATCTCCAGCCCAAAGAACTGCGCTTCCGAGTTCTCTGGAATAAGCGTAGAGTAAATAGCCCTATTGTAAGCACGGAGCGCACTGCTAGTCGACATGAAGAGTACCTGCTCAACCCAAAATTCTGCCTGATGCTTGTATCCAATAGTAACATCGTCACTAATCCCGATGCACCCCCACAAAACGCAAAGAATGTTCACCATAAGGAATGTATATACCCATGCTTTAACGGGAATCTTAAGACGAGGGTACAGATACATGAAGCCCAGACTACCCATGCAGGCGAAGATCACACTCGTAAATGACCAGACAGAGTAGACATGCGAACCGGTGCTGAACCCGGTAACTTGGATAAACAAGGAGCCGATCAGGGCCAGGTGATTACTGTAGCCTGTATTCCAAAGAACCCATCCAATGCAGAGCTTGAAAGCTTCGGAATAACGAGGTGCGCTCTTCAGCATCCGAAACCAGTTTTTGGCTGCTAGAAGTAGGTGTGTTTTGTCCTTTGTACTATCTACCTCCTTGCCACGCACAGAGGGTAGTAGGAACTGTCCAATAATGGCGAAAACAACTAGAATCATTAGGAAACGCAAGATTTGCCCTTATGAAAGAACGGTGTCCTTACTGGTGATACATCCTGCAATCGTGATGGCGAGCAGATAGTTATGGTATCCGATTTTAACGTACGATCCACGACCGTAGACAAGAATCACGCCGATTATCAACGCGGTCAACCCACCCACATTGCTTGACACTAGGGCCAGCACGCTGACTGAAACACCTTTATTCCACGTGCTGTTTTCACTCTGGACTCCCGTTACCTCAACATCACGGAACCAGCCGGTAGAGCGCATGAAAATCGGAATATATGACCCTTCGATGACGGTGTATATACCACTCACAGTCGTCAATAGACAGTATAGGACGGATAGCGCGGTCAAATGGCTATAGGTCTTGCCTGTCAGTGCGGCGAACGGTAAGGCCAGGAGGCCAAATAAGAAGATCGAGGTCATCATCATTGTCTTGCGATAGTCTTGAGATCCAATGGTTAGCGAGATTGGATTAACATCAATTTGTTTCATGTGAGGCAATAAACATACAAGAATAATCCGCGAGACCCGCCGTAAGTATTGACAGAACGCCCTCGGTTGAGCGACTGATTGCTCGGAGATACAGCCTATTTTACAGTGAGAAGTGAATATCATTCGTTGAGAAAAGGCAATCTCACGTATAACTAGCATAATCGATCTCGACGGCTCCAAATTTGACGCGACAGTTGATGTTAGTGCCGCGACGAGGACAAGGCTTGTGTGATCCAGCTTGATGACCCAAGAGATTGGCGGCGGACAAAATTGCTGCTGAGACGTAATTTGAGACCATCGCGGAGGTCGGACCAGTCTGTGTGGGTTTTCCTCTTGTTAGCAGGTGAATTTACTTTGTCAATGGCAAAGAATCCCATACGCACCGAGTAGCACAAGACCAAAAAAGCCCACAATGCTTTCTTGGAATTAAACGCAGACTTCGAGCTAGCCTGCTCTATATCACGCTCATTGCTCTTGAAAGTGTGCTGGGTGGCTCGAGCTCCATGTTTTTGGGTGCCATTTTCGCCTTGTGTGGTCTGTGTCTCGGTCGAGCCGTACAAGGAGGCCATCGAATGGATGTTGAAAAGGGTGTTAGACAAGTAAGAAGCAGCGAATACTTGAAATTAGATGACGCGACGAAGAACAAAATTATAGATTTTAAGAGAACAGTCCAACCTGAACTTCACGATGGAGATAAATAAACTGGCTAAGTTACCCAAGGTACAGGCTTAACCTTGTGCATCTACACTCACATGGTTGCCTCACACAAACCTTGGACGCTAGAGCTAATAAGAGAGAAATACCACGACATTGAGATGCGCGCTATTATGAGCACATTAAGAGCATATTAAAATCAGGACTTATGCAAGATAAGCAACGCTACAGCTCCTCTAGTCTTGGGATGGAGTCGGATCTGCTTTGGCGCTTTCAAGCCTCGTCCGTGGAGTAGGGACCTCCACTCCACCCTGACAATACGGTAATTACACAGGACACAAAAGCTAGAATTTTGTATTTTTTCATTCTGTAATTATATTTTATTTGAATTATGATATTTATGTGTTTCAGCTGCTTTTACTGTATACGGGTTCATGGCCCGACCCAGCTCCCTCTATACGTAACCTCGCCCAGCTGCAAATCATTTACAAAAGGAATATGTAGTCTTTCATGGCTCTAATAACTTATTTCTTTTCAATCTTCTAATCCCAATCTAAATCTCCCAATATGTCAGACCGAAAAGTCACTGCATCTATGAAACCTCCTAATTCCTCGTCTGGTTCCTCTTCTGGCTGCCCTGAATCACAAAATATCCCTCCAGGCAGCTCAGATCACCTCTCCGACAAAGCACCAGCTCAAGAGATATCTCAATCTGCACCCCCGGACCCGAAGCCACCCTATACGGCTTTTTCTGCTCCCCGCCAAGGATTCCTCCTCGCTATAATTACAGTGGCCGGCGTATTTGGTCCTCTTGCAGGAAATATCTACTTGCCTGCGTTACCTGTACTAAAGAAGGCATTTCACAAAACTGAAACTGAGATAAATTTCACAGTGACTGTTTTCATGCTAGTTTTTGCGTTTGGCGTACGTTTACTATGGTATCTCATTCTTTCATCTTTCAATCGGCTAACATAATATAAATAGCCATTGTTTTGGTCCAGTTTCGCGGATTGGAAAGGACGCCGACCCCTCTACATTATTTCTATATTGATCTATATCGCATCCAATATCCTTCTCGCCACGGTCCCAGCAAACTACGGGGCTCTTATCGTGCTCCGCATGGTACAAGCTTTTGGCTCGTCGGCTGTTGTCTCTCTGGGAGCTGGGACTGTAGCCGATGTAAGTCTAATTTTCCAAGTGGTTACAAAATCTCCATACGATTCTAATATGAAAGTCCCTACCAGATTACGGAACCGAGTAAGCGGGCTCGAGCAATGTCATATTTCCTATTCGGTCCCCAATGCGGTCCTATTCTTGGTCCTTTGATCGGCGGTGCCATAGCTGACAAGGCATGTTGGAGATGGATATTTGGCTTCTTAGGTGTGTTTCAGGAACAAGACATCTCAGGAAGGAGAACCCAATACTGAATCTTCCAGCTATCTCCGGCGCATGCCTTTGGGCTATACTTCTTTTCGTTCTCCCAGAAACACTACGTGCACGCGTGGGGAACGGAAAGCTATACGCCAGTTCCAGCTGGATCCTCTTCCCTCCGCCCCTCTCCTCTTCACTTGTCCCAGAGTCTGAACGAGGCCCATTACCCCCAAAGCCCGCACTGAAAGGATATTGGCGACTATTTCGATACCCGCCCATCGGAATCGCATGCGTGAACACCGCGATACTCTACTCATCGTATTTCTGTATCGCGATTCAGCTCCCAAACGCTTTGAAAAATACCTATCACTGGTCTACCAGTGCACTCGGTGCAGGATATGTCGTTGTAGGCCTTGCAATGGTAATTGGATCCATCTCAGGAGGCCATTTTTCAGACTGGAGACGTAAACAAACAGTCAGGGCTGTCGGAGAAGAAAATGTACATCCCGAGTCACGATTAAATGATCAGATATGGGGTTTGCTGTTAGCAGCAGCCGGACTTGTTATGTTTGGATTCTTCGTCGAGTACGCGATCCATCCTGCGGCAACTTTGATCGCTACGTTCCTTGGTAAGTAGTTCAAATGTTTGTTCTTTTCACCCGGATAAGCGGCAAATCAGAACTAATTTTCCAAGTTGGCTTTGGTATGTCGTGGATGTTTGTGGCTTCCAATGCGTTTTTGACGTCTTGCGTTGCACAACAGGCCGCGGGGGCTTTCGCGTTGGGGAATATGTTGCGTAGTCCCGCCGCTGCTGTGGCTGCTGCTATTATTGCGCCTCTCGTTCAAAAAATGGGCTGGGGTTACTGCTTTCTAGGGCTGGCTCTGCTGAATCTCGTCGGAGTTGGATCTATGCTTGTCGTTCTACAAGCTCAGTCTCCGCGGTGGAGGAAGGAGCGATCGGCCAACATGGCGCAAACTGGACCACAGAAGGGACCAGCGAAGGTATAACCAGACTACTTCATTCGGGGAAGGTTCTACCTGCAAATGAGCATTGGACCGTTGTCCACTCCCGGGCTGTTTCAACGGCCCAAGTTGAACTCATTCCACGAAATATAATTGATTAAGTAACCTCAAATTCAACTATATTCATGGCGAAATCCTTCAATTGAGATGTAATAGATCATAACTTAAAAAAATTGTGCCGAGTATGCAAAAATGAAAAAAAGTGTTTGATGCAGGGTTCGAACCTGCGGCCTTTCGCGTGTAAGGCGAACGCGATAACCACTACGCTAATCAAACGCTCATGCCGATAAACTCCGACACAGGAGATAAGTACTGCTAACACATCCCGGAATTGATTATACCCAAAATATTGTTTTACTTTGTTTAAAAAACGTTCGAAATCGCGAATGTCAAATTTAACTCATACATATCAGTTATCTAGCCAATTCTTTTACAAATTAAAGCAAAGCAGCCATCGCTGCAGCAGCAAAAACCGGCGCAGCTGTAATCATAGCACCGGATCCAACCGCACCGCCAGACTTAGTAGCAGCCGCCTTAGTAGCCGAGCTCAATCCCGCAGTGACAGTCAACGGGTTGTAATCATTCTCAGTAGGGGCCGAAGCAAGGCTAGTAGTGGTAGAAGTAGAGGACGAAGCCTTTTCTCCGTTGCCCGACGCACTCCACGACGCACTCATAGTACAACTCGCCGAACCAGTTGAAGAGTGCAGATCACAGTCCCAGGTCTCAGTGAGAGTAGCCTTGTAGGTAGTCTTATCGGACGCGGTAGACATAACCCATTCACCAGAGAAACTGGCCGTGTCGGAGCCTTGGATAATCGTCCATGATTTGGGGATGTCGCAGACTGATTTCGGGACGTCTTTCGCACAGCCGACGTGGTAGGTTGCGGCTTTGGCGTTGATGCCGGCCATACTGGCTGCATAACTGGTAGCGGCACCCTCGGCCCATCTGGGGACTTCGATGGTCCAGGCCGGGGCGAAAAAGCCGACTGTAGTTGTAGATTCGGAGTCGGCGGATGCGCCGAGGGTGGCCAGGGCCATGGCGAGGAAGGTAGAGGCACGCATTGCTGGGATATGATTTTGGGAATGGGTTTCTCAGAGGGAATTTGGATTCAGGCGCATCGGGGCAGGGAGTGATTGGGTTCTTTATTTAGATGGAGGCTTACGGGGGCTCGGGCTTCGCTTATTTAGTAGCATAGAGTAATTTCATTTGAGTCCCGGGATGGACTAGCTTGGTTGTGTTGGAGATGTGCCTAGTCCTTGTACGAAATGTGATCCTGAAGCTTGACTCATATTTGGCTGATAATCCATTGGGCCTGGGGACGTGTGGCTTGAATGAGATGGAATTTGTTCTCGGCTACACTGCGAAGGTGGAGGCTGAGAGGGACTTACAGGGTAAAAAGCAAGCGTTAGCGTTGTTTGGACCCTGTTTAGTTTGAGACATCGGACCGTTTATAGGAAAGCGTGGCAGCCTCGCAGCACTAGTCCCTATTTTTGTGGGGGCATTTGGGGGATTTATTGTGGATCCCGTCAACACCCGTACTTAATCTTGATTCCTTTGGCTACACTGAACAGATTGAACAGATGGGTCCCGAAGCTCAAGTATTCTTTTGGTTTTTTGCAAGAACGAGTCACATATGGCTAACTTAGAGATACATGACATACTTTCAAGGTTTACTAAGTGATGAAGCCCGGTTCGAACCTCGCCATCGATGAAGGGGTCTTCGTCATCAAGTGGTCCGCAGTCATCAATCATATGCTCTTGGTCATCACTAGAGGTCGCTTCCTCCTCTTCATTCCCATCGCAATCCCTATTTTGACCGAGGATTGGGGTAAAGGTAAAGGGTACTTGGACTCGCTGTTAGTACGCCTTGTGTGTAAACTTTGGGTTATGATATGATAGTAAACATACTCGCTCATGGTTCCAAGTGATACCATCAAGATGCCCATACTTTAAGTGAGACGCTCTGTGACCGTTATAAATTTTTGTCGGGCATTGGAAAGTGAATACAAGGGATATATATATTATGTATATATGCCCCCTACGCTAAATGAGTAGAAGGGCTTCCAAGGTTGTTTCAGCAATACGATTGAGCGCATCCTGGGCCAAGGCTCCTGCAAAGAGTTGTTAATGCAATTCTCCAAGTTATATTGATTCGGTTTCTTTTGAGGAATCGAATCACATACCTAAAACACTGTGTGCGGATTTTAGATGCTCCTCGCAATCTTCCGACTGGAATAACATGGCGTCACAATCATCTTCCGGGCAATGATACTCTCCAAACCTGACATGGTGGTAACCGAACACATGCTTATTGGCTGTCTTTTGGTCATCAAACATCCTTGGGCAATCCTCCTTTTCGGCGACAGGGCATAGAACAGTCCCTTCCCCACTCGGCTGGTTTTGACGTTCGTGGACATAATCATGCTTGGCTACTGCATGTATGGTGGCATTTGCCTTTGGGGAATACATTGTGGGGCACCTCGTGCCGTCTGGAAGGAGACCTTCCCATGGACATGGGAATTTTCCTTCCCCCTGTTTGGCTTTCAGCAGAGGAACTTCGTATCTGTGAGCCCTCCATGCATGGACTTTCGCACTAGATGCATTCATAAACATGTCTCTGCATGGTTCTTCGCCTTCTGTAACTGGACCTGGGCAAGGCACCGTCCCTAACCTCTCTCAAGGTTTAGTAGCATATGAATGAGCTCTTTTTGCGTGACCAATAGCACCACTTTATTAGCAATCATGGCCTCACACCCTATCTGATCAGCGAAGGGACACGGGCAATTCCCTTCTCCTGGCGGTGCTCTCGGGGGTCCCTTGGCATAACCGTGGGTTTTCTTTGCACGTTTGTTGGCAATACCGGTAGACGCCAACATCTTTTTGCAGTTTTCCTTTCTGTTTGCGCATGGGCACGGTATTTTTCCTTGGCCGGGCCTAGCTCTCCCCGGAGGGGCTAGGCAGGGAGATCGTGGTGACTTTTTCTTTCAACACTCATGTTGAAGGTCACGGTGGGGGTGTTTTTGTTCTGAGGTAGATGAGGGGAGGATTCAGACGACTCGGAGAACTAGGAGGTATTCAGAATGAAACTAAGGGTATTCAGAACGAGAACTACGAGGTGAGGGTTCAAACGAGAAGTGCAAGTGAGAGCTGCACTCCGAAAAGGGAAATCCGAACTCCAGGCACCAGATAAAAATGGGCTATAGAAATCAGATTCTATGACCCTTCGTATTACTTCTCAGAATAAAACTAAGCGAATTGCTTATTCATTTCATAGCACAGATGCAATGATATCCACGAATAGATGCAATCTATAAAACTCATTAGTTCAAATCTTACATTAGACAAATGAAAGCCCCAGAAATGAATGAGAATCCCGAAGAGATTCTAAATCAAAACCTTGTAATTTAGCTGGCAGATGAATGGCAGCCAGAGGTAATTAATACAAGCCAACGGCCCTGTTGTACATGTATGCATGATCTTTAAGTTCTTATCCTCTTAGCAGGTATCCACACAAACAATAACAAGGCCGAAGAAGGGAAGAGGGGAAAGAAGCGAGCGAATAAGATTTTTTGGGCACATATGTGGGATAGTGAGACTTCCATATTCAAAAAATGATGGCTTCCAAGGTTATATACAATGTATGTAGCCCTGGAGACGATCATACTGCTCACCGCCGAGCTAACTGTCTACGATTTTCACAACGCACAGATGCCATGATGTCCACGAATATATTCTATAAGATTTTCAGTTACACTAGACAAAAAAAGCCCCGGAAATGAATAAGAAGATTCCGCTGCTAAATGAAGAGCGGATATGGCGGATACAAGCCACCACAGATCAGTCCACAGGATCCTCCTCCAGTAAAGTCTTGAATGAGAAAGGTACCAGCGGAATACCCTCCCCAATCAAGTGTTTAGAGAATGCTTCTACCCAATGCAACCTCAGGGCATGTAATAGCGACGATACTCCTTCCATGGCGCATAACACTGCGACAGACAAGATAAACCACATAAAGAACGTGACAACCAGCATCACAACTTGAACCACCCCTTCTTGCTCGAAGGCGGAGCCAAGGGTCATGTTCCACAGGACGATAGATAGCTGTTGATGAGCTAAGCTCAATGCCCAAAGGCGGAGATAGGACGCTGTGTGCGAGATACAGTTGAGACAAAATTCGATGGTATGAATGACCTGGTGGATCATAACATCGCCAAAGTCGAACTCCTCATGTTCTTCTCCATCGTTGATATCTTGAGCAAGCATAGCAACACCTTCGCCATCACTGGCCAAGCTGTCACGAGCAAAGCCACCATCCACATCACCATCATCTTCAAGGGCGCTGACTCGAGATTGTTCGCCGAGGCCTCGGTATCCCAGCGCACGAGCGCGGTTGTGTTCATGGCGAAGCCATAACGGCTTGAGGAAAAGCATTATGGGAACTTGGACGATGGCAACGAGAATTAAAATTACCTGAACCGTGCTCTGGCCTGGGTAAAGTTGATCCTCGACAAAACCGGGCGACAAGAACATAAAGATGAGCATATTCAACAATGACGGCTAGCAAATGATCAGCAACCATATTTATGTGACTCGAAAAGGAATAGGTATTACCGGACTTGCTCCCCTTGCTTGCCAGTCAATTGACCATTTCTGGGGAATGAAGTGTTAGCAGGGTGTTGGAGGATAATAAATAATGTAAAATACTGACCATTCCTATGCAAATTGCCAGGTAACCAAAGATCGACTCGTAGAACACGAGAGCAGGGACAAAATTGCCCCAGAGATCTACTTTAGATTTGTAGTATCGCGAATTGATGTACTGCATGCTTAGAGCAAACGTCATGTGGCACCTAATAAGTTAGCATTTGTAGAAAATCAATGGCTCACTTCAAAATGTCTACTTACCATCCCAACAGAATGCTCATCTTCATTTTCATACTATTCGAGAAGAGGAGTGAGTTTTCACTAGCGTGCCAGTTCCAATCTAGTCCAAACGGGTAACGGTAACCATCCTTGAGGCTAGCCGTGACAGACTCTCCAACCTTGAAGTCTTGTGGCCACTCCCACTGACTGGGCAGGAAAGTCAGTGGTCTCGAGAAAACATCGTTGTAACTGAGATGGTCAGTAAGATGATAAGTTTAGTTATGGAGGCAAAGGGTTATATATCGTACAGGAGACCAGTGTAAACGGCAAAAATGCCCATAATCAGCATGATGTATCGTCCATAAAAGGCCATGTAAGAAATTTCGTCAAGCTTGGTACGCAAGAGTTTCTTCTCGAAGAGAATCAACGCAGCAGCTGTCAGAACCATCAGGGAACCATGACCCGCATCTGTAGACAGTTTAGCCAGGTTCTTCGGGATAGGGTCTGCGGTACCTACCGCCAAACATGACAGCAAATGCGAATGGGAACTGGAATTAGCGTTAGCAAATGATTATGTGACATACGCGTTCATATCAATATCTTACTGTCACAATGGTATAGAAGGCAGGGTTAACTTCCTGGTACTTTGGCACGCCATAGCTGTTGACGATTGTCTGAAAAGCTTCGGTGAATTTATTTAGCCTAAAGTGAGTTGGAGGGGTTTTGTTGGTCTGGATTTTGTTGATAATGATGGGGACTGAGAGACCCGCAGAATTTGTAAGGTCCTGAAGAGTGGACTTAATCCGGGGAAGGGAATTTGTCGGGCACCAAGCTTCAGCAATCAGAGTCTTTCGCGCTTGATCATACGAGAACTTGTTCAAGGTATCGAAGACAGCTTTCTCCTTCTTGACAATGATCATCCAGGCCACGAGCGATCTGGCGATCTGGGAAAGTTCTGCATCCAGAGTGTTCTTGGTATTGCGAAGCACAGATCCGACATCGCCTAGCCGCGTGTTAACCTCATGGACTTGATCTCTCCTCAGTTCTGCGTTTTCGTCAACGCCGTACAAGGCAGCACCGAGAGACTCGGAGATCTTGCGGATCTTAGCAAGAATATTCTTGCCATGAGCGAAGATCACAAAAACATTCTTATGGATCTCCTCGTTGGTGCTGGGATCAATAATGGGCTCCGGAATCTCAGACTGGTTCATGTAAAGATTGCCACGCAGTGTTCGCCATAAGATACGTTCAAAGGTACCGATCCGATCTCTGGGAATAACACCAGCAACGAAACCTATGTTGATCTCGGCGAAGCTCGGCTGACCTTGGGTATCGCCATTTGCGCCCGGGGGGCCGTGCTGTTCAACGTCGCGGAGTAGAGGCGCTTCGTCGTTGTCGAAGGATTGGCGAATGTCTTCTGTTTGGGTGTGGGCCTGAATCGTCACATGAGTATTGTTCCATGCTTCCGTATATTTACACACTCAGACTTACCCTATCGAAAAAACCACCAGCCTCTCTCAAAACCCAGCGCCACTCAGACAGCTCCACTTCGCGCTTCTTCAGTGTCTCGTAGCTGTCGTTCAATGAAGAGATGCGCTGTTCGAGGCTCTCGCTGCGTTCGGCCAGTTCGTCGATCTCCGAAGCCAATGGAGCAGCCAGAGTATCCGAAAAGTCAGTCGATGGGCGCATGGGGATGGCGGCCTTCTCGATCTGAGTTCGGAAGTAGCCTATTGAAAGGGGTCAGCAAGTTAATAAGCTGTCATCATCAATATATTCATATTCTATAATGCAACGTACGGAGTTGTCTTTCAACATTGTCAAGGCGGCGGATCTCCTTCGTGAATGTTCGTTGGAAAGCATTGGTATCGGGGTTCAACTAGAACGCGCGGCAGAAGATTAGCGGGTTGTTTATGGCTTTCTGCAGATTAAATCTACAAGTATTAATACTCACATCTCTGAATTCTACCTCACCAAGCTCTCCGAGAGTACTGACGACCTCTCTTCCAATTTCGTTGGCGATGTAGAGCTGGGTCAAACTCATGTCCGACGACCGGAACAAGGTATCCTGCGCAGCCATGATGAATTGTGGTTGGTTCGAAGTCGAACCTTTTCACCAGAAAAGCTGCAGTCACACGCAATGGTTGAATGGTCCGCTTTTACCCTCTCCGGACTAACTATCAAGAGAGAGGATAATACGAATAAGGTTGAGGTCTGTTTTCCCGCAGGAGCTGCCGATGCCAACTCCTGGCTGGCTGAGCTGTCCGTATAACACGTGATGCCACGTGATTTGATCCACCGAGCCCATGCTTCCTAGCAAGACTTGTTGCATGAGTGCACTGTGGGATCAGGGGATCATTTTTTTATTTCATATTTACAGACGAAAGTTTTATGCTTTTAAGGTAGTATAGATTTATTTTCGGGAATACTCACCGGTGGACGTCTCACTCTGGACCCTACGGGGCTAGAATGTAGAACTGCGCACCTAGTTCCTACTACGGATAACTTATAAGTATGCATTAGGTATTATGGTTATTCTTTTTCTATGTTTCTCTTTCTCCCTTCCTAATTTAGATTACATAAATCTACTTGGCTTGCCCCCGTTCTGTGTCTTTTTCTTTTCTCTACCTGTCTTTCCTCTTTCCTAATTGCACATGCTTTTGATATTATCTAGTTGTGAAGTGCGCCAGAGACTCCAGTTCTGACCATGAAGACTGTAGAAGATGCAGCAGAACTGAATGTTAGCCAACATGTCAGCGCTGCCGAAGTATCTGATACCCAGGCTGTAAAGGAGGAAGGTGAAAGCTTTGCCGTCGAGAAAAGAGGCTATGGTAGGTCAATTCCAGGGCCAATCTACAGCTATATGCGTATATGAAAAACTCCGAGTCCAACGCTAATCAAAGTTTATCACGTTCAGCGGTTGCGATGGGAGCTATCGCCCAATTTCGAATAATGGGAGGCTGTATTGGTCTGGCTATTGTCACAGCCATTCAACATAGCTATTTGTGCTCACATCTGGAATTTCTAGGAGGCGACGTGGTGGAGGCTATCCTGCAGTCAACCTCAGGCATTGCAACCCTTCCCACTAATACGCAACATTTAGTCCGTGAGACTTACGGTGCGAGTTATGAACTTCAGATGAAGGTCCTGGCTGGGATGGCAGGTGCTCAAGTGCTTACATCGCTAACGATGTGGCAGAAAAAATCACTTTGTAGCAGCTTAGTCTGTAGGCCTTTATTGGATATCTATGCTCATACATGGCCTGAAATATTGATATTAAAGTAAGCAATTTAGCCCCTTAAGCAGGAATTGCGACCAAAGTCACTAAAGCCTTCCGTAGAATAATGCGGGGTTCTGCAGACAACCGTTGAGTGCAATCAGTTTTCACCTCACCCGATTATCATAAAGATGTCAACAAAGGAGTGTCTTCCCTTAATCGACTTGGCCGCAAAGCAAACCTTTTCAACCATCTCTAGTACACAAAACGCTTTGTGTCAGTTTGGCGCATTTCGACTTGTAGCTCCACAACTCACTCAGAATCGTTTACAGAGAGTTTTCAAAGATGTACACATCCCCTTCCCGGGCCGCTTAAGTTCAAATTTTGATACCTGGCTGTAGGCTCGTGGATTCTTTCAGTTACCGATGGAACTTAAATTAAAAACAAAGAGCTACTCAGCCTTTGACACGGAACTCATTCGTGGGAAACGGGCCATTCCGAAAGAAAGCATTTATTTCTTCAGAAATGTTGTGGGAGAGTATCATCCCCCTCCTTCGGAGTTTCAAGAGTCCGTGGAAATATTGCACCAGGTAAGTTGTGGTTCATTTTTTCAAGACTCAGTCGCTAATCCCTGCCTCGAAAAGGAGTGGACCAATTTGCGAAGCCAACTATTTAGCACGATGTCTATCATACTAGACTCAACAGAGTCTTTAGAAGGCACGCCAACTCTCGACTTTGAATCTTTAGGTGTCAATTTCTACGACTCTGATAAACTAGGTTGCGATCGAGCTTACTTCAATCCAGCTCATATGGATGGCGGTACATTAACGATTTTGGCCCGGGCCACAGGGGCATACGATGGGTTAGAGATCGCCGATCTCACAACTACAGAGAAACTTGACAGCGAAGGCATAGGACTGGATGCCTCTTTCATCTCCGTCCCAGCAATTCCGGGTGAGGTCATTGTGCTTGCTGGGACTCGTTTACAGCGTATTTTTGGTAAAGACAAAGTGCGTGCGTGCGTACATAGAGTTTGCAATCCTGCACATATGAGTAACAGTTCTGCTGTAAAGGAGAGACTCAGTCTTGCAATTTTTTGCGCTCCTCCTTCAAACTTTAATTAACTAAAGTATCTCGTTTTTTGTACACAATTGAACTAGCTATTCATTCATCTCTAGTTTGGAATACTGGCTTTGGAACTCCTCAAATAGCTTTTGAAGGCCTCGAAGATTCAAGGGGTCCTTATCCCCTTCCACGCACATAAAACATAACATATTATGAATGTCAAAGGTAATAGCCAGTAAATAACCATATTCAGCTTCCAAGAATACTTGATCAACATTGTCAGAATCACCAGTCAATTGATTCCACTGTCTCGTATACTCCTCACAGAAATGTCGCTTCTCCTCCTCTGTGTACTTTTTACACCTCGCTATCTTGTTGTCCTCATCAAACCATTTGAACATTTTTTGCATAAAGTGTCCACCAATATCAAAAGCCCGATAATTTTGCATCACAAACTCGAAGTCAATGAGCGCAACTTTGCTCTCCCCTTCCTTCGGGTTATTCTTCACCATGACGTTCATAAACTGGACATCATGGATACACCATCCTAGCTTTGCTCTCATGGATTCCATTCTATCCACTACCTTTTGAAGCTTTGTTCCAAAATCATAGTCAATCATATTATCCATATCAACAGCTCCTTCTTTGCCAAGTGCCTTCAACTTGTCCATCCGATGGTACTTTTTGAGACCACCGATGGTAGCTTCATAGTAGGAATCCACTTTATTCTTCCCCAGTGAAGGCTGCAAGACATGGAATGCCGCCAGTCCCTTTGCGATATCTGCTCGGATTTTTGTATCTTCAACATCTTCGGGCTCCAGATTCCGCGCGTCGAGGAATTCATCGACTCGCCCGAGAGTGCCATCTTGCGTCTTGAAAAATCCATAAAGTTTGGCTCCGAGTCCGAGTCTCCCGTACTCATAGCAAAATGTCGACTCTTCTTGTTTACTCGGTGCAAGGTCCTTGAAGGCTTCAAGAACTCCCAGTGAGTCATTGTGAAATTTGAGGAACACTTTCAACGGCTCGGCAGGCACACCCGTGGCTGGGGTTGGTCTCTCCACGAAACAATGAGCATTAGAGTAGGAGGCATTGTATGACATATTCAAAGTCGTCGGATCCACAGATGGCCATTCATTCACAAAGAATGTACCAATGATATCTCTAATATCTTTCTTTGTGGGCACCTTGTCTTTCGGCAGAGTCACCGGGACGGGGGTCAAAGTGACCATTCTGCTTTTTTTTGATCGAATGCTAATTTCAAATTAATGATGTGAGAGGGGCGAGCTTGAAGCGACTGTAGGAAGAGCTTTATTTCTGTTTCAAACTTTCCATGTGAAACATTTCTCGGGGTCTTAAAGAAGTTTAGTGTTAACGGGACCCGAGCGTCCCGACAACGGAGCCGAACTATATTCCGAAGTAACATAATGGCGATTCCTCTCAAGCAAGTTAGTCTTGATAGCTGCAGTACGTGCCCACATCAGCATTCATCCAGTGTTAATGGATTGCGCTGTTACTAATCCATTTGGTCCTCGTGTGGTACGTATATGCACATTGCAGCCCTCTGTTACACTTGTATGTAATCCATGCTTGGCCAAAATGAATATATGATCGCAACATTAGTAAATACTAGGCAGTAATTGATATTGGAGAACACGAAGCTCTGCTAAGCGGAAAGATTGTGGAAAATTTTTGCTCTGTTAATTACACTCAGACAAATACTGCGATTCGAAGTTTGAAAGTATAAGCATCGGATAACTATACGGCAGCTCTGTAGAGCGGTTCATCCTTTATCCTTCAGACAATGGCTATCTCAATGATACTACTGTCTTTCAAGCTCTCAGTGTACGTGTGTATAAAGTTATGTACAATCGACACCATACGGGCTCCTTGCCTATAGCAACAGGGCATATATATGGTCCATTCGTCGAATTCCGAGTCGACTCATCAATGCCAGGGGACTCGGATGATTGGCTTTGCTGCTATTACAATATTCTCTTATCATTATATTCTTTATGGCCTCTCCATACAAAATAACGCAGCAAGCTCATCTTCTAACTGCCTTTCTTCATAAAGCTGGAACCCATTCTTCAAAAGCACCTTCACGCTGCCCACGTTACTCGTGTCACAACCTGCATAAAGCTTCTCCGGCTGAACATCTCCACCCATATCTTTTCTCTCAAGCTTCCACCAAGCATCCACAAGAGCCGCAACAGCCTCAGTTGTATAGCCGCTCCTCCAGAAATCAGGATGTATCCCATATCCAACCGATGGGGCAGGCATAAGTGAATTTATACTGACTATTCCGATAGCCTTTTGTGCTGGATCCTCACGTTGCGTAACTGCGAACGCGAATCGTCTGCCCACGGCACCTGAGGCATCGGGTGTTTGGAAAGTCTTCTTATTGATCACATATTCTGTCTCTTGGATCTCAGTTTGGGGTTTTCTAGATAGTCTAGATGATCATTAATCTCAGATTATGCATGTGAGAAAGGAGACGAACAGGTATATCGCTACTTCTGGTCGACTTGAGTATTCGAAGATAGCTTCTGCGTGAGAGAGCTCAAGGGGTCGAAGGCTAAGTCGTTCTGTTTCAATTGTGGGTGTTGCTGCTGGAATGATGACTCTGGTCTCTTGCTCTGGGTACAGGCCGGGTTGAGAAGATGGGGGTTTCATGGCGATCTAGAATGATGGTGGACTGTAGTTTTTGACAAGACTGAAACATTCACAGATATATTGGCAGGTACCAGATTTATCAGTTATGCCTACTAGTAGGTGTTTATTGGAAGAATATTCCTTCTCTCGGGGATTGGGGTATCTAAGGGTATCTAATCGGCATGACTCATTGTGCGCGTGGCTCTACCAGACACAAATCCTTCGAACAGATGTCATCCTACTATTGATTCTGGCAGCTTGCATAAGTATTAACAGGAGTTGAGATTATACGCCATTAACACCAGCAGGGCGTGCCTGAGATTCTCCGAATAATATACAGTTCTCACATATTCATGATGCTTATTCCCACGCTTATTCCCGACCTTCGACCCAGGAACAACGCTGCAATATCGCATTTTCGTAACACTCAAAAGCATCGTAGAGCATTAAAAGGCCTATGCGCCTCCTTCTCTCTTTGCGTATTCTTCTTCCATGCGTTCCTCATATAATCGGTCCGCCTCCTCCCGACTCAGGGCGCGCTCGCCTTCATTGTTTGATGCGCTGGAAGTTCCCAGGTCGCTTCTGATGAGGCGTTCGCTATCGCCGTCGCTGCCTCCAGAGGAAGGAGCGTCGCGAGAGTTTGAATTTGAACTCGAGGTGGTGGATGTTTGTGTGTTTTGTTGTTCTTTATCGTAAATCTCTGCGGTCGGGATGGGCATTTTTGCAGTTCGTTGGTGGATACAGGTGTGAGATGAAACGAGATTTTGTGATTAGTGAGGATGATAAAATCGTAGTTGGTGTCACGGTTCAATTATCTGGAAGTAGGAGTTTTCATAAAGTGAGGTTGGAGATAAGAAGTGGTGGGGTGAATTGGGAGCTTGAGGTCTGGGTGGGGAGTGGAGTGGCAACAAGCCTTTTTGGGTTCGACGTCATGGACGAATTGCTGAACTTGACACATTTAATACCTACTCCTACTAATCAAAAATCATTGATTCTACGTGCATTCAAGACTGAGTCATCTATTTATCCATCTTATTTTCACATGGTATATACTGCAATGGCATTAATTTTCGGTTACGCGGTCATATTCTTAAGATCCAATCCTTGTCCACCATAATGAACAAAAATATATGGCTCATCAAAACAATCATCCCAAAATATCTTCCCTGAGGCCCAAAATCTCTGAATAACATTCTTTGCGACGACCGGCGCATACAACCCAATAGAGCGACTCACCTCACCCAATTGTTCCAGAACAAAAGCACGCACGTTTTCATCGCGGTCCACAGCAGCCATACCGAGAACAATCAATGGCCAAAACAGCAATTTTCGGAATTTTTGAAACTTAAGAGCCTTATACAGCGATTCAAAAAGAGACGCCGTCATCTCGATACGAAGTCGAGTCAGGAAATGCGTGTGAGGCAAAATGAACAGACTCTGCAGTGAACAGATGCAGTATAGAGTTACAGCGGCTTGATGGATTGTCCCGAGAAGGAACAGGTCCCCTTTATATAGCCCGTTTTTCATACGGGCCCAAGTAGCTGGTGAAAACTCAAGGATGAATTCTAGTGTCATCAAGGCGTCCTGCGTAAATTCTGATGGCGTTGTGAGATCACTTTGTGCCCACTGTGAGCGAATGAGATTAACTTTCAAGGTGTGCGCTAGAAGTTCCTTGGGAAACATTTTAAAAAGTGGAACATCGCTGCTGTATTGATCCAGTATAGCTTTGTGCTCTTCATAGTGCTCGGGTGTCATGAATAAGTCTGATACTGGTGATGTGGTATCGCCCATAACAGCGAAACTGTGTGCTAGTTAGTACTGTATCTGGGGAATACAGATAATCATCCGCATGCACTTACAGAAAGTATGTGAAAACCATGGACTCTCCTCCCCCAGATTTGGCCAATTCATGTATACCTCCACGTAGATTTATGATCTTGCTAATAGCTCCAAAGTGATATCGCCACATTCGATACGAAACCCCTTGCATGGTCTGTTCATGATCAAAATTAACAATAGTGAAACTGTATAGCTCGATCCGTCAACTCACATCAACAAAAAGGACTGTCAAGACCCCCGCAATGACGAAATTGCTCGTAGACCTATGTTTTGTGCCTATGTCGTTGCGAAGTCCACGAATCATCAAGCCGCGATAATGGTAGAACTTTTTCTCCAAAGCTGTAAATTGGTTTTCACCTTGACACATCTGGTGTCCTATGCTCGCGCAAACGGTGAGAAGTCTCACGTATTCCGGCCAGGAAAGCGAGATTTGGAATATTGTAGGCGTAAAGAAGCAGACATTAAAGTCCGGTGAAACCTCACATACCGGTAAGGTATCCGGGTATAAGTGGTCATTATCTGGTATTTCGTCAATTTTTGTGTTTTTGATGGAGTCAAGGACCGGGTGGTATCTATCGGTATCCGTGTTTCATCACTTACAATAATCCGATGCTTCCACGAGGACGCGGAGGGAATCATCGTTGAACTGCCAACCGAGAACAGGAGGCTTGGCTGTACATATCTCCGTCGTCGATGCAGGCTCTTTATTAGCAGACTTAAGGTTCTTACGCTTGGACTTTCTGGCGGCTTTGCTGTTTACCCTGCCTGGGGCAAGCCATCTCAAAGTCACGGGCTTTTTTTGAATATACCCAGGACAAGGCGTAAACGCACTAGAGCAATTCTCACAGGCGGGGAGTGTGGAGTCACAAAGCAGTTGGCGATCGGTACACTTCCAGCACTGGCGTTTTACTTCATTCATCGCTTGGAATTCTGTTTGTTTCTGTAAATAAAGAATTAAAAAAATGAATCTAGCCAGTCTTAAAAGGCTTTACTTGCTAGGCTTCCAAATATTACTAATGAACGGGTGGCATGCAAAGCGGTGGAGACAAGCGTAGGGGCCAAATTGACCAGAGGAAAAAAAGTAAAAGTCAAGCATAGGCGACACGCTAGTCTAGGTTGATTTTGTTTGTAAGGTTTTGCAATGCTGAAAGCCGACTTGGCCTAATATTGGGAACTAAGTGATCGATTGACGGACGGCTTATGCTGAAAGCTTTACCTGGATGTGCCACATGAGAGCTAGTTGGGAGGAAAACGGATTATGAGAATACAAAACCGAGCTGAGCATTGTACGAAAGTGGAGTGAATACAGTCCTCTTCTCCAACCTCGAATCACTGACCCAAGAATTGATGAAAAGAAAGGTTCCATAAATGGAGAGTGCCAAAGAATACGCCTGTCAATGACCCAGAAGGCCGTTGAACAAACTGTTCCGCCGCGCTGTGCAATGCAGGGACCAATCTGTGGTGGGCCGCCTTCATGAGCGCAGCCACCCAAACAAGGTAAGTATGAAGAAGAAAAGAAAAAAGAGAGCAAAGATGGACAACGAGAGCAGTATTTATACCCAAAGGCGGTCAAGGGGGGAACAAGCGAGATCACAGCTAACCAATCATACGTAGATCATGTGACACCCCTTTCTTTGAATTTTGGATTCCATGCCTGAGGCAGAAAGGTAGTGAGGTCACCTGTCACAATGCTAATTTCTACACATCTCAAAGGGCGGGGGCCACATTGCTTTCCAGGATCCAATTATTGGCTCTCCCTGGTCTATATTGCCAAATGAATACGATCAAGTATCATGAGTCAACTTGGAGGAGCATTGTAAGAGAGAAAAAAGTGGGTGCCAGCGCAAGCTCTTGTGGAACCTCCCCTATTCCATGGATTTGCTCGGTACATCAACTCTGTACTGTGGTCCCTGCACACTGGGTCCACGATTTTTATTTGAAATTTTTCGAATTCTTTTTTTTTTTCTAACCCAGATCAATGTACCTAAAGAAATTCACCCCCGCTTAGTGGTCGCCGGTCAGCATCATTCCTAACCCAGCGAGTCTTACTAGGAAGAATGGAAAATAATCGAGTCTCGCAATATTGAAGTAATGAGAGAGCGCGCATCCTCATCAAAAGGTGCCATGGTTAGCACGGTCTAGAGGAGCAGTCTAGTAGACGCTAGAATCGACGGATTCCATCCGTGTAGAACTTAGATGGACTAAAAAGAGTTCTGACCAACAGCATCGCGCGTACAAGATACACCGCATCAAACAAGAGTCAGAAATTGTTCTTGGCAAAGCCCGGTCTTTGCGATCTTCAAAAATTGAATTGCAATTCCGAAACTACGGAATACTGAAATCGGTACTTTCAGTGGACATCTCCGCCCGACGTTGCAGACTATCGCACTGCACGCAGGATGCTGTCTCTTAGCGCCGCATGGCACTTGCATAACCCCAAGCCTGCCTAATTACAGCATGACACCCCCAACAAAAGATCAACAGGGGGCCAACTCGTCTAGCCCACCCATTGGAAATTGCAGTAGCATTCTGAGTACTAGGTAGCAAGGCCTGGAACCTACGAAGGAAGAATAGGGGGTACGAAGAAAACTAGACGGAAACAGGGCGGCAAAATCTATGGCAGGATTGGCAATATTGGGTGAAATCCTTGGCCGCGGCGGGTGGAAAGGGGGCAGAGTGACGGTGCAATTGGTTCTCGGGCTGGAGTGGATCACCCGTGTGGGTTATCAATAAGGAAATGCTCCGATGGTCACGTCTCATTTGTAGTTTCCTTGATCCAAGTTTGATTCTGATGGTTGGTTCTTGGGACATCTTGGGGGTCATTTGCTTGTGATGGGAATCCTGCAGAATCTGACGAACCATGGCAAACATTCGAAACATCGACTAAGGACTGGGTGAGACGTGTATAGGAGTAGGGCTGGCCAGCCACCGCGGTGAATGGGCTTAAGACACGGGACCACTACTAAGTGGGGCTTAACCGTACTTTGAAAGCATTAGTGCAGCGACGGAACATCTAGAAAGTAGTATTTGCGCTAGTGAAATGGAATAAGAAATGAAAATCTCTGAGCGGAGTGTACAGGTACTCCGAGCGGAGGACTAGAGACTCTTTGATAGTTCGGTAAGATGGGGCCTTGATGAAAAAGGGGCTTGATTAGGGGGGAGGGGGACATTCGAGTACCTCCGAAAAATGATAGTGGATCTCGCATCTAGTCTAGTATAGTACATGTACATGTATGTATGAACAAGTAGTAAAAAAGAAAAGAAAAATAGCTGGGGAGTGAAACGATTCCAGTCCTGCCCATGCCAAGTCCTGCCTGTCATACCCGTTATCACGTAACAACAATATACGGACTAGAAAGCGGCGATGGCAAAGGTTTAATTCCGAACATCATGGGATCCTGGTTAGATCTCCAACGGCTGGTCTGAGAGATGATACGCCAGTGATAGGGCACAACAGATGAGATATGACGTTGGAAAAGCAGAGACACGGATGGTGCGACAGCGCTGGTTGGCCACGAGGAATCGCACGCCACTTGATGATAGAGTTGGGGATATTCCGGTCATTTGACATGAGACCAAGCGGCAATTCTCTTCCGTTGGATCAGCGTTACCTGCAAGCGAATCCGGGCCTTGTCCAACCCTAGTTGATCATGGTTGATCTTCATGCTGGTCTATGCAGAGAACAAGATGGGCGCCTTGCCCCCCTCCTCCTTCTTCTCTATTTGCCCTCCAGGGATCAAAGGATTATGGGAGGAGAGGGGGGTAAGGGAAGGAACCTTTGTAGGATACGAACTCTATCAGTTGACCTCTTTTTTGCCTGTTTTTTGTTGTTCCATTCTTTTGGTTCAAAAATTGGGGAAAAGATATGAAGTACCCCTCCCGATCCCTAAATAGTCGACCTACAGACGATCTTCACCCCTTGACAGTGTAACAAGATGAAGATGTCGCAAAGAGCAAAGGCTTGCCATGTAAGTAAAATCACGTATATTATACAAGAAAAAAAATATAGTAAAGAATCAAAACAAACCAAAAAAAAGTGAACAATAATTATCATAATACTTCGTAATAATTAGACAGATCCGCCCAAAATCGAAAATTAAGTCGCGTGTGAAAAAGTCAAAAAAAAATACCCAAGAAAAATAGTAGAAAAAAAAAATTCAAAAAGTCAAATAATTCTCTTACAAAGCCGGGACCGGAGCCGACCTGCACGGGTAAATTAGGGGGCCGTTGGCTCAAGCTGCATTGGCGATCCTAAGTGGTGTGATGGGTCTCTAGATGGTCTTTAGTCCCAATAGAAGAGGAGAGGACTGGGATAGATAGTGTAGAATTAATTGCCATTAAGGGTATATGGAGAGGAGAGATTAAGGGTAATTATGAAGGGCTGGAGGAGATTAATTCGAATAGAGCAACCAATAAAGCTCGGTGATTAGCTTAATGTACTGGATATACTCAGTCTCTCTCGTCTCTCTTTGACTTCTTTTGTATACGAGCCCGAACCAAGGAAATCCCGAAGCGGTAAACCCCCTGAAGTGCGGCATTACCTAAGCCTGGGGACCCACTCACTGTCTGGACTCCCTGCAGCTCCTTTCCCGATAGGGAAGAAAGCGCCATCAACACAGAACAGTCTTTTCCCCCCATGCCGCTCTTTTTTTTCTCGCCCTTCCCTCCCTTTTTTTTCCTTCCTTTCTTCTCCTTCTGCAAAGCAAAATACCCCCCCTTTTCCTATCTTCGTTGTGATACCCGAGCTTCACAGCTCTTATTTCTTTTGCTTTTGAGATACCCCCGATACCCTGCTCTTCTTTTTTAATCGATACCCCCAAAACCTTCAAGCTCCGGCTCTAATAACTTTCTAATCATGTCTGACGTTCAGAAGCCTGTTGAGGAGACCCCCGCGGTCGTCCCTGCTGCTGAGACTGCTGTTGAGGCTCCCGCTGCCACTGAGACCACCGAGGCTCCTCAGGAGACCACTGAGGTCGCTGCTACTCCTACTGCTGAGGAGACTGCCACCGACAAGCCTGCTGAGGCTACCGAGGCCGCTGAGGAGAAGAAGGAGATCAAGCCCGCCACTGAGGGTATCCTCGGCCACAAGGCCCCTGGTCTGGTCAAGTAAGTGATGCGATGCCCATGCGACGCGATTCACCAGGGAAAAATGTGAAGTTTGCGACTAACAATTTTTTTTCGCGAATAGGGGGCTGCGTTTCGCCAAGCGTTTCTTCTACTTCAACGATGAGCCCGTTGAGGCCAAGCAGCTCTCCGTCTTCCACCAGAACGAGAAGCCTGCTACTGCCAACCCTACTGCTGCTTGGGCTAGCCAGACCGGCAAGGGTCTGTTCTTCCTGACCAAGCGCGCTGAGGACAAGGCTACCCCCGCTAGCATCTTCAACCTGGTACGATTACACTCTCAACTAGGGACGAAATGAACACATGAAACTAACATTTTTCAGGCTGATGTCACCGACCTGACCAAGGAGGGCTCCAACGAGTTCCTCTTCAAGGTCGCTGGCCAGAAGCACACCTTCCAGGCTTCCAACGCTGCCGAGCGTGACAGCTGGTTCGTTGCTCTAGAGGCTAAGTCTACTGAGGCCAAGGCCGAGAAGGATACCATCACCTCTAGCGAGGGCTACAAGGCTGAACTTGAGAGACTGACCAAGCCTGTCGTCGCTGTCCCCGCCGCCAAGAAGACCGAGGAGAAGAAGGAGGAGACCCCCGCTAAGGAGGACAAGGCTGAGGAGTCCGAGGCCAAGGAATCCGAGGCCAAGGAGGAGAAGGCCAAGGAGACCACCAAGAGCCGCTCCCAGTCCCGCAAGCGCGCCAGCATCTTCGGTTCTATCCTTGGCAAGAAGGATGCTGAGGAGAAGAAGCCCGAGGGAACCAAGGAGGAGGCTAAGGCCGAGACCACCGAGGAGGCCAAGCCCGCTGAGCCCACTGCTGAGACTGCTGCTGAGCCCGCTGTTGTCGCTGCTGAGACTCCTGCTGCTGAGACCACTGAGACCCCCGCTGCCGAGGCCGTTGCTGCCCCTGCTGAGTCCACCGAGGACAAGAAGGAGGAGAAGAAGGAGGAGAAGAAGGCCAAGCGCGCCTCCATCTTCGGCAACTTCTTCCAGAAGGTCGCCAGCCCTTCTCAGGAGAAGTCCGAGAAGGAGGCCACCGCTCCCGCTGAGGAGACTCCTGTCGCCAGTTCTGCTCCCCAGCTCGACAACCCCGTTGAGGAAGCCGCCGTCCAGCCCATTGAGCCTGAGACCGTGACCGCCGCCGCTGAGGGTGAGACTGCTAAGGAGACTCCCGTTGAGTCCCCTGCCGCTGAGACCGCCTCTACCCCCAAGGACAAGCGCCGCTCTTCTTTCTTCGGTGCTTTTGGCAAGAAGGAGAAGAAGGCTGACACCTCTGACAACGAGGCCACCACTGATGGCGAGAAGGAGGCCAAGAAGAGCAACAAGCTCGGCGGTCTTTTCCGCAAGCCCTCCAAGGCTGTGAAGCTCGACAAGGAGGTCGCTGCCACTGAGACCGAGGCCAAGGCCGAGGAGACCACTGAGGCTACCAACGAGGCTGCTAAGGCCGAGGAGACTGTTGCCCCCGTTGAGGAGGCCGCCAATGCCCCTGAGACCGCCGCCACTGAGGAGACCAAGAACGTCGAGGTCCCCGCCTCCACCCCTGTCCAGGCTGCCGCTTGAATTGCCTCACCAGGACGCGTGGAATTCGAGCGATGGTGGGACTTGACTAATCCATCATCATCCACCCGCGATAATTTGACGGACTCTGTCGCTCTTCGGGCTAGAGTCTGAATACTTGCAAATACGGATTTATACCATCTTCGCTTTAGTTGCTTGTTTTGCTTTTTGCCTCGACACTGTCATTCCTTTCAGTATCACACTTGTCTACTTTCGTCGACCATTGATTCTGAGAGGGTGTCAATGAGATACCCGCTGTCGCTTTGCTTTTATTTTCATTTCTGTTCCCCAAAAAACCCACTACATAATTTTCTTTGTCGGCGATTCTCTTGGATCGCGATCCATTCCTTTTACGACAAGCGTCCCGCAACCGAGTTTCGATTCGCGACGTGCTTATGCGTTACGTGGTGTGTCGCCTTACTAGATTGATACCACTCTGCCATTCCTGGTTCTGTGCGCTTTGCTTTTTGTGTTCGATACCCTATGAGGAAGATGGGTGTTCGATTTGTTGTGAGTGTGGCTGCAGGCAGTTTATCTTTTTTAATTAATACCTCGCCTGGGTTGCTGCTTCTCAAATTTGTGCCCGTTGCAGTTTATATTGTTCTTCCCGTGTCGCGCAATTTCCTTACCCAAATTCGCTGCGAAAGTGACATATGCCGCGATAGGTAATACTTAATAGAACCTTTTGTTTTGCTTCATATATATCTATACATCATCTTTGTATTTAATTGTAAGATGTAAAGCTCTCGTACTTGTAAATGATCCCAACTTTGGGTGAGTGGTACGGCCAACAGCGGACCTTATCTATCAGTGCGTGCTGTGGGCCATATGTTGTGGATCAAACGGCGGTCTAGCTTTAGCTGCATAATCGACAACTCAGCACAGGGCATGCAAGCAATACTGTAACAGCCTTATGGGACTCATCAGGATTCCTTGGTCTGGGGTGTATCTTCGGTGATACCTAGCAAGAAAAATCAAGATCTAGAACCCACATTCCTGACTTCGTTGATTGAAGGATCATGCACGAGAATCATCACGAGAGGCTTGGTAGAATTGCCCTTAAAATTGGGTATGAGCAAGGGCCTTGCTGATCACCTCAATCCCTAACATTCGCTTTGATCTCCAGTGCATACTGTACTTTGATTCAAGTTATACTTTGATGTATATGCATACCACACGACATAACTTGAACCTCAACGCCTTGCGCCGCCGTTGTAACTCGGGGGCATACAGTGCTTCAAGTTGTGTTTGAGGCCCACAGTATGAGCTCAACTTGAATCTATATATACTGAGCCACCCGGCAACCTTGGAAAATAGGTATACTTTCAGATGGCCGATCCTAAAATTTAAGGACAAAATGATAGGTATAGGGCCACGAGGGGAATAGTGCGCTAGACATATCCTCGGGGTCCTTGGACCAAAGTATGGGATCGGGCAGTCCAAATTTGTAGTTTGCCGAGTCTGATCCATGTCTACTCCTCTTCTGTCGATCCGACGACTGTTTTTGTAATTCCTGATTTGGTACTTAATCCCGATTTGTATGGCAAAATCAGGCCTTCCCTTTTCATGCACAGTCGCGTGGTCTAATGGTCATGATTTCTGATTCACATGACATCCTCATATGCTCAGAAGGTTCCCGGTTCGATCCCGGGCGCGACTATTTTTGCTCCTGCCAAGTCAGCTAGTATGTTTTTGATTGATTTTATTAATGTCAGAGTACGTCAGAGTGTCTATTAACGTGACCTGCAGAAGTCTGTCAACTTGCAAATTGGTACATGGAATATGATTGCTAATCTGCATTGACCGGTATCCTCGTGGACCTCAACCACAATTTGAGTTTCAACATTGGAAGAGTTCCAGACTTTCTCCGCCATGCAGATCTCCGAATGACGCCTGATATGTATACCGTGCGCTGCGACTTGAATGTGATCGACCAGTAGTAAATAGTTGCTACGACATGCCGACCTGGGATTGTAACTACGTATTCAGTGCTGCGACGTCCACCGTGTTTCGGGGAATAGCATCGATCGGGCATACACGGCGCATCCGTGGGTTTTTTGTGCACACTATAGTATGTCTTTACCGCTGAAGACGCTCAGACAAATATGATCATATAGGTATAGTACGGTCTCTTGTTTCATGTTTTGCTCGGGAGCACCTATAACACCTGTGGACGCAGCGGTATGGAATGCCCAACTAACAGTGCAAAGCAACTTGTGAGTCCGGCCCAATTTCCCTGGGCAACCTTTTGCGAAACCCAGAAGAAATGCTGAAACCGTTTCGGATCGGTCTCACAGTCATAGAATTTCAAACATATCGTAGTGCATTATACCTATATGATATGGAGTATATCTAGTTAAGATATACTACTATGTGCGGAGTATTTGCCTACAGCACGAGCCTTTAGGCCTCCATAAATGATTAATTCGAAACAAGACACAAAGAGGTCAAGCGCCTCGCTAAGTGCAGAAACCTGCAATTTAGCAACAAAAAATAAGCAGAAGTGCGACTGTGGTCATAAGAATGCTCCTGCCAAGGCCTAAATTGTGCTAGTTCTAACCGGAACACTGGCGTCGGCGATTTTAGTCTGTAACCCGATAAGCCCCGCCGAGGGCTCCGAGACCTTTGACATTGGCCATAAAAGGATTGGTCCAGTGTACCTGGACTAAGTAACCCTAGTATAGTCAAGATTCGCCTAATGGCTCCTGCGCGTGTGATTGCGGAGTCACCTGTATGTGCTTCGTAGCGTGGAGGGGTAAGTGGGCGGCGCATTGCAGCTTGCAGATTTCGTACCCTCATTCCTCTATTCTTGACTAAATATTTACCACGTACAGCTGATTGATCAATTTTGTCGAAGCGATTTCATGTGCAGATTTTTTTTTCTTTGTACATATGCGAAATTTGTCTCCATTTATGACGATGGAACAAGTGGGTGTCCCAAAGTCAATTTTTACGCCCTTCGGCAAGACTAAGGTCAAAGAAGGAATTGCAGGGCACACGGGCCATGGGACACAGCCCACGGCGGGGACGTAAACGGGAAAAGATCGGTGGGTCCTGGAGGCTGTCGGAGACCAGATCAGTGTCTCCGACTGTTAATTCCGAACGCCGCCTTAGTAAGATTTTTTTGGGAATATTGACTGGGAGGTTTATTGTGTGCCTTTGTGGTGTTTTATGATTGCTTTGTTTGAAGTCTGCGCTTAGAACTGGATGATATCCTGTCTGCCTATAAGTTATTTACGTGGATACCTACGTGCCTGTGCCTCGAGGAGGCTGAGAAAAGGGGGGGAATGGAGATACTTGTCTGCTTATGGATTTCCCAGTGTTGCGGGTGTGTGGATGCCTGCATTAGTTCGGTCTGATTGGCCAATGCCCTAAAGTGCGACCGGGGGGCTGAATACATCACCGGTACTTAGATCTATATAGTGGAATGCATAATCAAGGAATGTATCTGGTGGGTAACGAGGCTCCGAGATGATCTAATCCCACCAATCAGAGCCGCAAATTCAGTTGTGACTCACACCCCGTGACTTCCTAGCCCGGTGTGAGCCTCGACTATGATTGGACAGCTCGTACGGCCAAGTGCCCCACAGGCTCCCACACAGCCAATTTGGTCGGTCATAAGAAGTGCCTGAGTCCCCCCATGGCTACCTTTTTTTCCTTTTTTCCTCACATCCGTGTTCCACCCTCACATACAAACTTCTACATTTTAGACCTCAAATTTTCACCATTCTATATTCACCCGAAGTACATTTTGAATCTACACCGATCCAAGATGAACTCCGTCTAAACCCCCCCCAAGACACTCAGTCTTCTTCCATTAAGGCAGACATCATAAACGGAACACAACCCCCCATTTCACCCTTTTCTTCAGACGTCTTTGGACCTCTGAACTTCAGCATCGCTTCGCGTAGCTCAAGTTCCCACCACTCTACCACCCCCACGATCGACTTTCAGTCGTTCACCACGGATCAATTCCAGCAATCATGGCTTCCCTCGCCCCCGCCTCCACAGCCATCGGCTCCCAGTTTGAACAACAACAGCAACAACAACAACAACAGTGCACTCGAGGACTTCGTACTCTATCCTCAGCCTCGCCCGCAGCCTCGTCCCAGAGACTCGCGTCTACTCGCTCCTCCGAGTACAGCCCTTAAGCCGTCTGCTTTGAAGCCCTTTTTGGCCCAGAACACTCCTCGTCGACAGACTTTCAGCCTGCAGTTGCAACGCCATCTCCAGCAGCAGTTCTCTGGTTCTCCTGTTCAAGACCCCAGAGTGACCAAGCTTGCCCGGTCTCCTTCCTACTGGTCTCACCCCACTGTGAAGCACTCTCAGCTCAATTCAGCAACTGTGCCTACCAATTCCCCTCAACGTCCCCCCGTCCCGCTATTCCACACCGATAATATCGAAAAAAAATACATGCAAACATATCGCCGCAATATGTCCGCCCCTAACTTCCAAGGTAATACTCAACGCTACCCCGCCTTTTCATCTCATCCCGCTAACCCCCGCCCTCCAGAACACGATAGTGAACTTTTCGGTCTGCCCTCTGCAGGCGCCATGGCCCCGATGACTTTCGATGATCTCTTGGGCCAGGAGACTGGTGAGGCTCTGTCCCCCGAGGCCCTCACTGGAACCATCTCCCCCAAGGATCTGATGTTCGAGTCCATCCCGCCCTCTGGTACTTTCACAGACCTCAGCACCCCTCCTTTCGACTCCCCGGGTACCTTCAGCCAAAACCCATCGCCCCTGTTCACTGATGTGGACTTCATGGGTCATGATGAATGGCCCCCTCTCTTCCATGACGGTCTCGCTGTAAACACCGCTGCATCTGGTCTCTTCGATACCGATGCCTCTGATTTCAACGTTGCCGCCCTGTCTGAGCCCAAGAAGGAGGTCCACGCTTCCATTGAGATGTCACCCGCCCCCAAGCGTTTGTCATTAAAGTCTTCGCCTATCTCTGCTACTGGTACTACCAAGCACTCCAGCATCTCTGGCATCTCTCGCCAGCGTAAGGATCTATCTCCTGTGGAGTTCGATCCCAGTGACCCTATTGCCGCCAAGCGTGCTCGTAACACCGAGGCTGCTCGCAAGTCGCGCGCAAAGAAGCTGGCGCGTCAAACTACTGCTGAATCCCGTATCAAGGTTCTCGAAGACAAACTGGCCCAGCGTGACGAGCTCATCGCCAACCTGCAGGCTCAGCTTGAGCTTCACAAGTCTTTCCAGTGAAGTCTTGGATGACACGATTCTTTTTTGATCTGTTTCGTATTATTTTTTATATTTTTACCAAAAATGGTGTGTGGTGGGCGCGGGGCTTGGGTCAAGCCTATCCCCGGCGTCTCACCCGGATGCCAGAGCTTTGCCTCTCTGGGTCTTCAAAAGTTCTACATGACTGAGACGTTTTGATATTCTGTTTCTTAATTCTGTTCTGTTTTTGCCTCATTGTTAAACAATTGCTTTTTTGAAATCCATTGTATTTTGTTTTGGCCGGTTCTGATTGTCTCCCTCAGGGATTGACTCGTGGCTCTATATTTCTTACTTTTAATATCAGATTGATTTGCAAATTGCAAAAACACAGAACTCTTTCCTTATTTAATCTCGTAAATAATATATGTAGCCGGGCTAGTGATAGGAACAAAGACTGGTTTTCTTTGTGCTCCAAGTTGGCGCAGTTTCTCAGACCAGCGGCGCGGGTCACTCACTGTCTTACATCCAATGTTCGAATCAAGTTGTCGTGTATATAACTGCTAATCGCGAAATATCCGTACAGTATTCTGGGGAGGATTTCTTTAAGCTAAGTACAACTGAGCTGCATATGCGTATGTTGTCAAGGAGACGTCTCCACATGTATTATCGCACTGCCTTTCCAGATACCATGTTTTTGGGAGTTTCCCGATTCCACCTCGAGATAATCGCTAATTTGATAACTTTCAGCCCATCTGTGGACTGTTATGATAAATTGTTGAGCTCTAGTTGATACCCTCTCCAATATGGTACTCATTTCAACTACTATTTTTGTTGCGGGCAATGTAGTCAAGTTGAATGCGCTGCGAAGAAGTGTGCGGGAAGGTACTCGCTTTAGCTTCTACTTTGAGACATTTGTGATAAACGGTTTTTCCCCCAATGAATATAGCAATTACGAATCTAAAAGAAATCAAGTGTTCTTTGGATTGATCTTGTATATCCTTTCCGTTCTCTGTAGTACACTCGCCGGGTTCTACGTACCGAAAATGGAAGGTAGAGTGAGCACTTTACTATTTAACATTCCTATTGGACTTATATAAGTTCATAATGTAGGCTACCCGATACGGAGAGTTCAAATCTACAGTAAATGGTCCAAGTGACCAAAAGAGTAGAATAGAATAGATATCAGAGAAAAGAGCTGACCTAGTTAGACCAAAAACAAGTGTGTCATCGGAGTTGTTTCTGTGCGCGTTGGTCAACCTTTTGACGCTTACTAGTACACATCCGATACTATAAGAAATCTCTCCAAAATTAGAAACACTTACAAAGAAAGTAACCTCTCCGTCTTCCGTTTCAAATGTAACTGAGGGTAAATACATTAGTCTCATGCTACTTACTCGTGGCGCCCTTGGGAAAGTAAAGAACATCACCCTTAACAGCCCTGACTTTCTGGCCATGACGACTGTTGAAGTTTGTTAAAACTTGATGTTCTTTGAAAAGCTCTAATTTGGGATAAAGGGTCATACCTTTATACCCCGAGTCTCTAGTACTTCCTACTCAATCTTGTTGAATTTAGTAGCGGACCAAAATAGGAAGCTAGTGACCAGCACGGCCGCAATATCACCTAAATTGATTGGGAGGAGTAGAATCTGGGCAGCTTAGTAGAGACTCTAGATCCAGACATAGGCTTAGCATTCGGCAGCTCTGGCTCGATAGGGGGGGCATAGCTTCGGTGATTGGCGCAAGGAATGTTATGGTTTCCCACTGCCTAAGGGCTAGGTCTAGGTCTTTTTCAATGGAGTTTCAAGTATGGGATTTCCCCAACTTCCCATCTATGGATTGGTTTCGAGAGTTGAGACCCGGTTAGACCGGATGTGGATCTCGGACATAAAAGCTAAGGTTGAAATCGGTGAACACTCAAGCTATGCGCCTCGGCTTTAATCGAGCTCCATATCATTTGAGACCCCCACCCCCCACTTGATCGCTTATAGTTTTATCCCATGAAACCATAAGAACTTAGAAATCTGCTCGCGTGGTGAACCAACCAATCTGATATTTCAATTCAACCTACTACAATTACATAAAAATGCCACCAAAGCTACCCGAAGGAGGTAAAACCTTGGTCTACTCGACAGTCGATAATCATGAAATCAAATTCGATTACTGGTTACCCCGCATCGAAGGGAACCTCCCCGCAATGATCTATTATCACGGCGGCGGTATGACAGCAGGCTCACGGCGAGGTGGTGGCTTTCCACACTGGATGTACAGTACGTGAAAATAGCATCCTTCCAAATAAGAAAGTGAAAAAAAAGCATTCTAATGACTCCACTCTTATCTAGATCACTGCCAAGACAAAGGCTATATCTTCATCTCCGCAGACTACCGTCTCTGCCACCCAAGCAACGCCATTGATCAAATAGAAGATGCAAAAGCCCTCTTCACCTTCTTATCAGGCCCATCATTCGCCACGCATCTTTCTCAAGCTACGAATATAGACACAGCTCGCATCGCAGTAACAGGCTTCTCAGCAGGCGCCTACTCCGCCCGCGCAGCATGCCTATACGCAACACCCAAACCCGCAGCTCTCCTCTCAGTCTACGGCCTAGGCGGCCACATGCTTCTAGACCACTGGACAGCCGCCCGACCACCAACCTCTCTTGCTAAATTCTTCGATCTAAACTCTGTTCCCGCTCTACTAGCTGATAAGACCATTGTAAGCGATGATGTAGCCGAAGGTTTTGCAACGAAGCGCTTCGCGCTAACGATACACTGGGAAATCACGGGAACTTTCTTAGATGGAGTTTTCCAAAGACCGGGACTGGGCGAAATGCTTAATGCGTTTCCGGTGGAGAAGAGATTTGAGGCTGTGCCGGAGATTTTGAAGAGTGGGATGTTGCAGGAGTTTGTGACTGGGGACTATCCGCCTTCTGTGTTTGTGCACGGGAAGGCGGATGAGGTTGTTACTCCTGCTGAAAGTGAGTTTCATCATGAGCAGCTGGGAAAGTTGGGGATTGCGACGGAATTATTCCTTATTAAAGATGGGCCGCATGGGTTGGAGGGTTCGATTAAGATGCGGAAGGCGATGGGTCAAGAGGTTGAGGGGGGAGAGAAGGTGATTGAGGATTGCATGGAGGCGTATAGCAAGGCTTTGGTGTTTATCGATGGTGTCTTTGCTGGGATTTAAAACATTATAGGGATCCCCTTCATGACTGCCATGGCCGAAATCTGTTAAGTAGAGGAAAATTTGAGTGATAGAGAAGCGCCTCCTATTACCGCGATTATTCGAAGAGCTACATGTATGTATTCTACGAGCGAACTCTGGTCAAGGTATTCCCATGTAGGTTGGGATATTGATAGAGACACCTAGACACGTTGTTGCACGTGTCCATGTGCACGTATATTGTTGAAGAGTTGTATCAAACGCTTCATTCCTGGAATCACCACACTAGAGCAACCCGCCAAATTGTTCATGCGGGAAAGCAAATCAAACAATAGAAAATGACGCTATTAGGCGACTGGTATCTGGTTCAGAGAGTCACAGCAAATGCAAAAATAATTTCTATATACTATTCGGCGCTGAGCGCGAGACAGGCATCGACAGCAAGACCAACTCTGCATCATAGATTAGTAAGAAGTTTCTTTTGAGGGATAAATGGCAGATGATCATGGCTTACCTTCCTTCCTTCATCTTGACCACATCATCAATGACATCTCGATCTAGATTAGGAAACATGTTTGATAGCGTCTCAACAACATTGCTATGTTCGGCACGTTGAATGCGTCGCGCCTCTGCATCTTCAGCGCTAGCTTGCCGAGCGGCTGCATCTTGGGCATCAAGAACACGAGTTAGGTTCTTCCTGGCGCTGCTCTGGCGCGGGGGCAAAGAATCATCACCGGAGGGTCTACCTTCACTACTGGAGCGTGGAGGTTGGTAGACATTGGGATTAAGACGAGGAGGCGCTGGCTGTGGGGTTCCAGCAGGCTGCAGAGGTCGATCTTGTGAGGAGCCGCTTTCGGGCTCATCGGAGAAAATGCGACCAATAGTCGAAAGAGGCTTTTGGATAGTGCGGAGAAGGCCGGCTACAGGCGCTGGGGTATCATCATCGCTAGACTGTGAGGTATCTTTGCGGCTTGGCCCTGATTGGGATTGCGAGGGACCACCGGGGGTAGTGGGTCTATTTGGTGGCTTCTCGTCCAGAGGTTCGACTTCCCGATTCTGTTCGGCAATGGCAGAAACGGCATCCTCAACATTCCGTTCGAAGTCTTCGTCACTGACTGTAAGACTGGTGCGATCTAAAGTTTCAATGAATTGAATGGCTCCAGACTAGATGTGAAAGTTAGCAGGCAGTAATGCAATTCTGTGGGTGTAAAACAAGCTCACCAGGGATGATAAGTAATAGCCTGCCTCACCACCGAGTTTATCTTGGTCACGGAAGCGAAGAATGTATTGAATATTAGAGACAAGATGATCGGGATTTGCATGTAATACCACGTAGATCAGGAGTGGAACGAAGGAATCCGCAGATGTATCTGCTTTTTTGGTATTCTTCAAAAGACCAAAGATCACCTTGCAGCAATTCAAAATACAGATCACTTTATCACGGGGCGCACGATAGCCATTAAGTTTCAATAATTCTATATTTCTCGTTAGAATCCAAGTTAAAAGTTTTGACCTTGATAGCATACCTTGCTGTGCCAAGTTCAAAAACCGTCGTCCACCGCCGCTCACGATGGGTATATCCAAATGCTCCTCATTAACCCAGCTGTAAATGCGAATCTTCTGCGCCAAAATTTCATCGCGCTCAATGTCCTCTTGGTGTTGACCCCGTCTCCATGGTCCATGCAGTCTCTCTATCTCTCTCCGTCGGCTACGGCTTGCGCTTCGGGGAATGGCCGGAGGGGCCGGAATAGCGGGTGCAAAGGTTTGAGAATAAAGGCGATTCATGACGAGCTTCTCCATTCCCTCCTTTGCGTTGTCAAACTCAGCATCTGAAATATCTCGCCAGACTTCACAAAAAGCCATTTTATTTGTGATGAAAGCCAAGAAATCGCTGATGATCTTGACTTGTTCATGCACCATCCATTGTTTCTTTCCAAACTCCATAAGAAATGATCGTAGAAACTTGGCCACGGGATCAGCAGTGCGGTGGCGTAACTGTTCTAAAAATCGGTGGAAATCGAATGGCTGATCCGGTTCAGGCTCCGGGAGAGGTGGAATTGTCGAAGACGTTGATGACCGTCGGGTTGAACTAGAATCATCGGCACCATCAGATTTACGAGGATGCGTAGTCGTAGGTGAAGAAGCCTTGCCTCCCTGCGGAACTGCAGGGGAGGGACCAGGCACCGGCGACTGTGTATGTTCCAAGCTTGATCTTCGAGGAGGAAAGAAGTTCTGGGTCGCTAGTTCTAGCCGAGGAGACATTATTTGCTGTTGATCGGTGGTCCGCGCGGGGTCTTGGAACTGTCCCATAATGCTCTGGATTTCCGGCTGGGAATCCGATTCGTCTCGAGCGCCATCCCCCTTTGTGGTAGGCTTCTGTTCATGATCGCTGCCTCCAGGTATATCAGGCAGCTTTTTTTCGGAGCTTGGGACGGAGTTCTGTTCATTGGACGGTATAGGAACGGGCGCAGTCGAGGCCAAGTTAAGGTATGCTTCATCTTTTTCGGGTGGCGTGGGCGCTGGAGTGGTTTGTACCTCGATATGTGGCCGAGATTCAGGCGTGCCTGTCCCCGATATTGATAGTCCAGCCAGCTGCCCCTCAACCGAGTCCGGTTGCGCCGGGGCAGATGCAGGCTGGTCTGAGATAGGCTCTACATACAGAAGAGACTGCTCCCCTTCGTCTGGGACGGGCGGCGCATTTTCCGCTGCTGTATCCTTTGTGTCTTGTGGCATTTCGGTGTTCGGGGTATCATTATGAGGCTGAGGGTGATCGGTAATAGACGTGGGGTTCTCGAGAGTGTCTTGGGCGGGGTGCTCGCTCCTGTTCCCGGAGACCGGTGAGGATGGGGATTCGGTGGCCGACATGAGCTATATTCAGCATGTAGGCCACACAATATATGGTCTAAATGGTATTCGATAGGCTCGATTATCATGAGGCTCGCTGCAGCGGATCAATTGTTGGACCGAAGGGCCGGCATCATCACGAACTCAAGACTCAAGATAATTCTCCTTACGCTTGTGGGCCTCGATATTCCATATAATTCCGACTATTGTATCACAGATCTCAGAGAGGCCAGTATGAACCGATTCTGTTGTATAAAATGTGAAAATTCCTCCAAACCTATGTAGACGCTAAGATTATGGTATATTTACTTCACGTTGATCTTCACGCCCGCATCTCCAGTTAACGTAATTCACATACGGATGGCGCACACAAGCGGGTGGCGCACACCGCCTCAAATCGCGTTCCGACGCGTACTTACCATCTTCAAACACCCACTATGCCACCAAAACGTACTCAATCCTCTCAAAAACCTGTCAATAAAGAGGGTAGGATCTCATTAGCTATTAAAGCTATTCAAAATCATGAAGTCTCCTCTGTTCGCGAAGCAGCAGTGCTATTTGATATACCGGAAACTACCCTCCGCCGCCGACGCGCGGGACAACCTTATCGCGCTGATATACGTGCCAACAATCATAAATTGACCCAGAATGAGGAGGACTCGCTTGTAAAATGGATACTCTCTATGGATCAACGTGGAGCAGCACCTAGGCCTTCTATTGTACGAGAAATGGCCAATATCCTACTTGCAGAGCGTGGATCTACTCCCTCATCTACTGTTGGTATAAACTGGTCAACAAACTTTGTTAAACGTCGTGAAGAGCTTCGTACACGATTTTCAAAACGTTATGATTATCAACGTGCTCAAAATGAAGATCCAAAGTCTCTACGTATATGGTTTAAAACTGTTCAATGTGTGATTGATGAGAATGGTATCCAACCAGAGGATATCTACAACTTTGATGAGACTGGGTTTGCAATGGGCCTTATTGCAACTGCTAAAGTAATAACACGTGCTGAATACTATAGTCGACGAGCACTTCTACAACCTGGAAATCGTAAATGGGTAATAGCAATTGAATCAATTAGTGCAAGCGGTTTTACCCTACCTCCATGCATTATATTCAAAGGCAAAGTCTATATCGAAAGCTGGTTCGATAACCTTCCAGATAACTGGCGATTTGAGGTCTCTCAAAATGGCTGGACTACAGATGAAATTGGTGTACGATAGCTTGAGAAGCTGTTTATTCCAGCTACTTCTATTCATACAAAAGGAAAATACCGCCTTCTTATTCTTGATGGCCATGGTAGTCATCTTACACCTCAATTTGATCGGATTTATAACGAAAACTCAATCATACCGCTTTATATACCATCGCATTCATCACATCTTCTTCAGCCACTTAATATTGGATACTTTGCTGTTCTTAAGCGCTCATATAGACGCTTGGTTAAAAATCAAGCACGTATAGGATATAACCATATTGATAAGCTAGATTTTCTAGTAGTATATCCTCAAGCACATACAGAGGCCTTCAAACCAGAGACTATTCAAAATAGCTTTACAGCAGCAGGTCTAGTACCAATCAACCTAGATCGTATACTCTCAAAGCTAAACATATCACTACAAACACCTACACCCCCAGGAAGCCGGCCAAGCAGTAGATCAAGCATTTTTTCTCCAAAAACACCAAGAACAGTTCTCCAACTTCAAAAGCAAGCTTCCTCCCTCAAGACTTTACTTAAAGAACGTTCAAAAAGCCCTCCAACACCGTCTAAGATTGCACTTGACCAGATTATCAAAGGCTACTATCTCTCAATGCATAACGCTACACTCCTAGCAAAAGAGAATACTGATCTACGCGCTACAAATGAGAAGAAACGACAAAAACGTACACGATCAAATCGACAAATACTACACGAAGGAGGGCTAACTGTTGAAGAGGCCTCGCAGCTTATTGAGTAGCCAATCCAACTAGTTGAACATGTTGAGGAACCTCTACCAGGGCCTGTTGAACCACCTGTTCTACCACCTCCACCAACCAGACGGCGGCAGGCAAAGTGTAGCGGCTGTCATAGAATAGGTCATTCAATTAACTGGTGTCCCAGTAAATAAATTTTCAAATATAATGGCGTTTTGGTGGTAATATTCTAATCCAAAGATGTAGTACTAGGCGGTGTGCGCCACCCGCTTGTGTGCGCCATCCGTATGTGAATTACGTTATCTGACTAATATTGATGCCTCAGGCTAACATGAAAACATCGCAATACAAATTTCGCGTCGAGGACTTTCCACTCGCGCTCGTTGTTTCTTCCCCCACTATGTGTGGGATTTTCTTTTGTTTATCCTCTGGATCGAAAGTCCCAACCCCGGAGACACAGGCATTGCTAAAAAGCCGCGGCCCTGACAGCTGTCAATCGCACTTTGTCCGCAAAGATGTCTCAACACAAGATGGCGAGTTCCTAGCTTGCCATCTCACTTTCACCTCAACAGTGTTGTCTCTAAGAGGTGATCATATATACACTCAACCAATTGTAGATCCGGCCACGCAGTCTGTTCTGTGCTGGAACGGGGAAGCCTGGAAAGTTGCTGGCAAGCGGGTCTCTGGAAATGACACCGAGCATGTTTTGAGCTTATTTTTACAGGCTGTGGCCGATGATGGCAATGGAGACGACAGTAATTCCTCAACCCATAGACTGGGTCAGGCAGTCGCGACCATATCTGGACCATTTGCATTCGTGTTTTATGATGCGGTCCATTCAAGAGTCTTCTTTAGCAGAGACTGCCTTGGTCGAAGATCTCTTCTTCAAGAAAACGATGAAGATGGCAGCTTGAAGATCTGCAGTATATGTGATGGATCGTCGTCAGAGGATTTTGCAGAAGTAGGATTTGATGGAGTGTACATGATTGATCTTGCGGCACCTCATGGCTCGTCCCTCTCTATCAGAGATCGATACAAGATTGAGACATTGCCCTGGAGCTCTGATTCCATACCTCCAGCTGGTCATATTGTAAGAATATCGACACAAAACAGGACTTCAAACTGAGAACCGACGACTAAATCATTTCACAGAAAAATCCCATTCCGCCAATGAACATGTCAGTCCCAATAGAGCAACCACCTGCGTTGACATTGGACACCCCCTTCATTCAAGAGCTAGAGACTAAGCTTCGCGGATCTCTATCATTGCGAATCGACGATGTACCAGAACCACCCGGCTTTATCAAGGGACAAAATGCAAAAGTAGCGGTTCTATTTTCCGGCGGCTTAGACTGCACACTACTTGCACGGCTGGCTCATGACATCCTACCCTCCGATGATCCAATTGATCTACTGAATGTCGCATTTGAGAATCCCCGAGTAACCGCAGCAGCAGCAGCTTCAAATCAACAAAACCCTTCATCCCCAATTTCACCATATGAAGCTTGTCCTGACCGAATCACTGGTCGTTCAGTCCATCTTGAATTACAGAAAACATGCCCAGATCGAAACTGGCGTTTCATCGCCATTAATATACCCTACCAAGAAACTCTAGCACAACGAGATCTCGTAAGACGTCTAATGAGACCCCACAATACCGAGATGGATCTCTCTATCGCATGTGCCCTCTTCTTCGCCTCAAGAGGACAAGGTACAACCTTTACCAACACTGAAACCAGTATATCTGCCGATACAGAGCCAACCGCATTCTCAACCTCGGCGCGTGTTCTATTATCTGGCCTGGGCGCCGACGAGCTCTTCGCCGGATATGGCCGGCACGGCATAGCATTCAGCCGAAATGGCTTCGAAGGACTTGTCTCCGAAATAAACCTGGATGTCAGTCGTCTTGGCCAAAGAAACTTAGGTCGTGATGACCGCGTCCTTTCCCACTGGGGCCGGGAAACTCGTTTTCCATTCCTAGACGAAGAATTCGTTGCCTGGGTTCTTCAAGCTCCAGTGTGGGTGAAATGTGGATTTGGGCTGGCGACTACTGATGCGACAGGCTCCAATATTTCTGAAACAATATCTTCTCTCGATGCTGAAAAAATAGCCCTTCGGCTTGTCGCACTTCGACTTGGTCTTTCCAGTGTTGCTCGAGAGAAAAAGCGCGCTATTCAGTTCGGTGCTCGTACAGCTAAGATGGAAAAGGGTCGAACGAAAGGTACCGACACCCTCAGCTGAGAAATGTAACTTTATGATGATAGTGAATCACTATGAGGGTTTCTATTTTATTTTCCCTTTCCCTTTTCATCTTCCTTTTTGTTGGCACTTCACTGCTCAACTTCTTCCCCACCCCCCTTCCTTTTTCGTCAACTACACATAGATCTATCAAGGAACAGATTGCCAGCGATGATGACAAAACATGGAATCAGATACTTCTGAATCCACATCTGTTTCTATCCTTGTCGCTATTTTTCAGTTCTTTGTCTCGGATGGATACCATCTAGCTTCATGTCTCATGTGATGATTATCTAGATGCTTGTGATTCCGTTGTCTCCCTCATAGCAACAGCAGTCTTTTTCAAGATGGCGCGGGGCTAGAGGATATGAGAGGGTGCGATGACCTTGTATTTGGGTTGTTATGATTTGAGCGGGGGTGCGCAGATGGATAGTGAGGAGATGGCGATGATGTATGAAATTGAGATATGGCTTATGAAGGCTCAAAAGGCAAGTCTGAGCTGGCTTCTGTACCTTGGTAAAGTAGACATAGAACCACAAGAACGAAATTGGACACTTCGGTTGGGGGGTTTATACTCTATCAATAGCTTATTGGTAAAGCTGGATCTCTATTCACTTCATTAAGTAGTGGTTTTACCGACCTAATATAGACTACTCTTTTTTTATTTTGAAATATACAATTATTGGTTCAAAGGTTGTCTGGCCGATTTACTTCGTGACACTGATTCTATACAGTAAAAACATTGAACAAGATCGCTAAAATGAAGGCCCACACTAAATGCATGTAGTAAATAATAAAAAATGCATATATGAACAGAGATCAAGCTGCCATAGTCAAAACGTATCTTTAATCCAACAGTTAGTAAAGTGACTCAAATATAGATAAAGGATATGGCAGGGTACACATACGAAGTAATACAATCCATACGCTCAGTCGTCAGCTTCAGACTAACAGTTAGCAGTTCACGAGCCAATCGCGGTTCTGCCTCCTGGAGAGCCTTCCATTTCTGATCGCTCAAACACCAAGCAACACATTCATGCTCTGCTTTCACCGTAGCCGTGCGGCGGGTATCGCTGAAGAATGGAAGCTCGCCGCATGGTCGGCCAGCCACAACAAGCTCATAGTACCGGCCCTGAGGGAGATCGTACTCGCACCGGAGCATTCCAGACTCAAGCAGATAGAAAGCGCGCGGGACGTCACCTTCATGGTACAAGATTGTTCCGGCGGGATAGACTTCGCGTGAGAAATAGGCGCAAGCGGGAAACCAGAAGTCTTCGTTCTGACTAGAGAGGCCTTGGAAGGTTTGAAGGAGGAGAGGAAGGGGCTGGCGCATTGTGGACCAGGCGGGGGCGGTCATCATGCTCATTGAGGTTTCGTGTTCGCGGATTGTGGTAGTTGCCACTCTTTGGAGGTATTGGCCTCGTGGGGAGTTGACCATGGGGTCGGAGAGACTTGGTTGGTTGTTTGGTGGGTTAGGGACGGGGACATGGAGGGTATTAGATGGGGCAGATTGTAGGGATTTGTTGATAAGTGCCTCCTGGCGACTGTAGAAGACCTTAAGATAATCGTTCTCGCAGAACTCGAGGGCGGAATTCAAATCTTCGAAGATGGGTACACCAGATTCCGGTTCAAACAGACCCACGTTTTCGAGACTCTTTCCAACATCGCCTTCGAGATTAAGGCCGGATATTGTTGTTTGAACGTTTCGCTTGCGAAGAATGCGATTAATGCGGGTGAAAGCCTCAGCGGCGGAGAAGTCCAGTCCATAAACTCGGGAAAAGTCCAATATCAAGAATCTGATGGGTTGTTTGCTAAATGCTTCGTCCTGGATTAGGCCACGCATAGTGTTCTCCATATTGACGATTGTTCCAAAGAACAGGTAACCCCCAAGTTTCATGATAAGGGTTTGCTGTCCAGCTTCATGGAGGAACTCCTGCTGGATCGGTGGACGACGGACGGTCGATCCTGCGATCTCTCCCGAGAAGGTTGCTCGGATGGCAGATTTGCGGGAAGTTTGAACCACGAAATTGACACACGCTAGGATGATACCAACGAAAATGCCGATAACAAAATCCCAAGCGCCCATGGTCACGACGATGATGATAACTGTTAGGTACTCTAGCCTCGACAGCTTACCCCATGTGTCCACTAAGGCTTCTTCTAGTAGTTCAATACCGAGCAGGAAGATCAAAGCGCCGACAACCATTACTGGGATATACCCAATAATGACTGGGCCTATAACCAGAATACCAGCTGTTGCTGCTGCGAGCATAAGACCAGCCAAACGAGATGTACCACCGCTGGCCATGAAGAGAAGACTGTTGGTGTAGACAAGGTAATTCTTACTATGTTAGTATATTCATTGCATCCTGTGTTGGGAGATAACCAACCTGAATGCTGCCCGTAAATCCCGAAAGGGCATTTGTCACTCCATGGGCCATGAGTTCATTGTCAACATTTAGATTATCTTCTCCAGTCGAAATCCCCAGAGCGGGAACATTGATAGGCACATGAAGAACACCAAAGAAAGTCAACGCGAACATAGCTGGTAGTGTATCCGCAAAGGCGGTCCAATCGACAGCCGAGAAATCTGGTTCCAGTAAGTCACTTGTACATAAACTCGATATTTTTGATCTGCATGCTTACCATAGAGGCTGTAAAAGTGGTACCATGGATAATTAGACGAAGGGGCATTAAAAGCCCAGCCTTTCTGATGGAGAGTATCCATGGAAATTCCAGCACACAGAACAACAACATAAAACATCACACCAACGAGAATGAAATAAACACCAACGAGAAAGTTGGATCGAATAAAACGCTTTAAAATGAGGAGACCAACCGCGAGAGAAAGCGGTATTATCCAAAGAGCAACCGTGTCAGCGTGGAAAAGTTTCTGCAACGTTGGTAGGTTATATTCAAGAGATCCGGGCAGGCGAGCAGAGACCTCGACGGCGGTTTGAAGGAGGAAGTAACCAACACCACCTATACAACCAATAAGGATGTGGCGTGGAAAGAATCCAATGAGCGAGCCTAGCCCACACACTCCCATTAAAAAGAATACCAGGCCGGTCATAACCGAGCTGACTGAAAAGGCGAGGATTGTAGTCGCTATGACAGACTGCGGGTTATCTTGTCCAATCCTATTCATGATAGCGAATGCCATTTGGTGAAAGAATGGTACCACTTCAATCATTTCACTGCCAACTCCTCCCTTGAATATCGAACCACCACATGAGAATACCACCTGGGCAATAATAGTGCTGACATAAAACATCGATATTCCATCACAACCAAGATCTGCGAAGATCGGTTCACCCAGGGGGAATAAAATCATTCCATACGAAAGGGCGTCGAGGACATTGAGTAAAAGGCCGAGCAAAACTGCAGGAAGAAAGCTGACCGGACGCACTACTCCCTCCTGCCAAATCGCAGGGCGATTCCAAGTCTTGGGGTTGGTTATTATACGAGAGTATTCGGTAGCTGTAGCAAACCCCTTTGCAAAAGTATTAGGTGGCCGGTCAATGACGTCGCCTTGATTCTCGACATCGTCCACTGTTCCGTAGTGATGCGGGGACTTTGATCGTGTCTTCGCCAGTAATGAGGTCCGTTCTGTGTCTCGAGTCTCAGGTTCATTGGGAATCGTAGGTATCGTAGGTAGAGGAGGAAAGGGTTCGATCTCTGAAAGAGGTTTGCCATGGTTCTCAGTGAATTTCGGTTGTGGTTGTTGGCCCGGTTGGCGGATCATATCTGTCAGGGCGGACGAAGCCACAGGTATTTCCTCTGGGGCAGCCTCTGATTCTTCTATCGCCTCCTCCACGACAGGGTAGGAGGAACTGGTAATATCATTCTGTGAGATGGTGGAAAAGCGACGTTCTCTAAAGATATCCAAGCTGGGGGGCAGGCTGGTACGGCCACGAGAGGGTTTTCTATTCAATGAAAGACCATAGGTTGCAAGCTCGGCCGTTTGTTCTCGGACACCATCAGATGCATAGTGAGCCGGGTCTAGAGGATTGTGAGTGGTTAGTTAAATTCGCTCTTTACTCTCCACAAGACTTGCAGATCGCTGCCAATGTTTGTTTTTTGAGTTGATGTACCCACCCGCATTTGTATTCAAGGAACGATGGTAAAATGAACGGCTGGGGGTTCTGTAGCTTGAGCCGTTGTAGCTGGACGCCTCCATCATGCCGCCGGGCGAGCTACCAAGGTTGGCATGTTCCACCAGCGACTGCGATGGGATTGAGACGTCCAAGTCTCGGTCAAAGCCTGGGTTACGGTAAGACGGGGCTGATGCACGCGAACCGCGCCGTCCATGATGTTGTAGAACACCCATACCCTCCCCCAAGTCGTGGCGCGGCGCCTTCGAGGATGCTGTGAAATTCGGAAGATTACCGGGGGCGCTAGCGCATGCAACGCCGTTGGATTGGGTTAAAAAATCGGGTTATTGACGCAACGAGAGGCAACGCATTAGGCTACCAGGTAAATGAACATCATGAGGCCCTGTCAAAGTATATGTACGAGAAAAAGAAAAGAAAATCCAGGTGTTTGAAATAACCTAATTTCTCCAGAACACCCATTGACTAAAAAACCCAGAAACGTTGGAAACTTGGAAACTGGGGGCTTATCAGTGGGCTCCATCGGAGCTAGACTACATCTGGGTGATAGGTGATAAGGCGGGATTCGATTTGCCGATGTTACTACACACTACACAGCTACTACACACCACAAAAGTACACTATCTATATTCATGAAAATCATAAAGATTTACACATTAGATACCTACATGACTCAGGACGATCATCACTGGTATCTGTGAGACTTCCCCACCGATCGACATCTCACATGGCTTAGTTTATCTTCCTCCCTGATTTGCCCGGGAGCTCTCTCTGGCCTGTGCAGCGATGGCTTTCCACCAGGAACTTTACTTGCATAGATCGATTTTCAATTCTTACCTCTAATAAAAACTTCGCAGAATCTCTACATCAACTAATTATTGTTCTCCAAATTACCCCAATACTAAATCACGCCTTTCGGTCACAATCTAACCGGTCTCTTTTGTCGGCCCCTTTAGCCCAAGCAATCATGATCTGGACCCCAAACTAACTCTTTAGCGCCAAATCATTGAAAGAGGGGACTTTTCTCTCTCTAGCAAATAACAAGCCCCGCAGGAAAAACGCACCCGGTGTTTGAGGTAAAGATGCTTAGTTGAATTGATGAATAAATAAAAAAGTCGTCCTGCAGCCAAGACCCGCCATGGCGAGTACAAAGTACAAGAGAGTAGTCATTTGTATATACAATTTCGTAATAAGTCCATCTACGAGTAGATAGGCCTTGGGGTATCTTAAATGTACAGCACGCAAAACTCCATCCACATGCTTAACGGTCTCACCAATGCCACCCTCCAATAATCAGCTTAACCGTTCTAGGAATCCCTGAGCAATCAAACGCTCAACATCTCCTTGTCGAACATACAGCTGACTGTTCTTGGTCAAATTAATCACTCTGCATCACTCGTTAGCATCACGTCCCTCATACCAATCCCACCTAAAAAAAAGGCAGATAAATAGAAAGAAAAGAATCCCACGTACCCGTATTCCGTCTGAATCTCTCCAGCATCCTTTAACACCCGAACATCAATAAACAAGTCCTTAGGCGGCTCCAATGTCCCCGTTAGATCTATATCCGTCCATTGTCCCTTATACGCAGCAAGCATATCGCCATACTGTCGAAAATATTCCTCTTCCTCGGGACTAAGCGAACTATGTCCCCCGCCAAACTGTGAAAGGCGTCCTTCTTCGCCCCCCTCGCTCGGCTGCTGCTGCTCCAGCACATCAACACCGAGCCAGCATAGTTCTTCGAGTTTTTCTGTGCGCACGCGATGATACGCGAGTAGACAGCGCTTGTTCCGGCGCATGCATAGATGGTCAACGAGGAGGGTACATGCCGTTGCTGGGTCGGCGGAGGGATTAAAGGAGCCCTCGAATGGATTCAGAAGACGAATTGTGTCTCGCTCTAGATCGCGGACTTCGCGGGTCACGGCGCGGACGATCTCCGTTTGGTAGGGTGGGAGGTGGGCGAGGGATTGTGTTCGTTTCGCATGTTGCACCTGGCATTGGGTGTTAGGTTGAACTTTTGGGGATTCAGAGCTGCGGTTTGAGATTGTTCCGAGTCGTACGTACCAGTTTATTGCCTAGTTCGCCGTACATCGTGGCGACATGATCTGGGTCGGGTTGGAAATGCCCGGCGCGCTCTTGGGGATCCATGACGCGCCAAGACACTTAGTCAGGGTGGGGATGATCGGCGAGGATTGGATCAGGAATGTACTGTATGGTGGGAATATTGAAAAAGGTTCTGGAGAGATGTAATATTCAAATTTTGACGGGAAATTCGTAGTGGATGAATATTGTGTTGGTGTTGGCAGGGTACGTCGATTTATGGTGTGGTGTTGGATTGAGATATCTGCTCTCAGTTGACTTTAAAGTTCTCTGAGAAAGAGCATACTTGCAACGCTTCATGGATAGTATACTTGGAACAAACCTTTGCAGGAAAAGAACAAAAAATATAGATAAAAAAGAGAAAGTCGCAATTAGTATGAATTAAAATTCTCTAATCTCATCAGTATCAACATCAAAGGCTCCAGTATCAGCCAAGTCACTCTTCAATCACGCTCTCTTTAACAACTGCGATGGCCGATCTCAACTCAAAAAAGTAAGACTTTCCGCTTGCCCTATGGCCTGAATTGCTTTTCATGCTTATGTTTCGCCCCATAGAGCCCGGAGGTAGTCAATGAAGTGAGTTCGCGATTGACGATCTTTCTCAATATTGCATAGAGCTTCTCATGCGATTATAATCCCCCTGTGTGATAGGTTCATATTTTGCCGGTTTCCCATCCATGCAAGAAGGAATACATTCAACCACAGACTCAGGGTCCGGGGCAATGAAATAAGGAATGGAAAACCTTCTCCGAGTCATTCTATTCCCGCCTTCAAATCGATCTGCCAGTGGTGGTAATGTAACTCCGTGGCTTGTCGATATCAATGAATCTGTATACCCTTGAATTAGTCCCAGAGCGAAGAATTGTGATGTAGCATTTGTGAAAAAAACTTAAAAACACATTCGGATACAGACCATTGCTCCACCTCTGTAGCAGATCTCCTACATTCATTACAATGGCATGTTTGATCGGCGTGGCGGGGATGAAGGTGCCCGGGTTTGCTACGTCTTCTACCACCAATCCGCCGCAGTCATCTTGAAAGAGCAACGTGATTGAGCTCCAATCCGTATGGGCTGGGCAACGGGCCGCACGGTTGTTTTCTAAAGCCGATGCTGGGATAGGTGGATAATGGAGCAGGCGAAGCTGGTTGTTATGGCCTGAGTGTTTATCTAGTAGGTGATTTTCGTCAAGATCTAGACCGATTGCGAGAGCCTTGAGGACATCTCCGCCCACTCGAAAGCATTCCCAGTAGAATCGTGTCATGAAATCGCGGAATCCTGGGAGACTGTCATTAGGAATCCATTGATTTGGTTGGGTGGCGTTGTTCTCGCTGCCGATATCATAGCTTTCCTGGTACCAGTCAGCGACTTCGGACATCCTGGTGAGGGAAGAGGAGGAAGTTATGTATGCTACTCACTTTCATATCAGGAATGTCTCGTAGCTGTTTAGCCCGTTCATCGTCCTCCACATTTGTCGCCTCTAACTGTGAAATTTTCTCCAAGCCGGGCCACGAGTATCCCCTATGGACTGCCCATCCTTCCGGATGTGGAGCCTTCAATTTCTCCCCCTGGGGCAAATCGAAGAACAGCTGAGACCAGTGGAATGCTTCATCTAGAAGAGGCCCCGGGAGTGAGTGGTTGATTATATAGACGAACCCCACCTCCTGACAAGCGGCGACAATTTCCTTCGCGATGCGATGACGGTTGGTATCGGGGCCAGACTCCCACTGGGCGAAGTCTACCACTGGAATCATGTTAGTAGTATGGGATGATGTTTGCATACTTGGTGATGCTTAGTTAGCTGGTGCTGTGTCAGGATCGAGATTAAAATTGTCGACCTTGAAGTCAAGAACGATGAGATTCTCGTGTCATGCTGTAAGCTTACAGGTCCAATAGGAGTGCTTCCAGGGAACAACCCGACCGTAAAGTGAGATTCAAGTGCTGCTTAGGTGGTCACCAGTCATGTTTGACAATTGACAATTGACAATTCGATTTTTCTCCTTTCAAAACATTCTATGATGGCTGTGTTGATTTAATTTCGAAGCCACATGTGCACTACATCACCAGGGCCAAGGGAGTTGGTTAGGCATAAGCTTAATCTAATCCTCGGGCGAGACTCGTTGCTGTGGCAGGGATCCCGGTGGAGATGGGTCGCTCTCCACTACATCATCTTTCTTCATTGGAAACCCTGACCTGAATTTAATCTTTGCAACACAGGCGGTGAAACTCCTCCAATAACTTCTTGTGAGTATCTACAATTCAATTCCTATATCACATTGCCATTCTTCTCCCCGTACCTCGTTGCGACCGCTAATCATACTGCTTTAAGTAGTTTGTTGACATCCCGGACCCTCGATAGAACACTGCCTCCGATCAGAAGAAATCGAGCAAATTGTGAACCATAACCACCAACTACGCAAAGCAGGCCATTCAAATCCTCGAACTGGAATAAAACCGAACAAAAAACCTCCCCCCCAAGCAAAAACTACGCTACAATTCCCCACTGGGGGCTGTCAAAGCAAGAATGCGGGCATCATGGTGGATCGGAATCTGTGCCACAGCCCTACCAACAACCATCCTCTCTCTCGAGACAGCACCCTTCTCCACTCCCGAGAATGTCGAAGCCAGCAGAAGAGCCTTTGATGTGCTCCAACTTTTAAAACGAAACGACAACTGCCCCAGCGGCTACCACGGCTGCTCAAGCGAAGGCAACGCCAACGCCTGCTGCAAAACCGGCACAACCTGCACCAAGGACTCGGCCGAAAATATTGCCTGTTGTCCAACCGGTGCCAGCTGCACGGGCAGTTTAACAGGTACCGCGACATCGACAGCGACCGATGCAACGGGCAGTAGCTTTGTGTTCCCGCAGGGTGCGACGGCGACGACGACAACAACAACGACGGATTCAGGATCAGAGACTACGTCTACAGTGTCTGGAGCGTACCCGTTTGTCTATGTGCCTACGAGCTTTTCGAATGCGAAGACGTGCTCTTCTTATTACTCGCAGTGTCAGTCTGAATATACGGGGTGTACACAGGATCTTCTGGGTAGGTATGGAGTTACTGTTGGTGGATCAGGTGGGGGTGTGACGGTTGAAGCTGTCACCGCTTCGTCGCAGGCTACATCTATCTGTTCGAGTTTGAGTGCGCAGGCTTGTCATGGGTTGAGTTTGGCTTATTGTGCTTCTGTGGAGACAGGATCCGCGGATGCGACTGGGAGTGGAGCTTCAATGGGTCGGGCTTCGAGTCTACATGACCTCATGCTGGGGTTGGTTGTTGGAGTTGCGGGCATGTTTGTTTAATGCGAATCGATGCGATGCGATATGATATGATGGACCTGCCTGAATGTGCTTTGTTTATTTTTCTACTGGTCTTTATGTCTCTGTATATTGTTCTTATGTTGTATCTCCTTTTCTTCCTTTTTTTGAATTCCTTTGGGGATATGTCCATAGCCGGAGAACAATATCATGTCATGCACAAATTGGAAATGCAGCCAGACTCTCGGAATTATGGGGCTTTTTAGCGATTGGGCAACCTTTGTTGGGCGGCCATTTAGTGGCACCTTTGTTGCGGTGTACGAAGGTCCAATGTTTGTATATATACGAGATTCCCATCTCTACCTCGGTAGTATACATTGTTAGGTGCTGGATTGGGGATGCAGCAGGATACATCATCTAATCAGATGAGACAATTCAATAATTCTCTATGTTATACTCCCGTACCTGCTTCACAAATTGACTCGATCAATTGCAGGCTTTTGAGTTGACAGCTCGAAGATCCGAGATCCGACCGCATGCTGATCGCTGCCACGCGGGGTTGTGACAGAGGACCAAGCTGCAGAATGCCAATTCAAATTGACCTGTTAAAATACACCAGATAAGACATAAAATGGCAGGGAAACAGGATAATAGACAATTAAATTTTATTTAATCTGAAACCCAGCCTCCTCGGAACCCACCATACAGCGTGGCCCAGGATTGGTGAAATTCGGGTGGTTGGGTATATGGGAGTCACTCAACGGAGGCTGGGAAAAGTACAATAGCAACCAGCTTTTTTTCCCCCCTCTGTTTCCAGTCTTCTTTCTTTCCTAGACACTTCTACATTCCATCTGCTCTAAATTTACATTCCATCTTATTTTTGTGCTCTCCAAAAGGTGGTCTACAGCAGTAGATCGCCAGAGTATACAAACCCCGCCCAGACTAGAGTCATAGTCATCCCGACCAAAACACGCAGATCGAAACAACCTGAACGAACATTCCTCGAATATTCCTGGCGAGGAATTCTTCTCCCAGAGTCTTCTTTATGAAGATTGCGCCCTTATTCACAATGCGTCCCTCTATTATCTCAGCGTTCGCAACGTTCTTCCTCTTGAGCGCCATCCAAACAACGGTCGCATCACCACTAGTACTGTCATCGCTACAGCTCGAGGAAGGAAATGCGCTCGAAAAACGATGTGCCAATCCCTGTGGTGCAGACAGCCAGCTATGCTGTGGCTCCAGCGAAGCTTGCTACACAAACAGTCTCAACCAAGCAGCATGTTCTGAGACAGGCAGTGGTGGTGAATGGCAGTACTACACAACAACATACACAGAAACCGATACCTCCACCATAACCTCCGTCTGGAGCTCCCGCATTACCAGCGCCGCTGTAGCCACATCCACTTCCGGAACCTGTCAGGCGGAGTTTGGCGAGACAACTTGTGGAACAAGCTGCTGCAGTGCCGATGAGGAGTGTGTGCAAGGCGAATGTGTCGCCGAAAGCTCCTCCGCCGCAGTGACTGGAGAGGCTACACCCGCAGCACGAGGAACAAGCAGTGGCTGGGTGACTGCGACCGCGACAGCATCTGCGACCACAACGGAAGGATTCATTGCGCCAGTCAGCACAGATGGATCAGATCTTATCGGCGCGAAAGCAACCGATAGCGGCGGAGGCGGATTGAGTGGCGGTGCTATTGCTGGTATTGTTATTGGTGTGATCGCTGGTGTGGTGTTGCTCTTGGTCTTGTGCGCCTGGTTATGCTTGAAGGGACTTTTCGACGGTCTGCTCGCCTGCCTTGGTATTGGTGGCCGTAAACGAAGAAAGCAAGAAACCATCATCGATGAACGTTATTCGCATCATTCACATGGCAGTCGCCCTCGTCCTCAGGGTGGTCGAACTTGGTTTGGAACTAAACCTGCTGCAAGCGAAGTTAGTGAGAAGAAGAAATCTGGATGGAGTGGTTGGGGTACTGCCGCCATTATCCTTGGAGCTCTGGCGCTTTGTTTGGGATTGAGGAGACACAAGGATCGCGATAATGAAGACGATCGAACGACCTCTTACACCTACCCCAGCACATACTATTATTCGGACTACACACGAAGTGAGATTTTTCTTGGCTGTTCTGTTTCTACATTCAAAATTACTAACGATTTCCCTACAGGCTCCGATAGTTCAAGGCGAACAAGGGACACTCGACGATCTCGACGAACGAGAGATACACGTTCACGACGTTCATGATGAATGGACTTGAATACCCAAGAGAAATGAGCTGATGACTTTCAGCCGAGCTTACTTTATTTTTGCTTATCATGCTCTTCGAATTTTGTGACCTTTTGATATTCTTTTGCATTTACAGCGCCCACCTTTTACCTACGATTCATGTACCAATACGACCTACCCGATGTTTTCATGAGAACCTTTTTATGCTGCTATGATTCTTCTCTGGGGTGTTAATTTGCTTTGAACTATGCCCAGATCCTGAGATGTACATATGAGAGAGACCTACGAACGGACGAAAATATGATGGATGTGGACTTTCCGCCTTTATGAGTTGAATATTATCATTTTTACCTAGCACTGAGAATTTTAAATAGATCGTCCAAATGGCCCATAATAACCCTTGCTGTATGAGAACTCTATATAAAGAACGAAGCTAAGTTTTGGGGGTGAATGGGTTCCACTAGGCATCCACTAGGCATACACCCGTGATTCGGGCCAGGCTTGCAGGGACAATGAACTCTGTTGGCAAGGATATTCCAGGTTATCTATGATGCAGCAGTCATGCAGTAGACCACCTGGTTACTGGAATCATTGGAAAAATAGGCAGCGATTTAGCTTTCAAAGAACTATAGGATTGTTTGACTGATATAGACCAGGATCTTGAAAGGAGAACAATAGTTAAAGCACCTGGGAGTTGGGGGGTGTTAATAAGCCAACCCAATCTCTCTCGCACACAAAACGGAACAAACCGAGCAAACTGAACAGAGACAGACTCGCGGTGGAACTCATTCTGCTCCCCGCCTTCCGACCCGAACTTCTCTTTCTCTCTTCCCAGGCACTTCGGCCCCGGTTTCTCACTCAAAATTATTCAATGACTCTCAGCTTGAGTCTATCCTGTTGACATTTTTCTTTCTCTTCTTTCGTCTACCCTTCTTTATAGATTCCACAACGGCTCTTCCCTAGCGTCGCTTAGCAAGGACCCTTCGGAGCATTACGAAATCCCCGAAACCACTCATCACCGCTCGCCATGCTACAAGCGCAGAGCCAACACGTCTTCTCGCACCAGCATCAGTACCCGCAAGCTGATCCCGCGTGGCTGCAGCATCAGCAGCAGCAACAACAACAGCAGCAACAACAGCAACAGCATCACCACCAGGCTCAGCCGCATCAGCCGCACCAACAGCAGCATGCCTCCTTGGTCGCCCAACAACATGCTCAAGTCCAAGCCGCTGCAGCCGCTGCGCAGCAACAACACTACGGTCGCCTTGCTATGAGCGGTAATGGTGCCGCGAACCCCAACCAGGCCTCCGGTGCTGTCGGGGGTATGAATAGTGGAGAAGGCTTGGCCAACGCGGTCTCCGTCATGGACGGTGGGATCAGCGAGGAGAATCGCAAGGTCTTCATCTGGGTGGCAGAGCTCTTAGATCCCGCTCGCAGGGAGGCGGCCCTTATGGAACTCAGCAAAAAGAGAGAGCAGGTGCCCGAGTTGGCGCTGGTGATCTGGCATTCGTTCGGTATGGTCCTGTCGCAAATCGTGGGGGCGGTACTTCCGACCGGGAACTAATTATCGGCAACTTGCAGGTGTTATGACGGCTTTACTCCAGGAAATAATCTCAGTTTACCCCCTACTCAACCCTTCGCAACTCACTGCTGCCGCATCAAATCGAGTCTGCAATGCGCTGGCGCTCTTGCAGTGTGTCGCATCTCACAATGAGACACGCACCCTCTTCTTGAATGGTACACACCGTTAAAATACTATGTCGATGATAACACTGTTTGCTAACATGTTTATCTACTACAGCCCACATCCCTCTGTTCTTATACCCCTTCCTCAACACCACCTCAAAATCTCGCCCGTTCGAGTACCTCCGTCTCACATCCCTCGGCGTCATTGGAGCCCTGGTGAAGAATGACTCATCGGATGTTATCAACTTCCTTCTCACTACTGAGATTATTCCCCTATGTCTGCGAATTATGGAGACTGGCTCAGAGCTAAGCAAGACTGTCGCGATTTTTATTGTTCAGAAAATACTGCTCGATGACATCGGCTTGGCGTATATCTGTGCGACTTATGAGCGGTTTTATGCTGTCGGTACTGTTCTCAGCAACATGGTAGGTCAGTTGGTGGATCAGCAAACTGTGAGGTTACTAAAGCATGTTGTTCGTTGCTTCCTTCGGTGAGTTTTATTTCCCTTATCTACCCTGGCGATTGGGCACTACTAATCCTAAATATAGCTTGAGTGATAACAGTCGGGCTCGTGAGGCGTTACGGCAGTGTCTGCCAGAGCCTCTTCGAGATGCCACCTTCTCCTCAGTCCTCCGCGACGATGCAGCCACCAAGCGCTGCCTGGCTCAGCTTCTCATCAATCTATCAGACAATGTCTCTGATGGAGCGCCAACGGCCATGTAACATACTAAAAACGCATTTCTTTCATCGCGGGATGTCTTTTTTTCACACCACCTTATGATATGCATGGGACAGGTTTCTGGCGAGTTTCGGTAACAAGGCGCAAAAGTTATGGGTCAAGTATGGGAGGAGTCAACTGTCACCATGATGTACTCTGGTGCAATTGACCTACTCTAGTACTTTTCTCTTCATTCAGTCTGGATTTTTTCTTTTTCATCATCGCAACATTTACCCTGGGACAGTTTTCGGATCGGTGATTTTCGTGTCGATGGGAGGGGACTAATGTATTCCTATGTCCTTTTTTTCTTTGCCATTTTCTATTGCATCTTGGTTTCCTCCCCTTTCTGCCTTTCATTCTCGATTTCGTGGCGCTCGCAGTCCGGTGGCGTGGGTTCCTGGTTGGCGCTGTCGTTTGCATTTACTTACCGTCGATCCCGTTCCCCTATTGCTCTATGAGATAGACCTCCTTTGAGCCAGAGATACCACGCTCCAGTCCTCGATTTCTTTCTCTTCTTATTTTTTATTCTTATATTGTTTTTTTTCCCTTTTCTTGCTCTGGTTTATCTCTGTGTACATGTTCTCTGGAGAATGTACTTTTTGATTTAATTAGTCTCTGTAGATGATTCAAATGTGTATCGATACATGTCTAATATGGACTCAATATAGTTGAAGCTTTAAATCCAACGACAATGTGTGGCACAATGGTATGCTTTTGGTTGTGCCTTTAGGTTTCCCCTCAATCCATGCAGAATGCTGTCTGATAAGATCTATCTATCCTTTTAGCACTGGCTCAAAGTCATACTGCGTGACTATATCATACAGTGCCGATTATGATTCATATGTTTGCTCAGAAGACGAAGGCGTAGAATACCAACTCGAGCCCTACTGGAGTGGTATAAGCAACCTCATCGCCTTCCCAATTTACACCGGTTCCAATGGTGTCTCAACCGGCACCCAATATCCACCTGGCTATCCAACTCCGACATCAACCACGCAGACACATGAAACATCTACATCATCAGACTCAAATTCGGCCAGCGCTTCAAGCTTCGATCAAACAGTTGCCACTTCATTGACCTCAAGACCCAACTCATCCCAAAAAAGCAAGCCAGCCGCTCCTATAGGTGCCATTGTAGGCGGAGTTGTTGGCGGACTTGTCGTCGCTAGTCTTTGTGTGGCTGCAATAATCTTTCTTCTCATAAGGAATCGCAAGCACAGGCAGGAACAGGAGCGGCAAATTGGACCCGGGCTCCAATATTTCCCTCCTCAGCTGCCAAAGCCAGGTAGCGATGGTCAGTATAGTTCTATGGGGAACCCGCCTGCACAGCCGCCTGCGTACCCCAACTTGAATAGCCACGACGGCGTTGGTCATCCGGTTTCTACTCAGAACGAGCTAAATGGTCAGAGTACGCGATTCGAATATGAAACTCAGAATTATAAACCTGAGCTTGGTGTTTCCCGAGGTGAACCGCAGTATGAACTTCAGGGCTCTTCGGTGATGGCTATTAAGCCACTCTCTTGAAGGCCAAGCCAGGCGTCCGCTCTCTCTTCTTGGTGCTTCGGGGCCGACTTTCAGAATCATCCCGATGTATCTCAATATTGCTACTGTCGGAGATGGATACTAGTTCAGATCATGATGTTCTGACAGTATAATATAAATACCTATAATCTTTCTCGTTCAAACAGAGCGCAGGATTTTATATCCCGTTAGCTTATATGCGGCTACAAAGGTATCTTTCAAAAGACGTGCAAAAGTATTAAGCTGTAGGTACTTTTGTTTACTTGATGCTACAGGTATTTTTCCGAGCATACATGCATATCCAGTGGGCAGCCGCACGTCTGGTTTGTACATATACTATGTAGTAAGTAGCAATAAATCCACTGGCAGAAGACCCACCAGTAACTTGAAAATACTGGTTCAATGTTCAAGGACCGACTTTTTGGCTTGCTAGTATGTAGTAGTAGTGGCCAGTTTGGATAGTAGTATATAGTAGTACTAGTAGTATTCAACATAGTTTGCCTACCTAAAAATATTACAAGAGCTGATATATACTACTAGTATGTACTAGTGTCATGTTGTATTCAATCTCAGTTACCAATGCCAAAAGACACCGTTTAGGTTCAGGGATGCCCAGGTGCTCAAGGCTAATTATTCCCTTTAAATCTTAGAACAATTGCTATTTTTCTTTCTTTCCTTCCAAGGTCTATCTCTTCTTTAGAGCGTCTGGAGCTAAGATCGCGCTCTGTGGGTCATACTTTTTGATGACATCGGTGTACAAGAGATCCCGCTGCACAACTAAGCATGGGCAATGTGAACAGCCTAACTTGAAGTCGGCTACCTTGCTAGAAAACTAGGCCTATCACCTAATTGTTCAATATTTGCGCGTCGTTTCTATGGCTGCTATATTTTATTCTTTAGCACCCATAACGCCAATATTGCTATATGTACTCTTCTTATGCTTATTAGAAAATTGTGGGGTCTCACCCTTGAAAAGGTTATATGGATGCCGGATGGCTTCACTAATGAAATTGTCACTACATAGCCATTTAGCTCTATCAGCTAATGTCTTAATGCAAACATTCGAGAAATATATTCTCGAGTTCTATTCACTCAGATAAAATTAATATTTCAAAGGTATTAGAAGTCTCTTGCACATCAGTGATGAGGACTGGAAACCTTGGAGTCTGCCCCAAAACGCGCTGCACGTGACCGTACCCGTCGACGCGCCTTTGACTGAGATCATCTCGTCGCCTCATGAACACGAAAAGTAAAAAAAAAAGACGACGCTTCTTCACCAACCAAATTTTCTTGCGACACTCCATCAAGTCCAATCCAAGTATTGCAGAATCGATACTCGTCTGTCTGTGACGAAACCCTCCTTCAACGCCACAATCCCCCCTCTCTCGAATCAACCTCCCTACCACCACATCCCGGCCTTCACGGGCCTCCGTCCCGCCGCAATGGGTACGCGAAAGCGCACTCGTTCTGAGGCAGTCCCTGCCCCAGAGGAGCCGACCACCGAAGAGCCAGGCCTGTTGCAACAGATTCGCAGTAGCTGGGAATTCGCGAGTCTCATGCAATATATCGCCATGTTCGGGAAAGTAATGAAGATTGACGAGGACTTCGAGATCGAAGTAAGTGACTTGTCAAAGTTGCTCCGATTGCGCTGTTCGCGCGGCGCATAATATGCGCATAGATGAAGTCGATAGAGAGATTATTGTGGCGCATTTTTATGCGCTTTGAATCATTGGATCATCCCGCTGACCATAGCTTTCTTCCGTTGCTTTTAGGACCTAGAGGACGAGTGCCTCAAGCCCGAGCCATCGCATAGACTACTGGAGATCGGTCTATGTCTGTTGAAGTGGATTTCTTCGCACAGGGGTCTCACGTATGTTGTGACAAATTGCCCTTCCTCCCTTGCAAGCTTGGGATGATGTGCTGGTGCTGACAAGGCCGTTTGCGTGCAGATTTGAGAACTTTGATGAATACACTCGCCGACAGTACAACGCGAAGGCGCCGCATATCCCCAACCCTTTTGGTCAGGATGAAGAACCCCTTAAGTTCCTGCAGTTCGATGTCTTTCTTAAACTTCGCGTCCTGCACCAATTGTCTGTGTGGACCTTCTGGAACGCCGACCGCATCCGGGAGAAGATACCAGAGAAGAAAGAGAGCGAACAGCTTCAATGGGTGAGTCGCATTCTCTCCTTAACTATTGATATTGTCGCAACCGTCCTTGCTAATCCTTCAACAGCGCATAGAAGAGTTCGGATATGACCAAGAGGGTCGGTCCTATTACGTCCTAGATGACAATCGCCTTTACCGCCGTACGGATCCGCCTATCCCCGCGCCTCAACGCCCTAAGAAAAAGCCCAAGAGCCGTTCGTCCCGTACCTCTCGAGCCTCTAGACGCGTGTCAGCCCTCGCCGCCGAAGAACCAGAAGACGAGAGTAAGACTGATACAGCAAACGGTACCGCCCCTGAATACCAGTACAAATGGGAGTGCATCGCGGTCACCTTGCCGGAATATCAAGAGTTCTTGGAGACTATCCGAAAGAGCAAGGATCCCGATGAACAGTATCTCCGTGACCGGATCGAGGAGCACGTTATGCCACTACTAGAGAAGGCCGAGGAGTCGCAACAACGCAAGCGCATTAAGCGTGAAAAGGAATTGCATAACTTGCAAATGCTAGCGGGGGCCAAGCGCTCTAGCCGACTTGCTCAGAAGGAAGAACGCGATCGTGTCGAGAAGGAAGCTGCTGAAACCGCTCGTAAGCACGAGAATGATCTCGCCGAAGCTCGACGTGAGCAGGCAAAAAACCAGCAACTCGAGAAAGAGCGGCAATCACGCATGATGACCCGTGAGCAACGTACTCGAGATCGTGAGCAAAAACGCCTCATACACGAGGCAGAGCTTGAGCGAATCGCAGCGGAGCAGGAGAAGCTGGAACGTGGTGAAGGCAGAGTCTCTGCACGAAATCTCAAAGCAGAATTGGAAAAATCCCAGAAAAACCTGAATGATCTGACTCAAGACGATGAGTGGATATTTGATTGCTCTGGCTGCGGTGCATATGGTGAGAATCTTGACGATGGTAGCCATAGCGTTGCATGCGAGAAATGCAATGTCTGGCAGCACAGCAAATGTCTTGGAATTGCAATGGAAGATGCTGAGAAAGATGACTTCCACTTTGTCTGTCGCGATTGCAAGCGTAAGGCAGAAGAGGCAAACAAGCCTAAGATTCCACCTCTGAAGTTCCGAGTCAGTTCTTCTGCATCGCCCCATTCTACTCCGCCAACGGCCAAGAAACAGAAGATGGAAGATGATGCCATCGCTCCTCCATCTCCTGTGAAGCAGACTCATGCTGCTCTATCTAGCATGCAGAATGGGGGACCGCGTCCGTCTACCGAGTATCCGGCTGCGGCGGCGTCTCCTGCTAAGCCGTCTCTCCCATCTCTAACATCTCAAGGTCAATTTTACCCTCCCTCCTCTCCTCAGCGTCGTTCGCATCACATAAACCAAACCCCTTTACCATCATCCAGTCCTCCTCGACCTCCATTCTCCCCACCAAAGAATGGCCCGATGTACCCTTCTCTGGGTCATCAGCCGCAACTTGGACATCACCAGGGTGGTCTGCCGCACATGCCAGGACCGCACCTGCATCAACTTCCACCTATGAATTTGCCTTCACTGCCCGCTATGAATCCTGTACGGCCATCTTCATCCCACTCTGGTCCTACCCAGACTCAACCATCTATGTCACCCACGCAAGGTAACCATGAAGTTGGCCCGTTAGCAGGATTCCCGCATACATCGGGCGCGGCGAACGGATCAGGCTATAAGCCATTTGACCCATACTCGAACTATTCTACGCCTCGACCTCAGTCCGGACATGGAGCCCCGCCTTCTATGTCTAGTAACTACCCATCGTTTTCTGCCGCTGCAACCCCCAATGGAAACCACTCCACTCCTCCCCATAGCTCCCATGGGATGGGGATGTCTGGAATCAGCCCTATGAAGCAATCCCCTCGAGCTGTGACATCTGGAAGTGGCATTGCCGGTGCGCCAGTCTTACCTCCAATCCGCAAACTGGAGCCCAGCCCCAAACTCATGGGCCGCAGCTCACCGGATGCCCCGATTCCTCCGCCTGTAAAATGCATGACACCTGAGCAAGCAGAGCGCCGTGCAAGGGAAAATGCCTCGCTGTTCAACCAGGGTCCCGGATACCCAGCCCATAGCCAGGGTCATCCCATGTCTTCCCCATCTTTCGACCGTATCCCTCCCTTGGGCCCTGCAGTCACGCAACAATATCCAGAGCCTGTACCATCGCCCCAGCGTGGTGGTGATGCACATCGCCAGTGAATTTGTGAATAATATTAAATTTACCCTTTAAGTGGCTCATCACATTTTCAGCGGTGGATCCAATTAATATCAGATCAGATCAGATCCTGCAGGAATCTGAAGGTCGAATTAAGCATCGGGGGATATCCTTCACCCTTGACGTTCACTTTGACTTTTCGATTCATCAGATCGGGCTTGATATGGGTCGAATGGTGGTGATCCGTAGTCATTATCCCCTACTAGCTTCAATGATTCATTAAGTGGATCCGGACCCCCACCCGGTGTTATTTTTCAACCTCACTCCGTGAACATCTCATTTCAATTGATGAATATCGATGAATTACAGTTGACAATTGGCGAAGCTGGGTGCTAGGATGGTATATACTTGGATGGAGACCGTTGGTTCCATGATGATGAACTATCTTTTTAGGCAATTGTTTCACGTTTCTTTAAAGAAAAGATAAGAGTCTCGCAGGGGACATGGAACTTTCAAATGTCGTTGTTTTGTGCTTGCGTGTTTTATCTGCTATTCCCTATATTTATATCCTCAGTTATGTGCATTAAGATGGTTGGGGATTTGGGCGTTTTCAGAGGGCCTCGAGGCTGGCGTTTTCACTCGATTTACTTATCCTCTTGGTCTTGGATAGGACCTAAGGAATGTATTGTAATAGAAAAATTTATTTTGATCAATCTGACCTGATGTTGTACTGATTGTTGTAGACTAGGTAGCTGGGCCACCTGAACCGAGGCATATTTACTACCCATGATATGTCCTTACTAAGACTTGTCAATATTCAATCGAAACCATAGGCAAAGGTAATAAAACGAAGATAATCTAAGTAGAGTCAATTTGCGATCGATTTAAGCATATGCATGTACTAGTCTATATTGAATGATCACCTATATCATGATGCAATTGTCAGAACATTATGCATGTATGTATACATAATCAGCTTCCTAGTATTATGTGCTCCTTCTACTAGTAAGGAGTCCTGGAAGGTTCTAAGGTTCGATCTAATAGGCAGGGTCGCAAAGTGGCAGACAATACCACACATGCTACACCGCAATTGTTGACTTCGTGGCCTCCAGGGATTATTCCAGGATTATGACTGGGGTTCTCCAACCCCTGTTCACGCCCAAAATCAAGACAACACAAACGGGGAAATTGAACAAACGAAAAAAAAATAAATAAAGGAGAAAATAAAGGGAAAAATAAAATAAAACAAATTGTTTGTGGCCACATGGACAGGAACGGTCAATCTCTACATACGCCTACAGTAGTTCAGTGTACAACTCAGCAATCTCAACTTAAGCTGGCGCCGCCCAAATGCCGCAAGACGAAAAAGGGCAGTGACAGTCTACATCGTGCAGCCAAACGACAATTTGGCCCCTTTCCGGCCTACTGCATGCTTTGTGCGCAGTCACTGCGCATTTTGACATTCGTCATTGCTTTTTCCTAACCCCCTCTGACACTGACACTTCTGACACCCCTGATCGAAAAAAAAGCAAAAAATATAATATGGAAATGATTAAATTGATTAAACAAGTTGATGAATCATTAGATGAGCATTCGCTATTTCTAGAATAGTAGATCGATTCATTATTGGAAGTTAAACCTCATCTCCGGAGTTAGAGACTGCTACTACTACTTACCCCCCAGTTCTGGAGTTTACCTAACACGAACCTCGGAGACACCTTCGGGCATATCTTCTCAATTGATGATTGCCCACGAGACTTTAGTTCCATGGGAAGAATCTCTTCCACGTTCCCTCTTTGTCGGCAACGCATTTGAATTTGAATTTTCTTGAATTTTCCCGTTTTACAATATGTTTTACAAAAATCTTTTTGTTCTGAACCGCCGAGACGTCGGAGCCGGAGGTGTTCGCATCATAATCGTAAATCCCTACTTCAACCAGAAACCCCTAATAAGCCTTACAAGTCTAACGGCCTAACGGTGTGGATATCGTCCCCACCAGCACCAGCGCAAGGACGGGGAGAACATATAGGCCCAACAAATACACAGGAGGGGAGACTGATTATCGTGAGTCTTAACTCCAATGTACTAGTACAGTACTAGAGAGATGTAGATCCATCCATGGCAAATTCAAACAGAACATGACCAATCCCCACGCAGGTACAACCAACCCATGGAAGGAGGAAAAAATGCGTGATTTATCCGAAGACCATAAGTGGCGGAGCCGATGTACCACTAGACGGGATTCGTACGGAATGCACCTATAGTACATACATATGGACCCATGCTCGGGGAGGACAAAAGTACCAGAAAATATCTGGGCACGAGCACGCTAATTCCCCCGGTCTGTACCATCCCCACTCCTATCTTGTAAGCGATGACACTAGCTAGGCGCGCGCGATCTACAAGTTGGTCCGAGCTGGGCGCTTTCTCGCCCCTTATTCTTACTCCTTTTCTCTGGTTCTCAGATTGATACATCATTTTCAAGGTTTTTTTTTCTGTCTGTCTCTTTCTCCGCAGAAATAATACCGCCGAACACCGACAAATAATCATAATCATAATCTACTCTTTGTTTCTCAGAAACCTTCTGTTCTACTGTTCTCTAATCCTGGTATAATTTTTTCAGTGTCTTTTTCCCCTGCTTTTCCCTGGGCCTATCTCAACGTCACTAGTATAACACTGTCCGGGGTTCTTGAACGGAGATTGTAGATCTTCCCCCCAATCATCCTGAATCCTGTCAAGAAACCAGTTTAGCTCGCCTTGTCAATCACGGCGCTCATCCATTATAGGAATGAGTCTTTTATTTTATTTTTACTTTTTTTTATATAAAAAAAAACACTCAAAAATCCACTTCGAATAATTATACACGCTAAGTGTGGATGATATACTGATTCAACTCCACTGCATGGACCACGGAATGAGTTCCCCGTTTCGCCCTATACCACATGTGGCGAGAAAGGTTAAATATGAATTTCTGATCCTCTCGGGTCGAAGGTACGAAAATGGCCAAAATGCGTCTTGTTTGTTAAACTCATAGGCTTCGGTGTTAATGAGGGCCGAGCCGTAGATCTTTGGATGTGATAGAGTGGATATTCTTGATGGGATGTGCCGCAGCCATCACATTTCTGATTTTGAGACGGGCTCGAGACCGGCTCGATACTGAGACCACTCAACTGGTCTACGGTATACTTTATCGTCTTGGCCTAGTAGATCCCGCAGGAATAGAGCGAGGCAGAATCAAGGCGTTCTGGAGATAGTTTATGTTGCTGTGTAGTGATCATATCTTTTTTCTCTCCGTCAAAGCGCGGAAATTAGTGGGGATAAGGGGGACACAAGACACCACGGGATGGCTCGCCCCGTTTTCTGTCATTCAACGGAGAGATTCACGCACAGGTGAAAAGCAGACGGCATACTAGGACGATCATCCAGAGCACACCCGTAGGAACTTCGTATAGAGGCCTAACTTGGTTCGAAGTTACATTGCCGGAAATGCCGAAGTGACCATCATTTCCACCCGCACACACTATCTACATGCCTACTAGCACTGCCAGTTCACGAAGTATCCGCTGAAGGCCGAGTAAACCCGATCTCTAGACGGAGTACGAAGCTCCAGTCCTCTTCATCTTGTCCTATAACATTTCGCGTAGTAATTCTCTGGTCCATTCTGTTCAGGTTCTAAGTTTCAGTGCCGCGTAGACTGAACTTAACACTCCGGACACTCCACGGACACTCCACGGAGGTGGAGTCATCTGGCCATTAATCGCCTAGACCTTGAGTTTCAGCCGTTTAAACCCTGAAATTATAGATAGGTGATGGAAGATAGACGGTCGATCAGGATCATAGCTCCTTCCTCTTCTGATCCACTCATGCAACTCATTTTCACCAAAGTGTGACCCGCATTTCCCCGTCCACTCGAAGGGGAGGAAGCCGGTACGGTTCCAAAGAACGCAACCTTGACTCCTTACAAATCCGTCGATAGTCAGTCCCCGAACATGGTCCCCGCGGATCCATGCGTTCAAGACGCGTGGGTTATCGGTTGATCTTCACCCCAGGAACCCCAGGAATTCATATCGTGATCTTGATGTCATTATATAGAGTAACAGGCTAACGACCATTATAACCTTTGTAAAGATTTCCCGAACATTGCTATGATGTGGTTATGTACAAGAATAATGTACGTAGGCACGGAGCTTCATAGGGCGGTTGAAACCCCGGAGCTCGGGAAGTATGGGGCGAGGCGAGGAAGTATTTGTCAACCTTGACGCGGGATGTTAGTTCCAATGTTAGAGCCTGAGACAATTGGTCTTTCTCGACGCGCTAATTGGAGCAGATAATTGCATTGAGAATCTCTTTATTCCTTCAAAACATTTTTATCCTATGATTTTATCTAACTTTGTTTTTTTTTTGCACTCCGGATACCACTCTAAAATCCCTTTAATTTGCTGCACGGCATAATGATCCGTGCCATATTATCCGCATCTGATCGCAAATCTACCCTAACTAAGTACGATCGAATTTGCAGGGGAAAAAGAAAATACAAACCATACCTCTCTATTCGTGCATAGATTGATCCATCTCACAGTCCTCGGTAAAGATGATTCATAATAATAGCCACTGTATGTAAATTTGCTCAGGGTTTAATTTCAAGTAGCAGCCCCGTGTTGATCTGCGCTCTTCGAAACAGGCGTTTATGCATCTCTCTCTAGCTGTGCAAAGACCAACAGAACTTTCAAGTACCTTTGCTGGCGTGAAATGGATGGCCAAAATTACTTTGCAGATCGATCGCAATCTACTGTACCACTCGGATGAGTTCGGCCGATGGGGCTAGGGACGGCAGAGTCCAAGTATACTAAAAAAACACTAAGGACAATGTAGAATAGGGCCATGATGGCGCAGTCGCAGGATTCAATCACATCAGGGATCTGTCAAGCTAGTACGATGATGTAGCACTGCAAGGAAGAAACCTATTTCTTTCTCCGATCTACATTTCCCCCTGTCAGTATTATTTTTTGTTTCTCTGATTCTCTATCTGCTCGTTTATTTCCTT